GAAACACATTTGGGTCAAAATTTTTGGTGGAGAGTCATCCTCACCCATAGGGCTTTCAAAGAAAAAATTTTGAGCCGAATCCGAGACTATGACTTTTTTTTTGGCCGCGGCCTTTCATTAAAATTTCCTTTCTTACAAATAACCTCTCTTAAATAACAAAAATCCCAAAACCCCCCAAAAATATCTAAATATTCTGAAACAGTGAAAAATTTCTGAAATTTCTCAATTTTTTCCCAAATAATTTTTAAATTTGAAGACATCACAGAAAACCTAACACAATGTCTAAAAATCCTCAAAAATAATAAAAATTTTTGAAACAGTGAAAATTTTTTAGAAAAAATTAAATATTTTTGAATTTCCATCGGTTATGGTAGCGAAACAAAATTCCCAAAACCACCCAAAAATTATCTAAATATTTTGAAACAGTGTATTTTTTGTTGAATTTGGTGTTAACACGTGTGGTGTACTTATCCCAAGTACATCATAACTTATCTCAAGTATCTGTTTCCCCAGATTTTTTGGCGCATTTTCTAATAGGTGTCAAGTGGGTGGAAATGGATATACAGGTATTTTTATTGATAGGTACTTAAAATAGGAATTAGGGAGAGGGTACTGTAGAGGGGGAGGTTAGGATTTTCCGCAAGCTTCCGCGTCAGCGGCACTATCTTCCGCTTCAGCGGCCACGCGGATTACTATGAATTGGTAATCTTATTTGATATTCAGATGATAGTGATCCGCGTGGCCGCTAAAGCGGAAGACAGTGCCGCTGACGCGGAAGCTTGCGGAAAATTTTGACTTGATTGACATGATCAAAACCGATTGAAATTCGGTTTTCTAGAAAATTATTTGTGATTTTTTTGAAACAGTGTATTTTTTTTGCAAAAAAATTATTTTTAATTTGCCACGTGGCATTTTCGGCGTCAAAACTTTTCTAAATTGGCTTGGAATACTGTAGATACAGTACCTCTGACTCGAACGTCTTCAAAGAAAAAAACCAGAATTTTTTACGTTCCAATAATTTGATAAGATTTTTGCAGGTTTGAAGATTTTGCTATTACTTCTAATTTTTCTGGATTATTTTGAAGTTAGGCCAACTGTAGATACAGTACCTAAAAATCCCGGGAAAAGCTATTTTTGGAAACAGCAGAATTTTGAGACTAGAAAAAATCTCCAAATTTCTCAAATTCTCCGCAAAAATCATAGAAGAGCATTGCTCATATTAGCGTTTTTCATGAGATTTTTCGAGCATTGCTCAGATTAACGAATTTTCTAGAATCGCTCTCAATCCCGAAATGATTGAAATTCGAATTTCCAGAAATTTATTTGTGATTTTTTTGAAACAGCAAATTTCTGAGACTAGATCTTTTTGGTCCTCAAATTTCCGCTCTGAAAATTGCCACGTAGATATTATATTGCTCATATTAGCTTTTTTCCAGGCAGGAAATTTGAGGCATTGCTCATGTCAGATTATATCAAAAATTTGAATTCTAGACTTTTTTGGATAATTGAAAAATTGAGCATTGCTCAGATTAGATTTTCTAAAAAAAATAAATTTTTTTGACACCAATATCAAATTTCACACTTCTCGCGCTTTGTTTTTTGCGCAATTTCCGTCTCCACATTACGCAACACTCTATAATTAAAAAGAGCACCATCGCTGCTCTTTTTTAGCGGTTCTTCAACACAAAAAAGAGAAGGAGGATTATAAATTGAACCAATATTTATCTATTTATTTACCCATCCTTTTAAGCCTAAGAAAAACACTTGGCGGGAGGCTCTTTTATGTTTTTTTTTCTGGGAAGAAATTCGGGGAATCTGGGGATTTTTTGAGATTAATATGAGCAATATCTAATTTTTTTCTAGAACTTGGTTTTCTCATATAATCTGAGCAATGCTTAAATTTGAGGACCAAAAAATTCTAGTCTCACAAAATTTTGCTGTTTCAAAAAAATCACAAATAATTTTCTAGAAAATCAAAATTCAATTCCTTTAGCACCAAATCAAAATTTTCCTATTTTTTCTATATAATCTGAGCAATGCTCAAAAATTTTCTTGAAACAAGCTAATATGAGCAATGCTCTTTTATGATTTTAGGGGAGGATTTGAGAAATTTGGCGATTTTTCTAGTCTCAAAATTCCACTGTTTCAAAAAAATCACAAATAATTTTCTAGAAAATCAAATTTCAATTCCTTTAGTTGATTTGCATCAAATCAAAATTTTCCAATTTTTCAATATAATCTGAGCAATGCTAGAAAACTCGTTAATCTGAGAGATGAAATTTGGCGATTTTTCTAGTCTCAAAAATTTGCTGTTTCAAAAAAATCACAAATAATTTTCAGGAAAATCAAATTTCAATTCGTTTGGCGTTTGGTCTAAATCCTAATTTTCCAATTTTTCACATAATCTGAGCAATGCTAGAAAATTCGTTAATATGAGCAATCCTCACAATTTTCCAGAATTGCTCATATGTACTTAGACTAACTTTGTTTTAGAACATCCTTGAAGGAAATTTGAAAAAATTAGCAAAATCTTCAAACCTGCAAAAATCTTATCAAAATTTTGAAACGTAAAAGATTCTGGTTTTTTTCTTTGAAGACGTGTGAGTCAGAGGTACTGTATCTACAGTATTCCAAAATTTAGACATTTTTGGCGTCAAAAATCCACGTGGCAAAATAAAAATTAATTTTTTTTCAAAAAAAATACCCCAAAAATTCACTGTTTCAAAAAATTCACATAAATTTTCTTCGAAAAATCCAATTTTGATTGAAAAAAATCTAGAAACCATAAAAAAATCAAATTTTCGAGCTACAGTATTCCCATTCTTCTGATTACTGTATTTTTGATGCGAAAACCTACAGTAATCCAAATTTTTCCAAATTTCTATGCCGTAAAAATTCACTGTTTCAAAAAACTCACATAATTTTTTATCTAATATTTTTTGAGATGCGATGAGTTTCTTTTTTGCGCCAAAACCTACAGTATTCCTCTCACTACCGTACCCAAAAAATTCCATTTTTCCTCCATCTGTCAATATTTATTCATTGACTTAGCCTAAGTCGATAATCCACTTCAGAACATGTGTCAAAAAAAAAAGAAAGGCGGAAGAGGTGTCAATTAAAGATCAAATAAAATTCGCCGAACAGCTACAGTAATCCAGGGGTACTGTAGTTGAATATGAAAAATTTGCGAACATCTACAGTAACCCAGAGGTACTGTAGATATGAGAGAAAATTGGAAGAAATCTATTTTTCTAGCAGAATTTTTCAGTTTTTTTTGTGTACAGTAACCTACAGTACCCAAAACTCTAGCTCTAAATCAAGTTTTGCCTAATTGTAATTACCAAAATATTGTGTTCACTCAATTAATTATGGCTTTTCGCTCCCAAAACAAGAAGAGGAATACACTTGTTTTGACCCCTTTTGACCCCAATATGTTGTTTACGAGGTGTCAGAAGAAGATTTTTGGCGGGAAAAATGGGGGGGATTTTCTGATGATTAGCATAACAATAAGCAGATTTTTTGGGTAGTTAAGGAGGTTTCTTAGGGGATTTTTAAGGTTAGGGAGTTTTAGAGAGAAATTTAGATTTTTGAAGAAGTTTAAAATCAATATAAAAAAAAGCAGAGTTCGAAAAAATTATAATGAATTTTTGAAACAGTGGAAAATTCATATACAAAATTCAAATTTTTAGGGATTTCAGAAATTTGGTTAGCTTAATAATTAGGAGATTTTCAAGGTATTTACAAGGAAACGTTTTCAATGTTCCCCCCTGAAAAAAAGTGATACTATGCGGAAAGTGTAGTACCCCCGTGGGTGTGAAAAAGCCCAAAGGGAATTTGGAAACAAAAATTTATTTTCATGGGAAAGTTGTCATCGAAGATCAAAAAATATGTCATTTTCAAAAAATCATAAAACGGTTCAAAGTTCACGAAAAGTTTCGATCAAAACAGGATTCTGTAGCTAAAATGATCAATTTTAATCTTATGGGGCTATTCATGTATTTTCTCAGCATGTTGAGAAAACAGGAGAAATGCGGAGGAAATACATTTTCTCCGCATTTTTCGTATTTTCTCAGCCTACCTGAATAGGTTTTCTCCGCTTTTCTCCCGTTTTCTCAGCGTTGAAAAATAAGATGAATAGCCCCATTATTTTAATTGTGATATTTAAAAAATTAAAGAAATTTTTAAATTTTAAAAATTCGAAAAATTTGATTTTTCTACCAGAAGATGGAAGTTGTGTGAGATGAGACTAGAAAAATAAAATTCTACGCCCAAAGTTACGTTAGCGATGAAAAAATCAAAAAAATTAAGGAACTTCTAGAGAATTTTTAAGAAGAAAATTTAGAATTTTTAGCATAAAATTCATACAACACACATGTCACATACGCGAAGAGTATCAAAAATCCAGATTTCAAAAAAATTATAACTAATTTCTGAAACAGTGAAAAAAAATATATGAAAAATTCAAATTTTTAGGGATTTGAAGAATTTGGTAATCTTACAATAAGAAGATTTTTAGGGTATTTAGGGATGAAAAAATTAAAGAACTTCTAGGAATTTATAAAAACAGAGTTTAGAATTTTTTGCATAAAATTCATACAACAATCAAATCCACTGCGAATATCAAAAACCCAGATTTCAAAAAAATTATAACTATTTTTTGAAACAGTGAAAATTGTCTAGTTTGCAAAATTTCTTTTTTTCAAGGATTTGAGAAATTTGGTGAGCTTAACAATTAGGAGATTTTTAGGGTAGTTAAGGAAATAGCTTAAATAAAGGATTTAAGGTTAAGGTTAGGGACTCTTGAATTCAGGAAAAAGTGAGAAAAAATCTAGAAATGAGCCCAATTTGTGATTTTTTGTTAGCCTCATAACTAGGAGCTTCTTAGGTTAAGGATGAAAAAAAAAACAATTTTTGTTGTCATTCTCCATTTTTCAAATTTTACAGAATTTTTTATCAAATTTTCCAAAATCCCTCCCCAAAAAACTCACCAATCGCTTCTATCACACAAAAATCATTGAGAAATCCGAAATTGACATTGAAATCCAATTAACCATCAATATTTCAGGCTGAAAATCAGAAAATTTGAATTTTTCATGAATTTCTCTAGAAAAAACCCACCGTTCTTCGATAATCCTCGAATTTTCCGTTGGAAGCCATAATTCGAGCCTTGTAGAACATCTGAAAATTCAATTTTTGACTGAAATTCACTGATTTTCCCCCCGGAAACCTGAAAACCCAGCGAAAAAAAAACGAAAAATGAAAATATTCTCGTGTTGCGCTAAACAACGGGCAAGCGGAGTGTCGTTGTAAAAGACAAGGTAAATTTTTATTTTTGTTTATAAAATTTCTGGATTTCGCATTGAAAAATCCGATTCCAAATAAATTTATAGAATTGTTTTGAAACAGTAAAAAAATTGAATTTTGTTCGAAATTGTGGATGAAATTGTGGATTTCCTTCCATCAAAAATAGTAATTTTTTGAAAATTTTGTCAGAAAAACTCAATTTCAACGTGATATTGATGACGTGGCAATTAAAAATAATTAATTTATAATTTTTTCACATAATTTTTTGTTATTAATTGGAAAAATCCTAATTCTTTAGCGAAATCAAAAAACGAGAATTCGAAAAAAATTATAACTACTTTTTGAAACAGTGAAAAATTAATTTGCTAAATTTCAGATATTTCTGAAATGAAAGATAAAATGCAGATTTTTGAAAAAGAAATATGAAAAATATTTCTACATAATTTCAAAATTCTAGTAATTTTCGTGCGAAAACTGCCCAGTCATCGAAAATCCGATTCCGAAAAAATCTATACATATTTTTTGAAACAGTGAATTTTTCTGATTTTTCACAGGATTTTCAGAGATGTTTCCAAATTTTCTGTTTCCAAATTCATCTAAAACAGTGAAAATTTCCCTCCAAAATTCCTAATTTCTTGGCGGCAACTTCACAAATCCTATTTTATGACCCGTTTTTTGTTACCAACCTAATAAAATAGATAAATCTGCTCCACCGTTCATAAAAAATGAATAGTGTAAACTTCATTGTTATGCTAATCTCATTTTGTTCTTTAGAAAATACCGCGAAAAATGGGGGAACGGAGGGAGAAGGGACCTTTTTCAAAGGATATTTGGTAATTGTATGAATTTTATTTGAAACAGTGGATTTTTGAGGAAGTTTCTTATAGTTTTCTGGAGAAATATATTTGATTTTCAGAATTTTTCGAACAAAAAATTGACTTACGACGATTAATTCAAGGTTCTTCCACGCAGCCTATATTGTCATTGGATCACCGAAAATTGTTGACCAAAACATTATAGCCCTTCTTTGAAACAGTGAATTTTTGTGTAAAAAAACAAGGAAAAACATATTTGGAATGAGACATGGAGAAAATTTAGCGAATAAATAAAACATATCAAGAAACTATATATTTTTAGAAACAGTAATTTTTTTAAAAAAAATATGCACTCACAACCATTTTCAATATCAAACTCTTTGAGAAAATGAAAAATTATAAAATTTTCTTGAAACAGTGGATTTTTGAAAAGGAAAGTTTGGACTTTTGAATAGAATACGAGATGTGTATCAAACATTTTTGGGAAGAAAAATTATATGAATTTTATTTGAAACAGTGGATTTTCAACGATTTTAAGGTGAAATTTAGGACAAAAAATTAAATAAAAAACCAAAACCTAAATAATTTATATGAAGAGATTAGACATGCAGAGTAAATGAGAGAGTGTGGAAAATTGAGAGAGAATTAGAGACAGTGAGAAAAAAGAGGAAGAAGACGTATATTCAAAATGTGAAAGGAAATTATTGATTGAGTCAAAAAATGGAGGAATATTATTTTTTTTTCGTAGATCGAAATTATTTTTGAGATCAAAATGGGATTTTTTGATTTAAATCTCTATCAAATTTTTTGAGAAACAAAAAATTATATATTTTTTTTGAAACAGTAAATTTTTATAAAACAAAATGATGGAAATCGTTCTTGAGAGCTCAAATAATCGATTTTTCATGAAATTTTGAGCGATAACAAAAATGAGGGCATTTTGGTGGATTCAATATTATAGAATTGTTTTGAAACAGCAAAAAAATTAAAGAATCTACAATTTGATGTTATAAAGTGACAATGTTCAAGTTGCGTTCATATACCAATTAACCAAATTCCAAAAAAATATGATAATTTTTTGAAACAGTGAAAAATTTATACACAAATTTTTAATTTTTCTAGGATTCGAGGAATTTGGTTAACAAAACAATTAGGAGATTTTTGGGTGGTTAAGGAGTTGCCCATTGGGAAAAATTGGGAGAATTTAAGGTTAGGGGATTTTTAGAGCGAAATTGTTTCTGAATTTTTTGTGTGAGTAATATCGAAGCAATAAGCAAGCAGAGTTCGGAAAAATTATAATAAATTTTTGAAACAGTGATTTTTTTTAGAATTTCAAAACTCTTTGAAAAACTCAAATTTTTCTGGCGGAAACTTCACAAATTCTATTTTATGACCTGTTTTTTGTTACCAACCTAATAAAATCGATAAATCTGCTCCACCGTTCATAAAAAATACTTTATTGTTATGCTAATCTCGTTTTGTTTCTTAGAAAATACCGCGAAATTAGGAAAAAAGTATTGAGAAAAAGGGACTTTTTTGAGAAATTAGTTTTATTTGAAACAGTGGATTTTTGATTTTTTCTTTCAAAATTTTTCTGTTTTATTGAAATTCGTGAAAGAGATTGAAAATTGAAATGCGTGAAAGAGATCCAAAAAAATGTGACAAAATTTAAACAACTTTTTTGAAACAGTGGATTTTTGTGTAAAAAAAGAAAAACATATTTGGAGTGGATAATGGAAAGAGCGATCAAGCGAATAAATAAAACATGTCAAGAAATTGTATATTTTTTGAAACAGTAAATTTTTGTCAAATTGGAACCTATATAGACCGCCTATCAAATGTTTTGATAATTGAAAAATTATAAAATTTTCTTGAAACAGTAGATTTTTTTTACACAAAATTTGGGAGAAAACATTGGAAAACCCAATGGATTCAATTTTTTGAGAAAAATTGAACAATTTTGAATGGAAATCAGAAGCTTAGTGCTAAAAATGCTGGAAATCAAGTTTAAGAGCTGAAATAATAAATTTTTCATGAAATTTTGAGCTAGAACTTAAATTTTGTGAAAAAAATTAATGAAAAATTTCAAACTTTTTGCAACTTTCATTATTTTTAGCAAGAAATATCGACTTTTCATGGGCATCACGGCGAGAATTTTTAAACCTCCCCCCTCCCTTGGAAAATGCGGCAGAGAAACTGGTGCAGAAAAACGAGAGAGTGAGAAAATTGGAGAGAGCGGGAAAAGAAAAAAAGTACAGGCGAAAAAAATGGCTGGAGAAAATTGAAAATCCTAAAAATTTCCTCTCGCATACATTATCATTAGAGCGCACATTCTCCACTCCTCTCTATTTTCTGCGGGAGGGGGAAGAAGAACAAAAAGTTTTATTTTTCTCGCCGTGGCATTTCTTTACACAAAATTTAGGGGGAAAAGGATTTTTCGATCAGAGACTTTCTAGATACTGATTATTTTTTTTCGAGCCTCAAAAAATACAATTTTTTGAAACAGTGGATTTTCTGTCAATATGGAAACAGATCAAACTAACGATTTTTGCGGAAAATATTTTTCTTGCCTACAGAATTGCTCTCCGCTGATATAGAATCAAATTATTCCAAGCCACAAAAAATTATTCAATTTTTTTGAAACAGTGGATTTTTGTCAAATCAGAACCAAACGATTTTGACACAAAACTTCGAAAAACAAACTATGAGTCATTAGCTTTAATGCAATGACTCATAGAGAAAACAAAACTACAGTAATCTTATTGTAGACACGAAATCTACAGTACCCTGATTACTGCAGTTAGTGATTACTGTACCTCTACAGTAACCAGGAAAAACAAAACTACGAGTCATTGGCTTTTATGCAATGACTTGTAGAGAAAACAGAACTACAGAAATTTTCTACTTTTTGGCTTTTAAGCAAAAAGTAGGGATAAATAACACAGTAATTAAAAATTATTGAAGAATCGACTCCAGAACCTTGTGAATTTGATGGATTTCCAGAAAAATTGGCACCAAATCGCTCTGAAAATTTCAAGTTTTTTCATTAAAAATTCAAAATTTGGGCATAGCTTCCGCATCTCCACTGAAATTCCGAAAAATAACTAATAAAATGAAGAGTTTTCAAGATTTTCTAATTAAAAAAAAGAAAATCAAGAAAATTCTAAATTTTATTAGTTATTTAATGGATATTTCAGAAATTCATATTTATTTTTATATTAATACTTACCGTAATCAACAAATGATAAGTTCGATGGAGCGCATTTGATTGATTGATTGATCTGAAACAAAAAATTGAATTTTCTAATAAAAAAAATAAGTTTTTGATTAAAAATTCAAAATTTGGGCATAGCTTCCGCATCTCCACTGAAATTCCGAAAAATAACTAATAAAATAAAGAATTTTCCAAGATTTTCTAATTAAAAAAAATCAAGAAAAATTTAAATTTTATTAGTTATTTTATGGATATTTCAGAATTTCATATTTATTTTTATATTAATACTTACCGTAATCAAAAAATGATTAGTTCGATGGAGCACACTTGATTGATTGAGCAAATCTGAAACAAAAAATTGAATTTTCTAATAAAAAAATAAGTTTTTGATTAAAAATTCAAAATTTGGGCATAGCTTCCGCATCTCCGCTGAAATTCCATAAAATAACTAATAAAATGAAGAGTTTTCAAGATTTTCTAATTAAAAAAAAAGAAAATCAAGAAAACTCTAAATTTTATTAGTTATTTTATGGATATTTCAGAAGTTCATATTTATTTTTATATTAATACTTACCGTAATCAATAAATGATAAGTTCGATGGAGCACACTTGATTGATTGAGCAAATCTGAAACAAAAAATTGAATTTTCTAATAAAAAAATAAGTTTTTGATTAAAAATTCAAAATTTGGGCATAGCTTCCGCATCTCCGCTGAAATTCCATAAAATAACTAATAAAATGAAGAGTTTTCAAGATTTTCTAATTCAAAAAAAAAGAAAATCAAGAAAATTCTAAATTTTATTAGTTATTTTATGGATATTTCAGAAATTCATATTTATTTTTATATTAATACTTACCGTAATCAAAAATTGATAAGTTCGATGGAGCGCATTTGATCGGCTGGCCAATCTGAAACAAAAAATTGAATTTTCTAATTAAAAAAAATAAGTTTTTCATTAAAAATTCAAAATTTGGGCATAGCTTCCGCATCTCCACTGAAATTCCAAAAAATAACTAATAAAATGAAGAGTTTTCATGATTTTCTAATTTAAAAAAAAGAAAATCAAGAAAATTCTAAATTTTATTAGTTATTTTATGGATATTTCAGAAATTCATATTTATTTTTATATTAATACTTACCGTAATCAAATATTGATAAGTTCGATGGAGCACACTTGATTGATTGAGCAAATCTGAAACAAAAAATTGAATTTTCTAATAAAAAAATAAGTTTTTGATTAAAAATTCAAAATTTGGGCATAGCTTCCGCATCTCCACTGAAATTCCAAAAAAAATTAATAAAATGAAGAGTTTTCATGATTTTCTAATTTAAAAAAAGAAAATCAAGAAAATTCTAAATTTTATTAGTTATTTTATGGATATTTCAGAAATTCATATTTATTTTTATATTAATACTTACCGTAATCAAATATTGATAAGTTCGATGGAGCACACTTGATTGATTGAGCAAATCTGAAACAAAAAATTGAATTTTCTAATAAAAAAATAAGTTTTTGATTAAAAATTCAAAATTTGGGCATAGCTTCCGCATCTCCACTGAAATTCCAAAAAATAACTAATAAAATGAAGAGTTTTCATGATTTTCTAATTTAAAAAAAAGAAAATCAAGAAAATTCTAAATTTTATTAGTTATTTTATGGATATTTCAGAAATTCATATTTATTTTTATATTAATACTTACCGTAATCAAAAATTGATAAGTTCGATGGAGCGCATTTGATCGGCTGGCCAATCTGAAACAAAAAATTGAATTTTCTAATAAAAAAATAAGTTTTTGATTAAAAATTCAAAATTTGGGCATAGCTTCCGCATCTCCACTGAAATTCCAAAAAAAAATTAATAAAATGAAGAGTTTTCAAGATTTTGCAATTAAAGAAAATCAAGAAAACTCTAAATTTTATTAGTTATTTTATGGATATTTCAGAAGTTCATATTTATTTTTGTATTAATACTTACCGTAATCAAAAATTGATAAGTTCGATGGAGCGCATTTGATCAACTGGCCAATCTGAAACAAAAAATTGAATTTAATTAAAAAAATAAAAAGTTTTTGATTAAAAATTCAAAATTTGGGCATAGCTTCCGCATCTCCACTGAAATTCCAAAAAAAAATTAATAAAATGAAGAGTTTTCAAGATTTTGCAATTAAAGAAAATCAAGAAAACTCTAAATTTTATTAGTTATTTTATGGATATTTCAGAAGTTCATATTTATTTTTATATTAATACTTACCGTAATCAAAAATTGATAAGTTCGATGGAGCGCATTTGATCAACTGGCCAATCTGAAACAAAAAATTGAATTTAATTAAAAAAATAAAAAGTTTTTGATTAAAAATTCAAAATTTGGGCATAGCTTCCGCATCTCCACTGAAATTCCAAAAAATAACTAATAAAATGAAGAGTTTTCAAGATTTTGCAATTAAAGAAAATCAAGAAAACTCTAAATTTTATTAGTTATTTTATGGATATTTCAGAAGTTCATATTTATTTTTATATTAATACTTACCGTAATCAAAAATTGATAAGTTCGATGGAGCGCATTTGATCGGCTGGCCAATCTGAAACAAAAAATTGAATTTTCTAATAAAAAAATAAAAAGTTTTTGATTAAAAATTCAAAATTTGGGCATAGCTTCCGCATCTCCACTGAAATTCCAAAAAATTAATAAAATGAAGAGTTTTCAAGATTTTGCAATTAAAGAAAATCAAGAAAACTCTAAATTTTATTAGTTATTTTATGGATATTTCAGAAGTTCATATTTATTTTTGTATTAATACTTACCGTAATCAAAAATTGATAAGTTCGATGGAGCGCATTTGATCAACTGGCCAATCTGAAACAAAAAATTGAATTTAATTAAAAAAATAAAAAGTTTTTGATTAAAAATTCAAAATTTGGGCATAGCTTCCGCATCTCCACTGAAATTCCAAAAAAAAATTAATAAAATGAAGAGTTTTCAAGATTTTGCAATTAAAGAAAATCAAGAAAACTCTAAATTTTATTAGTTATTTTATGGATATTTCAGAAGTTCATATTTATTTTTGTATTAATACTTACCGTAATCAAAAATTGATAAGTTCGATGGAGCGCATTTGATCAACTGGCCAATCTGAAACAAAAAATTGAATTTAATTAAAAAAATAAAAAGTTTTTGATTAAAAATTCAAAATTTGGGCATAGCTTCCGCATCTCCACTGAAATTCCAAAAAAAATTAATAAAATGAAGAGTTTTCAAGATTTTGCAATTAAAGAAAATCAAGAAAACTCTAAATTTTATTAGTTATTTTATGGATATTTCAGAAGTTCATATTTATTTTTATATTAATACTTACCGTAATCAAAAATTGATAAGTTCGATGGAGCGCATTTGATTGATTGACCAAATCTGAAACAAAAAATTGAATTTAATTTAAAAAAAAAAGTTTTTGATTAAAAATTCAAAAATTGGGCATAGCTTCCGCATCTCCACTGAAATTCCAAAAAATAACTAATAAAATGCAGAATTTTCAAGATTTTCTAATTAAAAAAAAGAAAATCAAGAAAATTCTAAATTTTATTAGTTATTTAATGGATATTTCAGAATTTCATATTTATTTTTATATTAATACTTACTGTAATCAACAATTGATAAGTTCTGTGGAGCGCATTTGATTAATTGACCATCTGAAACAAAAAATTGAAATGAATTTAAAAAATAAGTTTTTGATTAAAAATTCAAAATTTGGGCATAGCTTCCGCATCTCCGCTGAAATTCCAAAAAATAACTAATAAAATGAAGAGTTTTCAAGATTTTCTAATTAAAAAAAAAGAAAATCAAGAAAATTCTAAATTTTATTAGTTATTTAATGGATATTTCAGAATTTCATATTTATTTTTATATTAATACTTACTGTAATCAACAATTGATAAGTTCTGTGGAGCGCATTTGATTAATTGACCATCTGAAACAAAAAATTGAAATGAATTTAAAAAAAATAAGTTTTTGATTAAAAATTCAAAATTTGGGCATAGCTTCCGCATCTCCACTGAAATTCCAAAAAAATTAATAAAATGAAGAGTTTTCAAGATTTTGCAATTAAAGAAAATCAAGAAAACTCTAAATTTTATTAGTTATTTTATGGATATTTCAGAAGTTCATATTTATTTTTATATTAATACTTACCGTAATCAAAAATTGATAAGTTCGATGGAGCGCATTTGATTGATTGACCAAATCTGAAACAAAAAATTGAATTTAATTTAAAAAAAAGTTTTTGATTAAAAATTCAAAAATTGGGCATAGCTTCCGCATCTCCACTGAAATTCCAAAAAATAACTAATAAAATGCAGAATTTTCAAGATTTTCTAATTAAAAAAAAAGAAAATCAAGAAAATTCTAAATTTTATTAGTTATTTAATGGATATTTCAGAATTTCATATTTATTTTTATATTAATACTTACCGTAATCAACAATTGATAAGTTCTGTGGAGCGCATTTGATTAATTGACCATCTGAAACAAAAAATTGAAATGAATTTAAAAAAAATAAGTTTTTGATTAAAAATTCAAAATTTGGGCATAGCTTCCGCATCTCCACTGAAATTCCAAAAAAAAATTAATAAAATGAAGAGTTTTCAAGATTTTGCAATTAAAGAAAATCAAGAAAACTCTAAATTTTATTAGTTATTTAATGGATATTTCAGAATTTCATATTTATTTTTATATTAATACTTACTGTAATCAACAATTGATAAGTTCTGTGGAGCGCATTTGATTAATTGACCATCTGAAACAAAAAATTGAAATGAATTTAAAAAAAATAAGTTTTTGATTAAAAATTCAAAATTTGGGCATAGCTTCCGCATCTCCGCTGAAATTCCAAAAAATAACTAATAAAATGAAGAGTTTTCAAGATTTTCTAATTAAAGGGTTGGTGCTCCGCCAGGGAATCTTGCTTGGTTTAGATAGGAATAAGGTGCTCCTGGAAGGTTCCACTTTTAGAAAAAATTCTAGTATCAATTCAGCCCATGTTTTTCCTCAAAAACACAAGCGAGTTAAAACCTACGAAATAAAGCAAGTAAATGCGCTCTAGCGCACAACTCGTTTTTTGAATTTTCGTGTGTGTTTGCACACAACTTTGAAAACAACACGGTGACGCCTTTTTGCAGACGATTTTTTCACCAGAAGAACACCAACCCTTTAAAAAAAAAGAAAATCAAGAAAACTTTAAATTTTATTAGTTATTTTATGGATATTTCAGAAATTCATATTTATTTTTATATTAATACTTACCGTAATCAAAAAATGATAAGTTCGATGGAGCGCATTTGATTGATTGACCATCTGAAACAAAAAATTGAATTGAATTTAAAAAAAAATAAGTTTTTCTTTAAAAATTCAAAATTTGGGCATAGCTTCCGCATCTCCACTGAAATTCCAAAAATAACTAATAAAATGAAGAGTTTTCATTATTTTCATTTAAAAAATCATGAAAAATTTGAATTTTATTAGTTTCAAACGAGAATTTCAGAATTTCTCATATTTTTTACTTACACTTTGGGAAATTCGCCAAATTTTCCACGTTGTTGTTTGTTCGTTGGAGCGCATTTCTTTTTTGCTCTTTATCAGACGGGCAATCTAAAAATTCGATTTTTCTCGCAGAATTTCAGTGATAAACCAAAAAACTAAACCCGGCACTGCATATTCGAAAATCTTGAGGCAATTGTTGATTCGCGAGCCAAATCTGAAAAAAAACAATCAATTTCTAAAACACAGTTCTGCTCCCAGAAAACCCCAATCCCCCGAGCTGAAAATTGAGAAGAGAAAGCTCCGCAGAGCCAATCGATGCTCCAGAATATGTCGCATCTTTTTTTTGAGCAGTGCTCTCCGAATATTTGTATTCCAAGTAGAAATTATGATTGTTTTTTTCGTTTTCTTCTTCTTTGTTTGTTGATTTTAAGTCCATATGATTCCAGATTTTCTTTGAAAATGCTCTTCGATAAAATTCAAAAATCGAGCAAATTCCAACCAAAAATTCGAGTAGGGCTCAAAATCTCATCGAAATTCTAATTTTCGAGGAGAAAATCCATATTCAAATCGATATTTCGAGCTTCAAAATGTGTTCAAGAATTTTGAATTCTCGAATTCCAGCGAATAATCCCCGAAACTTCCAACAGGATTGCATTTTTTGATCCAAAAACCAAAAGAAAATTCGAATCATTTCCAGTCGACTTCAAATTTCCAGCAAAATTCAATATTTCTAGTAGAAAATAAATCCATAAATTTTCGATTTTTGATCGAGTTTCGAATCTGAAAAAATACAAATTATTGATTTTCAAGTGAACTACAAAAATCAACTAACCTTTTAAAATCACGAGAAGAAATTAAGTTCTTCTAACTCAAATTGAAAATTTGGATTAATGAGAAAATCTGTGAATTTCTACGAGCTTCCGTCCGAAAATTCAAGTGAGGTTTAAAAAATCGAGCAAGTTCCAAATTCGAGTCGAGCTTCCAAATTTTTGACGAGTTTTCGAATCTGAAAATTCAAAATTCTTATATTTCCCATAAAATTCATAAATTTTCAACTCACTTAAGCTAAAAACTCGCTAGACTTATAGGCTCCTCAATTTTTTTCGCGGCAAAAATAGATTTGTGAATGATGTGAACCTGAAAAATACAAATTATTGATTTTCAAGTGAACTATAAAAATCAACAAACCTTTTAAAAATCACATCGAAATGCTGCCGACAAAAAACGAGAATTGCAAAAAAATAAATAGAGGGTTTGGGTCGAGTTAGCTCAAAAAAGATCTAAAAAACTAGGTGGAAAAATAAGGGACACAAAAATACCTAGCGAAAAAATCGGGGGAAAAGTTAGGGCAACTTAGGATTGGGAACTATCCTCGTTGAAATTTCATTTTCTTTTTTTTCTTTTTTTTTTTCAATTATTTTATCTCACTCCTAGAAAACGGGTTTTTCCAAAAATTATTAATTTGTACAGTATTTTGTGAATAGAATTTGGATATTTCTGAAAAACTGTACTTTTTTGGATGCCGTTTTCTAGGCGTAATTAGACACGAAAATCGAAAGATTTCTAGACCAACCAGAATTTGTTGGTTTTCCAAATATCTTTAGCGAAGAATCCATCCATAAATCAAAATCGATAAATTTTGGCAGCAAAATTCAAAATTTTCCGTGGATGTTTTTCAGCAGCAGAATCCATAAATACTTCAAGATTCATAAAAAAAGAGCATCTTGGTCACAATTCCATTGAAAACACGATTTTTCAGCAGCAGTCCAGAATTGTTTCAATCGAGTTTCGAAATATCTGAAAATACACAATTTCCTCTGGGAAAAATAATCAAAAAAACTCACAAAATTCAAATTTCGACGATAAGTTCCATAAAAATGACCATCTTGGTTCCAGTAAACTTCAAATTTCAAGCAAGATCCATTTTTTCTAGTAGAAAATATATCCAAAATGTTTCGATTTTTCAAAAATTGATCGAGTTTTCGAATCTGAAAAAAATACAAATTATTGATTTTCAAGTTAACTAAAAAAAATCAACTAACCGTTTAAAAATCACGAGAAGAAATCGAGTTCTTCTAACTCCGCTTTAATATTCCAACAAAATCCAGTTGAGAATCTTGAGATTCTTGAATCGAGATCTGCAAAAAATTATTAAAATTCCAATTAATTTTCAATTTTCAAACTCACAAATGCTCAGAACTGGCGAAAATCAAACATTCGGATTTGACAAGAAAAAATCAGCGATGAGCTTCCAAATTTTTGACGAGTTTTCGAATCTGAAAAATTCAAAATTCTCACATTTTCCATAAAAATTCATAAATTTTCAACTCACCTAAGCTGAAAACTCGCTAGACTCAGTCTCCTCAATTTTTTTCGCGGCGAAAATGAATTTGTGGATGATGTGAACCTGAAAAATACAAAATTATTGATTTTGAAGTGAACTATAAAAATCAACAAACATTGTGAAAATCACATCGAAAGGCTGCCGACAAAAATGATTTCCAAGTTTTCCAAAATTTGCAGAAGAATTTCGAGTTTCGAAACATCTGAAAATACTCGATTTCCTCGAGGAAAAATAATCAAAAACTCACAATTCCTCAAAACTATCAAGCATCCCCGAATTAAGCCAAACAGCAAAAAACTTCGAGGAGATGGGACAAATTTGACAAAATTGAAGGAAATCTGCAAAAATTCAAAAATTATCAGAGTTTTTTGGGTCAAAACTAACCTTATCAAAATCCACATCTATGCCTGAGACGAATGCACAAAAAAATAAAAGGGTAAGGGTCGAGTTAGCTCAAAAAAATTATCTAGAAAAAACTAGGTGGAAAACATCAGGGACACAAAAATACCTAAAGGTCGAAGCGAGAAAATTTGGGGGAAAAGTTAGGGCAACTTAGGATTGGGAACTATCCAAGTTGAAATTTCATTTTTTTTTCTTTTTTTTCATTTTTTTTTTCATTTTTTTCTTTATTTTCTTTTTTTTCTTTTTTTTCTTTTTTTCTTTTTTTTTCTTTTTTCTTTTTTTTTCTTTTTTTTCATTTGAGTTGAGAGAACGTCTGAATAAGGAATAAAATTTTTTTAGAATTTATTTTGAAAATGAAAAAAAACTAACCTTATCAGGTTCCTCTAAATAAAAATTGCCAGAATTCCAGTTTGACCAAAAAATGTCGAGTTTTCCGGAGATTTCACAAATGCTCATCAAAAATCGATACAATAGGCTGAAAATTAAGATTTTTGTATCAAAATTTTGGATTTTTGTTTGAAACAATTAATTGAAGCTACAGTATTAAAAAATAATTTCAAAAACTAAACTTACTCAAGGAAAACGGCCGAAAATCCAGTTATTGACTTTGAACAAGAACGTTGTCAGGCTCCAGATACAAATCGAATCCAATATCACCAGTTGTCATTCAAATTCACAGTTGTAACTAAAAATAAATATGTTTTGTATGAAAAAAATCTGCAAAATTCAAACTTACATCTACTAAATCACCCCATCGTGGGAATTTTCAGTACAAACTCCAATAATTTCGAGAACTTCTTGATCATGATTCAAAGCCATTCAAAAAATTTGCCACCAAAAATTGCAAATGAGTTCGACGTGGACACGTTTTGAATTTCACGTCTGAAAAATAAATAAATATTTTTTTTGCAATTTATTTCGGAAATGACAAAAAACTAACCTTATTTGGTTCTGCTAGACAAAACAACAGCTTCCCTTTGATTCAAAATCGAATTCAACATCAGTAGAAGCCATCGAAATCGAACTGAAAAATATGAATATGTTTTTCATCAAAAAATTCATCAAAATTCAAATTTGATTAAAAATTCTAAATTTGTAGCAGAAAAATTCGAATGTTTCACGCATTTTTTGAGACATGACACAATCAAAAATGAGAGATTTAGAGAAAAATAATTTTTGATCTACACCAAAAATTATCGGAAAATTTGAGATCTATCGATTTGGGTTTGTGAATTACAAATTTTGTTTTTCTTATCAAAATTTCAATTTCAAAAATCAAAAAAAAATCTACAAAATTCAAACTTACATCTAGTAAATCGCACCCCTTGTTCCCTCCCTTCCCTGTGCGAATTGAACTTCTTGATGAGTCAAACAATTTCCACCAGAAAATTTAAAATGACTTCGACGTGGACACGTTTCCAATTTCACGTCTGAAAAATGAATGAATATTTTTTTTTGCAATTTATTTCGGAAATCAAAAACTAACCTTATCAATTTCCCAGCGAATCATTCCAGTAGTTCCAGTTTGACAAAAAATGTTGAATTTGTCAGAAAAATGCCCAGTTTTCCGCAAATCTCACAGATGCCCATCAAAAATCGATCCAAGAATTCATAATTGACTGAAATTCAAGATTTTTGTGAAAGAATTCAAGCTACAGTAACCCTAAAATTCAGGTAATTTTAAATTGTTGAGTTATAAACTGAAATTTACATTAATCCAAGAAGATGCAATTTTTTTTCAATATTTGAGCTCGATGAAATTTGTGAAAATCCGATTTTTCTGACAAATTTTTAGTCTACTTTTTGAATTTCTTTTGTATTTTTGACACAATTATTTGAAAGTTTCAAAAACTCACTGAAACAAATTCGCGAATTTTTCCAGGAATCACTTCCAGATCTTCTATCCAACATTAGCAGAAGCCATTCAAATCGAACTGAAAAATATGAATATGTTTTCCATCAAAAAAATGCATCAAAATTCAAACTCACTTCTTCTAAATCGCACCCCATCCTCCCTCCCTCCCCGTGCGACTTCAAATTACACCATTTTTCGATCTTCTTTTTCAGCCAGTTCAATTCTCATTCCAGAAAATTCTTCAAATTCCGTCGAAAATTCAAAAATTTCAGGAATTTTTCCGGTCTTTCGAAATCCAGTTCAGCACTGAAAAATACGTGATTTATTTAAAAAATCAATAAAATTTTCAATTTTTCAATTCAAGTTCAAAAATTTGGTTTAAAATCAATAAAACTCTGGGTTTTCAGCTCAAAACGTGGAATTTTAAAATTTTTAAAAGTTCTTGAAAAAAAACTCACTCAATAATCGATCAACCACGCATATTCTAATAAAACTTCGCGAAAAATTCAGAAAAATTCCAAAACTGCTTCAGATTCTTGACAAGTTGATAAAAAATATCGAATTTGTTGAGCATTGATCTGAAAAACATTTTCTTTGGATTTTTGAGATTGTCCCAAAAAACTCACCGAAATTCTGGAATCTTCAATTTTTTTTAGCAAAAATGCGGCGGAGAACGTTCAATAATTAATAACTGGCCAAATTAGTAATTATCGATTTCCATTTTCATCCTTCAATATTCGAATTTTGCCAAATCCATCAAAAAATCTGAATTTTCACAGCCAAACTTTTCTCACATCATTTCAGTCAAATTGAAATTGAAACCTTCAGCAAACTTGATTTGATCTGTAAAATTTTAAACTTTGATTAAAAATTCTAAATTTTGAGCATAAAAATTTAAATGTTTCACGAATTTTTTTAAGACTTGACACAAACAAAAATGAGAGATTTAGAGAAAAATTATTTTTGATCTACACCAAAAATTATCGAAAAATTTGAGATCTATCGATTTGGGTTTGTAGAATACAAACTATGTTTTTCTTGTCAAAATTTCAATTTCAAAAATCAAAAAATTTTCAATTTTTCAGCAGGAAAAACGGGTTTTTTTCTCAGAAAAATCATGGATTTTTGGAAACTTTGTTGGAAAATAAAACTTCAATTTTTCAGTAGAAAAATTATGGATTTTTGCAAAAAAAGCACAAAAACTCACTAATTATATTCAAATCCGGATCCTATAATCGCTCAAAAATACTAATTTTGATATCATGAAATATGGAATCACATGAATGTTCCTTTAATTCGATTTCATCCAATTATTCTTTCCATATTCATAATTCAATCCAATCAATCTTCCATTTTTGCATTATGCACAACTAATTATAAATATTGGATCCACCATGTTCCAATATTTTTCTTTCCGATCTCAATCCAAATCATATTCAAAAATCGCAAAAAATGGTCGATTGATACACTTGTTTCTTCACATCAATTTCAATTGAAAAATTCCAGAATCTCGAAAACATCCATGAATTGATCCAATTCTTCAAAATATCCAAAAATTTCGCTTCTCATTACTTGGACACCATTTTCATAAAGAATAATGGTGCAATTGAACGATCCACGTGGGGGGTTTTTGCATAAAGCATGGGAGCCGCTCATTTGACTTATCACAGGTCGGCTACCAATACCCTGCGCGTCGTTATCGGAGTTACGCCCGGATTGTTTACAATCATTTTCCGATTCTCACAAAATCATTGGAGAATTTGCTACATCCAGTCATCAATTGGAATGCAGCCCTTCGAAATCTTCATTCGAATCTTCAGTTTCAGCTCGAATTTTTCATCACAAATTCGAATCCATATTTTTCGAGTTCGAATATTTGAGTTGAGAGCAAATAATCGATCAAATTTCCATAATTTTCGGTTGCAAATTGTTGGAAAAATCATAAAATTCTTCTCGATTTTAGTCAAAAATCCGAAAAATTTGAGAACTTCTTGTCGATGATTTGAAGCGAGCCAAAGAATTTACTACCAAAAAATTGAAAATGACATCGACGAGAACACGTTTCGAATTCCACGCCTGAAAAATTAATAAATATTTTTTTTTGAAATTTATTTCTAAAAATTTTTCGGAATGGAAATTTGTTTTTTATCTGGATTGAAATTTAAGAATTTTGTGAAAGAATTCAAGCTACAGTAACCCTAAAATTCAGGTAATTCTAAATTTGTGAGCAAAAAACTGAAATTCACAGTAATCCAAGAATATGAAGTTTAAAAATTTCAAATTGAATTTTTTTTCAATATTTGAGATCGATGAAATTTGTAAAAATTTGAGATTAGCATCTGATTTCTCTGACAAATTTTTAGTCTATTTTTTTGAATTTTTTTGAATTTTTAAAAATCGATAAAACTCTGATTTTTCAGCTCAAAACGAGGAATTTTGAAATTTTTAAAGTTCTTGAAAAAAACTCACTCAAAAAATCGAGCATTTTCACAGAAAAAATCGAGCATTTTCACAAAAATTATCGAAAAAAATTTGAGGTCTATCGATTTGGGTTTGTAAATTACAAACTGTGCTTTTCTGATCAAAATTTCAATATCAAAAATCAATAGAATCCTAATTTCCAGCTTATTTGAAATTTGAAATCTTTCTATAAAATTCCTTCAATTGAAAAAATCAGAAAAACTTCAATTTTCAGAAGAAAAAAAGGGTTTTTTTACTCAAAAAAATCATGGATTTTTGTAAACTTTTTTGGAAAAAAAACTTCAATTTTTCAGTAGAAAAATCATGGATTTTTGAAAAAAAGCACAAAAACTCACTAGTTATATTCAAATCCGGATCCGCACTCAAAAATACACATTTTGATATCATGAAGTATCGAATATTCCTTCAATTCACATTCATCCACTTTCCATATTCAAATTTCAACCATATCAATATCCCATTCTGCTTTTTGCACAACTATATTGAGAATACTGGAGCCACCATTCTCCAATATTTCCATCTTTCGATCGCAATCCAAATAAAACCTTCGAAAGTTGCAAGAATGGTATATTGATCAACACTTATTCTCATCATATCAAATTCCTTCGAAAAACATCCAGAATCCCCGAAAATCTTCATCGAAAATCCATCGAAATCTTCATTTTCTTCAAAACATCCAAGTTTTTGAGTTCTCGAAAATCTCCAACAGCCGATCTGATCTGTAAAAAATGGTTTACAGGGTAATTCAATACATTTTTTGAACTTTGATTAAAAATTCTAAATTTTGAGCAGAAAAATTTAAATATTTTGCACATTTTTTGAGACTTGACACAATCAAAAAATTCAATTTTTCAGCAGGAAAACGGGTTTTTTTCTCACGTCAGAAAAATCATGGATTTTCGGAAACTTTTTTTGAAAATAAAACATCAATTTTTCAGTAGAAAAATTATGGATTTTTGGAAAAAAAACACAAAAAACTCACCAATTGTATTCAAATCCGGTTCCTCTAATCGCTCAAAAATACTAATTTTGATATCATGAAATATGGAATCACAAAAATATTCCTTCGATTCGAATTCATCCAATTTTCTTTCCAATTTCAATTTCCAATCCAATCAATCATCCATTTTTGCAATTTGCACAACTAATTAAAAAATATTGGATCCACCATTTATTTTCCTAATATTTTTTCTTCCGATCTCAATCCAAATGATATTCGATAATTGCAACAAATGGTCGATTGATACACACGTATTTCTTCATATCAAAATAAAATTGAATAATTCCAGAATCTTTGAAACATCCATAATTTGATCCAAATCTTCAGATTCTTCAAAATATGGGGTGTGGTTTTTGCATTAAGCATGGGAGCCACTCATTTGACTTATCACAGGTCGGCTACCAATACCCTGCGCGTCGTTATCGGAGTTACGCCCGGATTGTTTACAATCATTTTCAGAAATTCTCACAAAAAATGGAGATTTTTCTGTATCGAATTCCTTCGAAATCTTCATTCGAATCTTCAGCTGAAGCTCCAATATTTCATTACAAATTCTAATCCATAATTTTCGAGTTCGAATATTTGACTTGAGAACCAATAACCAATTAAATTTCCTCAATATTCGATTACGAATTGTTTGAAAAATCATAAAATTCTGCTCGATTTTGGTCCAAAATCCAATATATTTGAAAACTTCTTGTCGATGATTCGAAGCCAGCCAAAAAAATTGAAAATGACTTTGACGAGAACACGTTTCGAATTCCACGCCTGAAAAATGAATAAATATTTTTTTGGAATTTATTTCGGAAAACTTTTCGGAATGGAAATTTGTTTTTATCAATCCAAGAGTAGACTGAAATTTAAGATTTTTGTGAAAGAATTCAAGCTACAGTAACCCTAAAATTCAGATCAATCTAAATTTTTGAGCTAAAAACTGAAATTTACAGTTTAAAAATTTCAACTTGAAAATTTTTTCCCAATATTTGAGATCGATGAAACTTGTGAAAATTTGATACTACTATCCGATTTCTCTGACAAATTTTTAGACAAATTGTACTTTTTGAATTTCTTTTGTATTTTTTAAAATCAATACAACTCTGATTTTTTCAGCTCAAAACGAGGAATTTTTGAAATATCTTGAAAAAGAAACTCACTCAAAAATCGAGCATTTTCACAGCCAAACATATAACATCTTTCATAGAAACATCCATGCAAATATCGATTTTCTAACATCCAAATCAAATTGAAATTGAACTTGGAAACGTTATGAAACTTGATTTGATCTGTAAAATTTTGAACTTTGATTAAAAATCCTAAATTTTGAGCAGAAAAATTGAAATGTTTCATGCATTTTTTTTGAGACTTGACACAATCAAAACATGAGAGATTTAGAGAAAAATTATTTTTGATCTACACCAAAAATTATCGAAAAATTTGAGGTCTATCGATTTGGCTTTGTAAATTACAAACTGTGTTTTTTCTCATCAAAATTTAAATTTCAAAAATCAATAAAATTTCAATTTTTCAGTAGAAAAAAAGGATTTTTTTCTCAGAAAAATCATGGATTTTTGGAGACTTTTTTGGAAAATGAAACTTCAATTTTTCAGCAGAAAAATCATTGATTTTTGAAAAAAAAGCACAAAAAACTTACTATTTCTATTCAAATCCGGATCCTCTATAAATATTCTCATCTCATCATGAATTCATCCAATAATCTTCTTTCAAAATTCAATATCCAACCCAATCAAGTTTCCATTCTGCTTTTTGCACAACTATTTAAAAAATACTGGAGCCACCATTCTCCAATATTTTCATCCTTTGATCGCAATCCAAATAACTTTCGAAAATTGCAAGAATGGTCGATTGATACATACTTTTTTCATCAAATCAAATTATATTGAATACATCCATCGAAAATTGATTGAAATCTTGATTTTCTTCAAAACATCCAAGTTTTTGGTTGCCCAAAAATATCCAACAGCCAATATGATCTGTAAAAAATGGTAAAAAATTCAAGACATCTTTAAAACTTTGATTTAAAATTCTGAATTTTGAGCAGAAAAATTGAAATGTTTCATGCATTTTTTTTGAGACTTGACACAATCAAAAATGAGAGATTTAGAGAAAAATTATTTTTGATCTACACCAAAAATTATCGAAAAATTTAAGGTCTATCGATTTGGGTTGGTAAATTACAAACTGTGTTTTTCTTGTCAAAATTTCAGTTTTAAAAATCAATAAAATCCTAATTTCCAGCTGAAAATTTAAAGTATTCAATTGAAATTTCAAATTTTTTTATAAATTGCCTTCAATTTGAAAAAAAATCAATAAAACTTCAATTTTTCAGCAGGAAAAAAGGGTTTTTTTCACAGAAAAATTATGGATTTTTAGAAACTTTTTTTTGAAAATAAAACTTCAATTTTTCAGTAGAAAAATCATGGATTTTTGGAAAAAAAGCACAAAAAACTCACTAATTCTTTTCAAATCCGGATCCGCGACAAAAATAGACATAATTCCATATCATCATGAATTTATCCAATTAATCTTTCCATATTCAAATTTCAATCCAATCAATCATCCATTTTTGCAATTTTCACAACTAATTAAAATATTGGATCCACCATTATCCTAATATTTTTTCTTCCGATCTCAATCCAAATGATATTCGATAGATGCAACAAATGGTCGATTGATACATGTTTATTTCTTCACATCAAAATAAAATTGAATAAATTCAGAATCTCCGAAACATCCATAATTTGATCCAAATCTTCAGATTCTTCAAAATATGGGTGGGGGTTTTTGCATAAAGCATGGGAGCCGCTCATTTGACTTTACACAGGTCGGCTACCAATACCCTGCGCGTCGTTATCGGAGTTACGCCCGGATTGCATACAATCATTTTCCGATTCTCACAAAAAATTGGAGAATTTGCTACATCCAGTCATCAATTGGAATGCAGCTCTTCGAAATATTGATTCGACTCTTCAATCTCGGCTTCAATTTCTCATCACAAATTCAAATCCATATTTTTCGGGTTCGAATATTCGAGTTGAGATCAAATAACCTATCAAATTTCCATGATTTTCGATTGCAATTTGTTGGAAAAATCATAAAATTCTTCTCGATTTTGGTCAAAAATCCGAAAAATTTGAGAACTTCTTGTCGATTATTCGAAGCCAGCCAAAAAATATTTTCTACCAAAAAATTGCAAATGACTTTGACGAGATCACGTTTCGAATTTCCCGCCTGAAAAATTAATGAATATTTTTTTTTGAAATTTATTTCTAAAAATTTTTCGGAATGGAAATTTGTTTTTTATCTGGATTGAAATTTAAGAATTTTGTGAAAGAATTCAAGCTACAGTAACCCTAAAATTCAGGTAATTCTGAATTTGTGAGCTAAAAACTGAAATTCACAGTAATCCAAGAATATGAAGTTTAAAAATTTCAAATTGAATTTTTTTTCAATATTTGAGATCGATGAAATTTGTAAAAATTTGAGATTAGCATCTGATTTCTCTGACAAACTTTTAGTCTATTTTTTGAATTTTTTTTGAATTTTTAAAAATCGATAAAACTCTGATTTTTCAGCTCAAAACGAGGAATTTTGAAATTTTTAAAGTTCCAAAAAACTCACTCAAAAATCGAGCATTTTCACAGAAAAAATCGAGCATTTTCACAAAAATTATCGAAAAAATTTGAGGTCTATCGATTTGGGTTTGTAAATTACAAACTGTGCTTTTCTGATCAAAATTTCAATATCAAAAATCAATAGAATCTTAATTTCCAGCTTATTTGAAATTTGAAATCTTTCTATAAAATTCCTTCAATTGAAAAAATCAGAAAAACTTCAATTTTCAGAAGAAAAAAAGGGTTTTTTTACTCAAAAAAATCATGGATTTTTGTAAACTTTTTTGGAAAAAAAAACTTCAATTTTTCAGTAGAAAAACCATGGATTTTTGAAAAAAAAAAGCACAAAAAACTCACAAATTCCATTCAAATCCGGATCCGAATTTTGCATAAAAATACACATAATTGCATCTCATCATGAATTCATCCAATTTTCTTTCCAAATTCAATTTCCAACCATATCAATCTTCCATTCTTGCAATTTGCACAACTAATTAATAATATTGGAGCCACCATTCTCCAATATTTCCATCTTCCGATCTCAATCCAAATAACCTTCGAAAATTGCAAGAATGGTATATTGATCAACACTTTTTTTATCAAATCAAATTATATTGAATACATCCATCGAAAATTGATTGAAATCTTCATTTTCTTCAAAATATCCAAATTTTTGGTTGCCCAAAAATATCCAACAGCCGATACGATCTGTAAAAAAATGGTTTACACGGTAATTCAAGACATCTTTTTTTTAGCAAAAATTATCGTAAAATTTGAGGTCTTCAATATAAAAAATCAATAAAATCCTAATTTTCAGATAAAAACTCAAAGTTCTTATTTGAAATTTGAAAATTTTCCATAAAATTCCTTGACAATGAGTTTGAAAAAAATCAATAAAACTTCAATTTTTCAGTAGAAAAATCATGGGTTTTTGAAAAAAAAAACAAAAAACTCACTATTTCCATTCGAATCCGGATCCTCTAATCACTCAAAAATCAATATTTTGATAGCATGAAGTATCGAATCAAATAGAAGTTCCTTTAATTCGATTTCATCCAATTATTCTTTCCAAATTCATAATTCAATCCAATCAATCATCCATTTTTGCAATTTGCACAACTATTTAAAAAATATTGGATCCACCATTTATTTTCCTAATATTTTTTTCTTCCGATCTCAATCCAAATGATATTCGATAATTGCAAAAAATGGTCCATTGATACTTTCTTATTTCTTCACATCAAATTAAAATTGAATAATTCCAGAATCTCGAAAACATCCATGAATTGATCCAAATCTTCAGATTCTTCAAAATATGGGGGTTGGTTTTTGCATAAAGCATGGAAGCCGCTCATTCGACTTATCACAGGTCGGCTACCAATACCCTGCGCGTCGTTATCGGAGTTACGCCCGGATTGTTTACAATCATTTTCCAATATTCTCACAATTAATTGGAGAATTTGCTACATCCAGTCATCAATTGGAATGCAGCTCTTCGAAATATTGATTCGAATCTTCAGTTTCAGCTCGAATTTTTCATCACAAAATCGAATCCATATTTTTCGAGTTCGAATATTTGAGTTGAGAGCAAATAATCGATCAAATTTCCATAATTTTCGGTTGCAATTTGTTGGAAAAATCATAGAATTCTTCTCGATTTTGGTCAAAAATCCGAAAAATTTGAGTATTACTTGTCGATGATTTGAAGCGAGCCAAAGAATTTTCTACCAAAAAATTGAAAATGACATCGACGAGAACACGTTTCGAATTCCACGCCTGAAAAATGAATGAATATTTTTTTTTGAAATTTATTTCGGAAAATTTTTTGGAATGGAAATTTGTTTTTATCAATCCAAGAGTAAACTTAAATTTAAGGTTTTTGTGAAAGAATTCAAGCTACAGTAACCCTAAAATTCAGGTAATTCTAAATTTGTGAGTTAAAAACTGAAATTTACAGTAATCCAAGAATATGAAGTTTAAAAATTTAAAATTGAAAGTTTTCATCAATATTTGAGATCGTTGAAATTTGTGAAAATCTGATTTCTCTGACAAATTTCTACTTTTTGAATTTCTTTTTGTATTTTTTAAAATCAATAAAACTCTGATTTTTCAGCTCAAAAAGAAGAATTTTTTGAATTTTTGAAATATCTTGGAAAAGAAACTCACTCAAAAATCGAGCATTTTCACAGCCAAACATATAACAACTGTCATGAAAACATCCAAATCAAATTGAAATTGAACTTGAACTTCAGGAGCTTGATCTGATCTATAAAATTTTGAACTTTGATCAAAAATTATAAATTTTTAGCATAAAAATTTAAATGTTTTGCCCATTTTTTGAGACTTGACACAAACAAGAATGAGAGATTTAGAGAAAAATTATTTTTGATCTACACCAAAAATTATCGAAAAATTTGAGGGCTATCGATTTGGATTTGTAAATTACAAACTATGTTTTTCTTGTCAAAATTTCTATTTCAAAAATCAATAAATCCTAATTTCCAGCTGAAAATTTAAAGTTCTTATTTGAAATTTGAAATCTTTCTCTAAAATTCCTTCAATTGAAAAAATCAGAAAAACTTCAATTTTTCAGAAGGAAAAAAGGGTTTTTTTCTCAGAAAAATCATGGATTTTTTGGAAAAAAAGCACAAAAAACTCACTAAATATATTCAAATCCGGATCCGCGAATCGATCAAAAATACATATTTTGATATCATGAATTATCGAATCACATGAAAGTTCCTTAAATTCGATTTCATCCAATTATTCTTTCCAAATTCAATTTCCAATCCAATCAATCTTACATTTTTGCAATTTGCACAACTTTTTCAAAATATTGGATCCACCTTTTCCTAATATTTTTCTTTCCGATCACAATCCAAATGATATTCGATAATTGCAAAATGGTCGATTGATACACTTGTTTCTTCACATCAAAATAATATTGAATAAATTCAGAATCTTTGAAACATCCATAATTTGATCCAAATCTTCAGATTCTTCAAAATATGGGTGGGGTTTTTGCATAAAGCATGGGAGCCGCTCATTTGACTTTACACAGGTCGGCTACCAATACCCTGCGCGTCGTTATCGGAGTTACGCCCGGATTGTTTACAATCATTTTCCGATTCTCACAAAAAATTGGAGAATGCATCGAGTCGCTTCGAATTCTTTGAAATCAAAAAACAAATCGAAAATAATTCCAAAAATATTGCGCATTTTGATGGTTCTTGAGTAAAATCGATGAGAAAACTTCAACAATTAATAACAATGAAATCGCATTTTCATGATATTCGAACATTTCGGCTGAAAAATTTCTAATTTTTTTCAAGATAAATTGAAATTCAAAAAAAAATCAATAAAATTTAAATTTTTCAGCTGAAAAAAATGGAATCTCGATTTTTTTTCAGCTGAAAAATTTTATTTTTTTTTGAAATTCGAAAAATTGCCTCAAATTTCGAAAAAAAACTCACTCAAAAAATCGAAATCCACATTTTCCGGCGAAAAACCAAGGGAATAAAAAAATTGAAGAGCTTCATCGAGTCATCAAAAATTCAAAAATCAAATCCAAAAAAGGGCAGTTGAATAACGAAAAAAATCGAGATATTCGGAAATTCGAAGCAATGAATGGCATTTGAAAATTCGAACCATTCATCTGAAAATTTCTAACACAGGCAAATTCAGATGGATACATAATTGATCCATAATTGATACATCATGTCCCCAGTTCAGATGTATACATCGGGTACACATAATGGATCCATCTGAACTCGTTTTATTGATACTTGATGGATGCTTGATGTATCCATTTTCTCTTTTTAACTCTTTTTCAAGTAGACAGTTAAAATTAAAGTTTATTCATAGTAAAAATTGAAATATAACAAAATTAGAAGTTAGAAGAACTTGTTTTTCATGGTGTGGGCGCATCTTTTCGGTCATCTTAATTGGATTCACGAGGAAGATGGCAGTTGGAGCAGGTTTTGTGGTCATCACGAGCAACGGCGAAGGTTGATGTCCTAGCTCGAGCAGAGCCCGCTTTGCGGAGACTAATGTGGAAGTTTCTTGACCTTCCATATCTTGGTAGCTTCCTTGAATCCGCATCCCTTGGCAACACCCGATGTTGTCGATCATTTCATATTTGGGAGAAGACGGAGCCAATCAGAAGTTGCTTCTCGGTGCTCACAAGCTAAATTGTCCTTTTGAGCGACGAATCCTCAGTTGATTTGGATTTCGACAAAATCAATATTCATTTATTTGACGCGGCGGTTGAAAAGCTTAGCCTGAAAAGAAAGAACCATTTGAAAAAATTGTCTCATTCGAATTAACCAACCTGAGTGTGAGCGATAACATGGATTGATGAGCAATACTTCCTGAGATAGTTGAAGACAGTTTCTTCTCGCCACTTAACTTCATTCCAATATTACGAACCAAGTGTCTTCCTAGCCAAACTGATGCATTAGGCAGTCAGTTCGATAACCTTCTTGTAAACACTGTAGTGACCTGAAAAGTTGTTTTTATTCACGAAGTTCTTTGAATAATCAATTTACCGATGTTTGGCAGATAGTTGATGTCGATTCCGACGTTTGAATGAGAGCGATGTCTGAAAAAAACCAGTTGACAAAAGTAGTAAATCAATGTGAGCGAAATTCAAGAAAGTACGATATAGGGAATTTCAATTTTCAGCTCTGATAGGGAATCTTCTATTTCATTTCATTTAAATGTTGCGTCAATTGAATGAAACTGAAAAAAATGTCTCGTTTTACTACCTAAAATCGAAAAAAAACCAATTTTTCAAAGTTTCTGGCCTAAATTCATGTTCAATATGCGAATTTCAAAGTTCTGATGACATTTGCTGCTAGATCCTAGTTGAGGAACATATTTTATATGTTTTCCGCAGTTTCTAACACTCAATTTCTCTATGAAACGGGAAACACACAAAAAAAACGAAAAAAAAAAGAAAAAAAATGTGGCGTGCAAATCGTCCGAGAGAAGTACACACACACACATTTCGCTGCAGGATAAATTCATTGAACTATCTGCGCCTTTAATGTTACACTTTTGCGCACCAATTAAGAGCACTTGAGTGAAAATGATATATACCATTCGACTCAGAATTTCACGCTGAACAAAATGATCATAAATTCATCCCTTGTTTCGAGCGATTTCCAATTTTTCGGTTTTTGAGAAATGTGAATGTTTATACACACACGAATCAAAAGTGATCCAAAATGGTATAAAAATGCATCCATTAACTTCAGAAAAATGGGAGTCATTATGTACCTCAAAACCATAACAAAACGGATCCATAATGGATCCATTAATTTTATGGGGTAAAAATGGATCCTTTTTGAATTCAAAAAGCATACATTTTTCTAAAAAATAAGTATGCAAAATGAATCATTTTTGCGTAGTTTTTTTTTTCTTTTGAGTTGGTGAAAAATAGCTGACATAAATGTTTATTAAATAAATCTAAGAGACATTTTATTGAATAAATATAAGTGAGGAATCATGGGGGAAACAACAAAAGTAAAAACCAGTAAATAACATTCAATGGAAAACATTGCACGATTATTTGATGAAAAAATGGGGATGAACAGTAACGAAAATGGGGATGAACAAAAATGGGATGAACAGCAACAATAAGAATCAACGATTTTGAAGAAAAAACAACAGAATGAAAAAAAATGGCAAATTTGACACCCGATGAAAACAAACTTATCCTTCTTGAGAAGCATCGGATGTTGCGAGAGCTTGGGTTGTAGCGGTGGATAATTGAATGGCGAGCAATTTTTCTTTTCTTGATTGCAATAGCGCAGCGCCTCCTGCCGCTTTTCGGATTCGCCCTCTTTCTTGATCCCTGTAAATAAGAAAAATTAAAAACTTAGAATAATCATAATGACAACTTACAATAATGCATACAAACTACTTCTCATATTCGATTTCAAAACACCAGTTGTCACATAAGCGTGATCATGCGCTCTGGCTCCTTCCACAACTGCTCCTGTAAACATATCAAAAACATAATTATTTTAGACATCTTTTCGTTCTTAGAATTTATGAATTACACCAAAATTTAAGGTAAATTCTGAGACATTAGACGCCAACCTCGGCCAAAATCGTGGTTTCCAAAATGAGAACATGTATATGACTTTTTACAGTATGACAACTGTGAATCTTTCAGTTTTTGACTTCTAAAAACTGAAAAAACCTCTAAAAATTGAAAACAACCACTTTTTTTTCTCAAATGTTGGGTTTTTGCTTTAGAATGAAAAAAAAAACTTACGATGGAAAACATCCAAACAATCTGCATCCGAAATCGGAACCCATTCCACATTGGTGGTTTTTGTAACCGTCGTCATCACTTCAATCAAATCTGCGGGATATTTCTCGAGAAGCTGCAAATGAAATTATTAATACGAAAAAGACATATTGCAACTCACAAAATTGAAAACGTCTCTTATTAAACTACAACCAATACAATCCAGCACCTTCCCACAATACATTTCTGTACTTTGTTCACCATTTCCCATATGGACGAATATTTCGTAACATTTGCCGTTAGGAAGTCGAAAAGTTGTAGACTGGATAAGAGCCAAATTGAGGGAATGTTTGGTGAGGATTGGGGCAATTTTGGTTTTTCTCGATTCAAGCTTTTGCAGCTTTGATAACATCCACGATACCTGTAATATATTAAATTTGAGGTTTGAAAATCCAGTGAAATTTATGCAAAAATTTCGCTTTGTATGAATAAACAGAAAAAACTCACAACTTCAACAAGACCCAGATGGGACAGCGCTAAAGTTTGAGTGATTCCTGTGGAGTTTTCGACAATTCTCATCACTTCTTGACAATCCAATCGCAAAGAGGCGTTGAGGCGATTTGCCACATTTTCCTGTAAGAACTTAACATTCAAAGAGTACATCAATAGGAAATCTGACCTCAATTTTTATTGTGTCAAATGGACCGCTGTTTGGATGATAACAGGAGTTTAGTCCAAATTGATTCAAAATGACTCTCCCATTTTGCACCGAAGGGGCAATTGAATGTTGCTGTAAACGATTTTTAAAACAGTTTTTCTATTGCAAAATGATGTTTTAGAATTTCAAGAATTTATGAAAGATTCTGGACGCACCGTTAGAATTTGCCCAAATTCCTCCGATTCGAGAACAGATGTGGATTTTCGATTCGGCATTGATTGATCATACAGTGGCATGTTTTCATCTGTTTCATGACGAGTCACTTGCATAGGATTCTGAAAATTTAAAGATGTTGAAGCTTAAAATGTAATGGAATAATCAATTTTTCTCAAGAATTTGCAAGATTTCGATTATTTTTCGAATGGGAATTTTCGCATGAGTCCTATTTTCGCGAAATCGCAGTTTTCTGATTATTTAATAAGCTTGGAATCTCCAGCCAGGTACAATCCATAAATTGGAAATTTATTTAAAAAAACATTCTCTAACTTAGAGAGCAATTAACTTACTTACAAGATGCATACATCAGATTAATTTTATAAGAAAGTTCTCTAAACTATTGCGAAATTTGAGTAACATGGCTTTGGTGATGTCAGTGGTATAATCCCAGTGAGGCTAACTTTGAGGTCAACTTTCAATCAAGCTAGAAAATAAAACGTACTCCGGCACTAGGAACGATCATATTTTGTATTGGATCATGCGGATAAGTTGAAGAAGACGCTCCTTCTTCGATGATTTGTTCTTGTGCTTGTTTCAACGCTTTTCTCTGAAAATTTGATTTTTTCCATGATAAACATATTACTTCTTTTTTTAAACATAAATCAATTTCACTTCACAATTTAAAATAATCAATCAAATTCTTTTTGAAAAGGTAGATCAGAAAATCTCAGAATGAATGCTCTTGCAAAATGTTCTCCAAAGAGAATACACAATACACGATTTCATTGTGTATTCCTTTTCGAGAAAATTTTGCAAGAGCATTCATTTTGAGCTTTTCTGATCTACCTTTTCTCTCTTTGTTTATCTCTTAAATGGTCCGGTGAGAAAAAGCTTTCTCGGCTTTATAGAGCCCAAAAGAAAAGCTTTTGAGAAATGGAGGGACTGGGAAATTTCTAGTCCCTACGGCTATTTTTTCTAGTCCCTCCATTTCTTCAGTTATTTCTTCGGGCTCTATAAAATCGAGAAAGCTTGTTCCCAACTTTTTATATGGATTCCACAGGCAATAACGGAAGGATCCATAATGTGCACCTTATGGATCCATCACCTCGAGGGGGCTTGATGGATCCATAATGGATCCATAATGAATCCATTATGGATCCAGTATGACCCTATTATGGACACAGGCAATAACGGAAGGATCCATAATGGATCCATTATGGATCCATCAAGCCCCCTCGAGGTGATGGATCCATAAGGTGCACATTATGGATCCTTCCGTTATTGCCTGTGTTCGGAGAATCTAGAGATGAATATCTTTTATTTTAGTCAATGTTGATTTCTGGGTTGTCGGGCCATTCAAAAATATTTCCTAGTTGAGAGATGGATTCTTTTTTTTACAATAGTTGTTACCACGTGTTTATCGATAACAATTAAACACGATGTGAGATCTTTGAGTTCCATTAATATTTATACACATTTTTCTTCCCTTCCTATCAAAAAACTCACCCGATTTTGTGCCAAATTTCCAATCAGACTAAGTTCAGCGATGTCTTTATAAGCGTTGTCGATGTCCATTTCGTGAACATCTTCTGCCTCCACTTCATTTTCAATCACTTTAGTATTTTGCACACCAGAATGAATACCGTTTGTTGCCTTTTTTGGTAACGGTTGTCCATTTCGGAGACTTTGCAGAACCGCATGAGGAGGGACATTTTGATGCTTTGCTGACTGAAATTGATGAATGGAAATCGAGTTTGACAATCTAAACGAACCTCCTGTTCGAAAAGTGCTTCTTGTTCGAAAACAGCATCAATCCGACGCTTTGAAGCCGGTTGGCGAGTTTTTGGTGGCATCGAATCCCAACGAAATTCTGAAAAATCATAATTAATAGTTTAGCAGAGCTGACAGGATCGTGAAAATATAATGAAAAAAAGGCGAAATAAAAATAAAGAACAAAATTATGAACAACCACAAAAACTACACAATCACGAAAACTTAATTTAACACACCACATACATTCACAACACAAGTACATTTCAAATACAGTCACAAACAATAAACAAGAATACACAGAAAACAAATGTAAAAATGAAGTGGAAAAAATTTGAAGAAAGAGAAAATAGACTGAAAATGTTAAAAATGAAGGCGAAAAATTTGAAGAAACCGAAAATACAATAAAATGTTAAAAGTGAAGGCGGAAAAACGTTTGGAGATATGGAAAGAAGAAGAACTAAACGACGGGCAAAAATTATTTGTGATTTGGCGACCCGTTAATTTGAAGAAACATTGTATGTCCTTCAACATCTATACTAGCCCCAACTCCAATAGCCATTCGGGGGTTTATCCATATTCTTCGATCCACTTCATAATCACCAAAAATGACAGATCTCATTTTTCGAAAATGATGAAATATTCGCTGAGCCTCCAGTTTTCCTCTTGTCATATTATTAATTTCCGTCAATATATCAGGAAGAATATAATCATAGCGAATCTCCTCGACCGGTTCAATGAGAATTCCTTCGTCTCCATACAAAACAAATCTTCCGCATCTATATTTACTATGGACAAAAAAAACGATGTCGTCAGTCGTGTTCCATTTTCCGTATTGAGAACGAAAAGTACCGCACGATAACTTCAAAATTGAGAAATACGATTTTTCTTGCGCAAGATGTGGAATGTCGACTGGCAAAAAATTTGCTATTGGTTTTTTGGCCAAGTCTTGATGTGGTTTCAACTCGACACAAGTAGTCATATAGTTTTTGATGGTTTTTGATGGATTATTCAGCCATCGTTTCAGGAATTCCGATGTTGCTTCATTCAAAAGTACAAATCTTAAAGTAGAAATTCATTAACCATGCTAAAGACCTTGATTTTTTACCTAGTTGCCGCAGTAGACACAAAATTGCTTGTCAACTGAGAGGAATATTCGTTCAATAAATAATTGTACAATGTCTCGAATTGTTCAGTAGACAACTGACCTATATTTCCGAATTTCTCAACGCAATAAGGTAAATGCAGCAAAGTCTCCTGTAGAAATATGGAGATTTTTGATGGAATGAGTTGTTCTAACTCACATGAATTTTCATTGGAAAATATTTCCTAGAGGCGCCAAGAAGAAAAAAAGTTATCGAATCGCACAAATCATTATAAAATGAATCTTCAACATTTGTGCTAGTGAACAAATGATTGAGAAGAGAGGAAACTCCAATAACAATCAACTTTGCCTCAATACTGCATTTTAATTTCAAAAATGAAAGGAGTATGAGAATTCGAAAAACCTGGAAATTTTCTATGACAATTAGCCATAGAAATAAACATACTGTACTACGATCTGTCCCATTTCGCATTTTTGTAGATCTCGTGAAATCACTGTGACAATGTATTCCTCTCATAAAATGTAAAAGTGCATTCTCGTCTACATTAAAAATCGATGAGCGTCGTATTTTCTCTTGCATTCTCAAAGTCCTTAGTAGAATTTCTGAATAGTATTTTGACAATGCAGATGACCACAGCAAATTTTTCACTGCGATAATTCTACTTTCAAATTTGTAAATTTGATTACAATTCCGTGAAAACATTGATTTTTTAAAATGGTTTTTTCAATGAAAAATGCGAACAATTTAAAAATATGGTGCAAACAGACGAAGACTATGGGCGGAATTGAATGAATTCATGGGAAATAGAGTTTTTATTAGAAATAGGTAAGAAAGTAATTTTGAAGCATAAAAAGAATTTCTTCCTATCACTTCTTTTTCATGTTTCATCACTGATTTTTCACCCATTTCCTAAGAAAACATATTTCCACATAAACCCTGTTAATTGCAAATTTTTCGAATTACGAAAGAAAGATCGTTTGTTTTCACGATATTTTTTGAATTATAGAATTTTTCTTGTACTATGCATAATTCATAGAGAAAAGTGAAGAAAACATGAATACTATAATTTTTTTGTGTAGAGTAACGCGGTGAAAAATCTGCTGTGTATCATTGTTGACTTTTTTATACCTGCAATGAGATACTTAATGATCCCCTCTGCGAAATTGTGCAAGCAATCAATAATAAAATCCCAGGGCCGCATCAAATCTAATATATAACAATAATCACCCGTAAACCCCATAAGACCATCTCTCGCATCTTGCTCGGTACAGTTATATCTTTGAATGTAACGAGCTGTCAAAAATTTCAATTAAAAAAAAACACCTGTTTCGATTTACCGTCTGCTTTCAATTTATAATAAGTGTCAGTGCTTAGACAAAATAAACATGATCTCGCAGAACTTTGGCCCACCATTCCAAGAATAGAACGTTTCGCCTAAAAACCAGCATGATTCAAAAATCACTAGGGAACTATTATACTCACAGGTTGATCTGCAACTGCACAAGTGATATTTGCTGTGAACCTGGTTTGAGCAACCTCAAAATGACTATCTGCATTAAGATCAGCATCAACAATTTTCAAAACTCGATCCCAAATTAATGTATTTGGGTCTTCATCAGCATGAACAACTCCACCGACTATCATATTGGACGCCTTCTGGCGCTTCGCAGTCCCCGCGTCCACTAAACAGAACACAATTGGCCATAGCTTTTCCCTAAAGCTATTGATTATATGTTATCCTTTTCAGAAACAAACTTAGTATTTCCATCTGTCGAAACGCCATCAATGCTAAGAAGCAAAGACAAATCAATTGTATCTGTTTCATTTTTCCATAACTGGGAGAGAAAAGGACTGTGAAGATTGTGATCAACATTTGTTCCATTTTTCAGCTGCCTTCTAATTTCCATTATGTCCTCGAAATTACGATTTACAACCTCTTTCAGTTGCGGAATCGTCGGAATCTTTGTGAAAATGGCACTTTTTCTACACAGGTTACTGAAATTTGGAAGGGAACTGGATTGAGTCTCAACAGGCTGTTTTTCTTACCATTCTTGACTCCCAACCAATGTTTTTCCACAAAAACAGATTTTGTAATCGGTATATGCTTTTCTGCTTTCTTCCCATATTTCTCGAACTTCTTTCGCTTCTTCATCATCCAGAAGAAAAGTTGTTCGTTGAAAAGCTAAACCGAACAAATAGGGGAAGGAAAACTAACAAACTCAACTTTTTGAAGTCGATCTAGATTGCAAACACATCAACAGAGTAATTAGCTGTCGATCATTGAGATTGTTTAGACGGGAACTGAGAAGATCTGGAAGAAACCAAAGGTGTTTCTTCAAAATCAAATTCTTATAAACCTTCATTAATTCTAATGTCCTCCTCAGGTGGCAATACCACACCCTCTTCATCATCTGATTCGGCCTCAGATTCCGGCTCAACATCTTCATCTGACAGATCTTCAGCAATAATTTGATCATTATCTTCAACATGACCTTCAGTCAAAACATCGAAATTGGGAAAGTCGGCATCTTCCAACTCATCTAATCCCTCATTTCGCATATGCTCTTCGAAATCGAGCTGGCCTGTTCAAATTTCTGATGAGAGCGGAGAAAACAAGCTAATAATACCTTTAATATCACTACAGTTTGGTCGTGGCATATGGCAGAGAGAGAGAGATGTCGACAAATGATGAAAACAAGAAAGACGAAATGCCATCTACGTATTTGCCACATCACACGTTCACGTATTCACTTTAGAAACAAGTGCTTTGTAATCAAAAGAAACCCTTCAAAACAACTCAGAGAACCTCTTATGGAGCTACCAATAATCAACCAGACACACAGAATTCATCCCGGATCGAAAAGTCAAGAAAAATAAAAACTTCAATCCGTACTGTTCATCCTATTTATCTATTACGATGATACATTTTTTCACCCGAGTGAACCATTACCGGAATGAACCAATAAAACCCTCCATATTTCGCATTGTTATCACATAAAAAACAAAAGAAAACATGGAAAAACATAGAAAAACACCGGAAAAAACACAAAAAACTGCGAAAATGAAAAAAAAACTTTGAATGGCTAATTGGACGAAGACGCTCATGTTGGATTTCTCTTCCACGGCCATCTAAAAATGGATGCATTATGGTTACTTCTCAAAATTCTCAAAGAAAAATAATGGATGCATTTTTATTATCATAAAGGATGCATTTTTTCTCGAGTTTAATTTTAAAGGATACAAATTGTTTGCTATTAGTATGCAATATTTTTTTATATCCATTATGGATCAGTCAAGATTTCCCTGTGTAGTGAACTTCACTCAGTTACACTATACCATTCGATAGAGTTTTTCCTGTTAAGAAATATCCAGTTATCAGTTTTTGTTGAACGACTCGTAAAAGCTCAAAATTTAGCCCGAAATTGAGCAAATGTTTTTTTTTTCGTTTTTTCAGAAGCATCTGAACAAAAGAATGTGCATGCATGATAATCGATCTCATATATTAAACGGTGATCTGTCTGTCGACCTACTTTTGTACCCTAGATTCAAGCTTACATTAAATAATTTGACGTGAATTGTTTTGCTCATTTCCGATTTTACAAAACGCGTTTGAATTGCGGCATTCAATTTCTGCATTATTTTTTGAAATGTAGCAAAGCATGTGAGTTGATTTAAAAAGGTATCGTGCGATTCATCATTTTTATCCATAAAATCGAGCTAGATTTGAAAATCGGGAATTCGCAGTGACTACGAAATCACGATTCATCATTTTTGTCCATAAAATCGAGCTAGATTTAAAAATCAGGAATTCGTAGTGACTACGAAACCACGATTTATCATTTTTATCCTTAAATAGAATGGATGGAAGAGAAAACATGTTCAAAAAAACTCTACTGTGAAGAAGGACTTGATGATTTATCAATAATTGATACATTATGGATCCATCATCCATCATCGATCCATTTTGAATCAATCAACTATCAGCTCAATCAGCTGAGTATCAATCTGAGACCCATCAGCGATACATCACCCCTGATTGATGTCAGATGGATCTTATATGGACCCTTGATGTAACCGAAATGGGTCGATTATGGATGATGGATCCATAATGTATCCATTATGTATCCATATGAATTTGCCTGTGAATTTTTTTCCAGATTAATTGGAATTCAAAATTTTCGAAAAAAACTCACTCAAAAATCGAATTCATCATTTTCCAGCAAAAAACCAATAAATAAATAAAAATACAGTAATACGCCAAATTGATTGAAGCCTTGATTGATTTTCCAATCCAATAAATAATTGAGCCAATAATAATATAATTTTTTTTTGTATTTTGATGCTTTTAAATTTTTTTGGATTTTGGTGATTTTTTCTATTTTTTTGGATTTTATTTATTTCTTTCTTTTTTTGGGTTTTTTTTGATTTTGTATTTTTTTTTTGATTTTTATTTATTTCTTTCTTTTTTTGGATTTTCAGATTTTTTTCTTTTTTTTTGTAGTTTTCTTTTTTAATTATAATAATGGTGAAATAATAATAATAGCAGTAATTGAAGACGAGTTGTGTGTGGTCTGAAAAAATAAAAAATTCAAATTTTGCCAAAGCAAATAAGTGCGCCCCATTGCACTTTTTTCATTTCGAAAAAAATTATTTTTGTTTTTTTGTTTTTTGTTCGTTTTCGGGGTTTTTGGGGTTTTTTTTGGTTGACTAAGAAATATAGAGGGTTCCCAATTGCTAAAATTTCATGTGGTAAATGGGTAATTTCTAAAATCCATGGGGAAATTTCAAAAAAACTCACGATTTCCAGAAGACTACTTGAATTTAGGAACAAGTAGTTTTGCCCTCGAAATCCTTTGGATCATTTTATCCATCTTATCGTCCGAATCCGCGGGTTGTGCACGAACCCATCTTCGCAATGTTGATCGACATCTCGTCAACGATTGGATTGCGTCGATGGTTTGGTTCGTCACCTGCCCGCGGATGACTGCATCAAAGCAGCGCTGAATAATAGCCAGCCAGTCTTCACATTCTTTCGCCCAGTCATTTCCTGATGTTGGTGGAGATGGTGGTGGTGGAGGTGGGGGCGGAGCAGCAACTTGTGGAGGTGGAGGTGGAGCAGCAACTTGTGGAGGTGGAGGTGGAGCAGCAACTTGTGGTGGTTGTTGTTGAGGAAGTTGAGCCGGTTGATGTGGTTGTTGTTGAAGAAGTGGAGCTGGTTGAGGCGCAGGAGGAGCTGCTGGTGGTGGTGGTCCAGCAACATCCTCGTCCAAATCATCCAATTCGCGTGGTGGTGGAGGTGGTGGAGCGAATTGAACGACTTGAACAGGAGCCACAACGATGTCCGCAACTCTCGCATTGATAATTGGTTGAGCGGCGAGCAGTCGAACTTCTTCCAAATCTCGTCGAATCGGAACATTTTGCGCGGTGTTTCTTTGCGCAACTTCCAAATATTCGACTCTTTCCACAGGTGCAACTTCCAATTCAACCATTCTTCCAACAAATTGAACCGCTGGCAATACTTGAATTGTCTGTTCAGGAGCCATTTGAGGAATATTCATGAGTTCTGCGCGTTGAACAGGCAAAGGTGTCAGAACAGGCGATGTTTGTTGTGATCGCTCTGATCGTTCAGTAACTCTTGATAAATCGACAACCTCTTGGAAGCTTTCTTTGAAAATTTGGCGAGCTTCGGCGGAATCCCTCCTCGATTTGTCCCTAATATCACACAAGTCCGGTGGGAATTTGAGCTTCTTCGAGAGCGGCTCGCCTTCCGATGGTGTTGTTGGCTCGGATCTTGAGCGCCTTGGAGAAATTGGTGATCGAGGAGGTGGAGATGGAGGTGGTAGAGATGGTGGAGCCACCAGTTCAATTGGCGAAAGATCCGTTTCGGATCGATCCGAGTTGAATGTGAAAGGCACATCCAAACTCGGATCGAATATTTGTGGATTGGGTGGTGCCACGATCTATAAAAAAAACAATTTAGAAGCTCAAACACATTGGAAACTCGAAATATTTCGAATATTTCTTAAAGTTTCTCAAATTCTCAAGATTTTTCCTTTTTTATCTCATTTTTATCATACATTTTATATTTTCAAGGATTCTTTAACAATTGTCCCTTTTTTTTTCATTGAAAATTCCATATTTTCCAGGTTTTCAGTCAAATTTCACAGGAGTTTTACAAATTCAGAAATGTTTTGCCTAGAAATCCAATTTTCCATGATTTTCTAGGCCAAATCGAACTTTTAACAAAAAATGGATTTCTAGGTCATTTTTGATCGCAAGGACTAGTTTTTCATGATTTTCTAGGTCGCGGCAGAGTATTCGAGTGGAAACTTCTTTTTTTGTTTCAACAAGCCCCTTCCGAAAAATCAATTTGTTATATTAACTTACCTTATTTGGCACTGGTACCGCCTCCTCATCTTCTTGCGTATTATCCATCGCCAATTCAATCTCCTCTTCAGGGACAGCCTTTTTTTCAGGTCCTGGATAATTGTCGCTTGGGTCTTCGGTCTTTCTTTTTCGGTCATTTGAGGACATTTTGAATTGTCAGCCTTTTCCGATTTTAATAATCTTTGGAAATGACCGTTTTTTTGCGTTTTTCGTGTTGGCAAAAAATCACGTCACGTTTTTATTATTTTTTTCAGGTGTTGAATTTTGTCTTTTTATTTTTTGAAGATTTTTTTTTTCACGTCAAATTTTTAATTTTTTTTTGTTTTTTTTTCTACAGTTTCACAAAAAAAACAATTATCCTTTCTCAGAAAAAAAATTACGCATGTGTGACAACAGAAACACAAGTGTGTAACCACAAAAATACCGATGTGTGCACACACTGGGTACGCATCGGTGTGGTAGTCGTTACACACTGGTAGCGAGTGGTCACACACTGGTGAACCACTTGTCACACACTGGTAAATCACTTGTCACACACTCGTATTTTACTTGCTGCAGCCTCGCTTTTCGACCCTTCCCTACCCATTTTTCACTGACAAGGAATGGTTTTCAATGTTCCCCCAAGGAAAAAACCGAGAGTATGTGGAATGTTGAGGGTTCCCGTGGGTAAGAAAAACCCTAACGGGAATAAGGAGAAAAATGCCTTATTCTCGAGAAAAAATGTATTTTAGGTCGATTTTTACACCATTTTTTGATTTTTAGAGCATCTGTAACTCGATTTTGAATCTATTTCATGAACTTTTGAGTCGTGGAAGTTGTTCAGAATGGTCGATTAGGTGTTTGTGAAACTTTTTATCAAAAAATAAAACATTTTTTGAAATTTGGTTTTTTTAGTCGGGGTTTTTCTGATCAAATGGTCACCAAAAAACACAAAAAATAATTTTTTCCATTTTCAAATGAACGGAACTTGAAAAATTTATGACGGTCAACAGACGTAATTTGGTCCGTAGAATCCAAAAATCATAGTCTCGATTCACACAAACTTCTCCTTCACAACGAAAACGTTGATTTTCTATGAATTTTTCAAACTGGATTTTTGATTTAGTGGACTTTTGGGACCAAAATTATTTTATTCCTAATTTTAGTCGAAGTAATACTAAAGTACGCCGTTTGCGCTACAAATGGATTTTTAGATTGACATTTTTCACCAATTTTGAAAAAAGTTTCGATTTTTCTAAAAAATTTCATGGCAAAAATCAATAACACCAAAATTTTCTAAAACAAGGCATTTTTCTCCTTATTCCCGTTAGGGTTTTCTTACCCATGGGAACCCTCAACATTCCACATACTCTCGGTTTTTTCCTTGGGGGAACATTGAAAACCTTTCCTTGTGAAACCGACCTAATTCTGAACATTAACACATTTTTCAAATCACTATTTATTAGAAAAAAGTAAAAATCATGAATATAGAGAAACACAATATACACAAATTTCAAATTGAGTATAAAATTCAAGAAATCTTAGAAATTTAGGTATTTAATTAAAGGGGGTACGGGCTAATCAAAATTTTATGGAAAAAAATATACCATCTGAAAGAGGAGGTTTCGTTTAGTATGTTCCCAAATTTTCATTATTATTTTTCACGTTTAAATACCATTTTTTCACGCGCAAATACGAAAAAGTTGCGCTCGACCTCAGAGAAATAGCGCACAAGAAAGAGAGACACAGCGCATAGAAGGGGCGGGGCCTAAATACGCTGTGTCTCTCGTGTCTGCATGCTATTTCTCTGAAGTCGAGCGCAACTTTTTCGTGTTTGCGCGTGAAAAAATAGTATTCAAACGTGAAAAATAATTATGAAAATTTGGGAACATACTAAACGGAACCTCCTCTTTCAGATGGTATATTTTTTCCATAAAATTTTGATTAGCCCGTACCCCCTTTAAAGTGTTGGTGTGATGCCTGAGATGGTGTTGTTGCTGTAGTTGGTGGTTGAAGGGGGTGTTTTGGTAGATGGAGTTTCAATTTTTGTAGTTGATAAATTGTTGACTGAACCATCGCGGGACACGCTGTTGTTAGATCGACTCTGAAAAAGAACAGTTTATATTTGGAATACTTTGAAAAACGTATTTCGGTGAAATTCGTCGCTTGTACTTATTATTTTCTCATAGATTTTTAGTTCTAAATCCCTAAATGGCTTTTGTTTCCTCACGGATGTTATTTTTGACGATAATTGTCAAATGATTAGAGTTTTTGTGATTTGGATGATTTTTTGGATCTCGAAACTTATTTTCAAATCATATGTATAGCAACTTCACGATCATTAAAATTTTACTTGACTAACCTTTGTTTTGTTCGTTGAATTCCAATGACGGCGATTCTCATTTTTTGTTCGATTTCCCGAAAATAATCAATTTTGAAAGCTGGCCGGTTCTGAAAAAATAGGCACAGGCATAAATGCTTGACTTTTTTAATTCAGAAATGCCTGTCGCAGAAAAAAAAAATTATCGCGTGAATTGGAGGGCGGGACTTATTTGGCAAGGTGCGGCACGTTTTTTTCATTTAAAAAAATGATTATTTTTAAATTGTTTTCTCCATTATTTTCTTCGAATAAAAATATTTCAAACTAATTTTTTTCAAATAAAAATATGAACTGTTAAAATTAATGAAGTGGTGAAACAATTTTAAATCCTATTTTCTCACATCACAAGAATTGGATAAGCTGGAAAAACACAAAGATTCATTTTTTGATAATATTCAAGCTGGATTACCCCACGAAACCATCACTCCCAAATTTCATATCCTCTTGAAGCACGTTGTGGCTTTTGCTCGGAAACATAACACATGGGGAAAAATTTCGGAACAAAGCATCGAAGCATATCACGCTCTCTGGAACAACTTTTGCAGAAGGTAAAAATTTCGCCTAGCATGCAACAATTCACATTTTGTAGGTATCAATGCGTTCGTTGTCCCATTATTCGATTACGACACATAACCAATGGTATCAAAGTTCTGGCTAAACTTTCTGATTTGACTCCTTGATTGAATTTATGTCAGGTTCCTGGAAAATGATTTATTGAAACCTCGGGATTTGAATTTACGGATAAACAATGCATAAAAATAAAACCTATTGGAGTTTTCAATAAACAGTTGTGTTCGATTCAGTAGTTCCATAATCTGAAAAATAGGTTTTTTGCTGCAAAATTTGGTTCTTATATCAAATTTTCAACGAAGAAAAGCGAAAATTACATTAAAACTTCTAAAACTTGTAGTCACTTGAAGTCCATGTTCCACAAAGTTTTAAAAAGACTAGAAAACTTCTAATTTTGTATAAACAAAACAGATTTTCAAATGGGAATAAAAGAATAAAAAAAAAGAAAACACAAAAATAATAAAAATCACGCCGCCACGTTGCAAAAACACGTGCACACAAAATGGGCGGAGCCGGCAGGAAAAAAAGTCAAGCATTTATGCCTGTGATAGGGAATTATTTAAGTTTAGTTTTTCAACAAAAACCAACCTGACAATCAGAAAACTGCACATGTCAACCAAAATTGATTGAATCCATTCCCAAAACTCGATTTCGATCCAAAACGGGACTGAATCGGCTGAAATTTTGAACAGTGATAAAATAGAGACTGATAGAAGTTAAAATTGTACACATATGAGAGAATAAAAGTATGAGAAACCCCCAAAAACAGCAAAAAACACAGGTTTAGGCCGAAAATTGAAAAGAAAATGAAAATATTTTCGCTCCATGAAACGCGCAGCCTGAAGTGATTTACCAGTGTGTGACAAGTGTGTGCAGACTAGTGAAACTGCTGTGGGGACTTGTACAAGCGCGTGCAGCTTGTGTGCTGCCCGCCAATTCGAATTTATTTTTCGCAAGTGTGTGACAAGTTGGGACACACTGGTGCGACTGGTATTGTTGCTGTACCACTTGTGAAACTGCTGTATTTAGTGGTGGGGCTTGTTACACACTAGCTGTTGTCGTCACACATGCGTAATTTTTTTTCTGAGTTTTGTGCTGGCATTTTGGGAGCTAACTACTGTACCAACCAAAAAAATATTTGAAGCCTACTTTTCTATGAAAAAACAGTGATTTTCTATGGAAAAGTTCCCTGTTTTGCCCAAAATCAGGACTTTTTCCATAGAAAATTACTGTTTTTCTATAAAAAATGTAAGCTTCAAATATTGGCTATCGCTATAGCGAATTTGTATTAAAATTTTACTGTTTTAAAAATGTTTCATATTAAAAACTGTCTTGGTTATGATATTATCGCACCTTTTTTCTCTTCAAAATTATCCATAAACTAATTTCCAGGAAGTGTATCAGTTCAAAATCCCATTTTCTACACCTCAACTTCAAATTCAACATCCACTTTGAACGAATATCGAGGATTTGCGGATTTCGACGGAAATCGAGCCGATTTTGCGCAGGAATAATCAGGAGAATGTGAAGAAGAATATGCAACAGGCCAGAGTTACACTAAGTCCTGGTGAGTTTAGGAAGAAAATGTTATGCAAATTTAAGAATTAAAATAAGATCCACGTGGATTTTGGTTGGAAAAATCACAAAATTTGACCGGAAATTCATTTTTTTTTTGAATTTGTGGTGCTAAAGTTTGAAATCCACGTGGATTTTCAGTCAAAAATCGGAAATTTGTGAAGAATTTAAACTTTTAGCTCAAATCTCAAGCTTCTGATTTTTTGGCGATAAAATTTCGATAAAAAACTGGATTCTCATCAAAAGTTAAATTAAAAAATCCGAAATTTGAAGAATTGTCAAATTTTAGGCTAAATCTCAAGCTTCTGCCTTGAATGTCATGAAGAATTCAAAAAATTTGACCTGACATTTGAGTTTCTGAGGTTTTCATATGAAAAATCGGTTTTCTGGCTCCAGAAATTCGAAATTTGAATATTTTACCTGAAATTCAGCTTAAATTCATCCAAATTTGAATTCAGGTGCAAAAAATTGAGAAAATCATGATTTTTGACATTTCCTAACTCGAAATTTCAAAATTTTGCACATTTTCTAGCCCATTTTTGTTCCAGAAGTCGATAAAAACCGCGATACGAGAAGAACACATCGGCGAATCGACTTTTACGAAGTTCCGACAGAAAATCGAGGATAAATGATGCATTTTTGGATTCAAGAGATCGATTAGTCGAAAAAATGGGAGAAAAAGAGACGGAGACTCAAAAAGGGCCGGTTTTAGAAGGTCCGATGGCTAGAACTACAATTATCACATTTTTACCACCTGAAATTGATCAAGATTTGGAAATTGGAAAGATGGACGGTTGAAAGTTGGTGATAGTATTGTTGAGATTGATTGCAGACCGGTTTATCAGGTACGGGACTTTTTGGTGTGAAAGATGGGACTTTTTGAGCCAGAGAACCTGCAAATTTATCCCCGGACGTTTTTTTTGTTGAAAATGGTTCTGGGACAATTTTTCTTGGTGCTTTAGATCTCAAATTTCGGTTTTTTTCGTTGAATTTCGGCCCTGAAGCGATTTTTAGCGCCTGAAAAGCTGAAATTTGGTCTTCCAGACGTTTTTCTAGGTGATGTGGGTGCTAAAGTTGGATTTTTTATGAAATTTGAGATTTTTTGAGCTACAGAACCTTTTAGAATTGGTCCCTGGCCTTTTTTTCGTTGAAAATGGTCCTAGACAATTTTTTAAACAGTAAGGTTTTTTGTATATAACGAAAGATGAAGCAACATTTTCAATTATCTATAATTTTTTATGGAAAATACTTGAAACAGTGAAATTTTGGGTTTTTTATTTGGTGAAAATTCAGCTAATTTTTTTCCAGAAAAATCTGAATTATTATTTCGAATTAGAATTTTAGATAAAAGTTTTTGAAACAGTAATTTCTTATTTTAAAATGGTTTACTAGTTTCAGAGATCTTATACAAATTAGATATCATTTGAAAAATTTTATATGAAAATTTGTTGAAACAGTAAACTTTTCAAGTTTTATCTGAGATTTATAATTTTTAAATTCAAATTTTTACACTACTCACATTGTCCTGAATTTTTCTACAAGCTACACAAGTTTCACCAAAACGAATTATACTTCATAAATTTTTGAAATGGTATTTTTTTCTCTAGACAATATTTTGTTTTCCCAAAATTTTAATTAGATTAAAAATCTATATAATCTTCCAAAAGGTTCTACCAAAACCCTCTTAATTTTATTTTTTTCCAGATGTCAATTCTAAGAGCTCGTGCTTATATCACTGACCTGGCTCTCTTCTCTACAAAACCAGTCACTTTGACCATTTTGCGATCAATCGAAACATTCAGCGATGAGAATAATATCGATCAGAAATCGATATTTTCAGCTTTGCAAGCTGCAAATACATAATAGACGCAAATTTTTGAGCTGGATAAGAGTGAGTTGTTTTTGGGGGGTAAAAAATAGCAAAAATAATTCTCAGAGATTCGCTGGCCAGCTCGCCACGAGATTGCTGCGGCCACCTGGAAACCGCATGGCCGCCAGGTCGCCTTGAGTTTTCCGGTGACATGGCCTATGTGTTTGAAATCCTGGAAAGCTGGCAAGACGGTGGTTTGTACTCAAAACAGTGCATTTTCTACTGTTTTTTCACTTCCTAAGATTTCAAGTGCTGCGAAAAAACAGAAAATGAGCCAAATTTTTCGAAAATGCCTCAATTCACAAGTTTTTCAGACATTTTCATGAAAATTCATTTTGACGAGGAGAAGTGGCCACCACGTGGTAGCCATGTGGCCGTGACCTAGAGCCTGGCCACCTTGCCAGTGAAAAAAAACCGGGCGACATGGTTTCCATGTGGTTCCCAGGTCAGCCAGCCTCCCCACCTGGTGGCGAGCTGGCCAGCGAATCTCTGAGTTGTTTTTCAAAAATTTACTTTGAAATTTTCAAAAAAAAATTCACTGTTTCAAGAAATTTATATCAGAAATTTGGTTTTTTCGGAAATGTGTTGTAAAAATTTTGACAAAAACCGATTTCTAGTTCGTAATTAACTTGAAACATTGAATTTTAATTGCAAATTGTAAATTTTAGCTGAAAAACTTAAGTCATAGTCTGAAAATAGTAAAATTCTGACTATTTGATATTCTCAGAAAATTTACTGTTTCAAGAATTTTATTGAAAAAAATTGGATTTTCCGGAAGTTTGATGAAATCGTCTTGATTCAGAAAAAAATTGATTTTTTTTCCAAAACTCTTCAATTTTCCAGGCTCAAATGGCTTTGGATTCACCGTAACTGGCCGCGAAACAGCAAAAGGCGAACGACTTTTCTACATCGGAACTGTAAAACCTTATGGAGTTGCCCAAGGACATTTAAAATCTGGTGATCGATTGCTGAAAATCAATGGAGAATCTACAGAAAATTTGAGCCAGCTGGAAATTGTTGACCGGCTGAAACAGGCGAAAATGGGGAAAATCCAGCTGAAAATGCGAAAGCTGGCGAAGAAATAACCCTAGAGATTCCGGAAAATGAGCGATTTGAGCTGATTATTCCACTGATTGATAGTGGCTCGGCTGGATTGGGAGTTAGCCTTAAAGCGAGGGTTTCGGTGAAATCGGATGGAGCAAGGAATGATTGTGGGATTTTTATTAAGATTGTGAGTTGGTTTGGGGCCAAAATTTGAGTAATTCTAATTTTTCGGGGCAAGAAAACGCTTCAAAACCTTTTTTGGTGAAATTTTGGTTTTAAAATTAAAATTTTCACAAAATTCGACCTTTTGAACACTCCGGTACTAAACAATTCGAGAAGAACCCATTTTTTGATGTTTTTACCCTAATTATCATTAATATCCCGAAATTTGTGGGTTGTCTACCTTCAAAAATCAACCTGAAATCAAATGAGAAATTTAAAAAATAAAGAAATCATATATATATATTTTTGATAAAAATCCAAGCAATAGTCATATTGTTTTTTCATGAACAAAAATTGTGAAATCCAATTTTTGAAACAGCGAATTTTTTTTTCAATTTTCCAACAAAAAATTTCATATTTTTTTCATCAATAAAAATATAAAATTCATCAGCTTTTCATCAATAAATCGAAAATATAGGAATTATTGCGATTTTTAATCAGAAAAATTGATGTATTCACTTGAAACAGTGAAAAATTGGATAATTTTGAGAAAAACTCCATTCTGATATAATCATTTTCAAACAAAAAATTGACAAATTCAATTTTTGAAACAGTGACTTTTTTTTTAAATTTTCCAACAAAAAAAATTCATATCTCAGTTTTGTATCGAATTTTTGACAACTGATAGCTTTGGAGTTAGCATAAGTGTTTTCTCACAAAATTAATTGGGAAGTGTGCAGAAAAAAAATTCAAAGTTAGTATTGTCGAAATTGAAAAATGTGGCTGCCGTAAAAAATGAAAAACAATGCAGAACTTAATGAATGAAAACAACTGGACTTCGTCAGTCGCGTGCGGCTGTGCGGCGCGGTCGAAAAACAATCAGTGATTCATTCTTTCCTTCCATTTTCGACCGCGCCGCACAGCCGCACGCGACTGACGAAGTCCAGTTGTTTTCATTTATTCAGTTCTGCACTGGTTTTCATTTTTTACGGCGGCCACATTTTTCAATTTCGACAATATAACTCACATGTAATTAATTTTTTAGACAGAACAATTTTGATATTGTATTTTTGAAACAGCGAAATTTTTTGAAACAAATTCTGAAATTTTACCAAGATTCTGAGATCTTATTACTTTTTTACAAAACAAATTTGAAAACTTCATTTGTGAAACAGTGAATTTTTCCGAAACACATAATAGAATTACAATTGCAAAAATCATCATCTATTTTTAATTGAAATAATTCTGAAACAGTGAATTTTTCAGTTGATGCACGGTGGAGTTGCTTTCAAAGATGGTCGGCTGAAAATCAACGACAGAATTGTTGGAATTGAAGATATTGAGCTGGAAAGTTTGACAAACTCAGCAGCCAGTGAATCATTGACAAGAAAATTCAAATCAATCGGACCATCTATGACACATGTCAACTTGTCGATTATTCGAGAACCTTCTAAGAAACCTGGCCCGATTTCAAGATATTCATCGAGAATTACAACAACTTCGCCGTCGATTTCATCATCGATGTTATCACCGATCACAGTCTCATCGGAGTCACAACATTCGAGACAAAGTTCGAAAGAATATGAGACGATTTTGGAGAATCCGACCGATGATCCGTTTGTTCGAGAAGCGCCGGGAAAGAAAGAGTTTGAGTGAAATGGTGAGGGATTTTTGGGGTGGGGAGGCATTCAAAAATAAGATATTGAAAAAATGTTGAACCGAATTTTTAATGTGAAAATTTTGAAACAGTGAGATTCTCATATAAAAAGTCAACTTTTCATTATTAAAAAAAATTTTGGAACAGTGAAAACACCAAAATTTCACTGTTTCAAGGTTTTTATGTAAAGAATGTGTAGTTTTTATTTTTGATCGACTGTTTTGATTAATAAAAAAATATAGAGCTTCATGTTGAACTGAAAAAATATTCTATATTGGAAAATTAATTTGAGATTTCTGCAGATTTTTTTGTGAAATACCTGGATTTTTCTCTATTTTCCGAAATGAGAACTTTTTTACTTTTTTATTTCTCACGTGTTTTTAATTCAATAATAATTTTCATTGTTGATGAGTTTATTGAATAAAACAAAAAATTCTAGAGCTCCATTTCTATCCGAAAAAAAATATTCAAAAATTGAAAATTAATTTTTCATCTAGTCAAAAATTGATAAATTTTGAAACAGTAGATTTTTTGTGTTGAAAATCCTAATTTTAAATACAGTTTTTTGCAAAATTAAAAAATTTCAAGGCTTCGCTTTTATTTTTGATAATTTATCTTTTTTGTTCGACAAAAACACTTTTTGAGTTATTTTTATCAGAAATTTTGTGCCGAATGTTTTTCATATTATAATTTTGAAACAGTGGGATTTCTGAATTTTTCTCTATATTTTTCAAACTGAGAAAATTCACTGTTTCAAAGTTTTGATGTGAAAAAATGGTGTACATTTTATTTTCGATAAGGAAACATACTTACCTCTTTCAGGAATCTGATACAGAAAAATTTTGCCCTGAAATGAGGGGAATTTGACAGTTTAAAAAAATTTCGCTCTGAATTTTGGCTTGTGGAAAAAATTTCGACCTGCAATTTCAGGTTCTGAATGTGGTATGTAAGCAAACTTCCCTCTCGGATTTTTTAAAAATCAAAATATAATTTTTCAACTGAAAAATTAGTAAATTTTGAAGTAGTAAGGTTTTCCGAAGATTTTTGTGAAATACCTGGATTTTTTTCTATTTTTCAAACTGAGAAATTCCACTGTTTCAAGGTTTTTAGTTGAAAAATGTTCTAATTTCCATTGTTGATTGTTGATGAGTTTATTCAGTAAAGCAAAAAATCTAGATCTGTTTCACTGTTTCAAGGTTTTTATGTGAAAAATGGTGTAAAATGCATTTTTGATAACAAAACAACTGAGAAATTTCACTGTTTCAAAATGTTTAATTAAAAAAAATTCAAATCATTGTTTTGAATCAAACTTTTGATAATGATTGTCATTAAAAAAAAAATAAATTTCCAACATTATTTTCAGCGTGGAATTGGTGCTGCAACTGGAGATCCGCAACATATCAAATTATTCCAGGAAATCAAACATCAACGACAGAATTCCGGTAATTTTTTCTCATTTTTGGGTGATTTTTCTGGCTTTTCCCCCTTTTTCCAGCCATTTTTCACTAATTTTTGTTGTTTTTCCTCCCCCAACCTCGTATTTCTAGCCCCGCCCGCTTCTATTTCTCGATCCGCCGCCGCAAAACGAAGCAAATCACAACCGTGCTTTTCTCGCAACGGAATTATCAGCGGAAAACGGAAGCTGCTGAAAATATTCCGGAACCACCTTCCGCGTCGACTTTGCCCCCCTATCATCTTTTTTTAGGTCAGTTTACTTATGTATTTTTCCGTAATTACAAAAACCGTAGTTTTTTCATCAACTTTTTTACAGAAACTTCACAATTTGGTGGCAATTTGGGCGAATTCGAGGAGGACATCAATGCAGGTAATTTTTTGAAAATTTCCGCGCAAAAACTGTTAATTTTCAACTTTCAAATTTTTTAGCACAGAAATCTTGAATGTTCAACAAAAAATGATTTAAATATAAAACATCAGGTCTGATTTTTGGCCCCAAACTTTTTAATTTTCTTTTACATCATAAAATTAAAAAATCGAGCTTTTACAATTTTCCCAGTTCGCAAACCAGATCTAAGACCTGGTCTTTAAGACCCACACTTCAGAAAAATTATAAGATCATTTGGAAATTTCACCAGGCTTCGAAAAAAGTTCTGCTGCTAAAAAAAAACATTTTAACCATGTAAAAAAGTTAATGTGTCACTCTATTTTTGTTTTTCAGAGCGACTTCACTTATCAAATAATAATCAGTCACCCGAGGATCTTCTAATTATTACTTTTCTATATGTTTAATAAATATTGTTAGTGAAATCTTAACTAATTGCGATGAAGAATACAAAGCAAAGCGGAAAAAATCGATTAAAAGCTGCGACATGCCTGCCGCACTTCTGCCACAGATTTGACCTCGGCAGGACTGCGTCAGATCTACCAGAATTTCGCTTTTCGAATCCAGCTATGAAAGTTCGGGTCTAGAACACTGTTGATATGTGGAAAAATTCGAAGAATTACAGTAACTATGTTGAACCAGTGCCGAAAACTACAGTATCCTACAGATTACTGTGGAAAAGTCAGAAAACTACAGTATGCAACGTGCTTTTTAAGCCGGAAAATTAAACACGGCGTACTGTAGTTTACAGTCATCCGCGTTATTTCAAGAATACTATAGAATCGTGCGAATCAGCCGAGCTCAAACAATCATTGGTTACTGTAGAGAAAAATCTACAGTAATTCAATATGCTGTCATGTCAGATTACTGTAGGTAGATGACAACAATTACAGTAACCCAAAACAACTACAAATCTCCGCTTTTCTGGGAGAATTGTAGAAAAAACACGAAAACAAATACAAGTCTCGGCTTTTAAGCGAAACTTGCAAATAAAAAAAACAGTAAGAAATTTAGAAAAAACAGAAATTAAAAGATTGATTGAAATGTGGAGAATTTGAAGAAGATGAAAAAGCTGGAAAAAATACATTTTTCATTTTATTTTAATTTCCAAAAAAAAACAAGATTTTCTCTAAAAATTCATATTGGGCATAGCTTCCGCATCTCCACTGAAATTCCGAAAAATAACTAATAAAATGAAGAGTTTTCATGATTTTCTAATTAAAAAAAATCAAGAAAACTCTAAATTTCATTAGTTATTCGCTGGATATTTCAGAAGATCATATTTATTTTTATATTAATACTTACCATAATCAAAAATTGATTTGTTCAGTAGAGCGAATTTGATCGACTGGCCAATCTCAAACAAAAAATTGAATTGAATTTAAAAAAAAAAAGTTTTTCTCTAAAAATTCAAAATTTGGGCATAGCTTCCGCATCTCCGCTGAAATTCCAATTTCAAACTAATAAAATTCAGTTTCTCAAGATTTTTCGGCGTCAAGAAAATCAGGAAAACATAAATGTTATGAGTTTCAAATTGAAATTTCAGAATTGAAATTTATTTTTTCTCACTCACCAAAACTATTTGTCCTATATCTTCAGGAGAATTGCGAGAAAATCATAAGCGATAGTGTTCTGAAAAATTTCGATATTTTTTTCTGAAAAAAAATAGAGCAAAATCTCACCTATTTTCTGGGTGCTAAGAAAACGCCAATCAAAAATACACCAGCAATTATAATTTGTGATATAATTAAATCGTCAAATCATTCCAAGTTTAGTTTTCTCGATCTTTTGATAACTTTTCGAATTCGATGCCAGCGAAAACAATTCACGACTCAGAATAGAAGTTGACTTTGTTGTTGTCTGTTGGAGATTGATTTCTGACTGCCAATCTGGAATAAAAGTTGAATTTCCATTGTGACATTTTGAAGTTTTCTCATTGAAAATTAAAAAATTGGGCATAGCTTCCGCATCTCCGCTGAAATTCCATTTTGAAACTAATAAAATCAACTATTTTCCAAGATTTCCAAAAAGAAAATCGAAAAAAATAAAAGTTTTAGCAGTTTCAAATTGCGATTCCAGAATTTCAATTTGATTTTTTCACTCACCAAAAAGTTGAAGCGACTACCAGAATCTCTCGAATTTGATGAAAATTTGAATTTGATGATTGTCAACAGCTGGGACATGAAGATTCGTCTGCAATAAATTTTGGAATTGATTTTGTGAAAAAATGAAATTTTTTTAAGTGTTGAAATTGGATTTTTTTCTTATAAATTTAAAAAAAAATAAGTTTTTGATTAAAAATTCAAAATTTGGGCATAGCTTCCGCATCTCCGCTGAAATTCCAATTTCAAACTCATAAAATTCAGTTTTTGTGATTTTTCTGCTACAAAAAAAATCAGGAAAAACTGAATTTTATGAATTTCAAATTGCAATTCCAGAATTTCTATCAGATTTTTTTGACTCACCAAAAAGTGCCTGATTTTTCAGTTGATAATTGAAGCTGTGATTGATGGAGTTGAAAAAACAATCGATTCAATCTGAAAAAAATTTCAATAATTATATAGATCACATTCAAAATTTTAAGTTTTTCCTTAAAAAATCAAAATTTGGGCATAGCTTCCGCATCTCCGCTGAAATTCCAATTTCAAACTGTTAAAATCAACTATTTTTCAAGATTTTCACAAAGAAAATCGAGAAAAATAAAAGTTTTAGCAGTTTCGAACAGGATATTTCAGAAGTTCACATTTATTTCAAGAAATTTTTCACTCACCAATTTCCCAAATTTTCGTGAAGAATTGAAGTTGAGGGAATTCAGCCTATGCTATCTGAAAAAAAAAATTTTTTTTTAAACTTTTCATGGATTCAGTTATAAGATTACTTTGCTCCATCGCATTTGCTCAATTTTCGAAAATTCTCGATTTTTGGCTGAATTCTGTGCTCTTCAACGAGTTCTGCACCAAAATTGCTGCATTTTTGTTGAGGGGTGAAGCTGAGGCAATCCATCCATCCAAGTTCCACGTGTTTTTTTTCGAATTGCTGGAAATTTCTCGAATTTTCAACCAAACCATGCATTTTTTGAAAAGCTCCTCATAATTTCAGAAATTTTCAAAACAAAACACCGCGCGCTCCAAAATCATCCATGGAAATGTGCAAAACCCGTGATAACTGTTACTTTCCTACAGCTTTCGGTTATCCAAAAGGATTCTTTGACAAATCCCTACTCAAATTCGAAACAAATTTGAATAGTTGCGGGTTTCAACAACTGGTAAACGTACTTGCTCAGAAAGTAACCCACATTTCACACTTCGTATTTCGGGGGCGGTGATTGTTTTCAAAAAAAAAGTGACTGGGGAAAAATCGGACAGAAAATAAACTTATCTTTTTTCGAGCTCCAAATCGCCTGATATTGGATGAATTCTTCGCCAAACTCGAAGCGATTCTGAAAAAAATCGATAAACGGTGAAAAAATGAAGACCCAAAATTCATGAATTTTGGTCAAAATTTTGTCAGGGACTAGTTTTGGAGTTCTAGGCCACCAATTTTCACATTTATTTTTATACCAGAAGGGCTTCTACAGCAGTTTGACTTACTTAATTCATTTTCTCCGGTTAGAAAAAGAGCAACATTGAGAAATGACTAAAAATAATATTCGAATATGCGAGAAATTAGAGCGAAACGTGGAATGATTTTTTAAAAATGCTGCCACATCAGCAATGACGTGTTACACGTGAAATTTATTATTTTTCTGGGTTTTCGTTTCTCTTTTTTTTTCTTCCGAAGAGAAAAAGATTTCGTTTTGATACTTCTGAATTTACCATTTTAAAATTCTCACCTGATTTTTCAACCAATATTTCAAAACTGGTAGAATAATCCATGTCTTGAGCAAAAAAAGGTGCGTGCAGTGAACATAAAACACAGAAAAATATATTTTGAAAAGTTTGAAAACTTTTGAATAAAAAACAACAAATTAAGCTTTCTATTATTATTATTTATTTTGTAATTATTGGAGTATGACGCGAAACTTTTTATCAATTTTGAATAACGATTCAACAATTCCAAGCCATGAATACCGAAATCTTGTCGATTCAACTGCTCTCGAATCTCAATCAATTTCTCGTTTGCCTCCTCGATTGATTTGACTTGGATTTTTTGGCTTGCTTTTGTTGTTGTGGAGAACTCGTCGAACACGCCATCTTCTCTTTTTTGCAATTTTCGCCGCTGGTGCTGATTCTGGAGGACTGAAGCATGCTCGGCGCTTTCGGTTGACAGGTCGCGCAGTCGATGCTCTTGGCGACAAAACCATCGGTTGATCGAAATTATTTGGTGCATCGTCGTCGAAATTGTTCAGCGCATCCTGAGCAATATAATGATGATAAGCGGCACGGGGAATCAATGCGCCTTTGTATTCAACCCAGTCCGCCTCCACCTCTTTCTTAACCGTCTTTTCTGGCCAGTCTGATGGTTATTGGTGGATTTGGACTTGTGGAAGCTGTTGGTTCGGCGCAAATTATTGGTTTTTCCACAGTTTGCGGGCTCGTTTGCACCAAAACCTCCTGCACAGCCTTCCAATTTGTCCACATCTCGTTGGGAACAAAATAATCGCCAATGTCTACATCGCCATTATCGAGGACTGGAAATTGACGGTAGATTGGCTGTTGCTCAATTACAACATGACGTGGTGATTGGAGAGGAGACGACGAATTTGAATTTGCCGTGTTTCGAGAACTGTGAACACTTCCATCTGCATTTTCAGCTCCAGCTTGTGGTTCAGTTGGTGGCGATTCTGGATTTGCAGCTTCAGTTGGTAGCAGAGGCGACTGGGGTTCAACTGATTGATTCGACGAAATTTCACTGGATGCTCGCGGATTTTCAGCAACAAGTTTATCGAAAATCAAGCGCCTATTACAATTCTTCGATTTTGCCGAAGCTTCCAGAACAATCGATCCTGTGTCGTCATAGCTAGGTGTCAATGATCGTGACCCAGTCTCCGAAGTCATCGCACCTCGGAATTCCTTCAAAATTCGCCGATTTTCCGACACGTCTTCGGGAGTGAATTCATCTGATTCCTCTCTCATTTCAACTTGATTTCGATCGATCGCGAATTGCTGAAAATATGGAGTTTAGTAAGTTTTTTGCTCAAATTTTCAAGACATTTTGAGGAAATTTTCAGAAAAAAAACCTACATCATTTGAATTTGTCGATTTTGGAGACTTTTGAGAACTTTCATCTGGAATTTCAGCTTCAGCTTGTCGTTCAGGTTCAGTTGGTGGCGATTCTGGATTTGCAGCTTCAGTTGGTGGCAGAAGCGACTGGGGTTCTGCTGATTGATTCGGCGGATTTCCAGATTCCAACAGTACATTCGGCGAAATTTCAGTGGATGCTCGCGGATTTTCAGCAACAAGTTTATCGAAAACCAAGCGCCGATTACAATTCTTCAACTTCGCCGAAGCTTCCATAACAATCGATCCAGTTTCGTCATAACTTGGTGTCAACGATCTTGAATCAGGCTCCGATGTCATAGCACCTCGAAATTCCTTCAGAATGCGCCGATTTTCTGACACGTTTTCCGGAGTGTATTCTGGAGATGGTTGAACACTTTCATCAGGAAGAATTGCTGGAGCATTTTGTGTAACTTCTGGTCTTTCGCGCGCGATTCTCGATCGAATTGATGAAGCAGAAAAATCGCTGTCAAACTCATAATCCTCGGAATCTTCAAAAACTTTGAACTTGCGGTTCTCGGGATTTTTCTGAAAAATGGAATTTGAAGAAAGAAAAAAATCATTAGGAAAAAAAAATCAACTAACCGATTTGAACACTTCCATTGGCCGAGTTTCAGCAGGTTTCTCGGAAAGTTGCGCATTTCGAACTTGTCCAGGTTCATCAACAGTTGCAGAATCTTCTACTTCAGTTTGTTCCAAGATTGTTGAAAGACGAGCCATGTGTCCGATCCGCTCGAAAGATCTTGTTGTTGTTGTTGGTTTGCCGGAGTTGTCTCAACGGCGTTGGTGGGTACACTGGCGTTATCCAGTTTGATCGCAGTGGGAATTTGATTGTTCTGGAAAAATGAAATGAGGTGATACATATTTTAATTTGAAAAAAAAACGGGTAAATGGCAGAACAGGCCCCCACCCCAATTCAGGTCCCCACGTCCCAGGAGAAGCCCCCACTTTGGACCCACCCAGAGAAAAATCAATATTTTGGTGGCTTCATCTTGGGTGGGGGTCCATAAAAAATCCGAATGATTAGTTTTTTGCCAATTTTTCCGAACAAAAATTTGCTACGTGTAATTTTCTTTCTCGCGGGTAGGTCAAAAAAATTTTTTTTTTTCGTTATTTTTTCCATAAATTTTTTTTTTTGAAAATACCGCGCGGGGCATGTAACATAGTTCCGAATCGGGGGCATAAAATGATATGGGTGGGGGGCCTGTTCTGCGTTTCACCCAAAAAAAACAAACAAACAACCAAAGATCTGGAAATTTCAGAAAATTATCAATTTCTAGATATCCAAAATTTTCAGAAAAAAAAATAAAAATTTTCTGAAAAAATTCAGATTTTCAGACAAAAAAGTCTGGAAATTTCAGAAAATTATCAATTTTTAGATATCCAAAAAATTCAGATAAAAAAACAAGATTTTCAACCAAAAATCTGAAAATTTCAGATAAAAATAATACATAAAATATTCCACATCGAAAAAAAAAACAAGAACAACGCCGCAACAACTCAAAACAGGGCCACACTGTCTGCACTCTCTCATTTTCCATACTATTTACACACCCCATTTTAAAGAACGCCGTCTCTTGCGACTTTTATCAATAGAGCGCACTTGCTTTGTTTACCAAAAAAAATTGTTTTTTTTTTTCGAAAGAAGATTTTTTTTTTGAAATTATGTTTGGTGATAGTAGAGGACATTTTTGATAAGTTTTGAGAGCTCCAGCTTCATCTCAAAAGCTCTTATAAGTTGTTATCACTAAATTATCAATATAATCTGATAAGGCTGAAAATCGGGAATTTTTAGGTTTTCGAATATGGGGAATCGTATGGTGATAATGATTTTGTCTGTGACTTCTTGAGGAAAAAGTGAAAAAAAAAGAAAAATGAAAAATTCAAATTCTGTGCAAACACCGCGACGCACAACTGCACAGTATTTTCGCGGGTTGTTTGAAAAAACATTTTTTTTTCTCTCAAATAAATTGTGGATTTTATTAGTTTCAAAATGGAATTTCAGCGGAGATGCGGAAGCTATGCCCAAATTTTGAATTTTTCTTGAAAATCTTGTTTTTTTTTGGAAAATCAAAACAAAAATTTATGTTTTGGTTAATATTACAGTAGTCCTCTACTTTTTGTAGTGTCTACCGTAATTCTTCAAATTCGCCACGTTTCAATCAATTTCTTACTGTATTTTTTATTTGCGAGTTTCGCTTAAAAGCCGAAACTAGTATTTGTTTTCGTGTTTTTTATAAAATTCTCTCAGAAAAGCGGAGATTTGTAGTTGTTTTGGGTTACTGTAATTGTTATCATCTACCTACAGTAATCTGACATTACAAAATTTTGAATTACTGTATATTTTTCTCTACAGTAACTATTGATTGATTGAGCTCGGCTGATTCGCACCATTCTATAGTATTCTTTAAATAACGCGGAGTACTGTAGAATACAGTACGCCGTGTTTAATTTTCTACTTAAGAAGTTCGTTGCACACTGTAGTTTTCTGACTTTTCCACAGCAATCTGTAGGATACTGTAGTTTTCAATCTTGATTTCAATAATAATTTTTATTAAAAACATAAAAATGAAATAATTAAAAGATCCGTAACTGATTATTATTTGATAGGTGAAGTCGCTCTGAAAAACAAAAATAAAGTGACAAATTAACTTTTTAAAATGGTTAAAATGGTTTTTCGAGCAGCAGAATTTTTTTCGAAGCCTGGGGAAATTTCCAAATGATCTTATAATTTTTCTGAAGGTCTTAAATCTGATTTGTGATATGAGAAAACTGCTGTAAAAGCTAGATTTTTTTAAATTTGAAAAACTCATAACAACAGGCAATAAAGAATCAAGTATGACTGTAGCTCAAAAAATTCAATTTTTGCGTCGAAATTGCCACGTGGCGAAAAACCTACGATTGAATTAATAAACAAAAATTTGAATTTTCAAATGTTCAAAAAAAAATAACGGGCTGTTATTTTTCAGTGATGGCCCATCATCACTGATGGGTAAGCCTGATGTAAAAGAAAATTCAAAAAGTTTGGGGCCAAAAATCAGACATGATTTTTCATTTTTAGGTCATTTTTTGTTGAACATTCAAGATTTGTGTGCTAAAAAATTCAAAATTCGAAAATTAAAGTTTTTGCGCGGAAATTTTCAAAAAATTACCTACAATTGATATCCTCCTCGAATTCGCCCAAATTGCCACCAAATTGTGAAGTTTCTGTAAAAAAGTTGATGAAAAAACTACGGTTTTTGTATTTACGGAAAAATACATAAGTAAACTGACCTAAAAAAAAAAGATGATAGGCGGCAAAGTCGACGCGGAAGGTGGTTCCGGAATATTTTCAGCAGCTTCCGTCGTTTTCCGGTGATAATTCCGTTGCGAGAAAGAGCGCAGTTGTGATTTGCTTCGTTTTGCGGCGGCTGATCGAGAAGTAGAAGCGGTGGGGCTAGAAATACGAGGTTGGGAGAGGAAAAAAAACAAAAATTAGTGAAAGATGGCGGGAAGAAGGGGGAAAAGCTAGAAAAAATCACCCAAAAATGAGAAAAAATGACCAGAATTCTGTCGTTGATGTTTGATTTCATGGAATAATTTTATGTGTTGCGGATCTCCAGTTGCAGCACAATTCCACGCTGAAAATAATGTTGGAAATTTATTTTTTACAGGAAAATCATTATCAAAACAATGATTTGAATTTTTTTAAATAAAAAATTTTGAAACAGTGAAATTTCTCAGTTAAAAAAATAGAAAATATTCAGAAATTTCTCACAAAAACCATCGGAAACTTCACTGTTTCAAAATATTCTATTTTTTCAGTTGAAAAATTATATTTATATATTTTTTTTTCAAAATCGAAGAGGGAAGTTTCCTTCTCGAAAATGAAATTTACACCATTTTTCACATAAAAACCGTGGAACAGTGAAATTTCTCGATTTATAGAAATCTCACTGTTTCAAAATTTTCACATTAAAAATTCGGTTGAACATTTTTTCAATATGTAACGGCTAAACTCCTCCCCACCCAAAAAATCCCTCACCTTTTCACTCAAACTCTTTCTTCCCGGAGCTTCTCAATAAAACGGATCATCCGTCGGATTCTCCAAAATCGTCTCATCTTCTTTCGAATTCTGTCTCAAATGTTGTGAATCTGATGAGACTGTGATCGGTGACAACATCGATGATGAAATCGACGGCGAAGTTGCTGTAATTCTCGATGAATATCTCGAAATCGGGTCAGGTTTCTTAGAAGGTTCTCGAATAATCGACAATTTGACATGTGATGGTCCGATTGATTTCAATTTCTTTGTCAGCGCTGCTGAGTTTGTCAAACTTCCAGCTCAATATCTTCAATTCCAACAATTCTGTCGTTGATTTTCAGCCGATCATCTTTGAAAGCAGCTCCTGAAAAATTCACTGTTTCAGAATTATTTCAATTAAAAAAGAGTTCTTTTGCAATTATTAATTCTATTATATAATTCGGAAAAAATCACTGTTTCAGAATTGAAATATCCATTTTTTTTGTAAAGGTAAAATTTCAGAATTAGTTTCAAAAAATATCACTGTTTCAAAAATACAATATCAACATTTTTCTGTCTAAAAAATGAATTGTGAGTGTGAGTTATACTAACTTTAATTTTTTTCCCGCAGACTTCCCAAGTAATTTGCCCGCAGACTTCCCAAGTAAAATGTCGGAAAATTTCCGGATTTTTTGAACCGGAAAATCCGGAAATTCGAAAAAATTCACAGACCTGATTGAAAAGATCGAATTTTGTGAAAATTTCAATTTTAAAACCAACATTTCACCAAAAAACTTAAGTTTTGAAGCGTTTTTTGCCCGGAAAAATTAGAATTACTCAAATTTTGGCCCCAAACCAACTCACATTCTTAATAAATATCCCACAATCATTCCTTGCTCCATCCGATTTCACAGAAACCCTCGCTTTTAGGCTAACTCCCAATCCAGCCGAGCCACTATTATTCAGTGGGATAATCAGTTAAAATCGCTCATTTTCCGGAATCTCTAGGGTTATTTCTTCGCCAGCTTTCGCATTTTCAGCTGGATTTTCCCCATTTTCGCCTGTTTCAGCCTGTCAACAATTTCCAGCTGGCTCAAATTTTCTGTAGACTCTTCATTGATTTCCAGCAATCGATCACCAGATTTCAAATGTCCTAGGCCAACTCCATAAGGCTTCACAGTTCCGATGTAGAAAAGTCGTTCGCCTTTTGCAGTTTAGCGGCCAGTTACGGTAAATCCAAAGCCATTTGAGCCTGGAAAATTGAAGAGTTTTGGAAAAAAAAATCAATTTTTCGTGAATCAAGAATCAAATCTCCCAAAACCCAATTTTCCTCTTAGAGGAATCCTCTATAAAATTCTTGAAACAGTAAATTTCTGAGAATTTCAAAAATCCAAGAAAATTACAATTTTCAATTAAAATTCGATTCTTCAATTAAATTACGGACAAGATATCAGTTTTTGTCAATATTTTCACACTACATACTTTTTTTTTCACACTACAGTTTTTTTCAATACTTTCACATGTCGAGAAACCATCAAATTTCCGAAAAAACCAATTTTCTCATATAAATTTTTTGAAACAGTGAATTTTTTGAAAATTTCTGAAAAACACTTTTTTGTTGAATGAAAAACCAGAAATCATGTTTTCACCCTACAGTTTATCAGAATCAATTTCCCAAAACCCAATTTTTCTCATATAAAATTCTTGAAACAGTAAATTGAATTTTATGATTGAATAGTAGAACTAGAACTAAGCTTCCTGATTGTCAAGATTACCACAAAAAATTTTCCCAATTTTTAATATAAAATTCTTGAAACAGTAAACTTTCTGAGAATTTCAAAAAGTAAAAATTTGCCTATTTTCAGATTTGAGAGTCAAATTTTCGGCTAAAATTTACAAATTTCAATTAAAATTCGATGTTTCAAGTGAATTACGGTTTTTAAATGAGTTTTTGTCAAACTTTCATAAGTGAGCACAAAAACGTCTACCAAATTTCTTTTATAAAATGCTTGAAACAGTGATTTTTTTTTCAAAATTCCGAGAAACCTATAGAATTCAGATTTTTCAGTCAGGAAAAATTTTTGAAACAGTGAATTTTTTGAAAATTTCAAAATAACCTAGAAAATCATAAATTCTGAGCCAATTGCTTTGTTTGAAAATCTTTGAAAAACATTTTTTAATATAAATAAAAAAAACACAGAAATCATGTTTTCAATCGAAAATTATCAAAATAAATTTTCAAAAAGCCATTTTTTTCATACTCAGAGATTCGCTGGCCAGCTGGTCACTAGGTGGGACCGACTGCCCATCTGAAATTGACACGGACAACCACATCGCCCGTATTTTTTGCCAGACGACCTGGTCGCGAGGTGGTTCAGTTCATGCAGACCACCTCGCCCAGGTTGTCCAGCTCGACCCGACCTCGCGTCCAGATCGTCTCGCTTAAGAGAAAAAAGTCCAAAAAACTTGTGAATCCGAGCATTCTAGAAGAAATTGGCTCATTTTCTGTTTTTTCGGAGTACTAGAAACCTTAGGAAGTGAAAAAAACAGTAAAAAATGCACTATTTTGAGTACAAACCACCGTCTTGCTAGCTTTCCAGGATTTCAAACACACAGGCCACGTGGCCGGAAAACTCAAGGCGACCTGGTGGCCGAATCAAATTCAGCTCGTTTTGAACTTTCCGGCCACCTGGTCCTGAACTAGTGGCGAGCTGGCCAGCGAATCTCTGAGTATAAAATTCTTGAAACAGTAAATTTTCTGAGAATTTCGAAAAGCCTAGAAAATTACAATTTTTAGATTTGAGCCTCAATTTTTGGCGTAAAAATAGGATTTTTCAATAGAATTAAATTTTATGGCTGAAAAGTACTAGAAATTTGTAAACACTATTTTCAATATAAAATTCTTGAAACAGTAAATTTTCTGAGAATTTCAAAAGTGAAAATTTTCCTATTTTAGACTGGAGCTTAAGTTTTTCAGCTAAAATTTACAAATTTCAATTAAAATTCGATGTTTCAAGTGAATTACGGACTAGAAATCGGTTTTTGTCAAAATTTTTACAACACATTGAGAAAATAATCAAATTTCCGAAAAAACCAAATTTCTGATATAAATTTCTTGAAACAGTGAATTTTTCGAAAATTTCAATTTTTTACCCCCCAAAAACAACTCACTCTTAACCAGCTCAACAATTTGCGTCTGTCCAATATATTGTGTATTTGCAGCTTGCAAAGCTGAAAATATCGGTTTCTGATCGATATTATTCTCATCGCTAAATGTTTCGATTGATAGCAAAATGGTCAAAGTGACTGATTTTGTAGAGAAGAGAGACAGGTCAGCGATATAAGCACGAGCTCTTAGAATTGACATCTGGAAGACAAAATTATATGGTTTTTCAACTTGAAAATTGAGAAAACAAAATTTTGCCCAGTGAAAAATCTACTGTTTCAAAATTTTCAAAAATAAAAGTGAATCGTTTTGGTAAAAGTTTTGTAATCCGTTAATTTTGTTTTCAAAAAATCCTGATAAAATGGCCCTGAGACCAATTTTTTGTCTTTTAATCTACATAGTATAATCGTCTAATAACCAGAAATTGACAGACAGTGAATCAGAGGTTCAAATTTACTTGAAAATTTCAGAAATTGTATTTTTTGCCCAAAAAATTTAGAATCAGGTGCAAAAATTGGACATTTTAGCCTTTTTTGAAATTCCCAAAAATTCACTTTTTTAAAACAAATTTTCATATACAATTCTAGATAAATCAACTGTTTCAAAAAAAATCGTCTAGGACGATTTTCAACGAAAAAAATCCAGGGAAAACATTTCAAAAAAATCGTCTCAAGATCACAATTTCACGAAAAACCAGAATTTATAACCTACAGCTCAAGAAAATCGTCCTGGGGACCAATTTTCATGTTCTGAAGCTCAAAAAATCTCAAACTTCATTTAAAACATCCAACTTTAGGACCCAAATCACCTAGAAAAACGTCTGGAAGCCAAATTTCAGCTTCTGAGGCGAAAAAAATCCCCGTACCTGATAAACCGGTCTGCCATCAATCTCAACAATACTATCACTAACTTTCAACCGTCCATCCCTCTCAATTCTTCCATTTTTCTCAATTTTCATAATCTGAACAGCTGTCAATTTCTTATTCTGCGAGTTAGCGGAAGTCAAAGGAGTTGAGGTAGCCTCATCATAAACCGCATTCACTTCTAGGCCCATTTCCGGGACAATTTCCATATCTTGATCAATTTTGGGCGGTAAAAATGTGACAATTGTAGTTCCAGTCATCGGACCTTCTAAAACCGGCCCTTTTTTGGGTCTCCTTCTCTTTTTCTCCAATTTTTTCGACTAATCGAATCCAAAAAATCCAAAAATGCATCATTTATTCGCGATTTTCTTCTCGTATCGCGGTTTTTCTCGACTTCTGAAAAAATGATGGGCTAGAAAATGTGAAAAAATTTTGAAATTTCGAGTTAGGAAATGTCAAAAATCATGATTTTCTCAATTTTTTGCACCTGAATTCAAATTTGGATGAATTTAAGCTGAATTTCGGGTCAAATATTCAAATTTCGAATTTTTGGAGCCAGAAAATCGATTTTTCATATGAAAACCTCAGAAACTCAAATTTCAGGTCAAATTTTTTGAATTCTTCATGAATTTGAGGGCAGAAGCTTAAGATTTAGCCTAAAATTTGACAATTCTTCAATATTCTGATTTTTTGACTGAAAATCCACGTGGATTTCAAACTTCAACACCGAAAATTCGAAAAAAAAAATGAATTTCCGGTCAAATTTTGTGATTTTTCCAACCAAAATCCACGTGGATCTTTCAAATTTGCATAACATTTTCTTCCTAAACTCACGAGGACTTAGTGTAACTCTAGCCTATTGCATCTTCTTCACATTCTCCTGATTATTTCTGCGCAAAATCGGCTTGATTTCCGTCGAGAACAGCAAATCCTCCATATTCGTTCGAATTCCAGTCGGAGTTTTGTGAACTCGTAATCCCGGTGAAATTGGGCTTTCCAGATTTTTCACTTCGATAATTGAGTCATGACGGGATTTGTGGAAGGAAGAAGAAGCAGATGTTGAATTTGAAGTTGAGGTGTAGGAAATGGGATTTTGAACTGATACACTTCCTGAAAATTAGATTGTGGATAATTTTGAAGAGAAAAAGGTGCGACAATATCATAACCAAGACAGTTTTTAATATGAAACAGTACAATTCTGATACAAATTCGCTATAGCGATAGCCAATATTTGAAGCTTACCTTTCTACAGAAAAATAGTGATTTTCTATGGAGAAAGTCCCGATTTTGGGCAAAACGGGGAACTTTCTCCATAGAAAATCACTGTTTTTTCATAAAAAAGTAGGCTTCAAATATTTTTTTGGTTGGTACAGTAGTTAGCTCCAAAAATGCCAGCACAAAAAGGATAATTGATTTTTTTGTGAAACTGTAGAAAAAAACAAAAAAAAAATTAAAAATTTGACGTGAAAAAAAAAATCTTCAAAAAATAAAAAGACAAAATTCAACACCTGAAAAAAATAATAAAAACGTGACGTGATTTTTTGCCAACACGAAAAACGCAAAAAACGGTCATTTCCAAAGATTATTAAAATCGGAAAGTGCTGACAAACCAAAATGTCCTCAAGTGACCGAAAAAGAAAGTCCGAAGACCAAAATGACAATTATCCTGGACCCGACAAAAAGGCTGTCCCTGAAGAGGATGTGAATATGGCGATGGATAATACGCAAGAAGATGAGGAGGCGGTACCAGTGCCAAATAAGGTAAGTTAATATAACAAATTGATTTTTTGGAAGGGACTTTTTAAAACAAAGAAAAGAAGCGAGTAATACTGTATATTTTTTGACCGCGGGGACTAGTTTTTCATGATTTTCTAGGCCGTGGTGGAAATTTTGAGTGGGAAATTGGATTTCTAGGTAATTTTTGATCGGAAGGCCAATTTTCTACTCAAAACGGCCTAGAAAATCATCAAGGACTAGTCCCTGTGGTCGAAATGGCCTAGAAGTTCAATTTTCTAGTTAAAAACTCGGCCACGGCCTAGAAAATCATGAAGAACTAGTCCTTGCGATCAAAAATGACCTAGAAATCCAATTTTCCACTCGAATACTCGGCCACGACCTAGAAAATCATGAAAAACTAGTCCTTGCGATCAAAAATGACCTAGAAATCCAATTTTCCACTCGAATACTCGGCCGCGACCTAGAAAATCATGAAAAACTAGTCCTTGCGATCAAAAATGACCTAGAAATTCAATTTTTGGTTAAAAATTCGACTTGGCCTAGAAAATCCTGAAAAATTGGATTTCTAGCCAAAACATTTCTGAATTTGTAAAACTACCATGAAATTTGACTGAAAACCTAGAAAATATGGAATTTTCAATGAGAAAAAAAGGAAAATTGTTAAAGAATCCTTGAAAATATAAAATGTTTGATAAAAATGAGATAAAAAAAAAAAAAACTTGAGAATTTGAGAAAATATAAGAAATATTCAAAATATTTCGAGTTTCCAATGTGTTTGAGCTTCTAAATTGTTTTTTTTATAGATCGTGACACAAAATCCGCAAATATTCGATCCGAGTTTGGATGTGCCTTTCACATTCAACTCGGATCGATCAGAAACGGATTTATCTCCCATTGAACTGGTAGCTCCACCATCTCTACCACCTCCCTCTCCACCTCCTCGATCACCAATATCACCAAGACGCTCAAGATCCGAGCCAACAACACCATCGGATGGAGAGCCGCTCTCGAAAAAGCTAAAGTTCCCACCAGACTTGTGTGATATTAGAGATCGTTCGAAGAGGGATTCCGCCGAAATCCGCCAAGTTTTCAAAGAAAGCTTTCAAGAGGTCGTAGATTTATCAAAAGTGACTGAGAGATCAGAGCGATCGCAACAAACATCGCCTGTTCTGACACTTTTGCCTGTTCAACGCGCTCAACTCGTGAATATTCCTCAACTGGCGCCTGAACAGACGATTCGAGTTTTGCCAGCGATTCAATTTGTTGGAAGAAATGTTGATTTGGAAGTTGCACCTGTGGAAAGAGTCGAATATTTGGATGTTGCTCAACGGAACACCGCGCAAAATATTCCGCTTGGTCAAAATGTTGAAAATGTTCAACTTCTCGCCGCTCAACCAACAATCAATGCGAGAGTTGCGGACATCGTTGTGGCTGCTGTCCAAGTTGTTCAGTTCGCTCCACCACCTCCACCACAACGCGAATTGGATGATTTGGACGAGGTTGTTGCTGGACCACCACCACCAGCAGCTCCTCTTGCGCCTCAACCAGCTCCACTTCCTCAACAACCACCACAAGTTGCCGCTGCTCTTCAACCACAACCACCACAAGTTGCCGCTCCACCTCCACCTCCACAAGTTGCTGCTCCGCCCCCACCTCCACCACCACCATCTCCACCAACATCAGGAAATGACTGGGTGAAAGAATGTGAAGACTGGCTGGCTATTATTCAGCGCTGCTTTGATGCAGTCATCCGCGGGCAGGTGACGAACCAAACCATCGACGCAATCCAATCGTTGACGCGCTGTCGCTCGACATTGCGAAGATGGGTTCGTGCACAACCCGCGGAATCGGACGATAAGATGGATAAAATGATCCAAAGGATATCACGGGCGAAACAACTTGTACCGAAACTCAAGTAATTTTCGGGAATCTGTGAGTTTTTTTGAAATTTCCCCATGGATTTTAGAAATTACCCATTTACCCCATGAAATTTTAGCAATTGGGAACCCTCTATATTTCTTAGTCACCCTAAAAACCCCCAAAAACCCCGAAAACGAACAAAAAACAAAAAAACACAATTTTTTTTTTTTCGAAATGAAAAAAAGTGCAATGGGGCGCACTTGTTTGCTTTGTCAAAATTCGAATTTTTTTATTTTTTCAGGCCACACAACTCGTCTTCAATTACTGCTTTTATTATTATTATTGCTTATATTATAATCAAAAATTAAGAAAAATACAAAAAAAAAAGAAAAAATCTGAAAATCCAAAAAAAGAAAGAAATAAATAAAATCCAAAAAAATTGAAAAAAATTGAAAATCCAAAAAAAATAAAAAATCACCAAAATCCAAAAAAAAACAAAAAAAACACCAAAACCCAAAAAATTCTATTATTATGCTCAATTCTCAATTCTTCGCTTGGAAAATCAATCAATTCTTCCATCAATTTGGAATATTACTGTATTTATTTTCATTCCCTTGGTTTTCCTCGTGGATTTCAATTTTTTGAGTGAGTTTTTTTTTCGAAATTTGAGGCAATTGTATGAATTTCAAAAAAAAATAAGATTTTTCAGCTGAAAAAATTTCAAAATTCGATTTTTTCAGCTGGAAAATCAAAATTTTATTGATTTTTTTGAAATTAAATTTATCTTGGAAAAATTAGAAATTTTCAGATGAAATTGTCGATTATTCAAAAGCCACTTCATTGCTTCGAATTGTTGAAGTTTTCTCCTCCAATTCCAAGAATTTATGCTAGAATATCGCAATCTATTTTCATTATCCAAATGCACAAGATTGTTTGGATATATTTCGGTCTTAATTTTGGAGATTGGAGTGTGCTGAATTTATTATTGATTTTTAATCGAAATTCACTGAAGATTTGACTCGATGAAGCTCAATTCAATCAATTTGGATTATTATTATACTTGTTATTTATTCCCCTTGGTTTTTCGCTGGAAAATGTGGAGCTCGATTATTTGAGTGAGTTTTTTTTTTGAAATTTGAGGCAATTTTTCGAATCTCAATAAAAAATAAAATTTTTCAGCTGAAAAAAATAAAGATTCGATTTTTTCAGCTGAAAAATTAAAATTTTATTGATTTTTTTTGAATTTCAATTTATCTTGAAAAAAATTAGAAATTTTCAGCCGAAATGTTCGAGTTTTTTTCAAGAAATTTCAAAAATTCCAAAATTTCTCGTTTTGAGCTGAAAAATCAGAATTTTATCGATTTTTTCGAGCTCAAATATTTGAAAAAATTTTCAATTTGAAAATTTTAAACTTCATATTCTTGGATTACTGTAAATTTCAGTTTTTAGCTCAAAAATTTAGAATTACCTGAATTTTAGGGTTACTGTAGCTTGAATTCTTTCACAAAAACCTTAAATTTCGAAATTTGAGGCAATTTGTTGAATTTCAATAAAAAATAAAATTTTTCAGCTGAAAAATTAAAATGTTATTGATTTTTTTTTGAATTTCGATTCATCTTGAAAAAATTAGAAATTTTCAGATGAAATCTTCGACTATTCAAATACGATTTCATTGCTAATTATTGAAGTTTTCTTCTCGATTCTACCATTATTCGCAAGTTTTTTGTTGATTTATTTTCGATTTGATGACTCGACTCGATGCGTTCTCCAATTATTTTGTGAGAATCGGAAAATGATTGTAAACAATCCGGGCGTAACTCCGATAACGACGCGCAGGGTATTGGTAGCCGACCTGTGTCAAGTCAAATGAGCGGCTCCCATGCTTTATGCAAAAACCCCCACGCGGATCGTTCAATTGCACCATTTTTCTTCATGAAAATGGTGTCCAAGTAATGAGAAGCGAAATTTTTGGATATTTTGAAGAATCGGAAGATTTGGATCAAATGATGGATGTTTTGGAGATTATGAATTTATTCAATTGAATTTGATGTGATGAATATAAGCATGTATCAATTGACCATTTTTTGCAATTATCGAATATCATTTGGATTGAGATCGGAAGAAAAAATATTAGGAAAATAAATGGTGGAACCAATATTTTTTAATTAGTTGTGCAAGTTGCAAAAATGGAAGATTTATTGGGTTGAATTATGAATATGGAAAGATTATTGAATGAATTCGAATTGAAGGAATATTCATACGATTTTATTCTTCATGATATCAAAATATGTTTTTGAGAGATTCGCGGATCCGGATTTGTATAGAACCAGTGAGTTTTTTTGTGCTTTTTTTTTCAAAAATCCATGTTTTTTCTACTGAAAAATTGAAGTTTTATTTTCAAAAAAAAAGTTTCCGAAAAACCATGATTTTTCTGAAAAAAAAACCTTTTTTTCCTTCTGAAAAATTGCATTTTTATTGATTTTTAAAACTGAAATTTTGATCAGAAAAACACAGTTCGTAATTTACAAACCCAAATCGATAGATCTCAAATTTTTCGATAATTTTTGGTGTAGATCAAAAATAATTTTTCTCTAAATCTCTCATGTTTGTTTGTGTCAAGTCTCAAAAAATGGGCAAAACTTTTAAATTTTTCTGCTAAAAATTTAGAATTTTTAATCAAAGTTCAAAATTTTACAGATCAGACCAAGTTTCCTGAAGTTCAAGTTCAATTTCAATTTTTTTTGGATGTGACCAAATCGACATTTGAATGGATATTTTTATGAGAGTTGTTGTATGCTTTGCTGTAAAAATGCTTGATTTTTGAGTGAGTTTTTTTCAAGAAATTTCAGAAATTTCAAAATTCCTCGTTTTGAGCTGAAAAATCAGAGTTTTATCGATTTTAAAAAATACAAAAGAAATTCAAAAAGTAGACTAAAAATTTGTCAGAGAAATTGGATGCTAATTTCAAATTTTCACAAATTTCATCGAGCTCAAAAATTGGAAAAAAGTTCAATTTGAAATTTTTTGAATTTCATATTCTTGGATTACTGTAAATTTCAGTTTTTAGCTCACAAATTTAGAATTACCTGAATTTTAGGGTTACTGTAGCTTGAATTCTTTTACAAAAACCTTAAATTTAAGTTTACTCTTGGATTGATAAAAACAAATTTCCATTCCAAAAAATTTTCCGAAATAAATTTCAAAAAAAAATATTTATTCATTTTTCAGGCGTGGAATTCGAAACGTGTTCTCGTCGATGTCATTTTCAATTTTTTGGTAGAAAATTCTTTGGCTCGCTTCAAATCATCGACAAGAAATTCTCAAATTTTTCGGATTTTTGACCAAAATCGAGAAGAATTTTATGATTTTTCCAACAACTCGCAATCGAATATTGTGGAAATTTAATTGGTTATTGGTTCTCAACTCAAATATTCGAACTCGAAAAATATGGATTCGAATTTATGGTGAAAAATTGAAGCAGAGATTGAAGAGTCGAATGAATATTTCGAAGGGCTGCATTCCAATTGATGACTGGATGTAGCAAATTCTCCAATGATTTTGTGAGAATCGGAAAATGATTGTATGCAATCCGGGCGTAACTCCGATAACGACGCGCAGGGTATTGGTAGCCGACCTGTGTCAAGTCAAATGAGCGGCTCCCATGCTTTATGCAAAAATCCCTCCGTGGAACATTCAATTGCACCATTTTTCTTTCTGAAAATGGTGTCCAAGTAATGTGAAGCGAAATTTTTGGATATTTTGAAGAATTGGATCAATTCATGGATGTTTTCGAGATTCTATATTTATTCAATTGAGTTTGATGTGATGAATATAAGCATGTATCAATGGACCATTTTCTGCAATTTTTGAATATCATTTGGATTGTGATCGGAAGAAAGAATATTAGGATAATGGTGGATCCAATATTTATAATTAGTTGTGAAAATTGCAAAATGGATGATTGATTGGGTTGAAATATGAAAATGGAAAGATGATTGGATGAATTTATGATGATATGGAATTATGTGTATTTTTGAGCGCGGATCGGGATTTGAATACAATTGGTGAGTTTTTTGTGTTTTTTTTCCAAAAATCCATAATTTTTCTACTGAAAAATTGAAGTTTTATTTTCCAAAAAAGTCTCTAACAATAAAAAAGTAAACCATTTTTTTACAGATCAGATCGGCTGTTGGAGATTTTTGGGCAACCAAAAACTTGGATGTTTTGAAGAAAATGAAGATTTCGATGGATTTATTCGATTGAATTTGGTCAGATGAAATTAATTGTGTATCAATATAACATTCTTGCAATTTTCGAAGGTTTTATTTGGATTGAGATCGAAAGATGGAAATATTGGAGAATGGTGGCTCCAGTATTTTCAATATACATAGTTGTGCAAAAAGCAAAATGGGATATTGATATGGTTGAAATTTGAATATGGAAAGTGGATAAATTTGAATTGAACTTCATGACATGTTAATTTGTGTTTTGAGAGATTCGCGGGTCCGGATTTGTATAGAACCAGTGAGTTTTTTGTGCTTTTTTTTTTCAAAAATCCATGATTTTTCTACTGAAAAATTGAAGTTTTATTTTCCAAAAAACTTTCCAAAAATCCATGATTTTTCTGAGAAAAAACCCTTTTTTCCTTCTGAAAAATTGAATTTTTATTGATTTTTTCAAACTCTAAAAAATTTGAAAATGAAAATTTTTGATTTTTGTAATTCAAATTTCGATAAGAAAAACACAGTTTGTATAATTTACAAACCCAAATCGATAGACCTCAAATTTTTCGATAATTTTTAGTGTAGATCAAAAATAATTTTTTCTAAATCTCTCTCATGTTTGATTGTGTCAAGTCTCAAAAAATGGGCAAAACATTTAATTTTTTCTGCTAAAAATTTAGAATTTTTAATCAATTTTTATTTTTTTACAGATCAGATCTGTGTTTCATGAAGTTCAAGTTCAAGTTCAATTTGATTTGGATGTTAGAAAATCGATATTTGTTTCGCTGGGAAAATGTTGTGATTTATGAATGGAATTGGCAAAACTCGAATATTGAAGGATGAAAATGGAATCGATAATTTATAATTTGGCCAATTATAATTTATTGAACATTCTCCGCTCATTTTTGCCAAAAAATTGAAGATTCCAGAATTTTTGGTGAGTTTCTTGGACGAATTATAATCCAAAATCTTTTGGTGAATTTTGTTTCAATCTCAAAAATCCAAAGAAATTTTCTTAAAGATCAATACTCAAGAATTTCGATATTTTTATCAACTTGTCAAGAATCTGGAGCAGTTTTGGAATGTTTTCTGAATATTTCGCGGAGTTTTGATTGAAGACATGAGGTTGCTCGATTATTAGGTGAGTTTTTTTTTCAAGAAACTTCAAAAAATTCCAAAATGCCTTGTTTTGAGCTGAAAAATTTCAAATTTTATTGATTTTTCAAACAAATAACGTAGTTTTTTTTCAGTGCTGAACTACTCAGTTCTGAAAGACCTGGAAACTTCCTGAAATTGTTGAATTTTCGAGCGAAATTTGGAACTTATTCTGGTTTGAGAATTGATCTGGCTGAAAAAGAAGATCGAAAAATTGTGAAATTTGAAGTCGCACGGGGCGGGAGGGAGGGAGGGGTGCGATTTAGAAGAAGTGAGTTTGAATTTTGATGCATTTTTTTGATGGAAAACATATTCATATTTTTCAGTTCGAATTGTATGGCTTCCGCTGATATTCGATTCAATAGAAGATCTGAAAGTGAGACCTGGAAAAATTCGCAAATTTGTTTCAGTGAGTTTTTGAAACTTTCAAATAAGTGTGTCAAAAATGTTTCAAATTTCAAAAAATACAAAAAAAATTCAAAAAGTAGACTAAAAATTTGTCAGAGAAATCGGATGCTAATCTCAAATTTTCAAAAAATTTCACCGAGCTCAAATATTGGAAAAAAAATTTCAATTTGAAATTTTTAAACTTCATATTCTTGGATTACTGTAAATTTCAGTTTTCAGCTCACAAATTTAGAATTACATGAATTTTAGGGTTACTGTAGCTTGAATTCTTTCACAAAAAATCTTAAATTTCAGCCTATTTCGAAGTCTTGGTTCGATTTTTGATGGGCATCTGTGAGATCTGCGAAAAATTGGGCATTTTTCTGACAAATTCAACATTTTTGATCAAACTGGAACTACTGGAATTATTCGCTGGGAAATTGATAAGGTTAGTTTTTCATTTCCGAAATAAATTGCAAAAAAAAATATTTATTCATTTTTCAGACGTGAAATTGGAAACGTGTCCACGCCGATGTCATTCTCAATTTTTTGGTTTTTCGACTGGCTGGAATTATCATCCGAAAATTCGCACGGGGAAGGGAGGGAACAAGGGGTGCGATTTACTAGATGTAAGTTTGAATTTTGCGATTTTTTTTGATTTTTGAAATTGAAAGAAAATTTATAGAAAATTTTCAAATTTCAAATAAGAACTTTCAATTTTTATCTGGAAATTAGGATTTTATTGATTTTTAAAATTGAAATTTTGATAATAAAAACACAGTTTGTAATTCACAAACCCAAATCGATAGACCTCAAATTTTTCGATAATTTTTGGTGTAGATCAAAAATAATTTTTCTCTAAATCTCTCATTTTTGATTGTGGCAAGTCTCAAAAAATGTGCAAAACATTTAAATTTTTCTGCTCAAAATTTAGAATTTTGATGAATTTTTTGATGAAAAACATATTCATATTTTTCAGTTCGATTTCGATGGCTTCTGCTGATATTGGTTTCGATTTTTGATCAACGGGAAGCTGTTCTTGTGTCTAGGGGAACCAGTTAAGGTTGGTTTTTTGTCATTTCCGAAATAAATTGCAAAAAAAAATATTTATTCATTTTTCAGACGTGAAATTTGAGACGTGTCCACGTCGAAATCATTTGCAATTTTTGGTGGCAAATTTTTTGAATTGCCTTGAATCATGATCAAGAAGTTCCTGGGAGCAAGGTATGCCATTTAGTAGATGTAAATTTGAATTTTTCGGATTTTTTTTTCATAAAAAACATATTTATTTTCAGTTCGAACTGTGAATTTGATTGACTTTCGCTGATATTTGATTCGATTTGTATCTGGAACCTGGCAATGTTTTTGTCAATCACTGAATTTGTGCCAGTTTTCCTTGAGTAAGTTCAGTTTTCAAAATTGTTTTTTAAAAAATTTGATGTAATTTGAAAGCCTATAGCTTCAATTAATTGTCCTAAACAAAAATCCAAAATTTTGATACAAAAATCTTGATTTTCAGCCTATTGGATCGATTTTCGATGGGAATTTGTGAGATTTGCGGAAAACTGGACGTTTTTCAGTCAAACTGGAACTACTTGAATTATTCCCTGGAAATTTGTATCCTGAGGAACCAGATAAGGTTAGTTTTTTGTCAATTCCGAAATAAATTCCAAAACAAATATTTCTTTATTTTTCAGGCGTGAAATTGGAAGGAAACGTGTCCACGTCAAAATCATTTTTGATTTTTTGGTGGCAAATTTTTTGAATGGCTTTGAATCATGATCAAGAAGTTCTCGAAATGTATTGAATTTTATACTGAAAATTCGCACTGATATCAATAGAAGATCTGGAAGAAATACCTGGAAAAATTCGCAAATTTACTTTCAGTGAGTTTTTGAAACTTTCAAATAATTGCGTCAAAAATATTTCAAATTTCAAAAATACAAAAGAAATTCAAAAAGTAGACTGAAAATTTGTCAGAAAAATCGGATGCTAATTTCAAATTTTCAAAAATTTCATCGAGCTCAAAAATTGGAAAAAAGTTCAATTTGAAATTTTTAACTGTAAATTTCAGTTTTTAGCTCAAAAATTTAGAATTACCTGAATTTTAGGGTTACTGTAGCTTGAATTCTTTCACAAAAATCTTAAATTTCAGTCGATTATATGCGATTTGTATTGGATCTGAGAATTTTGACGGTCTGGAACCTGGCAATTTTTTTTGTTGAAAGTCAATCACTGGATTTTCGCCCGTTTTCCTCGAGTAAGTTTAGTTTTCGCAATTATTTTTGAAAGCCAGAAGCCACTGTAGCTTCAAAGAACGAAAATTCAAATTTTTGATACAAAAAATCTTGATTTTCAGCCTATTGGATCAATTTTTGAAGAAAATTTGTGAGATCTGCTGACAACTCGACATTTTTTGGTCAATACTGGAACTACTGGAATTTTATTTTCTAGGAATTCGTATCTAGAGGAACCAAGGTCAGTTTTTTGTCATTTTCAAAATAAATTTCAAAAAAAAAATATTTATTCATTTTTTAGGCGTGAAAATTGAAACTTATCCACGTCCAAACCATTTAAAAAAAATAAGAAAAAATAAGAAAAAAAAGAAAAAAAAAGAAAAAAAGAAAAAAAAGAAAAAAAAAAAGAAAATGAGATTTCAACTTGGATAGTCCCCAATCCTAAGTTGCCCTAACTTTTCCCCCAATTTTTTCGCTTCGACCTTTAGGTATTTTTGTGTCCCTGCTGTTTTTCCCCTAGTTTTTTCTAGAACATTTTTTTGAGCTAACTCGACCCTTACCCTTTTTATTTTTGTGCATTCGTCTCAAGCATAGATGTGGACCTTGATAAGGTTAGTTTTGACCCAAAAAAACTCTGATAATTTTTGAATTTTTGCAGATTTCACCAACAATTTTGTCAATTTGTCCCATCTCCTCGAAATTTTTTGCTGTTTGGCTAAATTCGGGGATGTTTAAGAGTTTCGATGATTTGTGAGTTTTTGATTATTTTTGCTCGAGGAAATCGTGTATTTTCAGATGTTTTGAAACTCGAAAAATTCTGGAAATATTTGGAAAACTTGGGAATCGTTTTTGTCGGCATCAATTCGATGTGATTTTTAAAAGGTTTGTTGATTTTTATAGTTCACTTGAAAATCAATAATTTGGATTTTTCAGGTTCACATCATCCACAAATTTATTTTCGCCGCGAAAATTGAGGAGCCTATTAGTCTAGCGTGTTTTTAGCTTTGGTGAGTTGAAAATTTATGAATTTTTAGGGTAAATGTAATAATTTTGAATTGTCAGATTCAAAAACTCGTCAAAAATTTGGCTACTAGAAGCAAAAGTTGAAGCTCGCTGATTTTATCTCGTCAAAAATCAATCCAGATTTTTAATTTAATCAATTGTGAGTTTAAAAATTGAAAATTAATTGGAATTTCAATAATTTTTTGCAGATTTCCAAACTTTGTGCTTCAAAATTTGATCGACTCAAGAATCTCAAGATTTTCAAAGCTTTCCAACTGGATTTTGTTGGAATATTGAAGCGGAGTTAGAAGAACTCGAATTCTTCTCGTGATTTTTAAAAGGTTAGTTGACTTTTTTTTAGTTCACTTGAAAATCAATAATTTGTATTTTTTTCAGATTCGAAAACTCGATCAATTTTTGAAAAAACACAAACATTTTGGATATATTTTCTACTAGAAATCTTGGATCTTGCTGGAAATTCGAAATTTACTGGAACCCAAAAATGGTCATTTTTATGGAACTTTTCGTCGAAATTTGAATTTTGTGAGTTTTCGATTGTTTTTTCTCGAGGAAATCATGTATTTTCAGATATTTCGACTTGAAACAATTCTGGATTGCTGCTGAAAAAATCTTGTTTATGGAACTTATCGTCGAAATTTGAATGGAAACTTTTCTGCTCAAAAACACCCACGAATAATTTTGAATTTTGCTGCAAAAATTTATCGATTTTGATTTATGGATGGATTATTCGCTAAAGATATTTGGAAAACCAACAAATTCTGGTTGGTTGAGAAATCTTTCGATTTTCGTGTCTAATTACGCCTAGAAAACGGCATCCAAAAAAGTACAGTTTTTCAGAAATATTCAAATTCTATTCACAAAATACTGTACAAATTAATCATTTTTGGAAAAACCCGTTTTCTAGGAGTGAGATAAAATAATTTGAAAAAAAAAAGAAAAAAAAAAGAAAATGAAAATTTCAACTTGGATAGTTCCCAATCCTAAGTTGCCCTAACTTTTCCCCCCGATTTTTTCGCTAGGTATTTTTGTCCCTGTTTCACCTAGTTTTTCTAGATCTTTTTTGAGCTAACTCGACCCAAACCCCCTTTTTTTTTGCAATTCTTCGCGATTTTTCGGCAGCGTTTCGATGTGATTTTTAAAAGGTTAGTTGATTTTTTTAGTTCACTTGAAAATCAATAATTTTTGGATTTTTCAGGTTCACATCATCCACAAATTTATTTTTGCCGCGAAAAAATTGAGGAGCTCAAGTCTGGCGAGTTTTTAGCTTTGGTGAGTTGAAAATTCATGAATTTTTATGGAAAATATAAGAATTTTGAATTTTTCAGATTCGAAAACTCGTCAAAAATTTGGAAAATAAATTGTCTCGTCTCCAAATTTTTGATTTTCGCCAGTTCTGATCAATTGTGAGTTTAAAAATTGAAAATTAATTGGAATTTTGATAATTTTTTGCAGATTTCTCAAGATTTTCAACTGGATTTTGTTGGATATGGAGTTAGAAAAACTCAAATTCTTCTCGTGATTTTTAAAAGGTTAGTTGATTTTTTGGTTCACTTGAAAATCAATAATTTGTATTTTTTCAGATCAAAAATCGAAAATTTATGGATATTTCTACTAGAAATTTTGAAATTTGCTGGAAATTTGAAGTCGACTGGAAATGACTCGGATTTTCTTTTGATTTTTTGGATCAAAAATGCAATCCTGTTGGAAGTTTCGAGAATTCAATTCATTTTTTTATGAGAGGAACGAATTCTGGACATTTTGAAGCTCGCCGAACCCGAGAATCATCAGAAAATTTGAATTTCGATGGATTTTGGAACCCGACTTGAATTTTCCGTTGGAACTTGCTCGACTCGAATTTATTTTTTCATGAGAGGAAGGAAATCTGATCATTTTTCAAAATTCTTGAACATTATTTCAAGCTCGAAATATCGATTGTCTCATCGAAAATTAGAATTTTGAGCCCTACTCGAAATTTTGGTTGGAACTTTTGTTGGAACTCGAAACCCCAATTGAATTTCCGGATTTTCTGGAAAATCCGGAATAATATGGACTTAAAATCAACAAAAAAAAGAAGAAAAAGAAAAAAACAATCATATCTTCTACTTATCATTCAAATATTCGGAGAGCACTGCTCAAAAAAAAAGATGCTGCATATTCTGGAGCATCGATTGGCTCTGCGGAGCTTTCTCTTCTCAATTCTCAGCTCGGGGGATATGGGTTTTCTGGGAGCAGAACTGTGTTTTAGAAATTGATTGTTTTTTTTCAGATTTGGCTCGCGAATCAACAATTGCCTCGATGTATTTCAGAATATGCAGTGCCGGGTTGAGTTTTTTTGGTTTATCACTGAAAATTCTGCGAGAAAAATCGGATTTTTAGATTACCCGCCGAAGAAGAAGAGCAAATGCGCTCCAACGAACAAACAACAACTTAAAAAATTTGGCGAATCTCCCAACGTGTAAGTAAAAAATATGAGAAATTCTGAAATTATGGTTTGAAACTAATGGGGTGAGTCAATCGAATTAATCGACGTGTTTTTTGCGATTAATTGACAAAAAAAGTGAGTCTTTTAGGGCGATTAATTTCACGTTTTTGTCGATTCCTCGCTTTCATTTCTGGCAAAAAATGCGATTAATTGCATAAAAAATAGAATTTATTTGGCCTTTATTTTGAAACGTGGCCTATATGAGTTGGGATTATCAACAAAAAAACATTTTCCCTCAATTTTCTTTCATTTCAAAATGAATTCAAAAAAACAAGCAGTGAATTTGGGACACGTTTCAAAAATGAGGTCAAATAAATTCTATTTCGTATTGCAATTTCTCATTTTTGAATGCGATTAATTGCAAAAAAATATGGAATTAATCGACAAAAACGTGAAAAAATCGCACAAAAAGGACTCACTTTTTCTGTCAAATAATCGTAAAAAAATAAAATTGACTCACCCCATAATAAAATTCAAATTTTTCATGATTTTTCTAGTAAAAATAATGAAAAATTCTGCATTTTATTAATTATTTTTTGGAATTTCAGCGGAGATGCGGAAGCTATGCCCAAATTTTGAATTTTTAATCAAAAACTTTTTTTTTTTAAAATTAAATTCAATTTTTTGTTTCAGATTGGCCAGTTGTTCAAATGCGCTCCATCGAACTTATCAATATTTGATTACGGTAAGTATTAATATAAAAATAAAAGAGAACTTCTGAAATATCCATAAAATAACTAATAAAATTTAGAATTTTCTTGATTTTCTTTTTTTTAATTAGAAAATTTTGAAAATTCTGCATTTTATTAATTATTTTTTGAAATTTCAGCGGAGATGCGGAAGCTATGCCCAAATTTTGAATTTTTAATCAAAAACTTTTTTTTTTTTAATTAAATTCAATTTTTTGTTTCGGATGGTCCAATCATCAAATGCGCTCCATCGAACTTATCAATATTTGATTACGGTAAGTATTAATATAAAAATAAAAGAGAACTTCTGAAATATCCATAAAATAACTAATAAAATTTAGAATTTTCTTGATTTTCTTTTTTTTTAATTAGAAAATTTTGAAAATTCTGCATTTTATTAATTATTTTTTGAAATTTCAGCGGAGATGCGGAAGCTATGCCCAAATTTTGAATTTTTAATCAAAAACTTTTTTTTTTAAATTAAATTCAATTTTTTGTTTCGGATGGTCCAATCATCAAATGCGCTCCATCGAACTTATCAATATTTGATTACGGTAAGTATTAATATAAAAATAAAAGAGAACTTCTGAAATATCCATTAAATAACTAATAAAATTTAGAATTTTCTTGATTTTCTTTTTTTTTAATTAGAAAATCTTGAAAATTCTGCATTTTATTAATTATTTTTTGGAATTTCAGCGGAGATGCGGAAGCTATGCCCAAATTTTGAATTTTTAATCAAAAACTTATTATTTTTAATTAGAAAATTCAATTTTTTGTTTCAGATTGATCAATCAATCAAATGCGCTCCATCGAACTTATCATTTTTTGATTACGGTAAGTATTAATATAAAAATAAATATGAACTTCTGAAATATCCATAAAATAACTAATAAAATTTAGAAATTTCTTGATTTTCTTTTTTTTTAATTACAAAATCATGAAAACTCTTCATTTTATTAGTTATTTTTTGGAATTTCAGCGGAGATGCGGAAGCTATGCCCAAATTTTGAATTTTTAATCAAAAAATTGAAATTTTCAGAGCGATTTGGTGCCAATTTTTCTGGAAATCCATCAAATTCACAAGGTTCTGGAGTCGATTCTTCAATAATTTTTAATGGGGCTATTCATGTTATTTTTCAACGCTGAGAAAACGGGAGAAAAGCGGAGAAAACCTATTCAGGTAGGCTGAGAAAATACGAAAAAAGCGTAGAAAATGTATTTTCTCCGCATTTCTCCTGTTTTCTCAACATGCTGAGAAAATACATGAATAGCCCCATAATTACTGTGTTATTTATCTCTACTTTTTGCTTAAAAGCCAAAAAAGTAGAAAATTTCTGTATTTCTGTTATCTCTATGAGTCATTGCATAAAAGCCAATGACTCGTAGTTTTGTTTTTCCTGGTTACTGTAGAGGTACAGTAATCACTAACTGTAGTAATCAGGGTACTGTAGATTTCGTGTCTACAATAAGATTACTGTAGTTTTGTTTTCTCTATGAGTCATTGCATAAAAGCTAATGACTCGTAGTTTTGTTTTTCCTGGTTACTGTAGAGGTACAGTAATCACTAACTGCAGTAATCAGGGTACTGTAGATTTCGTGTCTACAATAAAATTACTGTAGTTTTGTTTTCTCTATGAGTCATTGCATAAAAGCCAATGACTCGTAGTTGTTGTGTTTTTCGAAGTTTTTCGTCAAAATCGTCTGGTTCCGATTTGACAAAAATACACTGTTTCAAAAAATTTTATATTTTTTTGCTGCTCAAAAAAAATTATTGATTTGATGATGAGACGTCGATATTTCTAGCTGAAAATAATGAAAATTGCAAAAAGTTTCAAATTTTTCATTAAAAATTCACAAAATTCAAGTTTCTAGCTCAAAATTTCATGAAAAATCTATTTTTGTCAACAATTTTCGGTGATAGGTAATGGATTTTTTGCCTCGAAACTCTCTAAAAAAATGAATTTTAAAGACACCTTCCGACCAAAAAATATTTTTTGGAACAGTAATTTTTTTCCTTCAAAACAAAACCAGAAACAACTCAACAACTTTATTGATTTTCAACATTTTCAGCCAATTTTTTACGCATTTTCAAATGATGTTTATGCGTCTTCCCAGCCAAGTGAAGTTTCCTGAAAACCATTTTTTATTTATCAAAATTTGTCTCGAAAATCTCACCAATTAACCGATCCCTGAACTCTCATCTCACAAATCTCACATTCGATAAACCTATGCAAATGTTCGCCAATATTTTGCTCATTGCTCATATTAACATCTTCATGTAAATCATTGCCCAACATCCATTCATCAACAATTTTTAGGCCGTCGGAAATGATTCGTGATTTTTCGGACGTGTCCAGCATTTTTGTGCTCGCCATTTTCTGAAAAAAAAATTTGAAAATTGAAATTTGGCTCCAAAAATCCACAGAAAATTTGTATTCATATTTTTTTCTTTCGAAACACGATCGAGAATCAGAAAATTCCGAAACAGTGAAAAATTTGTGGAAATTTTTAAACGTATTTTTTTTTGGAAATTTTTTCTGAGGTTAGTAATTTCCGGTATTGCTCATTTTAAATCCAAAACTTCATCTTTAAGGTCCGAATTTGAGATCTTTAAGGCTCTTAATTTAGGTATTTTAACGTTCAAATTTAAGGTTTTAAGGCCTCAATCTAAGGTATTTTAAAGCTCAGATTTTAGGAGCTTCAAGGCTCAAGTTTAAGGAATTTTCAGGTCAAATCTTCAGGTCTGTCAAGGTCAAAATTTAAAGTCTTTTAAGGCTCAAATTAAATGTATTTTAAGAGCTAAATATTAATTTTGTTAAAGCTAAATTTAAGATATTCTAAGGCCTAAATGTAGGTGTTTTAGTACTCAAAATTCAGGTACTTTAGGGCCCAAATGTAGAGACTGTTAAGGCTCAAATAAAAAGTATTTTAAGGACAAAATTGTAGGTATTTTAAGGTCTAAATATTAAGTCTGTTAAAGCTAAATTTAAGGTATTCTAAACCCTAATTTAGGTGTTTTAGTGCTCTAAATTCAGGTATTTAAACGCCCAAAATTAGGGTATTCTTAGGTCCAAATTTCAGATTTTATGCACAAAAATATTCAACACTTGGTATCAAAAAGTTTCCCAATTTCCCTCTTCCCAAAATCCCTCACCCTTTCCCCATTCGCCCGCTTCAAAAGTCTCGAAAAATACCACAATCTCTGATGTTTTGCATATTGTTTCGTTCGAGTTTTCATTTTTTCACAACCTTCTTCGAATAATTTCATGTTTTCTTCGCGTTTTTCCTCGAGTTTCAGCCAGGGCACAAATTCTTTCCAACCAATACATTGCATAACTCCAAATGAATTTTCGTCCAGGTGGTTTTTGTGCTGGAAATATTTCACAGAATTATTTTTCACTATTCAAATTCAGTCCGAAAATCAAATTTCTGGGTTCAAAATCTACATTTTTATCCGAATTTTTGACTGAAAATTGAAAATTCAAGCTTTCAGGATCTATTATTATTGGTCTAAAATCATATTTTTTTCCGCCTTTTCAGAAATTTAAGAATGCTTATGAAAACTATGGAAAAAACATATTATTTTTTTGAAACAGTAGATTTTTGAGCAATTTTTTGGCTTGTTCTGTTAAATTTGAATATTCAGGAATATAGGAAATCTCTAATTTTTGGTCAAAAAAGTTTGCTGTTTCAAAAAAATCATAAACTCCGTAACTAAAAAATTCAAATTCAGTCCGAAAATCATGTTTCTGAGTTCAAAATGTACATTTTTATCCGAATTTTGGATTGAAATTTAAAAATTCAGGTTTACGGCTTAAAAGTATGTGGGAATTCAATAATTATGAAAAATATGGTGAAAAACATATTATTTATTTGAAAAAGTAGATTTTTGAGCGATTTTTTGAATTTTTCTGTTACAGATTCTCGATAACATTATTAACTCTTAAAAATGTGCAAAAATTATTATATATTTTTGAAAAAGTGAATTTTTTAAGTATACATATTTCATTCTGGATGATCTTAGTCATTTCGAAATTAATTTTCCAGCCTCAAAATTTCACAAAAATTCAATAATGTTACAAACTTTTTGAAAAATTCAAGTTTAGTCTAAAAATCACGTTTCTGTTCAAAATTCAAGACTAAAAAAAATTTGCTGTTTCAAAAAAAATTAGGAATTTCTGAGAAAATCGTTGGAAAGTGATGGAATCTCTGCAGGCTTTAGAAACAGTAGATTTTCAAAAATTCTGAAAATCAAAAATTCAGGCATTTTTTAAAATAATTAAAAATTCAAGTTTAGTTCAAAAAACACGTTTCTGGGTTAAAAATTCAATTTTGACTGAAACTTCAAGCAAAAAAAATTTGCTGTTTAAAAAAAAAATAGAAAAAAAGGTTGGAATTTTGTAGCATTAATAAGAAAACAATTCTCGGGGAAATTCATACAATATTTTTGAAACAGTGGATTTTTGTCAAATCGAAAATTTCAGGAAATCAACCCATTGCTCATAATATGCTCATAGCAGCTATTAGAAAATATTTCAATTCGCCACGTCATAACTCATGTTCGCAAAATTCTAAACAAAAATAATTTAAAAACTCACTGTTTCAAAATTTTCCTATAAATTTTTAATGTTTTTGAATATTTTGCTATTAACAAATGTTTATTCTTGTAAATTTCAGAAATTCTAAAATTTGGCGCCAAAAGATTTCACGTGTTTCCAAACGAAATTCAGAAAAAATTCCAATAATTTTTTACTGTTTCAAGATTTTTATATAAATTTCTAATGTTTTTGAATAATTTGTTAGGATTTCCAAGCAATCTGACTCAAAATTCATCATTTCTCATCAATTTTTCATCAAAAATTCCAGATTTCAAGCTTGAAACAGTGAAATCACTCACCAATTCATAAAACTCCACCAATTCCTTCTTCAATCCCATTCCAATCATTTTCTCAACTCTCGAATCCAATCTCTCTTCCAGCACTTCTTTTTTCGCATCCAAATAAATCACCAACGAATCTTCAAATCTCAATTTCCCGCCAAGTTCCACGTCATTTTTGTTGGATTTTTGTTGCAAAATAATCTCACTTCTCTTTTTTCCAGTTTGTTTATAAATTTGAATTGCGCGCCAAACTCGATGTCGATTATTTTTGTGTAATAAACTAGCGGTTTCTGGGTCAACTCGATTTAATTCTGACCATAGATCTTCGTTTGAAATTCTGGAGTCGGCTTCGAATTCTTGATCTTTTTCGGGTTCAGAATCTGATCCTGAAGTTGAACTTGAACCTGAAAATTTTTCGAGGATATACTGATGAAGAACTGTTTCGAATTTATCTAACAAAAAATTGAAACGTAATTTTTTCAGGGTTTTAAATTCATAGAATTTTGGCTTGAATTGCCACGTGGGATTTTTTAGCACCCAAAAAATTTTAGTTCTGAATTTATATGATGAGAAAAACACTCAGCAAAATGTTCAAAACAGTGAAAATTTATATGGAAAATTTGAAACAGTAAATTTTTTGAAATTTTTTTTTCAAATTTTATAAGTTGAACTCTATGAGTTATGACGTGGCCTTCATTCATTCAATAGGAATCCCAACAAATTATTCAAAAACAGTAGAAATTTGATATGAAAATTTTGAAACAGTAAATTTTTTTTGAATTGTATCTTTTTGAAAATACGTGGATTTTTTTGGCGCCAGATTTTCGAATTTCAAATTTACTAGCAAAAGGTAGATTATGAAAAGCAAATTATTCAAAAACAGTGAAATTTATATGGAAAATTTGAAACAGTAAATTTTTTGAAATTTTTTTTTCAAATTTTATAAGTTGAACTCTATGAGTTATGACGTGGCCTTCATTCATTCAATAGGAATCCCAACAAATTATGCAAAAACAGTGAAATTTTACATGGAATATTTGAAACAGTAAATTTTTTGAAATTTTTTTTTCGAATTGTATAAGCTCACAATCAACTTTAGTTATGCCAAAAAATTTAGCCAGCCAAAAAAATATTTTTTTGGATTAATATGAGCAATGGGCTATTTTAATCGATTCTGTGTCAGAAAATCAATTTTTTCCAAAAATTTCAAAAAAATCCTCACCAACATTTCCCGTCTCAATAATATTATTCTCATACAAAATACTCTCGGCATAATAAGTGGTTCCGCCGACCAAAATCGGAATTTTCCGGCGTTCCCGAATTTGCTGACAAATTTCCAAGACTTGTTGACGGAACAAATGAACATTGTAGCGGGTTTTGGAGAAAGGTTGCAATATTGACATCATATGGTGGGGAATTCCTTCGGTCTCTTCGGATGTGATTTTGTTGGTGGCGATGTCGAGGCCTAGAATATTAGAAATTGAAGTGCTAAACTTCAAGAGCTCCAGAAAAAAATTTATATTCTAATTTTTGATCCAAAAAACCATTACACCTAATATCTTTCAAATTCCCCAATTTTTTAAAGCTAAATCTTGAAACAGTGAAAATTTTTTACGAAAATTTTGAAAATTTTGAATGAGTGGTGGATTTTTTCAAGCTCCAAAATTCTTAAAATTCTGATTTTCGATAAAAATAAGAGCACTCTCTAAATATCTTTCAAAATTCCAAAATTTTATTTGGCAAAATTTTAAAACAGTGAAATTTTTCTGAGATTTTTCAGATTTCCTGGGTTAGAAATCAACTTGTAGAAAATTATTATTAATTTTTTTTACCAACTTTTTGAACCACTTTGAAATGCAGCAAAAAAATGGAATTATCACCTTCAAAATTTAGAAAAATAGATTTCCCAATTTTTTGAAACAGTGACTTTTTTGTGAACATTTCAGTGATGAACTGTTGCAAAAATTAACGTTTTTGTCAAATCTTAAGCTTGAAACAGTGAAGATTTGTGGATTTTAATTACAGTTAAGCTCCAAAATGTATAATTGTTAGAAAAAGATTTGAAATTATTTTTTTAGCTGAGGTACCGTCTCATCGTTCTCGTAATTCCCCAATTTATACATCAAAATGTTGAAACAGTGAGTTTTTTCTGTTCAAAATTTTGAGCTTCAAAATAGATTTTTTGGGATCAAAATTATAATTTTTAGATTGTTTTCATGCGAAAATTTTTTTTTTGAAACAGTGAATTCTGGTGAACAATTTCTCCCGAAAAAAATAAATTTGGGATATTCATTAAAATTCAGAAGCTAAAAATTTCAAATAAGCACCGTTCATAATTCCCCAATTTTATTTAGCAGAATCTTGAAACAGTGAATTTTTTTAGTATACATTTCCAATTTTTTCGCAAACATGGGAGCTGATGTAAACTTGTTTACCGGAAAAACTTGTAAAATTCTTGAAACAGCGAAATTTTGTGATTATGAAGAAGCAAAAACATTTCCCAATTTTTTGAAACAGTGAAAAATATGGCCCACCTTTATAAAGCTGCATCGAATCGACACTAACAATCTCTCCCCCATAATTTTTCGCAATCGCCACTCCCAAATCCGATTTTCCAGTTCCAGTGCATCCGATCACAAAGATAATCGGATCTTTTCGAAGAATTCCCATTTTTGATAAAATTCGACGGGAAATCTGAAAATCTCTGGAATTTTCTGATTGAACAAAAAAATATATCGAAAATGGTAAGATTTTCACATTTTAAAAGAAGAAATTTGCGAAAATTGATAAAAAAATGAGAAATTTTATTCAAAAAACTGTTTCAACTTCTCAAGTGCTTTGGATCTGTGAGAAATCTGATTTTTGACAGATTTATCCATTTCGGCAAATGTTTGATCGAATTCGTCGGGTTGGAAACATGGATCCCAGCCGAAATCACGCGGGCCTTTTGGTGACACAATTCGACCTGGACATTGACCTGCAAAAAATGGAAGGAGATTAATATGAGCAAAGCTTGAGTTTTCCCCATTTTTGGAAATTTCTAGAGTTTTCCTAGCTGAAAATTGTGATGAATTGCAAGGGGAACGTGTTGATTATTCGCATTGTTGATGTTAAGAATAAATTCACTGTTTCAATCAAAATTTATGAGAATTTCAAAATTTTTTTTTTTTTAGAAAATTCACTGTTTCAAAAAATTAATAAAATATTTTTGAAACAAAATTCATCGATAATTTCTTTATGTTTTTTAAAAATTAACTGTTTCACTCCAAATTTATGATAATTTCAGATTCATTTTAATCTTCGTTTTTGACTTCAAACAATTTTCAATTTTTTTCTAGAAAATTCACTGTTTCAAAAATTAGGTATAATTATTTTGAGAAAACAAATTTTTGATAAATACAAGACATAAGACGATGAAATTATTATGAGAATAGAGCTTTTTTCTGTGATAAATAATTTTAAATAATTTATCACAGAAAAAAGCTCTATTCTCATAATAATTTCATCGTCTTGTGTCTTGTATTTATCATAAATTCAAAAATCAGCAAATTTCTCACTGTTTCAAATAGAAATCATAGAATTTCATTGGAAATTTCAACTGATCCTCAGATCATAATTGTTCCAAAATCCAAAATAAACTAAAAACTTAAAATATTTTTTCACTGTTTCACTGAAAATTAAAGAAAACTTGTTTTGATTATATAATTTTGGTGTACAAATGAAATGTTCTTTAATTTTCAGTGAAATATTATTGAATCAGTTGAAAATTCTTTGAAAATTCAATAATTTTTGATTGAAACAGTGAAAAATTATTCAAAAAATTATATTTTTTCACTGTTTCAATATAACTTTATATTATTTTTGTGAAAATTTTGATTGATTACTCTTGCTAAACTTCTTGAAAACTGAAAATTAATGAAATTTTGAAATGTGCTGAAATTTTCAGACATGTTTAGTGTCAAAAAATTCCAAAAATTTATCCTGAATTTAATTTTAAAAAAAATCCCACCAGCAAAAACATGCACAGGTTGATCAATTCCTTCAGTATACGCAAAAATGCATTGAGCATACGCTGTTTTGTCCTCAAATCCATCCAACATTTTGTGCAATCCTTCGGGTCCCAATTTCTTCAAAAACCATTTGATATATGGTCCGGGAAGACCACCCAAAGCGTTGAAGCATAAACTCGTGTCTTCGACCTGGAAAAAATGAGGGATTCGGGTTGGGAAGAGGGAATTTGGTACTTTTTCAAGGAAAAAATATTTTTTTTTCACTGTTTCAATGAAAATTGATAAAAATTTGGTATCTGATCTCCACACTTATTATTAAAATCTCTAAATTTCAGAAAAATGTCCTAAATTTTCAAACCTATCCTAAATTCAAAGAATTTTGTGTGAAACAGTGAAAAAATTATTATCCTGATTTATTTTTGAAGTTTATTTGTGCAAGATGATTTTCAGCGTAAAGATTCGAAGGACAGATCAAAAAAAAAACCTGTCCAAATTTTCAACTATTTTTGAAACAGTGAAAAAAACCAGTTGAGAAATGATTACATTGTTGTTTAAAATTTTCTGGTGAAAATAACTCTTTCAAAATTTGCTTCGAAAAACTTCATTTTTTCACTGTTTCAATAAAAATTGATAAAAATTTTAATCGATTTCAATTGCTAACACAATGGTGAAAATTTTTAATGGGACTATTCAAGTTATTTTCTCAACGCTGAGAAAAGCGAAGAAAACCTATTCAGGTAGGCTGAGAAAATACGAAAAAAGTGAAGAAAATACATTTTCTCCGCATTTCTCCTGTTTTCTCAGCGTGTTGAGAAAATACTTGAATAGCCCCATAAAAAGAAAAATTATTAACCTAATTTATTTTTGAAGTTTATTTGTGCAAGATGATTTTCAGAGTGAAGGGTCAAAGCAAAAATGAAAAAGAAAAACACTTCCAAAAGTTTAATTATTTTTTGAAACAGTGAAACATTGCTTTGAAATTTTCTTGTAAAAATTATTGTTTCAAAAATAATTTTCATCTATTTTTTTTCACTGTTTCACTGAAAATTTATTGAAATTTTCAATGGCTTTCAATTGCTGACACGATGCTGAAAATGTCAGAAAAAAAAACAATTTTGAACCAAAATTTTCAAAAAATAGCTTTCGAAAAACAAACCAAATAAAAATTTTCTTAAATTCAAAGAATTTTGAGTAAAACAGTGAAAAATTATTATCCTTATTTATTTTCGAAGTTTATTTGAGCAAGATGATTTTCAGAGTGAAGGATCATGCAAGAATAAAATCGAAAAGCCTCTCCAAATTTTCAACTATTTTTGAAACAGTGAAAAATTGATTTGAAATTTTCTGGCAAAATTATTGTTTCAAAAAAAACGTCATTGTTTCACAGAAAATTGATAAAAATTTCCAATGACTTCCTCACACAACATAAAAACTTCAAAAGCTGAAAATTTCAGAAAAATATCCTCCTAAATTTTGTAGATGAGAAGGTTGCGACACTAAATTTTCAAACCAATCCTAAATTCAAAGAATTTTGAGTGAAACAGTGAAAAATTATTATCCTGATTTATTTTTGAAGTTTATTTGAGCAAGATGATTTTCAGAGTCAAAATTTGATTAAATTATCAAACCCAAAAATCTCTCCAAATGTTTAATTATTTTTTGAAACAGTGAAAAAAACCAGTTGGAAATTGCTTTAAAATTTTCAGGTAAAAATTATTGTTTCAAAAAAAATTTTCATCTATTTTTCAATGGATTTCAATTGCGCACACAACATAATTTCTTAGCTCTAAACCTCAGAAAGATATCCTAAATTTTGAAAATGGGAAAGTAGTGACACTAAATTTTCAAACCTATCCTAAATTCAAAGAATTTTGTGTGAAACAGTGAAAAAATTATTATCCTGATTTATTTTTGAAGTTTTTTTGAGCAAGATAATTTTCAGGTTCAAAGTTCGGTTGAATTATCAAAAAGAAAAACCTTTCCAAAATTTGAATTATTTTTGAAACAGTGAAAAAAAACCAGATGAAAATTGCGTTGAAATTTTCAGGTAAAAATTATTGTTTCAAAAAAAATGTTCATCCATTTTTTCACTGTTTCACTAAAAATTAATAAAAATTTTTCAATAAATGTTAATTGCTAACACTACTTTTTTAGACTCTAAATTACAAAAAAAAATTAGTGAAATTCAATCCGAACAAAATTTTTACCCAGAAACTTCACATAATCATTTTGATACCCTCACAACAGTGAAAATTAAAAACCTCTTCGAAATTTTAATCATTTTTTGAAACAGTGAAAATATTAATTACGAAAAAGAAACCTGTTGAAAAATGTCCCAACTAATTTTCAATTTTCCCATAAAAATTAACTGTTTCAAAATTAGGATTTCCAGCATTTAGCACTACATTTTCTGATAAATCGCCTCTTTTGAATATAAAATTTTTAATCAATATTTTAACAAGGCACTTTTCTAGCCAAATTTTATCGATTTTTCAAAATTCCCCACCCAAAATTCCTCACCAAAACCGGTCCCTTCACATGCTGTGCAGCTTCTCGACACTTCTTCTCCGCAATAAATTCCGGCTCGCCTTGATACTCGTTCAAATCCACATCCACATTTGTGATCTAAAAAATGAAGGTACTGTAGTTAGAAGAAGGTACTGTAGGTGTACTGTAGACTACAGTACACCTAGAGCCTATAGTTACCTCAAAACCGGTTAGAATTGCGTTGACCTCCCTGAGTTTTCCAATATTTCCAGTGACGAATGTGAGCTTCTTGAGAGACATCTGACAAAATTTTTTGTGCATTTTTTTAAAATTTTTCTTTTGAGTATGTTTACTTTTCGGATTAAAATTTTTTTGGCGCCAAATTTTTCTCTTACCAGTCTTTTTTTCTGTCAGCAAAAAAAACACAAAAAAAGCAGAGAGAAAAAATAATCAATTTTTGCGTGAACGTGAAATTTGTCGTGGCAAATTTCATTTCAACGATAATTTTTCAGTTATTTCAAATTTTTGGCGAGCAACAAAATGGCAGCAAATATTTTTAAAGATGAGTTTTTTTTTTCTTCGGGGTTCCCGAATTCCTAATCTAAATACCCCCTTTGCAAATAATTTGCTACGTGTCTCTCCTGGAGTAAAGTACAGCTCAACTTAGCCTAACTCTGGATAGTGAAGCTTGTTAAGTTGAGCATTAGCCATTGCAATTGTCAGGAACCTCGACATGAGTTACCTTAAGTCACTTTTTGGGGTTATACTCTCGACTTTGTCGACTTGATTTGGTTGGAAAAACTGTGAAGGGAGAGATCGAGGTTCGCTTTTCAATGAAAAAAGAAAACGTGGAATTATGTATTCAAGGAGGAGGGAAATTTCAACTATTATCAGGGAAAATACGAGATTTCCAGAAAAAAACTCAAAAACCATGAAAAAATCAACGAATTTCAAATTTTCGATGAGTTTTCTAGCCAAGAAGTTCTGGAATTCAAATTTTTCAATCGGTATTTCAGATGGAATGCGGAAGCTATGCTCAAAATTGCATTTTTTCTCACAAGAAACTTGGAAATTCTGGTAGCCATAGAACAATTCGATGTTTTTTCATCACAAAAATGCCGAGGATTTCTAATTTTTCAATTCATTTTTTGTTGCCAACTTCTTGCGGAAAATCCAAGAAGCAGGTTTTTACTTTGGTTGTTTTTTATAGCCCAGATTCTCGCAGAAAAGCCGAGAAACTGGAGTTTTATTTTCAAATTCCACGTCAAAAAATCCTCTGTGTGAATTCGGTGATTTTTTCTCCAAATTCCGCACATTTTGGCTCAAAATGCCACGTGGCAATTCCGTATTTCATCTCTAAAAATTGAATTCACAGTATACTACGTTTCGAAACCGCTTTTCTTGAATTATTATTTAGTGTGCAAACACCGTGACGTAATGATGATGACGTCACGAAATTTTGTAAAAAGGTTACGATTTTTCCTATCGGCGAGACTAGAAATTAGAAATTTTCATGATAAATTTTGAATTTCTAAGTATTAATTCAAAAAACAGTGGGAATTTGACATGAAAATTTTGAAACAGTGAAAAATTTTTCTGACAATGAGAATTTAGCTCAAAAAGTAGAGTATGAAAAGCAAATTATTCGGAAACAGTGAAATTTTACATGGAATATTTTGAAACAGCAAATTTTTTTTCAAAATTATTGTTCTAGAATTTTGTAAGCTTAACTCTGAACATGAGTTATGACGTGGCAAATTTCTGAAATTTTTAGCCCAAAAAATGAATTTTTCTAGATTAATATGAGCAATGGGCTATTTTAATCAATTCTGTGTCAGAAAATCATGTTTTTCTCGAAATTTCCACAATTTTTCAGCGCTTCAATTTTTTTTTTCAAAAAAATCCTCACCAAAATTTGCCGTATCAATAATATTATTCTCATACAAAATACTCTCGGCATAATAAGTGGTTCCGCCGACCAAAATCGGAATTTTCTGGCGTTCCCGAATTTGTTGGCAAATTTCCAAGACTTGTTGGCGGAACAAATGAACATTGTAGCGGGTTTTGGAGAAAGGTTGCAATATTGACATCATGTGATGGGGAATTCCTTCGGTTTCTTCGGCTGTGATTTTGTTGGTGGCAATGTCGAGGCCTGGAATATTATGAAGTTGAGGCGGTAAACATCAAGAATTCCAGAAAAAATTCGAAATGAATAAAGTTCTGATTTTTAATAAAAAGAAACAAACTCCTACTAATATCTTTCAAAATTGCCCAATTTTATTTGGCAATATTTTGAAACAGTGAAATTTTTCTGAGATTTTTCAAATTTTTTGGGGTAGAAATCAACTTGTATTTGAAAAATTATTATTTTTTCACCAACTTTTTGAAACAGTGAATTTTGAAAAAAAAATTTGGGGAAAACTCAGAACCAAAACCATGAAATCATCAGTTTCGAAATTTACAAAATTAAATTTCCCAATTTTTTGAAACAGTGACTTTTTTGTGAATATTTCAGTAAGAAACTGTTGAGAAAATTATCTTTTTTGGAAACCTTAAGCTTGAAAAAGTGAAGATTTGTGAATTTTGATTACATTCAAGCTCCAATATTTATAATTTTCAGAAAAAAACATTTGAAATTATTTCATTCAGCTGACATACTCTCATCGTCCTCGAAATTCAGAAATTTCATTCATCAAAATTTTGAAACAGTAACATTTTTCTGTGGAAAATTTTGAGCTTCAAAATAGATTTTTCGGGATCAAAATTATTATTTTTAAATTGTTTTCAAGCGAAAATTGAGACAGTGAAATTTGGTAAACTATTTCTCCCGAAAAAATGAATTTGGGATATTCATTAAAATTCAGAAGCTAAAAATTTAAAATAAGCACCGTTCGAAATTCAACAATCTCATTTACCAGAATTTTGAAACAGCGAATTTTTCTAAAATCAATTTACAATTTTTTCGAATACCTCGGGGCTGAAACATGTAAACTTTTTAAGCGGAAAAACTTGTAAAATTCTTGAAACAGCGAAATTTTGTGGTTTTTTTTAATAATTTTTTTGTGATTATGATGAAGCAAAAACATTTCCCAATTTTTTGAAACAGTGAAAAATATGCCCCACCTTTATAAAGCTGCATCGAATCGACACTGACAATCTCTCCCCCATATTTTTTCGCAATCGCCACTCCCAAATCCGATTTTCCAGTTCCAGTGCATCCGATCACAAAGATAATCGGATCTTTTCGAAGAATTCCCATTTTTGACAAAATTCGACGGGAAATCTGAAAATCTCTGGAATTTTCTGATTTTCTTCTATTGAAATATCGAAAATGGTATAATTTATACCTTTTGAATAGAAAAAAAACAGAAAAAAAGCTAATTTTTATTCAAAAAACTGTTTCAACTTCTCAAGTGCTTTGGATCTGTGAGAAATTTGATTTTTGACCGATTTATCCATTTCGGCGAATGTTTGATCGAATTCGTCGGGTTGGAAACATGGATCCCAGCCGAAATCGCGCGGGCCTTTTGGAGCAACAATCCGACCTGGACATTGACCTGCAAAAAATGGAAGGAGATTAATATGAGCAATGCTTGATTTTTCCGCATTTTCAGACATTTCTAGATTTTCCCTAGCTCAAAATTGTAAATTCTGGAATTTTATCAAGATCTATTCGAAAATCATTTTTTGGCATAAATCTTGAGCATTGCTCAGGTTAGAAAACTGTGAGCATTTATTGCTCATTATAAATTTTGGGTGAAAAAATTCACTGTTTCAAAAAATTAGGAAAATATTTTTGAAAAATTTTTCCAAGATTTTCTGTTTTTCGTGTACAAAAAAAATGAATGCAAATTTTTTTTCGAAATTTACGAGAAATTCAAAAAAATATATTTTTTTTAATTTTAATTTTTTTTTCTCGAAAATTCACTGTTTCAAAAAAATTAGAAAAATATTTTTGAAACAAAATTTATCGATCAAGTTTTTATTTGTTTTCGGGCTCCAAATATTTTTTTGAAAATTCACTGTTTTTTATAGGAAACTCAGAAATTATTTTTTTAAAGGTGGACAGCGCCGAAGCACACAAAAATCGTCTGCAATTGCGCGTCAATTTGTGTGTTTGTCGAAAGTGTGTGACTTTTCATTGTTTTACGTTTTTCAACCCAAAACCGTGAAATTTTTATTTTTCAAGAATTTTTTCATGATTACTGATATTCCTGAGTGAGAAAGGAACAAATTGATATATTTTATGTAGTGTTTTCGAAATATTGCTCACGTTAATTTTGAACTGGGACAAAAAAGCTGAAAATTGCTTATTTCACGATTTCTAATCGCTGATTAGGTAGAGAATCTTCTCCTTTTTCTTTTTGTGTGAAGTAATTATGCTCAAAGTTTATTTTTCTCCTTATATTTTGCTTGAAAAGGTTGAACGCTGAAAAAAACGAGAAAGACACACAGAAAATTCAAACGTGCCGCTTGTTCGCTAGAGCGCGTTTGCCTCACCACTTCCTCGTATCCTCATGACGGTTTCTGTGTGTTTTCTCGCTGCGATGCTATTTTTTTCTAATTTTTTGCGTAAACGCTCATTTTTTGAGGATAGGAGCTGCTAGAAATAAAGGGAAACTTCATTTTTGCTCGCAGTCCACCTTTAAATTTTGATTATTTTTTTCTAGAAAATTCACTGTTTCAAAAAATTAAGAAAACATTTTTGAAACAAAATTTATCGATCAAGTCTTTATTTTATATTTGGGCTCCAAAAAGTTAATGAAATATTTTTCAAAAAATTTTCAAAGATTTATTTTGATTGTTGTTTTTCTCGAAAAAAAATTGAGCTCCAAATATTTTTTAAAAATCCACTGTTTCAATCGAAATTTATGAGAATTGCATAAATTATTTTTAAAAAATTTTAATTATTTTTTTTTCTAGAAAATTCACTGTTTCACAAGCATAAGGTATAATAATTTTGGGAAAATAAATTGTTGTTAAATAAATACTGTGCTAAATTAAAAAATCAGCAAATTTCTCACTGTTTCAAATAGAAATCATAGAATTTAACTGGAAATTTTAACTGATCGCATGATATCGTCCGCATCGAAAAATTGTCCCAAAATCCAAAATAAACTAAAAACTTAAAATATTTTTTCACTGTTTCACTGAAATTTAAAGAAAACTTCTTTTGATTATATAATTGTGGTGCATAAATGAAATTTTCTTTAATTTTCATTAATTTTCATAGAATTTAATGATTTTCCATTTTCAAAATTCTCATTATCAATTCAAAATTCTTTGAAAATTCAATAATTTTTGATTGAAACAGTGAAAAATTATCGATTTTTTCAACTATATTTTTTCACTGTTTCAATATAATTTTATATTATTTTTGTGAAAACTTTGATTGATCACTCCTGCTAAATTTCTTTACTGAAAATTAATGAAATTTTGAAATGTGCTGGAATTTTCAGACATGTTTAGTGTCAAAAAATCGCAAATTTTTATCCTAAATTTAATTATAGGCTCAAAAAATCGCAAATTTTCCGAACCCACCCGCAAAAATATGCACAGGTTGATCGATTCCTTCAGTATACGCAAAAATGCATTGAGCATACGCTGTTTTGTCCTCAAATCCATCCAACATTTTGTGCAATCCTTCAGGTCCCAATTTCTTCAAAAACCATTTGATATATGGTCCGGGAAGACCACCCAAAGCATTGAAGCATAAGCTCGTGTCTTCTACCTGGAAAAAATGAGGGATTCGGGTTGGGAAGAGGAAATTTGTATTTTTTCGATAAAAAAAATATTTTTTTTCACTGTTTCAATGAAAATTGATAAAAATTTGGTATCTGATCTCCACAATTATTATTAAAAGCTCTAAATTTCAGAAAAATGTCCTCCTAAATTTTGAAAATGAGAAAAAAGTGACACTAAATTTTCAAACCTATCCTAAATTCAAAGAATTTTGTGTGAAACAGTGAAAAAATTATTATCCTGATTTATTTTTGAAGTTTATTTGTGCAGAATGATTTTCACCATAAAGGTTCAAGAACAAATCAGACCGAAAAACCATTCCGAAATTTAAATTATTTTTTGAAACAGTGAAAAAAAACCAGTTGAGAAATGATACACTGTTCTTTCAAAAATTTTTTTACATTTTAAGATAATTTTTTTTACTGTTTCATTAAAAATTGATAAAAATCTTCAGAAATCAAATAATTGTTTGAAGTGTCGCAAATAATTGCAGAGATTTTGGAAATAGCAACAAATTCAAACCTTTTCTAACGAAGAATTTTGACTGAAACAGTGAAAAAATTATTAACCTGATTTATTTTTGAAGTTAATTTGAGCAAGATAATTTTCATCGTAAAGATTCAAAGCAAAAATCGAAGCGAAAAACCATTCCAAAATTTTGATTATTTTTTGAAACAGTGAAAAATTGCTTTGAAATTTTCTTGTAAAAATTATTGTTTCAAAAATAATTTTCATTTATTTTTTTTCACTGTTTCACTGAAAATTTATTGAAATTTTTAATGGCTTTCAATTGCTGACACGTGGCTGATATATTTAAGAAAAAAAAACAATTTTGAACCAAAATTTTCAAAAAATAGCGTTCGAAAAAGAAACAAAATGAAAATTTTCCTAAATTCAAAGAATTTTGTGTGAAACAGTGAAAAAATTATTATCCTGATTTATTTTTGAAGTTTTTTGTGCAGAATGATTTTCACCATAAAGGTTCAAGAACAAATCAGACCGAAAAACCATTCCGAAATTTAAATTATTTTTTGAAACAGTGAAAAAAAACCAGTTGAAAATTGCTTTGAAATTTTTGTTGTTTCAAAAAAATATGTTCATCTATTTTTTTTCACTGTTTCACTGAAAATTTATTGAAATTTTTAATGACTTCCAATTGCTGACTCGATGCTGAAACATTTCAGAAAAAAAAAAAACAATTTTGAACCAAAATTTTCAAAAAATAGCTTTCGAAAAACAAACCAAATAAAAATTTTCTTAAATTCAAAGAATTCTGAGTGAAACAGTGAAAAATTATTAACCTGATTTATTTTCGAAGTTTATTTGAGCAAGACAATTTTCAGGTTCAAAGTTCGGAACCAAAAAAACCTTTCCAAAATTTGAATTATTTTTGAAACAGTGAAAAAAAACCTGTTGAAAATTGCTTCAAAATTTTCTGGTAAAAATTATTATTTCAAAAAAAAACGTCATTTATTTTTCACTGTTTCACTGGAAATTGGTAAAAGTTTCCAATGACTTTCAATTGCTCACACAACATAATTTCTTAGCTCTAAACCTCATGGGGTGAGTCATAAAATTAAATTGACAAAAAAAGTGCGATTAATTTCACGTTTTTTGTCAATTAATCGCATTTTTTCAGAAATAAATGCGATTAATTGACAAAAAACGTGAAATTAATCGCACTTTTTTTGTCAATTTAATTTTATGACTCACCCCATCAGAAAGATGTCCTAAATTTTGAAAATGGGAAAGTAGTGACACTAAATTTTCAAACCTATCCTAAATTCAAAGAATTTTGAAACAGTAAAAAATATACTGTTTCACTGAAAATTGATAATAATTTTCAATAAATTTTAATTGCTTGACCCGACTAACCTGATCAAAAACTCAAAACTTCAGAAAAATTAGTGCAATTTTATCCGAACAAATTTTTACCCAGAAACTTCACATAATCATTTTGATACCGTCACAACAGTGAAAACTAAAAACCTCTTCAACATTTTAATTATTTTTTGAAACAGTGAAAATGTTGATTTCAAAAAAAAAAACTGTTGAAAAATTTCCCAACTAATTCTCAATTTTCCAATAAAAATTTACTGTTTCAAAATTAGGATTTTCAGGATTTAGCCCTACATTTTCCGGTAATTTTTTTTTCAGAATTCAAAATTTTTAACCAATATTTTAACTTGGGCTTTTCAAATTTTCCTTGAAAAATTCAGGATCTTCAAAAAAAGTTGTGTGACAAGTTTTCTAGCCAAATTTTATTGATTTTTCAAATTCCCCACCCAAAATTCCTCACCAAAACCGGTCCCTTAACATGCTGTGCAGCTTCTCGACACTTTTTCTCCGCAATAAAATCCGGCTCCCCTTGATACTCGTTCAAATCCACATCCACATTTGTGATCTGCAAAATCACTACTGTAGGGGGGATTACTGTAGTTAGAAAAATGTACTGTAGGTGTACTGTAGACTACTACAGTACACCTAGAGCCAGTAGTTACCTCAAAACCGGTTAGAATTGCGTTGACCTCCCTGAGTTTTCCGATATTTCCAGTGACGAATGTGAGCTTCCTGAGAGACATCTGGAATTGAAAATTTTGAATTTTCCGCGTACGCGGAAGCTTGCGGAAACCTGCGGAAACTCAAATAAAACCGGTTCAAACCGAAAAATCGAGCAAAAAATTTCTAACTCAAAACTCTTCATTCTTTCCTACTATAAATACAAAAATAAACTGAATTATCTAAAAAACGTGGATTTTTAATAATTTCCGGATACGCGGAAGCTTGCGGAACGCGGCATTCACATGAAATGAACACCGGCTCCAATGTGAAAACCGCGATGAATCGAGTCGCCAAACACATATTTGAGGGGATGTGTGTAGTTGAGTTCGAGGCGGAAAATGTTTTTGAACACAAATGTTAGACCTGCAAATTAGATTTTTTGAAAATTAGGCCACGCCAATTTTTCTGCAAGCCTCGCATGGTTTTTCTGATCATTTTGATAGCAAACTTGACTTGCAAAAAGGAAAAAATTTCCATAAAAAAATACTGTTTCAAAATTCTCTCAAAATTCAGTTGAAAATTGAAAAGATTCCAACAGAATAATTCCAATTTAAAAAAAATTTCACTGTTTCAAGTAATTTTTTTTAGAAAACTGTTTTCAAAATTAAATTGATTTAACTTCAAATGACAAATTAAAAAAAAAATTTCCAAAAAATTAAAAAAAATTCTACTGTTTCAAAATTTTCTCAAAATTCAATTGGAAATAAAAAAAATAATAACTCTTATGTATTCTTTTGAAAAACGGTATACATTATTTCAAAACATATTTCGAATTCTCCAAAAATTCACAGTTTCAAGTTATTCTTTTGAAATTTTTTTTCGAAAATAAATTGATATTTCAAGCTTTATCATTTCGAAAAAAAGTTCCAAAAAAATTATCCATAAAAAAGTTACTGTTTCAAAATTATCTCAAAATTCAGTTGAAAATTGAAAAAAAATGATTCCAACAGAATAATTTCAATTTAAAAAAAATTCACTGTTTCAAGTGATTTTTTTCAGAAAACTGTTTTGAAAACAAATTGATTTAACTTCAAATGGCACATTCAAAAAAAAAATTTCCAAAAAATTGAAAAAATTCTACTGTTTCAAAATTTTCCCAAATTCAATTGGAAACTGAGAAATTGATCTCTTGACATATTTTTATTTTCGCAAAAATTCACTGTTTCAAGTTATTCTTTTGAAAAAAGCATTTTAAAAATAAATTGATTTCACTTCATTGAAAAAAACTTCCAAAAAATAATCCATAAAATAATTACTGTTTCAAAATTTTCTCAAAATTTAGTTGGTAATTTGAAAAAATGATTCTTCGATAAAAAAGTAGGCCGAAAAAATATTTTGCAAAAATTCTAGTTTAATATCAAAATGATCAGAGAAACCGTGCGAGCCTTGCAGAAAAAGAAGAAGCAAAAAATGTTAAAATGTTCCATAAAAAAATTACTGTTTCAAAATTCTCTCAAAATTCAGTTGGAAAATGAAAAAATGATCTCTCATGAAATTATTTCAAAAAAATTTTTTTTTGCAAAAATTCACTGTTTCAAATTATTCTTCCGAAAATAGAATTTCAAAAAAAAATGATTCCCGAATTTTTATATTTTCCAAACAATACTTTCGAAAAAAAATTTTTTGCATTTGAAAATTTGAGGTTTTCGCGGTAAAATTCGGCACGGTTTAAAAAAATTATTTTGATACCAAACTCGGTGTTTCTCGCCTGAAGCGCTGGAAAAAACTGTGCCTTGCAAAAAGGAAAATACTTCCAGAAAAATTACTGTTTTAAAATTTTCTCAAAATCAGTCAAAAATTATCGCATTCAAAATTATTCCAAAAAAACCACTGTTTCAAATTATTTCTTTTAAAAACTGTTGTGAAAATAAATTGATGTCTTTAGGACTTTCAATTCAAAAAAAAATTCAAAAAGGTTTGAAAAAATTCCACTTTTTCAAAATGTTCTCTTTATTCGAAAAATAAATGAGAATACACTTTTCAAAAATTCACTATTTCAAATTATTCTTTTGAAAAATGCATTTCTAAGATATTTGATTTTTTAAAATTTCCACTGTTTCAAAATTTTCTCAATAAAAAGTATATACATTTCAGTGATTTCACTAACTACTACTGGAAAAACAACAGATTTCGCGCTTTTTCAAATCGTCAGGCTCAAAGATATTTCTCAAATTTCATGAATAATCCCCCAAAAAACCCACCAACTCCAGCCGAAACCCTCTGTGTATCTTGCAATTGTTGAATAGGATTTTTGGCATGAATCGAGGCGACACTTCCAGTCGCCAAAAATGCATGAGCATAGAGCATTTGAGGTGGGAAGAGTGGTCGATATAAATGAACAACACCGGCCAGCGCAGCACCACCTCCCAAACAACTTTGATCCGCTTTCACGCCGATTGTATTGAGACCAAAGCCACGTAGATCTTGTTGACCACCCAAATAACAGCGATCTAATATGTGAACCTGGAAAATGAAAAAAAATGGACTGAGTTTTGGAAGAAAATTTGTGGATTTTTAGAAGGGAAAGGGGGTTTTAGGAACCTTTTTTTAACTTTGGGTAGAATTTTGGGACAAAATTAGTCGTGGGAGCCATAATTTAGAGCATTTTTGAAATTTCAAAAATTTTCTAGTCAATTTTATGGGATCTTATGAGTTTGGTGATAGCTTTTAAATAGGATTTCAAGCATTTTTTCTGAAAATTCTGAATTTTAATGATTTTGGGGCATATTTTCAAGCGATTTTTCCAAAAAAATTGAAGCAATTTTACCTTCGCATTTGTTCGCAAATAACCCTGAAAATTGAATTTTTTTTTTCAAAAAATTCACTGTTTCACCAAAAAATTATTTGAATTTTCTTAATAATTTTTTTTTTGATTTTGATGATTTTCATACAGTGAATTTTTTGAACCGAAATTTTTTTTTCCAAAAAATTCAGATTTTCGCCCAAGCAAAAATCTACTGTTTCAATGAAAAAATTATTTAAATTTTCTCGAGAAAAAATTGTTCTACCAAAATTTTAGTCCAACCCAAATTTCAACATTTTCAACAAGAAAATCATAATGAAATTCATTTCAAAAATTTACTGTTTCAGAAAATAAACTTGAATTTTTCAATTGTTCCAGTTTTTGATAGATAGCATCTTGATGAAAGTCGATAAAACTATAAATTTTTGTAATGGGGTGATTCATAAAAATAAATAGACAAAAAAAGTGCAATTAATTTTACGTTTTTTGTCAATTAATTGCATTAATTTCTGAAAAAATGCGGTATTTCAATCAAAAATTATTGAATTTTCAAGGAATTTTGAACTGATTCAATAATATTTCACTGAAAATTAAAGATAGTTTCATTTGTGCACCAAAATTATATAATCAAAACAAGTTTTCTTCAATTTTCAGTGAAACAGTGAAAAAATATTTTAAGTTTTTAGTTTATTTTGGATTTTGGAACAATTATGATCTGAGGATCAGTTGAAATTTCCAATGAAATTCTATGATTTCTATTTGAAACAGTGAGAAATTTGCTGATTTTTGAATTTATGATAAATACAAGACACAAGACGATGAAATTATTATGAGAATAGAGCTTTTTTCTGTGATAAATTATTTAAAATTATTTATCACAGAAAAAAGCTCTATTCTCATAATAATTTCATCGTCTTATGTCTTGTATTTATCAAAAATTTGTTTTCTCAAAATAATTATACCTAATTTTTGAAACAGTGAATTTTCTAGAAAAAAATTGAAAATTATTCAAAGTAAAAAATGAAGATTACAATAAATCTGAAATTTTCATAAATTTTGAATGAAACAGTGAATTTTTTTGTAATATTTGGAGCTCAATTTTTTTCCGAGAAAGACATCAAACTGAACTATGAATTTTGTTTCAAAAATATTCTATTAATTTTTTGAAACAGTAGATTTTCTAGAAAAAATAATTAAAATTTAAAAAAAAATAATTTCTGAAACTCTCATAAATTTTCACTGAAACAGTGAATTTTTAAAAAAATATTCGGAGCTCAATTTTTTTGGAGAAAAACAACAAACATAATGGGATGAGTCATAAAAATAAATAGACAAAAAAAGTGCGATTAATTTCACGTTTTTTGTCAATTAATCGCATTTTTTCAGAAATGAATGCTATTAATTGACAAAAAACGTGAAATTAATCGCACATTTTTTGTCTATTTATTTTTATGAATCACCCCATAATAAAAAATCGAAATTTGCTTTTTGCTGTTTCAACAAGAAAATCATGATTTTCTACCAAGCTTCTCAAGATTTACATTTCAAAAATTCACTGTTTCAGAAAAATTGATGGAATTTTTCAATTGCTCTCGTTTTTGATAGATCTGCGCATCTTGATTAAAATCGATAAAACTATACATTTTTGTAATTTAAAAAATTCACTGTTTCAGAAAAATTAATAAATTTCGGGAAAAAATCATTTTTAATCCATTTGAGCAAAATTTTTTCTATCAAAACATCACTGTTTCAACTGAAAAACATAATTCTTGACATATTTTCTCTTCAATTTGCTACTCATATTCTTTATTCAGAAAATTTACTGTTTCACAAAAATCTCTTACAATTTTCTAACAAAAAAATACGATCCTAATTTTAAAAATGATTGTTTTACCAAACAAAATATGTTTTTCCAAAAATCGGTAAAATTTAAATTTTGAAAAAATTCACTGTTTCACCAAAATTAGTTATATTTCATAAAAACCAATTTCCTTTAATCCTGCTCTCTAATAAACCTTATGAAAAGTCTATAAACAGTAAATAGTCCCCAAAACCCCCATAATTTCCTCCCAGAAAACGCTCACCTCTCTTTCTCCCAATCCTTTCAACGATTTCGCTTGTAGCGAAGCGGCCAAAATGAATTTGAATGGAAGTGGAGCTGCGGCTTGAAGATCCAAAGTGTGTTTGACGAATGAGGCATCGCCGAATATTCCAGCGTATTCTTGAGCGACTCGTGCTGGAAAATAGGGGATTTTTGAAAGGGGAAAAATTGTGAGGTGAATTTTTTAGAGCTTCAAAAATTCAAATTTAGTTTTTCTCAGAATTGTTTGAATAAAAATCACAAAAAGTTTTCATAAATTTTTGAAACAGTGAAATTTTTTTCAAAACTTGAAAATAGAAATAGATTTTTATCAGAATTTTGAGAAGGAAAATACTGTAAGGTTCAAAAAATAACCAAAAGGCTTGTTTTTTGCTGAAAAAATATTTTAATGATGTCAGTTAATCAGGGAATTTCAGATAACTTTAGAAACCCTCTGAAGTCCCCGAAAAAAATTTGAAATTTTAATTTCAAGTTAATTTTGTTAGTATCTTGAAATCTTCGAAAAATCACCAAAATGTGCAATTTTTCATATCAAAAAGTTTGAAACAGTGAAATTTTTCAGCTTCAAAATTGATTGAAAATCAGTTTTTCAAATGGAAAACTAGGCTAGGATCGTCCTTCAAAATTCCCCAATTTTATTCAACAAAATTTTGAAACAGTACATTTTTTCGGTATTAATTTTAAATTTTTCTCAAACTTGAGAGCTAGAACACAGAATTTGTAACTGTAGTTTCGGATTCCTTGAAATGAAACTATTTCTCATTGTTTGAATCAAAATAACAAGTTGCGAATCAAACTTTTCTATATTTCTCAATTTTTGAAACAGTGAGATTTTCCAGCTTCAAAAATCCAGCTTTCCCACGTTTCCTTTCAAAAAATCAGTTCAAAAATTCAAAATGTAATTTATTTTTCAAAATTTCCAGTCAAATAAACCCAGGGAATGGGAATATAGTTTCGCTTTAAAAAGATGACCTAGAAAATCATTTTCAAAACAAAAAATGTTCAATTTCCTATCCAAATCTGCAATTTTCATGGCTCTCATTTTGATTATCGGTTAGTTTTTTTAAATTGAAAAACCTGGAAAACAGCAAATTTTCAGGCAATTTCAATGGTGTTTACTCGAATGAGCCAATCCCTCTTGCTGGACATCCTGGAAATCAAATACCAACCATCGATTTGAATAGGGGAAAATAAGAATAAATCATGGTTTTGAATGAATTTTCGCATTTTTATCGCAAAATGTACCTTTGAGCCAAGTTCAGGGCCCTTAGAATCGCAAAAAATGTCAATTGGCTCAAAAAATTTGAATTTTTGAATTCAGCTTGAAAAATTAATAATTTTCCCTGATCTTCCTACGATTTTTCATTTTCCTCAACAATTTCGAGTAGAATTGGCGATTTTCAGAATTTTCTCTAAAACTCATGAAATTCCGAAATTTCTGAGCATTGCTCAGGTTAAAGGGAAAATTCCAAACAATTTCGAGCATTGCTCAGGTTATAGGGGGAATTTCGAACATTTTTGAGCATTGCTCAGATTATAGAGGGAATTCCAATCATTTTTGAGCATTGCTCAGGTTATAGGGGGGATTTCAAACATTTTTGAGCATTGCTCAGGTTATTTTCGAGCGTAGCGAGTGTAGACCGCAAACTTCCGCGTCAGCGGCCACGCGGAACCTTGCGGCTTCCGCAACCCGTTCAAAAAATGCTCACCCAAAATGCCCTTTGTCGCCAAAATCGGTCGATCTCTCGTATCAGCCGCAATCGAATTCTCCAACGAGAACTTCAACGTGTGTCCAGCCTGTTCTCTGACAGAAAATGCGGCATCATTAGTGGCTCGAAGTGTTCGCCAAATCGCATTCAATTTCACCGAATGCAATAGTCGTCTATTCCACAATTGTCCATTATATGCGAGAATTGCCGCATTCTCGTCCACATTACTCTGATTCCATGGAAGATAGGCGAGAGAACGATAAAGGGAGGCGGAGATGTTCGAGTATTTTTGCCAGCCGAGGAATGGTTTGATGGCTGACACGTTGAAACAGTGATCTCCCTGGAGAAAATTTAGGATATTGATTTTTTTTTGAAACAGTATTTTTCCTCTAGATTCTTTTTTAAAAAAATCAATTTTTCTGTAGAAAAAGTGGGCGTGGCTTGTTTTGCAACCCTGGCACACAATTTCTGAACATACAGTAGCTTACACGTTGAAACAGTGGAAAAAATTTGGAATTTTTGGATGGAGGTTCAGGCTTTTGCGGGGACGTTTTAGCTCCAAAAAATCAACAGTAACCCTTCAGATTACTGTAGCAAAATGCCAGGAAAAGCCTACCATAAATTTTTTTTTCAACTTTTTTCTCAGAATCTGAGACTCAGATTTTCTAGATTTTTTTTCAGAAAAAAAAATTTTTGGATGATTTTTGGGTGAAAATGTGTTGAAAGTTCTAATTTCTGACTTCATTTTGACTTTGAAAATCGATTTTTTGATACATTTTTGATTAAAAATTAGGGGAACTTACATTTTCTCTCTAGATCAAAAAAATACTGTACATAAATAATTTTAAAGGATCATGTAGAAGAAGAGAAATTAAGAATTTTAGAACTACTGTAGTTTAAAGGAACATATAACTATTCCAAAATTCTGCTTCAAATACTGTAGTTTTAAAGGAACATGCAGAAGGTAATGAGAGGCTTCGATATATTTAAACAAAAAATACGAAATTATAAGACTACTGTAGTTTAAAGGAACATATGAGCTAATTTTCTTAATTTTCCTCTCCCAAATCACCGTACCTTAACAGTATATGTATAAGTTGTCGACACCGATTCACCCCGTCCACCAATACTCTGCTTTCCCGCATTTAGGCTAACATCAGCATCGCCATTCGTCGAAACGCCAGCTTTCACACCAGCTGTGAAGGATTTGGGTTCCTTGACCAAAAAATTGACAACATATCCTTGTTTGGAGTTTGGAGCGGTGTCGATTAGAGCAACTGCATTATCCATCAAACCGACTTCCTGGAATTTGCATGGATTTTTTACTGTAGTGACTAGAGTGTAGTTTAATTTACCTGTAAATGTCTTGAAGCGAGATGTGAATTATGAACAAGTTCATCCAAATTTCGACTTCTGTACAATTCGGAAATCTGGAAAAATTGAAGAATTTTCATGATTTTTTTGAAACATATGCAGCACTAATTTTTGAAAATTTTCAGTTTTTATATAAAATTTTTGAAACAGTGATTTTTTATTTTGAAAAAATCGAAATTCCAAGCAAAAACCTTTTTTTCTAAGAAAATTATGAGTTTTCGTGCTGAAAATTTCAGATTTTCATGATTTTTCGTAATTTTTGTGATGAAAAAATTGTATTTTCCAAAATAAACAATTCATTAAATTTCACAAAAATATACATAAGCTCAACAAATTTTTGAGAAACTTCAAATTTTCATATAAAATTTTTGAAACAGTGAACTTTTATTGAACAAAAATATTTCGAGATTCAAAGTAAAAATAATTTTTTCTGACAGTGAGTAAGAAATACGTATTCGAACCCATTGTTCAACACCTGGATTTTCATATAAAAATTTTGAAACAGTAAATTTTCTGGAAATTTTTTTGTTAGTGATAAAAATCTGGTTTTTGGAAGATTTTTTTAAACACTTATTTCGAGTAAACAATACGACAGACATTTTTTGAAACAGTCAATTTTTTTTGGTCAGAAAATTTTCAAATTTCATATTCCTTCAACTTCAAAAGGAATTTCCAATGATTTTTGATTGAAAAAAATTTGGATTTGCCCGTTCAAAAGATAACAATTTACAAAAACACTTGGATTCTCATATAACATTTTTGAAACAGTAAATTTTCTGGAATTTTTTGTTAGTGAAATTACAGTTGAAAATCTAGTTTTTGGCCGAAACAGTAGATTTTTTTTAATGCAAAACTGAGCTTCTGAATTTTTTTTCATATTAAATTTTTGAAACAGTAAATTTATTTTCTTGAAAATTAACAAAACTTCAATTTTTTCAGAAATAAACTTCAAAATAAATGTTGAATCTTAGAACTTCGGCAACAAAAAATTCACCTTTTCTTGGTAAAATTCTGGTTTTTTTTCAGAGCTTTCGAATTCAATTTCCGGATTTTTTGGGGCCAAAATCAAAATTTTTACGGAATTATAAAAAACGATCATCAATTTTCGACAGACCATTTTGATTTTATTTTTTTTTTTCGAAAAAAAAAATTGGATTTGTCCTTTTCACAAGATCTAACAATTCACAAAAACACTTGGATTTTCAAATGAAATTTTTGAAATCGTAAATTTTCTGGGATCTTTTTGTTAGTGAAGTTTCAGTTGAAAATCTAGTTTTTGGTCGAAACAGTAGATTTTCAGTATTTTTTGAGTAAAATAAATTGAACAATTTAAATTTTGGCAAAAATAATAAGCTTTGAAGTTTAAAATAAAACCGTATTTTTCAAAAAACTAATAAACTTCAAAATAATTTCAAGTCATAACAAGTTTCTTCAGAAAACTTCCAATTTTCTATAGAAATTTTGAAACAGTCAATATATTTAAATTCTGATTTCGGAAATTTTATTTGTTTTATTTTTAGTTCGCGTACTAATTTTTAACAGACCACTTTGATTTTCATATAAAATTTTTGAAACAGTAATTTTTTTTGGAACTTTTTCTCAATGAAAATCAGGTTTTTAGTGAAAACAGCGGATTTTCAGCATTTTCAAGCAAAATTTTGGGAGAACATCAGAATTTTCTACATGAACAACAAACCATATATCAATTTAGAAAATATTTCAATTTTACTATAAAATTTTTGAAACAGTACATTTTTTCCGTCAGAAAAAATTAAATAAAAATCATTTTTCAAGCAATTTTTTGTCTGGAAAATTCCAAAATTTGGGGAAAAACACGTGGATTTTCAGCATTTTCAAGCAAAATTTCGGGAGACTTTCAGAATTTACTACATGGAGAAAAAATCGCAAATCAAATCATAAAATTCACTTCAATTCTCATATAAAATTTTTGAAACAGTAGATTTTTTTGGAATTTTTTTCAGCATTTTCAAGCTGAATTTTGGGAGGCTTTCAGATTTTTCTACATACATAAAGAACAAACAATCTATCAATTTAGAAAAATATTTCAATTTTAATATAAAATTTTTGAAACAGTAAATTTTTTGGAATTTTTTTTTGTGAAAACAGTAGATTTTCAGAATTTTCAAGCAAAAATTTGGGAGTGTTTCGGAATTTTCTAGTGGAAAACCATATGGCTCAAAAATTCAATAAAATTCACTTCAATTTTCATATAAAATTTTTGAAACAGTAAATTTTTTCGTTCGAAAAATTGAATCAACATCATTTTTCAAGCAATTTTTGGCTGGAAAATTCCAAAAACACATGGAATTTCAGCGTCAAATTAGATTTTTCTTTATTTTCAGCCATTCCCACCCAAAAATTCCAACCTCTTTCAAAAGCGCATCATTTTTGGTGATTCGAATCCCATGAAATTGTACAGCTTCCACAATCGACGGAACATCGGGAGCTTTTTCGAGAATTTTGGTGGCCTTGTGAAATGTCTTTTCAGACATTTTTGCAAGGGCTCCGAATTCTGGAAGAAATTTTAGCTGGAAATCTGGAAAAAACTTGGAAATCCAGGTATTAGGGTAGGTTTCTTAAGAACCTTTAATTACTTAATTAAGAAAAAAATTAATTTTTCTCAAAAACAACAGATTTTTTCAACAAAATATGAATAAGTATAACAAAATTTGCAAAAAATGGGCAAAAAATTTTTCTCAAAAATTTAAATTCAGGCTCTCATGATGTCTGAATCCTCTTGATTTTCCTCCTCAACTCCGCCGATGTGAATTTTGTCGACTTTTTCGCTCAAATTTAGCAAATTCGAGGGCGCAGCGAGTTCTTTTCCGTGGAGAACCTGGAAAAATGATTTTTTTGGGGAAGTTTGGGGAAAATGTTGAATTTTGAACCAAAATTTATTGAAAAATCGTATTTTTATCAGTTTTTGTTGGGATCAGGACCCAAAAACACCGCATTTTCTAGTTTTAAAAGTACTTTGGAAACTGAAATACCGTGATTTTCCATCAATTTTCACTACAAACCTCATAAAATTGCAACATTAAGAACAAAAAAAGGATTTTTTTTCACGAAAAAAATTCACTGTTTCCACACCTGGCGAGAGAGTGTCCTAAAATTTTTGTGCACTGTGGAAATTTTTGCAAAAAAAAATTGTGCAGCGTGAAATTTTGAATTTTTATGAAAATTGTCATCAAAATCCGCTAAAAATCAATGAAAACTACACTTTTTCCTGAAAAAAAGTACAGTGTGGCTTTCGAAAATTTTTGTACAGTGTCCCTTTTGGACACGTCTCGTCAGGTGTGACTGTTTCAAAAAACTATAAATTCTTTTCTTCAAAAATTTGATTAATTTATTGATGTTTTTGTAAAATTCAAACTTTTAATTACAGAAAAATTTGCTGTTTCAAAAACTTCATGAATTTTTTGTGGGTTTTCAAAAATTGATTGTTAAAATCTTCAATATTCAAATTTTTCGTATTTTAAAAATGTACTGTTTCAAGAATTCCATAGAACCTGGAACAAAAAATTAATTATTGATTCGACTTTTGCTTTAGCAAAATTTGTCAGACTTTTTCAAGAAAAGAATCGCAAATTTACTACTTTAATATGTTGTTTTTTGAATCTTCTCAGAGATTCGCTGGCCAGCTCGCCACCAGGTGGGGAGGCCGGCTGACCTGGGAACCACATGGAAACCATGTCGCCCGGTTTTTTTCGCTGGCAAGGTGGCCACGCTCTGGCTAGGTCACGGCCACATGGCTACCATGTGGTGGCCACTTCGCCACGTCAAAATGAATTTTCATGAAAATGTCAAAAAAACTTGTGAATTGAGGCATTTTCGAAAAATTTGGCTCATTTTCTGTTTTTTCGCAGCACTTGAAACCTTAGGAAGTGAAAAAAACAGTAGAAAATGCAGTGTTTTGAGTACAAACCACCGTCTTGCGAGCCTTTCAGATTTTCAAACACACAGGCCACGTGGCCGGAAAACTCAAGGCGACCTGGCGGCCATGCGGTTTCCAGGTGGCCGCAGCGACCTGGTGGCGAGCTGGCCAGCGAATCTCTGAGTTCTTCAAAAAAATTCACGGTTTCAAAAAATCAATAAAACTTTTGATAAACTATGATTTTATTACAGATTTGCAATAGATTGATTAAAAAACTCGAAATTGTTCTTGAAACTTTGAAAAAAAATGCTGTTTCAAAATTTTCATGAATATTTGGAGAATAATACCAAAAATTGATACATTGCATTCTTTCAAAAATTCAAAAATGTTCATTAAAAAATTTACTGTTTCAAAAATTCATAACATTTCAAGATGTCTAATTTCTTTTATTACTCGGACTGTGGAAATTTCAGAAATTCAAAAATGGTTATTTAAAAATAGTTCACTGTTTCAAAAAATTCATAAAATTTCAAGATGTCTTATAGCTTTCATTACTCTTAGCATCTCAATTTCAGAAATTCAAAAATGGTCATCTAAAAAAAAATTTACTATTTCAAAAAATTCATGAAACTTTGAGAATATGTTTCATTACATAGTAGTTGATAGATTTTTCAAAAATTCAAAATTTTTCATTAAAAAATTCACTGTTTCAATAACTTCATGATTTTTCTGAGGGTTTTCAAGATTCAATAAATTCCATATGTTGATATTCACAATATCACTCAAAATTTAAGATGAAAAATTACTGTTTCAAAAATTATTGAAGTTTTGTCGTGTTTTCAACATTTTTTGATTCATTGAAAATTTTTGTAGGTATTAAAAAATTACAAAAAAAAATCAAGATAAAAAATTACTGTTTCAAAAACTTTTCAATTTTTTGTGGGTTTTCGAAATTTTGATGTTCGTGTGTAATATTATTCAAAAAATCCATAACATTTCAAAACACAATACATTTTTAATGAATTTCTTGTTCTTAATTTTCTCTTTAAAAATTTCCTGTTTCAAAAATTCCATAAGTATCCGAAGAATATAACTAAAACTTGATTCATCCTGGTTTAACTTTCCAAAAATAAAAAATTGTTCATAAAAATTTGCTGTTTCAGAAAATTCCCTAAACTTTAAAAGAAAATCAATTTTTGATTTAACTTCCCAATTCCCTTCCCAAAAATCCCAAACCTTTTCATGTTTCTCCTTTTTCTCTTCCTCATCCAATTTCAACTTCTCAGCCAATACTTTTTCATACATCGGAACATATTCATTTTTATATGCTTCAACACTTTCATCGATCGCTTTCATGACGTCATCAAATCCTTCGCCAGTCATTGAAGAGACACACACTGCAAAAATGGAGGTTTTTGGAATTTTGAAGGGAGGAATCAGGAATTTTCATCACAAATATTTAATTAGGCTTAGGCTTAGCTTTAGCTTTGTTGCAACTTATTTATTAGAATATAGCTGGTGAATATCAACTTCAAACAAAATCTTCAGAATTCATCAAAACCTTGAAACAGTGAACTTTTTCTAAATAAAAAATAAAATCGTGGTTTTTTTTTGTAAAAATTCGAATTTACCACGTGGATTTTCAACGCGAAAATGTTTGAATATTCAATTTCAGCGTGCTTTTTTCTTGATATTTTTAAAGGTACTTTTTACGCATCAAATTCCAATAAAACCTTTCAAAATTCATCAAAACTTTGAAACAGTGAATTTTTTCCAAACGAAAAAAAATCTGATTCACAAAAATTTGAGTAAGACTAAGGTAGAAGAGTTAGGTTAACTTATTTTTTTCCACGTGGATTTCTGATATTTTTACATAGACAACGAAGAAGCAATTCATAAACTTCCAACAAAAACATTTCACAATTCATTAAAACATTGAAACAGTGAATATTTTTTTGATAAAAAAAATTCTGATTCACAAAACTTAAGGTAAGGTTAAGGTAGAAGAGTTAAGCTAACACCATTTTTTCCACGTGGATTTTTTGCAGCCAGAATTTTTGAAATGACAAATTTCCCCGTGCTTTTTTAAAAATATTTTTAAAGACACAACACACCCATCAAATTCCATTAACCCCTCTCAAAATTCATCAAACCCTTGAAACAGTGAATTTTTTAAAATCAAAAAAAATTCTGATTCACAAAAATTTAAGTAAGACTAAGGTAGAAGAGTTAGGTTAACTTATTTTTTTCCACGTGGATTTCTGATATTTTTACATAGAAGAAGCAATTCATAAACTTCCAACAAAAACATTTCACAATTCATCAAAACTTTGAAACAGTAGATTTTTTCCAACCAAAAAAAAATTCTGATTCACAAAAATTAAAGAAACGCTAATTGTTAGGTAGAATAGTTAGGCTAACTTCATTTTTTACACGTGGATTTTTGACGCCAAAATTTTTAAAAATTCAAAATTTCCACGTGGTTTTTTCTTAATATTGTTAAAGACAGCAAAGGCGTATCAATTTCTAATAACATTTTTAAAAATTCCTCAAAACTTTGAAACAGTGAATTTTTTCTAAACTTAAAAAACAATTCTGATTGACAAAAATTTGAGTAAGGCTAAGACCTTTTTTCCACGTGGATTTCTGATATTTTTACATAAACAACGAAGAAGCAATTCATCAAATTCCAACAAAATCTTTAAAATTCATCAAAACCTTGAAACAGTGAATATTTTTTTGATAAAAAAAAATTCTGATTCACAAAAATTTAAGGAAGGCTAATCTTACGGTAGAAGAGTTAGGCTAAGACCATTTTTCCACGTGAATTTCAGATATTTGCGAGCACAATAGGTAAATCTATCAAATTCCATTAACCCCTTTCAGAATTCATCAAAATTTTGAAACAGTGAATTATTTTTCCAATCAAAAAAAATTCCGATTCACAAAAAATTAAAGAAAGGCTAATTGTAAAGTAGAAGTGTGAAGCTAAGATTTTTTCCACGTGGATTCTTTAAGCCAAAATGTTTGAAAATTCCTCCAGACATATCACTTTTAAATGAAACCTTCAGAATTCATCAAAACCTTGAAACAGTGAATATTTTTTTCCAATCAAAAAATGTTAATTTCAAATTTCCACGTGGATTTTGGCGCCAACATTTTTGAATTTTCAAAAAAAAAAACACACACTAACCAGTCTTCAATCCACAATAAAACTCATCCAAAACCAACGACAAACTTCTGCTCAAATCATTCATATACGAACTTCGATTCTCTTCCAAAGCCTCATCGAATCTCTCGAAATCCTTCATCCATTTTAGAGCGAATGTGGGTTTAACAATGTCAGCCTGGAAAGAGGAATTGATAGCAAACTTGTAATCAAACCGATCAGAAAAACCGTGCGAGGCTTGCAGAAAAAAAGGCCACGCCCATTTTTCCTTACCTTATTAAAAACCACAATAAATGGCAATTTGGTTCGATACAAAATCGAGCAAGCATACAACATATTTGACATGAATGTAGTTGGATTTGTAGCTCGAGCAGAATCCACAATATACATCACAACTGTTGGATGACTGCTGGCCAAGGAATCTGTGATGATACTTCCAGATGCACTCCATGTGAAAGCCTGGAAATTTGAGATATTGGGAGGTTTAATGAGAAATCCTGCAGTTTTTAATGTTAAGAATTTTGAGAAAATCATTATTTTGTGTTGAAAATTATGAAAATTCTGATTTTTGGAAATGAAAAATGTAAAATTTGGGCTCAGAAAAGTTTTTTTTTTGTGAAAAAAAATTCACTGTTTCAAAGTTTTGATGAATTTTGAAAGGTTTTATAGGAATTTGATATGACATCCAGGAATTCGAAAAATCTCCAATTTTGAGGCCTAAAATCCACGTGGGAAAAATGTCTTAGCCTAACTCCTCTACCTTATTTTTAGCCTTATCTAATTTTTATGAATCACAATTTTTTATTCGAAAAAAATTCCCTGTTTCAAGGTTTTCATGAAATTTGTTGAAAGGTTTTATTGGAATTCGATTCCTTACAATCAGGTCAAAATCCACGTGGCAATTCTAATTCCAGAAATTTTGAATCTAAAAATCCACGTGGAAAACTAGCTTAAATTTTTGGTGAATCACAATTTTTTTATTCGAAAAAATTCACTGTTTCAAGGATTTGATGAATTTTGAAAGGGTTTTATTGAAATTCGATAAATAATTAATTGTATGGTCCAACTTGTACCAAAGATCCACGTGGAGATTCAAAAATTTTGGCTGCAAAAAATTCACGTGGGAAAAATGTCTTAGCCTAACTCTTCTACCTTACAATTAGTCTTAAATTTTTGTGAATCATAATTTTTTTCGATCGGAAAAAATTCACTGTTTCAAGGTTTTGATGAATTTTGAAAGGTTTCATTGAAAAATGTTTCAGAACCATTCAAAATTCCCAAAAATCTCTAATTTTGGCTCCAAAAACCCACGTGGCAATTCGAAAATTCCAGAAATTTTTGTTTATTCGAAAAAAAATTCACTGTTTCAAGGTTTTAATGAATTGTGAAAGGTTTTTGTTGGAAGTTTATGAATTGCTTCTTCGTTGTCTATGTAAAACTATCAGAAATCCACGTGGAAAAAATGGTCTTAGCCTAACTCTTCTATCTTACAATTAGTCTTCCTTAAATTTTTGTGAAAAATATTTTTTTTGATCGGAAAAAATTAACTGTTTCAAGGTTTTGATGAATTTTGGGAGGTTTCATTGGAATTCGATAAATAAAGTCCAATTCGTTACCAAGAATCCCAGTGGAAATTCAAAAATTCCAGAAATTTTGGATGAAAAAAATCCACGTGGAAAAAATGTCTTAGCCTAACTCGCCTACTTAAATTTTTGTGAATCAGAATTTTTTTCGATTGGAAAAAAATCCACTGTTTAAAGGTTTACATGAATTTTGAAAGATTTCATTGAAAAATGTTTCAGAACCATTCAAAATTCCCAAAAATCTCTAATTTTGGCTCCAAAAATCCACGTGGAAAAAGAGTATTAACCTAACTTTTCTAGCTTAAAACTAGCATTACTCAAATTTTTGTGAATTACAATTTTTTGATTGGAAAATAATTCACTGTTTCAAGGTTTTGATGAATTTTGAAAGGGTTTTATTGAAATTCGATAACTGAGACCCTGCATGTAACAAAAATCCACGTGGAATGTTCAAATTCCAGAAATTTTCGTTTCTAAAAATCCACGTGGAAAAAAGGTCTTAGCTTAACTCTTAACCTTATTAGCCTTTCTTAAATTTTTGTGATAAATATTTTTTTATTGGAAAAAATTCACTGTTTCAAGGTTTTCATGAAATTTGTTGAAAGGTTTTATTGGAATTCTATTCCTTACAATCGGGTCAAAATCCACGTGGCAATTCAAAAATTCCAGAAATAAATTTAAAAAAATTCACTGTTTCAAGGTTTTCATGAATTTTGGGAGGTTTTATAGGAATTTGATAATTCAGGTCCAATCTGTAGCAAAAATCCACGTGGAAATTCAAAAATTCCAGAAATTTTGAGGCGAAAAATCCACTTGGAAAATTAGGTCCTAGCCTAACTCTTCTACCTTATTAGTTCCTTAAATTTTTTTGAAAAATAATTTTTTTATTGGGAAAAATTCACTGTTTCAAGGTTTTCATGAAATTTGTTGAAAGGTTTTATTGGAATTCTATTCCTTACAATCAGGTCAAAATCCACGTGGTAATTCAAAAATTCCAGAAATTTTGAGGCTAAAAATCCACGTGGGAAAAATGGTCTTAGCCTAATTCTTCTACCTTATTAGCTTTTCTTAAATTTTTGTGAATCACAATTTTTTTTTATTGAAAAAAATTCACTGTTTCAAGATTTTCATGAGTTTTGAAAGGTTTCATTGGAAATTTTATGTCTTAAGAAATTTTGACTCTAAAAATCCGCATGGCAATTCAAAATTCCAGAAATTTTCGTAGCTAAAAATCCACGTGGAAAACTATCTTAAATTTTTGTGAATCAGAATTTTTTTTTTCGAAAAAAATTCACTGTTTCAAAGTTTTCATGAATTTTGAATGGTTTAATTGAAATTCGATAACTGCGGCCCTACTTCTATCAAAAATCCACGTGGAATGTCCAAATTCCAGAAATTTTGTGGCTAAAAATCCACGTGGAAAAAAGAAGTTAGCCTAACTCTTCTACCTTACAATTAGTCTTACTTAAATTTTTGTGAATCAGAATTTTTTTCGATTGGAAAAAAATCCACTGTTTCAAGGTTTTGATGAATTTTGAAAGGTTTTATTGGAAATTCGATAAATACGTAAGATCCAAAACAAAAATCCACGTGGAATATTCAAATTCTAGAAATTTTGAGGCGAAAAATCCACGTGGAAAAAATGTATTAACCTAACTCGTAACCTTATTAGCCTTGCTTAAATTTTTGTGAAAAAATATTTTTTTATTGGAAAAAAATTCACTGTTTCAAGGTTTTGATGAATTTTGAAAGGTTTCATTGGAACTTGATATGAATAAGTTGCAGATCCTTCAAAACTCCAAAAAAACTCCAAAATTTGAAAATTCAAAAATTTTTGTAGCTAAAAATCCACGTGGAAATTCTTCTTTTCAGTTAAAATTTCGAATTTCAGATCAAAATTGACCAATTCCAGCTCAAAAACACCCCAATTTTTCACTATTTCCCACCCCCATACCTCAATTTGTCCCGGCGTATCCAACAAACAAATCGACGTGTCCGAATTGGCCCGCTTATTGATCAGTTGAATGACTTGATCGAATCGTGTGCACATTAAATTCAGGCATGTCATAATGGCGCCATTCGGGCCCATTCCGAATTCTTTCATCACTTCTTTGTATTTCACAGTGTCTCGGATGTCAACATTGACTGGGTAGGGAACTTTTGCGACTGCCGGATCCAGGTTGATGACGTAGGGTGGAGTTTGACGGGTGTGAAGGTAGGAGGTTAGACGCTGCAAAAATAGAGGGGTTTGGGTGGGAGACTAGAGTATAGTGAGGTAAGAAACTAGAGTATAGTTTTGTAGAAGACAAAAGTCTAGTAGTGGAAAACTAAAGTGTAGTTTTGAATTTTATTGATAATGAGAAAAAAGTTAGGATTACTCATCTTAATCTCAAAATTTTCAGGGCTATCAAAACTATAGTCTAGTTAATTTAGTTTTTTGATTTTTTATTAGCTAAAAATTCATATTGCTCATTTTAGGCCTTCTCTAAATGACCCTTTTTGGACAAAAATCAGGCCTCAGGTAGGCCTAAATCAGGCCTTAACTTAGAGCCTAAAAAGCCTGAATAAGGCCTGAAATCAGCCTAAACATGGCTAATTTTAGGTAATTTTCGGCCAAAAAACTCAGAATTTCTCGGGCTTCACCGGGCCTCAAAAAAAGCCTGAAAACCCCTCCAAAATCCCACCAACCTGAACAAAAGTCGTCTTTCCACTTCCAGCCATTCCCAACACCAAAACCGACGGTTTCTGCGCCACATTTGGACCAATTCTTGGAGATTCTGAAGATGAAGCTTCCATTTTTCCTGGAAAAAATTCTGGATTTTCAGAGAAATCCAGATATGGAAAAGATATCAAAAATCGTCAAAAATTCACGATTCCGGGGCTCAAAAAAAATGGTGTAAAGATCGGAAAATTTTCATAGAAATCTACATAAATACATCACTTTTGGGGGGGGGGCGCAAAAAAAATGAAAATAAAAATAAAAGACTGTGGAGGGGGCAAGAATCACACGGGTTTTCCTGAAGAAGAAGATGATGGTGAGAATGGATCATCGGGTATGGCAGAAGTTGAATTTGGATTGGGATTTTGAGATGATGAAGGTCGAGATGAAGATGAAGAAGATTGAGCTGAGGTCTGAAAATCAGAGGGTTTTGGCTGAAAATTGGGTGAAAAATGCACTTTTTTGAGCTAAAATTTACTGAAAAATGGATTTTTCAGGGTAAAAATTAAACATTGCTCATATTAAGCTCCAATTTTTGAGGAATTTTCAGGATGCTCAAAACTAGACTCTAGTTAAGCAACATTTTATGTCCATGAAAACTAGACTCTAGTTAATTTAAGCCTAACTTAGCCTAGGTAGATTTTGGCTGAAAAAACTGATTTTTCGAGGTAAAAATTGGAGATTGCTCATATTAAGTTCGAAATTTTAGGGCATTTTCAGGATGATCAAAACTAGAGTCTGGTTCAGCAGAATTTGGTTTTAAAGATTTCTTAAGATTGCTCATTTTAAGTCGATGAAAACTAGAGTCTAGTTTAACTCATTTAGAATCAAATACTAGGTAAGAAAATTGTGCCAGGGTTGCAAAAGTGGGCGGGGCAATGGAGAAAACCCTGCCGCAAATTTGCAAAAAGGGGCGGGGCTTAATTTTCAGGCGAAAACATATCAAAATTGGTCTCTAAATGATTGGCTTAACATGAGCAATCCGAATTTTCAGGGAAAAATTGGAAATTAAAATTTTTCCTCCCAAAAAAACCCACGGTTTTCCTGACACTTCCAGGCGCACATCCTTTCACAATTTTGAACGGATTCGACAAAACCGGCTCCTCTTTTTTGATGCCCAAAACATCGCGAATCGCTTGGAGTTTGAGCTCGCGAGCAGTTTGACGACCCTGAAAAAAATATGAGGTTTTTTTCGGGTAAACAAACAACACATGTTCAAAGAAAAAAAGTGCACAATACCTTGGTTAATCTTTGTTTTGCAGCCATACATCGAATATGATCATCGAAGATGAATTTGGCTGTTAGAACAGCTTGACGCTTCTGGAACAAAATTGGTTTAGGCATCATCTAATAATCCGCGTGGCCGCTGCGCGGAAGCTTCCGATGTACACTCGCTCCGCTCGAAAGCAAAAAGAAATGGGCCGAACCGGGGATTGAACCCGGGACCTCTCGCACCCAAAGCGAGAATCATACCACTAGACCATTCGGCCACGTTTTAAACAAGCTTAATTTCCGCAAATTATCTTATCATTTCCAAAAAAATTAATGGAGATCTCTTATCTCTGCTTGTTTTTATGGAAAATTTGAAAGATAAGATTATTACGGGAAAATTAAGCTTGATTAAAACGTGGCCGAATGGTCTAGTGGTATGATTCTCGCTTTGGGTGCGAGAGGTCCCGGGTTCAATCCCCGGTTCGGCCCATTTCTTTTTGCTGGACTTTTTTTTTAGGATATCGATTTTTTTTAAATTTCTAACATGAGCAATGCGTGGAAAATTCTTTTTTTGGGAAAGCATTGCTCATATTAATTTCAAAATTCATCAAAAATTGGGATTTTCTGAAGGAAATTTAAATATTGCTCATATTAACCTTAAAACTTCTAATTTTGAAGTAAAAAATCAGGCTTAACATGAGCAATCCGTCAAAAATTTAGATTTCATTAAAATTTCAAGAATTGCTCATGTTAACCTTGAACGTTGCAATTTTCATATGAAAAAATTCAGATTTCAGCAAAATTCCAAGCATTGCTCATAGTAAGCTCAAAACTTGCAAAAATTAGGCTTAACATGAGCAATGCGTCAAAAATTTAGATTTCACTAAAAATTTCAAGCATTGCTCATGTTAACCTCAAAAATTACTTGTGTGTCTAATATGAGCAATGCATCTAAAATTCGAGAAAATTAGCAATTTTGACTTGAAAAATTCAGATTTTCGTGAAATTTCAAGCGTTGCTCATATTAATCCAAGATTTTCATAAAATATATCAAAACAACCCCCAAAACCCCAATTTTCCCACCTTTAATCGACTCGGCTGCCCTTCAACCACAACATGCAGTGCTCGACTATCCGAAGAGTCTCCATTAATCGTTGTGTCTTGTAGCAATCCGACGAATTTCACCACAGCCCATGCGGCTTTTTTCGCGTCTGGCTCTACTAGAATCAGCTGAAGTCCATCGGTGACCAAAAATCGGAGAAGACGATCGCCGGGTTTTCCGAGACAACACGGTTTTTGTGGAACTACTGTGCAGGAGAGCAGGTCGGAATTGTCTACAAACAAGTTATTGTAGAACATTTTTTGCAAAAAAAATAATGCAATTTTTGAAACAGTGAAAAAAAAATTTTTTTTTTTAATTTCCTGAACAAGAAAACTAATTGAATTGTTTTTTTTTTGAAAATCCAAATTATGAATTTTTTGAAACAGTGAAAAATTCGGAAAATTTTCAAACTAGATTTTTTCTTCAATTTTGTTTCATGAACGAATTTTTCCAGTTTTTTTTAAATTTACATTTTTTCTGGTAAGTTTTGAGAATTTCCAGCAAAATACAGACAATCAAACAATTGAAAATAAATTTGTTATATGTAAATTCAATCATAAAATTTTTGAAACAGTGAAAAATTACAATTTTTGAGCAATGTTAAATAACGGTGTTTGAGGTTAGAGGATCGTTTTTATTCGAGAAATCGCATTTAATTTTTTTTGCAGAAAAAAAATTATGTAATTTTTGAAACAGTGAAAAATTTGGGATTTTTTGGAACTAAAATTCATGAAAAAATGAAAATTTCAGAAAACTTGTCAGATTTTATTGGAATTTAGCCGTATTGAGAAGTAGAACTAACTATAAACTTTTGCACAGTGAAAAAATTGGAATTTTTTGAAACTGTGGATTCTTTCAATAATTTAAATTTTTGAAATTGAACAAAATTAAAATTTTTTTAGAAAGTTTTGAGATTTTTAGTAGTGATGGCAAAATCGAATTGAATAAAAAAATTTTTGATAAAAAATTATACAATTTTTAAAACGGTGAATTTTTTTATATCCTGAACAAGAAAACTAATTGAATGGTTTTTTTTTTTGAAAATCCAAATTATGAATTTGTTGAAACAGTGAAAAATTCGGAAATTTTCGGAGCTTGAATTTTTCTTCAATTTTAGTCTAGAACCTAATTTGAAGTTTTTCAAATATAAAAATTGTGCCTATCGAATATTTCTAGAAAGTTTTGAGAATTTCCATCACAAATAATCAACCGATTGAAAATAAATTTTTTACGAAATCAATCATAAAATTTTGAAACAGTGAAAAAAATACATCTTTTGTGAAACTGTGGATTCTTTCAATAATTTAATTTGAAATTGAACAAAATTAAATTTTCTAGGAAATTTTGTGATTTTTAGTTTACGGATGGAAAACTTAAAATTAGAAAAATTATTTTTGATAAAAATATACACAATTTTTGAAACAGTGAAATTTTTTTAGTATTGAAGGAAATAGTATTGAAGAATTTTTTTTCAAAAAAAAATTAATTTTTTGAAACAGTGAAAAATTCGGAAAATTTTCGAACTTGAATTTTTCTTCAATTTTGGTCTAGAAACCTAATTTGAAGTTTTTCAAATATAAAAATTGTGTCTATCAAATATTTCTAGAAAGTTTTGAGAATTTCCAGCACAAACTAGATACCGATTGAAAATAAATTTGTTACAAATTCAATCATAAAGTTTTTGAAACAGTGAAAAAATACAATTTTTGATCAACATTAAATCACAGTGTTTGGGATTAGAGGATCGTTTTTATTATAAATAGAGAGCCACTGTCTTATTGAAATTTTTTTGCAGAAAAAAAATTATGAAATTTTTGAAACAGTGAAAAATTTTGGAACGAAAATTCATGAAAAAAATGAACATTTCAGGAAACTTTTCAGATTTTCTTGGAATTTAGACGTATTGAGAAGTAGAACTAACTATAAATTTTTGAAACAGTGAAAAATTACAATTTTTGTGAAGCTGTGGATTCTTCTAATAAAAAAATTTTTTTTTCAAAAAAAATTATGAATTTTTTGAAACAGTGAAAATTTCTGAAAATTTTGAAGCTTGTATTTTTTCTTTAATTTCGGTCTATAAACCTAATTTTAAGTTTTTCAAATATAAAAATTGTGTCTATAAAATATTTCTAGAAAGTTTTGAGAATTTCCAGCAAAATACAGACTATCAAACAATTGAAAATAAATTTGTTACAATAAAATTTTGAAACAGTGAAAAATTATAATTTTTGTGAAGCTGTGGATTCTTTCAATAATTTAATTTGAAATTCAACAAAATTAAATTTTCTAGGAAGTTTTGTGATTTTTAGTCATTGAAATATTTTTCATAAAAATTATACAATTTTTGAAACAGTGAATTTTTTATTTCGTGTGCCGTTATTGGAAAAAAACATTATTGGAAAAAATCTTTCCCAAAAAAAAAAATAAAATTTTTGAAACAGTGAAAAATTCGTGAAATTTTGCAATTTCGGTTCATGAAACAGTGAGAAAATTTTAATTCAATTTGCTGAATTAATTGAAATTGAATTGAACAAAAATAGGTTTAGAAAAGCAATTATAAAATTTTTGAAACAGTAAAAAATTGTTTACCAAACTTTAATTTTTTAATGAAATTTTCATCAATAAATCTCAATTTCTAGCATTTTTTAGTGTCAAAAATCTCCCCCTCCCTCAAACAAAAACTCACACAAATTAATACAATCCCCAATTGCAGCCGGCTCTTGTCGACTCGAAACTCGAACTGGCAATTCGGAATCCGGTTCTCCGGTCAAATCTCGCTCCAATTTTCGAATGTGCAAGTAGAAGAGGATTTTCTGGAAGAAAGAGAGAAAATTCGGGGGGGTTTTTTTTATAGATAGAATTAAGAAAGGAGAATTGAAACATTTATGAAAATTTGAATATTTGTGAATTTATTGAAACGTAAAAAATTTGGTTTTTTTGGGAAAATATTTCGAATAATAAACATACATCAGTATCCCCGGATTTTCGTCCGGAGGGGGTCTGCCTAACTTTGGAAAAAAGGGGTGGGGACCGGCTAACTTTTTGAAAAAATAGCAATTTACCCCCAAAAACCAAGTTTTTTCTCTTTTTTTTTTGAGGGGGTCTGGCTTATTTTTGTATTTTCACATTCCGGGGGTGGCTAATTTTGAGACCCTGACCGGGAGAAACCGATGTATGATAATAAAGCAAAAAAAAATGTTGTAAAAAAATCTGTTTAAAAATTTGTGAAACAGTGAAAAAAAGAGTTTAAAAATGTGGAATTTCTTTTGAAATCGTTTTTTGTCAATTAATCGCATTTTTTCAGAAATGAATGCGATTAATTGACAAAAAACGTGAAATTAATCGCACTTTTTTGTTAATTTATTTTTATGAATCACCCCATAAGGAATATACGATCAAACAAGTTTAGAAAAAATCTTCGAAATTTAGAAACTTTTTTGAAACAGTGGAAATTTTCTACATTTTTTAAATTTTCAAAATAAACAAAAATTCACATGAAAATTTCAGTTCACAAATTTTCATTGAAATATTAAAAATAGTACACCTTATTTCCGTTACCAAATTTGTTCAGAAATCTCAAAATGCATGAATTCTTTGAAACAGTAAAAAATTTTCTGAATTTTTTTGATTTGATAATTTCGAGTTAATCAACCTCTCCAGAAAACCTTTAAAATTTAGAAACTTTTTGATTTTGTTCAGAAATCCCAAAATTCATAAATTTTTTGAAACAGTGAAAAAAAATATTGTTAGAAAAATCTGGATTTTTTTCTGCTAAAGATAGATGAAAATATTATTAATATTCGAAAAAATTTTTATCATTTTATGGAATTTTTGAAACAGTAATTTTTTGTGACATAATTTTTCAACAAAAAAATACTAATTTTTTGTCTAGACTCTCTCAATTTCACACTATCTATCTCTAATCAAAAATGATATTCTGTAAATTTTTGAGAATTTTTGAAACGTAAAAATTTTACTCACAGTCCTAACCCGCTCCTCAAATCCACTCGGCAACCTTTTATGAAGCGGCAATCCGGAAAGCGGCGTCGCCGCCGGCGGCAACAACATCTCATATCCAATTATATCAAAATTCACGTGATTCACCTAAAGAACAAAAAATAGTTAGGCTAACTCAGTTAGACAAAAAAAATACCTCAAATTCCGCATATTCATCCTCAAACCATTCCAGAAACAAAGTCTCACTATTCACAGAAATCCCAAGAGATTTCACCAGACTTTCTCGAACTTCTCCACACAAATTCGTGAGATTTTTGAGAATCTGAAAAAAATTTGGATTGGAATTTTCAGCTTCCAGAAGAAAAAAACCCACGTCATCATCATCAATCGTCATCAAAATCTGCCTGATAACTAGACAAGCCAATTCCAGTGTCAGCGGTCGAATATTTGAATTCTCCTTGCCGACGGCTGAGATGATTGAGCAAAGAGCATCGACTAATCGGCTATCGCATGATTTTGTGGGAGGCGGAGTTTGCTCAGGGCTCCGCGGAGCTTCCAAATCATCAACTGCTGATGCGAAACGACTTCGAGGTTCTTCAGGTGGAAGGAAGACGTCGTCAGTGTTCTGGAACAAATAAATGAATATTTGTATCAAAAAAAAATTGAAACAGTGAAATTTTCTGTTTCGAATTCAATAATTATTGCGTTCGCAATATTCACTGTAGCAGTTGAAATTTCCAAAGAACTTTTTGATCAATTAAATTTGAAACAGTGAATTTTTTCTTGAAATTTTGATTTTTTTTATTTTTAAAATAAAATAGCCTTTATCAAACTATTTTTGAAAAATCACTTTTTTGCGCGAAAATTCAGCTACAGTAACCCGCAATATTCATTTTAAAAAATTTGGGATTTTCTCTATAACCTAAGCAATGCTCAAAAAATTCGTGAAAATTGAGGATTTTTGAAGAGAAAAATAACCTGGTTCAATTTTTTTGAGTAGGAAATTTTCATTTTTTCTAAAAATTTGGTGCCAAAAAATTGCAAAAAAAATTACTGTTTCAAAATTTTGTTATATAATTTTTGAAATTTTGAAAAAAAAAATCCGTTTTTCGTAGAAATCCTTAAAAACAGTGAAATTTGCAGAAACTGTTTCAAAAATGTTGTAATGAGGTATTCAACCAATTTTGAAAAATTCGAAATTCAATAAAAATTTTTTGAAAAAGTGCGAAAAATTCTCATAAAAAATTTACTGTTTCAAAATTTTGTTATATAATTTTTAAATTTTTGAAAGAACAATCCACTGCTTTTAATATTTCGAAAATTCCGAGAAAAATCATAGAAATCCTTAAAAACAATGAAATTTCCAGAAAAAAAAATTCTTTAAAATTCACTGTTTCAAAATTGTTGTATAACCCAAAAAATATTGAACTATTCAATAATTTCAAAATATCTTGACTTCAAAAAAATTCTGAAACAGTGAATTTTTTCAGCAAAAATTCAAACATTTTCTGGATCTTCTATAACTATACTGTTTCAAAAAATTATAAACAAATTTTGAGAAAAATTCTTATGAAAAATTTACTGTTTCAAAATTTTGTTATATATTTTTCTCAAAATTTGAAAAATAATCTACGACTGAAATCTCTTCAAAAAAAAATTTCCGAAGCTTCCGCGCACGCGGAACATTTTTTCTAAAATCAAAACTGATTCCAAAAATTTATTATTTTCAAAAACGCTCATGAAAATTGAATAATAATTTTCAAATTTTGAGAAAAATATATAACAAAATTTTGAAACAGTCAATTTTTTATGAGAATTATTTCACAAAACTTTCATTTAAAACCCCCCAAAAAAAGCTAAGCGGACTCTTCCGCTTACGCGGAAGCCTGCGGAAACTCACCAATTCCTCCATTCTCTCCACAACATCATGATAAACCTCCTCTTCCTTGGCTTCAACTCCAACTTCAGTCATCAATCTCTCTCTTTTCGGATTTTCCTGGACTATTTTCAGATTTGTGATATCTTTGATAACCGGAAAATTGGCAGCATTCAATAATTCACCAACATCAGCTGAAAAAACACTGGATTTTGCTGGAAAACTTGATTTTTCGTGCTGAAAAAGCCAAAAAAGTGCAAAAAACTTCACAAATCACAACATTTCACAACTTACTTTCTGCAAAAAAAATATGAAAAAAAATTTGAATTTTTTTGACCTTCAAAAAATATTCCAGGAAAACCCTACCTTTATTCTGGAACATTGAAAAAATCAACATTAGTCCATAAAAAGTGAGATAATCATCTTTTTGACTTGCATCGAAGGCGCCGAGCAGCGAATCGAAGAAAACTCTGGAAATTGTGGATTTTTAAGTGGATTTGGTGCAAAAATAGAAATTTTTCGATGAATTTTGAGCCAAAACTCGAGTTTTTTGGCTGAAAATTACAGAATTCACAGATTTTCAGTTAAAAACCTCACCTTTCAGATTTTGGAGGTTGATCAATTTTCTGCAAGCAAAATGCTTCTTCGGTTCGAATCCAATGTGTGGAGATTGTACTTTGGTCGTCGAAAAGGAAGGCGGAGAGAAAGTTTTGGATTGTTGAGTGGTGTTGGATTATCTGTAGGGAAAAAAATTGTTGGATTGTCTAGGAGCCGCGCCTTGAGAGCCACTGTTTCTAGCTGAGGCGCCTAGGGAACCTGCTTGCCTAGAAGCCTAGACAAGCTGAGTGTCTAGGAGCCGCCACTAGAGAACCTATCTATAAAGTAGTCGCGCCTTAAGGACTTGCTAGTCTAGGAGTCGCGCCTAGAGATCGAATATGACAAGTAGCGGCGCCTTGAAGTGCAATTTGACAAGTAGCCGCGCCTTGAGAGCTTCTAAATCAAGCAGTCAAGCCTAGAAACCTTGGCTGTCTAGTAGCTGAGCTCAGAAACCTTGATCGTCTAGGACCCGCTACTAGAGAACCTGATAGTAAGGCACCTACAGAGCTCAGTTATCAAATAGCTAAATAGAACTCACCAATAAAAACTGCGAAAAGAAGAAAAACGCCGAAACCGGAGTAAGCATAACTGCATTATTACCAATCCTCGGCAACAAACTGCTAAGCAAAAGTGGCATCAAATATCGATTGGTCACCAAATCACTCAAAGAATCCGCCATTGTCTCAACATCCAAAAGTTCTCCAATATAATGCACCAAATCAATCAAATCATCCACTTTTTCTCGTAATCTTTCTCGATTTGCTTGCAAATTCTGAGCCGATCTCACATAAATATCCAACGAAATACTCGCCTCAACTAGACAATCCACAAGTTCCGCCAAATATTGTTTGGTATTTGATTTAACGAATTGAAGCATTGAGACATCTTGAACTTTTACGATGTTTAGGATGATGTTTCGAACAGCTATTCGAACCATCGAATCATTCCAATCATATAGTTTCAAAACTTCGAGAAGGAGCGGAAATTCTTGGGAGGTTTCATTGAAGAAAAAGTGAATTGTGCAGGCGTTTAGCTTGAAGCTTAGGGTTTTGAGGAAGGATATGTAATATGCCATTATTTCATCATTTGAGAGGTCGAAACTATGCGATATTATTGAATTTACATGGTTGTTGCTTAGTAGAAAATCTGGAAAAAAATATGAGTAAGGATTTTTGATCCTTCCGCGCAGCTGACGCGGAAGCTTGCGATTTACTATCGAAGATCCCCATGCCCTTTAGCGTGGCCGCTAAAGCGGAAGACAGTGCCGCTGACGCGGAAGCTTGCGGTTTACACTCGCGCAGAGCGCTCGACTGATTCTTTTAAAATCCAAAATTTGTCACGTCATAACTCATGTTAGGAGTGGAGTATTGCAATTTTTGACAAGGGGATTGTGATCAGTCGAGCGCTCTGCGCGAGTGTAAACCGCAAGCTTCCGCGTCAGCGGCACTGCCTTCCGCTTCAGCGGCCACGCGATTTACTATGGCTTGAATGAGATTACCAAGTCATAGTAAACCACGTGGCCGCTAAAGCGGAAGACAGTGCCGCTTACGCGGAAGCTTGCGGTTTACACTCGCGCAGAGCGCTCGAACATGTCAAAAATTGCAAAACTCCCCTCCTAACATGAGTTATGACGTGACAAAGTCTGAAAATTCCGTGACTACAAGGCTATAACTGGTTTCAAAAATGATTTTCATGGGGATCTGATAACATAGCGTTGTTCACAAGGCTAGATAACATAACTTCGCCAGTTTTTTCTAATTTTCTACTATTTTTGTACAGTGGAGAAGGTTAATTTTGAAAAATCTCGGATTTTTGAATGAACTTCTATATCGTATATTTTAACAGTATGAAAGTTCATTCAAAAATCCGAGATTTTTCCAAATGAACCTTCTCCGCTGTACAAAAATAGTTGAAAATTTGAAAAATCTAGTGAGATTATGTAATCTAGCCTTCTGAACAACGCTATGTTATCAGATCCCCATTAAAATCATTTTTGAAAGCAGTTATAGTCTTGTAGTCACGGAATTTTCAGACTTTGCCACGTCATAACACATATCAGGAGTGGAGTTTTGCAATTTTTCTGTCGAAAACTACCCGAGCGCTCTGCGCGCGTGTAAACCGCAAGCTTCCGCGTCAGCGGCACTGTCTTCCGCTTCAGCGGCCACGCGGTTTACTATCGAAAATCCCTAGCGTGGCCGCTAAAGCAGAAGACAGTGCCGCTGACGCGGAAGCTTGCGGTTTACACTCGCGCAGAGCGCTCGGAGTTATCAAAAATCTTCCAACTCACAAAGCGATGTTTCGTGTCGAATATTCTCAAAAAGAATATTAAGAGTTTGCAGCAATTGCACATTCAAACTCGTACTTCCCTGCTCCATAATCTTCAAAAAATGCAGCAACATTTGGCGTTCCAGGAAAAAACTGCAAAAAAAAACACGTTTCACAAGTTCCCCAAATGTTTTACTCACTCAAAAACACTCGCATCATTCTGATCTCCCCATATAAGAATCTCGGCAATCGCTCGCAACGCTTCCACCAATATTTTCCGGTTGCTCTCCGTGACTTTCTCATTTTTCACCAAAACTCCTTGCAGGTATTTCAGATATTCGAGTGAATGCGGGTTTTTTGGTTTCCATAATGAGCCGGACGATCCCAATTTACGAAACATATTGATTAATCAACTTTTATAAACAAGAACATGTGATTCTGCTTTTCGAAAAATCGAAAAAGTCGAAAAATAAAAAAATTGTGTGTTACGACACTCCGCGTTGCCTGTTGTTTAGCGACAAAGAACCTGGGAACTTTCCCCGGAATCAGGATCCTAGAGGAGTTTTATAAGCGTTTTCCGGAGTTTCGATGAATTTGCGAGGTAGTCGGGAGCATTTTGATACCAAACATGTCTTATTTCAGCAGATTTACAGGCTAGAAAACTTCCACTGAAAACTCAAACGATACTCCGCTTTGCCTGTTGTTTAGCGTTCGAATTTTTCATTTTATTTTTTTTTCGTTTTTCGCGGGTTTTTTTAAAGAACTCAGCGGTTTGGGATGAAAAACCGGCGACGAATTGCCGATGAATCGCCGACGAACAACTGGAAAGTCGCTTGGCAACCGCCGGTTTCTCAGTTGTTCATCGCCAGTTCGTCGCCGGTTTCTCGCATGTGTGTGCGCTAGAGCGAGCTTGCAGTTTCACTTTTTCATCGCGGTTTTTTGCTTTCTACGAATTTATAGGTAGGGATCAGTTCATAAAATGCTTTTATTATCATAAAACATAGTGAATAGCAAATTTTCAAAAATAAGAGTACATGTAATGTTTAAAAGTCACCTTATACAGGATTAATTAGTGAAAATGACATTTTATAAGTTCAGCGTTTTCGGGTGAAATTTTCGATTGATATGTTCTGTTTGTTGTGTCATCAGAATGTGCATCAGTTTTGTAGAGAATAATGTGATGATGAAGTTGTTGACCAGTTTCCATAACATCTAGACACAACCAACCTCTGTAACTTGTATTCATTATAAACTTGATAAATATTATTTTACGGCGTCCAAGTGAATAAGAAGCATACGCGAAAACGCATAGAATCGCATAACTTTTGCAAAACAACGTGTGTTTGGACAAAAAAGCGTATGTCTAAGCGATTCTACGTTTTTTTTCACTTGGACGCCGTATTATCAACATACCTTCGCAGTGATATTTCATTGAACATTCTTGAAGATACAATCGAACATGTTTCGGCGTCGTAGTCTGTAAAATTTGAGTATGGAAGTATTCATTATCATTATAGTATTTGGATGTACTTATTCATATTGAGGCCGTGTTCTTGGAATAAGTTAAGATGTCATTGAAAGTTTATATCTAGGTTTCACTCTGTATACTGTTCCTGTCTATAGTGAGAAAAGATATTCAGACACAATACTTAGTGAATTATCAACTTTTGACGGACATTATAAGAAATTAGATAATAATTCCAGTGAAGTTCACGTTTCGCAAATTTTCTTAATTCATTGTTATTTATATCTGACAGGAAATCATAAACTCTAGCCTCTGTCATTACAGTCTCACAACACTTCATGAGATAAATGAATAAATAACTCACTATTATATCAACTCTGTGCCGCTCCAATCGCAAGGTTTCGCGTTATTCAGCAAATCTCATAATTTTCAAGTGACATGTCTCAGTGTTCAAAGTAGGTTGCATGATGGACCGTTGGTGGTTGAGAATAGCTTACGTGTCACTAGACAGGTTCATTGATATCTATCTAAATTAATCCAGATTTTTACAATCATAATGTGAACAATTCATCTCACCTGACTTTTTATTGAAAAATAGTTTTTCCATACAATCTAGTTGATATGTTGATTTTGTATGCGCCAACAAGCAGAACTTCATTCACAACATACTGGAAATACTTCGTAAATAGGCTAGAACTGAAGGTGAACGAAAAACAGGCGAAAACAAAAAGAAACTTCAAAAAAACATCGCTCATTTTTGAAAAAAACATGTTTTTTCGAGCGCGAAAGCAATGCTAAACAATAGGCATAGTTGTCGGAGTGTTGTCAAACTTTTACGTGATGAACTCGCGAGAAATCGGCGACGAATTAGCGATGAAAACAACCAAGCGCTCGCTATCTTCTTTTCTGAACAATTCGCGATGAATCAGCGACGAATCAGTTTATCGCGTGTTCGTCGCCGGTTTATCGTTTGTTTCTCAAAAGACCATTTTCGTCGCCGGTTTCTCATCCCAAATCGCTGAGAAGAGCAGCTAAAATCGATTTTTTTCAGAAAATGATAAAATCTCCCGGACCTTCAAGACCGCCCGGACAATACGTCCCCGCAAAAAACACACAATTCAACCTCATCGACAATGAATATGACAAAAACACCTACGCCCAATGCAACTACACATCCTATCGAACTCTAATGCGATGCAAGCAAATTCGACCGAAAGAGGAACTTGTGAGGAATTCCGGAAAATGTGAGGAACATGATAAACACGCGGAAATGTTGAGGAATAATCGGAATAAAGAGGAACTGCGGATTCGCGCGGAATGCGATAATTTGAATGGAAAACGTAGGAAGTTTCATTCAATTATTGTTAGCAATGATTATGTTAGTGATGAGGAAGACTATCTTCAATCTTGCTCAAGTTTACCCAATGAATTGCCCGATAAAGCATATGATAATACAATTGACTCAGATCCAATGAGACATGCGGAAATATTCACAGAAAAGGATATTCTACGCTTAAAAATCAAATATCTCAAGCAAGACATTGATGATCTCAATCAATTTTACGAGATGCTCGAGGCCGAAGCGGCAAAAACCTCGGATAAACTAAATGACAGCTCTTCTCGACCAGTTGTGCTAGATGTTCCACAAATTCGAGCGCTGGAATCGATTCAGGAAATTGGGCGGAAAGATTATCCGAGAGCTGGATTGGATCGATATCGGGGACCGCGGGAAGTCTGCAGATATGGGAGAAGTGATCTAGATCTTCCTGATTCTATCGTCATTCCTCAAATTCTTGAAAACCTTTTGGATAAAACTTGCGGGAAGGTTTTGAAAAAACCTATTGAACCATGTAGAGCTGAAGCATTGGCAAGAATTGGTTATTGTAAAGATCGTGAGTTTCTTTCTAGAAATAGATAGACTAGACTCTAGTTTAATTATCAAAACTTTCAGATATTTTCCACGATAAGGCCAATAAATTATTCACGCATTGTACAATTTGCGGACATTTGGCGGTGGCTACAGATGATCCAACTTGCCCATTTCATATGAGTATGTTACGATTTTGCTTAATGCGCTGATCAAAATGCTGTGAAAATCGGTTCGGGGAGAGCCAAGAAATTGTTTTTTTGAGGTTGAAGAATTACTATTTCAAATTTTTTTCAAAACCAAAATTTCACAGGGATTACGAACTTTGATTATAGTTTTCAATGAAAAATATCTATAGTCGAGATCATATTTTCAAATTTTTCACGCAATTGATTTGAAATCTTGGATTTTAATCGTATTTGTAGGATAGAGAGGCCTAAGACAATTCGAATGATATGAATTTTGATTACTTTACGTTATCCTTAAGTGATTTAACGCTAAATCACCTAAGGACAACGTAAAGTAATCAAAAATTATGTAATCAAAAAATTAAAAAATATTAACGTAGTCAAAAAATTAAAAAATATTAACGCTAAATCACCTAAGGACAACGTAAAGTAATCAAAAATTATATCATTCGAATTGTCTTAGGCTTCTCTATCCTATAATTACGATTAAAAGCCAAGATTTCAAATAACTTGCGTGAAAAATTTGAAAATATGATTTCGACTATAGATATTTTTAATTGAAAACTATTATCAAAGTTCGGAATCCCTGCGAATTTTTGGTTTTGAAAAAATTTGAAACAGTAATTTTTTAACCTCAAAAAAACCCTTTTTCTTGGCTTTCCCTGAACCGATTTTCACAGCATTTTGATCAGCGCATTGCTCATGTTACAAATGGAAAAATTCCAGAAAAAATCGTTGGATATCGCTGCTTGGACCCGCAATACAATACTCGAAAAGGCGAAGAAGATGTGCGAACTCCTGGACACGATTTGTATTTTGAACAAAATCATCAAAGAGGCTCGCAAATGACGCCGATTAAACATGTGATTATTGATGATGAGGATGAGGATGATATGCGATTGGGCAATTTGGGACATATTGAAACGGTGAGAAATATTTGAAATCTGAAGTTTTGGCGCCAAAAATATACCATTTTTCTTCAAAAAACATGATTTTTCATGTATTTTTTGCCAAAATTCACTAAATTTGACACCAAAAACCCCTCTCCTCCCACAAAAACCACATTTTTCCAGATGCCTTCCCCGCTGGCTTCACTCGGAATGGGTTTCGGTCCAGCACCGCGTGGCATTCGCACAATCATCGCTCCCCCCTACATCCAATCATCCGGTCCAACTCCGGCTCAGCGAGCCGCGCAACTTCGCCTCCAACAACAACGCGACGAGGTTTCGCAGGCGGAATTGGCGCGAGCTCGCGAGGAGCAAGAGGAGAAGACGAGCAAGTGCGCGAGAGCACGACCTTTGCATCCCGACTATTTTAATAAGGAGGATAATGTTGCGTTGGCGACGGCGCAGAGTGAGTTAGCGGAAGTCCTAAAAATGCAGGAGACAGTGCCATTGGGAATCCATCCGCGTGGCCGCTGCGTGGAAGCTTGCGGTCTACACTCGCTACGCTCGAAAACAAAAAAGAAATGGGCCGAACCGGGGATTGAACCCGGGACCTCTCGCACCCAAAGCGAGAATCATACCACTAGACCATTCGGCCACGTTTTAAACAAGCTTAATTTCCCCGAAATAATCTTATCTTTCAAATTTTCCATAAGAGATAAGAGATCTCCATCAATTTTTTGGGGAAAATTGGAAAGATAAGATTATTACGGGGAAATTAAGCTTGATTAAAACGTGGCCGAATGGTCTAGTGGTATGATTCTCGCTTTGGGTGCGAGAGGTCCCGGGTTCAATCCCCGGTTCGGCCCATTTCTTTTTGCTGGCGGGATTTTGAATTATTGAAGAAAAAATTCACTGTTTCAAATTGTTTTAAAAATTTTTGCGCTTGGAAAAAACTTGGATTGGAGAACTGGTTTGAGTGAAAATCCAAAAAAAAATATTTTTTGAGGTTAAAAAGTTACTGTTTCAAATTTTGTTTTCTTTTGAAAGCCAAAAATTCGCAGGGATTCTGACTTTGATAATAGTTTTCAATTAAAAATAAATATAGTCGAGATCATATTTTCAAATTTTTCACGCAAGTTATTTGAAATTTTGGCTTTTAATCGTAATTATAGGATAGAGAAGCCTAAGACAATGAAAATGATATAATTTTTGATTACTTCACGTTATCCTCAAGTGATTTAACGCTAAATCACATAGGGATGACATAAAGTACTCAATAATTAAATCATTCGAATTGTCTTAGGCTGATCTATCCTATAAATACGATTAAAATCCAAAATTTCAAATCAGTCGACTATAGATATTTTTAATTGAACACTATTATCGGAAATACAACAAAATATTGAATCCCTGCGAAATTTTGATTTTGAAAAGAAAACAAAATTTGAAACAGTAAATTTTTAAACCCAAAATATATTTTTTTTTGGAAATTCCTTCTGAAACCGGTGAAGTTATCAAGTTTTTTTTCGAAAACAAAACTTTTCGAAAAATCTTGAAACAGTGAATTTTTGAGCATTTGAGCCTAGAAAAAAAGGTTGCGGAAAGTCGCGAGTGTAAACCGCAAGCTTCCGCGTAAGCGGCACTATCTTCCGCTTTAGCGGCCACGCGGTTTACTATGACTTGGGGAGGGGGAGGGAATCCTGCAGGTTTCAGTTCACCGCGTGGCTGCTGCGCGGAATTTTCCGGTTTACACTCGCTACGCTCGAAAATTAATAAATTTTGAAACCAAAAATCGAAAAAACCTCCACGAAAATAACATTTTCATTTTTTTTTTCGCAAATGAGTTGAAATATTGGGTTCTAATGTTATTCTTATGGTAGAATGGGCTAAGACGAACAGAATTATATAAATTTTGATGACGTTACCTTATCCATAAGTGATTTAGCGACTCTTGAACGAAAAATTCGACTAAAAGTCGCTAAATCACTTATGGATAAGGTAAACTCATCAAAATTTCTATCATTCTGTTCGTCTTAGACCATTCTATCATATGAATAACATTAGAACCCAATATTTCAATTCACTTGCTTAAAAAACCTGAAAATGTCATTTAGTCGATGTCCAACTATAATTCAAATTTTCAACCCAAAAATCTTGCAGCTCCCACGAACACCGTCAAAAACATCAAACACACCAACATGCTCCTCCATCATCCAAGTGCCCCAACACCTCGACTTATCCCATCTTCAACTCATCTTCACACATTCCCCCCGCCTCCACAAAATCCACAACAACAACGCGCTCATTATATGTCAACACTTCAACATCCAACTATGCCAACCCAGAAGCATTATACTACAAAGTATCCGCTTCCTCGAAGAGCTCCGGGAGTTACCGGAACTCCAGTCGCTATCCCACTTGATGCTCAGATAAATGTGCATGATGATGATCCAAGTTTGCCACATTATACGAGATTGGAGAAGAATGTGCCACGTGGCGTGCCGTATGTTAAGCATGGAACATCGTTCAGAAAATCGGAAGATGCTTCCGCTTCCGCTTCCGCATCGCAACTCCATCCCAAACCGCTTCCGATAATAAAAACACCCGCCACCCACCAGCCAAAAGCAATTGCGCCCCATCGAGAAATCGCAAAGACTATGGCGAATTTGGCATCTAGCAGCTATCCGCGACCACTTTTGCCGCCTCCGCCGCCGGCACCGCGGCCACCGAAATTCCATGCCGGAATGTTTGAGAATACGAAAGATGCGCCGATGGTTGTACCAGCTGGAGCCGATCCGAAAATGGATGTGAAAAGCTATTTGGCATTGCGGATTGGTGGGTGATTTTTGGGAGGGGAAGATTTTGAGAGAAAAAATATTGAAGAAAAATTCACTGTTTCAAAATTTGAATATCAAAATTACTGATTTTTTGAAAATGTTCTGTTTTGAAAGTACAGTTCTGGTCAAAATTTTAATAATTTCATTAAAACTTGATTTTTTTTTTTGCTTCAAAGTTTACACATGAAAATGGAAGATTTTTTGAAAATTGATGAAATTGAAAGATTTTTTGAAAACAGTTTCAGATATGCTTAGAGAAAAATTTCATTGTTTCAAAAAATTTGAATATAAGTTTTCAAATGTCAAAATTTAATATTAAAGTGTGAAAAATATCATTAAAAAATTTACTGTTTCAAATTTTAATATCAACATTTACGATTTTTGGACTTGGTTTGGCTATATTTTCTTCACAAAAAACCTAAATTTTTTTCCATAAAAATTTACTGCTTCAAAATTGTTATATTAAAATTGCAGAATTTTTGAAATTAGTCCGTTATTGATTGAAATCTTATGAAAAACTATCAAAGAAAATTTTAGATCAGAAAGTTTTGCTTTTAAAAATCTTGTTTTTTTTTCATTAAAAATTCACTGTTTCAAGAAATTTAAATACAAGTTTTGAAATGTTGAAATTCAATGACAAACAAAATTCTGAAAAAAAACTTTCAAAGAAAACACGGCCTTTCAGAAATAGGGAAAATTGCAAGTTGAGAGAGACGCAGAGAGAGAAAAAACCACCTTCAAATGGAAATACGAAACACCAATTCCATTTGCAGTTCGACTCCTCGTTTCGAGACCAAGCGCGGGAAACATGTTTTTCAAATATTTTCAAATTCAAAAACGCTTCCCGCGCTTGGTTTCGAAACGATAGATCAAATCATTTGTGAATTTCGTGATTTGGATTTCTTTTTGAAGAAGTTTTCTCGTTTTCTTTGTGTCTTTCTCGATTTACCCTGTAAAAGGCCGTGAAAATTTACACCACTTCAAACCTGATTTCTTCCATAAAAATTCACTGTTTCAAGAAATTTAAATATAAGTTTTGAAATGTTCGAATTTAATGACGAACTCTATACAAGTTTTCAAATGTCAAAATTTAATATATGAAAAATATCATCAAAAGTATGAAAAATATCATCAAAAAATTTAACTGTTTCAAAATTTGTATATTACCATTTTTGATTTTTGGACTTGGTTCGGCTATATCATTTTCTTTCACAAATAAAAACCTAAATTTTTTTCCATAAAATTTCACTGTTTCAAAATTGTTATATCAAAAGTGCAGAATTTTTGGAAACAGTTTGAGATATGCTTACATTGTTAGAGAAAAATTTTACTGTTTCAAAAAAAATTTGAATATAAGTTTTCAAATGTCAAAATTTAATATGAAAGTGTGATAAATATCATCAAAAAATTTCACTGTTTCAATATTTTTATATCAAAATTTACGATTTTTGGACTTGCTTCGGCTTTATTATTTTCTTTCACAAAAAAACCCAATTTTTTCCATAAAATTTCACTGTTTCAAAATTGTTATATTAAAATTGCAGAATTTTTGAAAACATTTTGAGATACACTTATAGAGAAAAATTTTACTGTTTCAAAAAAATTTGAATATAAATTTTCAAATGTCAAAAGTTAATGTCAGAATGTAAAATACCTCATCAAAAAAATTCACTTTTTCAAAATTGTTATTGCTGCGTCCAATGCAAAAAGTCGCGTGAAAAAAACGCGTAAAAACGCGCGACAAATGTGTCCAATTTGTTGAAACGCGTCTCTCTATTTTTGAAAGAAACATACAGTAAGACAACGAGATATCGAGCGAAAAACACATGTTCCTTTGAAATTTACTACGGTATATGCAAACACGGCGACGAAATATTGCACATACCGTAGTAAATTTTGAAGGAACATGTGTTTTTCGCTCGATATCTCGTTGTCTTACTGTATGTTTCTTTCAAGAATAGAGAGACGCGTTTCCAACAAATTGGACACATTTGTCGCGCGTTTTTACGCGTTTTTTTCACGCGACGTTTTGCATTGGACGCAGCATATATCAAAATTGGAGAATTTTTGAAAGTAGTCCGTTATTGATTCAAATTTTATGAAAAACTATCATAGAAATATTCAGATCAGAAAGTTTTGCTTTTAAAAATCTTGATGTTTTTCATTTAAAAAATTCACTGTTTCAAGAAATTTAAATACAAGTTTTGAAATGTCAAAATATAAAAAATATCATCAAAAATTTAACTGTTTCAAAATTTGTATATCACCATTTTTGATTTTTGGACTTGGTTCTACTATCATATCACAAAAAAACCTAAATTTTTTTCCCATAAAAGTTCACTGTTTCAATATTGTTATATCAAAATGGCAGAATTTTTGGATAAAGTTCAAGATATGCTTAGAGAAAAATTTCACTGTTTCAAGAGATCTAAATATAAGTTTTCATATGTCAAAAGTTAATGTCAGAATGTGAAATACTTCATCAAACAAGTTCACTGTTTCAAAATTTCAATATCAAAATTTACGATTTTTGGACTTGGTTTGACTAGCTCACTCATATTCTTTCACAAAAAACCTAAATTTTTTTCCATAAGAATTCACTGCTTCAAAATTGTTATATCAAAATTGCAGAAATTTTGAAATTAGTCCGTTATTGATTCAAATCTTATGAAAAACTATCAAAGAAAATTTTAGATCAGAAAGTTTTGCTTTTAAAAATTTTGTTTTTTTTTCATTAAAAATTCACTGTTTCAAAATTTGTATATCAAAATTCACGATTTTTGGACTTGGTTTGGCTATATTTTCTTCACAAAAAACCTACATTTTTTCCATAAAAATTCACTGCTTCAAAATTTTTATATCGAAATTGCAGAATTTTTGAAAAATTGTTTGGCATATTTTACTTTTAAAATCCACTGTTTCAAAAAATTTAAATATAAGTTTTCAAATGTCAATGTGTAAGAACGTCATCAAAAAAATTCACTGTTTCAAAGTTCATACATGAAATTGGAAGATTTTTTGAAAATAGTACGTCTATGATAGTTTCTCCCAAAATTTCACCGTTTCAAGAAAGTTAAATATAAGTTTTGAAATGTTCGAATTTAATGACGAACTCTATACAAGTTTTCAAATGTCAAAATTTAATATTAAAGTGTGAAAAATATCATCAACAAAAATTCACTGTTTCAAAAATTATACATCAAATAGTAAGATGTTTGGAAAATTGTTCAAGACATGTTTTTTTTGCATAAAGCTTTACTTGAAAACATTTCTCAAAAATATCATAAAAATTTACTGTTTCAAAATTCATTTATAAAAATACAGATTTTTTGAAAATTGTTCGTCACATTTCTTTTCCAAGATTCACTGTTTCAAAAAATTTAAAACATAGTTTTGTTCAAAATTCTAACAATTTCATTGAAAAAATGGTCAAACATAATTTTCTTTTCCCAAAATTCACTGTTTCAAAATTTGTATAGCAAAATAACACAGTTTTCGAAAATAGTTCGATTGTGCTGCCAAAAAATCAAAAAAAAATGAACGACGTGAATTTTTGATTTTTCGACGTCCCATAATAAAATCTTCAAGAAAATTTGAGATCAGAAAGTTTTCTTTGCAAAAAACCTTGATTTCATAAAAGTTCACTGTTTCAAGAAATTTATATATAAGTTTTAAAGTGATAAAATTTGATACCATGAATATCGCTGTTTCAGCCAAAAAATTTCCACCTAAAAACTTGTTTTTCCAGGCGGTCCTAAAGACATCGAAGATCGTGTAAATGCCATATCCCAAGCTCAAAAAACCGGTGAATCCGCCGAAAAAGTGTTGGCAAAAACGCCAACAATTGTGCAGAAAATCGGAATAACATCACCACAAATAATCAGAAGCCCTGTAAAAACTCGAATCAATGAATCGCCGCTTGGAAGACCGCCAAGACTTGTGACAACTCCGGCACCTTCCGCAAGTTCGCCGATTAAACGCGTTGCCGCTCCCATTCCGCAACCATTGCCCAAAGGATCGCCTGTCAAAAATTTGGGAGCTATTATGAAGCGGAAAATTACGCTGACACCGAGTGCGGAAGAACCGGAAGCGAAGAAGGCGGCGCGGCCATCGAGAGCTGCGGCAATTGCAGCAAATCAGGCTATGAATACGAAAAAGGTGGGGGAAAATGGGGGGATTTTTGAGAAATTTAAAGTAGTTGCCTGATATTTGCTGAATATACCAACAAAAAAACGAATATTTCAAAAGTTATAAGAATTTTTTGAAACAGTGAATAATTTTTGCACTGAAATTTGAAATTTTTCAGAAAATCAATGAAATTTTCTCAATTTTTAGGATTTTTTCGAAACAGTGAATAATTTCTAGTGATAAAAATTGAGAATTTTGCACTGAAATTTGAAATTTTTAAGAAAAATAATGAAATTTTCTCGATTTTTGCAGTGAAATTTTAATTTAGAAATTTTAAAAGAATTACTATCTCGAAAAAATCTTCAAAAAATTATAGGAATTTTTTGAAACAGTGCATAATTTCTAGTGACAGAAATTTCAATTTTTCAGAAAATCAATGAAATTTACTCAATTCTTGTGTGATTTACCAACGCACATAAAATTAATTTTTCAGAAATTCTTCAAAAAATTATAGGAATTTTTTGAAACAGTGAAATATTTTTTAATGACAAATTTATAATTTTCACTGTTTCAGACTTTTTTTTCATCACAAAAAATTTCACTGTTTCAAAAAATCCCTATAATTTTCAAAAATATTCTTGAAATATTCGTCATCCTCAATCTCCAGAGAAAATCATATTTAAAAATTTTTTTTCGAACTTCTATATTTCCAGCCTCCAACCACACCAACAACTCCATCATCAGCAACACCTTCGAAATCCACATCCTCAAAACTTCCATCAACACCTTCTCAACCATCCACGTCTTCTATTTCAAGTTCAACTTCTGCACCTCAACCATCTCCACTTCCACCTTCAACTTCTACCACAAATTCCACATCATTCCTGGATCCATTGAGTGTTTTGGCGGCAGTTTCGGAAATTGAACGAGAAAAAGAGGAGAAGGATCGAGAGAGCAAATCGAGTAGTATTTCGCCGAAATCGACGCATTCAAAGGAAAAAGGTGGGGGTTTTTGAGGGAGGGATTTTGATGAAAAATGAGCTGAAATTGAGAAAATTCAGGAAAAATTGACCCAAAATTAAGAAATTTTGAGGAAAATTGACCTAGAAATCACAGAAATATCAATTTTTGTTCTTGAAAAAAATTCACTGTTTCAAAAAATTGTCAAAAATATTGTTGTATGTTTGAAAATTAATCGACCAATAATTAAGAAAATTTGAGGAAAATTGACCTAGAAGTCACAGAAACATTAATTTTTACTGGATTTTTGTATTGAAAAAAATTCACTGTTTCAAAATTCTGAGGAATATTATTTTTTGTTTCCTCATTGATTGGTACTCAGAAAATAATTGAAATTGACCTGAAATTGAGAAAATTCAATGAAAATTGACCTATAAATCACAGAAACATCAATTTTCATTGAATTGTTGTTTTTGTAAAAATTCACTGTTTCAAAAAATTGTCAAAATTTTGAAGAATGTGATTTTTTGCTTTCTCTACCATAGACGATCGGAAAATAATTTACATTCAATAGAATTTTCACTGGATTGTTGATAATTCATGACAACTAGACCATTTTTGTTTTGAAAAAACTTCACTGTTTCAAAAAATTGTCAAAAATATTGTTGTATGTTTGAAATTTAATCGCCCAATAATTGAGAAAATTAATGAAAAATTGACCCAAAAATCACAGAAAAATAGGGTTGGAAAAAAATACACGGATACACGCGCTCGATACACGGTACACGAATACACGCTTTTTTATAAATTGCTTGTATCCGTGTACGCAAATACACTGTTTTTCCAACCCTACAGAAAAATAAATTTTCATTGGATTTTTGTATTGAAAAAAATTCACTGTTTCAAAAAATTGTCAAAAATTTTGAGGAATGTGATTTTTTGGTTGAGCGTTTGGAAAATATATCAATTTCAAGCTGAGATTTTTCATAGAAATTCGACCTAGAAATCACAAAAAAAATTAATTTTCACCGGATTTTTGTTTTTGAAAAAATCCACTGTTCCAACTGAATTTTCACTGTTTTTTTTTTTGAAAAAAAAATATTACTGTTTCAAAATATTATAATTATTTCAAGATTTTTGAAGTTTTCATTAATTTCGTATTTTCACAAAATCACAAATAAATAAATTTTTAAATTTATTCTAGGCACAATTTTCTCGAAAAATCTACTGTTTCAAAAAATTGTCAACATTTTGGAAATGAATTTTTGTTGATACATCGCTCGATATTTCGAAAATAATTTAATTTTAACTGAATTTTCACTGAATTCTGTTTTTTTTTCGAATAAAAAATCCACTGTTTCAAAAAATTATAATCAGTTTGGGATGTTTTTGAAAATTTCAATAGTGTATAGTGACCGAATTCACAAAAGTGGTATACCAAAAGTTTGGGATTTGTCCAACAATTTTTGGTACGCCAATTTTTTTAAATTTTGGTATACCACTTTTGTGAATTCGACCCCAGAAATTTCAATTTTCAAAAATTTACTGTTTCAAAAAATTGTCAAAAATTTGAAGAATAATTCCTCAGGAATATAATTTTTTTGTTTTTTGAACAATAAAAATCCGCTGTTTCAAAAAATTATTATCAACTTGATATATTTTGAAATTTTCAATTGAACATCTGATTCACACCTGACGAGAGAGTGTCACAAAATTTTTGTGCAGCGTGAAAATTTTTGCAAAAAAAAATTAGGCAGCGTGAAATTTTGAATTTTTGAAAATTTTCATCAAAATCGGCTGAAAATCAATGAAAACTACACTTTTTCGTGAAAAAAAGTACAGTGTGACCTTTGAATTTTTTTGTACAGTGTCCATTCTGGACACGTCTCGTCAGGTGTGATCTGATTGCTCTTTTAAAAAATTCATTTCAACTAAGTTTTCATCGGAACTCGAGAATTCTGGGAAAATTGACCTAAAAATCACAATTTTTGTATTGGAAAAAATCCACTGTTTCAAATAATTGTCAACATTTTAGATGATTTCGAATTTTCAATAGCAAAAAAATGGCCCCCAAAAATCTACGTTTCAAAAAATTGTTAAATTTCTAGAAAATCATTCATTTTTAATTCCAACATTTTTAATTCTCTCTCTTTCTCAAAATCAAAAATTACTGAAAAATCGGAATTAAATTTGAAAAAAATCCACTGTTTCCAAAAATTGTCAAAAATTTTCTAGAAAAATACAATTTTTGTTAAAGACCCTCAATTTACCCTCCGAAATCGCCCTAAATACCAAAGTTTCCGCTAAAAATTGACCTGAAATTAAATTTTCATCAAATTTTCTTCCAGCTCCTCGTCGATCTTCCCGCGGACAAAAATCGAATGAACCTGAAGCCAAAAAATAATTAATTTTTCAATTTTCTGTTCAAATTTTCGCCCATTTTTGTCATTTTCCCCCCACATTTTTTTCCTGTTTTTGACATAATTTGAATTATTTTTTCTTCTACTCGAAAATTGGAACGCAAATATTATTTTACTACTACTTTCAAAAGTAGTATCTATAGAAACTAGTTAGCCTAACTCTAACTCGCGAAAAAAAGAGCACAAAAAAAAGAGTTAGACAAACTCGAGCTCACTGTTGTTTGCACAAATCCGGTTCAGGAAGCGCAGCGCGCGCGGAAAAAAATCGAGCACAAATATATGAAATATATAAGTTTCATTTTCACCTTTAACAAGTTAGCCTAACTTTCTAAAGAATGCTCAAATTTTTGCTCTTTTTTGTTGTGACATTTTTGGCCCGGGCTCAGGCTCAATTTGAGCCTGAAAATGGAAATGAGTTCACATTTTTGAGCGAGCAAGATTTCCGTAATGCTCTTTTACTACCAAATGTGCATTTTTTGAGAAGGCCCACGAGAAGCTTGAAAAATGATATGAGATTTAAATGGCAGGTAAGTTAGGGGGCGAAAATTAGGGTTACTGTAGGTTTTGGCGTGAAAAATTTTGAATATTTGGAAAAAATGCTTGAAAATTTGCTTGAGCAAATATTTGTTCAATTAAAATGCTGTGAATTGTTAGCAGGAGTACTGTAGGCTTGAAATTATGAGATTACTGTAGATTAGAAATTTTGAAACGTTACTGTAGGCTTGAAATTATGAGATTACTGTAGATTGCAAATTTTGAAAGGTTACTGTAGATCACAATTTTGCGAGAAAATTCGAGCACTGGGTTACTGTAGGTATATCAAGCAAAAATACTCTAACCTTTTCTACAGTACCCCTAGAGACTATGTCTACAGTAACCCTCTTCTGTAGATTACAAATTCCCGCGCAGATTTTTTTGATTCTTCGTATTACTGTAGTTCAAAATTTAGGAGGTTACTGTAGACTTTAGATTGATTGAACTACAGTAATCTAGTCAGTTTTCGACCTACAGTAATCCGCAAAAAACTACTGAAAGTGGAAATTTTGGTCTACAAAATAAAAGTACTGTAACCTACAGTAACCCGAATTTTTTTCCAGCGCACAAAACGTGGCGGCGGTGTGGCTGTGCTTTCGGACAAAGATAAATGGCCACTTGGCCGTGTGCCATACGTGCTCTCAAGTGCCTACAGTAAGTTTTGGCGGGCGAAAATTCAAATAAAATTCAAATTTTTCTTGCAGCAACCGCGCAACGTGCGGTGATCGCAAGCGCATTCGATGCGTACGCCAAGAAGACGTGCGTCAAATTTGTGCCGAAGACGGCGATGGACAAGGATTATATTGTGATACAGAAGTTGGATGGGTTAGTGATGGGGAGGGGGAGGCAGAGAAACGAGAGAGGGATAGAGACGCAGAGAAACTGGCCGCTGAAGTGGTAGATAGTGCCGCTGAAGCGGAAGCTTGCGGTCTACACTTGCTTCGCTCGAGCTAGAGACGCAGAGATATCAGACAGCTAGAGAGCTAGAGACGCAGAGAAATTAGACAGCTAGAAAGTTAGAGACGCAGAGATGTCAGACAGCTAAAGGTTAGAGACGCAGAGAAATCTTAGCGGGAATTTGAAAAATTCAAATTTATTTATTTTTCAAATTAAATTTCAAATTTATTTATTTTTCAAATTAAATCAATATTAATTAATAATTCATTAATAATCTAGATTACTGTAGATAAAAAAGTAATTAAATAATTAATTAATTAGAAATTAAAATTCTGAAAAAATAGCTCAAAAAAATTTTCCAGAAAAATTCTAGAACTTAGCCCAACTCAAAAAAAAATTCTTCTTCCAGATGTTACGCCGATTTTTCACGTGTCGGTGGACGTCAACAAGTTTCACTGGCTGATGAATGTATTGATTATGCGACTATTATTCATGAAATGATGCATGTTATTGGTGAGTTAGGCTAACTAGGCTTAGCGCCGGGAATTTTTGGAAAACTTAAAAAATTCAATGAGAAATCATTGCTCATGTTAGAGAATCCAAAGTTTGAGGATTTTCAGGTTGCACAATTTTTTGAAACAGTAAATTTTTTCAAAATTTATTTTCATGACAACATTGCTATTCTCCAAACAAAATGAAATGTTTCTTCAAGATTTTAGACAATTTTTTGAAACAGTAGATTTTCTAGTAATCATGGTGTGAATATTTTTCAAAATTTGATGAAAATTGATGTTATTTTTTTGAAACAGTGAGGTTTTGGTTTTGAAAAAAAAAATCCGTAAAAAATTTAAAATTAGAAAAAAAAACACGGCAAAAAAATCGGGTTAGTGCCCAAAAATCAGAATCCTTTTTTGAATAAAATATTTTGGCGCCCTCTCTGCGTCTCTAACTCTCTAGCTGTCTGACTTCTCTTCGTCTCTAACTCTCTATCTGTCTAACTTCTCTGCGTCTCTAGCTGTCTGCTTTCTCTGCGTCTCTAGTTCTCTGTTTTCTCTGCGTCTCTAGCTCGAGCGAAGCGAGTGCGGTTTGCAAGCTTCCGCGTTAGCGGTCAGTTTATCTGCGTCTCTAGCTCTCTCTAGCTGTCTAACTTCTCTGCGTCTCTAGCTCGAGCGAAGCGAGTGTAAACCGCATTCTTCCGCGAAGCGGCCAGTTTCTCTGCGTATCTAACCTTCTAGATGTCTGACTTCTCTGCGTCTCTAACTCTCTAGCCCTCTCTGATTTCTCTGCGTCTCTAGGTCGAGCGAAGCGAGTGTAAACCGCAAGCTTTCGCGTCAGCGGCCAGTTTCTCTGCGTCTCTAACTCTTATATTTCTCCAGGTTTCATCCACGAACATCAACGCGAAGATCGCGACAATTACGTCCAAATAATCTACAAAAATGTGATTCCCGGAGCCAACACCGATTTCGACAAACTCTCCAATTTGGGCCTCTCATACTATGGAGAAAAATACGATTATATGTCAATAATGCACTATGAATCGAATGAGGGAAGTCGAAACGGCCAAAACACAATTGAGGCCGTCAATTCGCATTTCACCGATTTGATGGGAAAGACTAGCGATTTTTCGGCAAGTGATTTGAGACGGGTTAATCGAGCTTATAAGTGTCATCGAAGCAATTTTTTGAGCTTTGTTAATTAGTTTTTGGAATATTATTTTGGGTTGAGACGGGTATTTTGATTGTTTGTAAATATTTGAATGAAAAATTTAAGTTTGGAAACGTAGATCTTGAGAAATATAAGAGTTAGAGACGCAGAGAACATTCCCCCAAAAAATTACGTTTCAAATTTTCAATATCTCTAAAATTTGACTGTTTCAACGATGCTACTTCATTGTATACACAATTAAGAACGATGTGCAAACACCGTGACGCAAAAATGCACAGCAATTTTGGGCATCTGGAATTTGGGAGCCCTGAAGTTCTTGATAACCCTGAAATCCAGGCAGCTTTTGGTTTTCCAGCTCCTTGATCTTCAGAACAGAGTCCTGGGAGATCTTGTGCTCTTCTAGAGACGAAAAGAAATCAGACAGCTAGAGCGTTAGAGACGCAGAGATGTCATACAGCTAGATAGTTAGAGAAGCAGACAAACTGGCCGCTGAAGCGGAAGATAGTGCCGCTGACGCGGAAGCTTGCGGTTTACACTCGCTTCGCTCGAAAAAAGTTCCCACCGGGGGTCGAACCATAGAGTGTGAACCTGAAAAACGGCAAGCTAACCGCCTGCGCCGAACCTGCACAAAAATGTCATTTTTTTGGATTTGAATGAAAATTTAATATTTTTTTGGGAAAAAAAATTACTGTTTCAAAATTATGATTTAAAATTTTTCAATTTGGATATTTCTGATGTGTTTCTGTTTCAAACCAAAATTATATCAAAAACAATTTATCAATCCTCCAAATATCGATCCAAATAAATATTTCCCAAATTCACAATTTTTGGCAAAAATATGGGCAGAACATCCACTTGAATCGGATGTGTTTGATTTGAGAAACGATGTGGGCAAGAGTGTTGGATGTATAGATAGGGGTCTGGTGTATTGATTGGCCCGAAATCCGAGCCGCAACCGGTGACTTTGAAGTTTCCCAGGGAATCGGACCAGGTTCGACCCATTAGATCGTCGGATTCGAGGGGCAGGGCTGGAAAAAATTTGATTAGAAAAGCCTCAGCAAACATCTGAGCTCCTAGAAATGCGTCAGCAAACATCTGAGCTTCTAGAAATGCGTCAGCGAAATTCTAAGCTCCTAGAAAAGCGTCAGCAAGTTTTGATGATAATTTTGAAACAGTAATTTTTTTCCCACAAAAAAATTAAATTTTCATCCAAACCCAAAAAAATGATGCAGGTTCGGTGTAGCCGGTTAGCTTCCCGTCTTTCAGGTTCACACTCTATGGTTCGACCCCCAGTTGGAACTTTTTTCGAGCGAAGCGAGTGTAAACCGCAAGCTTCCGCGTCAGCGGCACTATCTTCCGCTTTAGCGGCCAGTTTCTCTGCGTCTCTAACCCTCTAGCTGTCTGGTGTCTACGCGTATCTAACTCTCTAGCTGCCTGACATCTAGAAAAGCGTCAGCAAATTCCCAAGCTCCTATAAATGCGTCAGCAAACATCTGAGCTCCTAGAAAAGCGTCAGCAAATTCCCAAGCTCCTATAAATGCGTCAGCAAACATCTGAGCTCCTAGAAATACGTCAGCAAAATCCCAAAGCTTCTGGAAAAGCGTCAGCAAGCATCTAAGCTCCTAGAAACACGTCAGCAAATTTCCAAGCTTCTAAAAACGCGTCAGGCTTCGCCCTAAGCCTAGAAACTTCCACTAACTCACCATCCTCATCATACAAATCAATTTGCACATTTCTCGCGAGTTCCGGTAACTCTGGACACTTTAATTTCCCAATCACCATAACACATTTCGTTTTTCCATAAATTGTGCCAAAAAATGAGCAAAAAACTAGAAACTTTAGCATTTTTTATAATAATTGTTATTGTTTTTGATAACTTTTTATATGATTTCTCAAATTCTCTCATTTTTCCACACTCTCTCGCTCTCTCACTTCTTCCAGCTGACCTACTTTTTCTCAAAAATCGAGAGAGATAGAGATAGAGAGACGCAGAGACGCAGAGATAGATGAGCCAGAAATCAATCAGACGGGGGTCAAAAAGTTTACACAAATTTTGAGCCCACGATGAAATTTGTGCTCATTTTTGGCGCGATTTTCTGGCCCCGGAGTAGTTGGCAACAATGTGATGATAATGGAGAGATGCATTCGAATGGTGACAAATGGATCCGCAATAATCATTTTTTGGTGACGTGTCGTGGTGGCAAAATACAGGTGAGTTGGAATTTCGGAGCCACGTGGCATTTATAGAGGGTTACTGTAGGTAATTTGAAAATTTTTGGAATTTTATCTACCGAATTTTGAAAAAATGATCTACCGAATTCCGAACTTACAGAGGTACTGTAGAATTTTTTTTTGAAATTTTATTACTGTATCTAGAGTTACTGTATTTCATTTTTGATCTACGAAATTCCAAAAAATTTAGGTCCAGGGGTTACTGTAGTTCTAGAAAATTTTTGCGAAAAAAACCACGTGGCAGGGTTACTGTAGGTTATAGTTTCCAAGGATTACTGTAGAAAAGTTTGATCTACCGAATTCAGAATTAAGAAGTACTGTAGAATTTTTTGATCTTCAAAATTCTGCAAAATTTTAGGTCCAGGGGTTACTGTAGTTCTAGAAAATTTTTGCGAAAAAAACCACGTGGCAGGGTTACTGTAGGTTATATTTTATTTGAAAATTCTTATAGTTTCCAAAGATTACTGTAGAAAAGTTTGATCTACCAAATTTTGAAAGGGTTACTGTAGTTTTTGATTTTTGAAGTGATAAGGTTACTGTATCAAAATAATTTTCAGAAATTTTTGAGATTTTTCAGGGTTACTGTAATTTTTTGGCTAAGCCTAAGCTTAGGCTTAGGCAAAAACTTGGGCTTAGGCAAAGGCTTAGGCTTAGGCAAAGGCTTAGGCTAAATTTTATTTTTGATCTACAAATTTTCTCCAAGGGTTACTGTAGTGTTTCAGACCTTAAAATGCGTCACAGATTCCGGTCACTTGATAGATGTTGGCTCCAAAACCCACACTGAAAATGGCTATGAATATTCATGCAATCAAGAAGAACAGCAGAAAGGTACGGTAGGAGTACTGTAGGTTTTGGCGCCAAAAGTACTCTCTAATTTTTCCAGAAATCAATGTGAACTCGTGCAGCACTTTCGCCGATTTTTCCGATGATATTTTCAAAGATCGCTTCGCAATTTGCTGCATTTCACGGCGTTTCAAAGGATGTGTTGATATAAATGGAGATATTATAAAACACGGATATTTTTTGATTGGAAATCAAAGTCTGAAATTCTGTAAAATTGCCAAAAATCAATTATCAGCGAGAATTGAGCCGAAAGGTTGTTTTAATGGGAGTATTCATGATGATATAAATGATGAAAAATTGCATATTAAGAAATATGTGACTTGGAAAAATGGGGAATTCGAATGGCGGTGTGGAGATGATGGAATTCATGTGCAGAAATGTTTTGTTGATGGAAAAGTTTATTGGGCTGGAAGTTCGTGGATTGAAAATAATGGAAATGTTAAAACTTGTTCGACTATTTATTGATTGATTTTTAATAAATTTTTGCGATTTTTTAAAAATAAAAAAAAAATGCTTACGTGTCCCAATTATATGACCTTGTTGTTGTTTTTTTTTCGAAAATTCCAGTCATTTCTGAATTTTCTGACTATGAAAAAACATTTACCTATTTTCCTCATATTTCTAATCTATTTTTCACTTCAACAATGTTCACAACGAGAAAAATTGAAAAATCGAGAATTTGTCAAAACTTTGTTTGTTTTTATTGCGCCATATAACTCGTGGAATGACCGATATTCAGAAGATGATGTGAGTTTTTAAAAATTATTTTGTAGGGATTGAATTTTTGAATATGAATTTTCAGCTGGAAAGAATCAAGATTTTGTACGAACAAGTGATGTGTGCAATTCCATCCTATGAAAAATTCAAATATATGACTGTGATGAACCGTCATATAAGCGATGGATTCTTATTACACAAGATTGAAATAATAATTGAGCTAGAAACCGACTGGAATTCAGCTAGAAATAAAATCAAGTCAACTAAAAGTGAGCTTTCTATAGTCAGGAATGGGATCAGTATATTTGAAGAAACCATGCGAAGTATATTACCTTATAAATCTTCTTATGATCGCATCGAAATATTTCATTATTTTCCCTGGGATATTTGGGATTTGAGTTCTGTATATTTGGAAGTTTTGAAAGAAATTCAGATGAATGGACATGTCAATTTTATACGGCATGATTCTATTGAATATTTTGGATATAAATCATTGAATTTACCCGATATTTCATTGATTGATTTGAATTCGAAGGAAGTTAGTCCAGATGTCAAACTATTGGCGAGAAATCTGTGAGTTGTATTGTAGATTATGCGAATTTTCAATTTTCAATTTTTATTTTCAGCGTTGCATCAATTCTCGACATCAAACCTGATCCAATAAAAACAGTTGTTCCTGAATGCGATTTCTTTTGGAAAATGTTTGGTTTGATCGTGATTGGAAGTGTTATTGGCTCGATTGTTGGATTTAGTTTGGCTACATCAATCGCCTGTTTCCTCAAGAAGAGGAATTTGAAATCCAAACCAAAATCGAAAGAAACATCGCCAGAAAAACCTACTGGAAAACCAGGAAAAACTAAAAAATTGGCAAAACGAAAAGCAATTACTGAAGTTAAGATCGAAACTGAAGGGGGAACAACACAAGGATCAACTCAGACATCAACTCAAGGTGGAACAACTACAAGTGGAACAACTCGGGGTAAAACTACAAATGAAACAACTCAGGGCGGAACTACAAGTGGAACAACAACAAGTGGAGCAACTCAGACATCAACTCAAGGTGAAACAACAACAAATGGAACAACTCAAGGATCAACTCGGTGTGAAACTACAACTGAAACAACTCAACGAAGAATCAGAAAAAAAAGTGATTTTGATTCCGCTGAAAACTGTTGAAAACTCGAAATTTTTGGAATACCAAAAGAATCTTATTCGTTTTTCTAATACTTATTGCATACATTTTTATTGTAGATGAAATATTTTGCTATCTTTGATCTTTTTTCAGAATAGAAGTAAACCCAAAGAATTTTTGTTATAATTCCAACAAAATAATGTATTTTCATAATGATATTTGTTCATTTTTCATGAAAGAATTCATTCATTCATGATTTTTCATGGCCTGATATGGTTTTATTTAAATCATATCATTTTCGAAAGAACATATTTTGGTTCTATCAAACTCACAAGATAGATGGTCAATAATTTATCCCATGACACATTTCCTAATTTAATTTATCCTATGACTGAAAAAATTCAGATTGAGGCCAAATTTCTATGATTTTTAGATCGGAAGATCAAATTTATTCTTTTTCAAATTAAAAAATTACATTATCTGTTGAAATTTCAGTAGATTTTATTCAGAAACAGTTGCTGAACCTTCCCTGGAATTTTTAAGAGAAAATTAAGTAAAATATTTTATCTACAATAAAAATGTATGCAATAAGTATTAGAAAAACGAATAAGATTAGTTTGGTATTCAAAACATTTCGAGTATTCAATAAGTTACATCATAATCATAAGATTTTCTGGTTCTTCGTTGAGTTGTTCCACCTGTAGTTCCACTTGTAGTTGTTCCACCTTGTGTTGATGTCTGAGTTGATCCTTGTGTTGTTGCCCCTTCAGTTTCAATCTCAACTTCAGTAATTGCTTTTTGTTTTGCCAATTTTTCAGTTTTTCCTGGTTTTCCAGTAGGTTTTTCTGGCGATGTTTCTTTCGATTTTGGTTTGGATTTCAAATTCTTCTTCTTGATGATACAAGCAATTGCTGTAGCCAAACCAAATCCGAAAATCGAGCCAATAAAACTTCCAATTACAACAAATCCAAATATTTTCCAAAAGAAACCGCATTCAATTTTTATTGGATCAGGTTTGATGTCGAGAATTGAATCAACGCTGAAAAAAATAATGATTTTAATTAAAAATTCCCACAACTCACAAATTTCTCGCCAATAGTTTGATATCTGGACTAACTTCTTTCGAATTCAAATCAATCAATGAAATATCGGAAAAATATAGCGTATGATATCCAAAATATTCAATAGAATCATATCGTATAAAATTGACATGTCCATTCATCTGAATTTTTCTTAACAAATGCGGATAATTTTTGATATAGCATTGTGATTTTGGAAAAGGATAAAATACTTCGATGCGATCATAGGAAGGCTTATAAGATAATATACTCCGGATGTTATTTTCGAATAACTCACAATCATATATATCGGCATATGAAAAAAAAACATTGATTGACGAAGATTTAATTGCGAGTCGTAAAAACGTGTTTCGAAACACAAAATTACAATGGCAAAATTACACATATTTTGTGCCACAAAATGTCGCGAAATATATTTTTTTCACATTTTTCACAATATTTTCACAAACTCACCGGAACTTGACTTGATTTTATTTCTGGCTGAATTCCAGTCGATTTCTAGTTCAAAATTATGATTTATTGATCCATCCGATTTTTTCTGGTTTATCACAGTCATATATTTGAATTTGTCATAAGTTGGAATTTCACACATCACTTGTTCGTACAAAATCCTGAATCTTTTCATCTGAAATTCATTTTCAATCGCTTCTGCGAGATTCGAACTTTTTCAAATGTTTTTTGTGCATCATATAGATTTACGAACTTTTTCATTTCAATTGCAAAAGCACACCATACAAATCAATTTTCAAAAAAAAAACTCACATCATCTTCTGAAGGCCGATAAATAAAGACAGGATTACTAGGGGCAATAAAAACAAACAAAGTTTTGACAAATTCTCGATTTTCCAATTTTTCTCGTTGTGAACATTGTTGAAGTGAAAAATTGATTAGAAATATAAGGAAAATAGACAAATGTTTTTTCATGGTCAGAAAATTCGGAAATAGCTGGAATTTTCACAAAAAAACAACAACAAGGTCAAATAATAAGTGGAACACGTAAGAATTTTAAAATTTCAAAAATTTATTTCATTTCTTGGAGGCTATTGAGCAAGCCTATAGGCTTGCTCAATGTTTATAAGATTCATCAAAATCCTTCGGCTCTTTTTTTCCCACAGTTTTTCTAGATGCCGCACTGATCTCTCCCAAATCATCATCATGAAATTTCTGATCTTTAGTGTCAGTGGAAATGATAGTTTTGTCGGGAATTACGATTGTTTTCTCGATTTTCATCAAGTTTTTTTTATTTTTCTTCAAGTATCCAAGTTTCAGCACGGCGTGGTAGGAAAATGTGACTAGAAATGTCAAAACCATCGCAATTATAGCCGAAATAATGGAATATAATAAAAAATCAGGGCTTGCACATTGCTCTTCCATGATTTCAGGAGGAATTTCAAGAATTTCATTGACACTGAAAAAAATATGATAATATTTTAATTTTAGATTTGTTTTTTTTTAACTCACAAATTCATCGATTTTTCCCTGAGCTCCAAACTAGCTTCCGGATTTTTTGTATCAATTGAATTTACCCCAGGAAAATTCATGATTTTTGTCCCGAATCTTTGAATATTGTCAAATCTTATCATATTGAAATGAATGAGAATTGGTAATTTTTGAAATTCCTCGATGTAGTCGCATTTTTCAGTAGGAGGAAGAATCGATGGAACGTGGAAAATGATCTCAACACGTTCGTAGCGAGTTTGATACGAGTTAAGAGCATCTAATAGTGAGGAGAATATTGTTTGGCATGTTTGAACTTCTGGAAGAAAATCGGATTATCAATTTTTTTTCGAATTTCATGTTCTAGGGCTGATTCACGAACGAAAAAAATGTTTTTTTAACATCGAAAGATCAATTCACGAAAAGTCAAAAAATGTCGAAAAAACATTGTAGGTCAAAATTAGTTTTTCAAGTTTTTCAGCCAAAAATGATGACAAATCAATATTTTTTAAGGTTCTGGAGTAATTTCTGATTAAAATTGACCTTGAAATTCACTTTCCAGAAGGTTTTGCTGATTTTTCGTAAAATAAAAAAATTTTGAATTTTGATGAATTTCGAAAAAAGTTTATAAGCTTATTTTTATCAGAAATTACTCAAGAAGCTTGAAAAATATCGATTTGTCATCATTTTTGGCTGAAAAACTCGAAAAACTAATTTTGACCTTGACTTTTCGTGAATTTATCTTTCAATGTTCAAAAAAATTTTAAAATTTCTTTCGTTTGTGAATCCTAATGTTTGTGGGTCATTTAACGCGCTGCGTGAGAGCGTTGCGGTTGGAAAACAAAATCAAAATTTTTTGATCTACTCTCTCAAATCAGAATCACTTGGTTTATTTGCCGTTCTTCTGATTTATTTTTATTTCAACCGCAACGCTCTCACGCAGCGCGTTCAACGACCCAGAAACTAACTCACCAACTGGTTTTTCGAGCCACTCAACAACTTCCGAAATATCCGAATGCTTTGAGAACACATTTTTTGCAATTGTTCCATACTCGATCATGAAATTTTTGGGAATCGAACAGGCGACTTGTTTCAGAACATAGCGAATTTTTGCATTCTAGAATTTTTTGTATTATCGAAATGAACACGCAACGCAGACCGCGCCGCGCCTTTTCGAACTCACATTTGCACTATCAGTTGAATTCGAAAAATAATTGACAAAAATGATGAGCGTGTTTGGAATCCTGTGTTTAGTATACGCTTTCGCGTTGTTCACATTTTGGATTTTCCAGGCAATTTGTGGATTTGATTAGGAAAATAAAAAATATGAAGAGAATACGGTAAAATTTGGATAGTTTCAGCTTCATTGAAATAAAAATGAGCCTGGCAAAAAATTGAGATGCTCTCATTTTTTTTTTCATTTTTGACTAGGTCACGTTTGGAAATTTTTATCGCAGATTTTTTTTCTATCTGGCTACAGTAGTTCTAAGATTTACAGTAATCCAGGGGAGCTACCGTATTTTTAAACCCTCTAAATCTACAGTAACCCTTTTGATACAGTACCTAGTAGATCCAGAGTCATGTTAGAACTACAGTAATCCAGCTGAATTGTCCAAATCTACAGTAATCCTTAGCCTAGGCTCTCAAGAAGCTTTATTTGCTCCTAATCCATGGCTACAGTACTTCAGAGGATCTACAGTAATCTCTAAATAAATAGATTAGAGCAACTACAGTAGTCTAGGTAATCTAGAAAAGCGTCAGCAAAATCCCAAGATTCTAGAAAAGCGTCAGCAAACATCTGAGCTACTGGAAAAGCGTCAGCAATTTCCCAAGCTCCTGGAAAAGCGTCAGCAAATTTCCAAGCTCCTAGGAAAGCGTCAGCAAAATCCCAAGCTTCTAGAAATGCGTCAGCAAATTCCCAAGCTCCTAGAAAAGCGTCAGCAGATTTCCTAGCTTCTAGAAATGCGTCAGCAAACATCTGAGCTACTGGAAAAGCGCCAGCAAAATCCCAAGCTCCAAAAAAAAACAAGAAAGATGAAAATTTATCAAGTGTGCAGCTTCAGCTTCTCCTTCTCACTTCGCATACGATTTCGAGTACGTTGTCGATTTTTTGTATTGGAATTTCTGCGGAGCTGCGGCGGCCGGTGGTGGTGGAGCTGGTGCAGCTTTTGGTGCAGGTGGTGGTGGTGGTGGAGCGGAAGCTGAAGCCGATTTTGCTGGCGGCTTTTTGCCGAAGAGTTCATCGTCGATGTCGACATCGAGATCCGTATTTTTGTGATTTCCGATTGCGTCGACTGGCACAAATGCCGATTTGTCTGCCATTTTGCTCTTTTCTGCAAGAAAAAAATTGAGAGACGCAGAGAAACCAGAGAGCTAGAGGGTTAGAGACGCAGAGGAACTGGCCGCTGAAGCGGAAGATAGTGCCGCTGCGCGAAAGCTTACGGTTTACACTCGCTTCGCTCGAGCTAGAGACGCAGAAAAATTAGACAGCTAGAGAGTTAGAGACGCAAAGAAACTAGCCGCTGAAGCGGAAGACAGTGCCGCTGACGCGGAAGCTTGCGGTTTACACTCGCTCCGCTCGATTAGAGAGCATGTGGAATTGAGAGACGCAGAGAAACTTCCAAGCGAAAGCCTTAGGTTACTGTAGCCTGGTACTGTAATCCAATAGCTGTGCTTACACAGCTCAAATCCAATAGGTTACTGTAGCTCAAAAATCTACAGTAGTCACCGAAAACCCTGTAGCTCAAACTAATGTACATCGATCAAAGCCCCGTTAGGTTACTGTAGCTTAAACAACTACAGTAGTCACCGAAACCCCAGATAATGTACCTCGATCAAAGCCCCTTTAGGTTCCTGTAGCCTAAACTAAAGCCCTCTTCGGATTACTGTAGCTCCAAATCTCCCCCCGGGTTACTGTAGGGTCCCTGATCCCAAAACCGTACCTGTGGTTGTTCAGTGAGCCCGTCGAAAAATTGAATTTGAATAAAACAAGCCAATTCTTCGCAAACCTTGTCATTTTATAGTCATTTCTTATCTGATTTAAGAAAAATGTCACGTTTTAAATTTAAATTTGGAAATTAATTTTCAAAATTTAATTTAATTTCTAAAAAAACGTGGCCTGAAATTTTGAGCAGCTCTAAAATTTTCAAATTTAAATTTAATTTTCTAAAAATTTATTCATAATTCACTGTTTCAGCCACTCAATTCAGAGCACATAAAATGCATCTGGGCTCTTTTGAACAGTTGAAAATGTGACACTGCCTTTTGGCAGCTTTTCCTCTTTGTTCAACGTGATTTCGGTCCAAAATGTGACGTTTTGAGTGGTGCCGAAGATTTGGCGAGAGAATTGCGATTCAATGTCGGATTTGTCGTCGTAGTAGTAGTTCTGGAAAGGTTTTGGGGTACTGTAGGATACTGTATTTTAGCAGGGTTTGCAGTTCGGATTACTGTAGTGTCTAGAAAGCTCTCTCAAAAACCTTGCAGTTTGGAGTACTGTATTTCGAAAATGCCTATTTTTGTTCTAGAAAAGAAAGCAGCAAAAATTCTTGCAGTTCGGATACGGTATCTTGAATTTTTCAAAAAATTTTGCAGTTCGGATTACTGTATTTTTTGAAAAAGCTCTCTCAAACCCCTTGCAGTTCGGATTACTGTATTTCGAAAAAAGAAAAAAAGGCAAAATTCTTGCAGTTCGGATACGGTACCTTTAATTTTTCAAAAATGTTTGCAGTTCGGATTACTGTAGTTTCTAGAAAGCTCTCTCAAAACCTTGCAGTTCGAATTACGGTACCTTTAATTTTTCAAAAATGTTTGCAGTTCGGATTACTGTAGTTTCTAGAAAGCTCTCTCAAAAACCTTGCAGTTCGGATTACTGTATTTCGAAACTTCCTAATTTTGTTCCAGAAAAATGCTCTCAAAAATCTTGCAGTTCGGATACGGTAGCTTGAATTTTTCAAAAATTTTTGCAGTTTGGAGTACTGTACTTCAAAATATTTCTAATTTTAGAAGTCTTCATTTGCAGTTTAGAAGAGTACTGTATATTTTTTAAATATCTTGCAGTTTGGATACTGTATTTTGAGATTGTAGAGCTACTGTAGACCTATTTTTTGCAGTTCGAATTACGGTACCTTGAATTTTTCAACAATTTTTGCAGTCCGGGTACTGTACTTCAGAATATGTTGACTTGAAATTCTGAGACTACAGTAATCCGAACTGCAAAAAACTTCGCGAAGATTTTAATTATCGTGTTGAAATCCATTAAGGTACAGTATCCAAACTGCAAATTCAAAAGTTTTTTGCAGTCCGGGTACTGTAAAGTTCTGGAAATTTTCATTTGCAGTTTGGATACTGTACCTAGACTTAGAGGATTATTTTGCAGTTTGGATACTGTATCTGGAATTCGGACCAAAATTTTACTAATTTTCGAGTTTTTTTGCAGTTTGGCTACTGTAGGGCCCAATTTTCCGCTTCCTAACTCACATCTTTTCCATTATAATCAATTTTTGGCATATGAAGTCGAATTCTCAGCAAACATTTTGCAAAATTCCTATGAAATCCCTCAATATGTCCAATCGTTTCACATTTTCCATCTTTTTCCATCGAAAAACTCGCCAAAAGATACAAAAATGAGGCGCGGATGGTGTCATACGGTGGATCTTGGAAGAAGCGGGGAATTGTTGCGGTCACGGTGTGTTCGTCGGATTTGATGAGTGGTGGGGGAACGGCGAAATCATCTGGAAAATGGGTATTTGAAAAAAATGAAGCGGAAGCTTGCGGAAAACACTTGAGACTCTAGGTTGGCCGCTGAAGCGGTAGATAGTGCCGCTAACGCGGAAGCTTGCGGTTTACACTCGCGCAAAGCGCTCGATTAGAGAGCATGGGGAATTGAGAGACGCAGAGAGATCAGACAGCTAGACAGCTGGAGGGCCAGAGATGTCAGACAGCTAGAGAGTTAGGGACGCAGAGAAACTAGACAGCCAGATCCACATAGAAAGTAGACAGCTATAGAGCTAGAGAGTTAGAGACGCAGAGAAACTGGCCGCTTCGCGGAAGCTTGCGGTTTACACTCGCTTCGCTCGAGCTAGGGACGCAGAGGAAACAGACAGCTAGAGATGTAGAGAATCTGACAGGTAGAGATCATGTGAAATTGAGAGACACAGACAAGCCAGAAAGCTAGAGACGCAGAGAAACTAATACATACGGTATCCTACAGTTTGGGTCTCGCAGCGATCTACATGACGTGGCGATTCGAAATTTGGATTTTCCGTGAAATTTGTGTCATTTTGAGTATAGGCATGACGTATTTTGGAGAAACTTGAAAATTTTCGTGGCGAGACCCTACAGTAACCCGAATTTCGTAAACTTTGTCGAAAATATGTCTCTGCATCTCTAGTTGCCTGATTTCTCTGCGTCTCTAACTCTCTATAAACCGCGTGGCCGCTGAAGCGGAAGACGGTGCCGCTGCGCGGAAGCTTGCGGTTCACACTCGCGCAAAGCGCTCGAAGCTTCCGCTCTCCCCAAACTCACCTAACAAATGACAAAAACTCGAAGTGATCAAGCTTTTATCACTCTCATTTTTCTGATATGAGCAACGTTTATCGATTTGTGTCGCGCATTGGCAAGTTTTGTGATCTTTTGTAAAACAGAATCGCGATTTTGAATCGAGGCATTTGTTGCATGAATTGCAATCGATACTTGAGGAGTTTGAGAACACTGAATTGGGGCAATATAAGTTCTGACATTGACCGGCTGATGCGGAGGTTCTGAAAGAGAGCACGCATTTTATATCCAACATTTTCACCTGTCGAAAAAGCAGCGAGCGTGGCCAAGTGGCGGACACTCTTGCGTATCGTTTGAAGGGCGCGGGTTCGACCCCCACCCGCGCCTAATTTCTTTTTTTTCACTCACCTTTGAACCGCCCAAAATGCCACCAAAAATGCGGCGAAAATCAGCTTCATCCTTGTTTTTTCAATTATAAACCGCAAAATGATTGGTTTTCGCTTTCCAATCTAATAAAATATCGAATTTCGTCGAAAAAAAAGTTTCAGTTTCAATAAACATTTCACATTTGATTGATTTTATTATTTTTGGAGGGGGAAACATCAAGAAAACAACAGTTTTTCTAACAAAAAAAGCCTAAAGTACGAAAAAAATGAATGAGATTCTGAAATTGACGTTTTTCTAGATGTAAAGAAGAAGAATTTGGAGGTCAACAAAAAGGAAAATTCGAAGAAAAGTCGACGAAGAGAAGGATTATCCCCAAAGAAGACTCATGAATGTGAGTGGAACGATCTGAAAGAAAAATAGAAATTTTATTGGAAAAAATAACTTTTGAAGGTGGGGAATCTTTTAAAACAGTGTATTTTTAGTCAAATTTTTTTTGAAAATGAAAAATTTAAAATTGTAAACCGCAAGCTTCCGCGTTAGCGGTACTATCTTCCGCTTTAGCGGCCACGTGGTTTACTGTAACTTGCTAATCTCAAAGATATTCTAGCCATAGTAACCGCGTGGCCGCTGAAGCGGAAGACAGTGCCGCTGACGCGGAAGCTTGCGGTTTACACTCGCTCCCAAGAGTTGAGCTAAATAGTAATAATCCACGTCATAGCGGAAGATGCGCGGAAGCTTGCGGAAACAAAAATTCACCTGTCCATTTGGCATCGGCTCGGATCCTTGCTTGAATCCCAAATAAACTACAAATGGCACAAATCCCCATTGAATTGCGAACGTCGAAATTCCGACGGCTTGGTTGATGGCGTTTTTGGCAGATGGTGAAAGTTGCATCTAAATACAAGGGTCCAGTAAATTAGATTTAGATTTAGCCTAACTCAGGTAGGTTAACATCAAGATATTTCTAGGGTAAAATAACCCAATTTCATATTAAAAATATGTAGGAAAATCAATAAATAAGTTAGCGTTTTATTCATATACCAAGCAATAAATCAATCAATAAAAATCTCCCAAACTCTTCAATTACTTCCTACACGATCTCTTGGAATTAGGCGAAGTTCACTGCCATGTTTCAAGAAAATATTCCCAGCAGATTGTGCTGGATTTATGCCAACTCCATCATTTGTGATGATAGCTGAAGTGGCGGCGGGAACTTTGAATTCTTCGGCGGCGAATTTCAAGACGGCTGTGAAGGGAGTGGATTCGGGAACAGATAGCACTTTGAATGGCAGTTTGGGGTCACTGGTTAGCGTGATTTTGAAGGTTACTTTGCTTCCGGTGGCTGGGGCGTCAGACATTCTGAAATTTGAAAGTTTGGTGAAAAAAAAATCAGAAAATCAATCAATTTTCAACGAAAAACATAAATTTTGCATCATTTTCCACATTTGATAAGATTTTTCAGTGAAACTACGAATTTTTATCCAAAAAATATTTTAAACCTTTTTGAAAATTTTGTATTTTCTGAAAACGTAAACCTCAGAAAATAAATTACGGCTTAAGAGAAATCAATAGCGAAATTCACTCAAAATTTCAGTTTTTCCTAAAAACCCGATTTTCCCTTCAATTTTTATTTTCTCAAAAAATCCCACAGTACTTCAAAAACTATCTAGATTCTCCTGAAACATCAGAAATCCCAGAAAACCCCAAAAACCTCTGAAAAACCCTGAAAAAAACGCGATCGCGCAAAAAAAGAAAAAAAAATGAAAAATTCCAAGTGGACTCGGTTGCTAGGCCATGCTCTGTGTTTTCTAGTCCCCCACCATTTTCAAGGTCAGAACTGATTTATTTAGGGCTGTTTTGAAAGGTGTAGGTGATAGGGGGTGTAAGAAACAATGCCAATACTTTAGGGAACATATAAATTGCTAGAGAAACTTGATATATCCTGCGAAATCCATAGGAAAATGAGAAGGGACTAGTAATCCTAAAAATCGTTGTGTAGTTCTCTCGGACTATTACAATTTTTATTTTTTTTTCGATTTTCAAGGTTTTCAACCTCGTTTTTACAGGAAAATGAGAAGAGCACCGCAAATCCTTCGACTAATATCTTCTGCAAGAACAAGTAGAACCTATAGCACCGCGCAAAACAAAACACATTTCGGATTCACCGATGTAACCGAGCAGGAAAAAGAGCAAAAAGTGCACGATGTTTTCGCAAACGTCGCGAAAAAATATGATCTTATGAATGACGCAATGAGTATGGGAGTTCACCGATTATGGAAAGATTATTATGTGGGTGGTTTGAATATCCCATACAACGCAAAGATTTTGGATATGGCTGGAGGCACTGGAGATATCGCATTTCGATTATGTCGACATTCAGCGACTGCAAAAGTAACCGTTTCAGATATCAATCAACCTATGTTAGATGTTGGGAAAGAGCGTGCAAATTCGGAGAAAGATATTCAAGTAAATAGGTTAGAATGGATATGCGCAAATGCGGAAGAAATGCCATTCGCTGACAACACTTACGATCTTTTCACAATGAGTTTTGGTATAAGAAATTGCACACATCCTGACAAAGTTATCCAGGAAGCATTTCGCATTTTAAAGCCTGGAGGTCAATTAGCAATTTTGGAATTCAGTCAAGTGAATTCCGCTTTGAAACCGATTTATGATGCATACTCGTTCAATGTGATTCCAGTTTTGGGTGAAATTTTGGCGAGTGATCGAGCAAGTTATCAATATCTTGTGGAAAGTATTCGAAAATTCCCGGATCAAGATGGATTTTCGCAAATTATTCGGGACAAGGGATTCGATAATGTTAGATATGAGAATTTAACCTTCGGAGTTTGCGCAATCCATAAAGGAGTGAAGCCAAGAAAATAATTTTGTTTTTTTGTTAAAAATTATAAATTGTTGTAGAAATTTCTTCATTTAGTGCATTTTTATTGGTTAAAAGCAGCCAAAAAACTTATTTTTGAAAAAAAATTACAGATTCTCAAAAAAAAAATTCAGAAGATGAACTTATCAGCAGTGATGCCAGGGATTCGAAGCTTTTCGAGTTGTCGCAAGTTATTTTCGCGGTTTCGATCTGCAGCGACACCAAATGTTAAGGAGATTGGATTATTGATGCCGTTGGTGAATGCGGAAGCTTATAAGCCTGGACAGGTGACATTTTTGGGGTCTCTAGGGGTGGGTGCTTGAGAATTGGATTCTGTAGGCGTGGCTGCTTGACGTAGGGTTTCACAAGGCGATGATCCTTGTTGGAGTGGATCTATAGGCTTGGAGCCTTGAGAATTGGAGTTTCTTGAAGCGGCTGCTTGAGAACCAAGGGTTTGAAGCCTTGGCTACTTGACACAGAAGTTCTCAAGACGCGACTGCTTGACAATTTGACTCTCTAGACGTGGCTGCTTGAGGTTTAAGCTCTCTAGGCGAGGTTACTTGAGACCCAGGCTCTCTAGAAGCGACTGCTTGGGAACCAGGGTTTCTAGGCTCTGCTCCTTGAGAGCTAGATTTTCAAGCAGCGGCTAGTTGAGAACTTGAGTTTCAAGCAGCGGCTGCTTGAGAACTGAACGTTTCTAGGCGTGGCTGCTTGACAATTGAACTATCTAGGCGAGGCTACTTGAGAACCAGGGGTTCTAGGCTTGGCTGCTTGAAAACTAGGGTCTCTAGGCGTGGCTGCTTAACAATTGAGCTATCTAGGCGAGGCTACTTGAAAACTAAGGTCTCTAGGCTTAGCTGCTTGCCAGAGGGATTCTCTAGGCGCTACTGCTTGGGAACCAGGCTCTCTAGGCTTTGCTCCTAGATTTCAGGATTCTAAAAATTAGTTCTGAAATTTCAGGAACACGAAAAGTCTGAGAAAAAATGCAGAATTCACTTTTTTCAGAACAAAATCTCGATTTTCAGCTGAAATTCCAGAATTTTCAGCTTCTCTGAACATTTCAGGCTTCTCGAAAATCTAGCAAGCCTAAGCCTAAGCCCAGAAAAGCCTAATAAAAAATAGTTCACGCTGAAAATTTCAGATTTTCATCCATCGAACATTTGCCTACAAAGGTGTCATTGTTTGCTCATTTCCCTGTCGACTTCATGAAAAAAAATCCGGACAAGCGTAAGATTTAGACTAACTAGGCTTTTCTAGGCCGAAGCCCGGGCCTTTTAGACCTGAGCCTAATTCCAATTTTTGCAGTGAAAAACAGCACACAACTCGTGAATTCTATCAAGTTTTGATTCATCGAAACGATTGGAGTCATATGGGTTTTCCAGTTGATATAACATCGTATTTGGTGGATGCGTCGAATAGTAGACATGGAGAGAAATTGTTGACGCTGATTAAGTGAGCTTTTTTGGGGAAATTTGGGGGAAAATGACCAAAAATTCATGAAAAATGATGGATTTTGACCCGAATTTGACTAAAAATAGCAAATGCGCTCTATTGAACACTTCCCTTTTCTCTGAAAAATTCAAAATTCCCAATTTTTCCATGAAAAATGGCGGATTTTGACCACACCTCGGCCAAGCCGTGGCTGGCCACAGTACAATTTTTGGAAAAATCTGAATTTCAGTTTTTAGAGGTCAAAAATTGAAAAATCACAATTTTTAGAGGACAAAAACTGAAAAATTCACAATTTTTGTACTGTAAAAAGTTAGCGTATAATTTTTTATATTGGAAACCACGATTTTGGCCGAGGTATGATTTTGACTCGAAATTGACTAAAATAGCAAATGCGCTCTATTGAACACTTCCCTTTTCTCTGAAAAATTCAAAATTCCCAATTTTTCCATGAAAATGGCGGATTTTGACTCGAAATTGACTAAAATAGCAAATGCGCCCTGTCGAACTCTCAGCTTTTCTCTGACAAATTCAAAAAATAATTTTTTCATATGAAAATGACGGATTTTGACTCGAAATTGACTAAAAACAGCAAATGCGCTCTATTGAACACTTCCCTTTTCTCTGAAAAATTCAAATTTTCATTTCTTTTGAAGCGGAATGGGTTTCGAGCCAAAATTCATGAAAAATGATGAATTTTGACACAAAAATAGCAAACGCGCTCTATTGAACTCTCCCAGTTTATATGAAAAATTCAAATTTTTATTTTTTTTGTTTGATGGATTTTGAGTCAAAAAGTAGTGTTTCTCCATGAAAAATTATGGATTTTAACCCAAAAATAGCAAACGCGCTCTATTGAACTTTCAGCTTTTCTCTGAAAAATACAAAAATTCCCAATTTTTCCATGAAAAATCATGGTTTTTGACCCAAAAATAGCAAACGCGCTCTATTGAACTTTCCCATTTTTTCATGAAAAATTCAAATTTTCAGCGGCATGGATTGTGTTGGCCACGATGACATCATCCCATATTCGCCATACGAAAACGCAAATCTGGATCACGATCTTTTCGAGCGAATTTTCAATGTCAAACAAAACAATGAGCAAGGAATCTCAAATATCTCAATGAAACCCGAATTATTGGAAAGTTATAAAGCATCGAGTCGATCCTGGTTGGCTCCACGAGATGTTTATCGAGAAAAAACCGAGAATATTGAAGTGACTGTAATGACTTTCTATTTGGGTGTTAATGTGGTGAATGGACAACAACAACATATGTGGAGATATGTTATTAGGTGAGCGGGTCGAAAATTTGGGGAGAAATATTGAAAATTTAAAATTGTATCGATTTTTTGAAGAGGCTATGAATCAATCATTATTCAAATTAAATTTTAAAAAAAGTTAATCATCTCTTGAAACAGTGGAAAAATTAAATTTTCAAAAAAATCTAGGGATCACTAAAAGCTAGAGATACAGAGAAGCCAGACAATTAGGTATCACTAGAAGGTTAGAGACGCAGAGAAAGGGAATCTGTGAATATATAAAAAATTAATAATTTCTATGAAATTTTTATTGTTTTTGGTGACAAAAAAAATTCAACGAAAACCGAAATTTCTATTTTTGTTGAAAGAAAAAATTCAACAAAAACCGAAATTTCGATTTTTGTTGAAAGAAAAAAAATTCAACAAAAACCGAAATTTCGATTTTTGTTCAAAGAAAAAAAACAGAAAAGTTTTATAGGATTTTCAAATTATTCAGAATTATATTCTGAACAAAAAATCAATAATTATCAAGTAACTAAATTAAATTTCACTTAAAAATTAAATTTGGAAGAACTATGAATTGCACCTATTTGTGAGTTATTAATTCATCCTTTTTGGAATTGCATTTAAAAATTTAGGATTTTTTTGAAACAGTGAAACTTTTTCATGAGAAATTATGGATTTTGACCCAAAATTGCTTAACAATAGCAAGCGCGCCCTATTGAACTCTCCTATTTTCTATGAAAAATTTCAATTTCTTTTTTTTTCGCTTTCAGAACCTAATCACAATTTTCAACCTAAATTTATTGATTTTTCCAATTTTTACTATTTTTCAAAAATAATTCGCTAAAAATATCACTTTTTCGAATATTCTTGGAAAACTAATGGGAATTTTGAAACAGTGAAAAAATTTTTCCATGAAAAATGATGGATTTTGACCCAAAATTGACTAAAAATAGCAAACGCGCCCTATTGAGCTCTCCTATTTTTTATGAAATTTTGGAAATTTTTTGAAACAGTGAATTTAATTACAATTTACAACCTAAATTTATAGATTTTTCCAATTTTTACTGTTTCAAAAACTGATTTGCTTAATTTATCATTTTTTGAATATTGTTAGAGAATTAGTAAAAATTTTGAAACAGTGAAAAATTTTTCCATGAAAAATTGTGGATTTTGACCCAAAATTGTCTGAAAATAGCAAATGCGCCCTATTGAGCTCTCCTATTTTATATGAAATTTTGGAAATTTTTTGAAACAGTGAATTTAATCAATATTTTCAACCTAAATTTATTGATTTTTCAAATTTTACCGGTTTTTCAAAAAGAATTCGACAACTTCATCACTTTTCGAATATTGTTAGAAAACTAAAGGGAATTTTGAAACAGTGAAAAAATTTCCCATGAAAATTGATGGATTTTGACTAAAAATTGACTAAAAATAGCAAACGCGCCCCATTGAACTCTCCCCGTTTTTCTGAAAAATTCGAATTTTTATTTTTTACTTAAATAAATTTGGGATTTTTTTTGAAACAGTGAATTTAATCACAATTTTTAACCTAAATTTATAGATTTTTCCAATTTTTACTGTTTCCAAAGATCACAAGAAACATATCACTTTTTGAATATTGTTAGAAAACTAATGAAAATTTTGAAACAGTGAAAATTTTCCATGAAAATTGATGGATTTTGACCCAAAATTGACTGAAAATAGCAAACGCGCCCCATTGAACTCTCCTCTTTTCTCCAGAAAATTCAAATTTCTTGCAGAATCGAAAACAAGACTCCAGAACACGGTGTAATTCTAAGAGAGAGGCAATTGAAAGTGTATTCACTGAACAATATGAATCAAATGCACGGACATGGAGTTGTTGGAAAACAGCCGGAATTAAACGTGGTTTCGCCGGCGTTTCAGTTTAGTAGCACAATTGAGTTGAAACATTCGAAGGGAGGACATATGTGGTGAGTTGGGAATTTTTTCTAGGCTTTTTAGGCTCATCCTAGGCTTGTTTGGACTCATTTTAAAGCTCTAATTCGGGCCTAAGAATAAGGCTTAATTTAGGATTAATTATATTCACTTTGAAGCCTAAATATAGGCCCGATTCAGCCTTTTCTCGGATTGTTTTTCAAAATCACGAACGATCAGTAAATTGATTTTGTAGAAAAATTGAGAAATCAATATGAATATTTTGAAACGTAAAAATTTGGGGTTTTGAAAAAATTGAATTTTTTCCTGAAAATTAGGCCCATCCTAGGCTTGTTTAGACTCATTTTAATGCTCTTATTCAGGCCTAAAGCTAGAAGCTAGTTCAGGCCTAATATAGGCCCGATTCAGGCTTATTTCGGAGGATTTTCAGGTCTAAAATTTGGGGATTTATTCTAATTGTTTTTATTAAAATTCCTGAAATTTATTATGAATTTTTTGAAACAGTGGATTATTTTTGATATTCTTGAATTTTAGAATTTTTCAAAAAATCTGAAAAATATCATTCAAATCTTGAAATGTAAGCCCATCCTAGGCTTATTAAGATTCATTTTAAAGCTCTAATTCAGGCCTAAAAATAAGGCCCAATCTAGGCGTATTTAGGTTAATCTGAAAGCTCACATTCAGGCTTGTTTAGGCTTTATCTAGGCTTTGTTTCATGAGCTTCGAACTTTCTAGAAAATGTTTTTGAAATTAAAAATCCTCTCTGAAATTATAGCAGCTCAAATCAGTTGCAGTGTTCTAATGATCAAATTTTTCACAGTTTTTATTTAACTTTTGAGCTTCTCCTTCAATTTTCAGCCAAAATGATCAAAATTACTGGAAAAAACTGCTAGAATTTCAATTTTCCCCACCAAAAATCCATTTTTCCAGGGGCCGCTTCAAAATGGAACGTGAAAACGGCGTGATCTTCGACGTTCACATCCCAACAATAGTCCTCGAATCCACAGATGATGTCGTCACTGAAAAATCCACCACAACTCCGAATCCCAACCCAAATCCGGATCAAGCTTAGGAATTTTCTGTATTTTTTTTTGATTTTTTTTGTTTATGTACAAATTTCTTCTAGATGTGTCGAAAAATAGGAGAAAGAGAATAAAAACTGTGTTTTTCTAGTACATTTCGTATATATATTTTCTTTTTGCTGTTTCGTATACACACACACTCATCTCAAATTTCGGCGGTCATTTTTTTTCTGGTCATCTCCAGCTCTCCGTTTTTGGGCAAATAAATAGAGCGACTATATACTATATCGTTTTTCTTTTCGTTTTTTTGGTTTTGAATTTTGCTCTTACTATGTTTTATAGTTTTCTATAATTTTGGCCTGAAATTCGGTGCCACGTGGATTTTGGGCCCAAAAAATTCTAGATCTCTAGACCTCAAAGATTCTTCTGGGTAGATCAAAAATGTTTTTGGTCGCGGGAAAAATAACATTTTTATGATGAATTTTTGAAAATGTACTTTTTTCCTCAAATTTTTCATTTTTCTGTGCAAAAAAACTATATCTTTTCACATTTTTCTTCAATTTTTAAATCGCAAAATTCGAAAATTCCTCTTGTTTCACTTGTTTACTGCTTGACCATCTCCAACTTCTACCACATCCGCATTCACAATCGAACTGAAAATAAATAGATGTATCTTTGAAGATCTTTGAGCGCGGTGCGGTTTGCAACGCGGCTAGACAATATTTCATTTCGAGCCGCGTTGCAAGCCGCACGCGACTGACGAAGTAATGTTGTTGGACATCGACTAAATGACATTTTCATGTTTTTTAAGCAAATGAGTTGAAATATTGGGTTATAATGTTATTCATATGATAGAATGGTCTAAGACGAACAGAATCATATAAATTTTGATGGTTTTACCTTATCCATAAGTGATTTAGCGATGTTTAGACGATCTTAACGACTAAAAGTCGCTAAATCACTAATGGATAAGGTGAAGTCATCAAAATTTCTATCATTCTGTTCGTCTTAGACCATTCTATCATATGAATAACATTACAACCCAATATTTCAACTCATTTGCTTAAAAAACATGAAAATGTCATTTAGTCGATGTCCAACTATACGGCAGCCACAATAATATATCCTAACTCACTGTCCAAACATCTCCTCCACATATTTTCGATATTTTATAATCGGCTTTTGAAAAACAACCATGACATTTGATAATTAGCGGGATTAATTGTTGAAATGAGACTTGAAGGAACTTCTGGTCGATTTTTTCATTATCACAACGGTTTTCCGAAGTGGTTGCTTGACAATTCTCTAATTTCGGTTGAATCAGGGCGCATTCATCAGAAGCTTTTGGAGTCGAAGTTTCGCCAAGAAGTTCCATAGGCCTCCGACTGCGATTAGCAAAATTGCCCCTCGAATAAAATGGCAATGGCTTCGGAATTCCCCTCGGCGGAACTCGACCAAAACCATCTTTTTCGAAATGCGATCGGCAAATTTGCGGGCGAGCATACATTCGAATATTTTGTGCAAAAGTCGGTCCCAGCGCTTCTTTCCATTTCTCCAATTGCTTTTTGCTTCTTGTCACCGATTTCACTTCGCAAGTTTGCCGTTTTCCAGCGCAATATGTGCAGATATGCGCATTCATTGGTTTTCTATCTGAAAATGGCTGAAAATCAAGTTTGCAGTGGGAAAAACCAGAAAAAAAAATATTTTTTGAATTTCACACTTGTTCGTTGGAGCGCGCTTGCCTCACCACTTGATTTTTTGTCATTTTAATCCGCCAAAATCTCTATTTTCAAATTTAATTTTACTATTTCCCGCTAGACTTTGCTCTCCAGAAGCCCCCCTCTCCACAAAATTTGAACATAGTGTCTTTTTGGGTCCAAAAAATGGTCCCAAGGGTCTTGTAGCGCAAATGTTGTTCTTCTTTTTTGACACTCTAAAATGACAAGAGCTCCCAGCTCCAAAATGTCAAAAAATGCATTTTTGTCTGCAAAATCTTTTTGTCTAGAAGATACAGTAGGTTTTCTTCCGCGAGTTTTTTATCAGCGAAAAAAGCGCTGCATCGAAAAAACACCACGTGGCGCAGTGGTAGCGCGTTGAACCAACGTGCGCTAGTTCAGGGGTTCGAGTCGCAACGCGAGCTTTTACATTTTTTTTTAGTTTTTTAGCCTAACACATAATTGATTGTTTTTCCATGGTAACAAAAAACAACTAGAGCAAAACAAGAAGTTTTTTCTCCAAGTTTAGTTTGCGTGTGCTTTGGCTCTTTTTTCGCCCCTCCACCACCAAAATCCTCTTTTTTGTCTCTTTTAAGAAGAGCAAAAAGTAACCAAGAAGAAAATGTCGAACGTTTTTCATTTTTTCTTTCGTTTTCCTGGCTTCGCGCGAAAGAAAGGATTAGGCAAAATTTTGGCGCCATTTTTTGTTTGTGTTGATTGAATTTGCGAAAATGCGAAAAATTTGAATTTCAAATTTTTTTTCTGTTGCAAAAAACTTTTACTTTTGAAATATTTTTTTCTACACTTTTTATAAAACTAGACTTAATCTTGAGCTTTACACTCGCGCAGAGCGCTCGGGCGCATTTTATAAACGAAATTTACCCCATCTGAAAAAACACCCACATAGCCGAGTGGTATACACGCGTGCGCACCATTCACACAACCCAGGTTCGACCCCCACTCATCCCTACTTTTTTTAAAAGATTTTTCCCCGGCTTTCTCAAAAACACTTTCAGAAGCACTCAACTTCTGAAAATGTTCACCTACAGTACCCCTCTTCCCTAATTTTCCCCCATTTTTTTCTACTACTATAGCTAAAAAGCCTTCAGGCGCGCGGCGTGACTAATTATCTCTACCCACCCTCCACCAAATCCCACACTCTCTAGCCGATTAATTTTTGCGTTGCGTTGTTGCTCAAAAAAAAATTTTGAGCATCTTTTTTTTTTGCTCGTTTTTTGCTGTGTTCAGCAGCTTGTTAATTCAGTTTTTGTTCAGAAAAAAAGAGAAAAAAGAGAAGAGACACACACATTTTTTGCACTTGTTTTTTCTGAACTTTTTTTTGCTGAGCTGAGCTCTGAGAGCACACAAAATAAAATTCGAAGATTTTTTTTTTCTGTTCGAAACAAGTTCGTATAGTTTTTATGGGATTTTCCAGCGGGATGAACTTTTTTGAAACAGATTTTGGCACAATTTTTATACCAGGGCCGTGGAAGAGAAAACCAAACTACAGTACACTTTTGATTTTTTGTATGGAAGAGGATATATTTGGTTTTCTAGGCCTTCTCTTTAGAAATTTCAGAAGAATTCGAATTTTTGAATTTCAGCCTAAAAATGAGCTATAATTTTCTGAAATAATTTTTTTAAATGAAGAATCTTTGACTATAGTCTAGTCTAGTTACGTGATATTTTGCAAGAAAAAATTTGAAACCTAGATTTTGAAGTGTAGGCTCGGCTACTTGAGAACTAGGCTCTCTAGGAGTGACTGCTTGAGAATACAAGGCTCTCTAGGCTTGGCTGCTTGACAACTATACTCTCTAGGAGTGGCTGCTTGAAAACACAAAGCTCTCTAGGCGCTGCTCCTTGTCATAGAAGTTCTGTAGGCTCGGCTACTTGACAACTAGTGTCTCTAGGAGTGACTGCTTGAGAACACAAGACTCTCTAGGCTTGACTGCTTGACAACTACATATACTCTCTAGGCTCGGCTACTTGAGAACACAAGGATCTCTAGGCGCTGCTCCTTGACAACTAGTGTCTCTAGGAGTGGTTGCTTGAAAACAAGGCTCTCTAGGCGCGGCTACTCAAGAACTATGCTCTCTAGGCTCGGCTGCTTGACAACTAGGCTCTCTAGGAGCGGCTACGTAAGAACTAAGCTCTCTAAGCTTGGCTGCTTGACAACTAGACTCTCTAGGCTCGGCTGCTTGAGAACTAGGCTCTCTAGGCGCGGCTGCTTGAGAACTGGGTTCTGTAGATGCAGCTGCTTGTCAGAGAGGATCTCTAGGCTAACCCCCCTAAAATGCCACGTGGAACAATTTTTGGAAAATCTAGAAACCACCTGATTTTTGGCGCCAAATCCTGTATCGAATTTCAGTTTTGTCCAAAAATACTAATAATTTTCCCACGTGTCTTTTTTTTATATTTATTTTTTTAAAAATAAAAATCTCTATCACTTTTTGCTCCTGGAGCTGGAAAAAATGCTCCAAAAATCGCGCATTCATTCATTTTTCATTTTTCATCTTCTGCTTGCTCCAAATTTGCTGCTCCGCGAAAAACACATCCACACAATTTTTAGTGTTTCAATTAATCTGCGCCTGTCTGCACTCTCTCCACAATTCACACACTCTCTCGCTTTTTGCAAATGTCATTTTATGAGATTTTTTCTCGCCGTTTTTTTTCTAGTGTCAATTGCACTTGATTTTTTTTGGGTTTTGATCTTGACACCAAATTAATTTGGCGCCTTTTTTTTGAAATTGGTTTTTGGCACCAAAAATCGAGCCGAAATTCAAAAAAAAAGTGCAATCGACTATTTTTGGGCAAAAAAAAAAATGGGTTTTAACACGAATAAATTTTTTTTTAATTGGGGTACTGTAGATTTTGGCGCCAAAAAGATCCTTCCTAGCTGGGAAAATTATGGAATACTGTAGATCAACAAGAAAAGTCTTACTGTAGCTCAGAAATGTCCTACTGTAGATTCGACAGGACCTACTGTAGTCTGAGATGAAAGGTCCTAACCGGAAAATTATAAGGGTTACTGTAGAGTAGCTATTTCCCGCGCGAAGATTTGGGTTACTGTAGATCCTTTGATTTTTCAGCACAGATCAAAGTTCCAGCTTCAAAATTGTAGAAAATTACTGTAGATTCTAGATTACTGTAATTTTTGTAGATCAAAATCTGAATTTTCACATGGAATTGAACTGTTCCGGGTTACTGTAGTCCAGAAAAAAAAATTCAAAAGCTTTTCAAAAAATCGTAGAAAAATACTGTAGGTCCAAAGTCAGAGCCAGAAAAATTTTGCAAAAAAAATACTGTAGCCTGCGTTAAAAAGGTCCCAGCGCGAAAATTTGGGTTACTGTACTTAGATCAGCATATTTTCTGCGCGGAAACTGTCAATTTTTGAATTTTGAATTTTCGCGCGCAAAAAATTATAAAAAAGCTGGAAAAGTCAGCGTACTGTAGTTTTAAAATTTCTGGAAAATTCGGATTACTGTAGATCAGCAAATTTGCCCAGCCAAAATCAATAATTCATTCCTCTGGCACCCAGAAAATCCCATAAATCTTTTTTTTTCTTTTTTTTTCAAAAGGTCGTTTCTCTTATCACACACATTCTCTCAATTTTCTCACCTCTCCAATTTTTTTTCAAAATTTAATTTCATTTCAGCTTTTGGTCTTTCGCCTCTCCGTCTTTCATTGATTGTTGTAGCTCCTAATTATCTATCAGGTAAGCCACGCCCCTTAAAAATCTTGAAAAATAGGCCACGCCCACTTTTCTGAAAATGAGTGACGCGTTTTTTTACTACACAGCCTGCACTGCATAAAAAAATGAAGTGAAGTAAATTGGTTTTTTTCGTCACTTTTTTTGTGTTCTTCTCATTTCATTTTATTTTAGTATAGCTGAAAATTCACTGCTTCAAATTATTTTTGTGAAAAATTATGGCCTAGTTTTTCGACCGGATTTCTAGTCCCTGCAAATTTCTGGAATTTTTAGGTTTCAAAATTTTGATGAATTTTCAAGCTCTCACGGCGCAGCTACTAGACAACTACATTCTGTAGGCGTGGCTCCCTGACATCTTTATTCTCTAGGCGCTGCTACTTGACAACTAGGTTCTCTAGGCGCGGCTCCTTGAGACCTAGATTTTTAAGGCGCTGATCCTTAACATAGTGAATATCTAGACACGGCTGCTTGACATAGTGCATCTCTAGACGCGGCTACTTGACAACTAGGTTCTCTAGGCGCGGCTGCTTGAGACCTAGATTTTCAAGGCGCTGATCCTTAACATAGTCTATGTAACCTCAATTTTTTACGTTTCAAAAAATTCATAATTTTTTCTCAAAATGTTTGCCATCGTTGATATCTCGTTTTTTTCCGAGAAAAAATTCACTGTTTCAAAAAATTTTCCTATAATTTTACCTGGAACATTTACGTTTCAAAATTTTAATTAGGTTCTCTAGGATTCTTTCGACGCTGCTACTTCAGAAGTAGGCTCTCAAGGCTCGGCACCTTGAAAGCCAGGATCTCTAGGCCCGGCTACTTGACAACTAGGTTCTCTAGGCGCGGCTACTTAACACCTATGGTTTCTAGGCTTAGCTGCTTGACATAGTGGATCTCTAGGCGTTGATCCTTGACAATTGAATTTTCTCGGCGCGACTACTTGCCACCAATCCTCTCAAGGCTCGGCTCCTAGACAAGCACGTCATTTCAACTCAATTTATATCCAAATTTTTCAAACCTCCCCCAAAATTTGCACTCTATCTATCTTGCATATGAAAAAAATTCAAGGTCAAGAACTACACACATTTCCGGCCATTTTTAGGTTACTTCCTCAATATATACACTTTTTTTCGTAGATTTTTTTGCAAGACAAAAGAAAAACGTATATTTTTGATCTACCCCTGGAAAATCCACGTGTTTTTTGAGGTCTAGATTAAGCCTAAGCCTAAGCCCAAGCCCAAAAGTACAGTAGTTTGACCTTTGCTCTTTTCCAAATTCTTAGCTCAAAAAGTTCCCCGGGGACCCAATAAATTGGTGTCTTTTATCTTTAATTTATTGTATCTTTTCTCCAAAAATTCTTTTTTTTTCGCTGAATTTTTTTTTGAAAACTTTTTTTTTTGTAAAAGCTCATTTTCTCAAGAGCCACTTTGCGTGTGAAAATTTTTGATTTTTTTCCGAAAAAAGTTCCTGATTTCTTTTTGTCAAGAGAGCTCTGCAAAAAAATTTTTGCTCAAAAAAAAAAAGCGAAAAAATTTAAGCCCTTTAAGATAATATGTTAAGCCTTTTGACTTATTTTTTTGGTGCAGTAAGAAAAAAAAATTCGGAATTTTTTTCATTTTTGAACTCTGGGGAACTCCAGAAAAAAAAAATGAAATTTTGAATTTTTCATAGAAATGGGGAGAGTTCAATGGGGCGCTTTTGCTATTTTTTGTCAATTTTGGGCTGAAATTCATAATTTTTCAAGATTTTTTGAAACAGTGAATTTTTTTAATTAATTTTTTTTTTTGAAAAATTTAACATTGCTCATATTAGCCTACAGAAATCATAGTATTGCTCATATTAAACATCGGAGAATCAGCTTTGAGGAACTCTGAACGTTTTGGCGCGAAAATTAAATTTTCGAAAAAAAATTTGAATTTTTGAATTTTCAAAAGCTCGCGCTCAAATTTGAATTTTCAAAAATCCAATTTTCGCGCCCCCACCAAACTAGATACAAACTTTTTTACTCCCCCAATTTTCCCTGAAAAATAGAAAAGGATCCATTTAAAAATTACAAGTGAAGCATGAAAAAAGAGAAGAAGAAGAACAATAGTATCCAGTGTCCTGAACTTTTTGTTTTTCCTCGGAAAAAAAAAATATTTTTTTTGTGTGCTCCCCGTAATTATCCTCACTCTATTTTGGGCTAAAATATATATATGTACAACTTTTTTTTTTCATTTTTTTTTCTGGGGAGGGAGAAGCTTAACCTAACCTGAAATTAAATTTAGTACATTTTTTTTCAGATTTGGGAGAAGCCTGGATTTAGTAGAACTAAAAATAACCTAACCTAATTAACCCAAAATTAATTAACCTAAGCCTAAGCCTAAACATAAATAAGCCTAAGCCTAATAAGCCTAAGCCCGATCCTTTAAATGTATTATGAACCTAAAGATTAAATCTAAAATTAATTAGCCCAAATTAACCTAAAGATTAGTTAACTTTATATTAACCTATGATTAACCTTATAATTAAGAAACCTAAAATTAACCTTAAGGCGATGATGCAGATTAGTTTCTCCTCCGAGCTAATTGAGGAGAAAGAGGAGAAACGTGTTGCAGGTGGAGGCGAAACAATGTATTTTTCGAATTTCGCCCCATTTCTCCTCATTTCTCCTCGGAGGAGAAACTCATTTGCAACATCGCCATAGAGCTAGAGACACAGAGAAGTCAGAAAGCTAGAGAGTTAGAGAAGCAGAGAAGTCAGAAAGCTAGAGAACTAGAGACGCAGAGAAATTAGACAGCTACAGAGTTAGAGATGGAGAGAAATTAGACAGCTAGAGAGCTAGAGACGCAGAGAAACTGGCCGCTGAAGCGGAAAACAGTGCCGCTACGCGGAAGCTTGCGGTCTACACTCGCGGCTCCGCCGCTCGAGCTTCCGCAACCTCAAATTAATTTCAGATGCCTCTTCCAATCTTCAAACAACCAAACGATGGCGAAGAGGAGATGAAGAAGAGCTGGATTCGTCACGAAAAACTGTGTGCTCAATTAGAAGCGTGCTCGCTGGATTTGAAGCAAAACGAGGCGCAGATGGATATTCTGACAGAGACTGGAAGTGAATTGAAGGAGAAACACAAAAAGATAAGAGGATTGTTGGAGAATGCAAAGGCGAAAGGTGAGTTGTTGGAACTTTTGGAGATCTAGAGATCTGGGGGCTTTCTGATTTCAAAATTTGAATTTTCTGAATTCAGGGATCATCTTTAAGTTCAAAAATTTGAAATTTAAAAATTTCCTAGCTTCCAACTTTTGAAAATTTCCTGAATTTCAAACTTTTCCCTGAAGACTATAAATTTCTGAAAATTCCAGAATTTCAAAAAAAAATTGAATTCGGGTTACTGTATCCAAATGACGAAAATTCTGGTTTCAAAATAAAAATTTACGCGCCAAATTTCAGAATTTCAAAAAATGTTCTGGCTTCTCTGGCTTTTCTGCGTCTCTATCTTTCTAATTTCACTAACCCTCTATCTCTCTGCGTCTCTTACTTTCCCCTGTTCTCTAGTTTCTCCAGCTTCTCTGTGTCTCTGCGTCTCTAACCCTATAATTGCTATCCTCTTTAGAGCTATCTAAATATAACCCTCTAGCTTCTCTGCGTCTCTAACTCTTCTCTCTATCTCTAGCCTCTCTAGCTTCTCTGTGTCTCTCAAACATTGTGCTCTCTAGCTTCACTGATTATCTCTGCGTCTCTAACCCTTCTCCCTATCTCTCTTTATCTCTAGCCTCTCTAGCCTCTCTGCGTCTCTATCTCTCTAGCTTCTCTAACTTCTCTGTTTTCTCTGCGCCTTTTCATATGCTCTTGTTCTCTACCCTCTCTAGCTTCTCTGCGTCTTTCCAACATCATTCTCTCTAGCCACTCTAGCCTCTCTAGCCTCTCTAGCCTCTCTAGCCCCTCTAGCCTCTCTGTTTTCTCTGCGCCTCTTCACATGCTCTTGTTCTCTAGCTCTCTAGCTTCTCTGCGTCTCTCCATCTCTCCATCTCTCTCCATCCGTGACTTTTGACTTTTCTTGATTGTTTGTGAGCAGAAAAAAAGTAGAAAAATGTCAATGTCTATATTTTATTCCCCCCTAATTGCTAGTTTCCCCCATGTCACTTTCAGTCAAGTCACCAACCGAAAAAAAGAAGGAAAATTATAGATAGAAAAGGGATTTCTGCAGATCAACAAGAAGAGTTGACGCAACTCTCGAAGGAGATTGAAAACGTGGAAACGCAGACGCGTGTCTGGTTGAATGAGTTACACGAAGTGCATGATAAACGAGTGGAAATTGATGTGAGTTTGGATGTTTTTTTGCAGGGGGAAAATGGAAATGAGATGAATAATTAAGCAGAGAAAGGACATTTGAGTGAAAGAAAAATTGAAAAATAATGATGAAAATTGAGGGGGTTAAAGGCACATACAGTATAAACATCAGCTAGATAGTTAGAGACGCAGAGAACCTGGCCGCTGACGCGGAAGCTTGCGATTTACACTCGCCCAGAGCGCTCGATTAGAGATCATGTGGGATTTAGAGACGCAGAGGAGTCAGAGAGCTAAGGACGCAGAGAAACCAGACGCCTAGAGAGCTAGAGACGCAGAGAAACTGGCCGCTGCGCGGAAGATAGTGCCGCTGACGCGGAAGCTTGCGGTTTACACTCGCTCCTATCGACTAGAGAGCATGTGGGATTGAGAGACGCAGAGAAACCTGAAGGCTAGAGACGCAGAGGGCTAGAGATGCAGTTAAACTGGCCGCTGCGCGGAAGCTTGCGGTTTACACTCGCTCCGCTCGACTATAGAGCATGTGGGATTGAGAGACGCAGAGAAACCTGAAGGCTAGACAGCTAGAGAGCTAGAGTCGAAAAGAAGTCAGAGAGCTAGAGAGCTAGAGTCGAAAAGAAATCAGAGAGCTAGAGATGCAGAGACATCAGACGGCTAGAAAGTTAGAGACGCAGAGAAACTAGCCGCTGCGCGGAAGTATGCGGTTTACACTCGCTCCGCTCGACTAGAGAGCATGTGGAATTGAGAGACGCAGAGGAGTCAGAGAGCTAGAGATGCAGAAAAAACAGAGAGCTAGTGACGCAGAGGAACCAGACAGCTAGAAAGTTAGAAAGTTAGAGACGCAGAGACATCAGACAGATAGAGATATCAGACAGTCATAGAGCTAGAGTCAAAGAGAAATCAGAAAGCTAGAGACGCAGAGAAAATTCCCCCCGAAAAAATACGTTTCAAATTTTCAATATCTCTAAAATTTGGCTGTTTAAACGATACCACCTCGTCAGTTTGTTCAAAAACAAAATTAAGAACGCTGTGAAAACACCGTGACGCAAAAATGCACAGAAATCTTGGGAGCCTGGAATTTGGGAGCTCTGAAGATCTTAGGAATGCTGAAGATCTTAAAATTACGAACCTGGAAGATCTTAGGAACCCTAGAATGTTAAGAACCCGGAAATCCAGGCAGCTTCTTGATCTTCAAAAAATATTCTAAATAGATTTCTGGTAGATCTTGGGTCTTGAGCTTCTTGAAGTTCAGAAGTTCAGAAGTTAGAGCTGGTACTTACTCGATCTTGGGATTTTTTAGGATCCTAAGGTTCTTCAGAACCCTAAAGATCTTAAGAACCATGAACTTCTTCAGAACCTTGAAGATCTTAGAAATCCCCAAAACCGTTTATTTTTCCAGTGTCAAATGATTCGACTAGGCGCCGAGGTGAAGAAAAACGAAACCTACGTTCAATTAGCATGTATAGACATTGAAAGAATGGAATTGCGACATGAGATCAGGTAACTTCCCTAATTTCTTTAAGAGTTTTTAAGGCCTTAACTGCTTTAAGAGCTCTATTTTTATTTATTTTTGTTTCAGATGGAAGAAATTCCTGCAAAACAGCAAATAAATCCTGAATTCAATTCTGAATTCTGAATTCAAACGTGCAAAATTGATAAAATACGAGATCAAATGACAAATCAAAAATAATAATAATTCCTATTTCTTTTTTTTTCTTACTTAAGTACTTAACCTTAATTTTATTTCAAATTTTCCGTTTTTTTTGTTAGGTGAAATGTCTGTTTTTCACATCGTCTTTCATAGTTTTTTTTTAATCTGCTGTTTCAATTCTATCCTGTTCATATATTATTTTACTATCTTATTTTTAAAAAATAAAGTTTTGTGAAAAATTCATAATTTTGATCTACAAATTTTCAGGATTTTTTGGGTAGAATGAATTCCTGGGCAATTTTATTTTTGGAAAAAAGGGTTTAAATCTACAGGCTAGGACTAGACTGTAGTTTCAGAGAAATTTTCTGGGAAAAAACTTCTTGGCTCGGATCCTTGACAATTAGGGTTTATAGGAGCGGCTGCTTGTCAGATAAGCTTTCAAGCCGCGGCTCCTTAAAATTGTGGATCTCCAGACGCGGGTCCTTGACAATCAGGTTTCGAAGGAGCGGCTCCTAAAGAACTAGGCTCTCTAGGCGCTGATCCTTGACAATTGAACTTTCTAGGCGCGGCTCCTTCAAAACAAGTATCTCTGGGCGCGACTTCTTGCCATTTAGAACTTCTAAGTATCTGATCCTTGACAATTAGGTTTTAAAGGAGCGGCTGCTTGACATAGAAGCTTTCAAGCCGCGGCTCTTTGAAATTGTGGATCTCCAGACGCGGATCCTTGACAATAGAACTTTCTAGGCCTGACTCCTTAAGAACTATGCTCTGTAGGCGCGGCTCCTTGGCAATTGAACTTTCTAGGCGCGGCTCCTTCAAGACAAGTATCTCTAGGCGCGACTTCTTGCCGTTTAGAATCTCTAGACGCGGATTTTTGACAATTAGGTTTCAAAGGAGCGGCTTCTTGACAGAGAAGCTTTCAAGCCGCGGCTCCTTGAAATTGTGGATCTCCAGACTAGAGAAGGTTCCCCTAAGCGAAACAGTCAGAAAATAAATTCAAAACAGACTGGAAATCGCGTGCACAAAACTATGAAAAAATTAATCTACCTATGAAATATTTCATAGTTTGTTTTTCAATAAAATCTGGAAGCTGATCCGATAGCTTCAAGTGTAATTCAGAGCTTCATCTAATCATTTAAAAATACTAATTTTTAAACAACTTTCCTTTAACATCAATTGTAATTATGAATTAAAAACTTTACCCAATATTTTTCAATCTCACCTGTTACCTCCCCCCCCCCACTAACCTCAAAATAAACTAACTTGACTGGGGCCCGTTCCGTGAAAAGTTGTTGATCTCTTCGAATGTGCTGTCCAAACGAAACATCTTCTTGTTCGGAAGCCTGAAACTTCTACATTCTTTTTCTCAAAATTTTCGCCTATTCTTAAAGACACACAATCCGCTAGAAATGAACAGAAAATGAGTTTGTTATTCATTCATAACACCTTTCAAGTAATCTAAATTCATGAAAATCGAGAAAAAATTTTGAGTCTAGCAGAAGTGAAAAAATAAAATAATTGTTTTTGAAATCGCTCAGCCGACGGAAATTTCGAAAGTGTGTGCACACAGTGTGTCGCTAGAGCGCACATGCTGGTTTTGTCGTTTGAAAATAAATGCGGGAAATCTGTTTTTTCCAGTGTTTCTCGTGTCTTTAAACGTACATCAAAAAATGATCATGACAGTTGTGGATTTTATGGGACCGCTGCATTCTGTGCCTGTTGTCTCTGAAAAAATGAGAAAATTTAAAAAATGTACCAAACCACCCCATTAATTCTCAAAAACCAGAAAAAAAAACAAAAAATAAAAAAGTCGTGCAAAAAAAAATAAAAGGAAAACAACGATACTCCGCCTGCGCGTTGTTTAGTTTATTTTGAGAGAGTGCAGGAAATGGAGAGAGAGAGTTAGAGAAAGAGAGATATGTTTTTTATTTGAAAAGAAATTATTGATTGAACGTTTTTTTCGAACTGAATCATTTTTTCTGTTTTTTTCAGCGCAGAAAATTTTGTGATTTGGTACATTTTTTTTAATTGTCTTATTTTTTTTAGAGACAAGTCGACAACAGTCACAGAATGCAGTGGTCCCATAAAAACCACAATTGTCATTGTCTTATGTAAGTTTTTTGTAAGAATAGGCGAAAATTTTGAGAAAAAGAATGTAGATGTTTCAGGCTTCCGAACAAGAAGATGTTTCGTTTGGACAGGACATTCAAAGAGATCAACAACTTTTCACGGAACGGGCCACTCAAGTTAGTTTATTTTGAGGTTTGGGGAAGGGGGGGGGGGGAATAAAACTAACAGATGATATTGAAAAATATTGGGGAAAGTTTTTTATTCATAATTACTGTTGATGTTGAAGGAAAGTTGTTGATAAATTACTATTTTTAAATGATTAGATGAAGCTCTGAATTACACTTGAAGCTAAGCTATAGGATCAGCTCCCAGATTTTATTGAAAAACAAACTATGAAATATTTCTGGGTCACGTGAAATTTTGATAAATATATATTTATCAAAAATTGCTCATTTCTTATCTACACGCGTGGTGTAGTGGGAAAGAGCTCTGTCTTCTATTCAACCCGCCTAATTTTGTGGGTTCGAGTCCCACTGCCCGCTGTTTTTTTTTTGAAAAAATATCCGCCGTTGTCAGAAAAATTCGGAAAAAATATTTCTAACGAATTGAACTCACACTGGGCGATTTTATTGAATGGTAGACGCGGATCCTTGACAATAGAACTTTCTAGACGCGGTTACTTGGCAGAAACGATTTTGAGGCCCTGATCCTTGACAATTAGGTTTCAAAGGATCGGCTGCTTGACAGAGAAGCTTTCAAGCCGCGGCTCCTTGAAATTGTAGATCTCCAGACGCGGCTCCTTGACAATTGAATTTGGAAAGCGTGGCTACTTCGCAAAGATCATCTCAAGGCGTGGCTGCTTGAGATTAAGCCTCTCTAGGCGCGATTCCTTGTCAATTAAATTTCCTAGGCGTGACTACTTGTGTTAGAAGCTTTGAAGCCGCGGCTGCTTGAGATTAAGCCTCTCTAGGCGCTGATCCTTGACAAAAGAACTACGCAAGCTGCGTCTCCTTCGCAATCAAAGATAAAAATCAATAATTTATTTGTTCTATATTGCATGTAGCGTTTACCCCTGAGATCTCAACTATACATATCTAAATTAAATACAAAATCAATGCCATTTCACTAAGAACTTCTTTCCTTTCCGATCCTCTTCTTCATCAATCAAATCTTCATCATCTTCAGATTTCTTCACGGAGCTCGAAGTTGAAGCCTTCGAACTCGAGCTAGATCCCGATAATTTTTCCAAATCCTCCAATTCAAGATCTTCTAATGGATCTTTCTTATTGATCTTTGTCTCTCCACTCTTCCCTCCCTCTTCAGAATCTTCGTATTCTTCAGAATCTTCATACTCATCGTCATTTATGTTGCAACCTCCACCTCCACATCCTCCACCTTGTTGCTGTGCATAACCTGTCTGATATCCTCCCCCACAACCTCCACCATATCCACCCGATCCTCCCCCACCACAACCATATCCGATTCCTGGATGTGATTTATAGATGTTATATGGATCTTTGAAATCATATGGAAGTTGTCGATATTGATAATTGGCGAACTGATATTGTGGCGGGTAGACATAGGTCATTCCAGGGCGCATTAGGTAATTACGCGGAAGTCTGTCCCATGGATAATGTTGGAAGTAATATCCGCGTCGGAGTTGAACAGCGGGTCTTTGTGGAGTAGAAGCTTGTGCTCCTGGCTGAATCGGCGCCCTGGGTGGTGGTGATTGAGTGGTTGGAATGTCATAAACTGGGCGGATTGTTGAGTAGGTGACTTGTTTGAGATTGTGATTAGCTCCACTTTTTAGGGCGGCATTTGGGTTGGAACTAGAAGCTTCGTTTTGAATTGGTTGAGATTGGAAGTCGGAGTAGTCGTCTCCAATGTCATCTGGAGTGGCTTGGCGGGGCTGGAAAAAAATCCTTGGCATTGCTCATGTTAAAGACACATCAGCCACTGGAAAAAACAGATTTCCCGCATTTATTTTCAAACGACAAAACCAGCATGTGCGCTCTAGCGACACACTGTGTGCACACACTTTCCAAATTTCCGTCGGCTGAGCGATTTCAAAAACAATTATTTTATTTTTTCACTTTTGCCAGACTCAAAATTTTTTCTTGATTTTTATGAATTTCGATTACTTGAAAGGTGTTATGAAAGAATAACAAACTCATTTTCTGTTCATTTCTAGTGGATTGTGTGTCTTTAAAGGTGGAATCCGAGCAAAAATTAAGTTGTGCTAATTTGAAAGAGCATGTTGCAATTAGTACAATCCTCCAAGGATTTTTTCTGAAAGCTTCTCTAACATTAGAGAAACACAGTTCCAAACGGTTGGAGATATGGAGTTTCAAGCCATTTTACACGGTGTTTCACTGTTTTTTCGAACTTTGTAATTTTTTAATTAATGTTTGAGAAGCTTCCAGAAAAAATCCTTCGAGGATTGTACTAATTAGAACATGCTCTTTCAAATGAGCACAACTTAATTTTTGCTCGGATTCCACCTTTAAGAGAATTCTAGATTCTATTTCAAGATGATTTCTAAAATTCAGAGATTCAGATTCTGAGCCTGATTTTTACACCGAAATCAAATTTTTCGCCTAAAAATATACCAAATCATCCAAAAAATACCCAGAAAATGTTACGTTTCAAAATTATTTTATAGGTTTTTCAAAAAATTACAGCACATTGAACGTATGAGCCATTTGCTAGGTTGAATTGTATGAGATTTCTGAATTCCACGTAGAATCTTAGGCCACGTGGAATCTTGAAAATGACCTTTTCTAGATTAGGCCTGAGCCTAGACCCTTGCAGGATTTTTTTGGAAATTGGGGCTTTAGTTAATTGTAAGCCTAACTCAAAACCCTAAAGCCTAACCCTTAAGCCTCAAGCCTAAGCCTAACCCTTAAGCCTCAAGCCTGAGCCTAACCCTAAAGCCTCAAGCCTCAAGCCTCAAGCCTCAAGCCTCAAGCCTCAAGCCTCAAGCCTCAAGCCTCAAGCCTCAAGCCTCAAGCCTCAAGCCTCAAGCCTCAAGCCTAACCCTAACCCTAAAGCCTCAAGCCTAAGCCTAACCCTTAAGCCTCAAGCCTCAAGCCTAACCCTAAGCCTCAAGCCTAACCTTAACCCTTAAGTCTCAAGCCTAAGCCTAACCATTAAGCCTCAAGCCCAGGCCTAACCCTTAAGCCTCAAGCCTGAGCCTAAGCCTAAAGCCTCAAGCCTAAGCCTAACCCTGAATCCTTAAGCCTAATCTTAATCCTAACCCTAAAGCTTTAAGCCTAATAAGAAGACCTAAAGCCTTAAGCCTAATCTTAATCCTGAGCCTAATAAGAAGACCTTAAGCCTAACCCTTAAGCCTCAAGCCTCAAGCCTCAAGCCTAAGCCTCAAGCCTAACCCAACCCCAAATGGTGCAGGTAGAATCCACGCGGCTTTTTCAATTTTTCAAATTTTTTCTCGGAACTTCACATGACTTAGCCTAACTCAACCCCTTCCCAAACCCACCTGTTTAACAGCCAAAGCACTCGAAATGCACACGAAAATCACAAAACACCTCCTCCTCATCAGCATAATTTTATTGTGAGTAACAAAATTTTTCAGCCACCCATTTTATAGTCCTCAGATGTTCCACCCACCCGTGGTCACACAGCCGCGAAAAAAGGTGAAAGTGATTGCGCAACCCGGTTTTTCCCTCATCGCGCAACAGAGATAAATTTGGTCAGATAGATACTTCTCATATGTATGTTGTAACAAAATATGCTGTTGTGTTGTAACATTTAGGTTTTGAACTGGACTGGATAACTTGATTTTTTTAGTGTAATTTATATATTCATTTCATCTTATCTAATTTGGTATGAAGAGGCAAATTCTGAATGGTTTATATAGTAGTTGGGAATAGTGTAAGGTTATTAAACTAAACTAGAAGGGAAAAGGGGAGGAGGGAAAAGCTTGAATTATATCTGAAAAATAGCAAAGCCTAGTTTGAAGCCTAGAATAATCACGGACTGTCTTAAAACCTAGCCTAAGGAAATCTTCTAGATAAAAAATCTAGTTAAAGCCCAGTCTAAGCCTGAGCCTGATTTAAATCCCAGGGCCTGATATCAAGCCGAGTGTCTGATATAAAGCCTGTAATTAAGATTTGAAGTCCAGACTAGCCTAAACTTCAAAGTCTATTTAAAACCCAGCCTAATTAAAAACTGGTAAAAAGTGAAGGCTAAATGAAACCCAGTCTAACTGTGCTCTAGCCTTATTGAAGCCTAAGCCTAAGCCCGGCCTAATTAAAATTGAGTCCAATTTTAAGCTTTAAAAAGCCGAGCCTAAATAAATCCTGGTATTTAAAAAGTTTAGGCTAAATGAAGCCCAGCCTAACTGTGTCCTAGCCTTATTGAAGCCTATTCGAAACCCAGACTAGCTTGAAGCCTGGTCTAAATAAAATTTAGTCTAATTGAAGCCCAGCCCAGCTTGATGAAAGCCTGATTTAAAGTTCAGACTAGCTTAGGTTGTCTGTGAAGTGAAAGCCTAATCAAAGCCTAGTCGAATAAAGGCCTAGGCTAGCTGCACAACATGTCAAAAAGCAATCGGTGAGAGTGAAAGAGAGGGAAAAGATATTGAAATCCCGCGTGATCTACAGCGAGTTGAATTTGCGGGTCTAGGATTTGTTAAATCTAGAAATAGGCTTCAGCTTGATTTCTGAGAATTGATTCTTGAAATTTCACTTTGCCAAGCGAATAAAAGTCATTCTCAATTTTTTTCGAAACAAAATATGTTTAGCAAACGCTATTTCAAAAATTATGGATTTTCAGACCCACAATTTTTAATGTACCTTTGATCTATTTTTCTCTAAGTCTTCTTCACTCTCACCGATTGCCAATTTTCATTGGGCTGACATGTTGTGGCTGATTGTGAGTCCAGATATAATTAAAGTCCAACCTAAACAAAAATGTTCGATCTTTTTTCCGGGCTTTAGAGCATTGCTCAGGTTATAGGGAAAATTCAGAGCATTGCTCAGGTTCAAAAACTCCCGATTTTTCACTATAACCTGAGCAATGTTCAACAAATCTTATTTTTAAAGCAGAATTTCAAATTTCCCATTGCCCTTTTCCCATTTTTCCATCAAAACATCTACCAAAATCTAATAATAGAAATTGCAAATTCACAAAAATTCGATATGAATGACGCTTTCATCTCAAAATTCTTCGAAGAATGCAATTCGATATTCGACATCCGGAATGAGTCTCGAAATGAGTCTCGAAAAGAGATGAGCTCCTCATTTTTGAGGCAGATCTCCTCTCGACATCATCGGGTCAGATCGGATCGCTTTCTACTTCTATAATCATCTCATTTTTTGGGTCGACAATGTCTAGCACTTCTACATTTTCTATTCTTATTGTTTTTCTTGTTGTTGTTGGTGAGTTAGGCTAAATCTAGAGGAGGAAACATTTAAAATCCAGATTTTACCGCCTTGTTTCATAGCATAGGCAATCAAGTTCGCTCTATCGCACGTTTAATTTATTAGAGAGCATGCAGAATTGAGAGACACAGAGAAATCAGAGAGCTAGAGAGTTAGAGACGCAGAGAAACCAGAGAGCTGGAGACGCAGAGAAATCAGAGAGCTAGAGAGTTAGAGACGTAGGGAAACTAGCTGCTTCGCTCGATTAGAGAGCATGTAGAATTGAGACACACAGAGAAACCAGAGAGCTAGAGACGCAGAGAAACTAGCCGCAGCGCGGAAGATTGCAGTTCGAGCGCTTTGCGCGAGTGTAAACCGCAAGCTTCCGCATCAGCGGCACTCTCTACCGCTTCAGCGGCCAGTTACTCTACGTCTCTAACCTTCCAGCTGCAGATGCATGGGTTTGTAGTGTTCTCTGGACGTCTGGCTCTCTGTTTCTCTTCTCATAAAAAATTTGAAACTATTTGAAAAGCGCGGGGAACAAGACACATACACCGCGACGCAAAACTACACACACAATAAACATTTACAGTAGTCCAGTATAAAATTGTATGTTATTTTTGTTGAGTATTGCTCAAAGATGCCAGAGCAGAAATATCTAATCCCTCTCAAAAATTCCTAAATCATTTGAAACGTATTCTTCCCAGTTTTTGTAAGTTCAAAAATTCTCCATAGTGCATTGACCCTAGTTCCGAGCTGCTCAAAAATGCACATTCATACATACAGGGAAAATTAGGCGGCAGGTGTGCTGCAGGTAATTTTGGCTGACATGACCTAGGCATGGTCGTCGCAGGAGTTTTTTGAAATGTTCAAAAATGCTGCGGCGACCATGCTGCGTGCATGCCTAGGTCATAAGTTACCTGCAGTACACCTGCCGCATGCATGCCTGACTTTTCCTGTGTATAGTTTGATTACTCATCTCAATCTCATTCATTTATATTTTTTTTTAAATCCGATCAAATTTCCAAATTAGCATACTATTCTATTTTGTTTGTTTTTATGGTGGTGGTTGTGTGTTTTTCATGAATGAAAAAGCTTTGAGAGCTCATTGCACTATCAAATGACGTTTCAGTGACTTTTAAAAGTCACTTAGGAGAGTGAGAGACGCAGAGAGCCAGACAACGAGAGAACACAATACAGTTAGAGAAGCAGGTGTGCGAGAGACTGTAAAAATAGGATTTTTTGAAAAACCGGGAAAAATACGTTTCAAGCCTAGGCCTACGCCTAACCCTGAAGCCTGAAACTTAAAAGCCTAGAATTTTGGATAAGCCTAACCTAATCAAGATCAATCTAGAGTGAGATTCAAGCCTGTATTCTAGCCTGATTCAGGCTTCGAGCCTGCATGGACTAGGCTCAACCTTGTAGCCTGCAAACTTTGGCGCAGCGGCCGGGCCTAGAAGCGTCTAGGCCAGGTCTAACCTAGACTCAACTCAGGCCCAGCCTACCCCATCCCCTCCCAAATCCATCCCCAAATTCCAGCCAATTTCAAATGCGAATCAACATCAGTGGTAACATGTATGCTGTGCAAAGTGATCACCGAACCGCTCGAATACAATCTCTCACCAACCGCCACACTCTCGGCAATGTTCAAAAAATGCGACAAGATGGGTTTGATGGAGCCGGTGTGTGGTCAGTTTGTGTCGGAAAATGTGAAGACGATATTCAATCGTGTCAAGTCGGGAGTTCCGCCACAAACTATTTGTCAGGCGATGCAAATGTGTGAACCAGTGAGAAGAAGATAATGAGGAAAATATTGATTTTTTTGTTTGTTTTGGTATATCAAAAAATGGTGATGATCTAATAAAATTTTGCATTTGTTTGTTAGAGACGCAGAGAAGCCAGACAGTTAGACATAACTGTAGAGTTAGAGACGCAGAGAAGCTAGAATCAGGTTCAGACTACATGCAACCTTCTGCTCGACCCGATTCCAAGCCGCGTTGCAAACCGCGACGCGCTCAAAAGTGTTCCTGTTGCTATATCTGTTGAGGTTGTCAATACCGTACCACCACATGCGTATCTAACTCCAGGTTTCATTCCAATTTTCTTCTCAAGTTAGATCTGCAGGCTCTCTACAGTACTCAACATGTCCCTCCCTTGAAATTCAAATGAGCGCAGCAAGGCTTGGCTACTTGACAACTAGGCTTTTTAGGCTTGGCTGCTTGTCAGAGGTTGATCTCTAGGCGCGGTTGCTTGTCAGAGGCGATAGTACCTCTCAAGACGCCGCTGCTTGTCAGAGTGGTCCTCAAGGCTTGGCACCTAGCCAGAGTGGTCTTCAAGGCGTGGCTCATAGTCATAGCAGTTCTCAAGGCTTGCCTCCTAGCCATAGCAGTTCTCAAGGCTTGAATCTTAGCCAGAGGCGGTTCTCAAGGCGCGGCTATTTGACATAGAGGCTTTCAAGGTGCGACTCATTGTGAGAGTGGCTGTCAAGCAGCGGCTTCTAGCCATAGTAGCTCTCCAGGCTTGGCTACTTGACATTTGAGCTCTCAAGGTGCGGCTTCTAGCCATAGCAGTTCTCAAGGCTTGGCTACTTGACAACTAGGCTGTCAAGGCTAGGCTACTTGTCAGAGTGGCTGTCAAAGCGTGACTCCTAGCCATAGCAGTTTTCAAGGCCTGGATACTTGTTCTCAAGATGCGGCACCTAGCCATAGTAGCTCTATAGGCGCGGCTGCTTGACATAGCAGTTATCAAGGCGCGGCCCCTATCCAGAGTGCATCTCTAGGCACGGCTCCTAGAAAATTAAGTTCTCTAGGCTCAGCCACTTGGAATCCTTAACCCTATGTCCAAAAAAAGTGTTCCCCCAATTTTCCAACCCAAAAAAGTGACCTCGAAACGCGGAAAGCAGTCAGTCTTCCATCATTATTATTATTCTATTCCTACTCCCCTCCATTTCCTATTATTTTCACATTCAGTCAGTCAGTCAGTCAGGCCAATTAACTTTTTTTCCGTCACACACGGACTGTCCACTTTGTATTGTGTTATTATTATAATAGAATTTGTATAATATAATTTTATTTTATTATATAAATTCCTATTATATTCATTTTTTTTTGAAAATGATGAAGATGAAGATGAAAAATGACATTTTTTGAAGATGTTCGATCATTTTTAATTTGACTCGACTAAATTCCTAGTTCCAGATTTTTTTTTCGAAAGTTTGGAATTCAATTTTAAAAATTTTGGATTTTTTTTTGAAATTTGGTAACCTAAAATTAATCTGAATTTAGGATAACTTGAAATTTAAGATAAATTTTGCTGTATTTTGATGTAGATCTGAAAATGCCGTGTCTGTTATTTAGCCCAACTCACTCAGAGCCGCGCTTGTGCCAAGAAGCTTAGCTCTCAAGTAGTCAAGCCTAGAAATCCTAGCTCCCAAGTAGCCAAGCCTAGAGAGCATAATTTTCAAGCAGCCGAGCCTAGAAAGCCTAGCTCTCAAGTAGCCACCTCTAGAGAGCATGGGTTTCAAGTAGCCGCACCTAGAAATCCACTCTGGCAAGCAACAGCACCTTGAAAGCTTCTATGTCGAGTAGCTTCGCCTAGAAAGCCTAGCTCTCAAGTAGCCGCGCCTATAGAACTTACAATTAGTTCTTAAGTAGCCAAGCCTAGGGAACCTAGTTGTCAAGTACCCGCGCCTTGAGAGCTTCTATGTCAAGGATCGGCGTCTAGGCAACCTGAGTGTCTAGGACCCACATCTAGAAATTCACTCTTACAAGGAGCAGCGCCTATAGGTCCACTCTGGCAAGCAGCCGCGCCTTGAAATTCCAGTTTTCAAGCAGCCTAGTCTAGAAATCCTCATTCCAGATGGCCAACAACCTCAACGAAATCCAAAGTTCCTCCTCAACCTCATCCACCTCAAAAAATATCGCAAAAACTTTGCGACTATATTCATCGGATGGTGAGCGAAGCACAAGAATGGAGGTGGATGAGAACACGATGTGCGCCGATATTTGCCAACATTTTTCGTGTGATGTTATCACGTTGCAAATTGGCAATTATCATTTTCGGTGAGTAAGTTCGAGCGCTAACTGCCTGGCTTCTCTGTGTCTCTAAGCCTCTAGCTGTCTGACTTCTCTGCATCTCTAGCTCTCTAGCTCTCTAACTCCTCTGCGTCTCTAAATCCCACAAATTAAAAACCTTGTAATCCTGGATAATCTTTTGGTCCCGACAAGGATTAGAAGAAAATTGATGTCCAAAAACAAGTGCACAAGTTCCTCTAGGTCACAAAAATCTCAAAATCTTCTGATCTTGAGAAGATTTGTGGGGAGATCTGATTTACGGTTAGGCCTAAGCCTAAGCCTAACTAAGCCTAAGCCTAACTATGCCTAAGCTTAGCTAAGCCTAAGTTTAACTAAGCCTAAGCTTAACTGAGCCTAAGGCTAATAAGCCTAAGCCTAACTAACCCTAAGCCTGATAAGCTAAGCCTAAGCCTAATAAGCCTAAGCCTAACTAAGCCTAAGCTTAACAAAGCCTAAGCCTAACTAAGCCTAAGCTTAGCTAAGCCCAATAAGCCTAACTAAGCCTAAGCCTAACTAAGCCTAAGCTTAACTAAGCCTAAGCCTAAGTATGGCTAAACCTAAGCTTAACTAAGCCTAAGCCTAGATAATCCTAATTGAGTCTAAGCCTAAGCCTAAGCCTGCACCCAAGCCTGAGTCTAACTAGGTTTAAGTCTAACTAAGCCTAAGCCTAATAAGCCTAAGCCTAATTAATCCTAACTCAGCCTAAGTCTAACTAAACCTAAGCCTGACTAAGCCTAAGCTTAACTAAGCCTAAGCTTAACTAAGCCTAAGCCTAAGCCTAACAAGCCCCCCAAAACCCTCTAAAACAAATTTCCAGCCAACTGAAACCCTCGACCTCTCCTCTGGCAATTCTTCACGACTTCTGCCGGATCCTCTCAATGTCCGAAGACGAGTCGTCTCGAACCTTCGACGAGATCCTCACCTACACCGATTCCTCGTCATTCCGCCATATTTTCTCGTTTTTCCTCGGGAGACCGCGGATTCGAGCGAAAAGCACGTTGAACAGTGGAATATTGTCGGAAGATGTACTGATTCGGAAGGGAAAAATATTGCATTCGTGGGTCAATGCCAAGGCTGTTTTTTATAATTCGAATATTCGATTGCAGATGAGTGAGTTGGCGGAAATTGGCTGGGATTACTGTAGATGTGGCCGAAAATCCACGAATTTTGACACTAAACATGCCTAGGCTATGAGGTTACTGTAGATCAACATTTTGGCCCGAAAAATGTCTAGGTGTGGATCCTTGCTGAAATGGTTTTCAAGGCGCTAATCCTTGAGAAATAGGTTCTCTAGGAGCGGCTACTTGCCAGAGTAGATCTCTAGGAGCGGCTCCTACACAACTAGGTTCATTAGGCGCTGATCCTTGACATAGAAGCTCTCAAGGAGCGGCTCTTCGCTAGAATGCATCTCTAGGCGCTGAGCCTTATCAACTGGGCTTTCTGGGCGTGGCTACTTGACAACCGGGTCTTCTAGGTTTGGCTGCTAGGCATAAGAAGCTCTGAAGGAGCGGCTTCTTGCCTGAATGCATCTCTAGGCGCTGAGCCTTGACAACTACGACTTCTAGGTGTGGCTACTCGAAAGCAATAATCTCGAGGCGCCGGTCCTAGACAATCAGGTTCCCCAGACGCGGCTTCTTGCTAGAATGCATCTCTAGGCGCTGAGCCTTGTCAACTAGAATTTCTAGATTTGACTGCTTGACATAGAAGCTCTCAAGGGGTGGCTACTTGTTTTAGAAGCTTTCAAGGCGCCGCTACTTGACAACCGGGTCTTCTAGGTTCGGCTACTAGACAATCAGGGCTTTCTAGGCGCGGCTACTTGAGAGCAATGACCTCAAGGCGCTGCTCCTAGGCATTTATATTCTCAAGGCGCATCAGCTTGAAAACAATAACCTCAAAGCTCTGATCCTAGAAAACTTCCACAAAATACGTTTCAAAATATTTATATCTCATAATTCTTGAGATTTCTCTGGTGCGAAAAATAAAGCAAAAATATTAGGAAAAAAATGTATCTAGAATAATTCCAACCAACCCAAATCCCTTCAGAACAAAACCACGACGATCTCCTAAATCTCCGCAAAATGCGTGCCGATATCCACGACTCAAAACGCGGAAAATCCCTCCGTCTACGCAACGACGACCAATGCTATCTGCTCATCTTCCAACGCCCAAACATCCTCCAAGTTTGGCTAACTAAAGCGCAACAAATCGAAAAATCCACTCACATTGACATGAGTGACGAGCACTTGACAATGATTCCCGAGCAACTTCTAACGAGCACCGACGCCCCGATTCAAGTGCTAAACCTCCGGCGGAACTCTTTGATTTCTAGACCACCTCTGGAGAAAAATCTCGCTCTGGGTTATGTTGATGATCTCTACCGAATGTCCACACTGCAAGTTATCGATCTCTCTGCAAACCAGATTCAGAATTTCCCAATCCCCCTTACAGTTTTGGGAAACTTAAGGCAACTTAATCTATCTTCAAATTATATTCAAAATCTTCCCAGAGAAATTGGGAATCTGCAACGGCTTCAACTCCTTAATCTGAGCAATAATATGCTGACAACCCTTCCAAATGAGCTCGTAAATTGCACATATTTATCGAATCTCGATCTATCATTCAATCAATTTTCCGATGTTCCAAATTGCCTTTATCAAATGAATATTCTAGATATGTTCAGATTAGCTGGGAACAATATCGAGAAGATCGGAAGGGTTGGAAGTTTGCCATCTGAGAAAATCGATTTACGAAGGAATATTTTAAGCACCTCTTTTAGGTTGGATGTGGAGAATATAACACATTTAGATATTCGGGACAATTCTTTAGTCTCTACCGTACACCTGACAAATCTCAGATTCTTGAAGATCATCCACTGTGAACGATTGCAGTTGACAAGCTTACATTTGTCCGGAGATAGCCTAACTCATGTATACGCGGATAATAATTGTGAGTTTCTCCTAGATCCCTGTAAAACACTCATAGAAGATTTTAGTGCTGGAATCAATTGTGATTATGCCTCTCCCTTTAAATCTGCAAACTCTATCACTGTCTTTCAATCACTTCAAAACATTGCCGAATTGGATTTGCGATTGTCCGATGTTGACATTTTTGCGGGTTAATGATAATCGATTGGAGGAATTGCCGAGGAGGTGAGATCAGCGTGTCTAGCTGTCTGGTTTCTCTGCGTCTCTAGCTGTCTGATGTCTCTGCGTCTCTACAAATCAGGTTTCTCTGCGTCTCTAACTAGTTAGTTGTCTGCGTCTCTCAATTCCAAATGCTCTCTCATCGAGCGAAGCGAGTGTAGACCGCAAGCTTCCGCGCAGCGGCCAGGTTACTCTGCGTCTCCAACTTTCTAGTTGTCTGTCTTCTCTGCGTCTCTAGCTTTCTGATTTCTCTGCGTCTCTAGCGCTCTAGCTGTCTGATTTCTCTGCGTCTCTAGCTCTCTGAGCTGAAGAAAATTGTCAGAAAATAATTTTGGTGCATTTTTGCGTCACGGTGTTTACAGAAAGTTTTTTAATGTATTTTTGTCGTATTCATCGTTGAAACTCTCAAATTTCAGAGATATAAATATTTTGAAACGTATTTTTTCGGGAATTTTTTCTGCGTCTCTAGCTCTCTAGCTCTCTAGCTTCTCTGTGTCTGTTGACTCTAGAAAATTGTTCCACAAAATACGTTTCAAAATATTTATATCTTATATTTTTTGAGATTTCTTTGTTATGTGATTAGCTCGGCAAAAATATCAGAAAATTCATCTAAAAATTTTCTGCGTCTCTAGCTCTCTGATTTCTCTGTGTCTCTCAATTCCACATGCTCTCTAATCGAGCGGAGCGAGTGTAAACCGCAAGCTTCCGCGCAGCGGCACTATCTTCCGCTTCAGCGGCCCCTGCGTGTCTAGCTCTCTGGTTTCTCTGCTTCTCTAGCTCTCTGATTTCTCTGCGTCTCTAGCCTTGTAGCTCTCTGATTTCTCTACGTCTCTAATTATCTAGAACTCTGCGTCTCTCAATTCCACGTGCTCTCTCATCGAGCGGAGCGAGTGTAAACCGCAAGCTTCCGCGCAGCGGTACTATCTTCCGCTTCAGCGGCCCCTGCGTCTCTAGCTCTCTGACTTCTCTGCATCTCTCAATTTTTGAAGTGGGATTCGAAATGAAAAATCGGAATTCTGAATTCTGAATTCCGAGCCCTCCCGACAAGCTTCAAATTATTCCCCGAATAAACTACGTTTCAAAAATTTATCAAAACTCTTTTCCACCATAACTAATTACTCCCGACAAGCTTCAAATATTCCAGAATCTTCTGCTCTCAATCTCTCCGCTGCATTTTCGCATTCAACAATCAACTCACTCAACTTCCGGATGATTTCGACGAAGTCGCACAGCTCGAAACTCTGATCTTGTACAAGAATCAAATCAGCGAATTGCCTCGCCGATTTTTTTCGGGAATTCTACCGCGGTTGAGACAATTGAACTTGTCATCGAATCAATTGGAGATTTTGCCCTATTTTGATGCAAGCTCTTATTGTAGAATTCAGGTAAGCTGGAAAAATCTTTCAGATTCTTCTTCTTCAAAAAAAAAAGAATTCCAGATCTTCCGCGCCGCCAACAATCTCCTCACCGAAACCAGTGTCCCCGTGATCATCAATATGAAACATCTCAAAACCCTCGATCTCAGTCACAACTTCCTAAACTCCTTCGACGACAGTGCTTTAACATCCCTGGACCTCCTCGAAGAAATCAATCTCTCCTCGAATCGTCTGACACGTCTTCCCGATTGCCTGGCTCTTCTTCCCGCTCTTCAAATCCTTCGGGCTCATTCGAATCAACTCGTCTACATTCCACAATTACAAAACTGCTTGCAGCTGCATACAATCGATATTTCATCGAATAATATTTCGCTGGGAACTCTGGATTTTCAAACACCGCCAAATTTGCGGCATTTTGATGTCACTTGTAATTCGGGCGATTTTTTGGCCAATAATTCGACGGAGAAAATGAATATGATTGATATTGCTGAGGATAATCAGAACTTGTTTGGATTTCAGATCGGAATGTCAGGTTCGAGAGGGTCCAAGAATAAGTGAGTCTGCGTTCGGGGCAAGAGCTTCTAGGTCCGGCCGCTTCGCGGAAGCTTGCGGTTTACACTCGCGCAAAGCGCTCGGGAGTCCCGATAACCTGAGCAATGCTCGGGAAATCCTATAATCTGAGCAATGCTCACAAATTCTGAATTCATCCTTTAATCTGAGCAATGCTCCGAATTTTCCCTATAACCTGAGCGATGCTCGAAAACCCTTATAACCTGAGCAATGCTCGAAAATCCTATAATCTGAGCAATGCTTAAAAAACGCTGAATTTCCTCTATAATCTGAGCAATGTTCGAAAACCCTGAATTTCCCTTAAATCTGAGCAATTCTCCAAATTTTCCTCATAACCTGAGCAATGCTCAAAAATCCAGAAATTGCTTTTTAACCTGAGCAGTGCTCCAAATTTTCCATATAACCTGAGCAATGCTCCTACTTCTGGAGCTTCTGAAGCTCAAAAATCGCACGCAGGACTGATTTTTGATCTGGAAAACCATCTTAAACTCGGTTTCAAGCTGAAATTCCGTGTAAAATTTGGTCTTTCTAGTCATAAAACTGAATTTTAGCTGAAAATCTCATTTTTCAAGCAAAATTTGAGCGAAAAATTGGAATTCTGGGTGGATTTTTGAGTTTCAGAAGCTGAAATTCCAGCATTTTCCTTGATTTTCATCTTGGAAATCATGAAAAATCAGCCCCAAATCCAAATTCCAGACAATGCATCCGTCAAATGCGCGTCGCCAACACATTCGCCTTCATCGACGGCGGTTCGAACTACTTCATGTCGACCTCAATCTCCCGATTCCTATCCCAATATCTTCGCGAACATCCTAACGTGGATATTCGAAGTGTTCTCCTCCGCGCACACTGTGAATTGGGAGAGGATGGTGAGAGGCTGGGAGCTAGTGTGATGATTGTTCGAGTGTCGGAGCGGTTTCTAGAAGTCACAGCGATCGGAACAATATCGGCGGCGATTTCAATGAATGGAAATGTGAAGCAGATGTGAGTTAGGCTAACTTCTGTTTGGATTTGATGTTTTTGTTCAGAATTCGTGGGAGATATGAGATTGATGACGATGAATATTCGCGAATTCGAGAGGCTCATGGATTTGTGGACGAGGAGAATAAGATCAATGGGATTATACAGGCATCTAGGCAGATTGGGCATTATTCGATGTTTCCGATTGTGCTGCCAACACATTCTTATAAGAAGGTATGTATTTTGGGCGGAGCGAGTGTAAACCGCAAGCTTCCGCGTAAGCGGTACTGTTTTCCGCTTTAGCCGCCGCCGGCCAGGGTTCTATGCGTCTCTAACTATCTAGCTGGCTGGTTTCTCTGCGTGTGTAATTATCTAGCTGTCTAACTTCTCTACGTCTCTAGCTCTCTAGCTGTCTGACATTTCTGCGTCTCTAACTCTAGCAGCCCCCGACCTCTCTTGCCTCTCCGGTCAGACGAGAGACGACGAGAGTCCAATGACGTCATCAAAGACATCGCTTCGAGATATTTTGAGAAAAAATACCGTATTTCGTTTCAAGGAACACACACATTTTATTGAAAATATCTCGCCACGAAATTCATTTTCGGGATATTTTCGCAAAATACTCTCGTCGTCTCGCGTCTGACTCAACGGGTGCCATGTTTGATCGTCCAACTCTCCTCTGTGGCTCTAGTTGTCTGGTTTCTCTGCTTCCCTATTTCTCTGCGTCTCTAGCTCTCTAGCTGTCTGACATTTCTGCGTCTCTAACTCTAGCAGCCCCCGACCTCTCTTGCCTCTCCGGTCAGACGAGAGACGACGAGAGTCCAATGACGTCATCAAAGACATCGCTTCGAGATATTTTGAGAAAAAATACCGTATTTCGTTTCAAGGAACACACACATTTTATTGAAAATATCTCGCCACGAAATTCATTTTCGGGATATTTTCGCAAAATACTCTCGTCGTCTCGCGTCTGACTCAACGGGTGCCATGTTTGATCGTCCAACTCTCCTCTGTGGCTCTAGTTGTCTGGTTTCTCTGCTTCCCTATTTCTCTGCGTCTCTAGCTCTCTAGCTGCCTGGCCTCTCTATTGTCGAAGTTGAGAAAAAATAATTATTGATTGTTTCCCGACCGCGACGCAGAGCCGCACGCGACTGACGAAAATTGTTTTTGTTTGTTCGTTGAACTCTGCACTGTTTTATTCACGGCTTCGACAATAACTCTAGCTGTCTGACCTCTCTGCGTCTCTAACTCCAGAGTGATGTCTAATTGTCTAGCTTCTATACGTCTCTAGCTATCTAGCTGTCTGCCTTCTCTGCGTCTCTAACTCTAGTGATATCTGACTGTCTAGCTTGATCCCTGGTAGTACGCAAAACTGCGTCACCATGTTGTGTCTGCACACACCAAGCCTTGGCGGCAATTTGAAATTTGAAAATTGCTGGATTTTCTTTAGTCATTATTCTGAGAATGGAAAACTTGGCTTAAAATTCAGATGAAGCTTTGGTCTATAACTTGACCGGCCTTCCAGGCTCATTTATAAATTTTTTCAAAATTTCAAAATCCCCCAGCCCAGCCCTGTCTCCCCTCAAAACCCCTCCTCATTCCAGATCGCTCTCACCGAAACCCTAGATGGTCTAATCGTCGCCAATAACTCTGTCTGGTCAATGGTCCCTCTAGACGACGTAGCCCAAACATTTCACATGAATCGAAGTCCAATAGTCATCGCCAAGAAGCTTCAAGACAAACTTCAATCTTTCGATTATGGCGGCAATTCGAATATTCTAGTTCTACGAAAAATGAAACCCCAGGTCACATTCACCCAGAACTCGACACTCGCTAAGCGCTCGGACATTCTTCACCCCGCAATTCCAGCGCTAATCATCCCGACTCCAGCAATCCGTCATGCCCCAAAACACTCACCATCTCCACCACCACTTCCCGATTCGAATCCACCACCATTTATATCGGAAAGTCTTGATTTCGTGGCCATTTCCTCCTCGAAAACCGGCAAAAATGATGAATATTATAGTACGATCAAGACGAAACGGCAATTCGATGAGCGGCGACAAATATTGAGCAGAAATTTGAAATTGAGCCCGCCGGATTGAACGGGTTTTGAGAATTTTCACGTCTGAAATGAAGTTTTTTTTGAACTGCCACGTCATTATTTCAGGGTAGAAATTTCAAAAAAAAAACAGAAACCACAAAAAAAGTGATGTGTTCTCTAAACCAAGAGATTTAGAGAGAAAAATAAAAATATTTTTGATCTACCATGAAATTGTTTTTTTTTTTTTTGAAAAGTTGAGGTCTGTTTTTTGTGATGTCATTGTAAAAAACAGGCATGTTCATTTTGCCGGCATTGCCTGCTTTTTGCCGTCCCCCGAAAAAGCAAAGCCGCTTTTGCTTTTACACGGTAAGACTGTGAAAAAGCAACAGCAAAGCAGCCTGCCGAATTGCCGGCAATGCTTTTTTCACTCCTTCCAAAATCATCTGAAAGCAGTGAGAATTCATTGACAAAACAACCTCTTTTGCTTCACTAACGCGCGCGCGAGAGTACTTGAATAAATGCATACGCGGACGGTTCACTGGTTTTGTGTGTTGCCATGTTTTGTGTGTGGAGGGGCGGAGCTTCGCTTGTTGCCTTTTGTATTTTGAAAAAGCAGCCCGGCAGGCAGCCGCGGCTGCTTTTTTATTGCTTTTTCCTTACTTGCTTTTTGCCAGCAAAAAGCAAAGCCACGCCCAGCAAAGCTGCTTTGCTTTTTGCCGGCAAAGCAAAATGAACATGCCTGGTAAAAAACAATATTTGGAATGTAATTTGTGGCGCCAAAATTGTTTTTTCAAATTTTTCGCGCTAAAAAGTTTTTTTTTAATTGTCTAATTAAGCCACGTCATTCATTATTTGTTCAGCGTTGAAATGGAAAAAGGCGGGCCGATTTTTTTTTGTCAATGAAAAATTCATTTTTCGTTGAAAACCCCGGATTTCCTCCTTAATTTTTAGGCAGGCGGTCGAATTTCGAATTTGAAAAATCAAATTATTTTTTTCAATTTTCAGCTCTCTTTCTCTCTCTGCTCCACCTTTTCTCTCTAAAAACCCGGATTTTCTAAAAAAAAATATTTTTTTTTTCAAAGGTTCTCTGAAAAATCTTCATTCCCAACGTGACTCAAGCAATGTTTCATATGTTCCTTTAAAACAGTACTCTCTTTTTCATTGTTCAAAAATTTATTGTGCAAACACGGCGACGCACAATTGCACCGGCTTTTTTTCTTTTCTTTTTTTTTGTTTTTCCGCGACAAAAACATTGATTTCTCGCCAAGTTTCTCACGTATTTCTCATTCCAACAGTATAAATACCATGTATTTTTATTTATCTTATCTTTCCTGTCACGTGTTTAGGAAAACATGTGTGTGGAAAAGATCATCACAAGATTACATCACCCTGACCTGACATAGACGAAATAGGAGATTTTTATTGGTTAATTAATTTTGTTTCAATGTTTTATGTGTTTATTTTATATATAAAGAGGAAGTGTTTTGTATTTTTAAAAGAATTTTCATCACGAAAAAGTGAAAGTTACTTTGTCTTAGCCCTTTTTTTGTCTTCTTTCTTGCAAAAAACATGAAATTTCTCGCAATTTTCAGTATTTTATCGTTGCAAATTGACTGCCAAATGCTCTACAAACTGCAATGTCCGGTGAATAATTACGCGTGGGGTGCAAAAGGCGAGTCAAGTATGGCTGCAATTCTCGCGCTCGCTGGCAATCACATCTCCCACATCGACCCGAATAAAACGTATGCTGAATTTTGGGTGGGGACACATCAAAATGGACCGGCGCGAGTTATAGAACTCGGGAAATCGCTAGAGGAAGCGATTCGGGAGAATCGCGAGTTGGTCGGCGAGAAGGAGAGCGAAAAATTGACGTTTTTGTTCAAGGTTTTGTCGGTGGCAGGACCACTTTCTATTCAAATTCATCCAACTAAAGTGAGCTAATTTTTAATGAAAAATATAGGTTTTCTAGTAGATTTCGAGGTGCTGATCATTATTCCCTTGTCAAAAATTGCAAATCTCAACTCCTAATATGAGTTATCAAGTGGCAAAGTTGGAAAATTGGGACTTTAGAAGGTCAGAACTAGATTTCAAAATGATGTTTTTGAAAATTTGATATCATAGCGTTGTTCAGAAGGGTCGATAACATAAAGTTCAATAAATTTTCTGTAGTCTGAACGATTTTTCAGAAAAGTTATTGAACTTTATGTTATCAACCTTTCTGAACAGCGCTATGCTATCAAATTTTCATGAACATCATTTTGAAATCTAGTTCTGACCTCCTAAAGTCCCATTTTTCCAACTTTGCCACTTGATAACTCATATTAGGAGTTGAGATTTGCAATTTTTGACAACGGAATAATAATCAGCGGCTCGAAAACTATTAGAAAAAATATATTTCATTTGAAAAATTTCTTTAAAAGTTTCGGATTTCAGAAAAACCTTCTGTAATTATGTAATCCATCTTCCTGAATCAAATTCTCATGAAAATTATTCTCAAAGTCAGCTATAGCTTTGTAAAATCCCAAATTTGCCACGTCATAACTCATATTTGGACGATTTTTGATGAAATATATGTTTTCTAGTAGTTTTCGAGTCAAAAATTGCAAATCTCAGAAAGATTTCCGGATTTTAAATAGAAGCTAACTTTCTGATATAAAGTTAGTTAGCCTTGTAAGATCTGGAAATTTTCATAACTCATATTAGGAGTTGAGATTTGCAATTTTAGACAATGGAATAATGATCAGCGGGTCGAAAACTACTAGAAAACCTATATTTCATCAAAAATCCACCAAATATGAGTTATGACGTGGCAAAATTGGGACTTTACCAAGCTATGGCTGATTTTGAGAGTAATTTTCATGAGAGTTTGATTCAGGAAGGTTTTTTTTCTGAAATTTGAAAAATTTCGGGAAAATCTTCTGTAAGTTAACCTAAGTCAAATTTTCCAGGCTCAAGGCAAAATCCTGCACTCCAAAGACCCCAAAAACTATCCCGACGATAATCATAAACCAGAAATCGCCATAGCATTGACAGAATTCGAACTTTTGTCGGGATTTCGACAACATTCACAGATTTCGGATTTCCTGAAGCGTGGGTTTCTTGTTTATTCAAAAAAAAATCGATAAATTTTCCCTTTCAGTGTATTCTGAGATTCAAGAGCTTCTCAGTGACGAGGATCGCGTGCAAATCGATAATTTGGGCTCGTTTGGTGAGAGCAGTTCGAAGGCACTCAAGATTATTTTTTCGAGAATTTGGAGGAGTGAAAAATCGAAGTTGGGAGTTGTTGTGGAGAAATTGGCGAATCGATTGGCGGGGCAAGGTGATTTTTAACGAATTTTAAAATTCGCGCTTCAGAATTTTAAATTTTCTTTCCCGGATAAAATAAAACTTTCGATTTTCAAAGGAACTTCAAAAGATTGTGAAATGAACTTTTGACAAAACACGGTGAAATGTACTGAATCGAACACGCTGATCACGATTCAGATGTCAAAAATTGCCAGGAACAATTTCGAGCACTAATTTTGAGCTCCAAATTTGAAATTGAGTTCTGTTTTTCGGCAATTTTCCTCGAGTTTCCGGAAAAATCAAATTTTATAACATATTCAAGTTATAAAATTCGATTTTTCTGCAGAACGGAAAATTGCCAAAAACCAGAACTCAATTTCAAGTTTGGAGCTAAAATTAATGCTCACAGATGTTTCTGGCAATTTTTGACATCTGAATCGTGATCAGCGTGTTCGATTCAGTACATTTCACCGTGTTTTGTCAAAAGTTCATTTCACAACCTTTTGAAGTTCCCTTGAGAATCGAAAGTTTTATTTTATCCGCGAAAGAAAATTCAAAAATTTAAATTTCTGAGCAATGGGTTGGTTTGTCAATCAGATTAATTTGACAAAAATCCACTGTTTCAAAAAATATTTTATGAATTTTCACGACAATTTTTATTAATCTTATCGAAGCCTCCAAAATGCCAACCTAATTTTTTTGAAACAGCAAATTTTTTTGTTGAAAACTTCAGACCAAAATTGATGGATTATAATCCTGAAATTTTGAATTTTTGAATTCCAGTCAAAAATTCAAATAAAATTGTATTATCAAAATAAAAATATTTGGCAAAAAAACGGAGCCCAGAAATTCAAATGATACTCTTCCCAAGTACGGTGTTTCTTTCAGTCGCTGCGAGACCCACATGTGCGTCTTTGACTTTGTTTCTCTGCCCAATGGTGTGGTCTCGAAACGGTGTTAGTGACGCAGAGAAATACCGTACTTGGGGAAATTGGGATTTGAATTTCTGGCTTCTCTTTTTTTGCCAAATCTTTTTACTTTGATAATACATTTTGTAACTTATTCTAAAAAAAATGTCTGAAATTTTGAATTTTCAAAATTTTTCACAATGAAAATATTTTTGAGTTGTTTCGTTTCAAAAATCCGGGGATTTTTGGAAATCTGAAATAAAAACATTCAAAAAAAATTGCTCAAAAATCTACTGTTTCTAAAGCCTACAGAAATTCCAAGAATTTAACAATGTCAGAAACTCCTACATTTTTTGAAACAGCAAATTTTTTGTTGAAAGTTTCTGACCAATTTAAATCCTGAATTCTTTAATTTCGAAAAAACGTGATTTTTGGACGAAAAGTTTCTTTTTTTGAGATTTTTAGGCTGGAAAATTAGTTTTCAAATGACTAAAATTTTCCAGAATTAAATATGTTTCAAAACTTTACTGTTTTTCGCGCGAAAAATGAAGCTTAAAAAATTTCCAGAAATCAAATCGCAACTCGACGAACTCATCGTGTATCTAGCCAGTTTATACCCAGGAGATGTCGGTGTTTTCGCTCCAATCTTCCTCAATCATTTCAAACTTCAACCAGGCGAAGCTACGTTTCTGGAGCCAAATATGCCACACGCATATTTAAAAGGCGATTGTGTTGAGTGCATGAGTTGTAGTGATAATACAATTCGAGCTGGTCTAACTCCCAAATATATTGATGTTGAGTAGGTTATGACGTGGCATTTTTTGAGCTGAAAATCAATCTGAAATTTCAGATCTCTGGTGGAAATGTTGAATTATTCGGAGACACTTCTACCAAAATATATTCCAAATGAGTTGGCGGATCATACGAAATTATTCACGCCGAAGGGAATTGATGAATTTTGGGTGCAGGAAGTTAAGGTAACTTTTTTTGGCGGGAAATCCACGTTTTTTTGACACCAAATAAGCATGGGTTACTGTAGATTTTAGGGCCAAAATCGGGAATTTTCTGAAATTTTTAGATCAAAATTTCCCCAAAATGTGAAGATTTGAAAAAATGGCTGAAATTTTTGAATTTTCAGCCAAATTATGGAGTTTTTAATGGAAAATGAGTTACTAGAAGGTTTTGAGCATGAAAACTTGAAAATTTAATGAAAAATTCCAGATTTTATGAATTTTCATGCTGAAAATTCTCAAGATTTGAAAAAATAGCTGAAATTTCATTGAAAATTGCATTTTTAGAGTTAATTTAACTGAAAATCCACGTATTTTGAGACCAAACAAGCCTAGGATTACTGTAGATTGCTGAAAATTACAGATTTTTCTGAAATTCTGAAAAATTCCAGATTTTCAGCAATTTTCAGCGCGAATTTAACGATTTCCAGACAAAAATCAATAATTCCAGGGATCCACCGGCGCAAAATTCGATCTACCATTCGCCGAATCCGCCTCAGTTCTCACAGTTCTTTCCGGATCCGCAAATGTGACCTCTGCGGAAACGCGGAAACCGGAAACCATCAAAAAAGGAGAGGTTTTATTCATTTCCGCGTCGAGATGCGGAAAAAATCAGCCGAAAATCGAAATTTCCGAAGATTTTTGGGCGTTCCGAGCGTTTCAACCAAGTTCTTCAGCGATTTCAAATTTTCAAAATTAAATTTTTTTCCCTGGTCAAATTTCCTTTTTTTCCCTTTGTATATAGATATTTCGCAATATTTCGCCACATTATTTTTCTTGTCACAAAAATTTTCATTTCTAGCGTTTTTAATGCATTTTTTGGCGCCAGAATTTTATTTTTGAATATTTAAATTTCAAATTTTCGCGCCAAAAATTGAAATTTAAATATTCAAATTTTCGCGCCATTTTTTTTTGTATTTAAATTTTTTTTTAAATATACTAGTCACTATTCTCAAATATTTTTTTTTTTAGGAAAAATACATGGTTTTCAATGGATTTTTAGTTTTTGCTTGAATTTTGTCTGAAAATTGTTGATTTTCACCTGCAATTTTATCTATTTTTCAAAATTTGCAATAGAGCACACTTGCATTTTGAAATTCCAGGGTTTCCAAGAAATGGAAGGCGAAAAAGGTGTGGAGAAGAAGTTTGCGTGGGGGAAAACGGTGAGTTTTTTGGGGGGAAATTTGAAATTTTTTTTCTAGATCCAAATTTTGTGCTGAAAATCATGGAAACACTGAAAATGAAGGTTTTTATGATTTTCAGCACAAAATTTAGGTCTAGAACAACTATCCAAAGTTAAATCGGTTTTTTAGTTACAAAAAAACATTAATGAAGTTTTGAAACAGTGAAAAAATTAATAAAAACTTTTAGATCCGAATTTTGTGCTGAAACTGATGAAAGCACTGAAAATTGCTGGAATTGAAGGTTTTTATGATTTTCAGCGCGAAATTTAGATCTAGACAATTTTTTTTTGAAAAATCTAAACTAGACTCTAGTATTCAGCCTGAAAACTGAAGAAATCTGGGATTTTTCGGGGCCAAAAAACCGCGTGTAACTTTTAAAAATCGATAATTTCACGTCAAATTGCCACGTGGAATTTTTTCATCAAATTTTCAAGTTTTTATGGTCAAATCTATTGAAAATAATAAAAATTTGGCTTGAAAACCTGAAAATTCAGGTTTCAATTTCAAAAATCAATAATTTTCAGCAAGATGACGCTGAAAGGCTCAAAATTCTGGAAAATTGGAATTTTTTAGGTAAAAAAAATTGATTTTTTGAATAATCTAAACTAGACTATAGTTTTAAAGCTAAAAACTGAAGAAATCTTGGATTTTTCGGGGCCAAAAAGCATGAAAATTTGAAAATTTTCAGATTTTATGCATTTTCAGGCTGAAAATTCTTGAGAATTAGCATTTTTTAGGACAAAAATATGAATTTTTGAATAATCTAAACTAGACTATAGTTTTGAGCTAAAAACTGAAGAAATCTAGGAAAAAAGCCACGTGGAATTCTTCTCATTTAAAAAAATCAATAATTTTCAGCAAGATGAAGCTGAAAGGCTCAAAATTCTTGAAAATTAGAATTTTTTAGATAAAAAATAGAGCTGAAAACTGAAGAAAACTGAGATTTTCTCACACCAAAATTATTTTTTCTTGAAAAATCAAACTAGACTATAGTTTCCCCCCAAAAAATCAATACTTTTCCAGCAAAATGAAGCCGAAGAGCCAATCGTAAGTTTCGCCGAATTAATGAGCGAAGAACTCGCCGAAAGTCTATCGAAAGAAGACGCAGACGAAGAGGAAAAATATCTGAAACAACTCGAATTTGTGCTCAATTCCACAGCCATGGATGAAGTTCTCCTAAATACCGATGGAATGACAGATGAAGAAGTGGCAATTGCGCTCCAGCGACAATTTGATAGAGAGGATGATGTTGCACGGGCTGTGCAATCTACAGATACAGTACACTTTACACCGGAAAGATATCACCCGAAAACTGCGCAGGAATCAGAATCAGATGAAGAGGATTTGGATGAGTTGCGCGAAATTGCCACGGATATGCTGTATGCGCAATTGGATGCGGAAAACGCGCGCAATTCGACGCGGTTGCATGCGGATGGCGCGAGCTCGTCGACGACTACGAAACATGATATTGGTGTTAGTGGGAGACGGAATGCGGATAAGACGTTGAATGTGAGAGATTTTGCGGGCTGAAATTTTGAAAATCTGGAAATTTGACGGAAAAAAAATACGTATTTTGACACCAAACAAGCCTAGGGTTACTGTAGATTCTGAATTTTTCCAAAATTCATGAAATTCAACTCATTTTTGACAAGAAATCCCAAAATTCTCGGAAATTTCTGGAAAAATTGGAGATTAAAGATTCTATGGCAAGGAGCCGCGCCTAGAGATACACCAAGTAGCGACGCCTTGAAACCCTAGTCGTCAAGAGCCAGCGCCTAGAGAACCCAGTTTTCAAGGATCGGTGCCTTGAGAGTCAAATTGTATAGGAGTCTCGCCTAGAGTGCTTGTATGACAAGCAGCGACGCCTAGAAATGCTACCTGACAAGGAGCCGACCCTTGAAAACCTAGCTGTATAGGACCGGCGCCTAGAGATGCAGTATGGAAAGGAGCTGCGACTTGAGAGTTCCTAAGGCAAGTGACGGAGCCTGGAAAACATAATTTTCGAGAGCCAACGCCTAGAGAACTACTCCGGCAAGGATCAGCGCCTAGATATCCACTCTGACAAGCAGCTCCGCCTTGAAAGCTTCTATGACAAGCAGTGAAGCCTAGAAATCCTATGAAATTCACGTGGATTTGAATTTTCAGCAGAATTCTTAAAAATAATATAATTTTCTGGAAAAAAATTGAAAACCATACCTCGGCCAACCCGTGGTGGAGCAGGGTACAATTTTCAAAAAAAAATTTTGAAAATTTTTAGAGTACAGAAAAAAATTCATGGAACTTGAATCAGATCGAAATTTTTCAGTTTTATAGGAACTCTGTCACATCTGGATCACTAACTTTCTAAATACAACGTTTCACTTAAAAATTCAATGCTTGAACTATTTTTAAATCGAAAAATACTGAATTTTCGTTTTTCAAAAAAATTGATTTTTTCAAAACTCAAATTTTTGAAAAATTACATACTCTGGATTAAATTTTTTGTTGATTCTAGAGTCTAGACCACAAAAAAACGCTACCTAAGTCGAAAAATCCATCAAAAATTTTTCGGGACAACTCAGGACTCAACTCGTGGGCCAAAAAACAGATTTTTGTTCATAACTCAATTCAGGCTGAATGAAATGTAATCAAACATATAACCATAATGTAGAGCGCGAAAAATTAATATAAGTCTCTATTTTGACTTTTTTCGAAAATTGAACCCGAACTCGAAAAAACGCTACTTTCCAGATTCGTGGTTCAGCCAATGCAAAAATGTATAGGAACCACGATTCCAGTTTGCGGTCTAATCGAAAACATTTTCCCAACATTTTATGCTTGTTCTAGCGTTCTTAGACCCTTAAGTTTCTACATATAGAGTTTCAGATTAAAATTTCAAGTTTCAGCCAGTTTTTTTCTAGCTTTAAATTATTTTGCGAAATTCTCATTGATTTTATTGAAAGGGATAGAAAACAGCGATCTTGAATATGAAAATTGAGAAAGGGGAAAGAAATCGCCTCCATGGTGTAGTGGTAAGGCGTTGAGCTGGCTTGTGGTGGTGTGTGGGTTCGAATCCCGCTGCCACCCAAACTTTTTTTTCGAAAATTTGAATTGCGTTTTTTTTGTAAACAGTTCTTTATTTGAAAAAAAAACTAACAGCCAAGTTTTTTTAGATATAATTATTACACCATGGAGAATTAAATCATATTTCCTTGTTCTTTGCTCTATCTTCTTTTTCATTACACTGTCTTCCGTCGATTTCTTTTTGACAAACTTCATCTGAAAAGAAAACAACTATCAAAACTGATCAGTCTGATCTATTTTTCAAATAACATTGTTTCTGAAAACTAATTTCACATAATTAAAAAACGGGCGATTTTTGCATTTTGGCATTTCACGATGTTCAGTGTCATTTTTGCTTTTGACCTAACAATTGTTGGTTGAACCTGCATTTTTTTTTAACGAAATCTAACTAAAGCACGAATTTTCAAGCTTGTGTTTAGCAGACAAATCAGATATAACCCCGAATATATCCATTTAAACATTAAATCTATTAGAAGAAAAAATTTCGAATTCAGGGTAGAGTACAATTTTTACAATTTTCACTCCAAAAATCTAGAGTACAATTTTATTATTTTGAAACCACGATGTTGGCCGAGGTATGTTGAAAACCTTCATTTTTGGCACAAAAATAATTGAATTTTAAAGAAAATAAATTAAAAAATGCAAAACTTTGGATAAAAATTGAAAATTTACATTTTTAAACGCAAAATAATCGAATTTCGGTGAAAATTAATGGAGAAAATCATTTCTAAAATAATTTCCAACAAAATTCCAGGATCGAATGAACCTCACAACCGGCGATATGATTTCGGGAAAAATCAATAATCGCGTCTACAATTCATTGTTGGCTTTTGGAAAAAGTGATGCAAAACGACAAATGAGAATGAAAGACAAAGAGGAAAAAGCAACAATGGACACATCAGTTGATGCAAATACAAGATTGACATTATTGAAATGGATTAATCAAGGAGTTATTGATTCGATTGAGGGAATTATTGCAACGGGAAAGGAATCGGCTGTATTACATGCGAAACAAAATGAAAATAATGAACATTATGCGGTGAAGGTTTATAAGACTACGTTGTCGGAATTCAAGAATCGGTGAGGTTTTGAGATGCGGAAGCGGAGGGTGCGCGGAAGCTTGCGGTTTACACTCGCTCCGCTCGATTAGAGAGTGTGTAGAATTGAGAGAAGCAGAGATATCAGAGAGCTAGAGACGCAGAGAGATCAGGCAGCTAGGTAGCTAGAGACGCAGAGTAACTAGCCGCTTCGCGGAAGATAGTGCCGCTGCGCGGAAGCTTGCGGTTAACACTCGCAAAGCTTTCCGCGTGGAAGCTTCTAAGCCCGGCCGCTTCGCGGAAGCTTGCGGTTTACTCGCGCAAAGCTTTCCGCGTGGAAGCTTCTAAGTCCGGCCGCTTCGCGGAAGCTTGCGGTTTACACTCGCGCAAAGCGCTCGGGCTGGAATCTTTATAACCTGAGAAATGGTCTAAAAACCCCGAATTTCCCCCTTAACCTGAACAATCCTACAAAAAATTCGAAAAATCCTGAAAATTCCAGATTTTCAAAAAATCTCGAAATTTGCTGGAAATCCCACAAATTTAAAATAAAATGTCTGAAATTTCTGAAAATTTTTAAAAATTCTGGAGAATTTCAGACATTTCAAGATAAAATTTGAGTTTTTTGTAATTTTTCTGAAAAATGCAATTTTGTATTCAAAAAATCTGAAATTTTCTGATAAATTACAACATTAAAAAAAATAAATCTGGGAATTTCTGTATAACCTGAGCAATGTTCAAAAAAGCGGGATTTTTCTGTTTAACCTGAGCAATGATATTTTTCCCTATAACCTGAGCAATGCTCAAAAATCCCAAAATTTCCTCTATAATCTGAGCAATGCGAAATTTCCCCAATAACCTGAGTAATGCGAAATTTTCCTATAACCTGAGCAATGCTCAGAAATCCTTCATTTTTCCTATAACCTGAGCAATGCGAAACTTCCGTATAACCTGAGCAATGCTCAAAAAATCCAAAATTTCTCCAATAATCTGAGCAATGCTCAAATTTTCTCTCATTCCAGCTCCGAATACGTCAAAGACGACTTCCGCTTCAAAAATCCACGTGGAGTGCTGAAAATCTGGGCCGAACGCGAATTCATGAATCTCTCACGAATGACCAAACACGGCCTTCCCTGTCCGTGTCCCTTTAAATTGAAAAAGAACATGTTGGCGATGAGTTTGATTGGAAATGGTGGAATTGCGGCGCCGCGGCTGAAAAATGTCCAATGGGAATTTTTCACGGATGAGGAGAGGAGGGGAATTTATGAGCAAGTTGAGAAGGTGAGCGGTTTTCCCCTATAACATGAGCAATGCTAAAAATATCCAGAATTTACGCTATAATCTGAGCAATGCTCAAAAAATCCAGAATTTTCCCTATAACATGAGCAATCCTTTAAAAATCCGGAATTTTCCCTATAACCTGAGCAATACCTCAGATTTTCCGATTTTTTTTCACGAAAAGTTGAATTTTCAAATTTTTGCGTCAACAAAAATTTCACTGGCACATTTTTTGTAGAATCACCTACAAAAAATGAGCTAGCATATCTTTGACTTACATATAATGCGCCAGCAAAAACACCTTGACGCATTTCGTGTAGGTTATTCTACAAAATATGCGTCAGCTCAACTTTGACCTACTGAAATTGCGTCAAGGTGTTATTGCTGACCCAAATTTTGTAGAAGCACATTTTGAGCTCTTTGCTGACTCATATTTTGTAGAACCTACCAAAAATGCGTCAGCAATCTATTCGATAAGCTGAGCAATGCTTTGAAAATGCGAACAATTATCTTTAACCTGAGCAATGCTCGGAAAATCCACAATTTTCCCGCATAACCTGAGCAATCCTCGAAAAACCTGGAATTTCCTATAAAATTCAAATATCCAGAATTTTCTCTATAACCTGAGCAATCCTCAAAAAATCCAGAATTTTTTCTATAACCTGAGCAATGTGTTTTTCTCTCTTCAGATAATGTGTCGAATGTACAAAGAATGCCTTCTGGTACACGGTGATTTGAGTGAATTCAACCTGCTGTTAAATCTCGAAAACAATCAAGTGTTCGTCATCGATGTTTCACAAGCCATGGATTTGTCGCATCCGAGAAATTTGCAATTTTTGACCCGCGATATCGCGAATATTTTGGCATTTTTTGCGAGAATCGAAACACCTGGTTTACCGAGTTCGGTTCAATTGTTCAATTTGATTACTGATTTGGAAATGAAAGAGGATGATGATTTGAATGTTCAGGTGAGAAGTTTGGGAAGGGTTTGCTCAAAAATCCTCAGTTTTCCATTCAATCTGAGCAATGCTTGATAAAAAATAACACAAGAATTTGGAAATTTCCCTAATTGGCTTCCACGTGGCCGCTGGCGCGGAAGACAGTGCCGCTGACGCGGAAGCTTGCGGTCTACACTCGCTACGCTCGATTAGAGAGCGTGTGAAGTGAGTGACGCAGAGATGTCAGAGAGCTAGAGACGCAGAGAAGTTAGACAACTAGAGAGTTAGAGACGCAGAGATGTCAGACAGCTAGAGAGTTAGAGACGCAGAGAAACTAGCCGCTTCGCGGAAGATAGTGCCGCTGACGCGGAAGCTTGCGGTTTACACTCGCTACGCTCGATTAGAGAGCATGTAGAATTGAGAGACGCAGAGAAATCAGAGAGCTAGAAACGCAGAGAAACTAGCCGCTTCGCGGAAGATAGTACCGCTTACGCGGAAGCTTGCGGTTTACACTCGCTCCGCTCGAACTCAAAATTTTCCTATAGCCTGAGCAATGATTTATAATATGAACAATGGTTTTTCAAATTTTTTTTGAAAATAATTCTCTAATTTTTCTCCAAAAAACTTGATTTTCGGCTTAAAATTTGACAAAATTCTCAAAAAATCTGAAAAATCATTGCTCATGTTAGAATTTTTCAAAGGAAAATCTGGGAAAACATATTGCTCATATTAGACTTTTCACATTGTTAAATACTGTGGTTAAACATGAGAACATGAAATATCCTATAACCTGAGCAACGCTCAAAAATCCTAATTTTTCTATAACCTGAGCAATCCTCAAAAATTTGAAAATTTCTGTATAATCTGAGCAATGCTAAAAAATCCGGAATTTCCATGTGAAAAATTCGAAAATTAGGCTCTCGGAGCTTGAAAATGCTCCAAATTTTAAGAATAGGCTTGTGAGGTGTCAAAATTCATGAAATTCTGAGAAAAATTCAAAAATTAAGCTCTCGGAGCCCGAAAATGCTCCAAAATTCATATACAAAATCCAATTTTCCCCCCAGGTCGAACAATTTTCGGAAGAAAATCGAGCTGTTCACCTGCGCCACGATAAATCACGCCCTGCAGATTTGGAGTTGTCGAGATATCAAGAGGACAAGAAGGCGAATCGAGGAATTTCACCGGCCAGAGATTATAATTAGGCCTGGCCTGGGCTTCAGGCCTGGCTTAGGCTTATCCAAGGCCGGATTAATAAGCCTATCTGTTTGTTATTTATTTTCCAAGTTTATTATAAATTTTCTGAATGTTTGTCGTGTCAGGACCCAAAAAATACAGTTGTCTACCGTAATTCCAAAAATATTCATTTTTTCTGCTCAATTTCCGGCTCAGATTTCTGCTTTTTGATCCGTTTTTCAGCCTTCGATGGATGATCGACGATTTCGGTGGCAAGAATTGTTTCAGTCACTTCTTTTTTCTGAAAATTTGAGGATTTTTGGGGCATAAGATGAGCAATGCTCTAGAAATCTGGATTTTTCGAGCATTGCTCATGTTATACGAAAATTTCAGGGGTTTTTGAGTATTGCTCAGATTATACAACAAATTTTTAAATGTCTTGAATTTACAGATTTTCAAAATTCCTATAAATTCTGGAAAATGTTTGCTGAAAAATTCAAAAAATCTGAAATTTTCTAAAAAAAAAATAGAAGAATTTAGAAAATTTTTTTTAATAAAAAATTTCCCAATAACCTGAGCAATGTTCAAAAAACCGGAAAAAAAAAACATTTTTCGAGCATTGCTCAGGTTATAGAGAAAATTAGGGATTTTTAGCATTGCTCAGGTTATAAAATTGTTTGTTTATGTCTAGAATTTACAGATTTTCAAAATTCCTATAAATTCTGGAAAATGTTTGCTGAAAAATTCAAAAAATCTAAAATTTTCAAAAAAAAAATTTTAGAAAAAAAATTTTTATCGAAAAATTTCCCTATAAACTGAGCAATGCTCAAAAAACCGGAAAAAAAACATTTTTTAAGCATTGCTCAGGTTATACGAAAAATTCTTGATTTTCTCTATAACCTGCGCAATGCTCGAAAATCCGGAATTTTTCGAGCATTGCTCAGGTTATAGAGAAAATTAGGGATTTTCTAGAATTGCTCAGGTTATAAAATTGTTTTTTATGTCTAGAATTTAAAGATTTTCAAAATTCCTAGAAATTCTGGAAAATGTTTGCTGAAAAATTCAAAAAATCTGAAATTTTCTGAAAAAAAAGTTTAGAAAAAAAATTTTTATCGAAAAATTTCCCTTTAATCTGAGCAATGTTAAAAAAACCGGAAAATTAACCTGAGCAATGCTCGAAAAAATCCAAAATGTTCCCTATAACCTGAGCAATGCTCAAAAAAATCCCCAAAAATGTTTTCCTATCAGAATTGTGCGCTGTAAACGCTGGAAATACAAAAATTCACTGAAAATCAATATTTCCCGCATTTTCAGCGCAAAATTTCCGCTATAACCTGAGCAATGCACCCAAAAACTCACACTTTCATCCTGTTCCTTCTCACTTTTCGGTGCAAATACTTCAAAACTGTTCAAATCCTCATTTTCCGGTGCCAATTTCCTCATAATTTCCGCGAAACCCGGTCTCTCCTCAACATTTCTCTCAAAACATTCCACCATCAATTTGGCCATTTGTTTTGGTGTCTCATTTGGCGGATCCATTGGTGGATTCTTCGATTTGTCTCGAATTATATCCTTCGCTTGGCGATTCGTCAAACCCGGAAATGGGTCCGATGCACACATTGAGAAGATCTCCCACATTGTCACGGCGAATGCCCAAACATCGGATTTTGTGGTGAAGATGAGGGTGTCGATGGATTCGGGAGCTAACCAGCGGATGGGAACTTTGATTTTGGTGGCACGGGCCTCGATTTTGCCGCATTCGCTTAGGCCGAAATCCGAGATTTTTACTTCCATTTTTTCGCCTGGAAAGATTTGAGCATTGCTCAGGTTATAGGGGGAAAATCGTGAGATTTTATCCACGTCATAGTAATCCACGTGACCGCTGAAGCGGAAGACAGTGCCGCTGACGCGGAAGCTTTCGGTTTACACTCGCTCCGCTCGAATTTTTGAACATTGCTCAGGTTAAAGTAATTTTGCAGTTTGGATACTGTACCTCAAAAATGTTTTTTTTATTTTCCCAATAACCTGAGCAATGCTCTCAAAATCCTTTCCGACTCGTTTCAAGGTGCATATAGTAATCGTATGGTTTTGAGAGGGTCTTGGGCTGAAAATTTGTGCTGAAAATGCTGGAAATATTGATTTTCAGTGAATTTCAGCGTTTCCAGCGTTTCCAGCGCAAAATTTTGATCTAATAGCAATTTTTGGGGATTTTTTCGAAAATTGCTCAGGTTATAGAGAAAATTCTGGATTTTTCGAGGATTGCTCAGGTTAGGATTTTTCCTATAACCTGAGCAATGCTTAAAAAATCTCGAATTTTTTTCTATAACCTGAGCATTTCTCTAAAAATCCCTAAAAATATTGTTAAAGTTCAGAATTTTGTGCTGAAAACGCTGAAAATGATAAATTTCACTGAAAATCAATTTTTCTAGCATTTTCTGCGCAAAATTCTTGAGCGTTGCTCAGATTATAGAGAAAATTCCAATTTTTCTTTCCAGCCGAAAAAATCCCCTATAACCTGAGCAATGCTAGAAAAACCCAAAAACTCACCCAACAACAAATTCCTGGCCGCCAAATCTCGATGAATAATCATTTTCGCCGCCAAATACGCCATTCCTCTCGCCATATCCAAACAAAACCCAATCAAAATCTCATCCTCCACTCGTTTTTCCTTTTTTGACAGATTGTGCAAATAATTCTTGAGGCAACCATTTTTGGCGAGCTCCAGGATAATCATAAGGGGCTCTTCGGTGGGAGCAATTCCGATGACACGAATCAAATTTGGGTGGTTCAATTTCTGTACCAATTTCGCCTCCTTCACAAATCCTCGCAATATTTCTTTTCCCGATTTTCCGTGGTTCAATCTTTTGATCGCCACATCTTTCGCCTCATTTTTCCGCCAAAATTTGCCACGCCAAACTTGTCCAAAAGCACCGGCTCCCAATTTTCCATCCAACACAATTTCATCATGCAAAATATAATATTTGGGCCGACTGATTCCCCGAACCAAAATCGCATCGCTTGGTTGAAGTTTGCATTTTTCCGAGACCAAAAAATTCAAAAGCTGCACCAAATGCGCAAATTTTTGAGCTTCTTCAAATTTTTGCGCGTTGATTGTCCAAAATGAATTGTTGTTGAGAAGTGTGAAATGGCGGGGTTCATTGTTGTGCAAAACTGTGAGACAGAATATGGGACGAGATTTTTCCGTTGTTTTTCGAACCAGGAAATCACCATCGTTCTGGAAAAAAAGATTATTTTTAATCTGAGAAATGATCAAAAACTCAAAATTTTCCTGTCTACTACTGATCCCACGTTACAGTAATCCACGTGGCCGCTGAAGCGGAAGATAGTGCCGCTGGCGCGGAAGCTTGCGGTTTACACTCGCTCCGCTCGATTAGAGAGCATGTGAAATTGAGAGACGCAGAGAAACTAGCCGCTTACGCGGAAGCTTGCGGATTACACTCGATTAGAGAGAATGTGGAAGTGAGAGACGCAGAGAGATCAGACAGCTATACAGATAGAGACGCAGAGGAACTGGCCGCTTCGCGGAAGATAGTGCCGCTGACGCGGAAGCTTGCGGTTCACACTCGCTACGCTCGAACGCAGTAATTTCTAATATGAGCAATGGTTTTCAAAATTTTTTGTTTGAAATTTTCGCTAATTGCCACATTTTTCTCCAAAAAACTTGATTTTCGGCTTAAAATTTGACAAAATTCTCAAAAAAATCTGAAAAATCATTGCTCATGTTACAATTTTTCAAAGGAAAATCTGGGAAAAATATTGCTCATATTAGACTTTTCACATTTTTAAATACCGTGGTGAAAATGTGAGAACATGAAATACCCTATAATCTGAGCAATGCTCAAAAAAATCCAGAGAATTTTTCCTATACTTGAGGAATTCCAAAAAAAATGAATTTTTCATTTTTTTTCACATTCAAATCCAATATTCATCCAATCAAGTTATGCTGAATACATTTTATAGTTAACAATTTTCCATCAGAATCCAAATTAAAATTGAATCTTCCAATTTTAAACAACATTCCTCGAATATAATATCTCGATTTCTCAACCCTTTCATAACTTTTCATATCTTCTCGATTGAAAATTTCTGTTAAAAACCAATCAAAATCATGGGTGGTACCATCACAATCTATCGTTGTGAATCTATCAGATACTTCAGGTGTTTGCAATTCTCTTATCCGATTCCAACACTTCTCAATGATCTCAACTTTCAAATTATTTTTAAAAGCTTCACAATCGCGCCATTCTTCAGACATCAATACATATTTCGAATGTTTTTTCATCAAACTATAAACTTTGAGGCCAATTCCATCGTAGTTGATTTTTCCGTGATCCAAATCCTCCCGAACTTCATAAATTTCATGGCGACTTCTGAATGGCTCATTCTTCAGCATTTTCTCTATGAATTCTTTTCTCGAAAATAATTCGTGATGTCCATCGCATTGAATTACTGTGTAATATTCGTCAAATATTTCCGCAAGATCCAAATTGTATGTATGATATTTCCGATCAATTTCCTCTGCGATCCTCCTAGCTTCTGCAGTTTTCCCCAAATCATCTTCATAACCATAACAATAGCGCAATTTCTCTCTAGAAATCTGATAAATTCCCCTCTCTTCCACCAATGAAATCTGGAATTCATAGAATGTTCCAGATAAATCAGCGACAACTGAAAATCCATCTGTCCTCGCTTTTATTCCACTTTTTTCAATTTTAACAGGGCTCGATGATTTTTGTGGAATTATTGTGTTCAAAAATCGTTCCTTATGAAAGATTCGCCTATCACATGTTCGCATTTGAAAATCTCTACTGAAAATCTCTTCCAACATCAATCGATCATAGTTACGAATCGCATTTTGATAGGTCTCTAATAAATTCAATGAAATATTGTGAAATGTTTCGTTCTCATCAATAATCGATGTTAAAAATGGGCTAAAACCCTGTCGACAATTTGTAATATTTTCCGATACAAGGAAAGCTTTATCACCAATAAAACCAGCTTTGTAGAGATTTTTAGAGATGAGCCCTTCATCTGAATTCACTTTGACAGCAAAGAAAAAGAATCCACCAGCATATTTCGCTTCGGTTATTCGAGATTTTCGAAATTTCAGACTCTCCTTAACAGCCCTTAGTCTCGAATTTATTTTGTTGACATTCAAAGGTCCGATTCCTAGATCAGAACACTGATGAATCTCAAAATCAGAAGTTGTCATTTGATGCACTTCGCCAGCTTTTTAGAGCTCTCTGATAATAATCAAAGATACCTTCAGCAAGGATAATTCTATCGACAAACATTTTGTTCTCTTCAGCAGTTCGATCATTATTTCCACCTTTTTGAGCTTAAAAGATTTTTTGAAGAAATATTGATTGAAAACTTTTTTACCTTGTACGACCAGAAAAAGGAATATGAACAGCATTTCTACGAAGTTTTTTTTTGGATGGTGAAAAATGGAAAACACGTAATATTATGACTAGACATCATAAAAAAAATAGTTTCGAAGATTTCTTAGAAAAATTTCACATATTCAGATCATTGCTCTTTTTCTTCAAAAAACTTGATTTTCGGTTTAAAGTTTGACGAAATTCCCAAAAAAATCTGAAAAACCATTGCTCATGTTAGAATTTTCCAAAAAGAAAATATGGGGAAAAATATTGCTCATATTAGACTTTTCACATTTTCAAATACCGTGGTGAAAATGTGAGAACATAAAAAATTAAAACCCCTATAACCTGAGCAATGCTCAAAAAATGCTGAATTTCGTCAAAAATCTGAGCAATGCTGGAAATTACCCTATAACCTGAGCAATGCTAAGAAATCCGAAATTTTCCATATAACATGAGTAATGCTCAAAAAATCCGGAATTTTCCCCTATATCCTGAGCAATGTGTGCAAAAATGTTTTCCTATCAGAATTTTGGGCTAAAAACGCTCAAATTCACTGTAAATAAATATTTCCAGCATTTTCAGCGCAAAAGTGAAAAAACCCTCCAAAACCTTCCGGTTACTGTATGTACCTTGAAATAAATTCGCTAAAAAATTTTGAATAATTGTCCTTAAAACTCAAACAACAAAGCAAAATATAAATTTCTAAATTACAAGTTGAAAAATTGTTGAAACAGTGAAATTTTCGAATCCAAATTTTCCCTGACAGATTTCTTTCTGCACCCACTTACCTTCAACAATTCAATGCTAGCCTCTCTTGGCATAACTCCATGATACCATTTCCGCGAAATCAATCGTTTCGACCATTTTGCAATCCACGCATCTTCAGCCGCTGTTATTTTATCGACTGATTCAGCTGTCTTCACAGTCGATATTCGATCTTCCGATGTTGTTGTTGTCAATGCGGTGATCGTCGTTTCCGACTTTGATTTCTTTGCTTTTTTGGATCTGGAGCGGGTTTTGGAGAAGAATCGAAATCTTTCCTTCTTGCTCTGCGAAAAAAAATTGATTTATAAACTTCAGAAGCTTCTTCAGAACCAACCTTCTCCTCATTCTGATCATCTTCCTTCTGCGATCCAAGATTCTTCTGATGTTTGTTATCTAATGAAATTATTGTCATGATTTGATATTTAGAATAAAAAAGAAAAATGAGCGAAAATTTGAATTTCCCGGGTTTTATAGGGGGTTTCTAGAACACGTGGAAAATCAATAAAAATGTGACGTGGCTTGTAAATCGCAAAAACTCTGTATTTTGTGGTTTTTCAACAAAAAAAAAAGACGCGCGCGCGAAAAAAAATAAAAAGAAAACAACGAGACTCCGCGCGTACGGGCGGGCTGTGTGTTTGTAAATTTGCGGCATGTTTGAATTTCATTTTTTTTTCTCGGATTTTTTTCGATTTTTTCCTGATTTTCCACGTGACCTCCTTAAAAATCAAGACATTTCCACGTTTTCACTAAAATTCACCCAATCATTTCTTAGAAATGGAATTGTCGGAAGAATTGCGCAATGCTTCAAAATTCGATGAAAGTTCGGAAGATGAAGAAATGGAGCAAGAATTCTTGAAAAATGCTCGTTTTTTCAATGACTATGTTGCTTCGCGTTTTGGCTTGAATACCTGTGAACAACAAGAAACTCCTCAACAATTTCAAAGAATTTGTTTTGAGGAAAAACGCAAGATGTTTGATATTGAATTCCCGCAAAGAGTTTCGGCTGAGAAAATGAGAAAAGGTCGTGAAGCTTTGAAGATTATTGCCGCGAATCGAGTGAGTTTGGGCGGGTGGGGTTTAAATATGAAAATTTCGCCTGAAAACAAAAACGACTAGGTGTCCAAGTGGTGAACGCTTTTGCCTAACGTTCGCAAGACCCGGGTTCGACCCCCACCCGGCGCTTCACCATTTTTTTTTGAATTTTTTCAGGAAAAATATTTCAAATCAGCCGAATCCACTGAACAATCCGCCGAAGTAATTATCAAAAAACCATCGCCACGAAAAATGGAAATTCGGCAGCGAATTGTCGTCGGCTGAAAGTGACACGAAAATTTCGAAATAAAATACTTTTTTCCCTCTTCTTTTTTCTGGCTCCAAAAAAAAATTTCGGGAAAAATTGCCCTAATAATTGCGCACTCTATTGAAAACGTTTTTTTTTTTGAAAAAAAAATCACAAAAAAAAGAAAAGAAAAAATGCTTTTTCTATTTTTTGCTATATTTTTTGATTTATTGAGAATTTTCAAGGCTCAAAATGCAATAGGTAATAGATTTTCAGCCAAAAACCATACATTTTCAGCCAGAAAAATCTGAAAATTCCAGAATATCCCGGGCGAATCGGTGGAAGATGTGGATATTTTCAATTCGATTGCGATCCAGGCTCTCGAGTTCCACTTTGTATTCCGATTTCAGCGATTCGCGATTGCACAGCAGATTGTCCGAATCGAAGTGATGAATGTGTGTGTGAAGTCTAGCCTAGCATGAGCAATCCCCTATAACCTGAGCAATGCTCGAATTTTACAGGGTGTCCGCAAGGCAAAATCCTATGCGATTCAGGAATCAAATCGGAAAAATGTGGACAATGCGTGTTCTCGCACGAGTTATCAACACATTGTTTGGACCGGAAATGTAACTTTCCAGGCTGAAAATTCCAGTTTCCACCCGAAATTTCCAGGGCAACATCTATGCGCCTATGAGGGAACCGTCAAATGTGCTCACACGATGAATTGTGTGTTTCAAAAATGGTTGATGGACGGGAAGAATGATTGTGGTGATGGAAGTGACGAGGATATTTGCAATCAGGGTTTGGTGCAATGCAATCTGGAGACTTCTACTGCTATTTTGCAGTCTTCTTCTTCCATGCCAAAATTTTCGGGGGATAATGAGACGGTTTTTAATGTTACTGGTGAGTGGTTTACACAAGGAATTGACATTTTCATGTTTTTTTAAGCAAATGAGTTGAAATATTGGATTCTAATGTTATTCATATGATAGAATGGTCTAAGACGAACAGAATGATATGAATTTTGATGACTTTACGTTATCCATAAGTGATTTAGCGAGGTTTAGTCGTTAAGATCGTCTAAACGACGCTAAATTACTTATGGATAAGGTAAAGTCATCAAAATTTCTATCATTCTGTTCGTCTTAGACCATTCTATCATATGAATAATTTTAGATCTTCAAATGGGCTATTTTTTTTATTTGACAGCTACAGTACCCAGGACAAAAATCCACACAAAATTTTGCCCTAAAAAAATTTCGGGAGTACGGTATGCGCCTTTGAATGCACACAGTCAAATTTCTTAGATCAATCGGTTAAAGTTAAAGACACAAGAAACACTGGAAAAAACAGATTTCCCGCATTTATTTTCAAACGACAAAACAAGCATGTGCGCTCTAGCGAAACACTGTGTGCACACACTTTCAAAATTTCCGTCGGCTGAGCGATTTCAAAAACAATTATTTTATTTTTTCACTTTTGCTAGACTCAAAATTTTCTCTTGATTTTCATGAATTTCGATTACTTGAAAGGTGTTATGAATGAATAACAAACTCATTTTCTGCTCATTTCTAGGTGCTCTTGTGTCTTTAACCATTTTTCATGATTAAAAAAGCAAAAATGATTGTTTTTACGAGAGGAAAACGATGAAAGCATCGAAAAATCATGAAAATGAACGTGGAAAAATTTTTTGAAATATCGATTTGTTCACTTCCTTTAGTAGGATTTTTCGCCCATTCAGACCGCAACCATTCGATTCCTCGTGCAATTTTACCTATATTTCGATAATAAAGTCAAAAAATCACGTGGACCCCGGTAGTCTTTTTTAGAACTGAAAACTTCCCATAAGCGCGCACATTTTCATGATTTTTCGATGCTTTCATCGTTTTCCTCTCGTAAAAACAATCATTTTTGCTTTTTTATTCATGAAAAATGGTTAACTTTAACCGATTGATCTAAGAAATTTGACTGTGTGCATTCAAAGGCGCATACCGTACTCCCGAAATTTTTTTAGGTCAAAGTTTTGTGTGGATTTTTGTCCTGGGTACTGTAGCTGTCAAATAAAAATTTTTTAGCCCATTTGAAAATTTCGACTTTTTTTTGTCCGACAGATTTTTCATTTTTACAAATAACGTCTTGCCTTAAGTCGAATTGCCTTAAGCCTGTCTATCCTATGATTACGATTAGAGCGTAAGATTTCAACTCAACTGCGCAAAAAATATCAAAATTTCATTTTTTGTACACCGTGATGCAATTCCACGAGTCCGCGTTCGTGGTAGATAGTGCCGCTGCGCGGAAGCTTGCGGCACGTGTATATGTAGCACGGTATATTTGAGCCAAAAAAACTCATTTTCACAAAGTTCCCTTAATTCTCAGAACGCTGTGACATCGACGAATTCCGATGTTCAAATGGTCAATGCCTGAAATCCTCGCTCGTCCTTGATTCCAAGGAAGATTGCCTCGATGGAAGTGATGAAAGTAAGCAAATTTTAGCAAGCGCGCTCCATTGATAACTCCGCAATTTTCAGATTATTGTGAGATGAGCGAGACCGAATGTTCGGAAAAATCACGATGCTCTTTCCAACGCGACATTTCGGCGTTTGGTTGTGGATGTCCACGTGGATTCGATAGATCTGAAGTTGGGATTTGTGAATTACTAATTGAGGCAGATAATTAATTAATTCATAAATATAGTACATAAATAAGTAACAGAACAAGAATTCACAAATTACGTTGCTTCAAAAAACTTTGTTGTTTCTCGATGACTTTTCCGAGTTGCTCAAAAACTTCTTTTGTCAACTTTAACCGTCTCTTTCGCATTTTCCACGTCGATTTTGAGAAGATCAACCTCTTCTTTCGCGTGATTGTTGAATTTCATTGCAGTCGTCAAAACATGCAGATTCACATCCTCTTTTGGCTGCAAAAACAGGGAATTTCAGCGTTTTTTTTTTCAGGAATTCTAGAAAAATCTTACATTCGAGCACGCAAACCCAACTCGATCTGCGCTTTCAGTCTCCAACTGTTTCAATTCCTCAAACCTCTTCTCCAATTCCTGTTCCGCGACAAGTTTTCGCATCTTTTCGCGGAATTTTCCCGCCGCTTTCTCGTGCATTTTTTCCATTAAAGCGGTTGTGTCGGCGCGGGTTAGCTTGAGATTTCCATCGCGTTGCAGCAATTTATAGGGCTCATCGATTTTCAGCGATTCTCCAAAGTGCTGAATCAAATCTTCCATCATATTTTCCATTTTTTGACATCTTTCCGCCATGTTTTTGCTGGAAAATCAGGTTTATACTATAGTTGGACATCGACTAAATGATATTTTCATGTTTTTTAAGCAAATGAGTTGAAATATTGGGTTCGAATGTTGTTCATATGATAGAATGGTCTAAAACGAACAGAATGATATAAATTTTGATGACTTTACCTTATCCATAAGTGATTTAGCGATGTTAAGTCGTTAAGATCGTCTAAACGACGCTAAATCCCTTATGAGTTACCCAAAGTCGTCAAAATTTATATCATTCTGTTCGTCTGTGACCATTCTATCATATGAATAACATTATAACCCAATATTTCAACTCATTTGCTTAAAAAACATGAAAATGTCATTTAGTCGACAACGGTGGTCATGTCAAAAATTGTTAGAAACCTCTATGAGCAGTGTTTTAGAGCCTTGGAGCAAAGTTGGAATCGATTCTTGGTGGAAAAATTGGATTTTTTAAACCTGAAAAAATGAAAATGATTTGGAAAATCAAATGATTTTTTCATAAAAAATGAAACTTATGCTGAAATTTCCTAAATCATTTTTATTTTTCATGCTTAAAAATTCAATTTTCCCATTCCAACGTTGCTCCAAGGCTCCAAAGTGCTGGTTTCTGGTAATTTTTGACCTAGTCAAAAAAGATATTTCTAAAAAGTCTCACAACTTTTAACTAAACATTAAAAAACCAAAAACAACGAGTATATTTTATTAAATTCAAAAAAATCCAGCCTAAACCCCGCCAGAAAAGCGATCATGTTGAAAATAAGTTAAATGAATCACAAAAGCTTGTCGATTTTCGAAAATTCTTTCACAAGATGCACATTTCATCGGCTCCATTTGATCGTGAAATTGCAGATGATTCATCCATAGAATCGCATCTTGAAATCCAATTGCACAATGAGCACATTTATAGAATGTCTCGCCATTTTCCAAGGGGAATAGTGTTGATAAGAATTCCGATATTTTTTGGAGCATTTCTGAAGATGTTTCGGAATTTGAAGGGGTCAAAACGTTGCGTAGACTTTCCGGGAACTCTTGCTCTTGCTCAGCTTCAGCCTCTTCTTCTTCTTCATTATGATTTATTTTTCTTTTCCTAGTCTTCTTCGACTCAATCATCTCTTTCCAATAATCCTTCAACTCTCCATGACACAATATTTTATGGGTGAAAAATTTACGATGATTTATGAATTCCCCGTCACAATCTTCACATTTCAATTGCTCAACGCTATGCGACAAAGTCATGTGTTTTTCGAATGATTTGACGCAATCGGAAGAGAAATCGCAGGAATCGATGGTGCATGCGAAGAAGGTTCTGGAAAAGTGGAAATTTTCATTGAAAGTTAACCAAAAGCTAACAATTTGGCTCAAGAAAACCTACAAATCGGTGAAAAAATGCATCTGCAAGTGCGCGCTCAAAATATCGATCCGATTGAATTTCAGCTCACAAAATCGACATTCCATGGTCTTCTCCACATGCACCTTCGAATGACTGCGAAGCGATCTTTCGGTGAAAAATAGGCGATCACATTTTCCGCATTTCAAGAGGGATAAAGCCGCGGGAGTCTGAAATTTCAGATTTTCTCTCATTTTCGAAAATTTCAGCGAAAAACTTACATTCTCAAATTGCTCCTCCATGTTTCTTCAAAGTGACGAAATGCCACATTTTTTTAGTTTTTCGAAAAATGTTGAAAATGACGTGGAAACGCACTTCACGCGTGAAAAAAACAGTTTGTGTTTTTCAAACAATTTTATTGGCGCGCAAACATGGCCTAGCCGCCGACTCGGCCAGCAATGTTTTTTTTTCCCTGTTTTTTCGAGAAAACACCGTGAACCAGGGAAAATCAATGGTTTGCTGCAAGAAGATGAAGATGAAAAAGAGAAGGCATTGGTTTTAAAACAAAACAAAGTGAGTTTCCCGTCTTTTTTCATGGGAAAAATGAAAATTTTTTTTTGAAATTGACCGAAAAAAGAAAGGGGGATAATTAGAGCGTCCTATTATTCATAATTGATCAGATATGCACCTGTTCTCCCTTTTGTGTATATATATAAACAATAAAATTGTTGTTTTGGTCAATATTTTCACAATTTACTGTGATGAAATTGTTTTTGATCGGTTTTTGTGGCCAAAAATATTTGTTTTAGGCCTAAATTTCTCATGAATTTCGAAATTTTCGACCTTTCTAAGTATCTTTCTATTTTTGGTGACCCAATTTATTTTACGATGACTAATATCATCCTTTTTTGTGTTTTCCCATATTTTTCCCATAAAAATATACTCTCCCTATGCAAATATGCCTTTTTTCTTATCACCAAACTAAAATCATATCATTTTCTACATATTTTTTGTGCATTTTTCAATTTTTTCAGCCCTCGGAGCATCGCAAAAATGTTCAGCTCCGAAGGAAAATATCGAAAAACCTATCGCCATCAGTTCGATCAACTCAGAGACAATGAAAATGAGTTGCCGTTGTCCATAATTGCATCGCGTGCAGTTAGCCGAAATATCCCGCTGAATGAGATGCAATTGAATGCGTTGAGCAAATCGAATGATGAATATGTGGATGTGGATGGATTTCAGCAGATTGTAGGTGGTTTTTCAGGGGCTGGAAATTTGCCACGTGGCTGTTTTTAGGCTGAAAATTTGCAAAAATTTCAATTTTTGACGCAAAAAATCATGAAATTAAAAGATAAAATTTACAATTTCCCAAATTTGGTTTTACTGAAATTCCAGAAGTTTCAGCTTTATTGAAAATGCCACGTGGCAATTTTTAATCATCAAATTTATGAAAAAAAATTGAAAAATCTTTTTTTTTGACAAAAAAAAGGTGCATACCGTACCACCTGCGTATCTAACTCGGGTTTCTGTCCAAGAGTTAGATGTGCAGGTTCTACCGTACTTTAGCATGCGCCTTTGCTTTTCGTGTTTTTGGACAAAGATCATGAAAATCCTCTGATTTTTGAAGAATGAGAAAGCCACGTGGCAATTTTCGGACTGAAATTGAAGTTCCAAAAATTTTGGCTGAAAATCATGAGAAAGTTTGATCTTGTTTTTAAAGCTTAAAAAGCCACGTGGCAATTTGCCAAATAAAAAATCTCAGATTTTCATTTTCAAGCTGAAAATCTGACTAAAAATTCAAATTTTTCTCCAAAAATCCCCGAATTTGCCACGTGGCTGTTTTTAGGCTGAAAATCTGGAAAAAAAACGTGGCAATTTCGCAACCTAAAATTCAAAATTCATTAAATTTTGTTCTACCGAAATTCCAGAAGCTTAAAAATGCCACGTGTCAATTTTCGGACTGAAATTGAAGTTCCAAAAATTTTGGCTGAAAATCATGAGAAAGTTTGATCTTATTTTTAAAGCTTGAAAATGCCACGTGGCAATTTGCCAACTAAAAAATCTCAGATTTTTATTTTTAAGCTGAAAATCTGACTAAAAATTTAAATTTTGCTCCAAAAATCCCCGAATTTGCCACGTGGCTGTATTTAGACTGAAAATCTGAAAATTGAAAAATCTAAAATTCAAAATTTATTAAATTTTGTTCTACAGAAATTCCAGAAGCTGAAAAATGCCACGTGTCAATTTGCCAACTAAAAAATCTCAGATTTTCATTTTTAAGCTGAAAATATGACAAAAAATTTAAATTTTGCTCCAAAAATCCCTGAATTTGCCACGTGGCTGTTTTTAGGCTGAAAATTTGTAAAAATTTCAATTTTTACGCAAAAAAGCATGGAATTAAAACCTAAAGTTCTACAGAAATTCCAGAAGCTGAAAAATGCCACGTGTCAATTTTCTGACTGAAATTGAAATTCCAGAAATTTTTTAGAAGCTAAAAATGCCACGTGGCAATTTTTCAAGAGAAAATTCAAAATTCACCATGATTTTTAAACATAAAAAATGATCCACGTGGCCATTTTCAACCAAAATTCCCATATTTTTGCAGATAACTTCAAAAATGGCTCAAAAATCGCTGATGAAACGAATGTTGTATGATATTGCTGATCCAGTTATGAGTAAATCCCAAAAAGTTGAAGTTCATTCATACATCGATGCGTATTCTTGGTGTCCACCGCCTCTTTTTATATTGCTCATCACAATTGCTCAGGTTAGTATATTATCTGTGACGTCATAAATGAAATTGGCGACACCTTGTCCTCCTGGGGAAATTTCGAAATGTTCATACAAAGTCTAATATGAGCAATGGTTTTTCGGATTTTTTTTGAACAAAATTTCTGAAAAATTGCTCATTTTTCTCCAAAAAGCCTGATTTTCGGCTCGAAAAATTCCAAATTTCAAAAAAATCTGAAAAATCATTGCTCATATTAGATTTTTCATATTTCAAAACAACGTGAAAACATGAATTTTCAAATAAAAAATCCCTAACCTGAGCAATGCTGAAAAATTCGAAATGTTCTCTCTAATCTGAGCAATGCTCAAAAAATCCCAAATTTTTCCCCTATAACCTGAGCAACGTTCAAAAATTTCCTGAAATCACTATGTGTGTAAACACCACAACGCACAAATGCACAAATATTGCCTACCGTAGTAAAACTTTCAAATTTTCGTTCAATTTTCCAAAAAAAAATCTGAAAACCCATTGCTCATATTAGAATTTTCACATTTTGAAATACAAAACCTGAAAAATATGAAATCCCATATAACCTGAGCAATGCTCCAAATGTTCCTTTAACCTGAGCAATGCTCAAAAAACCCCGAATTTTCTCTATAACCTGAGCAATGCTCAAAATAATCCAAAATTTTCTCTATATCCTGAGCAATGTTTAAAAAATTCCGAAAGTTTTCCTATAACCTGAGCAATGCTAAATTTTCCTGAATCGCTATGTGTGTAAACACCACGACACACAAATGCACACATTTGCGTACCGTACTATAGCCCTCCAGCCGCTGGCTTAGCCGCTCGGAGCGAGGGGCTCGCTCGAGCCGCTGAGCGGCTCAGCGGCTTTAGCCATCAAGCGGCTCGATTGGCTTAGCCGCTGAGCCCCTCAGCGGCTTGAGCGGCTCGCTGGCTCAGCCGCTCAGCCAAGTGAGCCGCTGAGGGGCTGAGGGGCTTAGCGGCTAAGCCAATCAAGCCGCTCGATGGCTCGAGCCGCTTAGCCGCTAAGCCGCTAAGCCGCTCGAGCCGGCTTGGCTTGGCTCGGCTCGCCTTATTTTTTGAGAAAAATTGTTTTTTATATGTGAAAATTATGAAACAGTGAATTTTTTCGAATTATTTTGTGTTCCGAAATTATTTTTTTCTATTGGATTTTAGTCAATGGGTCATGGAAAACTTTTTTGAGTTTGGGAAAATTATGGGCGGAGCTTATTTTCAGCATTTTGGCTGAAAATATGCTGAAATTCGAAAATTTCAAAATTGTTCAAAAATTTCCGGGTTTTTTCCTAGTGATAGAGGATAATGTGTAGAGGAATTTTGTACTAATTTTAGCGCTGAAAAAATGAGGGAAAAGCTGAAAAAACGAAGAAAACTCTCAAATTTATTTTAGTGTTTCTAATCAATTTTCAGACAAAAAAACTGAAAATCATATTTTCCCTCATTTTTTCAGCGCTAAAATTAGTACAAAATTCCTCTACACATTATCCTCTATCACTAGGAAAAAACCCGGAAATTTTTGAACAATTTTGAAATTTTTTGAATTTCAGCATATTTTCAGCCAAAATGCTGAAAATAAGCTCCGCCCATAATTTTCCCAAACTCAAAAAAGTTTTCCATGACCCATTGACTAAAATCCAATAGAAAAAAATAATTTCGGAACACAAAATAATTCGAAAAAAATTCACTGTTTCATAATTTTCACATATAAAAAACAATTTTTCTCAAAAAATAAGGCGAGCCGAGCCAAGCCAAGCCGGCTCGAGCGGCTTAGCGGCTTAGCGGCTAAGCGGCTCGAGCCATCGAGCGGCTTGATTGGCTTAGCCGCTAAGCCCTCAGCCCCTCAGCGGCTCACTTGGCTGAGCGGCTGAGCCAGCGAGCCGCTCAAGCCGCTGAGGGCTCAGCGGCTAAGCCAATCGAGCCGCTTGATGGCTAGAGCCGCTGAGCCGCTCGAGCCAACGGCTCGCTCGCTCGCTCAGCCGCTCGAGCGGCTAAAAAACGAGGGGCTGGAGGGCTATATACCGTACCATTTTCCAGGTAGCCACATTCCTTGTCTATTTCGAAACCGAAACCCCGTCTCCATTTTCCCGAAAAAGATCAATATGGACAGATTGTGCTGGCTGCTATATCCATGAAAATCACTCGCTGCAACCTGGAATTCTGATTTTCGCGCCGAAACTTCGAGAAGAAGCCTGGAGATTTTTCAGTTATCAATTTTTGCACGCTGGCCTCAATCATCTTTTGGGCAATTGTATAATGCAATTATTAGTTGGTCTTCCACTCGAAGTTGCTCATAAAAGTTGGCGAATTGCTCCGTTATATTTGCTCGCAGTGGGCTCCGGAGCATTGTTGCAATATGCGATTGATACGAAGAGTTTGTTGGTTGGCGCGTCGGCCGGGGTTTATGCGCTCATTTTTGCACATATTGCTAATGTTATTTTGGTGAGTGTTTGGGCTTCGGAATTTGCAAAAATTTTCAAAAAAATCCTGAAATTTTTCATTAAAAAATTATCAGAAGCCACGTGGCAAAAATTCTGGTTTCTAAAATTCAAAATGCCAAGGATCAGCGCCTAGAGAGAATATGTCTCAAGGAGCCGCGCCTAGAGATCCTACTTGTCTAGGAGCTACGCCGAGAGAGTTCAATTGTGAAGGATCAGCGCCTAGAGATTCTTTATTACCAGGTGCCGCGCCTTGAGGTGCCTCTATGTCAAGTAGCCGCGCCTAAAAAACCTATTTGTCAAGGATCAGCGCCTAGAGAGCATATGTCTCAAGGAGTCGCGTCTAGAGACCCTAGTTCTCAAGTAGCCACTCTTAGAAATCCTACTTGTCTAGGAGCTGCGCCTAGAAGTCCTAGTTCTCAAGTAGCCGGGCCTTGAGAGCATATGTCTCAAGGAGCCACGCCTAGAGAATCGAATTGCCTAGGAGCCGCATCTAGAATTTCACTCTGACAAGGAGCTGAGCCTAGAGATTCTTTATGGCTAGGTGCCGTGCCTTGAGAGCTTCTATGTCAAGTAGCCGAGCCTAGAAGTCCCACTTGTCTAGGAGCCGCTCCTTGAGACCCTAGTTCTCTAGTAGCCGCTCCTAAAGACCCTACTTGTCTAGGAGCCGAACCTTGAGACCCTAGTTTCCAAGCAGCTCCTAGAGAATTTTAAAAAAAGTTTCTAGTCTTGAAATCCACGTGGCTCAAAATTTGCTCCGAAATTTTTCTAGAAATTTCGAATTCTCTTCTGAAATTTCCCAATTTTTCACAGGTTCTCTGAGAATTCCGAGATTTTCACAGAAAAATCTAGAAATTTTTGGAAAAAAAATCCACGTGGCAAATCAAAAATTCAAGTTATAGGAAATTTTATTTGAAAAATCCACGTGGCACAGAGATCTTCCGAATTCTAGAAAATCAACGTTTGCTCAAAAATTTCTGGGGGCAAATTTAGCTGCGTATTTGCATTTGATACTCAGTCGAAGCTGAGTATCAAACGTACGCAGCCAAATAAAAAAATTCATTTTTTTTTAAACGGCACTCCGCGATTCCGCAATGAAAAACCACGTGGCAGCTAAAAATGTATAAATTTTCAAATTGTTTCCAGAATTGGCACGAAATGCCGTTCCGCTGGGCGCGCGTCATCGTCCTCGGCACATTCGTCTCCTACGATTTCGGCGCCGCCATCTGGCGTCGATTCTACGAAGAGGAATGCGATCAAATCTCACATTCCGCTCATATATCCGGAGCAATCACCGGGCTCCTTTTTGGCTATTGTATACTGTACAATGTTGTTGAGCACAAAATCGAGACAATTGTCCGATATTTGTGCATATTTTTGTATTCACTGTTTTTGGTGATTACTATTACTTTGGTGATTTTGCGGGCTCCGCATTCGGAGCCACTTTGGAGCTCGAAATGCTCATAAATAAATAATTTTACGTTTCAAATATGATAAATAAATAGCACAAGAATAAAAGGAGAAGCTATAAAAAAACCCGAAAAATGGGTAGGGTCCCAAGTAGCAATTAAAAAAAATAAATTAATTAATCCAAGTCATCATCCACAGGAGCAGTGGCCGGTTTTTTGGAAGCGGAAGAGGTTGCGGCTTTGATTGCGGACGCGGCATTCTTTGCGCGAGCCTGAGCAACACTTGCAGGAACTGAGAATTTGGCGATTTTTTGTGGAGGGCTTGAGTTGAGATGCGATTTGGCGGTCTCTTCTTTTTCCGCCGCCATTCCGCCGCCCATCAATCCGGAAAGCATTCCGGCTAAACCGCCCGCCATTGGCACTTGGTCGCGGATTCCGAAATAGATTTTGCCGATCTGGAAAAAAAAGAAATTGAATTTGTGATGTTCCTTTAAATACAGTAGGATTTTTTGGCACAAAAAATCCACATTAATCGCTACGAGACCCCCAAGTTGTCAAATTTGTCATGTTCCTTTAAATACAGTACCTCATTTCATGGGTTTTTGATAATAAGAAGGGTTTTTTGAACCCGAAAAAATCCACGTGAAATTTGGATTACTGTAGCTATGAGCTCAGGACTACTGTAGGTCAAATTCTGGGGTCAAAATTTGATTTATCCACAAATCCACGTGGATCTTAGATTACTGTAGCTATGCACTCAGGACTACTGTAGATCAAATTGCCCCGCCAAAATTCTGATCTACAGTAATACTGACAAATACACGTGGAATCTGGATTACTGTAGCTATGAGCTCAGGACTACTGTAGGTCCAATTCTAGGGTCAAAATTTGATTTACCCACAAATACACGTGGATTTCGGATTACTGTAGCCATGAGCTCAGGACTACTGTAGCTCTATTTTGGCCCCAAAATTACGGTAGCTATGAGCTCAAGACTACTGTAGATCAAATTCTGGGGCCAAAAAGTTTCACGTGGTTCTCCAAATTACTGTAGATCAAATTCTGGCACAACAATTTGAGTTTTGAAAAAACCACGTGGCAAAAAAAGATTTAGGCGCCAAAAATCCACCCTAAATTACTGTAGATCAAATTCTGGCGCCCAAAAATGATTTTAAACCCCAAAAAACTCACTCTTGACAAATATCCTTTAAAAGTCTCATCTCTCTCAATTTCACTAACATACGTCTCCACAATCACAGCATACTGTGTCACATCAACCTTGGCAACAACATCAAATAAAATATTGATAAAATTCAAAAGCGGCAAATCGAAACCCTGCTTCTCCCCCGTTTTCGCGCCAATTTTCCTGGTGAATTCCTCAAAAACCTGTTTCGCATACGGAAATCGATCGATACATAGGAGTTGAAGAACAATTTGAGCGATCAGCAAATCCACCTCGATTTCTATCGAATTTTTGGTGACTTCTAGGAGAAAATCCGAGAATTCTTGAGGATTTTCAGCTAGTAAATAATGATTTTTGGCGAGTTCTACGGAACTTTTTTCTGCGTATTTTTTGGCAAAAAGATAATGAAGTTGATAGGAGCCACATTCTTGTTCTTGCTCGGTTTTGGATTTTGATTTTGACCTGGAAAAACATGAAAATATTATTTGTTTAGAATTACAAAACTCAACTCCTAATTTGAGTTATGACGTGACAAGGTTGGAAAATTTCCAAAAATTAGGATTTTGGGAGGTCGAAACTCGTGATTTTCATGATAATCTGATTTTTCAGGATGTTCTAATACATAAGTAAACTTCACGTTGTCAGAAACAGCCTGAACGACGCTATGCTATCAGATTTCCTCCCAAAGTCGCAATTTTCCGAAATGCCACGTCATAACTCACATAAGAAGTGGAGTTTTGCAATTTTAGACAAAAGAATCGTGATCAGCAGCTCAAAAACATCTAGAAAATGAAAATCTAGATACAATGATGCAACTTTTTCAAAAAAATCACCATTGAATCGAAATCTCCACAAATTTCCGTCTCGAAGCCACCAACAAACTCTCATCAGCCTCACTAAATTCATTATCATCATCTTCAATAACCTCCACAAGTTTAGCCGAAGTTTCAGCAATCAAATCCATCGCCACGTCATCTAGCTCCACCCCATTTTTCTCCAAACTCTCCGCATACAATGTGATGATATCAATCGCGCATTGATATTGTTTTTCGCGAAGGAAGAAGTCAACAGCATGTTTCACCAGCGGATTCGATAATTCGAGCGCGTTTTTTAGCCGAAAACTACGTGTCACTTTGGTGCGATAGAATTGCAATGCATCGTAGAATTGCTTGGAATTTTCGAATTCTTCCAAACGTTGCAATGTTTTCTGATCCTAAAAATCTTGTTTTTCTACATTTTTCTTATCAAAATGACTCACCATTCGTTTTTTAATCGTGGAAAACGCGCAAAAAAACGTGTGGAAAAAAAATAAAAAAAACTGCTGGCGGGCGGAAAACTAGTCCCCTGGCCGAGGTTTCCAGTTTTGTGCAACGTGTACTTCTCTCGGACTTTTTTTCTTTTCTCGTTTTTTCTTCAAAACCAGGTGAAAATGCCGCAAATCTGGGGAATTCTTGAAAACTACGGGTGGATTATTGTATTCTCTAGCCTCTCATTATACTTGATTTATCAAAAATGGATCGCAGGATTGGTGGAAAGTCGAAGAAGCGCAAAATTGCTGGAAGAGCGTAAGAAATTTGATGATGAGGTTGGGAGGAAGGAGAAGGATAATGTGAGAGCTGCGAGGTTAAGGCAACAAGAAAAGCACGATAAATTGGAGGAAGAGGAGAGGATTCGCAGGGAATTGAAGAGGAAAGAGGAGTTGGAGAGGATTTTGAGTGAGAAAAGTGTGCTGGAAACTGTTGTGGGAAGTTTTGAACGTAAAAAACCGGAAGAAAATAAAGAAGAACCACAATCCGCTGAAGAAATCCTGGAAGCCCTGATTTCCTCCAAGCCAATTATAATTTTCACCAAATCATTTTGCCCGTTTTCCCGAAAAATCCGGCAACTTATCGCAACTTATCGCCTAGCCCCAGAACTCTATGATTTTATCGATTTGGATGATGAGGAAGGAAATTTACCAGCAGAAGACATTCAAAATCTCTTTGCCACCAGGTTTGGCGCCCTGAAATCGGTGCCAAAAATGTGGGTGAATGGGGAATTTGTGGGTGGGTATGAGGAGATTTTGGAGTACTCGAAGGCACATGCAACATTTTTATAATTTAATGTAAATAATGAATAAATAAATAATTTATTGATCGAAAATTGTCTGAAAAATATTTGGTTTTCTACCATGATTTTACCTGTTTTCGATTTTTTTTCCTCGAATTTCAGCCTATTTTCAGTATTTAGAAATGGAAGATTTGAATGATTGGGAAGCTCAGGGAGCTCAGGAAGAGCCTGCTGAAGATGGGATGAATTTGGGATTTACGGTAAGTCTTGAACTTCGCAACTGCAAAAATTATGAATTTTTGTGCTGAAAATGAAGAATTCCATGATTTTCAGCGCAAAATTCTGATCTAGAAAGAAATTTCCAGGAATTTTTCACTGTTTCAAAAATTCAGTATATTTTTTGGGGTCTTGAAAAAATTCGATAGGGGTACAGCATGATTGTTGACTTAAATTTTGTGCTGGAAATAGTGGAAGTGCTGAAATCCGCTGAAAATGAAGAATTCCATGATTTTCAGCACAAAATTCTGATCTAAAATAAAATTTCCTGGATTTTTCACTTTTTCAAAAATTTGCTATATTTTTTGGGGCCTAAAAAACTTGATTCTGTGGGAAATTGTTCCATAGACTTAAAATTTGTGCTGAAAAAAGTGGAAGTGCTGAAAATTTCTGAAAATGAAGAATTCCGTGATTTTCAGCGCAAAATTCAGGTCTAGAACAAACCATTTCGAATTTTTTTTTCAGAAAAAGTAAAAAAAATTCAATGAATTTTTGAAACAGTGAAAAATTTCTGTAAATTTATTTCTAGATCAGAATTTTGAGCTGGAAATCATGGAATTCTTCATTTTCAGCGAATTTCAGCGATTCCATGATTTTCAGCGCAAAATTCTGATCTAAAATAAAATTTCCTCGATTTTTCACTGTTTCAAAAATTCAGTATATTTTTTGGGATCAAGACAAATACGATTTATTCAGATTCCTCATCGAAATCTAAATTTTGCACTGAAAATGAAGAATTCCATGTTTTCCAGCACAACATTCTGATCTAGAATTGTTTACCTGAATTTTTTAAGTTTCAAAAATTCATTTAATTTTTTGGGAATCAAAAAAAAATTCGATAGGGGTACATTGTTGACTTAAATTTTGGGCTGAAAACAGTGGAAGTGCTGAAAATCTCTGAAAATGAAGAATTCCATGATTTTCAGCACGAAATTCTGATCTAGAAAAAAATTTCCTGGAATTTTTCACTGTTTCAAAAATGTATTAATTTTTCTGGTACCTTAAAAACTTGATTCTGTAGGAAATTGTTACGTAGACTTAAAATTAGTGCTGAAAATTGTGAAAATACTAAAAATCTCTGAAAATCCAGGATTCCATGATTTTCAGCGCAAAATTCTGATCTGGAAAATTCCTGAATTTTTCACTGTTTCAAAAAATCAGTATATTTTTTGAGATCTGAAAAATTTCGATTGATCGTGTATGATCGTGTATATCCACATTAAATTTTGAGCTGAAAATCACAATTTGCTTGAAATTTCTGAAAATGAAGAATTCCATGATTTTCAGCACAAAATTCTGATCTAGAAAAAAATTTCCTGGAATTTTTTCACTGTTTCAAAAATTCAGTTCATTTTTTGGGAGATAGGGGTACAACATGATTATTGACTTAAATTTTGTGCTGAAAATAGTGCAAGTGCTGAAAATCCCTGAAAATGAAGAATTACATGATTTTCAGAACAAAATTTAAGTCTAGATGAAATTTGCTTCAAATATCAATTTTGTTCAGAAACAGTAAAAAATTCATAAATTTTTGAAACGTTAAAAATTCAGGAAATTTCTAGATAAGAATTTTGTGCTGAAAATCATGGAATTCTTCATTTTCAGCGAATTCCAGCGATTCCATGCTTTTCAGCACAAAATTCTGATCTAAAAAAATTTCCTGGAATTTTTCACTGTTTCAAAAATTCATTTAATTTTTTGGGAATCAAAAAAAATTCGATAGTACAACATGATTGTAGACTTAAATTTTGGGCTGAAAATGGTGGAAGTGCTGAAATTTGCTGAAAATGAAGAATTCCTCGATTTTCAGCTTAAAATTTAAGTCTAGATGAAATTTGCTTCAAATATTATGGGGTGATTCAGGTCGAAAAAAAAACTAAAAAAAAACATTTTTTTACAAAAAAATTCGATTCAGCAAATGTCAAAAAACTATATTTTTTTCCACACAAAAATGAGAGATATCTCGCAGCGAAAATGTTTCAATGAAAAAAAATGTCAAAAAATGTCGAGAAATAGAAAAAAAATATAGTTTTTTGACATTTGCTGAATCGAATTTTTTTGTAAAAAAATGTTTTTTTTTAGTTTTTTTTCGACCTGAATCACCCCATAAATTTTGTTCAGAAACAGTAAAAAATTCATAAATTTTTGAAACGTAAAAAAATCAGGAAATTTCTGAATCAGAATTTTGTGCTGAAAATCATGGAATTCTTGATTTTCAGCGAATTACAGCGATTCCATAATTTCAGCTAAAAATTCTGCTCTAGAATTGTTTACCTGAATTTTTTACGTTTCAAAAATTCATTTAATTTTTTGGGAATCAAAAAAAAAATTCGATAGGGGTACATTGTTGACTTAAATTTTGGGTTGAAAATAGGGGAAGTGCTGAAAATCTCTGGAAATTAAGAATTCCAGGATTTTCAGCTCAATATTTTGATATAGAAAAAAATTTCCTGGAATTTTTCACTGTTTCAAAAATGTATTGATTCTGTGATGAATTTTCAAAACACCGAAAAATTCTAGGAAACATTTCCAGATCAGAATTTTGAGCTGGAAATCATGGAATTCTTTATTTTCGGAAATTTTCAGCAATTTCATAATTTCAGCACAAAATGCAGGTCTAGAACAAACCAAATCGAGTTTTTATAGATCCAAAAAAATTAATGAATTTTTGAAACAGTGAAAAATTCTAGTAAACATTTCTTGATCCGAATTTTAAGCTGAAAATCATAGAATTTTTCGTTTTCAGCGAATTTTAGCGATTCCATGATTTTCAGCACAAAATTCTGATCTAGAAAAAAATTTTCTGGAATTTTTCACTGTTTCAAAAATTCAGTATATTTTTTGGGGCCTTAAAACACTTGATTCTGTAATGGGTTATTGAAATAGTAAAAAAAATTCTAGATCAAAATTTTGAGCCGAAAATCATAGAATTCTTCATTTTCAGCGAATTTCAGCGATTCCATGCTTTTCAGCGCAAAATTTGAGTCTAGACAAAAATCCTCGATGTTTTCGAGCCAAATTCAATGAAAAATGACCCAGAATTGCTCAGATTAGTTAATTGCAGAAAACCCTGCAAAGGCTAATTTGGGCTCAAAAAATCCAGAATTTTTGAGACTACGCTTATTTAGGCTCAAAAAAATCCCCAAAATTGGTGCTAGGCAAAAAAACAAATAATCTATCATTCCAGAAAGAATTAATCGATGAAATCCGCTCGAAAAAAGAATCCAACCCTGGAATGTTTGTGTCCGCCTGGCAAGAAGACGAAGAAGGAATTGACGCGAAAAACCTCGAAAACCCCATCGAAAAATGGCTGACTGCTGCAGAAGATGGAGATTTAGAGGAAGTCAGAAGGATCTACCAGGAAGATCGAGAGATTTTGAATTCCCAGGATGCTGATGGTTATACTGCTCTTCATAGAGCATCTTATAATAATAACCTGCAAGTTGTTGAATATTTATTATCAGTTGGAGCTGATGTTGAAGCTCGAACTAAAGATCAATGGACACCGCTGTTATCAGCAGCAAATTGGGGGAATTATGAGGTTATTGGCAAATTATTGAGCCATGGTGTGGATGTTAACGCAACTTCGAATGGGCACTTGACGGCATTACATTTGGCGGTGCAGAGCCAGAATGAGAACCCGGAAAATGTATTTCACAGTGTTCGATATTTATTGCAGGCTCCTGGGATTGATGCGGGAGTTGTGAATGGAAGTGGGGACACGCCGTTGAAAATGGCATATCGATCCAATGAGCAGATTTATTATTTGATTAAGGAGTTTTTGGAGAAACCCTAAAAATGTTGAAAATATTTTGCAATTATCACTTTAATATTTAGAAACTGGTTGAATAAATTGATTTTCTTAAATTTGAAAATTTTCAAATAAATTTTTCAGCTTGAAAAAATTTACCCTAAAATTCAAGAATTTGAAAAAAAACCCTTAATTTATCAATAAACGAAATTCAACGCAAAATTGAGAGATTTAGAGAAAAATGATTTTTGATCTACCAGAAAATTTTGATGCCTAGAAAAAAAACTACAGTCTAGTCATATTTAAAGTTGCACACATTTTTGGGAACATTTTCCACGTGGCTTTGAACGGGTTACTGTAGAGAATAATTTAAGTGTGATTAGAAGAAAAATAAAGAAATTTTGTATTTTTCAAAAAACAGAAAAACATCGAAACAATTTTCAAGATTTTTTGAAACAGTAATTTTTTTCTCTGATTAACTTCAGACAAAATGACAGTAGCCTAGCTCATTTTTTTGCCACGTGGATTTAAAAAAAAAATAATTTTGACACTTTTTCGGGTTTATTGAGAAAAATAGAACAAAATAATTCCAATTTCAGCAAAATTAATAAATTTTTTTGAAACAGTAAAAATTTAATTTTTGTATTTTTCAAAAGTCAGCTAAAATTAAGCAAATTTTTTTGAAACAGTGAAAATTTTTTTCTCGAAAAAAAAGAGCATTTTCCACGTGGCCATTTAAATGGGTTACTGTAGAAAATAATCTAATAAAGTAAAAAAAATCAAAATTTTGTGAACGAAAAAATTTACTGTTTCAAATTTTCACTGAAAATTTTCTAAACTTGGAAAAAATGATGATTCCTTAAAAATTGAATTTTCTAAAAAATTCTACTGTTTCAAAAAATCGTGAAAAATTTCCGATTTTTTCAAAAAAAAAGCGCTAATTTTGTACATTTTTCCAAAGAAAAATATGTATAAAAATGAATTCATAACAATAAAAAAAAATTAATAACAAACTTATCATAAATTAGATATGAGAAAAACAAAAAAAAATAGGAAAAACCGGGAAGAAATTTAGGGTACCGATAAATAATCAAACAAAAAAACTAGGTTTACATCTTCGGAACTTCACGAATTCCCAAAATCTTGAAACAAGTCGAGATGACATTTGCGGTAACTTCACAAAGTGCCAAACGATGGAAATGCACAATTGGAGCTTCTCCCTCTTTTTTCTCGATCACATAACATTCGTTGTAAAAGTCGTGGAAGAGGGTGGCTAATTGATAGACATAGTCGCACATCTGAAAAAAATGTTATCAGAATATAAAATTTTAGTGAAAATTTGAAACAGTAAATTTGTCTCGAACCTAATTCTTCACAAAAAATTTGATTTTTTTACTTTATTAGATTATTTTCTACAGTAATCCACTCAAATCCACGTGGCACAGTTTTTAGCGCTAAAAATCGAAATAAACAGGATTACTGTAAATTTATTCTGAAATTTTGTAGTTTACAGTAACCCATTTAAATGGCCACGTGGAAAATGCTCTTTTTTTAGAGAAAAGTTTTCACTGTTTCAAAAAAATTTCAACTTTTCTTCTAAAAATTTCAGATTTTTACAGTGTTTTCAGGTTAAAATTGAAAAAAATATGGGAAAATTCGTTATTTTTAGAGCATTGCTCATGTTTAGCTTGGAAACCCAAAAATTTAATATCATTGCTCATATTAAGGGATTTCTATAGTTCGCATTGAAAATAGGATCTTTAGGATTGCTCAAATCAACTTTTAGGCAGTCTGGAATTGCTCAGATTAATTAATTTCAGAAAAATGAGATTTTTCATGTTTTAAAACCGAATTTTGTGAACATTGACCTAGCATTGCTCATATTAGTGATTTTCGAATTTTGCATTGCTCAGATTATAAAGAATTGCTCATATTAATTGATTTCAACAAAAAATGATTTAAAAAAATGTTTTTGAGCTAATTTCTGTGAAAATTGACCGAGCATTGCTCAGATTAGGCTGAAAATCCAGAATCTTTGGGCCTAGGCTTGTTTAGGCTCCAAAAATCACAAATTTTCATGCCTAGCCCTATTCAGGCTCAAAAAATCCCAAATGTTCGGGCCTAGCCCTATTCAGGCTCAAAAAGCCAGAATTTTTGTTTTTAGGCCCAAAATATCCAAAATTTTCTAGCCTAGGCTTATTTAGGCTCAAAAAATCCAGAATTTTTGTTTTTAGGCTCAAAAACCCAGAATTTTGTAGCCTGGGGCTCAAAAAGCCAGAATTTTTGTTTTTAGGCTCAAAAAATCCCAAAATTTTTGGGAAAAAAATCCAGAAACTCACTTGATGAAGCATCAACGAATCAACAACTTGCAACACACAATCCGCCAATTTCAACAAATGTTTCGACAATTTCATTTCCGCCTGATGATTTAATGGTAAAATCGGTGTATTTCGAATATATTCCGCAATTTGTTCTTGCTGAATTCCCGAAGTTCTAACAATCGATCGAATTCTCGCGTAAGCATATAGCAAATAAACCGCAGTATTTCCTCGATCATCTAACATCCTGTCAAACGAGAATACATAATCCTGAGTTCTGGTATGCGACAAATCCGCATATTTCACACATCCAAATGCCACCGCATCTCTGGCTTCATTCAATTCCTCTTCTGTCATAACTTGATCTCTTCCTTTCTCCTTCAATTTCTCACTGGCTCTTTTAACACCTTCGGATAATAAATCTAATAATCGAACTGTTTCGCCACTTCGGGTTTTGAACTTTTTACGATCTTCTCCGAGGACTAAACCGAATGCGACGTGTTCGATTCTTTTCACTGATTCATCATACCATCCAAAATCACGGCCAGCAGCGAAAACTGTCTGAAAATACATTTCTGAATTGCTCAGATTAGCAAGAATCAAATTTCTTGATGTTTTTGAGCCGAATTTTGTGAAGAATAGCATGTTTTGAAGAACTTTACAAGGATTGACCCAGCATTGCTCATATTAGAAATTTTTGAATTTTGCATTGCTCAGATTAATTTATTTCAATAAAAAAAAGGAATTTTTCATGTTTTTGAGTCAAATTCTGTGAAAATTAACCTCGCATTGCTCATATTAGAAATTATTGAATTTTGCATTGCTCAGATTAGATAATTTTTAGAAAAACTGTAAATTTTCAGCCCTTTAATTAGGCTCAAAATATCTAGATCTTTCGTCTTTAGGCTTTTAGGGGCTGAAAAATCCAGAATTTTTGGGCCTAAACTCATTTGGGCTTGAAATATCTAAAATTTTCAGGACTAGGCTCATTTGGGCTCGAAAAATCCCCAAAAATTGGGTCTAGGTTTATATAGCCCCTAAAAATCTAGAATTTCTGGGCCTAGGCTTATTTAGGCTTGAAATATCCAGAATTTTTGGGCCTGGACCTATTTGGACTCAAAAAATCCTCAAAAATTGGGTCTAGGTTTATTTAGGCTCAAAAATCTAGAATTTTCAGGCCAGCACTTATTTAGACTCAAAAAATCCCCAAAAATTGAATCTAAGGTTTTGAAGCTTCTAAAAATCGAGAATTTTTCGAGCCTAGGCTTGTTTGGCCTCTAAAAATCACAATTTTGATGAAAATCAGCTCAAAATTACCTCCAAATGCAAACTTTGTCCAGCATCAACAACATAAATAGCCCAATCGCATTTCTCTTCAAAGATACGATATTTGAGTGCAGCCAAATCTGAAGTATCGTATGTGAATCCTCCATCAGATTTAACAACAGTTAGCGGAACTTCACATTCACTTGGGAACATGATTTGCCTTCCTTCATCTTCTTGCAATTGTCCTGGTTTGTTTTCTTTGATCCATTTTACTAAATCAATCATTTTATCTTGATAGAAGGATTCTCCAACATCTTTGATTTTGATATCCAATTGATTGTAGACGATTTGATTATCTGAAAAAATATCCGACTTTCTTTAACTCAAAAATGACTATAGAGCTTATAGGATTCAATTTTTAACCAGGAAAGCCTCAAAAATCGAATGACATCTATTTTTGAAGTGAATTTCGGTTCAGATGTTTTTCTGGTAGATGGAGGTAGATGGTATCAGATTCCAAGAAAGTCATAAAAATTAAATCAAAATTTTGAAACAGTGAATTTTTTATTTGTGTGAAATTTCAAAAATTGGATGAAAAAGGAAAATTCCAAGTGGATTTTTTGTGTAATTTTTTCTGGGGAATTTCAATCGGTTTTATATAAAATTTCAATAAAATAAGCTAATTTCGAACAATTTTTTTCAAAAAACTCAAGCGTACTGAATCAAATTTTAAGAAAATTCCAAAATTCTTATCATAAATTTGAAACAGTGAATTTTTGCGAATTTTTCAGCTTCAATTTTTTGAGTTAAATTAAGAATGCCACGTGGATTTCTGTGCTCAGAATTGCTAATAATTTTCAATTTCAAAATTTCAATCCACTTTAATATTTTCAATTTGGAAGTGATTAATCAAATTTTCGAAAAATTCCAAAATTCTAATGAAAATTTTGAAACGTAGAATTTTCGGGAAATTGTTCTGCTTCAATTTTTAATGTTAGGTGAAAATAAAAATGCCACGTTGATTTCTGTGCTCAGAATTACTAATAATTTTCGATTTCCAAAATTTCAATCCACTTTAATATTTTCTGTTTGGAAGTGATTAATCAAATTTTCAAAAAATTCCAAAATTCTTATGATAAATTTGAAACAGTGAATTTTCGGGAATTTTTCACCTTCAATTTTTTGAGTTAAAATAAGAATGCCACGTGGATTTTTGGGCACAAAATCAAGATATTTTCAAATTCTAGAGGATTGCATATCAAATTTTCGAAAAAATTCCAAAATTCTCATAATTAATTTGAAACAGTGAATTTTCGGGAAATTTTTCTGCTTCATTTTTTCGAGTTAAAATAAAAATGCCACGTGGATTTCTGTGCTCAGAATTACTAATAATTTTCGATTTCCAAAATTTCAATCCACTTTGATATTTTCAATTTGGAAGTGATTAATCAAATTTTCAAAAAAATTATAAAATTCTTATGAAAAATTTGAAACGTAGAATTTTCGGGAAATTTTTGTGCTTCAATTTTCAATGTTAGGTGAAAAACAAAATGCCACGTGGATTCTGAAAATTCGATTTTTTTAATTCTGAAAAATTCAAGATTCAAATTTTGAAGTGAAAATATGCCACGTGGATTTTTGGGCCTAAACTTATAATATTTTCAGGATTAAATAGAGTATTATTAAAATTTCAAAAAAAAATTTCGAATTATAACGTAAAATTTTCAGCCACGTGGATTCTGAAAATATATTTTAGGGCTCAATTTTCAGGAGAAATTTGAACTTTTTCCAAAAAAAAACACGATTTTTTCGGGAACAAACTAGATTTAAAATTTTAAAAAATTTTACTGTTTCAAGAAATTTGTATCAAAAAAAAATAATGGAAAAAAATACGTTTCCAAACGATATTGATTTTCAATTAAAATTAAAAGAGAAACTTGAAACTTTTCTAGAAAAAAAAACACAGATTCTTGGAGAAAAACTAGATTTAACAATAAAATTTGAAAAAAAATTACTGTTTCATGAAAAATTACAGGATAAAATATGTTTCAAAATGCAGGTATATCAGCATTTCATAAATTTTCAATGATTTTCGCAAAACTCTACCCAACACTTCAAAATTCAAACCATTGAGATTTAGGTTATCATTTTGTCATATTCAGTTTTTCACAAAAACCATTGTGAGTTGAGTTATGATAACTTCCGATTTTTTGAATTTTTTGGGAGCCCAGAACTTGGCTCACAAGATACCTATGGACAAAAATTCCCCCTGATCCTAAGCCCCTTCCCAAAAAACCCTCACATTTCTTCGAAACATCACAAATCGTCGTCCACGCCTTCACAATATCCTTCTCATGACTTTGCAATTTCACAACACATTCATAGGCGCGTTTTTTGAAAACCTCATCTTCATCAAATCGCTTCTTCGACTCCTTATAAAACGCTTGCAAATCCGAAATATCAGGCATCTTTGTCTCAAAATCCGGAAACCTGTCATATAAATGAGCAATGAGCATTCCAAATTGAGTTCCCCAATCTCCAATATGATTAATTCTCAACACATCAAAACCAACAGCTTCTAATAATCGACAAATCGAATCTCCAATAATTGTAGATCTCAAATGTCCAACATGCATTTCCTTGGCAATATTTGGTGATGAAAAATCAACCAGCACTCGACGCTTCGCAATTTTTGGCAATTGAATTCCATTTGCAGCCAGGTTTGAGATCTGTTTTTTGATATATTCTTGATTTAAGAAGATGTTGATGAAACCAGCTGGCATAACTGTGATTTTATCGATGAATTCGATGGATTTTGGGAGTTTTGCGAAGATTTCTTGACCAACGTCTCCTGGCTTTTTGTTGACTCCGGTGGATTTGAGCTTCTGGAAAAAATGGGGGATATTCTCGAGCGCTTTGCGCGAGTGTAGACCGCAAGCTTCCGCGCAGAGGCCACGCGGATTACTATGACTTGAGAATCTTACAGATATTCAGGCCATAGTAATCCGCGTGGCCGCTAAAGCGGAAGACAGTGCCGCTGACGCGGAAGCTTGCGGTTTACACTCGCTCCGCTCGAATTGCTAATACGAGTTATGACGTGGCAAAGTCTGAAAATTCCTGATTTTACAAGGCTATAACTAACTCAAAAAATAATTTTCATGAAAATCTGATAGCACAGAGATATTCAGAAGATTAGATTAGATAATTACAGAAGGTTTTTCTGAAATCCGAAAGATTTTTAGGAAAAAGTTGTAGATTCTAATGGGGTGATTCAAATCGAAAAAAATTGATTGAAAAACGTTTTTCGACAAAAACTGTATCATTTTCCTATTTTCTGAAATTTTATCCATAGGAAAATTGTACAGTTTTTGAAATTTTCTGAATCGAAATAATTTGTCGAAAAACGTTTTTCATTTAATTTTTTCCGGTTTGACCCCCATTAGAATCTGCAACTTTTCTTAAAAATCTTTCGGATTTCAGAAAAACCTTCTGTACTCATGTAATCTAATCTTCTGAACATCTCTGTGATATCAGATTCTCATGAAAATCATTTTTGAAGTTAGTTTTAGCCTTGTCAAACCAGGATTTTTCAAACTTTGCCACGTCATAACTCATATTAGGAGTTGAGTTTTGTAATTCGAGCGCTTTGCGCGAGTGTAACCCGCAAGCTTCCGCGCAACGGCCACGCGGGAATCTTACATATAGTAATCCGCAGTTGCCGCTGCGCGGAAGCTTGCGGTTTACAGAGCGCCCGAAGAAAAACCCACCGCTGCAATCGGCATCGCCGAATTACATTGATAATCTCCAAATTGTGGATTCGGTGTCTCGGCCAACAAAAGCGGGACATCGAATCTAGGATAAGCTTGCGAAATCGCGGTTTTGAACAAATCCTGAAGTCTTCCCAAAATACTGCTTCCATAATCCTCCACTTGAACATAGTCGTATTTTTTGGCTTGTTTTGGAGCGGCTCCGCCACTGAAAATTTCACTGTTATTTGGAAGAGATTTTTCATGAGAGCTCGACTTAGACCAGATTTTTATTAGCACATATTTTTGTTGAAAATCAAAAAATTTACACGCACGTTTTTCCCTTGTCTCCTTCTTGCTTCTTCTTTTTCTCGGCTGGTTGTTGAGTTTTTCCATTTTTCGCATTTTCAGCGGTCTGGCGAGCAACGCTCTGAAAATTTTTAAATTTTTTTCGGGGCGTGAAATTTCCACGTTCAAAAATTCTCCCATTTCTAGCTAAAATATTCCCGAAAATCCTCCAGGCACGTTAATTTTAGGTCTTGAAAACGGACTTTCGATAAATGATAGTAAAATATACCAACTGCTGACCACGATTCCGATGTCAAAAACCCTAGTGATCACATTTCTGCAGCTGAAAAGGCCATTTTCAGCATGCTCCAGAGTGAAAAATCTAATTTTCTAACTTGGATAATGCTGTTCAGCACATTCAAAAACCTCGTAACATTTGAGATCATCAAAAAAGATTCTGAAAATCGATTTTTTCAGAGGATTACGGTCTGAAAACCGCGATTCTCTGAGAAAATCGATTTTCAGAATCTTTTTTTGATGATCTCAAATGTTACGAGGTTTTTGAATGTGCTGAAAAATCTTATCCAAGCTAGAAAATTTGATTTTTCACCCCAGAACACGCTGAAAATGAACTTTGCAGCTTCAGAAACGTGCTCACGGGGGTTTTGGCAATTTTTGACATCGGAATCATGATCAGCATGGTCGATTTGGTATATTTCACGATTTATCAGAAGTTCATCCCCCTTGTCCCATACCTTCTCCAAAATCTCCTTTCTATACTTCAATTTATCATTTTTCTTCTTGGCCTCCAAGATTTCTGGGCATTTTTCCAACAATTCTTCGGTCAAATCGCCCTTCTCCATTGCTTCTAATAATCGACCCAAAGCATCAACTTTGTCTAACTAAAAATATTGAGTTAGGGGAACTCCAGGGGATTTTAAGCTTACATCAACTGAAAAATCCTTGTAGGCTTCTTGAAGCTCCTTATTCGCCATTTCACTTGTGAACCCTAAAGAAAACCGTGGAAATTTGGATTTTTTGCAAAAGTATCATTGAGGTTTGAAAAAACCTTTTTCAATTCACAATTTCAAGTAAAACAATTTTTCATAATAAAATAACACAAAAATAACAATAACAAGTGAGATTCGGGAAAAAGGGGAGATTTAAAAGCTGGTTTTCTTAATAAGCAAATACAAATTCATATCCAACTCAAAAGGATGTAAATTCATGGCAGCTCCTTTCAAACGCATCAACAAGCCGCCAAAACTGGCATATGCTGATAAAATCGAGTTTTCATTGTTTGATGTGTCTCCTTCCAATCGATAAACCTTTCCGTACATGACATATTCGAATTTTTTGACAATTGGATAATCAGCTTTTGGGTCGTATTCTCCCTCATCAGCCAAACCATCTTCACGAAGTGTTGTGGCCAAAACAAGGCGGATTTTCTCGTTTGCTTCGATTGGGTAGATTTGTGAATTGATGTCAAGGATCAGTTCCATTCTAAAAACATTGCAATAACACTTTTTTTAAGGGGAAACAAGCGAAAAACTCACCCAAGTGTCTCTGAATCGCAAAAATAACGGGAAACTCTGTCAAACTTTTTGCCATCTGGATCAACGCTTTTTACCAAGAATGTGTCTTCGAAAATCACTCCTGCCATCTTCCTGCAATCTCAAAACTGTCTTAAATCACCAAATAACTCGTGAAAACCCGAAAAAACGCTGAAAAAATGAAAATACGAATTAAAGGCACATCGATTTATGGCGAAAGGTCTTGTCACGATGTGGATTTACGAGAGAAGTTGTGTAAACACCACGACGCACAAATGCACAAATGATGATATTTTCAAATTCGCGGGCCCGGGAGTTATCAAATTTTTCTTGTTTTTCAGAGGGAACTGGGGATTTTTTCTGTCAGTCAGTTGAATAAAAATGCTGTTTCTTTCAGGAATGTCAATTGCTGCCCTCGAAGCTATCGGGATTACCGTAAGTTCATTTTAAAATAGCGAAAAGAAAACAATTTAAAAGAGAAATTGTATTTTGCAGGATGAAGCGCTTCAAAAGCATTTTCAAGCAATTCAAGCACAAGGATTCGACACATCAAATGATGATTATGTTAGACTTAACCAACTCGAACGTCAATTAGCCCATTTGCAAGTGATGGAAGATTATATAAAGTTGGAGACAAGAAACCTCGAAAAAGAATTGTTGCACGCGCAAGAAGAAGTGAAACGTATCCAAAGTGTTCCATTGGTTATTGGACAATTCTTGGAAGCTGTTGATCAAGATCATGCGATTGTTGGAAGCACAACTGGATCAAATTATTATGTTCGTGTTCTATCAATCTTGGACCGTGAATTATTGAAACCTGGATGTTCTGTAGCCCTCCACAAATACTCAAATGCTCTCGTCGATGTTTTGCCACCAGAAGCAGATAGTTCAATTCAAATGCTTCGCGCTGATGAAAAACCCGATATCTCATATGCGGATATTGGAGGTCTTGATATGCAAAAACAAGAAGTTCGTGAAGCTGTTGAACTTCCATTGACACACGGTGAACTCTATCAACAAATCGGAATTGATCCCCCACGTGGTGTTTTGATGTATGGACCACCGGGATGTGGAAAAACAATGTTGGCAAAAGCTGTCGCTTCCAATACTGCTGCCTCATTTATTCGTGTTGTTGGCTCGGAATTTGTGCAAAAATATTTGGGAGAAGGTAATTTTTAGATACTTTTTCACTGTGTTGTGAGATTTCCAATGATTTCTATCGAAAAACCCTAATTTAGCACCTCGAAATCACTCTCCCTATAGGCTCCGCCCCTTTCATCCAATAAACATAGTGCACGGCGAAACCCCTGAAATGTCTGCTAGCCGTTTTCTATAAGTAAAAAAGAATTTAGCCATTCATTTGTCCGTTACTGATGTTAACCCTAGATGATTTTGAATCAGCAGCAAGACATCTCTGTACCCGCGGTTTCTCGCAGGAGGAGATTCTTGTTGCGCGGTTCTCAAAATCCATCTTACCCATAATTTTTGAAGGGCTCGACGGAGCCAGAAAATGGGATTCTGCGGCTGGAATTTTGAATTTTCAGCCCTAAAAAATAGAAATTATTCATTAAAAATTGCCTACGAATGTATTAAATTTGAATCTGTGAGCTTCTGTAATGAAAAATTGACCATAAAATTTTGAAAATGAAATTTTTATCCACGTGGATTTTTTTTTTGGGAGCCAAGAATTTGAGATTTTGAAAAATATTCGCCCAGAGCATTTTCCACGTGGATTTTTTGACGATAAAATTTTGAGTTTTTCGAGCCGAAGAATCTGAATTTCAAAGTTTTTTGCTCTAAAATTGTCCACGTGGCATTTTTTCAAAATCTGAATTTATTCGAAATTTCAAAATTCCACGTGGATTTTTTGGTTCAAAAATTTGAACTATTTGGCTTCAGAAATTTTAAATTTCAAAAATTTTCGCTTCAAAATTGTCCACGTGGCGATTTTTCAAAGGATTTTGAAATTTAAAAATTAAATTTGAAAAAAAATTCCACGTGGATTTTTTTGGTTCACAAATTTTTGAAATTCAAATTTTTTTTGGAGAAAAAATTCAAATTTTAAAAATTTTCGCTTCAAAATTGTCCACGTGGCGATTTTTCAAATTAATTTGAAAATTTTAATTAAAAAAATTCCACGTGGATTTTCTGTTTCACAAATTTTTGAAAATTAAAATTTTGTTTGGAAAAAAAATCGAAATTTAAAAATTTTCGCTGCAAAATTGTCCACGTGGCATTTTTTTCAGAAATTTTAAATTTCAAAAATGTTTGCTCTAAAATATTCCACGTGGAATTTTTTCAAAATTTGAAATTTTCAATGCCCAAATTGCTCTAGAAATACAAAATTTCTGTTTCCAGGAAAATTTGGAACCAAAATTTCAAGAAGCATTTTCTTCTGAAGAAAATTCATCTTTTTTTGTTCTAGAAGCTTGAAAAATCTTTAATTTTCAGATTTCCTAGCTGAAATTCCTCTTTTTCCCCTTTCTCTCTCCCTGACTCCGCCCACTTTTCCCAATAAACATGGCAGGCGGCGAGAGCGGCCGTAGTGTCGGCTAGTAGATATTTATAAGTTTGGCCGAGGTGTTTGCTATTCTGTACGCACATCAAATATTCGTGAACGTCACGTGACGTTATCTGTACCCGCGGTTTTTTCTCGCAGGAGGATAATGTCCGATTCGATTGATATATACAATTTTTGAAGGGCCTGAGAGGGCCAGCAATATTTTTAGAGAAAATAAAAATTGATTTTTTTTTCCAGGTCCTCGCATGGTTCGTGATGTGTTCAGACTTGCCAAAGAGAATTCACCATCTATTATTTTTATCGATGAAATCGACGCGATCGCCACAAAACGTTTCGATGCTCAAACTGGAGCTGATCGTGAAGTCCAACGTATTCTTCTCGAATTATTGAATCAGATGGACGGTTTCGATCAAAGTACAAATGTCAAAGTTATTATGGCCACCAATCGTCAAGATACGTTGGATCCAGCGCTTTTGCGTCCGGGAAGACTTGATCGCAAAATTGAGTTTCCGCTTCCGGATCGTCGCCAGAAGCGTTTGGTGTTCTCGACGATTTGCGGGAGAATGAATTTGTCGGATGATGTGGATTTGGAGGATTGGGTGGCGAGACCGGATAAGATTTCGGGAGCTGATATTAATTCGATTTGTCAAGAGGTAAGGAAATTCCACGTGGCAAAATTTTTCAAATTCAAATTTTTTGGCTTCCAAAAATTCCGTGGCACAGGGGTTTTATTACTACCGAGAATTAATCACGTACAAAACATTTTATCTGACGACAAAAAACCTCCGCAAACAGCGCGCTACGTGGCCGACAAAAAAAACAATAGCGTGTGGCTGGCCTCGCGAGATGTCGGTGGCTGCAAACACACATATAGCCCGACTTTTTTCTTTTTATTCGTGTGTCTTTTGAGCCAAAGGGTCTTCAATTTTCTTTTTGAAAATCTGAAAATATAAGCTCCGCCCACATATCTGTGCGGAAAAAGATGGGCGGAGCCAGATTGCTCGATTACAATTTTACATTGACTCGGTAGTAATAAAACCCCTGTGCGTGGAATTTTCGTTTTGAATTTGGGCCCAATTTTGTCACGTGGAATTTTCAAACAAAGTAAACATGGAAATTCCACGTGGCAAAAATAGGTCCGAAATTTTTCAAATAAAAAACTTTATTTCATATTTTTCCCCCAAAACACGTGATTTTCAAAAAATCGCTATCCATCCCAAAGTTGACGAAAATAATCGATTAAAAAATTGATTTTCTAGCTAAAAACTTGAATTTTTCTATCAATAAAATTACGAAGCTTGAAACGAAAAACACAGAGTTAGTCTATGTTTTTTCCGTTTCAAAATTTATTTCAAGAAAAATTGAAGTTTTCAGCTAGAAATCAGGATTTTCGTCAACTTTGAGATGAATATCGATTTTTTGAAAAAAAAAAATTACTGTAACTCATGAAAAATCCTAAAATCAAATTTTTCTAGGCTGGTATGCAAGCTGTGCGCGAGAATCGCTACGTTGTTTTGACCAAGGATCTCGAAAAGGCCTACAAAAATGTTGTCAAGAAGGACACCAACGACTTTGAGTTCTACAAATAATTCCCCTTTTTCTCTCACTTGTGTAAGATTTTTTATCCGAATTTTATTTATTCATTTATTTATTGTCTGATAAATATGTATGATTTATCGATCAATATTTACCGGCGAATTTGGCTCGAAGTGCCTCTTGTTTTGCCTCGTTGGATTCTTTGTTGGGTGGCATCCATGTTGTGTATTTTTCATCGCGATCTTCGTAGCTGAAAAAATTCGGCTTTTTCTGATTTCTAGTGAAATTTGGAGCATTTTGAGCTCAAAAAAGACTAGGGTACTGTAATTTTTGAGAAAAAATGCTATAAAATTTGAATTTCTTATTCCTAGAGAAATTTGGAGCATTTTGAGCCCCAAAAAATCTGGGTTACGGTAATTTTTGAATTCAATAATTCGGTACACACATATTTTGGTTATTTCAGTCTGTTTTTTAAATGTTCGTAAACTGTGATTTTGATTGTCATATGAAATAATCTTGTGTGGTTTTTCACCAATTGACAGAACATTTTCATCTAGATTTGGATTGGAGTGTGAGCGAGAAATAGGTCAACCGCACCCGCATCTTTTCCAAGAAAATAATATTTTTTCGCGAGACAAAAGAGGATACGAACAGACTCCACCTACTTTTTTTTTGAATTTCCACTTCGAAATTATGTTGACTGCACTTTTCGTGTGTGTCGGTCTGGCAATCAAGTCACATGCAGGTTAGATTTTTGTCACTCAACCAATTAATTTCCAGGCATTTGTTTCCAGATACTAATTCATCATCATCATCCTCACAATTTATTGTCGAAAATGAGTTTGCCAAATTATCTAGGTCCTGCTTTAGCTCCAGAGATTATGAGTTACTATCAGGCGATTTTATAAAACACGGTTCAGCAAGATTGTTTTCTACTTCATTGCTCGATCTAAGTTCAATTAGCATAGGACAGGAAGAGTTACGTAAAACACTACATTTTGCACCACCAACTGCATGGAAACCATATAACAATACAAGACCGAGTGAAGCAGAATTGTCATCTGTGGCTAACACTAACATCGAGGCATATTACGATCTAGTTGAGCCGAGATCCTCAATACAAAGTATTGATAACATTTGGTTTTATGAGAAAAATGTAGCGATTGCAGTTGCATATTTGGATAGACGTTTGCCATCAATTCGAAATATTTATAGACATTGGTTTGAAGAGATACTCCAAGGATTGATAGAAGATCGAAAATCAATTGATCGTATGATAGACGAGTTTCTAGCGATTTATGGCAAAATTGGAAAAGCTATTTCTGAAATGAGAAGTAACGACGATAAATGCTGGATTTAATATGGAAAATCTTTAGAAAATGTCGAGAAACCTTCGTTTTGTTAAGTTTTTCGATATCTCTCGATAAAAACTTCGAATTTTTCTGTTTTTTAATCTTCTTGTATAACTTTATAAAAGTTATTTATGTTCGAAAAATACTGTGTTTCCCAAATTCCAGCGATTTTCTAAACATTTTTGTGCTACATTCTTTCAGAGTTTTTTGTGTGTCAAAAATCATTTTACTTCTAATTTCGGGTAACCGGAATTTTTCCCCAAATTTTTTTTTGATCTCTAGATATCTATATTAGAAGTTGCAAAAAACGTGGAATTTTCGTTTTGAATTTGGGCCCAATTTTGTCACGTGGAATTTTCAAACAAAATGAACATGGAAATTCCACGTGGCAAAAATAGGTCCAAAATTTTCAAATTCAAATTTTTTGGCGCCAAAAAATCTCTGACACGTTGAATTTTCAAGCCATTTTTGTTCGGAAATTCCACGTGGCAAAATTAGGTCCAAAATTTTCCGAATAAAAAAATTTATTTCATGAGTTACGGTATTTTTTCCCCAAAAACACGTGATTTTCAAAAAATCGCTATTCATCCCAAAGTTGACGAAAATAATCGATTAAAAAATGATTTTCTAGCTAAAATGTTTGATTTTTCTTTCAATAAAATTACGAAACAGAGTTTTTCCGTTTCAAAATTTATTTCAAGGCCTAATTTTTATTGAAAGAAAAATTTTCAGCTAGAAAATCATTCGAGTATTTTCGTCAACTTTGAGATGAATAGCGATTTTTTGAAAAAAAAGTTACCGTAACTCATGAAAAATCCCAAAATCCTAAATTTTTTCTAGGCTGGTATGCAAGCTGTGCGCGAGAATCGCTACGTTGTTTTGACCAAGGATCTCGAAAAAGCCTACAAAAATGTTGTCAAGAAGGATACCAACGATTTTGAGTTCTACAAATAAATGCTCCATTTTTCTCTCACTTGTGTAAGATTTTTTTATCCGAATTTTATTTATTTATTGTCTGATAAATATGTATGATTTATCGATCAATATTTACCGGCGAATTTGGCTCGAAGTGCCTCTTGTTTTGCCTCGTTGGATTCTTTGTTGGGTGGCATCCACGTTGTGTATTTTTCATCGCGATCTTCGTAGCTGAAAAAATTCGGCTTTTTCTGATTTCTAGTGAAATTTGGAGCATTTTGAGCTCAAAAAAGACTAGGGTACTGTAATTTTAGAGGAAAAGTGCTACAAAATTTGAATTTCTTATTTCTAGAGAAATTTGGAGCATTTTAAGATCCAAAAATCCGAGGTTACGGTAATTTTTGAATAAAATTGCTTCAAAGTTAGAATTTCTGATTCCTAGTGAAATTTGAAGCATTTTGAGATCGAAAAATCCTGGGTTACGGTAATTTTCGAGAAAAAATGCTACAAAATTTGAATTTCTTATTCCTAGTGAAATTTGGAGCATTTTGAGCTCTAAAAAGCTCAGGATACTGTAATTTTTGAGAAAAATGCTCCGAAATTCGGGATTTTCGAATTTCTAGTGAAATTTGGAGCATTTTTGAGCTTCAAAAAAATTTCCAAAAAAACATTTTTTTCAAAAAATTTTTTTTGGAAATTTTGAATTCACGCCCGAATCAAAATTTTGATTTGGGCGGGAAAGAATTTTTGAAAAATTTTTTTTTGGAAGTTTTGAAAAATTTTGTAATTTCTGAGAAAAAAAACCCGAAATTTGTAATTTTTGAATAAATTTGGATTTCTCATCCAATAATACTAGGATACGGTAATTTTAGAGGAAAAATGCTCCGAAATTTGTAATTTAGGCTAACTCAAATTCTGCCACGTCATAACCAACTCACCCAACACCATAATCTTCAGCTCCGCCGATTTTCTTCTCAATTTCTCCTCGATTTTTCACAGTCTCCTGCCGAACCTTCCGATTTTCCTCAATTTTTCGCTTCTTCCTCGCCTCTTGTTCCAATTCCAGCTCTTTTTCCCAATCCGCCACTCGTTTTTTCAGCGAATTTTGCTCTTCTTCGGGCTCGGGCTCTTTTTCAGGCTTCTCAACAGGCTTCTCCGCTTTTTTCGAAGTTTCGGGCTCAACTGGTTTTGGCTCAGTGATTTTTGGCGGCTCCGAAGGTCCCGCTTCATTTTCTTGTGCCACTTTCGCGGCCGCCGCTTTTTTCGCCGCCAACATTTTCCGCAAAAATGCCTGTTTATCGCCGGAATTGGCGCTCAACGTCTTGAATCCCGTGATTTCCACAGGTTTTGCGATTTTCACCAATTTTTCGAGTTTCAGCATTTCGTGGGTGGCTGCCACGAAACGTTGACGCCATTTTGATTTTTCGGTTTTGGTCTGGAAAAATTGGATTGTTCGAAAGCTGCATGAAATTTGAGCTCTAAGCTCAAAAATCTAGAATTTTAGCTCTGAATTTTGCAAATGTGCTCCATTGAAAATTTGGCGGGTTTTTTGAATATTCAAATTTTCAGAAAAACCGAAAATTCAAATTTCCCCCCAAATTTGACCCCTGGAACATGAAAAAACTCGAATTTTAGCTCTGAAATTGGCAAACGCGCTCCATTGAGAATTCGGCGGGTTTTTTTGGGAAATTCAAATTTTTAGATGATCCCGAAATGCTCATTTTTGCCCTAAAAGGGATTTTTGGACAATTTTTGACTAAAAAATGTCTGAAATTTGAATTTTTCACCCAAAACTGCACCTTTTGGCTCAAAAATTGGTCAAAAAGATGATTTTCAGACGATTTTCGACCAAAACATGGCCAAAACTCATTATTTTTGCTCACAAATTTCACCCTCCCCATGAATTTCCCACCCCAAAACCCTCACCTTCGCATCATCTCCATATCCCCCGTTTTTCTCCAATTCTCTCATATAATCATCCAAATTATCCCCATCTCCCTCTTCATTTCTCAGCTTCTCCTTCCTCTTCCTACTTCCCAATTTATCCAACATCTTCTGGCATTCCGCCAACTCCTCTTTGGTGTTTTTCAACTGTTCCACGAGACTCTCATAAGTATCTTTTTTGCCTGCCGCATTTTCGCCGCCCTCCGCCCATTTCTGCCGTTTTTCTCGCTGTTTTTCCAATTGTCCAGTTCTGTCCAAATACAAATCATCGTCTTCCTCAAAATAATCATTGTCTTTCAGCGTTTTTTTGGCCATTCGAAGTTTTGTGTTGGATTTTCGAAGAACATTGTAGGAATCGAGGATGCGACAGGCTTCGAGAGCACATTGTGTTTGAGCGTCTTTTTTTGAGGTGGAGACGGTGGCTGAGGCTGTGAATGCACGATCTACACCATCGATTTCGACTGGTAGTCTGGAATAATGAATATTGGGCTTTGGGGTGGCTTTGGAGGAGCTAGACTTCAGGGCCTAGATTCTGGAGAGCCTAGATTTGAGGTCCTAGATTTTGTAGAGCCCTAATTTAAGACTGAGACTTTGTAAGGCCCAGATTCCAGGGCTTTAGATTATGTGAGGTCTAGATTTCGTGAGGCTTCTATAGATTTGGGACAGCCTGAACTTAGGGGCCTAGATTTTGAGGAGCCTAAACTTAGGCCTAGATTTTTAGAGGCCTTCAGAACTTTAGAGCCTAGATTTCGGGGTTTAGATTTTGTAGAGCCTGAATTTTGAAGGGCCTAAACTCAGGCCTGCATTTTTGTAGCCTAGAATTAAGGCTCAGAGTTTGAAGGACCTAGATTTCGGTATCTAGATTTTGGAGCGCCTAAATTTGACAAGGTCTAGAATCTGTAGGACCTAGATTTAGACTTAGATTCTCTAGAGTCTAGATTTTGTAGGGCCTAAATTTTGTAAGGTCTAGATTTTTAGAGCCTTTTGGATTCTATTCCGAAATTTTGTATTTTTAAAGGAGCATACAGTAATCTAGAATGTTCCTTTAAATCCTAGCAGAATTTTCAGATTAAAATTCAAAATTGTTTGAACCAAAAAATTTACTGTTTCAAAATATTTCTAAATTTAATTTTGAAAATACAACTTCGATAGACACATTTACTTATGTTTAAAAAAAATCAAATTTTTTGAAACTGAAAATTTCTGAAACCAGGAATTTTTCAATTTTTTGAATTTTCATAATTTCCCCCACAAAATTGTCCAAAACAACTCACTCAATCATACAAACCCATTTATGTGTATGCCCTTGTCCTTGTTCACTGAATTCAAAATTCATATCAAAACCTTCTCGCTCGAAAAATTTGGCCAACGCTTTTCGTGGATCTTGATTGTAGTAGGCTTCACGATCTTCCATTAGATGAGCATCGGCTTCGGGCTGAAAGAGAAAAATGGATTCTGGATTTTTTTGGTATTGAAAAATTTACTGTTTCAAAAATTTGTTAATTTTTTTTTTTTGAAAATATAATTTCGATAAATTTATCAAATTTTAGATATTTTTTTGAAATTTTTCTAGTTAAAATTTTCCAAACTTAAAAATTCACTGTTTCAAAAAATTTGTAAATTTAATTTGGAGATCAAACTTTGATAAAATAAGGAACAACCTTGAAAATTTCAAAAATTTTTTGAGCTAAAAAAGTTCACTGTTTCAAAATTATTTCGAAAGAAAATACAAATTTGATGAAACAATACATTTAAAGTTTGAAACTAAAATTTTTGGAATTAAAATTTTGATACACGAAAAATTCATTATTCATTTCCAGTAAATGATATTGAAAAAAATCACTGTTTCAAAATATTTGTAAATTCAATTTGTATATGAAACTTTGCTCAGTCAATCGTAATCAAAATAAACTTTGAAACAGAAAAAAATTAAAATTTTTGTAAACTGAAAAGTTCACTGTTTCAAAATATTTTGTAAATTTAATTTGGAGATAAAACTTTGATAGCTGAGTGATTTTTTTGGCTATATGTAGTTAGAGAATTCTGAAGAATCTATGAATTTTTCCATAATTGTCAGATTATAATGAATTTTTAAAAATTGTTGACTTAAAAAATTTACTGTTTCAAAAAATTTGTAATTTAATTTGAAGGACAATTTTTAATTTTCAGCGAATTTAATTAGAGAAAATCGCTGTTTCAAAATAATTCTTTCCGCAAGCTTCCGCGCAGCGGCACTATCTTCCGCTTTAGCGGCCACGCGGATTACTATGACGTGGATATCTGTAAGATTCTCAAGTCACAGTGATCGGCGTGGCCGCTGAAGCGAAAGACAGTGCCGCTGACGCGGAAGCTTGCGGAAAAATTTAATAAGTGACTATAGTCTAGTTAATAAGAAAATCTTACATTTTGCATCAAACTCGCTCCACCTCCTCCACCATTTTCACCATAATCCATCCCCCAACCACAACCTTCATCTTCCTCTTCTTTTTCAGCTCTTTTCTCATCTTCTTCCATTTCCTTAGCCGCTTCAGCTCTCAATTTCGCCTCCAATTGTTTTTTGTGAACACGAAGCTTCATTTCGGTCGGAGAACAATCCCACTCTTTTTCAGCATCATCTTCGGGGCCCAGCAGATTGTAGATTCGAGTGGATTCTGAAATTTTTGGAATTTTTTTCTTTTGATAAATGGGCAATATCATATGCTATGGGTATCGCATACAAAATTCGGGTTTTTATTCATCAAATTTTTGAAACAGTGAATTTTTTTGGAATTTTGAGATGGAAATTATTGCACCTGAAATCAAAAAAAAATTTGAATTTAAAATTTTCCCGCCAGAATTCCACGTGTCAAAGTTTGAAACAGTGAATTTTTTCTGAGCGGTTGAAAATTAAAAAATAAAATTTGGAAATCTTGTCGGCTAGAAATCCACGTTTCAAAATTTTAATTCTGAGATTTTCAGGTCAAAAATTCATGTGATAAAATTTGAATCTGAAAATTTAGCGATAGAAATCCACGTGTCTAAAAATTTGAATCCAAAATCTTCCCGCCAGAAATCCACGTGGTTTAATCTGAAAATTTGAATCAATAAGTTTCCCGCCAAAAATCCACGTGGTTTAATCTGAAAATTTGAATCTAGTATTTTCCCGCCAAAAATCCACGTGGTTTAATCTGAAAATTTGAATCTAGTATTTTCCCGCCAGAAATCCACGTGGCTAAGTTCGAAATTTGAATCCAAAATTTTCCCGCCAGAAATCCACGTGTCTAAAAATTCATAAAATTTTTGAAACAGTGAATTTTTCCTGACAATATATAATGTTGGAATTGAAAATTATAGAACATGTAAAATTAATTCAAATTTTTTTGAAACGTATTTTTTCCCGGGACAAAAAAACAAACCTCCAAATTGAAAAACGAATCCAACTCGAGTTCGAATATACTGTTTGGGTGGCAATTTTCGTTTATTCATCTGGAAAAATTAATTTTAATTATTTTTCAGACTTTTTTGATCTACCCGCCAACTAGATTTATTTTTTTTAATGAGAAATGTTCTGCCAGAAAAATTTCCAACCAAAAATGGCAGAAGTTTTAAAATTATGGGAACTTGGGATGAAATACCACCGGAAATCCAACAAAGTGTTGTCAAATATATGGATTTGAGATCGAGGTGAGCTAAAGAGAGAGTTAGGCTAAGTCATAAAGGTTTCCAGTCTAAACTAGACTATTTTCAGAACAGAATTCCGTCAAAGCAATCGATTAATGCAAGCGCTGGTAGATCAAACGCCGCTCCAAATCGAAGCGATCTCTTTTATTCGAGAATTCGATATGGCTACGAATATTGATCTGATACGATTTTCGATTGCAGAAAAATCGGGAGAAAACTACAAATTATATTCATTCCACTTCAAAAATGATGCGGAAAATGATAATCGAAGTCTGGAGAAATATGAGGATAATGATTTGGTTTCGGAGAAGAATTTGGGAGAAAAAAGCCATGTGGCAGAAGCTTATGAGACGTTGAAGAGGATTCTGATGATTCCGAATATTCGATTCCAGCAAGCCACGTTTTCGGCTGATTTGAATTTTGAGATTGATTTTGAGGTAGGTTTGCGGCGAGCGGAGCGAGTGTAGACCGCAAGCTTTTGCGAAGCGGCCACGCGGATTACTATGACTTGAGAATCTTACAGATATCCAGGCCATAGTAATCCGCGTGGCCGCTGAAGCGGGAGATGGTGCCGCTGCGCGGAAGCTTGCGGTTCACACTCGCGGCTTCGCTGCTCGAGCGAAGCGAGTGTATACCGCAAGCTTCCGCGTCAGCGGCCACGTGGTTACTATGACGTAGAAGCTCTCCTATGATTTCCACGTCATGGTAATCCAGAACTCCTATTATTTCCACGTCATAGTAATCCACGTGGCCGCTAAAGCGGAAGACAGTGCCGCTGACGCGGAAGCTTGCGGTTTACACTCGCTTCGCTCGATGACGTGGCAAACTTCAAAAATAGGGATGAAAACTAGCTTCAGAAATTCCTTATTTCCAAGAAAATCTGAGTATCCACGTGGCAAAATAATCCGGTCGCTTCGAAAAAAATTCAATTTTTAATCAAAATTTTAAAATTTCAGTTCGAAATGAATCAATTTTCTGGTAGATAACTTCTCATTTTTGAGCATAAAATGAGAATTGCTCAGATTTTTGATTAAATATAGTTTTTTTTTTACTTATCTACCAGAAAACCTGCCCAAAAATATTAAAAATTGATTCATTTTGAGCCGAAATTTTTAAAATTTAATTAAAAATAAGTAATTTTTGAAGCTAAATAGTTTTTTTTTCAAAACTTTGCCACGTCATAACTCATATTAGGAGTTGAGTATTTCGAGCGGAGCGAGTGTAGACCGCAATCTTCCGCGTCAGCGGCACTATCTTCCGCTTTAGCGGCCACGTGGATTACTATGACGTGGGAACCATAGAAATCTACAGGTCCACGTCATAGTAAACCACGTGGCCGCTGACGCGGAAGCTTGCGGTTTACACTCGCTCCGCTCGAGCAGCGAACCCGCGAGTGTAAACTGCAAGCTTCCGCGTCAGCGGCACTGTCTTCCGCTTAAGCGGCCACGTGGATTACTATGACATGAAAATCATAAGAATCCACAAGTCTCTCATTTTGCAGGGCCTAATCCATGCTCAAAACGTTCAAATCTCGCAAAACTTCCAATGGCTCCCAAAATTCGCCCCAAACATCGAAAAATTAATCGTCTTCAACAATATCCCAGTAAACCTCCAATTTTGTCAAACAATTCAATTCAAAACAGCCAAAGATGTATTCCTCGATGTGCCCAATCAAAATTGCGATGAGCACGAGATTTTGGAGTTTTGCGCGCATCGCATTCAATTTGCATCAACGACTTTGTCTACCAGAATAATCAAGGCGGTTTTGAGGAAACTTTACATGAATGCGGTGAATTTGCAAAGTGATTCAAGATTTCTATGCTTGGCTGATGATAATGCAAATCTTGAAGAGATTTCGGAAGGTTTTGAAGTTATTTCACGAACTCCTCCTAATTCTGATCGGAAAGTATATCGAATTGATTTTCAAAGAAGAATGTTAGAATTAATATTGGATAGTTCTGGATTGGATGTGGTGTTTGAAGCAAAATTTGTTGAATAATATAATTAAATATTTTTTGAATATATACCTTTGTGCCATGTGTACTTCCTAATTCATAAATATGCCATCCTTTTCCACTTTTTCCCATTCGATCATCGCCATATTGTAAAATGCAGTGAAACCTTGAGATACTTGGGTGCTCCATCACCAAATCGCAACTCGGTTTTATCCGACCAATGATGATGTAACTCGAATTTTTGCGATTTTTTAGGTCGAAACTTCCGATTATCCGACCTTCTTTGAGAATTTCTAATTGGAAATCGTCGTTTTCGGGATCGCAAGCCCATGGGGGAGGTGTGTAGTCGAGAATTGGAGCGTTTATTGAGATTTGCTGCTGCTGCTCTTCGAGTTTTTCTTCGATTTTTGGAGGCGGAACTTCAGTTTTTTGAAGTAGAAGTGGCGCTTTGAAATCTGTCATTTTTTAGCTGGAAAAAAATCGGTTCGAAGTTTTCAGCTTGAAAAGTGATATCCGCAAGCTTCCGCGTGGCCGCTAACGCGGAATCTTGCGGTCTACACTCGCTACGCTCGAAAAAAATAAAAAAACGCCGGAAAAAAAAGAAAAATTCGAATTGTCATACGGTAACGAGAAATGTGTGCAATGTGAACCGTAGTATTTTCGAAAGACGCATAACTGGTAAAGTGATGACTATTTTTAGGTTTTTTGCTGGAATTTTGTTGATTCTTGGTCTTTAACGACCTTGGGGTAATATAGGGATCCCTAGGAAGCTTGGCGAAAACCTGAAACTCCAAATTTATTGACTTTTTGCTAGACAATTTTCAAATTTTCTCGATTTCGTTGCGAGATATTCTTGCAAAACAATTATGCACCTTTAAACCGTACCACGATTTTTCCAGAAGCATTTTTTTCTTTTTTTCCTAACGTGTTTTTTGCGTGGCGCCACGTGAAACTAGCATGACGTGTCACTTTTCATTTTCAATTTTTATATTGCCAAAAAAGGGTCTCCCTGTTATTACTTAGCAACGCTCTGCCCGTTTCAATGTCCACTTTAATTGTTATGCAAAATCGATAATCTAGTTCTCCCCTCCCTCTTTTTACTATTTTTATTCATATTTGCACTTTTTATATATATTTATTTCATGCGAGCCACAAAAAATAAAAAAAGTGAAATTTTAGGTAAAACCAGCCAAAATGTTGTTGTTGAGTCGAAAATGGGTAATATTTTATATTTTTATGATCTCCACTATAACATTTGCCAGTAGCTCTGATGAATTTGAAGAACTTGTCGAAACTGAAGATGAGCCAATTCCTCAAGAATCAGTTGAAGAAGAGGAGAAGGAGAAGTATCAACCGGCGCAATTTGTGGCACCGCATTTTGGCGAACAATCTAGCAGTCAACCCCTGTTTTTCGACTATTTTCCAGCGAATCGAAAGATTGGCGAGAAATGGGTTAAGAGTTCGGCTGAGAAGTATGCGGCAGGAGTTTTGGCGATTGAAGCACCGAAAACTGTGACACTTGAGGGGGATTTGGGATTAGTTGTCAAGACTAAAGTGAGTAGAAAAGGACTAAATGAAATTTTCATGTTTTTTAAGCAAATGAGTTGAAATATTGGTTTCTAATGTTATTCATATGATAGAATGGTCTAAGACGAACAGAATGATATAAATTTTGACGACTTTGGGTAACTCATAAGTGATTTAGGGAGTCTTGAACGAAAAATTCGACTAAACCTCGCTAAATCACTTATGCGTTACCCAAAGTCGTCAAAATTTATATCATTCTGTTCGTTTTAGACCATTCTATCATATGAATAACATTAGAACCCAATATTTCAAATAATTTGCTTGAAAAACATGAAAATGTCATTTAGCCAACTATATTGCGGAGGGATTTTGACAAGAAATTGCAGAACTCAATTGCTGATATAAGCTATGACGTGGCAAATTTTGGGTTTTACAAGGCTATAACTAACTTCAAAGATGATTTATGAAGATCTGAGGTCATAGGGTTGTTCAGCGAAGCCTATTACCTAGGAGGCTTGCGATCGAGTAAAATTATGTTTGCGACCTTCCTGAATTACTCAAGAGGCTTGAAATAAGTGAAATTATGTTCGAGACCTTCCAGAACACATAATTTCACTTGATTTGAAGCCTCTTCAGTAATTCAGGAAGGTCACAACATAATTTTACTCGATCGCAAGCCTCCTAGGTAATAGGCTTCGCTGAACATCGCTATGACATCAGATCTTCATGAAAATCACCTTTGAAGTTAATTATAGCCTTGTAAAATCCAAAATTTGCCACGTCATAGCTTATATCAGAAGTTGAGTTCTGGAAATTCTATTTGGCCTATAATTCCAATGAAAAATCTTGGATTTTTCACGGATATTTCAGGCCTATATAAGGTAGATCAACTACTTCACTCGCGCAATTTTGAGTGTCAAATTGTCTCGAATTTTATGTTGATACATTCGATTTTCCAGGCTCGCCATCACGCAATCGCTGCCAAACTCGACAAACCCTTCAATTTCGACGCGACAAGCGCGGATAAATTGGTGGTTCAATACGATGTGAAATATGAGGAGGGACAAGAATGCGGTGGTGGATATTTGAAATTGTTGAGCGAGGGAGCTGAGAAGAATTTGGCCGATTTCCAAGATCAAACTCCGTATACAATTATGTTTGGACCGGATAAATGTGGATCGAATGGAAAAGTTCATTTGATTTTCAGATATAGGAATCCGAAAAATGGATCGATTGATGTGAGTGGAAAATTGATCATACTGATGTCAAAAATTGCCAGAAATCGAGCAATTTCTGGAGCTTGCAGCAATTTTCATTATGTTCTCAAAAATCAATTTTTATCACTTGGATAATGAAATGGTTTAGAAAAAGAAGTAAAGCACATTCTAAAACTCTATAAAAATTTAATTTTTGGATTTAGAATGTGCTTTACTTCATTTTCTGAACCATTTCATTATCCAAGTGATAAAAATTGATTTTTGGGAATATAATGAAAATTGCTCCAAGCTCCAGAAAGTTCTCGATTTCTGGTGATTTTTGACATCAGTATGATCGATTTTGTAGATTTTACTATCTCAAATCTAATTCCAGGAATACCACGCGACTCAATCCCCAAAAACCGGCACAACCTATTGGGATGATCACAAAACCCACCTCTACACTTTCGTCTTCAAACCAAATGGTGAATATAATGTGAATGTTGACAGCTCAACCTTGTTCTATGGAAATATTTTGAATGACGTCATTCCACATTTGACACCACCAAAAGAGATTTTCGATCCGAGTGATGTGAAGCCAAGTGATTGGGATGATAGGTATGGGTTTTTGGTCGAGCGGTGGAGCCGCGAGTGTAGACCGCAAGCTTCCGCGTCAGCGGCACTATCTTCCGCTTTAGCGGATTACTATGAAATGCATATTTGTAAGTTTAATCCACGTGGCCGCTAAAGCGGAAGACAGTGCCGCTGACGCGGAAGCTTGCGGTTTACACTCGCGGCTTCGCTGCTCGAGCGGAGCAAGTGTAAACCGCAAACTTCCGCGTTGCGGCACTGTCTTCCGCTTTAGCGGCCACGTGGATTACTATGACGTGGAAACCATAGGAGTTCTAAAATTCTACGTCATAGTAATCGACGTGGCCGCTAAAGCGGAAGATAGTTCCGCTTCAGCGGCCACGTGGATTACTATGACGTGGACCTGTAGATTCCAATGGTTTCCACGTCATAGTAATCCGCGTGGCCGCTGAAGCGGAAGCTTGCGGTTTACATTCTAAGCTTCCGGGATCTGAATTCGCAGATTTACAACAAAATCTCCTGTTTTCAGAGCTGAAATTGAAGACGAAACCGCTTCGAAGCCAGAAGATTGGGACGAAAATGAGCCGAAAGAAGTTGTTGATGAAAATGCGAGCAAACCATCGGATTGGAATGAGGAGGAAAATGAATTGATTGCGGACTCCGAAGCAATTAAGCCAGCTGATTGGGATGAAGAAATGGATGGAGAATGGGAACCGCCCATGATTGATAATCCATTGTGTAAAGGTATTAGTGGATGTGGATTGTGGAAACCACCGACTATTAAGAATCCGAAGTATAAGGTTGGTTTTTTGAAAATTGCAGAACTCAATTGCTAATATGAGTTATGACGTGGCAAATTTTGGAAAAACAGTGAATTTTTCCCCGAAAATTTTGTGTTTCTTTAAAAAAATTCCAAATTCTCACTATTTTCCAACCTAACATTCAATTTTCAAGCATTTTTTCAGCCCAGATTCCAGAAACAGTGAAATTTTCATGGTTTTTCACTATTTTTCAAGCTGATTAAAAATTTTGAGCATTTTTCAGCTCAAAATTCAGCAGTTTAGTTAATTTCTGTGAAAAATTCCAAATTCTCACTATTTTCCAACCTAAAATTCAATTTTCAAGCATTTTTTCAGCCCAGATTCTAGAAAAATGAATTTTTCATGGTTTCCAAGCTAAAATTAATTTTTTTCACCTAAATATCAAATTAGAGCTACTAAAAATGCACCAAATTTTTGAAACAGTGAATTTTTCACATAAAATCTTTGCCACGTCATAACTCATGTTAGAAGTTGAGTTCTGGAAATTTTATTTGGCCTGAAATTCCAATGAGAAATCTTGGATTTTTCACTGATATTTCAGGCCTATATAAGATAGATCAACTACTTCACTCGCGCAATTTTGAGTGTCAAATTGTCTCGAATTTTATGTTGATACAATCAATTATCGATTTTTGAAACTATATGTTATTCAGAATCAATTTTGCTCCTATATAGTTCAAAAATTTGAAATTTTGACTCTGAAAACTAGATTTTTCTTCATTTAGACGATTTCAGAGCGAAATCTCTCACTGATTTAGCCTAAATCATAGCCTAATTAATTTTCTAGGGAAAATGGATCCGCCCAAAAATCGCCAACCCCGCTTTCAAAGGTGTCTGGAGTGCTCGACTCATCGAAAATCCCCATTATTTTGAGCCAACTCCATTTGACGGCCTTACTCCAATCACAGCTGTTGGTATTGAAATGTGGACAATGAGCGAGAATATTGTTTTTGGTGGGTTTGGGGCATTTTTGGGTTGAAAAATAGTGAAAATTTGGAATTTTCAAAGGAACACAAGATTTTCTATGAAAAATTCACTGTTTCAAAAATTGGTAAATTTTTAGTAGCTCTAATTTGATATTTAGGTGAAAATGAGTTTAAAAATTTGAATTTAAGGTTGAAAAATAGTGAAAACTTGGAATTTTTCAAAGAAACACAAGATTTTCTATGTAAAATTTAGTTTTTCAAAAATCTAGTGTTTTTTGAGCTGGAAATATTTGTTTAAATTTAATTTCAGGTTGAAAAATAGTGAAAATCATGAATTTTTGAATATTATAAAATTCACTGTTTCAAAAAGTGTTGAAAATTTTGTAAAAATACAATTCCAGTGATTTTGTGTTGAATAACTCTATTTTTCCAGACAATATTTTAATCACTACATCAGTCGAAGACGCTGCTGAAATTGCCCAACAAACATATTCCATCAAAAAATCGGAAGAAGCCAAATTAGCCGCCGCAAATGGAGAAGGTTCCGGAATCTTGGGAAGTATTTTCGAAGCGGCCGAAGAGAAACCATGGCTTTGGGCTGTTTATATTCTCTGCCTTATTCTTCCCGTCATTTTCTTTGCCGTTTTCATTTTTGGAAGAAAATCGAAGCCGGCGCCGGTGAATTATGGAAGTAATAAGAGAAATGAGGATGATGTTACGAATTTGGGAGATGAGGATGAGGAGGAGGATGAGAGTCAGGTGAGGGTTTTGGGGGATTTTTTGAGGCTAAATAAGGCTAGCTTCAAAAATTTGGATTTTTTTGAGCCCAAATGAGCCCCGATTCAAGTTTTGAGGTTTTAAAGCCTGAAGCCTAAAATTAGACCTGCATAAGCCTAGATCTTGTCAAAAATTTCTTCATAAATTACATTTTTGAAAAAATTTGACCTGGAATTTGTACGTTTCAAGATTGTTACGAGTATTTTTTGAGAATTTTTCTATTGTTACGAATTAGAGACAATGTAAAAAGCAGAGAGCGCAGACATAAATGTTTGTATTTTGTCGAGAATTTCTCAGTTTTACATTGTCTTTACTCGAATTTTTTTGCATAGGAAAAATGATGTTTTTTTACTACAAAATATTGATCTTAATGAGTGAAATTTTTCTAGTGGTTACTGTAGTTTTGTTGTGAAAAAGTTTCAAACTGCATTTTTTCAAGCTACAAAACTATTCGAATCATCCTGAAATTACAATTTAGAGCCCGAGTTACTGTAGCTCTCAAAAATCCGTGTATTTTAACACCAAACAAGTCTAGGGATCTAGGGTTACTGTAGATTTTGTCGCGAAATTTTGGGATTTTCGAGATTCCACGTCATAGTAATCGACGTGGCCGCTTGGAAAATACATTTTCCTCCCAAAACTCTTCTAATTTTCAGCCCGGACCATCTGGAACTCAAAACATCGCAGCTTCTCCAGAAGAAGATCAAGAAGACGAAGATTTGGAAGAGATCCCCGGAGATGTTCCACAACAAAAAACCGCCGAAAATTCGTCAGCCGAAGAAGATGTTGAAGTTATTGCAACTGAGGAAATTGTTGGAAAAAAGAGCCCAAAACAAACTGGAGCCAAAAGACGTGTTGCAAGAAAAGATTAGGCTTATGAAGTTATCTAAAATTATTTGTTTTCCCCGTTCCCCTTCCCGAAATCTACCAAAAAGAGCTCATTTTATTTATTTCTCCCCGTTTTTTTTCGCTTTTTTTAATTCCAAAAACTTGTGTGTGATTTGATTTTCATAATGAAATTAATTTTTAAACAAAAAACAACAATAATTTCAACAACTTATGATAACTTGTAATAATAATTCACTCCCCAATACTCGAATTTTCAACTTCTTTCAATAATTCCGATCTTTCTTTCATCTCCTTTTTCCTCTGTTCTCCACTAGGTTTTGACCATTTATTTCCATCGCCAACCTTGCGATTTCCCACTTTTTTTGGTGTTGGTTTTTTTGGGCGTGAGGAGTTTAGAGGGCGGAAGGCGATTTCGCGGTCTGATGAGCATTGCATGCTGAAAAATTGGGATTTTTTGAGTCTAGATAAGCCTAGGGGGATTTTCGGGGCTTTTTGAGGCTAGATTCAAATTTTTGGAGTCTAAACAAGTCTAGGCCTGAAAATTTGAGATTTTTGAGCCTAAACAAGCCTAGACTCAAATTTTGGGGACTTTTTGAGCCTAAATAAGCCTGGATTCAAATTTTCGGGGATTTTTCGAGCCCAAGTTAGTCTAGGCTCGAAATTTGGGATTTTTTGAGCCTGAATAAGCCTAGATTCAAATTTTTGGGATTTTTTTGAGCCTGAATGAGCCTGGGTGCTCTAAAGATCCCCAAAAGTCGAGCCTAGGCTAATTTAGGCTTGAAAAATCCTAAAAATTGGACCTAGCCTTATTTAGGCTCAAAAATTTTGAAAATTTTAAACCCAAAACCCGAAAAATGCTCACCTCATACAACTAAATTCTCCCGGAAATGGATCTTTCGAAACAACAATAAAAATGACTGGAACTTCAATCGTGGCTCGAATGCTGGAAATATTTTCAGATTTTTTTTTTAAATTTCAGATTTCAGGCTTCTAATTTAATTAAAAATCAAGTTTTTCAGATGAAAATTAGCCCAAAATTCACAAATTTTCAGGAAAAAAAAATCGCAAGTTAGACTAACTCTCTGGGTCCTTCCATCAAACATTTCCACAGCACAACACGTTTTGAATAGGTGATTTTTGTCCATTGATATAATTCGATCTGCAAAATTTCAGATTTTCAGCCAAAATTTGCAGATTTTCAGCCTAAAAAAATTCCAACCTTGGCTTGAGATTTGAAGACTTCAACACATGAGATCGCTTTATCTGTAGCTCCATCGATTGATTTGAAAATAACGAAACGATTCGAGTCATCCTGAAATTAAATTTTGCAGTCCGGATTACTGTAGCTCTGAAAATTCCCGTTTTTTGACACCAAACAAGCCTAAGTTACTCTAATTGTCTAGCTGTCTAATTTCTCTGCGTCTCTAACTCTCTAGCTGTCTAAATTCTCTGCGCTTCCTAAATTCTCTGAGTCTCTAACCTTCTAGCTGTCTGATTTCTCTGCGTCTCAAGCTGTCTAGCTTCTGTGCGTCTCTAGCTCTCTGATTTCTCTGTGTCTCTAACCTTCTAGCTGTCTTATCTCTGCGTTTCTATCCTTCTATCTGTGTGATCTCTAGCTTTCTAGCTGTCTGACTTCTCTAACTATCTAGCTCTCTAATTTCTCTGCGTCTCTAACCTTCTAGCTGTCTAATTTCTCTGCTTCTCTAGCTATGTGATTTCTTTGCGTCTCTAACTCTCTAGCTGTCTGATCTCTAACTCTCTAGCTGTCTGGCTTCTCTGCGTCTCTAACTCTCAAGCTGTCTAATTTTTCTGCATCTCTAACTGTCTGATTTCTCTGCGTCTCTAACTCTCTAGCTGCCTAAATTCTCTGCGTCTCTAACATTCTAGCTGTCTAGTTTCTCTACATCTCTAGCTCTCTAATTTCACTGCGTCTCTAACTCTCTAATTTCTCTGCGTCTCTAACTCTCTAATTTCTCTGCGTCTCTAACTCTCTAGCTATCTGGCTCCTCTGCGTATCTAACTCTCTAGCTGTCTGATCTCTCTGCGTCTCCAACTCTAGCCTTATTTGGTCTCAAAAAACGTGGAATTTCCGCGTTAACCTTCCGCGCGGAATTTTTCCGCGTCCAAAACCGCAACAAACCTCAAAAAACCTGTCAACATGTTGAATAATATGTCGAAATTTCGCATTTTTTCCCACATTCATCGTTTTACAGTCACGAAACGGGTCTGGAAATGGATTTTCAGCCTCTTCAACCGATTCGTCGGCTGGAATATAGTTGTCCATCTGAAAATATGTCAATTTCAGGCTGAAAATTCCAAAATTTCGGTCAAAAATACTTGAATTTGGGCTCAAAACCCGTTAAAAATCATGAAAAATGCACAGAAAAATAGGAAAACCCGGATTTTTTGAGCAAAAATTTACAAAAATCAATATGATCTACAACTAATATCATCGGAATACGAGGAAAATGCGGATTTGCGTCCAAAATCTGTCGATTCTTCGGAAAATTCGAGAGATTTGTAGAGGGAGTAGCGAAGACGATCCTGGCGGCAAACTGAAAGAAATTTTTTCGCATTGCTCATGTTAAGAGCATTATTTTGAGTGTAAATATGGCATTGTTCATGTTAAGAGCATTATTTTAAAGCTAAACACAGCATTTCTCATGTTAGGGTTAAATTAAGGTATTTTAAGGTAAAAAAAGCACTTACGATCCAGAAAAAGCGATAAATTCTTCAAAAATTCTTGATAATGTCGATCAGCTGAAACTGCGTCATCAGAGATACAAGAAGTCGAAGATTCCGAAACACTTGTGACCATCTGCAACAAAAAATGATAAATTTTTCAGGAAAATCATCATTTTTAGCCTGAATTTAAAAAATTTTTTATCAAAAACCTCACCATTTTCAAAATTCTCGCAGTTGATCCTCGATTCAATGATAACATCAAAATCGCCGCAATTTCTTTCATAAAAATTCGATGAGATCGATAGCAGATATTCAGACATTCATTGCTGTTCAGTGATTTGTTTGAGAGCTCCAAATCGAGTTTTTTCTGGAAATTTTTGAATTATCAAAGGTGGCAAGGAGCTCAAAAACTGTGAAAAATTGAATATTCGGTTCTTCCACAATTTTGGAAGTATTTAAAGGTACATGCGCTTAAAGAAATAGACAACTTTTAAAACTGAGGTTCAGGCTGGCCCAATATCTTGATTTTGCTTACTTTTCTACATACTTTCCAACCAGAAATCATTCAAAATATGTGCGTTGATAGAAATGGCGCAAGGTTGAAAAAAAATAATTCGAATTTGAACGCCCGCCGAGTTCTAGATAATCTAGTGCATTTTTGGGCGGCGGTGTGCGGTGTTTGCAGACTTTTTTTTTACTTTTATTTTTTTTTCGTTTTTTTTCGCAAAAAAACGGAGTTTTGTGATGAAAATCGGTTTTCGACTAACGCAGCACATCAGGAATCATGTTTGTTGATATTTCGGTGAGTTTTCATGAACATTTCATAGTTTTCATGTCCATTTTCAGGAAAAATCGGCGATTTACAAGTTTCGAAGGATTTTCGATGGAATTCTCAATTCAAGTCGTTTTTTGACGTTTGGTGAGTTTTTTGTCAAACTTTTATGCTAGATTATAGTGACTCTAGGCAGAATCGAACAAATAACAACTTTAATTGTTAGTTTTGTAACGATTTTGGCTGTGAGCCCATCAAAATTCAAAGTTTTATTGAAAAATGAATCTGAAACTGATTTAATTATTGTTAATTTCAGAGAACAACTTCAATGTGCTGTGTTAATGGATTTGGAGCCTTAACAAAGTAATGATTCGCCAAAAACATCCCGGAATTCTGCGATTTTCAGAAATTCGCCAATTTTTGAAGATTCGGAGCCTATCCAAAAATTTCTTTGCTCAAATTTTCACTCAAATGTTATGTAAAATGTTCCTTTCAATAAATTTGCTAGATTTTTCCAATTTTTTATTCGGTTTCTTTAGGTTTCTTGCTTTCCACAAACCAAAAAAAATAAAAGTAAAACAACAAGACTCCGCATGACGCTGCGCTCACACAATCGCGGCAATTTTTTTATTTTCAAACGAGGGTTTTTTAATTTTTTTCTTTTGCTTCAAAAAGGGGTTAGAGTGAGTTTTGAGAGTTCTCCCTTTGCAGATGTGTTAAAAATAGTATGAAAAAAGTAATTTTGGCCTGTTTTGAACCGTAGCTTAAAAGTTGTCTATTTCTTTAAAAATCTTGTCAGGACCCGATTTCTGATGAAAAATCGGATATTTTTATCCTGCCTCTACTAGGTCAGCTTTCGAAACAGTGAATTCTACATGATAATTTGTAAAAAAAAAGACCTCGGGAAAAGAACCGCAACTGACCGCAACTGTGGCAGCATTTGTCGCAGCTCTGCGGCACCGTAACACATGCGCCGGAGTTGCGCCCATTTCCGCAACATTTGACGCAACAGTTGCAAGTTTTGTCGCAACTCCGGCGCATGTGTTGCGACAAAAAGATGCTGCAGCGCTGCGACAAATGCTGCCACAATTGCGGTTCTTTTCCCGAGAACGTGCTTGGAATCAAAACAAAAACCTCAACAAAAAAATTATAAAATTTTTGAAATAGTGAATTTTTCTGAATTTATTTTTATTTTTTGTTTTCAAATATTTGAGCTCAAAAATTAGAAAAATCGAATCTTTCGATAAATTCGACGAAAAAATTATTCAATTTTTGAAACAGTGAATTTTTTCTGAATTAATTTCACCGTATTTTTTGTGTCAAAAATCAATTCGTAATTTTCATCCGGATTTTTCATATCAAATGTTTACATTTAATTTTTAGGTAAATTTTCACTACAAAATTCAGAATTCGAAAAAAATCTAGTTTTCACTCAACATTTTCAATTTTTTAAACTATATTCAGAATAATATTTTATTGGAATCAAATAAAAAACTCAACAAAACACGTATTCAATTTTTGAAACAGTGAGATTTTCTGAACTAATTTTTGATTTTTTACAAAATTGCAGAAGCATCAAATCAAATCAATATTTCTAACAAAAAAGTTATAAAATTTTTGAAACAGTGAATTTTTACATAAGGTCCAGCAAAAGAGGCATCACTGATGAGACCTCCTCTTTACCGTCTGATGAAAAGGTCGAAACGGTTCACTTGCGTTCTGTTTTTTCTTTCTTTCTAAACTTATATTATTTCTTAATTTCTCCCTTCTTTCTTTCTTTCTTTCTTTATTTTTCTGAATATATTCTTATTTTTTGCTTGCAAATATTTCAGCTCAAAAATTATTTATCAAATCAAAGTCTTCAAAAAACTCTAATAAAATTTTTGAAACGTAAATTTTTCTATTTTCTGAACTCTACAAAATTTTTATCCAGAAATTTTTTTTCCAATTTAATTTTTCAAAATTCAAAAAAAAACTTTACTCATAGAAAAAACCAATTTTCGTCACAAATGATTTCAGAAATTTCAAAAACGATATCCAAAATACTTTGTGTGATGGTATCAAACCCAAAATTCCAAAGAAAAACTTCTACAATTTCTGAAACAGTGAATTTTTCTGAATTAATTTTTGACTTATTGTTTGTTTGTAAAAATTTAGGCACAAAAATTAATCAGATCAAAAAATCTTCAAAAAACTCTAATAACAATTTTGAAACGTACATTTTTCCATATTTTTGAACTCTACAAAATTGTTTCCCAATTTAATTTTTTAAAATTCAAAATAACTTTAATCGTAGAAAATTCGTATAAAAACCAATTTTCAGCAAAATTCTCAGAATTAAAAAAAAAACGTTTTCCAGCATATGTTATGCGATGGGATCAAATCAATAATTCCAAAAGAAAAACTTCTAAAATTTTTGAAACAGTAAATTTTTTGAATAAACTTTTGACTTATTTTTTAGGCCCAAACATTGATTATCAGATCAAAAAATCTTGAAAAAACTCTTATAAAATTTTTGAAACAGTGAATTTTTTCTGAATTAATTTTTGATTTTTTTTACAACGCAAAATAGAATCAAATCAAATCAATATTTTCAACAAAAAAAGTTATAAAATTTTTGAAACAGTGAATTTTTCTGAATTAATTTTTGATTTTTTTTACAACGCAAAATAGAATCAAATCAAATCAATATTTTCAACAAAAAAGTTATAAAATTTTTGAAACAGTGAATTTTTCTGAATATATTCTTATTTTTTGCTTGCAAATATTTCAGCTCAAAAATTATTTATCAAATCAAAGTCTTCAAAAAACTCTAATAAAATTTTTGAAACGTAAATTTTTCTATTTTCTGAACTCTACAAAATTTTTATCCAGAAATTGTTTTCCAATTTAATTTTTCAAAATTCCAAAAAAAAACTTCTACAATTTCTGAAACAGTGAATTTTATTGAACTAAATTTGGGCTCAAAAATTGATTTTTTTTCCACTCATCATTGATTAAAAGACCAAATGAACAATTCCCACAAAAAAGTTATAAAATCTTCCCTATAAAAAAACGCTCAAAAAAAATGAATCTTCGCTGTCCGCAATGAACACCATGACGCAAACTTGCACACATTTTTTTTGGGCAGCTTGCCAATTTTTCTCAACAGATCGTAGATTAAAGGGAGGACGAATTGTTCGTTTGGGTCTCATCGCGATGTGACGCGCTGCTCAAATGTTTTTCATTTTCTCTTTTTTTTCGTTTTTTCTCTTTTTTCGCCGAGGTTGCGATCTGGAGGCTGCCGTTCAACTCAGCTTCAGAACAGCATGAGCAAGAATTGGAAGAGCTCGAAGCAATTTATACAGAAGGGGAATTCTGAATCGAGAACATCCAGAAATCAGCCTACAAATAACACTGAAATCAAATCAAGTAAGTTTTTGCTTCAATTTATTTGTTAAATTGAAATCATGTAAACTTTTTGCAGTTTGGTGAACCTGGAAATGATGATTTTACAGTTGAATTAAGTATAAAATTCACTGAGAATTATCCGGAAGGGATTCCTGAAACAACAATTGATGGAATTGATGAGAAATTTGAGGTTACTCGGATTTTCGAAATTTCGAGGCAATTGAGAAAATGAAAGCGGTTGCTGAAGAGAATTTGTGTATGGCTATGGTATTTGCGATAGATAGCAATGCAAGAAGAAATTGAGGAATTATTAAATTTGAAAAGGCGGAGGTTGCTCGAAATCGAGCAAAAAGTAGGGAAATGTTGTGACGCCGAAGAGTTTACGCGCTTGGAAGGAGAAATTCGATGCGGAGCGGAAGGCGGCAAATGAGAGTGCGGAGAAGGAGCGATTGGCTGCGTTGGATGGCAGGTTGACGGACGGGAAGACAATTGTTCTTGAAGGGTGCCACTTTGAATTTGTCGGATATGACGTTGATTGGAGCACAGGATGAGGTCGAAATTGATTTGTCACTTTTTGGTAAAGAGGTGAGTAACTTTTCTGGGAGAGTGGAGGGGAGGGGGTGGCACAAGGGTAAAAGAGAACCTTTCCAAGGTAAAACCGCCATATTTCGAATTTGCAAATTCACGAATCGCATCCTTACAAATTATTCATAAAAATTCGCGCTGACGCGGATAACTTGCATGTTTTCATATTAACATTCCAAATTATTTAGATGCCAACTCAATCGCCTCCATTTTCGACTGGACCATGCAATATATTGGTAATTTTAACTTTATGTTGTTTTTTTTGTCAATAAATATTATAAAAATAAGATGAATTCCTTCATAATGTGGTTCCTCAGCAATCCGGATCCCCGAAATTTCTCTTTCCGCATTCCCAAGAAAAATGAATATAATTTTTCAACGGAGTGATTCTACAGAATCTGGTTGGAAAATTGGAAAGCTGACAAAAATATTTATGTGCACGATTGCATTACGGTCTTTGCAGCTTTTGCGCTTTTTTTGATTTTTAAATTGAAGAATATTTCTCGAGCTAATTTGAGTTCCCGGGCGAGTAAGCTTTCTAAAAAGACCTTTCGGTCCAGTCTTTGTCTAAAAAACATTTCTAATGAGGTCTCAAGGCTTGGGCTTTGTCTTAAAACGACATGACCCAATCGTTCTAAACAATAAAAAATTGATCTGTTCACTAAATGAGCAGATGATTTTGGCCAGGTGGTGATTGAACAAGTTTAGGCATAGCGCCCTGGGTCCACTAGTTCCCACAAAAAAGTTATAAAATTTTTGAAACAGTGAATTTTTCTTATTTTTTCTTGGTAAACATTTTGGCTAACATTAAAAATTAATCATCAGATCAAAAAATCTTGAAAAAACTCTAATAAAAATTTTGAAACGTAAATTTTTCTGTTTTTTTGAACTCTACAAAATTTTTTTTTCAGAAAATTCGTAGAAAAAACCAATTTTCACCACAAAAAATTTCAGAATTTTCAAAAAACGAAAATACGAACTGAGGTGCAATCAAATCAATATTTTCAACAAAAAAGTTATAACATTGTTGAAACAGTGACACAGGCATAAATTCTTGACTTTTTTAATTCAGAAATGAATGTCGCAGAGAAAACAAATTCTCGCGTGAATAGGGAGGCGGGATTTATTTTGCTAGGTGCGGCACGTTTTTTTTTCAAGCAATAATTATTTCTGATTTTTTGCATTTCGAAATTTAGTGAAGAAAAAAAGATGAAAACGAAAAAACTATTTTAAAAACGTGAAACGTGTAATCGTGGCAGGGGGCGGAGCCGATAAGAAAAAAGTCAGAAATTTATGCCTGTGAGTGAATTTTTCTGAATTAATTTTTGACTTATTTTTTTATGCCCAAACATTGATTATCAAATCAAAGTCTTCAAAAAACTCCAATAAAAATTTTGAAACGTAAATTTTTCCATATTTTTGAACTCTACAAAATTTTTATTCAGGAATTTTTTTCCAATTTAATTTTTCAAAATTCAAAAAAACTTTACTCTTAGAAAATTCGTAGAAAAAACCAATTTTCACCACAAAAAATTTCAGAAATAAAAAAACGTTTTCTAAAATACTTTGTGTGATGGTATCAAATCAATAATTCCAATAAAATTTTTTTTTAATTTTTTGAAAGTTATTTTTTTTCTGAATTAATTTTTGATTGTTCACAAAATCGCAGAAGCATCAAATCAAATTAATATTTTCAACTTCTACAATTTCTGAAACAGTAAATTTTTCTGAATCAATTTTTGATTTTTTACAACACCTTGCTCAGTTAAGCAACAAATCAAATCAATATTTTCAACAAAAAGTTATTAAATTTTTGAAACAGTGAATTTTATTGAACTAAATTTGGGGTCAAAAATTGATTTTTTTTTCCACTCATCATTGATTAAAAGACCAAATGAACAATTCCCACAAAAAAGTTATATTATTTTCGAAACAGTGAATTTTTCCGAATTTTTTCTTATTTTTTCTTCGTAAAAAATTTGGCTATAATAAAAAACTATGCATCAGATCAAAAAATCTTGAAAAAACTCTAATAAAAATTTTGAAACAGTGAATTTTTCTATTTTTTGAACTCTACAAAATTTTTAATCAGGAATTTTTTTTCCAATTTAATTTTTCAAAATTCAAAAAAACTTTACTCGTAGAAAATTCGTAGAAAAAACCAATTTTCACCACAAAAAAAATTCAGAATTTTCAAAAACGTTTTCCAGAACACATAGATTTACGGAATCAAATCAATAATTCCAAAAAAAAATTCTGGAATTTCTGAAACAGTAATTTTTTCTGAATTAATTTTTAATTTTTTTTACAACTTGCTCATTGAAGCAACAAATCAAATCAATATTTTCAACAAAAAATTATACAATTTTTGAGACAGTAAATTTTTCTAAATTTTTATATTTCTGTTTGTTAAAATTTTGGCTAAAAAATTAATTTTTTTACTGTTTCATTAATTTTAATCAAACCCAAAATTTCAAAAAAAAAACTTCTACAATTTTGAAACAGTAAAGTTTTCTGGATTAATTTTTGACTGATTTTTTTTGGTAAATTTTTGTTTTTTTTTTAAATATTTTTGAACCTAATGGGGTGAGTCATAAAAATAAATTGACAAAAAAAGTGTGATTAATTTCACGTTTTTTGTCAATTAATCGCATGTTTTCAGAAATGAAGGCGATTAATTGACAAAAAAACGTGAAATTAATCGCACTTTTTTGTCACTTTATTTTTATGACTCACCTCATAATACATAGACAATCATAAATATCAAAAAGTTTCGGAAAAACTCTTCTACAATTTTTGAAACAGTAAATTTTATTGAACTTAATTAGGGCTCAAAAATTGGCCAAATCAATATTTTCAAAAAAACACTTCAAAAATTTTTGAAACAGTGAATTTTTCTGAATTAATTTTTGACTAATTTTTGGTTGGTGAATATTTGTTCATTTTTTATTTTTTTATTTTTATTTTTTTGAAACAGTAAATTTTTCCACACCCAAAAAATCTCTCCAAAATTTTAGGCCTACCTTCATATCAACATAAGCAGCTTCAACCAATCCCATAATATTTTTCCTGATCGTAAAAACCACATCATTCATGTGAAAAATCGAATATCGTAGTCGAGGTTCACGTTGAAAAGTGTCACATCTTCGAGTCTGCAAAAATCGCCCAAGATTACTGTAGGTCAGGTAATTTTAAAGGTACAGTAAAGTTTTTTCGAGGAGCTTCAAAATGAGTCCAAACAAGCCTAGATTACTGTAGATTTGCCAAAAATTGATCTACAGTAGGTGTATTTGGAGTCATTTTGAAGCTCTTGAAATTTCCAGCACCTACAGTATCTAGCAACTTATTTTAGGCCTCTAGAACTTAGCCTGACTTCTCACCTCAATAATCGCATCCATCGCATTCTTCAACATATTCAAAATGGTAAAAACTTGCGAATAAACAAAAGCCACACTTTCAGTTGTATAAACATTGAGAGGTTCTTTTGGCGCGATTCCAAATCGACAATCATCGAATGTGCTTCGGAAATCATAGGAGATTGCTTGAAGGAATTCGCGTTCGAAGCCGTATTTTTCGTATTTTGCCACGTCCAGGTTTGAGCTGGAAATTTTTTATAGATAAAAAAATTACTGTTTCAAAAATTAGATAATTTTAGTTTTCAATCTTATTTTATCGCTACAGCAGCAGATTCCAATGCACAACAAGCTTATGCACCTTTAAACCCCTTAAAAATCGTGGTAGGACCGAAAATATTCAATTTTTCATCAGAAATTTGGTCCTGACACGATTTTCAAGCTTATGCACCTTTAAATACCTCTAAAATCGTGGCAGGACCCAAAATACTTCTTGTGAAAATTTGGAAAATTACTGATTTTTTCCGAAAAAATTTCACTGTTTCAAAAATTTGATAAGTTTAGTTTTCAAATTTATTTTTTCGATTGTTTTAAATTCACGTGAATGAAATAAATATCAAAACCTAAGCTTGGCGCAGAGTTTAGGCCGAATTTTGGGCTTAGCAAAAGCCTAAGGCTCAGGTCCAAAATATTTGTATTCTTGAGAAAATTTGGAATTCACAGATTGTTTTACTGTTTCAAAATTTTTTATATTATTTGGAAACATTTTTGAATTTGCTGTCAATGAAATTATGGTTTTTTCAGAAAAAAATTCACTGTTTCAAAAATTCAATAATTTTAGTTTTCAAATTATTTTTCGATTATTTGGACAATTTATGCCAAAAATTTTTTTTTTGATTTTTTTTTCACTCTTTCGAAAATTTTTAAATTTAATATTTTTAAATATTAAAATAATTTTAATTTTCAAAATTATTTTATCGATAATTCCTATTTGAATATTGGAAGAATTTTAATTTGAGAAACTTCTGGCAATTGGAAAAAAAACCTGGATTTAGGCTAAGTCAAAATTTAGGACATGGGCTTAGCAAAAACCTTAGGCTTAGAAAAAACCTAAACCCAAAGCTCAGGTCCAAAATACTCCAATTCTTGAGAAAATTTGGAATTCATTGATTTTTTTCCCAAAAAATTTCACTGTTTCACAATTTTTATATTATTTTATAAATATCAAATATTACATTTTACGACTTTTCAACATTTCGAAAAATTGTTCAAAAATTATAAATTTTTTCTTCTATGAAAATTTCACTGTTTCAAAATTATTTTTTCGATTATTTCGTTAAGTTTTCTTAGCTTCAAAATACTTATACGCTTCAGAATTCACTAAATTTTCAATAAAAAATTTCACTGTTTCAAAAATTTGATAAGTTTAGTTTTCAAAATTATTTTTTCGATTCTTCCTTGTTATTAAAAGTTTTTTGAAAGTTATTCTCGTTTACTATGACGTGGCAATTCGATATTCACACATTTTTCTCCACGAAAAAAAATTTACTGTTTCAAAAATGTTATATTATTTTATACCAAATATTACATTTTTGATTGACTTCTGCCTTTTCGATTTTCACAAAATTATAAATTTTCTTCGATGAAAAATTCACTGTTTCACAAAAATCAAATAATTTTAGTTTTCAAATTATTTTTTCGATCATCTAAATTGGCTATCAAAAAAATTTGATAATGGAAGAATTTCAATTTGAGAAACTTGCACTATGACGTGGCAATTGAAAAAAAACCTGGATTTAGACTAAGTCCAAATTTAGGACATGGGCTTAGGCTAAACCGTAGGCTAAGCAAAAACCTAAACCTAAAGCTCAGGTCCAAAATATTCAAATTCTTGAGAAAATTCGGTATTTATTGATTTTTTTTCCTAAAAAAATTTACTGTTTCAAAAATTTTATTTAAAATTTTGATTAAATTTTTTTATCGAATCGAGCGGAGCGAGTGTAGACCGCAAGCTTCCGCGCAGCGGCACGATCTTCCGCGAAGCGGCCATTACTGTAAGTTTCCCAAGTCCGCGTGGCCGCTGCGCGGAAGCTTGCGTTCGCTCCGCTCGAGCCCCAAAACCAAACTCACATAGATTTTCCATGAATATGTGGCTGCGTGAAAAACTGTTTCAGAAAATCGAAAAACCTAATCGATTTCGCCAGAATCTTCCTCGAATATTTTTCAACAATCTCAGTCGTCGGCAATTTTCTCATCAATAATTCCAGCGATTTTTCGAGTTCTGGTGGATTTTCGGGGCCAAATGATGTCATAATCTCATCAATTGTTGATTCGAAACATGGAGTGATAGAAAACTGAAGAAAAAAAATGATTTTCAGCCGATTTTCAGCCAAAAAAGGGGGCGGGGCTTACTAATTCCAGCTCATTTCTCTCCTCATTTTTCTTGTCATTCACAAAAAATCGATAAGAGATGATAAGGTCGACAATTCGGTTTGATAGATTTCGATCAATACATCGACTTTGCTCCATTGATAGTGGATTTAGGCGTTGCCAAACACTTGCTGGAATAAGGCTGGGTTACTGTAGGTTTGGCGAAAAAGTACTGTAAATTTCAGCTCACAGAGAATTTCAAGAGCTTTAAAATGAGTCCAAACAAGCTAGGTTACTGTAGATTTGGCCAAATTTTTAGAGAGTACTGTAGACCAAGGATACTGTAGATTTGGAAAATTATGGGAACAATAATATTAATTTCAAATATTTTTGAAACCTAATTTTTGGAGGTTTTTCAAAAAATTGTTTTACTCATAAAATTTCACTGTTTCAAAAATTCAAAATATATTTTTTCCCTTTCATAGAATTTTGATTACTTTCTGAAATGGCCACTAAGCTTAGCCTAACTCCAAAATCAAGCTTATGGTCTGGTCTAAGCCTATTTTTGACGCTAAAACTAAAGAAGTCCGAAAAACCTTAACAATCAAGGTTAAGGCCTTATTTTAGGGTCACAAAGGTTGACCTCAATTTTAAAAGTTGAAAAAAATTACTGTTTCAAAAATTCAATATTTTATTTTCAATTTTTAAGATTTTTGATTGATTGTTCGTAAATCGCCTAGATTTTGTTCAAAAATTCTCCAAACTTTGAAAAATAATTTGGGCTGGAAGCTTGAGAAAGTGTAGACCGCAAGCTTCCGCGCAGCAGCCGTGTAATCCGCGTGGCAGCTTTGCGGAAGACAGTGCCGCTAACGCGGAAGCTTGCGGTCTACACTCGCGGCTTCTCTGCTCGAGCCTAGCGAGTGTGAACCGCAAGCTTCCGCGACAGCGGCACTATCTTCCGCTTCAGCGGCCACGTGGATTACTGAATATTTGTAAGATATCCCAAGCCAGTATTCCGCGTGACCGCTTCGCGGAAGACAGTGCCGCTGACGCGGAAGCTTGCGGGTACACTCGTGACTCGCGTCGCTCGCTTACGATCTCTAATCAATTTCGAATCTCCTTCATCGACCAGCAAATCAAAAAGCTCGGCTTCCGGTGAAGTCAACATTTCCGCACATTTTTTGACAATAAATTGAATTAATATCAAATTGAATCGTTTCCAGATCTTTCTCGCTGATTCCAAAGCTGCAAATCGACTTCCAACAAATGACATCTCATTTAGATCTATTGGCTGGAAATTGGCTGATTTTTGAAATCAAATTTGAATTTTTCATGTTCCCGGGGTTAAATTTGGCGGGAAATTTGAATTTTTACAGTTTTTGGCTCCTTTAAAAATTTGAATTTCCAAAAAATCCCGCCAAATTCTCAATGGAGCGCATTTGCAAATTTTAGAGCTAAAATTCGAATTTTTCTATGTTCCCGGGGTTAAATTTGGCGGGAAATTTGAATTTTTATAGTTTCCGGCTTAATTTTAGGCATCTGAAAATTTGAATTTTCAAAAATCCCGCAAAATTCTCAATAGAGCGCATTTGCTAATTTTAGAGCTAAAATTTGAATTTTTCAAGTTCCCGGGGTCAAATTTGGCGGGAAATTGAATTTTTATAGTTTTTTTCCAAAACTCACACTAAAATCATTCAAATTCTTCAAAATCTTCACAAAATCCTTCAAAACGTGATAGAATCCTCTGGCGAATTCATAAATTTCATGGCATTTTCGATGTCGATTCATATTTTCAGAATTTTCAGAGAAAATTTCAAACAAATTTTCGGAAAATTGCTGGAATTCTTCGCGCAGGAAGTTTTGAATAGCCTTTCGGATGGGATTTTCGGAAATTGGGTTGAAGAGGGCTTCGAGGTTTTGACGGGTGTCGGAAAGTCTGAAAAATTCAAATTTTAGGTCGAAAATTTGCAAATGCGCTCCATTGAGAATTCGGCGGGAATATTGGGAAATTCAAATTTTTAGATGATCCCAAAATGCTCAAAATTGAGCCGAAAACTATAAAAATTCAAATTTCCCGCCGAATTTCACCCTCGAAACATGTAAAATTCGATTTTTTTGCAAATGCGCTCCATTGAAAATTAGGCGGGATTTTTAAAAATTCAAATTTTTAGCTTAGCTTTTGCAGCATAGAAAGTTAGGCTAACTTTGCCCCAGAAAACTCACAAATTCGCCAAAAACAAATGTTTAGCCAAAATCGTCTTGGTCATTGTCAAATTCCATTCCTCAACTCGACACAAATTCCCCAAATAAAAGTGTTTTTTATCATTAATTTGGAATAAATCCGACGATTTTCCTCGATACATTTCCAATAATTTTGCAAAAAATTGCGCGTTTTCCAAATGGAAAAATATTATTGATTGATTTTCACGGGCACTTATCAAAAGTTCTTCGGTTTTCAAGATTTTTCGATATTCTGCAGAGATTAGCCCCCAATTATCAATTGGAATGATGGGATTTTCGAAAATTTGCTGTTCCGGAGGCAATTTTGCGAGTTCTGTAGGGTTTAGGACCTTTGAAATATCCCACGGCAATTTCGGTATATTCTTAGAGTTTTCCAGTAACTCGGAATACAATTTATATTCAAAATTATGATTCATTAATCCTTGATTCACCGACATTTCCTTCAAACTCTCCTCAAAAATCGAATCACTCAAATAAAACGTTGAAACCAGAACAAAATAACAAATTGAGTCGTCCATTTCTTCAAGCTTCTCAATAACTTTATCGATTATCACTTGGAAATTCGAAAGATTCAGGATTTCCACGCGATTTTTGAGTTCCGTCTTGAGATCATTGATTGATAGTGGTTTGTCGTTTTCATCGCGAATCGGTTGATTTTTATTGATCATGTATAGACAGGTTAGATCTTTGAGTCGTTTTGGTTTTTCATTTCCATGAATCAGGAAGCCTAATGTGCTAAGCATCTGGAAAAACAAAAAAATTTCGCGCGAAAAAAAAAATTAAAAAAAGTCCGGGAGAACTACACAACTTGTGTTTGCGCCAAACGCGTCAGTGTTGAGTGTGCGCGCACACAAGCCGTGTTGACGCGCAATTTGTAGATTTTTTTCGAAAACCCCCCCACTGCCTCCCCAAATCTACGTGTGTGTGGAAAAACGAAAAATGTCTGGCACGCTCTTGCAAACACACACTCTCTCGCACACAACTTTTTACTTTTATTTCGCGAAAACAGTGCATATTAGGAGCTGATTTTTATGTGTTTTTCATCGGAACCACAATATGTGTTATACATAGTTCGAAAGAGAATTTCTTCGGCTACAAACACATATGAAATGTTATAATTGAAACCGAGATAAAAAAATAAAAATTTCATGCAAACATGACATGGTTTTTTTGAATTGTGTGAAAAACGCATGTGTTTTTTGATGACCTGGCTCATTTTTTGAATATCGAATATGTATAATCGAGTCGTAGTTTTGTTCAGAATCTCAAGGGCTTTCAGATGATGTAAATCAATATTTATGAAATTGTGAAATCATGGAGGAGTAGGGATTTTTCGTTTGTCAATTTTTAAAACGAAATTTTCATTTTCATTTGAAAGGAACTCGAATGAAGTTTACATACGTTTTGAAGAGAATTTCTCGGGCTTCAAAATCATATATATTTCTATACACAAAAATGGAAATTAAAAGCACCGCTTTCGGTTGAAAACTTGTTGCGTTTGCACCAAACAAACAAACCGCGTTCAGTAGCGTTGCGAAAAACAGCGTTGAGTTTTCAACCGAAAGCGGTGCTTTTAATTTCCATTTTTGTGTATAGAAATATATATGATTTTGAAGCCCGAGAAATTCTCTTCAAAACGTATGTAAACTTCATTCGAGTTCCTTTCAAATGAAAATGAAAATTTCGTTTTAAAAATTGACAAACGAAAAATCCCTACTCCTCCATGATTTCACAATTTCATAAATATTGATTTACATCATCTGAAAGCCCTTGAGATTCTGAACAAAACTACGACTCGATTATACATATATTCGATATTCAAAAAATGAGCCAGGTCATCAAAAAACACATGCGTTTTTCACACAATTCAAAAAAACCATGTCATGTTTGCATGAAATTTTTATTTTTTTTATCTCGGTTTCAATTATAACATTTCATATGTGTTTGTAGCCGAAGAAATTCTCTTTCGAACTATGTATAACACATATTGTATTTCCGATGAAAAACACATAAAAATCAGCTCCTAATATGCACTGTTTTCGCGAAATAAAAGTAAAAAGTTGTGTGCGAGAGAGTGTGTGTTTGCAAGAGCGTGCCAGACATTTTTCGTTTTTCCACACACACGTAGATTTGGGGAGGCAGTGCCCCCATTTTTCAGAGTTTTTTGAGCTCAAATTGTGTTTTTTTGCAGATTCCACGGTGAAATGTCAAGATCGGGTCATAATTGTGAGTTTTTTGAAGGGTTTTGGGGGAAAATCGGATGTTTTTGGGGGGAAAAATCAAAAGAAAATTGGAAAAAATAAACAAAATTATTTTTAGCCTCCGATTATGCACAAGAATTGAATCGAAAACGCGCGAATTTACGAGCCGATGATGACGACAACGATGAGAATAACAAAAATGGCAATAAAGTTGCATTTGGCGCCGCCGGCAATTTCGACACAGATGTTTATGGAAGTGCTCGCGGGAATCGTAGTGAAATGTATCTAGATTCAATCGGAATGGCGGAGGAAGATGATGTTGATGAGGATAGTGCACCAAGTGGCCCGAAAAAAGCCATAAATTATGCGCAACCTCATAAATTTATCGAAGAAGTTGCGAAAGCTTCGGAAGATGTTGATCCATTTGCGGATACACGATCGAAAACAATTGCGGAGCGGCAATCTAAGTATCACGAAAGAGCGCAAAGGCGACAAATCTCCCCGGATCGTGTTGATGCTTTCGTAGATCAAACACCTGATCATAGAAGTCGTGGATATGCGGAAGTTATGAAAGATCAAATGTTTCAGGAGGAGAAGGGGCGGGTTGAAAGAGAGCTTGCGGATCGCGCGAAATCTGGCGACTTGCACATTTCGCATCTTCCACGCGAGCCGGAAAAGAAGAAGGGACGTTGGGATGAGACGCCGCAGAATGCGGAAAACTTGGGCGCAGGTTCGGCGACTCCGCAGGGTAGTGCGCCACGGAAACGACTGGGATTTTCGAGTATTAGTGCGGATGCGGCGACGCCGCATGTTGCGCGGTGGGATGAGACACCGGCGCATTCGATGGGGGCGGCGGATGCGACACCGTCGGTTGATAAGTGAGTTGGGGGCAAGGAGTGGGGGCTTGAGAGGGTAGGTGTCAAGGAGGCACGCCTAGAGAGGGTAGTTCTCAAGCAGCCGCGCCTAGAGAGTAACTATGGCTAGAGACGGTGCCTTGGGAGCTTCTATTGCAAGTAGCCGAGCTTTGTCTACATTTTTGGTTAAAACTAGCCTCAAAAATCGATAATTTTGATGTTTTTTGTCCAGAAATTGAAAAATCCTAAGAATGCATGAATTTTTCCCAATTTTTTCAAAAATCGAAAAAATACGTTTCAAAATTTTTATATTATATTTTGTAAACCAATAGTGTTTCAATACTCTTTCCAATATGTTTCCAAACCAAAATTTGAAATTTCACATTGAAATTGGAAAATCCTCAAAATTTGGATGAAAATGCAGAAATTATCCTTTTTTTCAAATCAAAATCCAAGTAGTCGAGCCTAGAGAGTCTAGTTGTCAAGGAGCAGCGCCTAGAGAGCGTCTATGACAAGTAGCCAACCCTATAAACCCCAGTTCTCAAGGAGCCGAGCCTAGAAAACAAATTTTTTCCAGATGGTCCTCCACACCAGCCGCCCAAACCCCCCGACGAAATCGTTGGGACGAAACACCCAAAGAAAATCTTGGCGACGGTTCAATGACACCAGGATGGGGAATGGAAACACCAGCAAGAGGTGGACCGAATGATGATATCAAAATCGAGGACACACCATCGGCGTCGAAGAGAAGATCAAGATGGGATTTGACACCGTCGGCAACACCTGCGGCAGGTTCAGCTACGCCTTTGCAAGCTGGTGGAGCTACACCGTCTTTTACACCTTCGCATCCTTCACAGACACCGGTTGGTTTTTAGAATTTGCGATTTTTGCATTTATGGGTCATCTGAAAATTTGAATTTTTAAAAAACCCGCCAAATTCTCAATGGAGCGCATTTTCTAATTTTTGAGCTAAAATTTGAATTTTAGAGTTTTCGGCTCAATTTTAAGCATTTAGAGTTTATTTTTGCTCATCTAAAAATTTGAATTTTTTCAAGTTCCAAGGATTAAATTTGGCGGGAAACTTTAATTTTAATAATTTTTCGGCTCCTCTAAAAATTTGAATTTTCGAAAATTCCGCAAAATTCTCAGTAGAGCGCATTTGCAATTTTTAGAGCCAAAAATTTGAATTTTTCATGTTCCAGGAGTCAAATTTGACGGGAAATTTTGACGGGAAAATGAAAATTGAATTTTCAGAGTTTTCGGCTCATCTAAAAATTTGAATTTCCTAAAAATCCCACCCAATTCTCAATAGAGCGCATTTGCAAATTTTCAAGCAAAAATTTGAAATTTTCATGTTCCCGGAGTAAAAATTGGCCGGAAATTTGAATTTTATAGTTAATGGTACCTTTATTGAGAAAATTCACCCCAAAAACTATGAAAATTCAAATTTCCCGCCAAATTTAACCCCGGGAACATGAAAAATTCGAATTTGAGCTCTAAAATTTGCAAATGCGCTCTATTGAGAATTTTGCTGGATTTTTGGGAAATTCAAATTTTTAGCCATGAAAAATGGGTCATTTCACCCCAAAACTCTAAAAATTCAAATTTCCCGCTAAATTTGACCCCTGGAACATGCAAAAATTCGAATTTTAACTTTAAAATTTGCAAATGCGCCCCATTGAGAATAAGGTGGATTTTTAAAAATTCAAATTTTTAGCTATTGTCATTTCACCCCAAGAACTATGAAAATTCAAACTTCCCGCCAAATTTGACCCCCGGAACATGCTGAATTGTTTGTTGTTACATGCAAAAGTTCGACTTTTTTGCAAATGCGCTCTATTGAGAACATGGCGGGGTTTTTTGGAAATTCAAATTTTTAGAAAAAATTAATATTTTTCCTTCCAGATCGGAGCAATGACACCTGGCGGAGCAACTCCCATCGGAACAGCCGCAATGGGTATGAAAACCCCAGCCGCTCATCAAATTCCAATGACACCCGAACAAATGCAAATCTATCGATGGGAAAAAGAAATCGATGATCGAAATCGGCCATTGAGTGATGAAGAATTGGATGCTTTGTTCCCACCGGGTTATAAGGTCTTGGTCCCACCAATGAATTATATTCCAATGCGAACACCGTCCAGGAAACTATTGGCCACACCAACACCAATGGGTGGATCTGGAGCTGGAGCTGGATTCTTTATGCCTGGAACACCTGAGAGGGATGGGATTGGTGAGAAGGGAGTTGGTGGAATATTGGATACGCAGCCGAAAAATGCGGAATTGCCACCATTGAAACCGGATGATATGCAATATTTTGATAAATTGTTGATGGATGTTGATGAAAGTGGGTTTTTTGGGGGAAATTTGAAAAATTGAGGTGATTCTGATAAAAATCATGTCAAAAAAGTGGGAAAAAACCCAATTTTCGTAAATTTTGAGCTTATTTACCGGTTTTTGCTCAAAAATAGGTCTTTGATAATTTTTTCTCATCTGAAAATTTGAATTTTTGAAAATCCCGCCATGTTCTCAATATAGCGTTTTTGCTAATTTTAGAACTAAAATTTGAATTTTTCATGTTCCCGGGGTCAAATTTGGCGGGAAATTTGAATTTTTATAGTTTTTAGCTCCTCTAAAAATTTGAATTTTCAAAAATCCCGTCATGTTTTCAATGGAGCGCATTTACAAATTTTCCAGCTAAAATTTGAATTTTCATGTTCCCGGGGTCAAATTTGGCGGGAAATTTGAATTTTGATAGTTTCTGGCTCTGAATTTTTCAATAAAGTTACTCAAACTCCAAATTTTGCAGGCACATTAACCAAAGAGGAGAAAAATGAGCGTGAAATCATGGAGCACTTGTTGAAAATCAAAAACGGAACTCCGCCAATGCGCAAAAGCGGCCTGCGTAAAATCACCGAAAACGCTCGAAAATACGGAGCCGGACCACTTTTCAATCAAATTTTGCCACTTTTAATGTCACCGTCGCTGGAAGATCAAGAAAGGCATCTGATGGTTAAGGTGAGGAGGAAACGGCTGAAAATGAGGGTTTTCAGAGGTTTCAGCACGAAATTTGAGCCTTGAAACATGTAGTTTTCTACAGTAACCCGGTTGATCCAATTTTTTTTTGGAATTTTTGGCACCATTCTTACAGTAGCTTATGAAGGGTTTCTAGACTCAAATTTTGTGCTGAAAATCAAAATATTGCTGAAAATAAACATTTTCACAGGTTTCAGCGCCAAATTTGGGTCTAGAAACATATAGTTTTCTACAGTAACCCTTTGGCACAATTTCATACAGTATCTTTCTAGACTCAAATTTTGTGCTGAAAATCATGAAATGGCTCAAAATGAGTAATTTCACAGGTTTCAGCACAAAATTTGGGCCTAGAATTTTTTTTTTGAATTTTACTTAAAAACGTTACCTATTTTTTTCACTGTTTCAATTTTTCGTGAAAAAAAAATTTTTTTTGCTCATTTTTCAATTTGACAATCCACCAGAATGAGCATTGTCTAGAAACACGATAATTTTGTGCTGAAATTATTGAAAATTGCTGAAAATTAATATTTCCTTGATTTTCGACACAAAATTTTGATCTAGAAAAGTTCTGAAATTTCATAATTTCAGCCAGAATGTTAGGCCTCAAAATATTGAATTTGGGATATTTTCAAAGCAAAAAAACAATTTCTAGACTCAAATTTTGTGCTGAAAATGCTGAAATTGCTGAAAATGAGCATTTTTACAGGTAATCGATCGAATTTTGTACAAATTGGATGATTTGGTTCGCCCCTATGTGCACAAAATCCTCGTCGTAATTGAGCCACTTTTAATCGATGAAGATTATTATGCTCGAGTTGAAGGAAGAGAAATTATCTCGAATTTGGCAAAAGCCGCAGGCTTGGCAACTATGATTTCAACAATGAGACCAGATATTGATAATGTTGATGAATATGTGAGAAATACAACAGCTCGTGCATTTGCTGTTGTTGCGTCGGCTCTTGGAATTCCCGCTTTGCTACCATTTCTGAAAGCGGTTTGTAAATCGAAGAAAAGTTGGCAAGCTAGACATACTGGTATTAAAATTGTGCAACAAATGGCGATTTTGATGGGATGCGCCGTTTTGCCGCATTTGAAAGCGTTGGTTGAGATTGTTGAGAATGGATTGGATGATGAACAGCAGAAGGTTGGTTTTTTTTGGGAATTATGCTCAAATTTATTCAAAATTCAAGATTTCCCGCCAAATTTGACCCCGGAAACATGAAAAATTCGAATTTTAGCACGAAAATTTGCAAATGCGCTCTATTGAGAATTTTGTGGGATTTTTGGGAAATTCAAATTTTTAGAATAGCCCAAAACTATAAAAAATTCAAATTTCCCGCCAAATTTGACCCCGGGAACATGAAAAATTCGAATTTTAGCTCGAAAATTGACAAATGCGCTCCATTGAGAATTTGGCGGGATTTTGGGAAATTCAAATTTCAAGCAAAACTGTAAATTGATCAAAAATTGGAAAATCCTGAAATTAACAAAGAAAATTGATATACCAAATCATTTTTCAGCTTGTACATAGTAAAATCTTCAATTTTTCCAGGTCCGAACCATCACAGCTCTTTGCTTGGCTGCTCTTGCTGAAGCTTCATCTCCTTATGGAATTGAAGCATTCGATTCAGTTCTCAAACCGCTTTGGAAAGGTATTCGAATGCATCGAGGAAAAGGTTTGGCTGCATTCTTGAAAGCAATCGGATATTTGATTCCTTTGATGGATGCCGAATATGCATCATATTATACAAGAGAAGTTATGCTTATTTTGATTCGGGAATTTGCGTCACCAGATGAGGAAATGAAGAAAATTGTGTTGAAGGTTGGTGGGGGCAAAAAAAATTTCTATGAAAAATTCACTGTTTCAAAAATGTTCTATTATTTCATATCAAATATTACATTTTTGATATTTTTGCTGCCTTTTCAACATTTCAAAAAATTGTTCGAAAAAATATAAATTAAAAAAAAATTCACTGTTTCAAAAAATTGATAATTGATAATTTTAGTTTTCAAATTATTTTCTCGATTATTTGGACAATTTCTTCGGTAAAAATTGTTTTTTTCGTGAAAATTCAGAATCACACCTCGGCCAAAATCGTGGTTTCCACAGTAAAAATTTGTACGCTAACTTTTTACAGTACAAAAATTTTGAATTTTTCAGCTTTTGTACTCTAAAAATTGTGATTTTTCAATTTTTGACCTCTAAAAAGTGAAATTCAGATTTTTCAAAAAATTGTACTCTGGCCAGCCACGGCTTGGCCAAGGTGTGTTCAGAATTTATAGATTTTTAACTGTTTCAAAACAATAATGTTAAATAAATTTCAAACTTATTTTATCGATTATTCGAAATTGGCTGAGTGTAATGTTGGAAGAATTTCAATTTGAAAAACTTGCACTGTGACGTGGCAATTAGGAAAAACCTGGATTTAGGCTAAGTCCAAACTTAGGGCATAGGCTTAGGCTAAACCTTAGGCTCTTAGCAAAAACCTGAAGCTCAGGTTCAAAATATTCGAATTCTTGTGATTGATTTTTTTTCAAAAAAATTTACTGTTTTTAAAACATTTTTTAAAAATTTAGTTGTACTTTTTATTCGATATTAGAGATTTTTTTGTATGAAAATTTACTGTTTCAAAAATTTAACAAAAACTTAAAATTTAAATTTCTCAGGTCGTCAAACAATGTTGTGCCACCGACGGAGTTGAGCCAAGTTATATTCGAGACGAAGTTCTTCCCAGCTTCTTCAAAGCTTTCTGGAATCAAAGAATGGCAATGGATCGCCGAAATTATCGACAATTAGTCGATACAACCGTCGAAATTGCGCAAAAAGTTGGAACTGTTGAAATGATTGCTCGAATTGTTGATGATCTCAAAGATGAAAATGAGCAATACCGGAAAATGGTGATGGAAACAATTGAAAATATTGTTGCACTTCAAGGAGCCAATGAAATTGATGCGAGATTGGAAGAGCAATTGATTGATGGACTTTTGTATGCATTCCAGGAGCAGACACAGGAAGATTCGGTAATGTTGGATGGATTTGGCACAATTTGTGGGGCTCTTGGAAGAAGGGCCAAGGCCTATATCCCACAGATTTGTGGAACAATCTTGTGGAGATTGAATAATAAATCGGCAAAGGTTCGACAGCAAGCGGCAGATTTGATTGCTAGAATTGCACCGGTTATGCATATTTGCGAGGAGGAGAAGATGATGTGTCATATGGGTGTGATTTTGTATGAGTATTTGGGAGAAGAGTATCCGGAAGTGTTGGGTTCGATTTTGGGAGCGTTGAAATCGATTTGTAATGTGATTGGAATGACGAAAATGACACCGCCGATTAAGGATTTGTTGCCGAGGTGGGAAACTTTTTAGATTGAGAAAATTGTGATTTTTAGCCATTTCCAGCTTTTTCAGCACTAAATTTTGATTTAGATTTTTTTTTTGATAAAAAGGGAAATTTTGAGACCCCAAATTTTTGGCTGAAAATTCTTCAAATCGCTGAAAATCACTAATTTCTTGATTTCCAGCACTAAATTGTAATCTAGAAAAGTTTATAATTTTCAGCTATAAAGTTAGACCTAACTATTTTGAATTTTAGATTTTTTTAAGCAAAAAAAAACAATTTCTAGACTGAAATTAAGTGTTGGAAACGCTGAAAATCAACATTTTCTTGATTTTCAGCACAAAATTCTGATATCGAAAAGTTTTGAAAACCGATAATTGTCAGAAATTTTCGCCAAATTCTCAATGGAGCGCGTTTGCAAATTTTCAACCTGCAATTCGAATTTTTCATGTTCCAAGGGTCAAATTTGGCAGGAAATTTGAAATTTTGATAGTTTTCGGAGTGGTTTTTATAGTTCGTAACAAAACTCATTAAAAAATCCCAAAATTTTGACCCTGAGAATGTACGTTTCAGAAATTTGATATTAAAAAATTCAGCATATTTTAATCGATTCGGCAAGTTATTCTTCTACCATATTTTTAGATTCAGAATTTCAGATTCAGAATTTATTCACGGAATTTTGGCTACTGAAATAAAACTCTTTTGATATAATTCAAAAAAATGTTTGATAACATCTAAAAATGTCGGTTTTCCGAAAGATAGCTCATATCAAAAAGTATAAATTTCAAAAATTTTGAATTCAGGATCTTAAAAATGTCATGAAATTTCAACTCTGGAAACATACGTTTCAAAAATTTAATATTGGAAAATTAAAAATTAAAAATTAATAATTCTTTTCTTCACATTCTAAAACTCAATAATAATTTTTCTTTACAGATTAACCCCAATCCTCAAAAATCGTCACGAAAAAGTGCAGGAAAATTGCATTGATCTGGTGGGAGCAATCGCAGATCGTGGCTCAGAATTCGTGTCAGCTCGCGAATGGATGCGCATCTGTTTCGAATTATTGGAACTCCTCAAAGCGCACAAGAAAAGTATCCGAAGAGCCGCAATCAATACTTTTGGATTCATCGCAAAAGCCATCGGACCACACGATGTTTTGGCAACACTTTTGAATAATTTGAAAGTTCAGGAAAGACAATTGAGAGTTTGTACAACTGTTGCGATTGCGATTGTTAGTGAAACTTGTGCGCCGTTTACTGTGCTGCCAGCAATTATGAATGAATATCGAGTGCCCGAGATTAATGTGCAAAATGGTGTGCTCAAAGCATTGTCTTTCATGTTTGAATATATTGGAGAAATGGCAAAGGATTATATTTATGCTGTTGTTCCACTTTTGATTGATGCGTTGATGGAAAGAGATCAGGTTCATCGGCAAATTGCGGTGGATGCGGTGGCACATTTGAGCTTGGGTAAGGAATTTTGATTATTTTCAGTTGAAGAAATTTGAATTTTCAAGTTCTTGGGAAAATTTTGAATTTTTTGAGCCTAAATTTGATTATTGAAAATTTCTGAAAATTTTTGGATTTTCTTTAAGCCTTTAAAATTTTAAGCTTCCAAATTTCTAGCTGAAACTCGTTCTAGATAAAAATTTTGTGCTGAAAATCATGAAAAACTCGATTTTCAGCGTTTTCAGCACAAAATTTTAGTCTAGAAATTTGTTTTTGCTAAAAACTGATATTTTGAGCCCTGAAATTCTGGCTGAAAATTATGAATTTTCAGAACTTTTTTGAATTAAAATTTTGTGCTGAAAATCAAGAGAATATGATTTTCCAACGATTTTCAGCGTTTTCAGCACTAAATCTTAATCTAGAAAAGTTCTGAAAATTCATAGATTTGAGCTTGGGTAAGGTATTTTTTGAACCTGAATTTGATTGAAGAAACTTGGGGAAATTTTGAATTTTTGAAAAAAATTTGAATTATAAAGTAAAAGCACAAAAGTAATGGCTGAAAATCATGAAAAAGTCGATTTTCAGCTTTTTCAGCATTTTCAGCACTGAATTTCAGTCTCGAAATGTTTTTTATTAAAAACCCCGAAATTTCGTGCTGAAAATCAATATTTTCTTGATTTTCAGCACAAAATTTTAGTCTAGAAATTTGTGTTTGCTAAAAAACTGATATTTTGAGCCCTGAAATTCTGGCTGAAAATTATGAATTTTCAGAACTTTTTTGAATTAAAATTTTGTGCTGAAAATCAAGAGAATATTGATTTTCAGCACGAAATTTCGGGGTTTTCAGCACTAAATCTTAATCTAGAAAAGTTCTGAAAATCCATTATTTTCAGTCAGAAATCTTGGGCTCAAAATATTGAATTTTGAATATTTTTCAAGCAAAAACCATTCTGAACTGAAATTTAGTGCTGAAAATCACAATTTTCTCACAAAAATCTCCTCTTTTTTCCAGGTGTTTATGGTTTCGGTTGTGAAGACGCGCTTATTCATTTGCTCAATTTCGTCTGGCCAAATATGCTCGAAAATTCGCCGCATTTGATTCAAAGATGGGTTTTTGCGTGTGAAGGAATGAGAGTTTCGCTTGGACCGATTAAGGTGAGAAATTTTGGGGATTTTTGGGTCTGGAAAATTTCACTGTTTCAAAAATGTTATATAGGTTTTATGATTGAATTTTTAATGATAATATACGGGGAAAAACAGGCCAAATTAGCAATTTTTGAATGAAAAATGGGCTTCTTTAGGCTTTGAAAAATCTGAAATTTATAGAAAAATTTTCTGTTTTTACTGAAAAATATCACTGTTTCAAAAATGTTATAGTTTTTATTAGCAAATTTTGAATTATTGAAAACATCGTAATTTTTGAAAAAAAGCTTGATTTGTATAAAAAAAAATGTGTATTTTTAAGCCTATACACTATTTTAGGGGAAAATTAGCATTCCAGATATTTTTTGACTGAAAAATAGACAAATTTAGGTATTTTTAATGAAAAATTTGCCTAGGCTTGTTTAGACTCAAAAAATCTGAAATTTTCTGAAAAATTATATATAAAAAATATCACTGTTTCACAATTTTTTGAAAATAAATTACTGGATTAAATTTTTAATAATTCGATTAATCATGATCTCATACAAATTTTTACTGTTTCAGGAATTCTCAAAAAGTATAAATAATTAATTTTAATTAATAAATCGAACTTTATATTTTTGAAAAATTCTGAAAAATTCTTGGAAACAAAAAATTGTGAATTTTTGAGCTCTGAAAATCGAAATTTAATCTATTTTTTCTTCGAAAAACGTGGATTTTCTGTTCCGAATGCTCACCGTAATTTATCCAAAAAAAATCACTGTTTCAAAAATTTCTTATTAATTTTTGGGATTGAATTGTGAATAATAATAACTTTATTTTTGTTCTAAAAAAACGACCTGAAAAAAACTCTGAAAAAAATTTGTATGAAAAAACATGGATTTTTTGTGCCCAAGTCTCTCCAAAAAATATCACTGTTTCAAAATTTCTCTATAATTTTTATTAAATTGTGAATTGAGGTTCTATATTCTATACAAAACATCACATTTTCAGACCAGTGTTCTACCAAAATTCTCTCAGACCTTTTTTTTCATCAAAAAAAATTTCACTGTTTCAAAATATATTTATAATTTTTGGTGTCAAAATGTATCCATTATTCAAAAATTTTCTCTATAAAAATCACTGTTTCAGAAATTTTTCGAATAAAAAATGCTGATATGATTGCTGATAAAAATGCTGATATTTCAATGATGCATCTAAAATCAGTGGATTTATATTCAGTAGAAAAAACACTTTCGAAAATGTATTAAAATTCAAAAAATTCCAATTGAGCCATGAAAAATTTAATTTTTTTTTCAATTTTCTAAAAAAAATTCACTGTTTCAAAATTTTTTTAATAATTTTTGGGATTAAATTGTGATTTCAGTTATATTTAATTTTAGTTATATTTTTTTATAACCTATAGAAATTTCTTAGTTTCAGATTTTTTGATATTTTTTACATTCAGGATTTTTTTCTATCAAAATTTCAATTTCCATGTTTTCAGACCCTTTTTTTCATCAAAAAAATCTCACTGTTTCAAAATATATTTATAATTTTTGGGGTCAAAATGTATCCATTATTCAATCGGATGAAGAGACCCCGTAAAAATCCAAAAAACTTTAAAAAGTGTATAAAAATTCAGAAAAAAATTTCACTGTTTCAAAATATATTTATAATTTTTCGGGTCAAAGTGTAGATGATATATAACTTAAGTTAATAATTATTGATCCAAAAAAATTCAAAAAATCATATTTTTCTCTATGAAAATTTCACTGTTTCAGAAATTTTTCGAATAAAAATGAGAAAAAAAAACACTTTCAAAAGTGTATAAAAATTCCAAAAAAAATTCACTGTTTCAAAATATCTTAATAATTTATCTGATCAAATTGAAAGCGATAAATCAAGTGTAAATAAGCCCAAAAAAATGCCCACCCATTCCAAATCTTATATTTCTTGCAGGTTCTTCAATACACCCTCCAAGCTCTTTGGCATCCAGCCAGAAAAGTTCGTGAGCCCGTCTGGAAAGTGTTCAACAATTTGATTCTTGGCTCAGCTGACGCGATTGTTGCTGGATATCCGAGAATTGAAAATACGGAAACAAATGAATATTTGAGATATGAATTAGATTATCAATTATAAACCCCCCAGAAAAATGTATTATTTTTGTTGTTTTTCCGGATCTCCTCTTCTTTTTTCCTTAAAATTACCCTAAGTACCCTATTTTTTTTAAATTTTATTCCAAAAAAAAAATCAAGTCTGTTTTTATATTATTTATTTATTTTTCTCTATTTATATGTTCCTCTTTTTTGTGAAAAATTATGAATTTTTTAAAATCTATCCTAAATTTCCTCCTTATTTAAGTTATATTGGAAATTGCTTTAAATACTTACCTTAATCGATTTACCGTAACCTTAAAATTTAGGGTTGGATGAATGGGGGATACGTTAACCGCAAGAATCAATTTTCATTCATTTGAGCAGTGCAAGTTTTGTGATAAGGTTGGTTTTTCTGGAGAAAATTGGGATTTTTGGACAGTTTCAGCAGTTTCAGCGTTTTCAGCATGAAATTTTATTCTAGAAATATTTTTTCAGCAAAATTTTGAACCTACAAATTTTTGGCTGAAAATGAATTTTTTAGATCAAAATTTCGTGCTGAAAATCATGAAAATTGTGATTTTCAGTCATTTTCAACAGTTTCAGCACAAAATTTCAGTCTAGAATTTTTTTGAATTTCAAAAACGTGACCTATTTTTTTCACTGTTTCAATTTTTCGAAAAAAATTAAATGTTGCTCATTTTTGAATTGTCACAATTCCGTAGACAGTCTTCTCTAGAAAAAGGTAATTTTTGATTTCTGTGCTGAAAATGACTGAAAATCAATATTTTCTTGATTTTCAGCACAAAATTCGGATCTAGAACAGTTCTGAGAATCTATCTAGAAGCTAGCCAGAAAATTAGGGCTCAAAATTCAGATTTTTTTATGGAAAAGAAGGTTTTCTGAAATGTTGTGCTGAAAATTGAGAAAATATTGATTTTTTGCCAGTTTCAGCGTTTTCAGCACGAAATTTCAGTCTAGAAATTATTTTCCAAAAAAAGGGAATTTTGAATTGAAAATCAGTATTTTCATGATTTTCAGCACAAAATTCGGATCTAGAACAGTTCTGAAATCCATTTTTAGCCAGAAATTTAGAGCTCAAAATTTTGCTGAAAAAATATTTCTAGACTGAATTTTTGTGCTGAAAATTGAGAAAATAATGATTTTTAGCCAGTTTCAGCGTTTTGAGCACAAAATTTTGATCTGATCATTTTTTTTGAATTTTATAAACGTGACCTATTTTTTTTCACTGTTTCAATTTTTCGAGAAAAAAAAAATTAAATTTTGCTCATTTTTGAATTTAATAAATTCACTAAACAGTATTTTCTTAAAAAAAGGTAATATTTGATTTTTGAGCTGAAAATGACTAAAAATCAATTTTTTCTTGATTTTCAGCGAAAAATTCGGGTCTAGAAAAGTTCTGAAATTCAATAATATTCAGCCAGAAATTTCGGGCTCACAATTTTGCTGAAAAAATATTTCTAGATTCAAATTTTGTGCTGAAAATCATGAAAATAGTGATTTTTAGTCATTTTCAGAAGGTAATTTTTGATTTTCGTGCTGAAAATGACTGAAAATCAATATTTTCATGATTTTCAGCACGAAATTCGGATCTAGAACAGTTCTGAAAATCTATAATTGATAGCCAGAATTTCAGAGCTCAAAATTCAGAATTTTTTATGGTAAAGAAGGTTCCAGACTGAAATGGTGTGCTGAAAATTGAGAAAATATTGATTTTTTGCCAGTTTCAGCGTTTTCAGTACGAAAATTCATTCTAGAATTTTTTTGCTCAAAAAATCCATAGTTTTCAGCCAGAAATTTAGGGCTCAAAATTTTGCTGAAAAATTATTTCTAGACTGAAATTTTGTGCTGAAAATCAAGAAAATATGGATTTTTAGCCAGTTTCAGCAGTTTCAGCTCAAAATTTCAGTCTAGAACATTTTTCTTTAAAAAAATCCGGGATTTTGAACTTCAAAAACGTGACCTATTTTTTTCACTGTTTCAAATTTTCCAGAAAAAAAAATGTTTTTCGCTCATTTTTTAATTTTCACATATCTTCAGACGGTCTTCTCTAGAAAAAGGTAATTTTTGATTTCTGTGCTGAAAATGACTGAAAATCAATATTTTCTTGATTTTCAGCACAAAATTTTGAGCTAGAGCAGTTCTGAAAATCAATAATTTTCAGCCAGAAGTTTAGGAGCTCAAAATTCAGAATTTTTTATGGAAAAGAAGGTTCTAAACTGAAATTTTGTGCTGAAAACGATGAAAATCATGATTTTCAGCACAAAATTCATCAAAAAATCTTTCCAGAAAACCCACAAACAATGTGAACGCCGTGAAGACCATGCAGTTGTCGTCACCGAACAATTTCGAGATCTCTCAACTTCATTTCTATCAATCACCAAAGATGCGTCAAAAGATCCATTGATTGTTCGAATCGGTGAAATCGTCAAATCAACTAATCCACAAATTTCAATTGTCAAAGATAAAGATAATCCATTTCATGCGAATATTCAAAGCTTTTTCAAAACTGGTGAATATGTGATTTGTAAAGCGGAAACTTTGGAATCTGTGGCACTTGATAATATTCAATTGACTTTTAAAGGTTGGTTTTTGGGGTGGGAAATTGGGGATTTTCAGGTGGAAATTCTGAAAATTTGCTGGAAAATGAAGGTTTTTTATTCAAAAATTCTCACTGTTTCAAAAATTGATCAAATTTTCAGTAATTTTGTTCTGAAAAGGGATTTCCAGGAAAACTTCATTTTTTTCAGTTAAAAATCTAGACTGAAATTCTGTTCTGAAACTGTTGAAAATCCCTGAAAATTTTCTCGATTTTCAGCACAGAATTTTGGTCTAGAAAAGATCAGGAAATCCATATTTTCAGTCAAAAATTTAGGATTCCAAAAAACCGGATTTTCTCATGAAAATTTCAGAATTTTGAGTTGAAAATGAAGATTTTTTCAAATTTTCAGTGAATTTCTGAATTTTCATTGAATTTCTGGATTTTTATGGGAAAATTCAGAAATTTCAAGAATTTTGATTTGAAAATGAAGGGATTTCCATGAAAAATCAATTTTTTCTATGCAAAAATTCTCACTGTTTCAAAAATTTCATATACAGTTTTAGTTTAGAAATATTTTATTCGGATAATGTTTTTCTGGATTTTTGGCGTCGAAATTTCATGAAAAATTGGTCAATTTATCATTGTTCATATTAAGAAGTCCCCTAATTTTCTTTTCAAAAAATCTCACTGTTTCAAAAAGTTCATATTCAATTTTAGTTTAGAACTATTTTGTTGCTTTGGAGACATCAGAATAAATTCTCAGTTTTTATTCAATTTCTAGTTAAGCTAAGTTTTTAAAAACCTGGATTTTTGGCATCGAAAAATCCTGGAAAATTGGCCAATTTATCATTGCTCACATTAGGATTTCCCTTGACTTTTCTCAGAACTTTCAAAAAAAATTTACTGTTTCAGAATTTTTATATTCAATTTTAGTTGAAAAATGTTTTGTTAATCCGTTGTTTGTTAATTTCTAGTTAAGCTAAGTTTAAAAAAATATCTGGGAAAAAATTATGAAAAATTGGTCAATTTATCATTGCTCATATTAAGAAGTCACCTAATTTTTTTCTCAAAAATTCAGAATTTTTCCCGAAAAAATCTCACTGTTTCAGAATTTTTATATACAATTTTAGTTGAAAAATATTTAGTTGCTTTGTTGATCTGAATCTGAGTAAAAAATCATCTTCCTGGATTTTTGGCGTCGAAAAATCCTGGAAAATTGGCCAATTTATCATTGCTCATATAAAAAAGTTCCCTAATTTTTTTTCTCGAAAATTCAGAATTTTTCTCTTCAAAAAAATTTACTGTTTCAAAAATTTCATATTCAATTTTAGTTGAAAAATATTTTGTTAGTTCGATTAATTTTTTAGTTCTAATTTTGATTTTCCAAATTCTTGCTCATGTTAAGAAAAATTTTCAAAAAGGACATTCAAAAAATCATGAACTTAAAATATGTAAATCCGATTTTTTCTCTTCAAAAAATCTCACTGTTTCAAAATTTTTATATACAATTTTAGTTGAAAAATATTTTGTTGCTTTGATGTTTGTTGATCTGAAGCTGATTGTGAGTAAAAAATCATCTTTCTGGATTTTCGGAGTCGAAAATTCATGAAAAATTGGTCAATTTATCATTGCTCATATTATGAAGTCCCCTTAGTTTTTTTCTCAAAAATTCAGAATTTTTCCCGAAAAAATTTTCACTGTTTCAAAAATTTCATATACAATTTTAGGTGGATACAATTTTAGGCTAATTCTAAGTTTAAAAAAAATATCTGAAAAAAAATTATGAAAAATTAGCCAATTTATCATTGCTCATATTAAGAAGTCCCCTAATTTTTATCATAATTTTTCTCTTCAAAAATTTTCACTGTTTCAGAATTTTTATATTCAATTTTAGTTGAAAAATATTTAGTCAGTTTAATTACTGTGGTGCAACTAATTATCCGTTTTTAATCAATTTCTAGTTAAGCTAATTTTAAAAAAAACCTGGATTTTTGGCGTCGAAAAATTATGTAAAATTGGCCAATTTATCATTGCTCATATGAAGAAGTCCCCAAATTTTTTTCTCAAAAATTCAGAATTTTTCTCTTCAAAAAATCTCACTGTTTCAAAAGTTTTATATACAATTTTAGTTGAAAAATATTTTGATGTTTGAATAGTGGTATTTAAATTCTCAATTTTAATTAATTTTAATTTTAAGTTCCTGAATTCTTGGAGAAAAAAATCATTGCTCATTTCAAAAAATTTAAAATCTAGATGTTTTTCGAAAAAATCAGAATTTTTCTTTTCAAAAAAATTTACTGTTTCAGAATTTTAATATCCAATTTTAGGTGGATACAATTTTAGGCTAAGTTAAAAAAAATATCTGAAAAAAAATTATGAAAAATTGGCCAATTTATCATTGCTCATATGAAGAAGACTCCAAATTTTTTTCTCAAAAATTCAGAATTTTTCTTTTCAAAAAAATTTACTGTTTCAAAAATTTCATATTCAATTTTAGTTGAAAAATATTTTGTTGATTGCAATTTTCGAAGTTTTTAAAAAGTTTAAAAAAATCATTTCTCATATTTATTCGAGCGAAGCGAGTGTAAACCGCAAGCTTCCGCGTAAGCGGCACTATTTTCAATCAATAAATCAAAATTCCTTTCAGAAACTTATATGAGTCGAGCTGATATGTGGAGATATCGAAACAAATTAATCGGAAAATTCGCCTACGTCGACACAATTCTTCGTCATTTCAACATCACAACCAGAATCACTGATATGTGGAAAAAAGGGGATTTGGTCAAAAGTGGCTACGTAACCAACAAAACTCGAGTTGTATTCCGATCCAGCTCAAGTACCGTATTGATATATATTCAAATGTGCGCCGAAATGCATCAATTAGATCCCCAAGGTGATTTGTATTTGGAGAAATGTTTGAAGGGATTTTTGCCGACGCTTTTTGAGAAATGGAAATCGCATGCTTGTTCGCATTATGTCAGTATTATTTTGTGCTCAAGGTTTTATGCGGTAAGGTTTTTATTTTTTTAATTATAGGAAATGAATGAGATCTTTGAGGGGGGTTAGAGATTTTTGTTAACAGAATTTAGAAACGTATATTTTCAGGGGGATAATTTAAAAAAAAACAATTTTTTAATTTTTTTCAAAATTTAAATCTATCATTAAAGAGAAAAATCTATCGGCACTCATAAAAAATGTCTGCGAAACAAAATATTTTCTCAACCAAAATCGGATAAGAAATTTTTGAAACAGTGAGATTTTTTAGAGCAAAAAATTTGGAAATACTTCATTTTTCAATATATTTTGAAAATTCTTCCAATTTTTGTTTTGAAAAATTAGGAGACCTTTTAATATGAGCAATAATTGATTTAAAATGAACTAGGTTATGACGTGGCAAAGTTGCATGACAGTGATAAATCCTAGAAACTTAGCGTAACTTGGCCGCTGCGCGGAAGATTGCGGTTTACACTCGCTTCGCTCGAATAGAGTGAAAAAACCAGAATTTTCAGCCAAAAATCAATGACGTGGCAAAGTTGCTTCACTGTAATTTTTTCCAGATTTTTTAATGCAACAATTTGCATGCAATCTCTCTGTAAAGTAGAGGATTTTTATTAACAAAATTTTCAAACGTATATTTTTTATGTTTTCTTAATTTTTAGGAAAAAGCGGAATTTTATTAAAAAATACTGTTGCTCATATTAAAAAGTCTCCTAATTTTTCAAAACAAAAATTGGAAGAATTTTCAAAATATATTGAAAAATGAAGTAATTCTAAATTTTTTGCTTCCAAAAATCTCACTGTTTCAAAAATTATATATCTTATTTTGGTTGAGAAAATTTTTGTTTACATTAATGAACTTTCCCGATAAATCAGAATTTTCAGCCAGAAATCTATAGGCTGAAATTCGCCATGTCATCAAGTTGAAATTCTGAAAATCTGATTTTAAATTTTTTCGAAATTCCACGTGGATTTTCGAGCGAAGCGAGTGTAGACCGCAAGCTTCCGCGTTAGCGGCACTATCTTCCGCGAAGCGGCCAGTTCCTGTACTTCTCTAGCTCTCTGATTTCTCTGCATCTCTAGATCTCCAGCTGTCTCGGCTCTCTGCATCTTTAGCTCTCTGGTTTCTCTGCGTCTCTCAATTCTACATGCTCTCTAATCGAGCGGAGCGAGTGTAGACCGCAAGCTTACGCGTTAGCGGCACTATCTTCCGCGAAACGGCTAGTTCCTCTGGGTCTCTAACTCTCTGACTTCTCTTCGTCTCTCAATTCCACATCTCTCTAATGGAGCGCTTTGCAAAGTTATCCTAACTTTTTGGGATTTCGAAATAACTTTTCTTGCAGACCGATCAATTGGACAATGAAACGAAGCGAAAAATGAAAGGAAGTTGTGATCACCGCGGTCGATATTATCAAGATTTCTACCGTCTTCTAGTACAAAATGAACATTATCCAGATTGGACTCACGTTCTACGAAATGTCAACATCGGATGTAATCATTACAATCAAAGTATCCAATCATTTTTGGCTCAAAAATCCCAGGAGTCAAATTCGAAATATCAACAGCCGCCGATGGCAATTTTCTGCAAGTGATTAATATGAGCATGAATTCGTTTAGTTTGTATCATACTGATCGACGATTTGAGACGACTGGACAACAGATTATATTTGTGACACCTGGAAATGGGGTTTTGCATGTGGATCGGGATTTGGTTGGATTGACGAAGCAAAGGGTTATTGATATGGGTATTTCGATGGATATGGTGAGAAATTATGCAAATTTTTGAATTTCCCGCCAAATATGACCCCGGAAAGATGAAAAATCGACTTTTTTGCAAATGCGCTCCATTGAGAATTTGGCGGGATTTTTGGGAAATTCAAATTTTTAGCTATGAAAAATGAACTCAAAAACCATGAAAATTCAAATTTCCCGCCAAATTTGACCCCGGGAACATGAAAAATCGAATTTTAGCTCGAAAATTAGCAAACGCGCTCCATTGAGAATTTGGTGGGATTTTTGGGAAATTCAAATTTTTAGAAGAGCAAAATGCTCAAAATTGAGCCAAGTAAAAACTTTTAGAATCTGTGACCAAAGTTTTGAAAAAAAATCGGCAAACGCTGTGAATTTTTTCCCAAAATTTTGAAAAATTTTTGAATTTTTAAAGGAAAAAGATTATTTTGAGATGAAAATTCCAAAAAAATTTCATAATTCCCTTTCTCCAGGTTTGCCTTGGTGAACAACCTCTTCACGCTGTCCCATTATTCGTTTTCCATCCAATTGTTGGACAAAAACAACGAGAATGCGATTATTTCATTCCGCATTGGATGAATTACTCATATTATAAAATGGATAGACGGAGTGCTATTTCTGTGCAATTTCAGCCCAGAATTCAATTGCCTGCTGATATTTTGGTGAGGAATTTGGGGGTATTCAAAGGTGCATAGGCTTGAAAATCGTGTCAAGACCTAATTTCTGATGAAAAATTCATTATTTTTGGTCCTGCAAGGATTTTTGAGGGTTTTAAAGGTGCATAAGCTCAGAGATCGTGTCAGGACCAAATTTCTGATGAAAAATTGAATATTTTAGGTCCTGCTACGATTTTTAAGGGTTTTAAAGGTGCATAAGCTTGGAAATCGTGTCAGGACCCGATTTCTGATGAAAAATTGAATATTTTTGGTCCTGCCACGATTTTTGAGGTATTTAAAGGTGCATAGGCTTGAACATCGTGTCAGGACCTAATTTCTGATGAAAAATTGAATATTTTTGGTCCTGCCACGATTTTTGAGGTATTTAAAGGTGCACAGGCTTAAAAATCGTGTCAGGACCAAATTTCTGGTGAAAAATTGAATATTTTTGGTCCTGCCACGAAAAAAATTTGGCGGGAAATTCCAAATTTCAAACTCAAAAATATTCTTTCCCAGGCGGCCCCCAAAAAAATGAACATGTCCGGTCAAACCGTTTGCTACGATCTAAATGTGAATGAAGTGGATGTTCTCTACGATGCAAACAAGTTGGACAAAGTCATAAATCAATCGAAAAATTCAAATTCAGAAAATTCAGAACATCATGATGATGATAATATCAAATCAATTCGGAAAGCATTGGAGTTGCCTGAACTTGCAGAGAAACCGCCTGAGAAACCACATCAAAAAACAACAGCCCGTGAGGAGAAGGAGCGGCCATTTGTGCCTAGTTACCCGGGAGGATCGAATAGTCGAGACATCCCGTGTTCCACAAGTCATCGCAACGAGGGATCGTCGTTTGAGAATTTTTCGTTTTCCGGAAGCCGCACGAAACCCTATGGATCTTATGAAGCTAGCTCATATTATCAAAAAAAATATGCGATTCCCAGACGAGCAACTGTTGATCCGATGAGCAATTTGAGCCCGGATCGCAATTATGTTCCATTGGGATCTTTGAAGAAGCAGGACACATTGATCAATCCGTTCAAGCCGGAACTCTTTGAAGTCCAAATGACGGCGAATCGAAGAAGATGGATTCATGTGTTCCCCGTGGATTCGAATGGGTTATCGAAGTTGGCACATCATTCGGTGTCCGGGCAAAGTATGATGCATATTGTGTCGGCTAGCGAGCAGGAGAAGGAGAAGGAGCCCATTCAGGAGCCAGATGTTGAGGAGCCGGAGAAAGAACAGGAAAAGGCAGCTGGAAGTGTTTCGCCGGTCAAGCAGCAGAAAAATGTGTCTTCGGCGATGAGCCCCACGGAGAGTGTGAGTTTTTTGGGGCTTTCCTAAAGATTAGCGAGAAAATTTGGATTTTTCAAGCATTGCTCTGGTTAAACAAACAAAAATTTGGAGATTTTTGAGCCCAAACAAGCCCTGGATCTTTTTTTAGCTTCTGGCTCTCGAAATGAGCAATTTTTTGCACAAAAACACGTTTTTGAGGGCCTTTTTTGGGATTTAAACAATTTTGCTAGAAATTTGAAATTTTTCAAGCATTGCTCAGGTTAAGAAAAATCGGGCAACTCAGGATGCATTGCTCAGGTTAAACAGTTTTGAACTGAAATTAGAATTGTTTAACCTGAGCAATACTTGAAAAATGGTCGAATTTCAGCTCAAAACGGTTTAACCTGAGCAATGCTTATAGAAATTCTTGAAAATTTTTTAATCTGAGCAATGATTCTAAAATCCTAATTTTCCGATTTTTGTTAACCTGAGCAATGCTTCAAAAATTTCAAATTTCTTGCGAAATTGTTTAACCTGAGAAAATCAGAATTTTCCCGATTTTTGTTAACCTGAGAAATGCTCTAAAATCCTTCAAATTTCTAGCGAAATTTTTAACCTGAGCAATTCTCTAAAATCCTAATTTTTCCGAATTTTCTTAAGCTGAGCAATGCTTCAAAATTTCAAATTTTTAGAAAAATTGTTTCACCTGAGAAATACTCTGAATTCCTAATTTTTCCGAATTCTCTTAACCTAAGCAATGCTTCTGAAACTTCAAATTTCAGCTCAAAATTTTTTAACCTGAGCAATACTTCTAAAATTTCATGAAACTTCTAAATTTTATAACAAAATTGTTCAAAATTTGTTTTTATCCTGAAGTTTCATCTGATCCACCAAAATTCCAATATATTTTTCTTATTCCAGATAAGTCAACGCGCCACCGATAAAAAGAACACAGTTTGGGCGTGGGGAAGTACGGGAGAAGAAAAATGGGATGCCGATTTGGAAGTTGGAACCGATTGGAAATCGCTTGTCAGATCGGCTCTTCTACCAATCACAACTGATTTTTTTCCGGATTATTTGAGTTTGACAACCAATTATCAGACCAATACATATTCTGTCATTTTTGTTGATTTTAAATTTGCGACGGTGAGTTTTTGGGGAATTCAGGCTTTCTAGGTGCGGCTACTTGTGATAGAAGCTCTCAAGGCGCAGCTCCTTGACAGAGTGGATATCTAGGCTTGGCTCCTAGACATTTAGAATCTCAAGGCGCGGCTCCTTGTTAGGTTAAATCTCTAGAAGCTGGGGCTTCAAAAAGTGGTTATAATTTTTCGATATGAAAAGTATAATTATGAAACCAGAAAATCCAGAATCTTCTGTAGAATTTTTGAAACAGTGAAAAAATTTAGTTCCCAAAGTTTGTAAACATGGATTTTTCACATGAAAAACATCTTGAGAATTTCGAATATTTCCAAAATTTAATAAATAAATACAGATTTCAATATGAAAAGTCTGAAAAAATCAAAATTTTTCAAAAAATTTGCTCAGAAATAGGAATATTGGACTTGGAGTCTTCTCATTTTTAGAATTTTGAAAAATTCCAAAGATTTCTTGATAAGTGGTGATTTTAGTACCAAAAAATCCCAAAAATTCCGAAATTTATTCATTTTTGAATGAAAATCACATTCTAGACGCAGCTGCTTGAGAACTAGGGTTTCTAGGCTCGCCTACTTGACATAGACGCTTTCTAGGCTCAGCTGCTTGACCTTGAGGTTTTCTAGGCTCGGCTGCTTGAGAACTAGGGTTTCTAGGCTCAACTGCTTGCCATAGACGTTCTCAAGGCGCGGATCCTAGACCTTGAGGTTCTCTAGGCTCGGCTGCTTGAGAACCAGGGTTTCTAGGCTCGGCTGCTTGCCATAGACGTTCTCAAGGCGCGGATCCTAGACCTTGAGGTTCTCTAGGCTCGGCTGCTTGAGAACTAGGGTTTCTAGGCTCGGCTGCTTGCCATAGACGTTCTCAAGGCGCGGATCCTAGACCTTGAGGTTCTCTAGGCTCGGCTGCTTGAGAACTAGGGTTTCTAGGGTTGGCTGCTTGACCTAGGAGCTCTAAAGACGTCCATGGGTTAAAAAAATGTAGAGTTTCTGAAAATTGTTCCAAAATCTCTGGATTTCAGCATTTTTTCAGTGTTTTTCTTGAAATTTTTGAAACAGTGAATTTTTTTCGAGCGTAGCGAGTGTAAACCGCAAGCTTCCGCGCCAGCGGCACTATCTTCCGCTTCAGCGGCCAGTTCCTCTGCGTCTCTAGCTGTCTAATTTCTCTGCGTCCCTAACTCTCAGATTTCTCTGCGTCTCTAACGCTTTAGCTATCTGGTTTTTCTGCGTCCCTAGCTCTCTGATTTCTCTACGCCTCTCAATTCTACATACTCTCTAATCGACTTAGCCCGGAATTTTAGAACTCCCAGAAAAATCAAATCTACATAGATTCTTTGACTCCAAAAAAACTCAAATTTTGTGTTCCAGGGAATCCCTCGACATGTCTACGAGCAACTAATTTGTCAACGACTTCAACGTGGTTTCCAAATTGTTCTCCTCGAAAAGAAATTCATCGATGAAGCGATTCATTGTCGATCAAATATTCAAGACATCGATGTAACTGATGAATGTGTTCTCTCATTCAACAAAATCTATCATAAAATGTGTTTTTCGGAGACAAATAAACAATTGGCGGTGACTATCTTCAAAGCAAATGAAAAACCGATGATTGAAGTTGCGATGCATCGAGGATGGTTTCCAAGACCTTCGCAAAATAATATTAAAAAAGAAAAACATTCGGAATATAATCCAAATAAAAGAATTTTTGATGAAGATGGTCCCAAAATCACCGAAAAAACGCTAGATGACGAATTAAATTGGAAAAATTTCAATACAATTTACACGTTCTACTTCCAAGTTCCGGATTCGGAGAGTTATGAGAAGTCTACGACTAAACTTCGACATCATGATTTGGACAAACTGAATTGGTCCCTGATTGACGCGGTTTTGCAACGGAAATATCCGGATTTGTTGTTTTCGGATGCGATGAAGTGTTTCTCGGCGAGTTTTGTTATTACGATGGCTCCGAAGGATTTGGGAGTGAAATCGAAGAAGAAAGTTGGAGAGGAGCTGTTGAGAGGCGCGGATTTTAGGGATTATAATGATTATGATTGTTTGGATTCGACGAGTTATACGAGATTTACCAATGTGAGGGTTTTGGGGGGAAATTTGAATTTTTTTGGAAAAATTTACATTTGAGCTCTTGGGGCTCTAAAATACCAAAAAATCATGAAATTTCAAAGTTTTCAGTCAAAAATTGATTGAAACTATAATTAGATTGATTTTTATGAGATTCTGAAGATTTTTGGGGTGAAAAAATTGAAAATTTGAGCTCCTGGGGCTCAAAAAAACCGAAAAATTATGAAATTTGAAAGTTTTTGGTCAGAAATTGAATAAAAACTATATTTAAGCCGATTTTTCTGATTGAGATTTACGAATATGAGTTTCTCAAGTTTTAAAATTCAAATTCTGAAAAAAAAAATCATTAAAAAATTTTTTTTTTGAAAAATTGAGCGTCCTCTCGAAAATCCACATGGAATTTTTGAATTTTGAAATTTTGTCAAAAAAATCTTCAGCGAAATTCCGAATTTCCGATTTTTTGGAGAATCCCTAGAAGCGGCTCCTTGAGAACTAGCCTCACTAGGCGCGGATCCTTGTCAGAGTGGATCTCTAGGCGTGGGTCCTAGACAATAGGAATCTCTAGGCTCAGCTACTTGAGAACTAGGTTTCCTAGGCTTGATCGCGTGTAAAATAATGGGAAATTTTTGATTTCTTTATCATTTCCTGCTATTTTATGCTTTTGAAAATCACAATTTACTACAGTAATCCATAAAATTGACGCTAAAAATCATGAAATTTAATGGAGGATGTGAAAAATTGTGTGAAAACGGCCAACGACGCGCATAATGGGTGTGTTTGCACATTAACCGACGCCAAATTTTCATTTTTTTTGTTTTTATGATTATTTCAATTATTTTTGACTAAAATGCTTTTATTTGTGTTACTAAAGGACCACGAAGACGTTACACACACTGAATTTGATTTAGTTTTGGATCAACAGGTAATTAATTTTATAATTAATTATTTTTTTAATTAGAAAAAAATCAATTTAGACCACGCTGAAGCTTCTTGAAGAACAGATTTCGTCAAAATTGAATATTAAAAGAGTATATATGGATTTGTTTTTCGCCGATGGGAGGAAGATTTTTGGGTTTGATGTGAATGGTAAGATTGTGCAAATTGGACTGAAAAATATGGATAAAGTGATTGTGGTAAGTATAGTTACGTTAATAATTGTTAAGGTTCAAAATTGTAGTACAGCTAATTTTAGAAACACACTTCAACTCGAAACTGGTCTATATTTCTGCAAAGGTACGAAACGTTAAAAAGCCTACGAACAAGCGACGAACAAGATGAGATGGCCAGGTCCCTTCTTGAAATGATATATATTTTAGAAAAAGGAGGGTTTTTCAATTGCTACCTTGAACTTCGAATTGACAGAAATCGAATTTGCGCGGATATTCGAGAGTATTTGGGAGGATTTCGAAACACTGTTAAAATGGCTGCTCGATATTTTTTCTTTGATCTGAAAATAGATAGACAAAACCCTGCGGTTTTCGATGTATGTTTGCAATTTTTTTTTAATTTATATTTTGTTTTGCAGATAAGTTTTAACGAGCCGCGTTGTACGGTCACAGATTATGATGGAAAGACGACTTATCATATTAAGGCAAGCTACGAAAGACCTCCCAATCTTCGAGAAGTTTTTGTATATTCGCTCCTTCAACTCATCGATGTGGGTCCTGAATCGTATGTTATATATCCGCTCCCTGCAACACCATTCAGAACTATCTTTATTGCTCTGAAATCGATTGCGAACTTTGAACGGCTCACTTTGAAGAGCAGGATTGAAATACACGTCCTTTGCTCTATATTTTGTATTACGGACGTTGAGAATTGTGGGCAGATTGATGAGAGACCGATTGTTAATGATTTTGCCGTACCGTTCAGAGAAAGTATGATTTTTTGTTAAAAAATTGGTGGATTTTTGACGAAAAAAAATTAAGTTGTGCTCATTTGAAAGCGCATGTTCTAATTAGTACAACCCTTGAAGGATCTTTTCTGGAAGCTTCACAAACATTAATTAAAAAACTGTAAAGTTCGAAAAAAACAGTGAAACACCGTGTAAAATGGCTTGAAAACCATAAGTACTGTAGCTGAGAAGCTTCCAGAAAAAAATCTTTCTTAATTTTTGCTCGCACTCCACCTTTAAGGTGAAAATTGGTCATTTTTTGATAAATTCACTGTTTTGGTCAACATTTGGTACCAAAATTGATCAAAAATTAACCAAATTTTCGTCAACTCGAATTTTTGGTCAAATTGGTTTAGCCTCTAAGCTATACGTTGAAAAAAGTTTATGGAATTTTTTTTTCGGACCTTTTAGGCCTTTCGAGAAAAAAATCCCCTGGGGCTTTTAAGGGGGCCCGATCTTTTGAGGAAATTGAATTTTGACCTCTTACCCCCTTTAAACTCAACTTATTAACATTTTCAGGTTATAAACGTGAAAACATTTTTCAATTAATTTGTGAAGGAACTCCTGCTAATGCTGTTGAAAACGAAGAACTTCGAACAATTGTGGATGAATGTTGTTCAGAAGATCGTATCAAGATTGCAAGAGCGGCATTGAATAGATGGAATTTGGTGGATGTGATTGAGAGAGCTAAGGTTCGTACGAATACGGTGAAAGAAGATATGGAAGTTCGGGGAATCAGAATTGAAGAATCAGAAGAATTTGAAAAATATGCCGAAGATGTGAAATATAATTGTTCTTTGTTCTCACACTGTTGAAATTTGAAATAAATTATTTTGGTATATCTAAATTTGATGTGTTTTGTTCTGAGTTTTTTTGAAAAAAAATTCTTGAAAAATAATCTGAAAATTATTTCAGAGTCTCCAAAAATTAAATTGAGCAACGTTTGAGCTTTAAAATGTGTCAACAAATTCGAATAAATCCCTATTCCAGGAAAAATCATCTGAAAATTTGATTAAAAAATATTCAGCTTAAATTTTAACAGATCAGAAAATATAAAAATGTTTAAAAATTTCACAAAAAAACTGTCTGAAATTTCACAGAAAAATTAAATCAAACAGTTTTGATCTTATGTAAAAATCAAAGTTCCTACAACAATTCCATTTTTTCCAGCTTCTCCTCTACATAAATCGTCTATCCTACCCCTCTCACATAACCGATCAATCCTTCCAATCTCCACGAGTTTCACAAAGTTGTTCATCATCACACGATGAAAAAGATAAATTTGGATTGGATGAAATGGAAGAAGCGCTGAAACAATTCAAACAAACCAAATATGTTGGAGTTTGTTCGATAAATGATCGAGGAAATTGTGTGAATACTCCGCCGGATATGTTTATTGTTTATGATTTTGTTGTTTGGTTGCAGGGTAAGATTTGGGGATTTCGGGAGGAAAAATTATATAGAAATGTGAAAATCTGAATTTGAAAGCTGAAAATTAACCTGGAAATTTGAAAAATTGATCTGAAAATATGGATTTCTTGTTTTTTGGTTCAAAAAAATTGATAGAAATGTGAAAATTAGGATTCGAAAGCTTAAAATTAACCTGGAAAATTGAAAATTATTTTTTTTTGTGGATTTTAGCATGGAGTTCATTCCTGTATCATTTTCAACCGTTTTCAAAAAAAATTTAAGAAAAAATGGTGAAACAGTGGATTTTTTTTCAAACAAAAATTGATAGAAATGTGAAAATTCGGACTTGAAAGCCTAAAACTGACCTGGAAAATTAAAAAGTAGTTTTTATTTTGAATAATTTCTGAATTTAATGATTTTCGAAAAAAATTATTGAATTCTGCATCATTTTCAGTTGTTTTCAAAGAATTTTAAGAAAAAATGGTGAAACAGTGAATTTTTGTTCAAAAAAATTGATAGAAATGTGAAAATTTGGACTTTAAAGCTTAAAATTAACCTGGAAAATTGCATTTTTGAAGATTCCGAATTTCAGATTCAAAAAATGATCCAGAAAGTTCTAAGCTCAAATTTGAATCTAAAAATTGCCCTGGAAATCGAAATTTCAAATTTTGATTCTTAAAAATTTCAAAGATTTCATGGTGAATACAAATTTCAGTTCTAAAAATCTTAAAAATACTGAAATTTATAGATTTTTGAGTGAAAACCATGTTCTAGACGCGGCTGCTTGAGATCTAGTCTCTCAAGGCGCTGCTCCTTGCCGAAGTGGATCTCTAGGCGCCGGTCCTAGACAACTAAGTTCTCTAGGCGCCGGTCCTAGACAATTAGGTTCTCTAGGCTCGCCTACTCGAAATCTGGTCTCTCAAGGCGCTGCTCCTTGCCAAAATGGATGTCTAGGCGCAGATCCTTGCCAGAGTGAATTTCTAGGCGCCGGTCCTAGACAAAAAGGTCCTCTAGGCTCAGCTACTTGTCATAGCAGCTCCCAAGGCTCGGCTCCTTGCCAGAGTGCGTCTCTAGGCGCCGGTCCTAGACACTTAGGTTCTCTAGGCTCAGCTACTTGCCATAGAAGCTCTCGAGGTGCTGTTCCTTGCCAGAGAAGCTCTCAAGGCGCTGCTCCTTGCCAGAGTGAATCTCTAGGCAGGCGCCGGTCCTAGACACTTAGGTTCTCTAGGCTCGGCTACTTGACACAGAGGCTCTAAAGACATTTATGGGTCAAAAAATAGCCAAAAAATTCGAAACTTGGATTTATCACCTGAAAATTGCTCCGGAAATTAAAAAAAACTAATTTTTAATTCAAAAATTCACTAGATTTCAGCTAAATTTGTTCAAAAATTTAGGTTTACCTAGAAATTTTCTAAAAAATTTCTTATTTTCCCCCTCCTCTCCTCTTTTTTTCCCACATGGCCGAATTTCTCCCCCTCCTCGTGGCCTAGAAAACCAAATGCAAACATTTTATTTTTTTTCTTTTGCACTGCATTTTTCCCCCCGTTTTTTCTCTGAAAACCTGCTCCAAATCCAATTTTCCAGAAAATGTTCAAGGAAAATGTCAAATTCCGGATTGCCTTGTTCTCATTGCTGATCTCAAAGACAATGATATAATTCGAATTGCACATCCAAGTGAAGAAGAATATCATATGGCAGATGAATTTGTGCAAAAAGCGCCAGAAAATGAGAATGATATTATTTATGGATTCCAATTGTGCTATTTTGTTGAAAAGGAGAAGGAATATGAGGGAAAGATTTCGAGGTAACGATTTTTCGGGCCGGAAATTTTCGAATTTTCATCAATTTTTCATTAAAAATATTGATTTTTTTTGAATTTTGAGCCGGAAAACTCAAATTTCAACAAAATATGACAAATTCCAGGTGAATTTTGGACTAGAAAATTATGGATTTTCCCAGCTAGAAATACGTTTTGAACAATTGATTTATAATGAAATTTGCGTAAGAAAATGATTCGAATTGTAAATTATCCGGGAAAAATCAAATTTTTCTTGAAAATCTTCAAATTTCCATTAATCTTAACCTAGAAAACATAAAAATTGAAGAAATTTTCAATTTTTATCAGAAAATTTGAAAAATATTGTTTTTTGACTACAAAATCTCAAAAAAACTTCGTGTGTGTTTGAGCAGAAAATTGTGGAATTAGTGCTATAAAAAATTCCTGCTAGAAATACGTTTCGAAAAATTGATTTATAATGAAATTTGCGGAAACAAACTGATGGTCTTTTTAAATGCGTTAGTAAAATTTAAAATAATCGATTTTTCATGAATTTTAAGCCGGAAAACTCAAATTTCCAAGGAATTTAACCTAGAAAACATAACAATTGAAAAAATATTGTTTTTTGAACACAAAATCTCAAAAATTTTGTGTCCTTGAGCAGAAAAATCGAGGAATTTGTGATATAAAAAAACCCAGCTGCAAATACGTTTCGAAAAATTGATTTATAAAGAAATTTGCGGAAGAAAATGATTCGAATTGTAAATTATCCGGGAAAAATCAATTAATTTTTGAATTTTCGTCAATTTTGAATTAAAAATCTCGAAATTTAATGAGTTTTGAGCCGCGAAACTCAAATTTCCATTAATCTTAACCTAGAATACCTGGAAATTGAAGAAACTGCAAATGCGCCCCATTGAACTATTTGATATTTGTTAGAAGATTTGAAAAATATAGGTTTAAACTAACTTCCTTAGGAACTTCACTTGTCAAAACCAAAAATATTCCAGATTCACAACCATCCAATACGCCACCAATATTTTCTCGCTTAATGATCAACCACAAAATGAATGGAGAAATTATATTGATATTGAATTGCCGAGTGTGAAAGAGGATGCACCGCTTGGCGAATTTACCAGGGTTTGTTTGAGATTTTTTTTTTTGGCTGAAAATTGTGGAGAAAGAGAGTTTGTAATGAGCAATTTCTGAATTTTTGCTGAAAATTGGGATTTTTGAAAGTTCTACAGAGTTTAAAATGAGCAATATCTGAATTTTTGCTGAGAATTGGGATTTTAAAAGATACTTGAGATTTTAATATGAGCAATACCTAGATTTTTATTGAAAATTTGGATTGTTGGCCTGTAACATGAGCAATAGCATGGTTTTTGCTGAAAATTTGATTTTTGAGGGTTCTTGACTGTTTAATATGAGCAATACCTAGATTTTTATTGAAAATTTGGATTTTTAGCTCTTAATATGAGCAATGCTTAGATTTTTTGCCGAAAATTTGGATTTTTGAAAGTTCTACAGAATTTAATATGAGCAATCCTCAAAAAAGTGTACTGCGGCATGGTTTTTGGGGCGTGGCCTAAATAGTTTTCCAGAAAAAAAACAGAAAAACTATGAGGTTGCTCATATTAAACTCAAAAATCATAAAATTTTAAGCAGAAATTCAGGTATTGCTCATATTAAACCCCTCTATTTTTTGCAGTTCTACTACGATTCGATCTTCTACCCCGAAAGTGCCTACTCATTCCAAATGAAATGGTATTTGGCAACCGGCCAAGCTGTTGCTGATCTCCTAACCGGATGGTCCAATAAATCCCGCCAGCAATTCAGTATCTTGACATTTCCGGTCCCGGATGATCCATTTTCATTGGCACAGGACACGTATTCGAATCCATTGAGATGTTCAATTCAAATACCGTTTAAGAATGATGGAATTGTGGCGAAAGAGGATGTGGGTGATTTTTTGAGGTCTAATTAAGTCTAGGCCGAGTTTTGGGCCTGAAAATGACCGATTTTCAGTCAAAAATAGCTGAAAATGGCTGATTTTTAGCCTAGAAACGTCCAAATTTCAAGTTTTCTAACCATTTTTGATTTTTGAGGGGAAATTTGGGATTTTTTTGAGCCTAAATAAGCCTGGGCCCGATTTCTGGGCTTAAATCCATCGAAAATGACCAATTTTCAGTCAAAAATAGCTGAAAATGATTAATTTTCAGCCTAGAAACGTCCAAATTTCAAGTTTTCTAACCATTTCTGATTTTTGAAGGGAAATTTGAAATTTTTTGAGCCTAAATAAGCCTAGGCCTGAGTTTTCGGCCTGAAATTGTCAAAAATGAAAGCTAAATTTTAACCTCCAAAATTTACGTTTCAAAATATTTTTAAATGAAATTTGAATGAAAAATTTTGATTATCTCTTTTCACTACCTTCAAAGCTTAAAATCTGAAATTTCTAGCCTAAAATTCAAAAATCATATTTTTTGCAGGAGAAAGATTTCATAGTTTCGGTTTTGTTCCGCTTCGGATTCATCGATTTTGGTTGCAACGTCAAACATGATTTTCAAACGCCCAGAAATGCACCAGGTTTGGATTTTCCCCCTATTTTTCTTTTTTTTTCTCTGAAAATCCATGTTGTTTTTTTTCCAGATCTTTCCTCCTCAACAACCCTCAAATCGTTCAGTTTCATACATCAAATTGGTGGAATGTTTGTGTCGTTGATGATTGGCGACGAGAAAAATAGCTCCTCATCGCCACCGTTTTTCTATTGGGCCTGGAATCATATGTTGAGCAATTTGTATAGGAATAAGACGTGAGTTTTTTTCAATGTTTCAAAAAAATATTTGCTCAAAATTATTCAAAAATTTCTGAAAATAGGAATTTTTATATATTTTATTATGAGAATTTTTCACTGTTTCAAAAAAATTAATAATTTTTGAAGAGTTTGGGAAGATTTGATGTAATAGTGATTGAAAATATATTTTCAAAATTTGGGAAAAATGCAAAATTAAAGATTAATAAAAAAACAAATTAGCTGATTTTTTGAGCTCAAAATTCTCCAGAAATTTCTGAAAAATGGGAATTTCTATGTTTTTCATTTCGATAATTTTTCACTGTTTCAAAATTTTTGAAAATTTTGAAGGGTTTGATGACTTTTGATACTGGTGTTGTTGGGCGAGAATTTGAAAAAATATAGCAAAAATTCTGAATTTTAAGATTACAAAAAAAAACAAATCAGCTGATTTATGAGCTCAAAATTCTACAAAAATTTCTGAAAAATTTTTCATTGTTTCAAAACTTACTAGTTTTTGAAGGATTTAAGGAGCTTGTAATTTTCAGAATAAACATAATTTTTAACAAAGTGTGTAGGAAAAATGACAAATTTTTTGATAATTTTTCACTGTTTCAAAAATTGAGTAATTTTGAAGGATTCGGGAAGTTTTGATGAAAGTTGAAAAAAAAACATTGCAAAAATTCTGAATTTTAAGATTACTGAAGAATATTCGCTGATTTTTGAGCTGAAAATTCTCCAAAAATTCGTGAAAATGGGAATTTCTATTTTTTCATTATGAGAATTTTTCACTGTTTCAAAAAATTGAGTAATTTCGATGGGGTTTCGTTCTGGTGATGATTTTTGGATAAACTGTTAAAAAAACAATAGTGATTGGAAGTTGTTTTTTTTTAATTCAGGAAAAATCCCGAAGCTTGAGGTTATCAAAACAACAAATTAGCTGATTTTTGAGCTCAGAATTCTCCAAAAATTCCTGAAAAATAGGAATTTCTATATATTTTATTATGAGAATTTTTCACTGTTTCAAAAAAATTATTAATTTTTAAAGGATTTGGGACGTTTTGATAATAATGAATGAATAATATAACAAAAATTCCGAAAGCTCAAATTTCATTAATTTTTATTTTGTAGCAAAAAAACAGCAGAAAACGCTGAAATTTTCGGAAATGTTGTTTTAAATGAGGAATTTTCATCTTTTTCATAGTTAGAATTGTTCACTGTTTCATAGATTTATTAATTTTTAAAAGGGTTGGGGAGTTTTGATTTTTCAAACTGATCGAAAAAACAATAATAGTGAATTGAAAAAATGTTTTTTTTAATTTAGGAAAAATCCCAAAATTAACGTTTACGGATGCGTTGATTTTTGAGCTGAAAATTCTCTAAAAATTTCTGAAAAATGGGAATTTCTATATTTTTCATTTCGAAATTTTTTCACTGTTTCATAAAAATTAGTAATTTCAATGGGTTTGATGACTTTTGATAATGGTGTTGTCGAAAATTTTAAAAAAACATTGCAAAAATCCCAAATTTTAAGATGACTAAAGAGTATTCGTTGAATTTTGAGCTGGAAATTATTCGAAAATTTCTGAAAATGGGAATTTCTAGGGTTTTTATGTTGAGAATTTTTCACTGTTTCAAAGAATTGAGTAATTTCAATGGGTTTAATGACTTTTGATACTGGTGTTGTTGGGCGAGAATTTGAAAAAATATAGCAAAAATTCTGAATTTTAAGATGACTAAAGAATATTCGCTGAATTTTGAGCTGAAAATTCTCCAGAAATTTCTGAAAAATGGGAATTTTTTTTTCATTTTGATAATTTTTCACTGTTTCAAAATTTTTTGAAAATTTAGAAGGGTTTGGGAAGTTTTGATACTTGCGTTGTTGGCCGAGAATTAAAAAAATATAGCAAAAATATTCATGAATTTTAAGATTACTAAAGAATATTCGCTGTTTTTTGAGCTGAAAATTCTCCAAAAATCCCTGAAAAATAGGAATTTCTATTTTTTCATTATGAGAATTTTTCACTGTTTCAAAAAATTCATAAATTTTTGAAATAATTTGTTTTCTGTTGATAGTTGAATTGTTTTCATCTGTTTCATAGAAATGTTTTCACTGTTTCAAATATTTTTTGAATATTTGAATGTTTTTTGCTAATTTAATTCTAACTGTTTTTTAGTATCCTGAATATTTTTAGCAAAAATTTTGAAAAGTAGAATTTTTTCATACAGAAAAATATTTGCTGTTTCAAAAAATTCTTATTTTTTTTCACTAGTTTCAATAGTTTTTGATCAACTAAATTCAGGTAGTGAAAAATTCCAGAATTAATTTTATCTTGGAAAAATTTACCGAAAAAAAATTACTGTTTCAACAAAATTGTAAATTTCTAGATTCGAGCGGAGCGAGTGTAAACCGCAAGCTTCCGCGTAAGCGGCACTATCTTCCGCTTCAGCGGCTAGTTTCTCTGCGTCTCTAGCTTTCTAGCTTCTTGACTTCTCTGCGTCTCTAGCTGTCTAGCTCTCTGGCGTCTCTACATCTTTAGTTTCCTGACTTCTGTGCGTCTCTAGCTGCCTGACTTCTCTGTGTCTCTCAATTCTACATGCTCTCTAATCGAGCGCTCTGCGCGAGTGTAAACCGCAAGCGGCAATATCTTCCGCTTCAGCGGACATTTTCTCTGCGTCTCTAGCTCTCTGGCTATCTGACTTCTCCTAACCTTTTTCAGCCAAAAAAAATTGATCCTTTCCAGACAATGCACCGAAGAATATCAAGACTACATGCTGTCAGAATTCCGCAAATTTTGTGCCAACGAAAATAATTATATGGAAACACTCTACGAGGAATTCAACAATATGCGCAGAAATGGACCTAAAAATTAGGATTTTTTCTCGAAATTTTCAGTATTTTTCATGTAAATAGTCAAAAGTTAGTCACTCACTTTTATTTATTTTTTTTTGATTTTTGTGCCGAAATTCAGGGTATTTTCACTTTTTTTAAATGGTTTTTGAGTTTTTCTTGATTTTCAAAGGTTTTTAAAACCTTATTATATCTTTAAGGTTCTTAGGGCCTTAACCCTAAACTCCTTAACCCATTCCAGATGGAAGTTGAGCTGGATATTGCTCCGATGTGCTTGAAAACCAACAAAGATGGAAGTCGTTTGGTGGTTGGATGTGTTGATGGAAGTGTGAGATTTTATGATACGAGTGCCGAAGTTGAACAGCAAGGAGCATTGAAAGTGGGTTTTTTGGGGAACTGGGGAATTTTTAAAAAATATTTTTCAAATCTATAAAATTCAACAAAAAAATTACAAAAAATGTTCAAAAAAAAAAAAATTCAACCATAATTTTATCCTTGAATTTCTGGAAAATATAAAATCTACGATCTTTTAAGTGAACCAAAATTATTACATTTTTTAACTTGAAAAATACGTTTCAAAATTTGTATTTACATGAAGACACTGTTTTGTGATTTCAATGTTGAAATTGCATATTAAGTCTGTAAAATATTTTTGAAAACATTAAAAAGTGCACTTAATTTTAGTTTTTTTTTCTTCAACATGCCATTAAAAATCCAAAATTCTAAAGAAAAATATGCAATTGTTTTGAAACAGTGAAAAAATTTTTTTGAAGCAATTTTTGATCTCAAGAAATGTTTTAAAATATTTTTGGAGCTCTAAATTTTGGTCTGAAAATTTAATTTCAATTAGCTTCCATAATTTTTTCTCTGTATTTCTGAAAAATATAGAATTTGAATCCACGGGCATACAGCATTGAAAATTTTGAAATCTGAAGAAAAATAAGCTATAATTTTGAAACAGTGAAAAAATTTTGGAATTTTTTTTTCTAGTATTAAAAAAAAAAAGAAAAAATCTAATAAAATAGATGGTTTCCTTGAAATTCTGAAAAATATAAATTTTAGCAAAAAATTTGGAGCATTTTGGGCTCAAATTTGCTCAAATATTAGCTGAAAATTCTCAGAATTCCACGTGGATTCTGAAATTTTTGAATTTGGTTCAAAATTTAGAGCGTTTCGAGTTCAAATTTCAGCTGAAAATGCTCGAAATTCCACGTGGATTCTGAAATTTTTGTGGCTGGTTCAAAATTTTTAAGCATTTTGAGCTCAAAAATCCCCGAAAAAATACGTTTCAAAATTATTATTTCTCTCAGAATTGTGTTTATTTTTTGGTCTTCTTGGCAAATACAACTGAACAAAAAATAATATAATTTCATCCAAGAAATTCTGAAAAATATAAATTCATAACCCCAAGAATTTGGAGCATTTTGAGCTCAAATATTAGCTGAAATTGCTCAGAATTCCACGTGGATTCTGAAATTTCGGAGAATTTTGAGCTACTGAAAACCGAGCTGAATTGCTCAAAAATCCCCAAGAAAATACGTTTCAAAATTTTTTTTTTCAGGAAATCTGGCGATTCGTAACAAAATCCAGTGTTCGAGGTGTCGAAATCGACGATGATCTGAAACAAGTCTACGCGGTCACCAAAAACCGAGCCCTATGTGTTTTTGACATGGAAACCGGTCGGCGAATTCGCTGCATTCTCAAATGTCATTCAGATGTTCCATCAGCGATGTGTGTTTTGCCGCCGACGGCGTTGAAAAATCAACAATTGGCCACAGCTGATGAATCGGGAGAGGTTAAGACGTGGGATTTGCGGGCGAATGAGCCGGTGGTGAGAAAATGGAAGCAACAAGAAGAGGAGATTAATGATTTGAAATTGGATTGTAAACATAATTTGATTGCTTCGTCTTCTGATGGAACTTTGGCTGCTTATGATGTGAGTTTTGGAGCATTTTGAGCCCGAATTCCACGTGGATTCTGTGATTTTTGAATTTGGCTCGAGATTTGGAGCACTTTGAGTCCAAATTCTACGTGGATTCTGGAATTTTTGAATTTGGTTTGAAATTTGGAGCATTTTGAGCTCAAAAAATACTGAAATTTGGGCTGAAATTGCTCAGAATTTCACGTGGATTCTGAAATTTCTGATTTTGGCTTGAAATTTGGAGCATTTTGAGCCCTAATTTGCTCAAAAATACTGAAATTTGAGCTGAAATTGGTCAGAATTCCACGTGGATTCTGAAATATTCGAATTTGGCTCGAGATTTGGAGCTCGAGATTTGGAGCAGCTCAAAAATACTGAAATTTGAGCTGAAATTGCTCAGAATTCCACGTGGATTCTGAAATATTCGAATTTGGCTCGAGATTTGGAGCAGCTCAAAAATACTGAAATTTGAGCTGAAAATGCTCAGAATTTCACGTGGATCCCGAAATTTCTGAAATTGGCTGAGGATTTGGAGCATTTTGAGCTCAAAAACACTGAAAATCGTAAGAAATCACATAAATTCGTCTAAAAATCTGAAATTTCAGTCTGAAACTCAGTTTTCAAATCAAAATTTAAAATCTGGAGCCTCAAAAATTATGCTGAATTAAAAATTTTTCCGAATTTTCTCGATTTTCCAGCTCCGAAAAGGCAAATTCAAAGTTCGAAGCGAAGCAATGCACTCGGAATTATCAGCGATTTGTCCAACCAACAAATATACATATGTTGGAGGTCAAGATGGATTTGTTGAAGTTTTTGATTTGAATGAATATGGTAATATTTTGGAACGGATTGAGAGTGGATATGAAATGGTGAGTTTTTGAAGTATTTAAAGGTGCATAGGCTTGAAAATCGTGAAAAATTGAATATTTCTGGGTCCTGCCACGATTTTTAAGGGTTTTAAAGGTGCATAGGCTTGAAAATCGTGTCAAGACCCAATTTTCTGATGAAAAATTGAAGATTTTTGGGTCCTGCCACGATTTTTGAGATGTTTAAAGGTGCATAGGCTTGAAAATTTTGCAGGGTGTCAACGGAATTGTGGAGCTCCGTTTGGGATTGTTGCTGTTGTCAAGTAATGGAAGTAACAAATTGAAATTGTTGAATGTGATGCCATCGAAAAGGCTTGGAGCGATGGGTTCGCATGGAGAAGATGATATTGATGGAATTGATGTTATTACCATTTCCCAAGATAAATCTACAGTCTTTTCGGCGGTCTCGATGAATTGCTCGATTAAGAAGTGGAATTTGGCGCCGATTGTTGGACAGATTCCGATTTTGAGGGCGCAGGATGCGAAGAAGAAGAAGGGACAGGTTGCGCAAGGGTAGGTAGATTCGGGGGGGGGATGCGGAAGGTTCCGCGTGGCCGCTAACGCGGAAGCTTGCGGTTTACACTCGCAGCTCCGCTGCTCGAGCGAAGCGAGTGTATATCAGAAGCTTCCGCGTTAGCGGCTTTGCTATGACGAAGAATATTCCGCTTTAGCGGCCACGTGGATTACTATGACGTGCACCTGTAAATTCCTATGGTTTCCACGTCATAGTTATCCGCGTGGCCGCTAAAGCGGAACACAGTGCCGCTGACGCGGAAGCTTGCGGTTTACACTCGCTTCGCTCGGCTTCAGTTTTCGATAGTGTAAATGCGGAGTGTCGTAGTTTTTCAAGGGGGAAAATGTGTGTTAAAATCCAAAATGGTACGATTTTTCAGGGTTACTGTATGTTCCTTTAAATATTAAGAAATAGACGAATTCAGAGAAAATTTTGAGATAAATTTTAGATTTATATTACAAAAAAACCACTGTTTCAAACATGTTTGAAACTATTTTTAATTATTTGATAACGATAGTTCAAACTCAGGGATACTGTATGCTCCTTTAATTATTATTAAAACATTATTTTTGTTCATACCAAGTTTAGACATAAGGGCGAAATTTTTCTTGAATGAAGTTTTAAAATGCCACGTCATAGCTCAAATTTTGAAGGTGAAGTCTCCTGAAAATTGAAAAATCAAAATTCCATCCCAGAAATTCACATTATTTTGAAACAGTGAAAATTTTGAGTTCGAAAAAAAATTTTTAACCCAAAAAGTTTACTGTTTCAAACATTTTGGAAAGTCAAAAATGAGAAAAATCCTGGATTTTAATTCCAAAAATAGAAGTTTCGAAATTCCACGTCATAGTTCACATTTTGTTGTAGAGTCGGATGAAAATTGAAAAATCCAAATTTCATCCCAGAAATTCACATTACTTTGAAACAGTGAAAATTTTAAATTTGAAAAAAAAATTTTAACCCAAAAAATCTACTGTTTCAAACAATTTTGAAAGTCTAAAATGAGCAAAAATCCTTGATTTTTATTCCAAAAATTGAAGTTTCGAAATTCCACGTTATAGTTCACGTGAAAACATTAATTTTTGTATTTTTCAGTTTAAAAATCTGAAAATTTTGAGCTGAAAATCATGAAAATATCAAGTTTTGCTCAAAAATGAGAATTTTCAGCTGAAAATCCTGAAAATTCTAGAAAATTTCCAGATTTTTCGACGATCTTGTCGGCGGAAATGGCGATGAACCAAAATCAAAACGACAAAAAACATCGGAAGCCGAATCGGGAGAAGATCAAGATGAAGAAGAATCTGGAGTGGATTCAGATGATGAAGAAATCGATGATGAAGAAGATCATGTGATTGATGATGAAGCTGAAGATGAAGCTGAAGAAGAGGAAGATGATGAAGATGTTGATGAATAGATCTGAGCCTGAAGCCTGAAGCCTGGGCCTAGGCCCTTTCTCTTCCTAGGTCTCTTTTTGCAAAAATTTTTAAAATTTTCCCTGAATCTCACTATTTTATTTTCTAAATACTTTAAATTAATTTTTTATAAATTTTTTTTCCAAAAATTCTATTTTCTCTCCCCAGAAGGTTTTCTAGCCTTTTTTATATTTGTTCTAGATTGATTTTCAGACAAGATTTTCAGCCAAATTGAATTCCAGATGTCAAGCTTCATTGCGTGTGGAGTTTGTGGAATCGAAAAAAAGGAGCAATACACTTGCCCGAAATGTCAGTTTCGATATTGTTCGATTCGATGTTATCGAGCTGAAAAGCATGCCGAATGTTCGGAGAGTTTTTATCAGGTGAGGGGGAATTTTTGGGGGGAAATTTTGAAAATTGCTTTGAGATCGAGGAAAAATTGTAAAATTCAAGAATTGAAAATTTATCGGATTCTTGAAAAAATAAAGATCAATTCAAAAATGTTTGAAACAGTAGATTTTTTTAATAGAAAATTTTGACTGTTTCAAAAATTGTGTGAAAAATAAACATTTTTCTGATTTATTTATAGATCGGATTTTCGAGGAACTAAATTTCAGTTGAAAAATGTTTGAAACAGTAGAATTTTTAATTTTGAAAATGGTCAAAAATTCGAATTAAAATCAGGAAAAATTGTGAAATTCTCACTGTTTCAACTGAAATTTTGATGAAAACATTGCTAAAAAATTGTGATATTTAAGCACGAAGTCGTATCGGATTTTTCAAAAATTCAAGATCAATTCAAAAATGTTTGAAACAGTAGATTTTTTTTTCATACAAAATTTTTCACTGTTTCAAAAATTATGTTAAAGATAACATTTCTCTGAATTTTTGATCCTTCGATTGTGTTTCTTCGATCGAATTTTCGAAAAACGAAATTTCATGTGTTTGAAACAGTAGAATTTTTAGATTGGAAAATGGTCCAAACTTCGAATAAAAATCAGATTTTCTCATATTTTCTGATCAAAAAATCTCACAATCAGTAGAAAAAATTGATCGAAAAATTTTCACTGTTTCAAAAATAATGTGAAAATATAAATTTCACTGATTTCTCAATTATTCTTTTCTAATTCAGGGCTAATCTGAGATGAAATTTGGAATTTTTTCAGAGTTTCAAACATTTTCAAACTTGAAAATTCTACTGTTTCAAACCTTTTTGAACTCAAGTTTAGTTCTTCGAAAAAAACGATATAAAATTTGTTGAGAATGGAAAAATCAGAGAATTGTTTATTTTCCACATAATTTTGAAATAGTTAAAATTTATGATCATTTTCTATGCAAAAAATGAATTTGAGCAAAATAATATTAAAAAATCGGTGATTTTGTGAATTCAGAAAATAGAAATTTGATCAGAAAATTTTCACTGTTTCAAAAATAATATGAAAAATGAAAAGTTTTCGGAATTTTTGATCCGTCAATTTGTGTGTGTAGAATATTTTAGCAATTTTTATTACATTGGATTTTCGAAAAACGAAATTTCGGTTAAAAAATGTTTGAAACAGTAAAATTTTTAGACTTGAAAATGGTCCAAAATTCGAATGAAAATCAGGAAAAATTGTAAAATTCTCACTGTTCAACTGAAATTTTGATGAAAAAATTGCTTAAAAATTGTGATGTTTAAGAACGAAGTCGTATCGAATTTTTCAAAAAATTAAGATTAATTCAAAAATGTTTGAAAAAGTGGATTTTTTACACTTTTTTTGATACTAAATTTTCACTGTTTCAAAAAAATTTTAATTTCAAAAAATTCTTTGAATTTCCGATCTTGTAATTCTGGCATCTGAAAATAGTTGAAAATTCAAATAAAAATCAGATTTTCCCATATTTTCTGATCAAAAATCTCATTGTCAGTAGAAAAAATTGATCGAAAAATTTTCACTGTTTCAAAAAAATGTGAAAATATAAATTTCACTGATTTCTCAATTGTTCTTTTCTAATTCAGGGCTAATCTGAGATGAAATTTGGAATTTTTTCAAAGTTTCAAACATTTTCAAACTTGAAAATTCTACTGTTTCAAACCTTTTTGAACTCAAGTTTAGTTCCTCGAAAATCCAATAGTGGGCTTGTAGAAGTTGAAAAATCAGAGAACTTTTCATTTTTCACATAATTTTGAAACAGTTAAAATTTATGATCATTTTCTATGCAAAAAATGAATTTGAGCAAAATAATATTAAAAAATCGGTGATTTTGTGAATTCAGAAAATAGAAATTTGATCAGAAAAATTCACTGTTCCAAAAATAATATAAAAAATGAAAAGTTTTCTGATTTTTCGGTGATTTCTTCAATTTGGCGGTGTAGAAAATTTTTAGCAATTTTGAATGTTCCACCAGACATATCAGATTTTTGAAGAACTAAATTTCGGTTAAAAAATGTTTGAAACAGTAGAATTTTTAGATTTGAAAATAGTCAAAAACTCGAAGAAAAATCAGATTTTTCCATAATTTTGCTCGAAAAATTTCAGTAGTATGAAATTTGATGGAAACATTTTACTGTTTCAGAGTGATATAAAAATAAAATGTTCTCTGATTTTTTGATAACTGGCTTCTACAGATTTCAACAATTTTAGCAATTTTCAAATCCTCAAATACCTCAAATCGGATTTTCGAAGAACTAAATTTCACTTCAAAAATGTTTGAAACAGTAGAATTTTCAAATTTGAAAAAAAGTCAAAAATTCAAATTTTCTCATAATTTTGCTCAAAAAATATTAGTAAAATAAAAATTGATCGAAAAATTTTCACTGTTTCAAAAAATTATGAAAAATAGAAAATTTTCTGAACTTTTGATGATTTCGATGGAAATAGACAAGTTCAAATAAAAGTCACAAATTTTCAGCTTTTCAGATATTTTTCATCCTGGAAATCTCAAAAATCATCCAATTTCTTCCAGGAACACGTAAAACGCGAATTATCCGGCCAAAAATTCGATCAAACCGCAAACACTGAAGAATACAAGGAGAAAATGCAGAAATTTTTGAATGGCGATTGGAGTGGAATTGAAGAAGGTACATTTTTCGGCTGAAAATATTTTCTGAAAATTGTTTTGTGAATTTGAATTTCAGAAGGCGAACCGCTAGATTCTGATGATGATTTGGAGCCAGGAAATGAGGAGACTTGGGAAAAAGAGCATGATGAAGGATTGAAGAAGACTGTGCAGGGAACAATTGATGATTATGAGTTGGATGATGGGGAAATTGAGAGGAGAATGGTGGTGAGTGGCGGATTTTTTGCCGAGATGGGAACTGATTTAGCGAAAAATTCAAAAACCTGAGAAAATTTAGGAATTTTTTGAAACAGTGAAGATTTCTAGTTTCTTTTCTAGGGATTTTTAACCAAAATTTTGAGTCATCTAAAAGTCTGAAAATTGTCTTCTGGAATATATTTTGCACTGGAATTTTGCGTTCTGAAAAGAATTTTTGACTGAAAATTTTAACGGCCCTCGAAATATTGAAAATTCAGAAAACCTGGGAAAATTAAGGGAATTTTTGAAACAGTGAATATTTTTCGAAAAGATTTTCTGAATTTTTTTGAGAATTGAAATTTTTCACTGTTTCAAAAAATTTCTGAATTTCCCCAGGTTTTTCGAGTTTTTTGATATTGTCAAAATATAGTTGGTCAACGACTAAAGTCGAGTCGAGTCGATAAGCAAAAAAATCGACTCGACTAACGACTCGAGTCGAGTCGTTGACCTTTTTTTTCTAAAAATTTCACTGTTTCAAAATTTATACTTTTTAAGAGACGTTTTTTGCAAAAAGGTGAATTTTATTGAAAGGGCTCGGACAACAAAAAAGGTCGTAATTTTAGAATCGGCTCAAAATTTTTTTCTTGATCTATGGATGCATGGTGAACATTTTCCACCATATAATTTTTCATAAACGTTGCACCAATTTGGTGGAGGGTGAACACGAAAAAGGGTAATTTTTCAAAAAATCAAAAGTCAGCTCAAAATTCATAATTTTTGATGATCAAAAAAGGATTTTGTAGCTCTTGAGACGCTCTATAAGCCTGAATTAACGGAATTTTAAAACATTTAGAGACAAAATAGAAAAATTGAAGAAAAAACTTTGACGCCAATTTTCACCCCTTAAACGCAATTTCCGCGATTTCTCACTCGATGCATTGTGTCCGCCTTGCAATTTTACGTCGGAATAGTCAATAAAAATGGAAAAAAGGGGGACCCCCAGAAAAGTTTTGTATCAGTTTTTAACTTCCACTCACGCGCGCAACACACATTTACCCCCTACACACATGTGTGTTGTGTGCATAGGCGCTTGAAACAAACACAATTACTGTAATTTTTCTTTTTTTTTATTATTCGAGTAAAAATAAAGAAAACTTCAATGTTTTACCAGAAATTCAGATGTAAAATAATTTTCTAATTAAGAATAGAACGACCATTATTCATTCCGATAAAACATTTGTTTTTTATAGACTTTTTCTTCTAAAGTATCTAGATTTTGTGATTTTTATTCATTTTCTCAGTTAGTTAAAAATAATTCCTAGGACCAATCCAGTCCACACGAAAAAAAGACTCCAATCTCATTCCTTATTGCTTAAGACATCAAAATAAGCGGATTGGGTTAAAGGAGTCACTTCCGAGGTACATTTTTTTCGAAAATATTACTTTTTTCAATTCCGCAAACTTTATAAGAGAAGAAAATGAAATATTTGAAACATTAAAAAATTTCTCAATGTTGGAATAATACCGAATCAAATCTTCTGTTGATTCCATTCTATTAAATTTTTCATTCATCGAGTTTGCAGTTTTTTTAGTTGAAATATTGTAGTCGAAAACCTCCAGTTTACACCATAATCTCTATTTGAGAATGTTCAAAAGATGAATTTGTCATATGTTTATCAGGAAGAGTGAATCTACTCCAAAAATATATTGTGCTCAAATCTTGACTATGGCCTGAATAAAAACCTTGGCAGAGCACTGGAGAATCATAGGAGTTTTAAAATGAGACATTAATATTATTTCATTTTCTTCTCTTATAAAGTTTGCGGAATTGAAAAAAGTAATATTTTCGAAAAAAATGTACCTCGGAAGTGACTCCTTTAACCCAATCCGCTTATTTTGATGTCTTAAGCAATAAGGAATGAGATTGGAGTCTTTTTTTTCGTGTGGACTGGATTGGTCCTAGGAATTATTTTTAACTAACTGAGAAAATGAATAAAAATCACAAAATCTAGATACTTTAGAAGAAAAAGTCTATAAAAAACAAATGTTTTATCGGAATGAATAATGGTCGTTCTATTCTTAATTAGAAAATTATTTTACATCTGAATTTCTGGTAAAACATTGAAGTTTTCTTTATTTTTACTCGAATAATAAAAAAAGAAAAATTACAGTAATTGTGTTTGTTTCAAGCGCCTATGCACACAACACACATGTGTGTAGGGGGTAAATGTGTGTTGCGCGCGTGAGTGGAAGTTAAAAACTGATACAAAACTTTTCTGGGGGTCCCCCTTTTTTCCATTTTTATTGACTATTCCGACGTAAAATTGCAAGGCGGACACAATGCATCGAGTGAGAAATCGCGGAAATTGCGTTTAAGGGGTGAAAATTGGCGTCAAAGTTTTTTCTTCAATTTTTCTATTTTGTCTCTAAATGTTTTAAAATTCCGTTAATTCAGGCTTATAGAGCGTCTCAAGAGCTACAAAATCCTTTTTTGATCATCAAAAATTATGAATTTTGAGCTGACTTTTGATTTTTTGAAAAATTACCCTTTTTCGTGTTCACCCCCCTCCACCAAATTGGTGCAACGTTTATGAAAAATTATATGGTGGAAAATGTTCACCATGCATCCATAGATCAAGAAAAAAATTTTGAGCCGATTCTAAAATTACGACCTTTTTTGTTGTCCGAGCCTATTTGCCTTTTTGCAAAAAACGTCTCTTAAGAAAAAAAAACAGTGAATTTTTTCTATTTTTTTGAATGGATTTTTTGTCCAAAATTTGAGTCTGAAAATTGTCTTCTGGAATATATTTAGCACTGTAATTTTGGGTTCTGAAAAGGATTTTTGACTGAAAATTTTAACGGCCCTCGAAATATTGAAAATTCAGAAAACCTGGGAAAATTAAGGGAATTTTTGAAACAGTGAATATTTTTCGAAAAGATTTTCTGAATTTTTTTGAGAATTGAAATTTTTCACTGTTTCAAAAAATTTCTGAATTTCCCCAGGTTTTTGAATTTTTCTATTATTCAGGACAGTTGACAATTCAAATTTTCAGTCAAAAATCCTTTTCAGAACCAAAAATTACAGTATTCTGAATTTGGTATTACAAGAATTTTTGACTGAAAACTTGAAAACCAGTAATGTCACAGTTGATTAAATTTTCAAAAACCTAAAAAAAAATATATGCATTTTTTGAAACAGTAAAAATTTTCTACATTTTTTAAGGGATTTTTAGCCCAAAATTTGAGTCATCTAAAAGTCTGAAAATTGTCTTCTGGAATAAATTTTGCACTGTAATTTTGGCTTCTGAAAATGATTTTTGACTGAAAATTTGATCTGCAGAATAGCCCTGAATAATAGAAAAATGCAAAAACCTGGGAAAATTTAGGGAATTTTTGAAACAGTTAAAAATTTCAGTTGCATTAATGTTTTTCTGATAATTTAATGTTGAATATTTTCTGAAACAGTGAATTTTTGAGGCATCTTAAATTTGTAAAACAGTGAAAAAATTGGAGCTTGGAAGTTTTTGAACATGAAAAAAATTCACTGTTTCAAAATTTATATTTTTAAAGTTTTTACATAAATTTTTCATTCCCAAGTCTTCATTAATATGATAAATAAAAATAAAAATAATGATTTTAAGATCAAAATTTTGCTGGAATTCCGTGTTTAACTAATTATTCACTAGACTCTCTAATATACTTTGAACTTAAAATTCTCTAACATTTTTTTGAGAAAAAAATTGAAAACTACTGATATTCACCTAATTTGCGAGAACTATCGAAAATTCAGAAAATCTGGGAAAATTTAGGAATTTTTTGAAATAGTGAAAAATTTCAGATCCGAAAATTTTCAAAATTTTTTTTTCAAAGTAGAAAATATTCACTGTTTCAAAAATTCCTATATTTTCTCACAATCAGGTTTTTGAATTTTCAATCTTTCGTGGGCCGTTTACAATTCAAATTTTCAGTCAAAAATCATTTTCAGAACCCAAAATTACAAAGCTAAATATGTTCCAGAAGACAATTTTCAGACTTTTAGATGACTCAAATTTTGGGCAAAAAAATCCCTTCAAAAATATAAAAAAAATATTCACTGTTTCAAAAAATTCCTATATTTTCACAGGTTTTTCGAGTTTTTTGATATTGTCGTAAAGTACACTCCAATTTGAATAATTCAAAATCCTGGGAAATTTGTAAATTTTTTGAAACAGTGAAAAATTTAGCTTTGAAAATTTTTTTGGGAAAAAAAATAGAAAATCAAAAAAAAATATTACAACATTTTTTTCCAAAAATTTCACTGTTTCAAAATTTATACTTTTGAAATTTCTAGTTATTTTTTTCATTCACAGGAATTTTCAAAACAAAATAAATTTCTAGATTCTCTGAAACATCTGTAAGGATAATTGAAATTAATTCTCAAAAAAATTTTTCCAGGCCTTGGGACTTTCTGACGATATTGATGAACTTCTAAATAGCCTAACTCCAGAAGAACGCGAAGCTTTTCGACAATTGGCCGGTGAAATGCAAGAAGAAGAACTTGGCCTAAATCAATCATGTTTTTCAGGAGCTAGCTAAAAATTAGAGCATTTTTTGACAATAAAAACGGGTTTTTTCTTCATTTTCCTTGATTTTCGCTTTTTCCCATGGTTTCTAGCCATTTTTATCGGAATTTTTTAAAAATTTACTATTTTTAGGGTTTTTTCAGGCCCAAAATGCTTAGATCAATGACACGTGGCATTTTCTCGAAAATCGCGAAAAATCGACGTTTCTCCACGGAGCCACAAATAATTGAGACGGAAAAAGTGCAACAAGAAGTTCTGGAGGCAATTTCGAAAGAAGTTTCGAGTAGTTCGAGATTATTTGCGATTGTTTATGTGAATGGAAGACAGTGGAAGGTGAGTTTTTGGCGGGAATTTGGGAAATTCTGAAAATTCTGAACGTTTTGAGATAAAATTCGAGAAATTTGGTGGAAAATCAGCAAAAATCCATATTTTTGGACAATTTTGAGCTGAAAATTGCAAATTTTGAAAATAAAATTGAATTTCCAAATTGCCACGTCTTCGATCACGTGAAAAGTATTTTCCAGCTGAAAATCTGGAAATTTTGAGAAATTCTCAACATTTTGAGCTGAAAATCATGAAATTTGGTGGAAAATGAGCTAAAACGTTCGATTCTTAAATGAAAAATTCATCTAGACCTAAATTTTATGCTGAAAATGTCTGAAAATCAAGATTTCCATGATTTACAGCACAAAATTCTGATCTAGAAATTTCCTAAATTTTTCACTGTTTCAAAAATTCATTAAGTTTTTTGGGATCTGAAAAATTTGATATGTCCCCTACACTTATATTTTGTGCTGAAAATCATGGAATCGCTGAAATTCGCTGAAAATGAAGAATTCAATGATTTTCAGCTCAAAATTCTGATCTAAAAATTTTCTGAATTTTTCACTGTTTCAAAAATTCATCATATTTTTTGAAGGTTCAAAAAATTCGTTAATACTTCCTTTGACTTCAATTTTTGTACTGGAAACAATGAAATTGCTGAAAATCTCTGAAAATCAAGAATTTCATGAATTTCAGTGCAAAATTCTGATCTAGAATATTCCGAATTTTTTACGTTTCAAAAATGTATCAAATTTTTTTTATTCTGAAAAAAATTTGATATAGTATTCTTTCTAGACTTAAATTTTTCCCTAAAAATCATGAAACTACTGAAAATCTCTGAAAATGAGGAATTCCATGATTTACAGCTCAAAATTCTGATCTAAAAATTTTCTGAAATTTTTCACTGTTTCAAAAATTTATTTAATTTTTTTGGGATCTGAAAAATTTGATGCATTGGTTGTTTTTTTAGACTTAAATTTGCGATTAAAATCATGAAAAAGCTAAAAATGTCTGAAAATTAAGAATTCCATGATTTTCAGCACAAAATTTAGGTCTAGAAGTTTCCTAAATTTTTCACTGTTTCAAAAATTTATCTAATTTTTCTGGATCTGGAAAAATTTGATGTATACATCATTTTTTCAAGACTTATATTTTGTGCTGAGAATCATAAAATTGCTGAAAACCCTCTGAAAATTAAGAATTCCATAATTTCCAGCTCAAAATTTTGATCTAAAAATTTTCTGAATTTTTCACTGTTTCAAAAATTTATCTAATTTTTTTGGGATTTGAAAATTTTGATGGGTTTGGTATATTTTTTCAAACTATGTAGACTTTACTAAACTTAATTTTCGCGCTGAAAATCATGGAAATGCTGAAAATTTATGAAAATGTATATTTCCATGATTTTCAGCACAAAATTCTGATCTAGAAATTTCCTGAATTTTTTACGTTTCAAAAATTCATTAAATTTTTTTGAATCAAAAAGAAATTCGATTATAGCCGATTTTCTAGACGTAAATTTTGCGCTAAAAACTATGAAACTGCTGAAAATATCTGAAAATTAAGAATTCCAATATTTTCAGTTCAAAATTCTGATCTTAAAATTTTCTGAATTTTTCACTGTTTCAAAAATTCATCAAATTTTTTGGAAGTTGAAAAAATTCGTTAATGGTTCCTTTGTTATTTTTTGTGATTGTTGCGCTGAAAATCATGAAATTGCTGAAAATCAAGATTTCCATGATTTTCAGCACAAAATTCTGATCTAGAAATTTCCCGAATTTTTTACGTTTCAAAAATTTATCAAATTTTTTGAGGATTAAAAAAATTTGATGTGTTTATAATTTTTTTTAGACTTAAATGTTTCCCTAAAAGTCATAAAAGTGCTCGAAATTGCTGAAAATCAAGATTTCCACGATTTTCAGCACAAAATTCTGATCTAGAAATTTCCTGAATTTTTTACGTTTCAAAAATTTATCAAATTTTTTGGGGATTAAAAAAATTTGATGTGTTTATAAATTTTTCTAGACTTAATTATGCGCTGAAAATCATGAAAGTGCTGAAAATTTCTGAAAATCAAGATTTCCACGATTTTCAGCACAAAATTCTGATCTAGAAATTTCCTGAATTTTTTACGTTTCAAAAATTTATCAAATTTTTTGGGGATTAAAAAAATTTGATGTGTTTATAAATTTTTCTAGACTTAATTATGCGCTGAAAATCATGAAAGTGCTGAAAATTTCTGAAAATCAAGAATTCTATGATTTCCAGCACAAAATTTTGGTCTAGAAGTTTTCTGAATTTTTCACTGTTTCGAAATTTTTTTTAAATTTTTTTTTTGGATTTGTAAAATTTGAATCATTAAATTTGATGGAAAACGAGCAAAAATCCATATTTTTGGCCAATTTTGAGCCAAAAATCGTGTGATTTTCAGCTCAAAATTCTAATCTAGAAATTTCCTGAATTTTTTACGTTTCAAAAATTTATCAAATTTTTTGGGATGAAAAAGAGATTCGATTCGTGATAAATGTTAATCCAGACCCAAATTTCGCGCTGAAAATCATAAAATGGCTGAAAATGAAGAATTCTATGATTTTCAGCTCAAAATTCTGATCTAGAAATTTCCTGAATTTTTCACTGTTTCAATTATTTGTTTAATTTTTCTGGGATTTGAAAATTTTTATGGGTTTGGTATCTTTCTTTCGAGACTTTTATTTAGTACTGAAAATCAAAAAAATTCTGAAAATGAGGAATTCCATGATTTTCAGCTCAAAATTCTGATCTAGAAATAAATTTACAGGAATTTTTCACTGTTTCAAAAATTTATCAAATTTTTTGGAGATTAATAAAATCTGATGCAAAAATCCATATTTTTGGACAATTTTTAGCCAAAAATTGCGAATTTTGAAAATAAAATTGAATTTCCAAATTTCCACGTCATAGCTCACGTGAAAAGTATTTTCCAGCTGAAAATCTGAAATTTTGAGAAATTCTCAACATTTTGAGCTGAAAATCATGAATTTTGGTGAAAAATGAGCTACAACGTTCGATTCTCAAATGAAAAATTCATCTAGATCTAAATTTTGTGCTGAAAATCTCTGAAAATCAAGGATTCCATGATTTCCAGCTCAAAATTCTGATCTAGAAATTTCCTCAATTTTTCACTGTTTCAAAAATTTATCAAATTTTTTGGGATGAAAAAGAAATTCAATTCGTGATAATTTTCCAGACCTAAATTTTTCAGCTGAAAATGTCTGAAAATCAAGAATTCTATGATGTTCAGCTTAAATCCTGATCTAAAAATAGTATGAATTTTTCACTGTTTCAAAAATTCATCATATTTTTTGAAGGTTAAAAAAATTCGTTACTTTAATTTTGTGCTGAAAATCATGAATCTACTGAAAATCGCTGGAAATGAAGAATTCCATAATTTCCAGCTCAAAATTCTGATCTAGATATTTTCTGAATTTTTTACGTTTCAAAAATTCATTTAATTTTTTTGGGATCTGAAAAAATTTGATTATTCTTTCTTTTTGAATTTGAAAGATTTAAATTTGAGAGATTCAGAAAATTTTGAGCTGGAATTCATAAGTTTTCAGCCGAAAACCTGAAAATTTGAAAAAATCCTGAAATTTTGAGCTAAAATTCGTGAATTTTGACTTGATAAATCATCAAATTTCCTGAATTTTCCAATAAAAAATTTGAATTTTCAAATTGCCACGTCATAACTCAACTCATTTTCCAGGTCAGCGACGGAGATTTGATAAGTCTTGAAGGAAATTTGCCACTCAACGTTGGAGATGAGATCAAATTGGAAAAAGTGAGTTTTTTCCTATATTGCTCAGGTTATTAAAATGTTAGAATTGTCTTAAAGAACCCCTCCACCCTGAAAATATATTGCTCATATTAAAAAGATTGAAACATTGCTCATATTAGCTCAAAAAATCCCAAATTTTCTCAGGTTTTAATGGTTGGCGGCACGAATTTCTCCATCTTCGGTCGACCTTTCTTGGACTCAAATTCAGTCGAAGTTGATGCTGTTGTCGTTGAGAAGAACACCACAAATCCCGAATTGAAATATGTTCATCTGAATCATAATCAAACCAAAATTGTTAACTGTAAGCTTTTTCGATTTTCAGAGCACAAAAAATGTGTTTTTTTGCAGGGAAATCCGATGAGGCGACTGTTCTTCGAATCAAAAGTGTTATTGCTAAAAATATTTAATTTTTTGTTTTCATTTTTAAAGAAAAATTGTCTAGTTTTAGGTTTATTGTTGTTTTGTTTTGAGAAATGAAGTTTTTTGCTGAGAAATTCCAGATTTTCAGGTGAATTTCTGCTGAAAAAACCAGAGCAGCAAGCGCGCTTCATTGCATTTTTTTTTGCAAAAAAATTCATTTTTCACCGAACACTCGTATTTTTGAGCATTTTGGTATACGGTACACAATTGTGTAATTTTGTGTCACCGTGTACGCACCAAAATCTCTGCGTCTCTTCATTTTCAGCGCTATTTTTCAAGATTTTCGATAAAAACACCGAAAAATTCACGATGAAGCAAACACGCTCCATTGCAAAACACACAACAATGTTGCGTATCGAAGTTAAAAAAAAATGTGGCAGAAGTAAAAAATAAAAACCAGTGCAGAGCTGAATGAATGACAAACTCGTTACTTCGTCAGTCGCGAGCGGCTGTGCGCTGCGGTCGAAAAACAATCAATAATCCATTTTTCCTTTACATTCCGACCGCGACGCAGAACCGCACGCGACTGACGAAGTAATGACTTCATTCATTTCGCTCAGCACAGGGTTTTATTTTTTACAGCTGCCACATTTTTCAACTTCGACAATGCCTCGGAGGATTTTTCAACTTTTTCGCAAAAATTACATTTTTCACCAACAACAAGTCATTGGCTTTTATGCAATGACTTGTAGAGAAAACAAAACTACAGTAATTTTCTACTTTTTGGCTTTTAAGCAAAAAGTAGAGATAAATAAATAAAGATAAAATTAAACACTGTAATTAAAATTGTGAAAGAATCGACGGCGATTTCCAGAAAATTGGCGGCAAGTTGCTCTGAAAATGTCAAGTTTTTCATTAAAAATTCAAAAATTGGGCATAGCTTCCGCATCTCCGCTGAAATTCCAATTTGGAACTGATAAAATCATTCATTTTTCAAGATTTTCAAAACAAAAATCAAGAAAAATAAAAGTTTTATCAGTTTCAAATTGCAATTCCAGAAATTCATGCCATTTTTCATAAAATTTCAAAAACTTACCAACATCGAGATCATTTCTTGCTCGATCTTTTCGAATTGTTGATATTGATCTGAAAAAAAGGTTCAATTAATTTATTTTTCAAAAATTCAAAGTTTTTCATTAAAAATTCAAAATTTGGGCATAATTTCCGCATCTCCGCTGAAATTCCAATTTGGAACTGATAAAATCATCCATTTTTCAAGATTTTCAACAAAAAAATCAAGAAAAACAAAAGTTCTATCAGTTTCAAATTGCAATCCAGAAGTTCAAATTATAATTGTTATTTATTTTTCACTCACCAAAATCAACGCACTTTTTTGCGGAGTTGTTTTGATCGGACGTTTTGGCAAAAGGAAATCGTCATCGTCGTTTTTCGATGGTTGACGCTAGAAAAACGAGATTTTGAGATGAAATTTGGCGGGAAAACACTTACCAATTGATCTCTAACACTATTCATAGCATTTTGCAAATTGGCCGCCTGTTCTTGAGTCAAAGAAGCGACAAACGAGCTGTTTCCCAAATTCGACTTGACACGTTGAATTTCGGAAGCTGTTGTTGATGTTCGACGAGGTGGAGAAGCGTTTCGAGATCCGGCTGAAAATATAGAGGTTTTCCTATATGAAAATGAGCTCAAAACCCACGTTGTGATGCGATTGGTGCTTTTGCGCGAAGATTCGAATTCGTTCTTGCCATACCAAAAGCTGGTCTAGTGAATTTGGATCCACCTGGTGATGTGTCCACTTTGTTCATGCTTCTCATTGTTGTTGTTGGACGAGCTCCAGGAGTTGAAGTGTGTGGTCCGCGCATTGATATTTGTTTGGTGTCGATGGCAGAGGCACTTCTTTGAGCCAGAAATTCTGGAATTTTTTGAGTTTTCACTCTAGAAATCAACTGCTAGAGAGTCCTAGTAATGAAAAATTGAAGATTTCTTTGCAAGTGGCTAAAATTTTGAAGTTTTTCATTGAAAATTCAAAATTTGGGCATAGCTTCCGCATCTCTGCTGAAATTCCAAAAATAACTGATAAAATTCAGAGTTTTCATAATTTTCTAATTAAAGAAAATCAAGAAAACTCTAAATTTTATTAGTTATTTTATGGATATTTCAGAAGTTCACTTTTATTTTTATATTATACTTACCATGTCCAAACAGTCGATTGTTCGATGTAGCGCAATTGTCGATTCGCCAATCTGAAAGAAAAAATTGAATTTTGTAACATGCATGATTTTCAGACTTTGAAAATCGAGCTTGAAATTGCCAAAACATTCAACCAACGTTTGTTCGGGCATCGAAATCAAATCATCAGCTGCCAAGTTGGCCGAACTCGTCGTGTTCAGGCGGGTTTTCCATCGTTTTCGAGTTTGTTTCTGCAAAAAAATCAGATTTTTCATGGAAATCTCGTATTTTCCCCGATAATAGTCTAAATTTCGCTCCTCCTTGAATAATTCCACGTTTTCTTTTCTTTCGAAAAGCGAACCTCGATCTCTCCCTTCACAGTTTTTCCAACCAAATCAAGTCGACAAAGTCGAGAGTATAACCAAAAAGTGACTTAAGGTAACTCATGTCGAGGTTCCTGACAATTGCAATGGCTAATGCTCAACTAAAAAAGCTTTACTATCCAGAGTTCGGCTAAGTTGAGCTGTACTTTACTCCAGGAGAGACACGTGGCAAATTATTCGCAAAGAGCGGCTAGGAATTCAGAGGAACCCCAAGGAAAAAACAAAAACTCATCTTTAAAAAAATATATGCTGCCATTTCGTTGCTCGCCGAAAATTTGAATGAACTGAAAAAAAAAATGACATTTGCCACGACAAATTTCACGTCACGCAAAAATATTATTTTTTCTCTCGGGTTTTTTTTGTGTTTTTTTTGCAGACAGAAAAAAACGTTTGGTGTCGATATTGCGCGTAGAATTTGGTGTTTGCGGGCAGTCTTTTGATTAAAAATTCAAAATTTGGGCATAGCTTCCGCATCTCCGCTGAAATTCCAATTTGGAACTGATAAAATCAACCATTTTTCAAGATTTTCAACAAAAATCAAGAAAAATGAAAGTTCTATCAGTTTCAAATTGCAATTCCAGAAGTTCAAATGATATCAAAGCCAAGTCAGAAAATTTTAAAGGTGGAGTGCGACATAAGCCAAAAATCGTCTGCAATTGCGCGTCAATTTCTGTGTTTGCTCGCACTCCACCTTTAAAAGTTCAAAAAACTCACAACAAGCCAACTGTCATGTCCAAATCTTGCGAGATTTCCAGCGAGCTGAAAAAAAAACATTAACAAATGTCGAATTTCCTTTAAAAATTCCTTAAATGCCCCGAATTTCCAGTCAAATTCGTTTTTTCTCCCCATTCTCCCATTCCACCCAAATCGGTGGCCGAAGAGCAGAGTTCTATAGCAACCTCCGGTCTTGCTCATCACTGTGTTCCAATCAAATCCAGGCGGTCACCCGCGGGCCACACAAAACTGCGTGTCCCCTACCGAGGTTTGCTGGTAGTGGCAATGACAAATGCGCTCGAAATGCTGTACATCGAGCGCTGTACTAACTCCGAGCGAAAGACTTTTAGAACTGCTCGGAATGGGGTTTTGGGGAGGGTTTCAGGGGAAATTCGAAAGGAAATCGGGGCTAAAATCCCAAAAAAAAACTCATCTTTCATCGCATTTCTGCCATAAAACAGTCATTTTGAGCGCCGCAAAACCAAAGAAATGAAAAAAAATCGATTTTTTTGGTTGGCGCGTCGAAAAATTAGAATTTCGCGGGCAGGTTTTGAATTTTTTGTGTGTTGTGTGTCGAGACGCAGTTGCTGTTTGCAATGTTCCTTTGAATTGTACCGTACCACACAAACTTTTTTTCTTTTTTCACACACGTTTGAAAAAGAAGAAAATTGTGCAATTTTCATCGCGCAGCCGACAAAAACGGTGCAACGCCTAGCGGTTTAATTACCCCCACTTCATCAAAAACAAAAAACATAGCGATAATCAGCGTATCGAGATCTGTGCGAATGACTTTATTTGGAATTTTTAGGGGTCCTGGGAAGAAAGTTAGCCTCCGCTGCGAAACCAATTCAAATTAAAAACACACGCGCCTTTGAAACCGTACCTCTTTTTTGCACAAGAAAAAAATAAAGAGTGTGGCAAACGAGGAGAGTGCGAGAGATGTGTGAGAACAAAATGTGTGCAAACACCTGTCCGCAAACACCGTTGTCGCTGCTTACCACTCAGCAAATCGTCGCGTACATGAACGGTTTTATCGGCGAAAAATAGCTACCCCGCAGCTACACACCAGCTACACAAATCAGAGAAGCAACGCGGTTGGCGTCGCGGCTACTTTTCTCATTTTTGTTTTTGTTTTTCCAGGCCTAAATTCTTGTGAAAATCGGGCCAGCAATGAACATAAACATAATTTTCAACATTTTTCTTCGTGTTTCATGAAAATTATGTTGAAATTTCTTTTGAACATCTATGAATTCCCCTATTTCTCAAGTCTGGAAATTTTTCTTTCATTCAGAATTGTTCTAACTATCTTTAATTTCAGGTTTCCGAGAGCGTGATCGTTGCAAAATGGCTGCTAAATGGTGAGGGAATTTTCTTTTAAAAAAAACGACATATTTCCTACAAAAACAGCTTTCAGAAAACTTCAACAAGTTCAACAACGACTACGCTCCACAAAATTCAGGTCAACATCAATCAGTATTCATCCACGCGAATCAAAAGGTGAGTCAATAACCGAAAAAGAAACGGGATAACAAAATATGACTTGGGAAATGTTATCAAGTTTAGCTATTTTTGAAGATAAATATAAAGTTGTTTCTACTCTGAAAATCATGAAAATTCATCTCAATTTTACAGAATATGCTCTCCTATGCTCAGTCGCCTGCACTCGATGGAAATCTCGACATAAACGACAGGAAAAGCAGCTTCTTGGTGAGGGAAACAAGACAATCCGCAACATCTACCCAATTTTCAACTCCTAAAAAAAAAAGGTAAAGGTAGATCCGTATTCGAGCGCCTATTAGGACACTGCGGATCAGACGATTCGGACACGGAGTACGGGTGGTGTACGTCTATAGGCCATTTTGGGGAATTTAAGTCACCCTGTTGCCGCAGGGGACCGATTTACCTTGCGTAGCGAACTACTACCCACTTACGACTGGGTGGATCGAGGAGGAGCGGGCACCGGGGATCGAACCCGTGACCCTGAGATCGCCAGCAGCCAACCACTACCACTGAGCTACCTCACCCCCTTTTCAACTCACCCCCTTTTTTGCAGCCTCACCCCCTTTTTTGCAGCTTCTTGGTGAGGGAAACAAGACAATCCGCAACATCTACATAATTTTCAACTCCTAATTTATAATTTTGTTTGAAATACTTTGTTTTTTTTCATGTTTCACTTATTCTGATAATAAATTGTTGTTTTCATTCAAAACGTGTTCAAAAATCATCTTTCAGTCCGCAAAATCCGAAAAAAAACGCGAAACGAAAAAAAAATCAAAAAAAAACGATTTTGTGTAGCTGGTGTGTAGACGCGTGCGTAGCTTGTGTGTGGAATGTGTGTAAAATGAGTTAGACAGCACACAAGCTACACAAATCCTTACCGTTCATGTACGCAGCGATTTGCTGAGCATGACTCTTCATTGCATTTCGTTTTTTTTTCGAATTTTCCAAATTTTTAGTGATTTCGGGAGAAAAATGTCGTATTTTTTGTGCATCTTGGTATACGGTAGACAATTGTGCAATTTTATGTCACCGTGTACGCAACAAAATGTCTGCGTCTCCTCGTTTTCAGCACTATTTTTCGAGAAAAATCAAAAGCAGCAAGCTCGCTCTATTGCAAAACACACAATTAAGTTGTTTACTTCTCTCGTAAGATTTTTCACAAAAAATTCATGTTTTTGCACCTCGGAGGGCTTTTTTCTATACGCTGTGCAATTTTTCGTGTGGTGTCTGCACATAATGTCGGCGTCTCCTCATTTTCAGCGCTATTTTTCGAGATTTTCCCTCCAAAAAAATTCACAAAGCAGCAAGCGCGCTCTATTGCAAAACACACAACAATGTTTGTGTACTTCTCTCGGAGGAGTTTTCTTTTTTTTTCATTTTTTTTCATTTTCGAGCGTCTGAGGCATTTTTACAGATATGAAACATCCGCACACCGGTCTTCGCTTCTGCTGTTATTGTCACGCGCGGAAACCCGGCGGAGAAATGTCGAACATCACTCGAAACCCCGAAAAACTGCAAAAATGGCGCAAGATTCTAGGCGAAAATTTCTATCGAAACACTTTTCGCTACACAGCACCGCATATTTGTCGATCACATTTCGAGTATAAAGGTCCCGGGTTGCGGACGCGGGGAGCTTTTCCGATTGCGATGCATGAGGAGGCTTATAAGAAGGTGATGAGGGAAATGGAAGAGCATGCGGAAGGAATTGGAGGAGAGGAAGAAGATGTTGAAGAGGAAGAAGAAGAAGAGGTTCCAGAGGTTATTTGAAATTTTTGAAAATTTGGGGAAAGTGCAGTGGGGCGAGCTTGCGAATTTTGAAGTTTTTGCGATGAGTTCCGTGTTTTTTTATGCATAGAAGTTGTTTTACACGTTTAAAGGTGCATTTTTTGAATTTTTCAAACATTTTCTGATTGTGCAATGGAGCGAACTTGCAAAATTTTGATTTTTTCCATGTTTTTAGCCTGTTTTCAAATTCAACACGTATAATGAAGTGGAATTTTTGAATTTTTCAAACATTTTCTGATTGTTCAGTGGGGCGAACTTGCAAAATTTTGATTTTTACACGGGAAATGTACAAAAAACCGAATTTCTTTGGCTACAAAACAATATTGACTGGAAATATAACTACACTATGGTCCAGTTTCCTTTTCGATCAAACTAGACTATAGTGTAGTGTAGTGGGGCGAAATTGTAAAATGTTGTGTACTTCTCTCGGAGGACTTTTTTTTCAAAAATTTCACCAAAAACGTGGCTGCAAAACAATATTGACTAGAAATATAACTACAGTATAGTCGGAAGGCAAACTAGACTATAGTGTAGTGTAACGAAAAAGTTACACGGCTTGTTGTGCAAGCCTGGCACACTTTTTCACAAAATAAAAAGTGTGCCAGGGTTGCATTCTAAATTCAAATATTTCTGGTTCACGCACTATTTTAAGCTACGGTATCTCGCAAAATACGCAAACACCTTGTGCGTACACTCGAATTATATTCAAATTAGTTGCCACGTGTCAACGTGTACTGTACCTAATCGTTTCAAGACCCTAAAAAGAAACTTCCCCACTCATTTTTTCGTTCAAAAATCCCCCCGATTTCTGCTCTGCTCTTTCGATATTCAAGCAAAGTACATAGATTTTTGCTCTCTCTCTCTTACTCACAACTAGACTCTAGTTGTTTTATTCCCTATTTTTAACCAAATACATATATTATGCTTCTTGATGTAGTTCTCTGCGCTTTATGTATTATGAAGTGCGAAAATAGTAATTATGTGTTTTTCTTTTGAGGAAACTAGAGTCTAGTTGGGAAAAGTGCGCCTTTTTGTTTAATTAAATGCACTTTTATTGATTTTTGGGAAGAGGGGTATCTTACCCCGGGTAAGATTCCGTGAACACCGCGACGCACAAATGCACACATTTGCCTACCGTAATCTTTCCAGCCCTCCGAATCCGATCAATCAATATGCTGTTGTTATTGTGGAAACGAAGATACCCTTCAAAATATGACAAATGTCCCGCAAGTCCCCGCGAAATTCAAAATTTGGGTCAATATTTTGGGCCGGCAATTCTATCAAAATACACGGGGCTTGAAGAAGGCCTATATTTGTCGAGCGCATTTTCCGGGACTTGGTGTCAATGATTATCGAGCGCCGAATGCGATTCCGATGGCGATGAAGAATGGGCAGAATTTGAGAATTGAGATGGTTGAGAGCAGGGAGGAGGATGTGATGGTACGGAGGAGAATTTATTGATTTTTGAGGGGGCTAGGTTCTCAATGGGAAATATACCGTTTTGTACAGTTTTCCACGCAAATTTTCGAAAAATCGCTTTTCTGGAAGCCTAGAATTCATGTTAGAATAACTTCTATCAAAAATTGAATACATGACGTTGTTCAGGACCTTTAGTCGATATTTAGCCCTAAATCACTTATGAGTTACCCAAAGTCATCAAAATTTCTATGATTCTGTTCGTCTTAGACCGTTCTATCATATAAATAACATTAGAACCCAATATTTCAACTCATTCGCTCAAAAAACATGAAAATGTCATTTAGTCGATGTTCAACTTTTAAATCGACCCTTCTGAACAACATCCTGTATTCAACTGTTGATAAAAATTGTTCTAACATGAATCCTAGGCTTCCAGAAAAGCGATTTTTCGAAAATTTGGCTCATTATTGTGCTCTTCGGGGAATTTTTCAGCAAAACTGAACGTGGGAGCTTTCCCAGCGTGAAAAACTGGCCTATTTCTCAGGGAAAATCTCAATTTTCAGCCTGAAGTCGAGCCCGAAGATCTACCAACAACATCTTCATCTTCAAATTTTCAAGATCTCGACCCGAATATGATTCAATGTTCTCTCGAATTCATTATCCCCTATGTTACACGATGTTTTGAGTGTAAATGTACCGCTGAATTTTTGGTGACAAGGGTGGATTTTGGGGCGATGGTGAGGTTTTTTTTGTTTTTTCGTGCAAAAAACTGGAAAATTTTTATAATTTGCAGATAGAATGTAATTGCAAATCGTGTCGAAATACGTGGATATGGAAATCAAGCGAGAAAATTGGTCAGGTTAGGATTTTTGAATCAAATTTTGAATTTAATTTAAAATTTTTTAAGGTCGAAGAAGAGAAACCGGAGCAAAAACCCGAAAAATTGCAGGAAAAACAGAAAAAATTCCTTTTGACAACAGTGCGCGAATAATTATGAATTTTGAATAAATTTTTTTTTCACAAAAAAATTTTTTTTTCAAAGTTTTGTATGAAAAACTGTTGAATTTCACAGTTTAAATATTTATTTTTTCAAAATTTGCGATTTTTTCTGGAAAATCTGGCATTTTAGGCCTAAAAATGTGGAAATTAAAATATGGCCTAGTTTCTCTCTGTTTTCCTAGGCCACGTATCCCTCAAAACTGATAAAATCTGGCATTTTTAGGCCGAAAAAGTTTCAGAAATCAAAATCTGGCCTAGAAAACCGATGGCCTAGTTTCTTTTTGGTTTCCTAGGCCACATATTTCAAAAAATCCCCCAAAACTCATAAAATCTGGCGTTTTTAGGCCGAAAAGTGTTTTTCGTAAATACACATGGCCTAGAAAACCCACGGAAACCTCGGCCACTGATCTTTTAATTTTGAAAATTTCTCCTGTTTCTAGGAAAAAAGGTGCGAATTTCAAATTTCTCACATTCATTTAGCCTCCTATCCTCTTTTTCCATGCGATTAAATAAATACTTCTTATATCGAAAATCTTTTTTTAAAAATCTCATTCCTCTTTGCAAACCGGTTTACACACTAGATTGTAGAATGATGTTACAGATTTTTATCTTTTTCGAGAAAAACATGACGTAGTTGTAGGGGTTTTGGCTGAAATCTTCTTGAATTTCGTATAATTATTTATTTTGAGAGAATTTTCATAAATTTTCTCAAATTCTAAAGATCTTCACCAACTTTTTCGGTTGATTTGAATTTTTGCCGATTCACAGATTTTTATCGAATAGACAACCTTCAAAATTTAGTCTATGTTGAACTCGGTGCAAATGAGAATTATTGATTTTTTTTCGTGAGCTTTTTTGGTTTTGGATAATCCTAAGCCTTCTGATTTTGAACTCTTGCTCCTTGTATAGTTAGACATCGACTAAATGACATTTTCATGTTTTTTAAGCAAATGAGTTGAAATATTGGGTTCTAATGTTATTCATATGATAGAATGGTCTAAGACGAACAGAATCATATAAATTTTGATGAATTTAGGTTATCCGTAAATGATTTAGCGACGTTTAGTGGATCTTAACGACTAAGCGTCCCTAAATCACTTATGGATAACGTAAAGTCATCAAAATTTATATCATTCTGTTCGTTTTAGACCATTCTATCATATGAATAACATTAGAACTCAATATTTCAACTCATTTGCTGAAAAACATGAAAATGGCATTTAGTCGATGTCCAACTCTTGCTCCAACCATTTTCCGTCAGACAGCCTCATAAATTTCTCGTTTTTTTCTTTTTTAAAAAACGAAACGACATAATTATATATTATGTCGTCGGTTTCCTAGCAAAATCTTGCTCTTTTTTTCGAAATTTTTTGGTGCGAAGTATAACTGTGACGTCATAGACATAGCTAATCTCGGATTTTCCTCCATGTTTTTTGTCTCGAGAGAAGATTTGGATTAAAAATAAAAATGAAAATGATCTAAGAATGTACTTTCAAGACGAGAAATTTCATGATTTCTGAATAAAATTGGGCCGATTTTATCGAGTGAACTTTGATTGACTAAAATAAAATAGGCGAAAACGGTTGTCTGGCGGCGATCGTGTTTGTACTTTTTTTCATGATGTACGTATGACTTGGAAATACGATTTTTATAGATTGCAAAACGGGATTAGCTTGATTTTTTGACCGAGAATTCTTGAATTTTCGAATTTTCTGGGAGTTTATCGTTGAAAAAAGCAGTTTACCTTGAAAACTACATCGACTAAATGACATTTTCATGTTTTTTAAGCAAATGAGTTGAAATATTGGGTTCTAATGTTATTCATATGATAGAATGGTCAAAGACGAACAGAATGATAGAAATTTTGATGACTTTAGGTTAACGATAAGTGATTTAGGGGCTTAACGACTAAATATCGACAAAACCTCGCTAAATCACTTATGGATAACCTAAAATCATCAAAATTTATATCATTCTGTTCGTTTTAGACCATTCTATCATATGAATAACATTAGAACCCATTATTTCAACTCATTTGCTTTAAAACCGTGAAAATGTCATTTAGTCGATGTCCAACTATATTGTAAACCTAAAAAAAATAAATCTTGAAAGAAATATATGATTTTTCGTCTCGCACGTAAATTATGGTTTTTGGCACTGATCAAAATTAGAAAATTTTTGTTTTTCTGATTTTTCAAAAATTAATTAATGAAAGTGATTTGGGAATAGGATTTTTGTAGATAAAGAAATACATAGAAGTAGTTTGATTTTTGGACAAGAATTCTAGAATTTTGGCTCTTTATTGTTGAAAGTTCCCATAAATTAAGAATTTGAGACCAAAAAATCAAGCTACTTCTATTTCATCTACAAAAATCCTATTCCCAAATCACTTTCATTTATTAATTTCTGAACACTTATCTCAACCAAAAAAATCAGAAAAACAAACTTTTTCGAACTTTGATCAATGCCAAAAACCATAATTTACGTGCGAGACGAAAAATCATATATTTCTCTCAAAATTTAATTTAATTTTAGGTTTATATATGAAATCTATGCATTTCTCCTCTCTCACAATTAATTTTAATTATTGGTTGCTTTTCCCCTTTTCAAAAATATATATCAAAAGTTCAAATTTTGTCTGAGCTCCTTCTCTCTGTTTTCTTTTTCAGAGAACATTTTTATTCGTACTCTCGCTATGTCAGCAGCTGAAATTCTTGATAATTTGGATTATTGAAATTAGCATATGTCTAGAGAGAGTTGAAAGATTAGAAGAGAAAGTTCGAGAACATTTTTTTATTTGATTTGATGATGATCAAAGTTTGAATTTTCGCCAGCTGAAAATTTGGTTTTATGTCTTTTTGGTGAGAACTTTATAAATTAGACCGTTTATTCCAAAATCTAATTTCAAAAAGGCTGAGTTGCCACGTGGCTTTTCAATTTTCACTTATTTCTGAAATTCAAAATTTTTCCAAAACTTGAAATTTTTACGTTCACGAACGAAAAAATTTTTTTTTCATTGAAAATTCAATTCACGAAAAGTCGAGTTTTTCAGCCAAAAATGATGACAAATCGATATTTTTCGAGCTTCTGGAGTGATTTCTGATAAAAATTGACCTTGGAATTCACTTTTCAGAAGTTTTTGCAGATGAATTTCGAAAAATTAGGGTTCTCGATGCTTATTTTCATCAGAAATCACACCAGAAGATTCGAAAATATCGATTTTTCATCATTTTTTGCTCGAAAAACTCGAAAAGTTTTGACTTTTCGTGAATTGATCGTTCGTGAACGTGAAAATTTTAAATTTTGGAAAAAATTTTGAGTTTCAGAAATACGTTTTCAGGTTGAAAAAATCCACGTGGCAACTCAGCCTTTTTGAAATTAGATTTTGGGTCTAATTTAGTTCTCACCAAAAAACCATGAAATCAAATTTTCAGCTGGCGAAAATTCAAACTTTAATCATCATCTTCAAATAAAATGTAGGCAAACGAGCAAATCTGAAATCCACGCACAGCGAAAAAAAAATATTTTTTCTGTTTCCGTGTGGTACGGTGCGCAAAACAGAAAGTGTTTGCACACACAAAGGAAAAAAACAAAAAACAAAAGGGGAGAACACACAAAAACCGTGCGCACATGCAATAATATTGCAGAAAGACGCTGCCAGGGGTTGCACGTGGAAAACTCCGCCTATTTTTTTTGAATTTCCGCAACGAATTTTTTGTGTACAAAAAAATAATTTTTTTCGCTGTGCCACGTGGCAACTGAAGCTTCGAAAATGTTATATTTCAAACTTGCCACGTGGAAAGTCCCCCCCCTTTTTACACCACATTTCACGCCCTCCAATCCCCTAGACATCAAATTTTGATTTCTCCCCCCCCTTTTTTTGCAAAAGCTTTTTGCCTGCAAAGACACCTTTTCCGCAAAAAAAAAAGAAATGTTCTTGTTCTTTTTTCTCTCTGCGTCTCTTCCCTCTCCCCCCTCCTCTCAAAAGTTCTCTATTTCTCTCGCCACCCTCCCCATCTCTCGCCGTGTTTTATTTTATTCTCGATAAATATCATTCGTCTCTCGTTTTTCTCTGCATCTCTCCACAACTCTCTCCGTTTGTCACGCTCTCTCGCCTCGTGTTCTTTTTCGAAACAAAAAATTTTGTGTCGTTTTGTTTTGTCTCGCGCATGACAAATGATGATTCGAATTTTTGATATGATTTTTGAAAATTTGTCACTATTTAATTAATTTTATCGATTTTTTGATAGACCACGTGGCATTGTTTTAATGGATTTTTTTGGGCGCGAAAAGTTGGTGGCCTAAAAAGTTTTGCCACGGAGGTTAGTGATTTTTAGGTATATTTCTCTCTAGATACTAGTCCGTGACCTAGAAAACCAAATTTTTGGCGAAATCTTTGATTTTCAGATGACCCCAAGGTTTTGAGCCGAAATTCAGTAGATTCCATGCCCGAATTGTTGAATTTAGGTCTAGAAATTTTAATTTTGGCTCAAAGACATGTCCGTGGCCTAGAAATCCAATTTTTTCACTCAAAAATCACCTCAAAATCCCGTTTTTTCACTAAAATCCTAGTACATGGCCTAGAAATGCCTGTTATTTTTCTGCGGTTGCCACGTGGATTTCCATTAATTCTTCAAGTCGAGATTTATGCTTTTGAATACGTTTGGATTCAAATTTTTGAACTTTTTTTGGACTTTTACACGTAGCTTTCATATATTGCTGTCAGAAGCTTAAAAATTTCTGAATTCCAACTTTTTGAGCTCAAAAACTGAAAAATTCACAATTTTCATACTGTAAAAAGTTAACGTACAATTTTTTCTTTAGAAAACCACGATTTTTGCCCAGGTGTGATTTTTTGGTACGCTAGAATTTTGGTGTACCACTTCTATGGCCAAAATCGTGGTTTTCAATATAAAAAATTGTACGCTCTAACCTTTTACAGTATGAAAAATGTGAATTTTTCAGTTTTTGACCTCTAAAAACTTGGAATTCAGATGGCCGAGGTGTGAATTCGGCTCATGGAGCATTTCGTAGAAATTCCTCTCAACCTGATTTCATCTTTGAAGAATTTCGCTCCAATCTGGAATTCCAGCAGTACCATTTTTCATCAGCTAATTTCCGTATTCAGTCATCTGAGATCACAAATTTATTTTAAATAAAAAATTTTGTGATTTTTTGGCGCTAGAAAAGACAATTTTCGGGTTTATCTTGATGTGTTCGACACTTTTCTTGATTTTTTTTGGATTTTTTAGAATCGGAATCTCATAGATGGATTAGTTTCTCCCAAATTTAGCCTAGTTTCTAATTTTCTCCAGGTTTCATCACTAGAATGTAGTCTTATCACTATATTTTTTAAAGGCTGGAAAAATTTTGTCTAGAAATTTTTGGCGCCACAAACCACTGTTTTCTAAAACGTTCACTGCTCCTTGCTATTTGACTAGACAAAAAATTGGACATTTTCCAAAGATTTCTTTCATTCTTGCACTTTCTTTCTCCTACTCTCTCGCACTCTCTCATCTCGCCACACTCTCTCACTTCGCTGGCCAGACAGAAGAAAGTTCAAAAAGTGGACGTTTTTCAATGATCAGATTTTTTTTGTCTCGCGGTTTTCTTTTTTTTCTGGTTGTAGGAAAGAAGAATCTTATCATTTGTATAGTCTGGCTTGGTTGCATTTAACCAGAAAATAGAACAAGAACGAGAATTAGTGATAAATCACGTGTTTTTTCGGCGCCTCAAACATTGATCAAAGTAGACTTGGACTACTGTAGGTTTTGTGGTCTTGATAAGATATTTTTTTAATCGGTTTTCTAGTTAGTTTAAAGGCTCATACGGTACTGTACGGTTTAAAGGCTCATACATTACTGTACTGTTTAAAGGCTCATACAGTACTATAGGGCTTTCTAAGGTTCATATAGTACTGTACGGTTTAAAGGTTCATATAGTAGTAGATTACTGTAGGTTTTGTGGTCATCGGTTTTCTAGTTATATAGTACTGTAGGGCTTTTAAAGGATCATACAGTAATCCTGGTGTTCTAGGATTACTGTATGATTTTTGGTCTTGATAGGAAGTTTTCTAGTCAGTTTTCTAGTCATACAGTACTGTAGGGCTTTCTAAGGTTCATAGAGCATTTGCTGGTTTTCCGAGAATTTTTAAGGAGCATACAGTAATCCTGATGTTCTAGGATTACTGTATGATCCTTGAAAAACCACATTTTTTGATGACCGTTCTCTGTAGGATAATAATTTTCTGGTTTTTGGAGTTTTTTAAAGGATCATACAGTAATCTCGGCTTCACAAATGTTCTATGACCATTTAGGAATTTTAAAGGATCGTACAGTAATTCTCAAAATATATTAGGATTACTGTATGCCCCTTTAAAATATATCAAAAATTAAAATCCTACAGTAATCTAGGCTTCACAAATGTTCTATGACCATTTAGGAATATTAAAGGATCATACAGTAATCCTCGAAATATACTAGGATTACTGTATGCCCCTTTAAAGCCTACAGTACCCCATTATCATCTTTTTTTCCCATAATTTTTGCATAGAACCAATAATTCCAATTGTCTTTCTTTTTCTTGTCTAGACCTTTTTTTCAGCAAAAAAATTTTTTTTTTCGAAAAAAAACCATAAAATTTTCACATAAAACATTTGCTGTTTTTTCGTTCGCCGTCCCGCGAAAAATCAGAAATTTGCCCAAATTTTTTTGCTTTGATTTGATTCAGTTATGATTTTTTTCGCTGTTCTTATCGATTTTTTCCTTTTTTTTTTTTTGATTTGGTCTGTTCTTATCGTGATTTTTTTGTGTGTGTTAGGGGAGAAAATGATGAAAAAATTGATTTTTTTTTCAAAAAAAATGGAATTTTTTTGTAGACTGGTCACCTCGTTGAGGGAAATGAAAGCCGATCGAATAGGTGCGTTTTTTTTTGGGGGATTTTGGGGAGAAAAAGGTCAGAGAGATCAAAATTTTCGATTTTTTGATACCAAACAAGGTCTAGAGCTTAAAAATCATGAAAACTCGATTTTTGAGGTCAAAATTCGGTACTAAGAAACCTAAACCTGAAATTTTCCCAATTTTTTGATAGTAAATAAGCCTGGGCCCAGAAAATCTTGGATTTTTGATACTAATTGAGCTCTATAGCGAAAATTTGCAATTTTTTGAGATAAAAAATGTCACAGAAGCTCCTGGAGCAAAAATTATCGATTTTTTGATAGTAAATAAGCCCACGCTTGAAAATCTGGGATTTTTTTGATACCAAATGAGCTCTAGGGCTGAAAAATCATGAAAATTCGATTTTTGAGGTCAAAATTCGATATTACGAAGCCTGAGCCTGAAATTTTGATACTAAATAAGCCTAAGTCTGAAATTTTCGATTTTTTGATACCAAACAAGCTCTAGGGCTGAAAAATCATGAAAAATCGATTTTTGAAGTCAAAATTCGACATTAAGAAGCCTAAGACTGAAATTTTTTGATTCTAAACAAGGTCTAGGGCTAAAAAAATCATGAAAACTCGATTTTTTAATGTCCCAGAGGCGAAAATTGGCCATTTTTTGATATAAGAGTAGCCTAGACCCAGAAAACTTCAATTTTTGATACTAATTGAGCTCTAGAGCGAAAATTTGCAATTTTTTGAGATCAAAAATGTCACAGAAGCTCCTGGAGCAAAAATTCTCGATTTTTTTGATAGTAAATAAGCCTGGGCCCAGAAAATTTGGGATTTTTTCATACCAAACAAGCTTTAGGGCTAGAATATCATGAAAATTCGATATTAAGAGACCTAAGCCTGAAATTTCCCGAATTTTTGATACTAAATATGCTCTAGGCCTGGAAAATCTGGGCTTTGTTATACTAAAAATGCCCCGGAGGCTTTTTAGGGCAAACAATTTGGAGTTTTCTGATACTAAATAAGCCTACGCCTGAAATTTTCCAATTTTTTGATACCAAATAAGCCTAGGCCCCAAAAATCTGGGATTTTTTGATACTAAAAATGTCCTGGAGGCTTTTGGGGCCGAAATTTGGGTTTTTCTGATACTAGATAAGCCTACGCCTGAAATTTTCCAATTTTTTGATACCAAATAAGCCTAGGCCCCAAAAATCTGGGATTTTTTGATACTAAAAATGTCCTGGAGGCTTTTGGGGCCGAAATTTGGGTTTTTCTGATACTAGATAAGCCTAGGCCTGAAATTTTCCAATTTTTTGATATTAAATGTGCTCTAGGCCTAAAAATTGGGCTCAGAATCTTAAAAATTAAGAAATTTTCGAACTGCCACGTCATAGTTCACTTGAACAAAAATTCTATAATTTTTTTCGAATTTTATAGACAATTTTATGTGAGAAACAGTGATTTTTATGACGTGGCTTTGATTTTTGAAATGAAAAATCCACCAAAATTTATTTTTTCATGAAAAATTCAAATTCTAAAGAAAAAACCATGAAATTCTGAGAATTTCCCAAATTTTAAAGGATCATACAGTAATTCTGGTGTTTTAGAAGTACTGTATGCACCTTTGAAAAATCAATATTCCACAGTAATCTAGGCTTCTATGACCATTTAGGGATCTTAAAGGATCCTGAAAATTTACTAGGATTACTGTATGACCCTTTAAATTCTTCTACAGTAATCTAGGCGAAACCCTACAGTAATCCAAATATTTTTGATTACTGTATGCACCTTTGAAGCCTACAGTACCCGAAAATTTCCTATTTTTACAGTCGGCTTTCAACATGACAATACAAATCCAGCCTCCCAAATCGCATCCTCATCATCCGCTTCCGCATCCGTCTCCGCTTCCGCCTCCACCGCCACCCGCTGCCTCGTCTGCGAACACCCCGACGGCGGAAGTGCACACTTCGGCAGCACATCCTGCCTCGCATGCGCCGCCTTCTTCCGGCGAACCGTCTCGCTAAACATCCAATTTGTATGCAAAAAAGATCGGAATTGTGTGATATTTCACGAACTTCGAATGATTTGTCGAAGTTGTCGATTTGATAAATGTATTACGGCTGGAATGAAACGGGAATGTGTTCAGAAACGAAGATCGAATAAGAAGATTCCCAAGAAACATATGCATGGATTGATTGGTACTTCGAATCTGAATTCAAATCTGAATCCAAATCCAAATTCAGGAATAAATTTCAATTCAATGAATCTGAGCCCAAACACGCTGGAAAATGCGATAAAACCGTTCCTCAAACAAGAAATGATTGATATTGATTATGGAAATGTGGAAGACGGGATGGGACAGATGGTCGATTCACCATTCTCACTCAAAACTCCAAATTCCGAAGAGGCTTCTCCTGGATGTTTGTCTGAGGAAACAATGGCCCCACCGCAGATTCTACAGCAACCGAAATTTGAGGAAGTCGCGACGCAGATGCCATCCACGAGTTCGGCGAATATTGTGACGATTGCTGGGATTTTGGCGGGGAATTTTGGGGGAGTTGTTGAACCGACGAATATTATTACGAGTATTCCGATTAGACGTGGGTTTTTTTTGGGGGAATTTTGGGAGCTTAAGGGAGTTTTGGAAACTTCGGAAGACCTTAGGAGCTTAGAAACTCGAAGAACATTTTTTTGGGGATTTTTTAAAGAAAATTAGGAGCTTTAGAAGATATTAAGGGAGTTTAGGAACCTTCTGAAGCTTCTTAATGAGCTTTCATAAATTTAAGGAGCTTTGGAAGAAGACCTTAAGAGCTTAGAAACTCCAAGGACCTTTTTAGGGGGAAATTTAGGATTTTATACAGAAAATTTGGCACGAAAAATTCAAATTTGAGTTTTTTCGCTCTGAAAAATCCACGTGGCTAGATTTGCGCAAAAAAAACAGTGTTTGAATTTTTTAAAAATTCGAATTTCAAATTTTCGCGCTTAAAAATCCACGTGGCAAAATTTGCGCGAAAAATTCAAATTTGAAAAAAAATTCTGAATTTTTTCACTGTTTCAACAATTTAATATGCATTTTTGAGGATTTTTGAAATTTGATCGATTGGTTGAAAACAATTGAAAATTTAAATTTCACAAGGGAACCTTTTTTACTCAACACTTCAAATCATGATGAAATTTTGTCCAGAGACAGCTTTTGGGGCCATAAGAACACCCTAAAAATCTTAGTTACCCAATGGACCTCTGAGCCAAGTTCTGGGCTCTCAAAAGTTCAAAAATTGCCAAAATTGGCTCATAAAACACGTCTTAACTCAATTCTCGATCAATTTTATGAAAAACTGAGTAGCAGATGATGATCAGCGTGGTCGATTTACCCAAAAAACATCAATAAATCGAATTTTCAGAAAAATTTTTGATTTTGAAAAAAAGAATGAGCAGGGGCACATATGAATTTTCATGAATTTTCAGCCGAAAAATAAAAAACTTCAAAATTTTTCGAAAAAATGTTTTTTATTGATTTACTTTTAGGTAATCGACTATGCTGATCAATATCTGAAACTTTATTTCTCCCAAAAAAATTTTTGAAATGAAGCTATGATGACTTTTATGACCATTTTTAGGCCTTTTTTGAGTTTTTGAGAGCCCAGAACTTGGCTCATAGGTCCATTGGGTAACTTAAATTTTTAGGGTGTTCTTATGACCCCAAAAGCTGTCTCTGGACAAAATTTCATCAAGGTTTGAAGTGTTGAGTAAAAAAGGTTCCCTTGTCAGATTTTTTTTTCTCAAAATTTGAACCTGAAAATCAGATTCTTCTCAAAATTTTAATCTAGAAAAGTTTATTTTTGGACCGAAATTTTTTTTCAAAAAATGTCACTGTTTCAAAAATTTTATAATTAATTTTGAGGATTTTTGAAAATTGATTCTTGCTAAAATTTTAAATTTCAGAATTTTTCTCACTAAAAATATTGACCTGAAATTCAAATTCTTCTCAGAATTTCAATCAAGAAAAATTTATTTTTGGGCCGAAATTTTTCAGAAAAATGTCACTGTTTCAAAAATTTTATAATCAATTTTGAGGATTTTTGAAAATTGATGACTCAACAAAACCAAAATTGAATTTTCAGAATTTTTTTCTCAAAATTTGAACCTGAAATTCAGATTCTTCTCAAAATTTTAATCTAGAAAAATTGATTTTTGGGCCGAAATTCAAAAAAAAAATTTCGCTGTTTCAACAATTTCATATTATTTTTAAGGTTTTTTGAAAATTGATTTAAATTTTTCAAACTTTTCTCAAAAATTGAACCTGAAATTCAGATTCTGCTCAAAGTTTTAACCTAGAAAAATTTATTTTTGGGCCGAAATTTTTTTTTTTAAATTTTCACTGTTTCAACAATTTTATATTCAATTTTGAGGGTTTTTGAAAATTGATGACTAGATTCAGACTCCACAATTGAAATTTTTGAAACTCCTCAGAAATTTGAACCTGAAATTCAGATTTGTTGTATTCCTGCGATTTTACTCACAGGAATAACTATTTAATCCATTTCAAATATTCTAAGGGTTTGAAGGCCCTTTTGATAACCGATGAGCGAGCGCAATAAATAACATTATTTATTAGAAGAAAAAGAATAATACATAAAATAGAAAACAGAAAAATGACCCAAATAGGTCTAAAACCTAAGTGGCCAAAACGGCCTTACATTCGTAGTCAGCCCGAGGCTGAGCTACCCGAAAACTCCACACCCAAAACACACGTAGCTGAAGCGCCCGTGTTTGCTGGTATACGGTAAGCGTCGGTGTTTGCGGACTTGCGGCGCTTACAGTAATCCACACAACTAATTGTCTCAAGCGCGACGACTTCCATTCAGCAAATCTTCCTCATCACAACAAGATTCTTCTCAAAATTTTAAAGCAACACCCTCGTATAATAGGCACTTTCTTGAAAAAAGTCCAAATGTTCTCAAATCTTAGATTTAGCTTAGTTTTACTGTTTTCTATTTCGGAGAAAAAATTCAAAACGTTTGAATAAGTAGTCGACGAAATATGGAAGCCCATTGAAAAACTGAAAAAACTCAAATTCAAACAACGCGGGCTAGCGTCAACGCGGATTCTCGTTGTTTTCTTTTTATTTTTTTGCAATTTTTTTTCCATTTTTTCGGAAAATGACAATTTGCATGGAAAAAACTGTTTTCTGGGTATGAAAAAAATAAAGTGAAGAAGTATAAACACTAAGATTCAATATTTCAGACGAAAACTAAATTTTTCAATGGAAATTGTGTTTTTTTTAGTTTTTGACCAGAATATGCAATGCGAAACTGAAATATCGTTGTCAAAATGAAAGTAGAGATAGCTAAGGATGTTCTGAAATCATTGTTATAAATTATTTCATTTTTTTCAGTGAAACAATTCACTTTTTGTGGAAAAAAAGTTGAAAGGGGTACTGTAGCACACAATTGTCGTCACAGTGTTTGCACAATTTCATGAAATTGCGGATCTGCACAATCTGCAGGCGATTTTCAAAAAAAAATAATTTTTTTTCTCAAAAGTGGTCAAATCTGATCGTTTTTGAGTATTTCTTTTTCATATTTCTTGTGAGCATAGCTGGATAGGTTAATTTTATATATTTTGGTGTTTGAATGCATTCCGCAATGACCTTATTATACGAGGGTGTTGCTTTAACCTAGAAAGGTTTATTTTTGGGCCGAAATTTTTCAAAAAAAAAATTTACTGTTTCAACAATTTTATATTCAATTTTGAAGATTTTTGAACATTGATTATTTAAAAAATGAATGTGCAGAATTTTTTCTCAACAATTCGATCTGAAATTCAGATTCTTCTCAAAATTTTAATCTAGAAAAATTGATTTTTGAGCCGAAATTTAAAAAAAAATTTCAATGTTTCAACAAATTTATATTATGGGGTGATTCATAAAAATAAATTGACAAAAAAAGTGCGATTAATTTCACGTTTTTTGTCAATTAATCGCATTCATTTCTGAAAAAATGCGATTAATTGACAAAAAACGTGAAATTAATCGCACTTTTTTTGTCAATTTATTTTTATGAATCACCCCATTATATTTTGAAGATCTTTGAACATTTATTCTTGTTGGGAAAAATATAAAGATTTAATTTTCAGAATTTTTCTCAAAATTTGGACCTGAAATTCAAATTCTTTTCAAAATTTCAATCTAGAAATGTTTATTTTTGGACCGAAATTTTTGTAAAAAAAAATTCACTGTTTCAACAATTTCATATTATTTTTAAAGATTTTTTGAAAATTGATTCTTGCTAAAAATTTAATTTTCAGATTTTTCTCCTCAAATTTGAACCTGAAATTCAGATTCTTCTCAAAATTTATTTTTGGATTTTTGGACCGGAAATTTTTCAAAAAAAAAAATTCACTGTTTCAAAAATTTTATATTTGAAGATTTTTGAAAATTGATTATTTCATGGGAAAAAATTCAAACTTTAATTTTCAGAATTTTTTCTCAAAATTCGGACCTGAAATTCAGATTCTAATCGAAATTTTAACCTGGAAAAGTTAATTTTTGGAATTTTTTGGAGCCTAATTTTTTTCACTGTTTCAACAAATTTATATTCAATTTTTAAGATTTTTGAAAATTGATGGTGACTCGGAAAAATACTGATTTGAATTTTCAGATTATTCTCCTCAAATTTGAACCTGAAATTCAGATTCTTCTCAAAATTTCAATTCAGAAAAGTTTATTTTTGGACCGAAATTTTTTTTTTGAAAAAATGTCACTGTTTCAACAATATTATATTATTTTTGAAGATTTTTGAAAGTTGATGGTGACTCGAAAAAATACGGATTTCAATTTTCAGAAATTTTTTCAAAATTTGGACCTGAAATTCGAATTCTACTCAAAATTTTAATCAAGAAAAACTAATTTTTGGGCCGAAATTAAAAAAAAAATTTCACTGTTTCAACAATTTTATATTAAATTTTGAGGATTTTTGAAAATTGATTCTTGCGAAAAAGGTTGAAACTTTAAATTTCAGAATTAAAAAAAAATCCTACTTCTAATTATAAGGTCCCTAAAGATCCCAAAAACCTTCCTTTTTTCTAAAATTCATAATTTTCATCTAAAAAAAGTACCTTAAGGTTCCTAAAAACTTCAAGAACTCCAAAAATCTTCCTTCCTAAGCTCCTTAACTGAATTTTTCGCGCCAAAATTTGACCTTAAGCTTCTTATGAGAAGAAAAGTCCCTAAGGTACCTAATAAGCTGAAAATCCCTAAAAATCCTCTTAAGCTTCTAAAGAAGTTCCCCAACTCCAATATTTCCGTTTCCAGCCATCACACCACGTTCCGTCATTCTGAAACAAATCAACATGAATGGTCCCGATCTCCTACGATTTTATGTTGATAATTTGAACCATTCAATGGATCGAAGGCGAATGATATTCACCGAAACACCATTATTAGCTGTTGTTGAGGATCGAGGAGATGTGGTAAGTCTGAAATTGAAATTCTCACTGAAAATTTATATTTTTTTATTTTTAGAGTTTCCAAAATAATCGTAGATAAGTTTGATTTCAACTAACTGTTTTTTGACTAACTAACTTTAGCTAACTTCTTCTTCCAAAAAAAATAAAATTTAAAAAAAAAATAATTTTTTGCAGCCATTTCCTAGCGAAAATCCACCACCACATTCGCTCAAACGACAATTTCAATCGCAAAAATTCGACAATTTGTTGGCTTTTGATTTTTGCAAATCGTGTCCGGGATTTGATTTGTTGGATCGAGCGGAGAAGGTGATTTTTGGAATTTTTGAAAATTTGAATTGCTCAGATTAGCTCTAACATGAGCGATACCACATTTTGTTCAAATTCAGGAAGATTTATATTGAAATTTCCTGTGATAGTTGAACAATTGCTCAGATTAACTTGAAATTGGGTTTAACATGAGCAATACCATCTGAAAAATGCATCCCTATGAAAAAAATAAGAAAAACCCTTTGAAAATTGAAAAATTGAAAAATCTTGAAAAAAATTGAATTCTCAAGTGTTTTTGAGATCGAACAGGTTTTTTTTGTTGATTTTTGGACCTGACAAGGGAACCTTTTTTACTCAACACTTCAAATCATGATGAAATTTTTACAGTACATTGATATACGGATAAAAATGAGTCTCTCAAATTTTTAGTCTCCCAATGGACCTGTGAGAAATGTTTGACGCAATCTAAAATTGGGTCACGCAAATGCATTTTTCGGCAAGAAAAAAAGCGAAATACTGGAGAGAAATAAACACCATTAAAAATGTGAAGCGCCTAGCACAGTGGTAGTGTGCTGGTCTTTGGGGTAACGCTATGCGGGTTCGATATTTTTTGCAACATTTTTTTTTTGTTTTTTTTGGATTACTGTAGATTTTTGAAAAAAGTGGTATTTTTGACTTCCGGCGGTAAAATTTCTGGATTTTTTCAACGTGAAACGTGGAAAAATGTCATCATCTGTGAAAAACTCATTTGTAAACAAATTCTTGCAATTTTGATGATTTTACCATCGATTTCTATTACTCATTTTGTATGTAATGCTATTCTTGGAACTTCTCATGTCGTGAATCTTGAACGTCAACACCAAAAAGTGGCCGAAGAGATCGTATTCTTGCTGAAGTCAACCGATTATTCAGAAATTGATGTGGATCATGAAGATGTTCTCGAATTTTGTGACGATCCGAGTGATCCAGGTGATATTTTTTTTGTGGAAAAAATTATAAGTTTTTTCAAGATTACGATCCCAACATGGAAGATCAAGAGGCATCTGATGGTGGAAAAGCAAAACTAGTGCGATTCGGTGATCAATTAATTGAACCTGAAAGAGTACAAGAAGCTGTTGATTTTTGGTCGTCCACCACCGGAAAATCAAGCAATGGTGGAAAAAAGAGAAGAAGTCTTGGAACAATGAATCATCGATTCCCCTTCATCAAGAAAGAAAGTCACCTCGCCCAACTACGAGTGTATGAAAGAGAAGGTAATTTTTCATGATGAAAAAAACAAAAAATAATTTAAAAATAATAGGAAAAGTTGGAGTCGATCGACGGAACGCTATGATTTTCATTTCCAAAGAATTATCAATTCGTGTGAAAGAAGAGTTGAAAAAATGCAACATTCTACACGACAGAGATCTCCGAATCATGGCATTGAAAATTCAAAAAGAGAATGGGCTCAATTTTGATTTTAAATTTTCTGATTCATGGATTCTTGCATGGAAAAGGGGTCATGGAATAAGATCGCGAAGAATAACAAAATTCGTTGCGAGAAGAAATTTGGTCAATCAAGACGAGATTCAAAAGAAATCCGACGATTTTGTCGCCTCTGCAATTATCAAAATGGCATCCTATTCGAAATCTGATGTTTTTAACATGGACCAGTCTGGATTCCAGTATGAGATGTTCACCAAGAGAACATTGGCTCAAAAGGGTTGCAAGAAAGTGTTTGGTTGCGCTAATTCAACTAGCGCCACTACACATTCTTATACAATCCTACCGTTGGTATCAGCTGCTGGAAAACTTCATAAAACGGTGTTTGTTGTTTTACAAGAATCAAAAGGTGTATTTCCTGCAAAAGGTCATTTCATGGCACCGAATTTGGTTGTTAGAGCAGGAAAATCGCATATCATGACGAAACAACACATGATCCAATTTTTCAATGAAGTAGTTTTTTCAAGCACCATGCCTGATAAGCTTCTTTTAATTGGTGATGCTTGGCCATGTTGGAAAGATTCATCTGCTATAGATTCGGTAAAACCAGCGAATAAATCATATGAAATGATGCTGATACCACCTGGATGCACGGGAATGATTCAACCCTTGGATGTTGGTGTTTTTTATCACTACAAAAAACTCGTCAAAGAGTTCCAAGCTTTCGCGCAACGAGAACATCCAGAGTTCAAACCCCATCAGCGAGATATTTGATTTCTCTTGTTTTTTCTCCATCTATATACTTTGTTTTACATTTATTGCATGAATTCAAGCTTTTTTTCAAAAATCTACAGTAATCCAAAAAAAACAAAAAAAATGTTGCAAAAAATATCGAACCCGCATAGCGTTACCCCAAAGACCAGCACACTACCACTGTGCTAGGCGCTTCACATTTTTAATGGTGTTTATTTCTCTCCAGTATTTCGCTTTTTTTCTTGCCGAAAAATGCATTTGCGTGACCCAATTTTAGATTGCGTCAAACATTTCTCACAGGTCCATTGGGAGACTAAAAATTTGAGAGACTCATTTTTATCCGTATATCAATGTACTGTAAAAATTTCATCATGATTTGAAGTGTTGAGTAAAAAAGGTTCCCTTGTGAAAATTTTCCACGTCATAGCTAAAAATTTCACAAATTCTAGATTTTTGACTGAAATTTCTCTAAAAATCAGAAAAATTGATTTTTTTTACGTAATTCTTGAATTTTACACTAAAAAATCTGGAATTTTGGAATCTTCAGAATTTTCTGCCACGTCATAGCTCAATGTTCCGAATTTTGCACAAATTGTGGATTTTCGGCTTAAATTTAATTAAAAATTAGAAAACATCGATTTTCTTGAATTTTACACTAAAAAATCTGGAATTTTGCCACGTCATACCTCAAAATTTCAGATTTTTTCTAGAAATTATAAATTTTGGCTTAAAATTTAGAAAAAATCGATTGTTTTCCAATGAAAACTGTAAAATTTGAAAATCTGTAATTTTCTGAAACCAAGCCTTCTAAAATCTGAATTTTTCGAAAATTTCAAAATTTGCCACGTCATAACTCATAGAAAAAGTGGGCGTGGCTTTGAAATGCAACCTCACCGCACAGAAAATTTTCAAAAAATAATTCATTTTTCCAGGCCATTTTCTACCGCGCCTGCACATTTTCCTACGGTCTTCTGGATATTGCATGGATCACAGTTCAAGCGTTCGCCGAAGAGCCAAAAGAGCCGATGATGATGTATACGGACGGGAGTATTTGTACTGTAAATGATATGTCGTATGGTTGGGATGATGAGGATGATATTGATGCGGATGGCAAGAAAAAGTGAGCAATTTTTGGAGCATTTTGAGGGAAAGATCGTGGAATTTGTAGCATTTTGACACCAAACACGTGTTTTTTTTTTGGGGGGAAATCGATATTTGAATATTTATCTGAAAAACCATGTTCCTTTAAACCTACAGTACTCCTATGATCCTTTAAAGCTATTTTTGAACACTAAAAAAATTCAATAACCATGTTCCTTTAAACTACAGTACTATTGAAGCTCTAAAATGTTCAAAAAACATTTCCATGTTTCTTTAAACCTACAGTACCCCTGGAATCCCACATTTTTCCAGATAAATTAGAAAAAAAAAATTAAAACCATGTTCCTTTAAATCTACAGTACTCTTGAAGCTTGAAAATGTTTTTAAAAAACATTTCCATGGTCCTTTAAACCTACAATACTATTGAAGCTTAAAAAATGTTTTTGAAACATATTTCTATGTTCCTTTAAACCTACAGTACCCCTGGAATCCCATATTTTTCCAGATAAATTAGGAAAAAAAATTAAAAATCATATTCCTTTAAACCTACAGTACCCCCGGAACCCCATATTTTTCCAGGTAAATTAGAAAAAAATTTAGAAACCATGTTCCTTTAAACCTACAGTACCCCTGGAACGTTACGAAAAAATGGTATGATCCTTCAAGTTCTTCTAGCCTTTTTTTTGAAAATTAAACAAAAAGCCCATGTTCCTTTAAACCTACAGTACTCTTATAATTTTTTTTTAATTCTATGATCCTTTAAAGTTGTTTTTGAACACTAAAAAATTAAAAACCATGTTCCTTTAAACCTACAGTACCCTTTAAACTGAACTACAGTACTCCTAGAATCCTATATATTGGAAAATCGTACTTTCAGTACTTCTAGATTGTTTTTTTGAACTTAATAAAAAAAAATTAAAGACCATGTTCCTTTAAACCTACAGTACTCTTAGAATGTTACGAAAACATCTTATGATCCTTTAAGTTCCTAAATTCAAAGTCCATGTTCCTTCAAACCTACAGTACCCCCCATAATTTTCCAGATTATTCTTCAATTTCGTCAACCGCTTGCACGCGGCAGTTTGCGGTCCCCTACGTCGCATGAAAATGACGCACGTCGAATACGCGGCCCTCAAAGCGTTGTGCATCTGGAAACTGGGCTACTGTGAATATACGCAAAAAATCCGAAGTGTCGGCAAAGAACACGAAGAGGGCGTGCTGATTGGCCTACGCAATTATTATGAGGATTATTATTCGGAAGATGAGATGTGCGAACGGCAGGGAAATTTGATATTGCTCATGGGAACTATTTTTGTGAGTTTTTTGGGATGTTTGGAGCTATGACGTGGTGAAAATTCCGGATTTTTTGGTGTAAAATTCGAAATTTATGGAAAAAAATCGATTTTTCAGGATAAAAAATCTAGAAAGATTGATTTTTTTCTGAAAATTTTGAATTTTACACTAGAAAATCTGGAATTTTCAGAATCTTTAGATTGTTTGCCACCTCATAGCTCATTTTTTCTAAAATTCTAGATTTTTAGTTTAAATTTCAAAGAATTTCAAAGATCACGGAAAAATCGGTTTTGTAGTCAAATTTGAGCAAAAAATCTAGATTTTTTGAAATTTGAGCTATGACGTGGAAAAATTCCGGATTTTTTGGTGTAAAAATTTGTTTTTGAGAAAATTGATTTTTCAGTGAAATTCGGTTGAAAAATCTAGAAAAATTGATTTTTTCTGTAAATTTTGAATTTTACACTAGAAAATCTGGAATGTTTGCCACGTCATAGCTTAAAATCTCAAAAATTCTCGATTTTTGGCTCAAACTTCAATAAAAATCTAGAAAAATTGATTTTTTTTGGTAAATTTTGAATTTTAAATTAGAAAATCTGGAATTTTCATAATCTTTAGATTGTTTGCCACGTCATAACTTAAATAGTTGGAATTTTTTGAAAAATTCTCGATTCTCAAAATTTCAATAGAAATCTAGAAAACTTGATTTTTCACGCATTTTTGAATTTTACACTCGAACATCTGGAATTTTCAGAATCTGTGGATTTTTTGCCACGTCATAGCTTAGGATTTCAAAAAATCTCGATTTTTGTGTCAAATCTCGAAGATCACGGAAAAAATTGGCTTTTCAGTGAATTTTTCAGCCAAAAATCTAGAATTTTTGAAAATTTGAGCTATGACGTGGCAAAACTTCCTGAAATTTTGGTTCAAAATTTAAAAATTACGTGAAAAATTAATTTTTTTGGATTTTCAGTGAAATTTTGAGCCAAAAATCGGGGATTTTTGAGAATTCTGAAAATTTGATCTATGACGTGGCAAAAATTCCAGAAAATTCAAAAAATTACATGAAAAATTAATTTTTTCGGATTTTTAGTGAAATTTGAGCCAAAAATCTATAATTTTTGAAAATTTGGAGCTATGAAGTGGCAAAAATTCCAGATTTTCTAGAGTCAAATTCATAATTTTTATTTTCTCCATAAAAAATCGATTATTACTGAAATTTGAGCGGAAAAATTGAACTATGACGTGGCAAATTCCCAAATTTTTCCAGGAAATGAATCAATTAATAATGGAGACCTACAAATCGGCTGAACTATTTGCGCTCTTCAAAATCGACACACTTTCAAAAGAACTTCTTTCACTATAACTGTACTGTAAAACATATCTTGTTCAATTTTTCATATCTTTTCTCCTTTTTTCTAGGCACTTTTACGGGTTTTATTCAATTCTTCTCTCTTTTTTTCTAGGTAATAATATGTAATTCAATGAATATTTATTTTTTCTGAAGTTCACGTAACTCGAGAAGACATGCCAATTGTTGATCTTCGTAGCTTCGCGCCAAATCGATGTCGGTTACAGTATCCAGGAGATTTTGCAGGAATTTGAGATGTTGCTTTAGGGCGCGCTTGCGATCTTCGGGATTTGCTTGAGTCTCAGAAGAAGTTGGAGATTTCTGGAAATCATACTGCTCAGAGGAGCAGATCACTACAAGTCCAAAATATTTCAGGCTTGCGCGGTCATCAAGTCCAGAAAGCCTGGACTGTTTCACGCTCGCAATCCGCTCGTCACCCCGTTCATCGCAGTTGGCATCATTACCAGATAAATGGGAATTACGAGATACATACTGCAGAAATGATTCTGTATAGTATGGTCTCAGCGAAAATTGGAAACGACGGGAAGGTCTATTGGCGCCGCCGCCGACACCTGGCTGGTTGCGCGTGCTGCTAGGGTTTGTGTGTGAGGTGACTCCGCCCACTTTTTTTTTCGAAAAATTTCTTGTTTTTTCGTTTTTTTTCGAATTTTCGGGCTAAAAATTGATTTTCGTATGAAAATTGACACGTGGAATTTTAATTTTAATTAAAATTAACACATGGAATTTAAATTAATTGCCACGTGGCGATTTGGAGCAAAATTTCCCACCAAAGCCCAAGAAAAATAGTTTTTCTTGGTTTTTTTTTCATTTTTCAGGCTAAAAAATAGTTTTTCGTATGAGAATTGACACTTGAAACGTGGAATTTTAATTAAAATTAACACATGGAATTCAAATTAATTGCCACGTGGCGATTTTGGAGCAAAATTTGCTTTTTTTTAAACATTTTTGAAGGAAAAAGTGTTTTTCTTGTTTTTTTCATTTTTCACGCTAAAAATGGTTTTTCTTGTAAAAATTGAAATTTGGACGAATTTTTGCCACGTGGCGCGCTAATTTCAGCCAAAAATTCTCCTTTTCCCCCAAAAACCCATGTTTTACCTCGAAAAGCAGTTCATTCAGGGTTGCCGACACATCCCCATCATATTTTCTCAAAACTTGCTCGATTTCCAGATACGGGATCCGCGGAAACATGTCGCAAAAGTCGCGCATTGCCTGAAAAAAATAAAAAAATAAAAAAAAGGAGTACGGTTTTCAAAGGAACACGGCGCAATTTTGTGTGTTGGGTCTTGAGAAGCGCGCGCCCGCCAGGTTTTTTGTTTGAATTTTTATTATTTTTTTTTGGGAAAATTTTTTCGAAACGAAACAAACCCCATCAAAATCCAGCATTTGCTCCTGCTCCATGTCGAATTCTGTAAGTTAATTGATTAATTAGGTAATTAAGCTCTGAATAAGAGTTTTTCTTTTAAAGATGCTGCCATATTTGTCGCAAAGGAACCCAAATCAGCAAAAACAACACCAACAACAAAATCAATATTTACAATACAAACCGAGACGAACTTTTGTAAGTTTTTTTTTATTAAATTGATAAAAAATGATAAAGACGATTAAATTTTGGAAGAAAAACTTGGGGAAATGTAAAATTTTGATTTTGGAGGGGAGAAAAGTGAATCACTTCTTCAAATTCAAAATATTTGCTCTTTCTCCATGAATTTTATTTACATAAAAATTTTCGCAAAATCTAAAAACCCCCGTAATTTCTTCCATTCCTAATGGCATGAAATTCAAGATCAAATTTCCGCTTTTTTCTCGATTTTCCTCGTTTTGGACTGGTGAAGATGTGTTTTAAAATGCTAAGCAAACTTGTATTTAGAAGAAATGGGTCAAGTTTTCTAGACAATGTTTGTTTTTTGGACTATTTTGAGAAGAAATGTCTAATTTTTTTGCGAAAAAAAAAGAATTTAAATGTTTTTTGGGTTTCCAGGCCATTTACAGGCTTTCTGGGCCATTTTCCAGCCCCCGAGCTTGAAAATCCGGTTTCTAGGCCATTTTCCAGGTTTCTAGGCCATTTTCCTGGTTTCTAGGCCATTTTCCTGGTTTCTAGGTCATTTTCCAGGGTTGTAGGCCATTTCAGGCTTTTTAGGCCATTTCCCTGGTTTCTATGCCATTTTCCAGGTTTCTAGGCCATTTTCCTGGTTTCTAGACCATTTTTTGGGTTTCAAGGCCATTTTCCAGGTTTCTGGGCCAATTGCAGGCTTTCTGGGCCTATTTCCTGTTTTCTAGGCCTTTCTTTAGGCTTTCTGCACCATTTTTCAGCCCCCCATGCTTAAAAATCCGGTTTCTTGGCCATTCTCAGGCTTTCTGGACCATTTTCAGGCTTGCTGGGCCATTTTTCAGCCCCTAAGCTTGAAAATTCGGTTTCTATGCCATTTTCCTGGTTTCTAGAGTGTTTTTAGGCTTTCTGGACCATTTCTACGGCCATTTTCAGGCTTTATGGGCCATTTTTCAGCCTCCCAAGCTCAAAAATTCGGGTTCTAGGCTTTCTTAGGCTAAAAAATCTGAAATTCTTATCATAAATCATGATTTTTCTCCCCAAATTCGCTAAATTTCTCGACTTCCACGAGAAAAAAATCAATTTCCGGTCAACCAAACGGCGGATTATTATCCTAATAACAATAATCATGGGGCGAAAACATACATACACAATTTCTCCCTTTTCTCTCTTCGTCTCTTCAGCGCCCCGTACTATTTCGCCGCTTCGAAAAGTGTCTGCCGACCGATTTTTCTCCATTTTTTTCACACACACAAAATTTTTCGCCTTTTTTGTGTTGTTCTTTTTCTTGTTTTCATTCATTTTCCAAATTTTTCTTGGCAGTTTCAATTTTCATTTTCAATTTGAATTCAAGATGACTCATTTCCGGAATGGCAGATGTTTCTTCTTCGAATTTAGTTTTTGTCGGCGATTTCTTTGATGATTTTTGAGACATATGGAAGTGTTTTGGGTTTAGCTCTCGAAGATTTTTGTTCCGCAAGCTTCCGCGTAGCGGCACTATCTTCCGCGCAGCGGCAGGTTACGCTAACTCGATGCATTTTTAAAGTTAGCATTACTTGCCGCTAAAGCGGACGGTAGTACGACTCATAAGGCTGACCATAGTACGACTTATAACGCGGACCATAGTATGGCTAAGCGGAATTTTCCGCTTACACTCGCTCCGCTCGAAGATTTTTGGTCTTTTTCTATTTTTCCCACATTTGTCTGTCTTATCCTTTCGTCTGCTCCAAACTTTTTGGATCGAAATTTATTTTTTCACCCAAAAATTTGACTTTTCTTCGAATTCTAGTTGTTTCCTTGTGCTTTTCCTGTTTTCTAGTCAAATCTAGTTGATATTCAGATTTTTCCAGCTGCTATCATGTAGTTTAGCTGAATTTTCGTCCTAAAATTGCCACGTCATAGCTTATTCGTACGTTTCTGACCTATAATCATGTGACCTTGATTCGAATTTCCCGAAACTCAACTCCAAAGCGATTCATTCCCTGCTCAAATTTTTTTTTTCCAAAAGCACATGTCTCCTCGAGTTGAGCTAAGTCCGTAATTTCCCTCCCAATTTTTTTTTACACTTTTCTCTTCCCCGCCAAAAAAAAAGAGATGAAACAATTGAAAGTGATCAAACAGCAAGCTTCTGATATTTTTTTTTCTTGCTTGATATATCTAAAAAAAAAAGTTTTTCTCTCGAGAGCTCGAAATGAAAAGGCATAAATAAATTATAATAATTATTTCTTCTTTTTCCGTTTTTTCTCTTTCCGTTTTTGATCGCAGAATTGGTTAGTAGCTTTTTGAATGGATTAACTATACTGTAGTTTTTTTTTCAAACGTTTTTTGATCAATTTGTTGACTCAAAATATAAACCTAGATACACTTTGACTATAATCTGGTTTGCTTTTCGTTCGATCAAACTATAAACATTTATATTTTATCTAGAAGAGATTGTCATGTTTTTTGAGCAAGTTAGTTGGAATCTCGAGTTTTAATTGTGTTCATAGGATAGACAGGTCCAAGACATTTCAAACGATATAATTTTTGATGAATTTAGGCTATCCATAAGTGATTTAGGGACTCTTAGTCGCTAAATCACTTATGGGTAACGTAAAATCATCAAAAATTGTATCGTACGATAAGCCTTTGAACATAATTTGACTAAAAGTCGCTAAATCACTTATGGTTAGCGTATTTTTTGTTAATTTTAAGACACGTTATCGAACGATAACTTAAAATTATCAAAAATTATATCATTCGACTTGTTTTAGACCTGTCGATCCTAAGAATAAGGTTAAAATTCGAGATTTCAACTAACTTTCTCAAAAAATATGAAAAAAAAATGCCCCACTGCAACCCTGGCACACTTTTCCTTGTGCCAGGGTTGCAGAACAAACGTTAGCTAACTGAATACACGCTATTAAAGCATCCTTGGCTGTTTTTGGTGCAATAACCCAATTGTTTTTCCCACAACGCAAAACAACAAAGCAAAAAAAAAATGGAAAATTGAGAGAATATTATTTTTCATCCGCCTTCCAGCTTGTTATTTTTTTTTTATTTTTGTCAGCCATTTGTTCTTTTTCTTTTTCTCAAGAAACAAGAAAATTGAATTATGAAATTGCAATTGGTTTATCGATCGACAAACAAGAAAAATCGTTAAAGTCATGGTTTTCGCTCAGAAAAAAAGAATTCTCTCCGATAAATGTTTGTTTACTATTTGTTAGTTGCTCTATCAGACTTTTCTTCCAAAAATAATTTTTTTCTTGCTCATTTTTTCCGTCCTATAAAAAGGCCCAATTGAAGCGTGAAAAAGTTGCTTTTTTATGGCTCAAAGTCATTAAATGTGTTGTAGAAGAGGAAGAGGAAAAGGAAAAGCAAACAAAAATAATGGCTTTTTTTGAAGGAAGGGAATTTTCTTTTGCTAGAAAAAAATGGAAAAATGATCTCTTGCACTTTAGAGAAAGGTTTTGGACCTGATCTTATTTTTTGGGTCTCGCCGCGATGTACCTTTAAATAACGTTTTACCCAGAATTTCGAGCTCTACAAGATGCATTAGGTCTCGAAGCTGAATTCTGAGATTTACCAAAAAAGGTACCCCCCCCCATTTAAAGGGTCTCGCCACGATGTACCTTAAAATTCATAATTTTTGAAAGGTTAGTATACCATTTTACTCGGAATTTCGAGCTCTACAAGATGCACTAGGTCTAGAAGCTGAATTCTGGAATTCACAAAAAAAGGGTACCCCTCTCCGGTTTAAGGGTCTCGCCACGATGTTCCTTTAAATTTGTGATTTTTTGAAAGGTTAATATACTTTTCTACTCAGAATCTTGAGCTCTACAAGATGCACTAGGTCTCGAAGCTGAATTCTATAATTCACAAAAAAGGGTACCCCACCCCGGTTTAAGGGTCTCGCCACGATGTTCCTTTAAATTTGTGATTTTTTGAAAGGTTAATATACTTTTCTACTCAGAATCTTGAGTTCTACAAGATGCACTAGGTCTCGAAGCTGAATTCTATAATTCACAAAAAAGGGTACCCCACCCCGGTTTAAGGGTCTCGCCACGATGTACCTTTGAATTTATAATTTTTAAATTTCTAGTATATCATTTTACTCAGAATTTCGAGCTCTACAAGAGGCACTAGGTCTCGTAGCGAAAATTTGAACTTGGAAAATTTATGGTACCCGATTTCCACATGAAAAAATGTGTTTTCCTCTAAATTTCAAGACGAATCTAAGTAGCTTTATCTAGTATTTTTGTTCAAAACAAAGTACAGTGATATCATATATTTGTCCAAAATCCCCTCGAGTTTCGAAATTTTCTGCATAGAAATATTTTTGTTTTGCATACTAAACAAAACTTGGAAATTTGAGTATAGAGACTATTTTGGCATTCGAAATTTGACCTTATTCCTCTTTTAGAGACCAGGAAGCTTTTTTATTCCGCAGGCTTCCGCGTAGCGGCACTATCTTCCGCGCAGCGGTAACTTTTAAGTTTCTCCTAGGTATGCAGCCGCGCGGAACCTTGGCTCCCGCGTATCTACCGCTTCCGGACCATAAGCCTGGATATAGGCCCCCAAAGATGCTTTTTTATCCTATTTCGAGTGCTCTCAATCAAAAAAAAAATCGAATTTTCCGTCTCAAGAACCCCACCCGTCATGTTTCTAGAAGGTATTGGTCGAATTTTCCATCTCTTTCCGTTTGTGATGCTAATTTTGGTCGAAAAAGTTCCTTTTTTCCCCAAAAAAAAGGCCTAATGTGTTTCTTTACGACGTCGTTAGACCTTGAATTTTTGAATGTTTTCTGTTTTCTTTTTCTCGAAAAAAAAAACTTGAATTTTTCATCCCGCAAGACAAAAGAATCGGAAATTAACTTGGAAAATTCAATTTTTCCTGCTCGCAGAGCACAACAAAAATGAATTTACTACAATTTGCTCGGCTCGAAACAAATATGCACTTATTATATATATTGCTTCTTCTTCTTCTTCTAGCCGTTTTTCCCCGCCATTCTATCCGTTTTTTTCGCTTCGAGCAAAAGGCAGAGAAATGGAGCATCTTTGTGCTCTCTTTTGGCTCTTTTTCTCTGCCAGCTCTCTTGTCTAAAGTGTCTCGATTTCCCTCGTTTTTTTGTGTCTTTTTCGCTGCTCCAAGGTTTCCCCTCTTCAGTTTTAGCCAAACGCTTTTTTTTCGTTTTTGGCTGAAATTGGTGGTTTTTAAATGGTTTTCCGGGGTTTTGTGTGGGAAGGTCAAAAGTTTAGGGGTTTTCTTCGATTTTCAAAAGGTAGAGGCCACCGGGGTTCGAACCCTTGACCCTGAGATTGACAGACAGCACCATTGCCACTGAGCTATCCGATTTTTGATAGTTTTTTCGCTCTCTGAAAATGACTTTTTTCTTCGTCTCGAGACCCAGCTGCGCCTTTAAAATTGGCTATTTTTTTCGTTCCTTCGACCGTAAACAACCTAATTTTTGGCGCCAAAAAGTGCTTCAGCAAAAACAACAAACACTTTTTTTTTCTTGCTTTTTGCGAAGCCAAATCCTGGTTGACATGGAAACTGATTTGTTTTGTTGTTGTTCTTCACTTCCGAAAAAAATTTCGAGATTTTTTTTGATATATGCGAAATTGGGAGATTAATGTTGCGGAAATCGTGTTAGAATTTTTAAATTTTTTCTGGAAATCTGGATAAAAATTAGGAAAAATCTTGGAGATTTAGGGATTCTAGTAGTTTTCGACCCGCTGATCACTTTTCCGTTGTCTAAAATTGCAAATCTCAACTCTGAAATTAGTTATGACGTGGCAAAGTTGGGAAAGGTCGGAAAATCTGACTTTCACATCGAAAATCTCATCGGTACCACGCGCTCCACCGAAATAAACACGCAACGCAGACCGCGCCGCACCACAACACACACAAAAAAGGGAACGATTCAAATTCCCTCCCTTTTTTGTGTGTGTTGTGACGCGACGCGGTCTGCGTTGCGTGTGGAGCGCGTGGTACCGATGAGATTTTCGATAATAGCATGTGAACTCTAGTTTTGAACTTGATTTTTATGCAAATACCGGGTATGCTATCAACATTGCATTTAAAAATCATTTTCGAAACTAGTTTTCACCTCTTAAAGTCCCGATTTTGCCACGTCATAACTCATTTCAGAGTTGATATTTGCAGTTTTAAAAGGCAGAATTGTGATCAGCAGGTCAAAATCTGCTAGAATCAATATTTTACCTTAAAAATCGTATTTTTCATAAGTTTCTAGTCGAAATTCAGTTTTCCCAAAAAAATTCCCGTTTTTTTCGATAATTTTCCCAAAATTCGTGTTTTTAAGAATAAAATATGTGAGATTTTGAACCTTGACTCCAAATTTTTCCGTTTTTCGTTCGAATTCTATCGATTCTTGTCTTACCCCCTCAAAATCCTCATTTTTCCGCAGATGGCTGACGGTGAAACAGTTGTTTCAACAGTCAACAATGTCGAAGAAATCCACGGTCAACTCTTCGAAGTCGCGCCGCGCTACGTGAATTTATCGTATATCGGAGAAGGTGCGTATGGTATGGTCGCCTCCGCTTTGGACACAATTACACGAGATCGAGTGGCGATTAAGAAGATCTCGCCGTTCGAACATCAGACTTTTTGTCAGCGGACGTTGAGAGAAATTAAGATTTTGACCAGATTTAAACATGAGAATATTATCAATATTCAAGAGATTATACGCTCGGAAACTGTGGATTTGATGAAGGATATGTGAGTGCATTTTGGGGTGGAAAAATACGTTTCAAAAATTCTTTGATAAAAATCTATTACATTTGTTTTTTAATACTTTATCTCGAAAAAGTCCTGGGGCGTCCAAAAACAAAAAAATAACGTAAAAACAGCATTTTCCTATTCAAAATCCCGAGATAAAAATTCACATGAAGTACGGTAGAACCTGCACATCTTACTCGAGAAGAAATTGGACAGAAACCCGAGTTAGATACGCAGGTAGTACGGTGGGTTCCTTTAATCTGGAAATTATGTGTTTTGGACAGTAATTTTCTGTTTTTTTTTTGTACACAGCATGAAATTTCGGAGACAGGGAAAAATACGTTTCAGAAATTCTATGATAAAAATAGTGTGAATTTTTTCCAATCAATCAACATTTTGGCATCTAAAAACCCGAAAAAAAACAGAATTTCCAGATTGAAGGAACATACCGTACCACCTGCGTATCTAACTCGGTTTTTCTGTCCGAGTTAGATGTGCAGGGTCTACCGTACTGCCTTTATGTAATATTAAAGGCACATACGGTAGAACCTGCACATCTAACTCGAGAAGAAATTGGACAGAAACCCGAGTTAGATATGCAGGTGGTACGGTGTGTTCCTTTAATCTGGAATTTTTGTGTTTTGGACAAAAAATTTTATTTTTTTCGCTATTTTCTTGTTTTTGGACGTCACAGGCTTGATTTTAGCCGAAAAATTTTCAAAAAAAATTTCTTTCACTGAAAAATTGCTTTTTTCCAGTTACATTGTTCAATGCTTGATGGAAACCGATTTATACAAATTGCTCAAAACGCAAAAACTATCCAACGATCACGTCTGCTATTTCCTCTATCAAATTTTGCGCGGTCTCAAGTATATTCACAGTGCAAACGTGCTCCATCGCGATTTGAAGCCGTCGAATTTGCTGCTGAACACGACGTGCGATTTGAAGATTTGTGATTTTGGATTGGCGCGCGTCACCGATCCACAAACTGATCATACTGGATTTTTGACTGAATATGTTGCCACAAGGTTTGGGTTTCTGTTTTTTTTTGAAAATAGAATATGCTTTGGAAAAAAAAGAGGTCAGGTGCATTTAAAATGCAAAACTCGATTTTCACCTGTTTTTGATGTTTGACGCTGATGTTTTATACTTAGGGTACACTTTTTGACGGAATTGGGAATGGAAAAGGGATTTTTCTACTTTTTGGGACCAAAAAAAAAAAATTTGGAATTTTTTCAATTTTTTGATAATAAATGAGCTCTAAGGCTTGAAAACTTGATTTTTGGACAAAAAATTTGCGATTTTTGAGCTCAAATGAGCCCTGGTCACAAAATTCAGGGTTTTTTGACACCAGAGGCTTTTGGGCCCAAAATTCACATTTTTCCCGTATAAAATAGGCCCAGGCTTGAAAATTTTTAGTTTTTTAGGACTTAGGGCTGAAAAGTTGTAAAAACTCGATTTTTGACCGGAAAATTCCGATTTTTTTGACACCAGAGGCTTTTGGGCCCAAAATTCAGGATTTTTCTGGATTAAAATAGGCCCAGGCTTGAAAATTTTCAGTTTTTGATACTAAATGAGCTCTAGGGCTGAAAAATGGTGAAAAATCGATTTTTGACCAGAAAATTTGCGATTTTGGGGTCAAAAATTGGATTTTTTGGTTTAAAATAGGCCCAGGCTTGAAAATTTTTAATTTTTTGATATTAAATAAGCCTAGGAGAGCTCTGAATGGTCAAGTTTGCTCTATCGCACACATAAATATTCTCTTACCTTCTAAAAAAGCGCCAGTGAACCTTCAGGCTCCTGGAAAAGCGTCAGAGCTTTAAAATTCAGGTCAAGAAAATTTAAAGCTATCATTTTTGCAGATGGTATCGTGCTCCAGAAATTATGCTCAACTCAAAAGGCTATACAAAATCAATTGATGTCTGGTCAGTGGGTTGTATTTTGGCTGAAATGTTGAGCAATCGCCCGCTTTTCCCTGGCAAACACTATCTCGATCAATTGAATCTGATCCTAGCCGTCGTCGGTTCGCCGTCTCAAGAAGATTTGCAATGTATCATCAATGATAAGGCTAAATCCTATCTCATCTCATTGCCACAAAAACCCAAACAACCGTGGCATCGATTGTATCCGGGAGCTGATCCGAGAGCTTTGGATTTGTTGGATAAAATGTTGACGTTTAATCCACATAATAGGTTGGTTTTGCTGAAAATTTGAAAAATTCAGGTCTCTTATGACAGGAATTTGTCAGTTTTTGAGCTCAAAGTTTTCTGGTTTTGACATAATTCTTTTTTTTTTTGCCCAGGGAAAAGTGCAAAAATAATTAATTTTTTGAAAGTTGGTAAAGTCATCAAAATTTATATCATTCTGTTCGTCTTAGACCATTCTATCAAATGAATAACATTAGAACCCAATATTTTAACTCATTTGCTTAAAAAAACATGAAAATGTTATTTATTTTCCAGCTTCCCCAGCTTCAACCTATCTTTTTTTACAGAATAACAATTGAAAAAGCATTGGAACATCCATATCTCGAACAATATTATGATCCATGCGATGAACCGGTTTGTGAAGAACCATTTACTCTAGAAATGGAATTCGACGATTTGCCCAAAGAAAAATTGAAGGAATTGATTTGGCAAGAAGCTGAACTTCATTATAAAAGAGTGACTGAAGAAGCGGCGAAGGCTGCTGCCGGAAATCAATAAATGATCCGATGTTTTTTTTTTAATTTTGTCACAATTTTGTGTGCAAAATTTTGCCCTCCCACCCATATTTCCATATTTTCCTTTTCTTTCCAATTTGTCCATGATTTTTCTTCAAAAATTGTATTATCTTTCAGTTTTTCCCTCCGATTTTAGATGAAGTAGCTCCCATATGATCTTTTGTCCCCATGAAAAATGTATTATAGTCCCCCACGTACCCTTCAGATTTTTCCTTTCCTCCTATTTTTTCCCGATTCCGATTTCTATTCTTTTTTATTATTATCATTTTCCATCTGTGATGTGATTTTTCTTCTTTTTTGGCAGAATATTTTTTCGACTTTTCGTATCTTCAATAAATGATTTGTTGGAAAATTTTGTTATTTTTGTGACATTTTTTGAAATTTCGAAGGTTTTACAGTGAAAATCAGGATTTTTCATATAAATAAACTTAGATTAGAGCTAAAATTGAAAAATATTCACGAAAAGTCAAAACTTTTTGAGTTTTTCAGCCAAAAATGATGACAAATCGAGATTTTTAAAGCTTCTGGTGTGATTTCTGACGAAAATTAGCATGGAGAACCTCATTTTCAGCAAAAACTTCTGAAAAGTAAATTCCAAGGTCAATTTTAATCAGAAATCACTCCGGAAGCTTTGAAAATCTCGATTTGTCATCATTTAACTCGAAACGTTTTGACTTTTCGTGAATTGATCATTTTTTTCGTTCGTGAATCAGAAAAATTTGTTAAATTTCAAGAATCGCCACGTCATAACCACTTTTATCACAAAGCGTGTGTCAGGTCTCAAAAAATGCGCGAATTTTTTCGAGTAGTAAATTACACTCTGTGTTCGTGAATCAGCCCTATTGAAAAAACTTAATCCATTTTCAGTAAAAAATTTCTGAGCCCACGCATTATTACAGTGTTAACTTCCGGGAACTCGCTAATATAAAAGCGGCCTTTTTCATTCTCCAGAATCTCCTGAAGGGCATCTTGAATACTATGCTTATTGTTAGACGCTATAAGCCTAAGTTTTTCACGTTATTCACAAAAATAAGAACATCTTTGTTGAAAAATTAATTTTCACAAAGAAAAACTAAATTTTAGGCGAAATTTTCGCGAAAATTTAAAAACAAAACAATGGATTTGTGAAAGCCGCATACCGTACTGCACATATCGTGGCGAGACCCGCCCACGGGCGTTGCAAATTTCTTTTGTTTTTCCGGGGTTAAAAACCGTTGCAAAACGTGGCATTTTTGACTGTTTCAGTTCAAAATTGCATCCATAGATTTTTAATTGGTCCCTGTGTACACGTTTCCCAATTACTTTTATGAATAATCAATGCACAATTTGCTAACCTATAAAATTGCAAAGTTCAACAATTTTTCCCAATTGCCATCTCTTTTTTTTTTGCCGTCACAGCATGTCAACTTGAAAAGAGGGAGAAACAGCAAATGCGCCCTATTGAACCAAGTCAGTCAGTCAGTTAGTGCGACTACTCAATACAAACGCATTTCTCCCCCCTTCTTTTTTTGTGTTGCTATATTATTATTTATTTTTGAATAAAAAATAGGTTAATTTTGTTAATTACTATGGCTTCTTCATCGAGTATTGGTAAGAAAAACGATTTGTATGGAACGACGAGGAATTTAACCGAGGTATTTTTGTTGTTACGCTCGAATTCGCAGCAAAGTAAGTTGATTTATAATGATAATGCGGAGACGGTTGTGAGATCCAGAGCGGAAGGTATGTTTTTTTTTTGTTTTTAAATATTGTCCATGTCAAAATGTATATAGAAGAACGAATGGCATTGGTGGAACTGAATGAGGAAGATGAGAATAACCAATCACAGCCATTTTGGATACATACAGCGGATGAGGTGGAGTTTGAGTTCGAGAGGATTCGAAGGAGATTAGAGGAATTGAGTGATCAGCAAAGGAAGCATATTTCGAGGCCGAATTTTGGCGATGAAACTTTTGAGGAGGAGGAAAAGCAGATGGAGGCGACGACAGAGCAGATTACGCAGATGTTAACACATTCGCAAAGATTGATTAGGATGATGGGTAACCAATCGTCGAAGAAGGAAAATTCGACGGAAAGGAAGTTGCGAGAGAATTCGGCTGGGGCGCTGAGCTTGACGCTTAGTCAAATCACGGATAACTTTCGAACTAGACAATTGAAATACTTGAGTGATATTCAGAGTAGGTCGAAGAATTTGGACAATTTTTTGATTACTACGGATACGATGATGTTGGATGAGCCGAATTGGGCGGAATTGGATTCTTCTTCGTCAGCCAATGAATTTACAATGACACAATTGCAGCAATTTATGTCGAATGATAAAGAGGTTCGAGAGAGGGAGAAGGAGGTTTTGGCGGTGAATACATCGATTCGAGAGTTGAGCACGCTGTTTCAGGATTTGTCGCAGATGATTGTTGATCAGGGAACTATTTTGGATAGGTAATTGAAAATTATACTTGGACATCGACTAAATGACATTTTCATGTTAGTTGAAATATTGGGTTCTAATGTTATTCATATGATAGAATTTTGGTGACTTTACGTTACCCATAAGTGATTTAGCGACTTTCTTTTAGTCGATATTTAATCGAAAAGTCGCTAAATCACTTATGGATAAGGTAAAGCCATCAAAATTTATATCATTCTGTTCGTCTTAGACCATTCTATCATATGAATAACATTAGAACCCAATATTTCAACTCACTTGCTTAAAAACCTGAAAATGTCGATTTAGTCGTTGTCCAACTATATTGAAGATTTCAGCAAAAATTTCTGAATTCCAAAACATCTGATTTTTTTCTAGAATTGATTACAATGTCGAACAATCATCAATCCGAGTTTCCAAAGCTGTCGATGATGTTTTCAAAGCAGAAAGGCATCAAAGAAATAACAAAAAGATGCATTGTATTTGCATTCTTACTGTGGCTATAATTTTCGTTCTAATTTTAATTATCGCTACAAAACTTTAACATATCTAGTTCTATTTTAATTTATTGTCAAATTTTAGTTTCCTGTGAGAAAACCCGGGTATAAAAAGTATATCATTCATATTTTTTTCTTTTTGATATTTTTTCAAAGGTTATTCTATCCTTTCCAAATTCCTTGATTAAAAAAAATTGTACAGGCTACACTATTTTTTGTATTCGTGGTGAGACCTGATGCGCCTTGAAAAATGCGAGAGACGCAGGGAAAAACACGCAAAAATCTGCCTTCTCGTTTCGAGACCAAGCGCGGGAAAACTGTTTTTCAAAAAAAAATTTGAATTTTGTGCAAACACGGCGACGAAAACTTGCACACTTTTTTAATTACCGTATTGAATTGTTGTGAAAATATCGATTGATTTTCCAGAAGCGATGTCAGATTCAGCAAACTTGGGTTTGCTGAACAAGGCGACAATCTCCTACGAATATCTCCATTCAAACAGTACAACACACGACTATTTGCTGGGAGCGATCGCAGAATTGGTGGATAATTCCAGAGATGCGAGAGCGAAAAATTTGAAAATTGATTTTGGTGAGACCCCGGAAACATGTGAAAATTTTATTTTGCAAAAATATTTATAGATCGTGAAGAAGAATATTTGTCACTTTTGGACGATGGATGTGGAATGACGAAACGAGAAACGGAAACCGTTTTATCGTTTGGTTTTTCGAATAAAAGAAATATGGAAGGAATGATTGGACAGTATGGAAATGGATTGAAATCGTTAGTTTTCTAAGTAGAAAAATATTGTTCTTTAAAAAAATCAAAATATATATTCAGAGGTGCAATGCGTATAGCTAATGACATGATTCTGCTAACCAAAAAAGATGGACAATTCACATGTCTTCTATTATCCCGAACATTTCACAAAGAACACAATCTTGGTGATGTTCTTGTCCCAAGTCCCACTTTCAACGCCGAAGATCGTCATATGATGTGTCGAAGTGACGAGGAAATCAAGAAACATCGCTTGGAAATGGAATTGATTTATAAATACTCACCATTTCACGGGCAAGACCAATTATTCGCGCAATTTGATAAAATCGCCGGGGAAAGTGGAACACTGATTGTTTTGTATAATCTACGCCGATTACTCTCCGGAGATCTGGAATTGGATCTGAAGAGTTCCGAAGATGATATTCGACTAGCTGATTCGGAAGAACATCGTGAAGACGAATATAATTCTTTGCGATCATATTTATCGGTTTTGTATTTGGAGCCAAGGATGAAAATCTACCTTCGAGGGAAAAAGATTCAATTGACAAGATTGACTTCGAATTTGCTGATGAAATATAAATATACACATTTGGGAAAGAATTTGAAAGCTTGTGCTAAGAAAGAGCATGAAGCTTGTCTAGTTGCATTGAAAGCTGGTATGTCTAAATGACATTTTTTAAGCAAATGAGTTGAAATATTATTGAATTAAAAACACGTGAGAAATAAAAAACTAGGTCAAGTGACGTGGATTTAAAAACAGTATAGGTAGCCATGTCGTCAGTTGCGATGCGTGTGGGCGACACGTTTTTAGAAATGAAAATTTGACAAATCCAATGGAAAATATCGAGGTCAACACGCAACGCAGAACCGCATCGCAACTGACGACATGGCTACCTATACTGTTTTTAAATCCACATCACTTGACCTAGTTTTTTATTTCTCACGTGTTTTTAATTCAACAATATCGGGTTTTAATGTTATTCATATGATAGAATGGTGTAAGACGAAGAGAATCATATAAATTTTGATGACTTTAGGTTAACGATTAGTGATTTAGCGACTTTCAGTCGAATTTTTCGTTCAAGACTCCCTAAATCACTTATGAGTTACCCAAAGTCATCAAAATTTATATCATTCTGTTCGTCTTGGACCATTCTATCATATGAATAACATTAGAACACAGTATTTCAACTCACTTTCTTGAAAAATGTCGATGTTCCACTATGGAACACGTTTCCTTATATAGTTGGACATCGACTAAATGACATTTTCATGTTTTTTAAGCAAATGAGTTGAAATATTGGGCTTTGATGTTATTCATATGATAGAATGCTCTAAGACGAACAGAATGATATAAATTTTGATGACTTTGGGTAACTCATGAGTGATTTAGCGAGGTTTAGTCGAATTTTTCGTTCAAGACTCCCTAAATCACTTATGAGTTACCCAAAGTCATCAAAATTTATATCATTCTGTTTGTCTTAGACCATTCTATCATACGAATAACATTAGAACCCAATATTTCAACTCATTTGTTTGAAAAAACATGAAATGTCATTTAATCATTGTAAATTATTGCAAAAATTGCTTTTTTCCAGCGCAAGATCGACTTTTGGTAGCTGAATCTGATTTCGGGAGACATGCCAATTTAGAAATCCCAATAAGCGATAAAAACGGGCGACTTGAGCGAAGAAATCTTGGATTAGCAGTTGACCGCGAAAAACAGGCTGTGAAAGAATGTAAAGAGCGAGAAGTGAAGGCGAAAAAAGCGATTTCAAACCCGCAAGCATTGGAAATTGTATTCGGGTTGAATATCCATCATCGAAATCGATATGGTTGCATGTTTTATAATAATGGTCGACTGATTTTGGCCTATCAGAAAGGATATGCGCAGACGGAGAAGAATGATTTGATGATGTGAGACTTTGTCTGAAAATTTTACTCCTAATATGAGTTATGACGCTGAAAGTGACTTCAAAAATGAATTTCATGAAAATCTGATAGCACAGCGTTTTTCAAAAGGCTGTTTTACATGAGTATAGAAGGTTTTCTGAGCCCGCCATTCCTGAAACGCTGAATTTAACCAGCACATCGTGCCAAGACCCATTTAAAGGGCACATTTTCTCTTTATATATAGAAAACTGTTATATATAAAGAGAGAATACGCCCTTTAAATGGGTCTTGGCACGCTGAGCTGGTTAAATTCCGCGTCTCAGGAATGGCGGGCTCAGAAAATCTTCTACACTTGTGTAAAATACCCTTCTGAAGAACGCGGTGCTATCAGATTTTCGTGAAATTCATTTTTGAAGTCGGTTATAGCTTGTAAAAAACATTACGTCGTCAGTCGCGTGCGGCTGTGCGTCGCGGTCGCTTCCAGACCGCGACGCACAGCCGCACGCAACTGACGACGTAATGTTTTTTAACTTTGCCACGTCATAACTCATATTTTGGGCCTATAATATTTTGTAATAAAAAACCATATTTTTCCAATGCAGAAAAACGTCGAAAATATACAGTTTATTATTTTTGATTAGAGACAACTTGAAATTGAGAGAGTGCAGACAGAAGAATTGGTTTTCTGTCTGCACTCTCTCAATTTCACATTGTCTCTACTCAAAAATAATGTTATGACGTGGCAAAATATAGTTAATTTTTGCAGGCAATGTTTGGGTGTTGTTGGAATCGTCGATGTTCCATATTCCGTCCTCGCACCAACACATAATAAACAAAAATTCGAAAATCAACGAGAATTCCTCGGATTACTGAAAGCTGTCAACGATCTAATGCTCAAATACTGGAAAGCGATTCTGATCGGCGACAGTCCATCAGGAATCAAACATTTCTGGAAGAAATTCGGATACAACAATGCCGATTGGACAGCCCAACCACAAGCGGATAAAGATGGGAAGAGTGCGAGATATGAGGCATTGGGTTTCTGTATTCAATGTGACAAATGTTTGAAATGGCGGCAGATTAAAATGCAGATGAAATATATGAATTATGGTGTGCCGGATGAATGGACGTGTGCGGATAATCCCAATTCAATGCACAGATCGTGTAATCAGGTGGAAGAGTTTGAGAAAATTCGATGTGGTGTTGGAATTGTTGAGAAACAAATTGAGGCGGTGATTCCGGCTGCTAAAAAATCAATCAAACCTGAAATCGATTTACCAAGAGCTGCTGAGAAGCGAAAAACATCTGAAAACTTAGTTAGCTCAACTTCCTCAGCTCGCAAGCCAGCGAGAAATTATCGAGAAGAATCGGAGGAAGAAGATTCAGAAGAGGAAGAAGAGCCGGCCCCGAAAAAATCTGCGAGAAAAATCGAGAAACCTCCAGCAAGACCTTCAACTTCAGCAGCAACTTCAGCACAAAAGAAAACACCAGCTAGAAAATCAGTAGTTCTGGAAAGTTCGGATGAAGAAGAGTTCGAGGAACCGCCAAGGCCATCTTCAAAAAGATCTGCACCTCCGAAACCATCGGCTCCGAGTGCGATCTCTAGTTCAAGTTCAAGTTCAACGAGATCTGGAAGAGTTTCGGTGCCGGTTGTGAAGAAAACAACAGCGATTGCAAAGCCGCCACCACCAGTTGTGCAAGCTCAAAGAAGTAAGATTTTTGGGGCCTGCAAAATGCTCCGTGAGCCCAAAGGGGACTAGGATTTGAATCCTGTGAACCTAGTCCCCCACTGAGCAATTTTGTGACTTAAAATCAAAGTTTATGCTTTTTAGAAGTCACAAAAATCCGCCATGAGCTCAAAAACAACAGAGGGACTAGGATTTGAACCTGAAAAACTAGTCCCTCTGTTGTACGTGGCTTTTAAAATTTTCAGACAAAAAATCTGGAATTCTGAAAATGCCAACTTGCCACTTGGTTTTCGGAATTTTGAAAAAAAAAACATTTTTTTTTGAAATTCGGGAAAAATTTTTGAACAGAATTTTTTTGCGATCAAAATTGGGTAGCTCTGAAAATGTCACGTGGATTTTCAGGTCTGAAAATTTTGAATTTTGAAAATTTTTGAACTGAGAAATTTGCCACGTGGCTTTTAAAAAACTTTTTTTTTCTGATTTCTAAAATTTTCAGACCTGAAAATCCACGTGGCATTTTCAGAGCTCTCAAATATTTCAAAGCTTTTAAAAAATATCAGAGCTACAAATTTTTTTTTCAAAAATTTTTCCCGAATTTCAAAAAAAAATGTTTTGTTTTTCAAAATTCCTAAAACCACGTGGCAAGTTGGCAAGTTTCTGAGTTCCAGATTTTTTGTCTGAAAATTTTAAAAGCCACGTGGAGTTACCGTAACTCATGGAAGAAATGTGAGATGAATATCGATTTTTTGTGAAAATGACGTGTTTTTTGAGAGAAAAAGTTACCGTAACTCACAAAATTCAAATTCAAATTTTCAGATGGAACATCAACCAGAAAACCAGTTTCTTCAGAACCACCATTGGAAATATCGGAACGATTGGAATTAACGAAAAAAGTAAATTTTTTTTTGAAAAAATTTTTTTAGAACTTAGCTGAACTCTAAACTTTTATTTTCAGACTGATGCTTTGAAAAAATCGAATGCGTTGATTCGAGATTTCCTCAAACAATTAGCCAAAAAAGGAGCAAATGATGCCGATAAAGCACTTCGACTTTCCGACGAGAAACTTCGAGAAACACTGGATCCTGAAAGATTGGTTGAAGATTTTTGGAAAGAAAAGCATGTTGAGCCAATGCGAAAAGTGCGCGAGCAAGGCCTGTCCGAAAAACGAGGTCTCGTTTCTCCGGTCGTTGAACAAGTTGAAGTTTTGCCGGAAAAGCATAAGAAATTGTTGAACTCATCGATTACTATATTACAATGGCTTGTTGAACATTATCATCAAGATTTGAAATTGGTTGGTTTTTTTGGGGCTGGGGAAATTTTCCTGGAAATTTTCGGCTTAAAAAATTGAAAAATCACTATTTTGTCACCAAAAATTGAAATTTTGGTTCAAAATTAGGGAAAAAACACAAAAAATTGAGCATTGCTCATGTTAGCCTACAAAAGATTTGTTTTTGCCACGTGGCATCTTTGAAAATTGAAATTTTGATTCAAAATCAAGAAAAAACACGTGGCACCTTTGTATTGCTCATATTAAACTCTGAACGATTGGGCATTGCTCATGTTAGCCTTCAAAAATGAGAAATCTAGCAGAAAGCATAGAATTGTTCATATTAAACATTGTAGAATGAGTCCTGAAAAATTCTAAATTTGTGTAAGCTAACATGAGCAATGCTCAAAGTTTAAAATGAGCAACACGGGACTTCAAATTTTGAAGAATTCTCAATTTTTGCCACGTGGCATCTGATTGTGAGAAATTTGATGCGAAATCTTTTTTTTTTTCTGAAATTTTTATCAAAAATAATCCTAAATTTGAAAAAATTGGTTTTTTTTTCAAAAATTTTCCTGAATTGTTGATTAGAAAATTTTAAATTCCGAAAAAAATACATTTTTGACATCGAAAATTGCACAGTTATCTGGAATTTTCATAGAAAAAATCTGAAATTTTCAAAATTTTTCCAGCCCGACACTTTTGTCGTCGACGAACAATCAGTTTTCGAAGTTGCCGAAAAAATGTGCGAAGTTGTGATGGTCCCACCGCCAGAAGAAGATTCGGAAGGAGTTGTTGAAGAAAATGGTGATATTTCGATCTGAAAATGATTGCTGCAATGATAATTTCCCCCTTTTTGTACCTCTGATAATCCCTGCCCAGTCCAAAAACTACCGTACCCACCTGAGTATCTAACTCCATTTTTTTCTTCTTGAGTTAGATATGCAGGTTCTACAGTACTTTGGGGCACCTTTAAACATGAATACCTCCCTCATTTTTTTCGCATTTTTATTGAATTTTATCTCTCATTTTTTGCAAGCTTTACTTAATGTTTTTTTTGTTTTTTCAAGATCTCTATTGGTTTTTTTTTGTATGAATATTTGAATAATAATTTGATTTTGTACAATTTTTATTGATTTTTTGAGAAAAGTTGACATCTTTTTGAGAATTATCGTGATTTTTAGGGGTTTTTGGGAATTTTTCAAAAAAAAAAAATTCAATTTTCGAATTCCCACACTAATTTTATTCCCAATTTTCAAAAAAATTTCACTTTTTAGTCTACATTTTCCACCTTCAAATTGATTTTTCTCTTCAAATAATGGCTACAGTGTAGCCTTGACCTTTTTTCTTGGAGAAACCCACAAAAAACATGTGAAATTTTCGTGTTTCACCTGTTTTTTGGTCGAAAATTTGCAGTTTTTCTAAACTTTTTAGACAAAATCAATATTTTTTGATTGAATTAGAAGAAAATTCCCTTTTTCTTTTTTTTTCGTTTCGGAAAAAAAAGAAATCGAAAATATTTTTGTACAGCGAAATCTAGGTTATCTGATTCTAGATCGCGCAAAGATTTTTCATTTTCTCATCCAATTTTGCACGGCATTTTAGAACTTCCAGGCTAGAACTTCTAGTCCACAAAATTGGAATTCTAGGCCAGGCCCGGACATTTTGATCTTTTGAACTCTAGGCACAATGTTTGTTTTGTAATATTAAAAATTGTGTGCACTTTTTTTCAATATTGTTTTTTTGGTGCTCCAATCAAAGTACATAAATACAGTTTTTCCGCTTCCGCAAGCTTCCGCGTAGCGGCACTGTCTTCCGCTTTAGCGGCCACGTGAAAAGGTTAAAAAACACAAAAACCTCAGTGCGCATGGGGAATCGAACCCCCGACCCTTGAATTCAAAACCCAACGCGCTACCACTACTCCACGCATGCCAATGGGCTCAATGGAAAGAAATAGTCATTTTTATCGCGCGCGCGCTGTTTTTCCGCAGCCTTTCCGCAGCTCTTCCGCATGAAACACCAAAAAATCGTGTGTTTTTCGTGATCTAGCATAAACTACGGTTTTTTCTGTGGTCAAATTAGAGAAACGAGACGGAGACATTGAAAAAGTGTATTTTATGTGACTTGATCATGTTTTCAATGTATTTAAAAAAGTAAAATTTCACCGCCCTCGCCTTCAAATTGCGAAATTTCGCGGTCTATTTGTTCGATCACTAGAAAACTATATGTCTCTAGTAAATAAAGATTTTTTTTTCGAGTAAAAATCAATATTTTACCTCCCTGTCTACCTTGTTTTGTTTTTTTGAATACGTGGATTTTTTTTGAGTAAAAAATGTGTTTGATAAGAAAAAAAACATGTTTTTTACCTGAAAGTACGTGACTTTTAAACCAGGAGATAAGAATGACATTTTTTTTTGAATAGATATGAAATTGTATTTATTTTTAAACTGGTTTGAAATTTTTTTTAGTTTTTGTACAAAATCCGATTTCGCCCACGGAAAAATTGAAAATTTTGAATTTCTGGTCAAAAAATCCAGACCTTGAAATTCTCTACAAAATGAGTTACAGTACTCCAGGACTACTGTAACTTCTTGTGAGTTCTAAAATTATCATTAGAGCGCACTTGAACAAAATTCGGATTTCCTGGATTTCCTAGAACTATATGGTTTCATTTTGTAGCTCTTGAAATTCTCTACAAAATGAGGTACAGTACTCCAGAACTACTGTAACTTCTTCTAGAGCTCTAAAATTATCATTAGAGCGCACTTGAACGAAATTCAGTTTCCTGGATTTTTTTCTAGAAATTTCTTGTTTTTCCTAGAACTATATGGGCTCATTTTGAAGCCCTTGAAATTCTCTACAAAACGAATTACAGTACTCCAGGGTTACTGTAGCTCAAAAACTGGATTTCCACGTGTTTCACGTGATTTTAATTCCAAAAAACAATATTCACGTGAAAATCAGGGGAATTTCAAAATGTTTGGAAAAAAATGTGAAGAATTAAAATTAGTCTAAAGTTTTGCCACGGTTCAAGTACGCTCTAATGATAATACAGTAGTCCTGGAGTACTGTAAATCATTTTGTAGCGAATTTCAAGAGCTACAAAATGAGCTGGAAATTTTTGGATTTTTTATTAAAAATCCAATGTTTTGCCACGTCATAACCAACAAATTTCGCCACAATTTTTCCAACACACAAAATTACATCATATTATGTGATCTACCTAATTTCTAGCCTACTTTTTTCACTCTGCGTCTCTAATCTCTCTCCTCGCAAACCACAAAAAATCAAAGTATTTGTTGATTTTCTCTGCCAAATCACAAACCACACATGGTTTTTTGTGTTTTTTGTGTGTCTTATCATTCATACTCTCATTCTCCCCGCGCCAATTTTTCCCAAACAAATTGATAGAAAAATATTTTCTTTCCCAATGTTATTTCTCTTGTTTTTCTTCTAAATAATTCCTGTGAGACTGTTTTTTTTACTGAAATTGAAATTGAAAACAAAATTCGTTTTTGTTTTTTGTCTAACGGAGAATGGACGGAACTAATTTGAATTAGCAACTTTTTTTTTTATTTTCTGATGAAAATTCACCTTGAAATTCAATTTTCAGATGAAAATACGGTTCTCGAAGCTTATTTTCATCAGAAATCACACCAGAAGCTTTGAAAATATCGATTTGTCATCACTTTTTGGCTCGAAAAACTAATTTTGACCTACAATGTACAGTTTTTCACGCTGATAAAGATCCTGTTTTCAGTTTTTGCTGAACGACTCTCTTAAAAGCCCAAAAATGAGCCAAAAGTTGAGGATTTTCGAAATTTCCAGGTTTTGAGGGCCCATAATTGATGTTAGAGATGGTTTCTTATGAAAAAACCAGGAAATTTCGTAAATCCTCAACTTTTGGCGCATTTTTGGGCTCTTCAGAGAGTCGCTAAGCAAAAACTGAAAACAGGATGTTTCTCAGCGTGAAAAATTGTACAGAATCAAGTGTGTCTCATTGAAAAATTAGTTTTTCCAGTCAAAAATGATTACAAATCGAGATTTTCAAAGCTTCTGGTGTGATTTCTGATGAAAATAAGCTTTAAGAACCCTATTTTTATCTGAAAATTGAATTTCAAGGTGAATTTTCATCAGAAATCACACCAGAAGCTTTGAAAATTTCGATTTTTCATCATTTTTGGCTGAAAAACTCGACTTTTCATGAGATTTCAACCCGCTGATCATGATTCCGTTGTCTAAAATTGCAGAACTCAACTCCTAGTATGAATTATGACGTGGCAAAATTCAAAAATTGGAAATTTAGGAACTAAAAACTATCTTTAAACATAGTTTTCAGCTTCTAAAATCCAAATTTTCGAATTTTGCCACGTCATAACTCATACTAGGAGTTGAGTTATGCAATTTTAGACAACGGAAAAGTGATCAGCAGGTCAAAAACTACCCCAAGCGCTCTGCGCGAGTGTAAACCGCAAGCTTCCGCGTCGCTAAAGCGGAAGCTTGCGGTTTTCTCCCAACTCTATCCCAATTTTTCCAGCCTTCCTCAAAATGCTCGCATATTTTCTAAATGGTCTCGATACATCGGATATAATTGTGTTGACATTATTGGCGGGTGGTGCGATCATTTTCGCCGTCATGAAACTATTGAATTATTCGCCCGGTTCATCATCGCTGAATTCCACAGGATCCTCCTCAAATAATCGATATTCTTCACCAACTGTTGCGGCGGTTTCGCCGACTTTCAGCAGCAAATCCAATCAATCGTTTATTGATCGAATGAGAAATGAGAATCGACAGGTATTTTCTGGAAAAATTCGAATTTTCAGCATATTTTTTCAGGTTCTTATAATGTATGGATCACAAACTGGAACAGCTGAAGAAATGTCGGGACGTTTGGCAAAAGATCTCACAAGATACTCCAAAAAAGCGGTAAATTATTGATTTTTGGGGCTGAAAATCATTTTTTCTTGATTTTCAGCATAAAATATTGGTCTAGAAGGATTTTCAGCCAGAAATTCGATTTTTTCAGAAAAAAAAAACAATTTCTAGACTAAAATTTTGTGCTGAAAACGCTGAAAATCGAGATTTTCATGATTTTCAGCGCGAAATTTTGATCTAGAAGGATTTTCAGCCAGAAATTCGATTTTTCAGAAAAAAAAAACAATTTCAAGACTAAAATTTTGTGCTGAAAACGCTGAAAATGGCTAAAAATCAATATTTTCTTGATTTTCAGCAGAAAATTTTGATCTAGAAGGATTTAAGACAAATTTTTGGCTGAAAATCAAAATTTCAAAAAATTTTGAAACAGTGAAATTTTTGTGAGAAAAACAAATAATTTGCTCTGATTTTGAGGAAAATTTTACCATTGCTCATATTAATGTTTTTCAGTTTTGTAGAAATTTTTGAGTATTGCTCATGTTAAAAATGCTGAAAATTGCTAAAAATCAATATTATCATGATTTGTAGCACAAAATTTTGATCTAGAAGGATTTTCAGCCAGAAATTCGATTTTTCAGAAAAAAAAACAATTTCTAGACTAAAACTTTGTGCTGAAAACGCTGAAAATGGCTAAAAATCAATATTTTCTTGATTTTCAGCACAAAATTTGTTCGAAATCCATTCATCCAACATCAAAAATAAATAAAATAAAATTTTTTTTCAAAAAATTTTGAAACAGTGAATTTTTTGGTTTAAAAAAAAAAATTTGCTCTGAATTTGAGGAAAATGTTAGCATTGCTCATATTAATTTTTTTCAGTTTTATTGAAATTTTTTGAGTATTGCTCATGTTAAAAATGCTGAAAATGGCTGAAAATCAATATTTTCATGATTTCTAGTAGCACAAAATTTTGATCTAGAAGAAGTTTCAGCCAAAAATTCGATTTTTTCAGAAAACAACAATTTCTAGACTAAAATTTTGTGCTGAAAAAGCTGAAACTACTGAAAATGGCTAAAAATCAATATTTTCATGATTTTCAGCACAAAAACATCAAAAATAAATAAAATCAAATTTATTTTCAAAAAATCTTGAAACAGTGAAATTTTCGTGTGAAAAAAAAATAATTTGCTCCGAATTTGAGGAAAATGTTAGCATTGCTCATATTAATGTTTTTCAGTTTTATAGAGATTTTTTTGAGTATTGCTCATGTTAAAAATCAAAAGTTTAAGATGAGCAATGCTGAAAATCAATAAAATATCGATTTTTGCTCTGAAATCATTAAAAATATCGATTTTTGCTCAAAAATCATAGAAAATATCAATTTTTGCTCGAAAATATCGATTTCTGGCTCAAAATTCGTTAAAAATATCGATTTTTGGCCCAAAAATCATCAAAAAATATGAATTTTCCCCAATTCCAGGTCGTTGTTGATCCAGAAGACATTGAAGTTGAAGATTTGAACCGTTTGACTGAAATTCAAGACGCTCTCCTGGTTCTCTGCATCGCAACCTATGGAGAAGGAGATCCGACTGATAATTCAGTTTCATTGGTGGAATATTTGAATGCGGGAGAATGTGATTTGTCGGGTGTGCGATTTGCTGTAAGTTTTCGCGGGTTTTGACTGGAATTTTTGAAATTTTGGCGAAAAATTGATCTAGAACACATGTTTTTCATAAAAATTTGAATATTAGCGTGAAAAATTCGAATTTGAACATTTTAAAACCGAAAGATTGCTCATATTAAATTTATTTTGATGGAAAATTGTTGGGATTGCTCATGTTAAACTCATTTTAAGGAAAAACGCTGAAAATTTCAAAATTACAGTAATTATAGCCTATTTTTAGCGCTAAATTTTGGAATTTTAAAATTTTTTAAGGTTTTCTTAGATCAAATTGTCGGAAAAATCAAGACTTTTTATTGGAAAAGAGCGATTTTTGGGATTTTTTGAGTTTAATATGAGTAATCCTACAATTTTGGCGCGAAAATTTGATGAATTTTGATCTGCAAACATTTTTTGGATTGCTCATATTAAACTTTGTGCAAAAATTTGAATTTTTCTCAAAAATCGAAGGATTGCTCATGTTAAAACTTTTCAATTTCAAATTTTTCTCAAAAATTGGATATTTGAGTTTAATATGAGCAATCCTGCAATTTTGGCGCGAAAATTTTCCAAGCTCGAAAAAGTCAAAAAATAGTTGGGATTGCTCATATTAAATTGTCAGAAAATTTCAAATTTTCTAAAAGTTTAACATGAGCAATCGTTTGATTTTTGAAAAAATGTCAAAAATTGTAGGATTGCTCATATTAAACTCAAAAATCCAAAATTTAATTTAAAAAAAATTTTGGGCTAATTTAACATGAGCAATCCTACAATTTTTGAAATTTGAAAATTTTTCAAAAATCAAAGGATTGCTCATATTAAACTCAAAAATTTAAAAATTAATAAAAACTTCTTTTGAGCTAATCTAACATGAGCAATCCTACAATTTTCGAAATTTGAAAATTTTAAAGGATTGCTCATATTAAATCATCGAAAATAATTCGAAAATTTGCTCTAGAATCTTAAAAATGTCCTACAGTACCTAGATCCTTACCTAGATCATCTACAGTACCGACTACAGTACTCATCCTATTTTTTTCAGGTTTTCGGACTTGGCAACAAAACCTACGAACACTTCAATGCAATTGGAAAACAAATGGACGCTCAACTCGAAAAATTGGGAGGAAAACGAATTTTCGCGCTCGGATTAGGTGACGATGATGCGAATCTCGAAGAAGATTTCATGAGATGGCGTGAAGCTTTTCTACCAAAAATCGCGGCCGAATTCAATTGGGAATTGAATACGGAAGCCGAAACAATGAGACAATATCAATTGGAGGAGGTTGAAGCGGGAAAAGCACTATTCAAAGGAGAATTTGGAAGATTGGGAGCTTATGAACGACCACGGCCACCTTTTGATATTAAGAATCCGTTTTTGGCGACGGTTTTGGTGAATGATGAATTGCATACGGAGAAATCGGATAGAAGTTGTAGACATATTGAATTTTCGGTTGAAGGTATGTTTTTTCACTCGAAAAACAGAGTTAATAGAGTCTGCTACTTGAAAATTAGGGTTTATAGGCGCAGCTCCTTGAGAACCAGGATTTCTAGGCCCGGCTGCTTGCCAGAGTCACTTTCCAGGAGCGTGTGCTTGAAAACTGGGCTCTATAGGGTCAGCTACTTGAAAACAAGGTTTTCTAGGCTCGGCTGCTTGACAACTGGGGATTCTAGGTGCGGATCCTAGTCAATTAGATTCTCAAGCGTCTGCTGCTTGAAAACCAGGATTTCTAGGCTCGGCTACTTGGAAACCAGGGTTTCTAGGCGCGGTTGCTTGAAAACCAGGGTTTCTAGGCGCTGATCCTTGAAGATGAGTTTCTCAAGCGTCTGCTACTTGAAAACTGGGCTCTCTAGGCGCAGCTACTTGACAACTAGGGTTTCTAGGCGCGGTTCCTTGCCAGAGTGAATCTCTAGACGCTAAGCCTAGACAATTAGATTCTCAAGCGTCTTCTGCTTGGAAACCAGGGTTTCTAGGCTCGGCTGCTTGACAACTGGGGATTCTAGGGACGACGGCTGCTTGAAAACCAGGGTTTATAGGAGCTGATCCTTGAAAACCAGGCGCTATAGGAGCTGATCCTTGTCATAGAAATTCTCTAAGCGCCGCTGCTTGAAATTTGGGATCTCTAGGCTCGGCTACTTGAAAACTTAGCTCTCTAGACGCTGATCCTAGACAATTAGATTCTCAAGCGTCTGCTGCTTGAAAACCAGGATTTCTAGGCGCGGTTGCTTGAAAATTAGATTCTTAAGAGTCTGCTACTTGAAAAGCAGGGTTTCTAGGGTCAGCTACTTAAAAATGAGATTCTCAAGCGTCTGCTGCTTGTCATAGAAACTCTCAAGGCGCGGTTCCTTGCCAGGGTTCATCACTAGGCCCGGCTCCTAGACAATTAGATTCTCTAAGTTCATGTTGAGTTTTCTATTGAGCTGAAATGGGAAATATACGTTTCAAGAATTTTTTAATCAAAAAATAATTTGGAAAAAATTCGCTTTAGTAGAATTCGTTGGAATTTTGATTTGAAAAAGAATTTGGGAAGTTAATCCAGAAAAAGTTGAGCTTTTTCCAATGTTTTTTTTTTGTGAGTTAACATGAGCAATCCCAAAAATTTCCAAGTTGATTCAATTTTCGTTATACAATTTTTACTTTAAGAAACCACATACCTAGGCCAAAAGCTACAAAATTTTCAAAAATTTCTAAAAAATTCCAATTTCTCTGCAGGTTCACGAATCCGATACGAAGCTGGTGATCATTTGGCCGTTTTTCCCACAAATGACTCGAATCTCGTTGAAAAAATCATCGAATTATTGGATTTCGACGCGGATAAAGCATTCAGATTGGTGAATGTTGATGAAGATGCGTCGAAACGACATCCATTTCCATGTCCGACAACATTTCGAACAGCTTTGGAGCATTATGTTGATATTTGTGCACCGGTTAAATCGCATGTTTTGAAGGTTTGTAGTTCAGAAGCTTTTTCTGGGGAAGTTTTCAACATGAGCAATTATGAAAATTATTTGCATTGCTCATATCAAAAAATATTAATAGAAAATTGTTGGGATTGCTCATGTTAAACTTACCTAGAGCCAAAATTTGACATAAAATTATCATAAGTTTTTTCAATTAAATGAGAATTCTTAAAAATCACAGGATTGCTCATATTAGATTTTCTGAAAATTTGAAATTTCAACACCAAAAATTAAAAATCCGTTTAATTTTAGTGCCGAAAACTTTTTCTAGGGAATTTTTTAACATGAGCAATCTTAAAAAAATTTTTTTTCTGGAAAATTGAAAGCAAAAGTTTAATCTGAGCAATTATGAAATTAATTCGCATTGCTCATGTTAAACTTACCTGGAGAGAAGGATTGCTCAGCTTAAATTATCGGAAAAATTCGATTTTTCTCCAAAAATCTACAGTAATCCAGGCTATTTTTGCGAAAATTTGAATATTTCTCAAAAATCGAAGGATTGCTCATGTTAAAAATTTTTAAATTCAAATTTTTTGGATTTTTGAGTTTCATTTGAGCAACGTGACAATTTTGGCGCGAAAATTTGATGAATTTTGATCTACAAACTTTTTTGGGATTGCTCATATTAAACTTTGTGCAAAAATTTGAATTTTTTCAGAAATTGAAGGATTGCTCATGTTAAAAATGTTCAAATTTAAAATTTTTCTCAAAAATCGAAGGATTGCTCATGTTAAAATGATACAAATTGCTAATTTTTCTCAAAAATCCAATATTTTTGCAGGCAATCAGTGAATATTGCTCAGATGAAGCTGAAAAACAATATTTGTCATCTCTGGCGACTGCAAATGAAGAAGGTTTAGCAGAATACGCGAGATATATTCAAAAAGAGCGGCGATCGATTGTTGATGTGCTCAAAGAGCACAAATCCTGCAAACCGCCCATTGAATATTTACTCGAATTGTTGCCAAGACTTCAGGTAAGTCTAGAAATATTCTGAAAATTAAAAAAAAATAAATTTCAGGCTCGCTATTACAGTATTGCTTCTTCTCCGCGACTTGGTGAAGAGAAAATTGCGATTTGTGCAGTTGTCACCAAATATAGTATTGGAGACAGAAATATTCGAGGAGTTTGCACCAATTATTTGACCAAAAAGGTGAGATTGACGCGAATTTTGTAGCTCGAAGCGTTGTTGACGCGATTTTTGTAGCTTGAGATCTTTGCTGACGTTAATTTCGTAGCGTAAGATCTTGTTGGCCCATTTATATTAGCTCAATATGTTGTTGACGCTTTTCTAGTAGCTCAAAAAATTCCAGTTGCTCTTAATCGTCACTGGCGCTTTTTCAGAAGCTCTAGATCTTTGCTGGCGTGTTCTCTGTAGGTCAAAACGTGGTTGCCGTGTTTTCCAGAAGCTCTGAATCTCCACTGACGCGTTTCTAGTAGCTCAAAACATTGCTGGCGCGAATTTTGTAGCTCGAAATGTGGCTGGCGTGTTTTTTGTAGCTCCAGATCTTCACTGACGCATTTCTAGTAGATCTAAATTTTGCTGGCGTCTTTTTTTTAGCTCTTAATTTTGCTGGCGTGTTTTTGGTAGCTCTAGGTCTTTGCTGACGCGATTTTTGTAGCTTGAAAATGGCTTGGAAAATATACGTTTTAGTGAAATTTGATATTATGTGTTTTTCAATAGCTTCTGATATTAACGGCGTCTTTTTTGTAGCTCTAGATCTTCACTGACGCATTTCTAGTAGCCTTAGATCTTTTCTGACGTGTTTTTTGTAGATGAAAAAAAGCCTAGTTGCTCTAATTCTTTGCTGACGTATTTTTCGTAGCTCAAAACGTTGCTGCCGTGTTTTTAGTAGCTCTTGAAATTCACTGGCGCTTTTTCAGTAGCTTTAGATTTTTTGCTGACGTATGTTTTGCAGATCAATATTCTGCTGACGTGTTTTTTGTAGAGCAAAGAATTCTAGGTACTCTAAATCTTCACTGACGTGTTTCTAGTAGCTCTAGATCGTTGCTGACGCGAATTTTGTAGCTTGAAAATCATGGAAAATTTACGTTTCATAGAAATTTGGAATTTTGAGTTTTTCAAAAGCTTCTGATGTTGACAAAGTGTTTCTTGTAGCTCTAGATCATTACTGACGTGTTTTTTGTAGCTCTGAATCTTCACTGGCGCTTTTTCAGTAGCTCTAGATCTTTGCTAACGTGTTTTTTGTAGAGCAAAAAATTCTAGTAGCTCTAGAACTTCACTGACGCATTTTGTGTTGCTCTAAATTATGCTGACGCATTTCTAGTAGCTCTCAATCTCTGCTGACGTGTTTTTTGTAGCTCTAAATGTTGCTGACGCATTTCTAGTAGCTCAATATTTTGCTGATGTGTTTTTCGTAGCTCAATTTTTTCTGACGCATTTCTAGTAGCTCTAAATCTTCACTGGCGCATTTCTAGTAACTTCTGAAATTCCCCATTTTTTGCAGCTCGCCACTTCAAAATCTCCAGTTTTTGTTCGAAAATCAACAATGCGTTTGCCACATCGAACAACAACCCAAGTAATTATGATTGGACCCGGAACCGGTTTCGCTCCATTCCGCGGTTTTCTCCAAGATCGACAATTCCACAAAAATGCGGGAAAAGAAATTGGAAAAATGCATCTATTCTATGGTTGTCGCCATCCCGAACATGATTATATTTATCAAGAGGAATTGGCCGAATTCGAGCGAGATGGTGTGTTGAGCCATCTGGATTGTGCATTTTCACGCGCGCAAAATGAGAAGATCTATGTGCAGAATAAGGTTTGGGAGGCGAGAGTGAGAGTTTGGCAAGCGATTCAAGATGGAGCGCATGTTTATATTTGCGGGTGAGTGGTTTTGAGGGGGGAAATTTGAAAAATTCTAGGTTTTTAGCTGAAGTTTTTGAATTTTCTGGAATTTTTTTCAAAAAATATTTACGTTGCTCATGTTAAACCAGATCTTGTTTCGGAATTTTTTTTTGTTTCGGAATTTTTTCTGAAAATGCTCAATTTGCTCATGTTAAATCAGATCTGGTTTAACATGAGCAATCCTGGATTTTTAATTTTTCTGAAACTCAAAATTTTCAGCTGAAATTTCACATCTAGAAATCCACGTGAATTTTTTCTCCAGAAAATTTGATTTGAAAAATGAATAGATTGCTCTTAAAGAAAATCTGATTTAACATGAGCAATCCTAGATTTTTTCAAAAATTTTAAATATTCTGGAGTTTAGGTTTATATTGCTCATGTTAAACCAGATCTTGTTAAATATGAGCAACCCTAGATTTTGAATTTTTCTGAGATCCACGTGGATTTTTTCCCAGAAAATTTGATTTGAAAAATGAATAGATTGCTCATGTTAAAGAAAATCTGGTTTAACATGAGCAATCCTAGATTTTGAATTTTTTTGAAATTCAAAATTTTCAGCTGAAAAAAGTTCATATTGCTCATATGAAAAAAGATGTTCTTTAACATGAGCAACCCTAAATTTCTATGAAATTTCCCGATTTTTTGACTTCAAATTTTTAGAAAATTTCTGAATTTTTTTTTCAATTCCCCCCAATTTTTCCAGTGATGCTCGCAACATGGCTCGCGATGTTCAAGCAACTCTTCAAAAAATTTTCCGCGAACTCGGCGGAAAAACCGAACAAGAAGCTCAAACCTATTTCAAAGATATGGAAAAATCGAAAAGATATCAAGCCGATGTTTGGTCCTAAATTTCTATCAGTTTTCAATTTTTTTCTTTTTCAGATTTTTAGTGCATTTTTCGGGTTTTTTGTGAATTTTTTTTGATAAATTTATATATAAATCAAATTTTTAGCCGCCAGAAATTGGTGGAATTATGGCGATTTCCGAAAATTGGTGCAATTTCAGCATTTCGCCAGGAGAAGAATATCTGAAAATTTCCAGATTTTCAGCTTTTCCTCAATTTCCCCAAAACTCACTTCTCATCCACCGCCAAAATGCAAATATTCTCGATTTTTCGTAAATTTTTGAATTTTTCGAAAATTCTCATTTTTGCAATTTCATAAGTTATCTCATCTTGATTTTCCGGAAAATCGATAAAATCCTCGGTTTTCTGGGCTAATTCAGAAGCTTCTCCAAAAAACAGAATTTTTACACGCATCTGAAAATTTGGCTGAAAATTTTCAGAAAAAATCTAGAAATATCGCGCCGTTTTCTACGGAAGCATGGGAAAATTTTTTTAAAAAAACCAAAAAGAAATTTCATTTCTCAAAAAATCGATAAATTCGAATTTTGTGCAAAAATCCTGGCTGCAATTGAGGGTTGTCGATTTTTGACGAGATTTTTCAAATCTTCGAAAATTGCCGCGCGGCGAAGGCCGCAAATCGATATTTTAGCGGACGACGATTCGACGAACAGTTTTGCAAGCTTCTTTTCGTTGGCTGGAAAAATTGGGGATTTTTGGGGTGCTGAAAATCCACGTGGCATAAAAATTTCACGTTTTTTGAGACCAAACAAGGTTAGGAAACTTTTTTTCTAAAATTTTGAGCTAAAATCATGAAAATAATGATTTTCAGCAGTTTCAGCACAAAATTTCAGCCTAGAAACATTTTCAGCTTCTAAATTTCTGGCTGAAAATCTAGAAAATATTGATTTTCAGCAATTTTCAGCATTTCTCATCTTAATCTCCAAGATTTATAACCTGAGCAATACTCAAAAAAATTTCTATAAAACTGAAAAACATTAATATGAGCAATGCTAACATTTTCCTCAAAATCAGAGCAAATTTTTTTTTCTTACAAAAAATTCACTGTTTCAAGATTTTTTGAAAACAGAATTGAAAAATTGATTTTCAGCGTTTTCAGCACAAAATTTCGCGGTGAAAATCAAGAAAATATTGATTTTCAGCGATTTTCAGCTCCCCAAATTTCTGTCTGAAAATCCTTCTAGATCAAAATTTCGTGCTGAAAATCATGAAAACATCGATTTTCAGCCATTTTCAGTAGGTAGCTTACCATTATCACACAATGTTTCGACATACAAATTGATCATTGATTTATAATCCGATGAATTTCCGAGTATTTCAGCACAATTCAATAATTGCTCAATTTGCGCTTCTTTTATTGATTTTGATATTGTTGTTGGGATATTTGAACAAGTTCCAGTTCTGCAAAAAAGAAGGTTTTATTGTGCTGAAAATGCTGAAAATCAATAAATTTTCGATTTTCAGCTCAAAAATTTGATCTAGAAGGATTTTCAGTCAGAAATTTGGGAGCTGAAAATGTTTCTAGACTGAAATTTTGTGCTAAAAATGCTGAAAATCAATAAATTCTTTATTTTCAGCTCAAATTTCTGATCTGGAAAATTCTCCAGGATTTTCATTCATAAATTCAGTAGCTAAATTTTTTTTTGAAATTTTTTTTCGAATTTTTTCATTTTTTCAGTCAAAAAAATTTCTAGACCAAAATTTCGTGCTGAAAACGCTGAAAATGGCTAAAAATCAATATTCCCATGATTTTCAGCACGAAATTTTTTTCGAAAACCAAAAGTTACAATATCAAAAATAAATTATATAAATTTTATTTTCAAAAAATCTTGAAACAGTAAATTTTTTGTAAAAAAAAAAATTTTGCTCTGATTTTGTGGAAAATGCTACCATTGCTCATATTAATGTTTTTCAGTTCTATAGAAATTTTTTTTGAGTTTTTTGAGTATTTCTCAGGTTAAAAATCTTGAAGATTAAGATGAGCAATGATTTTCAACACAGAAAGGTTTCTAGGCTTGTTTGGTCTCAAAAAACGTGAAATTTTCATGCCACGTGTCTTTTCAGCTCCAAAAATCTCCATTTTTCCCCAATTTCAACCCAAAAACCTCTGACAGACCTCCTAATCCTTCTCAACAATCTTCCCAATGGTCCATCACCCATTTGGCTCTCCTGAATTGGCTCAAAAAATTTCGATGACAAATTCGATGTGATCACTTGAATCCAACACGCGATTCCAATATTAAAAGTGTAAACCGAGCCATTTGAGAGCAAAATTAGAGGAATTCCATTTTCACTGATTTCCAGACTGGATAACGATGTTTCGTTGGAAGTTTCGACACATTCGAATATTGGTTGACGAGATAAAATTGATTTTGTGGATTGGAAATCCCTGGAAATTGAAAGATTTGATGCTGGAAATGCTGAAAATCGCTGAAAATCAATATTTTCATGATTTCTAGCACAACATTTTGATCTAGAAGAATTTTCAGCCAGAAATTCTAATTTTTTTCAGAAAAAAAATTTCTAGACTGAAATTTTGTGCTTGAAACGCTGAAACTACTGAAAATGTCTGAAAATCAATATTTTCTTGATTTTCAGCACAAAATCGTTTTTTTTTCTAAATCTGTTGTTCCAATAACTAAATAAAATAAAATTTATTTTCAAAAAAATTTTGAAACAGTGAATTTTTTTGTGAGAAAAAAATAATTTTCTCTGATTTTGAGGAAAATGTTAGCATTGCTCATATTAATGTTTTTCAGTTTTATAGAAATTTTTTTGAGTATTGCTCAGGTTAGAAATCACGAAGATTAAGATGAGCAATACTAAAAATCAATATTTTCATGATTTCGAGCACAAAATTCACTAAATTTAGCGCTGAAAATCAATTTTCAGCTCAAAATTCTGAAACCCCAATCATATTTGGTATCAAAAAACTCACCAAGTGCTCAATTTTCCATATTCCGTCAAAACATAACCAGCAAATTCGCGGATTCCAATTGAAACTGGCGCGGAATCCAATCGAATACAATGTGATAAACTTCCACATTCAGTCAAATAAACACGAAGACAACGATCAGCACAACCAAATAGAGAAATATGACTGAAAATATTGATTTTTGGTCATTTTCAGCATTTTCAGCACAAAATTTCAATCTAGAAAAATTTTCAGCGTCTAAATTTCAGGCTGAAAATCCTTCTAGATCAAAATTTCGCGCTGAAAATCAAGGAAAACTCAATTTTCAGCAATTTTCAGCACAAAATTTCAGTCTAGAAAAATTTTCAGCTCCCAAATTTCTGGCTGAAAATCCAGGATTTTCAGATTTTTCTAGAATGAAATTTTTAGCTGAAATTGAAGAAAATATTGATTTTCAGCACAAAAATTGATTTTTAGGAATTTTCAGCGTTTTCAGCACAAAATTTAGGTCTAGAAAAGTTTTTGACTGAAAAAACAAAAATTCTTTAAAAATTTCAAAAAAAATTTCAGCTTCTAAATTTCGCGCTGAAAATCTGGAAAATATTGATATTCAGAGATTTCCAGCTCCTGAATTTCTGGATTTTTCTGGAATGAAATTTTTAGCTGAAATTGAAGAAAATATTGATTTTCAGTACAAAAATTGATTTTTAGGAATTTTCAGCTAGAAAAGTTTTTGACTGAAAAAATAAAAAATCCGAAAAAAAAATTTCGAAAAAAAATTTCAAAAAAAAAATTTCAGCTCTTAAATTTTATGCTGAAAATCTGAAAAATATTGATTTTCAGAAATTTTCAGCGCAAAATTTCAGTCTAGAAACATTTTCAGCTCCCAAATTTCTGGCTGAAAATCCTTCTAGATCAAAATTACGAAAATGCTGAAAATATAAATTTTCAGCCAAATCTCACCGATTCGCAGCCACATTCAAAACAACAGCTCCAATAACACTCGTCCAAACATTTTCCAAATTCCTCTTTTTTCCCGAATTTTCAGCATTTTCAGATGAATTATTGATTTTTTTGCGAACCAATTTGACCAATGTGGTTTCAATTCCAGAATTTCGATATTTGTTGTCAATTTCGAATTGTAGATTTTTCCGCTAAACAAAAAAAATGGGTAAAACTTAGGCTAACTCCAAAACACCGTGAAAAAACCCACATCCAACACATTATACACAATTGTTGCTCGTTTTTCCGGAGCATCCATTACTACAGTACCCTCAGTGACTTTCATACTGGCAGGTTCATTTCGGCGAAGTGTTGGTTGCTGGAAAAAATTGGCTGAAAATCGAGTTTTCAGTGATTTTCAGCACAAAATTTTGATCTAGAAGGATTTTCAGCCAGAAATTTAGGAGCTGAAAATTTTTCTAGACTGAAATTTTGTGCTGAAAATGCTGAAACTACTGAAAATGTCTGAAAATCAATATTTTCTTGATTTTCAGCACAAAAAAATGTTATTTTCACAGAACACTCTAATCCATCAAAAATTAATAAAATCAATTTTTTTTCAAAAAATTTTGAAACAGTGAATTTTTTGTGAGAAAAAAATAATTTGCTCTGATTTTGAGGAAAATATTAGCATTGCTCATATTAATTTTTTTCAGTTCTCTAGAAATTTTTTTCGAGTATTGCTCAGGTTGAAATTCTTGAAAATTAGGATGAGCAATGCTGAAAATCAAATTTTGATCTAGAAAAAATTTTCAGCTCCCAAATCTCTGAAAATTCTCTTCTAGACCAAAATTTTCTATTGAAAATCAAAAAAATATCGATTTTCAGCAATTTTCAACATTGCTCATCTTAAATTTTTGATTTTTAACATGAGCAATACTCCAATTTTTCTATAAAACTGAAAAACATTAATATGAGCAATGGTAAGATTTTCCTCAAAATCAGAGCAAATTATTTGTTTTCCTCACAAAAATTCACTGTTTCAAGATTTTTTGAAATTTTGATTTTCAGCGATTTTCAGCCAAAAATTTCAGTCTGGAAATTCTTCTAGATCAAAATTTCGCGCTGAAAATCAAGAAAATATTGATTTTTAGCGATTTCAGCATTAAATTTTGATCTAGAAGAGAATTTTCAGCAAGAAATTTAGAAGCTGAAAAAATTTTTCAAGGCAACATTTTCACCTCTCAAATTTCCGCCTGAAAATCCTTCTAGATCAAAATTCCCCGCTGAAAATCAAGAAAATAATGATTTTCCGCGATTTTCAGCCAACAAACCTTAAAATTCATAGTCATAACCATATCCTCCTCCTCTTCATTTTCATTCCTTCTTCTTTTTCTTTTCTTTCTTTTATCATTCTCATTTTCTCCCAAATCCTCCTCAATTTCTTCCTCTTGTTCATCTTCATCATCATCACTATCATCTTCGCTTTCATCTTCCAAATCCTCTTCATTTTCCTCAATTTCCCTCCGTTTTTTCAATAATTCCGCCTCTTTTTCTCTAGTTTTTTCCACATTTTTCACCAAATTCTTTTCCAAAACTTCTCCAGTCGAAGTTGATGCCAAAAATATTGGCTGAATTCGTCGTTTTCCATTCTGAGCCACTTCTTCTTTTTGCACATTTCGTTCTTCGATCAATTTTTGCTCCAATTTTTTGGCTTCTTCATTTTCGGTTTCGATTTGAGTTGAGATTTTTGGCTTTTCTTGGGCTGTTTTCGTCGATTCTTCTTCTTTCTGCAAAAAAAATCGATAATTTTCAAGAAAATATTGATTTTCAGTGCAAAATTTCAGTCTAGAAACATTTTCAGTTCCTAAATTTCTGGCAGAAAATCCTTCTAGATCAAAAGTTCGTGCTGAAAATCAAGAAAATATAGATTTCCAGCATTTTCAGCACAAAATTTTGATCTAGAAGGATTGAAGACAAATTTTTGGCAGAAATGCGCTGAAAATCAAAATTTCAAAAAATCTTGAAACAGTGAATTTTTTGTGAGAAAAAAAAAATAATTTGCTCTGATTTTGAGGAAAATTTTACCATTGCTCATATTAATGTTTTTCAGTTCTATAGAAATTTTTTTGAGTATTGCTCAGGTTAAAAAACTTGAAGATTAAGATGAGCAATGCTGAAAATCGATATCTTCTCGATTTTCACCGCAAAATTTCAGTCTAGAAAAATTTTCAGCTCACAAATTTCTGGCTGAAAATCCCTCTAGATCAAAATTTCGCGCTGAAAATCATGAAAACCTCGATTTCCAGCATTTCCAGCGCGAAATTCCAGTCTAGAAAAATTTTCAGCTCCTAAATTTCCGACTGAAAATCCTTCTAGATCAAAATTCTGTGCTAGAAATCGAAATTTTCAGCCAAAACCCTCACCTTTCTCTTCGCCAAAACCTCTTCAGGACACGTGACAAATGACGATCCAAAAGAGTTATCCAAAATCGAATTTTCCGCCGCAGCTTCTTCATTTTCCTCATCCAAAAGTCCTTCCATTTCATATTGCGGTGGTCGAATACAATAAATTTTCTGACATAAATCGCTCATCATTTGGCTACTCGCAATTTCGCCCAGCGATTTTTCATCGAATAAAATCGACAAAATACTTCCGTCTTGTGAACATACTGTGAGATTCAGACCATTCCACATCATATCCATTACACTGTGTGTAAATATTTTGGTGAGGGCTAGAAGCGGGCGAGAGATTCCGGGGAGCAGCCAGATTGCGATGCTTCGGTCGCGGGAACCTGGAAAAAATATTGTTGGTCTCAAGGAGCCGCGCCTAGAGAACCTAGTTGTCTAGGGGTCGCGTCGAGAGATCCACAAGGATCAGCGGCTTGAGAGCTATATTGATTGATAAGGCGTTGCTTCATGAGAAGTGAATTTCTCGACGCAAGCCCTAGACAACTAGGTTCTCTAGGAGTGGCTGCTTGTCATAGAAGCTCTCAAGACGTGGCTCCTTGAGAACAAGGAGAACAAATAGACGCGCCTTGAGAGCTTCTATGAGAAGCAGCCACACCTAGAGAACCTAGTTGTCTAGGGCTCGCTTCGAGAGATTCACTTCGGCAAGGATCAGCGCCTTATCAATCAATATAGCTCTCAAGGCGTGGATCTCTCGACGCGAACCCTAGAAAACTAGGTTCTCAAGGCGCGGTTCCTTGAGAAAAAACATTTCTGCAATTTACCTGTTGCAACACAGCACAATTGCATTTTCTTTCCATTTTTCAGCTCCGCATACAAAATCCTTGGCAGCACTCGTACACAAGTTGTCGCTTTGCGGTGTCCCACGAAATCTCGCTCAATATTCCACGTTTGCCGCTCGACGATTTGAATTGTTGGCGCGTTGTTGTTGGTGGAAGATGGTGTGAACAGGTATTTTCCATCTGGTGACCAATCAAGGCGGGTGAACATGGTTTTTTGGCCGCTCTGAGGGAAGAATATTATTTTTGCATAGGCTTCCGCGGCGACTTAGCCTAACTTGCCGCTGACGCGGAAGCTTGCGGTTTACACTCGCGGCTTTGCTGCTCGAGTGTAGACCGCAAGCTTCCGCGTCAGCGGCACTGTCTTCCGCTTCAGCGGCCACGTGGATTCCTATGGTTTCCACGTCATAGTAATCCACATGGTCGCTGAAGCGGAAGATAGTGCCGCTGCGCGGAAGATTGCGGTTTACACTCGCGGCTTCGCTGCTCGAGCGTAGCGAGTGTAGACCGCAAGCTTCCGCGTCTGCGGCACTGTCTTCCGCTTTAGCGGCCACGTGGTTACCATGACGTGGAAACCATAGCAATCTACAGGTCCACGTCATACTAATCCACGTGGCCGCGTTCGCGGAAGACAGTGCCGCTGCGCGGAAGCTTGCGGTTTACACTCGCGGCTTCGCTGCTCGAGCGTAGCGAGTGTAAACCGCAAGCTTCCGCGTCAGCGGCACTATCTTCCGCGAACGCGGCCACGTGGTCACTATGACGTGGAAACCATAGGAATCTACAGGTCCACGTCATAGTAATCCACGTGGCCGCTGCGCGGAAGCTTGCGGATAAACTTTTCGAGCGTAGCGAGTGTAGACCGCAAACTTCCGCGAACGCGGCTGGCTATACTACGTAAGAAGACAGCGCGGAAAACTTCCGGCTCGCTCCGACTCACAGATTTAAAAGGTTCCGTAATAGTCGTACAACATTCCCAATTATCAGTCTGCCAAATCTTCAGCGATTTATCCGCCGAAATCGTCGCCAAATACTTTCCAATCGGATCCCACGCGACTCCCTTCACCGAATCACCATGTCCCTTTAAACACGCCACACGTTCCCCGAGTTTTTTCGCATTCCAAATGTAGATTAGATTATCCATAGAGGAACTTGCCAAATATTTTCCGTTCTGTGACCATTCCACGGATAAAACTTCCATCGAATGTGCACGGCATGTTGAGATTTCGCGATATCTTTCGATGTTGGCGCCTTTTCCCAAAACACTTCCAGCAGAATTCACTTTTCCGACTGAAAATTTTCATTTTCTTATGTTATTTTCTCTTTTTATTTCAAAAAAGCTTACTAAATTCCCAAACTGATACTGAAAAATCATCGGAACCCACTGCAAATCGTTTTCCATCCGGAGACCATCTCACACAGTTTGCACCGGCTTGTGTGTAGATTTGACAAAGAATTTTTGGTACATTTGGATCCTTATAGTGTTTTTCCGATTCGATGGGACTCATATTCCAGATCATGACAACACCGGAGCTGCTAAGCTCTTTTTGACCGCATGTGATGAATTTTGAGCCGGATGGATGAGCATCGATGGAGTAGATCGCACCTCCATCGTGGTTGACAAATGAGGGTTCGACTATTCGAACCATATCTGCAAGAAAACCTATTTTAACCCGAAGAAACATGCCGCGCGGGGAAAAAACGAAAAAAAAAAAAGAAAATTTTAAAATAATGGTTGCATACACCGCGACGCACAATTGCACAACTTTTTGCCTTATTGAAAAAAGCTCAGCATCTCCTGGCGTACACTTTTGCGAACAAAAAGTGTAGCTACATTGTTGTATGACGCACGCTACAAACATTGTACGCACATCCTACAAAAAACTCTACAAAGATCCTACACTTTTCCTTTTTTTGAACGAAAACCGTACACCGAATTTCGAATCGATTTTTTTTCTTTTTGCGCTGCGATTTAGGAGAGAGTAAAACTAGAAAATATAACAAATCATTTATGGATCAATAGACTTTTAGCACATAAAATAAATATAATAACAAAAATCTTCAAAACATAATAAAAAAAGTTAGAAATATAATTTTTTCCGAAGTTTTTTTGAGAATTTGTTGGTTGTTGAGGGTTGAGTGGTTGAAGTCGGGGTTGCGGGGTAGAATTCGGGTTGTGGAGCATGTGCATATTGTCGTTGATATTCAGGTGACTTTACTGCGAATCTTCGGTCGAAATTGTCCCGATGTTAGCATTGGGCGTAGGTGTAGGCGGAGCATCAAGTGTCAACCTGAAAAATAGGATGATTTTCAACATCATAAACATCCCAAGTCCCATTACATTACTACTTATCATAATTATAAGAGGCGTCTCCACGAAATGATCTGCCAACTTCAGATCACCTACGTTTTGACAGGCGATTAGCCAGTAAGATTCCGAATTCTTAGTCTTCCTAGTAGTCTTCCTCACCTTTAAAATCATCTCCTCGATGAACTCCAGTGAAGATTCTCCTCCTTTTTTCTGCCGTCATGATGCAAATTCTAGGAGTTGTTGGTTTGATGATCTGAAATTCAACAAATCGCAATCAAATTCAGGTGTAAAAAGAATAATAACGAGAATAAAAAGAAGGAATGTTATCGGTCAACTCTGATTCGCAGTTTGGATGAATTTTCGAAATTATTTCAAGGTTTTTCTTGAAAAAACGATATTTTTTTGACGAATAAGTTGTTTGATAGCTTCAATAATTATTTTCAACTTCTAGAATCCACGCAGATATAATTTTACTATCATGATACCTGATTTATACGTTTAAAAAGAATTTTAGGCCAAAAAGAAAATAGAAAACAAAAATAAAATAATAGCCGCAACGCAACAAGCTTGCAACGCGGTCCTACAATGTAGCTACACTCGCGAAAAGTGGCAAGTGTACAAAAAGCGTAGAAAGAGTGTAGGGAAAGCGTACGTTATCGTGCGCATTTTGTACGCCACGAGATGCTGAGAGGACGCCATGTTTTGCCTGGACAAACACTTCAATCGCCCGATTTTTAACCCCCTATATGTTTCGAAATCGTTTTTCCATTAATTTTCAATGCTGTTCAAACAAAGTTGTCTTTTGTCTACGGATCTAGCCCGAGAAATCATCAATTTAGAGTACTGTGATTTCAAAGGTGCATGATTGATTTTGTGTGTTTGGGTCTCGTAGCGATGTCGACAGTCGGCGCATATTTTCAGTTTTTTTTCTTTTTTTTGTTGGAAAACGGCCTAAACTGCTGTTTTTCGAGGGTAAAACGTGTCTTTTTTTGAATTTTGAGTGGAAACTGATATTGTGAACATAACACCCATCTGATAAATTCTATTTTCACTGAAAATTGCAGAAAAAAAGTCTTTATTCCAATTTTTCTCAAAAAATTGTTTATATCTTTGTTTATAATACACAAAATTCCCTAGACAATTTGGCATTTCTCATCTTCTCCCCCATGAAAAATCGATTTCAAACTAACTTTTCTCTTCCCCATTTTTTCCACCATTCTTCCATTCCAATTTAGAAGGGATGTGCCTTTGTTGCGCACTCAAACGCGCTCTAAACACATCCCCATCTTTGTGTTCTTTTCTCTTTCTCTTCCTTTTGCCGCGAAGGTTTTTTTCTGTTTTGTGTATTTCGAAATCGATTAGAGTTAACTTCTAGTGAAATGAGTCGCCTACAACCTCGTAGCAGCTCGAACTTAGGATGTACTGTGAATCGAGAGGATTTGAGAAAGAGTTTTTTGGATGTTCCAAAAGAGGTAGGTTTTTTTTTAAAAAATACTCTAAAAACAAACTAACATAAAGAATTTTCAGACAATCGCAACTCCTGCAGATCTTAAAAGAACATTTGATACGATTATCCCCATATTATCAAAATCAACAGAAGATTGGACAAAAAGGATGAAGGAATTGAAGAGAATTCGATCGGCGATCATAAGTGCGTTAGAAAATATGGAACAATCTCAATTACTCGCTCAACTTGTTCGTTTAGTGGATTGTCTAGAAATGTCGGTGAGAGATTTGCGTTCGCAAATCGTCAGAGAAGCCGCGGTCACATGTTCGTTTATTGTGGAAAAATTCGGCAATGATGTACATCAAATTGGAGAAGCTGTTTTGGCAGCGGCTATGTCGCAAGTGGCGGTTAGCACCAAAATTATGGCGACTAGTGGAGCAGCATTATCTGCGTTTGTAGTTGAATTTATTCAAACCAAGCAAATTTTCACGACGATCACATCTTTCTCCACATCAAAGGACAAAAATCAACGCAGACAACTTCAAAGCTTGTTAGAAATCATTTTGACGCATTGGAATGACAAAATCAAGAAACCATATTTACGGCAAATTTGCGAGATGATTAAAGCTGGTGTGAATGACGCGGATTCGGAGACAAGAACTGCGGGAAGAGCTGCATTTGCGAAATTGGATGAAGCACATCCGGAAGAAGCTGAACAATTATTCAAGACATTTGATCCATCGAAACAGAAGATGTTGAGAGCTGGAGATGCGGCATCTTCGAGCACTAGTTTGAATAGTGAAAGAAGTTTGCCGATTCGATCGAAATTGTCGGCTGGTGCGAGACCTGTGCCGAATATTAGTTCGAGTTAGTGGAAACACGATTCCGTCGTCTAAAATTGCCTCCTACCATGAGTTATGACGTGTCAAAATTTCAAAAAATCGAGACTTTGGAGGGCCTTCAGAATTATTCTAATAGCATAGGGTTGTTCAGGAAGGTTGATTACTTAAATAAACTTCATGTTTTCAATTTTTGATCAATTTTGAAAAGATTTTTTTGTTCGGTGAAAAAAGGTACGAAAATCCAGAAGATTTTTCAAAAAAATTTGAAATCTGCAATTTTTCGGTGAAAAAAGGGTCATATAGTTGCAGATTTCAAACTTTTCTGAAAAATCTTCTGGATTTTTGTACCTTTTTTCACCGAACAAAAAAATCTTTTCAAAATTGATCAAAAATTGAAAACATAAATTTTACTTGTGTAATCGTCCTTCCTGAACAACCAACCCTATGCTATTAGAATCATTTTGAAGTCAACCCTCCAAAGTCCCGATTTTTCGAAATTTTGCCACGTCATAACTCATATTAGGAGTTGAGTTCTGCAATTTTAGTTAGCGAAATCGTGTCGAAAACTACTAGAAAACATATATTTCATTAAAAATTCCAGAATTTCTGGCTCAAAGAAGTGCCTCTGCCATCGACACCAAACAAATATCAATGCGCGGTCCACACACTTCAACTCCGGGAGCTCGTCCAACAACAACAATGAGAAACATGAACAAAGTGGACACATCACCAGGTGGATCCAAATTCACTAGACCAGCTTTTGGTATGGCTCGAACGAATTCGAATCTTCGCGCAAAAGCACCAATCGCATCACAACGTGGGTTTTGAGCTCATTTTCATATAGGAAAACCCTATATATTTTCAGCCGGATCTCGAAACGCTTCTCCACCTCGTCGAACATCAACAACAGCTTCCGAAATCCAACGTGTCAAGTCGAATTTGGGAAACAGCTCGTTTGTCGCTTCGTTGACTCAAGAACAGGCGGCCAATTTGCAAAATGCTATGAACTCTGTTAGAGATCAATTGGTAAGTGTTTCCCGCCGAATTTCGTCTCAAAATCTCTCGTTTTTCTAGCGCCAACCATCGAAAAACGACGATGACGATTTCCTTTTGCCAAAACGTCCGATCAAAACGACTCCACAAAAAAGTGCGTTGGATATTTCGCGAGTTGAATCGGTTATTCGAGCGTGTGCTTCATCGTCGCAAAATGAGAAGCGAGAGGGTATTAAAATGTTGACCACTGTTGTATCGTAAGTTTATTTCATGATTTTTTTTCAGCAAGTTAGGGGAAATATTGGGGTTTTGGGTTATTTATTGGATAGACAGGTCTAAGAGGAACCGAATGATATAAATTTTTATGATTTTACGTTATCCATAAGTGATTTAGCGATTTTTAATCGTTAAATCGCCCGACAACGCAGAAATAATCATTTTATAAAATAAAATTTTATCACCTGAATGTAGTAGTTTCGACTTTAAAAAGCCACAAAATTGCTCTGTGAGCTCAAGAAAAAATCGCAAAAACTCAGATTTTTAAATTTTTTCTTGGGCTCATGGAGCATTTTTGTGGCTTTTAAAGTTGAAACTACTACATTCAGGCGATGAAATTTTATTTTATAAAATGATTATTTCTGCGTTTCCGGGCCATTTAACGAATTAAAATCGATAAATCACTTATGGATAACGTAAAGTCATAAAAATTTATATAATTCGGTTTGTCTTAGACCTGTCTTTCCCAATATTTCCCCTAACTTGCTAAAAAAAATCTGGATTTCTTCAGATTAACAATTTAATTATTCCAGAGATCCTACACTCACCGATATTGAGATCAAAAACGTTGGAAATACCTTGAATCGTCTTCTCGGTGATGTTGCAAATAATATGGTTCTCGAATCGATCGCCATTTTTGTTCAAACTCATCATTCACGCCTGGGAGATTTGTTGAAAGAAACTTTGAAGAAGTTGTTCACCAAGAAGGGAAGCGAATCAATGCCGAATATTCGAAAACAGATTGCGAAGACTCTCGAAGCGATTTTGGTATCAATGGATCCGAATTTGCAATTGAAATCTATTAGCACTCTGGTTTTCGATCCAATAACTCTTCTTCCACCGAAAGCACGAGTGGCTGCATTGGAATATTTGAGCGAATTGTTGAAGAATCATATGGAACGGGGAAGTTTGTTCAATACGAAAGAAACGAAACAAATGATCATGAAAATGTTCTCCTGGATGAATGACTCGAAAATCGGGACAACCATCATTCCGCACGCTGAAAATGTGCTTTGCGCCTTTTTCGCCGTGAATTCTGCGGAATTTTCGGCGCTTTTCAGCGATTTCAATCCGGATTATCGAAATTGGGCGTATCAGATTTTGCAATCTAAGGGACAACAAGTAGGAAATGGGGGAATTGCTGAAGCAGAAGAAGAGGAGGCTTGTGTTAGAACAACGATTTCGAATACCGCCGCACAAATTGAGGATTTTGTGTCGAATCGAAGAACGATGTTGTCGCCAAGAGCATCGTCGTCGCCTGTGCCGAAATTGGCTTCGCTGGGACCTTTGCAGTCTCTGGATTCGACTTTGAATGCAAATACGAATGGAGTTGATCTTGTTGATAATGGATTGGGGTTGAATGAATCTTTTGATCGCTTGAAGGTGGGTTTCGGGAGATTTTAGGAGAAAATCTTTTTTTTTGACAAATTTCTTGAGATTCCGGGAGCCTGCCCAAAATTTGGTGCATTTTTGACCAAACAAATTCAAAATTTGGCCATTTTTTCAACAATTTTTGAGCAATTTGCCGTTTTGGCCAATTTCTGATCAATTTTTTGACCAAAAAAAAAAAGAATTTGTGCATTTTTGCTCAAAAATTGGAACAGAAATTTGAGTAAAAATTATTCAGGAATCCTGATGCAGATTAATATTTTTTAATAAAATGGAATAAAAACATTTTTTCCTTTTGAGAAGAGACAACGTGAAATTGAGAGAGCGCAGACAGAAAATTGGGTTTTTTGTTTGAAAAACGCTTTCTATACTCAAAAATAATGTTTTTATTACAAAATATCAATCTGAATGAGAATTCCTGAATTCTTTTGACTTAAAAATTGTTTAAACTCAATTTTGGTTCAAAATTTAATTCAAGCTGAAAAAAATATTAAAAAAAAACATTTTTCATTTTATTACAAAATATTAATCTGCATTAGGATTCCTGAATAGTTTTGAATCAAAAATTGAAGAAAACTCAAATTTTTTCAAAATTTAAGATTCAAGTCGAAAAAATAATAAAAAACAAAACATTTCGATTCAGAAAATGTCGAAAAACTATATTTTTTCCTATTTTTTGTCTTTTTTTTTTCTTTTTGTGTGGAAAAAATAAGAAAAATATAGTTTTTTGACATTTGCTGAATCGAAATTTGTTGTAAAAAAAATGTTTTTTTATTATTTTTTTCAATTTTTCTTGAAGAAATCTTAATTTTGGTTTTAAAAAATCAATAAATTCCAGCTCAATTCAACTCATCATTTGGCTGACGACGTCAACGAGCAAAACACATTTGTGCAAGCAAAAATCAATCAAATGCACAATTCATCAAATCAATCAGAACAACACGAAGGTTTAACCGCAATCCACACAATGTTATGCGAAGGATCATTCACTCTTTGGGAACAAAACTTTGCCAAACTCCTTCTTGCCGTCTTCGATGTTTTGTCGAAATCAAATTCGGACCTCAACAAGAAATTGGCGCTGCGAGTTTTGATGAAAATGTGTGTTTGTCAAGCGGCCAGATTGTTTGATTCGACTGAAATGGCGATTTGTAAGGTGATTGATGCGGCTGTGGATTCGACAGATGGCACGATGAATGTAACTGCGGATGATTGTTTGAAAACGTTGGCAACACATTTACCATTGGCGAAGATTGTGAATATCGCGAAGTTGATTTTGAGCCAGCAAGAATTGGAAGATTCACGAGCATCTTTGGTGTTGAAAATGGTGACAAGATTGTTTGAAGGATTGGAGGCCGATGAATTATCGCCGATTTTGGATGATATTGCGCCGGTGGTTGTGTTGGCTTATAATTCACCATCTACACCGGTTCGAAAAGCGTCGGTTTATTGTTTGGTGTCAATGATGAATAAATTGGGAAAACCGGCGATGCAGAAACATTTGGCACAATTGCCGCATACTAAGGTGAGCAATTTTCGAGATAAAAATTGCATTTTATAGGAGATTTATGTTATTTTTGACCTGCTGATCACGAAAAATTGCAGAACTCAAAATTAGTTATGACGTGGCGAAATTGGGAACTCATGTTAGGAGTTCTGCAATTTTAGAGATCGTGATCAGAAGAACGAAAACTACTTTTTTATTAAAAATCTTAATTTTGAGCATTTAGGGCGTTTCTGAAAATTTGAATTTCCGAAAAATCGCACCAAATTCTCAATAGAACGCATTTGCAATTTCTAGAACTCAAATTCGAATTTTCCATGTTCCCAGGGTCAAATTTGGCGGGAAATTTGAATTTTCACAGTTTCGACCCGTTTTAGTTCAAAATTTGGTCAAAAATCAGAATTTGAGCATATTTTGCTCCTCTAAAAATTTGAATTTCCAAAAAATTTCGCCAAATTCTCAATGGAGCGCATTTGCAAATTTTTGAGTTAACATTTGAATTTTTCATGTTCCCAGGGTCAAATTTGACGGGAAATTTGAATTTTCATAGTTTTTCGGGTGAGTGCACTCTATTGATAACTTCATTTTCAGCTTTATTCTTTTCTTTGTTCGCTGGGGCGCATTTGCTATTTTATAGGTCAATTTCTGACCAAATTTTAAATTAAAAAAGCCAAAAAAAAATTATATATCAGATTTTCATGAAAATTATTTTGAAATCCAGTTTTGCCACGTCATAGCTCATTTTAGAGATCAGAAGATCGAAAATAACTTCAAAATCCCCTGAATTTTTCCAGCTCAATTTATTGCAAGTCTACGTCAATCGAGCAATGTCATCAAGTGCTCATTCACACGTCTAAGCAGAAGCAGCAGCAGCTCAAAATTTGGCCAATGGACCTTTTAAATTTTTTTGTTTTCTCCTCCCCGTCCCGGTTTCTTTATAATAATGCATAAAAAGTTGTGAAAATCGGGTCACATGCATTATTTTTTGTTTTTTCCCCCGAAATTTTCTTCTGTCAAATAGCCAACCCCACTAATTCGTGTACAATAATTTATTATACATTTTTTAACCAATGTTTTTTTATTCAATTTTTTTTGCTTGGTTTCATTTCTAACATGAACATTTGATTTTTCTTTTGGACAATTTGAATTTTGGGATGATTCAAAGTTTTGCGCGACTTTTTATATTTTTGTAATTAGATTTGATTGAAGTTAGCCTAAATTCTTAAAATTTGAGGATTTTCTGAATTTTTATTTAAGTTTGCCTAAATCCTTTCATTCTTCTGTTTTTGGTGAATTCTAAGCTTCTGGAGAATTTTTTGATGAATTTTGAGGTTCTGAAAATTTTTTTATTGAATTTTGAGCTTCTAGAGAATTTTTTTGGTGAATTTTGAGCTTCTGGAAAATTTTTTGATGAATTTTAAGCTTCTAGAGCAAAAAATGCACAATTTCCATGCTCCAGACCTAATTTTCATTATTTTCAAGGTCCTGGAGCTCATTTTCAGCAAAAAATTAGCTCTAGAAGCTCATTTTCAGCTAAAATTAGCTCCAGAAGCTCATTTTCAGCTAAAATTAGCTCCAGAAGCTCATTTTCAGCCAAAATTAGCTCTAGAAGCACATTTTCAGCCAAAATTAGCTCTAGAAGCTCATTTTCAGCTAAAATTAGGTCTAGAAGCTCATTTTCAGCTAAAATTAGCTCCAGAAGCTCATTTTCAGCTAAAATTAGCTCCAGAAGCTCATATTCAGCCAAAATTAGCTCTAGAAGCACAATTTTCATCATTTCCAAGGTCGTGGAGCTGATTTCCAGCTTCCGGAGAAAATTCTTACAATTTAAATTTTTCTCTAACCTAAACTTAGACTAAATTCCTGCAACCCAAATAAATAATCCTAAACATCTGTTTTTACCTCTGCCTCTTTCTTCCCCCTTTTTTTATGACATCACACATGTGTTGCTATTTGCGCGCGTCCTTTTGTCCCTTTTCTTTTTTTTGTTGTTGCCAAACCAAAAATTTGCATTTTTCGAAGAAAAGATTTAATCGGGAGGGTATTATTACCCCCTGCTGGTTTGATCCGATGGAAAATCGATTTTTTCTTGATTTTCTGAGAAAATTTTACTTTATTTCTGTTAAATCATGCTAAATTATGGAGTGGTGCCGAAATTTCCAAATTTTGAGAACAGGTAAAATTTTCCGCAAGCTTCCGCGCAGCGGCACAATCTTCCGCGAACGCGGAAACCTTGCTCTAGTTTCACGTCATACCTTCCGCGTCTGTATTTAAAATCTCGATTTTCATTATCAAAAATCTTTCAAACCAGCAAATCTGCTCTATTGATAACCCTTGTTTTTATATTTTTTCGTATTTTTTCATTTCATCTCCCAATTTTCCAGGTAAAAATGGTGAAAACCAACACAAAAGCTGGCGAAAATCCAGAAGCCACCACCACGCGAAAATCGAAGCGAAAGATGAATTTCAAACAGGCGCAAGAGGTTTATCTGAAATTGAAAGAGGAAAAAGAAGTGGAGAGACAGAAGGAAAGAGAGGAGAAGGAGAAAAGGTTGGCGGGAAATTTTTTGATTTCTGAATTTTGTTCACAATTTCTCTTTTCTAGAAATCAAGCCATCGAAAAACACAACAAAAACAAGAAGAAAATGAATGTGGCACTGAAAAAGAAGAATAAAAAAGGACAACCGAATTTGAATGCTCAGGTTAGCCAGATTTTCCTCTTCTCACATGGGAACCTTTTTAAATTTTGTCCAGAGACAGCTTTTGGGGTCATAATAACACCCTAAAAATTTAGGGACCACTGAGCCAAGTTCTGGGCTCTCAAAAGTACAAAAATATCCAAAATTGCTCCATTTCAAAATAATTTTTATAAGAAATGACGTTTACTAAAAGTACATCAATAAAAAACATTTTTTCGAAAAATTTTAAAGTTTTTCATTTTTCGCCTGAAAATTCATAAAATTTTTATCTGAAAAATTGATTTATTGATGCTTTTTGGGTAAATCGACCACGCTGATCATCATCTGCTACTCAGTTCAATTTTTGAGAGCCCAGAACTCGGCTCAGAGGTTCACTAAATTTTTAGGGATCCTAAAAGATGTCTCTGGAAAAAATTACATCAAGATTTGAAGTGTTGACTGAAAAAGATTCCCTTGTCAATTTTTTCATCATTTTTCTATTTCAGGTCGAAGTTTTATTGGAAAGGATACAAAAACGAGTTGGAAATGATGATAAAAAGTAGAATTTTTCTTGGATTTTTGTTAATTTTTGTTGTTTGATATAAAGTTGTTATTTTTGAGCTTCCCCTTTTTTGTGCTTCTATCAATGGTTATTTATCCTAACTTCATATCTAATCTTGTTCCCCAAACCCTCTCTAATTATCTGTTTCAGATGCCCCGCCCATTTTTGAAAAAAGGCCAAGGGATCGCTCGATTTCAGCCAAGAAGATCTGAAAATTTGGAGCAAAATCAAGAAAAACCGAGTTTGAAAAACTCGAGAAGTGCTGGAAATTTGCCCAGATTTACGCCAACTTCTACAGTACCCAATTCGGCGAGAACTGAATTTGATAGTGGAATTTCGAATGAAGGTATTCATTTTTTGTATGAAAATTTATGAAAAAAACCAATTTAAAAATTTGAATTTCACGAAAATCCCGCCAAATTCTCAATGGAGCGCATTCTAGAGTTCAAATTCGAATTTTTCACGTTCCCAGGGTCAAATTTGGCGGGAAATTTGAATTTTCATAGTTTTCGGGCTGAAATTCCATGGGAAACCCAGAAATTCACAAAAAAATCAATAATTTTCCAGGCGCTTCACCATTTGATGATCTTGAAACCCGCCCGCCAACAATGTCTTCACTGCCTATTGATCGAGATTCGCCGAGTGTTTTGGAAGGTAATTTTATCAATGGAGCACATTTGCACCAAAAAATTATGAAAAATAGGTGGAAAATTCGAATTTCCCGCCAAATTTGACGCCGGGAACTTGCAAAAATTCGAATTTTAACTCTAGAATTTGCAAACGCGCTCCATTGAAAATTTGGCGGGATTTCTGGGAAATTCAAATTTTTAGAGGTGCAAAATATGCTCAAATTCTGATTTTTTATCAAATTTTGAAGAAATTTATCAATGGAGCGCACTTGCACCAAAAAATTTCAAGAAACTATGAAAAATAAGTCATTTACGTCGAAATCTGATGAAAAATTCAAATTTCCCGCCAAATTTGACCCCGGGAACTTGGAAAATTCGAATTTTAACTCGAAAATTTGCAAATGCGCTCTATTGAGAATTTTGCGGGATTTTTTGGAAATTCAAATTTTTAGATGACCCAATTGAGCAGATATTTGGATTTTTGACTAATTTTTGAACAAAAACGGGCCAAAACTATTGAAAATTCAAATTTCCCGCCAAATTTGAGCCCGGGAACTTGGAAAAATTCGAATTTTAGCTCTAAAACTTGCAAATGCGCCCCATTGAGAATTTTGCGGGATTTTGGAAAATTCAAATTTTTAGATGACCCAATTGAGCAGAAATTTGGATTTTTGAGCAATTTCTGACTAAATTTTGGTCAGAACTGTAAATTTTCAGATTTCTGAGCATTTCCAGCACAGTTTCAGCCAAATTTTCCTTCAGAAAACGACCTCGAAGCCAGCACTTCAGAAGATCCAGAAGAAGAGGAGATCGAAGAAGTCTCCGCCTCAATTCCCTCATTTTTACCCGCGTCTTGCGCTGGTTCCAGCGCAGTCTCAACAAATTCCTCAGTTTTATCAGCGGACGAGAAAAATCGACGAGAAATTGCAAAAGTTTTGCATCAAAGAGCCATGATGATGAATACGGTAGGCTCGGAATTTGAAATTTTTTTGAATTTCAGAATTTGAATTTGAATTTTTCAGCTCGCTTCCGTTTCGCCAACATCGTCTTCGAATATTTCGACACCAATTGGTGCGAGCACACCAATCACCAATACAAATACACAACAATATCAGAATTTACCTTCAGCTCCGAATCTAACTGAAAATTCTGGATTCAATATTGATGCGAGTTTGGTGACGCCACGGCCGTTTTCAATGAATCGAGCGAATTTGATGAAAAAAGGTGGGAAATTCGGCATTTTTTGATTAGAGACAATGGGAAATTGAGAGAGTGCAGACGAAAATTTGGTCCATTTTCCAATGAAAATTTTGAATTTTCATTCAAAAATTGTGAATCTGTAATTTTTAGAGCGAAAAATTGGAGAAAAACAGGCTGAAAATCCACGTGGAAAATTGAAAATGATTGAAATTTTTGAAAAAGTCTATTTTTATTTGAGATAAATATGCTGAAAATCCACGTGGATTTTGACTGTAATTTTTGGCGGGAAAAATTCAAAATTTTCATTTTTCGCGCCACAAATTTTCCACGTGGAGATTTTTCGGCGGGAAACGAACAGAATCCAATTATATTTGGACCAGAAGGGCTCCGCCGGCTAACGCCGGCTCACACCTGACGAGACGTGTCCAAAATGGACACTGTACAAAAATTTTCAAAAGTCACACTGTACATTTTTTCACGAAAAAGTGTAGTTTTCATTGATTTTCAGCGGATTCTGATGAAAATTTTCAAAAATTCACGCTGCAAAATTTTTTTTGCAAAAATTTCCACGCTGCACAAAAATTCTGGGACACTCTCACGCCAGGTGTGCGCCGGCTCCTCCTTCTGGGTTGTCCCGGCTTCGCGCGTAGTGGTAATTAGGTGGAAGTTTTGGCTCTGCACGGAAAAAGAGAGGTTTAGGAAAAAAAGAGGGGTTTTCAGAAAAAAGAGGGGTTATGAAAAAAAAAGGGGTTTTCAAAAACTTGATCTTTTAAAAGCTTGAAACGATATTCAATAATTGGTTTCAGAAGTAGCTTTTGTTCAGAATTTTGAGCTTGAAATGATCCTTGCGCTTAAAGTTTATGAAAAGTGAAAATATTCCCACATTTGAGAGCATAAAGTTTGCAAAACCCCTCTTTTTCGTCAAAACCCCTCTTTCTTTCGAAAACCCCTCTTTTTTTCTGAAACTCTTTTTTTCCTAAAACCCTCTTTTTCCGTTTAGAGCTGAAGTTTTTTATACGGTTTGATTTTAAACCATGCACAATGAGAAAGGGTGGAAACGTGTTGCTTTTTCTTTATCACCCGTTTTTCTTAACTCCGCAACGACCAATCCCTCCGATGGCTCTATTCATATCCTAAAACTATTCCGCTCCAAAAAAGTCATTACTGAACTATGAAACAGTTTAACTTCCGAGTAACGAATGTCTTTTAAAACTTTTTTTGAAAAATCAAATTTTAACCTGAGAGTATAGTTAGACATGGTTTGGAAAAAACTCGAGCGAAACCAGTTTTTTGAGTTCGCTCACTTGTTTGAGTTTTGAGTTCGCTCACTCATTTCAAACCGGTTTTCGCTCAAATATCGCTCATTTCTGATTTGATTAGAATTGGTGGATTTTTAGGTTTTCGGATATGGGAAATCGATTGGTGATAATAATTCCAGAAAGCCCAAACTAAAATGATCATAACTTTTTTATTTTTCAAGCTTTTTCAAATATCTCTGGACCATTGTGACGTGCTCATCCTCAGCTAAATTTTTGCTCTTCGGAGCAAATTTTGAATGTTGGTTTGAAAAAGCTTGAAAAATAAAAAAGTTATGATCATTTTAGTTTTTGTGACTCGAAAAGGTGTAATGTATTTCAATTGAATTTCAAACAAAAATCCATTTTTCATGCCCTGTCCCTTTAAAAGTCACTTTTAGGCCGAATTATTATCACCAATCGATTTCCCATATCCGAAAACCTAAAAATCCACCAATTCTAATCAAATCAGAAATGAGCGATATTTGAGCGAAAACCGGTTTGAAATGAGTGAGCGAACTCAAAACCCAAACAAGTGAGCGAACTCAAAATATGAGTTTTCGCCCAGATCATTTGAAAACTCACTCATGTCTTACTATACCTGAGAGCCGAAATGCGAGAATGTTTCCTTCCGTGTTTTGGATCACTGTGTATTGAGTCTAGAATGACTGTATTTGAAAAAATATCTAGGAAGTTTTTTTTATGTGGCCCTTTCCCGTCAAATCTTCCATCTATCCACCATGGCATTTTTCTTTCAAAGGTTTTCTTTCAACTCAATAGCCACCGCCCTTTTTTTATTTTTTTTTATTTCTGAAAAATCAGATTCGCATTATTAGGAAAAATAGCTGGAACGTTGAAGCGTTCAGGTTCGGCTCAGGAAATATGGTTTTAGAGAAAAAAGAGAGGCTTTGGAAAACATTTTTCGGGGAAAAGAGGGCGACGAATTCAAGCTTCGAAAAGAGGGCGACGAATTCAAGCATAAATGCAAAATCCATCAGTTATTTTTCAGAACCCCTTTTCGATTCTCAAACCCTCTGTTCCGCCCAGAGCCTAAACTTCCAGGCTCAAAATATTCCGACCCCAAAAAGAAATCATAACTCACGCTCTCTAAAACTTATGCATTCTTCTTATTTCACATCTGGAAATTCGAGATTCATTATTTAATAATCTACAGTAGTTTTACTTACTTTTTGTTTATTTACTTATTCGCTAGTTAGGAGAAAGGAAATATCGAGAAATGACCAAAAATTTTCGACTATGATTTAGAAAATAGAACGATCAGATAAGAAACGTGGCCTGATTTTTTTTCCCAATAAAAACGTGATCATTCTTTTTTACATGAAAAAAGTTTTGAATTTTCACGTGAAAACTCGCGCATTTTTTGAAAAAAAAAATATTAGCGCATCGATGGGAACGAATTTGGGATAGAATGGTGAAGTTCTCATCAAAAACGGTATTCTGGGAACAGAGAAATCTCGAGTGGAACATTTTGAAATCAAAAAATACATTGAAATTTCTGACTTTCTTGAAACATTCAACTCTCCGCGCACTCAAACAACAGTTATCGAAAATCGGAAAAAAGGTACCTCGAGGTGCCATACAAAGCTAACTTTTCTTTTTTTGATCATCAATTTTTATGAAGTGGAAGCTGAGAACGGGCTCTGGACACACTATTTTCCGAAAAGCATGTTTCCAATTAGTATATAGTAGATATTTTCAGCAATTTTTGAGAATTTTCAGATTTTCACGAGAAATTTGGTCCATTTTCACTGAAAATTGTGAAATTTCAAGATTTTTGGAAAGAAACTTGGAAATTTTCGGCAAAAAAAAGTCACTGTTTCAAAAATGTGATAATTGAAAATTTTTAGATTTTGTGTTATTCTGTAGAATGTGTACGGTTGAAGAAAATCCACGTGGGAAATTGCAAAGCGAAATTTTGTGGCCTAGAAATCCAAAACCTCGGCCACCGCTCAATTTTCAAAATTTGAATTTTTTTTTGTTTTTAGGACCAAATTCCACGGACAATCATGTTTTTGGCAGAAAAACCTTGATTTTCGAAAAAAAATGTCAAAATTTAAGCATTTTTAGTGAAAAATGAGGCTAGAAGCTGAAAAATCTTGAAATTTCACATTTTCTGTTTGTTTCCCGCCAAAAAATCCCCACGTGGCTAGATTTGGCGCAAAAACAGAGCTAAAATTCTGAAAGATTTTGCTCAGCGTGGAAAACTGTACAGAAACATTTATAAAAAGCTAAAAACACAGCTGAAATAGTGCTACAGTACCCTAAAATTCGAAATTTTTCAGACGAAGCTGCTGCTCAAACTGGAGCAAGTTTGCTCCATCGACCACTTCCACGTTTTCAACTTCAAAAAAATCAACAAAAAGAAAATGTCTACGATCTCCCCCAAAACCCCGTGCCACCAAAAACCCCCCGCCAAAATTACACGCCAGCTGAGCGAAATCTGATGGTTCAACTACGCGACACAATTGCGCATTTGGATTTTGCCGAGCAGAATTTGCGAAGCAGCTCGCGAAAAATGAAGGATGAATTTGTGGCGATGAAAAATGCGATGAAATTGAGATTTGAGAAAAGGAAAATGGAATTGGAAGAGGAATATCGAAGACGATTTGAGGAGTTTGAAGAGGAGCAGAAAATCGAGAATGAAAGAATTGCGAGAGAGAAGAGAGATTTAGACAGGGAGAGGAAGATTGCGATGAAAGAAAGTGGAGAAAGGGGAAAGGAGAGAGCGAAAATGGTAAGGATTTTGGGAATTTTGGAAGAGAAATGTTGGGAAGTGGCCGAGGTTTTGGATTTCTAGGCCACGTCTTTTTTTGTTGATGAAAAATGAGCTAAATTTTGAGATTTTTGGTGAAAAATGAGCCAAAAATCGAGAGATGGCCGAGGTTTTGGAGTTCTAGGCCACGTCTTTTTTTGTTGATGAAAAATGAGCCAAAATTTGAGATTTTTGGTGAAAAATGATCCAAAAATCGAGAGGTGGCCGAGGTTTTGGGTTTCTAGGCCACGTGTTTTTTTCTGGATAAAAAATGATCCAAAGTTTGAGATTTTTGGTAAAAATGAGCCAAAAATCGAGAGATTGCCGAGGTTTTGGATTTCAAGGCCACGAGATTTTTGGTCTTAGGTCAATTGTTTCATTTTTTGAATTTGCCACGTGAATTTTCGGCCTTTTTTAATTCAGATTTTGGTCTGGAGTTTCAAATTTTCCCGCCAGAAATTACAGTTCAAGGTTTTGGAAGAAAAAATTAATATGTGGCCGAGGTTTTGGATTTCTAGGCCACGTCTTTTTTTTCTGGATGAAAAATGAGCCGAAAATTCGAATTTTCCAATATTTCTTCGAAAAAATGAGATTTCTCAAGAAATTTTGAATTTTGAACGAAAAAATTGAGCGGTGGCCGAGGTTTTGGATTTCTAGGCCACGTGTAGCTAATTTTTGAAAAAGTGTTTTTTTTCTTTCGAAAATCAAGGTTTGTGTGCCAAAAACATGATTGCCACGTGGAATTTGCTCCTAGAACCAACAAAAAAAATTCAAATTTTGAGCAGTGGCCGAGGTTTTGGATTTCTAGGCCACAAAATTTCGATTTGCAATTTTCCACGTGGATTTCCCGCTCTACAAATTTTTCTGAATGACAAAAAATCTAAAAATTTTAAATTGTCAAATGTTTGAAACAGTGATTTTTTTTGACGAAAATGTTTCAAAAATTTTGAAATTTCTGAAAATGTTCAAAAACTTTTATGAAAAAATATCCAAATGAGCTACAGATTGAAAATTTGAGTTCTCCTCGTTTCCCGCCAAAAAATCCACGTGGCGCGAATAATGAAAATTCAAAATTTTGAACGTTTTCAAAGAATGTTTGTTTTCCCGCCAAAAACTACAGTCAAAATCCACGTGGAAAATATTTTTTTGAATTTTTCTTCAAAAATTTTAAATTTCCACGTGGATTTACAGCCTATTTTTCTCCAATTTTCGCTCTAAAAATCACATTTTCCACGTGTCTTCTTCCAGATCGAAGATCAACGAACTCGAATCACCGAACTCGAAACACAACTCGCCAAATATCGTCACGAACAACGAAGTCGCGACGAGAAATTGCGAAAAAAAGACGAGGAAATGGAAAAAATGACGAAAGAACTGGAAAGATCCAAAAAAAATTGTCAAACAATGGAAAAACGACTGCGACAAATGCGAAACGAGAAGGAGAAGAAGGAAAAAGAGGAGGAGATGTTTGTGAAGGCGGAAATGCGGAGGAATTGCCCGAGAAGGCGAAATAATATTCAGGAGGAGAAGCAGCAGGAGATTGTGAAGAATCAGGGAAAAGTGAGAAGTGTTAGCTGGGCTGATTCCGAAGAATATTATGATGAAGATACCCGCGAAGATTCGGCTGATTGTGTATTTCAGATTCCGCAGGAGATGGTTATGGTGAGTTGGGATTCTAGGCCATCCTTATTTACAATCTAAGAGAGGCTAGAGACGCAGAGAGACATATACTCGCTCCGCTCGAGCCGCTTCGCGGAAGCTTGCGGCAGACAGCTAGAGAGCGTAGGATTGTTAGAGACGCAGAGGGACATACACTCAAGCCGCTTCGCGGAAGCTTGCGGCAGACAGCTAGAGAGCATAGGATTGTTAGAGACGTAGAGGGATATGCACTATATATGGGGATTGCTCATGTTAAACCTAGCCTTATTTATACTCAAATTGAGCCTACAGTAATCCAAAATCTATGTGGATTGCTCATGTTAAACCTAGCCTTGTTTAGATTCAAAAAAAACGTGTCTAAGGTTCTTAGGGACCTTAAGGGGCTTAAAAAGGTTAAGACTAAGCTTCTAGCCTTCCTGGAGCTCTTTAAGAACATAAAGGAATGATCCTAAATACAGTAATTTAAAGGAACATACGGATTGTTCATGTGAAACTATAGTAAACCTAGGTTTTCTGGACTGCAGTAATCCAAAAACCATGTGGATTGCTCATGTTAAGCCTAGCCTTATTTATATTCAAAAAATATGTGGATTGCTCATTTAAACCTAGCTTTTTTAAAATCCAAATTGAGCCTACAGTAATTTAAAGGAACATAAGGATTGCTCAGGTTAAACCTAGCCTTATTTGTATTCGAAAAATATGTGAATTGCTCATGTTAAACTATAGTAAACCTAGGCTTTTTTTGGACTACAGTAATTTAAAGGAATATGTGGATTGCTCATGTTAAACTATATTAAACCTAGGCTAATTCAAAATTCAGGGATTTTTTTTTGAAAATCACATTCTTAACCTAAAATCCTAGCCTAAAATTGAATTTTCTTCCAGAAACCCGCCGAAAAAGGTATGGACGAATGGGGACCATTTCAAATCTATCGAAACACGCTCGGCGATTTCACAAAATCCACCAGAACCGCTGAAAATGGCCAACTTTTTCAATACAAAAATGGCGATCTCCGATGGATCAATCAATCGGAATCGATAGTTCTATACATTTCTGGAATCGATGGAACTTGTCAGGTGGAATTGTTGAATTGCTCGACGCTTTTGAGATTTTTTGTCAATCGACAATTCGAGATTTTCCGACCGAATAATATGATTAGTATGGTGAATTATCATAGGAATGATATTCGGACCGAAGTTATGTGCTTGGAAAATGACTATTTTTATACGGAATTGTAAGGTTTTTCTGGGATTTTTTGGGTTAAAAATTAAAGGCGCATGCTGGAGTACTGTAGAAAAAGAACCTGCACATCTAACTCCTGAAGAAATTTCACAGAAAACCGAGTTAGATACGCAGGTGGTACGGTAGTTTGTCTAACTTCTTCTCGAGTTAGATACGCAGGTTTTTTTTCTACAGTACTCCCTCCAGCTTGCGCCTTTAATTTTTGGACAGAAAATTATTTTTTTTTTGTTATTAAACTAAAATTCCCATTTCCAGATTCGACAAAAATGGAAAAGTGACAACGAAAGATTTGATTCAACCGGATTTGGTGAAAAAGTTGGTTTTTTTTTTTGAAAAATTTTAATTTTGAACAAAAAATTCAAATTTCCCGCGAATTTTAACCCCGGAACATGAAAAAATTCAAATTTTAACTCTAGAATTCGCAAATGCGCTCCATTGAGAATTTGGCGGGATTCGTTTGAAATTCAAATTTTTAGATGACTCAATTGAGCAGAAATTTGGATTTTTGACCAAGTTTTGAAGAAATTTATCAATGGAGCGCACTTGCACCACAAAATTCCAAGAAACTATGAAAAATAGGTCATTTTACACCGAAAACTATCAAAAATTCGAATTTTTTGAATTTTTACCAATTTTTCATGTTTTTTTACGCAGGTGGTACGGTAGTTTCCCTAAAAACACAAACTACCGTACCACCTGCGTATCTAACTCGGTTTAAAGTTCAAAATTCAAATTTTTCCAGATACGAGCCCGGAAAAAACTACAGTATCCGCGACTCGGCCTACGTCAGTTGCCAAGATTTCGATGATTTCGAATTTGTCGAGCCCGAATTTCGACTTCGCTATTATAAAGGAGCAATGATTGCGTGCAAACTTTTTGCACCGAAAATTTCGAAAAATGACAAAACTTTGAAGGTTTGTGGGAATTTTTCAGCGCTAAAATCTGAAAATTTGAAAAAATTTCAGCTCGACATAAATCCCGAATCTGGCGAAGGGAAATTAGAATCAGTTCAACAATATTCATCGATTAGTGGAATTTCGCAAAAGAAGACTATTTTCACATGGCCCGGGCCTGGGCCTAAAAAGATTTAGGCTTTTTTAAGGCCTAGTTAAGGCCTAATGATTTCTGTGTACTATATATTTACTTGCCTTAACTCTCTGTTTTTCGTGTATTTTCTTTCAGTAAATTTATTTTTTCATTTTTTTCGACGCAAAAAATTGAAAACTTTTCGAATTTTTTTCGATTTGCTCTTTGGCTCTGATTTTGAAATTGAAGCTGATTTTGACTTCGATTCTTCAGTTTCAGTCGATTTCGAGGCACTTTTCTTAAATTTCGCCCGATTTTTCTCGTCATTTTTCGCCGCTTTTTTCCTCAAATTCTGTCTTCTAGTTGGTTTCACATATTTCTTGGGAGGTGTTTTTTTACGACGATTTTTTGCAAGTTGATTCGGAACCTTGATAAAGATCTCAGATGATCGAGGTGGAAAACTTCCGAAATATGAACCGGTGAAGATTGGGATGCCTGGAAGAAGATCGGAGAATTTGTGAGGGAAATCCACGTGTCAAAGTACCTTTGAGCAGAAAAATGTAGCTGAAAGAGGAATCGATGCGAGCCGAGTATGGTTGATGTTTTTCGTATCGAAGTGGGATTCGACCATGTTCCAATTTTTTCTGAAAAAAATTTTGGAAATATTGCTCATGTTAAAGGCCTTCTGCTTTTTGAAAATTTGATTGGTGGGAAAGATACAAATTCAAATTTAAATTTTTTTTCATAAAAATTAGAATTTTTTATGAAATTTTGAATTTTTTCGAGAAATTTGAATTATTCTGTTTCCCGCCAAAAATTCACGTGAATAATTTTGGCGCTAAAATTTAAAATTTGAATTTTTTTTTGAGATTCAAAAAAAATGGGATCTTTCCAGTATAACCTTCATTATATAAAAAAAAAAAAAAAATTCAAATAAAAATTTGAATTTTTCTGTTTCCCGCCAAAAATCCATCAGCGCGAAAATTCAAAATTCAAATTTTTCATTAAAATTAAAAATTTTCATGAAATTTTGAATTTTTGTCATGAAAATTTGAATTTTTTCGAGAAAATTTGAAAATTTGAATTTTTCTGTTTCCCACCAAAAAACCATCAGCGCGAAAATATTAAATTCAAATTTTTCATGAAAATTTTAATTTTTCTGTTTCCCTCCAAAAAAACCATCAGCGCGAAAATTCAAAATTCAAATTTTTTTTTAATGAAAATTTGAATTCTTCTGTTTCCCGCCAAATATCCACGTGGCTCAATTTGGCGGGAAAATTCAAATTCAAATTTTCTTCATAAAAAAATTCAAATTTTTTCATGAAAATTCAAAAATTTACATTTCCCGCCAAAAATCCATCAGCGCGAAAATTCAAAATTCAAAATTTCTCACCTGTTTTCTCCAGTCTCCCTCAATTTTCGCACAAATCCCCTCTCATTCACACAAACACTGGTCCAATGATGCAATGATGCAATTGGCGGAAGTTTTTGCGATTGTCCCAAATCCGGTTGAACTCCTTGACGAAGAAGATTCTTCCACAAATCATGATTCGAAGTGACACAAAATTCGGGCAACAAAATAGTTCCCCTAATTCTCTCCGAATTCTCCAATTTTGTCATGATTTTTGCGATTGTTTCGGGTTTTATTGTTCGATTTGAATAGGGCAAATTTCCAATGAAATGCGGGCGAAAAATCAGCAAAGATCCCGGATTTTTCAAAGTTCCAGCTTCAAAATCAATCTCAAAAACATCGAAATGTTCATCAGAAATTCGGCGGAATTTTGTGGACAATTCGAAAAATGGTTCCATTATCATTCGATGATAAGTTGAGGCAAATCTTTGGCGGCCAATTGATTTTGTCTGGAAAAATTCAGAAAATTTCAATTGTCAACGCGGAGTCTCGTTGTTTTTTGTTGGAAAATTCAGGTGAAACGCTGAAAAAACAGAAAATTCGAGAAAAAGAGAAAGTTCGCTCTATTGAGAAGAAGCGTAATCGCGGAGTCTCGTTGTTTTTTTTTTTGCTGGAAAATGGCATTTTTCAGGTGAAAAGCTGAAAAAATGAAGAAAACGAGAAAGTGCGCTCTATTGAGAAGCAATGGGGGCTGTGCGTAATCGCGGAGCCTCGTTGTTTTCTTTTTATTTTTTGAATTTTTTCTTTTTTTTTGTGTTTTTTCATGAAAACAACGAGACTCCGCGATTACGCATGCTTCTCAATAGAGCGCACTTTCTTCATTTTTCAGCGTTTCTCCATGAAAATTGCCAAACTTTCTGATTTTTTCCAGGAAAAACCAACTTTTCCACTCCATTTCGCCACCAATCCACACGATCCATATCCATTCGTCGTCAGCAGTGCGGGTCTCGACAATTCCAGTGCTCCGGGAGCTCCAAAACTCAAACCCGCCAAATATTTGATGGCTCGCGATGGTCGAATTGAGGCGAACACCTTTTGATTCGTCAACTTTTTGCATTGTGCCATCAATTCTTTGCTGACTGTCGTCGTTTTTTCTTCGTCCACCAAAAATCGCACAAAACAATAAAAGTTGTTTGTAGAAGTGGAGCATTTTTGGAGCATTTCACAAATTTCAGCGAGTTCTGAATACAATTTAAATATATATTGATTTTTTGCCGACCGCGACGCATAGCGGCTGTGCGTCGCGGTCGGCAAACAAAGCAATAATTCACTTTGTTTCCTGACCGCGACGCATAGCCGCACGCGACTGACGAAACAACATTTTTGTTGGTTTTCTGTTCAGAAATCGAGTTAGATGTGCAGGTTCTACCGTACTTCAACTGGTTTGTTCTGTTTTTGGACACAATTTGAAAAAAAGTGCAGTTTTTAATGAAAAACTTCAGCCGCGTGCGGCTGTGCGTCGCGGTCGGGAAGCAAGCAATAATTTACTTTGTTTCCTGACCGCGACGCAGAGCCGCACGCGACTGACGAAGTGGAGTGTTTTTCATCCATGCACTTCGTCAGTCGCGTGCGGCTATGCGTCGCGGTCGGCAAACAAGCAAATATTCACTTTGTTTCCCGACCGCGACGCATAGCCGCACGCGTCTGACGAAGTTCAAATTCGACATATTATTGTCCAAAAACAGAAAAAAATCTTCTAAAGTACGGTAGAACCTGCACATCTAACTCGATTTATGACGAAGAAAACCAACAAAAATGTTGCACGCAGGTTATACGGTTGTTTGCTCACTTCGTCAGTCGCGTGCGGCTGTGCGTCGCGGTTGGGAAACAAAGAAAAAATATTGATTATTTCCCGACCGCGACGCACAGCCGCACGCGTCTGACGAAGTCAAGTTTTTCATTCATTCACTTCGTCAGTCGCGTGCGGCTGTGCGTCGCGGTCGGGGAACAAGCAAATATTCACTTTGTTTGCCGACCGCGACGCAGAGCCGCACGCGACTGACTAAATGAAGCAAAGAAATCGAGTTAGATGTGCAGGTTCCATACCGTACTCAAAAAATTGCTCACCCGCCAAATCCTGCTCGCTCAGCTCAAACAATCTGTCCATAAACTTGGCTCCCACCGCCTCCGACGCAAATTTCACGCAAATAAACATGAGCAATGATGGAATTGTGCAGTAGGTCATGTTGAATTGTGGGTTTTTGGCGAAAATCGGGCAGGTTGCGTTGAGACACGTGGCAGTCCAACGCATGACGCAATCTTCGGCCAGAAGAACATCGGTGGGTTCGGAAGAAGAAGTGGTGGTGGTGGAGGAGGCGCCGGTGACGATTTTCGCGATTTTCTGCGGGAAAAAAATCAATATGTGACCGTGGCCGTGGCCGAGAAATGTCGGGACTTCGGCCAGCGCATGAAAATCGTTTCGAAAATAATGCAGTGTGTTGGCCGAATCCCCGACATTTCTCGGCCACGGCCACTGGATTTTCAGCAAAAATCGATAATTTGAATGTGTTCTAGTTCTCTTCAAGACCCGCAAACAAGTACGGTAGCAGTGTTTTCAGCTGTGTTCACGTCGTGCCACCACACAAATCCGAGGAGACGCAGAGAAAAAAAGACACAGTACTCCTCCCCGGTCCCCCAGGTGCATCGCTGCGAGACCAATTGCCGAAACCGTACTCGCCCCGGTTCCTCAGGTGAATCGCTGCGAGACCAAGCTTCAAACCGTACTCTCCCCGGTCCCCCAGGTGCATCGCTGCGAGACCACACAAAATCTCTGCGTCTCCACGAAATTATCTTTTCCCTTTGTTCTGGCACGACGTGTGTTTACCTTAAATGGATTCCATTTCGATTTCGATGTCGAATTCGGCGATTTTTTACGACGTTGTCGCACAAATTTCGAAAGACTACGATTTTCTTCACTTTCTTTTTTCTGAAAAAAAAAGAATTTACCGTAGTTACTTTAAAGGAACATTGCCAAATTACCTTCTGATAATGTTTTGCTATTCATTTGTTCTTCACCAAAAAATTAAAAATGCCCCGAAAATTGTTGGATTTTTGGAGAATAGGCTCACGTCACGTTTTTTTTTTATTTTTTTGAATTTTATTTTATTTTCTGATTGATACTGTAGCTCGCATTTTGTGTACACACCGACAACACTGAACATGACGACAAATGTGTTTTTCAGCGCACGCAAGCTGATTTCAGGCTAGAAACGTAGAAAATGAAAACAAAAAAATGTGCGCCTTTAATAAACCGTAGTCTTTTATTTTTTGCAATTTTTTTTTCAAAATTTGCCACGTTTTCTGACAACAGAATTGTGAAATCTTCATTCAAATACAAAAAAAAATGATTAAATTCACTATCAGTTCTCTTTCGATAAGTTGCAAGAAAATTACTATGAAAATATGGTACACGGGTTGTTATTCACAGGCAATTTCGATCTGTAATCAAGAATATGTGTATTGTGAGCCCCGAAAAGAGCCCAGCAAAAAATTTACCATCATTGAGTTATGATAAGTCCAACATGTTTCCAAGTGTTAGAAAACGAATACTGATTCTCTGATTTTTGAGCTCTGCTCTGCGATTTTTTTCCGAAAAAAATAGGCCACGTTGCCACGTGAAGAAAAAAACCCACAAAAAAAATCAATAAATTTATTAGCACCTCGTTTTCTTCTACCCATTTTTCTCAATCAAAAAATGATCACAACACAAAATTAGATAGCAGCTTCAAACTCGAAATGTGAAGTGAGTGAGCAAAATTGCAAATGTGCCAAACTCATTGTTTCGTCCTCAGCCATTATGCATTTGTTGACGGATTTATTGTAGAGTTTTCCGGTTTTCTGAAGGGAAAAAATTGAATATTTGAAGCTCCGCTCATTTTTTTTGGTCCGCAAACATCGAATTCTACGAGCAATTTTGTGAGAAAAAACAACGATACTCCGCTTGTTCAAACTGGCAAGCGAAGTGTCGTTGTTTTTTGGCGGGTTTTTGGTGAGAATTCATAATTTTCAGGGTTTTTGGTTGAATTTTCAGGGTTTTTGATTCCACAAGTAGCTCATTAGAAAATGAAACTAGACTCTAGTTATGTGGCCGTGGTCGAGAAATGTCGGAAACTCGGCCAGCTCCCCAAAAATCGCTGATTTTCGAAACATTTGAGAGAATTTCATGCGCTGGCCGAATTCCCGACATTTCTCGGCCACCAAAATAGTTCGGCCACATAAATTTCAATAAATTACATCTGTGGCCGTGGCCGAGAAATGTCGGAAACTCGGCCAGCGCAACAAAATCTCTCTAAAGTTTCGAGAATCATTATCTATAGAGCGAATTTCATGCGCTGGCCGAATTCCCGACATTTCTCGGCCACGGCCACTGAATTTTTCGCTCACCGAAGCTTTCCACAATTGATGTGCTCCCTGATTATGACACGACAACAATCCAACTCCGCGCAGCGAATCCAAACAAAGTCGCGACGAGCCCATCGGCCTCAGTTCGCCTTTTTGTGTGAATTTCCATTGTTGTTCGCGGCTGGATTGATGACATTTTCGAAGTTCGACACGATTTCCGATTGAGATTCGACCTTGATTTGATTCAGCTGACAGACAGTGGGAGGAATTTGCTAGGCGGATCTGAAAAATTAATTTTTATTGAGAAAAAATTCCAAAAACATTGCTCAGATTAGAATTTCTTTGAAAAATCGACATTTTTACTAGATGATTTGCTCATATTAAGAATTTTTCAGAAACTTTCAAAATTTGGCTGAAATTTAGGATTACTCATATTAACTTCAAAAAAACATTACTCAGATTAGGATTTTTTTCTGAAAATTTTGGCTGAAATTCCTACGGCTACAGTAATCCTTGCAAATCGAAAAACCCTCAGGCTACAGTAATCTTTGCAGTCTGGGGTTTTCAACTACAGTAACCATTGCTCATGTTAAGATCAAATTTAGCATTGCTCATGTTAAGCCAAAATTTAGCATTGCTCATTTAAGGCTGAAATTTAGCATTGCTCATATTAAGCTGAAAATTTAGCATTGCTCATATTAAGCTGAAATTTAGCATTGCTCATATTAATTTGAACATTTTCTGAATTATTGATTTTTTTCCCAAACAAAAAACATTGCTCATATTAGTCACTCACCAAATATTTTTTGCCCGCTGTCATTTTGCTCTCATCCAAATCTTCGGGCGTATTATCAGGCAACAATTGTGGATAAATACTCTCCAAATACCATTTGAACGGTTTGCATTTCAGATCTTTTCTGAGCCGAATTCTCGCCGAAACATCGCCGAAATCCGTAAAATGTCGATAACTCGGTCGAGCCTCGTAGAAATTCTCGATATATTCATCGAGCCAAACTTTGGCGACTCGAATCGAATTTTTGCCCATCGAATCGGTTTTGAGACCGTAGGGACGTTGCGCGCGGAAAATGTGACCGACTCGGGAGCAAGGAAGGATCAGGAGTTCACCGCCACATGTCCAAATCTGAAATTTTTGAAAAAATTGAATAAAAATGTGGCCGTGGCCGAGAAATATCGGGAACTCGGCCATGCATCCTAAAAATAATGATTTTCGAAACTTTAAAGCGATTTTGTTGCGTTGGCCGAGTTTCCGACATTTCTTGGCCACGGCCGAACTATTTTGGTGGCCGTGAAATGTCGTAAACTCGGCCAGCGTATGAAATTCGCTCTAATCTTTCGAAAATCATTTTTTTTGAAGTTTAAATTGTGTTTTCCCCCCAAAAAAAACCAACTCTAAACGAGATTTCCACATTTTCAGCTCCCCAAACATCCATTCCTTCATCATAGGATCCGACTTCGAAAAAGTAATCGCGATCGATGGCAAAAAGTCCACCAGCCATTGTGGGAGATCTGCAAAAAAATTAAATTTGAACTTCGCGCGTGAAAATCCACGTGGCTTTTGAAAAACTCAAAAAATTTCGGATCTCCGGGTTTGAAATTCCACGGAAATTTGGGTTACTGTGGCCCGAGGATTTCCCAGACTGCGAGGATTACTGTAGCTCAAAAATGTAAGACTGCAGCAAGGTATACTGACCAGAGGCTTGTTAGGATTACGGTAGCTCCCAGACTGCAAGGGGGGAAATTTTTAGAGTTTCTCAAAAGTTCGAGAAAAAATTGACCTTAACTTTATCCTAAGCTAACCTTAAGCTTAACCATAATTTTAATATAAGTACATTTAGTACATTAAACTTAACCTTAAGCACATTAAGCCTAAGCTTAAGCACATTAAGGTTAAGCCTAAGCCCAAGCACATTAAGGTTAAGCCTAAGCACATTAAGGTTAAGGTTAAGCCTAAGCACATGAGGGTTGAGCCTAAGCACATTAGGGTTGAGCCTAAGCCTAAGCACATTAGGGTTAAGCCTAAGCCTAAGAACATTAAGGTTAAGCCTAAGCCTAAGAACATTAAGGTTAAGAATAAGCACACACTATGTATGTGTGTGCGCTTGGGCTTAGGCTTAACCTTAATGTGCTTAGGCTTAGGTTTAACTTTAATGTGCTTAGGCTTATGCTTAACCTTAATGTGCTTAGGCTTAGGCTTAACCTTAATGTGCTTAGGGTTAATGTTAAGGCCCAAAACCAACCTCAAAGGTTTCACATAATTCTCCGCATCCTCAAAATACGCTCTCGATGGATAATCCCATTTAAAAGTCATTGCCCAATTCACGCCTCCTGTACAAACAGGCGAACCAATATACCGCATCGAATGCGCATCAATAATATCAATAATCGGGCAAACCACACGTGTTCTTTGCTCTTTAATTTGCTCCAACATCGGTGGCAACCAACCCTCATTCACCTCACAATGACTGTCCAAAAACACCAGGACGGGACCGCGCGCCTTTTTGGCGCCAAAGATTTTCGCGCGAATCAGCCCCTCGTTTTGAGAGGTGCGCAGGAATTTGACGAGCCGCCATTTTTCGGGATGCAGTTTTTGGTAGATTTTTGCCTGATTTGTTGCGTCGGGCCATTCGCTTGAATCATCGACGAGTAGAATTTCAGAGATTTCAGCGATGTTTGTTCGATCGAAGATTGAATTTACCATTCGAATCAGGACCTGGAAGGAAATTCGGGTTTTTTTTTGAAATTTTAGATTTTTTTTTAGATTTCAGTATTTTTCTAGAAAAATTTGAATTTTGAAATTTTTCGCGCTAAAAATGGATTTATTTTTTTAATGAGGTTTTCAACTACAGTAATCCTTGTAGTTTGTGGAATCCCTAAGACTACAGTAACCCTTGCAGCTCGGAAAACATTCAGGATACAGTAATTCTTGCAGTCTGAACTTTTCAACTACAGTAACCATTGCAGCTCGAAAATTGGAAGGAAATTCGGGTTTTTTTTGAAATTTTAAGAATTTTTTTAGATTTCAGTATTTTTCTAGAAAAATTTGAATTTTGAAATTTTTCGCGCTAAAAATGGATTTATTTTTTTAATGAGGTTTTCAACTACAGTAATCCTTGTAGTTTGTGGAATCCCTAAGACTACAGTAACCCTTGCAGCTCGGAAAACATTCAGGATACAGTAATTCTTGCAGTCTGAACTTTTCAACTACAGTAACCATTGCAGCTCGAAAATTGGAAGGAAATTCGGGTTTTTTTTTGAAATTTTAAGAATTTTTTTTAGATTTCAGTATTTTTCTAGAAAAATTTGAATTTTGAAATTTTTCGCGCTAAAAATGGATTTATTTTTTTCATGGGGTTTTCAACTACAGTAATCCTTGCAGTTCGAAGAACCCCTTAGGCTACAGTAATCCTTGAATTGAAAGTTTTTCTAGAAGAATTTAGTTTCAAAAATTTTTTGTTCCAAATATTTGGATTTCGAATGATTTTCAAACTACAGTAGTCTTTGTAGTCCGGGATCTACAGTACTCTTCGAAATATTTGCCACGTGGCATTTTTTTTGAAGTTTTTTCTAGAATCTAAATAACTACAGTATACTTTGCAGTCTGATTACAGTAATCCTTGTGGTCTCTGGGAACTACAGTACCCTCTGGTTACAGTATACCTTGCTACAGTCTTACATTACAGTAATCCTTGTAGTCTGAGCTTTTCAACTACAGTAACCCTTGCAGTCTGAGGATTCCAACTACAGTAATCCTTGCAGTCTGATGTTTTCAACTACAGTAATCCTCGCAGTTCGGGAAAATCTCATTTTACAAAATTCTAGCGCGCATTTTAAAATGACAATTTTTCTGCTTAAAGAAAAAGCAGCGCGTGGTCGAGTGGTTAGCGTGCGTGCCTTTGAATCGAGAGACCAGGGTTCGATCCCCACCCGGCGCCTAACTTTTTTTCTTTTTTTCCCTCCAAAAACTAACCGAAGGCGATTCATTAAAATAACAAACAATAATCGAAGCGGCTGGCAAATCCTTCGAATATTCCTTCGCCAAACATTTCGAATGTCTCGAATCCGGAATTTTCCGACGACTTCCGATTTTATCGCTGAGCAATCCATTGAATTGATATTTTTTGTAGCCAGCCTCTTTCAATTTCTCTTCGGCTTTTCCATTGATTTTTGCGAGTTCGTCTAAATCCACCTCGATTTCTTTTGATGGATCCGCAGAAAATGAGAGTTCCAGGCTTGAATTCTGTAAAAAATTTGGATATTATCCTTTTTCCAACGACACTCCGCGTTTACACCTTGAAAATTAGTGATTTTCGGGTGAAAAAGTGAATTTTTCCTGATTTTTATAAAAATCTTTCGAATTTTATAATTGTGAACATAAATTTAAAAAAAATGTTCAAATTTCAAAATTTCAGGAAAAATGCCACGTGGCAAATTTTTAGCACGAAAAAAAATTCAAATTTCGAAAAATAAATGCCACGTGGCAAATTTTTTCGCGAAAAATTTCAAAATTCCATTTTTCGGCACCGAAAATCTAAAATTTCAGGAAAAAAATCCACGTGGCAAATTTTCAGAGCAAAAATTTTTCAAAATTCAATTTTTTTCGCGCGAAAATGTTAAAATCAAAAAAAAAATGCAATTTTCAAATTTTCAGAGCAAAAAATTCTCGAATTTCATATTTCTGAAGTCAAAAAAATTCAAATTTCTATTTTTTAGCGCGAAAATTTCCAACTGTATCAAAAAAGTTTTTCCCCCCAAAAAATCGATAAATCATATATAAAAACTGACCTCCACAACATCCCTTTCGCCTTCATTTTTGATCTCATTTTCGATTGGCCACATCGAAATCCACACATAAATCGACAGAATCATCGAAAATCCGAAAATCGCCGCACAACTTCGACGTCGCAACAACATTTTTGAATTGCCACGTGGATTTTTAGGCGCCAAAATTAATTAGAAAATAAAAAAAAGTTAGTGAAAAAGGGGGTCAGCCAAGTGTCCTTTCTTCTTCTTTTTTTCTCCTTCCCAAGCGAGAGAGTGAGAGATTGAGAGACGCAGAGAAAACGGGAAATGTTTGTTTGTTTAATTGTGTGACCGGGAAGTTATTATAACTCTCTAAAAAGCATCATTGAAAATGTGGGAAAAAACAAAATTTAAACAAAAAAAAAGAGGGGGGACTAGGTTTTTCGCTATTGGAATTCTAGTCCACGGCTTTTTTTTGCGCGGAAAATTCTTGAAATTCAAATTTTTTTGATCAAAAACATTCTTGAATTTCAAATTTTTCAGATAAAAAAGTCTTCTTACGAGGGACTTATTTTGGAATTCTAGTCCGCGGACTAAAAAAATCTACATTTTCAGCATCAAAACATTTCATTCTCAAACAAATCTCAATCTCAATGACATCGCCTTCGACAAACTTTCATCGGCCATCAGAATCTCTTCGCCTTCTCTCACCAAATCCTTCAATTTTCGCTCCAGATTCGCTTTGCTCGATTCTTCCAACTGGGGTAGAAATGCGGAAATATAGTACAATTTATTGGTGGCCGTTTCGAGACTCGGATTTCGTAGATGGCTGAAAATATGGTTGAAAATTGGGAATCTAGAATTTAAATCTTCAAATTTAAATAAAAAATGCCACGTGGCAATTTTCGGAGCAAAAAATATTCAAAAATCGTTTTTCTTCGGCTTCAAATTTCCACGTGGCATTTTTTTTTTTTGAAATTTGAATTTTTTTTCAAATATTTACGTGGCATTTTTTTCAGGATTTGATTTTTTTGGAGCCAAAAAAATTAATTTTGAAAAAAAATGCCACGTGGCAATTCAGCAGCTCAAATTTTCAAAATACTAATTTTTTCAAATTTCAATAAAAATCTTTGAAGACTAAATTTTCGAAATTCGAATTTCCAATTCAAAAAAAAACGCCACGTGGCAATTTAGCAGCTCTAATTTTCAAAATTCCAAATTTTTGGGCAGTTTTTTTTTCTAATTTCAATAAAAATCTTTGAAGCTTAAATTTTCGAAATGCAATTTTTCGGCTCCGAAAAATCCACGTGGAAATTAGAGAGCAAAAAAATTAAATTTTTTCAATTTTTCAAATTAAAAATAAATGCCACGTGGCAATTTAGGAGCCCTAATTTTCGAATTTTCAATTTTTTTCAAATTTCAATAAAAATCTTTGAAGCACAAATTTTCGAAATTCCATTTTTTTTGACTTCGAAAAAATGCCACGTGGCAATTTAGCAGCTCTAATTCTCAAAATTTCAATTTTTTCAAATTTCAATAAAAATCTTTAGGGCCTAAATTTTCATTTCAAAAAATGCCACGTGGCAGCTCTAATTTTCACAATTTTTTTGAAAAAAAACCCACAATTTCGCTGTCAACTTCTCAATGAGCTCAAAAAGCGAGCTCATCTCCGAGACATCAATCGTAAAACTTCCACCACTACAAGTCGCACAATTCTCATCTTTTTCCATCGAAACAACACTTGTGAATGCGCCATGCGTTTGGGTGAAATTCAGATAATTATTGATTGGTTGGCCGATGCTGCAAATATTTTTTTGGATAATTTTGCCAATTTTTCACAATAAAAAATCATTTTCCAAGAGATTTTCTTCCAATTCAAAAATTACTTCGAGATCAATTTCAGAGCTTCCAGCGCGCAAGAAGCTGCAATTACAGCATTTGTCGATGCGACCGCCGGAATAATACGTTTCAAAACTCCCGAAGTCAAACGACGAGTCACTCCACGAATATCTGCAAGAATTTCTAGGTATTATTTGGAGTTCCGCTAAATTCCTCACCATATTCTTTAGCCCGCGCAATCGCCTTCTCATAAACCCATTCCACATGTTTCGGATCATCCGCATCCAAATTCTCTTCAGATTTTTCTTTGGGCCAAACAACGACTTTAATATATTCGACGCAGTGTTCGGGAAGTCGAGGAGTGTGCGCGATTGTGCATAGTGGAAAATTGATTTGTGGCGGGAAAAGATCGAGGGTGCAATCGACGCAGGCTGACATACGTGGGTAGATTACACGAGCGTTTCCTGGAGAAGGGAACTTTTAGTGAAATATATATGTTTTCTAGGAGTTTTCGGCTATCTAAAATTGCAGAACTCAACTTCTAATATGATTTATCATTTGTAAGTGGCAAATTTCGAAAATTCGGGGCTCTAGGAGCTAAAAACTAATAAGGAAAGTGCATAGGTTCTGAAATTTTGATGAAAAACGTCGAAATATACCATATCGAACATGCTGATCACGAATCCGAAGTCAAAAACTGCCAAAAATGCCTGTGAGCACTTTTCTGGAGCTCCAAAGTTTCTGGTTTTCGCCAATTTTCATCATGTTCCTGGGTAAAAAATCAACTTTTATAACTTGGATAAGGTTTTCGAATGTGGTGAACAACCTTATCCAAGTCATAAAAATTGATTTTTTTACCGGGAAAATGGTGAAAATGGGCGAAACCCAGAAATTTTGGAGCTCCAGAAAAGTGCTCACAGGCATTTGTGGCAATTTTTGACTTCGGATTCGTGATCAGCATGGTCGATTTGGTATGTTTCGATGTGTTTTATCAAAATTTCAGAACTATGCACTTTTCTTGTTAGTTTTTAGCTCATAGAATCCTGAATTTTCGAAATTTGCCCATACATAAAATGGGTCCCCAGAATCGGGGTGATGGGCTTAACTTTTTTTTCTAACTTGGCCAATTTTCTGCTGATAATTTACCAAAATTCCCAGATTTTGTCCAAAATTCGCTCAAAAATGTGAGGAAGGTGTTTAACTTTGGAAAATTTTCAAGGAGGAACCCTAACTTTGAAAACAAAAAACGACTCGGGGGACCTATTTTATGTATGAATTTGCCACTTACAAATGATAACTCATATTAGAAGTTGAGTTCTGAATTTTTAGATAGCCGAAAACTACTAGAAAACATATATTTTATTAAAAATCTCGATTCCAAAAGTTCCCTGTACCTTTAAATCCCTCAGTTCCCCCATCAATCATCGGAATAACCGTCTGCAAATCAACAGTTTTTCCGTCGTCTTCGAATCTGGCCAAATCGCATAACATCGAATTGATCCATCGTCTGGCAGCAATCGAATCCAGGCCGCATATGACGAGATTGAATTTTCGATAGAATTCTGCGCATTTTTCCTCGATTCGACAATTGTGGCTGGAAATTTGAAGAAGAGATTATTTTATAATTTTTCCCCCCAAATCTAGATATCTTACGCAGTCACATTGCATCCCTCAACTCGTCCCCTCACAAAATTCGCCGCCACCTCCGCTTTCGATTTGCCCACATCACTTTCACGAAACAAAAATTGTCGATTCAAATTCGACACATCAATCGTGTCCATATCAATCACATCAATGTTTCGAAACCCGCTCAACGCGAGATTTTTCAACAATTCGCAACCCAAGCCTCCGGCACCAATCACTAGAATTTTGGCTGATTGCACAATGTTGAAATTCTCTTGTCCGGCTTCAAACCATTCTGGTGCGTAGGTGGAATGTCGATCTGTTAGTCTACGTACACTTCGCCATCTTTCACCGGCCAATGGATCGATTGAAACCATTTGAGATCTGGAAAAAACTCGGTTTTTGCACAAAATCGCTGCGAGACCCTTAAAAATGTGTTTCAATAGCTCGTCTGATTCATCTCGACGAGACGAATCCGATGGTATATTCAGAATTTACTGAAACTCCCTCTAAGCTGCTGAAAATGCGCTGAAACCGGTTCAACCCCCAAAAAATACAAATTTGTGTGCAAACACCGCGACGCACAAATGCACACATTTTCTCTGCATCTCTGCACCCTCCTGTCTCCCCATTATCTCTAAATATTCAATGAAACTTCAACGTTTTCTGGAAATTCTGCAATTTTCAGCCATACACAAACCTTTATTCAAAGAAGTACTATCACAAAGGTGTCAAAAACTACAATTACATTATTTCTAAAAAATATTCACAGCGCGCACAGTACATAAATTTCGGGAAATATCAATTTTTAGGGGACAAAAAATATTGGAATGTGTCATATTTTCAGCGAGTTCTGAAATTTTCAAATTTTGCGGGAAGGAAAAATTAGTTGAAGAGGACGGGCAAATCGTCTTCGTTTGAGAAAATGTTGCGTGGCGCGTCGGATGACGAATTTCCACTTGTGGTATTTGTATTTCCAGCTGCGGCGTCATCAATCTGAAAATTGTTAATATGAGCAATGCTCGATAGACTATCTTTATTATCAAAAATTTCATCGCGCTCCACCGAAATAAACACGCAACGCAGACCGCGTCGCGCCACAACACACACAAAAAAGAGAGGGAATTTGAATCTTTTTTCGAGCGAAGCGAGTGTAAACCGCGAGCTTCCGCGTCAGCGGCACTGTCTCCCGCTTTAGCGGCCACGTGGAGAAACTCCTACGGTTTCCAGGTCATAGTAATCCGCGTGGTCGCTAAAGCGGAAGACAGTGCCGCTGCGCGGAAGCTTGCGGTTTACACTCGCTTCGCTCGAACAAAAACACACGTTGCGTGTTTATTTCGGTGGAGCGCGTGAGAACGATGAGATTTTCGATAATAGCTGTTCAAAAAATCTAGAAAAAATCCCATACCGCTCTCTGCGCCGCCTCTTGTTCCTTCAACTTCTTCTTATTCGCCTGAATCTTCTTCATTCTGAAAAACTCTTCTCTTTCCATCTCATCCAATTCAGTGACAATATAGGTCAAAGTGTTCTCGATACGTGGAATAATGACGTGTTCGATGGCATTCACACGTCGATTTGTGACTTTGATCGCTTCATCCAAAGTGATGAAACATGTTTGAAGTGTGGCCAATTCGACCAACAGCTCGATGGCTTTGTTGTAGTTTTTCTTGAGACGCGCGATGTTGGCTCCACCTTTTCCGAGACCGGTTAGATCGTAAGCGTCTGGACCATCGGTATAAGCATCGAAGACTGGCAAGAATACTCCTGAAACATTTTGGTTTTAGGATGAAAAATGGGAGTTTTCCAGCTAAAAATCTATAATTTCACACAGAATTCGTTAATTTTTGCTTGTCAAGATGAAAGTTATAGTAATTCGATCATTCTGAAAACGATTCTGAAGTCAAAAATTGTCATAACTCCCTGTGAGCTCTCTTGAAGTGCTCTCAAGAGACTGTGCCAATTTTTGACTTTAGAATCGTTTTCAGAATGATCGAATTACTATAACTTTCATCTTCACAACCAAAAAAAACTTCTTGTAAAGCAAAATTAACAAATTCCGTGTGAAATTATCGATTTTTCGCTCAAAAATTCAGCATTTTCAGCTCAAAAATTCAGCATTCTCAAAAATTCAGCATTTTCAGCGAAAAACCAATAATTTCACATGGAATTCGTTAATTTTGGCTCACAAAAAGTTGTTTTTGCTTGTGAAGATGAGAGTTATAGTAATTCGAGCATTCTGAAAACGATTCTGAAGTCAAAAACTCTTGAGAGCCCTTCCATAAAGTTCAGAGCTCCGTGGAGATGCTCTCAAGAGTTTTTGACTTCAGGGTCGTTTTCAGAATGAATTACTATAACTTTCATCTTCACAAGCAAAAAAACATCTTGTAATCCAAAATTAACAAATTCCGTGTGAAATTATTGATTTTTCGCTCAAAAATTAAGCATTTTCAGCTAAAAATCAATAATTTCACATAGAATTCGTTAATTTTGGCTTACAAGAAGTTGTTTTTGCTTGTGAAGATAAGAGCTATACTAATTCGAGCATTCTGAAAACGATTCCAAAGTCAAACTCTTGAGAGCCCTTCCACAAAGCTTAGAGCTCTTTGGAGGTGCTCTCAAGAGTTTTAGACTTCAGGATCGTTTTCAGAATGCTCGAATTACTATAACTTTCATCTTCACAAGCAAAAAAACTTCTTGTGAGCCAAAATTAACAAATTCTGTGTGAAATTTTTGATTTTTCGCCAAAATTCAGAAAAAATGCCTTACCGACAACATTTTCCTTCTTCATTCTCACACGATATTGAGCTTGCGACACATTTTGAATGACAGTGTGCGAAAAATCGCCAGCGTGGAATTTGGCTTCGGCCAACGAGAACGCCGCATTCTTCATCACTTCACCCATCAAAACTTTGTTCTGCAAACCAAAAACTTCATTATTTCTTCATAGAACAGCAGAAAATCCCCCCGTACCTCAACGATTTTCTTCAAAATATCACGGAATCGCATGTTCAACGCGTCGGCCTTCTTTTTGAGCAACGAATGTCCTTTTTGCGCTCCCTTCAGACGGGTTTTCATCAAGGTTTGCGCCATACGCGACGGGAAAACCGCAATACGATCTTTTCCACCACCGGACATGGTTCAAATCTGAAAAAAAACACGAAATTTCACTCGAAAAATTGGAAAAAGGATAGAGAAGAGAGAAAGACCAATGACTGGCAATTGATCACAAATTTTTGCGGTGGAGCGCGTTTGCTCGATTGAAAGGAGAAAATATTTTTTGGGGGAAAGAAGAAGGGGGAAAGGCTGTGAATGCTTTGCTTTAAAGGGGGTACGGGCTAATCAAAATTTTATGGAAAAAAATATACCATCTGAAAGAGGAGGTTCCGTTTAGTATGTTCCAAAATTTTCATAATTATTTTTCACGTTTGAATACTATTTTTTCACGCGCAAACACGAAAAAGTTGCGCTCGACCTCAGAGAAATAGCACACAAGAAAGAGAGACACAGCGCATAGAAGGGGCGGAGCCTAAATACGCTGTGTCTCTCGTGTCTGCATGCTATTTCTCTGAGGTCGAGCGCAACTTTTTCGTGTTTGCGCGTGAAAAAATAGTATTCAAACGTGAAAAATAATTATGAAAATTTGGGAACATACTAAACGAAACCTCCTCTTTCAGATGGTATATTTTTTTTTCCATAAAATTTCGATTAGCCCGTACCCCCTTTAAAAAGCATTGAATGGAATTTGAAAAATTTGAAAATGATAACAGGAGGAAAATCCGCAAAAAATATTTAACAACAAAAGTTTGTTCCTCATTTTTAATGGCCAATCGATCAAAAAAACATTTAGTGATTAATCTTCTCATTTTTTTTTCGAGATAAGAAGATATTTTCATGATTTTTCTATTGATTTTCGATTTATTTTTGATTTTTTTTTGAAAATTCAAATTTTCTATGAAATTTTTGTTTTGGACCCGCTAGTCACGATTCCATTGTCTGAAATTGCAGAACTCCGAGTTCTGACGTGGCAAAAATCTGGATTTCTGGAGCTATGTAAAAACTAGCCTACTACGGTACGCTGGTGTTTGTGTGCATTTGTGCGTCGCGGTGTTTGCACACAATTTAAATTTTTGCCAGAAAACTCTCAGAGATTCGCTGGCCAGCTCGCCACCAGGTGGGGAGGCTGGCTGACCTGGGAACCGCATGGAAACCATGTCGCCCGGTTTTTTTCGCTGGCAAGGTGGCCAGGCTCTGGCTAGGTCACGGCCACATGGCTACCATGTGGTGGCCACTTCGCCACGTCAAAATGAATTTTCATGAAAATGTCTGAAAAACTTGTGAATTGAGGCATTTTCGAAAAATTTGGCTCATTTTCTGTTTTTTCGCAGCACTTGAAACCTTAGAAAGTGAAAAAAACAGTAGAAAATTCAGTGTTTTGAGTACAAACCACTGTCTTGCCAGCTTTCCAGAATTTCAAACACACAGGCCACGTCGCCGGAAAACTCGAGGCGACCTGGCGGCCATGCGGTTTCCAGGTGGCCGCAGCGATCTGGTGGCGAGCTGGCCAGCGAATCTCTGAGCTAGCTTCCAAATAGGCTATAATCTCTAGATACTAAATTGTGTGCAAACACCGCGACGCACAAATGCACGCGTACCGTAGTAGGCTAGTTTTCAGCTCCTATCATCGAAAATCTCATGCGCTCCACCGAAATAAACACGCAACGCAGACCGCGTCGCGCCACAACACACACACAAAAAGGGAACGATTCAAATTCCCTCCCTTATTTGTGTGTGTGTTGCGGCGCGGTCTGCGTTGCGTGTTTATTTCGGTGGAGCGCGTGAGAACGAAAACTACCAGAAAAATATTTCATTTTTCAAAAAATCTATTCATCGAATATAGGGTTCATCATTATCATTAAACTTCGAATCAAAACTCGAAGCCAAATTTTTCTGCTGTGACGCAGTATTCGAATGTTCATCCATGTCAATCGGCGCACTCGGTTGAACTCCAATAAAAAACACACGAATCACTTTAAGTGTTGCAATAATCAATAAAATCGCTGAAATCACATCCATCTTCGAGAAAATCATTGATTCTCCAATTGAAAATACTCCAGCTTGATTTGCCTTTAATTCCTCCTCATTTTTCTCATATTCTTCCTCTTCAAAACTTGGTATTATGTCTCGATTATCTTGACTTATGAATGCTGTTTCGACACGAAATTCCGTGTTGGCTATCCTCTTTTCTTTGAAGATCCATTCGAATAAATCAATAATTTTCTTCGAGTATTTAGTTAGCAATTGATCTTTGATATTTGCCCCACAGAAAACCGCAGATTTCTCGTAAATCTCAAATTTCCTGGATTTCCTAGCCTTTTCGGTATTTCCGCAAAATTCCCAATAGTTATAACGTCGACATCCGAATCGATAATATTGAGTTTGATACGTACTTCTTTCTGATTTCTTAACTGTGTCACGGCGTGATATACAAACCGGTGATTGGGGATAACATCGGATTAGTTTGAGATCGATCGGATTGGTGTGGTAGAATAGGGCGGAATTATCGTTCTGCAAGTTTTTTTTTGGGAAATTCTGCAAACACCGAGCAAAAACTCACCGTGTTTTTGAACACCTTGATATATCCACTCAAACAAACATTTTTCAAATTCACCCCGTTTTTCTCATACAATTTCCGCGTTGTACGATTTGTCAAACTTGAAATCAAAGTTTTAATCGCGTCCATCTTGGTAATTTCCAGATTTTTCGAGATATGAAAAGTTTCTGCTATAGTTATTGTTTGAAGGAAAATCATGATGAAAACTGGTGTTTTTAACAACATTTTTTGGTAGAAATGAGGGGAAAACGTTCTTGAACAGAAAAACGTGGAAAATTGCTTGAAAGTGGGTCACGTAAAAACGCGGGAAAAATATGAATTTCGAAAAAAAAATAAAAAGAAAACAACGAGACTCCGCGTTGACGGCAACGCGCACGCTTTTTAGTTTTTAAACACAAAAAATGAAATATTTCACTGTAAACCATGAAATAAACCATGCCAATGAACTTTGTTTTTGACATTTTCATTTTCAAAAATGAATTTTTTAGTTTTATATTGCAAATTCCTCAAAAAACACCATTTATGTAGAAAAATGCATTTTTTTCCGTATTGAAAGTATTTAATCTTAGTGTTAATACTTTTTTCACTCAATTTTATTTTTATTCCCAGAAAACTACGTTTTTTTCATGCGAATTTTCGTTTTTTAGGGAAAAATCGAAAAAAATTGCAAAAAAAATAAAAAGAAAACAACGAGACTCCGCGTTGATGACACCGCGCGCGCGCGTGGTTTGAATTTATTTTTTTTTTCAATTTTTTTTCGTTTTTTTTTTGGATTTTTTTCCACGACTTGAGTAGAACAGTGAAACTAAGCCAATTTCGCCCCATTTCCTTTCCAAACACTTGAACGTGTGAGTGATAATAACAAATAAGTCAATAAGTCAACACAACTGGTTGTGTTAACTCGTCTCGAAAACTCCAAGCTGTTCACAAAATTTTTTTTTCCCAAAAATCTCAAATTTCCTTCCCTTATTTCATTTCTTTTCAAATCAAATACCGCTAGAAAAAATCGAGAGAAATAGTGTGATTTTTGAGGAGATTTTCGAGACATGCTTTTTCTCACTGGTTGTATTCATTGAAGAAAAAAGAAGGAGAATATATTGTGTTCTTTTATTTCGGCAATATCTGTGTTTGTATTATGAGAAAAGGTGAAAAAAGAGCATGTGACTTAGACTAGATTCTTAAGGCCTTAAGGTATTTGGGGTTAGGGTTTAGATTGTTAAGGGATAAGTTAGATTTAGGTACTGATTTACGGTATCTGGGTTTTGGACACTAGTTAAGACTAGCTCTAATTTAGGATGTTTATGATTTAGGCCTTAATTCAAGATATCTAAGGTTTAGACACTTATTTAAGGTATTTAGGGTATTTAAGGTAATTCTGGTCTACAGTACTTCTTCCACTGGATATTTATATGTTCCTTTAAAACCTACAGTACTCTAAAAATTCCGAAAATTTCGTGAAATATCTTAAAACCTTCTCTTTTTCAACATGTTCCTTTGAAACTACAGTATTCAAAGGCGAATTTTTTCTGATCTACAGTACCTCTAAAATTTGTGGGATTCTCTAAACTCTTGAAATTTCAAAGTGATTTTACTTATGTTCCTTTAAACTACAGTACTCTAAAAATTCCGAAAATTTCGTGAAATATCTTAAAGGCAGTTGGACAAATAATCACGTTTTTCTTCTTGTTTCATGCATAAATAGTCCAATCAAAAAGAATCGGACAGAAAAAAAGCGAAATGACAAATTTTAAAAAGCGCGGAAAAAAAGAGATGTTCAAATTATTTTGAATTGCCGCGGTGTCTAAAAAAGTGTGCACACACTGCGACGCGCTTCTGCGGTTGGAGGGAATTTGAATGTTTATTTTATTTTTTCTTTCATTTCTCATTTTCACTCTTTTTGATCGAATTTTTTGAGTGAAAAAAAGCAGTTTAGTGATTTTTACAAAAAATGTATCACTGTGAAGTTGTTTTGAAATTTTCTAGATGACGAAAGAACGTTTCTTGGGCTAATCGAGTGAGTTTTCCCAGGCTTTTTTCGATGAAAGTTTTTTTCTTCAGAGGCTGTGACGAATTTTCGAATAGACAGTTTAAAATCACGTTGGAGATGCTGATTTTCGAAAACCACACGGAACAATGACAGCGATTTGCCGGAACTCGAAAAAGGATAGCGTCTTCGAAGCCCATCAGAAACTAAATTTGTGTAAAATGAACAATATAAATATTTATTCAAAAAATTTTCTAGTAAACTTAATGAATATCATATTTAAATGAATAATTATTGAATTATAGCGCTGCGAGGCTAAAAAAAGAAAAAACAGATAATATCCAACAATGATCATTTGAATTGTTTGTCGACCGATTGATGCAGCAACGGTTTGAGCAGAAATCCTTTATCAATCATTAAAACGGCGATTTTCCGCATCAATCAGTCAAATTAGTCACATGTCGTGCTCAACCACCCATATCAAACAGCGATAAATGCAAAATATTCTTATATTCTGATTTTCTTCTTCTCAAACGTCTTTCTCTTGAACCAATCCAAAAGCACGACGATTTGCCGTCAACACTCCTGGCTCAAAATCACAATTCCTCTTTTTCTCTACAATGAAGTTGAAAATCGATCAAAATCCGACATGCTTTGCTAGTTTTTTGAGCGCAAAATATTTCTCATCTTCCAATCGTTGAAGCTTGATGAATAAAACAGGTCGAGTAGCAGCGCTCTTTGAATCCTGTTGCGCTTCTGCCAAAATACGTCTGAAAATTTGAATAATCCGAATAACTGACTTATTTTCGCTTGAAACTTCACTCACGGGTGTAGTTGTAGATTCGAGAGTAGATACTATACGAGTATTCCAGTTCTTCAACGCTCAAACTCTTTTATCATCTCAATTTTATTTCAAAAAACCAGTTTTGTTTGTTCACAACATGTCAAACACTGTGTTTTTTTCTGATAGAAAAATGCAATTCCGAGGAGACGCAGACAGTGAGAGAAAGAGGCTGGTCTCGACACGATGTGTGTCTGCCACACACTATTTCTCTCCCTTTTTCGGCGAGAGATTTGTCTGCCCACGTTAAAGTCTGCGTCTCTCAGAACTGGCAAGAAAAAATACAGTGCAAACAGCAATCGGTGAGAGTGAAAGAGACGAAAAGATGTTGAAATCGCGCGTGATCTACAGCGAGTTGAATTTGCGGGTCTAGGATTTGTGAAATTTAGAAATAGGCTTCAGCTTGACTTTTGAGAATTCGTTCTTGAACTTTCAGTGTGCCAAGCGACTAAAAGTCATCTTTAATTTTTTTCGAAACAAAATATGGTTAGCAACCGCTATTTCAAAAATTATGGATTTTCAGACCCACAAATTTTTTATGTTCCTTTGATCTATTTTTCTCTAAGTCTTCTTCACTCTCACCGATTGCCAATTTTCATTGGGCTGACATGATGTGTGTTTGGAAAAAAAGAAAAAGAAAAAAAAGAAAAAGAAAAAATATTTTTGTGCGATAGAGCGCACTTGCGCTACTGGCTCTAATTCAAAAAAATATTGAATTTTTTTTAATTTTTATTTGTCCAACTGCCTTTAAAACCTTCTCTTTTTCAACATGTTCCTTTGAAACTACAGTATTCAAAGGCGAATTTTTTCTGATCTACAGTACCTCTAAAATTTGTGGGATTCTCTAAACTCTTGAAATTTCAAAGTGATTTTACTTATGTTCCTTTAAACCTACAGTACTCTGAAAATTCGGAAAACTTTGTGAAACATCTTAAAACCTTCTCTTTTTCTACATGTTCCTTTAAAACTACAGTAATCACACTCGAATTTTTTCTGATCTACAGTACCTCAAAAAATTCGTGGGAATCTCTAAACTCTTGAAATTTTAAAGTGATTTTACTTATGTTCCTTTAAACTACAGTAGTACTAAAATTCCGAAAATTTCGTGAAATATCTTGAAACCTTCTCTTTTTCAACATGTTCATTTAAAACCTACAGTAATCGAACGCGAATTTTTTCTTATCTACAGTACCTCTGAAATTCGTAGGAATCTCTAAACTCTTGAAATTTTAAAATGATTTTACTTATGTTCCTTTAAACTACAGTAATCCTAGTGTCTTTTAGTTACAGTATCCAGAACTGTTTTCAGAATCCAGAAAATTCAATTTTTTTTCTTTTTCCCCCCAAAAAAGTCTACTTGACCTTCTTACAAAAAATTTGTAATAAAAAAATGTAATAAAAATTAGCATCTGGTTCCATTTATCGACATTTTCTTCTCTTTTTTCGCCATTTTTCACACCTGATCACTTTTTTCGTCACATAAAAATTTTGGAGGCGCGAAAACGACACGAGTTAGGCTAAGTTCCGGTTGTTTTTGGGATTTTCAAACAATTTTTGAATTTGAATTTTTGGCGGGAAAATTCAAATTTTTGAATTTTCCCGCCAAAAATCCACTAACTTCCCGCCCATTTTTTTGTCCTTCAACAAAATTATTTATCATTTCTCCCATTTCTTCTCCTTTTTCCTTTTTCTCACTTTACTTTACTGATGACTCAGATTTTCGCGCCCTTTTTCCTTTTTTCTTACTTCAAAAATGTTTCTGTTGTGAAAAAAATTCAATTTTTTCTGCTGAAAACAATTCCAGTTTTTTTTTCAAAAATAAATAATCCTCATCGATTTCTCGCGCCAAAATCGTTTGAAATTTTTTTTTTTTTTTTTGAAAAATAAAGTTCATAATTATTTTTCATTTGAACTTGCATTTCTTATCCAACATTTTCTGCCCAGAAAAAAAAGAGCCGGGTGGCCGAGTGGTTAGCACGTCTGCCTACGAATCCAGTGGTTTTGCAAGACGCGGGTTCGACCCCACTTGCGACCCACTTTTTTTTAAATTTTTTTCTTTTTTTTCTTCAAGTTCAAAAAAAAAATCTATAACAATGATATGATTTTTGCTGTATTATTTTGCTATTATCATCATCACTTTCTAAACCTGTTTCCCCCTTCCCCAAAATTTTTGCTGCTTTTGTTTTATAATAAAAAAATGTTTTTGTTTTTTTTTCATCACATCGAGATACAATTTTTCGATAAAACAAACATTTGTGTACTTTTCATTTCAAAAAAAGTGCAAATAACTTTGGAATTTTTTTTTGATTGGTGAAATTTCGAAATACCCTTTTTTTCTTCTCAACATGTTCCTTTAAGAACTACAGTACTTCTGACATTTCTAGAAAATTTAATATTTCAAAAATCTACATTTTTCTACATGTTCCTTTAAATCTACAGTATTCCAAAAAAATAATGTGAATTTTTTTGAACCAGAACATTTTTTCACGCGGTTTTCATATGTTCCTTTAAAATCTACAGTAATCCTTTATTTTCTGATCTACAATACTTTCTTTAAAAAATGAGAATTTTCAAGTTCAGGGATTTATATATGTTCCTTTAAAACCTACAGTACTCCTAAAATCCCTAATTTTTCTCTAATTTTTCAAAACCTCATACATGTTCCTTCAAAACCTACAGTAATCCTTTATTTTCTGATCTACAGTACTCATAAATTTCCAGTGTATATTTCCAGCGTAACTACAGTAATCCTAGTTTCTGAAAATTTCCAATCTCAAAAAATTACACATGTTCCTTTAAAACTACAGTACTCCATTTTCTCGAAAACTTTATTTTTTCAATTTTCTTCATTTAATTTTATTGCCATCCTGCGAAAAGCAATAAAAATGTTTATTGTGTCAAATATAAATTGAAAAAAAAAAGATTTTTTTTTAAATTTCAAAATGTTCTGCTCCTTTAAAAACCACCGTACTCCTACTTCTCGAGAAAATTTTTTCTTGACACTTTCACTTTCACTTTCACCGCCCAAAAATGTTCATTTTATTAAACCCAACTGATAACCCTTTCGTGTACTTCTCTCGGATAAAAAATCGATTTTCTCTGCGCTCTCTCACTCTCTCGTCGCCTTCTGATTATCTCAATTGGCGATCATTTTCCATATACAATTCCTTCATTTTTCGCTCGCTAAATTTTTTCGGCCACAATTTTTTTCGTACTAAATTATTTTTTTACAGGTAATGGACGTTTCCGCGGTCCCGCGACCACACTCGTGAGTTTTTTTGATCTACCTACAGTATCCCTGTCTACAGTACCTACAGTATCCCCTTTTGATTTTCCAGGGGTTTGATCTACCTACAGTAACCCTCTTTGATCTACCATATCTACCTACAGTAATCTACTTTGATCTACCAGATCTATCTAGAGCACCCCCCCCCTTATTTACAGTACCCCCCCTCTCCCCTGATCTACCGTACTCTCAAAATTACAGTACTCCTCGCCCCACCCAACAATATTATGTGCCACGTCGGCTACTCGAGTGTGGTCGCGGCCCGCTTTCAAAATCCGATAAAAATGAAGAAAAAGTGAGTTACTGTAGGGCTACAGTAGCCCGAACTGTAAAAGATTTTGCAGTTTGGATTACTGTAGATCCTCAGAAAATCTGGAAGATGCACTTAAATTTTGCAGTTTGAGATACTGTAGTATGATTGTTAATTGTAAAATTGTTTTTACAGTAATCCAAACTGCAAGATTTTTTGGATTACTGTAGCTCAAATTCTAGGTCAAAACTACAGTAATCCTAGCGTACTGCAACATTTATTTGGATAACTGTAGGTATCCGAAAATATGTGAATTTTGCAGTTCGGAGTACTGTAGTCTATTTTTTTGTAGTTTTTAGAACTATTTTTTGTAGATACAGTAACCCGAACTGCAAAAAAAGTAATTCAAACTGCAAGATTTCACAAAACTACAGTAATCCCGGGATTACTAGAGTACTGTAATCAAACTTACAAAGAATCTTGCAGATTACAGTAACCCGAACTGCAAAAAAAACCACAAAAATTGTAATTGTAGTTCGGATTACTGTAGACCACTAAAACCTTGGAGTACTGTAATTCAAACTGCAAGATTTTTTGGATTACTGTAGCTCAATTGATCTTTGAACATGTTTAGCTAAAACTACAGTAATTCGAACTGCAAATATTCTCGGAGTACTGTAGTCAACCCCAATTTTTTTGCAGGTTCCCAAATCCCCGCCCTCAAAATCAGCGCCACGTTCGCCGAAACCCCAAAACCCCACACCAAAATCGAAGCCCCGCCCACTAATGGAACAAATTCTCGCGCCACCCGCCACTCTTTTCCCGCCACAACAAAAAGAGAAAAAGGTGAAATTTGCGGCGCCAACACCGCAAATTTCAAAAAAATCCAAATCCACGTCATCATTCTCGTCCTCTGCGTCTCCCACCTCATCGCGATCCTCGTCGTCTATGTCCTCGCCGCCAACACCATTCACCATAGTTGCACCCAGCCCAATTGGTGTCACCAAATCAACGCCACGTGTTCTGCGGCCTCAAAAATACGCGCGAAATCCATTTGCACCCACGATTTCCGCCGTTTCACACGCTTGCAATTGTGACAGATCAAATACACACATTTTTTGTCAAAGGTGGGTTCTGGGAGCGAAAATTTGGAGCATTTTGAGCCCCAATATGCCTGGGGCAATTTCAAATTTCTAAAAAAAAAGAAAAAAAAGTAGGTCGCGGCGGGGGTCGAACTCGGGTGTTGCAAAAGTCTCTAATCCGCAGACACACGCGCTAACCACTCGGCCACGCGGCTGTTTTTTTTTCGTTGTCGAAATTGTCATATTTAAAAGGCGCGCTCGAAAGATAGAGAGGATACTGTAGATTTTCGTGGCGAGACAAGATCTTGATCTAGATTATAGATTTATTGTTAGAAGATTGCGGTCACCTAGGGTTACTGTAGTTTTAGGTACCGTATTCCAGACTGCAAATTTGCAGTTCGATTTGAATAATTAGACTTTCGAGCTACAGTAACCCGAACTGCAAAATGAGCTGCTAGAGAAGCAGAGAAACAGGGCGGCTAGAGAGCTAGATAGTTAGAGACACAGAGAAGCTAGAGTGTTAGAGACGCAGAGAAATCAGACAGCTAGATAGTTAGAGACGCAGAGAGGTCAGAGAGTTAGTGACAAAAACCCTGCCGCAAAATTGCAAAAAGGGGCGGAGCCTAGGCTTGTTTAGTATCAAATTGAAGCATTCAAAAAACCCTGCCGCAAAATTGCAAAAATGGGCGGAGCCTAGGCTTGTTTAGTATCAAATTGAAGCAAATTTTGAGAAAAAGATAGGATTGCTCATGTTAAACCAAAAAAAAGTGTTTTTTCTGCAGATGTGGCTATGAATGCATCGGTCGAGTTCATCAAACTTGCGGCGTTCACCCACTAATAATCGCTCTCGACGATCTTCGCCAATGTCCAAATTCCACGTGTAAAAGCACACAAATCATCGAGTTGTTAGGCGAAATCGAAAATTGTTGCGAAGATTCGGAGTTGATCGAAAAGCTCAGCGAACCGATTCATAAAATCGATCTTCTTTCGGATGATTGATTGAATTTTTCAAAATTTTTTGGAACATTTTCAAAATTTGACCTGTTTTTCCGGGTATTATTGATTATTTTATGTATATTTTTTTTTGCAAAAATAAAAATTAAAATATTTTCAGAGCATTGCTCAGGTTAAACTTTCAAAATAATTCATTGCTCAGGTTAAACTTTTCTAAAAAAATTTCGAACATTGCTCATATTCGAACATCAATTTATTCTAAAAACAAAAAAAATTAAAACTTTTTCAAAATTCCCCGTTTTGTACCCGAAATTTGAGAATTATTACAAGTTTCCAATGATTGTTTGAGATCTCGTTGCGAACTTTTCGCCAATTTCAGACTCGTCACATTTTGCACCAATTCTTTCGTCGCATCTTGCCACGTGTCAACAATTGTTCCAGCTTCATCGAGCGCGTTTTGCCACGTGTAATTTGTCGGCGTTTTCACTTTTTGCAAATTATCGATCCAATAAATATAAACTGGATCAAATCCGAAATTTTTGCTGTTTAAGGCCATGATTTCTTCCCATTTTGGCTGAAAATTTAATTTTTTTCTGGGAAATTTGGAGCATTTTGAGCTCAAAAATAATCAATTTTGAGCTGAAAATGCTCCAAATCCTACAAGGAATCTGAAATTCTCAAATTCTTTGGGAAATTTGGAGCATTTTGAGCCCAAAAATAATTATGTTTGAGCTCAAAATGCTCCAAATTCTAAAAAGAATCTGAATTTTTCAAATTCCTTGGGAAATTTGGAGCATTTTGAGCCCAAAAATAATCAAGTTTGAGCTGAAAATGCTCCAAATTTTACAAGGAATCTGAATTTTTCAAATTCCTTGGGAAATTTGGAGCATTTTGAGCCCAAAAATAATCAAGTTTGGGCTCAAAATGCTCCAAATCCTATAATAAATCTGAATTTCTAAAATTCTTCAGAAAATTCGGAGCATTTAGAGGCCAAAAATGAGCAAGTTTGGGCTCAAAATGCTCCAAATTGAGCCCAAAAAAGAGAGAAAAACCCCACATTTCTATAAGCAAGTCCAATTGTCAATGGAGCCAAGAGTAAATACACAGCCAATCGAATTTGATCCGAAAATTTGAATTGATAATGTTGCATGTATTTATAACATCGAATCACATCTTCATCCAACATTCCTTGATTATGCTGAAAATAATAATTTAAAGCTAATATGAGCAATCAATTAATTTCTTCAAATTCTTCATGAAAAACACTCACCGCATTCCGGAATTGCCTATAAATTCCTCGAATTCTCTCCATCACCCACATCTCGACATTGAGCACCAATGCGCTGCTCAGCGGCAAAACTGCGTGCTCCGGCAGGTTATCTGCAAAAAAATTCTGAATTTTTTATCAGGAAAAAACCAAAACCCCATACATTTCTCATCAAATTTCGGTCGATGCGTGAAAAAATCGAAATTCGTCAAAAAGAATTCGAATTCGAGCAAGAAGAAATTGCTGAAAACGGATTTTTGTTGAAAAAAATGTTTTTTTTTTTGAGTTTGAACTCAAAAAAAAACTTACATGCGATTTTTGAGGAGAAGTTGATAGATGAAAACCAGCAAATCTTCGCGATCCGCGTTTCTTCGGTAAAGTGAAATCGCATAATTCAGGTTTTTCTGGAAAAAACTCTCTCTGACTTTCTGAAGAGCACAAAAATGAGCCGAAAATCAGGATTTTGGTGTGAGTTTTTTCAAATTCTTCAGGTAATTTGGAGCATTTTGAGCCCAAAATCCCCGGAGATTTTCAATATATGTTTTCGTACAGTTTTTCACTCTATGAAGAGCACAAAAATGGGGATTTTCTGAAAATCTCGTGGTTTTGGGAGCCTATAACTCATGTTAGAGAAGATTCTATCAAAAACTGAATACAGGGTGATGTTTAGGAGGGACGATTCACCAAAGTCACAATTTTTGGCTCAAAATGCTCCAAATTTTCTGAAGAATTCGAGAAATTCAGATTTCTTGCAGAATTCAGAGCATTTTGAGCCCAAACATAATCAAGTTTGGGCTGAAAATGCTCCAAATTTCCCGAGAAATTTGAGAAATTCAGATTCCTTGGTGAATTTGGAGCATTTTGAGCTCAAATTTGATCATGTTTGGGCTCAAAATGCTCCGAATTTCCCGAAGAATTTGAGAAATTCAGATTCCTTGTAGAATTTGGAGCATTTTCAGCTCAAATTTGATCATGTTTGGGCTCAAAATGCTCCAAATTTCACGAGGAATTTGAAAATTTCAGATTCCTTGTAGAATTTGGAGCATTTCAAGCTCAAACTTGATCATGTTTGGGCTCAAAATGCTCCAAATTTCTCAAAGAATTCGAATAATTCAGATTCCTTGTAGAATTTGGAGCATTTTCAGCTCAAACTTGATTATTTTTGGGCTCAAAATGCTCCAAATTTCCCAAAGAATTTGAGAAATTCAGATTCCTTGTAGAATTTGGAGCATTTCGAGCCTAAACTTGATCATTTTTGGGCTCAAAATGCTCCGAATTTTCTGGAGAATTTGGGAAATTCAGATTCCTTGTAGAATTTGGAGCATTTTCAGCTCAAATTTGATTATTTTCGGGCTCAAAATTCTCAGAATTTCCCCGGAAATACCCACATCATCTAAATCCACACATTGCACCAATGGCGTATATCCAAAACAATCTTTCGGAAATCTTAAACATTGCGGAATCCCAGTCAAAATTTCCGGATAACCGCTCGTCAACGCAAATTGTACCGGTGTCCATCGAACCTCCTGATTCACAATTTTATATTTTCCCTGAAATTGTCGGCCAGGCAATCTGATTGGAGCAATTTCATTTGATAAAAGATGCTCCTTTCCTGAAGAATAATAAATGCGTTTGGCTGAATCGAGACTTCCCGAACACATTGCATCACAAATCGCCAATCTCAGATGACTGTCCGTGTAATTTTGAACAAGTTTCAACAATTCCTCATTGCTCAGTATATTGATTTGATTGTTGTAGGCCAATTTGCAGAGGAATCTATCCTGGAATCACATTTTTGCCACGTCATAGCTCAACTAGACAGTAGTTTTCACGATTCCGTTGTTTGAAATCGCAAAGCTCAACTGAGTTATGACGTGGCAAAGTTTAGGAGGTCAAAATTCGCTTTTAAAAAATGATTTTCATGAAAATCTGGCTCAAATTTTCAGCTAAAAATGCTCATTTTCCAGTAAAAATTGATATTTGCAGATTTTCAGCCTAAAAAAATTTCCAGATTTCCCAACTGAAAAATCCAAATTTCACGTGAACTATGACGTGGCATTTTGAAAATCCAATTTTTCCAATGAAAAATCAAGGGTTTTGCTCATATTTCATCAAAATTCATGAATTTCAGCTCAAAATTTCAAGATTTTCTCCAATTTTCAAATTTTCAGCTCAAAATTTTTTGAAAATTAACCTTTCCAATGAAAAATCAAGGGTTTTGCTCATTTTTGGTTAAATTTTTTTTTCAACTTCAAAATTTTTACTGTTTCAAAATATTAAATTACTTTTGGTCATATCAAATTCAGAACCTAAAATTATTATTTTTTGAAAAAGTTTCCAAACGCCACGTCATAGCTCTTTTGAAACAGTAAAAATTTTGAACTTGAAAAAAAAAATTAAACAAAAAAATATTCACTGTTTCAAACATTTTTGAAACTGAAAAATGAGCAAAACCCTTGATTTTACATTGGAAAAATTGAATTTTCAAAATGCCGCGTCATAGTTCACGTGAAAACGTGAAATTTGTATTTTTCAGTTTGAAAATCTGGAAATTTTGAGCTGAAAATTTGAAAATTGGAGAAAATCTTGAAATTTTCAGCTGAAATTCATGAATTTTGATGAAATATGAGCAACACTCTTGATTTTTCATTGGAAAAGTTAATTTTCAGAGTGCCACGTCATAGTTGACGTGAAAACGTGAAATTTGGATTTTTCAGTTTGAAAATCTGAAAATTTTGAGCTGAAATTCATGAATTTTGATGAAATATGAGCAACACTCTTGATTTTTCATTGGAAAAATTGAATTTTCAAAATGCCACGTCATAGTTCACGTGAAAACGTGAAATTTGTATTTTTCAGTTTGAAAATCTGGAAATTTTGAGCTGAAAATTTGAAAATTGGAGAAAATCTTGAAATTTTCAGCTGAAATTCATGAATTTTGATGAAATATGAGCAACACTCTTGATTTTTCATTGGAAAAGTTAATTTTCAGAGTGCCACGTCATAGTTGACGTGAAAACGTGAAATTTGGATTTTTCAGTTTGAAAATCTGAAAATTTTGAGCTGAAATTCATGAATTTTGATGAAATATGAGCAACACTCTTGATTTTTCTTTGGAAAATTGAATTTTCAAAATGCCACGTCATAGTTAACGTGAAAACGTGAAATTTGGATTTTTTAGTTTAAAATCTGAAAATATAAATTTTTGCTGGAAAATGAGCATTTTTAGCTGAAAATTCGAGCCTCCTGAACAATATTTTCATGAAAATCATTTTTTTTTAAAGCGAGTTTTGACCTTCTAAATTCGCAATTTTTGAACTTTGCCACGTCATAACTCATGTTAGGAGTAGAGTTTTGAAATTTTTGACATCAGGATAGTGATCAGCGGGTCAAAAAGTACCAAAAATATCTCAAAAACCCACCGCTCCACCATGTGCATAAGCATTATAAGTTCTTCTCTCCACAGCTCCCTTTTTCCGCGCCAAAAATTCGATAACCTCTTCAGAAATCAATAATCTCACGCATTCGGCATGGCCCAATTCAGCTGCGATTTCAGCCGGAATCGAACGTTCGTAGGTGTTTGCGTCGAATAGCCAACCTCGAACAATTTCACAAAAATGGACATAGTGTTCGCTATGCTTGAACCAGTGCGTGGAATTGTTAACAACACTTTTGATGAACTGAAAAAATAATATTTTTTAATAAAAAAACATATTTTTCCAGCTAAAAATTGATCTTTACAGATTTTCAGCTCGAAATTTCCAGATTTCAAACTGAAAAATCCAAATTTCACGTGAACTATAACGTGGCATTTTGAAAATTAATTTTTCCAATGAAAAATCAAGGGTTTTACTCATATTTCATAAAAATTCATGAATTTCAGCTCAAAATTTCAAGATTTTCTCAAATTTTCAAATTTTCAGCTCAAAATTTCCAAATTTCCCAACTGAAAAATCCAAATTTTACGTGAACTATGACGTGGCATTTTGAAAATTCAATTTTCCAATGAAAAATCAAGGGTTTTACTCATATTTCATAAAAATTCATGAATTTCAGCTCAAAATTTCAAGATTTTCTCAAATTTTCAAATTTTCAGCTCAAAATTTCCAAATTTCCCAACTGAAAAATCCAAATTTTACGTGAACTATGACGTGGCATTTTGAAAATTCAATTTTCCAATGAAAAATCAAGGGTTTTACTCATATTTCATAAAAATTCATGAATTTCAGCTCAAAATTTCAAGATTTTCTCCAATTTTCAAATTTTCAGCTCAAAATTTCCAAATTTCCCAACTGAAAAATCCAAATTTTACGTGAACTATGACGTGGCATTTTGAAAATTCAATTTTTCAAATGAAAAATCAAGGGTTTTGCTCATATTTCATCAAAATTCATGATTTCAGTTCAAAATTTCAAGATTTTGTCCAATTTTCGAATTTTTAGCTCAAAATTTCAAGATTTTCAAACTGAAAAATCCAAATTTCACGACAAATCGAGATTTTTAACGCTTCTGGTGTGATTTCTAATGAAAATAAGCGTCGAAAACCCTATTTCACCTCATTTTATCGATTTTTTCATCAGAAATTACTCCAGAAGCTTAAAATATCTCGATTTGTCATCATTTTTGGCTGAAAAACTCGACGTGAATTGATTTTTCAATGTTAAAAAGCATGTTTTTTCGGGATTTCAGATTCTCCTAAAAAAATCATTTTTAAAGCTTGCCACGTCATAACTCATATTAGAAATTTAGATTTGCAAATTTTTTAACAAAAAAAATGATGAACCTTTGGTTTATTCATAGCTGCCGCAATATGAAGTGGATTCAATTTAAATCTCTCACTCATCCAATCCGATTCAAAAATCGCATAAAAACATTGTCCACGACAATATAACTCTTGATGATCTTTGATAAACCGTCCGACATATTCGAAAAATCTTTCAACATCTTCCTCGATAATATATTTATACAATGATCTCGAAGTAATATCTGAAGTCAGCGGATGTTCACAATAATCAGAAGATTCTGGAAGTACATGATGTTTCGATGCGATTTCCTCGTGTTCAATGAAATCAAAATTGTCATCTCTAAGATCTACTTCTTCAAAAGCTTGACGAAGTTTCGATAGAGTTGGCTCAAAATCGAAATTTTCCGTGGGAATACTATTTTGCAATTCATCCAAACTCATTGACATCAAAACATCAATCGATGGTCGTTGCTGAATTGGTTTTTGAACTTGTTTCGGAATTGCATATCCGAAATCATCCAATTTCTCTCCTTGTTTCGTTCTTGTTGTTGGAGTTCTTGATGCTCTTCTTCGTGTTTTTAGTGCTCTCCATGTTGGCGCATAATTCGAAGGGCTAAAATTTCATCTTTTTTTTTCAAAAAGTTTTTCAAATTATTCAAACTTACTCCACTCCCAGCAGTTCAACCACCGATTTTCGAATTCTAGAGCTTCTTCGGTTTTCAATCATACTAAAATCATTAATTTTTCAAATAGAAATCATAAAAATTGGTTTTTTTTCAACGAGAGAACACTAAAAACATCATATATCGCTAGAAAATTAGTTTTTGCATCTAAAAAACGCGAAAAATAAAAATATTTTTTCTCAAACAAGAATGTTCGCCCCAGCGAACATTCGCGCGGGTGTTTGAAAATATTTATTTTATTGTGTTTTTTTTCAATTTTTTTTTTATTTTTCACGTGAAAAATAAACTTTTTAGTGGATTCTCGATTTGTTCGTTCAAAATTCACGTGAAAAATAAACTTTTTTAGTGGATTCTCGATTTGTTCGTTCAAAATCAGGGTGATCACCCTGATTTTGAACGAACAAATCGAGAATCCACTAAAAAGGGAGAGTGCAGAGAAATTGCGGCGAGACCACACGCTAATGGTAAAATGGCGTACTGTAGCACTATTTCAGCTGTGTTTCTAGTCTCAATTTGTCGTGTTTTATATGTTTTTTCTACTGTATTTCGCCACAAGACCCACATGTTCCTTTAAAGTTTCCCGCGTAAATCCACACAAAACTATATAATAAAATTCCTGTTTTCAAATTAATGAACGTCGTTTTTCCAGCTCCCCCTTTCTCTTTTGAATTCAAAAAAAAAACATCTGCGGCTTGTTTCCTGTTGCTCTGGGTGAGCAAAACTTTCACTTCTTTTTTTCACGAAAAAACGGAAAAAATCTGGTTTTTGTTCGCGTAATTTTGTATCCAATACCACATTTTTTCCCATTCCGTCATAACTTTTTCTCCCACTTTTTCGCAACCAGAAAGATCGTGAGAACCTCTCGATTGCCAAATAATTCATGAAATCCTCCTCCTCCCCTTTTTCTTCTGCATTTTTTCATTTATTTTTGAGTAAATATCTTTCTTTTTGGCACCCAAAGCAAGCAAAAAACGAGAAGAAAAATTAGCCTCATATAAAAAATTTTTGCTCGCCGTTTCTCATATATAAATCTTGACACCGACCGAGAGCAATAAAAATAGTGCTCGTTCATATTATTTTTCAATTTCCTCCCTTTGGTCCGCTTTGAGATAACCTCATTTTCGGACTCAATTTCAATTTGTTTTTTCATCATCTTCTTCTCTTCGGAATAAAAAAATAAAAACTTGTTTTTCTAGCAAAAAAAGTTTGCCGCCAGCAGGGGTCGAACCTGCGACCTTGGGCTTATTAGACCCACGCTCTAACCGACTGAGCTATGGCGGCCACATTTTCGCACTGATAAAAATGTCATGATAAAACACTGTGTTTGTTATAACAAACTATAGTTTCCTCTAAAAAAAGTATGTATATAAGTATACATATTTTTCAAAAATCTCTATATTTTTCTCAAAGGCCCTCTTCTAGCTCATTATAAATTCGTCTCTTCTCATTTCCTTCCCTCAAATGTTCAAATTTCAATAAAATATTCAGATTTTCTTCGTTTTTTCCCAAAAAAAAAGAAGAGGAAAACGGCTCTTCTTTTCTAATAACATAGCAACGAAGAAAACGAAAAAGGTAATTTTTCTTCTAACAAGAAATTTCTATCAGTTTATTTTACAGCTTGTTGAAGGAAAATAATAAAATCTCTCTATGCGCTGTGAATGCTTATTTTTCCTTCTAATCTATTCTCTCCGAATCGACTCAAAATCCGATTATCAATGGTCCTACGATCAGGATTTTTTCAACGGACCACAATATTGGGGAAGAGTTGTTAAAGAATGGTGGATGTGTGAACGTGGACAAATTCAATCACCAATCGATATTCAACCAAAACAACTTCTCTTTGATTCATCAATTAAACCAATCAAGTTAGATAAAGTTCAAGTTGTATCAGAAATGGTGAATGTTGGTCAGATGATTCGAGTTAGGATAGGTTATTCGAGAGCAAGACCGTCTGTGAATATTACAAATGGGCCATTGAATGGATATCAGTATAGGTAAGAAACATTACTTCGTCAGTCGCGTGCGGCTGTGCGTCGCGGTCAATAATTTATATTTGCTTTGCTTTCCGACCGCGACGCACAGCCGCACGCGTCCGGGAAAATCGTCTGGAAAAGGGCGTCACGGTGTTGCGCTCTGCAAACATGCATACACAAAAGTTGTCCGCTAGAGCGCATTTTCTTGCTTTGTTTCGTAGGTTAAATTAAGGCCGTCCGTTTTTTTTAATAGAATTTTATACTGAAACTGGAACCCTTGAGGAGCAAGCAGAGGACCAACCCGTTAAAGGGTTAGTTTCCCCTCAAAAAAAACCGGACGGCCGGAACCCTACGAAACAAAACAAGAAAATGCGCTCTAACACAAACAAACTTTCTGTATGTACTTGCAACATCGTGACGCCTATTTGCAGACAATTTTCCACCCTCGCATAATTCCAGAGTTTGATCCGTTTGATCTCTAAAAATAGCGAAAGGGCGTGAGAATTAGGCAAAAAAAACTTTTCTGAGAGAAAAAGCCTTGCTTTCAGAGTTCAACGAATCGACTTCCATTTCGGCAACACAACTCACAATGGAAGTGAGCACACAATAAACGGTCGAAGATATCCAATGGAAGTTCAACTCGTCGCATTCAACACCGATATTTACCCCAACTTCACGACCGCTTCAAAAAGCCCGCATGGAATTGCGATTCTATCAATTCTTGTAGACTTTGGTGAGGAAACAAATATGGAACTTCTCAAGATGACGATTGCAACAGCTAGTGTGACTTATAAAGACAAACGGGTGCAATTGGCTGAATTTGAGCCGTGGAGGCTACTGCCAATGACGAGAGATTTGATAACTTATGAGGGTTCTTTGACAACACCTGGATGTGATGAAACAGTTACGTGGATTCTGCTGAATCAACCGATTTATATCACTAAAGATCATGTGAGTAAAAATCGAGATTTTTGGAGGAAGTGAGCTTGAATATTGGTTTTCATTCCTAGGACAGACAGGTCCAAGAAATTTCGAATGATATAAATTTTTATGACGTTACGTTACCCATAGGTGACTTAGGGACACTTATCCGATCTGAACAATTGAAGGTTTTTAAATCACTCATGGGTAAAATTTTTCATGACGTTACGTTACCCATAAGTGATTTAACGATTTTTAGTTGCTAAGATCAGCTAAGCGTCCCTAAATTACTTATGGGCTAAGATATGTGGGCCACCTGTATGGGCCACATATACATATGGGTGACGTAAAATCATAAAAATTGATATCGTCCGAATTGTCTCAGACCTGTTTATCCTAGGAATAAGATTAAAACCCAATACTTCAAGTGACTTGTTCAAAAAATATGAAAATGACATTTTGTCGATTTAAAGACAGTTATGGGGTGATTCAGGTCGAAAAAAAAAACTAAAAAAAAAAACATTTTTTTACAAAAAAAATTCGATTCAGCAAATGTCAAAAAACTATATTTTTTTCCACACAAAAATGAGAGATATCTCGCAGCGAAAATAATTCAATGAAAAAAAATGTCAAAAAATGTCGAGAAATAGAAAAAAAATATAGTTTTTTGACATTTGCTGAATCGAATTTTTTTTGTAAAAAAATGTTTTTTTTTAGTTTTTTTTTTCGACCTGAATCACCCCATTAGACAACTATATTTCGATTTTTCTCGAAGCTTACTGTCAAAAATTGTTGAACATGAAAGGAACCCGTAAAAAATTCCGAGACTGAGAAAAAAAGGGCTGAGAAAATTCTATGTTTTCAAAATTTCAAATTACCCAAAACGTCCAGCGGATTGGTGTGTGTGTGCAAACACTGCAACACACTTTTGCGTACAGGAATATTTCTGTTCTGTTTGGTTCAAATATGTAAAGAGGCTTCGTGGGTGGTCTGGGTTAACCGGGATAACTGTCCAGTAGCCCTTCCACTTTCAATATGTATATTTTTCAGTTCTTCGAATGGTCAAAACTCTACTTCAGCCAAGAGAGTCAAATAAAAGCACCAATCGGTCCAAACTATCGTGCGACTCAAAAAACGAACAATCGCCTAGTTCGAACCAATATTCAACACAAAACCAATCACAATTGTAAACTATCCGTCGGACGTGTATTCTATCGTGCCAATCAGTATTCGATGCGAAAAAATTAGCTGAATTGACAACATTTTCCTTATTTTTATTAATGAAGCCTTTCTCTATATTTTTGCTAAATAGTTAGTTACGAAACCAGTTTTTGGGGTGGTGGTTATCTTGACTTGTACTACTACTATTATTACCAAATTGGAGAAGAAGAATAGAAGAGGAGAGAAGAGAAAATGAAGAAAATAAAAATAAGATGAAGAACAAGCGGGTTTAGATGCGGATTGGATTGATAACACTGTGTTTTCTGTTCGGAATGGCAAAATTAGAATGTGTGAGAAGATGATGAACGATTTTGGGTAGAAATCAGGACACAGCTGGAGTTTTGAGAAGAGGATGGGATTAGGTTAGATCAGACCTGAGACGAGTTCGGAAACTACCGTGAAACCTAAAAAGATGATTTCGCGAGTCTGAAACCCCGTAAACTTTGTTTTAAAAAATTCCCAGGGCATTTTTTCGATAAAACCAAGTTTTTTGGGATTATTTTCAAACATTTTTTTGAAAAGTATGATTTTTTCGTGAAAAATTTTGAACGTAAAAATCGTGAACGTGAAAAATCCCAGGTCTGGGTTAGGCATTTAAATGAGCTTCAAATGCGGTCAAGTTCAAATCGTACTGTACGCAAGAGTTCGTCACAGTGTTTGCACTGGTCAAAACTTCAAACTTGGCCTTAAAGTCCTAAGGCCTATAAAAAGCCTGGAGACTACTACAAAACTGTGTTCAGTCAAAAAAGTCTAGTACCCAACGGAATGGAACGGTACGGCCTTAAGCCTTGGCCTACTCTATTTTACCAACAATGGTTAAAAAAACAAATCTTCCCCTCACTGAAAATTACAACAAGAAAATCTCTTGCAACAATCTAAACCATATCTGCCTTCACAGATCAATCATCATACTGAAATTATTCATTTATGCATGCAAAAACAAATGACGTCACGATTTTTTTACAAATTGTGACCTCTGCCCTTATCATTTGGTTCATAGAATCAAATAGTATTGTCAAACTGGTCTTCTCTTTGGGATAAATATTACCATAACAATTTGATAAAACAATAACAACAAAACCAGCAATATTGTGTGTTGGCAAAAATGGGCGGAGATGGAATTGCGATAGGCATATATAAAAGGCATAATCGGTTCTTGAATTCTATATCGTTTTTGTTCAGCTTCTTCTACTTTTCTATACATTCTTATATCATCATTTTTTCGGTTTTTGCAGATGACCTACCTTCGATCGGTAGTTCTTCTACTTGTCGTTTCGACACAAGTCCACTCGTTCCTCTTCCCATCAACCGGAGGAGGAGGTGGTGGAGGATGTGGATGTGGAGCCCCACCACCCCCACCATCTTGCGGAGGCGGATGCGGAGCCCCACCGCCACCCCCAGCATGCGGAGGAGGATGCGGAGCCCCACCACCCCCACCATCTTGCGGAGGCGGATGCGGAGCCCCACCACCACCCCCAGCTTGCGGAGGAGGATGTGGAGGAGGAGGCGGAGGCGGCGGAGGCTGCGGGGGAGGAGGAGGTGGAGGCGGATATGCTCAAGCTCCATCTGGCGGAGGATGCGGAGGAGGAGGCGGAGGCAGTGGATACGCTCAAGCCCCATCTGGCGGAGGAGGATACGCTAGCAGCGGTGAGTACGCGTTGCCACAGAGAAACTTAACTTAAATCAATAGAGCTAAGGTGCTCCTTAAACACTCTTAAATTAGTTTTAACCGTGTTTTTATTAAGATTAAGGTTTTAGTGCATTCAAAACCCCAGGCTTGCTTACAGTAAGTTCAAATTATTGACACAGACTTTCTCATATATAGAAGGACACCCCCTTTAGGGCCAAAATATTTTTCGGGTCTAGAAATTTTCTTTTGAATTTCCACTAACTTGAGAATTTAAAACTTCTTGTTAAAGACACAAGAACCACAAAGATCTCACGATTTTTTTCAAATGACAAAAACAGCATGTACGCTCTATCGCTTCTTTGTATGCAAAAACTTTTCAAAATCCCAATAACAAACTTTTTCGTACATTTCTAGGTAGTCTTGTGTCTTTAATTTCAGACTCATTATAAATGAAAACATATTCAAATTTCTTTCAGGAGGAGGCGGATATTCCGGAGGCGGAGGAGGCGGAGGATACTCAGGAGGAGGCGGAGGAGGCGGTGGATATGCCGCAGCTGCCCCACCTCCACCACCCCCACCCCCACCACCACCACCAGCACCAGCTCCAGGACCAGCTCCATCCGGCGGAGGCGGATACGATCAAGCAAGTTCGGGCGGAGGCGGCTACCCCCAACGCTTTTCGCGATTCTTCAACAAACAATAGAGAGAGATGTGTGCGCGGCGATTCTAACCCTGTTAATTTTATGTCCCCATCACCATCTTCACCATCTTTTCTGTATACCTTCGATTTTCTCGCAGAATTGTCCTTGTATGTATATAAAGTGTCAACGTCTGAGTTTTGTGTATAGTTTAGAAATGCATGGAAAACAAATACATCAAAAGAGCAACAACGTCAACAACTTGTGTCTAAAACTAACTGCATGAAAATTTCAGAGTTTTTTTTCAAAGCGCGCTCTATTGAGAACACACTCGCACTACCTGAGTCTAGTTTTTCATGTCAAACTTTGACCCAAAACATGTCATGGGTTATTTTTCACGCTAAATCTGATCAAATCTGGGGCCGGACGATAAAGTTCCAATTTTTTTTCAAAAATTTTATTATTTCTTGCTAAAAATACAAAATGTCTGAACTAGAATTAACTTTCAGGAGTGCCTTATATTTCATATCCGACTTTGAAATTAAAATTTCGTCGATCCTAACTAAGATCTACACTGATGTCTCCTCAAATTTTCTCGAAACCATCTTTTCTGGCCATTTTCGAGGTAATACCACAGAACTCCAACTTTATCTTGAAGTTTTGACATTACTGGATTTCCGATGTTCATCTTGAACTTCAGATCTAGACCTTCAGGAGCTTACATACCTAATTCGATATTCTATCAGTGAGTTCTATCAATAAAAATGCGATTCTAAAGTTCCTGATGGTCTGAAGTTCAAGATAAACACCTGAAACCAATTTTCTAGATGTTCGTACTGGAGACATCAGTGCAGATCTTAGGATAGATGAAATTTGAATGTTAAAATCGGATATGAGATATTAGGCATAGTATTTTCAGCAAGAAATAATGAAAATTTGAAAATTCTGAAAAACAATCTCACATTTGCAGGGAGGCGCTTCTGGAGGAGGTGGATATTCTGGAGGTGGAGCCGCCGAAGTTGCACCAGCCCCAGCACCAGCACCTTCAAGTGGAGGAGGATATTCAGGAGGAGTAGGTGAAGAAGCTGCGCCAGCACCCTCAGGTGGAGGATATTCAGGAGGTGGTGAAGAAGCCGCGCCTGCCCCAGCATCAGGAGGATATTCTGGAGGTGGAGGCGAAGCTGCCCCAGCTGCACCATCAGGAGGATATTCTGGAGGTGGAGGCGAAGCTGCCCCAGCCGCACCTTCAGGTGGAGGATATTCTGGAGGCGGAGGTGAAGCTGCACCAGCTGCACCATCGGGAGGATATTCAGGAGGAGGTCAAGAAGCCGCGCCTGCCCCAGCTGCACCTTCAGGAGGATATTCTGGAAGCGGAGGTGGAGAAGCTGCTGCACCAGCCCCATCATCAGGTGGTTATTCGGGAGGAGGTTCTGCAGGAGACGCAGGAGGTAGCAACTATTCGGGAGGAGGCGATGCAGCCCCACCTCCACCTCCCCCACCTCCACCTCCACCTCCACCAGCACCAGCTCCAACTTATTCAGGAGGAGGAGGTGAAGCTGCACCAGCCCCAGCTGCTGCCGGAGGGTATTCTGGAGCCGGGGGAGCTCCAGCTGGAGCAAATTACGATGAAGCTCAAGAGGAGGTTGAAGAGTACGAAGGGGGTAACCAAGGATTCAGAAACCGACGATTCTCCAAAGGCGCCATCACTGCTGAAGAATCGGATGTCTGCAACTCAGTAAGACTTCGGAAACTCATCAGACAGGTAGGCACGGTATTCTAGGTTTTTTCTCTAAATTCTCCTTCAGAGTCTCACCGACGAGCCGGAATCCTCAATGCAAAAGCTCGCCCTCCGCGTCAAAAACCGTCTAGTCAGTGGCGAATTCTACGTGGCTTGCGGTGAGCAAGGAATCGCCCCGTTGGACGGAGAGCTCCGCGAGCATTGTTTCGTCAAAACCGACACCTTTGCCTGTTATGTTTTGAGAAAAGCCTAAGCAAATAAATTATTTATTTATTTTTATTTTTTTTTTGATGATGAATGGATAGAATAGAATTTTTGTTCAAAGAAAAAAATATTTGCACAGATGTTTTGTTTTCAGAATATAAAAGATAAAAGTGTCGGAAAGTTTGGCGATTTACTATAACTAAATGAAAATACTATTGCTCATATTAGTTTCTTCAGTGCTCTCAGAGGATTGCACAACGAATAAGAAAGAGACGAAATGCACAAGTATATTCGATGACTTGCAAAATTGCTATAATTCCACGTACAAACCGATGTTGGGCGATTGCCTGGTGACGTGTAATGCATGCGATTCGTATACCTGCACAAATCCCCAACCAGATACAACCCTAAATTGCACGGCATTGATAGCTCAATGCGATTCTCCAACTTTCGGCGAATTTATGAAAGAGAAATGTCCGCAAACTTGCGGCAAGTGTAATCGGAAAAATGCGAATCTTTGTAGCAATCGAAGTGAAGCGGAAGTTTGCACAGCTATGTCGCCCTTTTGTAACACTGTGGATTTCTATGATCTTTTGACTACACAATGCCCTTCCACATGTAATCGTTGCCTGTTGAATGGGACAACGACACACGGTGGAAGTGGAAGTGGGGAAGGCGGCGGTGGAACTGATGGGAAATGCGTGGATTTGGCTGCAGATTGCGGAGCAAATCATTCGAAATGCTCCAATGCACAGTATGCTCCCTTGATGCATCGATTATGTCCCCAAACTTGCAATTCCTGCTCGACGTGTGAGGATTACAATAAAATGTGAGTCAGAAAACGTCGTGCCAGACAAATGGGAACAGATAATTTCGTGGAGGCGCAGACATTTTGTGTGGTCTCGCAGCGATTCACCTGAGCGACCGGGGAGAGTACGGTTTCGGCAATTGGTCTTGCAGCAATTCACCTAAGCGACCGGGGAGAGTACGGTTTGACGTTTGGTCTCGCAGCGATTCACCTGAGGGGAGAGTACGGTTTGGCGCTTGGTCTCGCAGCGATTCACCTGAGGGGAGAGTACGGTTTGGCGCTTGGTCTCGCAGCGATTCACCTGAGCGACCGGGGAGAGTACGGTTTCGGCAATTGGTCTCGCAGCGATTCACCTAAGCGACCGGGGAGAGTACGGTTTGACGTTTGGTCTCGCAGCGATTCACCTGAGGGGAGAGTACGGTTTGGCGCTTGGTCTCGCAGCGATTCACCTGAGGGGAGAGTACGGTTTGGCGCTTGGTCTCGCAGCGATTCACCTGAGCGACCGGGGAGAGTACGGTTTCGGCAATTGGTCTCGCAGCGATTCACCTAAGCGACCGGGGAGAGTACGGTTTGACGTTTGGTCTTGCAGCGATTCACCTGAGCGACCGGGGAGAGTACGGTATCTTTTTTCTCTGCGTCTCCCCGGATTTGTGTGGTGGCACGACGTGTGAAAAGCCCGCTTCGACCCGGGCCGGCCTGGGTTGGGCTGAAACCACACCTCGGCCATACAATTTTCGAAAATTTCTAAATTTGAGCATTTCAGAGGTCCAAAAACTGAAAATTTACAAAACAAAAAAAATTAAAATGTTAGCGTACACGATTTCGGGGCCCGGCCTGGATTAGGCCGGGCTACAAAAATAGCCCGACATGCCTAAACTTTCCTGAAATTTAAAACAAAAAAACCTTCAGGTGCTGGAAGTGGCATGAGCAAGGCTTTTGCACAAAATACAATCACGATGTTGTTTTGCGAAGTTGCCCCAAAACTTGTGGATTTTGCACGTAATAAATGATTTTTATTGTTTCTTTTACTTATTATTTAATACATGAAAATAAATTTACGTAATTACACATCAAACTCAAAACGTCTTTCAGGCAATTCACATTTCTCAAAAGGAATTCCAACAAACCGCAACATTTTCCTCGAAACCTCATACGAAATCGAATCTCGATCATCTATATAAAATATCCGTTTGACTCGCGATTGAATAATCAATTTTGTACATTCGTTACACGGGAAAAGTGTCACATAGAGTGTGCAATTGTGCAAAGTATCTCGTCGTTTATTGGTTATCGCGTTCATTTCAGCGTGTACCACATATAAATGTTTGCAATCGTCCGGATCCTCTTTGTCCCAGCGGAAAGTATCGTCGTCCACGCCAATCGGGAAACCTTTAAAACCCAAGAAATCTTTTTTTTCCTCAAAAATTCATCACTTACCATTATAACCTGTTGAGACAATCTGATCCTCTTCATCCACTATAACACATCCAACTTGTGTGCAAGGATCTTTACTTCGCTGTGCAGTCATTAATGCTAATTTCATGAAATGTTGATGCTTCTTGGCGTCCATTTTCTGAAGGAAACTAGCTCAAAAGAAAAAATACGTTTGAAAAAATTGTTTGCGCGGGGGTTGTGTATTGACCGCAATTGTTCGTCGTGGTGTTTGCACCGCGTTTATTGATTCGGCGGGACGCTTTTTTTATTTTCGTTTTTTAGCGGTTCTCGTATGTTTTTCCCGTATTTTTGATTTTCTATCAAATCCCAAATGTTGAAAACTACCTCTAGAATAGTTTTTTCTACCCAAATCCCCCGAAAAACCCAAAAATCCCCATTAAATTCCATAAAAATTCTCATTTTCCAGCTATGACAAGTATTGACGAAGATATTCTACTATCCGCTGATGGCGATGATTTCGATCAAATCACTGTGAGTTTACACGTCTTTTTCCATCTGAAAAATCGATTTCTTTTCCAGACTTTCGATGAGGAAGCCTTGTTGGGAGGCGGTAAGTCGACGGAAGACGTAAGTTATTATTCTTTTTTTTTGTTATGATGATGATGATTTTTAATTGATTTCCACTTATTTACATGGTGTTTCTCTTATTTTTCGCGGTTTTCATACATATTTTCTCTATTTTTTAAAACCCACCCAGTTTTTCCCCCAATCCCCCGGTTTTCGCGCCCTATAAAAGTCCCCGGTTTTGCATTATACTGGTATATGTATATTCGTTTTCATCATAAATAAATGATAAATATTGAAAAAGAGATTTTCTAGAAAGAAAGAAAAAGGTGAAAAATAAGGTAACAAGTGTGGGATTGCAGAAAGTTGAGCAGAACTTCGATGATTTGCTACAATCATCCACAACATCGCCGGTGAAGCAGGAGGAGGAAGAAGAAGAAGAGGAAACTGCGATTTTTGGAGAGGAATTGGATTATGATGATGATGACGAGGAACATGAAGATAAAAGACAACGAATCAATCGATTCGCATCGGAAAAACGGAAAGAAGATGTTAGTAGAGTTTTTAAAAATGGAAAACTGAGGTTAAAGTTCGATAAAACTAATTGACGCTTTGAAAAAAATATTCAACATTTAAGTTTCAGCTTCTGGAAAATTGATTTTTGGTTAAAAACTCATATTTTCCAATTAATTTTTGAAGTTTCTTGGGCTGAAAATAATTAAAAATTATTTTGTTTTGAAAAGAAAAAACCCAAGTTCAAATACCACGTGGAATTTCAATTTTCAAAAAAAAAAACATTTTTCTAGGTTTCAAATTTTATTTTAAATTTTGAACAGTATGAGCCTATGGATATTAGAATTTTGTAATAAATGCAGAAAATCCTCGAAAAACAAAATATACAGAAAATTATTTTAGGTTAGAGATAATGTGGAATGGAGAGAGTGCAGACAGAAAATTAAAAATTTCTGTCTAGATTCTCTCAATTTTACGTCGTCTCTAATCTTTTTGAAGATTTTCAGCATTGGAAAAATAATTTTTTTATTACAAAATTCTAATCTCCATAAATAAAGCATGTCAAAATCAAAAAATAAAACTTGAAATCTAGAAAAATGTTTTTTTTTTTGAAATTCCACGTGGCATTTGAATTTAGTTTAAAAAAACGTATTTTTTTTTAAATTCAAGAAACTTCAGAAATTAATTGGAAAATTTGAGTTTTAAATCCAAAATCAAAGGTTTTCCGGAAGCTCAAACTTAAATTTTGAATATTTTTCACAGAATTAGTTTTATCGACTGTTCAAAAAAAAAAAAAATCCCCAAAAATTTCCAGGAACATCTCTCCGAAGAGCCCGAAGACATCAAACCAGGCGACGAAAAGCCGCCAAAAATCCCCTCACTTTTCGAAAAAGAAGTCGAATGTCCCTTTAAAGAGCACAAACAAATTGTGATCAAACTTCGATTCGAAGGCGAAACCCAAGAGCACACATTCTACCCGAAATATCCGGCAATTCAACCACAAATTGTACCTCCAAGGTTGCCGAATGGGATCTCTTTGATTCCAGGGATGGGAGGACCTCCTGGTCCAAATCATGGATCTGCCGGGTTTGGACCAACGTATTTGGAGAAAATGGAAATGTTTCAACAACAAAAACGTGCTCCCGGTGGAATGGGAATTGTGCCAATTATTGCTGGACAATGGGATCAGGCGGTGGAGAATTTTTTGAGGGGAGGAATCAAGAAATCATCGAGAAATTCAAAACGGCGAAGAGATCGAAGCTCGTCGGAGGAGAGTTATTCGAGTTATGATTCAAGTAGTTCGCGGTCGTCGAGAAGTCGGAGTAGATCAAGAAGTTATAGTCCGAAGAGAAGACGGAGAGAGAGTGAGAAATATAGGAGAAGAGAGAGAAAGGATAGAGAAACGAGACGAGGAGGAGATAGAGATAGTAGGAGAAAATATGAGGATAAAAAGAGGCGAGAGGAAAAACAGAAACATGTGGGTTTTTTTGAATTGGTGAACCTAGAATTGGTAAAAATTCTTAAAATTTTATTGAAAAATTGAAGTTTTCAGCTACAAAATCATTTTTTGATGGAGTTTTTTCGTCAACTTCAAGATGAATATCGATTTTTTGAATTTTGAGCTCAGAAAGAGCTTAGAATTGAATTTTCCAGTCTGTGAGCAAAAATTCGTTTAATGAGTTGAGTTACGCTAACTTTTCGATGATTTTTTTGGCAAAAAATCGATATTTGACGAAAAACCTCCAGCAAAAAATGAATTAGTAGCTGAAAACTTCAAATTTCCAATGAAATTAGGACTTTTTTGCGTTTCAAAATTTTTATCCAGCGAAATTCCTAAAATTTTATTGAAAAATTGAAGGTTTCACCTACAAAATCATTATTTGATGAAGATTTTTCGTCAACTTTGAGATGAATAGCGATTTTTTGAAAAAATCATCGAAAAGTTAGCCTAACTCACAAGGGATTTTCAATAAAATGTATGTTTTCTAGTAGTTTTCAACCCGCTGATCACGATTCCGTTGTAAAAATTGCCTAATATGAGTTATAACGTGGCAAATTTGAAAATTCGGGAATTCAGGAGATTCTAGTTTTGAAAATGGTTTTTAAGAAAATCTTATTTTTTTGACCTCCTGTACTGTACAAAAATTGTGAATTTTTCAGTTTTTATCCTCTAAAAATTGTGATTTTTCAATTTTCGATCTCTAAAAACTGAAATTCAGATTTTTCAAAAAATTATACTCTGGTCAGCCACGGCTTGGTCGAGATGTGATTTCAAGATAAATCTGAAATTTGAAGTTGAATTTCAATTCCCATGCTCAAATAACCCTTACCCTTTTCAGGCCACAATCGAAAGTGCACAAGCTCTCGGGCTCTCCAACGATTATCTCGACAAAGTCAAAGAGCAAAAACGGCAACGCGACGAAATTGTTCGACGAAAAGAGGAACGAAGGCATGGAATCGAGGAGAAGGAGATCAAAAAGACATCATCGCCAGCTCCAGTTCCAAATTCGGATCGAGATAAAAAAATGAAGGCGTATTTGGTTGTAAATATCAGTGGGTTGAAACAATTGCCGACGGGGGTTAAGAAGATTGAACAACTCGCCACTGAATTGGGACCAATTAGGGTTGGTTTTGGATTTTTTTTGGGGGGGGGGGGCGGGTTTTGCCACGTCATAGAATTTTGCAGAAAAACGTCGAAAAATAAAATATACAGAATATTATTTTAGGTTAGAGAGAGACAATGTAAAAATTGAGAGAGTGCAGACAGAATTTTTAAAGTACATTTTTAGAGTTATGTCTATATTTTGTGCAAATTTTATTTTTATTGTGATTTCAAGTACAGTGACGTCATCACTAAATATGAAATATTATCGAAAATCTCATGCGCTCCACCGAAATAAACACGCAACGCAGACCGCGGCGCGCCACAACACACACAAATAAGGAAACGATTCGAATTCCCTCCCTTTTTTGTGTGTGTTATGGCGCGACGCGGTCTGCGTTGCGTGTTTATTTCGGTGGAGCGCATGAGATTTTTGATAATATTTCATATTTAGTGATGACGTCACTGTACTCGAAATCACTATAAAAATAAAATATGCACAAAATATAGACATAACTCTAACAATGTGCTTAAAAAGTTCAGAAACCGCACAAAAATTCTGTCTGCGCTCTCTCAATTTCACATGGTCTCTCTCTAACCTAAAATAATATTTGTTCTGTATGTCTTGTTTTTCGACGTTTTTCTGCCTATGACGTGGCAAAAATAGTTTCCCACATAAAAAAAATAAATTTTCAGAAATGCTGGAAATCAAGCGACGACACAGTGTCCGTCGTTTTCAATGCCCACGACAAGGCAAAAGATTTTATGATAAAATATAATAAGTAAGTTTGTCCCCTACTTCCCCTAACTCCAAAAATCCCCGAATTTTTTGCAGCAAAGTGATAACTGGTCTACGCGTTGGTGTTAGTTTAGAGAAACAATGGTTGAATATGTCGGAAATGCCATAATTTTGTGTTGATTGCAAATTTTTATTTGTATAAATTTTTGATATTTATTGATTTGATTTTTGATCTACCGCGCGGAAAATTTGAATTTTCCGTCAAAATTTAGGGTTCAAAATCGATTTCTGTCACAGTCTACCAGTCGCCAGGAGAAAATGAGCAACTTGCCTGCTAACCCGCCAATTCCGATGGCTGAATTCGCCGCCCGACCGCCTGGAGAAGTTCCTGAACCTGCGGCACTTGTGCCGCCACAACCACAGCCGTCTACTTCAGCGCCGCAGCCACAACCAACTACGTCAACCACAAAACCAGAATCAAAATCGAAGAAACCACAGATTCCGAAGATCAACGTCGAGCATCCGAGTGATGATAGCATACCAACTCGAAGAAAGAAATATTGCTGCTGTTTTTGTTGAAAACACAAAAAATCAATCAATATCTGTATAATAGTTTATTTTGAAATGAAGTTTTTCTTTGAGAAATCGTTTTGAAAGATTCCAGTTTCTCTGAAATAACTCAGAACTTGCTGAAAATGCTGAAAATTTCACGAAAAAAAAACAAAAAAATAAATTTGACTACGGTAAACATTATTTAACAGTATTTGTACAACGAAATCTGATCAATTTTTTGTGTCACGTTAAAAATTTTTTTTTCAGTTTTTTATTTTTGTTTTATTTTGTTTTTCAACGAGATAAAAATCTTGCCACGTCTCTTTTGTCAGAAAATACGTGGCGGCCTTTTGCTTGTTTTTCTGGATTTTGTCCAGTCATTGATAATTTTTTGCGTCCGGAAAATGGTGAGTGAGCAGAACATCAAAAATTGAAAAAATGTTTTTGTTTTCAGATTTTGCTTCAACAGTAAACCAATACGCGCTGATCGAATGTTTTGCCTCAATTGAATCTACGGTAAATAATAAATTCCTCTGGCCAGTTCTAATTTTGAATTTTTTATAGCTGGCTTCAGAAAAATTGGAGTCGGCCGATTTACGACTATTATCATCGAAAAACCGATCGAATGATTTTGTGAAGCTGACGTTTCAATAATGAAGATTTTCAACGAAATTTCGGGATTAACGAAGATATTTTGAAGTGTTTTTTCTTGAAAATGAATTTTTTTTGCTTTGTTTGATTTTGATTTTCACTATATTATTGGTACCTACTGTAGTGATTTTTAGCAATAGTAATTTTTCTTTTTGGGTAGACCTGTGACGGAAATTCTCCAGTTTTTCACGGAAAATTTTCCGATTATCCGGAAATTGTGCCCGGAAAATCAGGAAAGTAATTTTTCTTGGTGAAATCTTCATAATCCAATTTTGTGAAAATGTTCCCAAAGTCTCACAAATAATCAGAATTTTCGAAAGTTTTCTGAAATTTTTTTGAAAATTTTTAGATTTCTGGAGCTGAAAACGTCTCAAACAGTTACTAAATCTTCTGTAAATGGATGAATTCCAGTAAAAAAAAACAAGTTTTGCAGTCAATTTGGTGCTGAAAGTTTTTGCTCCCCGTTATCTCAGGGAATAAATTAATTTGGACCATTGTCTCAAAAAAAATTCTCTAAATTTGAGAAATGAAAAAAAATTCACGTGAAAATTTGAAATAAAAACGTGACAAAATTTTTAGTGATCAGATTTCGTTGTATACCTACGGGACTGTGTAAACATTGCGTGTTTGCACACAAATTGTACACACATTTCAACCTACAGTACTCGCGTTTATTTTTTTTCTTTTTTTTTGCAAAGATTTGACGTTACGTGAAAAACGTCCACAAAATCTAATTTTAAAAATTTATGAATAGGTTCATTACAAGCCCCGCCCATGTTGTATTGAACAAAAAAATGTACAAATTTTGTTTATTGTTGGAAAATTGTAGTAGTTTGACATTTCTGCAAAATTTGCTATATAAATGTCGATTTCTCATAAATCAAAATCAGCACAAAATATTCACTATTAGCAACCAACTATACATTTTTTTTTTAAATCTTCATCCAACCTCAAAAATGAAAAGATTTTGGATACGAGAACTATTGTTGCTGGTTTCCTTATTATTCATCCTAAATTTTATGCTCCAATCGAACTTTGCAAAATTCAATAATTTTCGAAAGCCTAAATTAACATCTGCCAAAGGTTTGATAAGTTATGAAGAGGCAAATGAGAAGATTTTCAAGAAATTTGGATATGAAATAATTGAAGAGACTTATCCCATTCCAAAACTTCGGGAAATTGAGGAAAAAAGTTGTGAAATTGTGAATGAGCAATGGTTGAACATCGCAATACAGGATCGAAATATGTCAGAACCACCTAGGACTATTCCGAATTCGCAAGAAGATTTGTATTCTTTGAATGGTTATATGCATATGCAATTTGTAAGTTTTCTAGTAGTTTTCTAACATGAGTTATGACGTGGCAAACTTCGAAAAATCATTTTCAAATCGAAAATCTAACTTGTAAGGGAACTTTTTCCACTCTAAAAATTGATTTTTGGTAAATTTTGACATGGAGATCACGATTCTGCGGTTGAAAACTATGAAAATCGACTCTGAATATGAGTTATGACGTGGCAAAGTTGAAAATTTGCGACTTAAGGAGGTTAAATCGCAATTTTTCAACTTTTCCACGTCATAACTCATATTCATAAGTGATTTCCATAGTTTTCAACCGCAGAATCGTGATCTACAGGTCAAAATTTACCAAAAATCAATTTTAAGTTAGATTTTCAATTTGAAAATGATTTTCCCAACTTTTCCACGTCATAACTCTTGTTGAGTTCTGCAGGTCTATTTTTGCAGAGCTATATGAATGACCGAAAAATTGGTGCAAACCATCCAGTTTATTGGAATGATATAAGTCATCGAATGAAATCGCCACCCACAGATAATTATAGCCCAGATGGTAAATCTGTGAATCATGCGATGAAAGCTGTTGGTGTCAATAATCAAAATGGATTAGTGGTTGGAAGTTTGTCAGCATGGGTTGAAGTTTACGCGTTGAAAAACGGTGCCGCCCATCTGCTAACCGTTGAGTACACCACAATAATCGTTGAGGAAGCATGGAAACATCGAATCGAAACGATTCTTCCAATTGATTTTGTCAAGAAATCCGCGAATTTCTCCAATTCTTTCGATTTTGTTTCGACATTTTCATCGATTGAACATTCGGGTTTGGGAAGATTTGGCGATCCAATGGATGCGATTGGCGATTTTCGAGAGATGCAAAAAATTCGATGCGCTCTCAAAAAAGGCGGACACCTTTTCTTGGGAATTCCCATCGGCGTCGATGGAATTATGTTCAATTTACATCGAATTTATGGACAACTTCGATTGGCTATGATGTTTAGTGGTTTTGAATGGATTGCAACTTATTCGGGAACTTCTGAAAAACCGGTTGATTTGACGGAAACTGTTACAAAATTCAAACCAATGGAGCATATTCAATACACTTTAGTTCTCAAAAAACTGTGATTTTTTCGGAATAATAAACATTTTTCACGAAATCGCTAGATTTCCCTATATTCAGCTTTGCGATACGAATCGAATGGTTAACTTCAAGGTCGCTGAAACGAGCTGAAAATGCTGAAAATTCGACGCGCGAGTCAAAAAAAAAATAAAAAAATGAATTTTCCTACGGTACACATTGCGTGTTTGCACACAAATTGTGCACACATTTCAAACTACAGTAGTCCTATTTATTTTTTTTCGTTTTTTTTTGGGCTGGAATTCCAGGGAAAACTATAGTTTCTTGAAAGTTCCGCAAAAGTTTCAATTTCTAGACTCGCCGATAGAAAAAAGCGTAACCTTTTTACCCGTTTGATTCTCTATGGGAAAACTTATGTTACGGAAGAAATACGGAAATGCCACGTGGCATTTTGAGCCGAAATATGTGGAATTTCAAGTCGCAATTTAGCGGAAAAATAACCGAATTCAAACGTGGGAGACAAACAACAGTTCTGACAGAGGATTTTCACATGAAATTCAAAACAAAACTCCAGTTTCTCGGCTTTTCTGTGAGAATCTGGGTTTCCGCGTGGAATTTAGAACAAAAATAAAGTAAAAACCTGCTTCTTGGCTTTTAAGCAAGAAGTTGGCAACGGAAGAAAAAATAATGAAAAATTAGAAATCCTCGGCATTTTTGTGATGTTCGTTGACAGCTTTTCCTCTGAAAAAATCGAATTTCTAAATTTCTGGTGAAAAAATGCAATTTTGAGCATAGCTTCCGCATTCTATCTGAAATTCCAATTGAAAATTGATAAAATTTGAATTCCGTCAATTTTCAATTAAAATTCCAGAACTTCTTCTTGTTTGGCTAGAAAAACTCACCTAAAATTTCGAATTCTTCGATTTTGCAAGTGTTTTCAGGCGGGTTTTCCATGGTTTTCGAGTTTTTCTGCAAAAAATTCAGATATTTCTTGGAAATCTAGTATTTTCCCCAATAATAGTTGAAATTTCTCTCCTACTTAAATAATTCCACGTTTTCTTTTCATTGAAAAGCGAACCTCGATCTCTCCCTTCACAGTTTTTCCAACCAAATCAAGTCGACAAAGTCGAGAGTATAACCAAAAAGTGACTTAAGGTAACTCATGTCGAGGTTCCTGACAATTGCAATGGCTAATGCTCAACTAAATAAGCTTTACTATCCAGAGTTCGGCTAAGTTGAGCTGTACTTTACTCCAGGAGAGACACGTGGCAAATTATTCGCAAAGAGCGGTAGATTAGGAATTCAGGGGGCACCCCAAAGGAAAAAACGAAAACTCATCTTTAAATATTTGCTGCCATTTTGTTGCTCGCCAAAAATTTGAATGAACTGAAAAAAATTCTCGTTGAAATGACATTTGCCACGACAAATTTCACGTTCACGCAAAAATTTATTTTTTTTTCTCTGCTTTTTTTGTGTTTTTTTTTGCTGAGAAAAAAAAAGCGAACGGGATGCGCTAAATGTTTTCTGTTGCATATAAAGTCCCCTAGTTTTCTGAAAATACCTCTAACTTGCTGAAAATACACTGTATTTTTTCTTGCCAGTTCTGAGAGACGCAGACTTTAACGTGGGCAGACAAATCTCTCGCCGAAAAAGGGAGAGAAATAGTGTGTGGCAGACACACATCGTGTCGAGACCAGCCTCTTTCTCTCTCTGTCTGCGTCTCCTCGGAATTGCATTTTTCTATTAGAAAAAAACACAGTGAATACCGGGTGAAATCACCAGCGCTTCGAAAAAAAACAAAAAAATAAATTTTCCTACGGTACAAATTGCGTGTTTGCACACAAATTGCACACACATTTCAATCTACAGTACTCGCTTTTTTTTCGGTTTTTTTCATTTTTCCCTGCAAAAATGTTCCTTGTCAATTGAAACCGGCTTCGCAAATAATAAATAAATAAAAAAGTTCCTTCTTTTCGGCGAGAATGACGCAAAATGCACTTTTTCATTTTCCCCACAAGATTTTCGCGAAATCCCAATTATTTATGTGTCAATTGAACTGAACTGTATTCATGTTCAACCACAAATCACCGTGCGCGCGACCAAATGCAAAATATTCTTCGTGTCTACGTCTCTTCAAAAGCCCCCCACACTGTGTGTGTGTTTCATATATATTCCTCCTCTCTAGCCGTCTGGCACCCTCGCACTCTCTCGTTTTTGTGGCGGCAATATTTATGTTGTCTCTATTTTATTTCATACTTATAGATATATTCTGAATGTATATTCAGAAGAATACATTTTTTTAAATTTCTTTAATTTCTTGGTATTTTTGTTTTGTAAGAGTTATGTTCTTCATTAATGTTATCTGAAAATTTCAGAAAAAAATGAATTTTAAAAACTTTTTGTTTCATAATAATTTTGCTTTCTAGAAAAATTTCAATTTCACAATTTAGTTTTTCTCACATTATGAACAAGTTCTTTTTAAGTACACTCAAAAACATTTTAGGAGGAGAAATGTTTGAAAAAAAAACAAATATCGATTGATTTTCGCTTTTCGCCCCGATCGCACTTTTTTTTGTTGTTGCTTTCTGTCGCTTTTTGAGAATTGAATTGAATTGAGGTTTTTGCAGGTAATAATAATAAAGAAATGACGGTTCGTGAGAAGAAAAAATTGGTGGAATTTCCGAGTTTAGGAAGTTTTTCGCAATTTTATAAAGGGTAAGTGTTATATCTGACTTTGTAATTGAAAATAATCGTAAATTTTGAGCTAAAAATCACGATCCTGTTGTTAAAAACTGTGAAAATCAAGTCTAAACAAGAGTTATGACGTGGCAAATTTCGAAAATCAAAATTCCAACTTATAAGGGAGTTTTTTCAACTCAAAATTGATTTTTGGTAAATTTTGACATGAAAATCACGATTCTGCGTTCAAAAACTGTAAAAATCAACTCTGAATATGAGTTATGACGTGGCAACGTTGAAAAATTTCGATTTGAGGAGGTAAAAGTGATTTTCACGAAAATCTTGGGAAAATCCTCCTCAAGTCGCAATTTTTCGATTTTGCCACGTCATAACTCATATTCAGAGTTGATTTACATAGTTTTTGAACGCAGGATCATGATCTCCAGGTTAGAATTTACCAAAAATCAATTTTGAGTTGAAAAAGTTGCCTTGCGAGTTGGAATTTTGATTTTCGAAGTTTGCCACGTCATAACTCATGTTTAGACTCGATTTTCAGAGTTTTGACGGCAGAATAGTGATCTCCAGGTTGAAATTTGCTAGAAATCGATTATTTTCAATTACTAAGTCAGATTTCAGCCCAAAAAATGCTAGAAGACCTAAGAATCTCCCCAAAATCAATACAAAAATTTTGCAGCCGCTCAAAATTCGCCGAAACTCTCACCAACACAATCGCCGATGTCTACGAATGGTCAACCAATCTACAACCCTCTTCCGACAATCTCCCACTTCCTTTTGTGTCGAAAAACGACGAAGTTATCTGGTCTTATTTGAAGCATCAAAATCGACAATTGGAGGGGTTCAATAGGAGATATAAGGATGTTTTGGGGGAGTTGAGTGGGAAAGAGTTTATTGAAGTGAAGCAGAGAAGATCGGAGGAGGAGGAAGAAGATCTAGATGAGGAGGATGAAGATCAGGAAGAAGATCTAGATGAGGAGGAGCTTGAAGACGAGGAAGATCTAGAAGACGAGGAGGATGTAGATCTTTTTAACTTGAAAGATTCTGATTTGAAGAATCTTGACGCTGATTTGAAAGCGATGGAAGAATCAGATTCAGATGATCAAGAAGAAAATGAAATTTCGAAGGCAGAACCTCCCAAAAAATATCGCAAAAGCATAGTTGACGATGCATTCTTCAGTCTGGAAGAGATGAATAACTTTCTGGAGAAAACTGAGAGAGCTCCTGGAACTCAGGAGCAGATGTTTGAGGATGAGGATGATTGGGATGGCAAGACGACCTATACCTATGAGGATTTTTTTGGCGCCCGGGAGGAGGTTGAGGAAGCACCGGTTGGGAAGAAGAAGAGAAAAGCTGAAGCTGAAGAAGTTGCCAGTGAGAAGAAGAGGGTTAGATTTGCGATGGATGAGGAGGAGCAAGAAGATCCAGAGGAAGATCAAGATCCAGAGCCAGAAGATCAAGAGGGCCCGGTTTTGTTGGGAGGGGATCTAGAAGCAGAAGAGAACGAGGAGAGCGAATATTCTAAGCGACAAAAGAAGATGCGACAGCAAATCGCCAAGTTGGAAGAGGAGAATTTGAAGCCGCGCAATTGGGAATTGTCGGGAGAGGTGGCGGCGGAGCAGAGGGAGAAGAATACGTTGTTGGAGCAGCATGTGGATTTTGATCATGGAGCGAAAAGAGGTGAGAAAATTGGACATTGGCTCAATTTTAAACGTGGAGTGCGAGATAAAACTTGAATTTTTGCACGGTTTTTATTAATTTTGAAAAGTTTTCATTAAAAATCCTTCGAGGAATTTACTAATTGCAATTTTCTATCGTACTCCACCTTTAAAGGGACATACAAAAAAAACACTAGAAAAAATTGTCAAATTAAAAAATTTTCAAGCTTCAAAATGCTATTGTATTTACTGTAAAAATTTAAAAAAAAATGGAAACTAATTTTTTTGCCATGTGGCAATTTCTATTTCATTTTTTTAAAAAACTGGGTTTTTGAACTGAAGATTCTCTAGGAAGTCACGAACTTTCAAAATATCAGTTATGACGTGGCAAATTTGGAAAACATTCATTTTCAAATCGAAATTCTGACTGATAAGCTTGAAATGGAACTTTTTCAACTCAAATTTGATTCGAAAAAAACTTTGAAAAATGATTTTAAAATCATATTTCAATTTGTAAGCTTACAAGGGAACTTTTTTCAACACAAAATTGATTTCTAGCAAATTTTGACCTGGAAATCACGATTCTGCCGTCGAAAATTGTAAAAGTCAACTCTGAGTATGATTTATAACGTGGCAAAGTTGAAAAATTTGCGAAGATTTTCGTGAAAGTCGCAATTTTTCAACTTTGCCACGTCATAACTCATATTCAAAGTTGATTTTCATAGTTTTCGACCACAGGATCGTGATTTTCAGCTCGAAATTTACTAGAAATCAATTTTGAGTTGAAAAAGTTCTCTTACAAGTTGGAATTTCGATTTGAAAATGATTTTTCGAAATTTGCCACGTCATAACTCATGTTTAGACTCGATTTTCACAGTTTTAACGACAGGATCGTGATTTTCAGCTCAAAATTCACCAGAAATCAATTACAACATCAAATTTCAGCCCAAAAGGCTTTCCTTGAGATTTTTTCACATGTTCAGAATTCAAAAATTGATTTTTTGCAGCTCCCGAAGTCACCGAAGAATTCACCGATAAACTCGAAGAACTCATCAAGCAACGAATTCGCGACAAAGCCTTCGATGATGTGGTTCGTGTCAAGAAAATCGAGAATAAGGGAGCAAAATTCGAAACGGAAGCTTTGGAAAATATCCATAATCAGAAGACGACTTTGGCTGAAGTTTATGAGAAGGAATATCAGGAGAAAACCGAGGGAAATTCAGGATCTGATGGAAAAAGTGTGGTAAATGAAGCTCACGAGAATATCAAATCAAAAATGAGCGAACTTTTCGGATTAATCGACACACTCACACATTTCGAATATAAACCAGCTGATGCGAGAGAAGATGTCAAGATTGTCACGAATATTTCGGCGTTGAGAATTGAAGAAGTTGGTGCGATGGCCTCGTCGGAAGGACAATTGATGGCGCCGGAAGAAGTGGCGAAGAAAATGAGAGCGGCTGAATTGAAGGGTGAAGAGGAACGAGAGAGAACGGATAAATTGAGGGAGAGAAGGAAGAAGAAGAGCAAACAGAGGTGATTTGGGCGGGGAATTTGAGGAAAAATCTGAATTTTCAGTCAGAATTTTGAACTGTTCAGAATTCTGCTAGTAATTTGAATTTTTGCCACAGAAAAAAATACGTTTCAAAATCTAAATTTTATTTTTGAATTTTGGGAGTTGCCGCTTCACTCAAATTTATTGTTTCTGAATCCAAGTTCTTCTGATTTGAATTTTGGGAATTATCAAGATTTCTAGATCCCGCTGAAAATCTGAAAATTTCAAATTTTTGAAATTACAAAACATGAGATTTTCTGGATTTTCAAATACGAAGAACTTTAGTAGCAATTTTCATACAGTCAAAAATTCATCTAATAATTTTGAAACGTATTTTTTTCTGAAGCCAAAAATTCAAATTTTGAATTTTTAAATCAGAATTCTAAAAAAAAACCATTGCTCATGTTAAAGACACACAATCCACTAGAAATGAACAGAAAATGAGTTTGTTATTCTTTCATAACACCTTTCAAGTAATCGGAATTCATAAAAATCAAGAAAAAAATTTTGAGTCTGGCAAAAGTGAAAAAAACAAAATAATTGTTTTTGAAATCGATCAGCCGACGGGATTTTCGAAAGAGTTTGCACACAACGAAGCAATAGAGCGCACATGCTGTTTTTGTCATTTGAAAATAAATGCGGGAAATCTGTTTTTTCCAGTGGCTGATGTGTCTTTAACTTCAAAAATTCAATTCAAAATTTTGGAATTTTCAAGAAAAAAAAATTTGATTTAAAAATGAAGAAAGATGAAATCAGAAATTTCCAACACTCAAAAATTCATCTAATAATTTTGAAACGTATTTTTTCTGGAACAAAAAATTGAAAATTTGAATTTTTGAATCAGAAAAAAAACATTGCTCATGTTAACTTCAAAAATTCAAGTCAAAATTTTGGAATTTTCAAGAAAAATATGAATTTCGTCTAGAAAAATTTTGAAAATATTAAATTTGCTGTCAAATTTTTGAATTTTTTTTTCAAAAACGCCTACAGTAATCTATTTCCTCTGAAAATTTGTCAGAAAATTCCAGAAAAATGGTTTCAAAATTTTTTTTTAAAATGAAGAAAGATGCAATCAGAAATTTCCAAATTTGAAAAACTCATCTAATAATTTTTAAACGTATTTTTCATAGGAAATTTTTAAGATCATTTCAAAGTTTATTTTTCAGCCCGAAAATAAATTTTTAAAAAAATAAATTTGAATTCGGGAAAAGACAGAAAATTTTTTGAATCTAATACTATGAAAATTCTGATTTTAAAATCAAATTTCGGACAATTTTTTAAAGATTTAGAGACATTCTGCGATATAGACATTATAGAAAAATTGGCTATTTCAAACAGTCAAAAATTCATCAAAAAATTTTGAAACGTATTTTTTTCTGGAACAAAAAATTCAAATTTTGAATTTTTTAAATCAGAAAAAAACCGTTGCTCATGTTAACTTCAAAAAAGGGACGAAAAATTCAAAATTCGAGTTTTCGTATTAGAATTCTCAAAAACCCATTGCTCATGTTTATCTCAGGCATTGCTCAGATTAAAATCGTACAAAAGTCTGAAGCAGCTCTGAAAATGTATTACTGTAGGTGTTTTAAAGGAACACTGGATTTTTGAGCTCGAAATTATTTTTTCTGAAAAAAATTAAATTCGTGGCCAAACTCAAACATAAAATTTTCTAAAACAATGTCATTGCTCATATTAATTGCTCATTTTCTTCTTTCAGAGCTCTCGTCGAAAAACTCGGAGAAGATCGCGTTTTCGGCGAACAAAAAGCCGCAAAACTCGCCAAAAAAACAGCCAAAGAAAATGGCGGAGCAGGAAAAGCTGAAAAATTGAAGAGCTCGAATTTCTTCTCGAAACTTCAGGCAACTGTGCAACAGGAGAAATCGACGAAAACCACGAAGAAAATTGTGAAACGTGTGAAGAGTGAGAAGAATAGTGCGGCCATTAAGCTATAAATTTTGGATTTTTGAATTTTTTTGTTATTTTTTTGTTTGTTGTTAAGAAATTGTTGAATTTTTCATGTTTTTTTTTTGCTAAAAACTATGGTTTTCAACCATTTTTATACCTATTTTTGAGTGAAAACTCGAAAAAATCGATTTTTTGCAGGGTTGAAACCGTTTCCAAGATTTTTAAAATTCGAAAATGAACTACGGAATGCCGGGAACACCACAACAAGGTCAAGGTCCGCCGCCTGGATATCCAGGACCACCCGGACCACAGCAACAGGGACCACCTGTTGGTTGGGCAGCGATTCAGGCAAAGGTACAGTTTACATTTAGAATTATGGGCGGGAAACTTATAATTTTCGAAAAAATGCAATTTTAAACGATGCTCCGCAATTTATACCTGGGTTTTAAGGCGGGAAACTTAAAATTTTCGTTTAAAAAAATTCAATTTTTATTTTAAACGATGCTCCGCGATTACACCTAGGTTTTTAGGCGGGAAACTTAGAATTTTCGACTTTTTCGGCTGAAAATTGAAAAATATTGTTTTTACAAAATTTTTCAGAAATATTTTCAGTCTGAATTTGGTCTGAAATTAAAAATCAAATTAATTTTAATTTTAATTTCGAGAAAAAAAAGATTTGGAATTTTTTTAAAAACATTTTCAGCCTAAATTCAGCCTCCAATCGCAGTACAAATTAATTTTAAATTTAATTTTCGGAAATTAATTTCTCAAAATTAAATTTATATTTTGATTGGAGGCTGATGATGTGAAATTTAACTAAAAATCTTGCTCAAAAATTTTTTTCTGAAAAAAAATATTTCGAAAATTCCTCCCCACGTGAACTCTTTTTTTTTCTCACGCAACCCAGTTTTTTTTCCTAAAAATCCTCATTTCTAATTCCCAATGTTCAACAATTTCGCAAAATTGAGCATTTCTGATGGTTTTGAGCTCAATGTACCTTTAAAAATTGCTCTTCTCATCAAAAAATGAATTTTCTCAGCTCCATCATCAACATCAAACACAACATCAGCAACTTCAACTTTCTTTGCAAACTGGCCAAATCACACAAGCACAATATGGTGTAGCGCTTCAAAATTGTGAGTTTTTTTTAGATTTTTAAGAAAATAATTGAAATTTTGCAGTGAATATGAAGGTTAATACAATCATGCAACAACAATATGCCGCTTTTCATCAGTGAGTTTTTTTTATTGTAACTAGACTCTAGTTTCTCCCCCAGAAAAATGATTTTTTTCTCAAGAATCTCTGAAAATTGATTAATGTAGGCGTTTTTAAAGGAACATTGCAAGTTTTAAAAAACGAAAAAAATTTGAATTCCTAGAAATTTCGCGGAAAAAATCCACGTGGCTCTAAATTTGAATTTAAGAGCAAATTCCCGCCAAAGTTCCACGTTGCTCTGAATTTGGATTCTTTCGAATTTGAAAATTTTCCCACCAAAAATCATGGTGACACAAATTTGAATTTAACATTTTCCCGCCAAAAATCCACGTGGCGCTGAATTTAAATCAAAATTCCTATTTTTATTCTAGATTTTTGTCTGTAAATTTCAGAATTTTATTAAAAAATCTCACATTTTCTTTTATTTTGTGCTAAAAATCCACGTGGCAAAATTTTAATCAAAAATTTATTTATTTTAAATGAAAAAATAATCCAGAATTTTAAAAATCCTTGATTTTCACAGTAGAACTCTAGATTTTTGGATTTTTGTCTGAAAATTTCAGATTTTTTATGAGAAATGTCGAAAAAACATTGTAGGTCAAAATTAGTTTTTCGAGTTTTTCAGCCAAAAATGATGACAAATCAATATTTTTGAAGGTTCTGGTGTGATTTCTAATGAAAATTGACCTTGGACTTCACTATTCAGAAATTTTTGCTGAAAATGAGGTTCTCGAAGCGAATTTTCATCAGAAATCACTCCAGAAGCTTCAAAAATCTCGATTTGTCATCATTTTTGGCTGAAAAATCAGCTCTACTGAAAATAGGCCAAAAATCCACGTAGCTCTGATATTAAATCGAAATTTTATAGCTAGAAATCCACGTGGCAAAAATTTGATTTCCTAGAATTTTCGTGACTATCTGAAACAATTAAAAAACATCCAGAATCTTTAAAATCCCTGATTTTTTGTCTGAAAGTTTCAGATTTTCATGAAAAAATCTTCTGAAAACAGGCCCCAGAATTCGAAATTCCAGACGCTACCCAAATGAAGCAGTTTGGCGTCAACAACAACAGCAACAAATGGCAGCGGCTGCGGCTGCCGCAAAAGAACCGCAAACCGCCGCCGAACGCAAGAAAATGACGCAATTAATGGAGATGCAAAAACAAAGAATGGCTCAACAACAACAACAACAAAATCATATGATGATGGGAAGACCCGGTGCACCGGGACCACCAATTCCATATCCACAAGGAACCCAACCTGGAATGATGCCAAGAATGCAAATGATGTATCCACAAGGACCGTCGTCTTCCGGTGGACCGGCAAGTGTTCAAGGAGGACCGCCGAGTGTGCAATCGGCGATTAATGCGTCGCCACAGTTGGCGCATAGTTTGCAGCCTTCGACGCCGAGTAAGAGTTTTGTTTTGGACAATTGTTGATTCTGGCCAAATTTTTCTCAAAAATTGGTTAGAAATTGACCAAAAATCTGAAAATTTGGCTAATTTTTGATTTTGGCCAATTTTTGATAAATTCATTGTTTTGGCCAAATTTTGCTCAGAACTTGACCAAAGATCCCGAAATTTAGTAAATTGTTGATTTTGGCTAATTTTTAATAAATTTACTGTTTTGGCCAAATTTTTCTCAAAAATAGGTTAGAAATTGACCAAAAATCTGAAAATTTGGCTAATTTTTGATTTTGGACAAATTTTACTCAGAAATTGACTAAAGATTCTAAAATTTGGCCAATTTTTGATAAATTCACTGTTTTGGCCTAATTTTGCTCGAAAATTGTTCAGAAATCACAAAATTTGGCCAATTTTTGATCAATTCACTGAAATTTCCAAAAATCTGATTAATTTTACCAAAAGTGAAGCCGAATTCAGAATTTTTGATTTTTTTTCTAAATTTTGAAAATTTCAGTTTCCACCTGAAGTCAAAAAAAATACCTGTGAATTTTTAGAGCTTCAAAAAATCAGTAAAATTTCAAAAATATAGTTTTCGACCTGCTGATCATGATTCCATTGTCTAAAATTACAAAACTCAACTTCTAATATGAGTTATGACGTGGCAAAGTTTTTCTCTTCGACCTCGAAAAAATAGGTTTCAAAAAGTTTTCATATAGAAATTTGAGTTCGAAAAAATTATCGCTGAACTACTGGCTATGCTATCAGATTTGTATGAAAATAATTTGCGAACGTAGTTTTCAGCTCCTGAAATCTCGAAATTTCGAAGTTTGCCACGTCATAACTCATGTTAGAAGTTGAGTTTTGTAATTTTAGACAACGGAATCATGAAAACTACTAAATAGAAAACATTTTTAATTTCCAGGATACCCAGAACACGGTCCCCCATCAATCCCAGCACCCGGAAGTATTCCCCAACCCGGAAGTGTTCCACAAGACGACCCGCAAAACGTGGAATACATGAAAGTGCTACGAGAAATGAAGGCCGAATATTTGGAGCGGGTAAAAGCGATCTACGACAGATGTACCATGGAAAAAGTCGATAAACCCAAGGGTATCTCACAATTATTGGAAATCTTAGAAGAGAAGCGGAAAGTTCCGATCGCCACGTTGCACAAAGTTCGACCATCTTTGGTGGTATTGGTGACGCGAGATTGTTTGACATTTCCATTGATGGATGAATTGAGGCGGCAATTATTTGAGGATAAAGATGAGAGAGATAAAGCGCTTGCGAAGACGCAGAAAACGATGGAAACTATTGTGGTGCAGCCGACGACTTCGGCGCAAGCAGCGATTGCGAATGCGTCGAGTGGAACTAGTAATTATGACATGAGCGCTGAAGATGATGATGATCCGGAAGATCTGAGGCTTTCGGATAATTGGAAGAGTTTTCGACACATGCGAATTCGAGTGCCGCAATTTGTCAAAGATATGTTGAATGAGCATTATGAAAGAGTTGAAAGAAAACGGAAAATAGAGGGAGAAGATGAGGTGGAAAAGAAGAAATTGAAGGAGGAGGTGGAAATGGTTGAGGAAGTTGAGGAAATTGTGGAAGAGGAGGAGATGGAGGAGATTGAGGAGGATTTGAATGGGGTTGAGACGAAATATCTGGTGAGATTTGGTTTTTTTTTTGCGAAATGCGGTTTCTTGGCGCATTTTTAGCATTCTTGGCTCGAAAAATCTGAATTTTCAACAAAAAATGCTCCAGGGCTCAAAAATTTGAATTTTCCACGAAAAATTCGCCAGGAAAAAGTTTCCTTGACGCATTTTTAGCAATCTTGGTTCCAAAAATTCGAAATTTTGTACAAAAAATGCTCCAGGGGTTCTTTGGCTCGAAAAATCTGAATTTTGTACAAAAATTGCGTCAGCGTAGAGTTTGATTGGCGTATTTCTATTAATTTTAGCTCAAAAATTCGAAATTTTGTGGAGAAAAAATGCTCCAGGGGTTCTTTGGCTCCAAGTATTCGAAATTTTGTACAAAAATTGCGTCAGCTAGAGTTTGACTGACTCATTTTCAGTAATTTTGGCTTTGAAATTCTTAAAATCCTGAAAAATACAAAATTCTCTGTGAAAAATGCGTCAGCGAAGGGTTTCCTTGGGGTATTTCTATTAATTTTGGCTCGAAAAATCGAGAATTCAAAATTTTCTACAGAAATTGCGCCAGCATAGGGTTTCCTTGACGCATTTTTCGCTTTTAAATCTGAATTTAAAATGATTCTACAAAAATTGCGTCAGCAAAGGGTTTCCTTGACGCATTTTTAGCAATTTCAGCCTTGAAATTCTGAAAATCTTTAAAAATTCATTTTTCTACGAAAAACAGCACTCAAACGATTCTGATAAATCTGAAAAATTTCCCGCAATTTTGAATTTAAAAATTGGCTGAAAAATCTAAAATTTCAAGAATTTTCAAGAATTTCTATGAGTTTTCACATTTTTTCTCTCAGTTTCGATATTCTACTGAACATTTGGACTGATTTTCCATCGAAATTTCAACCAGCGAAAATTATGTTTCAAAAATCATAATAATAAAAACCCCTTCTTGAATAGTGATTTTTTGATTAATTTTTGATAAAAATAATAATATTTGGTTTCAAACTAGACTCTAGTCCAGTTAAATAATTTTTCCCTCCAAAAATCTTTAATTTTGAATTTCTCCACAGATTCAATGTCTATTCGACAATCGAAAACCATGGATAATGCCGAAAAAAGCGAGAATCGAGCTGGAAACTGTGAAAGGCTGGTCAATTGATGAATTGTGTTTGCCAGCATGTTCGACGACTCCATTTGTTGTGATCGCTTTCAAATCTCAAGTGGTGGGTTTTGGGGTTTTTGGGAAAATTTATTTACGGGAAAATTGGAAAAAAATCGTGTCAAAGCTCATTTTAAAGTCCAAAATTCGGAAAAATTATCAAAATTTGGGCAAAAAAATGTTCTTCATATTTTTAAGCTTTTTTTCAAAAAGTTCAAAAAAATAATATTTTGTAATAAAAAAAACATTTTTCCTATGCAGAAAAACGTCGAAAATATACAGTTTATTATTTTTGAGTAGAGACAATGTGAAATTGAGAGAGTGCAGACAGACAAATTGATTTTTTGTGCGGTCTGCACTCTCTCAATTTCACATTGTCTCTACTCAAAAATAATAAACTGTATTTTCGACCATACGTCGCATGCCAGGGGTAATCGACCCGTGGAGGGGTTATCCCTCACACCAAATTTTGGAGGGGTTGTCACTTGAGATAAAAAATTTTATGAAATTTTCTCAGTTTTGATGATAATTTTCTCTACATATTCTGCCATAGGGATACCAATTTAACCCTCAAAAAAGTTTCCACATAAATATCTAATTAAATTAGCGGTAGCAGGTCTTCAATAGACCCTTATCAACTATTCTCAACGATAAAATCTAAAGAATTAAGCCTGGTATCAAGATGGGACCACTATGTCATTTTTCACCTCGGTTATCAAAGAACACAGGGGTAAGTAGGTTCTTATCAACTATTTCCAAGAAGGGAAGCTGTATTAATTTCAAAAACCCTAAATCAAATCACCAACTCTGAGAAAAAAAATGTGATCGTAATTGTAGATTACATTACTATTCTGTAGATCGCTGACTTTTAATGATATTGAAATATAGATCGCGGATTCGATAAAGTAAAAAACCTTACAGATTTGAAATCGAGAATTTTTAATTTTGAGAAATATGAAATTTTGTTCATCCAAGAGATTAGTTTTAAAAAGATCATATCAAATCTAAAATTTCGACGTTTTTCTGCATTGGAAAAATGTGTTTTTTTAGATTACAAAATATTATTCTTTTGAACTTTTGAAAAAAAACTTAAAATTATTTCATAAATTTTTTTTCGAAACATTTCCGAGTTAAAATTTTTCACAAGAAAGTCTCCCAAATTTTGATAATCCAGGATTTTTTTTTAATTTTTCACCACAAATTTCGAGTTTTTGCAGTTGATGTGTAACTCATTGCGTATCGCAATTCCACGTGGATATCCAAAAGATCCAGCCTCAGTTCAATACGATCGAAGTTTCCCGCAAAACACATTCATCGGCATACAATTGCAAAAATTGTTCGACAAATGGCTGGGAATTCGACCAATTGCCAGAAATATTGCCGATTATTGTGATGCGTTTGAAAATGCGGTGCAAGAGTTCAAATTGTATCGACAAACCACGTCGGTTTTGAATGGTTGGTTTTTTTTTTGTTAAAATTCTCAATAGAGCGCATTTCGCAATTTTCAGGCGCGATTTCAGCCCCAATCGCTGCTCCAGAATATGATGCCGTTGTGGTGACGGCTAAACCAACGAGTAAAATAGCTCACAAGGGTATGGTAGCTTAATTTTTTCCCCATTTTTTTAAATTCACTGTGATATAACCACTAATTTTACTGTCCCCCCCTTTTCGAATTTATTTCAAAATGACTTTTTTCTAGTCCCCCCAGAATTTTTCTGTATAATTTGAGCCTTTTGGACCAAAAAAAAGTTTTTATCTTGAGGCCTTCTTTCCCCCTTTACCTTTTTGTTTTCCTTTGGTGCTTTCTTCATAAAAATCCCTGCAGCTTCTGTGGATTTGCAATTTTAGTCATGACATTTCTTTGTTGAATGAAAGCGATATTGCTCATTTTCCCCGTTTTTTGATTCGCCTTTTTGTGATTTTTTTTTTTGATAAAGTGTTTTGTTTTAATTTGAAATTCATACAGATTTTTGGTAGAAAAATAAAATAAAAATTATTATGACGATTCTTCGAAACTTGACATAAGTGTAGCGACAGATGGTGTCAAATCGGGTTTTTTGGCTCCGAAACTTCCACCAACCTTACGATTGTTCTCCTTGTTTTGATTAACATCTGCAGGTGTTTCGACTTGTGGAGCTTTTTCAGATGTTTTGACTTGCGCAGCATCGGGAACTTCAATTTGAGCAGCTTTTCCAGCATTTTCAGCAACTTGCGAGGTTGGAATCGATTCTGATGCTTCAACTGAAGATTTTCGAACATCTTGCGAGGAACTCTTGAAATTGTTGTTTTCCTGAAGATTTTCAGCAACTTTTGGAGTTTGAGTGGATTCCGACGGATGTTTTTGAAGATTTTCAGCAACTTGCGGAGCTGGAGTGGATTCTGATGCTTCAACTGAAGGTTTTGGGATATTTTCAGCTTTTCCTGAATTTTCAGCTTTTCGAACATCTTGCGAAGAATTATTGAAAATTTGTTGGCCTACAGGAGGTTTTGGAAGATTTTCAGCAACTTTTGGAGTTTGAGTGTATTCCGATGCTTCTTTTGGGTTATTTTCAGCTTTTCCTGCATTTTCAGCCTTTCGAATGTCTTGCGAAGAACTCTTGAAATTATTGTTTTCTTGACGGCCAACAGGAGGTTTTTGAAGATTTTCAGCTTTTCGAATATCTTGCGAAGAACCCTTGAAATGATTGTTTTCTGGACGATGTCGGCCTAAAAAAGATTTTCGATTGAAAATTCCTAACGTGCCAGAAAAACGCTCTCAACTCACCACTATTTGATGGATAATGTCTATCCTGTCCTCTTGTTGGTTGTCTACCTCTTTGTTGTTCTCTTCCACCTCGATGACTACCAGAATTTGAACGATTCTCGACTGAAGGAGTTTTATTAGCTGCTCCAGAATGTACTTCTTCTGATTTTTCAACAGGCTTTTCTTCTCGTGGAATCGCTGCATATTCATCAATATGTGCCCAAATAGTTTTCGTAATAAAATCATATAAATGAAATGGTCCAAGGAAGAATTGCCGAACATCATCCTCAAACTTTTTCATATTCACAAATTTCAGCCCACTTTCAACGCTCATCGTCACGCTGTTCTCCAACTTGAAAACCATCGAAACTTCTCGCGAATTTCGAAGTGTGATGAATCGAATCACTTTGCATTTCGCATTCAATGAGGTTTCAATTGCTGTCCATGCTTGATTCTTCTTATTTCCCATATGAAATGGCTCGTTACAATGTAGATCGAATGTGGCGATTTCTCGAATGTGACGCATGAAATTGTGTGCAACTTCTCCTTCGAATTGTTTGTTTTCGAGATTTACTGCAATTAATTAACATAAGTATTGGGAAATCTAAAAATAGTTCCTAAAACTTACCAACAGATCCGAGTTGCTCAATCGCTTTTGCTCGAGCAATTTTTCTTTGAACCCATTCTTTGAGCTCATTTCCTTGCGGTTCTTCGCGCTTTTCAAAAAAGTGTACACCATCCAACGCTAGGCATTTTTCAGTTTGCTCTTTTGAGAGTTTGAAATCATCGGATCTCACGAACATTTTGATCTGGAAAATTACACGGCGTTTCACAAGGTAAATCAGGAAATGAACAGAAAAAATACGAAATTTGCCTTATTTTCAGGTTAAAAATTTTCTGCGATTTTCCAGAAATGCAAAATATTCAAGAATCTACAAAATGTCAATTATTTTCACTCAAAACACCCAAAAACAAGCAAATTTCAGCTTCAAAACTGAAAAAAAAACAAAAAAATTATTTTTTTTTGAAAATGAATTTGAATCCCACGTCATGACATTAGCATACTGTATTTTCCCCTCGAGACACTTTTCAATTAATACGTGCGCCTTTAATCAAACATTCCGATTTGGAAGAGTTTTCGCCTTAACGCAACAAACGCGCTCCACCGCACAACCGCCAAAATCAAGTGTTTTGAAAGTGCGTTATCTTTTTTTTTCGGTTTTCGCAGGTTTTCACCACATTTCTTATAGAAAAACATGTCGTACGAGTTTGATCTTGAATATATGAATGAATGTATGGAACCATTCGCATTATCATGTCCAGATGATGATAATTATATTGGAAAATGTGAGTTTTTTGTTGTGAAAACGAGGGAAAATTTTTTTCTATGAAAAAAAAAACATTTTTCAGTCGAAGAAATTTGCCGAACCTACCATCAAACCGTGGACAATATTGTCGATGAAATCGTCTCAATAATGCAGAATCATAAGAGCAAAATGGTGAATCTGCAAGTGATTGAAAGCCTCGAAAAGAAACTCGAGGCAAAAATGTTGAAAGAAAGTGCAACACCAAAAGCAAAGAAGTTTGCGAGAAAACCATTAGCTGACAAAACTCCGAAAATCATTGAAGATGTTGTGGACAAAATGGAGGATATGGATGTGACACAAAAACCTTCAGGAATTGGAAATTCATCAAAACTTGTTGGAAAATACAGCGAATTTTCGCCCTTCCCAAATTCCCCTGCAAATGAGAATTTCGCAAAGAGAAACGATCCCGGAAAAGTCATCAATACCATCAGAGGCTCGAAATTTATTGAAGATCAGCTTCCCGAGACAACAAAGCAATCAAAAATCGAGCAAATCTCAAAATCACCTCAATTATATTATGGTGGAGAAAAGGCGTCGCTTGTTATTGACGCGAAAATCGCGCGATTCGAAAAATTCGCCGAGAATTTTAGAAATGAATATGGCGATGAGATAAGTGAATGGGGAAATCCGAAAATTCCATCAGCTGAAAATGTTTGTACCTATGGACAAGTTGTGCACGATGATTCAAGTGATAATGAGAAATTCAGCGAGTTTTCAGCATGTTTGATGTTGGGTTAGTGAATTTTTAGCTCTTTTTCACGCTGAGAAAGAACAATAGCGGTGTTTGATATCAAAATATTCAAAATTTCACGATGAAGTTGGATTTTTTGAATTCCACGTGGAATTCGGAGCATTTTGACATCTAACATGAGCAATATTAGGTTGAAAATGCCATTGAGCCTTGAAATAACGGTGTTTGGAGTCAAAATATTGGAAATTTCACGATGAAGCTGAATTTTTTGAATTCCACGTGGAATTTGGAGCATTTTGATACCTAACATGAGCAATATTAGGTTTTTTTCTGAAATTTTTCTCAATAATGAGCGAAAAATCGAGAATTGTGTGAAAATGAAGTTTTTGAGAGCCTAAATATAACAATTCTCGATTTTTGGCTCATTTTTTTGCTCTTCAGAGAAAAAAACTCAATATTGCTCATGTTAGATGTGAAAATTCTCCAGATTCCACGTGGATTTCAAAAAATCCAACTTCATCGTGAAATTTCGAATATTTTGATACCAAACACCGTTATTTAAAGGTTCAATGGCATTTTCAAACTAATATTGCTCATGTTAGATGTCAAAATGCTCCAAATTCCACGTGGAATTCGAAAAATCCAGATTCATCGTGAAATTTCAAATATTTTGACACCAAACACCGTTATTTTCGGGAAAATATTGCTCATGTTAGGTGTCAAAATGCTCCAAATTCGAATTCAAAAAACGTGTTTTTTTTCAGACGACGAAGATGGCTCGATAATCCGCGTGGATTTTAGCAAAATCCAAGATGACGTCACACTTTTCCCCGGGCAAATCATCGCTGTCTCGGGAACCAATGAGACTGGCGAAATTCTGGTCGTCGACAGAATTTTCGCCGCCCCAAAAATCCCAATTTCCCGCGTCGGAAACGATGTGAAATTGAGCATTTGGCTCGCCGCGGGACCCTTCACTTCATCGGAAAATTGTGCATATGAGCAACTCTGTGAATTGTTGGATCAAGTTGGCACGGAGCAACCGGATGTGCTCATTTTGACCGGGCCATTTGTGGATCGGAAGAATAATTTTTTGGCCGGAAGTGATTTTAATTCCACTTATGATTTATTGCTGGAGGATTTGTTTGTGAAGATTGAGGAGAAAATCAAGGGGTGAGTTAGGCTAAGTTGCCAATTTTGGGCCCCCATAAAAATTTGTTTTTCCAGAACTCGAACCCAATTAATCATCCAACCCTCTCCAAATCGCGATTTATCATCTCTCCCAGTCTTTCCAACTTCGCCCTTTGTTTTCCTCAACAAACGAAAATTCTCGAAAAACATCCATTTCGTAGCGGATCCATCGATGATTCGAATTTCTGATTGTTTTGAAGTTGCGATAACTTCGAGTGATGTTATTGTGCATTTGAGCAAATTGGAGTATCATCGAAGTTCGGATCAGGAGAATCATGATAGAATTGCGAGATTGAGCGGGCATTTGTTGAGGTGAGTCTTGGGTTTTTACACGTGGAATTTGGAGCATTTTGACGTATAATATGAGCAATATTGGGCTATTTGAGCCTTTAAATGGTGTGAATTTATTTTTTTCAAATTCCATATGGAATTCGGAGCATTTTGACACCTAACATGAGCAATATTAGGTTGAAAATTCCACGTGGCAAAATAATTTTGAAAATAACAGTGTTTGGAGTCTAAATATTCGAAATTTAACGATGAAGCCGGATTTTTTGAATGCCACGTGGAATTTGGAGCATTTTGACATCTAACATGAGCAATATTAGGTTGAAAATGTCCCCACCTTTCCAGCCAACGCTCAATGTACCCTCTGGAACCCGCCCAACTCCCCTCTTCCATGGAAGATGTGATAAATGTGTGCGAACTTCAAAAATCCCCCCACCTCTTCATCACACCGTGCATTTTGGCGCCATTCGCCAAATCCGTCGACAAATCCGCCTTCCTCAACCCATCGACCTTGGCAAAAGGTGGAAGTGGAACTTTCATCAAATTTGCCACGAATTTCAGCCCATCCGCCGCGAAATCTGACGATTTTAGTGTTCTTGATTATTCGCTTGTTGAAATTTGCAAAATTTAAAATTTTTTACTCACAAAAATTATTGATTTTTATGTACAAGAAGCAACAAATAAAGCAAAAACAACCTGAAAAACAATAATTTATATCGCATTTTTCTTGGGTGAATTTTGGACCCGTGGCTGGAAAAATGGTGCAGAGCAGATTACATATGACCGTAGCTTTGATGGATTACGGCTTGTTCGGGAATACGATCGTCGTTTACGACGAGATGAAGAGCGGTATGACAGTGACTGTCGAGGGTTTGGATGGAGCCTGAAAATTCGGGAAATTTTGATGCCCCACAAGCCTTGGTTTTTGAATTTGGAGCATTTTTGTGCTCAAAATTCTGAAAATTTGAAAATTCTCATTTTACCCGTTTAATTTCACTCAAGGACGAAGCTTTTTGTGAGAAACATTTAAAAAAAGCTACTCCCTCACCTAACGCAAAAGTGGTTGCTTTTTTCTATTCCTACCAACTCTTCGTGCACCTCTACCTGCAGATTTTCGAAGTTTTTTTCCTCAAAATGACCCACAGACCCTCTAGAAGCCCCTCCGAACTCACCAGCATTATCCAAATCTGATGGACGATACGTCATGTAGCCAATAATCGTGGCCAGGATCGATAGAAGTTTACAGACGATCGCTAAAGCTGTGATAGTCCAACTTAATTTGAAAGGATCGTAGACTAGACAACTAGTTGCCTTTCCGCAATTTTGACCCCATTCCAGGCATGCTGTATCGATGATGACACCGAAAAGAATTCCACCGGGGATGAAGCCGAGAAGACGGACGAATGTCCAATTGATACCGAGGGCTAGGGTACGTTGATCGAATGGCACGACGCGAAGCATGATCTGGAAATGTGGGAATGTTTAGTCGAATGTTAGCAAGGCATTTCAGCGCTCAAAAATGGCCTAATGGTTTTCAGCAGAAAATTTGCAGTTTTTTAATACCTCACAAGCTTAGGTTCTGAAATTTGGAGCATTTTCGAAAAAAAATCGTGAAATATTTACTTTTCAAAAAAATTTTCGTCTCCACACGTCGTGCCAGACAAATGAGAAAAGATAATTTCGTGGAGACGCAGACATGCTGTGTGGTCTAGCAGCGATTCACTTGAGCGACCGGGGAGAGTACGGTTTGACGCTTGGTCTCGCAGCGATTCACCTGAGCGACCGGGGAGAGTACGGTTTGACGCGTGGTCTCGCAGCGATTCACCTGAGCGCCCGGGGAGAGTACGGTTTGACGCGTGGTCTCGCAGCGATTCACCTGAGCGGCCTGGGAGAGTACGGTGTCTTTTTTTCTCTGCGTCTCCTCGGATTTGTGTGGTGACGCGACGTGTTCAAAAACACATTGTGCACCTTGAACAGTTTTCTATTCAATTTCTTCTCAATTTACAAAGGAAACCTTTTTTACTCAACACTTCAAATCATGATGAAATTTGGTCCATGGACAGCTTTTGGGGCCATAAGAACACCCTAAAAATTTTAGTCTCCCAATGGACCTCTGAGCCAAGTTCTGGGCTCTCAAAAGTTCAAAAATTGCCAAAATTGGCTCATAAAACACGTCATAACTCAATTTTCGATCATTTTTATGAAAAACTGAGTAGCAGATGATGATCAGCGTGGTCGTGTTACCCAAAAAACATCAATAAAGCAAATTTTCAGAAAAATTTTTGATTTTGGAAAAAAGAATGAGCAGGGGCACATGAATTTTCATGAATTTTCAGTCCAAAAATAAAAAACTTCAAAATTTTTCGAAATAAAGTTTTTTATTGATTTACTTTTAGGTAATCGACTATGCTGATCAATATCTGAAACTTCATTTCTCCCAAAAAAAATTTTGAAATGGAGCTATGATGCCTTTTATGACCATTTTTAGGCCTTTTTTGAGTTTTTGAGGGCCCAGAACTTGGCTCAGAGGTCGATTGGGAGACTGAAATTTTTAGGGTGTTCTTATGGCCCCAAAAGCTGTTCACGGACCAAATTTCATCATGATTTGAAGTGTTGAGTAAAAAAGGTTCCCTTGTTAGATATGTAGCTTCTACCGTACTTCAGCATGCGCCTTTAATCTCAAGCTTTTGGACAGAAACATTGTTTTTTTTGGACACCGTATAAGAGAGCTAAGTTCAGCGAGAAATTTGAAATTCCACGTCATCGTCACTTTTTAAGACACCCCTACCTGCTGAGTTGGAATACCCGACGCAAAACTAGCGACCACAGTCACAAAAAGTGACCCCATCAAAATATACTCCCGATATCCGCAATCATGTTTACAATAGCCTTGTGTCAAATTCTCCTCGTGATTCGAGGCTAAAGATGAGTGCAAAATTTGATGGAATGTTTGGTTTTGATTCAGACAACCACAGCCACCCCATTGTGTTGAACCCTGCAAAACATGAAACATGTGACCGTTTTAAGTACGTTTCACATTATTTTAAATGTGATTTTCTGTTGATGATCATTCTTTAGAGAGTTAAATGTGTTAACGCGATTAAATACCTCAATTTTCCGCATCGATGTACATCCAGCGTGACAAGCCGAATAGTACATGTGACCACTTCTTTGATCGCACACCGGATTCCATTCCATTTTACAACTACAATCGGAGTTACATTGAGAATCGATGGAGAAATCGTGGTATTTATCCAGGGTAAGATCTTCGTAGCCCATATTGATTCCGACGAATTCACGTTGAGGGCAATGACTGAGAAGTCCGATTGTGAAAAGTAGAGCGAACACGTGGCAGACGACGATCATTTTTAGCATTCCACCAACCTGGAAAATGTGGTTTTTATGCAGTGATTCATGAAATAAAAAATTTTTAACGTTTTTAACGTTTCTTGACGTTAAAAATACTCTTAACGTTAAAATACTTCAATACTTGAGAATTTTAACGTTATTGGTAAAAAATGAATAAAAATACCGCTCCTGAATGACTTGTTTGGTTTTTCAAACGTTAAAATTTTTTTTCAAATTTCCTCTATCACTGCATTAACAATCTGGATATTTCCTTCTTTTTCACTTTCTCCTCAAAAACTTTTTTTTCTTTAAAAAATTCCTTCATTAACCTTTGATTCTCTTGCCTTTGCCCCTCTTCGTTAATTCCTAACATAAGTGGTCAAAATAATCGAATTAAGTATTGAAAAAGAAACACAAAATAATTACCTGAAGTTTTAGTTGTCTAATGACAGTTCCTCCAACCATTACTCCAGTCGCCGCCGCGAAAATTACAACCGCTGAAAGAAATTTTTTAAGATTGAGTTTTTAAATGTGACTAACATGATAAATAGGAGGCGAGAGTTGGATTGGTACTCAACAAGGTTTCGAGAATCTTGGGCATAAATGCGGCGAAACCATTGATGATGATAGATTCGAAGATACCCACAGCGATGCAGACAAGGAAAGTGGGATTTTTCAGGATTTTCATAACACACGCTGGCAATTTGCTCAAATCGCGGGGAGCTTTTTCATTAACATCACCATTCGCTGCGTGACATTGATTCACATCTTTAGCACGGTGACGCTTGGCTTCGGGAAGTTCCCGGGCAAATGCGAGAATTGGAAATGCGATGAGAAGTGCGGAGATTGATGAGATGATAAAACCGACCCACCAAGCACCAACCCAGCGGGGATCTGAACTTTCCATTGGGATATGATCGACGCGGTCGAAATCGTCGTAGAGGTTTAGGAGGAAGCCACCAGCGAAGACACCGATGACTGGGCCGAAGGAGGTGAGGACTGCGTGGATTGCTGGAAGAAGAGAATTGGTATGGGAAATGTTCTGCAGCATTTGGAACAGTGCTGGGAAGGGCTTCGTAAAACGTGAAATAATTATTTTAAGGTGAAAAAAGTTCGTAAAAATTTTGTTACTGAAATTTTCAAAAAATTTCACCATTCTATAAAAATTTTTTTAACGATTTTGTGAGCCGTTAAACAGATTTTTACGCTGAAAGCCCGTTAAAACCGTGAAACGTAAAAATTCCCAGATGAGAAATTTTTGTGCAGTTTTGCGAAAAGGCCGACATTTGATGAGAACGAAAATTTTCGTGAAAAAATGTACAAAAAATGAATGTACAGTTATTTTTAAAGTAAAATAAGAAAAACGGTAAAATCCCTTAAAATTTGTGTATTCATTTAACAATTCGAAAACTTATTAAGATCATGGATTTTTTTCGTAAAAATTTTTCAAGCCGTAAAATCGTGAAGTGAATATTACGCCCGTTCAAACCGTGAAATGTAAAAATTCCCAGAACTGATCTGGCCTGTCCAAAATATTTATATGGATATTTTGATTGAAAATTTTTATTTTACATTTCAACAATGCTGAAATTTCATGAAAACAAAAAATTTCGTGAAAAAATGTGCAGTTAAATGAGTATTTTTAACGTTTCCCGCTCCTTAAACGATAAATCCCCGTAAAGTTCCCAATCCTTCAACTAACCCAAATAAACAGGCGATGAAGATTGTGATACATTCTCATCCATATAGGTAGTTCCAATTGAAAACAAGGGAGTACTTCCCACACCGTGCAAAGTTTGTCCCAAAATAAAAATCCAAAAATACGGATTGAACAGTGATGAAGGCTGCTTCCCACTGCATTGTTCTGGATCTCCTCGATTCAAGCACTGTCCGAAATCTGTTGAATTCGCACTTGAATCCGTAGTCGGATGATAGATGTCAACCATCCAATGCGGCATAGCACAGATCAATGAACCGAGTGCCATAATCACACCTCCCCATCCAATCCATCTCCCCTTATGTCCATTATTACCCCAGTGGCAAACTGGGAAGACGACCAGGAGAACTGCGAAATCATACCAACTTGAGATGATGCCGGTGTGTGTGCTCGTCATTTGAAATCGTCGCTCAAGCGTCGATAATCCGACGGGGAAAATCGCATTCACCACAAAACTCTGGATAAATGCGCAGATTCCCAGGACGAGCAGCAGGAATTTGGCATTGTGGAATCCTTGAAGCCAGTGTGGAGTACATCTGTTTTTGAAAAAACCAAAGATTGAAGTTTATTGTAGTCTAGATATGATCGAATTGTCATATCGAGTTAGTGTAATTTATCATCACATACTACAATTTATTTTCTACGCTATAGAAGATACAATGACTAATGATGTTTTGATAGCAAATGACGTGGTAAAGGTCAAACTTTCAGAGAAAAATTATTTTTGTCGTGACGAGACCCATAATGCGCCTTTAATTTACAAGGTGGTTTATTTTTGCCTCCGAGAAAAACAAAAACATCAGTTTTTTTAAAGGCGCATACCTGAAATACACACTGGGTCTCATCGCGAAGAGAATAAACGAACTACGGTCGAAAATGTTTTTTTTCAATTTTTGATCTTTTATACGTTTGTAATTGCAAATGACGTGCAAAAACGAAAGAAAACAGAAATGTTCCTGTAGTACGGTAGAACCTGCAGATCTAACTCGAGAATAAATTGGACAGAAAACCAAAACAAATGTTGTACGAGTTAGATACGCAGGTGGTACGGTATGTTCCTTTAATCTGGCAATCCTGTGTTTCTGGACAGGAAAATTTCTGTTTTTTTCGTTCTTGGACGCCGCTATGACGTATTCCCTTGCAAGGTTTTTTACTATTCAGGAGTTACCCTAGAAGTTACCCTAAGTCTGCCACGTCATAGCCCTCACCTTCCATATCCACATAACAAATCATCATCATCCTCCGAATAATCCTCAATCTGATGTCGTAAATCTTCACCAGGCTCCTCGAATTTATCAATATCGTGTTTTTCCATAATCTGAAGTTGAAAAAAAACAATATTTTATGGGTTTTTATGATGAAAGTGACAAAAAACAAAAAAATGATCATTAACATTCCACAAAAAAGGTCGAGAGGAGGAGAAATGAGAGAGAAAAAGAGGAGGAGAGGTGGAACTTTTTCAGATTTTGTTTTGTTATTTTTTGGTTCAAAAAATGTTTCTAGCAGAAACATGTGACAGCGTTTTTTTCGCGCAAAAATGGATAGAATCAATGAGATCAGTCTTATCACTCAAAGAAAACAGTTTTTATTTTATTTGAAAAGGAAGATACTTATGATAACTTTGGGTATGGGAGAAAAAAAAAGAAATCACTTTTTTCACACACTGAGATGAAGAAAGAAGAAAGTTGAACTAACTTGGGAAGGAATGTTCAAAAGTTCAGATTTTTAAGTTAGGGGGGGGGGTCACCTTTTCTTAAAAATTTTAGATTTAGCCTTCGAGACTTAGTCCATCTTGAACAGCTCGAAATTCTGATTCTTGTGATATTCTTGACTTCAGAAAATAATTCAATTACAGAAAAATCGTGGCGAGACCCAAAAATGAGGGGGGTCATCTTTTCTTTAAAATTTCAGAATTTTGCTTCAAGACCTAGCGCATCTTGTAGAGCTCAAAATTCTGATTCCTGCGGTATACTTGGCTTCGGAAAATAATTCATTTAAAGGAACATCGTGGCGAGACCCGCATACGGGGGGGGGGTCACCTCTTCTTAAAAATTTTAGATTCAGGTTTCGAGACCTAGTGTATCTTGTAGAGCTCGGAATTCTGATTTTGAACGTGGAAATTTAAAAATCTTGAATTCAAAATTAAAAATTTTTTCAAACATTCTTTGATTCTCACAAAACCGGACTATAAATTTTTGTTTTTCATCTTTTCTCTTCAAATCTGATGAGAGTCAAAAAACAATTTTGATTTGATTTGATAAAAAAAATCTACATGGTGATCATCAAATTATGAAAAAACAACAAAAAATGATACATTTTCAGAGGAGGAATTTCTACCTCTCGAAAAAAAGAGAGAGAGAATGAAAAAAGGGAAAACAAGTTTGTCGATCTTTTTCTCTTCTCGAAATTACTACAAAAAAATCAGTGGAAAATAATAAAAATCGAATGAATGAATGATAAGACAACAAAAAAAGGAAGGACGAATTTTTCACGAAATTTTTTTGTCCCAAGTTTTTTTTCCGGCGGCCCAAACAAAAAAATGTTGTGTTTTCTGAAGTTAGATTGGATCTTTTGAGGTTTTGATTGTTATCTGGATGTTTTTAGGTGGAAAAAACATGTTGTTTGATCGACTGGGAGTGAAATATTACCTATTTGGATATGGAGATAGGCTAAATCTAGATTTTTAAAGAAAAAATTTTGAGAATTGAACCCCTGACCTTCTGCACGGAAAAATCGATATTGCTGAAAACGATGGTATTGCTCATTTTAAGCTCGAAACATTGATTGTTCTAGTCAGAAGGTCCTGGATCGATTCCCGGTACCTCCTAACAATTTTTGTTTTCAAAAAAACTTGAAAAAAAATTTTTTTTTTGTTTTCAAAAATTTGTCTAGATCAATTTTTCACGCTGAAAATGATGGCATTGCTCATTTTAAGCATTTCCATCATTTTAAGATCGAAATTTTGCTCTGGAAAATTAATTATTCTAATCAGAAGGTCCTGGATCGATTCTCGGTACCTCCTAACAACTTTTTGTTTTCAAAAAAATTTAAAAAAATTTTTTTTTGTTTTAAAAATTTTTCTCGATCAATTTTTCACGCTGAAAATGGTGGCATTGCTCATTTTAAGCGTTTGAGAAGCTAGAAAATTTTCCAAACAAATTTATTTATTAACATAAATAGTTATATCAAATATTAATTCCAAACATTCTTTCAGCAGCACTCGCTTCATTTTCATTCACCAAATTCACAGGTTTCCATCGATGAAAACTAGTCAACAATCCAAAATTTCCACGTTTCTCCAAATAATTCAACCAAATCGCAATTGCTCCATAAATTATCGGAACTCCGATCAAACTATAAACGAAAATGAACGAATCATAGATAATTAGACATTTACAGGTGAGAATAACGAATGGAAAAATGAGGATGAATGATGTGATTCGCCAGGAATATATAAAATATCTCCGCAAATATTCAAACATTTTGTAACTTTTTTTCGTGTTTGTGAAGCATTGTCTGCAAAAAAAATGTAGGTTTTAGAGGAATTTTTCGGGCAATTTCAAATTTTTGAAAAAAATCAGAAAATTTCTGATTTTTTGGTATATTTTTGATAAAAATTTAAATATTTCAAAATACCGTACTCTTTGCAGTTTGGGGGTACAGTAATTCTTCCAGTTCGGGTTAAAATTGGCCCCAGACTACAATATGCTTTGGGTACAGTAACCCACCGGCTACAGTAATCATTGAAGTCACGGAATAATCCTAGACTACAGTAATCCTTGCAGTTTGAGCTTTTCAGTTACAGTAATTCTTGCAGTTTGGAATCTTTGGCTACAGTAGTTCTTATAGTTTGAGATGTCCAGTTACAGTAATCCTTGCAATCTGGAAAATCCCTAGGCTACCGTAATTCTTGCAGTTTGAGGTACAGTAATCCTTTCGGTTCGCAATAAACCTAAGATACCGTAGTCTTTGCAGTCCGGGTTGAACTATGCCCTATCCTATAACATTTTTCAAGTACAGTAACCCAAAAGCTACCGTAATCCTTTCAGTCTGCAACAAACCTAGGCTACAGTAGTCCTCACAGTTTGAAGCTACAGTAATCCTTGCACTTTTGTGATCCTGGAAATTTAGATTCCTTGCCTACAGTAATCCTCGCAGTCCGAGAGTTACAGCAATCTTTGCAAATTGCAATAACCCCAGGCTACAGTAATGTTTGAAGTATGAGCTACAGTAATCCTTGCACATTAGTAATCCTGACAGCTTAGATTCTTTGCCTACAGTAATCCTTGCAGTCGTCTGAGTTATTCTACTACAGTAATCCATGCAGTCCGCAATACACCTAGGCTACAGTAATCCTTGCACTAATCCTGGCTGCTTGGTCTTTGGCTACAGTAATCCTTGCAGTTTGAGGTACAGTATACCTTGCAGTTCTTTATAATTAAAGATCTCCAGAAGGTTCTCAAACTGCAAAGAGTACTGTATTTTTGAATACAGTATCTCTTTTCGAATTTTATCAAAAATAAATCGAAAAATCAGAAAATTTCTGAATCTTTCAAAAAAATTCAGAAAAAAAATTGGATAAAAATTTTTGAAATTAAAAAAAATTTCTAGCAAAAAATTGAAAAAAAATGTTTCTGGCTAGAATCTTGTGCTGAAAATCAGGATCTTCATGATTTTCAGCTTTTGAAACTTCCGAAAAAAACTCACCAAACAATTCACATACAATCTCTGATCTCCATAAATGAATCGAACTCCATAAATCGTCAAAATACACGATATATAAGCACACGAAATTCTCGACCAATTATATTGATTTCTTAACGTATCATAATCTCCACTTGGTGTTTTTGAAACTTCGAGCGAAAATAATTCGTTAATCATAGCCAGGGATGCAAAAAATATCGAGATTATGGTCACTGATATTTTATTATTCATAAAAGATAATCGGGGAAAGATCCAATAAATGCAAGATTTGAAAATCTCGAAGGTTATCATCTGAAGGAAAGAAAAAATTGGAAATTTTTTTAAAAAATCCCCTAAAACTTACAGTCTCCGCGATGATCGCTAAATGAATTGTTGCAAAAAAAAGAGCAACCAAAACAAAATATTGTCTCTCATATTGGCTATCCAAAATCGGTAATCCATAATACAACAGTTCGACCAACTCATTTCGCTCCGCATTTTCGTCGAATGGATCGGTTTTGTGGGGATAAATCAGATTTTGGCACGAATAGTAGAGTGGTAGAAGGGTCATGAGATAATATAGGCGATAAGCAACTCCGAATAGGGTGGCACTTATCATATCTCTGCAAAAATATATTGTTTTTGGCAAGTAGTTGCGCCTTGACAGTCTATATGACAAGGAGTCGATGCTAGAAATTCTAGTTATCAAGAAGCCGTGTCTTGAGAGCCTATTCAACAAGTAGTCACGCCTTGAGAACTTCTATGTCAAGTAGCTGATCCTAGAAAGTCTAGCTCTCAAGCATTCGCCCCTTGAAAGCCTATATGACAAGTGGCCGACCCTAGAAAACCAGGTTAAGCAGTCGAGCCTTGAGAACCTAATTTTCTAGGACTTGCGAGGTCCACTGTTGCAAGAAGTCTAGCCTTGATAGCCTATATGACAAGTGGACGCGTCTAGATAACCTGAATCTCAAGCAGCCGCGCCTAGAGATCCTAGTTTTCGAGCAGTCGACCCTAGAAAACCAGGTTGTCAAGCAGCCGCGCCTTGAGAACTTAATTTTCTAGGACCCGCTCCTAGAGATTCACTCTGACAAGGAGTCGCGCCTTGAGAACCTGATTGGCAAGTAGCCGTGCCTTGAGAACCTAATTTCCTAGGACCCGCTCATAGATATTCACTCTGTCAAGTATTCACTCTGTCAAGGCTTGAGAACCGTATTGCCAAGTGGCCGACCCTAGAAAACCGGGTTGTCAAGTAGCCAACCCTTGAAACCAAAACCGTAAAGAGGCGGCTTCTAGACATCCACTATGGCAAGCAGTCAATCCTAGAAACCCTAGTTTTCAAGCAGCCACGCCTTGAGAACCTGTATTTTTAGGTTTTGCTCCTAGAGGCTCACTCTGCCAAGGGCTCACGCCTTGAAAGCTTGAATACTCAGTTAGCGATCCTAGATACCCTAGTTCTCAAGCAGCCACCCCTAGAAAATTCGATTTTCAAGGATCAGCCCCTCCCCAGGATTCCAAACTTACTTCAAAAAATTATGCCGAAATTTAACCTTGCTTCCAAACGTCAAAAGTGTTCCTTTTCCAACTTGAGCAGTAGCAAAAGCCTCAACAAATCCCAAAAACCACGTTTCCCAATTGAAAAGCTTTCCAAACTGATTATGCGTTTCCATCAATTCGAATATCTCAAAATCACCATTTTTCATAACATGATAAGTGACTGGCAAAACTCCAATAATTGGTAAAATTATCAAAAGTGCTGATATTTTTGATATCTTCTTGTATCCAATTATAAATCCGATTCCCAGAATCACCAAATATATAAAAGTGCTGCCTAAACCAGAAGGTGTATCCATATCAGTTGTCAAACTGAATAATTGTGTTCCGGTGAAAGCGGAATATTTGGAAAAGTGGATTTGTGAGTATTGCTGGCGAAGTAATTCGGGATATGATTCGATTGTTTGAGAATCGGGAGATCGAGTGCATTTTCCGAACACTTGATCTTCGTTGATTGCGCATTTTTGCGATGGATCGAAGCAGGCTGGAAAATGGAGGTTTTTTGTGAAAAAAAAAAAGTTTGAAAAAAATAAAACAGTTGCGACGAAACACAACACGTTTTTGAGAGAGTGCGAGACATGCTTTTTATCAATGGGGCGCACTTCCATTTCTACTTTTATTTTTTTGTTTTTTTTCGAAAATTTTTCATTTTTTCAGTTGATTTTTGATAGTTTTCCACGAAAACTGCTGCTAAAAATGCTATTTTATGAAAAAATGTACTTTATTACAGGAAAATCGTCAGAGAAATTGGTCGAATGATTATGCATTTCGAGGAAAACTGGAGGAACAGTGGGTTTTTTGGGCTTTTGAAAAAATTTGAGGTTTGAGAGCTAAAAAACTTAGTTTTTTCAATGAAAATAGCAAAAATGCGCCCTATTGACAAACGTTTTTTTTCTAGAAATTAATCTGCGTCCGAAAAACTTGTTTTCAGGCCTATTTTTGACCTAGAAGCCTGAAAATCTAGTTTTCTTGATCTATAGGCTTCCGGACATCAAAAACGAGTTTTGGGTCCTATTTTTGGCCCGGAGGCTTCTCCGAACTACAAAATTTTGTATTAGGCCTATTTTTGGCCCAGAAGCCTAGAAATCTAGTTTTTCTAGTCTAGGGGCTCTTCCGGACCTGAAAATCATGTTTTTTGGCCTATTTTTTGCCTGAAAATTTAGCTATCTAATCTTCTGAATCTTTTACTCTAGTGTTTTTTCTGCGTCTCTAGCTCTCTAGCTTCTCTGCGTCTCTAACCCCCTTGAAACTCACACGTTCCATCAATTTTCGTGCAAAACATCCAATCCATATCTCCACTCAATCCACTATAAAACAATCTATAAACAAAATCGAATATTTTCGGTCGCAATGCAACATGCGAAAAATACAATAGCCTTGCGATAAAAATCAACGTCGGAATTCCACTCAAAATCGGAGCCAAATGATGGAAAAGTGAAAATAGCGAAAGACTTGAGAATTGAGCCAATGAAACTTCGAAAATGCTCACAGGAAATGAGAATAATATTATAGACAATAAATAGGGGAGAAGACTATAGAAACCGCCATTTTGTTGATAATAAATCGAGAAATGAACCATATTTAGATAATCTGTTGATGTTGAAAGAAACATAAATAAATTGGATCGATCATCATGATCAGCATAATTTTGATTCTTGATCTGTTGTTCTAATTCTTCAGTTTCAACTCTTTTCGGATCCGCTTCTTTCAACATTTTCGGACTTTTCGCTTCAACAACTTCCATATCCATATCTCCTTCTTCCGCAAATATATCATCCCGATTAGTTGTAGTACTTTCAGTCGAACAAGTTTCAGTCTCGTCCAATTTTCGATCATAGCCGAATTTCACATCGAGTTCGATTTGTTTTGCGCGATTTTTTTCCGTTTCTGCTAATTTGATTTTTTGCTTTTTTTGTTTAATTTTTGGGTGAATCTGCAAAATTTGAAGGTTTTTGGAGATTTTTAGATAGATAGAGCTCACCATTTTGAAATTATAGAATTTTGAAAAATAAGCACATTTTTTTTGTTTGAAAAAAATATGAAAAACCACGTGGAAAGGTCACGAGGAAATTTTTTTTTCTAAATTTTGTGCCTGCGATGCGTGTGCGTTGCGGTTTTAGGCTTACTGTAAAACAACTTTATCTACAAAATTTTCGGCATGTTTGATCTCAAAAAACGTGGAATTTCGCGCCAAAATCTACAGTAACCAGAATTCAGGGTTACTGTAGATTTTTACAAAAAAATCCACGTTTTTTGATTAAAAATAAACTCCCTGGGATTGTTGATCCACAACTTATTTCTCTGCGTCTCTGACCAAGAATCTCTAGCTTCTCTGCGTGTCTAACTCACACATTCCATCAAATTTCGTGCAAAACATGTTTCTCTGCGTCTCTCAATTCAAAATGCTCTCTAATCGAGCGGAGCGAGTGTAGACCGCAAACTTCCGCTTCAGCGGCCAGTTTCTCTGCGTCTCTATTTTGTAATTTTCCCGCGACGCGTGTGCGTTGCTGTCGCTTTCCATTCCAAAAACACATTCAAGTTTAATTTTATTCGCAAAAAAATCCAATAAACGAAAAATTAGCATCCACGTCTATTGACAGCAATCAAAGTTCCACAATTCGGACAAAAATGGCTGACATCTTTGGAAATATTACAACACAAAAAGAACAACATTGGCCAGCAAATCACCAAGACACCAAGGATGAAAATCACCCACCAACAAGTGCCGGTCGAATATTGGACACGTGTCACAACTATCATTTGACAACGTGGACAACGTTCCGAATAGGGCATATCAGCTCGAGTATTCTGAAAGGAAACATGGAGGATTTGGGAGGGGGACGAGGTTTGGGTTTTTAGGCCATGCCGATCTTCGGCCATGGAAATAGAACTCACCATTTTGAAATTTTAGAATCTTGAAAAATAAATTTAACAAAAAAATATTTGGAACGTCGAGGGCAAAGGTCACGTGAATAATTTTTTTCTGAAATTTTTTTTTGAAAATTGAAAATCTGGAAATGATTTCCAGCACGCTTTTACAGGAGCCCTGAGCTTCACTGACGCAATTTCTGTAGGTTGGAAAATCGCTGACGCTTTTCCAGAAGCTTGAGATCATGCTGACGCTTTTCCAGAAGCCTTGAACTTTGCTGACGCAATTTCTGTAGGTTGGAAAATCGCTGACGCTTTTCCAGAAGCTTGAGATCATGCTGACGCTTTTCCAGAAGCCTTGAACTTTGCTGACGCAATTTCTGTAGGTTGGAAAATCGTTGACGCCTTTCCAGAAGCCTGAGATAATGCTGACGCATTTCCAGGAGCCTTGAGCTTTGCTGACGCATTTTCTGTAGGTTTAGATCATGCTGACGCTTTTCCAGCATCCTTGAACTTTGCTGATGCAATTTCTGTAGCTTAGATAGTTGCTGACGCATCTCCAGCAGCCTTGAAATTGGCTGACGCAACTTCTGTAGTTGCTGACGCATTTCCAGAAGCTCAGATCTTTGCTGGTGCGATTTCTGTAGGTTGGAGAATCGCTGACGCTTTTCCAGGAGCCTTGAGCTTTACTGACGCGATTTTTGTAGGTTGGAAAATGGCTGACGCAATTTCTGTAGGTTGAAAAATTGCTGACGCTTTTCCAGCAGCCCTGAGTTTTGTTGACGCTTCTCCAGGAGCGTTGAACTTTGCTGACGCCTTTCCAGAAGCCTTGAGTTTTGCTGACACATTTTCTGTAGATTGGAAAATCTCTGACGCCTTTCCAGAAGCCTTGAACTTTGCTGACGCAATTTCTGTAGGTTGGAGAATTGCTGACGTCTTTCCAGAAGCTTGAAAGAAAGCTGACGTGTTTTCTGTAGGTTGAAAAATTGCTGACGCTATTCTAGTAGCTTGGGAATTTGCTGGCGTAAATTTTGTAGGTTGAAAAATTTCTTTTGAAAAAAAATCTACAGTACTCAAAAAAATTTCGAAAAAAAAAATCTACAGTACTCCAAATTCCGATTTCAAAATTTCCCCCAAAAAACAGTCTATGACATCACAAAAAGGTATGAATAAGCAAAGCAAAATAAAAAATAATCTTTCAATTTTTAAATCATCGAAAAAATGTGATAAGGTTTATTTGAACTAGCAAACTTTCTCAATTTTTATCACATTTTTTCACAGTATTTTATTTTTCCAACTCATTTTTCCAGCTCACATCAAAAATGGGCCATTGCCACGATGATCCTTGCTTAAATCAACCACCTCCAATGTACACAGTCCAACCGGCTGCTACCGTAGTACCGCCCCCGGGTACTGTAATTTATGGCGCGCAGCCACCGACTGTTCAAGTTGGCCAGGGTGTCTATGTGAATCAGGGTTATGTGCCGGGTGGAGCTACGATTGTGCAACCGGCAGTTGTCGCAACTCCGGTTACTGTGGTTACGGTAGCTGTGAAGGTATGAGTCATTTTTGGGGGTTGCGAAATTTTTTAATGGCCTAGGAATCCAAAAAATAATCAATAATTTGGTTTTCTAGGCCACAAGATACAACTTTTTGGATTTCTAGGCCATCAGAATCAAGAATATTTGGGTTTATAGGCCAAGTAGTGCAAATTTTTCGGGTTTCTAGGCCACTGATAGCGAAAGGTTGGTTTTGTAGGCCAATGTTTTGGATTTCTAGGCCATCAAAATCAAGAATTTGGATTTCTAGGCCAATGTTTTGGGTTTCTAGGCCATCGACTACAAGAATCCGGGTTTCTAGGCCGCAGGATGTAACTTTTTGGTTTTCTAGGCCATCAGAGCGAAAATTTTGATTTTCTAGGCCATCAACTGTAAGAATTCGGTGTTCTAGGCCATCAGAATCATAAATTTGGATTTCTAGGCCACCAATAGCGAAATAATGGTTTTCTAGGCCAATTTGTTGGTTTTCTAGGCCACCAATAGCGAAATACTAGTTTTCTAGGCGAATTTTTTGGATTTCTAGGCCATCAGAATCAAGAATTTGGTTTTCTAGGCCACCAGAAGCGAAAATTAAGCCACGTGAGCAATAATTTGGATTTCGACCCCATAAAAAACTTTTTCTCACACTAATTCTTGTGACCGAGATTTTCCATGGCCTAGAAATCCAAACCTCGTCCCCGTACCTCCCAAATCCTCAATTTTTCCAGCCAACCGATCACCTCGAGCCATATTCCGAATATTGTCCACGTTGTCAAACACAAGTGATGACACGTGTCCAATTCTCACCCGGTGCTTGCTGGTGGGCAATTTGTATCATCGGATTCTTCTTCATCTGCTGGCCAATTTTGTTTTTCTTGTGTTGTAATGTCTCCAAAAATGCCAATCATTATTGTCCAAATTGCGCTTGCTTAATTGCCGTGAGAAAACGTGGATGCTAATTAATTAAATCTTTATTTTTCTATAAATAATTGTCTTATGATCGTCGTCTCCGCTCGTCCTGAAAAAAACTTGTTTTTTTGCGTCGAAATAGTCAACAACATAAAACGCAAGGGTTTTCCACAGTGTTTTTGCCTTGTGGGTACTATAGTACCCCTATAGGGGCACTACAAAGTTTTTGACTTGTGGGTGTAATGAGTACACCTGTAGGGGTACTATGCAAACTTTTTTCAGTACCCCTATAGGGGTGTCACAGTGGTTTTGTAGTAGTGCAGTAGGGGTCAATCAAAATAAGACTCAAGTTTGACAATTTATTTTCACAAAAACGAACAGAACAAGAGAATTTACATTAAGTGTCGAATTGTTGATTTATTAGATTCGATTTCGAACATAGATTTCTGGAGGCGATGCATCCGTCCGACAAGGTAGTCGCTTCCAATTCATCTTGAGTTGATTTCATGTCGAAAAGACGAGTGTTGGTGGACGATATTGGTATGAGTTCTGGAAATAAATCAAATTAGACCAAATATTTTGCAATAGGAAATTTTTATTTTTAATGTAAGTCAAGTCGGTTCGATGACTTTTATCGACCCGACTCCTATGGTCGATTGTCTCGTGGTGGATGTGAACTTTCAAAGACTTCTATGATTTTGGTTAAGATGGTGCACACAGGCCTAATCAAACTTTACTGGTTTCAACCAATTTCACCAATGTCACTATGTTCACCACTCCAATATTCAGCAACCAGCGAAATAACCATATGAAAAGTCCAACCATCATCAATCATAGAAGTCAGTGAAATACATCGGCAGGTCAGGGCAAAAGTTGTATTCTTCACGACTTGACGGAAATTCAAGTCGGTTTCCAACTACATCTACGTATTTTTATCGAAAAAATCACTCACCATGTGTTGATCAGCACCAAGAAGACATTTGATTTGAAGTTGCTTCCTTAGTTGTTCATCAGTCCAGTCGAGCTTTGAGCGATGGTTCCTCCGTTGACCAAATGCGCTGTCTTTTGACAGTGTTTGAACTTCATCTGAAAATGAAGAACCATTCCAATTCAACCTTTCATATTCAAGTCAACAAACCTGAGTGTGTGTGAGATGAATCGATGAGAAGTTGGCTTCGATGAGTTTCTTTCCATTTTCATCTTGCCGTTCATTGACGCACTTGGCGAAAGCCTTCTTTTTGGAGCAAGCTCTAAAAAATCGTATTACGAGTGAATTATAACGTATGAGAAACACGAGAATGAAGAAATTAGACATAAGGCAGTTCAATTTTTAACTCTGAGAAGGATTTTTCCATTGAAACTCATTAAAATGTTAAATTACATAATGAATCTGAGAATAGCCTTTTTTATTATGAAAAACACCACATTTTTTAGTTTTCGGCCTAAAATCATGCTCAATGTGTGAATTTCGGAGTTCTGCTGGAATTTCTTGCTTGTTCCTAGGCGGGGAACATGTTTTATAAACTTTTCGCAGCTTTGAACACTCGATTTCTCCATAAAACGCGAAACAAACAAAACAAACGAAAAAAAACGAAAAAACTCAGAGAAAGCCGGCGACTAATCGGCGACGAACTTACGACGAATCGAGATCAGGCGACTAATCGTCTGCCAATCGTAAGTTCGTCGCAAGTTCGTCGGCGAAAATAGTGTGTGTTTCCCGGAGACGCAGACGAAAAAGTTTCAGGCGACTAATCGGCGACCAATCATAAGTTAGTCGCCGATTAGTCGCCGATTAGTCGCCTGAAACTTTTTCGTCTGCGTCTCCGGGAAACACACACTATTTTCGCCGACGAACTTGCGACGAACTTGTTGGTCGCCGATTAGTCGCCGGCTTTCTCTGAGTAAATTTTTGACGCCACTCGTCCGCGAGAAGTACACACAAGCAAACACGCTGCGAGACCAATGTGATAAATTCCATGCGCCTTTACTTTTCATTTTCGCGCATTAAAATATCATTTTTTGGAGGAAATGACATACACCATTGAATTCAAAATGTCAAGACGAACAAAATGGTTATAAATTTAATATATATTGTCTCACTTTTCGTGGACTTCTCTCGGAGTGAAAAAATGATGATTTTTGACCAGCATTCATTGTTAGGAGCCAATAAATGCTCTTAGAAGCATTGTGTGTGTTTATATAGCAAGAAATGTGCATTTTCACTGTTTTAGAGATGCAAAAATTTTCACAGAGTCGGGACCGCTATTCAACCCCTACACGACCCCTAAACTCGAAAATTAAAAAGTTGATAACTTTTTCAAATTTACGTTTTTCTAAATGAAATTTTTCAGACAACAATTCCAGAACCTTTAGATTAGTTTGTACTTTTTGGGTTTTCTCAAATGAACACCACTAAATAACCCCTACCAATTAGTGGTGCAATAGGGGTGCAATAGGGGTAAAAATCACCCCTATTGCACCCCTAAATCACAGTAGGGGTACTATCACACACACCTCGCCAGGATATACTTTAAGTGTATTTAAAATAAAATCAGCGATTTTCGCACTGATATACTTTAAGTACATTTTAAATATGCTATGGCATAAATAAAAGTATACTTTTTTGGATAAAAAAGTAAATTTTTGGAAAAATCGAGAAACATCTTTAGGAGTTTTTGTAAATTTAGTAAATTGCTCAAACAGCTTTTACACGACTGTAAGTTGTTCAAAATTTGCGAAAAACCAAGTTTGGTGCACAAAAATGGCGTTTCAATCATAAAATATGATTTACCCTCCTCCTCGTGGCGCCCACTACTTATATAAATTGAGTGACGGACACCTCGCGGGTTGTGCGAGGTGCTATGTTTAACGTGTAAAATGGGCGTGGCTTATCGCTTTTTCGAGATTTTTGTTATTTTCGCCATTCATGCGATTTCCAGTGGTCTGTGATCAAAAAAATTTTCTAGGCCAATTTACCTTTTTTGAAAGTATACTGAAAAATACACTTAAAGTATACTTTTGCTAAAACTTTCGAATCTCCACTCTATAGTGTGAAAACCTTAGGCGAAAATTAATCAAATGTCTCCTTTTGATATCATCAAACCGTCAGGAATCAAAAAACTGAATTTATTGATGATAAAATTTTACACGTATTTTATACTTTTTGAAAAAGTATACCCAACGTGTAAAAAAAATATACTTTATGTATAAAATATACAAAAATATACTTTCAAGTATAGGAGGGCGAAGTGTGTGTGATAGTACCCACAAGGCAAAAACACTGTGTTCGCAAGCATCGGTGGTTCAGTGGTAGAATGCTCGCCTGCCACGCGGGCGGCCCGGGTTCGATTCCCGGTCGATGCAACTTTTTTTTATTTTTTTTATTTTTTTTTGCAAAACTCACTTTCATATCATTTATACAAGTCATACAAGTCCTTGGTCGATGTGAATGATCAAAGGGGCACGATGTTTTGTTGCAAGTTGAGTCATATCTACAAGTACCATGCGCATAAATACACTTGGCTCCCGGACAACTCGGGAAATTTTTGCATTTCACTGGGGGACCATGAGGACATTTGCCAACGCCACGCATAGCTTCAGTGTTCCCACTTCCAGAATTTCCTCCAAGCTTCGTAGAATGTTTATACATTTGTTTCTTCACGATTTCTTTGTAAACATGCTCGCGGAACGATTCCCACGTGGATTTTGAAAGATCTTCCGCAATTTCGCCGTATTTTTCATCGCAATAATAGCAGATCACAGGTTTGTTTGGGTGACGATAGAGAATATGAGCGGCGAGTTTGGAGACTGATTTGGATTTCTGGAAAAAATTTGAATTCAAAGGTTTTCCCGCTCGTCAATTTTCAATCGCTGCGAGACCCACATTTTTAAAAATTCGAAAAAAAATAATGATACCGTAGTTTTTCTAAAGGCGCAACACCTGAAACACACAGGGTCTCGCCGCGATTATTTTTGTTTTTGTTTTTTTTTTTTGAAAAATATTGTTTTTTAATATCGTCAACCAGTTCTAGACTGAAATTTTGTGCTGAAAATCATGGAATTATTGATTTTCAGCGATTTTCAGATTTTCAGCGCAAAATTTGAGTTTACAGAAATATGCAGAATGTTCTTTTTTTTTATTCAAAATATTCAATGAATTTTTGAAACAGTGAAAATTTCATGAAATTTTTTTCTAGATCAGAATTTTGACCTCAAAATTGCGGAATTCTTTATTTTCAGCAATTTCCAGATTTTCCAGATTTTCAGCACAAAATTTAAGTAATTAGAAAAATGCAGAATGTTCTTTTTTTAGATCCAAAATATTCAATGAATTTTTGAAACAGTGAAAAATTCAGGAATATTTTTCTAGATCAGAATTTTGTGTTGAAAATCGTGGAATTATTGATTTTCAGCAATTTTCAGCGATTTTCAGATTTTCAGCTCACCTTTTCACACTCTACACACGCGATTTCAATCTTATGAAGCCTGATTTCATGCTCCGCGAGTTCTCGAATCGTATAAAATCCACGTCGACAAGCTTTGCAAAAATAAGGAAATTCTTCTTCCGGAAGTGGAACCCTGGAAAGTTTATGGAATTTTAGTTTTCTACGTGGCATTTTTGAAAATTCTGTCATAGATCCCTAGAAGTTACTTACTGAACAACGTCAGTTTGAAAAAAATTGGAAAAAAATGGGATAAAATAAAATAAAATAGGCTAAGTTAACAAAAATATATACTCGAAACCCTCATAAGTTCCTCGACTTGAACTTCGAGTTCGCGATCGATTTTGGTGGCGGCGAAGGCGTTTTGGAGATGGAGATCTGCAAAAAAATACGTTTAAAAATCAGGAAAAATAAATAAATTTGAAAAAAAAACGCGCGGCGCGGTGTCATCAACGCGGAGTCTCGTTGTTTTCTTTTTATTTTTTTGCAATTTTTTTTATTTTTTTGGGGAAAATGGAAATTTGCAGGGAAAAAACCAGTTTTCAAGCATGAAAAAAATGCGGGAAAAAATTAAATTAAAAAAAAAAAGACGCGCGGCGCGGTGTCATCAACGCGGAGTCTCGTTGTTCTCTTTTTATTTTTTTCATTTTTTTCCAAACCTGCTTTCTTTTCGATTTTTCCAAAGGGGTTTATCCTCAACTTCTTCTTCTTCCGCGTCTTCCGCATCCTCTTCCGCAACAATTTCTTCCGCTTCCGCTTCCGCCTCTTCAATTTCCACATAATCTGGCTGATCTTTAGGAATCGGTCCGATTGGTGTTCGCGGCCCTGTCTCATTTTCAATCGCGAAATCCGTTTCACGCAACGCTTCCTCGTATAAATCATCCATTTTTACTCAAAAAATCGCCACAAAACAATAGAAAAATTAAAACCAAATAAAACAAAAACTAATTCGGTTGTTATGGTGATAAGGGCGGTAATTGCTAGGTTATTTTTCAGCTGCCAACACAACAAAAAAAATGCAAAATCTGTGTCAGCACTACTATCGTTAAATCATCACAGTAATGCAGATGTCCCTAACAAATTTTCGTCATTCACAGCAATAGTTCACAGTGGGGGTCGAACCCGCGACCTTTAAAACGAGAGACGCACACGTTAGCCAGTCGGCCACGGTGCCCGTTTGAACAGCGAGGAGAGAATGGTCAATATATTTTGGGTGCAGGAAAAAGGGATAGACTACGTTGTAGTGTGTAGTTTGCATGGGTTTTGTGAAGAAAAAAAATACTTTATTGGAGAATTAATTAAGAATTAATATTTTTAATATAAAAAATAGATTTTTCAAATGAAAATCAAAAATTGCTGAGAAAAAGAGTCAAAAGTCAAGATTCATCCTCATCAAAACTATGTTTATTGCGTTTTTTCTGCTCTTGAGCCTCTTTGAGTTGCGCAAATGGTCCCGAGCCAGACATCGAAGTCACCGAATTCTTACTATCCATATTTTTCAGCGATTTCGTGGTTGCAGTGGAAACTTTCTTGCTTGTACTATCAGTTGTGATATCGACAATGTTTTTGATCATTGAGGCAGCCTCGAAAATTCCGATTCCCTGGAAAACAACATTTTTTTCCACGCATTGAAATAGTCAGCAACATAAAACCCTAGCGTTTTCGCAAGCATCGGTGGTTCAGTGGTAGAATGCTCGCCTGCCACGCGGGCGGCCCGGGTTCGATTCCCGGTCGATGCAACTTTTTTTTCTTTTTTTTTTTAAATTCTCACCATATTCGGCACAACTGCTGCCGCTGAAGATTCCACAGAATTACTGCGATTTGAAGGCGCGGCGTCAGGAATTTTCGAAAGATTCAAAGACATTGACGACTCCTTCTTGTCGGTTTTCTTGATTGATCGCTTCTTCTGAACTCGATTGATCTCCTCGCTAGAAGTGTAGATCTTCTCCTTCTTTCCCTCATCGGAAACCTTCATTTTTGCGGTTTTCGATTCGAGCTCATCAAAAATCAATTCTTTCTTGCTATCCTTCTAGAAATATGTACAAAAATTTTATGAATTTTGAAAAAAAACACGCTAACCTTCAAATCCTCCTGACGTTTTTTATGCTCCGAAAACATCGTGAATAGAAAATGAGAGAAAAAAATCTGGAGAAAATCTGAAAAAAGACACAGGTGTGCTTGAAATCTAATAAATCTAGAAGAAAATTTCCCCACACACCGAAAATATTGGGTTGGGGAAAAAATAATTGAAAATTTATTTGATTTTTGCCGAGAAAGGGAAATTGTAGCCTTTGTGGGATACAATTCTTTTTTTTTCGCGGACGGAAAAAAATTATTTGTGGAATTTTTTTCAATTTATGAAATATGTGCTCTTTTTTTCTCAAAAATAGAGTACTGTAGGTTCTTTGAGCTCAAAAAATCTGAATGAAAATCCAATTTTCAGAAGCCAAAAAATGGGCGGCGTGGGAGGAAAACAAGAAAAAATCAGCGCAAAAAAGGCAGAAAAAAAATAAATAATTTTTATTGGCTCCAGGTTTTCTATGGCAACTCAAGGTAAAAAGCAATAAGATATTATCTTATGGACAAAAAAAAATAAAATAAATAAATTTTTATAGATAAAAATGAAATTGGGGAGTACTGTACTTAACGATTTCTGAAAAAAAATTATTGGAGCGTAGGAAGATCAAAAGATCGTTAAGGTTTGGCTTAGGTTTAAGGTTAAATTGCTAATTTTAAAGTTCCCTTAATTAAAAAAAACACTGCGACAAACTTTTGCGTACAGTAGGATTTGAATTTTGGGTTTCTAGGCCATCTTACGCTTTTCTAGGCCACCAGAAGAATATTTTCGGGTTTCTAGGCCACCGGGAGATTTTCTAGGCCACCAGAAGTATGGTTTTGGGTTTCTAGGCCATCTGAAGCTTTTCTAGGCCACGAGAATTTTATTTTTGGGTTTCTAGGTCACCTGGAACTTTTCTAGACCATGTGGAGTATAGTTTCGGGTTTCTAGGCCACTTGGAACTTTTCTAGGCCACGAGAAGTATATTTTTGGGTTTCTAGGCCACTTGGAACTTTTCTAGGCCACGAGAAGCATAGTTTTGGGTTTCTAGACCACCAAATTCGTAATTTTGAGTTTCTATGCCATCCTAAGCTTTTCTACGCCGCGAAACGTATATTTTAGGGTTTCTAGGCTACCAGGAGATTTTCTAGGCCACGAGAAGTTTATTTTTGGGTTTCTAGGCCACGAGAATTATGGTTTCGGGTTTCTAGGCCACCTGGAACTATTCTAGGCCATGAGAAGTTTATTTTTGGGTTTCTAGGCCACCTGGAGATTTTCTAGGCCACCTGGAGATATTCTAGGCCACGAGAAGTATATTTTTGGATTTCTAGGCCACGAGAATTTTATTTTTGGGTTTCTAGGCCATAGGTAATGTGATACCGTAGCCTTAAATTTTAGCGCTCAAATTTCTCGGAATTAATTTGAAATTTTCCCCGAAAATTGTACGTTTCACAAAAAAACAATTAAAAAAAAGGAAATTTCCAAATTTGATATATAAAAAATTCGCAAAATAAAAATTAATTTATGTACAAAAATTTATTAACAAAAAATATATACAAAATTTTTTGAGATCAATTATTTTTTCTTTAATCCTGAATGAATTGTCGATGAAGGAACTGCAAAATATTTATTTTTATTTTTTAAATTCCAGAGATTTCCAGATTTCTACTCACCAATTGCGTAATCGAATCGGGCACCAATTTAGTATAAGTCGTCTGTTTCGTATCCACCTCAGCCTCATAAGTTTTCGCATTTCTTTTCATCATTTCTCGAAGAGTTAGACAATATGAATATGAAACAATCATTGAAATCAGCAAAATTATTGAAATTATTCTCATTTTCTGTTATTTTTGTCAATTTTTAGTTAGAAAACGGGGCAAGTCGGGTACTTTTATATAGAAAAAGAAGATAGACTAAGTTAAGTCCCGCCCAAAGTTCAAAAAGTTCATCCGAAAATAGAAGAACTGATGTTCAGTACGTAAGAAAAGGCGTTTTTTTCCAAATCTGTTTGATGAACTTTCATGGGGAATTAATGCAAGTTTAAAATAATTCGGCAAACTTCTTAAAATAATTCCAGAGAAAAGTACAGTAACGCTATGAGACCAGAATTCAGAAAAAATCTGGAAATAATTACAGTACTTTGGCCACGTCATAACTGGATTTTGGGCAAAATTCGGAAGGGTCATGAAAAATTACAGTACTCTTTTTAAAGGCGCACAGCGAAATTCAGCGTTGCCAAATTTCAGATTTTTTTTCAAGTGCAAAACATCAAGTACAGTAGTTTTTGATACTAAAAACCACCTACAGTACTCCTTTTAAAGGCGCACAACAAAGTTTAAAGAGACTTTTTTGAAAGACGGCAAAATTTGACTCCAAATCTAGCAAATGTGCTCCATTGAACTATCCCCATTTTTTCGAAAAATTCAAATTTTTTTTTTCTGGTGACTTTAAACATATTTTTTCTTTTTGAATACAGTAACCTTTCTCTTTAAAGGCGCACAACAAATTCTATTTTGGTCGAAATCTATTGTTTTTTGGTTCCTCTTGCACCCAATGAACTGTATTATTTCTGGCTGCTAAAAAATACAAAAACAAAAAAAAATGGACAGAGACAAGTCGATTTGTTAGTCTCTTATCATCCGCCCAGAAAAAAATCACGCACATTTTCTGCTGTTTTTTCCATTCGCAACGCACATGGTGATAAAATCACAAAGATTATCCAAATCGATGAAATAGTATGAAAAAATGAGAGAGTTGGGTAGAGAAAACAGAATGAACGAAATGATCTTTTTTGTACAAAAAATGAAATAAAACAGCGTGTGATTGTTTGTGATGGGAAGAAAGAAGAATTTTGAATAACAATCAAAAATGTGATTTTTTTTCCGTTTTTTCAAAGGTTACTGTAGTTTATGGGGTGATTCAGATAGAAAAACACCAGGAAAAAAATGAAAATTTGAATTTTTTGAAAAAATGGGGATAGTTCAATAGAGCGCATTTGCTATTTTGAGTCTAATTTTGCCGTTTTTCATGATTTTTGGGTGAGAACTGATCAGATTCCACCAGAAGAAAGGTGATAGTCTATTTTCGGGGTAAAAAAAATCTAAAAATCTTCATTATCGATTGCAACTATCACAATTAAAGTCATGGCGAGTAAAAATTACGCCATTTGGCGCCAAAATGGAGGTAAAAATGCTATACACAGGAGGAAAAATGGTACACAGTTTTTTTGGACTAAAATTAATTTTAGGACTTTTTCAGGATTTTCTAGGTTTCAGGTTGTTCAACAACCTGAAAACTCTTGGATAATCCAACAATACAATTCAAGTAAGCCGGAAAATATCCCAATCGATAATTTCCCACTGGTAGATCAACAAATTTGCATGCCGATTATTTTTGATCTTCGATTAACATCGCTGTCTGTGTCTCTTTCTCTATTAGTATACTAAAAAACACAATGGTCCGCATCTTATTTAAAAGGTAACGCGCGCATTCTTTTTCTCTGTATCTCTTGTGTTGTGCACATTTACAGGGTGGTCCATAATTAGCCTATTAGTTGGGATATCATTTAAAGTACATTAAAGTACTAAATATCATTTAAAGTACGTTAAGCTCATGAAATGTTCCACAAAATGCAATTATTTGTCTCATTACATGATCATGAAGATGTGAGGCACAGCGAATTTGTATTCATTTTCAACGCAAAGGTATGTATGTATTTTTTAATTGTTGGCCAAGTGTATGTTAGTAAAAAAAATCAATTTAGACTACTCTAAATCGGCTGGTCGAATGCATTGCCGTGCGATTTAATATTCCACTTTTGCATCTGAAATTGTTCACCACTGGAGGAGAGATCATAAGATTTCATTTGAATTGGAAACTTTCTCAAATGAACTTGAATCACCTTGATAATGTAATTGTGGTAAGTTTTCAAATTTATCTACTTATATTTCATGGAAAAATTTTTTTGGACCTTTTTAGGCCTTTCGAGAAAAAATTCCCTGGGCTTTCACTATTCAAAGGGGGCCCAATCTTTTGAGCAAATAAAATTTTGTCGTCTTACCCCCCCCCCCCTTTAAGCTATTGCTTTTTTCAGAAACATGACAAACTTGTCAATTGGGTTCAATTTCTCAGTAGTTTGGAGACGGTCAAAAATGCGAAAAATTCAAGGCTGATTAAATGGGAGTTGGATTCTGCGTCGCAACAACTCCCCGTCCTCGTAAATTCCAAGTTCTTTCTCGCGTATGTGAAATTTGATAGCACGCCTAGGATGTTTTTCGAAGAGTTCGGTAACTGCTTATATTTGAATAGCGAATTCAAGACCATCGAAATCGCATCAAAACATTACTTCTCCATTATTCTGAAGGATAATCCTGCGTGTCCCAATTTGCAATTCAAATGTGTGAATAAAAGACGTGCCCGTCTTGGTCTTCAGGTGAGAGTTACTGCTGTCCACTGTACTTCTCATTGAATAATATGTTCTAAGGGTGGATTGGAATGCCACATATACGAACAAGGACAATTGGCAAAGATATATCATGTCAAGATTCACACAAAAAAGGGAACAATTGCACGACAACACAAGTTGTGATCTTCGTGAGCTTTTCGCTTACAAACTATTGGAATACATCAAAATCGGCGCGATAGTCCATTTCTACCCGAACATGCACAACTCTGGGTTTGGCTTGTATATAGCCACCGAAGATAGTAAGTTTGAATCGCAGTTTTGCCGAATTTTTCCGGCTTAAAACGGGGTGGGAGGTAAGACGACAAAATTTTATTTGCTCAAAGAATCGGGCCCCTTTGAATAGTAAAAGCCCCAGGGGCTTTTATCTTGAACGGCCTAAAAAGGTCCGAAAAAAAATATTCCATTAACGTATACGTTGTCCGACGTATAGGTATACGTTGAAAAAGTCGCCTAACCCCCCCCCCCTTTAAAAAGTCGGCGCTGCGAAATGCCGACAAGTAAATTCCGCCCAACCCTACCATACTTGAACTAGTCGCTCCGAGGACCCCTGAGTTAGGGGCCCTTACCCAATTTTTGCTGATTTTTGATCCGTAAAAATCCAAAATTTACAAAAGTTAAACCACCTTCCTTCAAAAATTCACCTAAAGTTAACCCACCCATACATGATCTGAGGCTCCGAGGAAGGAGGAAGCTGGGTTAACTTTAGGTGCATTTTTGAAGGAAGGAGGGGGTTAACTTCTGTAAATTTTGGGACTTTTTATGGTTTTACGGATCAAAAATCAGCAAAAATTGGGTTAGGGCCCCTAACTTAGGGAGGGGGGTTAACTTTTCGAAAATTTGGCCTGGAAGACGGGGGTGAGGGGTTAACTCAGGGGTCCTCGGAGCGACTAGTTCAAGTATGCGCTCGAAACGTATACTTGAACTCCGCCCCAATCGGTGTATTCAGCAACCATTTCAAAATTTCATTTTCAACGTGTTTCATTCAGTTCCCGGTTTTCGTCAAGCATCCGAAATAGATGAGGAGGATCCAAAAACAAAAATTCAACTTGAACTTTTATCATCTTGCTTATATCTAAGGGATTTGAAAAACAATAATACAAATTACGGTGTTGATGATCAAGGAGAATTGAGGATTGTTGATTTTGAAGTGAGTTTGAATGTTTTTAGTTTTGCAAAATTACTGACTATTTATCTAGATTCACGCTCACAAACAAAACTCACAAAAAATTGCCAACAACTTTTTCTCTCGAAATAAGCAATTACGTTTCGATGTTGGAAAAGCTGCATTTTTATCTTGGGATCTATTGAAAAATATTGATTTGGCCAATGCCAGTATTGAAGACCAAAAGAAGCTGTTGAATAAACATTCCATTACGTTCACAGTAGACCGGAATTTTGACGATTATTTGACTGCAATCAAAAAGAATGTTACTTTAATTGCAAAATATTTCGAATGAAAACGCTTTCTTTTTAAGCCCGTCTTTTAACAATTTAAATGATTTACCAAAATACAACGCTTCAAGACTCTTCTAAACCTTATTATGCGCCTTTGAAAGGAGTATTGTAAAAAGATCATATAACTTAATTTGTCCAGAAAAATAACTTGCGATTTTTGTTATGCACCTTTCTTTAAATTATACTACTTTTGTTTTTGGACATTTTTTAATAACATGGAATTTAGCCTAACTCAAATTTGAACATTTTTGGGGAAGGTAATTCAAGGGGTACCGTAGTTCATGAGGTTTAGACGAAAAATGTTCAAAAATCACTAGAACAAAAAAAATGAAAATTTGAATTTCTCTAAAAAACGGGGATAGTTCAATAGAGCGCATTCGCTATTTTTGGAATCAAAAAAATTCTAAAAATCTTCATTATTGATTGCAACTATCACAATTAAAGTCATGGCAAGTAAAATTGATGCAATTTTTGCATGGAGGTAAAAATGCTATTCACAGGGAAAAAATGGTACACGGTACTTCAGGTTTCAGGTTGTTCAACAACCTGAAAACTCTTGGATAATCCAACAATACAATTCAAGTAAGCCGAAAAATATCCCAATCGATAATTTCCCACTGGTAGATCAACAAATTCGCACGCCGAATATTTTTGATCTTCGATTATTTGCTCGAAACACGTGGCAAAATAGATCCAATGTGTTGTTGAGGTACAATCATCAATCGAGGACTGCAAAAAATTCGGATTACTGTAGATTTTGGCGCCAAAAACTCACCGGATAAACTCCAATCCAATCTCTCATACTTCCAAATTCTTTGCTGAAAATCGGATCAACTTGAAATCTTCCGATTAAAGGGATGGAGCTGAACCAGGTGGGCAAATGTTCGAAAACCACATCCCAATGTGATTTCGGTGCGATTGGCATCTGGAAAAAAAATAATTTTTGAAAAATTGATTTTGGCGCGAAAATTCGAGCATTTTTCCCGCCAAAACTCTCACCTTGACCATGAATTTGCCAATCACTGGAAAATGATCACTGGCCACACTTTTCTCATTGGATTTATATGAGATTCCTTGAATCCCGTCGCCTTTGTACAATATTCGATCACACCAGGATGGTGTACGTTTTGAATCGTGTTTTGGTGTGCCAATGTGTAATCTGAAGAGAATTTCCATGAAAATTTTGAAAACTCCAGAATTTTTCTTGAATTTCTGTCATTTTTTATGAAGGCACAAATCAAATTTTGAAGACAGTTTCAATTTTTTTTAGGTAATATACAATATTAACAAATCGAAAAACAAAAATTCGAGCGAAATTTCATTAAAATTTTGAAACGTAAAAAATCAGGCTTGAGAGAAAAATTGAAATTCCAGAATTTTTATGGAATTTCGGCTATTTTTTTAATAAAAAATCAAATTTTAAAAATATTTTCAGAATTTCCACATTCAGAATGAGCATTGAAAATCAAAAATCCGAAAAAAATTTCATCAAAATGTTGAAACGTAAAAAATCAGGGTTGAGGGAAAATTGAAATTTCAGAACTTTTCTTGAATTTCAGCCATTCTTTATGAACAAAAAATCGAGTTTAAAAAATTTCTTCAAACTTTTAATCGGTTAATGGATAAAGTAAAATAAACGAAAATCAAAAATCCGCGAAAAATTTAATCAAAATTTTGATACGTAAAATTTCAGGGTTGAGAAAATGCTGAAATTTCAAGATTTTTCTTGAATTTCAGCCATTTTTTTATGAAGGAAAAATTGAATTTCAAAAATATTTTCAGAATTTTCATTTTCAGATAATATTTTTTTCAAGGAAGCCTATCAAGAATCGAAAATCAAAATCAAATAATCGAGCAAAATTTCATCAAAATTTTGAAACGTAAAAAATCAGGATTTTTAAAGTCATTTTTGTGATGAAAATTCAATTTTCCAACAGAAATTTCAGGATTTTCGCTATAAAACAGAAAAAATTTGCAAGCCTCACCTATAAGTTGGTGCAAATTTGATGGGTTGCTCTTCGAATCCAGAAAACGCCTCTTTTTCCACCAGAGCTCGTTTCAATTGTTCTCGAGTGTCTGAAAAAAAGAAGAATTCAAGATTTTCAGGCTCAAAAAAACCACTCACCCAACAATTCGCCAAAAGTTCCCGTCCGAATTTTGCTCATCACAACTTCAGTGTCTTCTTCAACTCGAAAATTCAAATCACCAAACCAGAAAACGGCTCGAACACTTTTGTCTTCGGGAAAACAGCAAGTTTTGTTGGTGTGAAATTGAGCGATTCGTTTTTGATATGATAAAACATCGTGCACAAAGTGAGAATCGACAAAAACCAGCGAAAATGGGCTCTGCAAAAAATATTACAGGTGGACTTCTAGAAGATTTTTAAAAATTCCAATTTTCAATTCAATAAATTTTGAAACAGTAGATTTTTAAGTTTAGAAATTTTGATAAAAACTGGATATTTCCCGTAAAATTTTGTCTGGCAAATAAAGAGTTATAAATCTATGGAACATTTCAAAAAACTCCAATTTTTAATTCAAAATATTTTGAAACAGTAAATTTTCGGGATTTAAATTTAGGTGAGAATCTGGATTTCCTAAAATTTCTATAGAAAATTAGGGTCATCAAAGGCTTTATTTAGGTTTAGGCTTTGGACTTAGGCCCTAAATTTAGGCTTTCAAGAAATTCCGAAAATATAGAGACAAAGTAGTCAAAAACTCAACATTTTGAAAAAATCCAAATTTTTAATTCAAAATATTTTGAAACAGTAGATTTTTGAGTTTAGAAATTTTTATAAATACTGGATTTTTTCCGTAATTTTTTTTGTATTAAATTAGGGCTTTAAAGGCTTTAGGCTTTGGGCTTAGGTCCTAAATTTAGGCTTCAAGAATTCTAAAAGTATAAATGAAGAAACAATCGATTCAACATTTTAAAAAATCCCAATTTTCAATTCAAAATATTTTGAAACAGTAGATTTTTGGGTTGCAAAATTTTGATAAGAACTGGATTTTTTCCGTAATTTTTTTTTCTGTAATAAATTAGGGCTTTAAAGGCTTTAGGCTTTGGGCTTAGGTCCTAAATTTAGGCTTCAAAAATTCTAAGAGAACAGTTTTCCAATCAACACTTCGAAAAATCCCACTTTTCAATTCAAAATATTTTGAAACAGTAGATTTTTGAGGTTAGAAATTTTGGTAAAAATCTGATTTCCTAATATTTCTATAGAAATTTAGGGCCATCAAAGGCTCAAGGCTTTGGGCTTTAGGCCCTAGATATAGGCTTCAGGCTTTGAAAATTCTGAAGTTATAGAGACCAGCGTCAATGAACATTCCAACATTTTTAAAAATTCCAATTTTCAATTCAAAATATTTTGAAACAGTAGATTTTTGGAATGAAAAATTTTGATAAAAACTGGATTTTTTCCGTAATTTTTCTTCGGTAATAAATTAGGGCTTTAAAGGCTTTAGACATTAGGCTTTAGGCTTTAGGCTTTAGGCTTTAGGCTTTAGGCTTAAGCTTCAGGCTTCAGGCCGCTTAAGAAATCAGAAATATAGCCCTACGCTAAAAAAACAGCCTAACATTTCAAAAATTTTCAATTCGAAATATTTTGAAACAGTAGATTTTTGGGGTTTAAATTTTGATAAAAATCTGGATTTTTTCTGTGAAATTTTTTTCTGTAATAAATTAGGGCTTTAAACGCTCCAGGCTTTTTTAGGCTTTGGGCTTGGTCCCTAAATTTAGGCTGCAGACTTTCAAGAAATTCAGAAAACATAAAACCAAGAAGTCAGCATTCAACATTTCAAAAAATCCCAATTTTCAATTCAAAAAATTTTGAAACAGTAGATTTTTGGATTGCAAAATTTTGATAAAAACTGGATTTTTTCCGTATCATTTTTTTTCTGTATTAAATTAGGGCTTTGAAGGCTCTAGGCTCTAGGCTTTGGGCTTGGGCCCTAAATTTAGGCTTCAAAAATTCTGAAAGAATAGACAAAGAAACAATTAATCCAACACTTCGAAAAATTCCAACTTTTAATTCAACATATTTTGAAACAGTAGATTTTTGTGTTGAAAAATTTTGATAAAAACTGGATTTTTTTCAGTGAAATTTTTTTCTGTAATAAATTAGGGCTTTAAAGGCTTCAGTTTAGACATTAGGCTTTGGGCTTGGGCCCTAAATTTAGGTCTAGGCTTTAGGTTCTAGGTTTTAAAAAATTCTGAAAATAAAGACAAAAACCTAGATAGGAACATTTCGAAAAATTCCAATTTTCAATTCAAAAAATTTTGAAACAGTAGATTTTTGGGATTTAAATTTTGATAAAAACTGGATTTTTTTCCGTTAAATTTTTTTTTCTGTAATAATATAGGACCATGAAAGGTTATTTCTATTTTATTTATTATAGGCTTGGGCTTAGGTCCTAGATGCAGGCTTCAGGCTTCAAGCCGCTTAAAAATCAGAAATATAGACATACTAACCACTAGCCGAACATTTTTAAAAATTCCCAATTTTCAATTCAAAATTCTTTGAAACAGTAAATTTTTGTGTTGAAAAATACGATAAAAATCTGGATTTCCAAAGAATTTTATAGAAAATTGGGATCATCAAAGGCTTTAGTTTAGGCTTTAGGCTTTGGGCTTAGGCCCTAAATTTAGGCTTCACTTCGAAAAATCCCAATTTTTAATTCAAGAAATTTTGAAACATTAGATTTTCGGGGAATTTTTTTCGAGAGCAAAAAACATCTCAAATGAAATTATTCAACCAAAAAAATCACTGTTTCAAAGAAATAGGAAATATTTTCGATTGTGATAAGCTTTGCTAATTGAACACTGAATCCATTATTCAATTTTCAAAAAAAAAATCAAAATTCAAGTTTTTTTGAGATAAAAATGTCTGAAAATCCCATTTTCAGCCAAATTTCCAGCAGAAATTCACTAACCCTTAGTTGAATCCTCACTCCAATTGATCCTTTATGTCCAGTCAATCCGCCCATTGTATTTTTAGCAAATCGAAAATCAACTTTTCGGATCTGCAAGAAAAATCGGATTCTGAAGTGATTCGGGAATAAAAGGCGCCAAAAAACAATTTGAAATTTGAAATTCAAATTTTCTGGCGCTAAAAATCAAGTTTTAATTTAAATTTTGGCGCCAAAAATTTCAATTTTCGCTCCAAAACCCTAATTTCCCGCCAAATTTCCCCCTGAAAAAAAACTCACAAATGCAATAATCTGTTTCCTGACAAATACCATAACCTGATTTGTCATTTGATAAGTTTTGCCCAACAAAACCATCTTCTCATTTCGATTCATCCATTCTCGAATGTGTTGACACCAAGTGATTATAGCTCCACCAATGGTTTCAGCGTGAGCGACTTCCTGGGAAAATTTTAGGATTTTCTGGAGCCAAAAATCAATAAAAATTGATCAAAATGTGCATTTTCACCTAGTTTATGGGTGCAATTTTTCATAGGAAATTCAGATTTTTTCAAGGTTTCAAAATTAATTTCTAGAATTTCCCGAAAGTTTTTCAAGATTTTTCAGACTAATTTTCAGCCTCTCAAAATCACTAATAACTAATTTTTAGTTCAATTTTTGTAAAAAATAATATTGAAAAATGTACTGTTTCAAGATTTTTTAAATTAAAAATTGGAAATCTTCAATAATGTTTTTTGTATTCTTTTGTGGTTTTCAATATTTCCAATTTTAACAATGATTTTTTTCTGAAAATTCACATTTTCAAGTGATTTTTTTTTGAAATTCAAAAATTTTCAGACAATTTTCCAACCCTAAAATTAATAAAAATTGATTTTTGAATTTTCAGATGAATTTTCTGTAATTTTCACATTTTCAGTCAAATTTCCAGCCCCAAAAACCCCACCTGCAATCCAATCACAACAATATTCGAGCTCTCCTCAATTTGTCCGGCCAAAAAATTCTCAACAATTTTTTCATCACAAATTTTCATGGCCACATTATATGTGATAATTGTCACCTTCCAATCCATGATCTGAAATTTTTCAAAAAAAATGATTTTTGGCGGGAAAAATCCACGTGGAAATAGTCTAACACAGTATTTTTGGCGCCAAAATTGAATTTAAAAATTTTGGCGCGAAAAATTTTTAATTTCAAATTTTTTTGAACATTAAAACAAAATGTTACCACCCAGAATTTGAGCTCCAAAATTTGAAAATTCAAATTTTAGCGCGAAAATCAACGTGGCAAAAGCTGAATCTTCACAATTTTGAGTAAAAAATGTTGAAAATCTCCATAGCAACCAAGAAAAACGCAGGTAAATCAATATGGATTAGTCCATTGCTCATATTAAACTTTTTAAAAAAATAAAATCTGGGTTTAAAAATCTTTTTTTTTTGAATGTGTGGCGGTGTAAAAAAAAACAAGAAAAAACGAATTTGCAGACAAAAAAACGTGGAGAAAAATGCTGTAAAACAGAGCAAAAAAAAATAAGAGCTGGGAGGGAAAAAAGTATATCAAAACTTGTAGATCACAAATTATTATTTTTACAGAATTTTAAAATTTTTTTGGGGGGAAGGGAAAGGGGAGAAAAAGGACCCGCAATTAGAGAAAAATAGACAGGGGAAGGAAAACTAGCACCAAAATGGTGAAAAATGCTCAAATTTTCACCCAAAACACAGGATTTTGATGAAAAATGCACCAAAAATGGGCAATTTTCCCCGCTATTTGGCACCATTTCCACCAACAGTTCGTCTAACTCGTTTTCTTGGCGGCGATCGAACTGGTGCACTATTACTTGTTGATGGTTCATCATCAATATCATTGTTCGTCAACACGGCTTCCAGTAATTCATTTGCCAATTCGTGACGATCCTGGAAAAATTTGAAAATTATAGACAGAATTTAGCTGAAATTCTTGTCTCAAATAAAAAATTCAAATCTGGATTTTTTACTGAAACTCTCATGTTTTAAAAATAGTTTGAATTTAATTTTTTTGTTTTTTTTAATTTAAAAAATTCAAGTAACATTTTACATGAAAATTGTTAAAGACAAAATGTTTAATTCCAGCCAAAAATAAGCTATTTTTATCTTTTTAAAAATCAAATTTTGGAAATCAAAATATAACTTTTTTGAAAATTTCCAATTTTCTAATCAAAATTACTTGAAACAGTAAATTTTTTAAAGACAAAATTTTAAAAATTGAGTATTTGAAACATTTTTTAAAAAACTTTGATAATGAAAATCCAACGGTTTGAAAAAATTCCAAAATTTCAATTAAAAATATTTTGAAACAGTAAACTTTTGATAAAATTTTCTAGGAAAGCAAATACTTGTGATAATACAAACGGTGAAAAATTACTTCAAAAAATTCCAATTTTCTATTCATAATTACTTGAAACAGTAAATTTTTTATACTAATTTCTACACAAAAATTGAAATCGTCTATCAACAGAATAACATTTTTGAATAATTCCTATTTTCAATTCAAAATATTTTGAAACATTAAATTTTCAGGAAAAAATTCAAATCCGAACCTTTAGTGAAATCAGCTATTATTTTCAAAAACTCCTATTTTCAATTGAAAACTAGTTGAAACAGTGAATTTTTGAAGATAAAATTCTGAATTTCGATAAAACCAAACCAGGTTATATTTTTTGAAAATCAACTTTTGAAAAGAAGATCAATCGATTTAAAAACCATATCTTCCTCAGGCAAATCGTCCCACCGGTGTAACACCAAATATCCACTCACTCAACACCTTCTCTTCATTAATCCCACCGGTGGGCCCACCGGTGGGAAACCGGTGGTCACAAATTTGATAATAGCACCGGTGTACCACCACCTTAACACTCGCTTAACACCGTTTGAACACCGTCTGAACACCAAAAAGAGGTGTTCCACCGGTGTTTTTGTTCATTTTTCCCACCGGTTTCCCACCGGTGGGACGATTTGCCTGAGTCAATTAACAATTCAGTGAAACAGTAAATTTTCAGCAAAAAATCCAGATAAAAATATTTAGTGAATTCGATAAAAACTCAAATAACATTTCGAAATATTCCATTTTTCAATTCAAAATTACTTGAAACAGTAAATTTTTTCAAAGAAAATTTTTATAATATCAAAGAAATAATCAACGGTTTGAAAAAAACCAGAATTTGAATTAAAAATTACTTGAAACAGTAAATTTTTCCCCAAGAAAAAAAAAATGAAAACCAACCTTTTTCATCATTTTCCACTCCGATGTTTTTATCACATTTCGATGATGAATTGTGAGGAATCGAATGACAGCCTGGAAAAAAAACATTGAGGATTTAGGGTAACTTCGGGTCAAAATCAAGGGGTTTTGGCTCAGAAATCTCCCAGAAACCCTGGTCAAAAATCAGTTTTTAGGCTCAAAATGCTTCTAGAAAACCCCGGTAAAAAACCCACCGATTTCAAAATATGTGCAGTATAAGTATCGGAAAACACGGCAATATTTGTGATATTTTTATGATTAATTGTGAGCGCAATCGATCTTTCGCATTGCTCTTTTAATGGCAAAACTTCATATTTGTCAGCGATTGCCAAGACTTCATCGATTGAATGTGAATCTAGAGCATCTGTCGAGCCAGTGTACATAAATTCAACCATGGCTGCAAAAAATATTGATTTTTTTGAGAATTTCAACAATTTGATCGATTTTTGACGGTAAAATCTTGAATTTTCATGAATTCAGAGAAAATCGAGCCACGTGGATTTTTTGAAGCTGAGAAATTCCCAATTTTTCGAGAAAATTTTACAATTTAAATTTTTCGGAGCTCCAAAATCCACGTGGTAAATTTTTTTTCAAAAAGTTGAATTTTTCATATGAAAAGCATTCTTTAAATACCCAATTTTCAATTAAAAATATTTTGAAACAGTAATTTTTCGACCAAAATTTTTCAGAGAAAATCGAACTTTTGCCACGTAGGAAAATGTTCAAAAGAAATTCAGAAAAAATCGAGCCACGTGGATTTTTGAGCTGAGCATTTCCCAATTTTTCGAGAAAATTCTACAATTTAAATTTTGGAGCTCAAATTCCACGTGGCAAAATAAATTTCAAGAAATTTCAAAAAATGCAATTTTTTATGAATTCACTACCACTACATCATTCTTAAAATATCCCATTTTCAATTGAAAATATTTTGAAACAGTAAATTTTTTTAATATTATTTTTTTTTGTAAAAATTGAACCCGAAAATTAATTCAAAAATCAATATTTATTGATTTTTGGAGCTGGAAAATTGACTGAAAATTCGAAATTTTTGAAATGATTTTTAGGTCCAGAAGTTTTTAAAAATGGAAAAATTGACTGATTCTTTAAATATCCAATTTTCAATTAAAAATATTTTGAAACAGTAAATTTTCTGACCAAAAATTTTCACAGAAAATCGAGCATTTGCCACGTGGATTTTTGAAAATAGAAAAATAGCGCGAAAATTTTAGGATTTGAATTTTTTGGTGCTCAAATTCCACGTGGCAAATTTTAGGAAGTTTCAAAAAATTGAATTTTTCATGAATTTTTCATATGAATAGCATTTTGAAAATATCCAATTTTCAATTAAAAATATTTTGAAACAGTAATTTTTTTAAAAAATATTTTGAAACAGTAAATTTTTTGGCCGAAAATTTTCAAAGAAAATCATTTTCTGACCAAAACATTTTCACAGAAAATCGAGCATTTGCCACGTGGATTTTTGGAAATTGAAAAATAGCGCGAAAATTTTACGATTTCAAATTTTGGTGATCAAAATCCACGTGGTAAATTTTAAGAAATTTCAAAAAGTTGAATTTTTCATATGAAAAGCATTCTTTAAATACCCAATTTTCAATTAAAAATATTTTGAAACAGTAAATTTTCTGACCAAAAATTTTCAGAGAAAATCGAGCCACGTGGATTTTTGAAGCTCAAATTCCACGTGGCAAAATAAATTTCAAAATATCTAATTTTTCATGAATTCTGAAAATATCCAATTTTCAATTTAAAATATTTTGAAACATAAAAAATCCTGCCACAAGTTACCCAAACTCACCTCTAACCGATTCATATTTCGCATCCAAAATATCAATAATGCCATTCTGCGCTTCAATCATCGATTCGCTCGAAAACATCGATCGGAAAACCGGCGAATGTTGTCCCAAAATGCATCGATGTGCTCGAATTTGTTTGGTGCCAACATTGATGACACAATCGGTGAATAGTTCCATTTCCCACATTTCTCGATTACTTTCTCGAATATTTAATTCGGTTTTCTCATCAAAATCTTCGATAAAAGTGTCGTCGTCGACGGGTTCGACTGAGATTTTTGAGCCGGGCGGGAAGTATTCGACTTCGCAGATGAGGAAGAGGGTTCCGTCGGCTCGCAGAGCACCCATCATTTTATCGCGGGACACCTGAAAAAATATGGGATTCTGGAGGAGTTTTTGGAGAGGATTGGGGTTAATTTGATATTTTAAAAATTTTGCGATCTGGAATTTGAGCTCCAAAATTTTTAGAGCCCAAATCCAGGTGGAAAAATTTTTGAAAATGTTTTAAAAATTTTGAATTCAAAATTTTTGCCGCGAAAATTCTTATTCAAAATTTGCCACGTGTACTTTTCAAGCTTAAACTTGCAAAATTTGAATTCGGAATTTTCGCGCCAACATTTTCAAATTCAAAAATTTTTCCACCTAGAATTTGAGCTCAATTTTCGCGGCCTAAAAATTCAAAATTCTAGGCCATCAAAATTGTGTTTTTCTGGATTTCTAGGCAAGCTTCATCTAGAGCCGATTTTCTTTGCCACGTGGAATTTTCTGATGTATTTTTCTTGTTGAATAAATCAAGTTAGGCTAATTTTGAATTTATAAAAACCTATTTTTAGCACGGAAATTGAGCCAATTTCGGAAATTTCGAACTTTTTATGAAAAAGAGGATTTTTCATATGGAAAATTTCAGAATTTTCAGCATTTTCAGTTGAAAAATTCCAAATTTCCACTCTTAAAAAGGAAAAAATGGGCAAAAATCAAGATTTTCAGCATTTTTCATTCAAAATTTCGAATTTCCTTCTCAAAAACGAAAAAAATTCAAGATCCACCAAATTTTCAGCATTTTTTTGCTGTCAAAAGCTTTTTCAGCATTTTCAGTCTCAAAAACGACAAAAAATTGGTGAAAATCAATTTTTTTTTCCCCCAGATTTTCATCTCAAAAATGCTCACCTGAAACTTTCCCCGTCCCTGTTGATTCGTAAAATCCTTGGTATCTCGACAAACACTAATCCTCTGCGAATTCGCATCCAACGCATAAATCTGAAATTCTGTCATAATCGGCTCTTCGCCTCTTTGCAATCCGACTTGTCGCAAGAAAAACGACACGTTATTCATATCCTCGTCTCGTTTTCCGTTGGGATAAACGTGCAATTCCCAGCAAACTGTGGGAGCTTGTGGGACGGAGAATTGGCGGGAAATCAGGTTGCTGCCATTTTTGACGAGTTTCATCAGTTTTTCGAATTGCTCGATTTTCCACTCGAGTTTGGTGGATAAGGCGGTGACTTTTGTGGCTTGTTTTGAGACGACTTCGAGTTTTCGAGGTTGCGGCGAATTTGAATCATCGGCTGGAAAAATAGAGAGATAGACTAGACTCTAGTCATGATAGTGACGTCACTAGGGCATTATTTTTAAGATAGTATTGTCGAAGTAATGTTTTTCAACTTCGACAATAATAGGTTTTTTGAAGTTATTTTATAAGTTAGCCTAACTTTTGAGAAGAGTCTCAGGATGTCCTAGATTCTAGCAGACTAGACTCTAGTCTCCAGAGATTGATCGGAGGTTAGTCAGTTATGGTTTTGATCATTTTGAAGTTACCCTAACTAGACTCTAGTCACTAGAGCAATCGGGCTGAAAAATAGTGAAGCTCTAGGTTTTAAGAAACGTGTCTTTGGCTTTTTGAAGTTACCCTAACTTATGAGAAGGCTAGATTGGGGTCAGACTAGACTCTAGCAATCGGGCTAAAGAATAGTGAAGTTCTAGGGGGGTTTTTTTTTGAGTTAAGCTAACTCAGATCACATTTTTCAAAAAAATACTGGCCAAATCCAAAAAAAAGTAGTTTTCGACCCGCTGATCATGCTCCTGAAGTTAAAAATTGCGAAGCTCAACTCCTAATATGAGTTATGACGTGGCAAAGTTGGAAAATTCGGGGTTTCACAAGACTTTAGCTAACTGAAAACTGCTGAACAACGCTATGCTATCAGATTGTTCATAACTAACTTCAAAAATGAGTTTTTAAAAAATCTGATAGCATAGCGTTGTTCAGCAGTTTGAAGTTAGCTAAAGTCCAACTTCGCCACGTCATAACTCATATTAGACGTTGAGTTTTGCTATTTTTAACATCAGGAGCATGATCAGCGTGTCGAAAACTACTTTTTTGGATTTCGTTCGATTTTCATTTGAAAATGTGATCTGCTACATGCTGAAAATCGTTTCAAGAGTTAGCTTAACTCAAAAAAACCGCCTAGATCAGGTAAGCCCCCGCAAAACACTTACATCTCAATGAAACGGGCCGAATAGCACTTCCGGACGCATTTCCTCCATTTCCTCGAGCTTGTTGATTACTCATCTGATTTGATTTAAGTACAAGATTTTTACAGGCTCTTTTATTATTATTATTATTGTAGACTTTATGCTCTGCTTTTTGTTGGTCTTCTGCAAAAAAAATGAATGGAATTTTCTGGAACCAATACTAAATGGGAAAGAACGCGCGCGGGTAGATCATAAAAATGTTTTTTATTATCGATTTTTGGAGACTGTTTTCTGTCTAAAAAAAACCAAAACCGGTTTATTTTTAGCTAGAATTAATCAATAAATCCAAGTTTCAACGAACAAAAGAAAAGTACAGCGAAAGAAAAACAATCAATAACAATTATGTTTTTTTTCGACTAGAAATCACATGTTTTCACTTTCCTCGTCTCAAAAAAAACGAAAAAAGCTTCCTTAAGGACTATGTCCCTTTAAATTTCAAAAAAAAAAACAAGATTTGGCCAGGTGCCAAAATTGAATTTCAATATTTTTTTTCCATTTTAAAAAACAGGGGAACCGCAACGGGAAAAAAGGATGTAGTCATATAGTATGTGGGTAAATAGAGGGGGAGAACCAGAGAAAACACGCCCATTTATCGACCACACTACGAAAATATACGTTTGAATAGCCGCCACAGTACCCATTGGGTCATGCGCGTCTAACTCGTTAACAATGCAACGCGTTTACGCTTGCCCGTTGTTTAGCGGGGTGGGTTTTTGAATTTCGAAAATCGCATTTTTTGTGTTTTGGCGGGGAATTGGTGTTTTTTCGGGGAATTTTTGGGTGAAATTCAAGATTTGCAGGTTTTGAATAGAAAAAGCGATGAAAATTCCCAGGAAATCTTGGTTTTTACTCGAAATTTCAAAGATTTAGGGTTAACTGCGCGAAAATTAGGAAAATCTACTTTTCAGCTAGATTTTTCGTACCCAGACTCACTTGTTTCCTCGGTTTCAAATCGCAGAAATGATTCATTCTTTCGAGGAAATGTGGATTTCCACGTTCACGTGAAAAAATCATTTTTTTTTTCTGAAAACCCAAATTAATTCCTATTTTTGCGTGAACTTATTTTAGAAACCAGGAGCTATTTAACTTGTAAGGGAAATTCCAGAAATATTTTCCAAAAATCTTTTTTTAAATGAAAATATGTTTTCTAGTAGTTTTCGACCCGCTGATCACTATTCCGCTGTCAAAAACTGCAAATCTCAACTCCTAATATGAGTTATGACGTGGCAATGTTGGGAAATTTCAAAAAATCATGACTTTAGGAGGTTATAACTATAGTTGGACATCGAATAAATGATTTTCTAGAAACTGAGTTAAAATATTGGATTTCAATCGTATTTATAGGATAGAAAGGTCTAAGACAAACCGAATGATATAAATTTTTATGATTTTAAGTCATCCATAAGAGATTTAGCGACGTTTAGCCGATTTTTAGTCGTTAAGTCCCTAAATCACTTATGGATAACTTAAAGTCATAAAAATATATATCATTCGGTTTGTCTTAGACCTTTCTATCCTATGAATACGATTAAAATCCACTATTTCAACTCGGTTGCTGGAAAAACATGAAAATACCATTTATTCGATGTCCAACTATAGCTATAACCTCCTAAAGTCATGATTTTTTGAAATTTTCCAATTTTGCCACTCATTTTGGAGTTGAGGTTTGCAATTTTTGACAACGGAATCGTGATCAGCAGGTTGAAAACTACAAGAAAACATATTTTCATCAAAAATCTCGATTTTTGGAACCTACAAATTAAATAGCTCCTGCTTTCTAAGAAAAAATTCAAAATGAAAAAAGAATTGCCACGTGGATTACTCAAAGTTCACGCCAAAATAGGAATTAATTTGGGTTTTAAGGAAAAAAAAACATATTTTTATTGAAAATCTTGATTGCAATAGTTCCTTTTTCTGTTAAATTCCTAGATGCTCACCAATTTTAAAATTCCATTTTCTAGGTATGGCCTTCGAACAGCCTGCTGTTCCAGGTCCTCCTATCTCAAACGATCAAATCCCGGATCATGTTTTGGATGAAAAAGCTCGAAAATGGAAGCAACTTCAATCCAAAAGATATGCGGAAAAGCGAAAATTTGGAGTCGTCGACGCGCAAAAAGAGGAAATGCCACCGGAACACGTGAGAAAAGTGATTCGAGATCATGGAGACATGACATCTCGCAAATATCGACATGACAAACGTGTCTACCTCGGCGCCCTCAAATACATGCCACACGCCGTGCTCAAACTCCTCGAAAACATGCCAATGCCTTGGGAACAAATTCGTGACGTCAAAGTGTTGTATCACATCACTGGAGCAATCACATTTGTCAATGATATTCCACGAGTTATCGAGCCGGTTTATTTGGCACAGTGGGGAACAATGTGGATTATGATGAGACGGGAGAAAAGAGATCGAAGGCATTTCAAGAGAATGAGATTTCCACCGTTTGATGATGAAGAACCGCCACTTGATTATGCTGATAATATTTTGGATGTTGAACCGCTGGAACCGATTCAGATTGAATTGGATCCGGAAGAAGATGGAGCGGTTGCTGAATGGTTTTATGATCATAAACCACTTGCAACAACTAGGTAAATCGCTAGAAATCCCTGTTCTTGAGAAGCTTCAAAGTTGAATTTGAACCCATTTCACCATGTTCCTGGGTGAAAAATCGAGTTTCATAAGTTGGAAAATGTTGTTCAGCACATTCGAAAACCTTGTAAAATTTTAGATTCCCAAAAAAGATGGAGCAGAAGCTGAAAACTGGAAATCCAATTATTTCAGCTTTTGCTTCATCTTTTTTGCAATTCTAAAATTTTACGAGGTTTTCGAATGTGCTGAACAACATTTTCCAACTTATAAAACTTGATTTTTCACATAGGAACATGGTAAAAATGCACAAATCTCAATCTCGAGCTTCAAAGTTGAATTTGAGCCCATTTTTACCATGTTCCTGGGTGTAAAATCAAGTTTTATAAGTTGGAAAATGTTGTTCAGCACATTCGAAAACCTTGTGAAATTTTAGATTTTCAAAAAAGATGAAGCTGAGATATTTGGATTTCCAGTTTTCAGCTTCCGTTTCATCTTTTTTGAAATTGCTAAAGTCCTGCCGGTGACAAAAATGGATATTTCTCTACCTATAGAATTATTCATCAAACCGGGAAGGTATAGAAAGAAAAAGTCACCAACATAGTTCACACCAATGTTTTTCCCCCTAATTGGTGTGTCTCCGCCAGGTGTCTCATATAATTTAGACCCAAAAGCTCTGAACTTCGAAGTTTCCCCTAGAATCCCTGATTTTCTTTCAGATTTGTCAATGGAACAACTTATCGAAAATGGGCGTTCAGTATTCCACAAATGTCGAATTTGTATCGTTTAGCCAATCAATTGCTCACTGATTTGGTTGATGATAATTATTTCTATCTTTTCGATATGAAATCGTTCTTCACAGCGAAAGCTTTGAATGTTGCGATTCCAGGAGGACCGAAATTTGAGCCACTTGTGAAGGATATGCATACGTAAGATTTTTTGTCGATTTTTTATAGGAAAAACCATTTTATGCTCGATTAGTAGGCTCAAATGTTAGCCCACAATCATTCAAACTTGCTCCAGGGCTCAAAAATGAGCTCCAGAGCTCAAATTTTCGAGTTCCATGTTCAGAATTTCCCAAATTTCAGCTCAAAATAATTCAAAAATGTTCAAGGGCTCCAAAATGAGCTCTGCGGAAAAATTCAGTCTGTAATTTCATGATCTGAATTTGGTATACCCTTATTTCTGAAGAAATCTATCAAGAACGACCAAAAACATCAGTTTTCAATCATTTTTCTGTAAATTTTCCGAAATGCATTAAATTGCGGTCAGAATTCCATCTTTCTTTTTTTTTTCCAGAAATTAGGATGTACCATATTCAGATTGCAAAATACAGGCTGAAATGTTCCCCAGAGCTCATTTTGGAGCTCTTGAGCAGTTTTGAATGATTTTGAACTAAAATTTGGGAGATTCTGAGCTGAGAACTTGAAAATGCTCTGGAGCAAATTTTAATCATTTTAAGCCTAAAAATCGAAAATTTGATATAAAAAGTTAAGTTTTTCCTATCAAAACCCACGCTCCCCTCCTAAAATCCCCCAATTTTTCATTTTCCAGCGACGAAGATTGGAACGAATTCAACGATATCAACAAAGTCATCATCCGCTCACCAATTAGAACCGAATATCGAATTGCCTTCCCATTCATGTACAACAATCTCATCAGTTCCCTCCCTGTTCAAGTCTCCTGGTATCATACACCATCTGTTGTTTTCATCAAAACTGAAGATCCTGATTTACCAGCTTTTTATTATGATCCACTGATCAATCCGATCACTGTCAATAATTTGAAGAGAGTGAGTTGTTTTTTTGATTTTTGAAAAATTCGCGGATATAATAAGCCGATTCTTGTTGATTTTCCCGAAAATTGGCAGCCGAAATTCGCAAAATCAAAAAACCCATAAAAGGCGAGATTCAAAGTTCATTTTTTGAGTCTAGATTTAGTTGATTGGGAACAATTTCTATAGAAAAACCCATAGAATCTATGGAAAATTCCAGACTGAAGATGAATTACCGGAAGGTGAAGAAGATGACGAATGGATGTTGCCTGAAGATGTTGTTCCGATTTTCGAAGATGTTCCACTCTATTCCGATAACACTGCAAATGGTTTGGCGTTGCTTTGGGCGCCAAGACCTTTCAATTTGAGATCGGGTAGAACGAGAAGAGCTGTTGATGTTCCGCTTGTTAAATCTTGGTATCGAGAACATTGTCCAGCTGGTAGGTTTTGGGGCTGGGAGTTGAAATTTGAGGGGTTTTACGCTGAAAATTGAGATTTTTGAGAGATTTCCAGTCTGGAACTTGAAAATTTGGGCTTTGGAGCTCATTTTAGAACCCTGGAGCAAATTTCTGCTAGAATTTGTGAAAATTTGAGCTCTGGAGCAAGTTTCCATGATTTTGAGCTGAAAATTCAGATTTTTGGAATATTCTGAGCCTGGAACTTGAAAATTTGGGCTCTGGAGCAGATTTCAATGATTTTGAGCTGAAATTTCGAATTTCTCGTGGATTTTAAGCCTGAAGCTTGAAAATTTGGGCTCTGGAGCAGATTTCAATGATTTTGAGCTGAAATTTCGAATTTCTCGTGGATTTTAAGCCTGAAGCTCGAAAATTTGAGCTCTTGAGCTTATTTTCAGCCTCGAAGAATTTTTGGGGGTATTTTTAGCTTCTTGAATTTTGAAACACGAATTTTTCCCACTGAAATTCATCAAGGTCCCGTGAAAGTTCTACCCAAAACTTTCAATATTCTCGTTGTTTTCCAGGAATGCCAGTCAAAGTCCGTGTCTCCTATCAAAAACTGCTCAAAGTCTTCGTCCTCAACGCCCTCAAACATCGCCCTCCAAAACCCCAAAAACGTCGATATTTGTTCCGCTCATTCAAAGGCACCAAATTCTTCCAAACCACAACTCTGGATTGGGTTGAAGCTGGTCTACAAGTTCTTCGACAAGGATATAATATGTTGAACTTGCTGATTCATCGAAAAAATCTCAATTATCTTCATTTGGATTATAATTTCAATTTGAAACCTGTCAAAACTCTAACCACCAAAGAACGAAAGAAATCGAGATTTGGAAATGCTTTTCATCTTTGTCGAGAGATTTTGAGATTAACTAAATTAGTTATTGATGCACATGTTCAATATCGATTAAATAATGTTGATGCATATCAATTGGCTGATGGAATTCAATATATCTTTGCGCATGTTGGACAATTGACTGGAATGTATCGATATAAATACAAATTGATGAGACAAGTTCGAATGTGTAAGGATTTGAAGCATTTGATCTATTATCGATTTAATACGGGACCTGTTGGCAAAGGACCGGGGTGTGGTTTTTGGGCGCCAGGCTGGAGAGTTTGGTTGTTCTTCTTGCGTGGAATTACACCGCTTTTGGAAAGATGGTTGGGAAATTTGTTGTCGAGACAATTTGAGGGAAGACATTCGAAGGGAGTTGCGAAGACTGTGACCAAACAAAGAGTTGAGAGTCATTTTGATTTGGAGTTGCGGTAAGTTGATTTTTGATTTCTTGAAGAAGTGCGAATCGAATTTTTATTGAAAATATTGTTGCTATAATATTTTTGAAACGTATTTATTTGCTGAAAATTTTCAATTGGATTTTAGAGCAAATTTAGAACGATTTTCAGCCTGAAATTAGAAAATTTGGGCTCTGCAGCAATCTTGAATGATTTTTATCTTGAATTTGTGATTTCGGTGAGATAATTATCGATCAATCAAAATTTGATAGGAAAAATTTGGGATATAATATTTTTGAAACGTATTTATTTGCTGAAAAATTTTCAAATGGATTTTAGAGCTCATTTTTAACCCTTGGAGCAAATTTAGAAGGATTTTCAGTCTGAAACTCGAAAATTGGGGCTCTAGAGCAATTTTGAATTAAAAATTAGGATTTTGAGCCCAGAACTCTGAAATTTATGCTCTGGAGCTCAATTTTAACTATGGAGCAAGTTTCTCATGATTTTAAGCTAAAACTTGAGGAACTTTGAGCCTGTAACCTGAATTTTTGTTCTCTTTTTTTTGTTCAGCAAGTTTGATATGATTTTCATATTGAATTTGTGATTTCATGAATGGGGTGATGCGAGAATCAAAATTTTATTGAAGAAATTTAGGATATAGTATTTTTGAAACGTATTTTTCCACCAAATTATATTTTTGTTCGAAAATTTGGGCTCAGGAGCATTTTTGATTAGTTTTTAAATCTCATTAATTTTTCCTTATTTTTCAGTGCCGCAGTTATGCACGATATTCTGGATATGATGCCAGACGGAATCAAACAAAACAAGGCCCGTGTCATTTTGCAACATTTATCCGAAGCCTGGCGATGCTGGAAAGCCAATATTCCATGGAAAGTTCCCGGATTACCAACCCCCGTGGAAAATATGATTTTGAGATATGTGAAAGCGAAAGCTGATTGGTGGACGAATTCGGCACATTATAATCGAGAACGTGTGAGACGAGGAGCGACTGTTGATAAAACTGTTTGCAAGAAGAATTTGGGAAGATTGACGAGATTGTATTTGAAGGTAGGGGTTTTGAGGGATTTTTTGAGCCCTGGAACTCGAAATTTGAGCTCTAGAACTCATTTTTGAACCTTGGAGCTAAATTTTGTGATTTTTAGAGGATTTTGAGCCCGGAACTTGAAAATTTAAATCTGGAGCTCATCTTTGAGCCCTGGATGTGAAATTTGGGATTTTCTGGTCATTTTGAGTTCTGGAACTCGGAAGTTTGGACTCTGGAGCTCATTTTGGAGCCCGGAACCCGGAAATTTAAGCTCCAGAGCTCATTTTTGAACCTTGGAGCTAAATTTTGTGATTTGTAGAAGATTTTGAGCCTGGAACTTGGAAATTTGAACTCTGTAGCTCATTTTTGAGCCCTGGAGCTAAAATTAGAGCATTTCGGGAGATTTTGAGCCCGGAACTCGAAAATTTGAACTCTGTAGCTCATTTTTGAGCCCTGGAGCAAGTTTTAATGATTTTGAGCCCGGAACTGCGAAATTTCAGCTTATTTTGAATTTTGCGTTTGAAAAACGATGAGAATCAGATTTTTATTTCACAAAATTTCGGATGTAATATTTTTGAAACGTATTTTTCCGGTTTTTCCTCTCGAAAATCTGAGTTTCAAGCTCATTTTCTAGCCCTGGAGCAAAAAAAAACTCGAAAATTTGTGCTCCTGAATCGCTAAAATCCAATTTTTCCAGTCCGAACAAGAAAGACAACACAATTACCTCAAAGATGGTCCATATATTTCTGCTGAAGAAGCTGTTGCGATCTACACAACAACAGTTCATTGGTTGGAATCTCGTCGCTTCTCTCCAATCCCATTCCCTCCACTTTCTTATAAACACGATACAAAATTATTGATTTTGGCGTTGGAAAGACTCAAAGAATCATACAGTGTCAAAAATCGATTGAATCAATCACAAAGAGAAGAATTGGCATTGATTGAACAAGCTTATGATAATCCACATGAGGCTTTGTCCAGAATCAAGAGACATATGCTAACTCAAAGAGCTTTCAAAGAAGTTGGAATTGAATTTATGGATTTGTACACTCATTTGGTGCCAGTTTATGATATTGAACCATTGGAAAAGGTGACTGACGCATATTTGGATCAATATTTGTGGTATGAAGCGGATAAACGGAGATTATTCCCGTCTTGGGTGAAACCAGGAGACACTGAACCACCACCGCTTTTGACTTATAAATGGTGTCAAGGTTTGAATAATTTGCAAGATGTTTGGGAGACGGCTGATGGTGAATGTAATGTGATAATGGAGACGAAATTGGAGAAGATTGCCGAGAAAATGGATTTGACACTTTTGAATCGATTGCTCAGATTAATTGTTGATCACAATATTGCCGATTATATGACATCGAAGAATAATGTGTTGATTAATTATAAGGATATGAATCATACGAATTCGTTTGGGATTATTCGAGGATTGCAATTTGCGAGTTTTATTGTGCAGGTGAGAGGGGGAAACAATCACTAGTTCTCTAGCTGTCTGGTTGTCTAGCTCTCTAACTGTCTAGACTCTCTAGCTCTTTAGCCATTTTTGACCCTAAATTAAAGATTTTTCATGAATCTCGAGCTGAAATTTGATTTTTCACGAAAAGTCTTGAATTTTAGGCCAAATTCAAGTTTTTTTTTCTGAAAATTAAGTTTGACATGAGCAATGCCTGAAAATTTCTAGGTTTTTATTTTATTATGAGCAACTTTCCCAAATTTCTAAACGTTTCTCGATAAATCTGAGATTTTAGCTGAAAATTTTGAATTTTTAGCTCTAAATGCAAGTTTTTCTGAAAATTAAGTTTAATATGAGCAATGCCTTGAAAAGCCTAGGTTTCTAGTTTAACATGAGCAATTTTTCCAAACTTTTGAAGATTTCTCGACAAATCTGAGATTTTTGACAAGATATCGGCTGAAAATTGGCCAAAGTATACAATTTTATGTATCCCCCTTCAAATTCCCCCTTTTCCAGTATTATGGACTTGTTCTCGATCTCCTCGTCCTCGGTCTTCGCCGTGCTTCCGAAATCGCCGGTCCACCACAATGCCCCAACGATTTCCTTCAATTCCAAGATGTTGCTAGTGAAATCGCGCACCCAATTCGATTATATTGCCGATATATCGATCGAGTTTGGATCATGTTCCGATTCTCGGCCGATGAATCTCGAGATTTGATTCAACGATATTTGACAGAACATCCGGATCCGAATAATGAGAATATTGTTGGATATAACAATAAAAAATGTTGGCCAAGAGATGCGAGAATGCGATTGATGAAACATGATGTGAATTTGGGAAGAGCTGTGTTTTGGGATATCAAGGTGAGTTACTTTTTGCTCCAAAAAATTGCGTTTTCTAACACCAAAAATGCTAATTTTCCCATATCTCAATTGGTTAAGTGTGAATTCTCTCACCTACCAATCTCAAGACCAAAGTTCAATCCCGCCACGAGGTATAAGAAGGCAGATAGTTCTATACTTTACTATCAGTTGATAAATCCTCGAAAATTATCGGAACTTTCAAAATAAGCGATAAAAGTTTCTGCCATCGGAACAGATCCGCCAATTTTGAAATGATTGGCATGGTCTACTTGTATGGTGTACAAAAAATATGTTTTTTTCATGAAACACTCAAAAAAATGCCCGAAAAACAGATTTTCCCGTCCAAAAACCGCTGAAGTACGGTAGAACCTGAACATCTAACTTGATTTCTGCGAAGAAACGGAGTTAGATACGCAGGTGGTACGGTATGTTCCATTAATCTGGACATTCTGTTTTTGGACAGGAAAATTTGTTTTTTTTTTGTTTTTGGGCACCACATCTTGATTTCGATGAATTTTTGGCTGAAAATTTCGAATCTGGAGTCAAAAATCTAGAAATTTCATGAAAAATAGAAAGCAGAGTTTTAGAAAATTCTAAAAATTTGAAATTTCCAATAAATTTGAGATTTTTGGGACATTTTGAGCCCGGAACTCGAAAATTTGGGCCCTGGAGCAAGTTTCAATAAATTTGAGCCAAAATTTGAGGTTTTCGAGGGATTTTGAGCCCAGAAAAGCTAAAATTTGGGATTTTTGGATGATTCTGATTGTGAGCCCAGAACTCAAAAATTTCGGCTCTTTTTCTATTTTTCATTTCGAAAAACTGCGAATCAAATTTAAAAAAAAGATATAATATTTCCTAAAAATTTGAAATTTTCAGTCAGAAATTATTTTTTGCTTGAAAAGTGGATTTTTTAAATCCATGATCAGAAAATCTGAAAAAATTCGAATCTGAAGTTAAAAATCTATAAACTTCCAATCAAAAATTATTTTTAAAGGCACATTTGCTTGAAAATTGGTTTTTTTTTTGAATTTTTTTGCTTTTCCTGATTCCTGATGCCCAAAAAATCTTCCTTCCCTATTCTAATCAATATTTTTCTCCCTTACAGAATCGTCTTCCTCGATCAATCACAACTGTCGAATGGGAGAACTCATTTGTGAGCGTCTACAGCAAAGACAATCCGAATATGCTATTCGATATGGGCGGTTTCGAATGCCGCATTCTGCCGAAATGTCGAACTGCAAATGAAGAAAGTCTTCATCGAGATGGTGTTTGGAATTTGCAAAATGAAGTGACCAAAGAGAGAACTGCACAGTGTTTCCTGAAAGTTGATGAGGAATCGCTTTCGAAGTTCCACAATCGAATTAGGCAGATCTTGATGTCATCGGGTTCCACGACTTTTACCAAAATTGTTAATAAATGGAATACGGCGTTGATTGGATTGATGACGTATTTTAGAGAGGCTGTTGTGAACACACAGGAATTGCTCGATTTGCTCGTAAAATGTGAAAACAAAATTCAAACGAGAATCAAGATTGGATTGAATTCAAAAATGCCGTCAAGATTTCCACCAGTGGTTTTCTACACACCAAAAGAAATTGGAGGACTTGGAATGTTATCGATGGGACATGTTTTGATACCGCAAAGTGATTTGAGATGGATGCAACAAACTGAATCTGGTGGAGTGACGCATTTTAGAAGTGGTATGAGTCATGATGAAGATCAGCTGATTCCGAATTTGTATCGATATATTCAACCGTGGGAGGCGGAATTTGTGGATTCGGTGCGGGTTTGGGCGGAATATGCGTTGAAACGACAGGAGGCGACGGCGCAGAATCGAAGATTGACGCTGGAAGATCTAGATGACTCTTGGGATCGGGGAATTCCGAGAATCAATACGTTGTTCCAAAAAGATCGGCACACTTTGGCGTATGATAAGGGTTGGAGAGTGCGCACGGAATTCAAGGCGTATCAGATTTTGAAGCAGAATCCGTTTTGGTGGACGCATCAGCGACACGATGGAAAATTGTGGAATTTGAATAATTATCGGACGGATATGATTCAGGCGTTGGGTGGTGTTGAGGGCATTTTGGAGCATACACTTTTTAGAGTTGGTTTTGTTTTTTTTTTTTGAGAGGGGGAGGGATTTTGGGTAGAAAACTGGGAATTTTCAGATTTTTAGGCTGAAAATCTGTCCTGGAAAACATTTTTCCCTGAAAATTCCACTCGGAATAGAATTTCTTGAATTTTTCCATCAAAATCTTAAAATCAGCGTAATTTTTGATTGAAATTGAGTCATTATTGTTGAAATTCAGAATTTCTAAAAGCTTTAGACTAGAAATTTCAGATTTTCCTTTAAAAATTATGAAAATTGCACCTAGAAGAGAAATTTACGATTTTTTCATGAAATTCTACAAAATTTTATGGAAATTGATACTTTCTGGTTGAATTTTGGAATTTCTATGATTTTTCCACTAGAAACTTCGGATTTTAATGAAATTCCAAGGTTTTCTATGAAAAATCGAGAAAAAAAATTTCACCTGGAAACGAATTTCTCAACTTTTTCATGAAATTCTTCACATTGTTTGTAAGTTTTGGTTGAAAATGAGATATTGTATTTGAAATGTGGAATTTTTATGATTTTTGAATAGAAATTTCAAATTTCCAGCAAAATTTAGGATTTTTCATGAACCTGAATGATTTTCTATGAAAAATCTACAAAATTAAACCTGGAAAAGTATTTCTGGAATTTTTTTCAAAAAATGTCTTGTTTTCTAGTTTTCAACATGATTTTTCATAATTTTCTCGAATTTTTGGTTCAAAAAATGATGAAAATTATGATTTTCAAGCTCAATTCTATAATTCTGAAATTTTCCAATTAGAAAACTTGCGATATTTTCCTGAAAATCCCAATTTTCAAGCTCAAAATCCATTCAAAATCCCCCCATCTTCATCTTTTCCTTTTTCCAGGGAACATATTTCCCAACATGGGAAGGTCTCTTCTGGGAACGCGCTTCCGGCTTCGAAGAATCAATGAAATTCAAAAAATTGACAAACGCCCAAAGATCTGGTTTGAATCAAATTCCAAATCGTCGTTTCACTTTGTGGTGGTCACCAACAATTAATCGAGCCAATGTTTATGTCGGTTTCCAAGTTCAACTCGATTTAACCGGTATCTTTATGCACGGTAAAATTCCGACACTCAAAATCTCGTTGATTCAAATCTTCCGTGCTCACTTGTGGCAAAAGATTCACGAATCGGTGGTCATGGATTTGTGCCAAGTTTTTGATCAGGAATTGGATGCGTTGGAGATTCAAACTGTGCAAAAGGAGACGATTCACCCGCGAAAATCCTATAAAATGAATAGTTCGTGTGCTGATGTTTTGTTGTTTGCACAATATAAATGGAATGTGTCGAGACCTTCGTTGATGTCGGATAATAAGTAGGTTTTTGGGGGAAAATTTGGAAAAAATTCGAAATTTCGTTATTTTTTATATAAAAAATCGAAATTTTGGACCAAAAACCAAGTTTTAGAACAAATTCTGGTTTTCAAACGACGCTCCGCCTTTACGCCTTGAAAAAATAGCTAGAAAATTCAAAATCCACGTGGAAATGCTCAATTTTTAACGTCAAAAATCAATGTTTTGGTAAAATTTTGGTTTTCAAACGACATTCCGCGTTTACGCCTGTGAGAAATAGCTGAAAATTCAAAATCCACGTGGAAATGCTCAATTTTTGAACAAATTTTGGTTTTCAAACGATACTCCGCCTTAACGAAAACTCTGAAAAATTTTGTCAAAAAAAAACAAAACTCTGAAAAATCTCGTTTTTGTCAAAAAAAAATCCACGTAGCATCCAAAAAATTTCCCACGATCATTTTATAGAAGGAAAAATGTTCAAAAACGAAAACCTGACAGAATTCCAGCTGAAAAATCTATTTTCCAGCCCTATTTTCACGTTTCTTTTCTTGCAGAGATGTAATGGACAACACAACAACTCAAAAATTCTGGCTCGACGTCCAACTTCGTTGGGGAGACTACGATTCTCACGATGTTGAAAGATATGCTCGCGCCAAATTCCTCGATTATACAACTGACAACATGTCAATCTACCCGTCACCAACTGGAGTTTTGATCGCAATCGATTTGGCTTATAATTTATACGCTGCTTTTGGTAATTGGTTCCCTGGAATGAAACCATTGATTCGACAAGCGATGGCTAAAATCATCAAAGCAAATCCAGCATTTTATGTTCTACGAGAACGTATTCGAAAAGGTCTTCAGTTGTATAGTTCAGAACCAACTGAGCCATATTTGACGAGTCAGAATTATGGAGAATTGTTTAGTAATCAAATCATTTGGTTTGTCGATGATACAAATGTATATCGAGTTACGATTCATAAGACATTTGAAGGAAATTTGACAACCAAACCGATTAATGGAGCGATTTTCATTTTCAATCCGCGAACCGGTCAATTATTCCTGAAAATTATTCATACTTCGGTGTGGGCTGGACAGAAACGTCTTAGTCAGCTTGCGAAATGGAAGACTGCCGAAGAAGTTGCAGCGTTGATTCGAAGTTTGCCGGTGGAAGAGCAGCCAAGGCAGATTATTGTGACGAGAAAGGCGATGTTGGATCCATTGGAAGTGCATTTATTGGATTTCCCGAATATTGTTATCAAAGGATCGGAACTCATGTTGCCGTTCCAGGCGATTATGAAAGTTGAGAAGTTTGGAGATTTGATCTTGAAAGCCACAGAACCCCAGATGGTCTTGTTCAATTTGTATGATGATTGGTTGAAGACGATTTCGTCTTACACGGCGTTTTCGAGAGTTGTTTTGATTATGAGAGGAATGCATATTAATCCGGATAAGACTAAGGTAATTTTGGACGATTTTCAGTTTTTTCCTGGAATTTCTAGCGTAAAATTAGATATTTTCAATAGAAATATAAAAAGTTTGCGATTTTTGGCTGAAAATTTGAATTTTTATGAAAATTGAGCCTGAAAAAGCATTTTTCTTATTAAAATTCAATTTTTCAAATTTTCGCATGAAATTTTGAGCTCATTTTTTCAAAATAGAGAAAAATGCGAATTTTCATTCAAAATTGGAGGTTCCAGCTCAAAAAGTTTTGTTTTTCATCAACATTTCGGGTTTTTGGTTGAAAATTTGAATTTTTATGAAAATTCGAGCCTAAAACTATTTTTAAAAATTTTTTCCTTGAAGATATTTGAAAAAATCTTCAAAAATACAAGCTTTTCTAGTTTTTGGCTGAAAATTCGAATTTTTCTGGAATTTTTAGCTCAATGTTTCAAAGAATAATCAAATTTTGATGAAAATTCTTCAAAAAATACAAGCTTTTCAAGTTTTTGGCTGAAAATTCGAATTTTTAGGTTATCCTGAAACCCGACAAGACTACGATTACGGAGCCGCATCATATTTGGCCAACTTTGAGTGATGAAGATTGGATTAAAGTGGAATTGGCATTGAAGGATATGATTTTGGCGGATTATGGAAAGAAGAATAATGTGAATGTTGCTAGTTTGACACAATCGGAAGTGCGTGATATTATTCTTGGAATGGAAATCTCGGCGCCAAGTCAACAACGACAACAGATTGCGGATATTGAAAAGCAGACGAAAGAGCAGAGCCAGGTTACCGCAACTACTACACGGACTGTTAATAAGCATGGAGATGAGATTGTTACGGCGACTACATCGAATTATGAGACGGCCTCGTTTGCGAGTAGAACGGTGAGCGGTTTGAACAGGGAAATTTGAAATTTTGAGTTTTGAGCTCAACAATTGGCTGAAAATCTGAATTTTTTTTGTTTAATTCAAATCTGATGATAATTCTTCGAAAATACAAAATTTCCCGGGTTTTGGCCGAAAATTTGGATTTTTCCTGGAATTCCTTGCTGAAAATGTTTTTGAAGAAAATGATTCAGAAATGTGTTTTCCCCCAATATCTGAATTTTTGAATTTTTTTCAAATTTTGTGGAATGTTCTCAAGTTTTTCTTGAAAATTGAACCTAGAAGAGCATTTTCCAATAAAAATTGAAAAATGTACATCTTTCTAGATATTTTTTGCCCAATTTTTCAAAATTTCGAATTTTCATTCGAAACTGCAGGTTCCAGATCAAAAATTGGTGTTTTTCATCCTTGAAAATTCTGGCTAAATTTTTTGTAAAAAATTCGTTCTAAAACATTTTTTCCGATTTTCTGAAGTGTTACTTGAAATTTCTAGATTTCCAGTTTTTTTCCAAATTGAATTCAAAATTAAATTTTTGCAGGAATGGCGAGTTCGTGCAATTTCCTCAACAAATCTCCATCTCCGAACCCAACACATTTATGTGAATTCGGACGATGTCAAAGACACTGGATACACCTACATTCTCCCCAAAAACATTCTCAAAAAATTCATCACAATCTCCGATCTTCGAACACAAATCGCCGGTTTCATGTACGGTGTTTCACCGTCGGATAATCCACAAGTGAAAGAGATTCGATGTATTGTATTGGTGCCACAAACTGGAAATCATCAACAAGTCAATTTGCCAACACAATTACCCGATCATGAATTGTTGAGAGATTTTGAGCCGCTTGGATGGATGCACACACAGCCGAATGAGTTGCCGCAATTGTCGCCGCAAGATGTGACGAATCATGCGAAGGTGGGGATTTTTGTTGAAAAATTTTGAAGTTTTGAGCCGGAAAATTGAGATTCTGATTTCTTTTTAATGAAAAATATATCCAGAATCTTCAAATTTGAAAATTTTACCTCTGAAAACTGAAATTTTGAGTTTTTCAGTCAGAAATGATGAAAAATCGAGATTTGAGATGATTTCGGATGAAAATTGACCCTGGAATCCACTGCAAAATTTTTCATTTTTGTGGATTCCAAGGTAAATTTTTATCAGAAATCACCCTAGAAGTTTCAAATACCTTGATTTGTCAGCATTTTTAACTGGAAAATTCAAGATTCTGATTTTTCATGAAAAATAACACCAGCATCTTGAAAATTTGAAAATTTTACCTCTGAAAATTGAAATCTCGAGAAAATATTTAAAATTTTCAGTTTTCAGTCAAAAATTGAGAATTTTTGAGCTTCTGATGAAAATTATTGAAAAATTCTGAATTCATTTCCATTGCTCATTTTATAAATATATATTCCCCCGATTTCCAGCTTCTCACTGACAACGCGAGTTGGGATGGTGAAAAGACGATTATGATCACGAGCAGCTTCACACCTGGTTCCGTTTCATTGACTGCCTACAAATTGACACCGTCTGGTTATGAATGGGGAAAGGCGAATACCGATAAGGGAAATAATCCGAAGGTTTGTTAGATTATTGATTTTTGGCTCAAAGATTCAGATTCCACGTGGAATTCTGAGCATTTTGACACCTAACATGAGCAATTTTATGCTCAAAATGACACGTGGAAATTTGAGCCCTAAAATATCGATGTTTGATGTCAAAATGTTCGAAATTTCATGATGAAGCTCAATTTTTGAAATCCACGTGGATTTTTTGAGCATTTTGACACCTAATATGAGCAATATTATGTTAAAAATGCCACGTGGCAATTTGAGCCCTATAATATTGATGTTTGAACTAGAAAATTGGGCATAGTGAGAAATGTGTGAAAATGAGAATTTTTGGGTTAAAATTCATAATTTTGGGTAAAAGTATTGATTTTTAGCTCAAAGATCAAAAAATTCCACGATTTTAAGCTCAAAAAATGGACAAAAAGGAATGGGCCGAACCGGGGATTGAACCCGGGACCTCTCGCACCCAAAGCGAGAATCATACCACTAGACCATTCGGCCACACGTTTCTATCTCACATTTTCCTAATTTATACAGCATTTCTTATCAGATTTTTCATTTTGATAACATCTTTGCTGTGTTTTTCTGGTGGAGATCTTTTATCTCCGATATATTTTCGGATCAAATGAGAGAAAAACGTGTGGCCGAATGGTCTAGTGGTATGATTCTCGCTTTGGGTGCGAGAGGTCCCGGGTTCAATCCCCGGTTCGGCCCATTTCTTTTTTGCTTTCGAGCGTAGCGAGTGTAAACTGAAAGCAGCCACGTGGATTACTAACCAAAATCTCAATTTTTGCAGGGTTATATGCCAACACACTACGAAAAAGTGCAAATGCTATTATCGGACAGATTTTTGGGATATTTCATGGTTCCATCAAATGGTGTTTGGAACTACAACTTCCAAGGACAACGATGGTCCGCTGCCATGAAATATGATGTTTGTTTGGCGAACCCAAAAGAATATTATCACGAAGATCATCGACCGGTTCATTTCCACAATTTCAAAGCTTTCGATGATCCACTTGGAGTTGCCGGAGCAGATCGTGAAGATGTTTTCGCCTAGATTTGGTCTCATAAATTTTTTGTTATTATTTTTATCCTCTTTTTTCTCTCTAACTTATTTTTTGTTATATATTTTGTAGTTCCCCCCATTCGTTTTTTTCTTCCGGAAAATTTTAATTGATTTTTTCATGATATATAATTGTTGTAAGTAAATTTTTCGAAAATCTCCATTTTTCTGAATAATTATATAATAAGTTAATTTGATCCCAGAAAACTTCCAACTCCAATTTTTTATAGGATCTACATACAGTAACCCAAACCCCAGGGAGGTTTTTGAAGAGAAATAAAATTGTAAAATCCGAAATTATATTGAAAAATTGACTTTGCTAGATTAAAATTTCGAGTGGAACAAGAATTTCAGATCGAATTTTTGAAAAAAAATTCTGAAAATCAAATTTTTAATTTTTTTCAAGAGATAGAATCAATTTTCAAAAATCCTTAAAAATGTATATAATATTGTTGAAACAGTGAAAAAATCTTTCAATCCGAAAATTCGAAAATTTAAAAAATTAGTTTTTCTAGGTTAGAATTTCGAGTAGAATCTGAATTTCAGGTCCAAATTTTGAGAAAAATATTCTGAAAAAAATTTTTGTAATATTTTTCACAAGCAAAAATCAATTTTCAAAAATCTTCAAAATTGAATATAAAATTGTTTGAGCAACAAATCAAACAGAAAGACTTCCCAAAACTTGTCCACAAAACAAATTGTTTGGACACGCCCATTTTTTTATAACACCATTTTTGGTGCACAACATCTCATTCTTCAATGGATACTTCACCACAAGTTGCTTCACAAAATGTTGTTCGAACAACAACACGACATTTTGTTGATGATACCGATTCATTTCTCCTGCTTCTAATTATTATTTGGATGATCATTTTTCTTTCATCACCTTTTTTTCCACGACAAAATCAACATCTACACGCGCACTGTGCAACGATTATGGCGATTATCATCGCAGTTTGCACGTAAGTTTCAAAATTTGAACTTATAAGATTTGTTTGACGCAAAAAACACAAGTTTTTAGGCAAAATTTGGGTAGAAAATTCAAATTTTTCTTGAAACTTGACCTGATTAGAGTCTAATTAGATTAGACTAATTTTTGGGTTTTGTTGCTAAATTTTAGATTCAGGGTCCGAAAATTCAGATTTTTCTAGAATTTTAATCTAATTATCCTAATTTTTGGGTTTTGTTAATAAATATTAGGCTTAGGGCCGGAAAATTCAGATTTTTCTTGAAATTTGACCTGATTAGACTAATTTTTGGGTTTTGTTCCTAAATTTTAGATTCAGGGCCCGAAAATTCAAAATTTTCTTGAAATTTGATCTAATTAGCCTAAGCCTGATTAGAGTCAGATTTCGGGCTTTTTCATGAATTTCAGGCCTGAAACCGGTGTTTTCTTCAAAATTTAAGGAAAACAATTTTTGCAATTACAGTAATGCTCAATATGCTAACGAAATCTCCGAAAATATGCTCGAATATCTCGAAGTTATTCTACCGATAATGACACTATATTTGAGTATGGAAATGGATGCAGCCTCTCGTAGATCAAATCTTCCTGCAACTTCGCAACAAAATGAGGAGACAAATCATTAAAATTCTTTAAATTAATTCAAACACGTTCAAAAAACCTGAAATTTTTGTCAAACATTGAAACTTTCAACAAAAACATTTATTTTTTTGGAAACATGATAAATTTGTGAGGGATATTGAGAGACGCAGACAGACAGACGACAGCTGTGTGTCCGCGTATCTCTTTACTATTCATTCTTGGGTCATGTGGTCTCCGAGATCGACCATATGTATTATTTCTATATAATAAATGATTGTATACGTTATAATGTGTCTATGGATATGGAATGGGACGTTAATGGATGATACCTGGGAGGATATCATTTAATCCATTACAAATTGAGGAAACTGAATAAATTATTTGGAGCATAAAAATCGATAGAACTCCAATTTTACAGCCCTTTTTCGGCTCGAAAACAGTGAAAAAACCAAAAAAAAAACAAAAAAAGAAAAATTTTGTTCGGTGGAGCGCACTTGCATGACGGGTCTTGCAGCGAACTACAGTAGTTGTGTGACACGCGGCGCAATTCTGCGAAAAAAACTTCATTTCGTTTTTCCGCCCTAAAACCCGTGTTTTGTCTGCCAAAATGCTGTCAGTTTCGCCGAAAAATCGAGAATCGCAATCTAAAACTCTCTCTGAACTCCATCAGTCCAAGCTATATGAAGCCGCGAGTCGGTGGATTATAGTGCTGAGCCTCTACGTGGCGATGGGGATTTGCACACCTGGTTTACAACTTTACGGCAAGGTTTGGAGCCCTTGTCCAACCAGGTGTGTAGCCAAGAAGCTGGACATTCTCCCGAGTTGTCGCCCGCTGTCTCCAAGCTGGGTTCCAACGAGGCCCTAACTTAGGCCTAGCAAGCCTCTGTATGGGTAACCAGGAGAAAAAACTTATAGCTAAAAACAGTTCCAAAAACTGCCTCAGTCCTCCGCACCCCACCTCTGCGTTCAACACGACGGGCTTGAAAACATATGGGGAGAGGCGATCAAATCTCGGAGCCCCGACCACCCGTCATTGGAAAAAGAATAAGGAAAAATGCCAGCCAAAAACACGAAAAATCGACGCCAGGATTTGCACATTTAACTGCCGCTCCATCGCCACCGATGATCGTCTTGCTGATCTTCTCCAAGAAGCTGATCGAATCAAGTACGATATTATCGGATTATCTGAAACAAAACGAGGGGCAGAAAAACAAGCCAAGAGCGCCGACGGAACTGGTATTTTCCTTGGAAAACGAAACGAAGTCTCGGTATCTGGAGGGGTTGGATTTATCACTCACAAATCCATGACTCCAAAAGTCAAAGAAGTCAAATTCATAAACCATCGAATTGCAACCCTCACCTTCTATGTTTCCAAAAGATTCGACTGCACAGTCATCCAAGTCTATGCACCAATTGGAACATCTGACGCCGAGGAAATTGCTGAATTCTACGAAAACGTTGAAGATGTCATCCGCCAATGCAAATCGAAATTCAAGATTGTTATGGGCGACTTCAACGCGCGAATCGGAAGCCGAGCAAACTCATCTGAAATATACATTGGCACACACTCAATGGAGCCAAGAAACGAACCAGGAGAATTTCTGGCAAGTTTCTGCGAGAGCAATCGCTATTACAACACCAACAGCTTCTTCGAAAAACCAACAAATCGAAGATGGACCTTCATATCTCCTGATGGCCAACACAAACATGAACTGGACCACATACTAACCAACGGTCGTTTCTTCACCGACACTCACGTTGTTCCATCGTTCACAATTGGAAGTGACCACAGGCTTGTCCGAACCAACCTACACTTCAACCTAAATTTTGTGAAACATCAGGAATTCATGACACGACGTCAACCGAAGAAAATGATCGACGAGTCCGCGATTGCCACCAACTGCGATCTCACGCAAATTCCACCACAAGATCAGAATATAGATATATTCTACAACAAAATCGTTGGTATGTTAAGATCGATTCAAGAAAAATCGCTGGTTCCACAACCAAATCACTCACAAAACAGAATAAGTGAATCCACTCGCCAACTGCTGACACTTCGACGAGAAACGAGTCGATCTGATCCATTATTCCACACCATCTCGGAATTGTGCCGCGAGGAACTTGCCAGAGATCACCAAGAATTTGCCAAAACTCGCCTCGTGAACGCAGCAATGGCAAGAAAAAGTCTGAAAAGAGTCGCCAGAAACCTCGTCGAATATCAAGCCACAATTCCATGCTTGAAATCTTCTCCAACCGGAACTCGGATCACTGGAAGAGGAGAAATCGAAAAAGAAATACATCAGTTTTACTCAAAGCTTTTCAAAAGCTCAGATGTTCCACAAAATCCCAGTAACAGAAGATTGAGAAGAACTGAAAATCCACCACCGTTTCTACCGAGTGAAATTCGAGCAGCTCTGAGATCATTCCCAAACGGAAAATCCGCTGGCGAAGACAAAATCACCGCCGATTTTCTCAAAAAATGCACGGATAAGATAATCTTGATCATCACACACTGCTTCAACCTGATGATGGAGAAAGAGGAGATACCCAAGGCATGGAAAACATCGAAAACCATCTTGATCTTCAAAAAGGTGATCGCGAAAACCTCGAAAACTATCGCCCTATCACAATCCTCCCAGTTCTCTACAAACTCTTCACAAAGTGCATTCTGCAGAGAATCCGCCGACCACTTGAGGAATCCCAACCTGTTGAGCAAGCTGGATTTCGAAGATCGTTCTCAACAATGGACCACATATCCACAATTCAAAGAATTCTAGAAGCCAGTCGAGAACACCAAATCCCACTTGTCCTGATCTTTGTCGACTACCACAAAGCATTCGACAGCGTAGAACCAGCTGCAGTATGGAATTCGCTGAAAGATCAAGGAGTCGATCAACATTACATCAAGATCCTCCAAAAATGCTACGAGGAGTGTTCCACCAACATCACGCCATTTTTCAAAAAAGTCGAAATCCCAATCTCAAAAGGAGTTCGCCAAGGAGACCCAATCTCTCCGAATCTATTCTCCGCGAGTATTGAAGGAGTTTTCCGCTCCACAAATTGGTCAGATTGTGGAATAAGCATAGATGGTAGAAAGTTAAACCACCTTCGATTCGCTGATGATGTCGTTCTGATCTCACACACCCCGCATCAAGCTTCGAGAATGTTGAAAGAATTGGTGCAGGAAAGCGCAAAAGTTGGCCTAAAAATCAATGAAGCCAAAACAAAATCAATGAGAAACCGATTTGCGCTCACCCGTCCAATTGAAATCGGAAACAAAACCATTGAAAATGTCGATGAATATATTTATCTTGGCCGACAATTAAATCCTCAAAACGAACTCCTGCCGGAAATCCACCGAAGAAGAAGAGCTGGCTGGGCTGCTTTCAAATCCATCGAAAAAGCAACCGACGCCATCACTTGCCAAAAAACCAAAGCAAACTTATTCGATCAAACGGTTCTACCCGCCCTTTGCTATGGTTCAGAGGCTTGGACCCTCACAAAAAAGAATTCAGAAGCTCTTCGAATCTCTCACGCGGCATTGGAAAGACGATTGGTTGGCATAACACTCAGCGAACAACGCGAAAGAAATCTCCACCGCGAAGACATCCGGAAGCTATCGCAAGTCAAGGATCCACTTCGACACATCCGCCAACAAAAAACCCGCTGGGCCGGACACATGGCAAGGAGAAACGACAACCGTTGGTCAACGGCAACATTGGATTGGTATCCACGAGATTGGAAAAGACCAGTTGGACGCCCTCCATTGAGATGGTCAGATGAACTAAGGAAAAACCACTGTATATATGACAACAACAACAAATTGGTCGAATATTGGACAACTCGTGCCAAAGACCGTGATAAATGGAGAACTGTGGTCCGCGCAATATGCTGAAGAACGGATCGACTAAGTAACTAAGTAAGTAAGTTCCTAAATTTTAGATTCAGGGCCCGAAAATTCAAAATTTTCTTGAAATTTGATCTAATTAGCCTAAGCCTGATTAGAGTCAGATTTCGGGCTTTTTCATGAATTTCAGGCCTGAAACCGGTGTTTTCTTCAAAATTTAAGGAAAACAATTTTTGCAATTACAGTAATGCTCAATATGCTAACGAAATCTCCGAAAATATGCTCGAATATCTCGAAGTTATTCTACCGATAATGGCACTATATTTGAGTATGGAAATGGATGCAGCCTCTCGTAGATCAAATCTTCCTGCAACTTCGCAACAAAATGAGGAGACAAATCATTAAAATTCTTTAAATTAATTCAAACACGTTCAAAAAACCTGAAATTTTTGTCAAACATTGAAACTTTCAACAAAAACATTTATTTTTTTGGAAACATGATAAATTGAGGAAACTGAATAAATTATTTGGAGCATAAAAATCGATAGAACTCCAATTTTACAGCCCTTTTTCGGCTCGAAAACAGTGAAAAAACCAAAAAAAAAAAACAAAAAATGAAAAATTTTGTTCGGTGGAGCGCACTTGCATGACGGGTCTTGCAGCGAACTACAGTAGTTGTGTGACACGCGGCGCAATTCTGCGAAAAAAACTTCATTTCGTTTTTCCGCCCTAAAACCCGTGTTTTGTCTGCCCAAATGCTGTCAGTTTCGCCGAAAAATCGAGAATCGCAATCTAGCGTGAGTAGATTATCTATAGAACTTCTGATATCTAGTGATTTCATTTCAGAATGGTCAAGATTCGTGGTCGAAAACGTTTCCAACAAATCTCGAAGAACAGGGATTTTCGAAAGAATTTGTCTATCGATTCGTTTTGTTGTCGTCGGCAATGATTTTGGAGAAGCGGCGATTGTTGCCAGATTCGTGTTTCCGACGAAGAGTTATTGAAAAATTGCAAATCTCGAACTACAGCCTGGAAAACGAGATTTCGAAACGCTTGAAAACCAAAATCGATTCTTTGAAACCGGCGCTCGAACAAGGATATTTGGCGGAATTTGCCATTGTTTTCTATCGCAAACCGGAAGAGGAAGATGTTTTTGAAGTGTTTTCGTTCAAATTCGCCTATAAAGAAGATGGAAAACAAGTTGCGCTTTCGCTTGCAACGTGAGTTTCTTTTTCTTGATACAATACAGCTCCAGAAATTATAAATATGTGTTTCAGAGGCGTGAACACGGAGGAAATGCATTCTCATTTGATCGACTTCGAATTCCAAAGTTTGGACTCAATTCGTCAAGAATTCATAAGAATGATGAAGATTCTTCATCGATATGTTAGTCGTGGATTGGAAGATCTTCCGGAGAACTCGGATGGCAGTTTTCGAATTGCCTACACTTCTAGTAAGTTTTTTAAAATAGAATCCTCATGAGCAGGAGCAGCTTTGAAAAATAATACTCAAAAATATATTTTTCAGAAGCACCCGCTGATTATTGCCCCGAAGGATTCGAAAAATCCGAAAACTTCTATCAAATCAACACAGCAGCCGATGGAATTGCTGAAGTTGGTGTTATTGGAGGAGGACACCATGCTGTGCAAATTATCGGCGCATCGCTTCTCAAAAAAGCGAATGTCGCCGATTTTAATAAAACTATGGCTTCGTTGGAAGATTCGTTCTTTGTACAGGTAATTTCTAACAAACGAAGTGCTCAGGTGCTGAACTTTTGATGAAACAGCGAAATATACCAAATCGACCACGCTGATCACGAATCCAAAGGCAAAAATTGCTACAAACTCCTGTAAGAACTTTTCTGGAGCTTCAAAGTCAGAGTTTTAGGTTTTGCTCATTTTCACCTTGTTCCAGGGTGGAAAATTAACTTCTATAACTTGAATGAGGTTGTTCAACACATTCGACAACCTATTCACTTTTCAGTTTATCGAAAATATCAACAACCAGCTGAAAAATGTAAATTTTGAAAATGCACATAAAACTTTGTATTTAAAAATTACAGTTTTCAGCTGGTTTAAAAAGCTAATAGGTTATCGAATGGTGAACAACCTTATTCAAGTTACAGATGTTGATTTTCCACCCTGTAACAAGGTGAGAATGGACGAAAACCTGAAACTTTGGAGCTCCAGAAAAGTGCTCACAGGAGTTTTTAGCAATTTTTGACTTCGGAATCGTGATCAGCATGGTCGATTTGGTATATTTCGATGTGTTTCATCAAAAGTTCAACACCTGCGCTTCCAAGAAACCTCATTTCAATGTATTTTCAGAACAAATCCGCCGCCGCTTCTGCCAAAACCCCAAAAGCCACCAAATCAACATCCGTCAAAAAGACACCAAAACCTGCCGCCGCAAAACCCCGAGGAAAGCGCTACGGCGCGACCGATCCAATTCGCGGAACACCAATTCCGCGCAGATCGAGAAATGCGGACATCTTGTAAATTATATTCTGTGAATAGTAGATTTTTATTATTATTATTCGTTTTTAGTTCATCGTGTGCTATTCGAAATTTTTTAGATTTTTTTCAAAGTTTAATAAAAGTTCACGTAAACTTCACGTTGTGAAGTGAACAAAGTTTTAAAGAACTCACCGTTTTTTGGTTTAAAAAAATCGAAAATTCCTCAATCCAGATGAGCAACGCGAACAAATTTGAAGTTTCAAAATTTGACTCATTCCTCATCAGAATCGAGAAATCTTATTTAAAAATAAAAATAGAAATGTGAATAACCGCTCAAATTTCCTATTTATATAAGTTCCGGAAGTGTGCAAAAATGATTTTGCTCAAATTAGAAGGTGTCAAAAATGTTAGTTTCCACTTCAATGATTTCATTTCAAATACTTAGGAAAAGTACAAAAATACACGTAAATTTCGGAAAAATCATTAATTTTGTACCAATTCAACTTTTAAAGGTACATTTCTTGAGGTACTGTAGCTACAGTAATCCAGAAATACAGAATCGGTAAATTGAGCTCTATGAAATATCGAACGATTTTTTCCGGCCAAATCGACCTGCCGGATTCGATTGAGTATGTCGAAAACTCTTGCGGTACTCAAGGTACTGTACCTACAGTACCCCAAAATTACAAAAATTGTTTTTCCGGATGTAGCTTTTGAAAAATCAATCATTTTGTACCAATTAAACTTTTAAAGGTACATTTATTATTAGGGTACTGTACCTACAGTAACCGAAAATTACAAAAAAACGTTGAAGTGAGCTCTAGAAAATATGGAAAGATGTTTCAAGAATAATTTGACTCTCCGGATTCGATTGAGCATATCGAGAACTCTTACGGTTCTCGGGTTACTGTAGCTACAGTACCCAAAATTAAATTCCATGTAACCAAATTAACACTTCACAGTATTTATTTACAAAGAAAACAATAAAAAAAAATCACCAAAAATAAATAATTGAAATTAGAAAAAATACTTTTTTTCAAAAAAAAAATTTTTTTTTGATAGACCCTTAAAAAAAAATAACGGACCCTTATATTTTTTTTGGGACCCTTGAACAAAATTACGGACCCCTATATTTTTTACGGACCCTTATATTGCGATAGAGCCCAAAAAAGGCACTAGATAGTACTAGGAATGACTTGAAACTCTGGTTTGAATATTATTTTTTCAGCGTTTTGCGGGTGTGTGATTTTCGCCAGCACATAATCTTCACGGTTGCCACTAAATGAGTATAAGATAATAAAAAAAATATATATAATAATCCAAAACTTACCGACGCTGAATAGGTGTTTCTATCATCGCAATATACCTATAACAATAACCATATATACACATTAGTAGTAAAAATAAGTTATAAAAAAATAAGCTTACCACGAAGCAAATAGTCGAATTAATCCGTTGTGCCTTGCTAGGCACGACTCGTCTCGGACCAAAAGGTCCATTTATTATTCGAACTGGCGTCTGTTCCGCCACTTGTTGTTCTCGGCGAGAAACAGCAATGTCAACTCGAAGATTGAGGTCAACGATGGGAGGATCGCAGGTTCGGTTGAAAATAATTAAACCACCTCGGCCGCTTGACAACTATAATTAATTAAAAAATATATTTAACCAAATTTCCTTGGCGGACCCTTCAAATTTAACTCACATGTCTCACAGCTGAACCGATTTGGACTCCTATTTCAGAGATAAATTGGCCAAGTGATAATGGGCCTTGGACCTCGAAATCTGCAAAAGAAGGCTGATCCATTGATCCTATAAGTAAATTTAAAATTATAGGGTGTAAGTACCAAAAGTATACGGCGGATTTTCGAAAAATTGGGAAAAACTCCATTCAAAATTAATTTTTAGGAAATTTTATTTGCTCGAAAGATCGGGCCCCCCTTTGGAATAGCAAAAGCCCCCGGGGATTTTTTCACCGAAAAAGGCCTAAAAAGGTCCGATCCATACCTGGGTAAAACATAAAATGGGTATTTTACGGTTTTTTTTACAGTCGCGCGAAGTTACGCGTCGTTTTTGGACGCAGCATAAAAAAAATAATGAAGGGGAGAGGAGAGAATGCAAATTCGAGGAGACGCAGACAGTCGCTGGTCTCTACAAACAACTTGTCATGACCTAACGCAAAAAAAGCAACAAAAAAATTCTGGGAAGATTTTCGACCAAGTAATGTTTATGTTTTTTGAGTAAAATTTTATTCAAGTAAAAAATTTGTTTTTAAAAATAGAAGAAATGTGTGCAAAAATGATTTTGCTCAAATTAGAAGGTGTCAAAAATATTTCACTTCAATAATTTTATTTAGGAAAAGTAGATACAAAAATACACGTAAATTTCGAAAAAATATACAAATTAGGGAAAATTACAATATTTCTAGTAATAAGGTTCCCAATTCGAATCATCAGCTGGTAGAAGAATGCCGAAAATCAATAGAAAAATATCAACTAGCCACCAGATTCCAAATCCACCCAATGTCATCATTTTTCCGACGGCCATTGCTGAATAACCCAAACAAAATCGATCGACGCCAGCAACACCCAAAAGCACTGAGTATAAAAGTGTGGAGAGGAAATAATGGCCAGTGTATCTGCAAAATTGGAGAAGATGAGTTTTTTGAACTAGAAATCTGAAAATTTACAAACTGGAAATTTTCTCTAAACATTAGAATGCTGAAATTCAAGATGACAAAAAAATAAACGAAAAATTTTTATGTCAATTCGAATTTTGAAAACTTCCAGATTTAAAAAAAATTAGAAAACTCTGGAAATTTTTGTGAAATTTAACAAACTTTTAATTTAAAAATTTTTATGTCAATCCTAATTTCAAAAAATAAAAATATTTATTTTTTTCTGAAAAGCAAAAATTACCAATCAAAAAATCCTAATTTCAAAAAATTTAAATTTTTGTCAGATTCAAGCGGAAAATCTCAGATTTTTTGAAAACTGAAAATTCAGAAGTAAAAAATTTCTAAAAAAAATTTAATTCTTAAATTTTTGTCAGATTCTGAAAATCTAATTTTTTGAGGCCAAAAATTTTCAGAAACAAAATTTTTCAAAATCTTAAAATTCTGAAAAGCAAAAACTTGGCATATTTCAAAAAATTAGAATTTTTAAATTTTTCGTCACATTCTGAAATTACAATTTTTCTGGAAATCCAAATTTTCCGAGGTCTGAAATCTTCAGAAAAAAATTCCGAAAAAAGTTTTTCCCCAACGAATTTTCCTAATTTTGAAGATTTTTTATTAGATTCTGAAAGGTTACAACAATTTTCAGAACATTTTTCTGGAAATCCAAATTTTCAAAGGCCGAAAAAGTTCCCGCCAACTCACTTGATACACGGTGTTTTCCTTAAAAACTGTCTTTCTCCTCGACACGGAATACAATACAAAACCTGACAAATCACATCGGTAAATTCGACATCTTCAATTCGAGCTCCGCCCATTTTCAGACATTCTCCAGGAAGCTGAAAATCAATTTTTATTTTTGAAAACTGGAAATTCCTCACTTTTCCATTCGAATTCACAGATCCATTGGAATTTGTCTGCAAATTTTGTGAAATCGCTTGTGGCTGTTGGCAATCCAGAAAATTGTCGGGCAGAAATTGACATTCGATGTTTGGACCGAGAGGATTTGTGGAGATATAGGGAACATCGTAATCGCATTCGGGATCACCGTAAGTTGCGAAAAACTGCAAAAAATTTGGATTTTTTTGTGCTCCGTGAGCTCTGGAACTGAAGTTATCGCTTTTCTCCAGAAAATTTGGGAAATTTTGACACCTCACAAGCCCATGTTCTGAATTTGGAGCATTTTTGTGCTCGGCGAGCTCTGAAAATGCTCCAAATCTAAAAATCATTCAGAAATTATCATGTTTGGTCTCAAAATTTTGAGAATTTGCTGAATTTTTTGAATTTTATCAGCAAAACTGTCGATTTCAACATTTGGAGCATTTTCAGGGCTCTGAGAGCTCTGAAAATGGCATATTAATCTAACATTGCTCATATTAGATATCAAAATGCTCCAAATTCTACGTGGAATTCAAATTTTCAAAAATTTCAAAAAATCCTCACCTTTTCCTCCTTCTTCTTCGCTCCCTCAATTTTCGCTGAACTCGAAATCACAACTAACATGAGCAATCGAAGAATCATCTGAAAATATTGATTTTTTTTATTTTCAAAAAATATTTTTGAAAAATCGATATTTTCTGGTGACAAAAACACAGAATTTTGGGCAAGAAATAGGAAAAAAACGAAAAAATTTCATACCAAAAAAAAATCAATAAATAGAAAATCTAGAGAAAAATAACAAGAAAAAACGAAAACAGGCAAAATTTTGTGGAGCAAAAAAAGAGCAATGAAAAATTATTTCTTAACAATTTGAATAACATCTTCATGATCCAATTTGTGATGAAGACCAACACGTTGGGGTGAGAATTTGGTTGAAGTTCCCCAGACAATTGCATATCTGGAAAAAATAGGAGAAATTTTGGAAGAAAACTGGGCGAAAAACGGAAATTCCCATTTTTTTTTTAGATTTCTGGGTTAATTTTCAGGTTTCTAGACAAATAGTTGAGTTTCTAGGCCATTTTTTAAATTTCCAGACATTTTTTAAGGCTTCTGGGCCTATTTTTAAGGTTTCTACAGGGTGACCAGAAATTATCCGTGCAAACTCAACCGGCCTTAAAATATTTAAAAACATGATATTTTCCACAAATTTTTTGACTGAGCACTAATCAATAGATAACTATTTTAAAACTATCACAAAAAATCGTGATCAAATTGAAATCTTACTTGGACCTTGAGCGCCTAATGTTGATGTGTCAAAAATTGGGCAAAGAGCCGCGGCTAGCGGTGTTAACAATGTTGCCCCATTTTTCGCTTCAACAACTGTGTAAATTCTCAAAACTCTTTTCACTTGTTTCTAAAAGGATCTTAGACGACTTCTTCTGCCTTTGCCAAAATGTAATTAAATTTTCCGACCTTGGGGATGGTTTGGGCGGTCATGACTCCCTCGGCCCCTTGTTTTTTACTGATAAAAGTGTCAAAACCAACAACGATTCACAACAAACGATCATATTTGAACATTTTCATGTTTTCTCAGTCTAATCTAATTTAAAAATATTCATAAGACCATTAAAGCTGATGAAGACCTAACATTTGGACCAAAACCAAAAATTTACTTTCGCGAAAAAAATTTTTCTTTTTTTTTTCAATTTATTTGGGCCTCTGAAACTCATCGAATCTCAGTCCGCAAGGTTACTTGGAGTGGTAATTTTTGAAAAATAATATCATCAGAAGATATCTTATTCATTTCATAGTTGTAAAAATACAATTGGAGTTTTCCACGTACCAAACAAAATCAAAACTCCACTCGGCCTTTCTCACTATTTTAGAAATCTGGTTGAAGGCCCAGAAAGCCCTGAAAAAATCCTAAAATCAACATTCGTGATAATTTTGGAATTATTATGCATTTATTATTGTTACAGGGTGCGTAAAAATTACCCGGACAACTTTAAAATCGTGATATTCCCAGAAGAGAATACGGTTTCTCAATATCACTTGAGAATTAGTTCATTTGGTCCCTAACTAGAATATAAAAACTGATCTCCCTTGATCTGGTCGATTTTCTGAGCAATGCCAACGTGGAAACGTTCGGAGACTACCTCTGTCGCTGCACGCGGGTCATTTTCGGACAAAGCGTCCCAGTTTTTCAGAATAGCCTTATCTAGGCATTGAAAATTGATTTGAGGGTTTTCCCAGAACCTTTTTCTACCCCATTTGAAAAGGGAATAGTCCATTCGGTTCGAACTTGACTAATACTATCTCAATTCTTACACCTCATCATATCGAAAAAATTGCTTTTTGAATGTGGTTTTTTCAAATTTTGACCTGTTTTTGGTCAAAAGGACTTGGGAAAGCTTTGAATAATTGTTTTCTAAGCTGAATACAGTTTTTAATGACAATTGAAATTCACGGATTCCGTTTATGTAAATTTTATTCTTGGTTTGGGGTCCTAGAACATCGAAAACCACTGACAGTTTCCAGCCAAGGACGAAATTTCAAGATCACCATCAGAGCTGGGTGTGAGTCATGGTGAACAGGTAGACTTCTGTCTTTGGCATCTAGAATGTCTCTAATGAGCCCCCAATCAATTTATAACTTAAATAAACCTTCCATGATAAAAAAATGACATCCGAAAACGCTGTTACCGAATCGCGTGTCAGTGAGCACAATTTGTACTAGTTTCTAGGATGTGTAATCCAGCTCAGAATTAGTCGATTGACTTGAAACTTCGCAGAGCTTTTCGAAATATCCTTATAAAACAAATAAAAAATACAATCTATCAAATGTTCGCCAATTTTCGCTTGGGCTGCCGCTAAACCTCTGTCCGGGTAATTTTTACGCACCCTGTAACAAAAAATTTCTTTGAAAAATATCCAATTTTGAAGATTTTATGACCGGTTTAGTTTGCACGGATAATTTCTGGTCACCCTGTAGAATTTTTTTTCAGATTTCTAGACCAACTTTAAGAAATTTTAGGTTAATTTTGGACTTCTAGGCCATTTTTCGAGATTCTAGGCCATTATTGAAATTTCTAGACCATTCTTAGAGTTTGATGGCTAATTTTCAGGCTTCTAGGCCTTTATTTGAATTTCTGGGCTGGTTTTCAGGCTTCTAGGCCATTTATCGGGATTCCAGGAATTTTTTTCAGGTTTCTAGACCAATTTTAAGGTTTCAAGACCGATTTTAGGGTTTCTAGGCTAATTTTAAGGCTTCTAGGCCATTTTTCAGGTTTTTAGGAATTTTTTTGAATTTCCAGATAATTTTTCAGGTTTCTGGGCCATTTTTCAAGTTCCTGGGCCCATTTGCGAGTTTCTAGAATCGACAAACAAACTTCTGCCAAATCATCTTCTTGATATGTATTCTTCAATTTATCATAATTCGAAAAATGAGAACAGGGGGGAGCCCATTGAAAAATGCTTCTTCCAACAAGGTAGATGATGTGGTTTGGCTTTCCGTTGTCCCCACAACAGCTTTGGCGTCGATCAATTTGAACTCGCCGTTTCGACAACGTGTGTCTTTCCGTGGTCAGTAACTCGAGCAAAAATTGCCAGAGTGTGATGTTGGAGTCGGATTGTGGTGGACTTGAGGTGATAGCCGATGACATCCTTTCTAATTCTTCTTCCGTTTGTTGTTCTATGACTGCCTGAGCTTCAGTTAGAGCCAATCAAAACTGGATAACCGAATAGTTTTGGTAATGATGGGATGATCGGATCCGGAGTTCAGCTGTCTAGACGACTAGACGCCTCACAGAGTCATGACCAGGCCAAAATTTCAGCAGTGGCGGGTGGGTCCAACCCACATCACGAGAGATATAAGAAAAAAATGAATCAATATAAAAACTAAGGCAAAAGTAACAAAAAAGTGATGATTCAGAACAAAATGGGGGCAGGGGGAAGAAACATTTATATAGTGTTCGGTTTGCGGAGGTGTTGGGGAAGAAATGGTTGTTACAACAAAGAAAATTTCCTGGACAGCAGGAAATTGGATTTGTTGGTTTATCAAAATTGAAAAAAAAACAAATAATAGTTCAAAGTTTCAAGTTGCTAGATTATTCGCAAAATTAAAAAATAGCCCACCTAAGGCTCGCCTTGAAGACCCTAAAAAATTTGCCACCTAGATTTTTCGAAAAAAATTTGCCCTTTATTTGAATTTCTAGGCTGGTTTGCAGGCTTCGGAAAAATACGTTTCAAAAAATATTTGAACAACATTTTGAGGTTAGAACCATGATTTTCTGAACTTGATTCCATTTTTTTCAGATTTCGGAAAGTTTTCGGTGAAAAATCGGAATTATTCTTTAAAAATATCAAAATTTCAACCAAAAATAATTTTTCTAATGAAAAAAAGGAGAAAAATTCAAATTTCAGACTCTGAAAATCTCAAACTAGGCTGAATTTTTACGGTTTCAAAGAAATTCCGAAGAAAATTTGAAGCCAGTTTCAAATTGTTGCTCAAAAAGCAACTGAAAATCCAAATTTCTAACCTATGAAAAATACGTTTCAAAAATTAATTGAATAAATTTTCGGGGTTAAAACCATGAAAAACACTTTTCCAACATTTTTTTCATTTTTCAAGACCAATTTTTAAAATTTTCACAGTTTCTAGATGCAAATTCCAAGGTTTTTCAGCAAAAATTCCCAAATTTTCAATAAAAATTCTCAAAATTTCCCCCACCTCAATTGCGCCGCCAAACTCCTATGCAATGCATGACAACAATGTTCCACCGTAGCGCCACTTCTCAAAATAATTCCATCTTCTGGTCCCAAATCCGGTGCATTTCCCGGTTTTTTAGTGTAACATCTAACCAACGCCAAATATTCCCACATTTTTTCGAGCAAATAATCCATATTCAGGTTCATTTCACACGAAATCACAACATGATGCGGTTTTCGAGCTAATCTATCGATTTCTTCGATCGAGATTTGATCAATTTTGTTGTAAACATAGAGACATGTCATGTAGACACGATTTCCTTGGATTATATCAATAAATTCGTCGATTCTGGAATTTAATTTGGGATTTTCAGGGGGTTTTGGGGGTTGAAAATTGGATTTTGACTTTATTTTTGAGATTTTGAAATCCACGTGGCATTTTCACAATTTTTGAAATTCAAAAAATGACGCGAAAAATCCACGTGTCATTTTCACATGAAAAAATTTAAAAGTTTTTGGTGAAAATGGATTTTCAACCGAATTTTTCATAAATTTTTGAATTTTCCAAAGAAAATTTGTGGATTTTTGGTGGATTTCGGGGTGAAAAATCAATTTTTCAGAAATTTGGAAAAATGAATGCCACGTGGATTTTTTTAAAAATTAAATTTGGGATTTTCAGTGGGTTTTGGGGCACAGAATTTGGATTTTCCACAATTTTAAGTAAACGTTTAGATTTTTGGCTGAAATTTAATTTATTCGTGATTTTCATAGATTTTTTTTTCAAAAAGCCGATTTTTGGCGCCATTTTTTTAAATTTTGAAAATTCCTCTGAATTCGTGCATTCTGGAGTTAATATTGGGATTTTGGAGTCGAAATTGAAAAATATTTTTCACAATTTATTTTGCCACGTGGATTTCATCTCATTTTTTTTCCGAAAAATATACCAAACCTATTTGGATTTTCAAAAATTTATAATAGTGCCACGTGGATTTTTTGCGCCTTTTTTTATTCAAAAAATTATCTGAAGCCACGTGGCATTATTCGCCATTTTTTGAAAAATAAGGTAGATTTAGCCCAAAATTTTTGGAATGTCTGGAATTTTTGGGTGAAGAAAAAATTAGATCCATTTTTTAATAGTCAAAAACAGACCAACATGTTTACCGCGTGAAGCTGGCAAATTTTTTTTAATTAAAACATTGTTAATAAGCAGCCAAACTGGACAGAAATTGAAAGTATTTGTCTGAAATTGTGTTTATTGATATTTACTGGAGGAAAAATCAATGGTGAAACATGAAAAATGTCGAAAAGGTCGAAAAAATTTGAAATTTTCAAAATCGTTTTTTTTCTTGTTTCACCATTGATTTTTCCACAATTTCAGACAAATTCTTTCAATTTTTGGCTCAAAAACACCAGAAAACGCGAAAAAATGCGATTTTTGCGAAAAAAATACGTCTGTTTGCACGTTTTTTTTTTTTGGTTTTTGAACACTGCATTTTATTTTGATCCCCAATTTTCAGGAAAAATTCATTTTTGCATGATTTGGGCTCAATTTTTCAAACTGAAAAACACCAAATTCACCAAAATTTGGCCAATCAGATTTTTTCGGTCAATTCCTGACTGATTTGAGGATCAAATGTATTATCAAAATTCGGCCAAAACAGTAAATTAATCAAAAAAAAAAATCCCAAAACTTATTACTTGATCATAAGTTTCATTTTTTGGATTTTGTACAATTTTCAATGAAATAATCCAGTTCAATATAACTTTCCAGCACAATCTTTCAAGTTACAAGATATCAAAATTTTATCAACCAATAAGGTATGATGAAGCGATTTGAACATAACCTCCTTCAACTCCTTCTCTGGGAAGGCACTCAAAATTAACATCCCAAAGGCCTTTCTTACTAAATTTCATAAAAAGTATCTTCCCGTAGTAATCACGATATCTAAATTCAGCATTTCCCGAAGTCTCTTTCCAGAACTCCTCCCATTGTGCATCTGTCAAATTTTCCCCATTTTTCGAATAATTCGCGATACCAATTGTGTCCATGCATTTTTGAACAATATTTAAACTATACGGTGTGTCCATCAGATGTGTCATTGTTCCATTAAGTTTAGCTCTGTGAAATGCGAGAAGGAATCCACTGGCAGCTTTTTGAGCGGTTGTTAATCCATCGATTTGGGAAGTTAACAACAATAAACAGGCAATCAACAATTTCATGTTTAATTGATGTTTTATCAAACTTTGATTGTTATTTTTATACAGTTTGAATAAAGAAATTTGATGATTTGAAAATCGAATTATCTGTGAACAGAACAAGGAAGTTTTCGGCTCTAACAAGAAAACTGTTTTGGCCCAATATTGTCCAAAAAATTTGGTCCTCAAATTGGGCAAAAAGCTCTGATTGTCCAAATTTCGCTCAATTTTTGACTCAAAAACGAAAGGTTGAAAAAAAATCCACGTGGCAATGAATTTGAAAATTCCCTTGGTCAAATATTTTATTTTCAGAAATCATACGATGTTTAAAGTCTGACTACTTTGAAAAATTTGAGTTAGATGTGCAGGTTCTACCGTACATCAGCAATTTTTGGACAGGAAAATTCTGTTTCACTTTTTTTCAAAAAGTAGGTAAAAAAAATAGCATTTTTCTCAAGAATTTTAACACTTTCAATAGAAAAATCCAATTTTTCATAATTTTCAGAGGATTTTCAGATTCAAAAATTACAAGAAAAATCCACGTGGCAATTCTCAACGAAAAAATGAAGTTAAAAATTCCCCAAAAAACATTATTTGGTCAAAAATTGTATTTTTATCCAGTTTAGGATTTTCCGAGATCAAATTTCAATTTTTCAGATCTGAAAAAAGCTAAAATTGAACTTCTCATTATTTTTCAGATTCACAGCGCTTTTTAGCGCCGAAAAATCCACGTGGCAATTTTTAACAAAAAAATCAAGCTAAAAATTCTAAAAAAAAATTTTTTTTCGGAAAAACTTGTGAAATTTGGGTTCAAAAATATCATTTTAGTCCAGAATTTCGAATTTGAAAAATTATTTTTCAAAAAATCCAATTTTCCTCAATTTTATATTCAAAATTTAGCGATTTTCAGGAAAAAAACCATTTTTTCAGGTCTGAAAAAGGCTTAACTTCAATTTCTCATTATTTTTCAGATTCACAACAAGTTTATATTCAAAATGTAGAGATTTTCAGAATTTTTCAAAATTTTCAGCCAAATTTCCAGCTCCCCAAAACACTCACGTGCAATCCTCTCGAAAAATGACATCAGCATTAAAAATCTTATATTCATGTAGTACAGTCATAATCAATTTCTCATTACAATGCGTCAGCGGTACGGTATTCGTGAATTTCACTCCGCCCACTTTTTTCTGCTTCACATAAATGTTGGGCGGTTTTTTGTTGAGTCGAATTCCGACACTTTCCAATTCTCTTTCCAGCAACATTTTTTGTTGATCCGATTTTCCAGCGTCTAACATCATTAGAATTAAATCGGCGGTTTTTGCCACTGAGATCACTTGTCTTCCACGTCCTTTTCCTTGCGAGGCACCTTCGATGATTCCGGGTAAATCGAGAAGTTGAATATTTGCTCCCTGCAATAAAAATATGATAGGTTGGGTTACTGTAGCTTCAGGTTTACTGTAGCTGAAATTTTCGCAATTTGGAAAAAAAAAGATTTTTTTACATGTTCCTTTAAAATGTACTGTAGCTCAATGTCCCTTTAAAAAAGAGTACTGTAGTCTGAAGCTTGTCAGATCTACAGTAAAGTTGAATGTTTGCTCCCTGCAAAAAATTTGGAGGTTACTGTAGCCCAGTGTGCCTTTAAAAAAGAGTACTGTAGTTTGAAGCTCAGATTTTTTGAATTTCCAAATTTTCGCGCCAATTTTTCCCCGAAATTTTGAATTTTGAAAAAAAAACCTTTTTCTGAGCTCAGAAAAAAAGAAATTTGGATTTTTTCGATTTTTTTTTGGATAAAGAACCTTAAAAATCCAAATTTCCTCAAATTTTGAATGAAAAATTGGCCTGAAATTCGGAAAAGAATTTTCAGATTCAAAAAAAATAAGAAAAATCCACGTGGCAATTTTTAGCGAAAAAAATCAAGCTGAAAATTCTTGAAAAATCAATTTTTCAGAAAAACTTGTGAAATTCAGGTTCAAAAATATCATTTTACTCCAGAATTTCGTAAAAATCCTATTTTTCAAAATTTTATATTCAAAATTCAGAGATTTTCAGGAAAAATCCATTTTTTCAGGTCTGAAAAAGGCTAAAATTCAAGTTTTCGTCATTTTTCAGATTCACATGGATTTTCAGCGGTGAAAAATGATCCACGTGGCAATTTTTAACAAAAAAAATCAAGCTGAAAATTCTCGAAAAATCGAATTTTTTCGGAAAAACTTGTGAAATTTAGGTTCAAAAATATCATTTTACTCCAGAATTTCGAGAATTGAAAAATTTAGGTTCAAAAATCGTATTTTTCTCAATTTTATATTCAAAATTTAGCGATTTTCAAGAAAATCCCATTTTTTCAGGTCTGAAAAAGGCTAAAATTCAATTTCTCATTATTTTTCAGATTCACATGGGTTTTTAGCGCCGAAAAATGATCCACGTGGCAATTTTTAGCGAAAAAATCAATTTTTTCGGGAAAACTTGTGAAATTTAAGTGCAAAAATATCATTTTACAAAGAAAATTAATCTAGAAAGTGGTGAAAATCTAAGGTTTTCATAAATTTTTGCTCGAAATTTGCAAAAACTGAAATTTTTGGGTTTAAAACCTCATGTTTCTGACCATTTTTAGTCCAAAAATACTAGTTTTCATTGATTTTTGGGTTAGAAAAAATACAGTGAAAAATACGTTTCAAAAAATTATGATTTGAATTTTTGGAACAGAAGTTCTATTCGCTCCAATTTTTTCAAAAATAAACCCTACATTATAACTAATAACTCCCGGAATACAAGTCAATGTGGTGAATTCATAACCAGCCGCTTCCGAATGTGTTGTCGTCATCGAACTGAGCAGCGTCGACTTTCCGACCGATGGAAATCCAACCATGGCAACTCTCGCATCTCCACTCTTCATCACATCAAAACCTTCGCCTTTTGCACCGCCTTTTCCAGTTGGTTCCAATAGTTGTTGACGATATTTGGCGAGTTTTGCTTTGAGCAAACCCAAGTGATATTCTGTGGCCTTGTTTTTCTGGGTCCGCGAGATTTCATGCTCGATTTCGGCGATTTTTTCAAGGATTCCCATTCTGGAAGAATTTTTTCTTATTTTTGGAATATAAACTTTTTTTCAAAAAATTTAAAAAGTATTTCAAATGGCTCAAAAACCATTAAACTTATTACCAAAAAAATTCCAAAAAAAAAATATTTTTTATGATAAAATCGAATAAATTATTACAAAAATGAGAATATTAGACCCGTTTCATTCAGGTTTTTTTTTCAATTTTCAGAGATCAAAAAGTTTTTGGAGACTTGGCAATTTTGCGTCGACCGGCGGCATTTCGGCGGATAAATCGGGCAATGAGTTGAAGGTTCGTTCGACCTGCAAAAATTGGGATTTTTTGGAGTTAGCCTAACTTTTTCTGAAGCTAGGAGTTAGTCTAAAATTAGTTATGACGTGGCAAAGTTTATTGGAATTAAAAAAAAAAGAAATGCTATGCTCCTTTAAATTACAGTAGTTTGATCTTTTTTTGAATTTCCAAATATTCCCGCTAAACAGTATCACGTGGAATTCTGGGCCTTTTTTTTCGAAAATATTATATGTCCCTTTAAAAAGAGTACTGTAGTTTGAAGCTTGGATCTACAGTAGCCTTGAGTTTGCCACGTTTTTTTTCAATTCTTAAATTTCAGAATTTTCGCGCCTTAATTTGCCACGTGGATTTTTTTTAATGAAGAAATGTCATGCTCCTTTAAAGTACTGTAGTTTGAACATTTTTTTGAATTTCCGAATTTCTAAATTTTCCCGCCAAACTCTAGTGCCACGTGGAATTCAGAGCCTACTTTTTTCAAAAATATTATATGTCCTTTTAAAAAGAGTACTGTAGTTTGAAGCTCATATCTACAGTAGTCTTGAGTTGTCGAAAATTTGAATATTTGAGCATTTCTGCCACGTGAATTTTTTTTACAAAATATCTTACATTTCCCTTTAAAAAGAGTACTGTAATTTCAAGGATCATGAACTACTGTAGCTCGGGTTTTTACAGTAGCCTACAGTAGTCTTGCCACGTGTATTTTTTCCAGAAAAAACACTTTTCAAGCTACAAATTCAGGATTTTCTCAACAAAAAAAACCCCTTACCTCCAACAAATCAGCTTCCAATCTCTCTTCCCTTCTCTTCACTTCTCTCGTCAATTTCTCATGATTATCCACACTCAGCCTAACATTCTGTATCAAACTATCAATCAAACTCTGCAAATTCTCTCGTTCCCTCGTCTCCTCCTTCAATTTCCTGCAATAATCCTCCAAAAGCGGCAACGCCTTCTCATTTTGTTTCAGCAGTTCTTGAGCTTCTTGAGAACTTCGCACAGTTTGCAATTTTTCGGGGCAACTTATTGATTCGGGGAATTGTGAGAGAACAACTCGGATTTCTCTTTCAGTGCTTGGCGGGTTTTGTAGGAGAACTAGGGATTTCAAAACATCTTGCGCGTTTTTCTTAACTTCTTCCGGATGATATTGTCGAATTATATTTGGATTTCTCACTGGATCTTGTCCTGCTGGCGTTGGAAATGATGTCTCTGCTAATCTCTTCTGATTTATACTATCTTCCAACCCACGGATTTGCTTATGATTATAAATTTCACGCTCTTTCCAAACTTTGATCAATTTCCCGAGTGCTTTATTCACACTTGGCTCCTTTAATTTACTCGCATGTCTGAATGCATGCTCCAGATTCAGAAAGAAATCCTCCTTATATTTTGGATATTGTTTCCTTGAATTTTGTATCACATCATTTGCGAGGTATAACAAATTCACAATTTTCGATGGATTTCCTTCTCTTCTTATTGTTTTCAGCCAAGTTCGCATTATAATCTCGCGATTGTTGTAGTTTTGTTGTAACCATTTGGAGAGCGATGTGATTGAATTCTCGTGATTTGTCAGATTCTTTAGACGATCTTTTAGATTGTCCTCGGTGAAATCGCTCATTTTCTCTGGAAAAAAAACGGGGAAAACTATAAGAAAACAGGGAAAAAATGCGAAAAACAAAAATAAATGCGCGTCAATTAAAATGTATCCATGTGTGCAGAGGTGTGTGTGCACGCAGAGTGGGCATTTAAAACGACGCGCATTTTCAAATTTTTGTCATCACAATTTTTGCGTTTCAAGATTTCTAGTGTTTTTCTAGCTGACAATTAGCTTCAGACCTGCAGGGTGCTAAAAGTGATGAAGAATTTTTAGGAAAATCTAGGGATTTCATGAAATTTCGAAGAAAACTTCAGAAAAATAGGGGTTTTTTGAAAATTTCGATTTTGAGGGGTATTTCAATATTTCTTGCTGGAAATCAGTTTTAGGGTGCTAAAAGTGATAAAGAATTTTAAGGAGAATCTAGGGGTTTCATGTAATTTCCAGAAAAACTTGGGTTTTTTTGAAAAAGTTGTTTTTTGTCATTTGTCATCCTTTTCCTATTTTCCAGAAGAATGTCAAACTTCACCGGAATCACCGCAACAATGAATCCATTGGCAGAAATGGCACAATTCAAGCAAAACATGAGAGTAAGAACCTTTTTTTTTTAAATTTCCACCAAAAAAATCCGTTTTTCCCCCAGGAAGTCGCTGCTTCGCCAGAATGGAGAACATCGAAATTGATTGAGCGTCAAAGATGGAATCCATATTCGATGGAGGGTGGTTCGACGGCCGCGATTTCTGGCGATAATTTTGCGATTGTTGCGTCAGACACTAGAATGACGCAGAATGATATTAATATTTTGACACGTGACGCCGAAAAGATTCATGTTTTGTAAGAAATTTAGTTTTTTTTTGTTTCAAAACGATATCTTCTATGCTCTAGGAACGATTCAATCATTTTGTCAACCTCTGGCTTCTACGGTGACGTCATTCAACTCCGAAAAGTTCTCCAATCCCGCCTTCACAAATACCGCTTCGATTATCGCGCTGATATGTCAGCTGATCTATGTGCCGAACTTTTGTCGCGAAACCTCTACTATCGTCGCTTCTTCCCATATTACACCGGAGCAATGTTGGCCGGAATTGATGAAAATGGAAAAGGAGCGGTTTTCAGTTATGATCCGATTGGTTGTATCGAAAGATTGGGTTATTCTGCAAGTGGAGCTGCTGAGCCAATGATTATTCCGTTTTTGGATTGTCAAATTGGACATGTTACCGTGGCTGAGGATTATGAAAAACCTCCATTGACTATTGAAAGAGCTATCTCTTTGATGAAGGTGAAAATTCGCTTTTTTGAACTTTTCGCGCCAAAAAGTAGCCCATTAGTCTTCCTTTACTCTCCTGTCTCTTTATCTCTCGGTTTTTTATATCATTTCCCTGCTGCGTTTCCTCACCGCCGCCCCTTTAGTCTACCCGGTTAAGCTTGCGTTTACCGCCCAAAGGGTCACTGGTTCAATTCCCCAGCTATGATTGAAGATTTTTGTGCAATGGCCGAGGTTTTTGGAGAGTATCGTAGCCTGAGAAGGCTGTAACCCAACGGTACCAATCACCAGAAGATGGATGATTTGTGCAATGTCTGAGCTGTTTTTTTTGTTTTGAAAATAAAAATGGGCATTTTCAATAGAAGTTTCACCTTTAAAAAATTAAAAATCGTTTTTTAGGATGCTTTCCGTGGCGCAGCCGAGCGTGAAATCTCAACCGGAGACAAAATCCATTTGGTGATCGCTGAAGCCGGAAAACCGATTGTTCAGAAATTTTTGCCACTTCGCGAAGATTAATTTTCACCTTTTTATATTCTGTTTTCCCCAAACCCTTCTTCGAGTTATCCTAAATTATTTTCCGGTTTGCGACTTTTTAACAAAAATAAATTATTCGTTTTTTCTGCCCAAAGTTATCGCTTTATTCAAAAAAAGACAGAATTGGCTGCTTGCCAACGTTTCTCGTTTTCTCTCACCCCACTCTCTTTGTTTGCTGTTGTCTCTCGTCTTTTGTGGTCTGCTGACTGCTTTTTTTCACATTCGCCGCTTTTTTTTTTATTTTTGCGAGGAGTTATTGATTGCAGCGCATTTTTGTCATGATATTTTGAAAATTTCAGATATGTCATATATTCAAATTAACATTTATAATGAAAATTTGCAAAATCTGCTAAATCGCGGGATTGATTTACACGAAATTTTCAAAGAAATCGGATTGCTCGATAACTCGATTATATCTGAAATTCCAATTGTTCCCAGGCGAATTCCAGAAGCTCAGAGACCTTTTAAACGAATCGCCGCTGAAATTGTGAATGTTGGAGTTGGAGCTGACAGTGGGTAGGTGTTTCTTGAAAAAACGAAAAAAATTTTTGAAAAAAAAATAAAAATATTTCTTACGGTTTTTTTAAAGGCGCAGGAGGTTTTGTGTGTGGGTCTTGAAGCGATCCAGCGCGCGCACGGAATATTTTTGAATCAAAAATATTAATTTTTTTATTTTCAACCAAAAAACTCGGATTTCCAGCGTTAATGATGACTATCCGACTCAAGAATCAACACCATCAACTTCTGAAGAATATTCAGATGTTCTCCACGAAAGTACACTTATGATGGCGCCATCTATGGAGACTAGCTACGATAACAGTACTTTTGATAATATTTATGATGCTTTATTTAAAAATGATGGGCAAAAGGAAGAAGAAGATATGATTTTTGATAAACCTGTTGTGGTAAATTCTACAAGAAAAACTTTGTAGATAAATAAATCTCAAATTTTTCCAGAAAAAACGAGCATTTTCCAAGGAATACATGGAGATTCTTGACCAAGTTCATCAAATTCAATGTCAATTCGAAGGTTGTAATCATGTGTATTCATGGAAGGTGAAATATGGAAAATTGCGCCTGGTAGATCACGCATTGACACATATCAGCGAAAAACGATTGCCATGTCATTTATGTGGGGTTTTGGTGCAAAATGTGCGACAAATTCGAAATCATTATAATAAAGAGCATCCGGATACACGACCGATTGGATATGGAATGAAAGAGTGAGGGAATTATTATCGAAAATCTCATGCGCTCCACCGAAATAAACACGCAACGCAGACCGCACCGCGCCACAACACATACAAAAAAAGAGGGAATTTGAAGCGTTTTGTGTGTGTTGTGACGCGACGCGGTCTGCGTTGCGTGTGAGATTTTCGATAATATCTATTTTTGATGGGGCAAAATCACGAGAAGAAAATCGAATTAAATGAAATCACTTGAGATTTCGATGTTCGAAAAAAAGAAAAGAGGATAATTTTGGCAATTTGAACAATCGAATTAGAGATTTTTGGACAAAACACATGATTTTTAGCTCGAAAAATGTGATTTCTAGTATTTTTGACGCACTGATCACTATCCTGTTGTCAAAAACTGCAAATCTCAACTTCTAATATGAGTCATCATGGCAAAATTGAAAAATCGAGACTTTAGGAAGCTAGCTTAACCTCCTGAAGTCCCGATTTTTCGAAATTTTCCAATTTTGCCACTTACAAATGATAACTCATATTAGGAGTTGAGATTTGCAGTTTTTGACATCAGGATAGTGAAAAGTGGGTCAAAAACTACTAGAAAGTATAAATTTCATGAAAAATCTGAATTTTGCTTCAAAATAACCCAAAACCTAGATGTTTATTACTCAAAAATTCGAGATTTTCAAGTTTCCGAGCTCAAAAACCCATTTCCAGCATGCCAATCGACGACAATGAGCTCCGAATGCTCTGGCGAAAATGTTATCGCGACAAAATCGAGATAATTGGCGAGGCCTCCAGTGTTGGAAACGAGAAAATGCGGCGAATTGCGAAGAAGAGAAGTCAAAAACAGGAAAACCCGATGGAATTGATTCAGGTTAAGGAAGAAGAATTCTAATTTTAAGATAAGATATTTTGCTCATGATATACATTTACTGGTATAAGTTGTTTTCTAACATCAAATAATCAATTTCCTTGTTTTTTTTTGTTTTTTCTCTCGCGGATTTGTTGATTTTCTCCCGAAAAAGTTCACAATGACCCTAATTTTCAACATCATTAAATTGTTAATGGTTTTTTTTCCCAAGCGCCGCCCACTTTTTCTAGGCCTTTTTAAAATCAAAGTTTTCTGATCGCATTCAGAAATTCACGATGTTCAAGATTCAGACAATTCTCTATCTCTGCACTCTCTTCACTCTCGCCACAAGTTTCTTGGAACATGGCCAAGCTGAAGAACCGTTCAACCCTTCTACTTTTGTTCTAGATTTGTCGGATATTGATCATGCGAATGGAGCCGAGGTTTGTGGGGGCGTGGCTTATTCTGCAACCCTGGCACACTATTCTCCGAAGGGAAAAGTGTGCCAGAGTTGCAGAAAAGGTTGTTCACGGGAAATCTAGGCAAAAAAGGGGCGTGGCTTATTCTGCAACCCTGGCACACTATTTTTCATGGGGAGAAGTGCGCCAGGGTTGCAGAAAAGGGGCGTGGCTTGTTTCGCAACCCTGCCACACTGTTTTCTAGGGAAAAAAGTGTGCCAGGGTTGCAGAAAAGGGTGTTCACGGAAAATCTAGGCAAAAAGGGGGCGTGGCTTATTCTGCAACACTGGCACACTATTCTCCAAAGGGAAAAATGTGCCAGGATTGCATTTCTGTTTGCAGATTCCTCGAAATCTCACCGAAGAGGACACCAAAATCATCCCAACAAATATCGATTTTTCAGCATTGAAGTAAGAGATTTTCAGATTTCCAGGTTAAAAATCTGAAATTTTCAGGGAAGCCTATGCAAAGGAGAATAAAGCCGAACGTTTTCTTCCATCTCGTCTATTTTTCGATGAGAAGAAATGATTTTTTGAAATTTTTTGTAATAAACTTTTCTATTTACGATAGATCGCCTCGAGACCCAGTGCACCTTTAAATAACATTCCGGATTTTTTACCCGGGAAATCAGGAAAAATTAGAATTTTTATAATTTATACACGTAATTAAGGTGTTCTTAAGGTAAAATTTAATGAGCAGTAAAGCAGAAGGATTTTCGACGATCGTCAACCACAAACATCTCATCGATTCCGATGAATGTGTTAGCGCGCAGGTTTTTGACACGGAAGATTAGCTGAAATTCTAGATTCTAGTTAGAACCTTCCAAAAAGTGACCCACGTAATCATAATTTCCAGCTGGGACCTGCAAGCTTTCCCTGAACCATCTTCTCGAATTCTTGGTGATTTTCGGTGAATCAAACACAATTCTTTCCGCAGAATCTGCAGGTTTTAGAATTGCTTGAAGATGCGAAATCTTATCAGCCTTATAGTAGCTGAAAACAATTGTCACCGATCTGTCAACGGTGAATGGGATTGTTTGAAGTCGGATTTGATCATGCGGCCCGGAAACGTAGGCGAAAGAGCCATCTGAAAACGGATTCTTGAAAAAGGTTCGGGGGAAATCTGATTCTTACTTGGATTGTAGGGTAGAATCGATGCATCGCCTCGAATCCCGGTTAGCAGATTTCCGATTGGCTCATTTGATATCAACCAGGCGGATTGGTGGACCATGCTGAAAATCAGAATATAGATTCAAGCCTCCCGAATTCTAGAAACACTTACTTAGTGCAAGTTTCAGTCTGGTTAAAGGAGCATACAATCGCTTCACAGACAGTTGAAACAATATCTTCATCTTCAACCCGATTATCACTGTCATCAAATGTCAAACGTTGCTCCGCTGATGCCGCGTGAGATGTTGGAGCGTGCAATTTCACCATGGATGTTAGCAATGGCTTTCTCTCCCGATCCCGCTCTGAGGAGAAATCAAAAATTCCAGTTTTCGAATCGACACCCATTGGAACACCCAAGTGGAATGGGGCAACAGTGGGATTTTCGAAATATGAGCGTTTTTGGGTGACCTTCTCGTCTTCTACACCATTGAAGTCATTTGATTCAGCTAATGGGATCAAGGGGATACTTCTACTGTCTGGATCATGAGTTTGAGTTGAGGAATCGCACATTTTGGCGTAATATTCGATGGAATCAATGATCGCAAATCCACCTAAACAATCTCAAATATATTATTCATCCTCTAGAATCCCCCACCTTTCAAGTTCTCTGAATTGAATGTGAAATGATCGGCGATGATATAAATCTGAAAAGGTACTGGTCCTTGATCGGGGATGGTGACAAACACCGGGCCCGGGTCATTTTTATCGATGGGAGCGCTGAAAATTCTGGAATTTTCCATTAATTTACGATGGGCCTTTGCTTTACCTGCAGAAATCAAAGTCTGGATAGACTTTGGCCATTTTTTTGACACAGACTTTGAGTTGGACTTCGGGAGATGTCCAGTACCTGAAATTTTTGTTCAAAGGGTTTCAGGAAAAGAAATCAGGCCCAAACTCACATAAATCTAATCTCTCCATCACCAATTTGACACGAAATAGTGTCCGACACCAAAACCGCCTTGACTCCAGCAAATTGCACCATATCAGTGGCGGCAATCGCATAAGCACCATCTGGCATCACATGAGTCGCTGTTGCTACAGCCAATCTTGCCTCATCTAATTCTCCCGAACCTTGATACCAATCTAATTCGTCGACGAATACACCATCCACGTTTCGCCAACGACAATTTGCGTCGAAGTTGGTGCAAGTCAATTCAGCTGCGTCGGTTATTGGGGGTGTTGATTGAGTTCCAAGTGCTGGAAATATTTGGTTTTTTGGGTTTTTTTTTCAAAAAAAAAAAAGAAACACGGAAATAAAAGTAAAACAACGAGACTCCGCGTTGACGGCTTGTTTGAAAATATTTTTCTTTTTTTTTGTTCGAAGCGCGCGCGCGAAAATGAATCCAGTTGGGAAGAACAACAATAAAATCAGATGGAAATTCGAGAATTTGGAAACTTTGAAGAAGAATGGAGGATTCAGTGAAGAATTTACAACGGATGATTTGAAATGGTTAGTAAATATTTAAAGTGATAGAAATTACATAACATTATTTTTTTAGGAAAATAAAATTGGAGACTAAGTTGGTCAACGGCATCAAGTATTTGGGTGTCTACTTACACCACGTCACAGAAAAATCATCGTGGATTATCGAATCATCGGCGAGAATCAAAGTTTCGAATAGAAAGCAATTGCGAACCGGAAATTTCAATTGCGGATTGCACACCAAAAATATACCAGCTTGGGGATTCCCAGAATTTCTGCAATGGTCTTTTCTTGCTCCAAATCACTACTATGATTCGAGAATCGAATGGATCACCGTGGAATGCGAATTCAGTTATAAATTCTATGATTTTTCGAAAAATTCGGCGATTTTCTCGGATGCCAGTATCAAAGTTGGAACTGATGAATTCTATATTAGCAAAGGGTATATTTCTACATTTTCAAAGTTTTTCAACGAGAAGTTTGTGAATAAAAATTTAACTAAAGTTACGATAACTGGTGTGAAATCGGATGATTTTGTGCGATTATTAGCAGCAATTTTGCCGGATCCAATTCAAATTAGTTGTGAGTTTTTCTTGATTGAAACCTTGATTTTTTCTTCTATTTTTCAGTTCGAAACTACGATGCGATTATGGATTTATCAGAAAAATTCGAAATTGATTCATTGATCAAAAAATGCGAGGAATATTTCAAGAAAAACAAATGCATTGAAATCATTCGACAAATCAAAGAAGCTGAAAAATTCAATTATAGAACTCAGATTGTAAGAATTTTTGAATTAGTTTCCAGATAAAAATACAAGATTTTTCAGCCAACACTTCTTGCAACTTTGAAACGCGGAAAAGAACTCAAAATTATTTCGGAAGATGAGAATTTCAAGAATTTCAAAGATTCTACAAAAGTCGCTATTATGAACGCCGCTTTTAAATTTCTTTAATTAAAGAAATGAAGTTTGGTTTTTGTTTTTTCAAAAGTTTTTGGATTAAAAATTCAGTTTCAATTGCTGAAAACATATTTTTTGTGAAAAAAGCAGAGAAATAAACGTAAAACAACGATACTCCGCGTTGACAACTGGTTCGAGAAAATTTTATAATTTTTTTGGAGCTTCAGATTTTAGTTTTCGAAAATATTCAACGATTTTGGTGGAAAATGAACCCTATAATCAAGAAAAATAATATTATCAAGTGGAAATTTGAGAATATTGATAATTTGGATGCGACTGGAAGATCTAGTAACGAATTCACAACGGATGATTTGAAATGGTAAGTTTGGTGTAATAAATCTAGAAGAGTAAATGCTTGTATTTAGATTTTTCAGGAAAATAAAAGTGAAGACAGAGTCTGTAAACGGAATCAAACATTTGGGTGTCTACTTATGCCACATCTTAGAAAAATCATCATGGATTATTGAATCATCGGCAACAATTAAAATTGTTAATACGGAAGAGTTGAAAACCGCGAGCTTTGATAACGGATTACACACGAAAACTGTTCCCGGGTGGGGGTTTTTCCATCTTCTAAAGTGGTCTGAACTTGCTCCAAAAAATATATCTGGTTCTAAAATCGATTCCATCACTGTTGAATGCGAATTCAGTTATAAATTCTACGATTTTTCGAAAAGTTCTTCGATGTTCGCGGATTTGAGTATCAAAGTCGGAAATCATGATTTATATGTTAGCAAATGGGTAAGGTTGCTTAAAATGTTTCTAAATGTTTATAAATGAAATTGTTCAGTACATCTGCACATTATCAAATTTTTTCAACAAGGAATTTGTCAAAAACAACGAGTCTACAATTACTGTAACTGATGTGGGTTCCGATGATTTTATTGAATTGTTAGCAGCAATGATGCCTGATCCAATTCAGATCACAGGTTAGTTTTGTGTTTTTAAAGATTTGAAGAGTTATCAAAGAATTTCCGTTAGCTTATTCCATTCTAGTTTTAAAAAATCAGCCAAGTTGAATGTTCGAAAACTAAATACAAGGTTAATTGAACATTTTTCAGGTGGAAATTACGACACAATTCTTGATTTATCCGAGAAATTCGAAATTGATTCATTGATCAAAAAATGCGAGAAATATTTCAAGAAAAACAAATGCGTTAAAATCATTCGACAAATCAAAGAAGCTGAACAAGTTCATGATTTGACTTCGATTGTAAGTATTTCAAAATATTTTTGGAAAAATTGAGAAAACCCGAATTTTTCAGCCAACACTTCTTGCAACTTTGAAACGCGGAAAAGAACTCAAAATTGTTTCGGAAGATGAGAATTTCAAGAATTTCAAAGATTCTACAAAAGTCGCTCTTATGAATGCTATTTTGAAGTTTGTCTGATGTAAACGGTGAGATAAATTTTTTGTTGGTTTCAAAAGTTTTTGGATTAAAAATTCAGTTTCAATTGCTGAAAAACATATTTTTGTGAAAAAACATAAAAATAAAGTAAAATAACGATACTCCACGTTGACTGCGCTCCCCAAACTCACCAACATTCATATTCTCCCCGCCATTCTTCACAGTATTCTGCCCTCTCGCGCGAACCACCGCAGTCTCAAATAGATTATTATTCTCCACCTGGGGCCGGGATAGTTCTGAAGAGGTTCCAGAAGATGAAACTCCCAACATCGTCGGATTCACTAGTAAACTCTCCCTGGCGAACGGCGTGCACTGGTGGGATAAATTGGGAGTTAGGATAAGTAGTAGGAGTAGGAAAAACATCCTGAAAAACGAAAAAATGAGGAAAATATTATAAATTATGCTAACTAAATATCAGGAAAAACAAATAAAGTTGACCTAAATTCAAGGGAAGAATATTCCTAAAGAAAAAATGAAAAAGGAAAATTTCGAGTTAGAATAAGTAGGAGGAGTCGAGTAGTCAAGTATTTGTATTATTATGAAGTACCCACACGATTTCATGTAAAAGTCATGAAACTTTTTCTTTTTTTCATTTAAATGAAACTTTTTTTTTGAAAAGAAGGAGAAAAAAAATGAGAAAACCAGGAAGATTTTATAATAAAATACTTGAAAATCTAGATTTTTGGAGATATTTTTAGATTTCTTTTTTTTGAATAGATAGAAAATTTGTTGGCAAAAAAAAGTGAAAAATATGAGGGGTGACAAAAGGCTGGAACCTTTTTGAAGCGGAAAAAAATGGAAAAATCAAAAGAAATTTGGAAATGTAAAAAAATTTGAATTTGAATTTTTTCGCGTCAAATTTTGAAAGTAGAAGTTTGAGAAATTCTGAAAACAGAAAATTTCAAGTTTGAATTTTTCGTTTTTTTCTGAGAAATTTAGTTATGACGTGGCAATTAGGAAAATCCATATTTTTCAATTTTTCACAAAATTTTGCACTTTTATCGTAAAAAGATAGGTTTAGAGGATTATTGTTAAAAAAATTGGCGGCAAAAAACACATTTTCAAAGAATCTACAGTATTCTTTTCTGTTTCAAGGCGCGGCTGCTTGAGATCTAGGCTCTCTAGGCTCGGCTGCTTAGCAGAGAGGATCTCTATGAGGCGGGTGCTTGATAACTGCGCCCTCTAGACTGATCCTTGTCAAACAGGACCTCAAGGCGCAGCTCCTTGTCAGAGAGGATCTCTAGACGTGGCTGCATGAGAACTAGGTCCTTTAGGCTCGGCTGCTTGAAATAGCAGATCTCAAGGCGCGAATGCTTGTCATAGAGGATCTCAAGGCTCGGCTGCTTAGCAGAGAGTACCTCTAGGCGTGCCTACTTGACAAAGCAACTCTCAAGGCGTGGCTCCTTGACAAATCAACATTCTAGGCTCCCAGCAGAGAAAAAACCTCTTTATTCTCTCAATCACTAAAAACAACACGAAGTTTATGCTCTCCCTGCGGTGGTCCATAATGTTCAGCCCAAGCACCATCTGAAGTACAACCCTCTGGGGCAGGAATATGATAGACACCGAAATAATGCTTGTCTTCTGGACGAATTTCTTTGCCACCGCTGAAAAATGGGAAGTTGGATTCCTAGGCCATCAAAAATTGGATTCCTAGGCCACAAACCACTCACCGATAGATCAAAACAATAGTCTGCGTCTGATTATAGTCCAAAATCCCGGTAGCCGGTTTGATTTTGAACAAATCGTTTCGAGTGCACTTCACCTTATACGCCTGCTTCATCTCACTGATATTGGTGATTTTCAGATACGTTTTTTGCTCATCTTGATCATTACGAAATTTAATTCTCTCTGCAGGTTCCGTTGAGATAAATTGTTTTTTCTCGGCCATGGGAAATTGCGAAAAATGTGAAAAATGAGGCGATTCGCGGGATTTTGCGGGTTTTTAAGCGGGTTTTTGGGTCACGTTTTTAAAAAATTTCAAAATTTTTAGATGAAAAATTTTAAATTCAAAAGGGCAGCCAGCTTTTCTACGAAATTCATGCGCTAGAAAAAGATTGCCGTGTGGCCGAGTGGCTAGCGCGTTTGCCTATCGGTCACGTTTTGCAGGTTCGAACCCCACCGCCTGCGAAATTTTTTATTTTTTTTCAAACCTCATAAAATCAAATTTCCCAAGGTTTATGCCCTTCTCGAAATCTAAAAATATTTTTTCAATTTCAAAACCAAGACAAAAATGTATTGGATTTTTTTAATATTTCTCTCAATTTCTACAGCTTCCAGCAAAGATTTTGATATTTTTGATGCTCAAGATCTTCACAGAGCACTTCAACATCCCGTGAACACCAAGCAAATAATTAAAACACTGTGTAATCGAGATAGGTTGGAGATTGAGAAAATCATTTATTTTTATCAGAAAATTTATAATTATGACTTGAGAAAAGTTGTGGATGAAAACCTGGGCGAAGGGAATTTCAAATATTTCACTAAGTCAATAATATTTTCAAAACCATACTATGAGGCAAAAGTGTTGCATGATGCGGAAAAAAAATTGGGAACTGATGAAGAAATTTTCATCGAGCTTTTGGTGGCGAGATCGAATGAAGAAATTGATGCGATTAAGAAGGCTTACAGAGATTTGTATGGTATAGATCTTGAGGATGAATTGGAACGTGAAACGTCTGGAGAATTTTTAGAAATTATGCTCGCAATTATTGAAGGAAGAAGAGATGAATCAAATAAAGTTGACCTTGGAAAAGCAAAAAAAGACGCGGAGAAATTATATTATGCTGGAGTTGGTAGATTAGGGACTCAAGTAGGCGTTTTCAACAAGATATTTACCAAACAAAACTTCGCGCAACTTCGTTTGGTTTTTGATGAATATCAAAAATATGCAGAACATTCGATAGAAGTTGCAGTTGATAAGGAAACAAGTGGTTATTATTATAGTACTCTTAGTGAACTCGTTCAAGTTATCCGAAATAAGCCGAATTATTTTGCGCGATTTTTATGGAGTGATGATGAAAGAATGGTTATTCGCACAATTGTATTGAGAAGTGAAATTGATTTGGGGGAAATTGTGGAGGAATTTGGGGGGAAAATGAGGTTGAAGGGTTTGATTGAGAAGAAAATATCGGGCGATTTGAGAAATGCTTTGGTTACTTTTCTTGAATATCAGTTGAGAGATGAATAAATATTGAAATATTATCTGAAAATGAAGAATTCTATGATTTCCAGCACAAAATTCTTATCTAGAAAAAAATTCCCAGGAATTTTTCACTGTTTCAAAAATGTATCAAATCTTTTTGGGGTCTAAAGATATTCGATAATATTTTGTGTAGGACTGAAATTTTGCGCTGAAAATTGTGGAAATGCTGAAATTCGCTGAAAATGAATACATTCATGATTTTCAGCTCAAAATTCTGTTCTAGAAATTTTCTGGAATTTTTCACTGTTTCAAATATGTATCAAATTTTTTTGGGGTTTAAAGATATTCGATAAAATTTTGTGTAGGACTGAAATTTAGCGCTGAAAATTGTGGAAAAGCTGAAATTCGCTGAAAATAAATACATTCATGATTTTCAGCTCAAAATTCTGATCTAGAAATAAATTTCCAGGAATTTTTCACTGTTTCAAAAATGTATCAAATATTTTTGGAGTCTAAAGATATTCTATAAAAATTTGTGTAGGACTGAAATTTTGCGTTGAAAATTGTGGAAGCGCTGGAATTTGCTGAAAATGAAGAATTCCATGATTTTCAGAGCGAAATTCTGGTCTAAAAATTTTCTGGAATTTTTACGTTTCAAAAATTCATTGAATATTTTAAGATCTATGAAACTGCTGAAAAATATTGGGCATTTTATTGATTATCTTGCAAATTGTATACATTTCCAAACAAAACAACATTCATCCACCAAATTTGGCGAACAACTCGCTCTTAAGTTCACGAACAGCATTCTCCCAACCGGCAAATTTTTCAGCATACTCAATAATGTTCGGGCACTTATAGAACAACTTTATAGCGTTCTTTTGATCTTCGACGTCAGGAAGATCACCAAATTGTGCATATAATAGTAAATCACGCATGTTTGCGGCGCGGTTTAGACGTTGTCCACGAATTACACCAGCGGCAATTCGAAGTGAAGTTGTTGAGAATGTAAATTCCGATGGAAACTCTTCGAACTCCACTGAGCATCCCTTTCCACATCCACACGAATTTGGTCTGCAAAATATATTACTTCTAGCGCTAGATATGTAGCTGAAAAAAAGATTTTCGAGCGCGCCTTTCAAATACGACAATTTTGGAAGTTCAAAAATAGAGCCAAGTGGTAAACACGCCTGCCTATCGTTTGCAAAACCATGGTTCGACTCCTCCCACCGCCCAACTTTTTGTTTTTTTGAAAAAAAACTTTTAAAAAAAACTCACTTTGTTTCATTTTCGTCTCCGATTTTGAGCGCAGCCAGGAGAATCTTGGCAGCCGCAATATCCGACATTTTTCAAGCAGGACGCCGTATATTGATTAGGGGGTGGGGGGGGGACTTGTCATAAATTGGTGAAGAGAGAGAGTGTGTAGAATTAGGAGACACAGAGAGAAAGAGAGAGAGAGAAGAGGGTAAGGACCACAAATAAACCAACTCACTGTAGCTATTGGACCTACAGGATTTCATTGTGTAGATTCATTTTTAGTTTTAAAAAAATCTGACCTACAGTAACTAATTGAAAAATTTTGAACTACAGTACTTGTTTAATTTAAAAAAAAACCGGAGGCTACAGTAACCATTTGAAATTCCAATGAAAATTCAATTTTTTAGGTAAATTCTGTTGCTCAAAATTTCTAACTACAGTACTCCTTCTTGTGTTTAAAGGAACATCGCAACATTTTGTGAATTTGGCAATTCAGAGCTACAGTAGCCTTCGGACTTTCAAAGGAACATACCATGAATCTTGGATTGTTTACTGAAAGCTTAGAGCTACCGTAATTCTATAATAATGTTAAAGGTACATCATGATTTTCGAGATTTCACAGGAAAATTTGTTGAATCTGGAAAATGCAGAGCTACAGTAACCCAGTGAAAATTCTAAAGGAACACGGAAAATCTTTTCTAAAAATCTACAGTACACCAAAGGTAACATTTCTAAGGTGCATTTCAATTTTTCAGAACTACAGTAATCCTGAAATTCAAAAAAATTTTTGCCATAAAATATGTTTTGCTAAATTCCCCGAGTCTAGATCTTATAAACCCTGAGAACCCCGAAGTTTTCATTTAAAAAGATCTCGGTGAAATCGAAAGATCAGAAAAAAAATGATTGGAATCCCAGATATTATTCTTCTTATAGTTCTAATTTCTCAAATCTCCTCGCAAGATCTATTATCAGAAGTTGAGATTCTGAAGCGAGCTCTAGATGAATATTCATCATGGTCATTCTATTCAAATTCATCGGAAATCATCAGAATTCTTTGTCCAAAAACAAATTCCGAAAGACAGGAAATATGGAAAGTCTACAATTCAAAATATTCCGAAGATTTGATAAAATCCCTCGAAAATAAGCTAAGTGGAGCCTTCCGAACTTTTATGGTAGCTTTGATGTTGAAACCAGCAGATTATGATGCTAAACAATTATTCGAGGCTATGAAAGGTGCTGGGACTACTGAAGAAATATTGATTGAGATCTTGGTGACTAGAAATAATCAGGAGATTCAGGAGATCAAGAAAGTGTTTCAAAACACTTATAATTCTTCTCTGGAAGATGCTATAATTGGTGAAACTTCTGGAAGTGTTCAGAATATTTTCCTAGCGATGTTGAATATCCAGAGAGACCCCTTGAATTATACAAATCCTGAAGAAGCTAGAAAACTTGCTGAAACTTTGAAAAGATCTATGGGAATTATATTTCCTGATTATGATGAGATTTATAAGATTCTCTTGGGGCAGAACTTCGGGCAACTTAGATTGGTTCTGGATGAATATGAAAAATTAAATATAATTCATCCTTTGACAGTTGAGAAGGATTTTCATATGAATTTTCATGGCTATCATTATAAGACTTTGAAGGCACTTTTGAGATTTATAAGGAATCCGGCAGGGTATTTTACGGATATTTTTTACAAAGGAAGTGGAAGTGAGTTTTCCTTATATTCTAAATACTGAAAATCCCTTTTTTTTTACTAAATTCGAATTTTCAGTGATTTCTACTGACAAAGATCTTCTGATTCGAACAATTGTGAGCCGGGCTGAAGTTGATTTACCCGAAATTGTGCGCGAATTCAAGGGAAAATATCGTTTTTTGGGATTTTTCAGGGAACAGTTTATGGGGGAGTTGGAAGATGCGATGATAGCGTTTGTTGAATCGAAATTGTAATGAAGAGTTTTTGAGCGCAACGGTTTTTTTGTGAAAAAAAAAAGAATAAAAATGTTTTTTTTCAAAAAAAAAATGCATTTTTCGAAGCAAACATTTTTCGCGGGGTGTATCGTGGCGAGACCCGTTTGCATTGGAGCGCCCTTCCATTTTTACTTTTATTTTTTTTTTTGTTTTTTTTTCGGGTTTTTTTGGTTTTTCATCGAAAAAAAGGGGTTTAGAGTCGCAATGACAGTGATTTTTCTTGTATAATGAGAAAGAAATCTGGCTCAGATTCCACTTACAGCAATTTCCGTAATTTTTGTTGTTTTTCTTTGTTTTTTTTTTCGTGAAAAGAGGTTTTTTCAAACGTAACAAGATTTCCACCAGTTGTTTAATTTTTATTTTCAGATCGAATTTTCTCGAGCAAACTTATGAAATTTGAAGATGATATCACTGAAAAATGGTAAGTTTTTGAACCCAAGATCTCCAAAAATAAACAAATGATTAAGAAAATCAACAAATTTCTTCACACACTTTGTTTTGTTTTCCATTTCCTCTCTCTGTTTCAGTCAATGACTCATCTTGATTTTCTCTGCGTCTCTTGCGATTTCGAAATTGTTGTTTGTATTTAAATAGTGCGCGAGATGTCAGCTACCTGTCATTGATTTGAGGAGCTGAGAGAAAGAGAAACGAAATTTCATTTTTTTTCAACCACAAAAATTGTTTTGAAAGTTATTTTCATATGAATTTGTACTTTCTCTGCGTCTCTCTCTTTTTCAATAGAAATAATAATAAAAAAATGTTTTGAATACATATGTTTTCAAAAAAAAATAGAATGACTCATTGATTTTCTTCTCAAATTCTTTTATTTGATTCCAAAAATTTCATTTTTATTTCCAGAAAGAAAATGTCGCTCAAGAAATTCGTCATGTCAGGAATCCAAGATGTTTTGGTGAGATTTTCAAAACTTTTAGACGCGTTGCGGTCGCGCTGCGTGCTGACTGTTTTATTTTTAAAACAGTAAAATGAACATACATATTTATGATATTCGAGAACTTTTCTATTCTAAAATAAATATTTATCTTTTATATTTTTTTCAAACAAAAAAAATAAACTTTCAACTCTGCGTCTCTCGCCTATCAAATGTTTTTCTGCCCTATGATGATGATGAAACCGACAATTTGTCATTTATTGTGGTTTTGACCAAAAATTTGAATTTTCTGTATTTCAGGAGAACAAATTGGGTGGAAACAACAAAAACTCCTCAAATTCTTCGCAACCTGCACAACAACAATCTTCAAATATGTCAGGTAAGCGATTTTTTGACCTTTTAACATAAGTCGTGGCGAAGAAAAAGAGAAAAAACTGTTTTTCAAGTGTGCAACAGAAAAAATCCAGTGTTACTCAGCAAATATTTGAGTCTTGAGGGTCAGTGGAAAATTGATATATATTTTATATTTAACATAACTATCAGGAAAAGCTTGGGGGATATACGTGGCAAAATTAAATTTGAGCTAAATGCGATTTTTTCCTCAAAATACAAAAATCTTGAATATACAATCAAGTTCGCTCTATCGCACACACTTTTATTTGCGTGTACTTCTCTCGGAATCCAAGTTTTTTCGCGAAAATAAAAGAAATTGAGTCGCGATTTTAAAATATCTTCACAAAAACCAAGTTCTCAATAGAGCGCACATGCTCATCCAGCTTCATTTCATAATATTTGTATGTACTGTGTTTCCAGGCTACCCACAACAAAATCAACCACAATACGGTAATGCCGGCGCGCCATCGCAAGGTTATGGCTACGGAAACGCTGGCTATGATGCGTATGGGAATCAGGGACAACAACAACAACCGTATCCACCACAACAAGGTGGCGGTGCACCGTATCCTGGTGTAGGAGGCGGTGCTTATCCACAACAACAACAACCACAATATGGATTCAATACACAGGGTGGTGCACCAGGTTACCCACCACAACAGGGTGGATACCCACCACAACAGCAAGGTGGAGGATATCCAGGAGGACCTGGCGGTTATCCACCACAGCAACCTGGTTATCCAGGAGGACAGGGTGGATATCCAGGTCAACAACAACAATATCAGAATCCAGGAAACTTCTATCCAAATCAAGGACACGGACAACCAGGTTGGAGATAATTTTGCGGGAATTTTGGGATGTTTTTTGCAATAAACTTTGAAAAATCCACGTGGAAAAAGTGGTGCTGGGCCTGGAGCTAGGGCTAGGCCTGGAGCTAGAGCTAGGCCTAGAGCTAGAGCTACATACATCGCAATCTTCCCCTCTGAACCTCAAAGTGATACACCCTATTAAAAAAAAATAATCGCGAGTGATACACCCTAATTTTTGTATGGAAGGCGCGAGCCTTCCATCAAAAAAAAATTTTTTTTTGTTCTCAAAAAAAAAAATTTAAAAATTTTGCAACACCATTGCTCTTGGCAGGAATCGATCCAGCGACTTTCAGCATTATAAGCTCGCGCCCTAACGACTGCGCCAAGCTTGCACTTTTCTTCCCATTCTTCTTTTTCAAAGATATAATTGGTGAGATGAGAGATAGAAAGGAGAAGAGATAATCAGCTTGAAGAAAATTTGCATATTTTCTGTCTGACAATTGTCAAAATAATACTTGAACGAGTAAAAGTTGAAACATGAAACTTGGCACACATAAAATTAAGCGTAGTCTGAAGGGTATTGAACAATAAAATCGGAGGGAGACCCTAGAACTCAAGGTGCACACCCGGTCCACTGAAGAGGCCTTTTTTGACTAGTTAAGGGGACCGGGTATGCACCTCACTTCTGAGTCATTATTTCGAGTAGAACTGTTTAGAACTTTATATTAGAGGAAATTTGCTAACTTTCTATTCAAAAATATTTTAGAAAACCATACTAAAATGGTATTTCCTTGAGGGGTGAAAATGTGCATTTTTTACAAAAAAAAAATTTTTTTTTTGAAATCGAGGGAAATCCAAGATTTGACATACATAAAATGGGTCCCCAGAATCGGGGTGAGGGGCTTAACTTTTTTCAAAAATCTGAAGGGAAGGGTGCCTAACTTGGCCAATTTTCTGCTGATAATTTACCAAAATTCCCAGATTTGTCCAAAATTCGCTCAAAAATGTGAGGATGGTGTTTAACTTTAGAAAATTTTCAAGGAGGGACCCTAACTTTGAAAACTGACTCGGGGGACCTATTTTATGTATGAGATTTGATTTTCGTTTTTTCTTGAAATCAAACTAATGACTTAATTTGAGTCACTGAACAACGTAGTGACCTCAAATACTACCAGAAACTTTTCCAAAACGAGTTACAGTAATTGCCAAAAAGATACTAACTTTTGATTTTTGCTATTAATCACTTCATCTTTTTCAAATCAGGCACAAATTTTTTCTGAGCATTCTAAATCCTAAACATCATTATTGAAACGAAAAGCAATGTATTTTGTATGATTTTGACATTGATGGAATTCGGATGTTTCTCTCGATCTTCGATTCGGGATCATCGAGGAAATAAAAAATTTATGGTCACCACGTTGTTTAGTGGCTCAAATTAAGTCAGTAGTTTGATTTAAAGAACAAACGAAAATCAAATCTTGGATTTCCCTCGATTTCAAAAAAAAAATTTTTTTTGTAAAAAATGCACATTTTCACCCCTCAAGGAAATACCATTTTAGTATGGTTTTCTAAAATATTTTTGAATAGAAAGTTAGCAAATTTCCTCTAATATAAAGTTCTAAACAGTTCTACTCGAAATAATGACTCAGAAGTGAGGTGCATACCCGGTCCCCTTAACTAGTCAAAAAAGGCCTCTTCAGTGGACCGGGTGTGCACCTTGAGTTCTAGGGTCTGCCCCTCCGATTTTATTGTTCAATACCCTTCAGACTACGCTTAATTTTATGTGTGCCAAGTTTCATGTTTCAACTTTTACTCGTTCAAGTATTATTTTGACAATTGTCAGACAGAAAATATGCAAATTTTCTTCAAGCTGATTATCTCTTCTCTTTTCTATCTCTCATCTCACCAATTATATCTTTGAAAAAGAAGAATGGGAAGAAAAGTGCAAGCTTGGCGCAGTCGTTAGGGCGCGAGCTTATAATGCTGAAAGTCGCTGGATCGATTCCTGCCAAGAGCAATGGTGTTGCAAAATTTTTAAATTTTTTTTGAGAACAAAAAAAAATTTTTTTTTGATGGAAGGCTCGCGCCTTCCATACAAAAATTGAACCTCAGTGATAGACCCCCTCAATTAAAAAAAAATAGCAAAGTGATAGACCCTAATGGCCCCTGCAGGGGGAGCGATGCGATCTATGTAGAGCTAGGCCCGGAGCTAGACCTAGCCCTACTCAAAAAATTTCAAACAGAATTTTTTATCTGAAACTTGAGCTCCGAACATATTTTGTTGATTTTCCACAATTTTTCTCAGCCTTCCAATTGAATTTTGAAGATTCGTGAGAAAAACATCAAAAACCAACAAATTTCGAAATTTCTCGCACATCTGCATCTTATTAGATAGATATTTCACTGTTTCAAAATATGTTGAGTCATCAAAAACAAATACAAATTCAAATTTTCAAGTTTTTCTCTGTTTCTCTCTCACTCTCTCGCACTCTCTCTCTCTACAAATAAATAAAACAAACCAAGGTCGATGTGGTTATTTATTTCTATCAAACCAAGTTTTGTTTTTGTACAAATTTTCCTTTTCACCGCTGATGTTCAGAGATCACGAATTTTATGGTCAGAACAGAATAGTAGAGTAGATTTCTGATGGCGGGAATTTTTAAGTTGTTTTTTTTCTTTTCGCGAGACGCCTTTTAAGCTTCAGGTTTTGGCGTCAGAATTCTGAGAAGATGAGTAATTTTTATCATTTATAGTTTTCCGGTGATAAAATTTGAGAATTTTTGATAAGAACTTTTTATTTTAGTTTTTATGATGAATTTTTGGAATTTTCGGTTACTATAGGAGTTTTGGCGCGAAAAACATAGGAGTCTTTTTTTTTCAAAAATCTAATTTTCAAAAAAATTTAGGTTACTGTAGATATTTTGGCGGGAAAATGTCATATTACTGTAGATTTTCAAGCTGTAGACTTCAGAATCCAATTCTTTTTTTTTGAAAATCTAGTTTTCAGAATTACTGTAGAAATCTTGAAACCAAAAATGTGGATTACTGTAGATTCTTCGCGTTAATTTTCATGGGTTACGGTAGATTTTTGGTGCAAAAATTCAGATTACTGTAGTTTTCAGGGCGTTAAAAATCTTGGCGGGTAAAACTGTAAATTCAAATTTTTAAAATTAATTTTTCGCGCCGAAAGTTTAGGTTACTGTAGAAATCTTTGAAATTCAAAAAATCTCAATTTTTTCAAAATTCCATCTCTTTACCTACCCCAGGCTAACTAATTCCACATCCTAAATTCAAAAATTAAATTTTCAGTAATGCTCGGAACTCCCTCAATCTTCCCAATTCATGGTTTCAATGCCAACGCTGACGCCGAAGTTCTCCGAAAAGCAATGAAAGGATTAGGATGCAACAATACGAAAGTAATCAGTGTTTTATGTCAACGAACATCTTGGCAACGATTAGAAATCGCAAAAGCATTCAAAGTGATGTATGGCAAAGATCTGATCAAGGAATTGAAAGGCGAATTACACGGCGATTTTGAAGATCTGATAATTGCTTTGATGGATGCTCCAGCTGTTTATGATGCTAAACAATTGCATAAAGCAATGGAGGGATTGGGAACCAAAGAATCGGTTTTGATTGAGATTATGACATCGAGAACAAATCAACAGATTCAGGAGATCAAACAGGCTTATCAAGCATTGTATCGCAGAGATTTGGAGAGAGATTTGATTGGTGAGACTTCGGGACACTTTAAGAGATTATTGATCTCACTTTGTGCTGGAGGAAGAGATGAGTCGAATTATGTGGATGGATTGAGAGCAAATCAGGATGCTCGCAAATTATATCAAGCTGGAGAGAAACGATTGGGAACTGATGAATCGGCGTTCAATGCGATTCTCGCTAGCCAGAACTTTAATCAACTTCGCATGGTTTTTGAGGAATATCAGAAGGTGGCGAATCATCAAATCGAGAAGGCGATTGAAAGTGAATTTAGTGGAGATATTCGAGATGGTTTATTGGCCATTATTGCGGTTATTCGGAATCGACCCGCGTATTTTGCGAAATTGTTGCATGATAGTATGAAGGGTGAGTTTTTGGGGGGTTTTAATGGTGTGAACGTGGAGTTTTGTAGTTTTTTTGAAAATTGCTGCTGATTTTTAACGATACTCAGCTTTGACATCTTGCAAATTTAGAATTTTCAGAATTTTACAGCTGTAAACGCGGAGTATCGTGGATTTTTAATTCAGCTAGATTTTCACAACGATGCTCCCTGTTGGCACCTTAAAAATTTGGAATTTTCAGAATTTTATAGCTGTAAAGGCGAAGCTTCGTGGTTTTTTCAAAGTTTATGCGAAAATTTTGAAATTTCGAACGATGCTCCGCGTTGACACCTCGAAAAATCTCAACAAATATTAGCCACACAACGATGCTCCGTGTTGACACCTTGAAATTTTAAAATTTTGCAGCTGTGAACGCGGAGTGTTGTAGTTTTTTCTTCAAAAATTTTTGGGAAAATTGAGTTTTTCAACGATGCTCCCTGTTGACACCTCGAAATTTCGTGACTGTAAACGCTGAGACTCGTAATTTAAAAAAAAAACAACTTCAGCTGAATTTTTAAACGATGCTCCGCATTTACACCAAAAATATTTCATTATAAATTGCACAAGATCTAGCGTGATCGCGTAGCATCGTCATTCCTCCAACCCAATATTTTTTTTTCGCAGGAATCGGAACCCGCGACACTGATTTGATTCGCCTTGTCGTAACCCGCGCCGAATACGACATGGCCGACATTCGAAACGCCTTCCAAGCCCTCTACCGTACTTCTCTCGAAAATATGATCAAAGGCGATTGTTCGGGAGCTTATAAGGATGGATTGATTGCATTGGTCAATGGAAATCGACAATGATTTTTGGATCTTTTTTTCTGGTCACAGAACATTTTTGATACTTATACACCGCATTTTATAAATACTGATTGAATAAACTTCTTTTTTTTTTGAAAATATAAGAAAAATTTCGCCACGTCATCATAGAAATCACGTGAGAATTTTCCGTGAAAAATATTTCATTTTTCGTATTTGATTATTTTTAAAATGGTGACTTCAACTACAGCAACCCCGTGAGTTCTAGAACTCTAGAATTCTAGAGATTTCCCAGATTCGAAATAAAGATCTACTTAAGATCTACAACCTCGAATACCTATTATATAGTGATTGCAGTCGTAGTTCTGATTGTGATTGTTTTTTGTCTTGGACTTGTTGGATATCTGGTTCATCGATTGCTTTTCCGCAAAAATCGGAACAAAAATAAGAAGACAGAGAGAAGTGAGGCTGAAAATGAGAAAAAAGTTGAGGCTGGAAGTGTGGAGACTCCACAACCTCCGAAGAATTCAACAACATCCACTTTGAAAACTATGGAAATCACAAATGAAAAAGAAATCATGGAATCGTCAGTTGGAAGAAGTTCGAGGAAGCGGAGCAAGAAATCGGGAAAATCGATAACTGAGATGAAAGATCAGAAAAATTTGGGAGCTGATGGAGGAAATCAAGATATGGAAAATTATGTGTGAGGAGAAATGAATGTTTTTTGGGCGTGGCTTGTTTTGCAAGGCTGGCACAAATTTTTTCGTCAAAATTCGAATTTTTCGCGCTTTCACTACGGTACGCGATTTGTGCATTTGTGCGTCGAGGTGTTTACACACTTTCCTGTATCTAGGAATTTCAGCGGGGGGTTTCAGAAAAATCTGAATATACCATCTGATTCCTCTCGTCAAACTGAATCAGATAAACTATTTACTTTTTCCTGAAACGCGTTTTCAAAAAAGTTAGCGGCTGAAAACTAAAAATCTTCATTTATACTTAATTGCAGGGCGGGATTTCAGTATTATTTGGACAATTGATAGCATAACCGCTAACAAATTTGTAAGCAAACGCAACTTCACTGTCCAAAAAGAATTTCGCATCAAAACCATCGAAACTTGCGATGAAATTGATATAATGCACCCCATGCATCTCGACTCCCAAATAGCAACATCCCTCGTGTGCTTTATTTTTGTCGAAATGATAATTGATGTCTCGAAAGCTCTTCGCAATCATGTTCTCGGGTGGATTCATCAAAAATTGCTCGATAAACGCTTCTCGATTCAGAACTTGTGAATCGCAAGTTTTAAATGTGAAAGTATAGTGGAGTGAGATTTTTGGGCGCGCCGAATCTTTTCTGTCTGTTATTTTCGCATTGTTATACGTGGATTCCACATATCTTCTGATTGTTTCGGGACTTGAATCATATTCTTGAATCGTGGTTTTGATTAGTGAGAAGATTAGAAGAGCGTGGCACAGTGTTCTGTGCATTTTTGATAGAAAAATGCAGAATGAAGCGATTTCTCTTCTCAAGAACCATAAAAAGATCGAAATGGTTTCCAGACATTTTTTTTTCTAAATTTTGAAGCCAGGCAAAAAATAAATATGGTATACGTCTTAAAAATCCCAGAAAAAACTGAATTCGCTGCGAGACCTCACCCTTTGTGCGCCTTTGATTTGTTCAGAATTTCAACCAAGAATTTTTATTAGAGTTATAATTAACCGAGACCAAACAAATTGCCTTGGTAGTCTTTAATTTTATATGGACAATAAACTGCAAAACCTCTAATAAATCTAGAAGTATATCCATCACCTTCACAGTCTATCAAAAACTTGGCAGCAAAATGCTCGAAAGTGGCAATGAACTCAATAAAATGCCGTCCATTTTCATAATTATAATTGATGTCTCGAAATTCCCTAGCAATCATGCTTTCATGTGGATTCAACAAAAATTGGCCGATAAACGCTTTTCGATCGAGCATTTGCGATTCGCAAGTTCTAAATGTGAAGTTGGGTAGGACTTTGATCATTGGTTGCATTGAATCGTTTCTGTCTGTTACTTTTGCAGAATTATACGTGATTTTGACAACTTTGTCAAGGTTGTTGTAACTTTTGTCATATTCTTCTTCTTGAATCGTGGTTTTGATTAGTGAGAAGATTAGGAGTGTTTTGAGCATTTTTGATAAAAAATGCAAAATGAAGCGATTTCTCTTCTCAAGAACTATTAAAAACGTTCAAATGGTTTCCAGACATTTTCAGACATCGAAAATTGAACCAAAAATTATTTTATTAACCCGGAAAATTCGTTTTAATTTCAAAAAAAAAATCAGACTAAAAGTGTATCACGGTGTGTTTTTTGGGATGCCGAATATCCGATCACATTTGCAAATATCACACGCATTTTTTGATTCCAAGACGCCTTGTTTTTGCTGGAAAAAATGGTCTGAAATTCCAGAACTTCAAAATTTCAAAACCCACCTATACAAGTTCAAATAAATCGCCAACAGTACAATGAGTCCCGCCCATAAATAGTCCAAAGTGAAGGGTTTTGAGAAGAGAATAAATGATAGGATTATTGTGAGCGCTTTTCGGAGGGTTGTGACTGTTACAGCCAAAAGTGCACCGAAGACCTGGAATTTGTTTTTTTTTCGTGATTCTGGAGAAAAATATTGACGAATCAGATTCAGAAATAGCGCTGAGCTGAAGAGAAAATTTTGAAACGTATAATTTTCGGGAAAAATCATTTTTTTGAAAATTAGGTTTTCAAGGCGCGGCTGCTTGACAGGGAGGATCTCTAGGCGCGACGGCTTGTCATAAAAGCAGCTCCCAAGGCGCGACTCCTTGAGAATCAGATTTTCTAGGCGCGGATACTCGTCATATAAGCTCTCAAGGCGCGGTTCCTTGCCAGAGTGGATCTCTAGGCGCGGCTGCGTGACAGGGAGGATCTCTAGGAGCAAGTCCTAGAAAGTTAGGTTCTGAAGGCACGGCTCCTAGAAAATGAGGTTTTCAAGGCGCGGCTCCTAGAAAGTTAGGTTCTCAAGGCGCGACTGCTTGACAACTGGGTTCTCAAGGCGCGGATGCTTGAGAGCTAGGATCTCAAGGCACGGATGCTTGAAAAATAGGTTCTGAAGGTGCGGCTACTTGAGAATAAGGTTCTCAAGGCTCGGCTGCTTGTCATATAGGATCTCAAGGCGCTGATCCTTGTCAGAATGGATCTCTAGGCTCGGCCACTTGACAACTAGGCTCTCAAGGCGCGACTCCTTGAGAAAACCAAAATTTTTTAAAGCCTCGAATTTTTTCGAAACATTTTTAACTTAAAATAAGTCCTTACCCAAAAATTATGAGATTTTCAAATTTAGCAAAACCCAAATTTTCCCGAAAAATACAATTTCTATATTTTTGGGTAATTTTTTCCCAAGAAAGTTAGGCTAAGTTTTTTTCTTCAAAATATATTTTTCAAAAAACCCCAAAATCCCTTACCTTAATATGTGTCAACACGACATTAACACCCAAATATCCAAGCAACGAAAAAATCACACAATTCCAGAAAACCTCATTGAAATGTGTCCACAGAAAAGGAATGCTCTCGAAAATCTCGCCACTTATCAAAATATAGAAAAATATGAAAATTGAGCCGATTCCATAGGAATATAGGACAACTTCATTCGAACTTCCACCATATTTTTTCATATTTTTCTCCTGAATATTTCCGATGACAGCATCGGCTAGAAGTGCTCCGGATATCATGATATAACCACGAGAATCGAAAATTGGAGAGACTTTGTTGTCGGCCAATGTGAACATTACAATTCCTGGAAAAATAAACACTTTGGAAATAATTTACTGTTTCAAAAAATTTATTATTATTTTTGAAATTTGAAAAAAAATGATCGACCGATTTCCAAAAAAAAATTAAAAAAAATTCAGAAATTTTTCACTGTTTCACAAAATTTTATTATTATTTTTGAAATTTGAAAAAAAAATGATCGACCGATTTCCAAAAAAAAATTTAAAAAAATTCAGAAATTTTTCACTGTTTCAAAAATTTTATAATTAATTTTGAAATTTGTGAAAATTGATTTATAAGGAAATTAAACAAAAAACATTTTCATAGGAACTTTGAATTTTTCACTGTTTCAAAGGTTATTTTACTAATTTTGAAAATTGAAAAAAACCCAGAATTCAAATTTTTTTGCTGAAAATTTGGATTGTTGAATGAATTTTTCGGGAAAAAAATTTCTCACAGATTTTTTTCACTGTTTCAAAAATTGTATTATTTGTTTTGAAAATTGTCAAAATTGATTCGTAATCTGAAAATGTGCAAAAAAATTTCTGGACTCAAAATTCTATGTTTCTGTGATTTTTTTAAAAGATAAAATTGAAAAAATTTTTTTGCTAATTTTGAAAATTGAGAAACTGATTGAAAGCTTTTCAAAAAAAACCAAAAATTCAAATTTTTTGATGAAAATTTGGATTTTCGAATGAATTTTTCAGAAAAAAATTTTACAGAAAGTTTTTACTGTTTCAAAAATTTTATAAGTAAATTTGAAAGTTGAAAAAATGATCTTTGACCGATTCCTTTCATATTTCCAAAAACAAATTCAGAAATTTTCACTGTTTCAAAATTTTTATAATTATTTTTGAATTTTGTGAAAACTGAACGATATAGCGAGGCTTCAAAATCAAAAAAAAAAAAATGAAAAAACGGAATTTTTGAATTTTAGACTGTTTCAAAGGTTTCATTTCTATTTTTGAAAATTGAATAATTGATTAATTTTGATTTCAGTTTTGAAAAAAATTAAGAATTAAATTTTTTTCTGAAAATTTGGAATTTTGAATGAATTTTAAGAAAAAAATTTTCACAGAATTTGTTTACTGTTTCAAAAAATTTTATTATTATTTTTGAAATTTGAAAAAAAAATGATCGACCGATTTCCAAAAAAAAATTCCAAATAAATACCCAGAAAAAATTTACTGTTACAAAAATTGTAATACATAATTTGTTTTGAAAATTGTGAAAATTGATCGGAGACGAATTAGCAGGACTTCAAAAGAAAAAATAGGAATTTTGAATTTTCACTGTTTCAAAGGTTACTTTACTAATTTTGAAACAATTCCATAAAAAACCAAAAATTCAAATTTTTTTACTGAAAACTTGGATTTTTGAATGAATTTTTCGGGAAAAAAATTTTTCACAGATTTTTTTCACTGTTTCAAAAATTTTATTATTAGTTTTGAAATTTGTCAAAATTGATTCGTAATCTGAAAATGTGCAAAAAAAATTCAGGACTCTCAAAATTGTATGTTTCTGTGATTTTTTTGAAAGATAAGAATTGAAAAATTTTTTTTGCTGATTTTGAAAATTGAGAAACTGATTGATATTTCAAAAAAAACCAAAAATTCAAATTTTTTTACTGAAAACTTGGATTTTTGAATGAATTTTTCGGGAAAAAAATTTTCACAGAAATTTTTCACTGTTTCAAAAATTTTATTAGTAAATTTGAAAGTTGAAAAAATAATCTTTGACCGATTCCTTCCATATTTCTAACAAAAAAATTCAGAAATTTTTCACTGTTTCACAAAATTTTATAATTTGTTTTGAAAATTGAGAAAATTGATTTATAAGGAAATTAAACCAAAAACATTTTCATAGGAATTTTGAATTTTTCACTGTTTCAAAGGTTACTTTACTAATTTTGAAATTTGGTTCTTTTCTGGAATCTTTTTCAATCATTTTTTCAAAAATTCAAATTTTTTTGCTGAAAATTTGAATTTTTGAATGAATTTTTCGGAAAAAAATTTTTTCACAGATTTTTTTACTGTTTCAAAAATGTTATTAGTAAATTTGAAATTTGAAAAAATGATTTTAGGGCGATTAATTATTCCAAAAAAAAAATTCCAAATAAATACCCAGAAAAAATTTACTGTTTCAAAAATTGTTATAATTTTTTTTGAAAATTGTGAAAATTGATGGGAAGATGAATTTCAGGAGAAACAAAATTGAAAGAAAAACTAATCTTTAAAAAATTGAAAATAATTTTCACGTATCTAATTTTTTCACTGTTTCACAATTTCTATTATTAATTTTGAAATCTAACTTTTATTGATACATCGCAGGGAACCTTGCCAAAAATCCAAGAATTCAGATTTTTGCTGAAAACTTGGATTTTTGAATCAATTTTTCGGAAAAAATAACAATTTTCACAGAAATTTTTCACTGTTTCACAATATTTATTAGCAAATTTGAAATTTTTAAAAATTGATAATACTTTTGAAAATAATTTCTGAACTTTAATGGGGTGATTCATAAAAATAAATTGACAAAAAAAGTGCGATTAATTTCACGTTTTTTGTCAATTAATCGCATTTTTTCAGAAATGAATGCGATTAATTGACAAAAAACGTGAAATTAATCGCACTTTTTTTGTCAATTTATTTTTATGAATCACCCCATAAAAATTGTATACAAATTTATGAAAAAATTTCACTGTTTCAAAATTTTTATTAGAAATTTTCATTTTTTTTCAAAATCGATTCAAAATCGATACTGGACCAATAATAAGTCTAACAATAAAAAATGAAATTTCTAATTAAAATTCACTGTTTCAAAATTTTTACTAGTAAATTTGAATTTTGAACATTTGATTTCAAATTGGCCATGATTCGAAAAATAAAATATAATTCAATTTTTATTAGAAAAATCAGATTTTCAGATATTTCTAGGTTTTCAGTATCAAAAATTGTGTAATTTTAAATCAAAAGACCAACATATTTTCAAGATATTTTTGGAGTTTTCATAGAATTTTCTCACTGTTTCAGAAGTTTTCCTTTTTTCTCAGAAAACAAATTCAAAATTCAGATTTTCTGATAATTTTTAGTATTTCTAGGTTTTCAATGTCAAAAATTCCAATTTTCCGCAATTTCAAACCCCAAAATCTCTCACCAGCGCTCATCAAAACCACCGACGCAATATCCAACAATCCATATCGCTTCCCTTGAATCAACACTCCACCAATCATAACCGGAATCAATTTACAGCATTTGAAAATGACTTGAGTCGGATAATTCAGATAAGCCACAGAGGAATTTGAGAGGCCCATTGTGGCGACGGTGAAAAATGCGATTATCATGTAAATTCGTAGGGGAATCCTGGAAAAATGGGGTTTTTTCGAAGTTTTTAAGGTTGCCACGTGGATTTCTGGGTCATTTATCGATTTTTCGAGGTTTTTTTGGGCATTCCATGTGGATTTTTTCGCATTAAAAGTTCAAAAATCAATTTCCCACGTGGATTTCTGAGCAATTTATCGATTTTTGGACCATCCACGTATACTTTTTCACTAAAAAATTCAAAAATCAATTTTTTTTGCCACGTGGCTTCTTCAGATTTTTCCCGCCCTAAACCAACTCACATTCTCCTCGTATTATGCCAAACTTGACTTTCTCCATATCCACAACCACTATAAATTAAAAATTGGATAAAAGTCAATGTCCATCCGAAACTTTTGAGCCCCGGCATTTTGAAGAGCAATTCTTGCATGTAACCATAGCCAACATATAATACAAATATTGCTCCGGATAACAGCACAAATTGCACCCATTTTTGGCTTCTGGCAATGTTGAATCCTAATAAATGTATCGGTTCCACCTCATTTTTGTAACTTGGTAGCATTTGGTTGCTATGTACAACGGCGCTGAACAAAAAGAAATGAAAGTGAAAACTGTGACATGTTAGAGATGCGCATTTTCGATAGGAATGTTTCGAACATGGTTAGCCGCGGATCAAAGAACGAGGAAACAAATTTTGAAAAAAGTGAAAGTAAAACTTTGATTTAGAAACAAATAACAATTTTATTGAATTTAAGAAGAAACAATGTTTATTGTCTGGAGTTGAAGTACTCGGTGAGCACAGCGCGTCCTTGCTCCTCGTTTCCCCAGCTTTTGACAACAGCCGATGAGCATCCGACAACCTTGCGGGCTTTTCCTTCTTTGTCGTATTTGCAGAGTCCGCAGTATTCGCCGATGATCTTCTTGTCAGCAACCTTGACGAGTGGGATGTTGTGCTCGCTGCACAAGACTTCGACCAACTTGACGTATTGTGGCTCGTCGCAGTTCTCAGCGAGAACGCAGAAAAGGGCCTCACGTCTGAAAGAAAATGGAGATTGTACGAACGTCTTTGGAACCCATGCTTTTAAAACAAGCACACATGTGGCAGAGGAACTATTTATATTCCAAGATGTTTTATGAATTATCAGAAACCTGATATTCTCAAAATTTCAACGTGGGTGATGTGTTCTTCTTCTGATTTTGAATAAAACTTACTTGTCGAGGGCCTTGCAGGTCTCGTGGAGTCCCTTGGCGAGTCCGTCAGCGTGGTGAGCGGCGCGGAGAACAGCTCTCAAAGCAGCCTCCTTATCCATTGGTCCGGTAGCAACAACGGCTGGAGCCACTTGGACATCATCTCTGAAACAAAATGAATTTATTATTAAAAACTCTCGGGGTTCATTTTGGGACAGGAATTATTTGATGAATTGTTCGAACGTCTTTGGAACCCACGCTTTTTGAGTCAAGCACACGTGTGGCAGAGGAACGAGTCATATCGCACTTTGAAATTCGAAAAATCGAGGATTTTTCAACATGAATTTACCCGTGCTTTTTCCAGGGAGAAAGTTTGAGTGTGAATGAAAAGCTTACCCTCCTGCGTCAGCCATCTTATTCTGTTCGAAAGGCAAGAGTCCTCGATGAGCTTACCTGGAAAAACAGAAATTTGAACTAGAAAACGCGGAGAAATACGAAAGGGAAGAGAAAAAGAATGAAAACTAATATAATTTCCTTTACAGAACTGAAAAACTCCGGGGTTTCTAGGGAAAACTTGGAAAAACAGACGAAAACGAAAAAAAATGAATGAAAAAAATTGCCTGGCTACGTATCGCCTCCCCTTTTTGTGTGCGAAATGGTCGACGCGCAGCGAATGTGCTAGAGCGCACTTGCCCACTCGACCGCGGCGTTCATTTTTTTATTTTTGTTTTTTCGCGGCCAAAAAATTCAAAAAATGTCTGAAAAATCGTTTGAAACTGCAATTAAACGATTATTACAAAGGTTTACGGATTTGCCAATTTCTCGACCATCAAATTTAGTCGATAATGTCACAATGGCACAGTTTAAAGTAAGTTTTTTCTCACCCAATACATTTTTTCATAAAAATCAAATTTTAGGAGCTTGCCATCAAAGATACAACAAGTTATATGAATGTGTTAACTGAAGTTGAAGAATATGTCAACGAATACAAATCAATTCTTCAAATGGAAAAAGAACTGAAGGCTAGAAAAGCGAAATTCTTCGAAAAAACGCAAGAAGTTGAGAAATCTTTGGATAATTTCGAAAAATCGGCTACAGAGGTGAAGGAAAAGCTGGAAAAACACGATTATATGTTTCTCAAGGAGAATATAGTGAAAGATGAGGAGAAAATTCCAGTTTCAGCCAAAAAACCGGCGGCAATGTTTGTAGAGCCCACTTATTCAACTAGACCTATCCGGAATATAGAAAAAGAAGAGGAGAAGAAAGAAAATCAGAATCAGAAAATGATGACAGCATTAGATCAATCGATATTAACATCAAGTAAGGGTTTTCGGAAGAAAATACCATTTTTTAATTTCAAATTTTCAGATGACATAGCTATTGATGAAAAATCAGTGGCGCGTCGTCTTCAATTCGACGACGAAGATGACGATGATGATGAAATCGCCAAACCAACACCGAAAAAACTCAAGGAATCGCTAAATTTTCAAGAATCTCCCGTTTTTACATCGAAATATGCTCAAAACTTGAAAAAATGATTTGTTTTTGTAATTATAATTATAATTTTCCCTGTAAATAATGTTTTAATTTTTTTTTGAAAATCTACGTGAAATTGGAGCAGTTCAAACTCTCGGAAATATTTTTCTAGCTATTTTTTTTCTATGTGCATTTCAAGTTGTGGAGTTACAGAAGGAGAAAATGGAGCTCGTACGGGTCACACTGGAGAATTGGAAGACGGTGAAGACATTGGTGGCTAGCATATTTCCAGTCAGTTATAGTGAGAAATTTTTTGTGGAGGTATGTGTGGGGGAAAATTGAGCTATGACGTGGCAAAGCTTGAGAATCTTTACCACGTCATAACTCACGGCGAAAAAGCTAATTGAATTGAATAAATTCAAAAATGTTGAGAACTTCTTGAAATTTTGAAACAGTGAAATATTTTTGAACAAAAAAAAATTTTTCTAATAAAAAAATTTTTCACTGTTTCAAAAAATTATGAAATTTTTGCATTTTTTGATGATTCTACTGGATTTGGATTTTGGAATTGAGTTATGACGTGGAAAATCTTCAGAGTATTTTTTGAATTTCACGAACTTTGCCACGTCATAACTCTTATTCAAAAATTATCACAAAAATAATTTTGTCGAAATAAAATCCTATCGATTTGAAGAAATTCAAAAACTTTAAGAATTCATGGAAATTTTGAAACAGTGAAAAATTTTTGAACGAAAAAAATATTTTTTGTATAAAAAATTTTCACTGTTTCAAAAATTTATGAAATTTCCAACATTTTTGAATTTCTTTGATGGTCTTACTGGCTGTATTGTATTAATTTAATTTTGAAAATGAGTTATGACGTGGTGAAGCTTGAGAACATTTTTTTTGAGTTTCACGAACTTTGCCACGTCATAGCTGATATTCAAAATTTATCACAAAATTAATTTTGTCAAAAAAATTCATGGAAATTTTGAAACAGTGAATAATTTTTGAGAAAAAAAAATTCACTGTTTCAAAACTTTATGAAATTTTCAACATTTTTGAATTTCTTCGATGATGCTGTCCACTTCAGAAATCATAATTTTATCAGTTAAAATGAGTTATGACGTGGCAAATCTTCAGAGAATTTTTTGAATTTTCAATCTTTGCCACGTCATAACTCATGTTCAAAATCATCACAAAATTAATTTGGTCTAACACTACTAGATTAGAAAAATTCAAAAACGTTGAGAATTTCATGAAATTTTGAAACAGTGAAATATTTTTGAACGAAAAAAATATTTTTGAGCAAAAAAATTTTCACTGTTTCAAAAATTTATAAAATTTTCCACATTTTCGAATTTCTTTGATGTTCTCTCTGATTGGTTTACTGACTGAATAAAAAGTCCTAATGTATTACACAGGCTCCTCCAGGCGGCGGTGTGAAAAAATTAATATATTAGTTGAATTTTGAACTTGAGTTATGACGTGGCAAAGCTTGAGAACATTTTTATGAATTTCACGAATTTTGCCACGTCATAACTCATGTGCAAAATTTTGGTTTAAGAAAACTCCAAGAAATTAGAGTGGTTAAAAATTGTGAAAATTTAACGAAATTTTGAAACAGTGAAAAACTTATGAGTAAAAAAAATTTCACTGTTTCAAAAATTTATGAAATTTCTAGGATTTTTGAATTTCTTTGATGTTGGTAAAACTAGAAAATATGAATTTTATCAAAAATCTAGGATTTTAAGCTTGAAAATGAGTTCTTAACCTTATTTTCAATTTTTTCAAGCAGCTAAGAAAAACCTTAAGACCCTAAAATCTACCTTATCCTAAAATTTAAGTCCTAAATTCAATAATTGTGAAAAAAGCAAACCTAATTTGAAGATTTCCAGTTCAAAAAAAACCTTAAGGATAAAAGTTAAAACCCTAAAATCTACCTTAACCCTAAACCTCCTTAACATTTTTCCCCTATTTTCAGTGCCTTGAAAACGACCTATCCCAAACAATAATTGTGAATAATGAAGCGATCGCTTTTGTGTCAGTAAAACCCGAGAATTTTGGCGGCGATGTTTTGTATGTTCGAAGTTTGGGAGTTCATCCGCTATTTCGAGAAAATGGAATCGGAACGAGATTGATTGAATTTGTTGAGAAGAAATGTGAGGAACACGGATTGAAAATTATTATGCTACATGTTCAGGTGAGATTTTGGGGGCTTGAAAATGAGAATTGGGATTAGATATGCTGAAAAATGGGATTTTTGAGCCTATTTTTGGCCCAGAAGCCTGGAAATCTAGTTTTTTTGGTCTAGGAGCTCTTCCGGACCTGAAAATCTAGTTTTTCGGCTTATTTTTGGCCTAGAAGCCTGCGAAATTTTTTAAAATATAAAAAAAACTTACATTTGATGTGATTTCAGCGCCATTTTGATTTAATTCCAAAGCTGAAAAACTATTGCTCATTTTAAGAATTTTTAATTAAAAAAACACGATTAAAAAGTCTTCAGAAAAACTGAAACAATTTGGATTTTCCCAGTTTTTGCCCGAAAAATCCATAGGAAAAGCTAAATTAAGCTAAATCTCTTCCAAAAAATCTCCGTAGAAACCATGTGTATCTTTGAAATTATCGCAATTTTTCATCGCGCGCGCCGAAAAAAAAACGGAAAAAATTAAACTGTTTTATTTTCTGCCCAGGAAAGCAAATAAACGCGATATTTTGCATGGTGACGTGGCATTTTTGGCGGGAAAACTAATTTTGACTTTTTTTTTTCTACTACCATGAGCATTTTAGCTATAATCCAACACATTTTGTTTTATTTTTGAAACAGTGAAAAATTTTGATTTGGAAAATTTTCACTGTTTCAAAAATTTATTATCATATTTGAAATTCTAAGGAAAAATTAGTAGTTCATTGATGTTCAGAGGAATTTCATAAAAAATAGAAAAAATTCACAAATTTCAGAATTTGAAATCATAAAAATAATATTGAATTTTTGAAACAGTGAAAAATTTTGGTAAAAACTGAAATATCTAATGGGACGATGCGTGAAGAAAAAAAACGTCAAAAAACGTGTTTCGAAACATAAAAATACAATGCACGAAATGTCGCAAAACGTCGCGAAACTCGAGTTTTTCGACATTGAAATGTCGCGAAACAAGTATGATTTTTCTCAAAATGTGGAAAAAATTTAGATTGTTTTTGTAGAAAAAAACATATCAGGGGTTGAAAAAGGATATTAATTTACGAAAATAGGTAATAAAAACTTCTGAAAAGCAATCTTTGTCAAATGAAAGTGTTATCTGTGAATTGCATTTGCCAAGTCTCGTGTTTCCGAAGAAAATGGGGGTGAAAACTGTTACAAACAAGTAAAAACATTGTAAGAACCGATCTCCAGTGTCTGTGGTTTCAGTACGATACAAAAAACCATGCTTGTTTCGCGACATTTCAATGTCGAAAAACTCGAGTTTCGCGACGTTTTGCGACATTTCATGCATTGTATTTTTATGTTTCGAAACACGTTTTTTGACGTTTTTTTTCTTCGCGCATCGTCCCATAAATGTTCAGCAATTTTGAGTATGTCAGCAGTGTTTTCAACAATTTTGTATAATTTTTTTTTATTTGAAAAATTCTCACTGTTTCAAAAATTTATTATTAATTTCGAAATTCTGAGGAAAAATTGGTGCACCATTTATGAATCTCAAAAATAGAAAAAATTCAAAAATTTCAGAATTTTCAACAGATTTATGTGAAACTGCTAAAAATTCTGAATTTTTCTATGAAGAGCCAGGTTCAAATTAATCAATTTTTTTGAAGTTTCAAAATTAATAATGAATTTTTGAAACAGTGAAAAATTTATTGTAAAAAATTGTGTTTTACTTTTGAATCAGTGAAAACTTTTGACTTGAAAAAATTTTCACTGTTTCAAAAATTTATTATCATATTTGAAATTTTGAGGAAAAATTTGATACACGTAGTAGATCGGGATCTATAAATTGCAACTAGAAAATAAGGAATTTTATACAAAACTAGAAAAAAATTGAAAATTTTCAGAATTTTCAAAAAAAAAATAATATTGAATTTTTGAAACAGTGAAAAATTTTGATTTGAAAAAAAAGCATAAGCAAAAATGAATGTTGAGCTCTGAAACTTTTTCACCGTTTCAAAAATACATTATTAATTTGGAAGGTTTGAAGAAAAATTGGTGATCCATTTATGAATTTTATACAAAACTAGAAAAAATCAAAATTTTCGGAATTTTTCTTGAAACAGCAAAATTTTTTGAATTTTTCGGGAATTCACCAATTTTGAGATGCCAACAGTGTTTTCAACTTTTGTAGAATTTTTGAAACAGTGAAAAATTTTTCATCCAAAATTTTTCACTGTTTCAAAAATTTATTATTAATTTTGAAACTTTGAAATAAACATTGGTATTGCATCGCTGTTTATAATTAGAAAATAAAGAATATTTTATACAAAAAAACTTCTGAATTTTTCTTTGAAGATTTCCTAATTTTCTAGTTTTACTCCATACTAAAAAAGTTGAAAAAAAACAGTGAAAAATCCCAATTTTTCGAATTTTCCTCAAAATTTCATCAAAATTCAGCCTTGAAAGTTCTTAAATATTCTGATTTTTCAAATCTTGATCAAATACTAAAACATTTCTTACTTGTTCCAAAATTACTATTAAAGTTCTTGAAACAGTGAAAAATATAAATTTTCAGAATTAATTTCTGTTTGGAAATTCTGAAAACATTCAATTCCAGCTTTAAAAAATTCTGAAACAGTGAAAAATCCGAATTTTTCATTTTTCACCAAAACATCCAAATTTGGTCTCGGACATTCACAAATTCCTAAATTCTTTCAGATTTCCAACAAAACCGCCATCAAATTCTACGAATCTCGCGGATTTCGTCTCCACAAATTGATTCCCAAATATTATCAACGTTGTGAACCAGCCGATGCTTATGTGATGCTAAAAAATCAATAAAATTCATATAAAACAAAAATCCTAATTCTTTGTGAAAGAAAATATGATGAAAAATAACAATATACATATTTTTTGACATGGTAAAAAGACAAAAAAGAAGTGAACCGGGGGAAAAATAAAATAATCGAGACATTTTTCTGAAAAACATTTTTTAAAGCTGCAATTTTTCAATTAGTCGACATGATTGAAGAAGTTGATGGTGGCAAAATCCTGGAAAAAATCGATAAATTATTGATTTTCTTGAAAAATTAGGGAAAAAGGTACAAACCTATTTGGGGCAACATAAAAATTTGAATTTGAAATTGAAGTTGGTGCCAATTTTGGTGGAGCTGGAGCTGCTGGTTTTACACGAAGTGAAGATGAAGCTATTGGAAATCTGTAATTTTTTTTTATTTTTGGAGCTAAAAAGTGGGTTAGGAGTGTGCCACGTCATCAAAAATTTGGAATTTTTAAATTTTTCTGTTTGATAGGCTTAACATTATCGATTTTTCCGAATTTTTATGTCAAAAAAGTCCCAGGATTTTGCCACGTCATAAAAATTCTAATTTTCAAATTTATTGATTTTTTCTGCCTGAAAATCAATCTAGGCTTAAAATTATCGATTTTCCTTAATTTTTATGTCAAAAATTCTAATTTTTCAAATTTATTGATTTTTCGATTTTCAACAATTTTTAGCTCTAAATTTTGCCACATCTTCAAAAATTATCGATTTTTATCCCAAATTTCCCAAAAAAAACCAACCTAGTACTGGGGAAAACGATAAGCTGGCGACGTTGCTGCTGCTGATTTCTGAGGCGACTGGCGTCTGTGTTGTTCGCCGCTCGCCGAGCCGCGTCGTCGAAACTGTTGCGGTGATCCGGACGCATGTCTTCCGGAAGCGGAAGAGGCCGCGGAAAATGTTGCCGCTGAGATACCGCCACCGTGTCGTGGTATAAAGAAACGGGACGATCCACCGTGATTTTGGGCCTGGGATGCGGATATGGCGGCGGTGGGTTTAGCTGCAAAAAAATGTGATCATGAAATATTTTCAAAATTTAGTAGGTTGAAACTAGAAAAAACACCATAATTATTGATTTTTTTGCTGGAATTCAAGCTAGGCATAAAATTATTGATTTTTCATGTTTCTTAACTTTAAAAAATTTCAGGATTTTGCCACGTCATCAAAAATGTTTGTGTTTAAGGTCTTGAATTTAGACCTAAGCGCTCAAATTTGGTCTCAAAGTTCAAATTCTTGCTAAAACTCAGAATTTAGAGCTTTAAGGACTCTAATAAACCTAAGGGCTCTCAAATTTGAAAAAAACACAAACCTCTTGTAACATCCGCATACTTTTCCGGCGCATCACAATTTCTCGATCCTCTTCCGGCCGCAGCGGAAGCGGAAGCTCTTTCCGCATAGGCGGCATCGCGTATTGTCGATGCGGCAGCGATGCGTACTGGCGATCCACGCGCATTTCCGTTGAATAACATTGGCGCGGCGCCGACCGCTCCGCCTCCCGTATAGGCGAACCACGTGTTGAAGGCGTTGTGATAATTTGTGGCGGCTGATTTTTGTGGGTAGTTTCTTGGTTGTGGTGGTCCCTCGATGTGGATTTGTTGATAGTCGTCTTCGAAATATGGTTCCGCGTAGGCTCGACGCAATGAGGCCGCGGAATAGCTTCCGCCTTGGTTGAAATCACCTGCGGAGCCGGTTGGCGGCATGACATGGTACGAATTAGATCTGGAAATTTTGGGATTTTTCATTGAATTTCTGATTTTCTCTAAAAATGGTTATATTGATGATTGTATCAATTGTGAATAACTACTATTTCTTTCAATTTTAATTAACAAATTTTTGAAACAGTAGATTTTTCATAAACTCTCATTTTTCCACTAATTATTTTTTTCAAAAAAATAATTTCATTGAAGAAAAAAGACGAAAACAATTAAATTTCTTATCGATCTTCTTATTCAAATTTTGAAACAGTGAAAAATATTTTTCAAAAATAATTCTACTGTTTTTCTGATATATATCAAAACCTTAAAAACTCTTCAAAAATATGTACAAATTTTGAAACAGTGAAATATTTTTCTCAAAAAAAAAATTAATTTTTTATTGTAATAAAACCACACATTAAAATCAGAAAATTTCCAAAAAAATATCAATAAATTTTGAAACAGTGAAATTTTAATTTTTTTTGAATAGCACACTGGTGATCAATTTTTGAACAACATCTGGCCAAGAAAATATCAACAAATCTTGAAACAGTCAATTTTTTTAAAAACAAAATTTGCGATTTTCAGCTTAAAATTAGTTCCGGGTCTTGTAAGATTCATATTTTTTTAACAGATAGAATTGCTAGAACGAATAAAATTATCAGAAATCTTCAAAATATATCAACAAATTTTGAAACAGTAAAATTTTCAATTATTTTTTGAATATACACATAAGCATCCTATCAAAACTCAAAAACCCCTTCAAAACTATTAATAAATTTTCGAAACAATAAAATTTTCTCAAAAATAATTCAATTTTTTTTCGAGGTAATGGGAACAATGGGAACATCAAAAATCGTAAATCTTCGAAATATATCAACAAATTTTTGAAACAGTGAAATTTTGTGAGTATAAATTTATAAATTTCAGTGCAATATTTTGGAGATCTGGATAACTTCCGTGAAATTTTTATGAATTTTCATGTCACTTTAGCTAATTTTCATCATTTTTGCTCAATTTTCATGATTTTAACTAATTTTAACAGATTTTTGGCACTCTTGATCCTATTTTTACTGAATTTTTAACTATTTTTTTTCAAATTTTCACCAATTTTCAATGAATTTCAGGTCATTTAGCCCAATTTCCATCATTTTTCCCCATTTCCCTCTCAAAAAACCACTCACGTTGGTAATCCATAGTTGACATAGGTCGAGTTTTGTCGATTCTGGCTGCTCGGCGAGCCGATGACTCCATTTGGTCGCCAATAGAATGCATTTTCGGCGTCTGGCGGATATCGATGTTGCGCGTATCGGCTGTAGAATTGCGCGTCTGCGGAAGCGGAAGCGGATGGGGACGACGCGGCGAATTCGCTGCCGTATTCGAAGTTTGATGAGCCGGGCTGCTGGAAAAATTGGGGATTTTGGGAGTGAAAAGGAGCGGAAAGACACGGGGTAAAAATGGATACGGTACACCAATTTCGGGCGCCAAAAATCCCACAGTAATCAAATCATGCAAATGACGTCACAACAAAGGGAAAACAAAGGTAGAATGAAAATATATGAATATGATAAAATAAAAAACCTATTATGATAATTCTGTGCACCAACACCAACACCAATACCACGACAACTCGAATAAAATCGAGAATTTCCCAAAATTATGGGTGGAGATAAAGAAGGAGAAGGATTCGATACCTGATGATTTATCGATTTGTTAGATAATCAGCAAAATTAAGGAAATCACCCAAAATTAGTAATTTTCAATAGGCCAGAACTTCAAAAAATCAATTTTTGTCTGGATTTTCTCCACTTTTTTTTATTATCTTGATAACAAAGTTAGGCTAACTTTTAATTCCAACACTCAAAAAATACCCACCTGATAAGGTTCTCCATGGTCCATAAAAACAGGCTGTTTGATTTTGATTTCATTGAAAGAAGCTGGTTGTTTTTCAGGTGAAGCATCGCGTGATTTGCTGTTTCCGAAGCCGAAGAAGTTTCGCATTGCGCTGCAAAAAATGACTGTTTTGGAATTTATTTATGATTTTTTTTGAGAATTTTGAGTAATATAGATAGGGGATTCTAGGTTTGAAATATTTTCAACTTCTAGAAGAAGAAAAAAAATGATCATTTAAAAATTGCATTTTTTCAGATATAGAATATTTGAAACAGTGAAATTTTGAAGACAAAAAATTTTGACAAAAATTTACTGTTTCAAAAAATCAGCTTCTCAAAATAAAAAATTTAATGTCAATCCGATGAACAATTAAGAATTCTGAAAAATTTTGCTGTTTCAAAAAATTGATGAGATACTTTTTTTTGTTAGAAGAGAAAATATTTCCATAATGGGGCTATTCATGTATTTTCTCAGCATGTTGAGAAAACAGGAGAAATGCGGAGGAAATACATTTTCTCCGCTTTTTTCGTATTTTCTCAGCCTACCTGAATAGGTTTTCTCCGCTTTTCTCCCGTTTTCTCAGCGTTGAAAAATAACATGAATAGCCCCATTAAAAATTTTACTGTTTCAAATTTAGGGTAAATTTTCGAGTTTTTTCTTAATTTTTATTGGGTACAAAACTCAACGCAGGGAACAAAACTAAAAAAAATATCTAGAAACAGTGAAATTTTTGCGAGGGAAAAGTGAAATTTTTACGGGAAAAATTTCACTGTTTCAAAATTTAACAAAATAAAATTCTAAACCAAGTTTTCGATAAATAACATGGTTTTTTTTCATAAAAATTTTGCTGTTTCAAAATTCTGGTAAATTTTCAAGTATTTTTCTTATTTTTATTGGGTAGAGTGAACATTAGTCAAAATTTTGAGGAAAATATTTTACTACTTCAAAAATCCCTCCCCAAAAACACACTCACTTTCCCACACTTTTCCGTCTCGATTTATCCGATTGTCTCAATTTTTCCTCATTATTTTTTCGTCGCAAAAGTGGCGATGCTCCAGGTGGAAATGGATGTCCGCCAGGTGTTGAAGAAGATGAAGATTCCGAATTTGGAATTGATGAAAATGTTGGTGCTGCTGGAGAGGATGTTGATGGATTTACGATACTTTCCATACTCAATGATCGACGATTCAGAATTCCACTTCTTTCGGCTGCAAAAAAAATGATAAAATTTGGTGAATTTGCGGGAATTTTGCAGTTTGGGTTACTGTAATGTCCAAGAATACTTTTTTGCTGTTAAACAAATTTGGAGCCAGGAAAAATTAGCGAAAATTGAGTTTTTTGCAGTTCGAGTTACTGTAGCTGATGAGATTTAAATTGAAATCAGTAAAATTCAGAAAAATAAGGAATTTTGCAGTTCGGATTACTGTAGCTCATAACAATTTTGGAAAAATTTGCAGTTCGGGTTACTGTAGCTGATGAAATCTGGGTTAATTTCAGAAAAATTGGAAAGAAAAATTTTTTCTGGGAATTTTGCAGCTCGGATTACTGTAGCTCATAACAATTTCAGGAGAGAATTTGCAGTTCGGGTTACTGTAGCTGATGAGATTTGGGGTGAAATCCGTGAATTTTAGAAAAAAATAGGAATTTTGCAGTTCGGATTACTGTAGCTGATAAAACTGAGCCTAAAGAATACCTTATGAAAATTAGCCCGTACCTCAAAAATTAGGCCTAAAGAAGGCCCTAAAAACAGTGCTTAAATGAGCCTAAATCTCCCAAAAAACCATGCAAAAGCCCAAATCCTCCATGCAAAAAGCAACCCACCATCAATCGGTTTCTCTCTGGGCAAAGTCGACGCGGAAGGTGGTTCCGGAATATTTTCCGCAGCTTCTTCCGCTTTCCGCTGATAATTCCGTTGCGAGAAAGAGCGCGGTTGTGATTTGCTTCGTTTTGCGGCGGCTGATCGAGAAGTAGAAGCGGGTGGGGCTAGAAATAACGGAAAAAATAGAAAAGGAGAGGAAAAAGAACAAAAAAAAGTGAAAAAATGGCGGGGAGAAGGGGGAAAAGCTTGAAAAATCACCCAAAAATGAGAATAAATGAAAAAAATTACCAGAATTCTGTCGTTGATGTTTGATTTCCTGGAATAATTTGATGTGTTGAGGATCTCCAGTTGCAGCACCAATTCCACGCTGAAAAATTGAAAATATTGTATTTTGGAATAAAAAATCACTCCACCAAAACAAAAAAGCAACAATTTTTCACATAAAAACCTTGAAACAGTGAAATTTTCATTTTGAAAAAAAAACTGTAAAGTTTGGATTTTTAACACAAAAAAATCTACTGTTTCAAAATTTACTAATTTTAGAGTTGAAAAATTATATTTTGATTATTAAAAAAATCCGAGAGGGAAGTTATTCGTTATCAACAATGAAATGTACACCATTTTTCACATAAAAACCTTGAAACAGTGAAATTTCTCAGTTTGAAAAATGGAGAAAAATTCAGGAAATTCTCACAAAAATCTTCGAAAAACCTCACTACTTCAAAATTTACTAATTTTTCAGTTGAGAAATTATATTTTGATTTTTAAAAAATTCGAGAGGGAAGTTATTCGTTATCAACAATGAAATGTACACCATTTTCCACATAAAAACCTTGAAACAATGAATTTTCAGTTTAAAAAGTGGAAAAAAATTCAGAAATTTCCCACTAAAAATCATCAGAAACTTCGCTGTTTCAAAATTTACTAATTTTTTACTTGAAAATCTATTGGCAATATGGTCGTTATCAACAATGAAATTCACACCATTTTTTAATATAAAAACCTTGAAACAGTGAAATTTTTAATTTTGAAAAATGGAGAAAAATTCAGAAATTTCTCACAAAAACCTTCGGAAAACTCGCTGTTTCAAAATTTCAACACGAAAATAATTATTCTGAAATATTTCCGACAAACTGTTCAAAAATAAAATCAAATATAAAAAGGACAGTAATTTTTACCTAAAAACCTTGAAACAGTGAAATTTTTTATTTTGAAAAAATCTCACTGTTTCAAAATTTCTTACATTAAAAACTCGGTTAAACATTTTTTCAATGGCAAAGTTCAAAACAGGTTCTCCCCCAAAAATCCCTCACCTTCTCACTCAAACTCTTCCTTCCGGGCGCTTCTCGATCAAACGGATCATCGGTCGGATTCTCCAAAATCGTCTCATCTTCTTTCGAACTCTGTCTCGAATGTTGTGACTCCGATGAGACTGTGATCGGCGACAACATCGATGATGAAATCGACGGCGAAGTTGCCGTAATTCTTGATGAATCTCTCGAAATCGGGCCAGGTTTTTTAGAAGGCTCGCGAATAATCGACAACTTGACATGTGACATCGATGGTCTGATTGATTTCAATTTTCTTGTCAATGATTCACTGGCTGCTGAGTTTGTCAAACTTTCCAGCTCAATATCTTCAATTCCAACAATTCTGTCGTTGATTTTCAGCCGACCATCTTTGAAAGCAGCTCCACCGTGCATCACCTGAAAAATTCACTGTTTCAGAAACAAAATATTTGATTTTTTCTTCAGAATTCATTGAAATTTTTCACTGTTTCAAGTAAAATTCTTAATCATTTCGGCGATTAAAAATTCAGTTAATATTTCGAGCATTCGATAAAAAACAATGTACAATTTTATAAAAGTAAAAAAATTTCACTGTTTCAAAAATACAATATCAAAATTTTTCTGTCTAAAAAATTGATTACATGTTATGCTATTTTCTAATTTTTTCCCGCAGACTTCCCAATAAATTTTATGAAAAAAGACTTATGCTAACTCCAAAGCTATCAGTTGTAAAAAATTCGAGACAAAACTCACGAGAAAATTATTTTGTAAATTTAAAAACTTCACTGTTTCGAAAATTGGATTTGTCAATTTTTTATTAAAACATGTTATTATTTTGGCGACTCTCTCAAAATTATTCAATTTTTCACTGTTTCAAGTGAATAAATTAATTTTTCTGGTGAAAATCACAATAATTCCTTCATATTTTCACAGAAAAATTGGAGATAAAATTTGTGTGAATTTTTTGTTGGAAAATTAAAAAAAATTCACTGTTTCAAAAATATAATTTCACAATTTTTTCTTGAAAAAAAAAACGTTTTATGAAAGATGGTCGTGGTATCAAAAATATATACATATTTTCCCATTTTCTCATTTAATTTCAGGTTGATTTTTGAAGGTTGAACCTTTGGATTTCTGGATATTTATGATAAATAGGGTAAAAACCAGCAAAAATGGGTTCTTAGGTCAAACCTTGTGAAAATTTTAATTTTAAAACCAAAATTTCACCAAAAAACTTAGGTTTTGAAGAATTTTGCCCCCTAAACCAACTCACATTCTTAATAAAAATCCCACAATCATTCCTTGCTCCATCCGATTTCACCGAAACCCTCGCTTTTAGGCTAACTCCCAATCCAGCCGAGCCAGTGTCATTCAATGGGATGATCAACTCAAATCGCTCATTTTCCGGAATTTCTGGGGCTATTTCTTCGCCAGCTTTTACATTTTCCGCAGGCGTTTCCGGATTCTCCACATTCTCCTTATTTTCACTGGGCGCCGGAACTCGCGACACCAAAAACTTCACTTTTTCTCCGACCATCGCCTGTTTCAGCCGGTCAACAATTTCCAACTGGCTCAAATTTCCTGTCGATTCTCCATTGATTTCCAGCAATCGATCACCAGATTTCAAATGTCCTAGAGCAACTCCATAAGGCTTCACAGTTCCGATGTAGAAAAGTCGTTCTCCTTTTGCTGTTTCGCGGCCAGTTACGGTAAATCCAAAACCATTTGAGCCTGGAAAATTGAAGAGTTTTGGAAAAAAATCAATTTTTTCAGAATCAAGACGAGCTTTCATCAAATTTCCAAAAAACCCAATTTTCAATATCAATTTCTTGAAACAGTGAATTTCTGAGAATTTCAAAAGCCTAGAAAATTACAATTTTTAGACTCGAGCCTGTTTTGGACCAAAAACTACAATTTTCAATTAAAATTCGGATAAAAATTTACTGGCTTCGGCTGAATTGGGGTTTTGAAAAACTCAAAAATGCACTGTTTAAAAATTTTATCAATTTTCCATCTACATCGACCATTCCATCAAATTTCCGGAAAAGCCAATTTTTCTCTATAAAATTCTTGAAACAGTGAATTTTCTAAGAATTTCAAAAATACAATTTTTAGATTTGAGCTTGAATTTTTGACGAAAAAAATAGGATTTTTGAATAGAATTCGAATTTTATGACTGGATAGTTCTAGAAATCAGCAAACACAACAATTTTTCCCAATTTTAAATATAACTAGTATACTCTTCGTGAAGTGTAGTTGGAGAGAATTCTCAGGGTTCCCAACTGTTATACTTTTGATGTGATCTATTCTCAAAGTCAGAGTTAGAGTGGGGTTCCCGTTTTGAAGAAAAAATCCCCTGGAGTTACAATAAGCGTGTTAGATGTTCCAAAAATTGCAGCGCTCAAACCCTCAAAAAAAGAAATAAATAAATAAAATTTCACAAATACTTCTACCGTACCCCTCATCAAAGGCGCACACAATTTTTCTCCCGTGTCTCGCAACGCGCGTTGATTTTTCAAAAAACGAAGCGGTGTTTGCACATTATTGATGGAAACATTTAATGTGACGCCAAATTTTCAGTGATTTCGTTTTTTATAAGGGGAGGATTTTCTTGAAACAGTAAATTCTCTTAGAATTTCAAATAGCCTAGAAAATTACAATTTTAGATTTGAGCTGAAATTTTTAGCTAAAACATACAATTTTCAATTAAAATTTGAGTTTTCAATTAAATTACGAACTAGAAATCACTTTTTTCGTCAAAATGTTCACAAGTCGACAACTCCATCAAACTTCCCAAAACCCAATTTTTTTTCAATAAAATTCTTGAAACAGTAATGCATCGTCCAAAGTGAAAAAAAATGCGAAAAATCAAAAAAAAAACGTCCAAACTGACGCATTTTTTTCGCAGAAATCGCATTTTTTCGAGCACTTTTTTCGCGTTTTCTGGTGTTTTTCGACCCAAAATGGACAGAAATTGAAAGAATTTGTCTGAAATGGTGTTTTTATTGATACTGGAGGAAAAATCAATGGTAAAACATGAAAAAAACGATTTTGAAAATTTCAAATTTTTTCGACTTTTTCGAAATTTTTTAGACAAACTCATTTTTCATGTTTAACCCCTGATTTTTCCTCCAGTATCAATAAAAACACCATTTCAGACAAATTCTTTCAATTTCTGTCCATTTTGGCTCGAAAAACACCAGAAAACGCGAAAAAAGTGCTCGAAAAAATGCGATTTCTGCGAAAAAAAATGCGTCAGTTTGGACGTTTTTTTTTTTGATTTTTCGCATTTTTTTTTTCACTTTGGACGATGCATAAATTTTCTGAGAATTTCAAAAAGCCTAGAAAATTCCTATTTATAGATTTGAGCTCAAGATTTTCAGCTAAAAATACAATTTTTTAAGTGAATTACGGTTTTTGAATCAGTTTTTGTGCATAAGCGTTTCATAAGCGAGCACAAAAATTCTTCCCAATTTTCAATAAAAAATTCCTGAAACAGTGAATTTCTGAGAATTTCAAAAACTCGAGAAAATCATAAATTTTGAGCTAGCAAATTGCTCTGTTGAAAATTTTTGAAAATTTTTTTTGTTGAATAAACAACCCAGAAATCATGTTTTTTTCTTATTGAAGTATTAGAAAATAAATCAATTTTCAAAATGACATTTTTTTCAATAAAATTCTTGGAACAGTGAATTTTCTGAGAATTTCAAAAAGTCAGAATTTTCCTATTTTTAGACTAGAGCTTAAGTTTTTCAGCTAAAACATACAATTTCAATTAAAATTCGATTCTTCAAGTGAATTACGGACTAGAAATCATTTTTTGTCAAAATTTTCTCACTAACTCGATGAACCAATCAAATTTCCGAAAAAACCGAATTTCTGATATAAATTTCTTGAAACAGTGAATTTTTTTTTGAAAATTTCAAAGTAAATTTTTAAAAAACAATTATTTTTTGCAATTTTTTACCCCCCAAAAACAACTCACTCTTAACCAGTTCAACAATTTGCGTCTGTCCAATATATTGTGTATTTGCAGCTTGCAAAGCTGAAAATATCGGTTTCTGATCGATATTATTCTCATCGCTAAATGTTTCGATTGATCGCAGAATGGTCAAAGTGACTGGTTTTGTAGAGACAGCCAGGTCAGCGATATAAGCACGAGCTCTTAGAATTGACATCTGGAAGATAAAATGTGAGGGGAATCAGAGGGTAAAATGGATTTTCAATTTTTGTTTAGAACTTCAAATTGTTGGGTAATTTTTTATAAAAATGTCACTGTTTCAACAAATTTTCATGAAAAAATGTGAAATAATCCAGACTTGTTGAATTATACCAATATTTTACAGTGCAAAACAAAAATTGAAAAATTTACTGTTTCATCAAATTTTCATAATTAATTTTAAGAAAATTCAAATGATAGAGAGTTTTTATTAGAAAACATTACTGTTTCAAAAACCTTTTATCCAAAATTCAAATTCAAAATATTGATAATTGTGAAGAATTGAGAGTTCACCAGAAAAATCTAAAAAAAAAATCACTGTTTCGAAAAATTGTGATATAAATGTTTGGGAAAAATCAAACAATGCGAATCTCACTGTTTCTAAAAATCCTACGGAAAAAAGATCAAGAGATCAATTTTCAGTTTCTCTAGCTCAAATAGTCGTCTCAAACCATGATTTGACGGTAAATTACTCAAAAATCTAATTTTATTAGGAAATTCTATATTTTTGCTCAAAAAATTCAGATTCAACTTGAAAAATTAGAAATTTCTGGATTTTTCGAAATTCCCTAAAAATTCACTGTTTCAACAAATTTTCATATAAAATTTCAAGAGAATTCAAATGATCCATCTATTTTTCGAAAACGATTGGATAATTGTTTCTAAATTTACTGTTTCAAAATATGCTTATCTATGGATTTTAGAGAATTTTAACAATGATGTGTTTGTTCAGCTCAAAAAATCGTTCCGGGACCTAAATTCAACCGAAGTCATAAATTAGAACCTACAACAGCACCTAGAAAAACGTCTAGAAGCCAAAACTCAGCTTCTAAGGCGCTAGAAATTCAACATTTGACAAAAAACCGAACTTAGGATCTACAGGGCCCAAAAAATCGGCCCCGAGAGCTAATTTTGGGATTCTATAGCTCAAAAAGTCCCAAATTTAATAAAAAATCCAAATTCAGCCTCTATAGCACCCAGAAAATCGTCCCAAGACCCAAAAACTCCCTCACCTGATAAACCGGTCTTCCATCAATCTCAACAATACTATCACCAACTTTCAGTCTTCCATCCTTCCCAATTCTTCCATTCTTCTCAATTTTCATAATCTGAACCGCTGTCAATTTCTGATTCTGCGAGTTAGCAGAAGTCGATGGAGTTGAGGTAGCCTCATCATAAACCGCATTCACTTCCAGACCCATTTCTGGGACAATTTCCGAATCTTGATCATTTTCAGGCGGTAAAAATGTGACAATTGTAGTTCCAGCCATCGGACCTTCTAAAACCGGCCCTTTTTGGGTCTCCTTCTCTTTTTCTCCCATTTTTTCGACTAATCGATCTCTTGAATCCAAAAATGCATCATTTATTCGTGATTTTCTGTCGGAACTTCGTAAAAGTCGATTCGCCGATGTGTTCTTTTCGTATCGCGGTTTTTCTCGCTCGGCCAATTTTTTCTCGACTTCTGGAAAAAAATGGGATGAGGTTGGGGCTAGAAAATGTGAAAAATTTGAAATTTCGAGTTAGAAAATGTCAAAAATCATGATTTTCTCAGTCAAAATTTGAAATTCTCATAGATTTCAGATTTTTTTTCCAGAAAATCCGCGTGGATTTCAATTTGAGACCAACAATCGATTTTCCGGATCAAATTTTTCAGAAAAATCTGATTTTCAGCTAATTTTTAATAAAAATCACTGGGAAAAACAACAATTTGAGGTCAAAAATTCAAATTTCGAATTTCTGGAGACAGAAAATCGATTTTTCATATGAAAAACCTCAGAAGCTCAAATTTTTAGAATTCTTCATGAATTTCAGGGCAGAAGCTTAAAATTTGAGCTAAAATTTGACAATTCTTCACAAATTTCTGATTTTTTGACTGAAAATCCACGTGGATTTCAAATTTCAGCACCAAAAATTCAAAATTTTTTCTTTTTTTCTCTTTTTCTAACCAAAATCCACGTGGATTTTTAAATTTCAACAATTTTCTTCCTGAACTCACCAGGACTTAGCGTAACTCTAGCCTGTTGCATCTTCTTCACATTTTCCTGATTATTTCTCAAAGAACTTCGCAAAATCGGCTCCATTTCCGTCGAAATCCGCAAATCCTCCATATTCGTTCGAATTCCAGTGGGAGTTTTGTGAACTCGTAATCCCGGTGAAATTGGGCTTTCCAGATTTTTCACTTCGATAATTGAGTCACGACGGGATTTGTGGGAGGAAGAAGAAGCAGATGTTGAATTTGAGGTTGAGGTGTAGGAAATTGGATTTTGAACTGATACACTTCCTGAAAATTATTTTGTGGATTATTTTGAAGAAATAATAGGTGGAAGAATATCACAACCAAGACAGTTTTCAATATTAAACATTTTTGAAACAGTAAAAATTTGAAACAATTTTTTTTTGGTTTTCGTCGAATTGGTTTGCGCTTATTGAGTTTCACAAAAATCAAAATTCCAGATAAAAAAATTTTGAAACAGTAAAATTTTAATTAATTTTTTTAAAATTAAATATACTTTTTTTGTTTTTTGATTTCGTCAAGGTATACTACTTTCTTGAAATATATCAATTTTTCAAATAAAAGTTCAAGTTTTCAAAATTTTTGAAACAGTGAAATTTTTTTCTAGAAAATTTTGATTCTCAATTTCAGATTTCGACCAGAAAATCCACGTGGATTCGATTTCCTGATAAAAATTCTTTAGAAAATGTGAGAATTTTAGCTGAATTTTGATGGAAATCAAGGTTTTCATTCAAAATTTAGCGAAAAAATTCAGAAAACTGAATTTTTGGTTAAACTTTGCAATTCTTTATTAATTTCAGGTCAAGAACTCGAATTTTGGAAGGAATCTCACAAAAATCAAAATTTCACTATACAAAAATTTTGAAACAGTAAAATTTTGAATTTTTTCGAGATCAGGAACTCAGCGATTAGCAAAAACAACTTTTTTTTTGGATTTTTGACAAAAATTATTCTTGAGAAAATCAATCTGCGTACTGAATTTTGAGGATAAAAAATTGATTATAAATATTTTTTGAAACAGTGAAATTTTCAGGATCAAAATTTTGTTACTTTTTTTATATTTTCTAGAGCATTTTCAGCTCCAAATTCACAATTTTCACATGGAAAATGTTCAATTACAACAGTTTCTGGAGCATTTTTAGCTAAAAATCAAGATTTTAGGGTTCAGAATCACAATGTTCAGGTGAAAATTTCAATTTTCAACAGTTTCTTGAGCATTTTTAGCTCACAAATCATCACTTTCAGACAATTCTCCTCAATTTCCCTCCCAAAAACCACACTCACCATAAGCACTTGCAACCGGTATCAAATCTCGTCGATTCACCGGAAATGGTTGAGCATAATGATGTTGAGGGGTTGAATCGTCAGTTATCGCGAGAATCTGCAAGAAAAATCAATTTCAGGTTGGATTTTCAGCCAGGAAAACAGCTTCTATGTGAAATTTTCTGAAATTTCCATCTCCACCTGATCAAAAGCCAAATCAAAAACATCCTCCAAAACATCATCCCAATCCAGAATTCCACCATCCGAAGCGCATTCAAATCGTACAATTTTGACCGAATTCTGCAATTTAGGCTATATAAAATAACATACCGTGATATTATTTTGTGGCATTGGTGGATCTCGTAAATGATGTGAATAATATGGTGGAGGATCGGACTTCATGACACTTTAGATTTTAGAGTCTTTCAGACATTTAATAGATATTTTGAGCGGCTGAAAATCGAATTTCAGATGATTTCGAGAGCGAAAAATACGAAAAAATCACAATTTTCAGGTGAAAACCCCAATTTTCAACCCCAAGTTAGCCTAAATTCCTCCCAAAACCAAGAAAAAAAGACAGTCGCCTGTCTGTACATACAAATAATACTAATACATATTTGTCTCTGTCTCTCTTTTTCTCTGCGTCTCTCATTTTCTCCGTTTTCTCTCCACGGTCATGCCCAGGTCATACAAATAACCAAAAAAAAGAAAAAAGGAACGTTGCGCACCTGAGAGAAAAAATGGAGGGAAAAGAGAGGAGGGAGCAGGTATTTTTTGAATAAAAAAGAAGAAAAGCGAGAGAGAGAAGAGGTTTAGAGAAAAAGAGCGAGGAATTTGCATTATAATATTTTTGCAAAACGATTTTTGGCGGCCAAAATTTGAATTTGGGACTGAAAACAAAGGTTCTGGACATAACTTTGTTCAAATTTTTAAAATTTCAAGAAAATTTATAATATGAGCAATCCTATTTTCTCTACAAATTCGGAAAAATTCAATTTTTATAGATTTAAAGCTATAATTTTCAGCGAAAATCGTCAAAGAAAAATAATATGAGCAATGCTCCTCAAAATCCTTTTTTTTTTTTGAAATTTTCTAGCCAGACCTAAAATTTTCCGGAAGAAAATAAAAGGAATTCCAAAAATGTTCAAAAATTTCGAAATAGTCAATGACGTGGCGAATTTCAAAATTTTGCGCGAAAAAAATCTGATGGAAATTTCAGACAAGGGAAAAATAAGTCTGAAAATCAAGTTTCTGAAATCAATTTTCAGCTTTTTCTATAAAGTTGATGTCAATTGAGGCTCGATTGGGGTATATTATAATCAAATTTGAAATTGACAAAAATTTCTAATATTAATTTTTTGAAACAGTGAAAAATTGGGGGAACCAAAAACTTCGAATTTCTTCAGAATCTTGATTTTCAGCAAAATTTCCAGTCTATGACGTGGCAAATTTCTACAAAATTCGTGTCAAAACTATTCCCAAACATTCGAAAATCGAATTAAACATAAAAATTAGCATAACACCTCATGATAATATGAAAAATTATTGATTTTTGATAATAAAAAATGAAAATAATCACAAAAAAGGGGCAAAAAATGAATCATCTATTTGTTTTTGATTAAAAAAAACGGGGACCAAAACGGCGCCAAAAATTAAAGGAAGAAAATTTTTTGAGAGCTTCTGGAGCTGAAAATAGAGTTCCACGGCTCATTTTTTATATAAAAATCCGAATTTAGGGTGATTTTCATCAAAAATCAGTTCCAGGCCTCACTTTTTACCAAAAAAATCCAAATTTAGGTCAACTTTCATTAAAAATCAGCTCCAGGGCTCATTTTTTACTAGAAAATCTGGAATTTAGGTCAATTTTTATAAAAAATAGAGCTCCAGGGCTAATTTTTGACCTAAAGAACGAAATTCAAGTCAATTTTCATTAAAAATCAGCTCCAGAGCTCATTTTTAACCAAAAAATCTAGAATTTTCATCATTTTCAAGCCAAAAATGCGCATTTTCCAAGCAAATAATCTATATAATATACAAAATGGCAAATAACGAACATCATCATTTTTCTTTTTCTTCAAAAAAAAGAAGAAAAGGTGCGCAGATTTTTTATTGACAAACACAACATTTTTTGGCAAATAATATACTATTATCATCTCTTTTTTCTTCTTCTATATCTTCTAACTATACAAAACAAAAAAAAAAACAGATTTGGAACTTTCTCCAATTCATTCATCAATTTTGATGATGATAATTAATTTGTCAGATAAGAGATGGAGATATTACAATTTTTGGCAGATTTTTATAAATTATTAGGGTGATTGAGAGCTTTGGGGAAAGCTTACAAGACTATTTTTGACCAAAAAATCAGAATTTCAGGGCAATTTACATCATTTTCAGATAAATAAGCTTATGGACCCAAAAAATCACCTCCAGGGCTTATTTTTGACCAAAAATACATGATTCTAGCTCAATTTTTGGTTAAAAAAGGCTAGGAAATTAAAAATGAGCTAAAGTGCTCATTTTTTACCCTAAAATACAGAAAACATAGAATTCCCAATTTTTTGAAAAAAAATGTTTGAAAATTAAGCTCTGCATATTTTTCTTGCAATTTAGGGCACAGTTTTTTCGTAAAATTCAGAGAAATCAGGGATTTTTGTACAGAAACTGTGCCCTAAATTGCGAAAACAAAAATCAAAGCGGAGCCTAAATTTTTCCCCAATTTTATCTCAAAAATCTCAGAGATTCCAATAAAAACACAACATTTCCATGTTTTAAAAACATAAAATTGCAGGCAATTTTCAAATTTCTCATTCAATTTTCTAGAGTGTTTTTCTCCAAGTATCTCCAAAATCCACACTATTTTCCTCCACCATACGAAGATCCACCAAATTTTGCCGGAAAAAAAGCAAAAAGCCAACTCACATTTCCACACGCTCGTTTATAACGTAATAATGCGGCATTCGCCAAATCGCCAACTGTTGCGCTAGCCTGCAAAAAAGGCGTTTTAAAATTGGGGGCCGAAAACTAGGCTAAGCGGGCCAAACACTTACCGATTCTTTCCAGGGCACAACAATTTTAATGTCTCCAAATTGCACAGTGATTCGTCGAGTTCCGCTAAGTGGCAGAGATTGATAAGCGCTCTGGAACAATGAGTTGTGCCGTGGCAAAACATTGCGTAACTCGAAATACAGTCAGAAATCCTACCTTCGAGCGCGTGCGGTTTGCAACGCGGTTTATGTAGAATCTAACAACTATTGTCTAGTCTGATGTATTGAACAACTGATCGACCAAATGTTTATAGTTTGAACCTAAAATAGCACTTAGACTAAATCTCTAGTGTTTTATATGTAGATTTAAGACTAGAGATTTAGTTTAAGCTTCCCGTGTTAAGTGCTATTTTAGGTTCAAACTATAAACATTTGGTCGATCAATTGATCAATTCATCAAACTAGACAATAGTTATTGGATTCTACATAATCCGCGTTGCAAACCGCACGCGCTCGAAGGTAGGATTCCTGAGTTATGACGTGGCAAATCCCTACCCTATCCAATGTCGAAATTGTGCTTGTTGAAACCATGGCTCCCAGCGTCCTGTGTGCATTTCCATTCAATCCTGAAGTTGTTGAATATTCCGAAACGCCATAATCACTTCTCGAAGTTGTCATCAACATCGGCGTCTTCGCTGATGCTCCTACTGAATTTTTTGAAAACATCAATTCCTCGTGTTCTGATCGATTATCATCGGTCGTCGACGTTGTCGACGACGCTGACATTTTGCTCGACGAAAAAGTTTGGCTGGCTGGAAAAAAGTTTGGCTGGCTCAAAAATACATGCAAAAATCGACGAGAAAATGAGTGAGCAGAGAGATTTTCGACATTTTTCTTCATAAAAATGAACTTTTGGTCTAGAATTATGTTGACTAAACGATATTTTCATATTTTTTGAGCAAGTTAGTTGAAACATCGGGTTTTAGTCTTATTCCTAGGATAGACAGGGTTCAGACAATTCGAATGATATTATTTTTTATGACTTTAGGTTAACCTTAAGTGATTTAGCGATGCTTACGACTAAAAGTCGCATAATCACTTACGAATAACCTAAAAATCTAAAAATTGATATCATTTGAACTGTCCTGAACCTGTCTATCCTAGGAATAAGATTAAAATCCAATATTTCAACTCATTTGCTCAAAAAATCTGAAAATTCTATTTTCTCGAGAAGATTTCAGGGCTCTCAACCTAAATTCTAAGTCTAGAAAAATGCACAGGGAATGGAAAATCAATGAAAAAATAAATTTGGAGCCTAGAGATGATACGATTATATTTTTATTTTGAAAAAAAACTGAAAGTGTTAGTGTAAAATGTATTTTCATACAATTTTCTAACATTTTCGAATCGATTTTATCTATTTTTCAGAAGAAAAACTTGGAAATTTGCATTTTTTTGTAGGCGGAAAGAAGAAAACTGTGAAACCAGCACCAAACAGATGTAAGAACTATATAAAACCACGTGTCAAGAAAAAAGAAGAGACGAAATTTGTACTCTTATAACATCTGGTCAAAAAGGGGGGAAGTTAGGCTAAATTATATGAAATAAATTCGTCTCAAGAAAGAAAAGCCATGGGCAAAGTAAACAAAACTGAACTTATCCAATTACAAAGTTACTTTTCTCTCTTTTCCAAAAAAAAAAACTTTTCTATTTATCACAGAAAAGAGGCCCGCGCAATTTATAATAAATCGCGTGCGTGCCAAAATGTCACTATGTTTACTTTATAACTTTTTATTATCATCAACAAAAAGTTTTTGGCGCCAAAAAGCGGGAAAAAATCGATAAATGGTGTCATCATCACACCAACAAAAAATGAATAAATAATTTATTATTGGGTGTTGGTGACCTTGTAACTATTATTATTATTTAGCTCGTTTTGGGGTCGAAAAAGGTTACTTGTGTCAATAAGAAGAATGGCGGGGGGAAAATGGGAAGAGTTTTATTGGCACCGCCTTTTGGGTGGCAATTTGGTGCATGGTTTCTGTAGTAGAGACGGGAAATATGGACAGTACGAAGGAATCAATTAAAATTTGGTGTACCAAAAAATTGCTGTAAACGAAATTTTTGGTACGCCCAGATTTTTCTTCGGCAATCTGTATGATTTGAGAGTTTCTGACTGAATATTTACGGAAAATACAGTAATTTAGGTTCCGCTAAGTTTTGAAAAGCTATAGAAACATGAATTTGATATTTTTAATTTTCTAGGGATTTTCAAAGTTTCGCGGGATCTAAAATTCACAAAATTTTAATAAAATTCAGTAAGCGTCATTGAATTTCAGTAAAATTGACTGAATTCGACTAACTTTGACTGGAACTTAGCGGAATTCAGTGAATTTTACCAAAATTTCGTACATTTTGCTAATTTTTACTGAAATTTACACCTAGTTATCCTAACTTTCCAGATTTTCCAAAAAAATTAGCCTAACTTCAATTAAAAAATTGGCGATAGGTTCCCCTGTGCGGAATCTAAAAATTTTCCATAAAACCTCGATTTTTCAATGAAAAACCAATTTTTAGAGAAAATTTCAGATTCGGCGGGTTTCAGTTTAAAAAATTCACTGAATTTTGCTGAAATTCAGCGAATTTATAATTTTATAAGAAAAAAGGTTTTTTCAAACAAAAAAAATCAATGAACAACTCAATTCTCGTTCTCCTTCAAAAATACAACTTTTTCTCACAGAAAATTGCACGTAAAATGGGAAAACATTGTTTATCAAACACTTATCTTTCTACAAGTATCCGACAAAAAAAATCCCAAAAATATCTAATTCAATTCGGAAGTGTCTAACATAAAATTGAAAAATTCCAAGCAAAAATAAAATAAAATAGTCAAGGTCGTGAAGAAGGAGAGGATTAGGGCCAATGGTCACATCAACATTTTATTTCATATTTTTATTTAGTTTTGCATGGCTAAAGCAGTAATTATTGGATATGAAAACCAGAAGAATGTTATGTTTAGACTAGCTAGATAGATAGTTACAATTTGTATGTACAACAAAACAAACTTTGGATAATTGCTGGGTTCTAAGCTCCGCCCATTTTTGAATCAAAATTTGGGCATGACTTTTGTACGATCTCAAAACATAGTGAAATATACTAAATCGATCACGCTGATCATTATTTCGTTGTTAAAAATTAGTAGAAAAACATGTGAGCTGGGTTTTGGAGCTCCAAAAGTGCTCACGTGGATTTCTGACAATTTTTGACATCGGAGTCTTGATCAGCGTGGTCAATTTAGTATATTGAACTAGATTTTATCAAAATTTCATTCTATGACTTCATGAGCTTCCAAAAAACAAAGAAAAATCCAAAAAATTGTCGCTTTCAAAACAAAAAAAATAAAAGTAAAACAACGACACTGCCTGTTGTTTAATTCTCACACATTGTTTGAGCGGAGTGTCGTTATTTTTTTTTTACAAGATTGCGCGTAGGATTTGGTGTTTACGGGCATTCGGTGTTGGCACAAACGCTTATTTTTTCGTTCTTTCTGTTTTTTTTTGGATTTGGATTTCAAATTTCAAATCTCATTGAATTTCTGCTTGAAAAATCACCAATTTTTCTTCAAAAAACCCGTTCCTTGCGTAATGCGATATATATTTTTCTGTTTTCGCATGTTGTAACAAAATTTTATAGCCACTATATCTAGGTGATATGAAGTTTTTATTCGTATTTTTATTTTTCTTCTTGATCTTATTGTCAAACTACACTGTAAATTCTAGAATTTTTCGGGGAAAACGACAAGCCGCGCTGGCTACAGATGATGGAATTGATATTCCGTTTACCTTAAGGTACTTAACCTATTTTTGAAACCTAACAGAAAATTTCCTAATATCTTTAGGTCAGCTATAACTTGTCTAACCCCAGGAATTCTAGAAAATATCTGCTTAGGTCCGAGAGTTCAAGTTTTGAAGAAGGAACGAATTGGATTGACGGATCGGAAAGGAGCGACTTATGGTTATCACAATGGAGTTGATGTAAGACTTTTGCGAAACAAAAATATTCCGCTGATTGGGGAAGATACGGAAATTGGGAGAAGTATTGGTGCGACTGTTGATGTAACACCATGGGATGGTGCATTGGAAGTTGGAACGAGAGATAAGATTTTTAATGTTTGGAAACATAATAAGTGAGTTTGGGCATAGCTTACGCATCTCTATAGCTATCTTTTTCATGATTTTTCAATTTTTGATTGAAACACAAGGGTCACCTTTTTCTATGAAAACCCTGTTTTTCTATAGGAAAATGTGAGCCTTGTGTCTCAATCAAAATTAAATCAAAAATTGAAAAATTATGAAAAAGATAAGCTTCAAATATTGTAGCTTTTTGCAAATTTACGGAAAATTCTGGAAAAAATGGGCATAGCTTCCGCATCTCTGAAGCTATCTTTTTCATGATTTTTCAATTTTTGATTTAATTTTGACTGAAACACAAGAAAATTCTTTTCCAATCTATAAAAAAACCCTTTTTTCTATAGGAAAATGTGAGGCTTGTGCTTCAATCAAAATTTAAATCAAAAATTGAATAATCATGAAAAATATAAGCTTCAAATATCGGTAGCTTTTTGCAATTTACGGAAAATTCTGGAAAAAAATGGGCATAGCTTCCGCATCTCTGAAGAAAGCGATAGCCAATATTTGAAGCTTACCTTTCTATAGAAAAACAGTGATTTTCCATGGAGAAAGTCCCGATTTTGGGCAAACGGGGAACTTTTCCATAGAAAATCACTGTTTTTTCATAGAAAAGTAGGCTTCAAATATCGGCTATCGCTAGCTTTTTGCAAATTAGATATAAAAAAATTCGGGATTTCTAGAGGCGCATTGGTTGAATGGGACCAACAAGGAGCCGGCTTCGATATAGGATCTCGAGCATCAGCCGCCGATGATTTAATAAAACTACGTCACACCCTATTCGGCCTAAACATCGGACCAAATTCCCAGAGAAATATAGTTGGTCCTTATCGAGTTGGTGACACTAAAGGGCAACGTAAGTCACATTTTCTTCACTAGAAGCGAGAAATCTGGAATTTCAGATCTGAAAGTTGCTACACCAATTCAATCGCTCTATCACAATTATTACGCGGGTCGCGGTGATTGGTATAAAAATCAATTTCGTCGACCTGGCGATCAATATCGAACAAATGAGCAAAAAGCGTGTCCGTGGTGTTTTGCGGTGGATTCGACGTATCCCACGCAAACTATGTTTAATCCTATATTCACTGGCAGACAATAAATGTATCTTTGAAGGCAGAAAGCTTACTTTTATAGAGGGAACACTAGAAAACAGGAAAATAAAAGAAAAACATTCAAATTCTGTGCAAACACCGCGACGAACAACTGCACAACAATTGCGCGGGTTTTTGAAAAAAACATTTTTTTTCTTTTTTTTTGTGTTGCTACGGTAGTTAGGTCCAAAAATGTCAGCACAAAAAAAAAAATACTTTTTTTTCAAAACAAAAATTTGAAAAAAAATTAAAATAAAAAAAAATAAACATTTGACGTGAAATCTTCCAAAAATAAAAAGACAAAATTCAAAACACAAAAAAATTAATAAAAACGTGACGTGAGTTTTTTTTTGTTTTGCCAACACGACAAACGCACAAAACGGTCATTTTCAAAGTTTTTACCACTGGAAAGCGTACGAAAAACCGAAATGTCACCAACCAAGCGAAAGTCGGACTCCGAAGAGTATCCTGGACCCGAAAAGAAGGCTGTGCCAGAAGGGGATTTGGAATTGCCGATGGATCGGACTCAGGAGGATGAGGAGGCGCCAAACAACGTAAGTTAATATAAAAATGATTTTGTGGAAGGGATTTGTTAAAACAAAAAAAAGAAGTTACTGTATATTTTGACAAAACTTAATGAAATCGCATAAGAAAATTGACTGGAAATCTAGAAACTTTTGGATTTTTAGGTCATTTTTGACCGCGGGACTAGTTTTTCATGATTTTCTAGGCTGTGATCGAATTTTAACTAGAAAATTGGATTTCTAGGTGATTTTTACCGCGGGACTAGTTTTTTAAATGATTTTCTGGGCCGTGATCGAATTTTAAACTAGAAAATTGAATTTCTAGGTGATTTTTGATAGCACGGACAAGTTCTTAATGATTTTCTAGGCTGTGGCCGAGTATTTGAGTGGAAAATTGGATTTCTGGGTCATTTTTGATCGGAAGGCCAATTTTCCACTCAAAAACTCGGCCACGGCCCAGAAAATCATCAAGGACTAGTCCCTGCTGTCGAAATGGCCTAGAAATTCAATTTTCTAGTTAAAAATTCGGCTACGATCTGAAAATCATGAAGAACTAGTCCTTGCGATCAAAAATGACCTAAAAATCAAATTTTCCACTCGAATACTCGGCCACGACCTATAAAATCATAAAAAACTAGTCCTTGCGATCAAAAATGACCTAGAAATTCAATTTTTGGTTAAAAATTCGACTTGGCCTAGAAAATCATGAAAAATTGGATTTCTAGGCAAAACATATCTGAATTTGTAGAACTCCCATGCAATTTGACTGAAAACCTAGAAAATATGGAATTTTGAATAAAAAAAAAAAGAAAATTGTTGAAGAATCCTCGAAAATATAAAATTTATGATAAAAATGAGCTCAGCTAGAAAACTCGACATAAAAAAAGGAAAAATCTTGAAAATTTGAGAAAATTAAAGAAATATTCAAAATATTTCGAGTTTCCAATGTGTTTGAGTTTCCAAATTGTTTTTTTTATAGACCGTGGCACCTCCGAATCCTCAAATATTTGATCCGAGTCTCGACGAGCCTTTCTCGCCATTCTCGGATAAGTCCGACACGGATCTGTCTCCAATCGAGGTGGTGCGACCTCCACCATCACTTCCACCGCCGTCGCCACCTCGTCAATCACCGATAACACCAAGGCGATCGAGATCGGAGCCATCAACACCCACGGATGGAGAGCCGTTGACCAAAAAGATCAAATTTCCGGCTGATCTCATGGATATTCGTGATCGATCGAAGAGGGAATCCATCGAAACTCGCCAAATTTTCAAAGAGAGTTACCAGGATGTCGTCGATATGTCAAAAGTGACGGAGAGATCCGAAGGATCTCAAAGAACCTCGCCTGTTTTGACACCGATGCCTATCCAAAGAGCTGAAGTCATGGTCATTCCACAAAATCCACCTCAAGCTGTGGAATACTTGAATAAGGCGGAGGTTCACAGTGCGCAAATGGTTGGGATTCCTCAACAATTGGAAAATGTTGAACTTCTCGCTGCTGAAATGAACCACGCGCAATTGGTCGCGATTCCCAGAAATTTGGCGAATGTTCAAATTCTTGATGCTCAACGACACAATGGTGAAGTCATGGATATTGTTGTGGCTCCTGTTCAGATTGTTCAATTCGCTGCTCCACCACCACCACCACCAGCACGCGAATTGGATGATTTGAACGAGGATGTTGCTGGACCACCACCACCAGCAGCTCCTCCTGCGCCTCAACAAGCTCCAATTGCTCAACAACAACCACCACAAATTGTTGCTCCTGCTCAACCGCCACAAGTCGCAGCTCCTGCTCATCCACCACAAGCCGCTGCTGCACCACAAATCGCTGCACCACAACAAGTCGCTGCTCCTCAACCACCGTCGCCCCCACCATCTTCGTCTTCGTCATCACATCAAGATGACTGGGTTGAAGAAGTTCAAAAGTGGTTGGATGTCATCCAGCGCTGTTTCGATGCGGTCATCCGCGGGCCGGTGACGAATCAGACAATCGATGGCATTCAATCGTTGACGCGATGCCGATCCACATTGCGAAGATGGCTTCGTGCTGAACCTGCTGATTCAGACGATAAAATGGACAAGATGATTCAAAGAGTATCTAGGGCGATGAAACTAGTCCCGAAACTCAAGAAGTGATTTTCTGGAATCGGTGAGTTTTTTTTAACTTTCCCCATGGATTTTAGAAATCACCAAGTCAAATTTTAGCTATTGGGAACCCTAATTTCACGTTTTAGCCACCAAACAAACCCCAAAAACCCCGAAAACGAACAAAAAACAAAAAAAAACAAAAATAAATTTTTTTCGAAATGAAAAAAGTGCAATGGGGCGCACTTGTTTGCTTTGTCAAAATTTGAATTTTTTTATTTTTTCAGGCCACACATACTCGTCATCAATATGCTATTATTTATTATTTATTATATTCATTTTATTATCAAAAAAAGAAAACCACAAAAAAATGAAAAAAATTGAAAATGTAAAAAAAAAATATAAAATCAAGAAAATCAAAAAAAAAAAGAAAAAATTGAAAATCCAAAAAAAAAAAAAATATAATCCAAAAAATAAAAAAACACCAAAATCCAAAAAAATGAAAAAACACCAAAATACAAAAATATTTATATTATTATCAATTGGCTGAATTATCATTATTATCAATTGGCTCAATGGCTTTCTAAAATTATCATTTTTATTTTTATTCTCCTGGTTTTGCTCTTGTAAATGTTGAATTCGATTTTTGAGTGAGTTTTTTTTCGAAATTTGAGGCAATTTTAAGAATTTCAATAAAAAATAAAATTTTTCAGCTGAAAAAAAAATCAATATTCGATTTTTTTCAGCTGAAAAATTAAAATGTTAATGATTTTTTTTTGAATTTCAATTTATCTTGAAAAAAATAAAAATTTTCAGATGAAATTGTCGATCATTCAAATGCAACTTTTTTGCTTCGAATTCGGGAATATCTCAATTTTTTTCATCATGTGCAATATTTTTCGATTTGATTTTCGAGTTTTTGATGACTCGATGTAGCACATTCTTCAATTGTTTTATTTTCTTGGTTTTGCTCTGGAAAATGTCGATTTCGATTTTTGAGTGAGTTTTTTTTATTTCGAAATTTGAGGCAATTTTATGAATTTCAAAAAAATGAAATTTTTCAGCTGGAAAATTAAAATTCTATTGTTTTTTTTTTGAATTTCAATTTATTTTGAAAAAAATTAGAAAATTTTTGAACTTCAGTTTCTTGGATTACTGTAAATTTCAGTTTTTGCTCACAAATTTAGAATTACCTGAATTTTAGGGTTACTGTAGCTCGAATTCTTTCACAAAAATCTTAAATTTCGAAATTTGAGGCAATTTTTTGAATTTCAAAAAAAAAGATTTTCAGCTGAAAAAAAATCAAGATTCAATTTTTTCAGCTGAAAAATTGAAATTTTATTGATTTTTTTTGAATTTCAAGTTATCTTGAAAAAAATTAGAAATTTTCAGATGAAGTTGTTGAATATTCCACTTCTTTGCTTCGATTTTCTCAATATCTCGATTTTTCCCATCATTCAAATGTGCAAGGTGTTTGGATATATTTTCGATTTGTTTTTCGAAGCGACTCGCAAATTCTTCAATTGTTATTATTCTCTTGGTTTTGCTCTGGAAAATGTGGATTTCGGTTCTTTGAGTGAGTTTTTTTTTAATTTGATGCATATTTTCGAATTTCAATAAAAAATAAAATTTTTCAGCTGGAAAATTAAAATTTTATTGATTTTTTTGAATTTATCTTTAAAAAAATTAGAAATTTTCAACCGAAATGTTTGAGTTTTTTTTCGAGAAATTTCAAAAATTCCAAAATTTCTCGTTTTGAGCTGAAAAATCAGAATTTTATCGATTTTAAAAGATCATCGAGCGCAAATATTGGAAAAAATTTCCAATTTGAAATTTTTAAGCTCACAAATTTAGAATTACCTGAATTTTAGGGTTACTGTAGCTTAAATTCTTTCACAAAAATCTTAATATTCCAAATTTTATGCAATTTTTTGAATTTCAAAAAAAAAAAAAAAAGAATTTTCAGCTGGAAAAAAATCAAGATTCAATTTTTTCAGCTGAAAAATTGAAATTTTATTGATTTTTATTTTAATTTAAAAAAAATAAGAATTTTCAGCTGAAAAAAACAAGATTCGATTTTTCAGCTGAAAAATTGAAATTTTATTGATTTTTTTTGAATTTCAATTTATCTTGAAAAAATTAGAATTTTTCAGATGAAATTGTCGAATACTCCAATGCCATTCTTTGCTTCGAATTTCTGAATTTCTCGATTTTATCCATTGTTCAAATGCGCTTGATTTTTCGATTTGATTTTGGATTTGTTTTTCGATTTCAAAGATTTCGAAGCGACTCGATGCAGAAAAATCTCCAATTTTTTTGTGAGAATTTCTGAAAATGATTGTAGACAATCCGGGCGTAACTCCGATAACGACGCGCAGGGTATTGGTAGCCGACCTGTGAAAAGTACAATGAGCGGTTCCCATGCCTTCGTGCAAAAACCCCCACGTGGAACATTCAATTGCACCATTTTTCTTTATGAAAATGGTGTCCAAGTAATGTGAAGCGCAATTTTTGGATATTTTGAAGAATCTGAAGATTAATTCATGGATGTTTCAAAGATTCTGGAATTATTCAATTATATTTTGATATGATGAAAATAATGTAACAATCGACCATTGTTTGCATATTATGAATATCATTTGGATTGCGATCAGAAGATGAAAATATTAGGAATTTGGTGGATTCAATATTTTAAATAAGTTGTGCATTATGCGAAATGGAAGATTGATTTGGTTGGAAATTGATGAATTTGGAAAGAAAATTGGATGAATTCGAATTAATGGAACTTTTATGTGGTTCGATTCTTCATGATATCAAAATATTGATTTTTTATCGATTAGAGGAACCGGATTTGAATACAATTGGTGAGTTTTTTCCAAAAATCCATAATTTTTCTACTAAAAAATTGAAGTTTTATTTTCAAAAAAAATTTTCAAAAATCCATGATTTTTCTGAGAAAAAAACCGTTTTTTCCTTCTGAAAAATTGAAGTTTTATTGATTTTTGAAATTGAAATTTTGACAAAAAAACACAGTTTGTAATTTACAAACTTCGATGGACCTCAAATTTTTCGATAATTTTTGGTGTAGATCAAAAACAATTTTTCTCTAAATCTCTCGTGAAACATTTGAATTTTTCTGCTCAAAATTTAGAATTTTCATCAAAGTTCAAAAGATGTATTAAATTACCCTGTAAACCATTTTTTACAGATCAAATCGGAATTTGGAGATTTTTGGGCAACCAAAAATAAGGATATCATGAAGAAACTGAAGTTTTCGATGGATTTATTCAATGTAATTTGATTTGATGAAAAAAGTGTTTATCAATGGACCATTTTTTTGCGATTTTTTGAAAGTTGTTTGGATTGAGATCAGAAGATGGAAATATTGGAGTATGGTGGCTCTAGTATTTTCAATATAGTTGTGCAAAAAGCAAAATGAGATATTGATTTGGTTGGAAATGGAATTTGGAAAGATAATTGAATCAATTCATGATGATATGGAATTATGTGCATTTATGTACGTTTCGCGGATCCGGATTTGATTGGAATTAGTGAGTTTTTTGTGCTTTTTTTCAAAAATCCATGATTTTTCTAAAGAAAACTCAATTTTCCTATTGAAAAATCTGAAATCTGAATCTGAAAAAAAAAATGAAACTGAAAAATCCTACTGAAAAAAGCTTCATTGATTTTTTTTTTCAAATTGAAAGAAATTTATAAAAAATTTTGAAATTTCAATTGAAAACTTTGAATTTTTATCTGAAAATTAGGATTTCATTGATTTTTGAAATTGAATTTTTGATAAGAAAACACAATTTGTAATTCACAAACCCAAATCGATAGATCTCAAATTTTTTCGATAATTCTTGAATTACTGTAAATTTTAGTTTTTTGCTCGAAAATTTATCATTACCTGAATTTTAGGGTTACTGTAGCTTGAATTTTTTCACAAAAAATCTTAAATTTCGAAATTTGAGGCAATTTTTTGAATTTTAATAAAAAATAAAATTTTTCAGCTGAAAAATTAAAACTTTATTGATTTTTTTTGAATTTCAATTTATCTTGGACAAAATTAAAAATTTTCAGATGAAATGTTCGAATTTTTTTTTTCAAGGAGTTTCAAAAATTCCAAAATTTCTCGTTTTGAGCTGAAAAATTAAAGTTTTATCGATTTTAAAAAATACAAAGAAGTTCAAAAAGTAGACTAAAAATTTGTCAGAGAAATCGGATATTAATTTCAAATTTTCACAAATTTCATCGAGCTCAAATATTGGGAAAAAAATTTCCAATTTGAAATTTTTAAACTTTATATTTTTGGATTACTGTAAATTTTAGTTTTTACCTCAAAAATTTAGAATTACCTGAATTTTAGGGTTACTGTAGCTTGAATTCTTTCACAAAAATCTCAAATTTTAAAACAAATTTCCATTCCGAAATAAATTCCAAAAAAAAATATTTATTCATTTTTCAGGCGTGAAATTCGAAACGTGTTCTCGTCAAAATAATTTTCAATTTTTTTGTTGAAAATTTTTTGGCTGGCTTTGAATCATCGGCAAGAAGATCTCAAATTTTTCGGATTTTTGACCAAAATCGAGAAGAATTTCATGATTTTTCCAACAACTCGTAATCGAATATTGTGGAAATTTGATCGGTTATTTTATCTCAACTCGAATTTTCGAACTAGAAAAATATGGATTCGAATTTATGATGAAAAATTGAAGTCGAATCAATATTTCGTAGGGCTGCATTCCAATTGATGACTGGATGTAGCAAATTCTCCAATTATTTTGTGAGAATCGGAAAATGATTGTAAACAATCCGGGCGTAACTCCGATAACGACGCGCAGGGTATTGGTAGCCGACCTGTGATAAGTCAAATGAGCGGTTCCCATGCCTTCGTGCAAAAACCCCCACGTGGAACATTCAATTGCACCATTTTTCTTTTTGAAAATGGTGTCCAAGTAATGTGAAACGGAATTTTGGATATTTTGAAGAAATTGAAGATTCGGATCGATTTATGGATGTTCTCGAGATTCTATATTTATTCAATTGAATTTGATGCGATGAAAATAAGAAAGTATCAATGGACCATTTTGCATATCTGGAATATCATTTGGATTGAGATCAGAAGATGGAAATATTGGAGTATGGTGGCTCCAGTATTTTCAATATAGTTGTGCAATATGCGAAATGGAAGATTGATAGGGTTGGAAATTGAATTTGAAAAGAATAATTGGATGAATTCGAATTGAAGGAACTTTTATGTGATTCGATACTTCATTCTATCAAAATATTTATTTTTGAGCGATTAGAGGAACCGGATTTGAATACAATTGGTGAGTTTTTTGTGCTTTTTTTCTCAAAAATCCAGAATTTTTCTACTGAAAAATTGAAGTTTTATTTTCAAAAAAAGTTTCCAAAAATCCATAATTTTTCTGAGAAAAAATCCCCTTTTTCCCTCTGAAAAATTGAAGTTTCATTGATTTTTGAAATTCAAATTTTGATAAGAAAAACACAGTTTGTAATTTACAAACCCAAATCGATAGATCTCAAATTTTTCGATAATTTTTGGTGTAGATCAAAAATAATTCGTTCTCTAAATCTCATTTTTGTTAGTGTCAAGTCTCAAAAAATTCCCGGAACATTTGAATATGTCTGCTAAAAATTTAGAAGTTTAAATTAAAGTTTGAAAAATGTCTTGAATTACCCTGTAAACCATTTTTTACAGATCAGATCGGAATTTGGAGATTTTTGGGCAACCAAAAATTTGGATATCATGAGGAAACTGAAGTTTTCGATGGATTTATTCAATTGGATTTGTTATGACAAAAAAGTGTTAATCAATATGCCATTCTTGCAATTTTCGAAGGTTATTTGGATTGTGATCGGAAAGAAAATATTGGAAAATGGTGGTTCCAATATTATGAATTAGTTGTGCAAATTTCAAAATGGGATATTGATTTGGTTGGATAATGAATTTTGAAAGAGAATTGGATGAATTCATGATGATATGGAATTATGTGTATTTTTATGCAAAATTCGGATTCGGATTTGAATATATTTAGTGAGTTTTTTGTGCTTTTTTTTCTAAAATCCATGATTTTTCTACTGAAAAAACCCGTTTTTCCTACTGTAAAATTAAAGTTTTATTCATTTTTTTCAAACTCAAGGAAATTTATAGAAAATTTTCGAATTTCAAATAAAATTAGGATTTTATTGATTTTTGATATTGAAGACCTCAAATTTTTAGATATTTTTTGGTGTAGATCAAAAATAATTTTTCTCTAAATCTATTTCTGTTTTTAGCTCAAAAATTCAGAATTACCTGAATTTTAGGGTTACTGTAGCTTGAATTCTTTCACAAAAATCTTAAATTTCAGTCTACTCTTGGATTGATAAAACAAATTTCCATTCCGAGAAATTTTCCGAAATAAATTCCAAAAAAAATATTTATTCATTTTTCAGGCGTGAAATTCGAAATGTGATCTCATCAAAGTCATTTTCAATTTTTTGGTAGAACATTTTTTTGCTGGCTTCGAATCATCGGTGAATTGTGAATTGGGATGACTCATGCTCGAAATTCGGAAGAAATCTCAATTATTTTGGCTTTCGGACCAAAATCGAGCAGAATTTTGTGATTTTTCAAGCAATTCGTAATCGAATATTATGGAAATTTGATCGGTTATTGGTTCTCAACTCAAATTTTCGAACTCGAAAAATATGGATTCAATTTTGTGATGAAAACTTGAAGCCGAGATTGAAGAGTCGAATCAATATTTCGAAGGGCTGCATTCCAATTGATGACTGGATGTAGCAAATTCTCCAATTTTTTGTGAGAATCGGAAAATGATTGTAAACAATCCGGGCGTAACTCCGATAACGACGCGCAGGGTATTGGTAGCCGACCTGTGAAAAGTCAAATGAGTGGCTCCCATGCCTTTGTGCAAAAACCCCCACGTGGAACATTCAATTGCACCATTTTTCTTTATGAAAATGGTGTCCAAGTAATGTGAAGCGCAATTTTGGATATTTTGAAAAATCTGAAGATTCGGATCGATTTATGGATGTTTCAAAGATTCTGGAGTTATTCAATTGAATTTGATGCGATGAAAATAAGAAAGTATCAATGGACCATTTTGCATATCTGGAATATCATTTGGATTGAGATCAGAAGATGAAAATATTAGGATAATGGTGGATCCAGTATTTTGAAAAGTTGTGCAAAATGCGAAATGGAAGATTGATTGGGATGAATTATGATGAATTTGGAAAGAAAATTGGATAAATTCGAATTAATGGAACTTTTATGTCATTCGATTCTTCATGATATCAAAATATTTATTTTTTATCGATTAGAGTATCCGGATTTGAATGGAATTTGTGAGTTTTTTGTACTTTTTTTTTCAAAAATCCATGATTTTTCTACTGAAAAATTGAAGTTTTATTTTCAAAAAAATTTTCCAAAAATCCATGATTTTTCTGAGAAAAAACCCTTTTTTTTTACTGAAAAAATAAAGTTTTATTGATTTTTTCAAACTCAAGGAAATTTATAGAAAATTTTCAAATTTTAATCAAGAACATCGAATTTTCAGCTGGAAATTAAGATTTTATTGATTTTTGATATTGAAATTTTGATCAGAAAAATACAGTTTGTAATTTACAAACCCAAATCGATAGACCTCAAATTTTCTGCTAAAAATTTAGAATTTTTAATCAAAGTTCAAAAGATGTCTTGAATTACCATGTAAACCATTTTTTACAGATCAGATCGGAATTTGGAGATTTTTGGGCAACCAAAAATTTGGATATCATGAGGAAACTGAAGTTTTCGATGGATTTATTCAATTGAATTTGATATGACGAAAAAAGTGTTAATCAATATGCGATTCTTGCAATTTTCGAAGGTTATTTGGATTGAGATCGGAAAGAAAATATTGGAAAATGGTGGTTCCAATATTTATAATTAGTTGTGCAAAAAGCAAAATGGGATAATGATATGGTTGGAATTTGAATTTGGAATGAGAATTGGATGAATTCGAGTTAAACTTCATGATGATGTGTATTTTCGAGAGGTTCGCGAATCCGGATTTGAATAGATTTAGTGAGTGTTTTTTTCAATTTTTTTTTCTTTCAAAAATCTATGATTTTTCAACTGAAAAATTGGAGTTTTATTTTCCAACAAAGTTTCTAACAAGAGAAAAAAAACCCTTTTTCCTTCTGAAAAAAAAGCAAATTTTGCGCAAAAATTTAGAATTCTCTCTCAGCACTTGCAGATGTAGCTAATTCATAGCTCAACCGATCGCAGCCCTTGACACTTGCGTTTTATTTACGAACAGTGTGCGATTTAGCTACAAACACACACCGAAGTCTGTTTTAGCTACGTAACACACACGCATGTTTTAGCTACGAAAACTGTTTTCTTGTTTATTGCGAAATACTGCTCATGCGGGTTTCTTTCTGTATTTGGCGTAGTTAGAAAACTTGCAAATATAATACATTTATTCGTATTGAAACATACAATAACATAAGAAAATGAAATTATAGTCAGTTATTCACCAGAAACACTTATTTTTCTCGCAGTTGTTTGATAGCTTCTGGATCCTGGACCGGCCGAATATGGGATAGAAAAGCAGCATTTACAATTTCCCAATAGGGCGGTAGGCTTGCAAAACATGACGATGTGGTGTTTGTGCATATTTGCGACTCCATCTGGCGGTTTAACTTCCCAAATTGGTCGAAATCCTTGACATCCGGCTTTTTTCTTGTTATTGACATCTGTAAATTGAGAAACATTGTGGAATATTGAAAATTTTGTTGGAATTACCTCATTTATTGAAGATTTCACCATCACTTTCCACTTTTTCGAGAAACGCAACAAACTGACTGTTTTTCTGCAAAGATTCAACGTAAAACGTAACTTTTAGATGAACTTACTCGTTCTCCATCGATAAAACACTGACGCATAGACGATATAATATGTAATCAGCACTTTTCTAGGCTTTAAGTCACGAAAATCGTCGAAAAACAAAACAAAACGAAGAAAACATGTTTGCGCGCCAAAAAACCGTAGCTAAAACGTGTGTGTGTTTTAGCTGAGAAATCGGTCAGAAACACTGAGCTAAATTTTTGCTTCGATTTAGCTGGAGATTCAAGTTGGTTCTACGATTCAGCTACGAAAACCCTCAAAATATGATTTAGCTACATCTGCAAATGCTGAGCTGAATTTTAGGGTTACTGTAGCTTGAATTCTTTCACAAAAAATCTTAAATTTTAGTCTACTCTTGGATTGATGAAAACAAATTTCCATTCCGAAAAATTTTCCGAAATAAATTCAGAAAAAAATATTTATTCATTTTTTAGGCGTGAAATTCGAGACGTGTTCTCGTCAAAGTTCATTTTCAATTTTTTGGCTGGCTTCGAATCATCGACAAGAAGTTCTCAAATTTATTGGATTTTGAACGAAAATCGAGAAGAAATTTATGATTTTTCAAGCAACTCGCAATCGAAAATTATGGAAAATTGATCGATTATTGGTTCTCAACTCAAAATTCGATGTCGAAAAGTATGGATTTGAATTTGTGATGAAAAATTGAAGCCGAGATTGAAAAGGGAATTTTGGATATTTTGAAGAATTTGATCAATTCATGGATGTTTCGGAGGTTCTGAAATTATTCAATTTTATTTTGATGTGATGAAAAAAAGCATGTATCAATCGACCATTTTTGCATTTCTCGAATGTTGTTTGGATTGAGATCGGAATGAAAATATTGGAAAATGGTGGATCCAATATTTTAATTAGTTGTGCAAATTGCGAAATGGAAGTTTGATTGGATTGAATTATGATGAATTTGGAAAGAATAATTGGATGAATTCGAATTAAAGGAACATTTATGTCATTCGATTCTTCATGCTATCAAAATTAGTATTTTTGAGCGATTAGAGGAACCGGATTTGATTGGAACTTGTGAGTTTTTTGTGCTTTTTTTTTAAAAATCCATAATTTTTCTACTGAAAAATTGAAGTTTTATTTCCCAAAAAAGTTTCCAAAAATCCATGATTTTTCTGAGAAAAAAACCCTTTTTCCTTCTGAAAAATTGAAGTTTCATTGATTTTTGAAATTCAAATTTTGAAAAGAAAAACACAGTTTGTAATTTACAAACCCAAATCGATAGATCTCAAATTTTTCGATAATTTTTGGTGTAGATCAAAAATAATTCGTTCTCTAAATCTCTCATTTTTTTTAGTGTCAAGTCTCAAAAAATTCCCGGAACATTTGAATATTTCTGCTAAAAATTTAGAATTTTTAATCAAAGTTCAAAAGATGTCTTGAATTACCATGTAAACCATTTTTTACAGATCAGATCGGAATTTGGAGATTTTTGGGCAACCAAAAACTTGGATGTTTTGAAGAAAATGAAGATATCAATCAATTTCCGATGGATTCATTCAATGTAATTTGATGTGATGAGAATAAGTGTTGATCAATATGCCATTCTTGCAATTTTCGAAAGTTATTTGGATTGAGATCGGAAGATGGAAATATTGGAGTATGGTGGCTCCAGTATTTTCAAATTAGTTGTGCAAAAAGTAAAATGGATTGATTGGGTTGAAACATGAATTTGGAAAGAATAATTGGATGAATTGGAGTTGAACTTCATGATGATTGGAAAATATGTATTTTCGAGAGATTGCCGAATCCGGATTTGAATTGAATTAGTGAGTTTTTGTGCTTTTTGTTTAAAAAATCCATGATTTTTGTACTGAATTTTAAGGTTACTGTAGCTTGAATTTTTTCACAAAAATCTTAAATTTCGAAATTTGACGCAATTTTTGAATTTTAATAAAAAATAAAATTTTTCAGCTGAAAAAAATCAAGATTCGAATTTTTCCAGCTGAAAATTCAAAATTTTATTGATTTTTTTTTGAGGTTCAATTTATCTTGAAAAAAACTAGAAAATTTCAGCCGAAATGTTCGAGTTTTTTTTCAAGAAATTTCAAAAATTCCAAAATGTCTCGTTTTGAGCTGAAAATCAGAATTTTATCGATTTTAAAAGATCATCGATCTCAAATATTGGAGAAAACTTTCCAATTTGAAATTATTAAACTTCATATTCTTGGATTACTGTAAAATTCAGTTTTCAGCTCAAAAATTTAAGAATTCCTGAATTTTAGGGTTACTGTAGCTTGAATTATTTCACAAAAAATCTTAAATTTCAGTCTACTCTTGGATTGATAAAAACAAATTTACATTCCGAAAAATTTTCCGAAATAAATTCAGAAAAAAATATTTATTCATTTTTCAGGCGTGGAATTGGAAACGTGTTCTCTTCAAAGTCATTTGCAATTTTTTGGTAGAAAATTCTTTGGCTCGCTTCAAATCATCGACAAGAAGTTCTCAAATTTTTCGGATTTTTGACCAAAATCGAAAAGAATTTGATGATTTTTCCAACAACTCGCGATCGAATGTTGTGGAAAATTGATCGATTATTTGCTCTCAACTCAAATATTCGATGTCGAAAAATATGGATTTGAATTTGTGATGAAAACTGAAGATTCGAATGAAGATTTTGAAGGGCTGCATTCCAATTGATGACTGGATGTAGCAAATTCTCCAATTTTTTGTGAGAATCGGAAAATGATTGTAAACAATCCGGGCGTAACTCCGATAACGACGCGCAGGGTATTGGTAGCCGACCTGTGAAAAGTCAAATGAGCGGCTCCCATGCCTTTGTGCAAAAACCCCCACGTGGAACATTCAATTGCACCATTTTTCTTTTTGAAAATGGTGTCCAAGTAATGTGAAGCGCAATTTAGGATATTCTGAAGAATTGGATCAATTTATGGATGTTTCGGAGATTCTGAATTTCTTCAATTTAATTTGATGCGATGAATATAAGAAAGTATCAATGCTGACCATTTTTGCAATTTTCGAAGGTTATTTGGATTGAGATCGGAATGAAAATTTTGGAAATATGGTGGATCCAATATTTTGAATTAGTTGTGCAAAATGCGAAAATGAAAGATTGATAGGGTTGGAAATTGAATTTGGCAAGAATAATTGGATGAATTCGAATTGAAGGAAGATTTATGAGAATCGATACTTCATGCTATCAAAATATTTATTTTTTATCGATTAGAGGAACCGGATTTGAATACAATTGGTGAGTTTTTTGTGCTTGTTTTTTCAAAAATCCATAATTTTCCTACTGAAAAATTGAAGTTTTATTTTCCAAAAAAAGTTTCCAAAAACCATGATTTTTCTGAGAAAAAACCCTTTTTTCCTTCTGAAAAATTGAAGTTTTATTGAATTTTTTCGAATTCTAAAAAATGAAAAATGGAAATTTTTGATTTTTAAAGCTGAATTTTTGATAACAAAAACACAGTTTGTAATTTACAAACCCAAATCGATAGCCCTCAAATTTTTCGATAATTTTTAGTGTAGATCAAAAATATTTTTTCTCTAAATCTCTCATTTTTGATTGTATCAAGTCTGCAAAATATTTAAATTTTTATGCTCAAAATTTAGAATTTTCAATCAAAGTTCAAAAGATTTCTTGAATTATCCTGTAAACCATTTTTTACAGATCAGATCGGAATTTGGAGATTTTTGGGCAACCAAAAATTTGGATGTTTTGAAGAAAATGAAGGTTTCAATCAATTTTCGATGGATTTTTATCAATTTAAGATGTGATGATGAAAATCAATCGACCATTTTTTGCGATTTTTGAAGATGAATTGGATTGAGATCGAAAGATGAAAATATTTGGAAAAGGTGGATCCAATATTTCGAATTAGTTGTGCAAATTGCAGAATGGATGATTGATTGGGTTGGATAATTATGAATTTGGAAAGAAAATTGGATAAATTCATGATGATTGGAAATATTTATTTTCGAGAGATTGCCGAATCCGGATTTGAATGGAATTAGTGAGTTTTTTGTGCTTTTTTTTTCAAAAATCCATAATTTTTCTACTGAAAAATTGGAGTTTTATTTTCCAAAAAGTTTCCAAAAATCCATGATTTTTCTGAGAAAAAACCCCTTTTTTACTGAAAAAATAAAGTTTTATTGATTTTAAAAAACTTTTTTCCTTCTGAAAAATTGAAGTTTTATTGATTTTTTTCACATTCTAAAAAATTTTAAAATGGAAATTTTTGATTTTTAAAATTGAATTTTCGATAAGAAATACACAGTTTGTAATTTACAAACCCAAATCGATAGATCTCAAATTTTTCGATAATTTTCGGTGTAGATCAAAAATAATTTTTCTCTAAACCTCTCATTTTTTTTTGTGTCAAGTTTCTAAAAATGCGTGAAACATTTAAATTTTTTTGCTTAAAATTTAGAATTTTTTTAATCAAAGTTCAAAATTTTACAGATCAGATCAAGTTTCCTGAAGGTTCATGTTCTATGTCAATTTGGTTTGGATGTTAGAGAATCGACATTTTATTGGAAGTTTCTATCAAAGATGTTCGATGTTTTGCTGTGAAAATGTCCCGATTTTTGAGTGAGTTTTTTTCAAGAAATTTCAAAAATTCCGAAATTTCTCGTTTTGAGCTGAAAAATCAGAGTTTTATCGATTTTAAAAAATACAGAAGAAATTCAAAAAGTAGACTAAAAATTTGTCAGAGAAATCGGATTTTCGCGAATTTCATCAATCTCAAATATTGGAAAAAAAATTTAAATTTTAAAATTTTAAACTTCATATTCTTGGATTACTGTAAATTTCAGTTTTCAGCTCAAAAATTTAGAATTACTTGAATTTTAGGGTTACTGTAGCTTGAATTCTTTCACAAAATCTTAAATTTCAGTCTACTCTTGGATTGATAAAAACAAATTTCCATTCCAAAAAAAAAATAATTGGTCATTTTTCAGGCGTCAAATTCGAAACGTGTTCTCGTCAAAATCATTTTCAATATTTTGGTAGAAAATATTTTTTGGCTGGCTTCGAATCATCGGCAAGAAGTTCTCAAATTTTTCGGATTTTTGACCAAAATCGAAAAGAATTTGATGATTTTTCCAACAAATTGCGATCGAATATTGTGGAAATTTCAAGGGCTGCATTCCAATTGATGACTGGATGTAGCAAATTCTCCAATTTTTTTTTGTGAGAATCGGAAAATGATTGTAAACAATCCGGGCGTAACTCCGATAACGACGCGCAGGGTATTGGTAGCCGACCTGTGAAAAGTCAAATGAGTGGCTCCCATGCCTTTGTGCAAAAACCCCCACGTGGAATTCAATTGCGCCATTTTTCTTTATGAAAATGGTGTCCAAGTAATGTGAAGCGCAATTTTTGGATATTTTGAAGAACATGAAGATTCGGATCGATTTATGGATGTTTCAAAGATTCTGGAATTATTCAATTTTATTTTGATGTTATGAAAAAAAGCATGTGTCAATCGACCATTTATTCAATTTTCTAAAGTTATTTGGATTGCGATCGGAAAGAAAATATTGGAAAATGGTGGCTCCAATATTATTAATTAGTTGTGCAAATTGCGAAATGGAAGTTTGATTGGATTGAATTATGATAAATTTGGAAAGAATAATTGGATGAATTCGAATTAAAGGAACATTTATGTCATTCGATATTTCATGCTATCAAAATATTTATTTTTGAGCGATTAGAGGAACCGGATTGGAATAGATTTAGTGAATTTTTTTTTCAAATGTTTTTTCTTTCAAAAATCCATGATAATTTTCGAATTTCAAGAACTTTCAATTTTTATCTGAAAATTAGGATTTTTCTGATTTTTGATATTGAAGACCTCAAATTTTTCGATATTTTTTGGTGTAGATCAAAAATATTTTTTCTCTAAATCTCTCATGTTTTATTGTGTCAAATCTCAAAAAATGCGTGAAACATTTAGAATTTTCAATCAAAGTTCAAAAAATGTCTTGAATTACCCTGTAAATCATTTTTTTACAGATCAAATCGGAATTTGGAGATTATTGGGAAACCAAAAATTTGGATGTTTTGAAGAAAATGAAGATTTCAATCAATTTTCGATGGATTTTTATCAATTTAAAATGTGATGATGAAAATAAGCATGTATCAATGCTGACCATTCTTGCAATTTTCGACAGTTATTTGGATTGCGATCAGAAGATGGAAATATTGGAGTATGGTGGCTCCAGTATTTTCAATATAGTTGTGCAAAATGCAGAATGGAAAATTGATTTGGTTGGAAATTGAATTTGGAGAGTAAAATTGATGAATTCGAGTTGAACTTCATGATGATTGGAAAATATGTATTTTCGAGAGATTGGCGAATTCGGATTTGATTAGATTTAGTGAGTTTTTTTCGAATGTTTTTTCTTTCAAAAATCCAAATTTTTCTAGAAAAAAACTCTTTTTTCCTGCTGAAAAATTAAAGTTTCATTGATTTTTTTCAAATTTAAAATAAGAACTTTTAATTTTTATCTGGAAATTAGGAATTTTTTGATTTTTTAGGAATTTATTGAAAAATTGGGAATTTATTGAATTTATTGACAGTTTGTAATTTACAAACTCAAATCGATAGGTCTCAAATTTTTCGATAATTTTTGGTGTAGATCAAAAATAATTTTTCTCTAAACCTCTCATGTTTTTATTGTGTCAAGTCTCAAAAAATGTGCGAAACATTTAAATTTTTCTGCTAAAAATTTAGAATTTTCAATTAAAGTTTGAAAATTTACAGATCAGATCAAGCTTCCTGAAGGTTTCTAGTTCTATGTCAATTTGATTTGGATGTGAGAAAAGTTTGGCTGTGAAAATTCAGATTCTTTGATGGATTTGGCGAAATTTGAATATTGAAGGATGAAAATGGAATCGATAATTTATAATTTGGCCAGTTATAAATTATTCAACATTCTCCGCCGCATTTCTGCCAAAATTTGAAGATTCCAGAATTTTGGTGAGTTTCGTAGGAGAAATATAATCCAACATCTTTTGGTTAATTTTATTTCAATCTCAAAAATCCAAAGAAAATTTTTTTTTTCAGAATAATGCTCAACAAATTCGATATTTGTTATCAACTTGTCTAGAATCTCGAGCAGTTTTGGAGATTTTTCTGATTTTTTCTTCATTCGAAGTGAGTTTTTTTCAAGAACTTTTAAAAATTCCAAAATTCCTTGTTTTGAGCTGAAAAATCAGAGTTTTATTGGTTTTAAGCAAAATTTTTGAATTTAAATTTAAAAATTGCAAATTATATTGATTTTTCAAACAAATTACGTATTTTTCAGAACTGAACTCGGTTTCGAAAGACCTGGAAAAATTCCTGAAATTGTTGAATTTTCGACGGAATTTGAAGAATTTTCTGGAATGAGCATTGATCTGGCTGAAGAAGAAAATCGAAAAATGGTGTAAATTGAAGTCGCACGGGGCGGGAGGGAGGGAGGGGTGCGATTTAGAAGAAGTGAGTTTGAATTTTGATATTTTTTTCATGAAAAACATATTCATATTTTTCAGTTCGATTTGGATTACTTCTGCTGATGTTAGGATAGATAGAAGATCTGGGAAATCGGCGATTTTATTTTCAGTGAGTTTCAGAAAAATTGTGTCAAAAATGTTTCAAATTTCAAACATACAAAAGAAATTCAAAAAGTCAAATTTTAACAAATTTCATCGATCTCAAATATAGGAAAAAAATTCTCAATTCGATATTTTTAAACTGTAAATTTCAGTTTTTGCTCAAAAATTTAGAATTTCCTGAATTTTAGGATTACTGTAGCTTGAATTTTTTCACAAAAATCTTAAATTTCAGCCAATTTCAAAGTTTTGGTCCGATTTTTGATGGATGTTTGAAAGATCAACGGGAAGCTGGACATTTTTTGGTCAAACTGAAACTACTGGAATTGTTATCTGGAAATTTGATAAGGTTAGTTTTTTGTCATTTCCGAAATAAATTTCAAAAAAAATATTCATTTATTTTTCAGACGTGAAATTGGAAACTTGGCCACGTCGAAGTCATTTTCAGTTTACTGGTGGCAAATTTTTCGACTGGGTTGAATTATCATTCGAAAATTCGCACGGGGCGGGAGGGAACAAGGGGTGCGATTTGCTAGATGTAAGTTTGAATTTTGCAAATTTTTGAAATTGAAATTTTGATCAGAAAAACACAATTTGTAATTTACAAACCCAAATCGATAGGTCTCAAATTTTTCGATAATTTTTGGTGTAGATCAAAAATAATTCGTTCTTTAAATCTCTCATTTTTTGATTGTCTCAAGTCTCAAAAAATGGGCAAAACTTTTAAATTTTTCTGTTCAAAATTTAGAATTTTTAATCAAGTTTAGATTTTGATGAATTTTTTTGATTAAAAACGTTCATATTTTTCAGTTCGATTTGAATGGCTACTGCTGATATCGGATTCGATTTTGGATCAAGCTGTTCTTGTGTCTAGAGAACCACAAAAGGTTAGTTATTTGTCAATTCCGAAATAAATTCCAAAAAAAAAATTTATTCATTTTTCAGACGTGAAATTCGAAACGTGTCGACCACGTCGAATTCATTTGCAATTTTCTGGTGGAAAATTCTCTGACTGGATTTGAATCATCATCAAGAAGTTCCTGGATTTCCGACCGAAAGTAAGTTTGACTTTCGCGGATTTTTTTGATGAAAAACATATTTATTTTCAGTTCGAACTGTGAATTTGAATGATTTCTGGTGATCGATTGTATTTGATCTGAGAATTTTGACGGTCTGGAACTTGGCAATGTTTTTGTTGAATGTCAATCGCTGGATTTGTGCCCGTTTTCCTTGAGTAAGTTTAGTTTTCGAAATTATTTTTAATACTGTAGCTTCAATTAATTTTTTCAAACAAATATCCAAAATTTTGATACAAAAATCTTAAATTTCAGCGTATTGGTCCGATTTTTTGTGGATGTTTGTGAGATCTGCTGACATTTTTCGGTCAAACTGCAACTACTGGAATTTTATTTTCTGGAAATTTGTGACTAGAGGAACCAAGGTCAGTTTTTTGTCATTTTCAAAATAATTTCCAAAAAAAAATTTTATTCATTATTCAGACGTTCTCTCAACTCAAAAAATTGAAAAGAAAATAATGAAAAAAAAAGAAAAAAAAAGAAAAAAAAAGAAAAAAAAAGAAAAAAAAAGAAAAAAAAGAAAATGAAATTTCAACTAGGATAGTCCCCAATCCCAAGTTGCCCTAACTTTTCCCCCCAATTTTCTCGCTTCGACCCTAGGTATTTTGTGTCCCTGATGTTTTCCACCTAGTTTTTTCTAGAACATTTTTTTGAGCTAACTCGACCCAAATCCCCCTATTTTTTTGTGCATTCGTCCCAGGCATAGATGTGGATTTTGATAAGGTTAGTTTTGACCCAAAAAATTCTGATAATTTTTGAATTTTTGCAGATTTCACCACCAATTTTGTCAAATTTTCCCATCTCCTCGAAATTTTTTGCTAATTTTTTGCTGGCTAAATTCGGGGATGTTTGAGAGTTTTGATGATTTGTGAGTTTTATATTATTTTTTCTCGAGGAAATGATGTATTTTCAGATTTTTTGCAAACTCGAAATGCTTCTGCAAATTTTGTCGGCAGCCTTCCGATGTGATTTTTACAAGGTTTGTTGATTTTTTGAGTTCACTTGAAAATCAATAATTTTTGTATTTTTCAGGTTCACATCATCCACAAATTCATTTTTGCCGCAAAAATTGAGGAGTTATTAAGTCTAGCGAGTTTTTTCCTTTGGTGAGTTGAAAATTTATGAATTTTTATGGAAAATATAAGAATTTTGAATTTTTTTAGATTCGAAAACTCGTCTAAATTTCGGAAGCTCGTCGCTGATTTTCTCTCGTCAAATCCAAATTTTTGATTTTCGCGAGTTCTTGTCAATTGTGAGTTTGAAAATTGAAAATTTATTGGAATTTTTTTTTGCAGATTTCTCAAGAATCTCAAGATTTTCAACTAAATTTTGTTGGAATATTGAAGCGGAGTTAGAAGAACTCGTGATTTTTCAAAGGTTAGAAGATTTTTTAAGCTCACCTGAAAATCAATAATTTTTCTATTTTTCAGGTTCACATCACCACAAATTTGTTTTTGCCGCGAAAATTGAGAAGCTTATAAGTCTAGCGAGTTTTTAGCCTAGGTGAGTTGAAAATTTATGATTTTTTATGGAAAATATTATAATTTTGAATTTTTGTAGATTCGAAAACTCGTCCCAAATTCGAAAGCTCGTCAAATCCAAATGTTTGATTTTCGCGAGTTCTTGTCAATTGTGAGTTTGAAAATTGAAAATTAATTGGAATTTTGATGATTTTTTGCAGATTTCTCAAGAATCTCAAGATTTTCAACTGGATTTTGTTGGAATATTGAAGCGGAGTTAGAAGAACTCGAATTCCTCTCGTGATTTTCAAAAGGTTAGTTGATTTTTTCATCTGAAAATCAATAATTTGTTTTTTTTCAGATTCGAAGACTCGATCAATTTTTGAAAAATCGAAACATTTTGGATATATTTTCTACTAGAAATTTTGGATCTTGCTGGAGATTTGAAGTCTACTGTGAGTTTTCGATTATTTTTCCTCGAGGAAATCAAGTTTTTTCAGATATTTCGACTTGAAAAAATTCTGGACTGCTGCTGAACAAATCTTGTTCATGGAACTTATCGTCGAAATTTGCTGCTGAAAAACTTCCACGGATAATTTTGCTGCAAATCTTTATCGATTTTGATTCATGGATGGATTCTCCGCTAAAGAAATTTGGAAAACCAAAAAATTCTGGTTGGTTAAGAAATCTTTCGATTTTCGTGTCTAATTTTGAAAAAAAAAGAAAAAAAAATGAAAAAAAAGAAAAAAAAAGAAAAATGAAATTTCAACGAGGATTGTCCCCAATCCTAAGTTGCCCTAACTTTTTCCCCGAATTTAGTCGCTTCGACCTTAGGTATTTTTGTGTCCCTGTTTCACCTAGTTTTTTCTAGATCTTTTTTTTTTGAGCTAACTTGCCCCAAACCCCTTATTTTTGTTTTTGCAATTCTCGATTTTTGTCGGCAGCAATTCGATGTGATTTTTAAAAGGTTTGTTGATTTTTTAGCTCACTTGAAAATCAATAATTTGTATTTTTCAGGTTCACATCTCTACAAATTTATTTTTGCCGCGAAAAATTGAGAAGCTTAAGTCTAGCGAGTTGCAAACTTAGGTGAGTTGAAAAATTATGAATTTTTATAGAAAATATAATAATTTTTGAATTTTTGTAGATTCGAAAACTCGGCAAAAATTTGGAGCTCGACTCGAATTTGGAACTTGCTCGATTTTTGAGACCCAAATTGAATTTTCGAACAGAAGCTCGTAGAATTTCACTGAATTTCTCATTGATCCAAATTTTCAATTTTGAGTTAGAAGAACGAATTCTTCTCGTGATTTTTGAAAGGTTAGTTGATTTTTTTTTAGTTTACCTGGAAATCAATGATTTGTATTTTTTTCAGATTGGAAACTCGACCAAAAATCGCAAACGTATGGATATTTCTACTAGAAATCTTGAATATTCTGGGAGTATTTCGGATTTTCTTTTGATTTTTGGATCAAAAATGCTAAGAAGAACTCGAAAAATTCACGCCTGCTGGAAATTTTGAGGATTTTTTGCTGGAATTCGAGAATTCGAAATTCTTGAACACATTTTGGAGCTCGAATTATCGATTAAAATATGGATTTTCTCCTCGAAAACTAGAATTTTGATGGAATTTATGGATATTTCTACTAGAAATATTGGACCTTGCTGAAAATTTGAAGTCGACGGAAATTCGGACTTTTATGATTTTTGGATCAAAAATTCAATCCTGTTGGAGAATTCGAGAATTCGATTCATTTTTTTATGAGAGGAAGGAAACCTGAAGATTCTGAAGCTCGCCGAACTCGAAAATCATTGATTAAAATGTGGATCATCTACTTGAAAATTAGAATTTCGATGGAATTTGAGCCTGACTCGAAATTTTTTATTGGAACTTGCTCGATTTTTGGAACTTGCTCGACTCGAATTCATTTTTTCATGAGAGGAACGAAATCTGAACATTTTTTAAAATTCTTGAACACTATTTGAAGTTCGAATTATCGATTTCTCCTCGAAAATTGGATTTTTGAGCCCGACTCGAATTTGTTTTTGTTGGAATTTACTCGATTTTCGAAACCCCAATTGAAATTCCGGACTTTTTTGCTGGAAATTCTGGAATCATATGGACTTAAAAACAACAAAAACAATCAAAAACAATCAAAAACAATCATATTTTCTACTTGCAATACAAATATTTGGAGAGCGCTGCTCAAAAAATAAGATGCTGCATATTCTGGAGCATCGATCGGCTCTGCGGAAAATTCCGCAGAGCTTTCGTTTCTCAATTTTCAACTCGGGGGATTGGGTTTTCTGGGAGCAGCACTGTGTTTTAGAAATTGATTGTTTTTTTTCAGATTTGGCTCGTGAATCAACAATTGGCTCAAGATTTTCGAATATGCAGTGCTGGGTTAAGTTTTTTTTGGTTTATCAGTGAAATTCTGCGAGAAAATTTGTATTTTTAGATTGCCCGCCGAAGAAGAAGAGCAAATGCGCTCCAATGAACAATCAATCAACAACTTGAAAATTTGGCAAATTTCCCAACATGTAAGTAAAAAATATGAGAAATTCTCTGAAATTCCAGTTTGAAACTAACAAAATTCAAATTTTTCATGTGATACGAAAAATGCTAAAGCTCTATTTTTATTTCAAAAATATTCTAATATCTAGTCAAAAATTGATACATTTTTTGTGTTGCAAATTCTAATTTTAAATACAGTTTTTTGCGAAATTGAAAAAATTTCACTGTTTCAAGGTTTTGATGTGAGAATTGGTGTAAAATTCATTTTTGGTGACAAAATAATTCACTATTGGATTTTGAAAAATCGTTTTTCAACTGAAAAATTATTAAATGTGGAAACAGTGAGTTTTCCTTTTTATTTTTCAAACTGAGAAATTGCACTGTTTCAAAAATTTTTATTTACAAAAAATAAGTATGGCATTGTTTTGATACGGCATTTTTTCGAAAATTATAATTTCCAACATTGTTTTCAGCGTGGAATTGGTGCTGCAACTGGAGATCCGCAACACATCAAATTAATCCTGGAAATTAAACATCAACGACAAAATTCTGGTAATTTTTTTCATTTTTTCTCATTTTTGGGTGATTTTTGTGGCATTTCCCCCCTTCTTCCCGCCATTTTTCACTATTTTTGTTATTTTTCCTCTCCTCTCCTATTTTTTCCGTTATTTCTAGCCCCACCCGCTTCTACTTCTCGATCAGCCGCCGAAAAACGAAGCAAATCACAACCGCGCTCTTTCTCGCAACGGAATTATCAGCGGAAAACGGAAGAAGCTGCGGAAAATATTCCGGAACCACCTTCCGCGTCGACTTTGCCCAGAGAGAAACCGATTGATGGTGAGTTGCTTTTTGCATGGAAGATTTGGGCTTTGCATGGTTTTTTGGGAGATTTAGGCTCATTTTGAGCCCAGTTTTTAGGGCCTTAATTTTGAGGTACGGGCTAATTTTCATAAGGTCTTCTTTAGGCTCAATTTTGAGGTACGGGTTAATTTTAGGTCATTTTTACCAGCTACAGTAATCCGAACTGCAAAAATTCCTTAATTTTTCTTTCCAATTTTTCTGAAATTAACCCAGATTTCATCAGCTACAGTATCCCGAACTGCAATTTTTTTCCGAAATTTATGAGCTACAGTAATCCGAAATATTCAAGCTTTTCTGAATTTTCTAATTTTTCTTTTTAATTTGATTGAGCTACAGTAACCCGAACTGCAAAATTCTCAGCTTCTCGTTCCTATTTTTCTGAAATTAACCCAGATTTCTTTTTTTTTTTCATCAGTTACAGTAACCCGAACTGCAAAAATTCTTTAATTTTTCTTTTTAATTTGATTGAGATACAGAAACCCAAACTGCAAAAATTGCTATTTTTCTGAAATTTACTGATTTCACTCCGAATCGGATCATCTACAGTAACCCGAACTGCAAAAACTCTATTTTCGCTAATTTTTCCTGGCTCCAAATTTTTTAACATCAAAAAAGTATTCTTGGACATTACAGTAACCCAAACTGCAAAATTCACCAAATTTTATCATTTTTTTTTGCAGCCGAAAGAAGTGGAATATTAAATCGTCGATCATTGAGTATGGAAAGTATCGTAAATCCATCAACATCTTCTCCAGCAGCACCAACATTTTCATCAATTACAAATTCGAAATCTTCATCTTCTTCAACACCTGGCGGACATCCATTTCCACCTGGAGCATCGCCACTTTTGAGAAGGAAAAATAATGAGGAAAAATTGAGACAATCAGATAAATCGAGACGGAAAAGTGTGGGAAAGTGAGTGTGTTTTTGGGGAGGGATTTTTGAAGTAGTAAATTTCTGACCTGAAATTGACATTATAAATTTTGGGGGGATTTTTGAAACAGTAAAGTTTTCCTCAAAATTTTGACTAATGTTCACTCTACCCAATAAAAATAAGAAAAATACTTGAAAATTTACCCGAAATTTGTAACAGTAAAATTTTATTAGTTTCAAAATGGAATTTCAGCGGAGATGCGAAAGCTATGCCCAAATTTTGAATTTTTAGAGAAAAAATCTTGTTTTTTTTTTTGTTTAAAGAAAATAAAAACAATTTATTTTTTCAGTTCGAAATTCAAAATTGGCCCAATTTCATGGTAGATCAACTTCAAATATTCGAAAATTAAGTAAGTTTTTATTTTTGGATGGTTTAAAAAGAAAAAAGTGAATAGAAATTCTGAAATTCTAGTTTGAAACTAATAAAATTCAAATTTTTCATGATTTTTTTAATGAAAATAATGAAAAATTATGGATTTTATTAGTTTCAAAATGGAATTTCAGTAGAGATAGAGATGCGGAAGCTATGCCCAAATTTTGAATTTTTATAGAAAAACTTATTTTTTATTAGAAAATTCAATTTTTTGTTTCAGATTTGCTCAATCAACAAATGCGCTCTATTGCGCAAATTCATTTATTGATTACGGTAAGTATTAATATAAAAATAAATATGAACTTCTGAAATATCCATAAAATAACTAATAAAATTTAGAGTTTTCTTAATTTTCTTTTTTTTTAAATAGAAAACCATGAAAATTCTGCATTTTATTAGTTATTTTTTGGAATTTCAGCGGAGATGCGGAAGCTATGCCCAAATTTTGAATTTTTTAAGAAAAACTTATTTTTTATTAGAAAATTCAATTTTTTGTTTCAGATTTGCTCAATCAACAAATGCGCTCTATTGCACAAATTCCTTTATTGATTACGGTAAGTATTAATATAAAAATAAATATTGTCCTTCCGAAAAAAAAGAACCTTGGAAGAGAACCGACATGGCCTAGGAAACCAATACTACAGTAGACTTCGCGAAATTTTGGAGTCTATTTGAAAAATAAAATGCGAAATTTACACGCTGGCTATTTGCCAACCAGTTTGATGTGCATGTGTCACGTCATTTTTAGTCTACTGTACGTGAGCGCCAATTCAAACGGGAGTTCTTTTATTTTCGGAATGACAATATGAACTTCTGAAATATTCATTGAATAATTAATAAAATTTAGAATTTTCTTGATTTTCTTTTTTTTTTTAATTAGAAAATCATGAAAATTCTGCATTTTATTAGTTATTTTTTGGAATTTCAGTGGAGATGCGGAAGCTATGCCCAAATTTTGAATTTTTAAAGAAAAACTTATTTTTTTTTAAATTCAATTCAATTTTTTATTTCAGATTTGCTCAATCAACAATCTTCGCTCTATTGCACAAATAATTTATTGATTACGGTAAGTATTAATATAAAAATAAATATGAACTTCTGAAATATCCATAAAATAACTAATAAAATTTAGAATTTTCTTGATTTTCTTTTTTTTTAATTAGAAAATCATGAAAATTCTGCATTTTATTAGTTATTTTTTGGAATTTCAGCGGAGATGCGGAAGCTATGCCCAAATTTTGAATTTTTAAAGAAAAACTTATTTTTTTTTAAATTCAATTCAATTTTTTATTTCAGATTTGCTCAATCAACAATCTTCGCTCTATTGCACAAATAATTTATTGATTACGGTAAGTATTAATATAAAAATAAATATGAACTTCTGAAATATCCATAAAATAACTAATAAAATTTAGAATTTTCTTGATTTTCTTTTTTTTTTAATTAGAAAATCATGAAAATTCTGCATTTTATTAGTTATTTTTTGGAATTTCAGCGGAGATGCGGAAGCTATGCCCAAATTTTGAATTTTTAAAGAAAAACTTATCTACTATATACTAATTGGGAAAATTTTTTTGGCAATAGTATGTCCGGGACCCGTTCTCAAAACTGTGCGCATAAAAATTGATGATCAAAAAAAGAAAAAGTTTCTAAATGTTGGCAGCTCGGTGCGCATCCTATTCATTCTTTCTCAAAATGTATGTGAGTGCGCGGAGAATGAAAAGTTTGAAAACTCCAATGTATTTTTCGATTTTAAAATGTGTCGCTCGACTTTTCTCAATTTCCAGAAGACCATTTTTGATGGGACCTTCACCATTCGATCCCAAATTCTTTCCCATCGAGGCGCTAATATTCGATTTTTCAAAAAGTGCGCGAGTTTTCACGTGAAAAATCAAAACTTTTTTCATATAAAAAAGAATAATCACGTTTTTATTCCAAAAAAATTAAAGGACACGTTTCTTATCTGATCTTTCTGTTTTCTGAAAAAAGCGAACAATTTCTGGGCATTTCTCAATGTTTCTCTTTACCTAACCGGAAAATAAATCAAAAGTATGTCAAACTACTGTAGATGGCGTTAGCCAGCGAAGCCCTTCTAGTTTTTTTTAAAATTCAATTCAATTTTTTGTTTCAGATTTGCTCAATCAACAATCTTCGCTCTATCGAACCAATAATTTATTGATTACGGTAAGTATTAATATAAAAATAAATATGAACTTCTGAAATATCCATAAAATAACTAATAAAATTTAAAGTTTTCTTGATTTTCTTTTTTTTTTATTGGAAAATCTTGAAAACTCTGCATTTTATTAGTTATTTTTTGGAATTTCAGTGGAGATGCGGAAGCTATGCCCAAATTTTGAATTTTTAAAGAAAAACTTATTTTTTAAAATTAAATTCAATTTTTTGTTTCAGATTTGCTCAATCAACAAATGCGCTCTATTGCACAATTCATTTATTGATTACGGTAAGTATTAATATAAAAATAAATATGAACTTCTGAAATATCCATAAAATAACTAATAAAATTTAAAGTTTTCTTGATTTTCTTTTTTTTTATTGGAAAATCTTGAAAACTCTGCATTTTATTAGTTATTTTTTGGAATTTCAGTGGAGATGCGGAAGCTATGCCCAAATTTTGAATTTTTAAAGAAAAACTTATTTTTTAAAATTAAATTCAATTTTTTGTTTCAGATTTACTCAATCAACAAATGCGCTCTATCGAACCAATTATTTATTGATTACGGTAAGTATTAATATAAAAATAAATATGAACTTCTGAAATATCCATAAAATAACTAATAAAATTTAGAATTTTCTTGATTTTCTTTTTTTTTTATTAGAAAATCATGAAAACTCTGCATTTTATTAGTTATTTTTTGGAATTTCAGTGGAGATGCGGAAGCTATGCCCAAATTTTGAATTTTTATAGAAAAACTTTTTTTTTGGAAATTAAAATTGAAAAATGTATTTTTCAGTTCGAAATTGGCCCAATTTTATGGTATTTATATCAACTTCTTCAAATTCGTCACGTTTCAATCAATCTTCGAAATTCTGTGTTTTCTAAATTTCTTACTGTATTTTTTATTTGCAAGTTTCGCTTAAAAGCCGAGACTTGTATTTGTTTTCGTGTTTTTTTTTCTACATTTCTCCCAGAAAAGCGGAGATTTGTAGTTGTTTTGGGTTACTGTATATTTTTCTCTACAGTAACCGTTGATTGTTTGAGCTCGGCTGATTCGCACGTTTCCATAGTATTCTTGAAATACGCGGATTACTGTAGATTTCTGATAAACTACAGTACGTCGTGTGAAAATCGCGTTGCACACTGTAGTTTTCTGAATTTTCCACAGTAATCTGTAGGATACTGTAGTATTTCGCACTCGTTCATCATAGTTACTGTAATTCTTCGAATTTTTCCACATTTCCATCTGGTTTTGGCCATAAAAAAGAAAATTCTGTGCCAGCACCGTGATTCTACAGTAACCCAGGGATACTGTAGCTAATTTTGTAGAAAATTTTGATTCACACAAATTTGCCTCACAGTAGTAGTTAGCCTAAATCTCTAGGCTTGAAACCCTAGAAGCCCAGCCTAGCTATCTAAGCCTGAAGTCTAGAAGCCCAGGCCCAACTAAGCCTAACTCGTTCAAAAAATTTGTAACTTTTTGTGCTCTCTCTCTCTCTCTCAAAAAAGGCAGGCAGAAAACTACAGTATCCCAACTCTTAGAAGTACTGTATTTAGAAAAAAACTACAGTATACAGTTACTGACTGTAGGCTTTCCGAAGACAAAGTACTTTTTGAACAACTGAACATTCAACGAGTACTCGACAAATGCCAACAACAACTACAGTAATCTTATTATAGATACGAAATCTATCTACAGTACCCTGATTACTGTAGGAAACAAAACTAGATACAAGTCATTGGCTTTTATGCAACGACTTGTAGCAAAAAAAAAACAACAGTAATTTTCTACTTTTTGGCTTTTAAGCAAAAAGTAGAAAAAATCGATTTCCAGAATTCTTGAATTTGATGGTTATCCACAGAAAATTGTCGCCAAATCGCCCTGAAAAATTCAAATTTTTTCGTTAAAAGTTCATAATTTGGGCATAGCTTCCGCATCTCCGCTGAAATTCCAAAAAATAATTGATGAAATCCAGGGTTTTCAAGATTTTCTAATTAAAAAAAGAAAATCAAGAAAACTCTAAATTTTATTAATTATTCACTGGATATTTCAGAAGTTCACATTTATTTTATTGTCATTCCGAAAATAAAAGAACCCCCGTTTGAATTGGCGCTCACGTACAGTAGACTAAAAATGACGTGACACATGCACATCAAACTGGTTGGCAAATAGCCAGCGTGTAAATTTCGCATTTTATTTTTCAAATAGACCCCAAAATTTGGCGAAGTCTACTGTAGTCTTGGTTTCCTAGGCCATTTCGGTTCTCTTCCAAGTTCTTATTTTTTCGGAATGACAATAAGATAAATGCTTACCATTGAAAATTGTCGATTGTCCGTAGAGCGCATTTGCTCGACCTCCAATCTGGAAAAAAAATTGAATTTTTACAAGTTTTTTCAAGAAAAATTCGAAAATTGGGCATAGCTTCCGCATCCCCGCTGAAATTCCAGCTGAAAATTGATAAAATTCTTGGTTTTATCGATTTTCAGCTAGAATTGCAGATAATACAGGTTAGAGACTAACTTTTTCATTAAAAATTCAAAATTTGGGCATAGCTTCCGCATCTCCGCTGAAATTCCAGCTAAAAATCGATAGAATTCTTGGTTTTATCGATTTTCAGCTAGAATTGCAGATAATACAGGTTAGAGACTAACTTTTTCATTAAAAATTCAACATTTGGGCATAGCTTCCGCATCTCCGCTGATATTCCAGTTGAAAATCGAAAAAAATTATTGGTTATATCGATTTTCAGCTAGAATTGCAGATCATACAGGCTAGAAACTAACTTTTTCATTAAAAATTCAAAATTTGGGCATGGCTTCCGCATCTCCGCTGAAATTCCAGCTAAAAATCGATAAAATTCTTGGTTTTATCGATTTTCAGCTAGAATTGCAGATCATACAGGCTAGAAACTAACTTTTTCATTAAAAATTCAAAATTTGGGCATGGCTTCCGCATCTCCGCTGAAATTCCAGCTAAAAATCGATAAAATTCTTGGTTTTATCGATTTTCAGCTAGAATTGCAGATCATACAGGCTAGAAACTAACTTTTTCATTAAAAATTCAAAATTTGGGCATAGCTTCCGCATCTCCGCTGAAATTCCAGCTGAAAATCGATAGAATTCTTGGTTTTATCGATTTTCAGCTAGAATTGCAGATCATACAGGCTAGAAACTAACTTTTTCATTAAAAATTCAAAATTTGGGCATAGCTTCCGCATCTCCGCTGATATTCCAGTTGAAAATCGAAAAAAATTATTGGTTATATCGATTTTCAGCTAGAATTGCAGATCATACAGGCTAGAAACTAACTTTTTCATTAAAAATTCAAAATTTGGGCATGGCTTCCGCATCTCCGCTGAAATTCCAGCTAAAAATCGATAAAATTCTTGGTTTTATCGATTTTCAGCTAGAATTGCAGATCATACAGGCTAGAAACTAACTTTTTCATTAAAAATTCAAAATTTGGGCATAGCTTCCGCATCTCCGCTGAAATTCCAGCTGAAAATCGATAGAATTCTTGGTTTTATCGATTTTCAGCTAGAATTGCAGATAATACAGGCTAGAAACTAACTTTTTCATCAAAAATTCAAAATTTGGGCATGGCTTCCGCATCTCCGCCGAAATTCCAAAAAATAACTGATAAAATCCAGGGTTTTCAAGATTTTCTAATTAAATAAAATCAAGAAAGCCCTGAATTTTATTAGTTTTTCTTTGGATATTTCAGAAGTTCTCATTTATTTCAGGATTACCTTTGCGAATTGTCGATTGTCCGTAGAGCGCATTTGCTCGACCGCCAATGTTTTGTGCAGGCGGGTTTTCCATGGTTTTCGAGTATGTTTCTGAAAAAATTATGATTTTTCTTGGAAATATCGTATTTTCCCTGATAACAGTCTAAATTTCCCTCTTCCTTGAATAATTCCACGTTTTCTTTTCAAAATTTTCCTTTGAAAAGCGAACCTCGATCTCTCCCTTCACAGTTTTTCCAACCAAATCAAGTCGACAAAGTCGAGAGTATAACCAAAACAAGTTAAGGTAACTCATGTCGAGGTTCCTGACAATTGCAATGGCTAATGCTCAACTTAATAAGCTTTACTATCCAGAGTTCGGCTAAGTTGAGCTGTACTTCACTCCAGGAGAGACACGTGGAATTATTCGAAAAGGGAAAGGAAGTCGGGGACCCCAAAGAGAAAAAAAACTCATCTGCCATTTTGTTGCTCGCCGAAAATTTGAAATAACTGCAAAATTCTCGTTGAAATGACATTTGCCACGACAAATTTCACGTTCACGCAAAAATATATTATTTTTTTTCTGATTTTTTTGTTTTTTTTTTGCTGACAGAAAAAAAATGAACGAGTCGAGATTGCGCGTAGGATTTGGTCACGCCTTTTTGAAACAAGGAAAAATTGCAAATTTGAAGAGAAACAGAGAAAACGACAAATCGAACTGCAAATTTTTTCGTGCTGCAATACCAGTCAAAAATTTATTCATTTTTCATTTTTTTTTTCACTTTTTCGGCTGGTTCTCTCGCCTTTTTCTGCTTGTCGCGCGTAAAAATAGATCAAAAATACGGAATTCGAGAAGAAAAACCGTAAGAAAAAGTTAAAAAAAATGGAAAATAAATAAATTTTTGACTGGTATTGCAGCGCGAAAAAATTTTGCAGTTCGATTTGTCTTTTTCTCTGTTTCTCTTGGCGTGTGGTGTTTGCGGGCAGTCGGTGTTGACACACACTTTTTAAGAATTTTTTGCGTATTTTCTTTAGGCTTGGGATCACAGACCCAGTTTTTAAAAAACGAATTTATGAGCAATCGCGAAAAATCATCAAAGCTAATAATAAGCCAGTAAGAATTATTCATAGGCACTATAGGACACGTAATTTTCAGGGAACTGGAAAATGTTTTGTTATTGCCTAGCGGATTCAGATTTGGGAATTGATGTCGAATCTTCGTCGACTTGAAGAGTCAGCCCACTCAAGCTCATTTCTATGCATTTGATTTCAGGCCGATCGCTGGAATAATAATTTGAATTTTAAAAGTTTTTTGGGCCCGATAGGCCCCAGGAAAACCTACGTTTGATTATTTGCTGGTGGTGAACTTGGAGGTGGCGGCACATAAGTTGGATCTTTAACCGACGAAGACTTCCGTCGATCTCGGATACTATTTTGAGCGCTGAGTTTATTATTTTGCGCAGCTTTTTCCTTGTCGCGGAACGGATTCCCGAAGCGTTTTCGATGTCCCATTGCTTTCACCAAGATCAATGTGTCGAGTCTTGGAATAACTCTCACGCAATTCTCGATTTCTTCCTCGGTTACTGTGACGAGAGTGCAGTTTTCTTGTTCGGTTGGCATTCGGCAGGTTCCATCGCGCGTTACCCAGTTGTGCATCTGGAAATTTTGGAGTTTTGCAGGGCTCTTTATGTAGATGCGGGTCCTAGGCTCGGATACTTGACACTTGTAGTTTGTAGGCTCGGTTACTTGGCTTATGATCTCTCAAGGCACGGCTGCTTGTTAGAGTGGAAACCTAGGTGTGGGTGCTTGACCATTAGGTTCTCTAGGCGCGGCTCCTTGACAACTAGATTCTCTAGGCTCCGCTACTTGCCATTTCAATTCTCAAGGCGTTGCTTCTTCAATAAGGTGTGCAGCAGTTGCATTTAAGCCACGCCCACTTTCGAAAAAACACGTGGCATATTTATTCGCAATCAAAAAAATCCACGTGGCAAAAATTTGAAAAGAAAATTGCAAGTGCGCTCTACTGATAATCGTGCCCAAGATCCTGAGAGCTAGTTAAGAGCTAATTAAGCTAATTAAAGTTAAGAGCCTGACTCACCTTAATCTCAGCCAACATCAATCTGTGTCCCGGATCCTTCTTCAACATTCCCAAAATCAAATCCTTCAAACTTTCGCTAAGTTCCGGCTCATCCGGAAAAATCACCGGCTCCGTTTTAATCTTCCTATGCAACGCAATTATATAATTATCAACAAATGGAACAGTTCCAATCACAAATGCGTATAAAGTGATACCCAGCGACCAAATATCTTGAGCCCGTCCCGAATAGAAATGTTTTGCTCCCATTATCAATGCTTCCGGTGCCATGAATGCGGGAGTTCCGGCAGTTCCGGAAAGAAACGCGTCGATACCTTCGAATTCGCAGGAGACACCAAAGTCTGCGATTTTCACTTGGCCCGCGTCGGAGAGAAGGAGATTTGAGGGTTTGATGTCACGGTGCACGATTTTTTGGTAGTGAACTGCAAAAATTTTGGGATTTTTAGCATATTTTTGATTTTCAGCACAAAATTTTGATCTAGCAAGAATTTTCCTGAATTTTTCACTGTTTCAAAAGTTTATCAAATTTTTTGAAGGCTGAATAAATTCGATCAATAAGAAAATTTTGTTGTAGACTTAAATGTTGCGCTGAAAATTATAAAACTACTGGAAATTTATGAAAATTGAGAATTCGATGATTTTCAGCTCAAAATTGTGATCTAGAAAAAAAATTTCCTGAATTTTTCACTGTTTCAAAAATTTATCAAATTTTTTGGGGACTGAAAAATTGCGATAAGTCCGTTATAGACATAAATTTTGTACTGAAAATCATGATAGTGCTGAAAATTTCTCAAATTCAAGAATTCCATGATTTTCAGCACAAAATTTTGATCTAGCAAGAATTTTCCTGAATTTTTCACTGTTTCAAAAATTTATCAAATTTTTTGGGGACTGAATAAATTTGATGAGTTAGCTGCTAGGGGTAAATTTTTGTCTAGACTTAAATTTTCCGCTGAAAATTATGGAAATGCTGGCTGAAAATGGCTGGAAATCAAGAATTCTATGATTTTCAGCTCAAAATTCTGATCTAGAATTTTTCACCTGAATTTTTTCACTGTTTCAAAAATTCATTGATTTTTCTGAGAATTTCAAAAAGTTCGATAAATCGATTGAATATTTTGGTATAGTCTGAAATTTTTCGCTGAAAATCATGAAACTACTGGAAATTTCTGGAAATGAAGAATCCCATGATTTTCAGCGCAAAATTCTGATCTAGAAATGTTTACATTGTCAGCTTAATTCTTCACTGTTTCAAAAATTTATCAAATTTTGTCAGGGATGAATAAATTCGATAGATTCTTTATAGACTTAAATTTTTGCTGAAAATCATGAAAATGCTGAAAATTACTGAACATTGAGAATTCCTTGGTTTCCAGCGCAAAATTTTGATCTAGCAAGAAATTTCCTGAATTTTTCACTGTTTCAAAATTTTATTAAATTTTGCTTGGGAATTTCAAAAAGTTCGATATTCGAGACTTCCTAGCCTGAATTTACCGCTGAAAATCATGAAATTGCTGAAAATTTCTGAAAATCAAGAATTCCATGATTTACAGTGCAAAATTTTGATCTAGAAAAAATTTCAGAATTTTTCACTGTTTCAAAAATTTATTAAATTACTTGGGGATATAAAAAATTCGATCCATTGAGCAATTCGTTTCTAGACTCAAATTTTTCACTGACTTGTGAGAATCTCAGAATCCATGATTTTCAGCTCAAAATTCAGATTTAGGAGGATTCTTGAAGCTTCTGAAGGCTCATAAACGCTTCTAAAGATTTCTGAGAGCTTCTAAAAGCTCTTCTAAACTAGCTAACGCCCCCACTCACGATATTCCAGCCCACACAACGTATCCCGAAAATAATTCCACGCCGCATCTTCATCCAACGGTTTATCCGTCGGAATTTCCAAAATCGAGCCATGCTCCACAAATTCAAAAACCATATATAAATATTCATCCTTCGGATCATCTAGAACTTCAGTCAACTTCACGACATTCGGATGTGACAACTTCTTCAAAATCGCAATTTCTTTCTGCACTGATTGAAGAGGGAGTTTTGGCGGAGCTTTGTTGTTTCGAGCTGGCGGTTGACGAAAACACGCAAAGTTTTTGATGAGCTTCATTTTGTCCAAGACTTTTAGAGCGTATAGATTCTTGTCTCGTTCATTATAAGCCAACTTGACGATACCGTATGAGCCCTGGAAAATGGGAAAAATTAAAATGTTTTTCCGTTTGAAAATTAATTATGGTATAGATATTCATAGAAAACAAGTCGAACATTATAAAAGTCGAGGGAAATCAAGCTGAAAAACCGATAATCATCTTTTTTTGGTGTTTGGAGAAAAGTTTTTAAAGATTTTCTTTTTTCAATCTCTATTCTCGTTAATTTGCTGTCTTTTGCTGCAAAGATCATGAAATTTGGTTGAGTATGAACGATTTTAGCATTTTTTGTGAAAAAACGAAAAATGGTTTTGAGGTTGGCAAAAAAATTCACAAATCGTCGTGTTGTCTGTCGTCTCTCTTACACTTTTCTATCTCTCATTTTCTCTTCTTCTCCCCTCGTCTCTTCTACAAACAACACTCTCTCGTTTGCTTTTTCAATTTGTTTTTTTTTCGTGAAATCAGGAAATTTCAGGATTTTCATCGAGAACATCATATATGAGAAAATAGAGAAACACAAGGAAAAGACAGAAAAATAGAATAGAATTGTAAAATTCAACATCGGATTGCAAAATATGAGCGAAAAACTTATTATCATAGTTTTTTGGTGTTTGGAGAAAAGTTTTTAAAGATTTTCTTTTTTTCAATCTCTATTCTCGTTAATTTGCTGTCTTTTGCTGCAAAGATCATGAAATTTGGTTGAGTATGAACGATTTTAGCATTTTTTGTGAAAAAACGAAAAATGGTTTTGAGGTTGGCAAAAAAATTCACAAATCGTCGTGTTGTCTGTCGTCTCTCTTACACTTTTCTATCTCTCATTTTCTCTTCTTCTCCCCTCGTCTCTTCTACAAACAACACTCTCTCGTTTGCTTTTTCAATTTGTTTTTTTTTCGTGAAATCAGGAAATTTCAGGATTTTCATCGAGAACATCATATATGAGAAAATAGAGAAACACAAGGAAAAGACAGAAAAATAGAATAGAATTGTAAAATTCAACATCGGATTGCAAAATATGAGCGAAAAACTTATTATCATAGTTTTTTGGTGTTTGGAGAAAAGTTTTTAAAGATTTTCTTTTTTCAATCTCTATTCTCGTTAATTTGCTGTCTTTTGCTGCAAAGATCATGAAATTTGGTTGAGTATGAACGATTTTAGCATTTTTTGTGAAAAAACGAAAAATGGTTTTGAGGTTGGCAAAAAAATTCACAAATCGTCGTGTTGTCTGTCGTCTCTCTTACACTTTTCTATCTCTCATTTTCTCTTCTTCTCCCCTCGTCTCTTCTACAAACAACACTCTCTCGTTTGCTTTTTCAATTTGTTTTTTTTCGTGAAATCAGGAAATTTCAGGATTTTCATCGAGAACATCATATATGAGAAAATAGAGAAACACAAGGAAAAGACAGAAAAATAGAATAGAATTGTAAAATTCAACATCGGATTGCAAAATATGAGCGAAAAACTTATAATCATAGTTTTTTGGTGTTTGGAGAAAAGTTTTTGAAGTTTTTCTTCTTGCAATCTCTATTCTCGTTAATTTGCTATCTTTTGCTGCAAAGATCATGAAATTTGGTTGAGTATGAACGATTTTAGCATTTTTTGTGAAAAAACGAAAAATGGTTTTGGGGTTGAGAAAAATTCACAAACCGTCGTGTTGTCTGACGTCTCTCTTACACTTTTCTATCTCTCATTTTCTCTCCTCTTCTCTCTCGTCTCTTCTACACACAACACTCTCTCGTTTGCTTTTTCAATTTGTTTTTTTTTTCGTGAAATCAGGAAATTTCAGGATTTTCATCGAGAACATCATATATGAGAAAATAAATGTGAAATTCAACATCGGATTGCAAAAAATGAGCGAAAAACCACCCAAATGAAAAGTTTGGAGCTCCAAAATCGAACTCACAGGAGGTTATGGAAATTTTTGACTTCGGTATCGGTTTTAGAATTGTCGAATTACTATATTTCACTATGTTTCATCAAAAGTTGATTTCAGAACCTAATGGGGTGAGTCATAAAAATAAATTGACAAAAAAAGTGCGATTAATTTCACGTTTTTTGTCAATTAATCGCATTCATTTCTGAAAAAATGCGATTAATTGACAAAAAACGTGAAATTAATCGCACTTTTTTTGTCAATTTATTTTTATGACTCACCCCATAAAACACTTCCTCATGAGAATTTTATGCTCTTACAATTAGGCTTTTCAAATTTGGTCTCTGAACTAACCTGTCCAATTTCCTCCATCAGTTTATATTGATTCAATTGTATATAGCTCTCGCTTTTCTGATGTCTGATAACCTGAAAATTATAGATATTTATTTGCTGAAAAACAATTTCAGAATAATTCTAGATTTCTCAAGAGATATTCAATCAGTTACCAAGGATACATTAATTTATTTTCAGTTTTTCAGAAAAAAATCTGAGAAATATGATTTTCAAACTAAAAGTTTGAAAGTTTCATGCAAATGGATTTCCGGAGCAAATTTAAATTCAAGATGATAGAATTTCAGAATTTCAGAGATCTCGAAATATTTTCTGAATCGAGAATGACAAATATTTTTGTTATTTTTTTCAGGGAAACTTCTAGGGTTTCTTGTTTTTTTTCTCAGGATTACATATGAGTCAGACTGAAATTTTGTGCTGAAAATCATAAAACCACTATAAGAATATCAACTATCGAATTTATTTAGACCCCCAAAAAATTTAATAAATTTTTGAAACAGTGAAAAATTCAGGAATTTTTTTTCTAGATCAAAATTTTTCGCTGGAAATCGTGGAATTCTTTAATTTCAGGGATTTTCAGCAATTTCGATGATTTTCAACAGAAAATTTAAATTTTTAAGAAACAACAACCAACCATCGAATCCATTCAGATTCCTCAAAACATTTAATAAATTTTTGAAACAGTGAAAAATTTCGGAATTTTTTCTCTAGACCAGAATTTTGTGCTGAAAATCAGGGAATTCTTCAATTTCAACAATTTTCGGCGCTTTTTTCAGCACAAAATTTCAGCCTAGAATAAAATAAGTTAGCCCAACTCACCTTAACATGTCGTGTAGGTCGAGCCAAAAGAGGTGTCATTGAATGTGTGAGCTGTAAAATTTGAAAATTCGAATTTTTTTTTGTAACCCGGAAATTCTGGTCTCAGACAAATATTTTTCGAAAACCAAATAAAATTGGCGTCAAAAAAGCAATCCACTCAAAAAAAATCAAAATGAGATTTTTCCAGCCCAGATTTTTTTTTGGAAAAATTTTTCCAAACCGGAAATTTTCGAGTTGCCGGAAGTCGAATTTTTATTTTTAAAAAACACATTTTTCGCGCCAAAAATAGCTTCTAGAAAAACTCATCAAAAGTCAAGAAGCTCAAAAGAAAATGAAATTTTTTTTTGTCATTTTTCATCAAAAAAAAACATATCGAATAAGGAGATGGCGAATAAAAAAGTGAGCGAAAAAATGGACTTTTTTCCCTTTTTTTTTTCTTCAAAAAGAACGAAAAACTAGTAATTCTCTGGGGAACAATACTCTTTATGAGGGAAAAAAAGAAAAAAATTGGAATTTTTGGCTAGCGGCGCTGGAAAACGTGGATTCTAAATACATAAGTAGCTTTCTAAATTTGAAAATGTTGCGCTGAAACTCATGGAAAATCCGTGAAAATCAACAATTCTATGATTTTCAGCACAAAATTCTGATCTAGAAAAAATATTTCTAAATTTTTCACTGTTTCAAAAATTCATTATATTTTTTGAGGTCTAAAAATGTTGATATTGAAGTTATTCCAGTCCTAAAATTTTGTGCTGAAAATTTCTGAAAAAGAAGAATTCTATGATTTTAAGCACAAAATTCTGATCTAGAAAATTTTTTTTTAAATTTTTCACTGTTTCAAAAATTCATTATATTTTTTGAGGTCTATAAAAATTTTGATATGATAGTTGTGTCTTTGTCTAGACTTAAATTTTGTGCTGAAAATCTCAAAAGTGCTGAAAATTTCTGAAAATCAAGAATTCCATGATTTACAGTGCAAAATTCTGTTCTAGAAAAAATATTCCTGAATTTTTCACTGTTTCAAAAATTCATTATATTTTTTGAATTTTTTTTTTTGATAATTCTGTAGCAACATTTTCCAGACTTAAATTTTTAGCTGAAAATCATGAAACTGCTGAAAATTGTTAAAAATGAAGAATTCCAAGATTTCCAGCACAAAATTCTGATCTAGAAAAAAATTTTCTAAATTTTTCACTGTTTCAAAAATTCATTATATTTTTTGAAGTCCAAAAAATGTTTGATATTTCTGTGGCGATATTTTCCAGACCTGAATTTTGCGCTGAAAATCATGAAATTGCGGAAAATTTCTGAAAATGAAGAATTCCATGATTGTCAGCTCAAAATTCTTATCTAGAAAAAATATTGCAGAATTTTTCACTGTTTCAAAAATTCATTATATTTTTTTGAGGTTCAAAAAGTTTTCGATAGTTCGCAGTTTGAGCTTTTTGAAAACTTCTGAAAATTAAGAATTCTATGATTTCCAGCTCTAAATTTTGATCTAGAAAAAATATTCCTGAATTTTTCTGTTTCAAAAATTCAATAAATTTTTTGGGATCTGAAAAAAATCGATTTAGAAAAGACAAATATGTATCTTTCTAGACCTAAATTTTGCGCTGAAAATTGTTGAAAACCAACAATTACACGATTTCCAGCACAAACTTTCTCTAAAAAACTATAACCCGAATGCTAGAGAAAAAAAAACAAATTTTAGGAAGATTTATTTGGGATTTGAAAGCTCTAGAAGATTTAGAGAAGCTAAAAATCCCAATTTTTTCGTGCAAAAAATCATTTTTAAATCCTTCCAGCTTACTTACTGAACCCATTTTTTTCCTAGAAGAATTCAGGGAAACTTTAAAACTTTCTAGTAGGGCTCACAGAAGTTTATGGCAAATTTTCGACTTCGGGATCATTTTCAGCAAGTAAACATTAATTTCAGAACCCATTTATGACATTTGTAGGCTACGTCATAAAGTCCGAATAATTTTCCGCCCAAAAAAAGCAATTTTTAATCTAATAATTGGATTTTTGCGTCACTTTTTCTTTGCGGCAAAGTTTATTTTTGATCGGAAAAAAGTTTGGGGGAAAATCTAATTTTCTGAAAAAAATCTTGACTGAAATTGTGTTCAAAATGTAGTGAAAATGTAGTCAAAATCTGAATTTTCTTGAAAAAAAAAACAAATTTTCTTCTGGCTGGAAAACATTTAAAGCCTGAGCTTAAGCCTAAAAAAACAAGCCGAAGAAAAAACCTAAGCTTTAAAAGCCTAAGCCTAATAAGCCTAAACCTAAAAAGCCTAATCCTAATAAGCCTAAGCCTGAAAAGCCTAAGCCTAAGAAGCCTAGGTCCTTAGAAGCATCTAAAAGCCTTAAAAGCCTTGGAAGCCTAAGCCTAAAAAGCCTAAGCCTAACCTGGATTTCAAAAATCCCACAATCTCAAGATTAACTGAATAGTGTAAAGGCGGAGTGTCGTTTCCCCAAACTTACATGTGTACTCGTATGTGGTCCCATATCATCCTCATCATCTCTCACAGCATTTCCCCTCTGCAACCTTCTCACTCCAGTCGTATCCGATTGTTGTCGGACCATCGAGGCGGCCGACAGAAATATGCGATGATCCAGAGTGGGTGGTCCGGTTGTTGAAGTTGATGGTGGAGGTGGAGATGAGGAGGAGGAGGATGTGGATTCACCCCGACCGCCTAACATCCTGTAAATAGAGAGATTTTTGGAGGAGAAATTTCACTGTTTCGAAGTTTTCATAAATGAATTTTGCAATTTTCGAGCTGATCATTTGTGGATAATGTTGGAAAAAAATAGAGAAGAAGATATCAGAAGATAGTATGAGCAATGTTTTCAAAAATTTAATATGAGTAATGATTTCTTGAGTTCAAGGCGTGGTTGCTTGAAGAAGAAAATCTCAAGCTACTGCTGCTTGACAGAAGGGTTCTCAATACGCGGCTGCTTAACAGAGAAAACCACAAGGGACGGCTGTTTGACAGGGAGGTTCTCAAGGCGTGGTTGCTTGACAGGGAGGATCTCAAGGCACGGCTGTTTGTCAGAGACGCTTTTAAGGCGCGGGTGCTTGACAGAGAGACTCTCAAGGCTCAGCTCTTTGCATCAAAAATCAAAATCTCAGATTTCTGATAACTAGATCTAACATTTTACTTTGAAAAAACTTTTCTAAATGCTAAAAAGCACCTGCTCCCATTTTCAGCTCAAAAAAATTCAGCCTCAACTAATTTTTGTGCAAAAAAGTGCTCATGTGCTTTTGCGCGCGCGAGGGAAAAATCTAAAATTCATTGAATTTTTTCGAATTTTTCACACACTTTTCTCACAATGAATAATAAATGAGCTGAAAAAAAAACAAAAACTACAAAAAATAGATTTTTCGGCTCACCATGGAAACGTATTTTTCGCGCGCGCGTGCGGGTTTAATTCGTTTTCGCGAGTGGAAAAATAGTAATAAATTTTTTCTGCTGATAATATCTATGAGAAGCAAAAAAAAAATAGAAAAAAATGAGAAAAATGTAATTTTAGTTGGGATTAAATCGAAAATAGAAGAAAATCCGGGGATTGACGTATTTTATTATAAGGAAAGGAAAATATGAGGAGAAGATTATGTTTTTTACGTGGAAATGTGGATTTTAGCGCGGAAAATTAAGAAAAAAAATACAAAAAAATTAGGCGCGGGTGGGGGTCGAACCCGGGTCTTGCAACAGTTTGCACGCGTGTTTACCACTCGGCCACGCATCGTTTTTTTAAAAGCTGTTGAAATGTCGAATATAAAATGCGAGGCGCGCGTGGGAAATTGTGGACTTGAAAATTTCACTGTTTCAAAATTTTTAGAAATGAAATTGGGAATTTTGAGAATTGATCTGAAGCATAATTTGTGTTCAAGCATAAAAAAGTTTCAAAATTCTGGAAATGAGTTATGACGTGGCAAAGTTTGAAAATCGAAATGTTAAAAAAAACATTTTTCAAAATTTTCACTGTTTCAGGATTTTTGAAATTTTAGCAATTGAAGAAAAAACAATTCATTACTTTTCAAAATTAAAAACAGTGAATTTTTTCGCAAAAATTACACTGTTTCAAAATTTTCATAATTGAATTTAGGAATTTGGAAAATAATGCTAAAAAAATTCTCCAAAGATCACATTTTCCCACTCGACACTTACTCTAACTCATTTCTCAGAAAAAATGAATGAAAAATGACAAGGAAATATGTATTGCACAAGCTTCTGCTTCGCGCGAGCGCAAAAAAAATTCGATTAATTTTGATGAAAATTGAAAATGTCAAAAAAAGGAAAGAGAAAAAGCCAGCTGAATTCATTTATACAATTTTTTTCAAGCTATACACTTTCATTTGCGACTTTTGATCTAGGAAATATAATATGAGCAATGCTCTGGAATATAAAACTAATATGAGCAATGCTCGGAAAAATAGGGAAAATCCAGAAAATTTGAAACATGAAAAATCCACTGTTTCAAAAAATTTGTATATTTTTTTTTCTGAAGACTAAAAATTCAATAAACTTGCAATATTGATGAGCTAAATTTGAGAAACTTTCTAATATGAGCAATGCTCGAAAAATTGAAAAATTCAGAAAATTAGGAAAATGAAAAAAAATTCACTGTTTCAAAAAATTTGTATAATTTTTTCTCAAAAGAAAAACCTCAATTTCTGTAGTATATATAGACTGTTCTAACTTTTTCAGACCTAAATTCCAGATTCTTGCTATAATATGAGCAATCGCTGTTTCAGGAGAATTTTTTATTTGAATAATTTTAATCTAATATGAGCAATGATGGAAAATTCATGAAAAATGAAACATTTGGAAAAATGAAAAAAATTCACTGTTTCAAAAAATTTGTATAATTTTTTGTGGAAGAAAAAAATTCAATGGGTTTTTTCTTTTTTATGTTGACCTAAATTCAGAACTTTAGAATTAATATGAGCAATGATCAAAAAATAGGGAGAATCCAGAAAATTAGGAAAATAAAAAAATGCACTGTTTCAAAAAATTTGTTAAATTTTTTCTCAAAAGGAAGAATCTCAATTTCTGTAGCATACATTATTGAACTGTTCTAACTTTTTCCTAAATTCCAGGATTTTTTCGCTATAATATGAGCAATCACTGTTTCAGGAGAGTTTTGGTTGGACAAATTTAATCTAATATGAGCAATGAACAAAAAATAAGGAAAATTCAGAAAATTTGAATCATGAAAAAATTCACTGTTTCAAAAATTGTGTATAATTTTTTTGTGGAAGGAAAAATCTCAATCGGCTTCAGAACGTCATAATTAATATGAGCAATATTCTGTTAAATTGAGGCCGCATGCTTCCGCATAAGCGGACGCTTGCGGTAAAAACCTAGTCCCTGGAGAAAATAACAAAAATTTTTTTGCTCGAAAAAAAGTCATAAAATATTTTTTTCGAAAAGGAAAAAGACCATTTAGGCGGAAAAAATGAGGCCAAAAAAACAACTTTTTTTTGTTGGGAAACAAAAAATTTTTTTTCTTGAGACAAAAATAGAAATAGGACACTTTCTGGGAAAAAAATGAAAAATAAATGGCGTGAAAAACTTGCAATGAAGAATTTTTGGCGCCAAAAAACTTCGAAAGCTCGCCGAGCAAAAGCATTTTGTAATTATAGCCCCAGAGCTCTCTCGGCTCGCAAATAATATAATAAAAAAAGCCAATTCTCAGAGAGAGAGACACTCACATACACATGACAAAAAAAGCTAGCTGAAAAATTGGAGGAAATAGGGAGATTGGGTGAGAGGGTGAGAGTGCGCAGAGAAACAGAGAGATCGATGTGCACCAGAAAAGGAAGAAAAAAGAGCAAAAATGGGGAGAACTTCTGAATTATACTTTGAAAAAAAACACAATTTTGGGTAGCGCGCATGGGGAATCGAACCCATCGAGCGTTGGGTTGAAAATCCAGCGCGTTGCCACTGAGCCACGCGGGGTACTTGTTCAGCGGGGGTGAAATTGCCTATTTGTGTGCGCTGCTGGAAAATGCGAAGTGAACCATTTTCCGCACCCTTCCGCACCCTTCCGTAACTCACCATTCATTCCACTGTCTCAAATGACTGATCACATTCTCCGGAATACTTGGAATATTCAGCGATAACCGAGTGGTGAAATTCGCCGTGTTTTTGCTCATTTTCAACGGTTCCTGAAGAAAAAAAAATTGTTTTTGGACAAAAATTGGCCAGAAAAACAAAAGAATGAGGAAAAAGGTAGTTATTTCCGAAAGACCTCCGTCTTCTTTTTCTTCCAATTTCGCTTTGGCTCAAAAACAGAGCACAAAACACGTTGCTCTTGGTGAATTGGACAACATTTTCTGGTTTTGGTAGATCAAAAATTGTTTTTGGCCGGGGAGAAGGAATTTTTCTAGAGCTGGAATTTTGGAGCTGAAATTTTTGGAGCTGAAATTCTTGAGCAGTGAATTTAGAACTCAGATTTCGAAGCTGAATTTTTAGGGCTGAAATTTTGGAGCTGAAATTTTGGAGCTGAATATTGCTGCTTGCTTCAAGGAGCCCGCATAAAAAAAATGAATTTTTTGGTTCAAAAAGATTCTGCTCTAAAAATAATCCACGTGGGAAACTTTTTATATAAAAAATAATCGCACTAAATTTTTTTGAGCCCAAAACTTCAGATTTAAAAAATTTCAGCTTCACAATCTTTATCTTCTGACCTAATATTTATAATAAAAATGTTGAAAACCCATTTTCCAAAAAAAAAATAAAATAAAAAGTTCAGGTGCGCTTCTATGGAAACCGGGAATAGTAATTATCTCGGATTAGGGAAAAAAAAATGTTTTTTTTCCTAAAAATAGTACAATTTCTCCGTTTTCTCTCCAAAAAAAGTCAAAAAAGCAACAAAAAAAGAAAAAGTCAATTGAGTTTCGCACGCATCTCAATTTGACAACACAACAACACACACAAAAAAATTGTTGTCAGGAAATCTCGAGAGAGATTTTCATTCTCAGTTGAAATTTCTGTTGAAATCCATAGTTTTTGGCGCCAAAAATTTTTGAGAGACACAGAGAAACTAGAGAGTTAGAGACGCAGAGAGTTTTCAAGATTTCAAAAAATATAAAGAATTTTTCAAACAGTGAAAAATTTCATGAAATTTTTTTCCAGATCAGAATTTTGTGCTCATGAAATTTTTTTCCAGATCAGAATTTTGTGCTGAAAATCATAGAATTCTTAGTTTTCAGCAATTTTCAGTGCTTTCATGATTTTCAGCACAAAGTTTCAGTCTGTAAAGAATGTTTTTCAACTATCAATTTTTCTCCAGATTCCAAAAAGTATAAGAAATTTTTAAAACAGTGAAAAGTTTCATGATATTTTTTCTAAATCAGAATTTTGTGCTGAAAATCATATGATTCTTTTCCAGCAATTTTCAGCTTTTCCATGATTTTCAGCGCAAAATTTTGGGATGGAAGACGTCAACAAGTTTTATCAAAATAAGAATTAAGATCCCAAAAATGTATCTAATTTTTGAAACAGTGAAAAATTTTCGAGAAATTTTTTTCTAGATAAGAATTTTGTGCTGAAAATTATAGAATTCTTAGTTTTCAGTAATTTTCAGTACTTTCATGATTTTCAGCACAAAATTTCAGTCTGGAGGGAAATTTTTTCATGTATCAAATTTTTTCCAGATCCAAAAAAAATTCAATAAATTTTTGAAACAGTGAAACATTTCAGAAAATTTGTTTCTAGATCAGAATTTTGTGCTGAAAATCATAGAATTCTTAGTTTTCAGTAATTTTCAGTATTTCCTTGATTTTTAGCACAAAATTTCAGTCTTGTAGTTTTTGAAATTCTTAGATTTTTAAGACTAATCGAGAAACCGCATCGACATTTTCCAAATCAAAAAAAAATTAATAATTTTTTGAAACAGTGAAAAAATTCAGGAAATATTTTTAGGATCAGAATTTGTGCTGAAAATCATAAAACTGCTGAAATTTTATTTTTTTCAAATTTTTCCTGAAAATTTGAATTTTCTCGAGGTCTTCTGAATTATTTTCATTTTTCAAAAAAAAATCTGAAAAGTGCAAATTACTTTATTTTCAGCCAAATTTTAGAATCAAGTGTGAATATTGCTTGAAACTATAGTTGGAATTGATGTAGTTCGAGGTCGAATTCGAAATCCGCGTAATTTTGGAGTCATGTAGATCATAATCAAGGGAGAGCTGGAACAAATAGAGTTGGCGAGCGGCAGAGCCGCGAGTGTAGACCGCAAGCTTCCGTGTAAGCGGCACAATCTTCCGCGTAAGCGGCTAGCTTCTCTGCGTCTCTAGCCCTCTGGTTTCTCTGTGTCTCTAGCTTTTTGGTATCTCTGTGTCTCTCAAATCTACATGCTCTCTAATCGATTGAAGCGACTGTAAATCCGGAAAAGGCACTATCTTTTCTTTCTAATCTTCATAGGCCGAGCCTAAGTTAGCCTAACTCACATAACATTCAAAATATCCCACGGAATATACTGTAAACCATAAATCAATTCATAATTCGGATCGCCAGGATTCATAAAAATCAGCGAAACTTGGAAACACGTGGCAATGATAAACTGAAAACTCATCCAAATTGAGCGAATGCACAAAGTGCGCTCTGCTGATAATAGTCGTTTTTTCAATTTTGTTCGCATTTTTTGAATTGTTATTGAATTTGAAAATACTGTGACTAGGGATGCGATAAGGATGAATGAGATTAGGGTGTTGTTTGCGGAAGCCTGGAAGAATTATTGATTTTTTTCCGCAAGCTTCCGCTAAGGTGCTGAAAATCTAATGAAAATGAAGAATTCTATGATTTTCAGCATAAAATTCTGTTCTAGAAAAAAATTACTAAATTTTTCACTGTTTCAAAAATTTATTATTTTTTTTGGATCTAGAAAAATTTCGATTGAAATTTTGATTTTTAGTGAAAAATTTCCTTGTGCTCAAAATGATGATTTTCAGCACAAATTCCTATTCGAGAAAATAATCTGAATTTTTCACTGTTTCAAAAATTCATTATTATTTTTTTGGATCTAGAAAAAATGATAGGATTATGTTTGAATACGGAAATTTTGAGCTGAAGATCAAGGAAATGCTGAAAATTTGCTGAAAATGAGGAATTTCAAGATTTCCATCACAAAATTCTGATCTAGAAAAAAAAGTACCAACATTTTTCATTGTTTCAAAATTTTATCAAATTTTTTGAGATCTGAAAGTTTTGCTCCAGAATCGCCTATTGCACCGAAAGTACAAAATTCCATGATTTTTAGCACAAAACTTCAGACTAGCAAAAATTATTGAAATTATTTTCCTAATTTTCAGCACTAAATTCTGTTTTAAAAATATTCCAGAATTTTTTACGTTTCAAAAATTTATTAAGGTTTTTAGGATCTTAAAAACATTGATTGGTAGCCTCGTCTGTATCCAGACTTAAAAAAAATTTAGCAATACAAATAACTCGAGCGCGTTTAGCGCGAGTGTAAACCGCAAGCTTCCGCGTAAGCGGAACAATCTTCCGCTTCAGCGGCCAGTCTCCCTGCGTCTCTAGCCCTCTAGTTTCTCTGTGTCTCTCAATTCTACATGCTCTTCAATCGAGCGTAGCGAGTGTAAACCGCAAGCTTCCGCGTACGCGGCACTATCTTCACTACAAGATTGACTTAGGCTAACTCACCCAACTAACTCTTCTCCGATAAGTCACTGAAAACCCGCCGAAAACTGGAAAAACATAGTTCTCCGATATCAAAATATTCCAAATAACCAAAAACGGCAACACAAAAATCAATAAAATCATTGAATTGATGAATTTGCGATTCCAAGTTTGTGAATATTTGATTGGAGAGATCACACAATTCAGGCGATTCAGGCATAATAAAATTTGGATGACACATTTTGCAGCTCGAAGATAAAATGCGAATGGATGGACTATGTAGATTAAAAGAGCATTTTGGAATTGGAAGAAGTTTGTGAGGGTTTCACAGAATTGGATGAGATATATGAAGAGGCGAGAGAAGAAGATGTCGAGGAGGATAATCAGCAAACTCTAAAAAACGGAGCTTGGGGGTCTGGAAGAGTTCTAGGCGCTCCAGAAGAGCTCATAAGGCTTTGGGAGGCTTCCATAGGCCTTAGGGAGGTCTAGCTAGCCTGGAGAGGCTTCAAGAAATTTTAAAAAACTTCCGGAAGCTCTGGAAGGCTCTAGGAGGCGTCCGGAGACTTTTGGGAAGTGTGATGCCTGCGTCTCTTGTCTCTCATATTAGATTAACATCTGTCACAATAACCTTCTATCCTCATTCTATATTACACTTTCCCTCGAGATGGACGATAATAAATATTATATTCTACATTGTATTTGAATATGAGAACGTTCAGACAAGCCCGGATATGGAACATCGGCTTACGTCTGACATGGAGGTTCACCTTGGAACGCTTTAAGGTTGACAGGAGTATCTACCGCTACACAAATCCGAAAGCGTTCTTATTATTCAATTGCTAGAAAATATTCCAATATTTCGCAATGTCATCAACTGCCTGGTGGAAGAAGATTTCAAGAAGACAAAATTACGATCACCCGGGAATCCAAATTGTGTCCACAATTCCTCAAAATTGCATCAAATATGTTACAAAGTTGGCCACGTAAGTCCAGAGAGCAGAATCGGACCCCAGTAACAAAAAGCAGCGAATTGCAAGATGCCGAAGGAGGAAGAAAGCTACACGAATGGAAAAGGACCCAAAACAATTCTAATTGTAAATCGATTGTAATATTATATTGTTTTACCCCAGGAATTAGTATGCCTAGGTTGATAGTGAAGTCTGTTATTATGTATTATTTGACAGCGCCTAACGCATTAACTAAGATTGCCCAAAGGAATATTTGTGCAGGCATTGTAGAATTATTATTTCATTCAGATAGTCTAGGTTATTTATTCTAGCTTTGAGGACAAAGCATTCCAAAAAGAGGGGGATGTGATGCCTGCGTCTCTTGTCTCTCATATTAGATTAACATCTGTCACAATAACCTTCTATCCTCATTCTATATTACACTTTCCCTCGAGATGGACGATAATAAATATTATATTCTACATTGTATTTGAATATGAGAACGTTCAGACAAGCCCGGATATGGAACATCGGCTTACGTCTGACAGAAGCTTCAGGAGAATTTTGTGCTAAAAATCATAGAATTCTAGATTTTCAGCAAAATTTCATTCTGCAATGAGTTTATAAACCAAAGTTGACAACGAATTTTCTTCAGATTCCAAAAAATTTTAATCAATTTTTGAAACGTAGAAAATTCTGGAAATTTTTTCTAGATCAGAATTTAGCGGTTAAAATTATAGAATTGTTTATTTTCAGGGATTTTCAGCTTTCCCACGATTTTCAGCACAAAATTGCAATTTCTTTGTGTTTTCGACCAATCGCGTCATCAAATTTTTCCAGACCCAAAAAAAATCATGGATTTTTGAAACAGTGAAAAATTTAGAAAATTTTTTTCTGAATCAACATTTTGTGCTGAAAATCATAGAATTTTAGATTTTCAGATTTTCAGCATGAAATTTCAGGTTTTTTTTTCTTGGGCTGAAAATCAATTAATGAAATAAAAATCAAATTTTTATAGATCCCAAAAAAATTTAATAAATTTTTGAAACGTGGAAAACTCAGGGAATATTTCTAGATCAGAATTGTGTGCTGAATATCATGGAATTTTAGATTTTCAGCAAAATTTCAGCACTTCCATGAATTTCAGCACGAAATTTCAGGCTTTTTCTTGAAACTCAATCAATGAAATCAAAATCAAATTTCTCCACATTCAAAAAATGTTTAATAAATTTTTGAAACAGTGAAAAATTTGGAAAATTTTTTCTAGAGCAGGATTTTGTGCTGAAAATCATAGAATTGTTTATCTTCAGGGATTTTCAGCACTTTCATGATTTTCAGCACAAAATTTCAGTCCGTAACAAACTCCCGAAAAATTCCTAACAAATTTTCTTCAAATTCCAAAAGTTTTTAATAAATTTTTGAAACAGTGAAAAATTTAGGAAATTTTTTTCTGAATCAGCATTTTGTGGCTCAAATGCCATAGAATTCTTGACTTTAAGCACAAAATTTCAGTCTGGAATAAATCACAAGAATCTGTGTAAACGCGGAGTGTCGTAACTTCCAAACTGTTAGTAAGCTTTTGGAGGCTTTAGGATGTTTCAGAATACTTCAAAAGGTTTCAGAAGGCTTCAACTGAACTTCCAAGAGCTCTAGACGCTTCAGAAGATCTCAGAAGGCTTCAGATGGCTGTAGAATTCTCTAAGATGCTCTTTGAGCTCTAACTCAACTAACCACCAAACAATCAACCGAATAAATTTGAAAAAAAGATTGATTCGCAAATTCCGCTCGCCTCCCAATTAAAATCACCCAAAAAATTCGGAAATTCAAAAAAGCGGCTGGAATCAAATAGGAAACTTGAATAAGATATTTCAAATTTTCGACTATAGTGTTGTAAGAGCTATCGCAAATCATTTTCAGATGGAAAATTATGAGAATTTTTAGCAGAAAAATAGCTGAAAATGGGCGGAGCTTTCAGCTTCATTGAGTGAGTAATGTGATAATTATTTTTCGTGAGAAATTCGAAGAAAAATAAAAAAAAAGTTGATCTCTAATGAGTAGAAAACTATACTTTTTTGAATTGAAGATCAAAAACCAAACTACGAAACTTCGCGTTTACACCTTAAGAAATGATGAAAAAAGGTTCAGTTGAGAGTCTAAAGGCGGATTGTAAAAACTACGACACTCCGTGTTTACACCGTTAGAATTCATACTATTTTCATTCTTTGCTTCTCTTTCATACAAAAATTACATCAGAAATGTCAAATTAAATCAGATAATCGAATGATCGCAAGGAATAAATCTATAAAACACAAATCATCCCCAAATTTCGCACATTCTCCAAAAAATGAGAAATTTGCAGCTTCTTGCTGCATTTTTCCTATTTTTCGGATCCATTGATTCTCTAAGTTCACTTCGAAAAGTTTACCCGGAATCGATTCGACGAATCCAGAAAGCTATCGTAACATCTGATCGTGATGCTCTGCAAGATCTTTTCACCTCAGACTTCAAATTGATTCTGGGATATAAGAATGTGAGTGCTGATGGGATGGTTGATTGGCTTTTGGATCGGAACAATCACACAACCTTGCATAGATTGGTTCTTGTTGATAATCCAGATTTTTATACTGCAACCTTGTCCTTCCAACGAACCGCAATCCAACTAATTTTCTATGTTCATAAAGAGAATGGAAAGATCTACGAGGCAACAATGCAAACCTTCCGAGTTCCAACACCAACATCTACATCTTCAACTCCAAAAGATCTGAGGGACTTTTATGAGGATCTTGTCAGCGCTGTCAAGGAGAAGAAGATGGATAGAGTTGAAGAATTGTTGGGGTATGGATATGCAACAAACATCGGAGATGAAGGTGAGGACATCTAAAGACAATCTACATAGACATCCTGATTTTCAGAAGATCTTCTCGATTCTTTTATCGCGCCGCATCTCTTCAATTCAAGCTATTCCGTTGGCGGTGGATTTTTTGAAATTGAATTGATTTATGAGAACTCTCAAAGTATTATAATCTATGGTTTGAATCATCGATCAATCCGTGTTACCTTTGTTGGTGTTTTCGAACCTACGTGGCCTTCCACTTCCACAGAAACATCTACAACTTCAAGACCACCAATAACACCGCCAGCAATTCCAATGGCTAAACCGGTTAAAGATTTTCATGATGCCTTGATTCGGGCGGTCTACAAAAAAGATCGAAAAAATGTTCACGATCTCTTGATCACCTATAACGTCACTGATTTAAATGAAAAAGTTGATGGAATCATCTCGCATGACTTGGAATATTCGCGAATTCGACCATATTTGGAGGATAATTTTATAATTCTTCTAGAATATGCGGATCAATTGGTGATTCGAATTGATGGAGGATATTTTGATGGTGGAATTCGGATTAGGAATATTTATGTGTTGCAGAATCCGGTGACGCCTTCTACTGAAACAACAACAAGACCCCCTGAATTACCAGTGAAGAAGTTCTATGAGGAATTGGTGGAAGCTGTGAGGGCATCGGATCGGAAGAGGATTCGAGAATTGCTTGGGAAGAACATCACAACTAATGTTGAAGGTGGTAGAGGTGGGTTAAGATTTTTGGTTTGGGCTTGGGCCGATTTGAGCCCATGATTTCGGGCTGGGTTAGGAGTTCGGGTTGAGCCTGAACATATTTTCGGGCTCGTCTGAAATCGAACTGACCCGGCCCAAGAACATATTCGGCCTAAAATCCAGGCCGGTTTGAAGTTTCCTTCAGAGAAATCCAGACTTTGATCTACAATTTTCATGTGACACGTCATAACTAACTCTACCTTGAAAATTGTTTTTCCAATTTTTTTACCCATAGAAGATTCTGAAATCCAATTTTTCCAGAAAATCTAATCAATAAATTCATCGGCAAACTTCAGAACAACATTTATGGAACCGAAGGACTTCCTAACCAGATTCCTAACTTCGTAATCATTTTGCAATACCAAAATAAAGTCGAAATCCAAATTCGTGGAAACCATCTTCATCCAAGGCGTCATTTACAAATTCGTGTTATTTCACCTCAAGATCCACCAACAGATCCAAAAGAATTCTATCAAAAATTGATAATTGCTATCAACAACCAGGATAGAGAAGGAGTTAGGCAAACTTTGGGAAAAAATTATGTGACAAATGTGAAAACTGAGGAGAAGTTGTTGGAGGAATTGACAAAACCACTGGAAAGTTCCACATTTAATCATGCTGGGAATTACGTGATCTCATTGATTTATACAAGTGGAAAAACGATTACAATTACTGGGATAAAGATCAGAGAGGGTTATGAAATTTCGATTGTTGAATCTGAAACAGTGAGAACGACACTGCCTTCTGAATCGACGACGATGGCATCAACTACACCAGGAATTCCTGAAGATCGTAGAGAGTTCTATGAATTGCTGGTGAAAGCGATCAGGGAGAAGGATGAAGAATTGGTGAAGCGATTGATTGGGGATTGTTATGAGTCGAATATTTATAAAAGTATGTGCTCACAGAGATCTACTAGGGCATTGCTCAGGTTATAGGCTCCGAAGCATTGCTCAGCTTATAGGGAAAATTCCAAGCATTTCTCATGTTATAAGGAAAGTTTCGGATTTTTCCAGCATTGCTTAGGTTATAGGAGAAATTCTTAAATATTCGGGTATTGCTCAGATTATAGGTTCCGAAGCGTTTCCCAGCTTATAGGGGAAAATTCCGAATTTTATGGGCATTGCTCAGGTTATAGGAAAACTTCGAGCATCACTCAGCTTATAGGGAAACATTTTGAAATTTTCTAGCATTGCTCAGGTAATATGTAGGTTCCGAAGCGTTTCCCAGCTTATAGGGGAAAATTCCGAATTTTATGAGCATTGCTCAGGTTATAGGGAAAATTCCGAACTTTTAAAGAATCGCTCAGGTTATAGAGAAAATTCCAAACATTTAGAGAATTTCTCAGATTATAGACACAATTCTGGCATTTTTTAGCATTGCTCAGGTTATAGGAAAAATTCCGAACTTTTAAAGAATTGCTCAGATTATAGAGAAAATTCTGAAAATTCGAAGCATTGCTCAGGTTATAGGGAAAAAATTCTGCAATTTTTTAGCATTGCTCAGGCTAAATAAAATTTCCAGATTTTTCGAGCATTGCTCAAGTTAAATAACTTTTTTTGCAGAGCTCGTTTTCAAGTACCTCCTCGAAAATCTAAACACAAGCTTCACACTTTACCAATCAGAATCCATTTTTGAAATTCGTCTCGAATACACAAATGGTCAGAGAATCGTTATTCTACTCTTCCAAAATTCTCGATCATCAAAAATCCGCGTTGAAGAAATTCGAGTTTTTCTTAAACCGGCTAATGGAAGTATATTATATCATAACTTGATCAAAGCAATCGAGAATAAAGATCAGGAATGGATTATTTTCTTGTTGGGAGATTATAGAGCGGAAGTTGGGCAAGGCGAGATTTCGAAAATTCTTCTAAGTTCTGGAGGACATTTGAACGGAAGTGATTATATTTATGTGAATGAAAATGAATTCAAATTCTATTTTGATCTACCAAACGGGCAGAGAATCATTTTCTATGGAAGTCAAGGAGACCGTGAAGTTCACATAAGTAAAATTGAAATTGTTATTCGACAAGATGTTGAAGATTTGGAAGATTTAACGAAAATAGAGCGAACATTTGAAGAAGCTGTCAGATCTAATGATACAAATGCGTTGAATGTTTTGATTGACGAGGATTTTAAGATGATTTATGATCAAGAAGAATCGCAATCGAATAAGCAACGGATTATTAGAGCACTTTTGGAGAAGACGTTGAGAATTGAGGTGAGTTGGTCGAGCGTAGCTTCCGCTTTAGTGGCCACGTAAATTGCTATTAACACGTTATAACAATCCGCGTGGCCGCTAAAGCGGTAGATAGTGCCGCTGACGCAGAAGATTGCGGTCTACACTCGCGCAAAGCGCTCGAGCGTAGCGAGTGTAGACCGCAAGCTTCCGCTTTAGCGGCCACGTAGATGGCCATTAAAACGTCATAGCAATCCGGCCGCTAAAGCGGAAGATAGTGCCGCTGACGCGGAAGCTTGCAGTCTACACTCGCGCAAAGCGCTCGAGCGTAGCGAGTGTAGACCGCAAGCTTCCGCTTTAGCGGCCACGTAGATGGCCATTAAAACGTCATAGCAATCCGGCCGCTAAAGCGGAAGATAGTGCCGCTGACGCGGAAGCTTGCGGTTTACACTCGCGCAAAGCGCTCGAGAATATACACCCAGATTTTTTCCAGGACATCAAATTCAACAAAAAACTCACCCGTGATGCTCCATACTATGTAACAGTTCACGGTGTTTTGACGAAAAAATGGGCAATCTGGAAACTTCGAGGCATCATTCAACAAAGGAAAATCAGCACATGATTTGATTTTGATGAGAGCCAAGTATGAAAAGGATATTATAAGAAGAAAAAGTGCTCGACTTTGATTTTGGATTTTTGTGATTTACAGAATGAATTTGAAAAAAATTATTTATCTTAGATTTTTGGCTAGAGTGGTGTTGGAAAATTCAAGGTACTGTAGATGCCACGTGGATTTCGGATTATTCTACAGTAACCTTGAGATTTTAAAAACCCAATTGACACAATTTTGGTATTGCTGTAGATTTTTGCCACGTGGATTTTCTAATAATTTTTTTTGATATTTTCTCAAAGAAGAAAATCCACGTGTCAAAATTACTAGGCTAGTTTTCCGAGAAAATTGTTTAATATGAGCAATGCTTGATGTCTAATAAATTGCTCATGTTAAGATTCAGCCTTCAACAGAAAAAAACCAAATTTCAACTATTGCTCATATTAAAGACAATTTTCAGTTTGGAAAAACTGAAAAATTAATTTCGCAAAAAAATTCCTGCAGACTATTTTCATTTTCAATAAAAAGTTCAATTTGTCAAATTAATTGCCAGCTCGTCCATCTTTTACCACCCCAAAAAACCACTCAATTTTCCTTGGCTCATTTTTGTCTGGCTCATTTTCGAATATGAGCAAGAAGCTTGGCTTTCTACTTATTTTCTTACTGATTTGGAAGGTTATTGATTGTGATGAAAAACAAAAAGAAGTAGATTATGAAGAAGAAGAAGATCCGATTCCAAAAAATCTCTTTCCAACTCACGCCCGCCTTGTCGCAAAAATCTTCGAAGGTTACGATGAAACCGTCGCACCAATCATGAATTCTGATATCTATCAGCAATCCTATACACACAAAAACAACGAGACAACTGATGGATGGGCATTGTGGTATGGAATTGATCAGATGAAAATTATCGATTTGGATGAACCGCAAGAATTGTTCACGACATCGATCAATATTTTATTAGAGTGGCAGGATTTGCGATTGAAGTGGCGGCCGAGCAAATATGATGGGATTCGGAGTATATTTGTGAGGCAGGAAAGAGTGTGGAGCCCGCCGTTTGGCGTTTTTTCAGCGTAAGCATTGCTCAGGTTATAGGGAAAATTTGCCAAATCCACGCGGCCGCTACGATTCCCCAATTCAGAATATTTTTCCAGAAGCGACGTCAAAGATCATCGCGATCTAGATTATCGAATAGTTGAAGTTGTACACACTGGAACAATATCCGAATACGTAACAATGAGATTAACAACAAATTGTGCATTGAATATGCACAATTTCCCATTCGATACCCAAACTTGTGAAATCCATTTGGGATTGTCTAGCGTAAATTACAATCTTTATGATGTTTACATTCAAATGCCCGAAAAACTGGAGGAAATGATTTGTGATATGCGAAATTCTGCATGGGATATTGTGAACATCACAGTTGGAAGTCTAAAACTCAAACCGATTGGATATTTCGAATCGAGACTCGGTGTCATTCGTTTTGTTCTCAAAAGAAATCCAATATTCTACATATATATGATAATATTACCAACATTCACAGTGAATATGATCGCGATTGGTGGAGTGTTTTTGAAAAAATCAACGCAGATGGAAAAATTGACAATCGGGTTCACGCATATTATGACAATGACTTTTATATTGGGTCTGGTTTCGGAGAAAATACCAAAGACTAGTGAGATTCCGTTGTTGGGAAAGTATATTATTTTTGGATTGTGTATGATGATTTTTGCGTTGATTAGTTCGTCGGGATTTCATGGATGTTCGGTGGCTAAGTCTAATAACAGGTAAGAATTATGGCTAGACAGTTAGAGGATTAGAGACGCAGAGACGCAGAGAAGGCAGGCAGCTAGAGGGTTAGAGACACATATGACACTGAATGTGAGGAAAGAAAAAATGCAGAGAAACCAGACAGCTAGATGGTTTGAGACACCAAGAAAGTGGGGGGGGGGGGCTAGAGACGCAGAGAAGTCAGACAGCAAGAGGGTTAGAGATACAGAGAAACCAGGGGCCTAGAGACTAAGGAAGCCATACCGCTAGAGGGTTAGAGACGTAGAGCTATCAGAGTGTTAGAGACGCAGAGAAAACATACTGCTAGAGAGTTAGAGACACAGATAAGCCAGGCAGCTAGAAGGTTAGAGATACAGAGAAACCAGGGGCGTAGAGACTCAGGAAAGCTGGACCTCTAGAGGGTTAGCGACACAGAGAAACCAGGGCGGCTAGGGGATTAGAGACGCAGAGATATCAGAGAGTTAGAGATGCAGAGAAGCCAGTATTTTCAGACGCTATATCATCTTCAAATATCTGAAAATATTTTTCGTAACATCGCTCCAACTTCTCAATATTCTCGCATTTTCCTACATGATTTATCGATTTTCGACATTCGAAATGGAATTCGGAAAGAAACGTGAATGTGATTCGGAAGACTATCTAAGTGAATATCGAACATACTCGAATATGTCGTCACTCATTTACGCATCAAAATTTGCTGGAACTGAACACGAAAAAGGGTTTCAGGACGTATATTCGGATTTGTTAAGCAAGGCCAAAGAAGAATGAAGTTTTCAGTTCAACATTTTTTCATGCTTTTCTCATTTTTCTTAATGAAGTTTTTTGCTTTTTGGAAGTTTCGGTTGAATTTTCAGTTCTGATTGTACTCATAAATATCTCAAATCGAAAAAAACTACGACACTCCGCGTTTACAGCTCACAAAATTGCTGAAATTTAGCGTAGAAAGGAAGAGCATTGTAAAAACTACGAAACTCCGCGTTTACACCTTTAGAACTATCCAATTGTTGTATCAAATATTGATTTTTAGGTTTTGTGTCATATAAAAAAATTCCGCGAAAAATCCAAGCGAAAAATTGCATCAGAAATGTCAAATCAAATAAGATAATCGAATGATCGCAAGGTATGAATCTATAAAACACAAATCATCCGCCAATTTCGCACATTCTCCAAAAATGAGAAATTTGCAGCTTCTCGCTGCATTTTTCCTTTTCTTCGGATCCATTGATTCTCTAAGTTCACTTCGGCAGGATTATCCGGTAGCGATTCAAAGAATTCGAGACGCAATCGTAGCATATGATCGTGATGCCCTTAAAGATCTATTCACTTCAGACTTCAAATTGAGACTGGGGTATAAAAATGTGAGCGCTGATGGAACGATTGATTGGCTGTTGGATCGGAAAAATCACTCGGCATTTCACAGTTTGGCAATCACAACCAATCCCAATTATTATGCTTCAAGATTGTCATTCAAAAGAACACCAATCCAATTGATTATCTATGTTCAAAAATCGAATGGAAAGATCTCCGAAGCAGCGATGCAGCGATCCAGCGAGGTTCCAGAAGAAGATGCTGATACACGTCCAACAGATTTAGAAGAGTTTCGCAGAAAAGTTGTTGAGGCGGTGAACGAGAAGAACAAAACGAGAATCAGGGAATTGATGGGTAGTGGATATGTGACAAATCTCAGCCCTGAAGGTTGGTTAGATCGATTAGAGAGCATGTAGAATTGAGAGACACAGAGAAATCAGAGAGCTAGAGACGCAGAGAAACTGGCCGCTGAAGCGGAAGCTTGCGGTTTACACTCGCTTCGCTCGGCTAGAGAGCATGTAGAATTGAGAGACACAGATATGGTAGATAGCTAGAGACGCAGAGAAACTGGCCGCTGAAGCAGAAGCTTGCGGTTTACACTCGCTTCGCTCGATTAGAGAGCATGTAGAATTGAGAGACACAGACATCGCTTCGAGATATTTGTGAGAAAATGTGTGTTCCTTTGAAATTTGAAAAAAAACCGTGCTTAATTTTTTTGAAGAAATAACTCGCCACGAAATATATTTTCGCGATATTTTTGTAAAATACTACTGACTCAACGGGCGCCATGTATGAGGTATCAGAGTGCTAGAGACGCAGAGGGATAGTTTCCCTGTGTCTCTCAATTCTACATGTTCTCTAATCGAGCGGAGCGACTGTGAGGCGCGCGCCAAAAGTTAGCCCAACTTTAATTTTTCAGAAAAACTTCTCAACGCCTTCACTTTGAGAAAACTCTTCAATTCGAGTCTCATTAGATCATCCGTCGACAATTCATTCGATATTATTTTGCTTTACGAAAATGGCCGAACTATTCGCATCCATGGACTGGTCTACAAAAATGACAAACCAATTGAAGTGACGTATATTGGTGCGTTCAACCCGTCAACGACAACTTCAACTTCAACAACCACAACTACACCCAGACCACCACCAACGACAACTTCAACCACCACAACTACACCTAGACCACCACCAACTGAAACAACACCTGTGGTGGACCCAGTCCACGTCTTCCACGATGCTTTGATTCGCGCGGTTTACCAGAAAGATCGCAAAGACGTTCACGATCTTCTGATCACTTATAATTCAACTGATTTGAATGAGAAAGTTAAAGAAATCATCTCGCATGATTTGGAAAGATCTCGCATCGAAACATCGAACAATAAGTTCACAATCGCACTTGAATACAAGGATGGTACGGTTATTAAAGTTCAAGGAAGATTGGTTGATGGTCAAATTTATATCAGGAAAATTTATTTGGTAAAGAATCCGACGGTGATTACATCTAAGCCAGTTCAGACTACACCCAAACCAATTCTATCAGGTGCGAAATTCTACGAGGAATTGGTGAAAGCTATCAAGAAATCGGATAGAAATCGAGTTGAAGTGTTGATTGGAACCAAGTATACAACGAATTCTACAGCAACTAAAGGTGGGTGTCAGAGTGGAGTGTTGTAGTTAGGTATCTCGAAATTCCAGAAGAACTTCTTGATAAATTCATCGGTAATCTCGAACACCACAGTTACAAAATCTATGGATTTGGATCATTCAGAATTGTACTTCAATACAAATCTAAGCTCGAAATACAAATCACTGGCTATCGCGGTGATTCAAGTAACATTCATATAACAATCGGAAAAGTTGATCCATATCCGGTTGATGAAGATCCAACAAGACATCCAGAAGAGTTCTATAAGAAGTTGGTTGCTGCTATTAAGAAAAAAGACGAGCGAAAAGTTAGACAAACTTTGGGAAAAAATTATAAGACAAATGTGAAAACTGAGCAAATTCTTCTGAAGGAATTCACACAAGATTTGGAAAGCTCAATATTCAATAAAACTGGGAATTTTGTTATTGAATTGATCTACACATCTGGAACTACAATCACAATTCGTGCACAAAGAATGGCAGATACTGAATACAGTCATGTACTTACAATCACTGTCAATAAGCCTGAGAAAATTCCAGTGGACGCTAGAAAGTTCTACGAGTTGTTGGTGAAGGCAATCAGGGAGAAGAAGGCGAATTTGGTGAAGAGATTGATTGGAGAGCGCTATAAGGTCAATGTTGATAGAAGTAAGTTAGAAACATAGAGAAATCAGACAGCTAGAGACGCAGAGAAACTGGCCGCTGACGCGGACGCTTGCGGTCTTTACTCTCCACGCTCGAGCGCTTTGCGCGAGTGTAAACTGTGTCATAGCAATCCACGTGGTCGCCAAAGCGGAAGAGAGTGCCGCTCACGCTTGCAGAATTCATTAGATATTGAATTATGTTCCAGAAAAAGTCATCGAATATCTTCTGCAAGATTTGAAAACAAATTCATTCAGACAAGTGTATGATTTTGATTTTGAAGTACATCTCGATTACTCGAATGGTCAACGAATTATTGTGAAACTATCGGAAACTGATTTTGGTGAACTACGTGTAAATGTTGACGAAATTCGTGTTCTCATCAAAGGAATCACTGCTCGATATATATTTGAGCAAATTCGAACAGCTGTTCAAACTCAAGATAGACCATTCCTAAATTATTTGATCGGATATGCTGATACTAAAAACCATGATGCTGAAAATGTTTTGTTAAGTTCTAAAGGAAATATCAGCGATAGTAAATATACCAGCCATCCAGGAAAATTCGAATTTTATATTACTTTATCAAATGGCAAGAAGGTTGTGTTTAGTGGAATTGATACTGGAATTGGAAAAGAAGTTCATATCGATTCGATTCAAATTATCGATGGAACTACGACTCCCAAAGTAACAACTGCGACAACTGTGCCAGTCACAACACCTAGAAGACCTGAGAGTCCAGAAGAGTTTTATAAATTATTGGTGAAAGCGATCAGGGAGAAGGATGAAAAATCGGTGGGAGGATTGATTGGGAATCATTATAAAACTAATGTTGATAGAAGTAAGTCCTACGAAAAAAAGAAGACACTCAAAAACCAGAAAACAAAAAAAATAAAAGTAAAAGAACGATACTCCGCGTGCCCGTTTTTTAGCGTGAAATATTTCAGTTTGTTTTCAAATACTTCAATAAAATCTTGAAATAAATCCTCATAATAATTTAAAAACAACTTTCCTTTAGTAATTTTCAATAAAAACTTTACCCAGTGTAGTTCTAATATCACCTCCTGTTAGTTCTATCCCCCACCCCGCAACCCCAAAATAAACTAACTTGACTGGGGCCCGTTCCGTGAGAAGTTGTTGATCGTCCTGTCCAAACGAAACATCTTCGGAATCCTGAAACTTCTACATTCTTAAAATGTTCGCCAATTCTTATTCTTAAACTCACATCAAAAAATGAAAATTGTGGATTTGTTGGAATTTTACTCCTGCATTCGGTGACGGTTGTCTCTGAAAAATAAGAACATTAAAAAATCTAATTTAAATAAAAGTAAATTTATCAAATTCAAAGGGAAATAACACTCTTTGCGCAGTTCACACTCAAAAACCAGAAAAAAATAAAAAAGACGCGAAAAAAAAGAAAGCGAAACAACGATACTCCGCGTGCTTGTTGTTTAGCGTGTTTGTTTTGTTTGCTTTCTTTTTGCCGGGTGAATGAGAGAGTGTGGGAAATGGAGAGAGGGTAGAGAGAGAGAAAGAGAGAGATTATTGATCGCGTTTTAGAAAAAATGTAGAAATTTTCCAGAATCGGTCATCAAATACCTCATCGGAGATCTGAATAACAGCACAATGAAAGACAGATCGACTCACGCCATAATCACTCTTGATTACGCAAATCATCAAAGAATCATTGTTAATATGGTGGTGAATGATTTCGGTACAAGATTCGTCCGTGTTGTGGAAATTCGAGTTTTCCTTAAACCGGAAAGTGGAGAGCAATTATTTGAAGAATTGGGTAAAGCTATCAAGAATAAGGATCAGGTGTATACATATTATTTGATTCGATTGTTCAAAACTGAAGAAGAAAGTAACAATGTTGTGAAAGTTCTTTTGAGTTCAGGAAGTGTGATTGGAAGTGACTATCAACCTTGGAGTTGGGGCGAATTCAGGTTCTATTTTGATTTTTCAAACGGGAAACGAGTTATATTTGATGGAAGTAAATCGGATCATAGAAATGAGATTTCCATAGAAAGTATCAAGATAGTTATTCTACAAGATGTTCAGGATGGAAAAGATTTAAGGAAAATAAGAGTGAAATTCGAGGGAGCTATCAGAACGAACAATACAAATGCGTTGAATGTTTTGATTGACAAGGATTTCAAGATGATTTATGATCAAGAAGAATCGCAATCGAATAAACAACGGATTATTCGAGCACTTTTGGAGAAAACATTGAGAATTGAGGTGAGCCGGTCGAGTGTAGCGAGTGTAAACCGGAAGCTTCCGCGCCAGCGGCACTATCTTCCGCTTTAGCGGCCACGTAGATTGCAATTAACACGTCATAACAATCCGCGTGGCCGCTTCGCGGAATCTTGCGGTCGCGCAGAGCGCTCGAGCATATAAACCCAGATTTTTTCCAGGACATCGAATTCAACAAAAAACTCACCCGTGATGCTCCATACTACGTAACAGTTCACGGTGTTTTGACGAAAAATGGGCAATCTGGAAACTTCGAGGCATCATTCAACAAAGGAAAATCAGAACATGATTTGATTTTGATGAGAGCCAAGTATGAGAAGGATATTATAAGAAGAAAAAGTGCTCAGCATTGAATTTTGAGTTGATTTTTGATGATAAACATTCATTTTTACGGAAATTTTTTAACATCCTCTCAATTTTTGTTCAAAAATGCCACGTGGCTACATTTTACCCGCCCGAAACTTTTTTTCCTGATCACGAAAAAATCACAAATCATCCTCGCTACCCGAATTTTTTCAATTATCATCAAAAACCTATTCTTTGTTCCCAAAAATGTACATTTTTGAAAAAAATGTACATTTTCTTATCTTGACCAAACAGAAAAAAAGGCGAAAAGTTTATTTTTTCATTCAAAAACGGTTCTTGTTGACGTCGAAGATTTGGTTGGCAGAGGTGTGTTGATGTTGAGATACCTGCAGAAGGAAATAGGTCAAAAATCGGGGGGAAAATAGCAAGTGTGCTCTATTGAGAGGGCCAATTTCTCCCTAAACTCACGAATAAGTGTTATAAAATTCCAACAACTTCTTCAACGAATCAAAACTTGGTCGCGGCTCTCTCGCCGTGAGCACAAACCAACCAAATTCATTATAGCTCAACTCCATGAACGCCACCTCATGGCTATAGATTTTCTGCGCGACGAACAGATGAATTTTGGCGGGAATCGGTTTTTTGGTGTTCGGAATGGGATAGAATGTGATGTATTCGCCGGGTTGAACCAATTTTGCGGCGGCTTTTTTCGTGAGCACACCTTTGAAAATCGGGTCGAATGGGACTTGGGAGATTGAGATTGGAGTGGTTGAAGTTGTGGTGAGATTCGAATCTGGAGAGCTTAGAGATGAGATTGAAGCTGATGCACTCATCATTGTTTTCTGAAAAAAATTTAAATTTATTTTGGGGTTTTCCAAGTGCGCTCTATTGATAATTCAAAGTTTCTAGAGCCATGGGGTTACTGTAGAGCACTATATTTTGATGAAGGAAAAACTTGAGTACAGTACTACCTTCTACAGTATTCAAGTACAGTAGTCAAGTCTATAGCTCTACAGTACTCCTTAGCGCCAAGGATTACTGTAGTTCTCCCCAAGCCCAATTTACCTGCTCAGTTTCTTCAATTTCCGATCGCCACGTCAAATCCATATCTGATAAAATTCAAGAAATGCTCATTTTTGGATTTTTTTTCACGCGTCACGTTTTTCTTTTTGGTGACCCGACCCGGATTTGAATTTTTTCCCGGAATTTATTTTTTCGTCTTATCAGAGGTTGTTCCACACTTTTTTCGTCGAAATGAGCACGTGGTTGGCTCCGCCCGCTTTTCGAAAGTTCACAACGAACTTGGAAAATATAAATTTGTCAACGGAATGTCAATTTTTCATCGATAAGAAATCGCAACCTTTTTTGATACCTTTTTGATAAGAAAAAGTTCAGAAATTAATTTTTTTAATCTAAAATAAAAATTAAATTAAATTTCAGAATGCTCCGAGCTCTCTTATTCTCCGCATTCATCGCCGCTTCTCTCGCCGCAGCTCTCCCAGCTCCCGGCGAATTCGCAGACTGTGCAGCTCCAAATGGCACAGATAAACTGATGCATTGGTGGCAGTGCAATTCGGGACCAGTTCAATTTTTGAACGCGACACCTTACGATTCAGCGGGAAAGAACTATGAGTATCCGATTCATTTGAGTCAACCGATTGTTGTCAAAACCATCATAAATAATCCATCAGCCACGTATACTGCGGGAAATTTGAGAAATACTGTGAATATTTGGAAGTATGGAGGATGGGGTGGATGTGTTTGGTCATCGATTCCAACTTTGGGACTTTTGTAAGTTCAGGGGGGCTTTTTAGGCTTCGGCCTATTAGGCTTAGGGGGGCTTTTTGGGCTTAGAAAAGCTTTTTCAGGTTAGAAAGGCCTTTTGAGGTTAGAAAGGCCTGTTAGGCTCAGGAGGGCCTTTAGGCCTTTTAGACTTAGGAAGGCCTTTGAGGCTTAAGAAGGCCTTTTGGGTTTAGGAAAGCGTTTGAGCCTTTTAGGCTTAGGAAAGCCTTTAGGCTTATAAAAGCATTTAGGCTTATTAAGCTTAGGAAAGCATTTAGGCTTATTAGGCTTAGGGCATTTAGGCTTATTAGGCTTAGGAAGGCTTTCAGGCTTAGGCTTATTCCTATTTTTAGATAAAACTATCAGCAATAGAGCGCATTTGCAACTACCTAAACCCCCGACACACGCCTTTTAAATATGACAATTTTGGGCTTAAAAAATCAGCGCGCTTGGCCGAGTGGTATACACGGCTGCAGATCATTCACCCAGCCAGGGTTCGATCCCACCCGCTGCCCTAACTTTTTTATTTTTTTTTGAAATTTAACTAGAAATTTCGAATTATCAGTAGAGCGCACGTGGTTTCTTATCAAATGGGGTGTCGTTTTGAAGCCTTTTGAAAAATCCATCTCAATTTTCAGAAAAGACCTTGATGCTTGCGCCAACGGAGTTCCATGTCCAATCAAACCAGGAAACAATCAAGAACTCGACGTCGTCGTCGATTTCACCCAATTCGAACAAATCATTCAACTCTTGAAAGACAATCAACCCTATCAATTGGAATACATTTTGGACGACAAGATCACCAAAGACGAAGCCTGTTTGATGGTCCAAGCCTGGGCTTATCTTAAGTAGACTTTTGAATTGTGAACTGTGAGATTCGAGATGTTTTTTGTACTTTGATTTGCTTTAATTTAATTCAAGGTTTGACCTAAACCTTCTTAATGTTTTTTGATTTATTTACGGGAATAAATGTATATATCTGCTGCAAAATTTGTTGATCAGTTCAGTGGAGCGCATTTGCTTCAAAATGTAGTTATAATTCCTGGTTTTTTGAATTTTCCGGCTCGAAATCTCGCCCAAACTACGTGCTCTTCTGAGCCCACATGCCAGTCCAAAAACCACTAACCAAGAAATTTTTTTGATAAGAATGCCCCAATAAAAACCACGTGTTTTCCAGGGAAATTATCAGTTCTTCATAAACTTTTGTGTAAACTTTTGCTCCGAATTTTTTTTCCTCCCAAAATTGATTTTTAAATGTTTAGAAGTACTAACCTAAGCCTATGCAGGGGGTACTGTAGTTCATTTCGAGACCCAATCGTGAAATAACTATTTTACTATCAAAGTAAGTAAAAAAAATAATTATAAAAAATTTACTATTTCAAGATTTTTTGAAATTTAAGAAATAAAATTGTTTTTCGATTCATTCTTGTGTTAGTAGAATAATGAATAATTCTTTAAAAATTCTGGGCTCAAAATTTCAGTAAAAAGTTTTACCCATACGAAAAAAATTCATTAAAAAATTTCACTGTTTCAAACTTTTCATAAATTTTTAGTTGAAACTTACCTTTTCAATATTGTCTTGACACATTAACTCTCGAATTTTAATTTTTTTTTTTCAAATTTTGAAATCTGTTTGAGAAATATTCAAAATCCTCTAAATTTTCAGCCTGAAAAATGCACCGCATCTTATTCGCTCTCCTTCTCTGCGTCTCTCTATCTCTCGCCTGTGATCAATGGCCAAACACCACAGAAACCAAAACAACTTGGTGGCAATGTTCATCAGGTCCAGCTCAAGTTGTAAATGTTCAACCAACTGATAAATCAGGAAAATATGAATATCCGATCAAATTGACCGAGCCATGCTTGATTCAAACAACATTGAATAATCCGAACACGGTGTATTCGAGTCCTGGACTTAAGCAAACTATTAAGGTTGCGTCGTGGAATCAATTTTCGTGCTCTTGGTCAAATGTTCCAACTTTTGGATTATTGTGGGTTTTTAGGGGCTTGGGAAAACGTATACGTCGAGCGAAATTAAAAAAATCAATTTTGAGATGTGAATTTTTTGAAACGTAAAAAATCTGGGAGGTTTTATGAAATTCTGTATTAGGCTCGGGAAGGCTTATAAAAGTTTCTTAGGCTTTGTTAGGCTCATTATGAGGAGGAATTTTGAGTTTAACATGAGCAATGAAGAAAATTTGATTCAGAATATTGCTCATACTAAAAAAAGCAATCTTGTGATAAAAATTCAGAAATTAAAGCCAAAAATTGTGATTTTTGAGAGAAAATGAGCCCAGAAAATTCTAATTTCCCGCTAGAACACAGAAATTTGCAAAATTGCTTTATTGAGAATTTGACTAGTGTTGCTCATATTAAAGAGTTTAACATGAGCAATTAGGACAATTTTTGACCCATCAAATGAAGTGTCATTTTGAAGCTCTTTCAATTTCCCATCAAAAAAACCCCACAAAAAAACTCAATTTTCTCTCTCTTCAGAACCGACATCGACGCCTGCACCAACGGTGTCCCATGTCCAATCAAAACCGGCAACAATCAAATCGTCAATCTCGAACTCGATTTCTCCGACACTCCAGCCATCATCAACTTGCTTCACAACGATAAACCATATCAATTGACATATATTCTTCATGATGATGTTTCGAAAGAGGAGATTTGTATGAGTTTCCAAGCGAGATGTTTGACCAAGTAAATTTTTCGGTTTAGAAAAAAAATTAAATAAATATTTCTATCATTTTTATAGGGAACAGTTAAAAATTCTCATTAATCATCAGTAAAAAATCAATATCTATCAATTTCCCTAATTTCGTGTCTTGACACGAATCAAAAGGGCTAAAAATGCTAAAAATCTGAAAATGACCAACATTCCGATCATAATAATCAGGTCAAAATATAAATGATTTTGGGAGAAGCTCAAATTTTCCAAGACTGCCGGGCCGTTTTCGAGGCAAATTGTTGAGTTGAGGGTGGAGCAGCCTGGAAAAAACAATATATTTGGTGTCTGCCGAACTGAATGCATCAAATTTGAAAATTTAGAAAAATATTTCGAAACTTTTTGAAACAGTGAATTTTTAGCGAGAAAGAATGGCTTAAAATTCCTAGACTTTTTTTTTCAAAAAATCTTGAAACAGTGGAAATTTCAGAATCAAATATTCGCGTTCTGACATTTTTTCTTCAAATTTTTAGACATCGAAAATCGAGTATCATATCATTGATAATTCAACAAAATTTATTTCAAAAAGTTTTGAAACAGTAAATTTTTTTGTAGAAAAAACATTGAAATTCCTAGAATTTTGGATAACTTTCGAGATCAAAATACACTGAATTTTGGCTTTCAAAAAATTTTAGAACAGTATTTTTCAAAGTCATGTGTAAGGTGTATGAGCAAACAAGCAAACTGAAAATTTGAAAAATTTTTTAAAAATATATTTGAAACAGTGAATTTTTTGGTACAATTTTGAGAGAAAAATTCCTAGAAATCTGGTTTTCAAGAATTTTGAAAAATTATTTTGCAAACAAAACGAGTACCTATCGAACTTGAAAATTCAGAAAAATATTTCAAGAAGTTTTTGAAACAGTACATGTTTCTGTATACTATTTTGGGAGAAAAGTTCCATGAATCATCAACAATGAAGATATATCAAACTTCTACACTCAAAGAAATAATTCAACATTTTTTGAAACAGTACAATTTTTTGATTCATTTTTCCAACCAGTATTATCCATCTGAAAAGTGATATTGGAGAGATTCTCAGGTTCCCATGTGTTTTAAATTTCTAAAATCTGGGAGGGGAGAAAGTTTCTTTTTTCTAAATCCCAAAGAAAGAACGGAAAAATTAAGAGTGTGTTAACACCGACTGCCCGCAAACACCAAATCCTACGCGCAATCTTGGCGCCAAATACGCGCTACTCTATTTTCTAGAATTTTCTGGGGACTATAGTTTCATTTTGAAAAAAAAATGATCGAAGGAGAAATGTGTGTAAACATCAGACATTACGCGCAAGCTTTAAAACTTTGCAAAAAGAAATTTAATTTTGATATGCCACAAAAAAACATTTAGCGTATCTCGTTCATTTTTTTCTGTCAACAAAAAAAAACACAAAAAAGCAGAGAGAAAAAATAATATATTTTTGCGTGAACGTGAAATTTGTCGTGGCAAATGTCATTTCAACGATAATTTTTCAGTTATTTCAAATTTTCGGCGAGAAACAAAATGGCAGATGAGTTTTTTTCTCTTGGGGCTCCCCGAATTCATTTCCCTTTTCGAACAAATCCACGTGTCTCTCCTGGAGTAAAGTACAGCTCAACTTAGCCTAACTCTGGATAGTAAAGCTTCTTAAGTTGAGCATTAGCCATTGCAATTGTCAGGAACCTCGACATGAGTTACCTTAAGTCACTTTTTGGTTATACTCTCGATTTTGTCGACTTGATTTGGTTGGAAAAACTGTGAAGGGAGAGATCGAGGTTCGCTTTTCAATGAAAAGAAAACGTGGAATTATTCAAGGGAGAGGGAAATTTGGTATTTTTAATGAGGGAAAAAACGGTATTTCCATGAAAAATCATAACTATTTCAGAAACAAACTCGAAAACCATGGAAAACCCGACTGAAGCACAAAACAACAAAAATCAAAGCCTCTGAAGTTTTCGGTAAGTTTTTCTAACCAAAAAATAAAAAGTTCTGGAATTTTAATTGAAAATTTATTCAATTGGAATTTCAGATGGAATGCGGAAGCTATGTCCAAAATTGCATTTTTTTTCACCAGAAACTTGGAATTTTCAGAAATAGAACAATTTGATGTTTTTCAGAGCAAAAGCGGTCATCGAACATCACAAAAATGCCGAGGATTTCTAATTTTTCAATTATTTTATGTTGCCAACTTCTTGCGGAAAAGCCAAGAAGCAGGTTTTTGCTTTAGTTTTTTTTTCTAAATTCCACAAATATCCAATAACCCCAGATTCTCGCAGAAAAGCCGAGAAACTGGAGTTTTGTTTTAAATTCCACGTTAATCTTTATCTCTATGTTGAGTCAAAAAATCCTCTATGAGATCCGTTGTTTGTCTCGATTAAAATGCCACGTATGAATTCGGTGATTTTCCCGCTAAATTGCGAGTTGAAATTCTGCACATTGGCATTTTGGCTCAAAATGCCACGTGGAAATTCCGTATTTCTCGAAAACAGTTTTTTAAAAATGGAACTAAATTACAAAGGTCAAAAACAGAGAATCACAAGGGTGAATAGGTTACGCGTTTTCCTATCGGCGAGTCTAGAAATTAAAACCTTTCAGAAAATTTCATTTTTAAAATTGTCTCTGAAACTCATAAATTTTGAATTTCTAGTCCTCAGGAAACACAGCGCGTATTTCGCGCCAAGCTTGCGCATTTTGGTGTTTGCGGGCAGTTGACACATACTCTTATTTTTTTTCGTTCTTTCTTTAGTTTTGGTAGCATAAAAAAACGATTATCAAAGTTTCAAAACTTCAGACTTCGATTCAAAAATTTTTGAAACAGTGAGAAGTTTTTGGTGCTTCATATACCAACATTTTGAGAAATTAAATTCATTAGAATTCAATGAATGCATGGGATTAAATTTCAGAACGAGAAAAATGATTTAGAAAAAATTTGAAACATATTTTATTCGTGAAATTTTCGTTAGATGTTTGGCGATCAGAACTACCGAAATATTTTTAAAATCAGAAAGTATTTGGAAACTAAAACAACCAATAGCGAATCAAATTTTAGAAAAAGAAAAAATCATTCAAAAATTTTTGAAACAGTGAAATTTTAGTATATTCATTTAATTTTTTTTGTTGTTCAAAATTCCTCAATTTTTTCTTTTAAAAATGCTGGAAAAAATCGTGAGAAATGAAATAGCTGCGAAATCAAACTTGAAAAATCAAAAAAATTATTTCAAAAATTTTGAAACAGTAATTTTTGGGAGAAAAAATAACCAAGAATTTCGGCCTAAAAACATTTTGGTATTATTTTTAATCATTTTCTGCTGGTATTATGTGAAGGAAGATAACCTCTGAAACTAAATTTCAAAACCTAACTAAAATAATTTTGAAAAATTGAAACAATGATTTTTTTGTGTATATTTTGTGGAAGAAAAATTCCCATGTCAAAGAGCGATTTATTAAACTAGAAAAAGTAAAAAAAAATTTCAAAGAATTTTGAAACAGTTAATTATTTTGGAAGACAATAAAATTAAATTACTAGAATTTAGATTTAAAAAATTCTAAGAAATGTTTTTGTAAATTTTTTTATATAAAAATTTACTGTTTCAAAATTCAATGAAATATTTTCGTCGATTTTTGGAACTTAATTTTCGACGTCTTTTTCCCTCCAAAAATCACTCACCATCAATATTTCCCACATTTTTCCATTGTCCAATCGCAACCGCCTCATAACCATATCCAAAATACGACAAATACTTGAGAGGTCTGAAGAATACCGGCAAACTGTCTTGATTGATAAAAAACCCGCCCATCGCCATCATCGGAACAACAAAAATCGGCATAATTGCCACCGCCAAATTCACACTTCCAAATATGCACGAAAACAGATAGCCAATCGATATCGCGATATTTTGCACCAAAAATCCCACCAAAACATAGATCAAAAATACTTGCCAAATCGGGATCAATCCTGACATCCAATATAAAATCGATGTAAAAATGACTGCACAAATCGTGTAGCTGGGAAGTTCGGCTAAATTCTTGGCCAGGAAATATGCGCTAACGCGATATAATCCACTGCTAGTTTCTCTGTAGAACGTCTCGATTTCGAAGCAGAAATGATGAACAACTGAGAATTGAAACATAAATGCCATATTTGTGACCATTTGGTATAATGAGCCGTTTATTGACATGATTTTTTGTTGGGTGATTGGTGTGTTATTGGTGTAGATTAGACCGGTTAGTAGAGCAATTATCTGGAAGAAAATTGAGATTTTTTGGAGGTTTTAGAGTTTACAGATGTTACTTGAGAAACTAGAACTTCTAGACTTAGGCTACTTGAGAACTAGGCTCTCAAGGGACGGCTGTGTTTCCTAGTGAATCCCAAGGCGCGGCTCCTTGACAGCGAGGGCCTGTAGGCGTGAGTCCTAGACAATTAGGTTCTTGAGGCGATGCTACTTCAGAACTAGGCTCTCAAGGCGCCGCTTCTTGAGAACTAGGGTTTCTAGGCGCAGCTGCTTGATAACTAGGCTCTCAAAGAGTGCCTGCTTGACATATGCGCTCTCTAGGCGCGGCTGCTTGATAACTAGGCTCTCAAGGCGCTGCTACTGTAAGAATACGCTCTCAAGGGACGACTGCTTGTCAGGGAGGATCTGTAGGCGCTGCTCCTAGATAAATACGTTCTCAAGGAGCGGCTACTTGGATTTCTAGGCGATTTTTGATTGAAGTACAGAATCAAAAACGAAAATCTATTCAAATGTTTGATTTTGCCATAATTTTGAAACCTATTTTTTCTAGGAATTTTCATTAAAAAACATTTGCACAATTTCAGCCAACATTGCATTAGCACAGTATTTTAGAGATCAAAACCAAAAAAAACCCACCACACTTTGAGTTATCTGAACTTGCAGCAAAGTTGGCTCTCGGATAACAGTTTTTCCGGCTCTCCAAGTCAACGCTCGCAATTGTTGGAAAAATGTTGACGGGAATTTTTTCTCCTGCAAACTATCGTATCTTCGACGCCACGTGTCACTGCTGGATTCACTGTAGACTTCGGCTGCAAAAAAATGACTGTTTCAAATTTTTTTTGAATTTCAAAAAATTCTGGATATAGAAATTTTTGAAAATTTCACTGTTTCAAAAAATTATTAAAGAGAAACTTCATAATTATTTTTGATTTCTTTACAATTTTTATAAAAAATCAAACTTTTCTCCAAAAAATACTGTTTCAAGATATTTTAATTCGACAAATTTAAAATTTTCGAGGCTTTATCTTGGAGGTTTACATCAAAATTTTCAATCTTCAAAATTTCACTGTTTCAAGAAAATTGGAAACTTCAAAGAAAATTATCATATTTTCCGTTAGAATTTCATGAAAAATCTAATTTTTTCCAGAAATCTATTGTTTTCAGGGCTTTTTCTCGCAGTTTTACAGCCAAAAGTTGAAATTGTCAGATTTCTTCAAAAATCTACTGTTTCAAAGAAATTTTAATTTAAAAAATAAAAATTGATTTTCAATCTGTGTTTAACCCCTATTTCTCTAAAAATCTACTGTTTCAAGGTTCAAAAGAATTTTTAAAGACACATTTCTTTATAAAAAAAAATCCACTGTTTCACCAAAACCCAAAAAAACTCACACGACAATCTTCCAGTAGCCTCTTTCCAAATCTTCATCCCATTTTCCGATTTTTCAAAACTATCACAAATTTCTAGAATTTGTCTTCTATCTAATGATGTTTTTTGTGATGATAAAGTGGCCAAATAATGATCGCATGGGTTGAAATTCAGAGGAACTCCAATTTTCAAATCTTTCCATAAGTTTTCGGCTTCGATTTGGGAACCACAGAAGGCCACTTTTCCATTTACCATTATGTAAATGCTGGAAAAATTGGGAAATTTAACGATATTGGATTAATTTTGAATTCAGAAATTGTATAATAAAAAACATTTGAAACAGTGAATTTTTCAAAAATAAAATTTTCGGGATTTTTCTCAAGATTTTTCGTTTCAGAAATTTTCAGCAAGTCTATTTTCAGATTTTCAATTCTTTTGGAAATAATGCTTGAAATTTAGATTTTTACAGATTAAAGACAAGGAAACAATTTGGCACCATAGTTTGTCACTTAAAAACAATTTTGAAACAGTGGATTTTTCAAAAACAAAATATTTGGGATTTTTTTTCAAGATTTTTTTTGCTAGAAATTCTCAGCAAGACAATTTTCAGCAAGTCTATTTCCAGATTTCCAATTCTTTCGGAAATAATGCTTGAAATTTAGATTTTTTACAGATTTTTTACAGACGTGGTAACAATTTGGCATCATAGTTTTTTACTTAAAAAACAATTTTGAAACAGTAATTTTTTTCAAAAATATAATTTTTGAGACTTTTCTCAAGATTTCTTTTTATTTCAGAAATTTTTAGATTTCGATTTTTTTCAATCTGAGGAAAATTTCGGACAGAATCAAATTTTAATTCAAAAATTTTAATTTTCCCAACCGCCCAAAACCACCTTACCTATCAAAAAGTTGAAAGACTTGTGAAGACGGTTGATGAATTGTCAACAAAATAGTCATTCCTTGTTTTTTGGCCAAATTTTTGAGAACACAAATCACTTGATAGGCCAAAAATGCGTCGAGTCCAGAAGTTGGCTCATCGCAGATTAGAATTGGTGGACTTGTGAGAATCTGAAAAATAGATTTTTTTTGATTTTTCAAATCTAGCTCAATTTTATGGATAAAAATGATAAAACGTCGTTTCGTAGTCACTACGAATTCCTTATTTTTCAAATCTAGCTCAATTTTATGGATAAAAATGATAAATCGTCGTTTCGTAGTCACTACGAATTCCTTATTTTTCAAATCTAGCTCAATTTTATGGATAAAAATGATAAATCGTCGTTTCGTAGTCACTACGAATTCCTTATTTTTCAAATCTAGCTCAATTTTATGGATAAAAATGATAAATCGTCGTTTCGTAGTCACTACGAATTCCTTATTTTTCAAATCTAGCTCAATTTTATGGATAAAAATGATAAATCGTCGTTTCGTAGTCACTACGAATTCCTTATTTTTCAAATCTAGCTCAATTTTATGGATAAAAATGATAAATCGTCGTTTCGTAGTCACTACGAATTCCTTATTTTTCAAATCTAGCTCAATTTTATGGATAAAAATGATAAATCGTCGTTTCGTAGTCACTACGAATTCCTTATTTTTCAAATCTAGCTCAATTTTATGGATAAAAATGATAAATCGTCGTTTCGTAGTCACTACGAATTCCTTATTTTTCAAATCTAGCTCAATTTTATGGATAAAAATGATAAATCGTCGTTTCGTAGTCACTACGAATTCCTTATTTTTCAAATCTAGCTCAATTTTATGGATAAAAATGATAAATCGTCGTTTCGTAGTCACTACGAATTCCTTATTTTTCAAATCTAGCTCAATTTTATGGATAAAAATGATAAATCGTCGTTTCGTAGTCACTACGAATTCCTTATTTTTCAAATCTAGCTCAATTTTATGGATAAAAATGATAAATCGTCGTTTCGTAGTCACTACGAATTCCTTATTTTTCAAATCTAGCTCAATTTTATGGATAAAAATGATAAAACGTCGTTTCGTAGTCACTACGAATTCCTTATTTTTCAAATCTAGCTCAATTTTATGGATAAAAATGATAAAACGTCGTTTCGTAGTCACTACGAATTCCTTATTTTTCAAATCTAGCTCAATTTTATGGATAAAAATGATAAATCGTCGTTTCGTAGTCACTACGAATTCCTTATTTTTCAAATCTAGCTCAATTTTATGGATAAAAATGATAAAACGTCGTTTCGTAGTCACTACGAATTCCTTATTTTTCAAATCTAGCTCAATTTTATGGATAAAAATGATAAATCGTCGTTTCGTAGTCACTACGAATTCCTTATTTTTCAAATCTAGCTCAATTTTATGGATAAAAATGATAAATCGTCGTTTCGTAGTCACTACGAATTCCTTATTTTTCAAATCTAGCTCAACTTTATGGATAAAAATGATAAAACGTCGTTTCGTAGTCACTACGAATTCCTTATTTTTCAAATCTAGCTCAATTTTATGGATAAAAATGATAAATCGTCGTTTCGTAGTCATACATGAAATGGGTCCCCTGAATCGGGGTGAGGGGCTTAACTTTTTCAAAAATCTGAAGAGAAGGGTGCCTAACTTGGCCAATTTTCTGCTGATAATTTACCAAAATTCGCTCAAAAATGTGAGGCAGGTGTTTAACTTTGGAACATTTTCAAGGAGGGACCCTAACTTTAAAAACTGACTCGGGGACCTATTTTATGTGTGTTCGTAGTCACTACGAATTCCTTATTTTTCAAATCTAGCTCAATTTTATGGATAAAAATGATAAATCGTCGTTTCGTAGTCACTACGAATTCCTTATTTTTCAAATCTAGCTCAATTTTATGGATAAAAATGATAAATCGTCGTTTCGTAGTCACTACGAATTCCTTATTTTTCAAATCTAGCTCAATTTTATGGATAAAAATGATAAATCGTCGTTTCATAGTCACTACGAATTCCTTATTTTTCAAATCTAGCTCAATTTTATGGATAAAAATGATAAATCGTCGTTTCGTAGTCACTACGAATTCCTTATTTTTCAAATCTAGCTCAATTTTATGGATAAAAATGATAAATCGTCGTTTCGTAGTCACTACGAATTCCTTATTTTTCAAATCTAGCTCAATTTTATGGATAAAAATGATAAATCGTCGTTTCATAGTCACTACGAATTCCTTATTTTTCAAATCTAGCTCAATTTTATGGATAAAAATGATAAATCGTCGTTTCGTAGTCACTACGAATTCCTTATTTTTCAAATCTAGCTCAATTTTATGGATAAAAATGATAAAACGTCGTTTCGTAGTCACTACGAATTCCTTATTTTTCAAATCTAGCTCAATTTTATGGATAAAAATGATAAATCGTCGTTTCGTAGTCATACATGAAATGGGTCCCCTGAATCGGGGTGAGGGGCTTAACTTTTTTCAAAAATCTGAAGAGAAGGGTGCCTAACTTGGCCAATTTTCTGCTGATAATTTACCAAAATTCGCTCAAAAATGTGAGGCAGGTGTTTAACTTTGGAACATTTTCAAGGAGGGACCCTAACTTTAAAAACTGACTCGGGGACCTATTTTATGTGTGTTCGTAGTCACTACGAATTCCTTATTTTTCAAATCTAGCTCAATTTTATGGATAAAAATGATAAATCGTCGTTTCGTAGTCACTACGAATTCCTTATTTTTCAAATCTAGCTCAATTTTATGGATAAAAATGATAAATCGTCGTTTCGTAGTCACTACGAATTCCTTATTTTTCAAATCTAGCTCAATTTTATGGATAAAAATGATAAATCGTCGTTTCATAGTCACTACGAATTCCTTATTTTTCAAATCTAGCTCAATTTTATGGATAAAAATGATAAATCGTCGTTTCATAGTCACTACGAATTCCTTATTTTTCAAATCTAGCTCAATTTTATGGATAAAAATGATAAATCGTCGTTTCGTAGTCACTACGAATTCCTTATTTTTCAAATCTAGCTCAATTTTATGGATAAAAATGATAAATCGTCGTTTCGTAGTCACTACGAATTCCTTATTTTTCAAATCTAGCTCAATTTTATGGATAAAAATGATAAATCGTCGTTTCGTAGTCACTACGAATTCCTTATTTTTCAAATCTAGCTCAATTTTATGGATAAAAATGATAAATCGTCGTTTCGTAGTCACTACGAATTCCTTATTTTTCAAATCTAGCTCAATTTTATGGATAAAAATGATAAATCGTCGTTTCGTAGTCACTACGAATTCCTTATTTTTCAAATCTAGCTAAATTTTATGGATAAAAATGATAAATCGTCGTTTCGTAGTCACTACGAATTCCTTATTTTTCAAATCTAGCTCAATTTTATGGATAAAAATGATAAATCGTCGTTTCGTAGTCACTACGAATTCCTTATTTTTCAAATCTAGCTCAATTTTATGGATAAAAATGATAAATCGTCGTTTCGTAGTCACTACGAATTCCTTATTTTTCAAATCTAGCTCAATTTTATGGATAAAAATGAAAAATCGTCGTTTCGTAGTCACTACGAATTCCTTATTTTTCAAATCTAGCTCAATTTTATGGATAAAAATGATAAATCGTCGTTTCGTAGTCACTACGAATTCCTTATTTTTCAAATCTAGCTCAATTTTATGGATAAAAATGATAAATCGTCGTTTCGTAGTCACTACGAATTCCTTATTTTTCAAATCTAGCTCAATTTTATGGATAAAAATGATAAATCGTCGTTTCGTAGTCACTACGAATTCCTTATTTTTCAAATCTAGCTCAATTTTATGGATAAAAATGATAAATCGTCGTTTCGTAGTCACTACGAATTCCTTATTTTTCAAATCTAGCTCAATTTTTTTGTTATGAGGTTATTTTCTAAACGCTGAGAAAACATGAGAAAGGCGAGTTGACCTTTGTATATAAGAAAGATATTTTTTAAAACAGTGAATTTTTTGTGAAAATAAAAAATCAATAATTTTGTGAGCAAATTTTCCTCGAAACTATAAATATTCAAAAATTCACTATTTCAATGAAACGATATAATAATTTTCGGCAAAATAAAAGAGAAATTGAACGAAAAATTTATCAAAAACTTATAATTGACTAATTTTCTGAAACAGTGAAATTTTAGAGATTCAAAAATTCACATATTTCCAGATTTTTGGCTGGAAATGAAAATGCTCACCTCACTTGCAAAGGCCAATCTCTTTTTCTCTCCGCCAGAAAGTCCTCTTCGTGTTCGAGTTCCAATTATTGAATTTGCACTGTTTTTCAAGCCGAGCTACAAAAAATCCACGTTTTATTACGCTAAGCCCAAAAATTTCCAACTTACATCATTAATAACCTGCTCAACTCTCAATCTTTGCTCTTTTTTCGTATGAGTTCTTCCCATTTTCAAATTTGCCATAAATCTCAAATGCTCTTCAACTGTCAAACTTCCGATAAATAGATCATTTTGTTGAACATACGCGCATACTTTTTTCATGAAACTTCGTGTAACTCGAAGGCCATTCACCTGGAAAATGGAGAAGATAATTTTGTTTGAAAATATTTTTGAAAGGAAAATTTCAAGATTTCAAGGGGGGGGGGACTTTGAAATTTTGTATTACAAAAATCTTACAATATCAGCAAACTATTTTAATGATCAAAATAATTCCTTGAAACAGTGAATTTTTCGAACAAAAAAATGTTTAATTAATTTTTTCGTGAGATCAATAAAAACGTCCTCAAACAGTAAAATCTTTCGGAATTTCAGATTTTCGTAGCAACATTTTCAAACTCACTTTTAAGTTATTAATTATTTTTTGAAACAGTCAATTTTTAGAGAATTACAAAGTTCGATTTTGAGGTGAAAAATATGGATTTTCAGTAAAATTCTCAGATTTTTCATGGAAAATTAAGTCTGGGACCAGAAAATCTGAAATTTCAGCTTAATGTTTGAAAACTTAACCTAATTTTAAGGTTAAGCTTTAAGAATCAGCAAAATCCAGATTTTTTTAAGGTATAAAAAACTTTGCATTCGTATATCACCCCAAAAATCAACCTTTACCTTATAAAATAATTTTGAAACAGTAAATTTTTCTGAATTTACAAAATTCGACTTTGGGATGAAAAATTTGGGTTTCTTGGCTGGAAATTGCATATTTTCAGACCTTGAAACACTAGCTTTTCAGACAAATTTCGGGATTTCCCCAAATCTGGAATCAGAAAATCTGAAATGTTTTTGCTGAAAATGAACACAATTGTCGATCAAAATGAAATACAACCTTCACCTTTTAAAATATTTTTGAAACAGTAAATTTCCGGGTATTCTTCCGAATCCCCAAATTATCTAAAGGTTTCTCCCATCAAAAATCCACGTGTTCTCATTCATTTCTTCTAATTTCTTGTTCTTTCTTCTCCAAAGCGAAGAAAAATGATAAGAACATGACAAAAAAAGAAGATGTTGATGATTTGATTGTCAAAATTATTGCATAAGCCAAAGAAGAGATGGAATGGGATAGAATTTGTGAAAGTTCTTTGAAATTAATTCTTTTCGGGTTCATTTTTTGAGAAAAAATGTTTTTTTTTCTACTTTTTCTAGCTTACTGTTTCAAAAAATTCAGAAAATCTTCGATTTTTGTTTTAAAATATTGATGAGCTTCAAAGATACCGTATTTATTCTTTTTTTCAAAAGTTTGTTGAAGATTTTCAAGGAAATTTTTTTACTGTTTCAAAAATTCAAAAAAAATAGAGGGAGGCCATGGTTTTTCAATGAATCCTTTTCAAAAATGGAAACTAAAAATTTCGCACTGTTTCAAGAAATTGTGAATCATTTTTTCTCTTATGTTTTTTGATTTTATAACTGATCTTGTTTCTGTTGATTTTCGAATGCTCAAAACGATGGAATTCTATATTTTCAGCGAATTTCATGATTTTCAGCACAAAATTCGAGTCTAGAAAAAATTTATTTCGAAAATATTGCACTTTTTCAGATTAGAAAAAATTTAATGAATTTTTAAAACAGTGACATTTCTTAAAATTTTCTAGATCAGAATTTTGTGCTTAAAAACATGAAAATATTCATTTCCAGCAATTGCATAAATTTTCAGCACAAAGTTTAGGTCTAGAAAAAAAACCCGTAATGTCAGCAAACATTTTTCAACCCCAAAAAATACAATAAATTTTTGAAACAGTGAAAAAATCATGTAAACATTTCTAGCTCAGAATGTTGTGCTGAAAATCCCGAAATTCTCCAATTTCAGTGAATCCATGATTCTCAGCGCAAAATTTGAGCCTAAATACTGATGGCGAAGAAAGACAGATCAAAATATTTTAAATCCCCCAAAAATTTGATAAATTTTTGAAACAGTGAAAAATTCAGGTAAACATTTCTAGATCAAAATTTTGTACTGAAAATCATGAAAGCCTTCATTTTCAGCGAATTTCATGATTTTCGGCGCGAAATTTAGATCTGGAATACAATCGTTTAATGGATCGAATTTTTTAGACCCCAAAAAAAATTAATTAAATTTTAAAACAGTGAAAAATTCATAAAATTTCTAGATCAAAATTTTGGCTGAAAATCATGGAATTCTTCATTTTCAGCTATTTTCAGCAATTTTATGAATTTCAGCGCAAAATTTGAATTTAAAATACAATTTTCGTAGATCTACCAAATTTTTTAGACCCTCAAAAAATACAATACATTTTTGAAACAGTGAAAAATTTCAAGAAGTATTTCTAGATCAGCATGTTGCGCTGGAAATCATGGAATTCTCCTATTTCAGCAAATTTCAGCAGTTTTATGATTTTCAGCCCAAAATTTGAGTATAGTTACTATTTCCGAACAAAATCAAAATTTTCACAGATCTCCAAAAATTCTATGAATTTTTGAAACAGTGTCAAACCTCACCCAAGAACCTGGAGTAGTGGGTAAAAAATTACCCACCTGGGTTTATTTTCAAAAATTGCCCACCTACTAACAAGGGAAGTGCATAAGGTCAGGTGTTGAACTTTTGATGAAACGCTCGAAATATACCAAATCGACCATGCTGATCACGAATCCGAAGTCAAAAATTGCCACAAATGCCTGTGAGCACTTTTCTGGAGCTCCAAAGTTAGAATTGAGTTTTGGTTTTCGTCCATTTTCACCATGTTCCTGGGTGGGAAATCAATTTTTATAACATGAATAAGGTTGTTCACCACAATCGAAAACCTATCAGCTTTTTTAGTTTTTCGAAAAATATGAAAAATCAGCTGAAAACTGTAATTTTCAAAAATGCACAAAAACTTTGAAAAACGTGTGTATTTACGTGTGTTTGTGTGTATTTCAGGATTTTCTTAAAAATTACAGTTTTCAGCTGATTTTTCATATTTTTCGAAAAACTAAAAAGCTGATAGGTTTTCGAATGTGGTGAACAACCTTATCCAAGTTAGAAAAATTGATTTCCCACTCAGGAACATGGTGAAAATGGACGAAAACCAAAACTCAATTCTAACTTTGGAGCTCCAGAAAAGTGCTCACAGGCATTTGTGGCAATTTTTGACTTCGGATTCGTGATCAGCATGGTCGATTTGGTATATTTCGAGCGTTTCATCAAAAGTTCAACATCTGACCCTATGCACTTCCCTTGTAAAAAATTTTTGCCCAGCTAAGGCTCGCCTTGAAGACCCTAAAAAATTTTTGCCCAGCTAAGGCTCGCCTTGAAGACCCTAAAAAAAATTTGCCCAGCTAAGGCTCGCCTTGAAGACCCTAAAAAAAAATTTGCCCAGCTAAGGCTCGCCTTGAAGACCCTAAAAAAAATTTGCCCAGCTAAGGCTCGCCTTAAAGACCTTAAAATTTTTTGCCCACCTAGATTTTTCGAAAAAAAAATTGCCCACCTGGAATTCCAGGTATTGGGTGAGGTTTGAAACAGTGTAAAATCCAGGAAATTTCTAGATCAGTATTTTGCGCTGAAAATTATGAAAACCTTCGAATTTTAGCACTTTCCTGATTTTCAGCAGAAAATTTGAGTCAAGAAAAAAACCGTAATGACAGCAAATACTTTTCAACCCCAAAAAATACAATATATTTTTGAAACAGTGAAAAACTTCAAGAAATTTCTAGATCGAATTTTTGTGCTGAAAATCAATTTTTCATTTTCAGCAAATTTCATGACTTCCAGCGCAAAACTTCCCTACAGTACCCCTCACATAATTGTTTGATCTACAGTATTCCCCCATTTATTTGTAAATTAATCAATCAATCAACCAATCAACAATAAACAATAAATTTGTCATCTTTTTTTCCTTTTTTGTACCCAAAAGAAGTCATGTGAAAAGTACTGTACAAAAAAATGATGACAAAAATTATATTGTTTGGAAAATCCCCCTTTTTTATCAAATCGAATCCAAAGTTCATTTATAGGGGCTACTGTAACCTGAAGTACTGTAAATTTTGGCGCAAAAAAAAGCTACAGTAATCTTTCTTTTCCATCAAAAATGAAGAAATTATCAAATTTTCAAGAAAAAAATCATGATTTTAAAAATTTTTGAAACGTAAATTTTCGTTCTTGAAAATTCAAGAATTTCTACTCGAAATCCCAATTTTCTGTGGATTACTGTAGCCTAAAGTACTGTATTTTAGGGCGCCAAAATACTACAGTTTAAATTTATTTTTTATGGAAACTATTAACTTCCAACATCAGAGTTCCTGAAAAAATCTAGATTTCTAAAATTTTTGAAACGTAAATTTTCCAGCATTTTTTTGGATGTAAAAACAACAAGAAATGTAAGAGAAAATTCCAGATTTCTCAAATTTTTGCTGAAAATTCAAGGGCTCAAAAAATCCAATTTATTTGCTCAAAACTCCAGTATTTGAAAAACACTCAAAAAATTTCTCTCATTTTTCATTTTTCCGAAAAAAAATCGAAATTGCGTCAGCCATTTTTTCTCAAAAAATATCACAAGATTTTCATTTTTTTTTTCATTTTCAAAGTTCAATTTTTCATTTGCTATACGAAAAATAGTGTGTACTGTAGTTTTCTTATCAGAAAAAACATTGAGAAGAGAAGAAAATAGAAGAAAATCACACATGGATGACACGTGACATTGAATTTTGATTGTTCTTTGGTGAATGTTCGGGTTCAAAAAAATTCTGGAATATTTTTTGGGTAGAATTTTGAGCTCTATCTGAATTTGGAGCACAGAATTTTAAGAAAACCACATTTTTTTCATTATTTCTTCTAGACTAGACTATTTTCCAGTTTTTTTTAGGGTTTTTTTGGACCTGAAAAATTTTAAAGACGCTCCACATTTAGAGACTTAATTTAGAGCCCTAAACTAGGCCTGTTAGGCCTAGTTTTTAGGCTTATTTTGAACCTAGCCTAAGCCTAACTATATTTTATTTTTTGTTAAAAAAAATGTAGCATAAAAATGAAAGTTGTACAATTTTTTGTGTGTTTTGTGTTTAAAACTTGATTTTATTTTGAATTCAAAAAACCAGGCCTAAGCCTAATAAGCCTAAGCCTAAGCCTAAAAGACCTTAGGATTCAAAATTTGAACCCTAATTTTTAATAAATCAAAATTTCCCAATTTCCCCCCAGTTCAAACTACAAAAAATATTTTTGAAAGATCAAAAAGAGTCCAAATCACGGTTATTTCTATTTTTCATGTCCAAAAAGTCCAAGTCCATCTCAAAAAATTCTGTTTGTACTCTGATTTCTCTCACAACAAAAAGATGACAATTTCGACCTTCTTCTTCTTCATTTTCTTCCCCCCAAAAAGCTCCGCCCACATTTTCTTCTCATTTTTATCTATCTTCCCCTTTCTTCTATACATTTTTCAACTAAAAATTCCAACATTTTTTTTAGAATCAAAAATGTCTGACCAGCCAAGTTCATCTCAACATTCTCATTCAGTGTTCCTGAATGCCGCCTCAAACTTCGATCCACAAAATTGGATTCGAAGATATAACCACAATCAGAATCTATATCCAAATGGGTGAGTTTATTTTTTTTTTTGAAAAAAAAATTGGCGGGAAAATTCAAAATTCAAAAATTCCGAATAATAAAGAGAGTACAGAGAAAAATTGATAGATTAATTTATTTATCGATTTTTTGTTAGGCTTGAGATAAGCAAGTTTCTCTTTTTCTTTAAAAGAAAAAAAGGTTTTACACAAAATTGTGGTTTTTGACGTCAAAATGTAAGTTTGGAACATCAAAAATGCGCCAAAACTGCAAAAAATGCTTGCTAGGCACTTGAGAACTAGGATTTATAGGTGAAAAATGATGAAAATCGCATCATTTCACCTTGGAAATTGGTTAAAATCACAAATTTTTCCACCAAAACCTCTTCAAATTCCAGAAGTTCCGAAGACGACGAACTAATCCTAAGCGATTATGCTCTTGAAGAAATCCCACCTCGATATTTTTGCGAACAAGAAGACGAAGGCTACCATCCACATAACATCGAATCAATGAATTTGACGAAAAACGCGTTCAGCACAAATTTAAAGGGTCTTTCAACATTTGTCAATCTCGTCACTTTGGATTTATCCGATAATTTTTTGACAAATTTACCGGATGATATAGGACAACTCAAGTTTTTGCAAAAATTGGCGGCGAGAAATAATTTGTTGGAGGGATTGCCGAAGACGATGTGCGAGTTGGAGCATATCGAGGAGATTTATTTGCCAGGAAATCAAATTGGTAAGTGTTTTTGGGAAGTTTTGCTGAATTTTGAAGTTAGAAAATCGAGATTCCGGCTTTCATAGATCCAAAAACCATTCAAGGCAAAGAAAAAATGGGCGGAGCTTCAAAAATGTGATTTTTGGCGCGAAACTTAAGCTCTGGGATAAAGAAATGGAATTTTCTAATGTTTAGAATCAAAAAATCACGAATTTTCGTAATTTTTGCAACGTGGCAATGAAAAATTCCGATTTTTCATGTTCAGATTCAAAAAATTCGGAATTTCTGCCACGTGGAAATGAAAGTTCGCAATTTTTCATGTTTAGACTCAAAAAATTCGGAATTTCTGCCACGTGGCATCGAAAAATTCGGATGTTTCATGTTTAGACTCGAAAAATCACGAGTTTTCGTGATTTTTGCCACGTGGCATATAAAAAGTTGCAATTTTTCATGTTCAGACTCAAAAAATTCGGAATTTCTGCCAAGTGGCATTGAAAATTCGCAATTTTTCACGCTAAGACTCGAAAAATCACAAATTTTTCATAGGCCAAGCTTTTTTTCTCGATCTACTTACAAAACCTCTTCCAATTTTGCAGATTGCATTCCCCCAGTCATCTTCAACATGCAAAAACTGCGAGTCCTTCACCTTGGAGGAAATAAAATCGACACTCTTCCCTACGCCCTGGGCACTTTAAAATGCCTCGAGTTACTGTATCTCGGTGGCAATCGTTTGTCTGAAATTCCAGCCACAATCGGATGTTTATATCGATTGATCTCATTGACATTGTGCGACAATCAATTGGAAACAATTCCATCAACTTTGGGCGATTTGCATCATTTGGAGAATTTGGCATTGCATAATAATCGGTTGCGAACATTGCCGACCGAGATTATTAATTTGCAAAATCTTCAACAACTTTCGCTGAGGAACAATCCTTTGGTTCACAATTTTGTTTATAATATGACGATTGATCCGCCGAGTTTGAAAGAGTTGGCTGGAAGAATGGTGCGACAGAAGATGCACAAAATTCCACTTCGGGAGTATTTACCACTGTGAGTTGTGAAGGAGGATTGGGACGGGGGCTTCGGGAAGCGACTTTTTTCAAAAGTAGATTTTGCTCAGTGGTAGTGCTGGCTTCTAGCAATCTCAAGAACCCAAGTTCGATCCCCACTTCCCGCTACCCTCCCAAAATCCAAATTCTTCCAGCGAGCTAATCGACTATCTCCATTCCGCGTGTCAATGCGTCAATCCAAAATGTAAAGGCGTCTATTTCGAAGCTCGCGTGGAACACGTGAAATTCGTCGACTTTTGCGGGAAATACCGCGTGCCCCTCTTGCAATTCTTGTGTTCTCCAAGATGTTCTTCCGGTGTGCCGGCTGTTACGTATGATACAACAAGTAGTGAATCAGAGGATGAATTTCAACCAAGAATGCGCAGAGTTTTGCTGGGTTAGGCTAAGTCTGAACCTTTGTCTTTTTTTCGAAAAAATACCGGTTTTCTATTTGATCTCATTGAATTTTTGTTTAAAAAATAAATCGTTAAAATCTCTGTTTTTGTCCATTTTTTCAAAAAAAACTATGAAACTCTATTTAATTTTTCTATTGATTTTTCTGATTTCTTCAATTTCTGCCTACGGAACCACTAAAAGCAAATTGTCCAAAAACACAAAGGTAAGTTGTTCTAACTTAAGAAGATGATAACATCTCTGAAGGAAAACTAGATTTTCTCTTTGTTTCAGAAGGTTATCTTGGGGAAGATCAGAGATTATTGCCATTTGTGAAATGAGAAATTTTTGGAAGAGAAAAATTTAATTTTGAAAAGTGCTTAGGTGAAATTGGATTATCAAAAATTGGAGATTTTTTGGACCGAAAACAATGGAAAAAAATCCACGTGGATTTTTTTATGTGATATTAGAGCTTATGTGTCAAGTAACTGAGTCTAGAAAACCCCATTGTCAAGGAGCCTCGCCTTGAGAGCTTATGTATCAAGGATCAGAGCCTAGAGAACCTATATGTATAGGACACACATCTACAGATCCCCTATGTCAAGCAGCCACGCTTTGAGATCTGCATTTACGAGTAGCCGCGCCTAGAGATCCACTCTGACAAGGGGCAGCGATTACAGAGCCTAGTTCTCAAGTAGCCACGCCTTGAGATCCACTCTGACGAGGGGAAACGCCTACAGATTTTTTTGACACGTGGATTTTGCTGTATGAAAATTTAAGACTGAACTTTTTTAAGTCACAGTAACTCGGAATCTCAAAAAAAAAAACCCAAATTTTTGATCTACTGCAAAATTTTAAACGATGCTCCGCACTCACACCCAAGTTTTTCGAGCGGAGCGAGTGTAAACCGCAAGTTTCCGCTTCAGCAGCACTATCTTCCGCGAAGCGGCAACGTTAGCTTAACTTTCTGGATATGCAAAAAGACCTAACTTCTCCCGCAAGCTTCCGCAAAGCGGCGAAGTTAGCCTAACTTCTTCCTAGAAATTAAGGCTAACCTTTTCGCTTCGCGGAAGCTTGCGGAAACCCCCAAATTTTTCTAGAAACACGTCAATCGCCTCGTAAATTGCCTAACTCCAGTCGACACAGTTCTCGCCGCCAAAACAGCCGACTGCACGGATAGTTTTTGTGTGTCAAGTGCCAAACAATATGCTCAGAAAAAGTATCCGCAACAATATCATAGCACTGTTGTTCCTTGTCTGTCAAGCACAACAATCACAACACCAATTCCAACAAAAAGTCTAGATGAGAATGTTCAAAATTCTACTGTTTCAATTAATTGATATGGATTTTTTGGTGGGAATGAAGATTTAATATGAAATTTCTAAGTGTCATAGCGATTTTTGGTGGTGGATCTGGGTTTTTCAGAATTCTCCTCGAGAACTACACAGAATTTTCCGATCCCAAAATAAAGTGTTTTGGGTTAAATTTATTGATTTTTGAGTCTGAACTCGAAATTTTTGATGAAAAAATGTGTTTTCTACTAGATTTCGATCGCCCATTATCAAAAATGACTTAGCTGAACTCTGAAAACCAGCTATGACGTGGCAAAGTTGGAAAAATCGTGAATTTAGGAGGTATATAAAGATTATAACCTCCTGAAGTCGGTATTTTTCGAAATTTCCAACTTTTTCCACGTCATAACTCATATTCTTGCAATTTTTGACAAGCGGCGATCAAAATCTACTAGGAAACATATATTTTATCAGAAATCTTGAGTTCAAGCCCAAAAATCAATAGAATTTGTGTAGTTCTCGAGGAGAATAATGAGAATATATCGAATTTTTGCTTTTTGAACATTTGAGGAAAATTCCACGTGGCAAAATTTTTGAAAAATGCAAATTCTGGCGCCAAAACTGTGGCACAACTAAAGAATATATTTTTTATGCTCTTTTGAGCTTCTGCTTCACATTTCAAAGTTTTTAATTCAAATTTCCCCTCTTCCAAACCCTCCCCGCTTTCCCAAAAATCACCAACCTTAACACTTCCCGTCACATCCAATTCTCCACAATTCCTCTGCGTCAACACATTGAGCAACGTTGTTTTTCCGGCGCCACTCGGTCCAACAATTGCGATAACTTCACCCGGACGCGCAACACCATACGCCTTATTCAACACCAATTTTGTTTGATTTTCTGCGGGGCTCGTTTCGATGTCTGACACTTTTTCCGATTTTTTGAGCAGTGGCGAAGAAGATTTGGTGGGTGATTGTGCAGATTTTTTGGGCTGAAATTATGATTTACAGTGAATGTGGAAGAACTCAAGTCAAAGATGAGTCACGTGAAATGACGTGAAAAAATGCCCTAAAATTAGCTTACCATCACCACCACATCGTGCCAGGAAAGTGTCATTGGTGGCACCGAATTCAGCATTGAAAACTGCAAAAAAAATGTTTTTTCACCATTTTCCCAGCCCTAACTCACTCTCTGCTCATCGGAAACTGAATAACTCGGATCATCCTTACTCACAATATCCATGGATTCAATCGATTCATGGATCGAACGTCGGCGGTTCATAGTTACTGCAAGTTTTAGAGATTAAAGCTTTTTTTCAAAAAAGAAAAAAAAAACATCTACAGTATGATGTTCAAGGCGCACACACAAACAAGGGTGGGTCTCGCGGAGTTTCAAAAAAATATTTTTGTTTTTGAAAAAAAGTTTTTTTTTTGGTTTTTCCACACACGTTTGAAAAAGAAGAAAGTTGTGCAATTTTCATGGCGCATTCGACAAAAACGGTGCAACGCCTAGCGGTGTAATTACCCCCACTTCGTCAAAAACAAAAAACATAGCGAAAATCAGCGTATCGAGATCTGTGCGAATGACTTTGTTTGGAATTTTTAGGGGTCCTGGGAAGAAAGTTAGCCTCCGCTGCGAGACCAATCGAAATTAAAAACACATGCGCCTTTGATACCGTACCTCTTTTTTTTCAAAATGAAAAATAGAGAGCGCGGCAAACGAGAGAGTGCGAGAGATGTGTGAGAATAAAATGTGTGCAAACACATGTCCGCAAACACCGTTGTCACTGCTTACCATGACTCTTCATTGCATGCGAAAAACGTGTGTGTTTCAAACGGTTCATCAAGAACGCTCATAAAAAACGAAACAATAAACATCTCTGGAGCAAAATTGATAAGGAAAATGCTACGCTTGAAATGCCGTGTATTTGGGAAGAAGTGGTTGATGACGATTGGTTGATTGATAAGAAAAAAATCAAATCATCATACACAACCTGACTCGAGAGAATATTGATTTGGTTTGGTCATGGATGATGGAAGTCAGGAATCGTTGAAGTTTGTTGATTCGTGAGTTTTTTGGGGGTGGGAAACACACGTAAAAAGTAATAAAAGCAAGTTTGCTCTATCGCACAAGTGATTTGTTTTTGATTTGAGGAAAATGGATAAAAAATATAATAAAAAAGTAAAAAAAAAAAAGACGCCACATAAGAATAATAAAAACATGCAATGGTTAGAGTTAGAGATGCAGAGTAAATTAGGTGTAACTGCGGAGCATCGTTTAAAATCGAGCAAAAAAATGAGGCAGAATTTTAGTAAATGTTATTTTTTGAGCCTTAAAAGTTGCGAACTTGATTGTTTATTTGTTCAAAAACCATTTTCATATTTATTTTTCCAGACAATCTGATGACATCGAAATTGAGCGAGAAATCCTGATCCTTGAACGAGATATCCGACAGCAAAAAGAATCAAGCCTCAACGCAAAAACCTCGATAACTTTTGATCAACTTCGAAAAATCCACACAATCTCGCAATACTTGGGAGCCTTGAAGGAGCCATTTTTTGACAGAATTTGTCGAGCTGCTGAGATCCAAAGAGCTTCCCTCAAAAATCGATTGAAGCAGAATAAAGAGCGATTCGATCCGCCTTCGAAATTGGGAGTTTTTGACTCGCAAAGCTCGCTGACTGATAGTCAATTTACCCTAACTCCAACTACAATTCATACATTATTGAATACCTCATCATCATCTTCATGTTCTGGATCTGGCTCAATTCGTGAAGAGCCCCAGAACGATCTAAGATTCCCGCCGAATCGACAATTCGATCTACTTTCGTTGGGATTTTCGTATTTTGAGTTGCGAGGATTTCTGGATGTTTTTGAGAATTTTAAAAATGAGAATCCAGAAATCTCATCGAAAAATCAATTGATTCCATTGTTCTCGAACTATGTTTCTATCAATTCACCGGAAAATTTGAAGAATATTGGAATGGCTTTCAATTTATTGGAACTTGGAAATAGTGTGCAGGATTTGAGGGGTTTGGTGAAGTTTGTGAGTTTTTCGGGAATACTTTCCTAGTGGGTGCCCTAATTATATCAGATTAGTTCACTTTTCAATTTTTCCATCTTCAAACATTTTTGAAACGTATTATTTTCGGGATTTAAATTTTTGAAAATTCCCGGGTAGGAATTGCGGAGCATCGTTTGAGAAAATTTGAAAATTCAGCTTTTCCCACCTAAAAAGCCTCGCTGTATTTGCGGCGCATCGTTTAACATCTATGGCTATGACTTGGCAATAGAGGAGTTTTCAAATAAATATTCTTCTAGGGATGAACATTAAAAACGTTTTTCTAGTTTTTCATCTTCAAACATTTTTGAAACGTATTATTTTTGGGAGAATAGTTAGGATTTAAATTTCGAAAATTCGCAGTTAACACTCTCGATGTAATTGCGGAGCATGGTTTTAAAAAAAATTAAAATTATTTTTAGCTCCAAGATTTCAAAATTCAAATTTTTCAGCGCCCAAATCATCTTGATTCCTCTGATTCGACTATCGATGACGATATTTCGCCACCAAAACGTCGAAAATTATCACCAAAGATCGAAGAGGAGGAAGAAGAAGTTGAAGAATCTCAAGAAAATCAGGAAGAAGATCAGGAATAGTTCAATTCAAATATTTATATTCTAAAAAACCGTATTCCAAAAAAAATACAAAAATAATCCGACCCAATTTAAAATATGAATTGTTTAAAGTACAGTACTAAGCTCATCAGTTTCAAAAAATCTCTCTCTCTCTCTTTCTAGAAAAATCCTCAATTTTTGGTGCACATCATGAACATCACACCTTCACCATCTAGCACATATTTTTTGGCGTTTTTCGTGTCGAGACCCGCCTCTTCAAGCGCTTCAATCACGATTTCTTCAGTCAGATTAAGCAAGTGGAAAATGGTTTTTGAGCCCGAGTTGTAGACGTTGTCTTCGAGCACACTTCCGATAATGAAACGACCGCCGGAGCGAAGATGACGCATCTGGAAAATTTGAATTTTGAATTTCCCGCCAAAAAACCCAGATTGTAATTGCAGAGCTTCGTTTGAACAATTTTTGAAAATTTAGTTTTCCCTCCTAAAAATCTAGATGTAGTCGCGGAGCATCGTTTAGAATTGAAAGTTCTAGATTTCAAGATCAAGAAAAATTTGAACTTCAACTTTTTGCCTCCAAAACTCACCATATTCTTAACACATTGCCGATATTCCTCATAATTCTTACAGGCACTTTCCAATGTAAAAATCGACACCAAAACATCCACCAAAACCCCTTGCATCTCAGGAACAACATCAAATTGATGAACATCAGCAAAATGAATTCCACCGGATTTCACCAAGCCTCTCGCTTTCTCCTCAACTTCTTCACACACTTGATTCGTTGGTGGCGGACCGCCTTCAGTTCTTTTGATAACTCGAATTGTTGGCTGCCAATCGACACTTTCCGATGGTTCTTTTCGAACCCATTTTCGCAAAACTTCGAGATTTCTTTCGACGTAATCGGCTAAATGGATTTGTCTGCAAACATCTCTGAAACACAGTGCTGAATAGACTGTTGGACCGGCGCCAATATCTAATAATGTTTCGCGTTCGGTGGGGCGCATTTGCTGGATCATGATTTGTGCGAAGACAGGGAGAGCAAAGAGGGAGACACGGGTTCCATCTTCGATTGCGTTTCTGGAAAAAAATTGGTACGATTTTTAAACGATGCTTCGTACTTACACCAAGGTTTTTAGGGCGGGAAAATTAGAAATCGAAAGTGCATTTTTCAAAAAAAAAAAGATATATCACTTTTTTCTTCTCCAAAACATCTGGACCAATAAATCACTAGCACAAAATTAGACGACACTCCGCCTTTACACAGATAATTCTAGGTTCAACCTCAATGTTCAATTTCAAACGACACTCCGCCTTTACACTCTTTAAATTTACCAAAGATTACTCAAGGTTTATCTAGAGCCCCAACTTTTTTTCCAAACGACATTCCGCCTTTACACTCTCTAGATGTTTTTGTTTTACCAAAGATCATTCTAGGTTTATCTATGTAGAGTCTAGATTTTTTGGGCACACACTCGAAAAATGAAACCGAACTCTTCTTCATCTTTTGTCACTTATCAATTACGCAATCAGCAACAAAAAAATTGAGAAATTTTGCGAAGGAAAAGCAAAAAAACACAAGTGGTGCTTGTTTACTCTTCTTAGTCTTTGCTGATTTTTTCTGTCCAGCGGGTGTCAATTAATTTGAACTTTATCTCGATCAATTTGAAAGTGAAGATGAAGATCAGGATCAAAATTGCAAATGAGCTCCGATTTTTTTTTGAATTCTGGTTGCGTAAGTGACAGGTTTGGTTTAATTTTTCAAAGTTGTGCACATAAAATTGGGGCTCTAGAATGATCTTCGGTAAATCTACAGAGTGTAAAATCGAAGTGTCGTTCGGAACTAATTTTTTGCTAGTGATTTATTGGTCGAAAAACTTTCCAGATGTTTTGAAGAAGCATAAAGTGATTCATATTTTTTTTTTAGAAAATGATCTTTCGATTTTGTTTTGTTCTTCCCCTAACTCACTGGCTAAAATAAAATTGCAAATATGCATCTGGATCGAAAAGTTTGCAATAATCCTTGGGTTGTAGAACCGCTTCCTGTTCCTCCGACGAATTTTCAGCCATTTTTTCTGGAAATTTGAATTTATGGGATTATCAATGAAGCGCGATTGCAAAAAATAGAGGAAAATATTACTTTATTTACAAAAATGAATGACGCAAATCTTCAAAACATGAAATAATATCTCTAGAACGCTGTGTAATTTGAGAAATACTTCTCATTTTTTCCGGCGGTTTTTAAAGAGAAACTGAAGATTACAAAGACAAAAAAATTTCAAAAATTTCCAACAAAAAACTATAGTTCTCAATAGAGCGCGTTTGCATTTTTGTTTTCGTATCAAAAAAATCTTGGGGCCCAATAAAAAACAACGACTTTGCAGTTTATTAGTTGATTGAGCTCACAAAATGAGCAAAGAAGAGGGAAGAAAGAGCACAGACTGGGCTCCGCCCATTTTGCTCTCAACGAAAAATGTCTGGTGGTACGAAAACAACACACACAAAATAACAACAACTGAAGATCAGTTTTGTGGGGACCAAGAAGTTAGCCTAACTTCTGATGAGGAAGGTGGTCCCACCAAAATTGGTGCAAAAATCGCCAATATCGTGATAATAACCCCGGATTTCTTGGATATTTCAAAGCTAAAAGATTAAAGGAGCATACAGTTTTCATTCCCAGACAACTCAAAAAATAATACAACTGGAAAAAAAGCTTGCAAAACTCGAAAAATTACACTTTTCTTGTGTTAGCCCAACACAAACAGACGAATTTCTCCTGTTGTCTCGCACCCTCCTCTCTCTTGCTTGCCCTCCACATGTCTATGCAATCGAGACGGCGACGAAATGTGTGCAGTCTTGTCCGAGTGGTTAAGGAGATTGACTAGAAATCAATTGGGCTTTGCCCGCGTAGGTTCGAATCCTGCAGACTGCGAACTTTTTTTTGTTTTTTTTAGATTTTAAGATTTTTAGAACTTTAAGGCTTTTACTATATTTGCCTTTCCTTTCTCTTTTTCTAGATCTCATGTCCCTTTAAATCCACAGTAGATAACATCATTTATTATATATATATATATATATAGTACATGTAAACAAATAAATAAGAAGATTGTCTTCCTTCCCGCGGGAAGGAAATAGTGTGATTAAAGAGGAGACGCAGGATTGTCATTGGAGCGAAATTGCGCTATTACACATTTCTTCAAGAAACTTTATCAATTTATTTATTTTTTTTATAGAAAATCAGAAAATCCTTGTTTTTAGGGGTGTTTAACCAGAAAAATGGCGGGATTTTCAATATTTTCTCGCTCGCCGTGTAAACCAATCTACGCAAAAGTTAGTACAATGGATGCGGATTTGGAGAAAATTGTGATTGAAAAAACGTGGACTGGAAGGCATTTGTTTGAGGCGGTTTGTCGAATTATCGGACTTCGGGAGACCTGGTTTTTCGGGCTGCAGTTTACGAACAAAAAGAATATACCGTGCTGGGTGCAGAATGATAAAACGGTGATTTTTGAAACAAAATTTGAAAAATTAAAATAAAAAGTGTTGAAATTTTAGATCTGCTCGCAAGAAGTGCCAAAAAACAGCGATGGAAGTTTTCATTTCCTGTTTCTCGTCAAATTCTACCCGGAAGATGTGGAACCCGAGATTATTCTCGATCTTACTCGTCATTTATTCTTCCTACAGATCAAACAGGCGATTCTTTCAATGGATTTGTATTGCTCTCCAGAAGCTAGTGTTTTGTTGGCCAGTTTTGCGGTTCAAGCGATGGTGGGTTAACTTTAAAAAAAAAGAGAAAAAAATAAATAAAAAATACCGTAGTTTGTTCAAAGGCACACACACACTTTTGCAAAGCCCGTGTAGTTCTCTCGGAGAATGAAAAAAAATTTTTGAAAATTTTTGTTTTCACACAGCTGCAAAAACCGATTGTGCGCCAGCAATGTCTCCTGCACTCTTCTCTCTCGCCCTCCACGGGCGTGTGTGTTTGTCGGCGTCTCTATAGGCGCACACTCTCTCTCGCCGAAAAATTATTTTTTTTTATTTTTTCTCGAATTTTTTGAAAAAAGCTGAAGTTAGCGGAAGTTTCAACAAATGAATCGTACATGAGAAGATAGAGGAGAATGAGACGAAGACAGAGAAATATAATTTGTTGAGTGAAAAAATTTATTAGGCGTGAAAAACGTGAGATTTTGAAGTACCCTCACAAAAAAGATATTTTTGAAATAATGAAGCAAAACTTTCAAACTTTTTATATGAAATAAGATGTTTAATATACTTATGTTGAAAAAAGAAAGAAGAACTTCTTACCGGACAATGAATTTGTACTGTTAGACGAGAGAATAACCAGCCTTTGTCTTAAAAATTTCAAAGAACCGATGTTTTTCGGGAAAAATTTCAACAGTGATTGGAATAATTACAAGTATGGCTTACAATTTCATGATAAAATCATTTTTTATTTTCGCTGAGCTGTTTCTGAAGCTTATAAAGCAGGATCTCTTCTAACAATCAGAATACCACATTAATCATCGAAATTTGAAGTTCTATCCCACAGCTCCTAATTTTGCGGCACTTTTTGATCGAAATTTGAAGAAAATCAACAAAGCTCAAGTTGAAAGCAGCAAAAATTTATTAAAAATCTGTTATTTGAATAGTATTATCAACTCCACTTCGTCCATGATCGAAACCGCTGATTCCACTTGGCTGACGTTCGCAATACCTGAAAACAAAATTGTGTGTTTGAATTAAACAGTTTTGAATCATGGACATATGAAATATTAGTTCTTATTAAAATAAAATGCGATGAAAATGAAAATATAATTTTACTTTTCGAAAATGAACGGTAGAAATAATATTAGAACATGTATCTTGATATAGTTTTTGCTGCTGAGAAAGATAGACTAAGTCTTCATACTCCCCCGTGCCTCTATCATGGTGAAATAACGTCAAAATGACGGAAACATTGAATTTTTATTATTTCTTCAAGTGATTTTACTATTTTATAAAAATCAATTAAAAATTGGAATTACCTTCAATAAAATCTTCCATAGAATCCTAAAACTCTTTTCGTGAGGCTCTCCACGTGAATTCCTTTGTGAATTTCTGGTCAGGTTGGCAATCAATTGGATTCGTTCATCGAAATAATTTTTGTTTGGCACTCTCCGACATCTTCATGTTTCCGTCAACTCGTATCACGCTCATCTAGATATAAAATCATGATTTTTTGATAAATTTAGATACGAATAACTCACTTTTCAACAAGAAAAATATTGATTCGCCGACCTCGAAAAATGCTTCTCTGATGCATCGCATCTCACTCAAAATCATCGCAAATTCATCTCCAACCAATTGTATATTCATTCCAACTCACAAAAATTCAAACTCGATCAATTCCAGAATAAAAAAAATTTTCTTCGAAAAAAATGGACCTCATAAAAACAACTTTAGCATCCGTCAGCCCCATTTTCATCACTCGATCCAAACATAATAAAATTCTCCTTTAAATTCTCTACAAACGATAGTCTGTCCGAATATGTGAAACTTCCTGAAAAACTCACAAAAAAATAAAAAAGAAGAAAAAAATTAATTTTCTGATGGAAAAAAACAAAAAAAAAGAAAATTTTTTTCTCGTGCAAAAACCGAAAACGCGTCAAGTGCTGGCGCGTTTCGCGCGATCATTCAGTTTTTGCAGCTGTGTTTCACAGCAAAACCAGGCATTTTCAGCACGGCGATTGTTGCGATGAAGTCGGCTCGCTGGATCTCGACAAACTTCTGCCTCGCTCAGTCATCGAACAATACGATATGACAGCAGATATGTGGAGAGATCGAATAAAGCGATGGTGGTCGAGGAATGCTGGACAATCGCGCGAAGAGGCGGAGCTGGAATATTTGAGAGTTGCGCAAGATTTGGAGATGTATGGCATTTTGTATTATCCAATTTGTGTGAGTTTTTGAAGGGGGATTTGAGAAGAAATGGGGATTTTTGCCCTGAAAACAGGCAAATTTCGATAGTGCGCACTTGCTCACCTGTGCTTTCTAGTTGATTTCCGCTTAAGCGGCAAGTTTCTCTCATTGCTACATGCTCTATGGTCAAATTTCGAGGGAATGTCAAAACAATATAATGAAAATCCATTAAAAATTTGTTGAAACAGTGAATATTTCCAAGAATCTAAAATGTTCAATTAATAATTTTCATGAAAATAATTTGAAACGGTAATTTTTAGAACAGTTTTTCATAAATAAGTTGATCAAATTTGAAAAATTATAAAAAAAAATTATAAATATTTTCTGAAACAGTGAACATTTCCAAGAAAAATTCAAGATAATATATATATGTTTTAATAATTTTGAAAAATTATGAAAGTTCATTTAAAAATTGTTGAAACAGTAAAATTTTTCAGTCTAAAAATCCTGAAATTTAAATGTCAATTCATAAAATAAAATCTCCTATTATCGAATTTTAAAGAATTCTGAAAACTCATCAAAATTTATTGAAACAGTGAATTTTTCATATTTTGCTGAATTCCAGGATCAATGCGACTTTTTTTAAAGAATAATAATTATTTTTTGAAACAGTGAAAAATTGGCAGCTTGAAAATCCAGGTATTTTGAAACATCAAAATGGGAAATCTCAAAAATTCTTCCGTTTCAGCGGCCAGGTTTCTCTGCGTCTCTAGCTCTCTGATTTCTCTGCGTCTCTTCCACATCAAAATGTTTTCCAGAATCAAAAAGAAACCGATCTTCACTTAGGAATATCCGCCCAAGGTCTCGGAATCTACAAAGGTGTCAATCGAATAACGCCCCGCCCATTCTTCAGTTGGTCAGAAATCAAAAACATCCAATTCAAGGCTCGAAAATTCCACATGAAAACCGTGGACAAATCCACAATCTCATTCAAATCGCGAGAAACATCGATAGATTCATCGATTCTTGATTTGTGTATTGGAACACATAATCTTTATTTGAGAAGAAGGCAACCGGATACATTGGAAGTGCAACAAATGAGAGCGCAAGCCAAGGAGGATAAATTGAGGAGAAGTGCGGAAATTGAAAAGTTGTCGATGGAAAGGAAAGAGAGGGTTCAGGCGGAGAAGGAATTGAAGGAATTAAAACAGCAGGTTAGCAAGATTTTTGGGTTGAAAATATAGAGAAATTATTGAAACAGTGAATTTTTCGCTTTCAAAGTTTTAATTAATTTCGTAATCGAATTTTTATATTTCTCGGAACAATAGAAAGATTTAATGAAATTTCAAAATGTATTCAAAAAATGACAATTTTTTAAAACGGTGCCTTTTTGACAAAAACGTTATTTTATTAATTTTATAAATTCATGCAAAACTTATGAAGATTTGTTGAAACAGTGAATGTTTTCTCATTTTTTCTAAAGATTTTGTACCGATCCTGCAAACTTGCAATCGAATTCAAAAAATTTCTAATAAACGCATAAAAATATTTTTGAAACGGTGAAATTTCAAGAGGCATTTTTGACATGAATTTCACAACTAAAAATCTGGGAATTTTTGAAAATAATTTGAAATAGTGAATTTTAGTCACACATCACATAATCAAATTTCAAAATTTCATCAAAAATAATAATAATTTTTTGAAACAGTGAAATTAATATTTAATTTTTTTTCATGGTTTTTTTAATATCGTTTTATAAAATTCAAAACTTTCATGAAAATTTAATTGAAAAATTTTACTGGGAATTTTCAATGTTTTTTTCAATTTTGTCATTTTGTCAATCAAATTTTCGAAATCGTTTTTGATTTTATTATGTTAATGATAATTTTTTGAAACATTGAAATTTCACAACTCTGGGAATTTTTGGCATGACAGAAAAATTCAATCGATTTTAATGAAAATTTAATTGAAACATTTTACTGGGCATTTTCAATTTTTGGTCAATCAAATTTTTAAAATTTCATCAACAATAATAACAATTTTTGAAACAGTGAAATTTTTATTTAATAATCTAGGACTCCCAAAAAGGACCCTCAAAATCATGTTTGATATCAAAATGTATCATTTTTCACCGTTTTCTCTAAATTTACCTTTCAAAATCAAGATTTGTTTATCAAATACTAATTAAAATTCAAAATTTCATCAAAAATAATAACAATTTTTTGAAACAGTGAAATTTAGCAACTAAAAATCCGGGAATTTTTATCAATATTTCACGCTACAACAAAATTGTTTACCATCGAATTTGAAAAATTCTAAAATTTCATGAAAATCAGTTGAAACAGTGAATTTTTTATCTTCCTAAACGTTCTTTTATTTTATTTAATTAATGATAATTTTTTGAAACAGTTAAATTTCACAACTAAAAATCTGGGAATTTTTGGCATTCATCTAAAAAGTTCAATCGATTTTCATGAAAATAATTTGAAACAGTGGATTTTGGAACCAAACACCTCACGATCAAATTTCAAAATTTCATCGAAAATATTGAGAATTTTTTGAAACAGTGAATTTTTCAACCAAAATTTATATCAAAATTCATCATTTTCCTCATATTTTCCCCAATTCCAGGTCGAAATAATGACAATGGAACTCTTAAAAGCTCAAGACACAATTCGAAAAACCGAAGAAGCCAACGATCAATTAGCCGAAAAAGCGCGACATTCCGAACATGAAACCTTGATGTTATATAAACAGAAAAACGAAGTTGAAGCCGAATGCAATCGACTTAGTATGAGCAATATGAAGAGTGAAGAGGCATTATTGAGAATGGAGAGAAAAGCGAGAGAAGCTGAAATATTGGCGAAACAGATGTCGATGAGTTTGGCGGATGTTAGTGTGGATCGCAAGAATACTTATCAGGGTTCGAATGGGACTGCGAGTGGAGCAATGTATTCTAGTCAAACTGCACTGGTTTTGGATCCGGTTAGTTTTTTGGGGGTGGATTTTATGACGTAGATATTCCTCTGAAATGTTTGATTGAATATTTATTTTTGAAATTTCTGTCTGAAAACATTCTGTCTCAAATTGTAGCCTGAAATTCGAAATGATATTTCCGCTGAAAAATCAAAATAAAAATATTCTTCAAAAATTATGAAGAAAACTTGAAACAGTGAAATTTTCGACCAAGTATTTTGGTCTGAAAATGGATTTTTCTGTGATTTTTAAGCTGAAAATTTCAAAGTTTGTTTTCATGCAAAAAATTAGATCTTTTGAATCAAAATAAAATAATTCTGCAAAAAATTTGGAGAAAAATTGAAACAGTGAATTTTTCGACCAAGGACTTATCTAAAATTTGAAATTTTTGCATAAATTTTGATTTTTGAACTGAAATTGTTAAAATTATTTTACTGAAATTTTTCTGAATTTTTCGATTAAATTTTGATCATATAATAATTTTTGAACTGTATATTTTCTGTGATTTTCCCGTTAAAAATTAAATTGTGAAAACTATTTTCATGCTGAAAAGTTATACTTTAATCCATAAATATACTAAAAGTGATCAAAATGAAAAAAAAATTCTATGAAAATTATCAAACCTCACCCAAGAACCTGGAGTAGTGGGTAAAAAATTGCCCACCTGGGTTTATTTTCGAAAATTGCCCACCTACTAAAAAAAATTTTGCCCACCTGAGGCTCGCCTTGAAGACCCTAAAAAAAATTTGCCCAGCTAAGGCTCGCTTTGAAGACCCTTAAAAAAATTTGCCCAGCTAAGGCTCGCCTTGAAGACCCTTAAAAAAATTTGCCCAGCTAAGGCTCGCCTTGAAGACCCTTAAAAAAATTTGCCCAGCTAAGGCTCGCCTTGAAGACCCTTAAAAAAATTTGCCCAGCTAAGGCTCGCCTTGAAGACCCTTAAAAAAATTTGCCCAGCTAAGGCTCGCCTTGAAGACCCTTAAAAAAATTTGCCCAGCTAAGGCTCGCCTTGAAGACCCTTAAAAAATTTGCCCAGCTAAGGCTCGCCTTGAAGACCCTTAAAAAAATTTGCCCAGCTAAGGCTCGCCTTGAAGACCCTTAAAAAAATTTGCCCAGCTAAGGCTCGCCTTGAAGACCCTTAAAAAAATTTGCCCAGCTAAGGCTCGCCTTGAAGACCCTTAAAAAAAATTTGCCCAGCTAAGGCTCGCCTTGAAGACCCTTAAAAAAATTTGCCCGGCTAAGGCTCGCCTTGAGGACCCTTAAAAAAATTTGCCCAGCTAAGGCTCGCCTTGAAGACCCTAAAATACTTTGCCCACCTAGATTTTTCGACAAAAAAATTGCCCACCTGGAATTCCAGGTATTGGGTGAGGTTTGAAAATTATGAAAAAAATTTGAAACAGTGAATTTTTCTGCTTAGGATTCATCTAGGTTTGAATACGAAATTTTTCGATTAGATTTTGATCATATATTAATTTTTGCGTGCGATTTTTCCGCTAAAAATTAAATTGGGAAAATTATTTTCATACTTGAAAACAGTATATTTTAATTCATCAAAATGGAAAAAGCGATCAAAATAAAATAATTCTGCAAAAAATTTGGAGAAAATTTGAAACAGTGAATTTTTTTGGAAAAATTCTAAGAAGGTGAAATGTTTCCCAAACTTCAGGAAAAAATTTTGAGTCGAATTTTCTAGTTGAAATTTTCTGGATTTCAGTGAGAATTCTGAAATTTTAGACTTAATTAGGAGGAGTAGTTGAAACCCTCATTAAAATAAAATAATTCTTCAAAAATTATGTAGAAAATTTGAAACAGTGAATTTTTTTGCCTTGGAAATTTATCTAGGTTTGAAGTTTTTTCTGCGTGCGGCCAGTTTCTCTGCGTCTCTGCCACGTCATAATTCAAATTTTTTTTACAGAGCTGGACTCCACAAATGACAACTTCAGGATCCTATCATCAACTTCAATCTATGGATTGTAGGTTTTTTGGGCTGAAAATTCTCTCAAAATTGGGCATTTTTATCTGAAAATCTTGATTTTCAGCCTCTCAAATCCCCCAACACCACCAACTATCTCGAAGTTTTCATCAACAACATCAATATCAAAATCAATCACCACAATATCAGATGTTACCAGCTCCACCACCTCCACCAGATCCTCTACAAATTTTCGAACTTCAAACGATTCGCGGCGAATTGGAAAAATCGCGAGGCGAATATGAGAAACGCGCGAGACAGTTCAAGGAACATCTGGAAGAGCTCAGGGAGGATATTGATGGACTGAAGAGGGGAGATCTGGGAACTGGAGCTGGAGGTGGAAGATCAGAGCTGGATGCTATACATCAGCAGAATATGGCGATGGGTTTTGATAAATTTACGACGATGAGAATGGTGGGTTTTTTGGGGGAGGGAGAATTTTGAGCTGAAAATCTGATGGAAACCGAATTTTTTTGGCTAGAAATCTGGAATTTCGAGCTAAAAAATTACTAAAAAATCTAAATATTTTTTCAATGTTTCAAAAAATTTTTGAATTGTGTTTTTGAAATTTTATTCTGATCTTTCTTCTATGATCGAATTTGGAAAATTAGAAACAAAAACTCATTTTTCTAGCTCAAAAAAGTCCCGAAAAATTTCACTGTTTCGAAAAATTCATGTAAATCTCGTAGCTTTTATTAATATTTGATAGATTTCGTAGTTTTAAAATACTTCTCAAAAATCCAAAAATCAAGTTTTCCTGCCTCAAAATTTGAATAAAAAAACGATGAAATGTATTTTTGATGATTGTAAAAACTATAAAATAATTATTCTAAAATTTCAAAAATCTTTCCAGAAATTAATTTTCCAACAAAATTTTTCACTGTTTCAAAAATTAAGTGAATTGAAATCGTTAAATTGTTTTAATAGTGAAAAATCGATATGAAAGTCCTCAAAAAAGTGTTTCAAAAATTTCATATAAATTTTGTTACTACATATAATATCGATTCAAAGTTTGAATGAAACATTTTGTCGGAATATTTTTTCACTGTTTCAAAAAATCCAGAAAATCAAGTGTTTTTCAAGCAAATTTTGATTTTCTGATGTTAAAAAATCTGATATTGCCCCAAATGTTACTGCTTGAAAATTCGAAAAAAAATTATTTGGTTCAAATATTTTTTCACTGTTTCAAAAATTCAGTGAATTTGAATTTTGTTCTTGGAATTTTATTCAACTACTTTCCCCATTAAGCAAAAGTTCTAATAAATTTTCACTGTTTCGAAAAATTGGGAAATTCGAATTTGAAAATATAATTTTGATAAATAATCCTAGTTGTAGAATCCAAGAAATCAAAATTTTTCTGCTTCAAAAAAATTCACTGTTTCATATAAATTTGGGACTGGGTTTTTGTTTTGATTCAGCCTCTAACAATGTTTTCCAAATTTCCCAAAAGTTTTTGAATGAAAAATTCGTTTCAAATATTTTCTCACTGTTTCAAAAAAATTAGGAACTTAAAATTCAAAATAAAATTTTTATACACCTTGAAATATCCAGAAAAAATGTTCTGCATCTAAAAAAAATTTCACTGTTTCGAAAATTTCATAATAATTTTGTGACTGGTTTTTTCTGATAAAACTTCAAAAGAAATTCCAAAAATCTTCAGTTCAGAGTTTTTCTGGTTACAAAAAGATAATGAAAAATTTAGTTTAAATATTTTTTCACTGTTTCAAAAAATCCAAAAATTCTAGTGTTTTTCATTGAAATTTAGTATGGATTTCATCCTCGTTATCCAGAAAATTTCAAAATATTTCACTGTTTCAAAAAATCCAGATATCAAAATTATTTTTTGATTTCGCAATTTATGTAGTCCTGAATTTGAAGAGAAGCAACAAAAACATTAGATTTTTCAGAAAAAAAAAATGAAAACCAGTTTCAAAATTCCCATGATTTTCCACTGTTTCAAAATTTTGTGAAAGTCACTTATTTTTATTCAATTTTTGATTCGACAATCCTACAAATTGTGTTCCAAACCCCGATTTTCTAGCTCAACAAACAGTTCCAAAAAATTTCACTGTTTTGAAAAACTGGGAAGTTTGAATTTAAAAATTAAATTTCGTTTATCTTGAAAAAGTTGCTCGAAAATCAGTCTGAAAATCCCGAAAAAAAATTCTGCTTCATAAAAATTCACTGTTTCAAAAATTGCATATAAATTTTGTGAAGCTTTTGCTACAGCTTCTAATAGTTTTTTCCCCGAATTTCCCAAAAGTTTTTGAATAAAAAATTTAGTCAGAATATTTTTTCACTGTTTCAAAAAATCATTGAATTGAAAACGTTAAATTATTTTGATAGTGAAAAGTAGATATGAAAATCCTTCAAAAAATGTTTCACTGTTTGGAAAATTTCATAATAATTTTGTGACGCGTTCTTTCTGATACAAGCTCAAATGTTATTCCAAAAAAATTTTTTTCAAAATTTTCCCTGAAATTCTTCAGATGAAATCGAAAAGTGCAAGTTCGATTTCAAACGAACAAATTCCGAGATTTTTTCCGAGAAATCGACAGAATTCTCAGAATTCTGATGATTTTTACAAATTTTATTGGTCAGTTTTGAGTGCTTTTCGCAGTTTGAATTTGAAACTACAGTAATCCAGGATTACTGTTTGGTTTGCAGTTTCTGATGTGTGTGAACAGTAATTTTTGGTATTTTACAGTTTGAATACTGTATGTTTGTTGTGTTTTGTTAAGAAACTACAGTAATCCAGAACACTACAGTAATGCAAAATTTTCAAAATAAAATCCTATATTACTGTAGGCTCAATTTTTCTCGTTCAAATTTAAAAATCAATATTTATTATCGAAAATCTCATCGGTACCACGCGCTCCACCGAAATAAACACGCAACGCAGACCGCGCCGCGGCACAACACACACAAAAATAAGGGAACGATTCAAAATCCCTCTCTTTTTTGTGTGTTGTGGCGCGGCGCGGTCTGCGTTGCGTGTTTATTTCGGTGGAGCGCGTGGTACCGATGATATTTTCCATAATATGCACTCTTTTTTTGCAGTTCGGGTTACTGTATCTGGTTTCTACAGTAACCCACAGTTTAGAAATTTTCTAAAGAAAATTATACAGTAATCCAGGATTACTGTATACTCAATTTTAGAAAAAAAAAACAAAATCAATATTTTTGCACTTTTTGTCTTTTTCTTATCTAATCTTTGTGAAATGCAGTGTAAAGAAGAAAGTTCGCTCCACCGAACTTTTTCCACGCCATTTTTTTTGAATATTCATTTTTTTTCTTGCAGAGCATGCGTGGAACTCCTCGACAACGAGCTCAAGCCTTCGATGGAATGTGATTTTTTTTGCTGATTGCTCATGTTAATTGTTTTTTTTTGCTGAATATTTTACTTCAGTTACACCATCTTTTGAAAACGCGTATTTTCTTTCTTAATAATTCGATTTTATTTTTTTGTACATAATTTTGCTCATTCATTGCTCATATGAAACTTTTTTTTTTAGAAAAATGCTAGTTTTCGTTTACGGAACTCTAAAAACCAATGAGCCAAATTTTCATGTAATGTCTGAAACTGCTGGAAAACACAGGTGAGTTTTAATGGGGCCTTGGAAGCCATAAAAAGTCCTTGGATTTTCTTGAGAAAAGCCCTTAAAGGGCCCTGAAAGCCTTAAAAGGGCCTCGAGGCTTTAAAAATGCCTATGAGCAGCAGGCCCCGAAAGCTTTTCAAACCCTTAGAAGCCTTTTGTAGCCTTCTGAAGCCCTAAAAAGCCTCTAAGCCCCTTAACATAGGCCTTACAAAGCCCTTTGAAGCCTTTCCGATTTTCAGCTTGATCTCCACTGGAAAAACCCTCGAAAAGTATCCGCTTGTAATTGGCACCAAATACAACATTCCATTTCTCCTCAATCAACCAGGAATTGGAAATGTGAGGATTTTTGGGTAAAAAAACAAAAATGATTCATTAAACCCCGTTAATATAACAATCCCAGAAAGAAACAAAAAATGTACAAAACAAAGAAAAATCAATAATTAGATGATCATTTGACAGAAAAAAACAGAAACAAAGAGAAAATTTTGGTGTAGACTATAGTGTAGTTGAGAAGATGTCTGAAATTATAGATTTTTTCGAAAATTCAGGATTTTTGAAGCTTAAATTTTCTTGTTAAAGAAATTCTTCCAGAATTTGAATATTTCTAGAAACTATTGTGAAATGTAAAGAAATACCAAATCACAAAATTTCGCAAAATTTTCTTTGAAAATCTTGAAACAGTAAAGTTTTTCAAAATAAAATTTTTCATTTGTCAAACTCTGAAAATCTTGAAACAGTAATGGGCCTATGCAGAATAATATTTTGTAATAAAAAAACATAAAAAAACATTTTTTTCCTATGCAGAAAAACGTCGAAAAAACAAAATATACAGTTTATTATTTTGAGTAGAGACAACGTGAAGTTGAGAGAGTGCAGAGAAAAAACCATTTTATGTCTGCGCTCTCTCAATTTCATGTTGTCTTTATTTTGTTTTTTTCGACGTTTTTCTGCATAGGAAAAAAATGTTTTTTTATGTTTTTTTATTACAAAATATTATTCTGCATAGGCCCATAATTTTTTGAAAAGTTTTAAGTTTTGAAATTAGGAGATGAGTGAAAATCTGCAATAATGGAATTGGAAAATCAAAACGCAACATTATGGTTAATCAAATCACAAAATTTCGAAAAAGATTTCCATGAAATTTGAAACAGTAATTTTTTGAAAAAAAATTTTGATTTCAATTTCAGATAGTTTATAGCTGTAAAAAGTAGGAGATGTGTGGAATTAAAGATTTTTGAAAATTCAGAAATTTTCAAAGCTGAAATTTTCTTGATATTGATAAGATAATACCAGAAATAAATTATCAAATCAAACTATATTTTTAGAAAAAAAAATATTTATAGAAATCTTGAAACAGTGATTTTTTGAAAAGTTTTAAGTTGTGAAATTAGGAGATGAGTGAAAATCAAATCGCGAAATTTCATTAAAGCAACACCCTCGTATAATAAGGCCATTGCGAAATGCTTTCAAACACCAAAAAATATATAATTAACCTATTCAGCTATACTCACAAGAAATATGAAAAAGAAATACTCAAAAACGATCAAGTTTGACCGATTTTGAAAAAAAAAATATTTTTTTTGAAAATCGCCTGCAGATTGTGCAGATCCGCAATTTCATGACATTTGTGCAAACACTGTGACGACAATTGTGTGCTACAGTACCCCTTTCAACTTTTTTTCAACAAAAAGTGAATTGTTTCACTGAAAACAATGAAATAAATTGTAAAAATGATTTCTGAACGTCCTTAACTATCTCTATAGAAGTATACTTTCATTTTTGACAATGATATTTCAGTTTTATATTGCATATTCCGGTCAAAAACTGAAAAAACACAATTTCCATTGCAAAATTTAGTTTTCGTCTGAAATATTGAATCTTAATGTTTATACTTCTTCAATTTATTTTTTTCATACCAAGAAAACAGTTTTTTCCATGCAAATTGTCATTTTCCGAAAAAAAAAACGGAAAAATTTTGCGAAAAAATAAAAAGAAAACAACGAGAATCCGCGTTGACGCTAGCCCGCGTTGTTTGAATTTGAGTTTTTTCAGTTTTTCAATGGGCTTCCATATTTCGGCGACTACTTATTCAAACGTTTTGAATTTTTCTCCGAACTAGAAAACAGTAAAACTAAGCTAAATCTAAGATTTGAGAACATTTGGGCTTTTTTCAAGAAAGTGCCTATTATACGAGGGTGTTGCTTTAAAATGTTTCAGAAAATCTTGAAACAGTAATATTTTAATTTTGAAAATTTTTTTGTTTGAATTTTAGTAAGTTTATAGTTGTTAAGATAGTGAAAATCTGAAATAATAGATTTTTTGGGGAAATTCTGAAAATCTGATAAGCAGAAAAATTGTCCAGGCGAAATATATAAAATCATCGAACAAATTAAATTTTCAAATCTATTCAGAATGATCTGTAACAAAATAACTGCTTCAAAATGAACTAAAATTTTCTAGAAATGTTGAAACAGTATATTTTTGAAGGGAAGTTAGGAACGCGTTAGGAACCTTTCTGAGATATTCCAAAAAATGTAAAAAAAAATCCACCAAATATTCTTTTTTCTGGGAACAAAATATTGCTTCAACAATTTTGAAACAGTAATTATTTCTAGAGATTTTCAAATGTCTAAAAACAATTCTCCCCCAAAAACTCACCCTACGCGCACATCTCAGCTTTCTCATAATACTTATTCGCCAATTTTCCATTCATAGCTTCTTGCGCAGCTTCAGCAGCTTCATTAAACAATTCATACGCTCGTTCAAAATCTTGATTCAATCCATATCCGCCTTCTTTATACATTTCGGCCATTTTTGCGAGAATTTCGTGGCGAGAAAGAGGGGAGAAGCTTGAAAATGTCGATTTTTCGGTGGAGTTTTCGGAATTCGCCGACGCTTTTTCGTCGTCTTGGAATCCGACTACTCTTTGGTACCTGAGAAATGATAATGGTTTTAAAACGTTAAGAAATTTACGGTAAATCGAGAAATTGAAAACTTGTAGAAGTTTAGATTATTTTTGAAACAGTGAATTTTTTGAATTTTCAAAAATTCTGGGAAATGCTTTTTTTTATTTCAAAACATAATTTGAAATTGCTAAATTCGGAATTTCCAGATTTCATCCAAAAATTAATAAAAACCTTGAAACAGTGAATTTTTTGAGTACAGTTTTTAGTTGAAAATCTTGGAAACTGGAAATTCGAGTGAACTTCTTGAATAATTTTGAAACAGTTCATTTTTTGAGATCCAAATCGGAGACTATTTTAATTGATCAATCTTCTTTCCGGAGAGATTATTAAAAATGACGTTTTTATTCAAAAATTCACGGAAACCTTGAAACAGTGAAATTTTTTAGAAATAAATTTTTATTCAAAAATCTTGGAATTTTATTTCAGAAAATATTTAGAGGAACTTTGAAACAGTGAAATTTTGGATTCTGACTGAACTTTTGAAATTCATCAAGGGCCACTGAAAAAATACATAGTATAGAAAAATTTATATTTTGAGTGAAACTTTTTGTTGAAAATCATGAAGACGGGACATTTTTTGTGAAATTCTCTAGAAAATTTTGAAACAGTGAAATTTTTAACTTCGTGGAAAATTTCATGAAATCGGAAATTTCTATTAATTTTTTGAACTGATTTTTTTGAATTAGAATTTGTAGATATCAAAATTGGAATAAATCATCCAAAAAATCATGAAAACCTTGAAACAGTGAATTTTTTGAGTAAAATTTTTAGTTGAAAATCTTGGAAACTGGAAATTCGAGTGAATTTCTTGAATAACTTTGAAACAGTTCATTTTTGGAAATCCAATTCGGAGACTATTAAAAGTCACGTTTTTATTCAAAAACTCATGAAAACCTTGAAACAGTAATATTTTTATAATGAATTTTTAATTGAAAATCATGGAAACGAAAATTTTCATAAATTTTTTTGACCTGAAATTTTTTCGTCATATTTTTGGTAATCAAAACTAATTATTAAAAATTACGTTTTTCTCTAAAAATTCATGAAAACCTTGAAACGGTAATATTTTTATAAAGATTTTTTTCAAAAATTTACAACACTGAATTTCCCACAATTAAAAATAATTCCTGAACTCCTTGAAACAGCAAATTTTCTCTAAAACCTCCCAAAATCTCACCATTCAATCGATTTCTTATAATCCGCATGTCGATTCTGCCCCAAATTTCGTCCACTTTCATAAGCATGCGCCATATATAACATTGCTCCTTTATCCCCCATTTCAGCCGCGATTTCCATCAAATCCGATCCGAATTCTTCGAGATCTGAAGGAATTTGGTATTTAGGATAACTCAAGGGGTTCTGCACCTTTAATTCCAGTAATTTCTTCTTCCGTTCCATCTGGGAATAAATCCGAAACTCGAACTTCTTTGAGTAATTCGTGTGGGAGATCTGAAAATTTCAGATTTTTCGACTAAAAAATACTAGACGGCGCTTCAAATCAAATCAAAATAAATCTCAGAATTTATTCAAAATTTTTTGAAACAGTGAATATTTGTGGGGATGAAAATTACTCTAAATGTTGAAAAATCTGGTTTTTTGCTAGGAAAAAATAAGGTAAAAATTCAGAATTTTGGCATTTTTCACTGGAATCGAATCAAAATAAAACCAAAATATTTTCAAAATCTTTTGAAACAGTGAATTTTTGGGATTTTTCTAGGGCAAAAACATCATCGGAAAACCCATTTTTTAATCCAAATTTGATTTTTTGGTTAATTCTAGTTGAAAATGTCAATTTCAGAATTTTTCCACGAATATTATTGAAGACTCGTCTCAGATCATTTTCATAACTTTTTGAAACAGTTAATTTTTCATATAATTTTGAATCTTCATCAAATTGAAATTAGGGCTTAAAATCTGAAAATGTCAGATTTTGTGCCTGAAAATCGAGAGAAAATCACTGTGGGCTCAGAAATTCAGGCCCAAAAAGGTTTCAGCGCTTAAAATTATCGGTTTTTCATCATTTTGGGCTTAAAATTTTCAGAAAAATCATGTCTAGGCCTAGAAACCCAAATTTAGGCCCTAAAACTTCCCCAGACCTGAACTTATCTATTTTTCACTATTTTTCCCCTCAAACCCTCACCCAAAACAATATGCGCAGTTGTCAAAATCGCCTCCAAAATCCCGCATTTCCTCGCAATATCCAAATGAAAAATGGCCGATTGTTTATCATAATTTTTTCGTGGATCCTCCAACATATCCTTTTCTCCTTTCTCACTTTCAATAAACCTTCCCAATTCATGATATCTGGCCAAATCAATATGAATTTGTCCCAAAATCGAGAATTGCTCATGTTGTTCAGAGCCACCAAAACATGCTCCAGAAATATTGGCTGGAATTGCTCTTTTCCTTGCCATTTTCCAATAATCATCTTTTTCCGTATCTTTTGTTAATCTTGAACTATGAGACATTGAATATGTTCCAATTGAACTTCGGAAACTGTCATGTCTTTGACGAATTGAATTTATGTCGAAAAATCCACTTCTTTTGTGCAAATTTTCGTCGATCGATGATTTTGTGCTACTTTTGATACTTCCTGGAATGAAAATCTTCGATTTTCGTCAACAAATTGGGAAAAATCGATAACTTTAAGCATGGATTTGGGATTTTTGAGCCTAGAGTGATTTTTTTCGATTTCCAGTCAAAATTCTGAAACTTTCAGCCTTATCTACTAATTTTTGGCCGAAAATTATGAAAAATCGATGATTTCAAGCCTAGAAACTTTTATTCAGGATTCTCTTGCTTGGAGTGAACTCTCGATCTTTTAGCCAAAAAATCTCAAATTTTCACCCTTTTTTCTGAATTTTAAGCCAAAAATAAAGGAAAATCTTAAAATTTTTGGAACTGTGAAGCTTGTTCAAAACGGATTTACCGAATCGCGAAATTAAAAATTAATTATACATGATTTTTGAAACAGTGAAAGATTTTTCCAAAAAAAATCACATAATTTTCTTGTGATTTTTGACATTTTGTTTTAAATTAATTTTTTTTATGGGACTATTCAAGTTATTTTCGCAACGCTGAGAAAAGCGAAGAAAACCTATTCAGGTAGGCTGAGAAAATACGAAAAAAGTGAAGAAAATACATTTTCTCCGCATTTCTCCTGTTTTCTCAGCGTGTTGAGAAAATACTTGAATAGCCCCGTTAATTTTTACAACTTTCAAAATATGTATTGAATATATAAATTCACTGAAAATTGATATGAAATTTTTGAAACAGTGATTTTTTCACATAAAAATGTTTCGAAATTTTATTGTAAACTCGTTCTTTTTCAGATCATTGCTCATATTTTTAGAGAATCTCTCATATTAAACTTATTTGATGCCAAATTTGGGCCATAAAAAATCCTGGGCTTGAAATGACCGACTTTTCACCGCTTTTGGCTCAAAATTCCTGGGTAAAGCTGAACATTTCAGATTTTTGGCAATTTCTGAATGGGATTCCCTGAATGGGGCTAATTTTCAAAAACAGGGCTAAAATAGTAAAACTGAATGGGGTCCAAAAAATGTGTCTGAATGGGACCCGCCTGAATGGGGCTAATTCTCGAAAGTAAAAAGATAAACTGAATGGGACCCGACTGAAAGGGGCTAATTTTCAAAAATAAATAGTTTTCTGAATGGGACCCGACTGAATGGGGCTAAAAATCAAATAAATATTAGAAAAACTGAATGGGACCCCGTTTAGTCAGTCGTTTTCCGGATTTCCGGATTCTTCAAAATTTTGAATTGCGTTTGAAATTTAGTTTTCAAGTTTGATTACTACTTTCGTTTGTTTATCAATAGCGCATAACTTTTTTATATCTGAAATACTAGTTTGTTTTTTCATGTATTTATCACAATATTTCTTCCTTAAAGTATTCTCAAAATGTTTGGTTTTGAAGAATAAAACTCCGGAGGAATTTTGAAAGGAAGTAGGTAGCCTACATTGAGAATATATTTTTCATGGGAAATTTCATTTTCTCGATTTCGACATGCATGTCGAATGTACATGTAGTATTCGGTACGTGGGTTTCAGTTTCTGGTGCGGTGTTTTTGCATTATCAATAGGTTTTTGCTTCTCATTAGCCAAATTAGAATTTCAGAATTTTGAAACTTGCAGCTTCATGGAGGATGGAACTAAAAAATTAAGTCCGAATTTCCAATTAAGATCTAAAATTCGTCATTTTCTCTGTGTCTCACTCAATTCAGCCCATAAAGATGTGTCTCTCAACTCAATTTTTAAAAAAAGTTGTATTTTGGCAAGGTGGCTTCCCAAAAACCACATTTTGACACATAGGTGCGAAGAATTTGAATTTTACTAGGAAAAACGGCAAACTAGAAGTATTGTAAGCAGGTTCGGAAGGAAACATTACATTACTTTTACATTAGAAACTGGAAAAAATACATTTCCAGATATCCTTAAATTTATGAAAAATTAGCTATTTCAAATCGTGTTCTCCGGTTTTAAGATAAAATTTTAAGGTTCTTCAGAATTAAAAAAATTAGGCTTTCAATCTATATGCGCTATTGATAAACAAACGAAAGTAGTAATCAAACTTGAAAACTAAATTTCAAACGCAATTCAAAATTTTGAAGAATCCGGAAATCCGGAAAACGACTGACTAAACGGGGTCCCATTCAGTTTTTCTAATATTTATTTGATTTTTAGCCCCATTCAGTCGGGTCCCATTCAGAAAACTATTTATTTTTGAAAATTAGCCCCTTTCAGTCGGGTCCCATTCAGTTTATCTTTTTTACTTTCGAGAATTAGCCCCATTCAGGCGGGTCCCATTCAGACACATTTTTTGGACCCCATTCAGTTTTACTATTTTAGCCCTGTTTTTGAAAATTAGCCCCATTCAGGGAATCCCATTCAGAAATTGCCCAGATTTTTTGGTGTAGAAATCCAAGAAATTGGAGGCCTAGCATGATTTTTAAAAATTTTAAAAATCATGCTAGGCCTCAAAAATCCCGAATTCAGAAAGGGGTTCCTAGCTTCAAATTAATCGATTTTTCACCATTTTTGAATTAAAATTAACAGAAACAGCTGGAAAATTCATATTTTTGACTGATTATCGCCCTAGAACTCACCAGCCTTACTACTTCTACAACTTCTTTCCCCTCCTGTTCCAACATCACTTCCATCTTCTCCTTCTTCAATATCTTCATCATCCGAACATGGTTCAATCAATTGTTCAACCATCGGAATACAATCAATACAAATACAATCATCATTATGCTCGATCGATATATCATTGCTCATATTATTCAAAGTCGTTCTTCTTCTCAATTCATCCATCGAAATACCGTGTTCAACAATGCATTCAGAAGGAAGGCGGGTTTTGCGTTTAGGAGAAATCGCAGTTCGCGCCAGTTCAGAGTCGGAATCTGGAGAAATTGAGATGTTCAAAGGAACATACAGTATTTCTGGTGGCGCCAATTCGAAATTTGACAATTCCATCGATTCACAAATATGATTACATCGATGGCTGTGGAAAAACAACGCCATTCCTCTTGTCCCAAGATTTCCATCTCCATAATCAGTTCCGATTAGAGTATGAATTTGTGGATCTGTATATAAATCACCGACTCCTTGAATATCAACAACCATCATTTGATGGGCGGATCTTTCGAATGTGAAATGGGAAAATGATTGGGGTGTTAGGCGAGCATCCGAGGAGACGAATCCGGAATTTGAGTTGTATCTGCAAAATTTGGGATGATTTTAGGGGTAAAAATCTGAAATTTTAAGCTTGGAAACATTTTAATGCCCGAGTTTAGGATTTTTGTGCCTAAAGAGAAAATTTAAAGCCAAAAATTGTGAAAAATCGATAATTATAAGCCTGGAAGCATTTAGGGTCGAAATTCTGGATTTTTGACCCTGGACGTGAAAAAATTGAAATTTCAGTTTTTTCTGGTTTTCTAATATGAGCAATGCTCTAAAACTGCTGAAAATTCCAGATTTTTCATCTGCAAATCGAGAAAAAATCATTTCAGACTAGAAAATCCCAAATTTTGGCCCTAAAATGTTCCAAGACTCAAAATTATTGATTTTTCACAATTTTTGGCTTAAAAGTCACAGTAAACGCTGAAAAATGCCGATTTTCAATTTGAAACACTCTGATAATTTTTACTGGAATATAATTTCTCAAAAATTTGGGTAAAGTAGATTCAGGAGCTCCAATGATCTGCGAATCTAAAATTTTATTTCATTAAAATTTCGAAACAGTGAAATAACTCTGACGAAAAAATCCAAAAATTATGGTTGATAATTATTTTCATGAAATTGTATTAAATGTTTTTGATTTACAGTTTTTCTGCCTGAAAACATGTTACTCAAACCCCTGAAAATTTCAGCTTCATTCAAAATTTTCCAAAAACTGAATTCTTGTGAACACGGGAAGTCCATCAATCAGAAAATCTGAGTTTTTATACATCCAAATTTTGAAACAGTGAAAAAATCTCAAAAATGTTCCGTCAGTGATTTCAGGCTAAACAAATTGCAAATTTTCATGGGAATTTACTGAACATTTCAGCTTTGAATATATTTTAGAGGGAAACTTTGATTATTGAAAAACTAATCAATATTTGGAGATGTACCATCAATTCGCAAATCATCAATTTTATTATATCAAAATTTTGAAACAGTTAAAAATTTCAAATTTTTGACCGGAAAGTTCAATTTAAAAATTTGTTTTGAAAATTCTAGAAATTCATTGTCAGCTGAAATCAGATTTTGAAAACTAACGAGACGTAAACTAATTTTTCCAAATCAAAAAAAAAGTTTCATCAATTTTTTGAAACAGTGAAAAATTTAAAGAATTGTTTTTGGGCCTAAAAAATTCCTGGGCCAAAAATTATCAGAAAAAAGCTGAAAATTTCAGAAAAATAGCTCACTTCAAATAATTTCCTTCAATAAAATGTTCCAAATGATAAAGTGGCGAATCGCACGCATCAACCAATTCAATAACACACATTTGAACAATGTCGATTTTTTTCGGCGGATTGTAGCTGTAAAAATTAGGAGATTGCTCAGGTTACTCAAGAAATCTGAAAAAAAACACTTTCTGGGAATTTTAGGCTGAAAATTGTGAAAAATCAATAATTTTAAGCCTAGGAACTTTTAGAGCCGAAATTTGGGATTTTTCTCGATTTTCAGACAAAAAATCTGAAATTTTCAGCATTTCTCATGTTAGAAAATTTCAGATTTTTTGGCTGAAAATTAAGAGAAAATCACGCTCAAAAATGGTTCCCAGTGTTAAAATTATCGATTTGTCTTTTCTGTATAAGAGGTTCTGATTAATCCGAATATCAACAATTTCCTTCTATCAAAATTTTGAAACAGTAAAAAATTTAAAAATTATTTTTGGGCCGAAAAGTGTTCCTAGGCTTAAAATTATCGACTTTTCACCATTATTGGCTTAAAATGCCCAGAAAAAGCTGAAAATTTCAGATTTTCAGATGAAAATCGATAAAATCTCACCGATTATACTCTTCAGCCCACAATTTCGCATCCATTTGCAATCTAACATCATCAAACAAAACTCGTCTCTCAACTTGATTGATATATTTCTTAGCCACATAATTTTGGGCATTTTTCCAATCTTGATGATGATTTCCTCCCAAACTCGACAGCTTTTTCAATCGATAACATTCGCGCATTGCTCCGCGAGCAAATGATTCCGGATGAAGGCGGATTTCGACGAAATCTTCTGTCCATGTTTTTCGAATTGCAGAATACATGTAGCGCTTGGCTTTTTGAATGGGATAATCCTGGAAAATTGAGATTTTTGAGCAAAAATTCGAGGGCATTGCTCATGTTAAACTTAATTTTCCGAAAATCTTGAATTTCAGCTCAAAATTATCGGAAAATCCTGAATTTTGGCTCGAAAATCCCTCACCTGAATATGAAATTGATCCCACGGATCAACATATTCACTTCTCACTCTTCTCGCAACACTTCTCCATTTTTCCATCAATTTTTCGACGCGAATTCGATCAATTTGCGATTTTTCCTCTTTCGATGATACAAGTTCATAATCATCGGTGATTCGAACGAGATTTGAGTTAGTGGAAGTCGATCGGCCACGATTATCCTGGAAAAAACACATTTTTCTGGAAATTTTGATGGATTTTAAGCTGAGATTCATGATTTTCTGATAATTTTGAGCCTAAAAATCAGTTTTAGAGCTCTCAATTTCAGCTAAAAATTAAAATTCCTCACCTTTTCCTCATTGTTATTATCCTCTTCATCATTTTCGCCATCCATTTTCTGCAGAGTTTTTGTTTTCACAGCTGAAAAAAAAAAAATTCAATAATTTTTCAGCAAATTCACGGCGAGTTATACGAAATTGACGAGGAAAAATTGGCGATTTTAGACGAACTCGAGGCTTATCCAAGTTTGTATGATCGACAACAAATTGAGGTAATTTGGAAAGAATGACAATTTTTTAGAGGAGAATTCGAAATTAAAGTATTGGCTGAGGTGGTTAAGCTGAGGTTTTCTGCTAGATAGGTCAAGGGTTCCCCCAGACGAGCAAACTTTTTTTTAAAAAAAAAGTTTCTATATGCATTTTTTAGTGTTTCTAAAGCCAAAAAAATTTGGCGGCGAAGAAAAACGCAAAAATGAATCACAAGGTTCACTCTTTTCTTTTTTCTACATATATTAATCACCTTCTTTTTTATGTTAGTCTAACAAAAAAGTGCAAAAGGAACGAATAAATTATGCCATCTGGTGGGAGAGATTTTTTGGCAAAAAAAATCTGAGAAAAAAGAATCTACCCACCAAAAATCCGTCAACAAAACTTGCTGGCGCATTTTCAGTGCAAGATTCGTGTTCTCCAGGAAAAGAGCTTCAATTTGAGACCCATATTGCATAGGGTACCGAAAATGCGTCAGCAAAGGTATAGCTGGCTGGCGCATTTTTGGTACCCTATGCAATAAGGGGCTCAAATTGAAGCCTATAGCCCGAGGAACACGAATTTTGCACTGAAAACGCGCCAACATAATTTGCTGACACGTAATTTTCAGATTCAAAAATGCAGCGACTCTTCAATCGTTTTGGCGTGGATCTATTTGTTGAAAAAATGGAAGAGTGATTTGTTGGAAACATCCAGCGAAATGATGGAAAATTATTCGAGTTTGGGTGAACATGGAAGACCATATGTTGATAGGTAAATAGAGAAATTGGAAGATTTTGAAGAAAAAATTGAGAATTTTTGGATGAAAATAGGCAAGATCTGATGAATTATTCAATTTCAATCAGAAAAATTAATTTACAGATTGAATATGAACCTAGAATTCAGAATTTTCTTTAGAAAAAAATTTCAAAACGCGGATTTTTGTTTAAAAAAATTCCGAAACAGTGAAATTTTATATGGAAAAGCACGAATTTTTAAAGTTTTCAGCTCAAAATTCCCCAATTTTCAGCCCAAAACCTCTCTGAAATTCAAAAAAAAAATCCGCTCAAAAAAAAAATAACAGACCGGTTTTTTGTCTGCGCCCCCAGAAAAAAACAGAGAAGAGAGCCCAGACGAACAAGGGAACATTTTCTATTATTTTTTCCTGCTCAATGAGCAAAAGTGGATATTTTTAGCAATTTTTTTTTGAAAATTATTATAATTATAGCTCAGATTTTTGAAGAGAATGGAATTTTTTGAACAAAAATTTTGGGGGAAAAATTGATTTTCAATGGAAAACACATGTTTTCAATGATTTTTTAGTCAAAAACTAATAAAATTTGTGAAAATCAAATTTTATTCAATTTTCCATGAAAAACACATGTTTCTAGCCTAAAACCCATGAAAATCTCGAAATTTTCAGTCAAAAAATCTCGAACTTCTTCTAGATATGTTCGTGCAATTGAAATGCTCGAAGATGATTTAGGATCAAACATTTATCGAGAAATTCTAGGCGATTCTGAAGATCTGGACAATTTTCTAGCGCAGAAAAAGGCCAATTTTGATTTGAAAAGTGAGTTTTTGTGAGAAAAAAAATCTCAGAGTTCTTCTAACTCACTTCAAAATTTAGAGGTCATTTTTTCTCAAGAAAAATAATGAAAAACATCACACAGACAGATAGAAATCGCCGAAAAATGGAAATTTTCTGTTCGTTTTTTTTGTTGGCCAGATGGTTTTCACATGACTTTTTCATGGTCAAAACGAGAAGAAAATGGCGGGAAATTTGAATTTTTCATCGATTTTTGACCAAAAAACATGTGTTTCGACTTTTTGGCCAGAAAATATTTGAATTTCAGACATTCTAGAGCTGAAAATTTCAATTTTTGACTGAAAATATGGAAATTCATGGAATTCTGGCTGAAAATCAATTTTTAGCTGTAAAATTTGAATTTTTCACAGATTTTCAGCCAAAAAACATGTGTTTCGATTTTTTGAGCCACGAAATTAAATAAAATTTGAATTTCAGACATTCTGAAGCTAGAGATTTCACTTTTGTCTGAAAATATGGGCATTTCATGGATTTCTGGCTGAAAATCGATTTTTTACAAGAAAATTGATTCAAATTTGAATTTTCATGAAGAAACTTCAAGATTTTCCTATTTTTGACTGAAAATTTGAGATTTTTAAGAAATTTTCTCCTAAAATCGTCAATTTTTTTCAGCGAGCAAGTAACCTGCGAATCTCAATTATACGAAGACTAGGAATTCAAAAATTGGCCAATCCAATAAAAATTATCAATGTAAATCCCAAAAATAAACAAATTTTTCATCGAAAAAAATATAGGAAAGAAAAGGAAAAACAAGAAAAGAAAAGAACAATGCAATAAAAAAAGAGCAAAAAGTCCCGGAAAAATCATTTTTAAAAGAGAAAAGAGAAGAGGAAATGGTGAAAAAAAACAACAAAAAAGACAGATCTAACCAATTTCTACGCAAGTATTTCTTTTTTTTTGGATTTTTTTAGAGTTACGATAACTCGATGAAGATTATTTTTTTCTTAAATGTGGTGGCAAGTAGGAACCAGCAGCTGGAGCAGTTGAAACTGGAGTTGGTGCGGCAGCGGTGACTTTTGGAGCTGGTGTTGGAGTTGGAGCAGGAGGATTTGATGGTGGATTGATTTGAATTGGTTGACGGACTGGTGCAGGAGCAGTGGCATTCATGTTCTGAAAAAATTTCCAGATTTTATTTCAGGTCAATTTTAAGGTCAAAATTTTTTACGTTTCAGGGCCGATTTTTGGCACATATTTAAATTTTCGGCTTTGAATTTAAGAAGCAGTTGCTTTCATGTTCAGAAAAATTCAAATTTAATTTCAGATCAAATTTGAGCTATCATGTACTATAACCTAATTTCGAGCCAAAAAACTTTAATTTCAGGTCAAATTTGAGTTCTCAAACTTAATTTCAGGCCGAAAATCAGATTTCCCTCAATTTTTGGGCTAGAAATGGATTTTTCATAAAAAAAGGTCCAAATTTCCTGTCTTGGATTCCAGGGCCAAAAATTGAAAAAAATCTGATTTTCTAACCTGAAAATGAACTTTTGAGTTAAAATTTCAGATTTTTCAGGTCAAAAATTGATTTCCAGGTCAAATTTACGATTGAAGCAGTGATTTTCAAATTATAGGTCAGAAACATGTGTTTTTCATTGGAAATCGATCGAATAAATCTTGAATTTCACTCACCTTAACAGCCGCCAATGCACTTTCTCTTCCACTTCCAGTTGTCACAGTATATCCTCGAACTCCTCGATTCTCATTCGATCCTCCAGCCTTAACCCAACCATTATTCGCTTTCACATCATCTTTTTTGCTCTTTTCAATTTTGCTAGCATCGGCCAATGAGGGGAATAATTGATCATTTGAGACGTCGAAATTGGCGGTTTGTTGACGCAATCCACCGGGTCCTCTTCTGGATCCTGGAATTGGTGGTTTATAAGCGGCCGCCATTTGTTTGTCAGTTATTGTAACAGCACGTTCTGGTTCTTCTGTTGCCTTCTTTTCCTGCAAAAATTTATGTTTTGAGACCGATTACAAGAAATTACAGAATTCAACTCTCAAAATGAGTCATGACGTGGCAAATTTCGACAAATCGTGACTTCACAAGACTTTTCATAAGAATCTGATAGCACAGTGTTGTTCAGGAGGCTTGATTGCATAACTTCACCAGATTTTTCGAATTTTAACAATTTTCATACAGTGGAAAAGGTTGATTTTTAAAAATTTCGAATTTTTGAATGAACTTCCGAGATTTTTCAAGCTTAACCTCTCATACTGTACGAAAATTCGAAAAACCTGGTGAAGTTATGTAATCAAGTCTTCTGAACAACGCTGTGCTATCAGATTTTCATGAAAATCATCTTGAAGGTTTTGCCACATCATAACTCCTATATATTCAAGCAGTTTTTCCACAACAATCTCTACTTACCGAATTGATTTGTCCCCAAGTTTTTGTCTCGTGAACCTCACTATCCTCTGGTTCATTATTATCCGCTTGAGCATCATCATTCTCCAAACCCATATCTTTGATTTTCAACCCTTCCAATCTTCCTTGATAATTATCCCCGTATTCAATCCATTCACTTTCTTCAGCATTCGCATTCTTGTCATCATCTCCCGCATTATTCCTCTTCTGATTATTCTCGATATGATGATGCTCATCTTGCTCTTGCTCATACTCTTCTTGTCGTTTTGCTCTTCGCTCCAATGCTTGACCCACATCTTCGATTTTCACCGCCGCCTTCTTCTTTTTGTCTTTTTTCTTGGCGAAAAACGCGGACAAATCGTCACTCATTTTTTTGGCAGTTTCCTGAAAAATTCAGCGGTTTTTTTTAAATGAGAAAAATGGAGAAAACGAAGGAATAAGAAAGAAAAATGATGAATAAATAATAAATGTTTGTTGGGCTTGTGAAAAGGTGTGAAAATGGTGGAAACTATGGCGTGTGATTTTGGGAAGGTGAACTTTTTGTGCACAGAGGACCTGAATCCTAAAAATTGAAATATGTTGCGAAATCATAAAAAAAAATAAATTTTCCCCGTTTATGATAAAATTTATGACAAAAATCAACAGACATCTATACGAAAAAAACCCGATTCCTCACCCAAAATACAATTTTTCCCTAAAAATTCCGTAATTTTTCAAGAAAAAACCAGGTATCAAATTGCGCGCAATAAGTTATTTCTAGAATTAAGCAAACTTGCAGAAAATCATTGTTGCGTGGAAGTTTGGCTGGGAAAACCGGAAATTTTTCAGCGAAAATGAAAAAAATTAGGCGACCGCGCCGCCGACACGCGGCGCCTGAGAAATGGCCTAGGAAACCAAATTCGGCCATTTTATTATTTTGGGATTTTTTTTTCGTTTTTTCAGGGTTTCGCGTGGATTTTCGTGGATTCTGAATTAAATTCAAAATTTTTTGATTGAAACTCATCTAAATAATGATATCTTGCAGGTAATATAATCGGTATATGCTGGACGAACTCACAGCATCTTTTATTTCCGATAGAACCTATTATTTGTTGCTGATCCCAAGTTTGATACCAGTTTTGATTGTTTTTCATTTCGCAATTTGGTTGGGAAACGAATTCTTCATCAATAATTGAAAATGGCGAATGTTGATGCGATTCCTGGTTATTTATCGGGAACTTTTCCTTCGCTTCCAATTGAAATCAAGGATTATGTTTATGAAATCTTGAAACAAAATTCGGATGAGATAACAAGTTTGGAAGAGGTTTTAGACGCTGTTGGAGAGCATCTTCAAGCTTCTGTCGAGAATTTATGCGACTTGGGAACAAAAAACGCCTGTCAACAGCTCCTCAAACTTCTTCATGGTGATAACTTGCCAAAAGTTGTTAAACAACATGAAGCCACGACTAAACGACTTGAACAAACTGTTGATATGGCAGCTGAGAATCAAAACTTCGACGCGCTCTCAAGTATTTGGAAGGTTCAAAGTCGTGACACTCCAACAACGGTGGATAAGAAGAAATTAGCAAAAGCTGAGGATAAAGCGGCAGCGAAGGCGGAGACAAGAGCTGCTGCGGAAGGCGCGAGTGCAGATCAGAATCGCAAGCGGAAGGCGAAGAATGAGCCGAGCGCTACAGCTTCGCAAGCACCGATTAAGGAAAGTGGAGCGAGAAATGCGAATGCAAAGGATATCAAGTTGGAAAGTGTTGATATTTCAATTGGAACTAAGTGAGAGACTGGGGAAAATTAGGTGTTTTTCCTCAGGAAAATGCAGGGTTTTCACTTCAAAATCAAAAATCATAATTTTGCAGACAACTTCTCTCCTGCGCTGACATCACTATGGCTTATGGTCGCCGATATGGATTGGTCGGAAGAAACGGTATCGGAAAAACCACCCTCTTGAAAATGATTTCGAGTAAACAATTGAAAATTCCATCCGGAATTAGTATGTTGTCTGTTGAACAAGAAGTTGAGGGAGATGATACCAAGGTTTTGGATGCGGTTTTGGCTTCGGATACGAAGAGACAGACGTTTTTGGATCGCGAGAAGACTTTGCAAAGTCGATTGAATAAGTGCGTGGATTTCGGGAGGAAAAATCGTTGATTCCATGCTTTCTTTTCGTTGACGTGGAATTTCGAAATTGAAGATTTATTTTGAATATTTCACGGTGTTCTAACCAAAGTTATGTTTTCTAGTAGATTTTCCCCCGCTCATCACAATCCCATCCTCAAAAATTGCAAAACTCAACTCCTTTGAGTTATGACGTGGCAAAGTGAAAATTTCCGGATTTTACTAGGCTATAACTGATTTCAAAGATGCTTTTCATGCGAATCTGATAGCACAGCGTTGTTCAGGAGGCTAGATGACACAACTTCACCAGATTTTTCGAATTTTTAACAATTTTCGTACAGTGGAAAAGGTTAGGTTTGAAAAATATCCAATTTTTGAATGAACTTTAAAAATCTGAAACTTTTCAAATCATTTTTGAAGCCAGTTATAGTCTTGTAAAACCGGGAAATTGTCATTTTGCCACGTCATAACTCATATTACAAGTTAAGTTTTGCAATTTTTGAGGATGGGATTCTGATAAGCAGGGAGAAATCTACTTTGGTTAGAACACCATAAATTATTCGAAATGGATTTTCAATTTCTAAAATTCCACGTCATCGAATAATTCAGAGTTCACGTTTTTTTTTGGAAATTCATGAAAATGCGAATTTTTTACCTAAATTTATTCTAAATTCATTTTCAGATAAGTTCAGTTCTTGAAGACTCTAGGATGAATTTAGGTCAAAAATTAGATTTAAGGAGTGGTTTTTATCAAAAATTCTAGGCGAAAAATTTGAATTTTTCTTGAAAACGTGGAGAGTTCAATGGAGCGCGTTTGCATTTTTAGCTCAAAATTCTTCGAATTTTGCAGAGAAAACCTGTCGGATGCTGAAAAGAATAAATGGAACGACGAGTTATCGAAATTATACACCGAAATGGAAGCACTTCAACTCGACAAAGGACCAGCAATTGCATCTTCACTTCTCTATGGTCTCGGATTCACACCAGATGAACAAAAACGACCAACCAAAGAGTTTTCGGGTGGTTGGAGAATGCGTGTTGCTTTGGCCCGGGCCTTGTTTGTCAAGCCCGATTTGTTGTTGTTGGACGAACCGACTAACATGTTGGATATGAGAGCGGTTTATTGGTTGGAAGGACATTTACAAGGATGGGAAGGTGAGGAATTGGAAAATTCATGATTTCCGGGTCATTTTGATACCAAATATTGCCACGTCATAGTGAAGTTTTGGCTGAAATGCATCAAATTTTAGATTTTGGGAATTTGCGGGGCCAAAAATTAAAAAAAATTCAATTTTTTTCATTCGAGTAACATTTTTTTTTGTTGTTAAAAAGTCACTGTTTCAATATTTTGTTGTCAAGTGAAACGATTCAAAAGTATGGAAATTTTAAACCTAAAAAAAATTATGAAAATTTTGAAACAGTAAATTGAAAAAATGTTATTTTTTTGGATGAAAAAATTTGCTGTTTCAAAATTTTCATGAATTTTTAAAAATCTGATTCATGATGTTTCAGTCCTCTTTACTATTGTAAAATTTTGAAATTTAGTTTTTTAAATTTTTGAAAATTAAACTAAATATCAACGCCAGATTTTTCGGTGTAGTTGGCTACACCCCAATAGCAAATCAAACACCTCAAAAAATTATAAAAACTTTGAAACAGTAAAATATTTTGGAACGAAAAATTGACTTGGCCAAACTCAATTTTTCTTGCAGGAACAATTCTCACCGTTTCTCACGATCGTAAATTCCTCAACGAAATTTGCACGGACATTGTTCATCTACACACCAGAAGATTAGATCATTATAAAGGAAATTATGATCAATTCGAGAAAACGATGAAAGAGAAATTGACACAACAACAAAGAGAATATGATGCACAACAGGCATTGCGACAACATACACAAGAATTTATTGATAAGTTCAGATATAATGCGAAAAGAGCGCCGATGGTTCAATCGAGAATTAAAATGTTGGAGAAATTGTGAGCATTTCATTTGGGAGGGGTTTTGGAAGGGACAAAATGAAAAAAAAAACCATGTTTAAAATAATATTCCTACGAAAATTTTGCATAGATAAAGTTCCGAGTACTGTATTTTTAAAGGAACATTGAGATAAAACTTGACATGTTCCTTTAAATTTCGAGCTACAGTTTCACAAAAACTATGCATATTTGATGCTCCTTCAAACTACAGTACTCCAAAATTGGGTACTATGTTCCTTTGATGTGTAATACATAATTTTTGAAAATCGTTTAAAAAATAACTTCGTAATAATATTTTGAAACAGTAAATTTTTTTAAATAGTGAAAATGTTCTTCAACCGCAAGATTTCAATTTTAAAAATTAGGATTTTAATTTGCCGGAGAGAGAAACAAAGTAATCAAATTTCTCCAAGATTCCTGAAAATTCAACAAATTCTTGAAACGTAGATTTGTCAGGATTTTTTCTACCAAGAATAGGCAGTTTTAGAAACCCTTTGATTTCAGCTAAAAATTGAAGCTTCAAAATCTGAAACTATTCTCTAGATTCCATGGTCAAAATCTTAACTTAATCCCAAATTCCCCTATTTTCAGACCCGTCCTTCTGCCAGTCGAACTCGAATCCGACATCCATTTCAAATTCCCTGAATGTGAAATTCTCAACAATCCAGTCTTGCAACTCGATGATGCCTCATTCCAATACACAAAAGATTCGCCGTATTTGTTCAGAAAATTGAATTTAGGAACACACGCGAATTCTCGAATTTGTATTGTCGGAGAAAATGGAGCTGGTAAAACAACCCTCTTGAAATTGCTGTTAGGAGATTTGGAGCCCAGTGTTGGATTGAGAAATGTGAATCGGAGAATTCGAATTGCCTATTTCACACAACATCATGTTGATCAACTTGATATGGAGACATCGGCTATTGAAGTTTTGATGAAAAATCATCCAAGTATGTGGGGAAAATTCGGGAAATTTAGGGTTTTTGGGGGATTTTGATACCAAAAAGTGTCAGAATCCGAAAATTTTGAAAAAAATTGATCCAAATAAATTTACTGATGAAAAGTTTTAATACAGCAAAAATAAAAAATTCACGAAAAAAATCATAAAAATGTTGAAACAGTACATTTTTTGGTACGAAAAATAATCTATTTTCAATGTTTTTATTAAAAAATAATTTACTGTTTCAAAATTTTTATGATTTTTCTGGGATATTTTCCAATTTCATTCCGAATTTTTCCTACTTTAAAATATTGAAAAAAAATTGAAATATCCAATTCTCCGTGAATACATACGAAAAAATCGAATCGAAAATCTATAAAAATTATTTTAGTCAATTTTTGAAACAGTAAACAATTTCGAAATAAATCCACGTGGCACTTTTCCTTATCTATTCCCTTCTAGACAAATCGCAAGAAGACTACCGTGCTGCTTTGGGTCGTTTCGGTCTTGCTGGTGACATGGCACTTCAAAGTGTCGAAACTCTTTCCGGAGGACAAAAATCGCGTCTCGCATTCGCCAATTTGGCAATGATGAATCCGAATTATTTGATTCTTGACGAACCGACAAATCACTTGGATGTTGAAACTGTTGAAGCACTTGGAAAAGCATTGAACACATTTAATGTGAGTTGAGATTGAAATTTTGAACGCAAGATATTTTTGAACGAAATTGTTCCTTGAAAAAATAGAGAAATCCTAACTTTTTTAAAGTTTAGGGTTATCTGAAACTTGATTAGATTCAGAAACTTCTGAAATTTCAGCCAATAATAAAAATAAATATTTTCAGGGAGGTGTGGTGCTCGTTTCTCACGACGAACAACTCATCGAATTGGTCTGCAAAGAACTTTGGGTTGTGAAAGATCGAATGGTGACAACTCTAGAAGGTGGATTAGAAGAATATCGAAAACAAGTCTACAAACAATTGCAATTATCTAATTAATTCGGATTTCTTGTGGTTTTTAATAAGGTAAATTATGTTGTATTTGTTTTCAGTAGGGTTGGAAAAACAGTGTATTTGCGTACACGGATACACGCGCAGCCAAATACACGAATACACGGTACACGAATACACGCGATACACGAATACACGGATACACGAATACACGCAATACACGAATACACTGTACACGAATACACGGTTTTCTTCTCTTCTCAAGCAATTCAGAAAAAAGCGTGTATTCGTGTATTCGTGTATTCGTGTATTGCGTGTATTCGTGTACCATGTATTCGTGTACTGCGTGTGTTCGTGTACCGTGTATCGAGCGCGTGTATCCGTGTATTTTTTCCAACCCTAGTTTTCAGGTTAAAAATACATATTCATTTATTGATTTAGGGGAAAAAAAGGGAATTTCGAACAAACATTATTACTGTAATATAAAATCTGAAACTTTTCTAGACAAAAAAAATGAATTCTCACAAAAATGGGGGTGGATTCGGATAAATGAGCGGGCTGGAAAAAAAGGAATGGGAGACGGACGGGAAAAGAAAATGGGACCTAGACAAAAATTGCAAAAATATATATAATAATTCTACCCAAAAATATATCTCTACTAAAAATTAAAATTAAAATTTGAAAAATGAAGAATATCTTAATTAAGTAGGTAATTATTTTGGTGCCACATTATTGACGGGTGTTGAGAATAGTTGGGGTTTTGTTTGATGTTCGACAACACCGGGTCCACCCAATGGCGGCTGCCAGACGTCGAAACCCAGTTTTCGTAACTCGCCGTCGATCATGTCGAGTAGGGTTTGAGGAGTGTCTGGAAATGGGAAAATGTGTGCTATGACGTGGAAGTTTTTGAAAATTTGGATTTTTGAAGGACCTTCTGATTTGAAACTTTAAAATTTTCATATCAAAATTTTGAAACCTACAATATCCTGGATACAACATACCTGGTTTCAAAAACGCAAAAACAGATCCACCGCCTCCGGCTCCCGTCATTTTCGGATGAATTCCATATCGAGCAAGGGTTGTGCAAATTTGATCGACTTTTGGATGTCCGACGCCCAAAGCGATCAATAATTGATTATTTATTCGGCATAAATCCTGCAAAATTGGAAATTGTCTGATACAATTTTTTTGAAACAGTAAATTTTATTCAAATTTATTTTTACACAGAAAAATAGTTTGCCGTCGTGGATATTCAAAATTATTTTGAAACAGTGGAATTCCGGTTTTTTCATGAAAAAATTGTAATTCTTGAAGAAACCAAATTTCTGTAACAATAACACAAATACGAAAATTCCTATACACAACTTTTGAAACAGTGAATTTTTTGAAATTTCGAAAATAAATTTTTACACCAAAATCGATGTTTTCAGACTTAAAATTTCAGATTTTTCATGAAAAATTCAAATTTCTAGAGATTTTCTGGAAATTTTCAGTGGAAAACCAAGTTTTCACGAATATTTTGGAATTTTCACCAAAAATTTGAATTCTAGTGGAAATTCTCGAATCAGATTTTTCATGAAAAATATAATGTTTCTAGGAAAAATTCAGTTTTTCATAACATTTTACGCCTATTCATTTCAAAGAAGCAATATCTAAAATTTCAAATTTAATTTTCAAAAATATTTGAAACAGTGAATTTTTTGAAATTTCGAAAATCAATTTTTACACCAAAATCTATGTTTTCAGGCTTAAAATTTCAGATTTTTTATGAACAATACAAATTTCTAGAGATTTTCTGGAAATTTCCAGTGGAAAACCAAATTTTTCAGGAATATTTCTGATTTTCATCAAAAAATTTCAATCAAAGAATTTTTCATCAAAAATATTTGAAACAGTGATTTTTTTTCCAAAATTAAAAAAAAACAATTTCACACCTAAGCCTAATCTCACAATTTTCACAACTTCTGCAACCAAAAAACTCACATTAAGCTTGCTAAAAGTGTCGACAAGTTCTCCTTTTTCACTTGTCGCTTGCGAAATCACAGAAGCCGACGAATTTCGTTTTCCACCACCGACGTATGAAGAAAGTGAAGATGAGCGGACAGATGCAGTTCGGGTTGGCTAGAAAATTGAAGAATGAACCAAGGGAAGTTAGACTAACTAATGAAAATTATTGGGCATTTTGGTGAGGAAACTTAGGATAACTAAATTGTCGAACTCTAAAAATTAAATTAAATTAATCCAAGCCGAGCTAAAAACTTAAGTTTGGCTAATTTTTGAGCTCTAGAGCTCATTTTAAAAGTTTGGAGCATTTTTTCTGGATAAGATCCAGATAACTTAAATTTCTTGGAAACTGAAAAAACCTCACAAAATCTAGCACAAACGAAATCCACCAAGAGAATATCCAACTAAAAAAATGCTCCCAGAAAATCCCAAAAGTTACCTGAAGTGAATGATGATCCTGTTCCAACATATGACTTCCGCTAACTAGTCCATTTTCTTGCAAATCACCGCCTCCGTTTTCTTCCAAAAGTGGTCGATGCAAAACTTTTGCAGCTTCTAGTGAAATCGCGTCGATTGAGCCAAACATTGAATCGACGACTTGTGGGAACTGCAAAAAATATGGGGAGAGTTAGGCTAATTCAAGGATTTGTGGACTTCGAAAATAGCCAAAATTTGAGCGCTGTGCTCATTTTGGAGCATTTTTTCTGGATTTTGAGCCCAGGATTAAATCATATCTAGAATTTGTGCTCCAGACCTAATTTTTGAGCTCCAGAGCACATTGCTCATATTAGAAATTTAGATGTTTTGCTTCTAGTTATAATGTCTTGAGTTAATAATTCGTGATCTTGAAATTTTTCTAAAATAAAATTTTGAAACTTATTTTTTCGGGGATTTTTTTCGATACCATAATTGTTTAGGATTTTTTGAAATTAAAAAAATGCTTGAAATCTTCAAAAATTGTGTTCAAAACTCAAAATTCGGCTGAAAATTAGCCCCGAGCTTTTAAATTCAAGTTCTAGGCTCTAAAAATGTTCTGAAGCCCAAAACTCACTGGAAACCCTCGGAAAATGCTCAAAAACGCATCAAAATAAGCTCCAGGGCTCAAATTTCCTCCCTAAAAAATCGCTAACCTTCTTTAACCGTTCCTTAACAGTTTGTACCATTCTCGCCGTATTTCTCTCAACTTTTGAGTTCACCAAAATCACTCGCAAATCCGGCAAATTCTTCAAATGCTCAATTCGATGACCCGGTTTGAAGCTGGCAACTCCGCCTAAAATTGCGAAATTTTTAAAGGGACATGGGATATTTCGGCTAACAAGTGTTATGAATAAAATGACACCACAAAAAAGCTCTCAACTCGTTTAAAAAATGGAAATCCGGAAAAAAATAGAAGAAAAAATCATTCCAAAAAAGGACAGAAAAAGTTTGTTTTTTGGTGAGAAAAAAAAATGAGAAAAAGTGGTTTTCGAGCAAATTTACCAAAAGTTCCCACGTGACCGAGATGTGTGAAACTTTGATAGCCAAAATCTTGGTATGGGGAACCTGGATGGAAAAAAACGGGTAGAGGGAAATTTTGGGGGAAGACAAGACAACACGGGTACCCGGGAATAGAGAAAAATGGAAAAAATCACAAATTTCACCTGAAATTCAGAAAAAATGCTCCAAAATGAGCTCCGGGGCTCAAACATTGAGCCTAGAGCCCAAGTTTTAGCTAGAAATTAGTCCAGCGCTCTTGAATTCAGGTTCGGGGCTCAAAAGTTAGTCAAAATGCTCCAAACCTTGAAAATAAGCTCTAGAGCATTCTGGGATCTAGGAGCTTTCTTTAGGCCAAAATTTTGGGGGTTTTGTATCGTTGAATGTCTTGTAACTAAATTTTCAGAAAACCAGATTTTTAATATTTGATTTTTGAAACAGTAGATTTTTAAGTAATATAAAATGTTTTGGAACTAAAAAATACCATTAAAAATCATGAATAATTTTTGAAACAGTACATTTTTATTCAGAATTTCTTTATGCATTCGAATGTCTAGATCAAATTTTCAAAAAAACCAAAATTTTTATCAAAAATTCCTGAAACAGTAAATTTTGTTTGAAAATCTTCTAATATTCAAAAAATAACAAAATTTTTGAAACAGTAACTTTTCTGTTGAAAATGTATCTGTTAACAAATTTATACAGAATAATTAGGGAATTTCAAATTTTCATCAAAAAATAGATGCATCGAATTAAATATTTTCCAAAACAAATTTTTCATAATATCAATTTTATGAAACAGTATATTTTTTAAAGAAGATTCTAATTTGAGAAACTTTAGAAATATATAATTTTTGAAACAGTAAATTTTCTGGTAACAAAAAAAGCATCTAGAAGTCGGTGCCATAGAACATAGAACTAAAAAATCAATAAAAAACTACAAGAAAACACAAAGAACACAACGAGTCAAGAGCTTCTTTTCTACTTCCCGGGTACCAAAACCCCTATCATAAAATTCAAGACTTACCATAAGTACAAACAGCCGCGTCAAGCCCAGAAGCTCGTCCATGAATGAGGCTTTCGGCTGCGGTTGCCCATTTTCTAATCATATCCAAATGTTCATCTTCCCATGTTAGGTCACCAGTATCATCGGCCTGCAAAAATTCACTGTTTCAAAAAATTTCCAGATAAAAATTGGAAATTCTCTGAATAATGTCTTTTTCAAGCCTTGATTTTGAAAAATAATCACGAAATTTCAATTTTAAAATTATTTCTGAGCTTTGAAAAATGCTCAAAAATATTTTTCAAAATTTCACTGTTTCACAGTTTTTTCAAATAGTATTTTGAAAATTTCTGATTAATCTAGCGTTTGTGTTTCAAAATTTCTTCGAACAATTTTGCACTGATTTTTCTTTGATTTCGAAATGCTAAATTTGAGCTCAGGATCATTTTTGAATGAATTTAGAGCTCGAGACATACTTTTGAGCTTGTAGAACATTTTTTCAAGATTTTGAGGCCTAGGAGCTCTATTTGAGCCAGAATTTGTGCTGCAGACTTGATTTTTGAGCGGAAGGGCTCATTATAGATTCAGCTCCAAGAGTTTTTTCGATAAAAATGGTCATTAAATTGAAATTTTATTTTTTTTCAGAAATTTAACTGTTTCAAATTTTCTTGAAATAAAATTTTTGAATTTTCTGGTTAATCCTGGAAGTGGTTGATTGTGAGATGGTAGAAAAAATCACAAAATTTCACTGTTTCAAAAATTACATTTCTTTGAATTATTTTTGAATGTTTTGATTTTGAATTTCTTATGTTAGAATCAAAATTTTACATGAATATTCACTATTTAAAAATTCTCTTAACAATTTTTTATGAAATTAAAAATTTTCGTGTTTTTCAACACAAGAAAAATAGATCAAATTTTGAATTTTAGGCCTTTTTGAGCCTAGAATCGGAATTTATAGGTTCTAGGCTAATTTCTAGGCAAAATTTGAGGTCCAGAGCATTTTTTCAAGCTACCAGGGCTAAAAAATGTTTTTAAAAATTTCACTGTTTCAAAAATAAAATAACCATATTGTGGTCATTTTTCAGTGATGTCTCATTGTGAAACATACAAAAAAATATTTATCAATCCCCGCATCCGGAAAATTCCCCCAAAAAACCTACCACAATCGTTGGTGGCGGAATGAGTCCGGCAGTTTGGAGCAGCGCCGTGGCAATACAAACACAATATGCTCCAGATGATCCCAATCCAACACAACTCGGCAATTTGAATCGAACTGTGGCTTTGACAGCGAGAAGATCTCTAGAAAATTGAGAAAATCATGAAAAATGGGGAAAAATTGGAAATTTTCGAAAAAAATTTGATGGCTTGGGAGTTTTTGAAGAAGTGAGGAGTTGGACTAAGTTCAATTTTTTGGGCCAAAAATCCATCTGACATACTCGAAAAATGCTCCAAAATAAGCTCCAGGGCCCAAACTTTAGCAATAAATTAGTCCGGAGCTTTTAAATTCAGGTTCTGGGAGCCAAAAATTCAAATTTCAAAAACAAATCGGTTTTAAAGGTGCAGATACCTTCAAAATCGTCAGAACAATCTAAAGAAGCTTCTGAATCATCTTCAGGATTTTCAAAATAGTCTTTAGAAGCTTCAGAATCCTCTCCAGATTCTTCAGGAGCTTCTGAATCCTCACAACCTCTAGAATCTTCAAAAACTCCGGCCAAAAACGAATTTTGTGCGAATTTCATGCATATTTTCACCATGCACCTCACAAAAATCACAAAAAATCAGAAAAAAAAGTCAAAAAACACACTGTTGAATGCCGGGATGTTCTTTCGGCGACAAAAAAGTGGGCGGCGTTTGATTAGTCGAACTCGGTGTTGGCGATGGCAATGGTGTCAACGGTGGAACCGGCAACGATAATGCGATTTCAGCTTCCGATCGTTCGGCTTGACCTTCGGAATGCGGTGCCGATTGTGCCATCACATTCAGATTTGTTCGATGGAGACCTTCGGGGAGAGCGGGAGCGGGAAGTCCGCGAGCAAGACGTGCAAGACCACTGCAAGAAAAACGCAAAAACTACAAAATGTTGGCTGCTTTGGTGTTTTGAAAATGTTTTTTAATTGAAAAAAAAACAACATTGAAAGCTGCACAACATCAAAAAAATCAATAAAAATGGGGTTAGTGTTGAGAAAATGCACACATTTTGTTTGGGAAGTGAGAAGAGGGGGAATTTTTTCTTACCTAAAAATCAGGTGCTCAAATTTTAGCTATTAGTTTTGAGCCCTTAATTTCAGGTTTTGTGTTCAAAAATTAGGTCTGGAGAATCTAAGGCTGAAATTTTACACTCTGAAAATCAAGCTTGTTTTCAAACTTTTGTGTTATCAACTCTGAAAAATCCAGAAAAAAATATATGAAATTTTTGAAACAGTGAATTTTTCTGGTGAGGAAATTTGAATTCTAGATTGAAAAGTTAATTTTCAATTTCCCTAAAATTCCAGCTCCCTAGACATATTTAGTGTCAGAAAAGATTCCCCTTCTCTCAATTTTCCCACTCCTCTCAAAAAAATCCCTCACCTTTTGCGATGCGCAACACCCAGGAGCAAATACCAAAACGCCAAAATGGCCAAATGTTGTACGCCGCATTGATCCTCACAAGATCCCGACAATTTTCGAGCGATCGGTACGAGCACTTCCAAACTTGGCGGTTGATCTTCTTCAATCGGATATTCGGCGGCTAAACGATCGGCGGCTTTTAGCAAATCTTTCAACATCCACGTTTTTTCGACACCAAGATCAGGTAGACTTAGGTAGATTCGACCATCGGCTGATGTGTATAATGAAACATAGGTTCGGAGGTCGATTGAGCCAGCGATGGCTGTCTGAAGAAAAAATGGGATAAATTTAATCCCAAAATAATGGATAATTTTTGAAACAGTAAATTTTTCCAAGAAAAAAATTCACTGCTCAGAGAAGGTCTGGCTTGAACGGCGCGGTTCGCGAAACCCAGAAATCTGCCAATCCGCGGCTGACACAAGAACTTTAGCGAAACGTCCGCGAAAGTATACTCCGCTGTTAGCGAAACGTCCGCGCAATGCACTCTCGAAATATAAAAATGCTTCACTACCCCTGATAATTATCAGAAGTTAGTATTGACTTGTAGTTCCAACCCGTCCTCGATCCCAATCCTGTCGTTTTGTAGACATCCATCTTCCTCGCTGCGCTATCCTCGTTGTCGCGTACGCGATACAATTTATACTTTTTATACCCTCCCTCTCGAGTCCATCCGCGGATCCGCGAAAAACTCAAAAATCAAATTTCCGAGTCAAAAAATTTCGCGGAATGCGCGAAATGAGACTCTCTTTGGCTGAAGTTTCGCTGTCCGCGAAATTTTTTTCGCTGAATCCGCGTAATGATTTTCACTCAAAAATTGGGAAAAAATCGTCCGCGGACCGCGCCGTTCAAGCCAGACTTTCTCTGAGTGTTTCAAAAATTGAAGAAACATTCCACAATTTTCTTGATTTTCAATTTAGGTTGCTTTGGCGGATCGAATAAATCAGGGTAATTCTGGAAATTTCTTGAACATCTTATCTCTTTTTCATCTTTTTTGACTTTGTAATTTTTTAATGAAATTCGCGGGATTTTAGACACCCATAAATACTTATTTGTTCACTATTTTTTTTAGCAAAAATTCAAATTTTAGGTCGTTTCCCCCCTCAACCCTCCCCCAAATTAAACTAACTCTTCCATAAACGACAGCATGTTCACCAAAAAGTATAATTTTTCCGGGCGCCGATACGAATAGTCCGCCGTGTTGTGATGTTGTGTTTCGATGCATTGGACTGGCTGAAACCGATGAACCGGCACGGGATGTACTACCAGATGGTGAATCCAGGGCTGCAAAAATCAAAGATTAGAAGGTGGGGAGGAGGGACTAGATTTCCCACGTCTAAATCCTAGTCCAACAGATAAATTTCTGACTTTTTCCGTTAGTTTTTGTGAAAAATTGAAATTTGATCGGTTTTTTTCGTGAAAAATGATTTTTTTTGACAAAAAAACTATAGGAATAATCGGATTTTCTCTTTTAAAAACTATTTGAAACATGAAAAATTCATGTTTTAGCCTAAATTGAATGATTTTGGTCAACTTTTTTTGATAAAAAAAAGCACGAAAAAAAATTGAGGGACTAGTTTTTCCCACGGCTAAATCCTAGTCCCTCCTCTAGGTTTTTCTCAAACTCGAGTATACTCGAGTAAAGTAAAAACCATATTTTTTCCTTTTTCAAAAACCAAATGAATTTCAAAAAAAAGGTTTCGAAAGGTCAAAGACAAACAAAAATGCGACCATTTTGAATGACGTCAGAACAAAAATCGTATTAACTTTTTTTCACAAAAGAAAGAAAGAAGGTGAGAAGAATGTATCGATTTCTGGGTTGTCAAAAGAAAATATACAGTTTTGACGTCAAAAAAACTCACAATTCCTCTGCTGCTCGCTTAAACTACTACTATCAGCCGCCGATTTTTCCTCTTCAATTTCAATTTTCAGCGCATTTTCAACAGAATTTATGGTAGTTACAATTTCAGTCACTTCTTTCCGGGTAACTTTTCCAATTTTTCCATTCTCATCGATTTCGTGAATTATTTCACCACAAACTGTTACTTCACGTTCATCATCTTCATCATGAGTCATGATTTTTTGGGGAGTTTTGGATGAAGGTGAAGCTGGAGAGATCGGAGATTTTTTGAGAGAAAAACGAAAAGATAAATAAAAAAAACAAGAAAAATCAGATTTTCAGATAATTTTAGTCAAAAATCATGAAATCCTAGATTCAGAAATTAATTACAAAACAAAATCAAAAAATCATTACAATAAGCTATGAAACAGTGAATTTTTTCAACCAAAAATTGGGAAAACATAGAATGTTTGCAATATTTTGAAGCTTCAGAGTCTGTAAATTTTGAATCTGAAATTTTTCAGAAGTTTGAAACGAATTCGAATTTTTCTAGAAGTTTTCAAATTATTATTGTTAATGGGGCTATTCATGTTATTTTTCAACGCTGAGAAAACGGGAGAAAAGCGGAGAAAACCTATTCAGGTAGGCTGAGAAAATACGAAAAAAGCGGAGAAAATGTATTTCCTCCGCATTTCTCCTGTTTTCTCAACATGCTGAGAAAATACATGAATAGCCCCATAACAGTGTTATCGAAATTGCTGGAAACATCAGAATTTCAATACAAAAATATCATGAAACAGTGAATTTTTATCCAAAAATTCTGAAACTTTCAGTTAAAAAATGTTCATCAATTCATCTCTCCTGTGCTCCATTTTTGCTCTTGAGAGCAGCAAAAAAGCTCTCAAGGAGCATCACAAAAAAATAGGAGAAAGGGAAAAAAGTTAAAATATGCGCAAAATCGCATTTTCTCCTTCTTCTTTTTTTTCTGACGTCGATTTTTTTCTTTTTTTTCCTTGAACGACGAAAAAATGTGAGAAAATAGATAGATGGAACTTGAAGATTGCTGAATGAAAAAATAAAAAAAAGAAGCGAGAAAAAATATATATCAGATCGAAAATGAAAAATGAAAAAAAATTGTTTTTTTGTAGATTTCAAGATCAAAGAATTGCGAAAAAAAGGAACGTTTTTTTCTATGACTTGTAGGAACTTCTAATACATTATAAATTTTTCACCAAAAAATTCTCTAGAAAATCTAATCTGCAACCATAAAAAGCAATTTCCAGAATCAGATCCAAAAAAACACGGAAAAAGCAGAAAAAAAAGATTTGTTGTTTTTCCTCATCTGGAAAAATAGAGAAAAAATTAATCTGCTCAAATTTTTTCGGCAAAAAAACAGAAATTTTTGGTTCAGGGATCTGTTTAGTGTTAAAAATAGGCAAAAAAATTATCAGAAAAATTTTTATCAGAAAAAAGTTGATGAATTGCGTAGACAATGTTCGAAATTGACGTAATAACTTAAGACTTTTGCAATTTTTGGAAGTTCGAAACATTTTTTTGGAATGAAATTTGAGAAAAAATTGACGTAGTATCTAGATTATATCAAGAAAAATGAGCAGAAAAGAAGGGGGAAAATGGCATCAAATTTCCAGGAAACTAAAGATTTTTTCGATTGAAAAAAAAGACGAAAAACTTCTTCAGCTTCTTCTTATTTGCATTTTTATTCGAGAATTTCCTGTGGACTTTTTTTTCAGCAAAACGAAAATAAATCGGATTTTTTTGGGGGAAACATGAACAAAAATCAGGGATTTTCAGGAGGGAAGAATTAAATTGAAATTCAAAAAAATTCCAACTAGATGTTGTTTTTTACTCTCCTTATTTTTCCAATTCAGTTTTTATTTTTCTTTATCTCCTATAAATTTTTCATGTGTTTTTCTCGAATTCGATTCAGATTCGCGAAAAAAAAAACCCACGATATATTTTTCGCAAAAAAAAATGAAAAAGCAAACATTTGACAAGCAAAAAATGAAGAAACAAAATAATCTTTTGACATTTTTCATTTTTTTCTTTCGAAAAAAATTTTTGAAGATGAAAAAAAAGTGAAAAATGAGGATTTTTGAGTCTTTTAGGTTTTTGAGGTCAAAATTTGAAGGGAAAAAATGAGAAAAAATTTCAAATTTCGAAAAAATCCACCCAAAAATAGAGCCCCCAACTTTTTTCTCATTTTTTTGCCGTGCCTCCAAATTAGGTTCATCTAATCCTCCTTTTCCACAAGTTTTCCTTTGCTCAACAAAAAAAGGTCCTAATCGTTTTTTTTGGAAAAAAAGAGAAGAAAAATGTTTTCCTTTTCCATTTTTTCAGGCTCTGATGGGTTTATTTGGGCGGCGCAGAAGAAAAAAATGAAGAAAAACGAAGAAGAAGAAGTGGTGGAGACAAATTAAAGACAAAAAACTGGGTGGAAAATGAAGTTTTTTAGGTGGAAAATGGGGATTTTCAGGTGGAAAATGATGGAAGATTACTGTATTCTTAGGCAAAAACTGTTGCCTTTGTAGGAATTTCGAGAAGATTTAAGAATTACGGGATTCAAATCAAAAGAATACAAAATTAAACATTAAAAAATGACTTGAAACAGTGTATTTTTCTTCAATATTTTTGGAATCAAAAACAAATTCCAAATTCAAAAAAATTTCGGGATACGAATCTCTACCTTATCGATCAAAAACCCACAAAATTTGTAAAAAATTATATCATTTTTGAAACAGCAAATATTTTCCAATATTCTGGTCCAGAATATGATATTCCAAAATTCAAAAAAAAATATACTAGAACTAAAATTCGTGATACTATTCACTGAGAAACTCATTGGTTAATTTCCCGAATCGATTACAACTTTTCAAAAGTTTTCATTTTTTAACCTCCCCCCCCCCCAAAAAAAAATCAACTAACCTTGATCTCCACCTATCACAACCATTTAAAAATTGCTAATTATAGTTCAATATTGTCGCTCGCCTCGTTTTTTCGTTCCAAAATCGATATTGTCACACAGGTTTCTCCTTCTTTTTCCGTCTGCAACAAAAAAAATATGAATTTTTTTGGCTCTAAAAAAAGTGGGGGAGTACGAAAATACGAACAGCAAAAAAAATGAAAGAAATTGTTGTGTTTGATAACAAAAAACACCTGTTGGAAGAAAAATGAAAAACGTACTTTTTTTCAATTGGAAGAGGTTTTGGTTTTGGAAAATTTTTAGAAATTGATGAAAATTGCGTGGAAAATGTTAATATGAGCAATAGTGCAATGATTTCTGACAAATCGAAAAAAAACTCACTGTTTCAAAAATTTTTGAAAAACATTTGGGAATATCTTCTTTTGTCAGGGTATGCAAATAACGAAAAAAAATAATAAAGAAGCGAGAAAAATTCACTGTTTCAGAAAAATAATATTGAAATTTGGAGCTTTAATTACAGTAATTAAGTTCGCCATTTCATCATGGGGAAATTCAGAAACGTGAAATTTTTTTTCAAATCAAAATCGATCTATTAATGTCTGAATAAGTTCTAATTTCCTATAATATTTTTTCTGAAACAGTGAATTTTTCTTTTTTTTTTTAAATATTTTATTGGACTTAATTGCCGAGAAAGATCAAAACTAAATGAGACCAAATTTTTAGAAAATAATTTTGAAACAGTGAATTTTTTCTGAAAAAGGAATTTCTTAATAAAAAATGTTACTATTGCTTATGTTAATCATCACATGGTTTTTTGAGCAATGCTCATATTAAAAATTAGTGACAAAATCGTCATGAATACAAAATCAATGATTTTACAAAAAAAATTAAGATGAGAAGAGCTTTGGTGTTCAGAAATTGGCCAAAATTTACAGATTGGCCAAATTTTGAACCAATTTCTGACCAAAAACACAAATTGGTGTTTTATTGGTCAAAAATTGGTTATCATCAAGATGAGCAATGCAATTTTATTCCAGAAATCCCCCAAAAATTTCAAGTCAGAAACCAACAAAAAAATCAATAACATGTGTGTGCCAAGAAAAAAACGGCTAAAAGAAGAAAAAAAACGTCGTTTTTCCTCCCGCCAAAAAAGTTTTTCTTTTTTTTTCTTCTGCTCTTCAGAAAAAAGAGGAGGAAAAAAAAAAAAGAAAACTCACATAACAACACAAAAACTTCTTCTTCTTTTTGCAACGCAACAAAAAATTGGAAAATTTCCATGAGAATGGATTTTCTTCGCGTTTTTTTTTTCGAGCTCTGCCGTAGCAAAAATGTGCGTGGCTCAAAAATTCCCAACCCAATTTCTAAGACCATAAATTTTTGAAAGAAGAAAGAGGAACTAATTAAAAATTGGGTGGACAAAGAGGAATTTTTGGGGAATTGAAAAAAATGAGTTATGTTTTCTTGATTAAAGGAAAATGTGCCGAGTACGGTATGTTCCTTGGAAGTTACGGAAAGGTTTGGGTCTCAAAGCGACTTATTTAATTCAAACAAAATCTAGGAGCACTGTATGTCCCTTTAAACACTTCGAGCACTCTTTGAAGTATTTTCGAGTAGAAAATCTAGAACTGGATTGTTTAAAGGGACATACTGTTCCCAGGACCCAATAAAAAAAATCAATAAATCTGCCAGACAAAAATAAAAATCGTCGGAAATCGAAAAAGTTTTTGCGTTTCGTCAAAACTCCAGAACACGTCTGTTGTTTTCTTCAACAACTCTTTTTCCTATATCTTTTGAGTGTAAAAAAACTCGGGAAGATTAAGCTTAAACCTAAGAACGGGAAAAGTGTAAATAAAATCAACAAAAATTGGAAAATTCGGAAATTTTTAGCGCGCGAACCAAAAATGTCCACAAATAAATAGAAATTGTTTTTTTTTCGGGGGGCTCATCGATTCTCTCACTCTCTCGTCGTGGAGACGCAGAGATAACTAGAGGAAAAAGAGGCGGAGAGAGTGTGGCGATAGAGGAGACGCAGGTGAAATTGCACTTTTTTGAGAGGAGCGGTGATATGGAAAATGAGACGAAATATAAGTAGAAATGACAGAGAGAGAGAGAGAGAGAGAGAGATGAGGAGAGAAAAATAAACATATAAACATTTTTGCTCTTGTTTATGAGTGTTCTTTAGTTCTTGGCGCCAGGAATTTGAAATTCAAATTTTTTTTGAAATTTGAGGTGACGTGGAAATTTAAGTTTCAAATATGAATTTCATTTTCAAAAAAAAATGCAAGCGGAAAATGATTGTTCAAAAATAACAATTGAAGCTCCGCCCACAAAACTGTGTGGAAGATCTATGCCAAGTGAAACCATCAGAAACACATCTTCAATTTAATTTTAGCCTAAAACCTAAGCCCCGCCTCAAAACTGTTTAAGTAAAACATCTGAAAGATCAGAAAGATCAAAATTTTCAGCGTCAAAAGATAAGCCCCGCCCACAAAACCGTGCCGCAAAAAGTAGTATTACAAAAAGTAGTACTACTAAAAAAGGCTGCTTGCATTTTCTTTTTCTTCTGCGCAGAAGCAGCGAAAACATACACACATCGGAGCAAAAAAGGAGTGAAGATCGACACGCCGTCTTTTTTTCTTCTTTCTTTTTCTTCAAAAAAAAAATTTCGGGTGAGACAAGAGAGATTAGAGACGCAGAGAAATGAGCCGGCTTCGTCGTTTTTTTTTGGCAATCGAATATTACTACTTTTTTCGTGTGTGTGTTGTCTGAAAAAAAGAGGAAAAAAAGGATTTGAGATTATTTTTTTCTCGCCTCTTTTTTCACACACAGAACAAGAAGGAGGAGGAGGAAAAAACATTGACAAAATATGAATAATAATAAGATGTTTTGAGGGTGTACTGCGCGGCACGGTTTTGTGGGCGGGGCTTATTTTTTTTAGCAAAGAATTTCTGGATAAAATGCATGCGTGGCTTCAAAAACTAGAGTATAGTTTAGAAATTCCGGTGAAAAATCGAAAGTACATATTTTTCTCACAAGAAAAGAAAATTAGAGGTTTCAGATTTCGGAAAATTATAGACTTTGAAAAAGGGCGCCAAAACCACCCAAAAAAGTAAGTTTCAAATTTCGCGCCAGGTTTCTCCGGTTTCAACACAATGTATGAAATATTTAGCACCTTTTTTGTCTCGAGCCAACAAAAAACGAGAAAAAAGTTTGTTGCGAGCAAAAAAGGGGGCTAATTTTTGGTGCAAATGAAAATTTGGGCCAAACAAGAAGTATCTTTAGTCTATCTATCTCTTTCTCCCGTTTTTTTTAGTTTAAATTTTTTGTTTCACCAACACAAAAAAGGTCCCCCGGGACCACTTTGGCCTCCTAAAAAAACAAAAAAAAATTGCCCGACACAACTTTTTTTGGTGGTTTTCTCTAAATGAGCTTCTTTTACTAGAGCTCCGCCCCATTTTTTTTGTTGAAACTTTTTTTCCGAAAAAAAATGAAAAACAAAAATAGGGAATTTCAAAAAACGTGACCAAAAAAAAAAAGAGTATTTTCGTAACAGAAATTGTTCATTTCTAAATTTTCAAATAAAAAATAATAATGAGTCAATCACAGACAGAAGATGGTTACGAGTTTTTTGTTCCTGAAGCGGTAGGTTAAAGGGTGGAACTCTTGGAACAACATTTATGAAATCACGAAAAGTTGAGCAACTACGGAATATTTCTAATTTTCTCGCTGAAAATCATGAAATTTGCAGAAAAACTGATCCGCTGATCACGACAGAGTTGTCAAAAATTATAGAAATCAACTCCTAATATGAGTTATGACGTGGCAAAAAGTCACAAAGCTACAACTGACTTCAAAAAATGAATTTCATTAAAAGTTAGTACAGCGTTGTTCGACAGGCTTGAAACGTTCAGACTTTATAACTCACATTGGAAGTTTAGTTTTGCAATTTTAGAAGACGGAACCGTGATCAGCGGGTCAAAAACTATCCCTAAACTATTTTGAAACTAAATGATTTCAGCTTCTCGCTCCACCCCCGCCACCAATAGAAGATGGAAGTGAAAAAACACCAACACCAGCACCGATAAAAACCAAAACCCGAACAACATCAAAAAAATCACCAGATCCTAACAAGAAAAAAGGAAAGAAAAGTTCGTTGGCGAAAAAGAAGGTGTCATTAATTGGTGTGACAGTTCAATTCGTTGTCAGTATTTTGATGGTTGCGTTCAGTGTTTTATGCTTAGTTATGGTAAGTTTCAGCGGGAAAAATCAATAATATTTTTTGAATTTTCAGAGTCTAATTGCTTTCACATCCTCCTGAATTCTGATGTACTTTTTTTGAATAAAATGAAAATAAAATATTGATTTTTCTTCCAACATTCAATTATTCTAACAAAGTTCCCCATATAAATCGAATAAATCAGCACAAAGTATTTGATTTACAAAAATGCGAATCAAATTTCACATAATCTTTTCTCTCGCCTTATTCTTGACAAAATTCGAATGTTCGTTTGCTGACGAAATTTCTCGAAAATTCTACAAAACTTGGATTTCGGCGGTGGAAAATGAGAATTCTGACAGAATTCGAGAATTGATTGGTGCGAAATTTGAGACGAATTTGGAAAAAGGTGGGAAACTAGGAAAACGCGGGAAAAATATAAATTTTTTGGAATAAAAACAGCGAAAAATAGCGACAAACCGAAAAAAAAAACAAAATATTCAAAAAAAAAAGTTTGGCGGGAAACGCGAAAAACAACACTCACAATGACAGCGCAACCGTCACTTAGCGGAGTGTCGTTGTTTTTTTTTTGAATTTTGAAATTTTCATGTCATATTTTTATTTTTCTATTAGTTTTGAGTAGTTTTGAGCGGGAGAAATTTTGATAGTTTTTTTTAAAGAAAATTTAGAAAAAGCTAGCGTGTTTCTTTAAATGCCGTAACACTTTCAATCGATTTTTCAAAATGTTTTGGGATTTCAGACAAACTTCTCGAAAAACTGGTGCAAAAATACAAAAGCATCAAATTCAAAGAGGATGAGAATGCGATTTTCACAATGGATCTCAAATATTTCGATGGTTCTGAAGTGAAGTTGAAAGGCGAAAACGTTGGTGGCAAAATTGAAATTCGAAAAATTGTTGGTGACGCTGTGAAAAATGACGGTTTTCTAAAATTCGAAAGGGATTTCGATAAAGCGATCAAAGGGAAAAATCGAAAAATTCTGGAATTTTTGATTATTGGACCAAATGGCGGGCAGAAAGGTTAGTGAAGTTTTAGCTAAATTATATGAGTAACCTAGTATTTACAGCGTTGTTCATCAATTGGTTGATCTCCCAGAAATCCCTGAAAATAACCAGAATCCGAAGCGATCGCAGAAAATATCGAATAAAGTCTGGCCCAACATTTTTCATAATTTTCGTTGAAAAAGTTGAACAATTCTACAAAAATCACAAGAATTGAAAGTGAAGATGATGAAAATTCAAACGAGAAACAAAAGGAAAATCAACAATTCACCAGGAGAATAAAAATTATGACTGCACTACACTCTAAAAATTACACAATTTTTGGCGAGCTCTCAAGTGATTTGCAAAAAATAATCGATAAAGAAGGACCGGGAAATATTAAATTCGAGAAAAATCGGGTTGTTTTGGAGTTTTCGAGTGGAATTTATATAGCAGCAGAGATTGAAAATGATAAAATCAATAAAATTCGATTAGGAAGTTATGATTTTCATGAAACATTGGAGGAATTTAATAAAGCTAGTGGAGAAAGAAATCAATCAAGTCTTGAAAATATATTGAGATCTGCCAAGTTCCTTACAAAGAGCGCGGGAAAAGCTGAAGTTTTGAAATATATTTTGGAAAATCGCCTACAACTTCGCATCAAGAAATCAAAATATCAACCAGAATCTGAAATTTCGTTCGATTTATCAAATGAAAAATTCAATCTTCAATTGATTTTCAATTTTAAAGAGAAGCGAATTGTCAGAGGGAAATTGAATTTTGCCAAAAATTCGAAAAGTTTTGCGGAAAATGCAGTGAATGTTTTGGCTGGATATTTGGAGGGCGAAAAATTGAAGGATGATTTGAGCGAGGTTGTGGGAGCAGATTTTAAAATGAGAAATGGAAATTTGACGGGAGGAATTGGTGAGTGAAATATAATTTTCTGAAATTTGCGAAAAATTCGAATTTTGGAATTTTCAACAAAAAAACCACGTTTTTTTCGAAATTTTAATTGCCACAAGATCGAAATTTTTGAAAACTAGATCGATAAATTTCAAATTGCCATGTCAAACAACTTCCAATTACTAGTGTTTCCAGATATCTTGATCAATTGGCTCAATTCGCAAAATCTTGAAACGATCGCCACACTTCAAAAAAATTTCACAAATGAAATTCATCAAGTCTCCCTCGATAATGGCGCTGAAAAATTGATCCTAATCATCAGAAATGGAAAATTCACCCATGCCCAGATCCAGCAAATCTGCCTCGAAGAAAATCTCCAGAAGTTTATGAGAATTTTGAAAAATGGAAGTTCGGAAGAGCTGAGCTCCATATTTTCAACAACATTTTCATTGCGATCACATCAGACGAAATATCCCCGATTTTTATCGATTAATATTATTGACCACCTTCGGAAAAGCCAGGAAATCAAGATTGAATCAAGAATTTATCCAGGAACTGCGAAAATCTATATGGGAAAAGTGAAGCTATACATTTATCCCAAAAAACTTCAAATCGATTCAGGATTTGTTCCGGAACTTCGAGCTAATGAAGATGTTCAAGATCTTCGGAGCTACTATGATTTCTTCGAGAATATCCTCCAGACTTCGAAGATCTCCAAAGACTTCAAGATGATTTTGGACAAGGAGGGAACATTTATCAATCGAGCAAGGTTTTTGAGAGGAATTCAAGGACCAAACAGAACTTTGTCGATGAAAAATCTGGGATTTAGTTTGTATCAAGTGAACGATGCGATTATTTATTCTGATCAATTGGGAGCATCTATCAATTTTTATTTTGCGAGAAAAAATGAGGAGTTGGTTTTGGAGAGAGCTGAATATGATATTGATGTGTTTTTGGGTGAATGATTTTGAAAATAAAGAAGTTTGTTGGCTGGGAAAAGCAATTTCAGGTAAACATTTTTGATTCTGACAGAAATCCTAGTTCTTTTTTTTTTTTTGAAATTTGAATTGCTACGTGGATCTCAGCAGATTTTTTGAAATTTTAATTTCTGCTTGTTTTTGAGTGAGATAAGATCATTTATAGTTTGTGTGAAAAGTTCCTGAATACAATGAAAATACACGAAAAAATAGAGCAAATCTAGCGACGTCTGACAGTTCCATCCTCGAAAAACACTCCACCATCGACAGCACAATATTTCGGGCAAACTCCGCGCTCTCCAGATCCTCCAGATTTTCCTGGTGCTCCTGGTTGTCCAGGTTGTCCGTCTGGTCCTGGACGTCCTGGACCTCCTGGTGCTCCTTTTGGTCCCGCTGGTCCTGGTCGACCTCCTCCAGATTGTCCCGGTTGTCCGGCTGGCCCTGGTGGTCCGCGTGGCCCTGGTGGCCCTGGAAGGGCCGCCCCACTTTGTCCTCCGTTTGCTGGTCGTCCTGGTTGTCCGGCGCCGCCTGGGCTTCCTGGGTTACCCGGTGCTCCTCGTGGTCCCTTTGGTCCTGGTGGCCCTGGTCTTCCCGCACCTCCAGAAACTCCTGGTCGACCTGGAGTTCCATCAAACCCTGGTAATCCCCCTGGCCCTGGTGGACCTGGCCGTCCTCCTGGGCAAGGTTTGCACGGTGTGACAACAGTCTGTTGACATGGTCCGCTCGCACTCTTTCCTGGATTTCCAGGAAGTCCATGAGCTCCCGGTGCTCCGTGTCTTCCTGGATGTCCTGGAGTTCCAGCAGCTCCTGGTGGACCAGGTTGACAGCAAGTGTTACATCCACCTCCACCTTGTGGAACTGGTTGTGGTGGAGGAGGTGGAAGGGCATAACCTCCATATCCAGCGTGTCTAGCATGACGCGATGAATTGGTGATTGGGGAGGATGAGCGAAGGTAGTTGACTTCGTCGAAAACTTGAGCTGCAGAGCTTTTGCAGAATTGAACCTCGCTAACCATTCTCATCTTCATTGATGAGATGTAGTTGTAGACCATTGGAAGGGTTATGCATACCTAGAAGATTAACATATTGAAGTTGATAATAAATTAAATCGCTGAAAGGTTGTAAAAGTTTTGGCCTTTAAGTTTTCTTGAGTTCAAGATCTTCTAAATCCCTAGCTTTCCCCTAACACTAACTTCCTGCATTCGCTTAAATCCATAAACCTAACCCAAACCTTCTCTCATTGCAACTTACCGATAAAACCGAAACAACGCAAAACGCGACAGCCGAAAATGTGACAAAACGATACGCTTTCAAGCGAACATCAATAGTGTCCATTTTGTGTTTCGGAGTTAGCCGAAATGACCATGTTTTTGGGTTTCTGCACTGGTTTTATACTGCCATCTCTTCTGCCTTCTTCTTCTTGTTTTTTTCTCGACTCTATATGTAATCAAGGTCGAATTATTTGAAGAAGGAAAAGAAGAGAATGATGAACATTTAGATTGCTGTGATGTTGTTGTTTTTGTTGTTTTCTGATTGCGGAAGCTATTTTTTATGACGGGGGGAAATACTGAATTTATTTGAAAATGGGTCAAGGTAGGGGAAGTTTAATGATTTTATGTTAGCTGAGCTATCGATGTTTAAATTGTCAAAAATCTGTATTTGGCGCCAAAAATACAATTGAGAGCTTCGAGACTCATTTGACCAGTTATTGCTTCTAGAAATATTTTTTTCCAAAATCTTAGAATTGCTCATATTAGATGACTGGACTTTTTAAGAAATTTCGCTTTGAGAACCCCTGATATTCTACTTCTGTAGTACTCTGAAAATCCTAATATTGCTCATTTTATATTCCAATGGCTTGATGTTGAATCCTGTTCGCTTCGAGACCCATGTTTAATTTAGAGAACTTGAGGATTGCTCATATTAAACCACTGATAGTTTGTTTGAACTTTCACTTTGACACTTCAAAGAAACATTCAACAAATTCGGTTCACTTCCGCAATATAAGTGTGTACTTAACTCCAGTTCAGGTTTACAAAAATTAGGTTTTTTACTATTGTTTGTAAGATTGCTCATATTAAGTAAGTCTCGAAGAATTCAAAAATAGGATTTTCGGTTTGGAATTTTGTTGCATGATCTGTAGGATTGCTCATATTATATTCAAAGACCCTGATCAACTACTTTAACACGCCAAAACCCTAGACCAATATTTTTCGCATCACTTTTTTTTTCATTTTCTCAACTAGCATGGTTTTTCTGCCGGTCGTTTGCTAAACCGGTTAAACAAAACCACTTGATGTGTTTTGTGATGTTTTTTGCTGACTTACCTAAACTGTTTTTAATTTCGGTTAGCAAGTTTTCTTGAAGGACACATCTCATGGAATTTATTTTTCTGTTTATTTTTTTTGAATAAATGGATGGATGGATGGGAAAAGATAGTCACATTTTCAGCGACACAAAAAATATATAAATTTTGGCGCCAGAAAATAGTAGATTCTCAAGGTCTACGAAGTTTATGAGACGAGAAGTTTAGAATTATCATCAAAAAAGGAAGGAAATTAATTTTTTTGGAGAGATAACCTTGGATGTTGTTTGATGTTAAGTTGACAGGAAACTATAATACAAATATGTAGTTTGGAACGAGAGACTCGAAGAGACTGGGCTGAAATTTCGTGTTGAAAATGGTGGATTTATTTATTTTCAGCGATTTTCTGTGATTTTCATATTTGCGCAGAATTTCAGTCAAAAAGATGATCTTCACAAATTCGCAACTTTTTGCGAGTCATATTTCTAGACTGAAATTTCGCGCTGAGAATTGTGAAGCTACAAAAAATAGCTGAAAATAAGCATTTTCAGCACATAATTTTTGCTAGAAAGTGTTACAGTTCACAATTTTTGTAGATCACAAATTTTAACCCAACATGGGCTAAAATTGTGTGATGAAAATCATAAAAACTTTATTTTTTTTTTTCACATAAAAATAATGTTTCATACATTTTCATCTTCGATTCCTTCCAGTTCCTGCTTCGAACAAAATGATCTCTGAAAAAAAAAGCACGAAAATAATTCTTGTTTTCACCATTTTTCAATTTAAACTAACTCTTCTAATAATATCTTGCGCAACAAGTTTCATCAAATGTTTCTTGACAATTTGATCATTTTGCGAATCCTCGTTTTCCAGCCATTTTTCAACCAAATTTATCGATTTTTCCTCCTCATTTTCATCCTCAAAATTTTCCAAAACATCTCCGAAAAATTCCAAATTTCTCGATGTTTCAGTGAGATTTTTCAAAGTTTTTTGAGTTTCCGAATTTTCGGGTTCCAAAGATAATCCAATATTTGTGTCCATTTTTGTTTTTATGGAAGATTTCTTGTCGAATTTCTGAAAATTTCAAAAATTCAAATTTTCTCAAATTTTTTTGATAACTTACGATTTGAGGTTTGAAATTAATTTGTGGCTTAATTTGCATAATCCATCCAAAAATTCGATCAAACATCGAAATTCCAATCGACCATTTAGCAATTGATTGAAAAACGAAAAAAGATGTCAAAATTAACCCAATTTTTTGTTGAGCCACTCGAAGTTCGGGCACAATTTTCGAACCTTTCAATTTGAAATGTTTGAAAATATTTCGAGAAATTGAAATGATTAAAATATAGGCTAAATATAGATGGAATAAGAAGAAGGCAAAGAAACAATCAATTGGATATTCGAAGGATTTTGGCACAAAATATCGACGAAAATAATCGATATATATTGAAAATAATTGAGAGAATGAAAGACCTTAAAATATTCACATATGAGTTGGGATCAATAAGATCTTTAAATACCTGAACAAAATATTTGAATAAACATTTTACGAGCAAATTGCCATAGATTTTTGGTTCGTATATTTATCATATCCATTTTTATCGAAAATGATCTTTTTTCTGTTTTTTTTAAATTTATTGTCACATGTCACGTTAAAAAATTAAAATTCAAGTTTTTCTGTATTTCGCAAAAAAATTAATTTTTTCAAAAAACGTGTCCCAATTTTTTTCCCGTTTACACGTGGCGAAAAATTCAATATAAAGACGATGCAAACAGAAATATGGTATTTCTGAATATTTAACAGTCACCTGCGAAATAAGTAGCATTCAAAGAAGATTGGCACAGAATCGATAAAAATATAAAAAATTACGAAAAGATGTCGGATGCACCAATATCTCAACAACTTATCGAAGGAACAATCATCGCTAATCGCTTCAAGATTTTGCAAAAACTCGGAGCCGGAGCATGTGGAAGTGTATTCAAGGTGGAAGAAGAGCAGGCTGGAAAATCAGCTCTTGCTCCACCGAAACTACACTGCTCCACAAAAGTATAGCCTCACCCTCAAAATTTTCAAAAAATCGAAAAAATTAAAGTTTTCAGAAAATGTTTGTTTTTGAAAAATATGGGCAAATGGGACACTAATTTATCCCAGAAATCAAATTTTGAGTTGATAAGCCACGAAAAGAATTTTTTGAATTTTTCAAAAAATTGAAAATTTCCAATCCACAAAAGTATAGCCTCACTTCAGAAAATCGCTCTGGAAATCGATTTTTGGGTTAGATAACTTCAGTTATTGTTAAGAAATGGTTAGAATAACTCATTTTAAGTTGATTCCAACAATTTCTGATCCATTTCATTGATTGTCATTGACTTTATCGGGTGTAGCGTGATGACTTCCAACTCCAACCAAATTTTTTTGTAAAAAAAATTTTTTGTCATTTTTTTTGGACCAAAGCTCAGGAATTGGTCTGAAAATGGTAAAACTTCACTTTTTCATGATAAAAACCAAATTTTGTTCGAAAATTCGGAGTTTAGACAAGAAAAATAACAATTTGTAGGTAAAGTACTCTCATGAAATTGGGGTTTTCATTGGATTTTCAGACTTTTCAGCATAAAAATGTTCTGGAACCGTGAGAAAAGCAAGAACCAAGTTTTTCAAAGCCTTTTGAAACTTCTTCTGACAAAAAAAACAACCTGTTGGTGGATTAAAGCCTTGAGAGGTTTAGAAGTTTATTTTGAAAAATTTGGAATTTAACAAAATTTGGTTTTCATTATGGAAATCGTTAATACTGGATCAATATCAATCTTAGCGATCTCTTTCAACGCTTTTAAGTGGATAAAAAGTGAAAAATGAATTGAAGAACCGTTTTAAACCTTTTCAAACAAAAAGTTCTGAGATTCATGAAAGTTGGAGAATTTACAACTTGATTAGATTCCTAAAGCAGTAATATCGTAATTGAACATTGTTTAAATTAATGAACACTTGAAATAATCTTACTCTCTGAGCAGTATTCTCACGGTTCCAGAACATTTTTATGCTGAAAAGTCTGAAAATCCAATGAAAACCCCAATTTCATGAGAGTACTTTACCTACAAATTGTTATTTTTCTTGTCTAAACTCCGAATTTTCGAACAAAATTTGGTTTTTATCATGAAAAAGTGAAGTTTTACCATTTTCAGACCAATTCCTGAGCTTTGGTCCAAAAAAAAATGACAAAAAATTTTTTTTACAAAAAAATTTGGTTGGAGTTGGAAGTCATCACGCTACACCCGATAAAGTCAATGACAATCAATGAAATGGATCAGAAATTGTTGGAATCAACTTAAAATGAGTTATTCTAACCATTTCTTAACAATAACTGAAGTTATCTAACCCAAAAATCGATTTCCAGAGCGATTTTCTGAAGTGAGGCTATACTTTTGTGGATTGGAAATTTTCAATTTTTTGAAAAATTCAAAAAATTCTTTTCGTGGCTTATCAACTCAAAATTTGATTTCTGGGATAAATTAGTGTCCCATTTGCCCATATTTTTCAAAAACAAACATTTTCTGAAAACTTTAATTTTTTCGATTTTTTGAAAATTTTGAGGGTGAGGCTATACTTTTGTGGAGCAGTGTATACGCATTGAAAGTTGAATACAATGATCCAACAGGACAAAATGAGAGTATTCTGAAGATGGAAGTGCAGATTTTGGAGAAATTGAGCAAGAAGAAACGAGTTCTCAAATTGATATACAGTGCCAAAAGACCAGAATTCAGCTATATGGTTATGACACTTCTTGGTGAAAGTTTGGGTGGTTTGGTGGAGAAGTTTGGGCCAATTTTTAATGTTTCAACTCAACTTCGAATTGGAATTATGTTGCTTCATGGGGTGAAGCAGATACATGATGTGAGTTTTTCCGCGCAGAAAACTGACCTTTTTTAGGTCGCCAAAAAACATTTTGACTACGGTTTTAAAGGCGCTCAAGAAAGAAATGTTTGTGCGCTTCAAGACCCATCAATTTTCCTTGTGCGTCTTGATTGCGTATACGGTTTATTGATTTTTTTCGAGTTTTCCGAAAGTTTCCGCGCGGCTCCATAATCTTCCGCTTCTACAACTAAGCTAATCAATTAATTAATTAAGATTGGATATATTCACCGGGACTTGAAACCAGCAAATGTGGCACTTGGATATGTGAGTTTATTTAATAAAAAAAAACAAGATTTTCGAGCCAAAAATCAATTTTTCAGCCAGGATCGGAAGATGAACGTATGATGCTGATCTTGGATTTTGGTTTGGCTCGAGAATTCATCACAAAAATGGATGGCGGAAAAGTGGGATTCCGTCGGCCAAGAGATCGTGCATATTTTCGAGGAACTTCGAGATATTGCTCAATCGCAATGCATGAAAGAACCGAACAAGGTCGAGTTGATGATCTATGGGGTTTGTGCTATATTCTAGCTGAACTTCGCGCAAAACTTCCATGGTCCGAAATTTATGAGAAGGATGATATTGCGATGGTTAAGAAGGAGGCTTTGGATGAAAAGGTTTTCTCAAATTCGCCTGTTCAATTGCTTGATTTTGTCAAGGAGGTTCGACGTCTCAATTATTATGATCATCCGAATTATGAGAAGCTTTTCAAGATTTTGAGTGATTCGATGAAAGAGGCTGGCTATCGATGGAAAGATCCGTATCATTGGGAGATTTCGAAGAATAAGAAGCGGAGCGATCCAAAAACGAAATCGAAGAATAAATTCGTATCGATGTCCGAGAAATTGATCAGAAGTCGGAAATCGAAAAGTGCGGCGCCAAAGAAACCCAAGGAATCGTCGTCGGAAAAAGCTGGCAAGACTAAAGGTGAGCATTAAGAAAATTTAGAAAGTAATCGGAAAATTAAAAAAAAATAATTTTCAGCATTGTCAGTCAAAAATGCTCCAACTCCTGATCCATTGGCTGATGTTCCATTCTTCACCAACGAGGATTTTTCCAGCAATCCGATCGGATTTTGAGGTTTTTTTTGTGTGAAATGAATTTTTGAAGGGGGTTTTTTTAAAACTTACATATCCCAAACCTAATGAGAGAACGAAAAAAATAAGAGTGTGTCAACATCGACTGCCCGCAAACACCAAATCTTTCAAAATTCAAGTTTTCAGAGACAATTTTAAAAATTTTCTGAAGGGTTCTAATTTCTAGACTCGCAGATAGGAAAAAAAAATAATAATTTCAGAAAAGCGATAGTCCTTCTGGTAATTTAAGAAAAGCATTTTCGAAAGGTATACTGTCTAATGTTTTTGACCGTTGTAATTTAGTTAAATTTTTAGGGATAACTGTTCTCTAGAAAAACGGAATTATCACATGGCATTTTGAACCGAAATGCCAAAATGCGGAATTTCAACTTACAATTTAGCGGGAAAATCACCGAATTCACACGTGGGAGACAAACAACGGTTCCGACAAAGGATTTTTTGACTCAACATAGACTCAACACGTGGAATTTAAAACAAAACTCCAGTTTCTCGGCTTTTCTGCGAGAATCTGGGGTTTAAAAAACAACACACATGATGAACATCCACGTGGAATTTAGAAAAAAAAACAAAAGTAAAAACCTGCTTCTTGGCTTTTCCGCAAGAAGGTGGCAACATAAAATAATTCAAAAATTAAAAATCCTCGGCATTTTAGTGATGTTCGATGACGGATTTTGCTCTGAAAAAAATCGATGTTCTATTTCTGCATAGCTTCTGCATCTCCGCTGAAATTCCAGCTGAAAATCAATAAAATTCTTGGTTTTATCGATTTTCAGCTAGAATTGCAGACAATACAGGCTAGATACTAACTTTTTCATTTTTTAATTCAAAATTTGGGCATAGCTTCCGCATCTCCGCTGAAATTCCAGCTGAAAATCGATAAAATTCTTGGTTTTATCGATTTTCAGCTAGAATTGCAGACAATACAGGCTAGATATTAACTTTTTCATTAAAATTCATAATTTGGGCATAGCTTCCGCATCTCCGCTGAAATTCCAAAAAATAACTGATAAAATCCAGGGGTTTCAAGATTTTCTAATTAAAGAAGATCAAGAAAGCCCTGAATTTCATTAGTTTTTCACTGGATATTTCAGATGTTCTCATTTATTTTAAGATAAATGCTTACCGTTGCAAATTGTCGATTAGAGCGCATTTGCTCGACCGCCGATCTGGAAAAAATTGATTTTTTACAAGTTTTTCAAGAAAAATGCGAAAATTGGGCATAGCTTCAGCATTCCATCTGAAATTCCAATTGAAAATTAATATAATTTGAATGCCATCAATTTTCAATTAAAATTCCAGAACTTCTTCTTGTTTGGTTCGAAAAACTCACCGAAAATTTCGAAATCTTTGATTTTTGTTGTTTGCAAGTGTTTCCAGGCCGGTTTTTCCATGGTTTTCGAGTTTGTTTCTGAAACAGTTATGATTTTTTATGGAAATACCGTATTTTCCCTCATAAAAAATCCCAAATTTCCCTCTTTCTTGAAGAATTCCACGTTTTCTTTTCAATTTTTCTTTGAAAAGCGAACCTCGATCTCTCCCTTCACAGTTTTTCCAACCAAATCAAGTCGACAAAGTCGAGAGTATAACCAAAACAAGTTAAGGTAACTCATGTCGGGGTTCCTGACAATTGCAATGGCTAATGCTCAACTTAAGAAGCTTCACTATCCAGAGTTAGGCTAAGTTGAGCTGTACTTTACTCCAGGAGAGACACGTGGAAATTATTCGCAAAGGGCAAGAAATTCAGGGGCGCCCCAAGGAACAAAAAAACTCATCTTTATTTGCTGCCATTTTGTTGCTCGCCGAAAATTTGAAATAACTGAAAAATTATCGTTGAAATGACATTTGCCACGAAAATTTCACGTTCACGTAAAAATATTTTTTTTTCTCTCTGTTTTTTTTGTTTTTTTTGTTGTCAGAAAAAAAGAGGACCGTTTCGATGTTTTTTTCAAAAAATCAAGAGAAAGGATCACATAAAAAGTATAACAGTTGGGAACGACACTCCGGCTTGCCCGCTGTTTAGCGCAACACGAGACTATTTTCATTTTTCGTTTTTTTTTTCGCTGGGTTTTCAGGTTTCCGGGGAAAATCAGTGGATTTCAGTCAAAAATTGTATTTTTAGATGTTCTACAAGGCTGCAATCATCGCTTCCAACGGAAAATTCGAGGATTATCGAAGACAGGTGGGTTTTTTCTAGAGAAACTGTTTCCATTGAAATTTTTGAATTTTGGGGGGTTGGTTGTATTTGAAGTGAAAAACATCGGATTTTTGAGATATTACTGGATTTTCGATGGGAAATGGGTTTGGGTAAGATTTTGCTGTAAACCTCCTTAAATAGCTGGAAAAATGTTGTGAGACCCAGAAAGCCTTCAGAAATTTATAGAAACAGAAATGGGGTTAGCAGAAACCAATGGTACATGAAAAATTCAAATTTTCTGATTTTCAGCTTTAAATATTGATGGACAATTGAATTGTGGAAAACTTGGAGGATTTCGAATTTTCGATGACTTTTGTGTGATTTGAGAAATAGAAGCGATTGGTGAGTTGTTTGGGGAGGGATTTCGGAAAAATATATGAAAATTGTGAAAAAAAATCTTTAAAAATTGAAAAAAGTTAGGCTAACTCAGCAAAATCTAGGCTCAAAAATCTAGTTGGTAAGAAAACAAAAAGAAAATTGTAGAAGAGTAGCGCCTATTTGGCGTCAAGATTGCGCGTAGGATTTGGTGTTTGCGGGCAGTCGGAGTTGACACACTCTTATTTTTTCCGTTTTTTCTTTAGGTTTGGGATTTTTAACAAATTGGAAAACCATATGGGAACCCTGACTGAGAATCTCCAATGTCTCTTTTCACATGGAGAATACTAGTTCTCTAAAATTTTCACGGTGTGTTAATGCGAAAAAAAATCAAATTGTTCATTTCAAATCAAATCAATCAATATCCCCCATCAAAGTCGTATTGTCTGAACTCATCAAACGAAACAATTCTGAATCTTCCACGAACTTCCAAAACAGTCACATAGACGGTCTTTCTATTATAAGCGACAATCTCAAAAGTGAATCCATTTCCATTCAAATAATCGGCAGCGTTTTGAACACTTCGCAAATTATCGGCAAATCTTTCGGGATTTTTCAAAAAATGGACATCTTCCGGTTTGTTCGCGTGAACATTTCCGTTCCTGCGGTAAACAAATTCTTTGGCGAAGAAGCGGAAAAATTTGGAGTTGGATGGTGGTTTTGATGGATCTTCGTTGTGCTCATAATGATGATCATAACTTGCATCAATTAGAGCATTAACAAGTAGAGAAGCTAAAGTTTGAGGGCTTTGATGTTCGGCTGGAGGAGCTCCATATGGTGGAAGTTGTCCTGGTGGAGGTGGTCCAGGTGGAGGAGGAACACCATAAGGTGGCACAACTTCAGGCTCAGTTGCTGGTGGATATTGTGGCAAGGTTTCTGGTGGATAACCCAATACCAAAACGGCAAATGTGGTGAATAACACGAATTTTGTTAACATTTTCGATTGCTGATGTTTGGGGGGAAACCTGCGCCTTTAAATAGCACAGTTTTCTTTTGAAAATGTTTTCTGAATCATTTTGTTTTTGATGATGATGACACGACATTTTGTTTCATCATGAGACACAAACAAATTTTTTTTTACAAATTCTTGATTTATTCCAGAAAAAATATGTGTATGTAGAAATTGATTTTGTTAGTAAAAAGTTAAATGAGAACCAGTGAGAAGTGAAAATGCACAAAAATTAGGGACCTTAAGGTCATTTACAACAACAACATTTGGCGACAATTAGAACGATATGAAGGATGAAAACGATTAAACTTGTGTAGAACACTGTGATTGGGCAATACATTTCGGAATGAATGTCCGTGTATTCAACGAATGAAACGATGCACAGGGTTTTGTAGAAGCCTAGAATTTTTTTGGAAGTTAGAGACGCAGAGAAACTTAGAGTGGAAGCAAAAAGTAATTAACTTAAAAATAGTCTTCTGGAAATTGTATAAATTTTGAAACAGTTTGTTTCCAGTTTCAAAATCGAATGAAAATTGATATGAGCAATTAAATTTTCAAACATCATGAGTCATATTTTATACATGAATACTTGGGATTGCTCATATTAGTGCCTTAAGGTAAAGCTCCAGAAAAATGTAAATTTTTTAAAGAGCATGTAAAATGGAGAGCCGCCGAGAAACTCCCTGATTTTTCTGTATCTCCCAACTTTGAAACTTACCAAAAATACCAACAGCCAATGAAATGAGTGTAACAGCGACATAAATAAGAGCCACCAAAAGGCCAACAACAATCTGAAGAGCATCTTTGACACCTTTTGAAACAGCAATTGTTGTTTGCATACAAGTTATGAAAAATGCGGTGGCTAACACGATTTGTAGAATTCCTGGAACATGGGATTTTGAGCGATGGAGTTTTGAAGATTTGAGATTATTTTCTCAATTGTTTGGTGGCTTACAAACTTTTCATGTAAATTTTGTAGATCAATTTTCAGAAAAAAAGATTTATCGCATTTCAAAAAATTCCCAAATTTTTTAAGTTTCGAAAAAAAAGTTTTTTTCAACAGAATTTTGAAAAATATTAGGAATTTATTGAGACAAAATAAGATTGATTTTCAGATCAGAGATTTGATCAAAAACTCAAAAATTCCCCAAATTTTAAAAATTTGGCCTACCATACACCGCCAAAATAACAACAAGTTGTTTAGCATTCAAAGCAGTTGGGGGCAAATTCCCAAAATAGATCAAAGATACGGTAATTGCTGCAATTCCCATTGCAGCTGATATAATTGAAGTGACAGCTTGACGTGGATTCACTGGAAAAATAGAAAAAAGTACTGTAGTTTTTAAAAGGACTAACTCATTTGCTCTAAAATTTTCACAAAATCCGCCACCATATCCTCTTGTGTTCGTTTTTTTCGCTCCGATTTTTGTTGTTGTTTTTCGATGTCGTCTTGATCTTGATCTTCTTGAATCTGCAAAAAATTCGGATTTTGTTGGTGAAAAACTAATTTTTGGTGAAAATTTGGTTACCTTGACTTTGCATTTTTCGTCGTTTTCATCATTGACGTTTTTCGATTTCTGAAAATTTTGGGTTGTTTTTGGGAGAAAAAGGAACTGAATTTTTTGGTCTTCAAAATTTTTTGGTCTTCGGCGCGGATCCTTGCCAGCTTGGATTTCTAGGCGCGGTTACTTGAGAACTAGGATTTCTAGGATTGGCTACTTGACAGAGTGGATTTCTAGGCGCGGTTAGTTGAGACCTTGATCTTCTACTTGGTATAGAAGTTTTGAAGTATCGACTACTTGAGAACTACGGTTTCTAGGTGCTGATCCTTGACAAGATTCAGCTGTTTCAGAGTTTCATGAAAATGTTTGGAATTAAAAAAAAGTCAGATTCATTCAAAAATTAGTTGAATTTTTTGCCAACCTTATCCGAAACTTTATCCGCAAATCGAACTCGTTTATTTTTTGTTGGCGGCGGTTCGTAGAAAGCATTCATAAAAATTCAAACCAGAATAAAAATTTAGAATAAAATAGAAAGTTCAGAATATTTTTAAAAAGGGAGACAGCGAAAAAATGGAAAATGAAGATTTTTCGGACTGAAATTTGAGACTTGAATAAATTGAGAAGAGTCATTCATATTTGGAAAAAAGGTCAATGATTTATTATTTTTGAAATTCAGAAAAAAATAGAAGTTCAAAATGCAGATCATTGTTGGAGCATCAAATCTTACTTTAAAGAAAATATTAAAACTCAAAAATTTGTTGCCAAAAATCCACATGAATATTTAAATATTCAAAAAAAATTTGAAGCCAAAAACCCCAAAACTAACCGATTTTTTGTTATTATTTGCCTCTTTTTCACCATTTTGTTGTTGTTGACCTTGACGATGAATCTTATACATTTCGTAGTCTGTAATTCAGAATTTTCAAAATTCTAATTATTTTTTTCGAATTTTAAAAATCGTTTTCTGTCAAATTCAGAAAAACTCACACATTTTTATTTTACACCAGCAGAAAAAAGAGGCGAGGAAATTGAATATTTTTTCTTTTTTTTCAGACAAAAGCTATAAGAAGGAACGCTTCTCGTTCAGAACACTAAAAATTAGCCTAAGCTCCGCCCATTTTTGTGTGCCGCACACGAACAAATGGATTTTGGGGGGAAGATGGGGACCTAATTACATTTTCCGATGAAAATTGCGTGACTTTTCAACGAGCACACAACAAATCATTTTATGAGATGATGACAGAAAAAGCTTGGAATTTTTTGAGAGTGGACCATTGTTTTTGAAAGAGGAATTTTCAGCGGAAAATCCAGGGCATGGATTTTCTGAACTAGGTTTTTTTGAAGTTCAAAAAATATCTGAGATTCCAAACTTATGGATTTTCAGAAGAAATGTTGAATTTGGATTTCAGAATTTTTTGCTTTTGCGCTGGTTCTGAGAATTGAAAAAAAAGTGGCACAATTTTTTCCAGCTGGAAAATTTATCACAATTTAATTTCTCTTTCTCTATTTTCTTTCGGGATCCAGATGCAAATTCGAAAAAAAAACCAACAAAAATTTGATACTCGTGTCAAAAGCGGACAAAAAAAAAAGATTTTTCAAATCAAAACTTTTTTTGTTTTCTTTTTTCCACATAGGAAATTTGATCTGAAATTTTCTCACTTTTCTTGTGAAAATTGTTTGTTTGGAAAACAAAAGGACACATTTTTTGGAAAGGGCAGGCTACAGTACTTTAAGGAATCTACAATTTCTCAACAAAAAAAATGAAATATAATGTTCCCTGAACACTCCAAGTAAAGTATTAAAGTGTTATGTTCCTTTGAAATTCTACAATAATCTGGTTCATCTTCCTACAGTTTTATAAAATGCTCTTTGAACTTTTGAACCACAGACAGTACTTCTAAATTTAAAAATTGCCGATGAGGTTTGTATTAAAATTTTTCTAGTTAACTTAATCATGTATTTTTAAAATAATCACAGTACCTGAAGTCAGTGAAAATTTCTATGCTACTTTAATTTTTAGACAAAGTATATGTATGCTCCTTTAAAAGAAACTTTGAAAAATTGATTTACAGTACTGAAAAATCAAAAAAAAAATCTTGAAGTTTCAAATTTCTTAAGTATCTATAATAAAACATGGAAATGATCAACAGCCCCAAAGTCCTACAGTACTCACCTGGAATAATGACACTTTTCATGAGTTTTTCAGCAATCAAATTTTTGTCCATTTTGTCTTCTTATATATTTTTGGAGCCAAAAACTCAACAAGTATTTATTTTTCTTCACGATCTTCTTCTCAACGAGAAAGAAAAACAAAAAATAAATAATAATTGGATTATTTTCTGGCCTTTTGCCAAAATTGAATTTGAAGAGAAGAAGCGTTTTTTGGCGCCGAAAAAAGTGAGAAAAATGGGCGTGGCTCTTTTGAGCCATGAGCAATTAAACTTGATTTTTTTCTGAGAAATTACTTTTTTTTTTGAAAAAAAAATTGAGGAAGTGGGAGTTTTTTGTTTCAAGCAAAAACAATGAAAAGTTTTTGCAATTAAAAAATGCAAAACATTTTGCAGAAATAAAATTCCCGGTTACTGTAGTTTTAAAGGAACATTAGGGTTTGTTAGAATTGACGTTGATTTATTCCAGTTCGCATGCTTCTTTAAAGAAATACAGTACTTTAAAACGACTACAATATCCCATGTCTTTTTGAATTCCGAACTACAGTATCCCGTGTCCCTTTAACTTATTTTTGAGTTGTCTAAAAAAAATGCGATTTTGATCAGCACCACCAAATTTTTGACAGGTTACAGTAGTCGTTCAAAGGAACATTGAACTTTTGGTTCGAAAAAAAAACAGAATTTTGCTCAATTTCCGGAGCAAAATTTCGGCCGCCAATTATCCTTTGAAAAAAAATGGTGCGACAGGAAGTAGATCAAAAAAGAGCAAATATCAAAAAAAGGAAATTCTTGCGCGAATTTTACGAGTTTTTTATTACTGAAAAAAAGGAAAGAAAATATATGGAATTTTATATAAATGAAAAAAGGAATATGAAAAAATTGGATATTTGATTGGCCCCAGAAATCTACACCCATGTGTCAAAAAAACTTGAAGGGGAACTGTAGAATTTTGGGATGATGGGTGTGAGAGATTTAGGAAAACATATTTTTTATCCACCGAATTTTTTTACTCTGTGTCAAATAAAAACATTTGAAACAGAGTTAAAAAGTTTTTGGTTCGGCGAAAAAAATAAACTCGTCTTGTCTTTTTCTTTGAAACAAAAAAAAGTTCAAAGTTATTTTTCGGAAATCTTTGGCTTTTTTTTTTGTTTAAATTTTTTGAACTTTTTGAAAACTACTAGAAAATTATGTGCAATTGTTGCAGCCAAAAATCTATATCGAAATATAAAAAAATGGAGAAAAACTCTCTGAAATCCAAAAAAATCTCCAAACATAATTTAATCCAACTCACCATAAATATTAAATCTTGAAGTATTCATAATGATGTGCTCGTCTTCACAAAAAATCAAGTTGTGCTAAATTAGATTTTGGTGTGCGTCAAAAATCATCAAAAAACACCCAACACCAGAAAAAAAAAGTTTGGAGGGAAAATGTTCTTTTTCTTCGGTTTTTTGATTGATGGAAAAGGGTTTGACACCAAAAAATTTGCGGCGAAATCTGAGCCAGATTGAAATTTGATGGGAGGAAAAAACAAAAATATTTTGATGTTTTTATTTTTATTTTTTGAAATCGGAAGAGTTTCGTGGAATAATAAAATTTTTTCATGTATTGAACTTGTGACCCTTGGCCTAGAAAACAAGTATACTATCACTGAACTACGCGCTAATGCAAACTTGAAATCAGAAAAAGCTGGGGTTTGTTCAAAAACTAACTCGAATGCTGCTAAAGCTTATATACAAGCCACAAAAAAATCATTTCAAAAATATGTTTCACCAAAAAAAGATTAAAGGAACATACTAATCCTTGCGGAAAAAAGTATGTACATGTTTGAAGGCCGACAAAAAACACATGCATTTATCAACCACTGATTTATTGCCCTGAACATTTTTCGAGAAAAAAAAAAAGAAAAGAAAATCAAACTTACATGAATTTTGCATGATTTTTTGCAATATGTGAAAAAAAATTAAAAATTAGAAATTCACACGAAATGTTTGAACTCAAGGTTTTTATGATCACGAGACCAGATGTTTGGACAGATGGAATATGTATCAAAGAGATATTTTTCCAACAATTAGCTGCGGTAGTTTTATGGAAACATTTCATTTAAAATTCAAATTTTGCAGGAGCGTTACACAAAAAATTATTACAGAATGTGTGCGCGGAGCCTAACAATAGTGAAAAAAACAGAATTTTAAAATGAATATCCGTTTTAAGGTTCAACAGTTGTTAATCCTTATTGTTTTGTTGATCTTTTGTGGGATGAATACAGTGCGCCCAATAAATATAGGACACCCCCAGTTTTCATAGTAATTTAGTGAATGGTGACTGATAAGAAAAATCTGTTAAGTGGAGTCAACTCAGGACCCAAAATAACCCCCGGAAACCAACTTTGGACGAATACAAGATCTTTCGTGATACCGAACCATGAAATCTGTGATTTTCAAGCGCCCAATAAATATAGGACACCCCCATCAAAAATCGGTTTTGTGACTCGATATTGCTATAATTTGATTCAGAGCATGTTTATAACATGTTGTCAATGTATTTCCTATCATTTCCTCTCAAAAGAAATTGCCACGTGGCGTTTTTCTAACAGATCAACGCTCTTGACAGTAAAATCTCATCATGACAGAAATTTTCGATTTTTTCGATTGAAATGTGGTTTTTTAATGATTTTCTTGAGTTTAAAAATGATAAACCAACTAATTCCAACAATACCCACTCATTTCTGATCATTAGATCTACAGTTATGACATTGCTGATTTTCCGATCTTACGATGTTTCCATCTAGAACTTCGAATATACTTCAATTTTTTCTTCAAAACCTTCAGAGAACTGTTACTCATTAATAATACAGTTATTTTCAAATATCATAACAACCCTAGTAGCCGTATTTCAATGATTAATCCGGATTTACTGAAATTTCACAGTTTTCAATGGAAAACTAACTGAAACTCGTTGTTTTTCTGAAAATTCACTATAAAATCAGCTAAATGATGTTAAGTTAAGAATAAATCGTCAGAATGTATTCAAAACATGTGAAAGTTACTCCGGGACAATTTTTTGTCGAAAAAAAATCATGTAAATCGAAGTTCTAGATGGAAACATCGTAAGATCGGAAAATCAGCAATGTCATAACTGTAGATCTAATGATCAGAAATGAGTGGGTATTGTTGGAATTAGTTGGTTTATCATTTTTAAACTCAAGAAAATCATAAAAAACCACATTTCAATCGAAAAAATCGAAAATTTCTGTCATGATGAGATTTTACTGTCAAGAGCGTTGATCTGTTAGAAAAACGCCACGTGGCAATTTCTTTTGAGAGGAAATGATAGGAAATACATTGACAACATGTTATAAACATGCTCTGAATCAAATTATAGCAATATCGAGTCACAAAACCGATTTTTGATGGGGGTGTCCTATATTTATTGGGAGCTTGAAAATCACAGATTTCATGGTTCGGTATCACGAAAGATCTTGTATTCGTCCAAAGTTGGTTTCCGGGGGTTATTTTGGGTCCTGAGTTGACTCCACTTAACAGATTTTTCTTATCAGTCACCATTCACTAAATTACTATGAAAACTGGGGGTGTCCTATATTTATTGGGCGCACTGTATGTATTAAGTGCGCTCTATTGAAACCTAGATGGAAGATCTTTGCTGCGTTTCTCAATTTTCCACGCTATCTGATATTTTTTTCAAAAAAATGTTGTTTCAAAATTGCGAAGAATCTGTTATTCAATGATTTCCCGAATTTTCTTGGTATTTTTCCCTTTCAATGTTCGCTCTAGAAAAAATATTTTAAAAAATATGTCTTCGTTTTGTATTTTTCTTTAATTAATTCATTAAAATATCGAACCTTCAATTTTCATAAGTGATTTCTGGAGAAAAACATTATCACCACAGGATTCCACAAATATGATACCACGAAAATCCGGATTTTCAGTCTTATCCGACGAAGGTGATAAGTTGGTGATAACAAGTGATAAGAGCTTCTAGGATGAAGCTATAAACATTTCAAAAAATGTGTTTACTAATTGCAAACACCATTTTCCCCGAGTTTCAGCTCAATCCCAGAGCATTCAGTGATAAGGACTGTTAAGAGCTTCTGGGATGAAGCTGGATCTCTAAACTTGACAAAAATGTGTTCTACTAATTCCAAACATAATTTTCCCCGAGTTTCAATTCAATCCGTGCATATTGATAATTCAATGATAAGGATTGATAAGAGCTTTTCAGATGAAGCTAGAGCTTTAAACTTATCAAAATAAGTCTCTACTAGCCCCAGACATAATTTTCTCCAAGTTTGAGCTCAATCTGAGCATATTGATAATTCAATGATAACAAGTGATAAGAGCTTCTGGGATGAAGCTGGAGCTCTAAACTTATCAAAATTGCAATCTACAATCACAAAACATCATTTCCTCCAACTCCCAGCTCAATCTGACAATTTTGATGTTTTTTTGATAATCACTGATAAGAGGTGATATGCTCATTTTCGTGTAAAATCATTATCACCACGATGCTCCACGGGGCCGAAAACCCCCCACCCACAAATTTCAGAAGTTTTGATCATTTTTTCAAAAAATCGAAAAAAATCGTGAAATTTAGGATAAACTATTATTATTTTTCTCTCTTTTTCTCTCAATTTTTGAGAGAAAAAAAATAATAGTTTATCCTATTTTTCTATCCGTGTTTTCCTTTTTCCGAAAAAATGGATCAACTACAGTAATCTTTTGTGGAATTTTTTTTCGAAAATGGTCCCAATGGACTATATGATGTAAAAATATCTCTTTAGGGGTAAATGAGTGTCCTGAACACGCTGGAAGCATCTATTTCTCGTAAAAACAAACGGTTCGTGAGATATGGGGCAAAAACAAAAAAGTACCAATTCCGGTTCCCAGTGACTGAAACTTTCTGAAAATGTTCACCTAGGGGTATTTTTCGATTTTGAGACCGAAAAAATCATTTATAATTGATTTTGACGGCTTTTTAATGTAGAAAAAGCGAAATTTCAAAAATGCGTTCTGGGAAACAAATATTTACAAGACCAA